CAGTCTTGCAGCGCCTCGCATTGGCTTTCCAGCGCAACAAGCCCCACGATCCTCGGAACAGCGCAGTCCCGGACTTCCTCCGAGAATTCGAGGACGTCTTCGCCAAGGAGTCCTTTGATGAACTGCCCATGCCGCGTCCGTGGGATCACGCCATTGAGCTAATGGACGGAGCAGAACCGACCTCTACCAAATGCTACCCGCTGTCCCCCGCGGAGCAGAAACAGCTGGACGAGTTTCTGGAAGAAAATCTCCGGACTGGTTGGATCCGCCCCAGCAAGTCGCCCATGGCTGCCCCGGTGTTCTTTGTTAAGAAGAAGGATGGATCGCTCCGCTTGGTCCAGGACTACCGGAAGCTCAACAGCATGACGGTCAAGAATCGGTACCCACTTCCGCTCATCTTGGACTTGGTGGATAAACTCCGGAACACTCGCTACTTCTCCAAGCTCGACGTCCGGTGGGGTTTCAACAACGTCCGGATCAAGGAGGGCGACGAGTGGAAGGCCGCGTTCCGGACTACGCGCGGACTCTTCGAACCGTTGGTAATGTTCTTCGGACTAACGAATAGCCCATCCACCTTCCAGACCATGATGAACGACCTCTTCCGAGAGCTCATTACGGAAGGTGTGGTCATTATCTATCTGGATGACATTCTGATCTACACCAAGACGCGCGAAGAGCATCGCCGGGTTCTCAAGCGAGTCCTAGAGATCCTCCAGCGGAACAAGCTCTTCCTCCGAGCAAGTGCGACTTCGAGCAGACCAAGGTGGAGTATCTCGGAGTTGTCATCTCTGAGGGTAAGATCGAGATGGATCCCGTGAAGGTTTCCGGAGTCGCGGACTGGCCGACCCCCCGGACTCGGACTGAACTCCAATCCTTCCTCGGGTTCGTCAACTTCTACCGCCGCTTCATCAAGGACTACTTGCATATCGCCCGGCCTCTCTTCGACCTCACTTGCGCAAAGGAATGGCAGTGGAACGACTCCGCTCAATCCGCATTTCTTCGGATCAAGGAGCTGATCACTTCGGAGCCCGTTCTGGTCTTTCCAAAGGAGGATCGGCCATACCGGGTTGAAGCGGACTCGTCGGATTACGCTACGGGTGCGGTCTTGTCGCAGCTGGATCCGGACGATGGTAAATGGCATTCTGTCGCATTCTACTCTAAAAGTCTACAGGCCGCGGAGCGGAACTACGAAATACACGACAAGGAGATGCTTTCAATCATCCGGGCACTCAAAGAATGGCGACACTACTTGGAAGGCGCAGAGACTCCGTTCAAGATCTGGACGGACCACAAGAACCTGGAGTACTTCATCAAGGCCCAGAAACTCAATCGTCGTCAAGCCCGCTGGTCGCTATACCTCTCCCGCTTCGACTTCACTCTCCAGCACCGTCCGGGTCGGACAATGGGTAAGCCGGATGCTCTCTCGCGCCGCTCGGATCACTCGGATGGTAAGGATGACAACAAGGATGTGGTTTTACTTAAGCCGTCCTACTTTGCCGTCTGTGCCACGGGTGTCACTCTTGAAGGGGAGGAGAAGGATATCCTCACGGCTATCCGGACTGGAGTGCGGAATGCGAAGTTTGAAGATGCAGTGGCAAAGGCGGCGGAGGAGCTGAAGAAGACCCAGGGCAGTTGCAAGACAGTCCGGAGCGCGGAATGGTCTCAATCGGACGGACTCCTGATGTTCCGGGGTAAGATCTACGTTCCGGACTCACCGGACTTGCGTCGGACCATTGTAGCCCAGCACCATGACACTAAGGTCACAGGACACGCTGGCAGATGGAAGACCCTAGAGCTCGTTTCACACAGCTACTGGTGGCCCAACATGTCCCGGTACGTCGGATCCTACACCCGCCATTGCGACCTCTGTCTCCGGACGAAGGCCCAAAGGCATCCGCCCATGGGTGAACTCCATCCGCTTCCCATTCCGGATGAACGCTGGGATCGCCTGAGTGTTGACTTCATCATCGAGCTTCCGGAGTCCAATGGGTTTGATGCTGTCATGAACGTGGTCGACTCCGTAAGCAAACGCGCCCACTTCATTCCAACTCACACCACAGTGTCTGCCCTCGGATCCGCAAACTTGTACCTGCAGAACGTCTGGAAGCTGCACGGACTCCCTTGGTCCATTGTGTCCGACCAGGGTCCGCAATTCGTCGCAGAGTTCACCCGAGAAGTCTACCGGATGCTCGGAATCAAGCTGGCTGCCTCCACTGCGTACCACCCTCAGTCCGACGGACAGACGGAACAGACCAACCAGGAACTCGAGTCCTATCTCCGGATCTTTGTCGGAGAGCGTCAGGACGACTGGGCTCGCCTCCTACCTATGGCGGAGTTTGCGTACAACAACCGGGTCCATGTGTCCACTTAGCAGTCACCCTTCCTCCTGGATACCGGCCGTCATCCTCGTCTCGGGTTCGAACCTCATCAGCCACCGTCTCGGATGGAGTCCGCAAACGAGTTCGTAGACCAGATGAAATCCGCAGTCGACGAGGCTCAGTCCGCATTGGTCAAGGCTCAGGACGACATGAAGCGCTACTGCGATCAGCGTTGGACTCCCGCTCCGGAGTACCAACCGGGTGACAAGGTCTGGCTGGACTCGTCGGACATCAACCTTGCCCGACCCTCCCGGAAACTCGGACACGCACAACTCGGTCCTTACAAGGTCGTCCGGAAGGTTGGCAAGGCAGCGTACCGGCTCCAGCTCCCTCCGGGCTTATCCTGTCTCCATCCCGTCTTCCCTGTGGTCAAACTCTTTCCCTTCGTTCCGGACCCCATCCCAGGTAGACGCCCTGTCGCTCCGCCCCCTCCGCAGCTTGTTGACGGAGAAGAAGAGCATGAGGTAGAAGAGGTCCGAAATAGCAGACGGTTCGGTCGGGTCCTGAAGTATCTGGTGCGCTGGCGAGGCTATGGTATTGAGCACGACTCCTGGGAGCCCGCGAGCAACCTCCAGCATGCTGCCCGGAAGGTCAAGGACTTCCATGATCGTCACCCGGACGCAGTATGTGTACTCCGGACGAGTCCGATGAATCCGACGACTGCTCTACCTCTCCGGATGACTCCTGCAGCACTGGACCAGTCCTGGGAGCGTTGGCGCAGTCGGAAGGCTCCGGGCTCCACGCAGTCGTACTTCGACATCTTCTCGCAGCAATCCGGAGTTTTGGGGTTGGTGAATTCATGGCGCGGCAGGCAGGAATCTCCGCGTCGGGTCGCCGCAACCTTGAAGGGGGGGTGATGTAAGGGGACACTCCTATTTTCTCCTATTCCCCTGTCCCTCTCCCTTCCTCCTTCGTTTCCTTTCTCCCTTCCTTCATCCCATGGACTATTATCTACATTCCCTTCATTCCCTTTCCTTCCCTCTCGCCCCCTTACCTTTCCACTTCCCTTCCGTCCACTCCCTTCGCATCCGAGCCCCGTCCGGTGACTCCGAAGTCTTCCCGCGCTTCGGACTCGCCTCGGACTCGCTCGGACGCCTCGGACTCGCTTGGACGCCTCGGACTCGCTCGGACACTTCGGACTCGCTCGGACTCGTAGATACACTTTGGGGCTCGTCTGGGCTACCTCTATCCTCCTTTCCCACTTCATTACTCCTTGTCCCCACTTCCCCAGGTTGCTGGCACGACTCCTGTACATTCCCCTTCCACTTCATTATCACATGCCCCCTTGTACCTTGTGATATTCGTTCGTACCTGTGGCTGGTGTACTGTACAGTTACCCTTCATTCCTCCCACGCTACTACAGTATATACTTCGCTTCCTAGCATGGAGAATCCCCATCCTGTTCTCTTTGGATTCTCCCTCTGCTAGGTGAGCAGCTCTCTCATGTATTGCAGTTAGTCTTATTCATCTCTTTGGATTCTCCCTCTGCTAGGCTTGCACTGTGCGGCCATCTTGAGGTTGCCCTTACAGAGTCCATGGGATGAAGGAAGGGAGAAAGGAACAAGGAGGGAGGGACAGGGACAGGGGAATAGGAGAAAACAGGAGTGTCCCCTTACACTGTTGCCACTATCCTCACAAACTCTTTGATCACCGGAAACATCTCAACCTCTTCTGCCTCCATTTCTGAAGTTACCAGCACTGGCACTAATGAGTTCAACACATTGCTGTGGTCTTGCCTTGCCTTGCCAATTGTGTTGTTGACACAATCACACCGGACTTCTCTGATAACAAGTATGCCCCCTTTGCTTGTTCAAACCTCTTCTGGTCATGTGCTATATCCAATTATTCTTCTTCCTGAGGCGGACGGAACACTCAGACAAGAATGATGTGAAAGGATCAAACATGGAAATTGATTTGTAGATGGAAGCACAGGAGGAAGAGGTAAGTAATAAGATATACCCTTTGTCTGTATATAAAAGGGAGACACTGATCATATGATCGTTATCTAGGAGTCAGGGGGTAAGAGAAAAAGGTGGCTAGAAATCCTTACACGGATTCTGACAATCTAGGCGGTACAGGGGTTACAGGGGTTCACGTGACTACGTAGATATTTCGCGCGTGCATGTATACTTTTTTCTTCGTGCGTTTGCTGGAGTCCCAGCCAAACGCAATATATCTACTTGCTCACTCGGAACTCGCGCGACCCTCACCGGCTTATTTCAACATCGTGTTGCGAAGTTCATGGTTGGCGTGAATTATCTTGTATGGTCCATCGAACCTAGGCCGTCTCGGTCTTCATATATGCCACCACCTTTCCATGATTTACTGAGTGATTTCTTATGCCCAGTGGTGTCATCGCGGGGCGCAGTAGTACCATCCTGACCAGCGTTCAAATCCTACATGTCGAGATCAGAACGAACACTTGCTAGCCTGAGATAAAGGATAAGTTACATGTTCCCTATTTATTACTTTGCACAGTGGTAGATGAAGAGGCAATGATGTGGATATCAATATTGAAAACAGTGAAACAATACATAAATGATGCTGCCGCAGAATGGTTTGTGTGGCCCAAAAGAGTGAGACAAACGAGCAGAACCAGGGAACAGTATGTCAATAATGTATCTAATTGAGATAACCGCGGCACTTGGCAGAACCACAGAGGCAGGGAATTTTGTCCTGCTCGATAGGGAAATGGTAATCTGTCCAGCCAAGCGTACTTTAGAGGGGAATAGCAATGACGAGCAACAGAATACACACCATAGGTGATTTCATCACCGAGTTCAATGTCTTGCTTTGCATAGATGACAATCTTCTTCTCTCCATTAATCGTGATGATCTTGGCCGTGCAGTTTGGATCACAAGAGTGGTTGATTAACCGCCTGGACCTGAGGTCAGTTTCAGTGTCGCAGGAGAAAATATAAGACTTACCCTAGATTCCCTTTCTTCGTGGCATCTACAACCAGATCTTCATCGATCCTGAACAGATAACTACTCCCGATCCCTTGACGCTCATACACCTTCTCCCTCTTATCCGCGACCTGAGCGCGAATAACTTCACCAACGTACTCTATCACCATCTCGCCCCTCGAAATCTTCTCCATAGCGTAGAGACCCCAGTCATGGATGGGCGACCTAGCGAAGCGGAGATGCTTTTTTCTGGTCTGCAGTTGGTTGAATTTGAAAGACAGCTCATTTGCCGTGGTCTCGCCCTTGGATAGCGCAATAGCCTGCTGAACTTGGTTAATTTCTTCTAGGCCTTGCGCTCTGCGACGAGCGTTAGCACGATTGGAACGCGAAGAAGTAACGTGCTTTGGTTGCGTGTCTTCCACCTGGGCAGTGGCTTCGGACGCCATGGTTCGTGCTTGATACTGGGAAACATATGCGGCCTTCTCTGCGTGGGAGATCTTGTAATAGCCTTCAGTACGTGCAGACCCCGTAACGTGGCGCCGGATCGGTGGTTGACCTTCTTCAGATGGTGGTTCCGTTGAGTCGACGGTAGGAGCTAGTGCAGACGGTGGCTCTCTCAATAGAACGAGTCGAGCGAAGTACTGGTCTTCATCATCTTCAAGGACGCCGTCGAGGGACAACGTTGGAGGTGGTAGTGGCTTGCGAACGGGGGAAGGGGATCGGGAGGGAGATAAAGAAGATTCTGGAGTGATGCGTAATTGGGTAACGCGAGGAGCCGAATAATCGAGGTTATTAGGAAGCACCACTTCATCGACGTCTGAATCGAGGATGGGAAGCTTCTTGTCTTTCTTCTTGGTGCCCTTCTTAACTTTGACACTTTGATCGACATCGGTCTTCTGCTTCTTTTTGGCAGGCTCCTCTGCTTCGACGGTCTCCGAGATCAGCCTCTTGAGCCCAACATCCGAAGTCAACGTAGGCGTCGGAGCAGCGTCATCCTCGTCTTCTGACTCTATGTCCGGAACCTCTGCTACTCTCCTCGACTTCTTGACCTCCTTCTTCTGCTTCTTCTGTGGTGGCTCAAGGTCGAGATCCATGGTGGCATCGTCATCAACGATATCAGGCAGAGGCACTTCCAATGGCTTCGGTTCCTCGGCTTTCTTTTGTTTCTTGAAAGACAGCCCTTTGAGTCCTTTCCTTTCCGTAGGACGAACCTCCGTAGCCGTTGGCCCAGCGGAACCCTTCGCCTTCTCTGACGCCATGAATTTTCGCAAGTCAATTGTTACCACACCCTCCCGGATATCCTTCTCCAGCACCCCGAACAACTCTTTCATTAGCAAAGCTTTGGTTTGATCAATTAGTTCGTCATCACTCCATCGTGTCTTGTCGTGGACGGCTATGGGAGCGGGAGCAGGGTGGACGGACACCGTGACCGAGTGATAAGAGATCGTCCGATTGTTCAGAACCATGGCTGCGCGTCGGGCGACATCTCCAGTCTCGAAGGAAACGTACCATCCTGTCCGATCTTTCAGCACCTGTAGCAGGGGATAGGCATCGGTACGTCGTCATTATTTGCACCATAAATGCTCACTGACCTGATCAACCTTGAACCCGCCGACGAACTCTCTCACATCACCATCGTTGATGGCAGAGGTCAATTGTGCGCCGCCCGAGATCTTGATATGATCCTTCCCGTTCTTCGCAAGCTCGTTCACTACGGCGATTCTTTCCTTCTCCGCATCTTCCTTGGTAGCGGCCGTTCCTCGTTTGCCCCCTCGAACAGGGGATGGAGTAGGTGAACGGGAGAGATCCATCGGGGAACCATAGTCGTACTGATGAATAGGCGATGCATACGTCCGTCCTTTGTCGCGCGTCCCATTTCTGCCTCTATCCCACTCGCGGTGAACGGGCGTTGAGGTAGATGAAGGCGTATAGGTTGATCCTTGGCGGGATAGGTCTCGCTCTCGCGATGGTTGCTGAGTGAACGATTTAGCAACCTCTTGTCGTGCCTTGAGGAGTGCCGCTGGAATCTTCTTGGAGAGAGATCGAGGTGGGGGGTCGTTGTCGGTGATACCGTTAGTGACTGGCTTGGGGGGCAAAGGATGATGCATAGGCGGGGCGCTGGGTTGACTGGATTGATTGGAGGGCGGTGGTAGATGTTGAGGCTGACTTGAAGAGTTAGCAGGATGCGTCGGACGCCTAGAGTCATGAGAAGTGCGCGAATGTGAGCCATGGTACGATTGTGAGTGATGTTGATGTCCAGGCCGCCGTTGATCGCGGCCATGACCCATCGGGGTTCCCGGATTTGGCGTCGAACCATGTCGAATACTGTCTCGTCCACTTCGCACACTATCCCTACCATCTCTGTCCCCTCTGCTATCCCTATCCATGCCCCTACTGTCTCTGCCTCTGTCTCTATCCACTCTGCCATCTCTATCTGATCCCTTGGCCTCCCTATCCTTCTGCTTCGCCCTCTTCTTCCTCTCTTCTAGCTCCTTCCTCACAGCAGCCAACTTAGACCCCTGCCCGTCAAGCACCACCCGAATCTCATCCCCGTTGTCCCCAGCCATGATCATCCCAGCCCCTCCGGATGTCGGCCTCCTCCCATTCTCCTTCTCTACGCACTTCTTCGCATCATCGTGCGTCGAGTACCGTAGGTACACGATGCCTAGCGCTCCTCCTGTCTCAGAGTCGATCTGGTTCTCGAAGGCAGTGATCGTGCCGTGGGCAGCGAAGTAGCGACGGATTTGGGCTTGCGAAGTGAGAGGGGAGATATTCGCCACAAGGACAGAAGTCGCCGGTGGAGGACCATACGAGTTCGCATCGTACTGCAATGTACGTCATAAAACACGGCGATCAGCAGGCATGAACAGCTGATGACAGGGATTAACAGCGCACCTCATAATGAACTTCATACAATTCTGTACGAAGTCTTGTGGATTTTTTGGCTGGTTGATGTTTTCGGGGGTCCCTCAGCACTAATTCATCTTCCCAAACTTGAGCCTTTGCGCCTGCCTCAGATTTCTCCTCAACATCACTCCCCTCCTTGCTGCGATCAGGCACCTCGCCGTCTACGTCCATTTCCGCCTCTTCTACTTCGCGTCGGAATATCTCACCTTCGAACCTCGTCAAAATATCCTTTCCCTTCCCTTTGCTCTTTATCCGCTCTTGAACTACTTCAGGTGGAGCATTCTTCCGTATGTTGTCGATGATGCTACGGTAACGGGAAGGATGGATGTCCACGGCTGGGTCGAAAAGAACTTTGAATGGTCGATGTGGGGGAAGCTCGGACTTTGCGGGAGGCCAAGGCAGGGGGGGTGGCAAAGAGTATAGTTGAGGGGAAGGTGATCTTGGAGGAGTTGGCTGTCGAACGGGACCAGGAGAGCGTGAAGGAGAACGTCTTCGTGGAGATTGCTGTCCATCCCATCGCGAACTACGTGGAGGATGTGAGGGGAACCGTGGGGAACGACGGTAAAGGTGCGTCTCCGAGGATGATGAATGATAATACTGAGGTGTCCGATCAGCCAGGGGAGGAGACGGCGGCGGCGGCGGATGGGAATCTGGTGGTGGTGGCGGCGGCGGCGGATCGAATGGTGGCGGAGGTGGAGGTGACTGAGGCGGCGGTGGAGGCGGAGGAGTGATTGAGGGCGGGGGCGTAGACGATGGGGGAGGCGGGGGAGAAGGTGGAGAAGGTGAAGGTGAAGGACTCGAGGCGAGAGTCAGTGTCCGCGCCTGCCCGTACAATGGCGTAGGGAGTTTGAAGGACACAAGCGGAGGTGGCGGCGGTTGAGTAGGAGGTGCTGAAGGAGGCGGTGGAGGCGCATGAGGTTCTGGTGGAGGAGGATGGCTGGGAGGCGGAGGTGGCGGACTTTTGTCACGTCGCGGTATTGAGATTGAGAACTTTGGCAAAGGGGGCGGGGGGCCTGCAGGAGGAGGTGGGGGTGATTCTGGTGGCAATGATTCTGGCGGAGGTGGTTGGCTTCCCGAAGGCCGAAACGTAGGGAAATCATTCTGCAAGCGAGCAAGAGGTGATCGAGCAAGAGTAATTAAGCTTGGAGGAGATGACTCGTCAGGTTGAGGCGGTAGCGGAGCTAGCAATGGAGGAGGAGGAGGCGGTGGTGGATCTGCAGGTTGAGGCGGTGGTGGATCTGCAGGTTGAGGCGGGGGCGGCGGAGGTGGTTCCGAAATAGGAGGTGGGGGCGGGGGTGGAGGGTCGTTTTTTGGCGGTGGAGGGTCATCTGGGTGAGGGCGTTGCAAGAAAGTACTTTTCGTATTGATAACCACCCTGTCCCTACTCGTACTCCCAACGAGCCTCCCTTCAGCGTGATCGTTCCATTCATTGGGCTGCTGCGACTGCTGAGACTGCCAGCTCTGCAAACAAGAGAAACTCAGTAAGGTGTAAAGGACGCGATAAAAAGACCACGTACCCCATTAACTTGCAGCGGGGCTGATTCCAGTTCTCTTGATTTGAGTCTGTGCCTATGCTGCAACGTGCTTGGCCCAGGACCACTTATGCCGGGTGCCGATGTCGAATTGTATCCGTTCGCATATTTAGATTTTCGAAACCCGGCTGGTGCGCTGGGAGCACCCCCATTTAAAAGACTTCGAGGACCTGTTGGAGGAGCAGCACCGATTCTGCTGGCCGTGAAGGAACTGGATGGGCCTTGGTGTTGGGATTGAGCAGCAGGCGCCGGTGCAACGGTCGGTGTTGAGGACGACGACGGCTGTGCTGATGGTCGCAGCGCGCGAGGACCACTTGGAGGAGGCCTGCCTGACATTCGTCGAGGCGCTGCGGCCGATGAAGAAGGGGTGAAGGAGAAAAAGAGTCGGGGGAGGTGGTGGACGAGAGAGGAAGAGAAAGCGCGTGACGAAACAAACCCACACAAAACCACAGGCTGCTGCTTGCCACAGTCGTTCTTCTTCCCAAGCCCGGCATCCACGACACCGACTTCCACAACAGCAGGTCTATTTAGCGACAAAATGATTTACAGTTCTTCAGACCTTATCGATGAACGCGGTGCATCTTCAGAAGCTCTCTAACGGCATTCCTTGGTGAATCTGCCGTGAAGGCTGGAAAACTAGCTACGGTGGAAGGAGGCCAGCGAATCCACGAAGGATAGCGTGGAACCACCAGGACGACGCCAAAAAGCTACGACTCCTACGCGACTGGGCTATCTACTAGGATCAGCGCGAATCACTGCTGTGACTCACTGATATTCCTGGATCAAGACTGACAAAATTTCAACGGTGAAAAAAAACGAATATTACGGAACCGCGAACTTCTACTCTACGAAAGTGCACTCACAACTCCATAATTGTAAGCTTCCCAAAACTAGACCCAATTGCGACCCTTCCCATAGCTTCATCATAGTCCAACGCAGTCCAGTCATTGTCTACATTCCTCGCAATCGTCGTAACTCTCACATACTCGGAACCTCGCCGAGCGCTGGCACCACCCGGCACAGCACTTCCATCTAACCCCGCATTATCACCCATAACATCTCGGGCTACGCTTTCAAGGGGCCCACTGAGGACAGCGGCGACAAGCCTTTCATCGCTCCAGGGCGTACTTTGAAGGGGGATCTCTTGCAGGTGTGTATCCGACGACACCAACCCGTGGGTTGCGCTATCACGCGGGTGGAGCCACATGGCCGTCCCATACTTCCCCAGCATAATATCCTGGCATCGAATGGGTCCACGTCTCGAGTCCGCTTGAGCTGTAAGAAGAGGCGGGAAAATATACGGCGACGTGGCACCCGGTACGGCGTTCCAGAACCCAGGCGCAGCGTCGTTTGTTGTTGGTGGGATAAAAGCCGGATTGGGTTCTAGCTTGTACAAATCCAAAGTACACACGTCGGAAGACCACGGATCGTGACTAGGTGTACGGCTGAGAATCATAATGGGTATGTTTCCCAGCGTGTTATTGGAGTGCTCGTTGAATTTTTGAGCTGGTAAGACCGCTGAGATGCCGTCGACCCAACCGAAGGTGTGATGACCGATAGATTGGGTTGGTTGGATAACGTCCGGGGCAAGTAGTTCTGGCCAGGGAAAGAGATGAAGCGACCGTGCCCGAACGACGAGTACGCTGTGGTACGCGAATACTACTTGCACGCAAGGATCGTGCTGAATCGATACGCACCCATAACGGACACATTAGCGAAGGTAGTGTCATCAATCATCCAGCGTATGATCGCAGACAATTCATCTCTACCAATTGTGTGGAGTAATATTGAATTCCACTCACAAGAAATACGCCTTGCTCCTGCTCGTGCTGTAACAATCCACTAAGGCCTGTACGCCGGTTGAATAGAACCGTCTGTGACGACTCGTCAGCAAATGCTATGATATGACCCCGCATCTCCATGGGTTCCAGTGTTGTGTCGATGGTCGATAACACTTTGAACTCTATGTCACTGCCAGCCGTCTCTATCCCCTCCAAAGTAAGAACGATGGTCTGGCGACGATTTTGCTGGCTAGAAAGCGCATATAAGAACTGCATTCAGTCTCATCATCTCCAGGAATGTTTATCAGCAACAAACCCTGCCATGAAAACCGAAAGCGCGACGACACCTTCGGACTTGACGTCTTTATTCAAAACGAACTTACTGAACAGAGCCCCTTTTGGCGACCATTTGGTGCATTCATGCGGTGCGACGGCATTTTGAGACTTCTTCCCTCCTGGTCCATCAATTCGCCAGAGAGATAATGTAGACCAGATGCCTTTAGAAACCGCCAGCATATACCGCTCTTTTCTTCCGTGCAGGAACCGTACCGCAGTGATCTCTGTGCTCGTAGACGCTTTAAAACTTCGTTCACGAGTCAAAGGGAAGGAATCGAATACAGCGGGTGATTGTGCACGGTACTGGGAGCCCAATGAGGATCGTGAGGTCCATCTTATGGAAAGACGATGCGCCAGCCGTGTGTATCGTTCGAGATCAAATTCGGTGAGGTCGTCGAGGGGTACGTCCGGGAAAGGATATCCTGGGCGCAATATATTGAACACGCATGCGTTGTACCACACGATGCGTAGCCTTGTTATCTTGTTGATTCGTTGGCAAGCCTGAAGAAATAATGGGGTGAGCTACGGAGAAGTACGGAATTTAGCGAGAGCAGACGGCAAACCTGTCGAACTGATAGCAAATCGGGTACGCCAAGGCGAGAGAAAATCAAAATGAGGATATCCTCGTCGATGGAATCAAGACAATGGGCCTCTGACATTGCTCGTTGTCACTGTGCTGGGTCAAGTCGGTCGATGATGGTAATAGAGTGGGAAGGAGCGAGCTGGAGTTACGAGGAGCCCCGCCGCGCCACCAGCTTCCAGCCCCTGGAATTCTGACTTGGACCGTGTCAGCCAAAGAGCATGATTATTTCGCGTGGTGGCTATAGAATTACGACGACAACTAAGGTAAAGAAATAACTATAGAGACAAGGTAACGGACGTAAATACAGAAAGCTCATGGCTCGACATCGATGAAATAGCTACAAATGAGTGTTGCAAGGAGAGTGGTGAGTCAGTATTAGGGGAAATGCAGGGATAGTGAAGGGCTACAATGGGTGTGTCGAGAGCTCGAGGGAACGGGCGGGGAATAAGGGAACAATAAAATATAAAACACCGCGGGTGAAACCAATTTATCTCCTGGCGACGAGTGAAACGTTGAAGGAGGGCTACAGTTTACGCAGCAGTTTGAGCACGTCGTTGTAATCGTGCTCCTCCCACCTACGGCCACCCTGCTCGCGGACCCAACGCTTGCTGTAACGGTGTGCAGCACGACGAGCCTCAGTACCAGCTACCTCGACTTTGGATGCCCTAGAAACGACCCATTGGTATTCATCAGACCCTCTCCCACTCCCCAAGCTCGTGTCATCTTCATCATCGGTAGCATCCGATTCCACGAGGCGCGTAACATCGATTCGTTGATTCGAAGTCTGAGTGCATTTCCTCCAGAATCGACTCAGTGACCCAAACTCGTCATACACTTTATCCGTTCCGGCATCTTTCGCCCTGAGGTTCTCACTGCGTTCGAAGACCAGATCTCCACCGCTGTCCGAACTATCCAGGGAGACGCCTAGCGTGATGCTCAGGGAACGTCCCCGTCCGCTGGGTGAATGCACCAGTTCCGGGGGTATCGACTCCCCAAGGTGCCGTTGAAGCTTGTTCAAGCGCCTACGGCGTGCAGTTGTAGGCGAAGGGGGTTGCGGGATGTCAGACGCCAGAGGGCTGACTGGGGCTGGGCTCGTAGAAACAGGGCTATGTGTAGGCGTCAAGCTACTGCTGTTGGATAGTGAATGGCGCTGTAAAACTTCGGGCGCAGTACAAACTCTAAGAGGTACGTGGCGTGCACGTTGAGAGTTCAATGTGATTGGGGCAGATACCATAGCAGCCTCAATTGAGTTCCCGCCTGTGGAAAGAAACGTCTTCGGGGATGAGGGGCTCGACGGTAAAGGTGTTGCAGGGATGATAGAGATGTCTGGCATAGATATTGGGGAATGAGGGAGCGTTGGAAGAGGTTTCGATGATATTGGGGATGAGGGGATCTCTGATCTGCTCTCCGCAGACGTGGGGGTAGGGGGCAGTGGTCTGACGGTTTGGACGGGAAGGTGGCGGAAAGGGAGGATCTGTGAAGCATATATTCTCGATGCCATTTGACCGAAAGGGGGGCAGGCAGTATCCACGGATAAGGATTTTGTTGATGTTGTCATGAAGGGCTTGATCTCTGTTATTATAGCCACTGCGGAAAGGATTGTTGGTTTGGAAATGAAGACTTTTCGAAGTTTGAGCGGGCTTAGTACGGTTCGTTAATAGGTTCGTGAAAGCTATCAGGCTAAATGGCAGCCGTTCTATGAAACGTAGCCGCGCACGAGTAGTAACAACACCGCAACACCGTTAAAGCAGTGATGTCGACAGACAACCGAGCTGAAGCGGGTCGGATCTGGGTGGACCAACTAACAACAGGTGGGTTTGACGGGATTGGGGGGCGTGTCGGGGCGTAAAGCGCAGGGTTAGGTTGCACTGGGGAGGCTTTACATGTTGGCCTGTGGCTTTATAGATACGACAACGTTGTAAGGGTCGATACGGATGCTAGGTAAGAATGCACTCACCTAGATTGAAATCGTAGAACTGATTCCATCGGGTGTCGGTACCCAAATGGTGCAAGGCAATGCAGTCGAGTTGCTATAGTGCGACGAGCCTCCACTGGCGGACCCATTTGTTGGCAAACCTGAACGGTCGAATTCCACATGTCTCGATGTCCACGGCTGCTGCTGCTTGGCCAAGGCTCCGTCCACCATTGGCGTACGTAGCGCCTTGCGGTCAGCCGGCGCAAAATCTGATCTGTGCATGTTCATTCCCGGAGACCGAAGATTCAAGAAATGCTCCGAGGGTGTCATGAATGAAAGGACTCTGTCGGGTCGTCGATCGTCGCAAGTTCATCCGGAGTAAGCGGCCACGTGCACAAAATCATGACAGTCGCGGTCTCTGTGAGGATGGTCTCCCGCGACAGGCTACACAGCTGTCGTCCTTGTTAGCGAGGACAAGGCAACTGAGGTTGACACAGACTCGCTGCTATCTACTATTTTTCAGGCCATTCCTACAGTGGTGACTATTATATCATATACACTGGCACGTTGCGAACAATCCAGCGGGATCCACACCACCCTTGCAGCTTTGTGAATGACCTTGCCAAGGGCGGCTTCGTCGCGGGGAACTGGTCAGCCAACGTGTTTTACACCAATGCACGGCGGCGTAGAGAAGCCTCGACAGGATCACTCACAGATTATGTCGATCATGGAGTCAGGGAACGCGAAGGAAGCATTTTCACTGGCACATGAAACCCACAATAACTGTGAATGCGCGGCGTGGAGGTGAAGCCAATCGATGAATCTGATAATCCGGATATCCTTATTCAACGCCCGCGACGCACCCCGTAGATAGCAGCTTTCAGTCGTCGACAATGTTGAATGTGGAATGTGGGCTTTCTTTCATGCACCCCGACTTTAGACCGAAGCCGATATTTTCATGCATGCACAACTCCGGGTATTTCTTCATGATATAGCAATGAAACAACTAGCATTCGATCACTTCTCGGACTCGGAGATAGCTGAATAAATTTCCACAATAGCCGCATTGGAATTGAAAGCCCTCCGGACCGTTCGAATCAAGAAAAAAGTTTGCTCGCACTATGCAGCGGATACTTGATTAGACATCTCACACACCAAAGGATGCAGAGAAAAGCATACGCGAATGTCCAGAGGTTCTGCGGATTGTTGTACGTGTCCTTGGTGTACGCGAAACGGACTGTAATTTCATCATCGGCGTCAGGTCCGCGAACGGTAACATCGGGTGCCACTTACACTTCGGTAATTCTGAGACGTAGGCTATAAAGAGGCGATTATTTGCATTCAATGACAATCTCCATTCACCAGGGATGTCAAAACTCACCAATAGGCCTCTGGTCATCGAAGAAGCTCCAAGCTAAAGTAGAAGAGTGAAACAAGTTACCCCTGGTGATTGATGCACACCGTTGCGTCACGTACCAGTCCTCCAATTTACTCTGTGGAGAAATTAAGCCGCGATTCCATGGATCAGAAAACAGAGACATACCGCATATTTGCCGAAACCAAACTGCGGATTGATTGTCAGTAGAAACACTAATCGAGGATACGCATAGCGACATACAGGTCAGGGGGGGCTAGGGGGTCCTGCAACGTCCATCAGTGAACATCCGACAGAATGACCCGCACAATCATCGCAGGGAACTTAACACATACGTCTTTCACGCCACCCGTCTTGATTTCTGAATCAAGGTCGAACCATTCTAAGACTTGGTTCCCGGACATCCCTAAGGCATGGCGGCGCTGTTAACAAACACCCTGGGCGATGTAAGTTACAAGCGGGTTACCTTTGAATTCAATACTCTGTCCAGGTCTTCCCCCGAAGATAGCTATTTTAGTGTTATGTCTCTCGTTCATCAATGTGCTAAACATGGCGCAGGTCGAGGCACACTGCCCATTGCTGACTTTTAACGCACCTCAGTGACGGACGATAAAGCCAGTTTCAACAGACGTACCTATGGCGACATTGCTAATATAGCAGCACACGCCAATCAGTAGCTCGTACCACCATCATGAAGGTTAACACTTACTTCAAATCAAAGGGAGGATCTTCCGGTACGCTCTCGACGAATCCAAGATCGCATGTATCCTGTGTAGCTGTCAGCCGGGATGCGGGGTCACAGCAATATAGCCTTTCTCGTACATGGAATCTCTGTGATGTCGGGTCAGGACGACCATTGACAACGAACGGAGCCACTGGCGACAAATAATTGAAGCTAGCGGGCATCTGAGTGTCGTTCAAAAACGCCCCTAAGTGTCTCAATCAATCTCCTATCTCCTATAAACCGTGGAAAATAAGCCTCACTCACAATTATCGGCTGTGTAGAATGCGAAGTTGCCATTGAGACCGAATGCGATATCCCCGGCAACGATCTTCTGAGCTAAAGGGTTGCCTCTGGTTGTGGACACAAAGCCTCTGTCGCTTTAGTTAGCGACTAAGATTATCGGTCATTGTGAAGGGAGCTCACGGATAGCCAATTTTGGAGCCAGCTAAATATTGGTGCAGGAATTGTCCCAAGCAAACAAATCCACCTGAACGTCATTTGAGTGAGATGACAATTGTCGAGATTATGTGTCCATACCGCCATTATCCGTCAAGTCTATGAGCAAGTGCGTTACACCTGCTGCTTTGAACTGAGTAACGGCTGCAACAACGTCGTGTTGGAATCCGTTGAAGTCCCCTCCGAAGGAACCGACGAACATCTGTTGTTGATGAGAACTTTTGCCATTGCATGAGATGAAGGACAAATACGTACCACCCCCGTCTTGGAATCAGGTAAGATAAAAGACTTAATCACGCCAGTGCTGCCATTGACTGGAGGTAATGTAGGCTCAAACTCGTGAGGTAATCCTACGGCGCTACTCTCCCCTTTATCGATAATGTCGGCACGAGGTAGGCGTCGAGGGGGCGGAGAGAAGCTAGCTCCCTTAAAGTCAATGCCATTCGTAGAGTCCGTTGCAGCGCAATTATTGGCCCAGCTAGGCAAGAGAGATTATAAATAATCATCCCGGGCGGACCTGAAGTACTTACAAGGAAGCCTTGTCGGTGAAAGGGCTGCCCAAGAAGTTCGTCAGGAAAGGCACACTGACGGTCTCGGCTCGCGTAGAGTTAACGGGGATGAGTTTGAGTTTCAGCGAGGTTTGCACACTCCCAGTGGGGCCTGCCATATCTCCAATCCGCTGCGAGAACGCATTTCCGGAAATCCTGTAGCTGCTGAACGCCGAATTGACTCGCACACCGTGATCCAAGTAGTTCCCGGAGACAGTCTTGGCCACGAAATCGGCGTAATCGTATGGATCCTGGTCTTCAATCTGAATGACTTTGGCACCAGCAAGGCGCTTCCAGTCAAAGCCGATTGAGTCGAAGAATCCAGTGAATTCTGTGCCAATCAAGTTGCTGAATTCAACTGCGTCAGGCGCTACAAAGATACTTTGTACCCCGTTTTCTTCCAAAGACACGAGAGGTGTCGGAATGATGTTCTGGAAATTGGTATAGCAGTTCGGGAACCAACCTTGGAGTAGAAAGGTGAAGATATCTAATCACGATATATATTAGACGGATACATACGAGTATGACCATCGTTCAACTGTGTCGTAAATTGGTACACAGCCCAATTGAAGTCATAGTCAGTCTGCAAAACTAGATAAGTTATATAGTGCCACTGATGAACGTATATACACACCGCAAATCTCGTCCTATTCAGCCTAGCGAGTGTGGCCCTGATATCTACTGTAGACTCCTGGAAGGGAGGCGGGGATTTCAAGTAATAGTCTTCAAATGTGAAGAAATCGAAAACTCCTGCGATGTTGGACAAGACGTTTTGTCGAAGGGTTTCGTTGAAGGGGAAAGCCTTCTGGCAGGCAAGAGCGTCCGTTGGCAGAATAAAACTCTTTCCGGCTATTTTAGCACAAGGATCGGCAGCGGGGGGTGCGGCGGCGGCAGCGAAAGACGCATAACCAACACAGGTAAGCAATGAGATGGCATGCAACCAGGAGCCAGACATCGCGTCGGAAAAGGGTCACGAAGTCAACCCGTTCCTCATTCTAGGCCAGCTTATATGTGACGATATCGGGAGAAGGGCGAGCTTCCCATGCAGCATACTTTCGTGATGATAAGAGGTGTTGTCCACACAAAAAAGAAGCGAGTGCGCGCCATTCCCAGCGGTATCCTAGGTCATACCTCGAAGGAACGCATTGCCGTTGTCTATAAAAATAAGAAAATCGAGTAAATATACCACACCCACATGGTGCATGGCAAGGCGTCATGCGACGGGCCTGTATCGACCATTGAGATAGACCGGCATGGTCACACAGAGGCAAGAGGCACTCCCAGCCAGGTCACATCGTGGGTACCTCGCAAGAAGCCACGCGCGAAGATGTGGGGCACAGTTTCGCCGATTGAGACTCGGACTGGGTCCCATCGAGCCGTAAGGCTTCTGGGGATAGTCTTGTGGAGGACGATTACCTACAATTGCATTCCTGGTTTGCGCCCGAGCGCGCATCTGTGCACATGAAAGGTTGCAGTCTGGTGATGTAGTCGGTGGGACGAAGGTTACCTGGCTTACACAATATCAATATCCCAATCCTGATTGATGATATCCGTTGCATGTTCTGCGTATGTACCAGCAGGTGCCTAGGAGTGTGCCGCAGGAATAAGAGGCAATAATGTCAAGGTTTGGTCACAGTACTGTTTTAGGAATGCAGGAATACTCAGCAGTAACTCAAGCATTCAGTCCGGCAGACCCTTTGACCTTCAAGCTCAAGCTTCAAAGCTTCAAGTCTGGATCGGTGGCGCCTCCAGAAGCTCCGTTCAACAACACCAAGCACTGACGACTGAGTGTAAATTAGGAATTCGTCGAGTTTGTGGACATTTCTGGTATCCACTGAGGCGAAGTCCTCGGATTGATTGAGGGCGTATCCATCCCACGCAAAAGCTTCGAAGGATGATTGAGCAGACCTGGGACAGGTTCACGCATGACGAAGTGGTCGAATACATGAGACAAGCATGATGTATTGATAACTGCGTTGACAAGAGGATGAGACGTGTTCAACTCGACAAATCTACTTGATATGGTTACTAATGGATCGTAAATCTGAAAAGCAGTGCGCCAGCATCGTAGGGCGGAAGGGAGGAGTGCTGGAGCTAGGAATTTGTCGGGTGTCGGATATCCGAAGATGTTGTCATTCCTACTCGTGTCATTTCAGAATAGTCCTCTAGTCTGAACAAGATTGAGGTACGCAGTCGCAGAACAACGTTATGGGCGCAAGTCGCGGGGTGGAGGGCAAGGAGTTGGCTGGGTTGGGTGGTTATTTTGTTGTATTTGTTCCCTAGCTCCCCTTTCCTTTGCTCCCTCCATGGCACTCGGGGAGCAAGTAATTCACTCGTAAGCAGATTGGGAAAGCAAAGTTCATATGTGGACGACCGTAAAGACATATATTTGCATAGCGACGTACATACACATACGCATGATGATGTAAACGCTTAGAAAGTGCTGGGACGGTGGGCAACGAAGGTCGAACGAGCCTTGCTGACGCGATGGGGAAGGGGGAACTTGAGCCCTGGGGTCAAGAGTTGCTTGATGTATGGGCGGCGGATGTCCTCCGTCTTCTCAATCTCAACCACACGGAGAATCTATGATAACGAATTTAGAGCAAGGCCACTGAAATAGAGGACATCAAGCGCACGTGGATGGAGCGGAAGCGGGCACGATGCCTGGCAGCCATGTCCTGGTAGAGGCTCTTCACGGCATCAGCACGCGAGAGGTCACGGAACTCCTTGTACATGTTGTGCGTGCCGGAGCGCGAGTCGTATCGGAGCCAGATACCGAAGTTCTTGACCTTCAAAGGCTTTTTCTCGTGGATCTATTTGTATGTCAGCAATGCCCATCTGCTTGCCTCTTGAATGGCTGCTAGGGACTACTTGTGTGATGTGCGGATGAAAAGATACGTACGACGTTGACACCGATGATTTCACCGCTGGCCTTCTTGACCTTCTTCAATTGCCTGTATTTGTGGAGTTCAAGTACGGATCTTCATTCGAGGAGGGTAAGGGAAGCGTACCTAAGGAAATACCAGAATCGGGACTTGGCAACGACTTCGTTGGGCGCAAAGATGCGCATGCGGTAGATTTTGGGGGTCGGATCCGACTCGGTGGGGAGATGGCGGCCCACGACCTGGAATTCCTGGAGGCCCATCTGCGAGAGCAAAGGCTTCAGTCAGATTGCTGATCGAGGACCCGCTGGTGCATCATCCGGCGTGACCCAAAGCCATCCATCTTTCCACCGTCGTTTCGAGCGATGTTTCGTAGTTGAATCCATACAAGGTGCACGACCATGGGCAGAAGAGTACTCACTTTGTCTTCTAGCGTTCTTGAGATCTTGCTGTGGGCTTTAGGTACACAATTTGTGTTGCGATCCTCCAAATTCTTGTTTGCTGCTGCGTGGTCCGGCGCTTGTTCAATCAAACACACCAGCAAGCCCCCTAACGCGCTCCCCTAAGCAATCACATTTCTACATTGGACGTCAGAAAACAGCTGAGTAATAGCATAGATAGGGCACTATAGACTAACAACTAGAATGACATGATTCCATGCCTAGATTTGCTAAAGTATTCCAAACATTGATCCAGTCGCTATTATGTATTTACCCAGTGGAAGGGCTGGAAACAGAGCTCTAGCAAATTGCTAGCTACATAATTCATTCTGCAGTGCTGGTACCGGTCAAAATACTTATCGGGGAGCAGTGCTATCATGATCAAGTGTTAGCCACACTTGCAACAATAATCCCATTCTAGCCGCACTCTCGCTGGAAAGATGGAGAGCGACGACACCCAATAACCCAGGTAATGCTCAGGCCAGTCTATACCTGGTCTATACTAAATTCATTGTACAATTTCTTTCTTTATTCACAAAAGCTTCGAGTGGGTGACACTCGGCATGTGACCAGCAATAGGAGCTCACAGGAGACACTCACTGAATGCAGGCACAAAGGCACATTGAGTCCACTGTAAAAAAGGCGCACAACCGGCTTAGTAGTGTAGTGGTTATCACCCCAGATTCTGACACAGAATCTATAGCTAAGAGAATTCTGGTAACCCAGGTTCGAATCCTGGCTAGGCCTCTGGTCCGCCTTCTTTTGAAGACAGACTTTTACTTTTGTTCCAAGTTATAACTGGAGCTACGCCACGTTTGTGGACCTTGTGGCGCAGAATTTGTGATGAATATTAAACAAACGAGGCTTTGCGCAGTCTGAGGAGAGCAGGAGCGGGCGCGACGGGTCATTGCAGGTGACTGCCGGCCAATCACAGCGTTCCGTCGGTCTCCTTTTGGGAGCCAGGCCCGCCACAGCCTCCAGAATTATCGTTTCAACTTTGCTCTGAGTAAATTGGTTCCGTGGTGTTGTTGTTCTTCAACCAATATTTTAGAGGACTAGCGGACGACTCGGAGTATCTCTTCTTCCTGCGCCACCACCACCACCTCACCGCGACCGTCCCAGACGAGCCAACGACCAGAACACCGTTTTACGATAACGCCTCACCATTTCATGACCCTTACGACGAAACCATAAAGACAGACTATGTTCACTAGCGCGCTGCATTGTTGGACAGGAGGAATGGTCGGGGTGGGTTTGACCGTGCTAGGAGCACCTGCCGTGGTACTTGCGATGCCTACGGGATTCCAGGCTAGCGTCGAGCGCAGAGAGTCCCAGGGTGCTACTCCCAAGATATGGGTACGTGACTGCTGCACTCGTCCTGGCATGCAAGACTGAGACTGGGCTCGAGATACCCGTGGTTGTGGTGGCCGTGACGCTTTCTGCGATTGCGATACTCATATGGGCTCGCCGATCCTCCGCAGTCCGACAGGGATTCTCTACCATTCTCTCGCGCTCGTCGACGAACAATACTTCATCGCGTCCAGGGACGGCCAGAGAAGTCACTGCTGAGCAGCTTGCAGGGTCTACGGCGAATGCAGCCAATGCAACGACTGCCAATGCAACGACTGCCAATGGCAACACTACGACGACTGGAACTGGTGCTAGACCCAGGAGAACCCGACGACCCCGTCGGACACCTTCTCAAGTATCCACGACGTCTTTGCCTGCGTACATGAAGGAACCCGGAGAGCAGGAGTTGGTTATCTACCGGTAAGTACCCCTCGTCGCTCAGTATTCTGCCGCTAACCCCTCCTCTACAGTGGTCCCGAAGACATGGAGGACGCTCCGATAGCACACACTAATATTGTAATGCCTCTAGTCGACGAAGACGCTAACGAATCTCAGCACTCTCACTCGCGGGACCACTCTTACCCACCGGCACCCGATTCGCCTAACGACATGCCGCTCCTCGCGGATGGTCAAGACGATGTCGATGATCACGACGCTTCTCCGGACTTGCTGCGCGCGCCCCCCGGTGAGGGCATGCCCACCAGACCCAGCACAGACACCCTGAATGCCTCCTCTGAAACCGGCATCGTTTCTGATATGGTCCCAACAGCAACAGCAGATCCTCGGGGAGAAGCCCCTCCGTACTTTGAAGTCATCGACCTCAATGACGACTCACAGCGAAACCTCATTGACGTAAGACCTGAGCTGGCCGCCTCCCCACCCTCAAATCCGTCAACGTCACCCGAGCCGCCATCAACCGGTGGATCAGGCGCCTCATCAGCACCAAGGCGGTCTACATTTAGATCCCTTTGGCAGACTATCTCTGCTTCGACTTCTGCATCTGGAGCCCCTCAATCCGCATCAGGCTCGCCAGCTCAGAGCCCCCCGGGTACGGGTGCTGGCTCAACCCATGCTCGCGCCGAGTCTGGGCTCTCCAACACCTCTTCATCCATTTCTAATGCATACTCCCCTCCCACTTCGCCGGTCCCAAGGACGAGCACGTCCCGCATCTCCCACCGTCCTACCCCCTCCGGCTCCTCCTCGATCCTTGCGCCCTTCCGCACCCTATCTCGACAACGCTCCATCCTCTCGATGACCCACTCCAACCACTCAAATACCTCAAACCTCCAGCACAACCGCTCGAATTCCAACCTCAACCAACTAAACTCACCCTCCATGATCTCCCTGAACTCTATTTCCTCTCCCCTCACACACACTACCATCCGCACTGAGTTTACGTACCCTAAGGGCGGCTTGACGGCGGAGCAGATCAAGCTGATTTCGTCGAGGGAGAGTGTCGGTGGGCGGTTCGGAAAACCTTACGGACCTGACGCGGTGGCATTTGCCGCAAGTCGCGAGGCGTTGGCGTCCAGGGAAGGGCTGCCGGACTTTGAAGAGGCAATTGGATCGGATGTTAATCTGACTCGAATGGGAGCTGGAAGTAGGCTTAGGACCGATAGCAGTGCCGCAATGAGGCGACATGAACGCGGGGGCTCGGAGAGTTCGCTGCCTATGGCGCCAGAACCCCCATTGCCAGCACATTCACGGGACTCGTCATCGTCCTCTTCGGCAGAAAGTGGCCAACCCATCGCCGTTGCACAAGCCCCGCAATCGGTGGACACCCAGAACGCTGGTGCTGCCCACCAATTGGGTGAGGACTCTGGAGACGACGAAGATAAGAAGGAGGCTGCGGAAGAGGCGTCGTCGCCTTCGACGAGCACTAACGCCAGCTCGACCAATACGCCGTCGCTGCCAACGACTTCCCCGCCCACTTCTGCTCCCACCTCACCACCGTCGACGGCCTCAAGTGCTGCCATGGAACTCCAGACCCAAGTGCAGAAGGCAAAAACGCCTCTTGTTGTAGCACCTATTAACGTTGTAGCGGATAAAGAACCCCAGTCAACGTCTTCTGCCCCTGCTACTGGCGCCCCACCAACCTCTTTCCGTGCACCGTCAACCGCGCCATATCGACCCGAATCCCGTGCTAGCTCGATGCATTCGATGCAGTCGTTTGCCACCGCCGCAGAGACCCTCCCTTCCACCACTCCTGTCCCCCCATCGGACTCTGAAGGAGAATCGGGAGACGAGACTGATTATCGAACTGACGGCGAAGGTGAATCAAGAGACGAAGAGGGAGCTGGGGTCACCGCGGCAGATGCTGCTCGATTGAGACTTGATGTTGGAAGCAAGAGGGACACGGTCATCGCCGAGTCGCCTTCGACGCCGAAGCTGAAAAGCCGGACCATGCATTTGGTTGAAGGAACGGACACAACTATAACTCAGAACCGATTCGATCATGACGACGATGACCTCGATGATACATTCGACGGTGGGGACACTCCGAGTGCTAGTGCTAAACGAGGGAGCGTGAGTGCGAGGGGAGGAAAATCTGCCAGTCGGCAATCGACAATGTCCACGATGACCATCGTGGCACCGAAGGCATAATGCGCATCATCTCCTCTTTTTCAAGTTAATGACATTTACCCCTCGCCCTCATCTTCATCCATCCGCGGACTTCTCCCCCGACTCCCAACCCCATTCTAGGATTTAACCGTTATTTACTTATCTACTATGACGCATGGTACTTCTTCCCTCTGCTCATTGCAATTGATCGCTATCGTTTGGATATATGTTATCAGGAGCATCAACTTCGCATTCATACATAGACTTTCCATCTTTCATCCTTGGTTATGTGGCCCGACATAGTGTTCTCAAGATTCTTAGGAAGGCAGCATTTGCATTTACATCGGCATTTGCGCATACAATTGTGTGTGTGCCTTTTGGGGTCTCTTGGTTGTATTTGGTCGGTTGTGCTGCCCTAGGCTTTCTCGTTCAACAAAATTTTCGGATTTCGTCCTGTGAATATTGTAATTTTGTCATCCTCGACTCTTTGTTTACGATGTTTATTCATCTGGAGTCTTACATCCAGCTTTTGCATATCACATCCATGTCGCCGCCATTCTCACTGACGTTCAGTTCATACTTCGGATCGAGTGTCCTGTGAACCCATTGGAGACGAGTCACCGTTCTGCACCCATCGCCGACACGAGCAGCATGACGTGCACCAATTTGGCTTTAATGTTCAAGGAACCGGGTCGTCTGTTTCCTATACATTCCAAATCGGGAAGGTGACATGCCCTTTTGGGAGTTTCGTCGTTCGGGACTAAGTTGGCAGCCGACCGGAGACGGGCGCTGATTGAGGTGTCACCGTTGACAACGTTGAACAGGTAGGGACAATCGAATGCTCAAAGAGACACCTGGAAAGGCACAGACCGGCGGTCAGGTCCCGCTACAGCATGGCGCTCAAGTGACCAGGAATCTCAGGGTGTTTCAGCATAAAAGGGCTGTCGCTTCATGCCAATGAAACCAGACTATCAACCACAGAGCAGTCCCAAGCCAAAGGCGAAGCAGCTCTCGCCACCACCCATCGCATCATGTCTTTCACACGACGACAATTGATGATCACCCTCTCCGTCACAGTGCTGGCGAATGTCGCTGGCGCCGTGACGGTCTGTGCGAGGAGCATCCGTCCCTACGCCGAAGCTGCGTCGTTCTGGCACGACATATGCGGAATCACTGTGTCGGACCCCAACACCGTCCTCATGGCCACCAATCTCGAGTTCTTCGACCCAAGTTTCGAATGGTGAGACAACCGACAGATGTCTCTAAGGGGTCGATGCTGACAACAATGTCGCCTTCAGTGACACTAATGCCGGGTTTGTGCAGGCGCAGTGTGTATCCTTCAATTGTGAGTCATGCTTGCTCGTTGGCTTGTTACGCCTCTTCAAGTATTTTTCATTAGCGTGCGGTGGTGCAACCGACTGCGATCATGAGACACCTACCTAAGGATCTGAGCTACGGAAGGCCCGTCAGTCGATACGCCCACATATGTATAAATACCTTTCCATGCCAGTTGTGGGCAAATTTCTCCTTAACGTTAGAAGAAGATAACCGCGAACACCGAAGAATGAACATCAGAACATAAGGATACATTCTATCAGCTAGTCCTCTGAATAATAGGTTACAACTTTGCCTTGACATCCTCCGACGACGACAGATCGGGATATTGTCTGGACAAAAACCCCAGTATTTCTTCGGCTACGTGACATATTTAGTTGTTTGGGAATGACAATGGCACTGAAGATCTTACCGCATGCTCGAGGCGCTTCTTGAGGTATCTACAGTGCATTCATGGGTTACCGACAAAAGGACTCGACGGGGTACGACTTTCAACTTACCAAGTGTCCAGCTTCGTGTACAATCGTGTTTGACGCGTTTTTTCTGCGGCGCCAGACGCGCATCTGAGCTTCAGGCGGTCCACCGAACCTAGATCCTAGTCGTTCAGTCATCCGCCCTCCTAGCATACCAGTACGCCTGAACGAAGTTATTGTTACACGTACTTCGTGTTTTCCGGCTTAGGCATAATCCAAAACAGAGATATCCTCTCATCTACATCCTTCAACCTCTCCCAAACCTCATAAGGGGTGATACTCTCAAGGAATGCAACGGATTCTTGTACCGCTGGCATTTTGAGCAGTATTTGTTCTGTGGGTTTGTCGTTGCTCCCTGTACTGATAGTAAGCATTTGTTATTGAAGAGAAAGAGACAAAGAATGTACCGGGTGCGGGTGGGAGGGTATGCGCGTAAAGCCCGTGGTCAATGTATGACTTCAATACATTGGGGTGCCAAGCAGCAAAGAACGGGTTCTTGAGCATCGTAGCTTTCGCTTCTTCTCTGTGAGAGTAGTCAGTAACTATAATTGACGTGGTGATACACACATACCTCGACTGCCAACGCTCGCGTCTAAGAAGGGAGCCCAAGGTCAAGTCTTGTATATGAGTGTCCTTGGCTTTTTCGTAGTACATCGGTGCCACGATGACGGGGTCTATGAGGATGAGAGACGAGTACAATGATGGGTTTGTAAGCGCCGCCAGTGTTCTGTCCAATTCGTTGTTTCAAGACATGCGATGAGTATAACGGCGCAAGCCCACTCACGAAGTACAACCCCCAAACGAATGTCCGACTCCAATGAGTGTACGGTGCTTGAAGCCGAATTTTTCACGCGATTCGGACTCTGCTGCAGCTACCTGTGGTAGGTGAGTTGGCAGGGGTGCCGAAGATGCGGTGGTTGGCAGGAAGTACACCAGGAAGTTAAGGATATCGCGGGCATTGTCCGTCCAGTCATCTATGTGGGCTCAGATGCATGCACACTAGCAGTATATGAGAACGTACAGATAGCCCCCAGCTTGCCCATGTTCAACAGCGCCGAGTCCCCTGTCTGAACTGCCTCGAACGACCATACTTCAGCAATATCGTGCCTCGGGGAGCTGAAGATTTCGTGCAACACCGTTTCCCATATCTGCCGTATTCATGTAAGTCATTGTCGTTGGCGTAAGGAGAAGGAGAGCACCTCTTTATTAAATCCGTTGGCATGGACGAAGAAGAGCGTCAAGCCTTTCGGGTTCACAGGTTCCTTCTTCACGTAACGATTGACGGCGTTCCACAAGACCCACTTGTGCCCTTCCTCGGGCCTGGACGAGGCTGTCTCATCCCGGACTTTGTTCAGAAAATCCAGCATGTCTTTCGCAGCCTTCTTTCTCTCCTCCTTTGCTGCACTTTCGCCCTTCGCCGAGGGGAGTGGGACATGTGGGGTACTCCTCAACCATGCAGCAGGGACGATATGGGTCGAGACAGTAAACGGGGAACTGGGTGAGATGCTCCTTTGTGGAGATGGCAAGGCCGGTGGAGGCGTAATCAACGAACTGGGCGGAGGATATACGGGGAAAAGTGAGCGTGTCGGGAAAGGCGGGCGCCCTGGAAGGAAAGAAGGCGGCTTTGGGTACGACGAGAGGCGAGAGAAGTCGATATCTTTATCCCACAACGACGACATCGTCAACGTTGAACCTCTAAGTTAAACTTGAGCTTAATGGTCTGGGGGGATATCATGATTCCGGCATGAGTTACCCGGTCCTTCAGTCAGGGACTCAACGTGTTGTGGCGCGTCCTCAGGAGCGCCGCTGGACTTCGACAGAGTGCGGCGGTTGGGAATCGTAGTGAGTCAACGTAAACGAAATTCTATCATATTTGCCAATCTGAACGAATACAAAGTACTCAAGGGTCTATGCTTCTCTTTCCTTCCTATCATCTAATTAATTGTACTCTGCCTTAATGATGTCCGCCGCACGCTCTGCGTAAATGTACACCATTGCTTGGGTGTGCGCCGCAGGGATCAATGGCTGAACGAAGGGGGCTCAGCAACGTACAACCGGATGAAAGATGTGGGAACGCTCACGATAACTGAAGCATCAACAATTCTCAGGCCGTTGAGACCCTTGACCTTCAAGTCTGGGTCTACAACACCCCAAGAAGCTCCTCTCGGAGACATTGAAGCCGTGCCAACTGGGTGTTGTCCGGAGGCAACGTTGGCGCGGAGGAAGGCATGAAGTGCATCGTCGTCGTCGATATCCAATGCTGCGAAGTCTCCAGCACGGCCAAGGACATAACCATTCCACGGAGCAGACGAGAAGAATCGTTGGGCAGACCTAACGGCTTCACCAATAACGAAGAGATCCCATGGGTGAGTCATGTAGGCTGGATCGATGGAAGGGGCGGCGAGCGGATCGGCCGAGAGTAATGTGAGGGAGCCGCCTAATGGACGCTATCAGTCTGTCGGAGGATCTTATGGGCAGCGTAGGACTTACGAGACAAGGGTGAAAGAACTGCGGGATCAGCGGCGATGAAATTGTCGGATTCTAACCCTGGAGGCCCGAAAACGTTGCCATTCTGGTATTTTCAGCGTGGTGCATCGGTTAAGAGGGCGTGAAGCTTACCGTGATGTAAAACTCGAAATGACCAGTGTTGGGTCCTGCTGGGTCTGGTACGGTTTGGAAGATACTTGAATCAGGCGCGATCCTTATGCAGCCTACATGGTCTATTCCAGCATTGACGTAGGCTCCAGTGCCAGTTTGTTGCCATTGCTCAAGAAGTTCTGCCTGGAGGGTCGCGTTCCGTTTCACCGTTTCATATGTGTCCGTTGAGTTGGCGAACCATGCAGTGCCGATGAGTAGATGGTCCGTCAAGTTCTTTCCAACGGAAGGTAGTTGATGCACAGGAGTGATGCCAAAGGGAGTCAGGTCGGCAGCGTCACCTACACCAGAGTGGAGCAGAATGGGAGGGGTGCCAAATGTGCCCGCGGAAAGGATGATTTCCTTTGTCGCAGAAACCGCCCTGGCAGCACCAGGAACACCTACATACCCAAGAATTAGTGCAAACAAGGGGTCATAGTTACTATGAACTCACGATTGACGCTTTCCACGAATTCGACTGCCGTAAATTTGGTTGCATCGGTGGGATCAGTTGATAGCAAGCGCGTAACTTGGGAGTGTAACAAGATGTCGAGGTTCGGTCTGTTGACGACAGCAGGGGTAAGGTAAGCGGTCGCAGAGCTAATGCGTCTACCGTTCGTGTCGATGGTAGATTCAGACCAGCCTAGTGGGGCAGTATGAGCACCCGACACTGCGGCAAGCTTCAGAATAGACCTACCCATCCCTACTTGGTCCCCTGCATTTGGGGCCGCATTGTAAGGGAATTCGCTGTTCACTGCGGTGGTTTCAATAACCCTATCATCTATGGGTTGAATATACTGGGGTGGTGTGACCGAAATGGTGTCGATTTGTGTGGCATCCTAAAGGCGTGTGTGGTGAGTTGTGAGCGAAAGACGCGATACCAGGGTTACGATACCTCGTGAATATATGGCTGCAAACTGTTCCAGCTCCAGCCCTCATCGCCTACTAGTGTGGCAATGTTATTGTAGTTGTCCGAGGATCCCCGTGTGTAGAGCATGGCATCTGTAATCACAATGTCAATCGAGATCCTCAACTTTACGAAGTATAGCTTACTGATTGACGATGTTCCGCCCAGGACAAAGCCTCTGGAGATACCAATGGTTCTACCGTCGAGAGCGGCCTGTGGAGTCGAGGTAGAATTCCAATCATACGCAGAACCAAGGAGGCCTGGCCATAGATACGGGACTTCTAATTCAAGCGCGTCATTCCTAGGAATCTGATTGAGCATATCGCCAAGAGTTTCGGAGAAATGACGTACTGCCCGCCGGCTTCAATCAGCAACACCGAAGTGCCTTCATCTTGCGAAAGTCGATTAGCTAGCACGTTGCCAGCAGTTCCACCTAGGGAGACACATGCGATCAGTTGACGCAAGCAATGTAGACCTCCAAGCTCACCTCCAACCACGATAAAGTCGTATTGTTGGTTGAGCTCATTGCTGGAGCTCAAGAATCTGGCTCCAGTGAAGGAGAGGACAGTGAGGATGTGGACGAATATTCCTTGCCAGCAGATCATTGCAGCGGGACTTGGGCGTTGTCCACCGTCGAGTCTGAGGTTTTATAGTGCAGACCATCCCATGGTCGGTGTTTCATTGCCCAGATGGGTTTCTGCGCATAAGATGGTGGGTCAGCACAGAAGAGTAGAGATTGACAAGCTTGCATGGTTAACTCGCAAAAGTGTCACCGATCCACGTTGCATGCGGCATGCAATCCTTCTAAGAATAAAAGGAGGGATTCGGGGTTAGAATTGGTTAGGGTGGGCCCTAGATCGAGGGCTGTGACCTGAATGGGAAGGAAGTAGGCCGAAAGCAAGGAATTGTGTCTTCTTCTCGCACTCAACGCCATCTGGTGCACGGTAGAGACGGCTTCTACAGAGATCCTGGATGAGGACATGCCTATCGGCGTAAATACCCAATCGCCATCAGAAAATATCACTTGAGGAAGCCAACTGAATGGTCGAGAGCTTAAATGACACGGTAGTCAAATGGTCTTTATTTGGCTTCGTACCTGGGACCAAATAACGCGTCCACAACTGATCGGCCCGGAACGACGGCATAAACATTACGCGGAAGTAAACAACCGGAGCTCTTTGCAACTCTATCCGTCGGTTCTGAAGATCTGCATTCCCTGATAGTCGACTACAACAGTCCCTGACCACAGAGGCATTTGCAGAGACAGCTGTCCTATCCTTGAAGCCTGGCTTAGAAGTCTAAATTCGCCGTTTCGGTTTGCTACTAGAATTTGATACTGCGCTTGACAATCCCTCATGCGTCGCAGTGCATCTCATCCACGGCCCGGGTATTGTCTCTAGAGACATCGCCGAGCTTTCTGCAGGTTGGATCCGGCGTCATTACGGCACGCCCGTAGATCACCATCCGTATGCAGTTAATCGCCGACCACCGTAAAACCCCGACGTGGGCCACCAACTTATGTCAATACCAAACTTACGCGGGTAGATTTTTCTTTCCAGTAGCAGACATGATCCTTCAATTCATTCGATACATGTAGGATTCTAGAATACAACTTCAAGCGCTCACACGCTTAGTGTCAGTATCAGACCTTGTCCGCGGTCTGACAGCCAAGATTGCGCCCTACACGTAGCCAAGGCTTGGACTGTTTCATACTCGCAGCCGTTCGGTGACGATTCCATTTGCTTATTTTTTCTTGCTAATAGCATTCTTTAGGAGACCCACAATGGCCGCGCTCTTGGCCCACCATATGCTCAAGTATTGCTTATTTGATATGGATCGCCGTGAATATTCAAACCGAGAGGTCTTCTTCCAGACAACAATACCCACGGGGGGTTCCTTCGTCGCGACCGAACGAGCACATGGCGCGCATCCGCCAAGTCGCTGCTTTCGTGACTCCTTCAAGTGGAACATTGCGCGTAAGGCGTTGTCTGGACAAGCCAAGGTCGTATTGCTTCTTTTCCCCCCTACCAATGGCCACCACGCCGAGCATCGCAGTACTATGTACCCCGGTCCCCGATCCATTGCACGCTACGACCTGCTACGACGCCACAGCTCTGATCGACACTGTCATGAACTGACACTTGCTATCTATAATGACTGCGGCGGAGAACAAGGCGGGCCATCACCGGTGAACGTTTGCAAGCAAATAGGACACGATACCAACGAAAACGCCTGGTCGAACACGGTTGATCATAACCAAGACGGCTATGAGGGACTTGGAAGTTAGTTGCCAATGCCACAGATAGAATGGGTCACTTAACTCGAGCTTATCATCGTGTTCAGAAGCATGCCGCTTCCTTCACTCAACTTGAACCCCAGCGCTTGAACGTTTGGACCGTGACATATACACTGCCCCCGGAAGAGAGAACCGCTCGAAGCCCGCAAGATATCAAATGGGGGTCGACGAATTCACTGCGTGCCAGCACAAAGGGTAGCTTAATACAATACAGAGTCAACGACGTTGCAAGAGGGACTGTTAGTCTGGCAGTTCGCTACAAAGTCAAATGAAGGTAGGATCAATATACGAGACATAGATAGACCGTCAAATAAATGAATATGCCTCCCGTCGATTATACAAGCTTCCAGTCCTCCTTGATAAAAGCCGCCGCGCGTTCAGCAAATATGTAAACTGGCACTTGGGTGTGCGCCGCGGGGATCAACGGCTGTATAGGCGCAAATTAAGTTTCACACCGGAGCGTAAAGTGGAAACTCACAATAACGGATGCATCGACGACACGCAACCCCCTCAACCCTTTGACCTTCAAGTCGGGATCCGTGACACCCCAAGTGGCACCCTTCGGCGACATAGATGCAGTCCCAACGAAATGTAGGCCAGGGCTACCGGTTTTGCGGAGGTATTCATCCAGCTGGTCGTCATCCTGGATATCTATCATAGCAAAGTCCCCAACTCGATCGAGGACATATCCTTCCCAAGCCGGTGAAGCTATGAATCGTTGACCGGACCGTACAGCTTCACGTAGGGCGAAGCGATCGAACTCGTGTGCCAAATACGACGGGTCAATAATTGGATCATCGAGGGGGTTTGAAGAATTCAGGGTGACAGAGCCGCCTAACAGCGGAGGTTCAGAGCACATCATACTTTGATAGTCTACTGGACCTACGAGCCAAAGTCTTGGTAACCATGACTTCAGAGAGAATTAAGTTATCAGGCGTGGGTTCTGCAAAGATATTGCCATTCTGGTCATTTCAGTATACCATCACGCCTACGATAGGGAGGGACCCACTGTGATGGTTATTTCTATGTGTCCGGTGTTAGACCCTGCAGGGTCGGGGACGCTGTTGAAGATACTTGCGTTGTCCGCGAGTCGCACGTAGCCCAAATGATCGATTCCGCTACCCGAGAATAACCCTGTACCATTCGCCTTCCATTGCTCGAGAAGTATCGCCTGAAGCGACGTATTACGCCCTACCGTCTCGAATGTTTCCGTAGAATTGGCAAACCATGGCAACACCGCAATGATATGGTCAGTCAAGTTCTGTCCCACGGACGGAAGGTTATGGGTGGATTTGATCCCGACGCGAGCGAGGTAAGTAGGATCACCGATGCCAGAGTGAAGAAGAATATTTGGAGTACCGATCGAGCCAGCGGAAAGAACGATTTCTCGAGTGGCCTTGACGGACTGGGGAAAGCCTAGTACCATCGTAAGCTGATTAAAATATGCGGGGATGCTCCACGTGCACTCACCTGTACCAGCGACAAATTCAACGGTATTAAATGTGATGTCATCGGTGGCATTGGACACCAGTAGACGCGTAACTTGGGCGTCGAGCAATACATCGAGGTTTGATCTGTTGATGACACCGGGACTAAGGTACGAAGTAGCAGAGCTAGCTCGTTTGCCAGCAGACGTGACTGTGGATTGCAGCCAACCTAGACAATGGGAATCAGATGGAACTAACGTCAAGCATGTGTTCAACGTCTTACCAATGCCCAAGTGGTGACCCGAATTGACATCTAAATTGAAAGGAAATTCGCTGTTCTCTCTTGTTGTTTGAAGAACCCTGTCGTCGATAGGCTGAAGAATACTTGGGAGTGAAATTGCTACTAGGCCATGGCGCCCGTGTACCGAAGGATCAAACTCGCCCTCCGTAGGCCGGTTGCTTGAAGGAGGGGACCACAGCTCGTTCTAGAAAGAGAAAATATCAATCATGGTAGGTCCACAAATGATTTAGCAACTAATACCTTTTTGATATATGGTTGAAGACGATCCCAAGACCAAAGCGGATCGCCTACTAATTCAGCTATACTGTCGTAGTCGTCAGATGTTCCTCGAGAGTAGAGCATGCCGTCTATTTGATTTGTGAGTCCACCTCCTTAACCCACTAGAAATCACTTACTGATTGATGAGGACCCGCCGAGGATACGACCTCTTGGAAGCGATATGCTCCTGCCACCCAGGGTGGTCTGGGGTGCGGAAGTGTAATTCCAATCATGCGTGGAGCCAATCAACCTCGTCCACAGAAATGGTACCTGCGATTCGAGGACATCGTTCCTGATACCAAATGTTAGCATGTCTACGAGCATAACAAAGAGGGCACGTACGATCCGCCTGCTTCGATAACTAAGACCGAGACACTTGGGTCTTCTGAGAGTCGGTTAGCGACGACATTTCCGCCAGTCCCGCCTACGCACGATTGGCATTGGTTTATGTGAACAATCTCAAGGCTCCGGGCTCACCTCCGACCACAATGAAGTCGTATTTGTCGCGTAAATCTTTGCTTGTTGGCAGAAGCCTTGCTCGGGAGAAAGAGAGGCATGAAATAAGAGCTAGAAGTTGCAAGAAAGTTCCTTGGAGGTAAAGCATTGTTATAAAGTTTGCAGCTGCCTAAATTTCTGCAGCTTTTTCGCTTTTATACCGCCCAGCCAGGCGCTGGCATAGACTATTTCGTTCGATGGCGTGTGTAAGCGTGTGAAGAGACCAGAAGCCTTGGGCATCGGCTGGCTTGCGTGTACGGTCGGCCTAGCTTGCACTATTGCTAATGAGGAAGCAAATGGGGATTTGCATCGCTGTATACTGCAGACTGGGACGTCGTCACACAAGGACAATGCATGATTTTCAGCGTTAACAACACAACCGTGAAGGTACCCTAGGGTTACTTCTAAGAACCATTGTGTCAGAATCTACAAATGGTAGTCCGGATCGGAGGTCACGAACCTGAAATTATGTAGTGATGCACATGGCGCAATGGTTCAGTTTTTGAGTGCCGTTCTGCGTACGCATACGCGTCTGGCAAGTCAACTGTCCCACACGATTCTGATGACCAAAGAACCTCTTGGCAGCGGCATGCAGCCTTCAAACCATGCCGAGACTCGAGCACACTACAGGACCAAAGAAAACATGAGACGGTGACTCTAGGATGCTCACCAACAGTACAATTCAGCAGCATGGGGCAATCAACGGAGAACTCGCGATCGAGCTTCCACGGGCCGTGACTCTTCCGAACGTAGAACCTATGTCACGATAGCGTGTCCTTTTCATACGTTAGCAGCCATGTATTCAGCTTGAAAAACTGGATATCCGGCAGCTTCAGCTTCACAAAATTCGAAACTCTGTTGAACGCAGAGCAGAAAGAACAGGGGAAATAGGCGCCAGCCAGTGACCGCGTCGGACCTTTGCTCAAGGGAATACTTTGGACGCTGTCACCTATGTTGTGCTATATCTGAGGCCTGAACGTTTGAACACTCTCACTTCAACTTCGGGACAGAGGCGAGCATGGTAAAAATCAGCATGAAATCCCCGGCCAGCGTAGCAATCATCCCCGTGTACCTCGTAGTAAATTTTAGAACGATCTCAGCCCTGGCCCCACACTGGGGAAGAAGAAGCTTGGTTTATAGACTGCCACCACTGGAGGGACACTGTCTTGCCATTGTTTTTTATACAACTACACTTGTCCATCGGCTTATCATTGCCGGGGGGACTCCGAGGTTGGTTCGTACTCCTTTTTCTCTCATAGTCTTATGGATGAACCTCTCAGTCAATAAATAGTGGGGGCTCGAGGTCCTTCGGAGATTGACGCAGGGTCGCACCTCCTTCATCCCATCGTTAGCACCTCGTCAGCCGAGGCAGAAGCTATTATTAGACGTTCAACCTTCCCCTCGCGTCAGAAAACAGATACTCAGACACGCCACACTATTCATAGAAACTCGCCGCAGAACAGCAATCTGTCAGCAAAGAAGGTGAGTCATACGGGAGGTTGACGGGCGGTACTAGGCACGACGGACCCATGTCATTCTAGGCTTTGTTGCTCCGTGCGGGCCTTGTGGATGTTAGTGAGCGCTATAAACGGTCTCACTTAAACACTAGGAACAACAGCATACTACTTTACGCGATTGTCAAGGTGTCCGCGTCAGTCTTTGATCCGTTTTGACAATACAAACCAAAAATACTTGACTCTGCAATGCTGCGAGGACTATTCTCATCCTTGACACGACCACCAGGCTGACAGGTCATGGGCAAAAAACAATCTTCCAGGGCGTCCCGATGCGCTGTTCCATGGTCTGCAGGCGTAGACACCAACGGCCTTCTCCAGGCCATCATAGCAGAAGTATAAGATCTGAAGTCGTGGCGAGAAGGTTGAGTCAAGCCTCAATTCCACTCATCATAAGTCGATGGCATACCTTACGGTGGCTCTCGGTATTCTAATGACCGCTGTCTCTTTAACCGAGGCAGTCCCACCTTGTACCGATCCCAAGAGGCCAGTGGCTGTCTGCGTGCAATTCAGTAGACCATTCTCCGACAACTCGTTTTTCTGGTCTCAACCACCCTGTGCGGTCAACGCACCGTCACAAAGCACTCTAATAGGAGACAACCTTGAACAATTCAGTAGCACCGCCGGATGGTGAGGCTCGTTCAGATCGAAGCCTGAATGCTGGACTAACGACTGCTGCGTCAGCTCACCTCCGTTCGTGGCGACATGCTGCACTTCATTGGGTAAGTAGTGTACGAACCAGGAAGCTCTACTCACGCTTATCGCATTCGACCGTATCCCCAAAGGCTGCGGGACAGCGACAGATTGTGATGTTGAAACCCCTCCCCCAGTACCCCAGCCAGCCTTCTTGGGAAGTACGAACCCCTGGCACAACGTAGTTCCCTGTGGCATTGACAACCCTTCTCGTGTTCTCGAGAATGTCATAACCACGAATTCGCCGGCAACCACTCCGTTCCAATGCATGGACCTCTGTCTCTCGCTCTTCATGCCATTTGCGGGAGTGGAAAATGGGAACGAGTGTCATTGTGGGACTGGGTTTGTCGGTGGTGTACCGCCGCCGAGTGCCGCGACTGTTACTGAATGTGGGACGCCGTGTGCTGGGAATTACCACACGACGTGCGGAGGTGCGTGGAGGATACAGATATTTAGCCTGCAGTTTTAGTCGAAGATGAGTCTCGAAGCGAGCAGAGAAGGGGAAAGCGGTTGGAAAAGACGAATATCCCCCTGTTTGTTAATTTTGATTCATGTTCCCAAACAATATCTAGTGTTGACCGTTCCGGCGAAACGTCAGCGTGGCAAGGCAATGACAAAGCAGACACTACCAGCTAGTCTATGACTTGACACTGAGCTTAAGCCGGAGCCGAGCGGCACGATATGAAGCAGTATATTGGTACATTGGTAGCGGTTCGTTCAACGGAGCAAGTGGAATTGTAATGGTAGGAAACGTACCAACAGCACAAGCCCTACGTAGTAAGGCTACCTGCGATTTGAGTGGATCCTGGATAGAACAGTCAATAGCGTTTTGAAATCAAACAGGGTCATAGCGAAACCACGAAGGGTGTTGAGAATAGAGCGAGGAAGCAAACACATGGACGCTGGGTATACTTTGCGCAACGATCTTTGTGGCTTCTTCGTCAAATTCTGGGGCCAAGTCCGGTAGTCTAGCATAACCAATGACGAGTTGTTCGACCTTCCATTCGAGATATTTTCTCTTAGACATGTCGACTTTCCAGCCATTGGAACACGCAAGCGCGGGAATAGCCTAGTGAGTGCGTTTCAAATCATGGGCAGTTATACAGCGAGGCGGTACTAACGACTTGTGGGATATTTGACTCGCCTAGCACACAGTGCAAGGACAATAGCTTCAAGGACGGATAACGGGTTGATAGCGTATCGAGGAACGGAGGTGTTATGGTGTTAACATGGAGGTGAAGCGACCGAAGTAGCGAATTGGAATAAGACAAGGGATTTAGGGTGAACGCAGCAGATGCAATCAAGACTTCATCAGCCGGCATGAAGTAGCCTGAAATTGCGAGCTTTTCGAGCCTATCCAAAGGAAAGAACGTGGTTCTGAGGAGGTTGACTATTTGCGGTAAGAAATCCACCGTTCGCAATGAAAGTTCCGTCAACGCCACAAAGGATGTGTGTGCGAATAGGTTGGTCAGGTGGTCCGTAGTACGAACTTCGTAATCAAGTTCGGTTATCTGGCCACTGTGGCACTCGAGGAATCGCGCGACCTGGGGGATTTCCAAAGATGAAGGTTCGGCGACTTGAAGCGCTAGTTCCTCCAGATGTTCAAGATGAGCTTTGGAATAAGCAATGCGCGTAAGCACCCTAGAGTAAACTGTATAGGGTCACTCACGTAACGCAGGTGTTCCTTTTGACATTGACGCCGCGCTGTATGGATACTCTAACCACGAGAGATCCAAGGAACGAATGTGGTCTTTGACGCTGTCCATGAATTGGGGAAAGTTATCGATGCCTCCCTCTGCCAAGACCCACGACGAAGGAGGAAACCGAAAGTCTAGTCTTAAGTGCTGTAGTGCGCGCAAATTCCGAGCGTTCTGAACCAGCGTGTCAAAGTACACGGGGGTCATCAGAAGACTGAGATTGCGCATTGAATCGCGAAGAAGCGGCCAAAGCGCTTGCAGGAAATCGGCTTGATGGTGGAATTCCAGACCACTTTGCCAGCGGAAGCAGCAATCCGTCAAGTCTTCGGCGTTTTCGACTATATACAAAAGAAGCTTGCGAATGTCGCGCGTGACGGCCACTGATGCATGCACTGGGCTCGACGTTTTGGGGGCCATCCACGGCAAGACATATGGCTCTTCCCTTGACAAAAAGGTCAGATCGATGTCCAAGCATCGAACATATTGAGCATAGCCGGAGTCCCTACAAGGCAATCTATGAGCCTAAACCTCCTTCCACCAAGCGTCAATCGATTACCCACCGGATATGCTGCAGGCGATCACAGGCACGTCGGGTTGCATGGGAGTTGACCGTAATCGATCTATATTTCGCTCTCAAGGCGCGTCGACTGAACAAGCGGTTGACTCCCAGAAGCTGGCGAACAACATCGTCAGGAACCCACCCGATGATGTTCACCCATAGCTCATCTGGAAGCTTGGCGACGGTCATAGCGAAGTGAGACGGTGCCAGAAGACGTTCAACATGGTCCAGATTACCGTCGACATATCAACAGTCCCACGCCCTTAGACCCATCACAAGTCTCACTGCAAGGTAAGACACCCTTGGATTTGTGGTATTCAAGTCGATATACTACGAGGAGTGGGAAGGCACTGAATAATCCGAGCGCATACCTTCGGCAAGACTTCTCGGGTCGACCACCCAAAGGGCCGCCAAGCCGTTCCCCTGAACCTCCTGAACCTCCTTACCAGTGCCCCTGGCATTGCGATCCCCTGCTATGTCTTCGCTGCTAGATACCCATATAGCGGCCTTATCACTTTCACTACCCGCGGGACCATCCAAGGCCACTTTATCCTCCTTCACTTCCACAGCGTTGTAATCTTCGGGCCGTAACACATCGGCAGCTATTGCAGTCTTCATTTCGCGTATAATGGCTTTCACACTTGATTTATTCGCCGTAAGAGTCGTCCAGCCCAACTCAGCACCCCATAGCAAGCTTTCAACCGTATGCGCGGTCAGCTTGGGGTTGGCTTTCGTGACTGCGGCGCGTTGAATCTCTTCCATGCCCAAATACTCAGGAACGGCGCGAGGATGGGGCATCGTCTCATGTGACAGAATGTGGCGGCAGGTTTGGCTGAGTATCTTGAAGAATGGAGGTAGTTCTCTCGGGATAGATGTCGACACAAAAGTGTTGGCGTCGGACTTGGAGGGGACGGCCGCAGGGAAGATGTGGATAGGGATGACGGGAATGAATGAAGGAGGGTAGCGCGAGTCTTGCCAGAACAACTTTTCTGCAGTATCAAGAGATGAAACATCGGTGGAAGTGAAGTTAGACGAAGGGAATAAAGCATGCGCGCGCCTCTTCTCGTTGACTCCGCCGATTTTCGATATTATTCGAATGCACCGATCACGGGCTTCTGGGGTGGTCCAGAATTGTAGATCACCCCGTGGGCGAGGTGGGTTTAATAGCTGTTCATGCATCTCCTGAAAAAGGCCTTTATACATTTCTTGGACGAGCTGGTTCGCTAGCGCGCGAGAGTGCTTGGACTCTCCTGAACTACTTCCTGTGGGGTCATCGCCGTTCTGTCCTTTGGTCTGCAAGAATTTCTTTCGCTCTTGTTTCCATTCGCGATAGCTTTGCGTAGGTATAAACCTTTCGTCCGCTTCGTCAACATTCGATGGCAGATGCGAGTGCGTCAGGTCGGACACAAGGGCGATCAAAATTGACAGATCGAGGTTGATAAACGGAGTCGGTTTGAAGGAGATGGGGTCTTCGGGCCGGGGTCGAGGCAACTTGACATCAGTTTGTTCCCCGAACTCCACTTCGATGTCCATTGCTTCGAGTAGTCGTACAGTTTGTGCTATTCGAGGGTCCGTGTCTGCGGTTGGCGACAAAGCCAATCGCGTCAAGCGCATGGTTATACGTGGCAAGGTATTTGATCCACCAAGGGGATTGGCTTTTGCAGCGTCCAGCAGGGAACGACCCATCCTAAGAACGGAATTATCGAGTTCGTTCTGAGCTAGACTTGGTTTAGCGGCATCGTCGTCGGATTCGTCCTCTGAGCTCGTTACATACGAGTCGATTTCACGGAATTCAGCAAGTAGACGTGAATTCTTGATACTGCGAAAGCAATCAGGATATTACGAACGGGTGAACGGATGAAAAAATCTAACGTATTGACGCGAATCCATCTCCGCCCATTATCGGCTACTACGTCCACTTTTACTGGGTTCTGCTTCTGGCGTACACCAGGCTTGCGATTCGATCCTCCTGAGGCGGTAGGCTGAAATGTCTTCATCACAGCCGTGACCGGGGTAGGTGCGCACAGCAGTTCGTTCCAAACCGATATAAGATACGGGGCATTGGTAGACAATGCAGGTAGATGCTTGCTCTCTGGGCTCTGGAGGAACTACTGGAGTTGCGAGCACGGTGAGATGAGACGACGATGACTCGGGGGATCCTTGTCTTACTTTCTCTAATGCCTCCAGATCCATCTGAATGGCGTCTCTCAGCTTCCTTATACCGGGGATCTGCTCAGGCTGAAGCCAATGGCTCTCCTCCGTTGGCTCAAAGTCCAGTGAAGTATCGATGATTGGTGGGCGGGGAGTCATTGGTCGGAACTCTGACACAAGGCTGCAAATATCCTTCAAAGTCTGGCGTAAAGCATGCAGTTCCGGATGGGCTGTATCGTTGGCCATAATGGTAGAGACGTAGTGTTTGCAGTGAGATGTTCCAACTTCCGTGCCGAGCATTGTCCCGAGGGCAGCACGTGGCAAGCGTGGGCACCAAATACTTGATGTGGTCGCAAGCAATCAAACCGGCCCTGCGGCCCTGGTATACGACCAATAACATCCTGAGTTGATTGCTCGGGACAATGCATCCTCTTTCCCCACTCAAGCGCGCGACATCATGATAGAAATCACTGGACGGGGTTTATACGCACTTTGTTAAATCGGGATGTTCTGGATCCTGGCAAAGAGAGATTCCGGATGCCACGTCCTTGTGGTACCACACGGCCTATCATGGCCTCATGAACGCCGATAAACTTCTATTCGAACAACAATCATGAAGAGCCCCCTCGCAGTGCTCGCGCTGCTGCCCATCCAATGTCTGGCGCAGTATTCGTTAATGCGAGATTACTCAGGGTCAGGCTTTTTCGACGCATGGAACTTCTTTGGCAATGGTACGTGCTTGCTGTCTGTCTTGGCTTACTTCCTGGTTCAAATTGTTCATTGACATTGTGCAGCCGATAACCTTACCAGTGGTGATTCATTTTACTTGGATCGAAGCGCGGCTGCTTCGCAGAAGCTTGCCTTCGTCAATGATGCGGGGAATGCAGTCATCAGAGTTGATAACTTCACTAACGTCGCCCTCAATGAGAAGCGAAACTCGATCAGAGTGGAGTCCAAAGATCTGTACGATGTGGGGAGTCTATGGATTATCGATGCAGTTCACATTCCCTTTGGATGCTCGGTTTGTTTATCATCGTTCTATACGACGAAGCTTACTGATACCACTCATCCCAAAGGTATGGCCTGCATTCTGGTCAAAAGGCGACAACTGGCCGTTCGGAGGTGAAATTGATATAGTTGGTTTTGTCCCCTTCGCATGTATCTCCATTATTGCTCACCGTGAGGACAGATAGAAGGGATAAACCGTCTCTCCCGGAATCAGATTGCTCTCCATACCGTCCGTGGCTGCACAAAATTTGACGCGCCGGGGGAACAAATAGGACAAACGCTCGGTAAAGATTGCTCTATCGGCGCAGGATGCGTGACCGCCGAATCCAAGCCAAATAGTTATGGGCAGGCATTCGCGGACAACGGCGGCGGCGTGTTTGCGACGCAGTTTGATACCTCTGGGGTCTAGTACGTTATGCGTTCCTATAAGTGCCTTGATAGCATGCTAAGTTCATTTCAGTGTTTGGTACTGGCCGGTATGTTGTACAATAGCCCTTTCGCATGCGGCGATTCATAAACTCTTCGCATTAGCGTTCCGCCATTCCCGCTAGCATCCGGTCGGCCAGTAAGACTAACATGACTCTCGCGGACTGGGGACTGCCTACAGCGGCATATCCGTCCAACTCATGCGACATCCCGAAATTCTTTACTGCACAACGACTCGTCCTTAATATCGCGCTATGCGGTGTCTGGTGAGTGCAATTCAGCTTCAATCCTTTTCTACCCAATTCAATTCCGCACAGGGCCGGTGTTCCGAATATCTACAAATCTACCTGCGGCGATGGCATCTGTGTACGTTTCTCTTCCATCGCTCGAAGTAAATAAAGACTGATTGATTGATTAGTACAACGACAATGTTGTAGGGCCGGGTAGTCCGCGCTACGATAATGCGTACTTTGAGATCCCCTACATCCGAACATATACAGCAACGGCCGCGGCGGCAAACGCGCCTACAAGCACTAGCACCAGCACTATCATTGTTACCCAAAGCGCTACGCTAGCTAGTGATGCTCAAAACTCGCCCACCCTCGCCAATAGTCAGAGCGCGGCCACAGCGGACCCTCAACCCGGTGGCGTAGCTGCATCGTCTGCTTCTCGCTTATATACCCCGCATCTTCACGCTGCACTTCTTCATTTGCTAGCTTTCTGCGTTGCTTTCTTTTAACTTCTTTGGGTTCGATGGGACTTTATTTTGCTGGGACTGGTGATCTTTTCTTCGGAACAGTTTTCTGTTGTTTGTTATAGACTATGTAGCTTTCTTTAGTGATGGAACGGACACTTACTCTTCTGCTTGGACTTCGATCTTGAATTAGCTTCATTTGCTAGAATTAGTATGCCCTCCTTATCCATAATGCTTGTTGTACGAGGTTGCAAACATTTCAAAGTGAAAATATACATGATTGGGATTGTCTAAGTAATCTCCGCAGTGTCTCGTTCAAATATGCCCATTGGAGCGCCAACTGGCTATGGGCAGGAAAGGGGACAATATAGGGGACAACAGGAGAAAGAGCCACTTTAGGCAAGATCGGGTTCGTGACCTTCCCAAGTAACCAGTGGCTTGAATGGACTACGCCTACTGTTTCTCTTGAACACCTTCCTCAAGCGATGGGGAACGTACACTCCGGTACCAATCTCACACGCACCGCAGGAGCGCTGGACTCTTTCGTTGCAGAACTTGGAGGAGATATAATATACGACAAGAGGTACGGAATGCACCAGCGTCTGAGGGCTCCTAATCAATCTCCGTTCTGCAGCCTTGGGGCACCGAGATTCTTGAAGACAGTGAAATGCCGGCATCGAAACGGGCCTCTTGTGGTGAAGATATTCATCAAGCCAGATCCTGGGATTAGCCTGAGGAACTATACGCGTCGGTTGAAAGGTACGCCTGGTCTGCGCAATGGATGATCTTATTGACTGACCGCGATGCAGTGGAAAGAGAGGCCCTTGCAGAAATTCCCAACGTGTACAACTACCAAGTCTTTGCTGAAAATGATAGAGCGGGCTATATTATTCGACAGTGGATTGCTAGTAATCTATATGATAGAATAAGGTGCGTGGTCATATTATCAACTTGTGCGCTTCAACTTGAGAGGAATACACAGTACTCGCCCCTTCTTGACTTCTGTTGAGAAGAAATGGATAGCGTTCCAACTCCTTACCGCACTTCGAGATGCGCGGAATCGCAAGACCTCGCATGGTGACATCAAGTCAGAGAATATTCTCGTCACGTCCTGGAACTGGGTTTACCTCACTGACTTCGCGTCGTACAAACCAACATACCTCCCCCTGGATGACCCCTCCGATTTCTCCTTTTTCTTTGATACTTCTGGCCGACGCACATGCTATATCGCGCCCGAGAGGTTCTACACGGCTGCAGACAACCCAGAGATCAGCGCGAAGAAGTCTCGGTTAGCCATCGATGACAGTGAAGGCAAGCGGGATGGAAAGGTAACAGAAGCCATGGATTGCTTCAGCGCGGGTTGCGTTATAGCTGAGTTATTCCTGGAAGGCGCCGCTCTATTTACTTTGAGCCAGTTGTTCAAGTACAGAGAAGGCGAATACAATGTCGATCCTCATCTATCGAATATTGAAGAAGAGGGTGTTCGAGTGAGTATCTCGAGCTACGACCGCTTCCCAGAACTTAGTGTCCGCTGGACAGTAGGACATCATCAAGCAAATGATTAACCTCGATCCGTCTGCTCGCCCGACCTTTGACACCTTGCTTCACAATTCGAGGGGGACAGTTTTTCCAGAATGCTTTTACTCCTTCCTTCATAACTATGTCTCCTCCATCAATGAGCTTCCCCCAGTCCAAACCGTTCCTCCTTCCGTCGTAGGCACGCCGAACCCAAACGCCCCACCGTCATCTATATCCTCCAATACCTCCTTCAATCGAGCTGGCACCACGGCGGACCCACCGACTGCTAATTCATCGTCGCATGCTGCCCTTCCCAACGATTCGGATAGACGAATAGAACGAATATGGGCCGACTACGAAAGCATTGAACCCTACATTATGGTCGAGAATGTAGATGAGACTATCATGGACGTCAAAGTAGAGTATGGATCGTCTGCTATGCCGTATAAGCCATTCCAGGTCCGTACCTCTTCACTACGCCCGTGCATCATACTCAATGAACGATAGGACATCTTACCTGTCGAACTGTGTATTCCCAATCACCCATCAAAGTTGCAACCGTCCCCATCTACCGGCCGCTATGCTGCGACAGAAGGTAAGCTTGGAAAGGTTATGAGTTGCGTGTCCTGCTTGACATTGGGATGTAGACGGCCCTGCGTTGATTATCCTAGCCATCGTCACCGCCCACTACCGGAATTGCTACCTTCCTAGCTCCAAGTTACACGCTCTGGACATACTCATGGCCCTATCACCCCATCTTACCGACGAAGCAAAGCTAGATCGGATGGTTCCCTATATCGTGGACATCCTACACGATGAGTCTCCCCCCGTCAGGTCCGCGGCGCTTAGAACCTTGATACAAGTGGTGAGTAGGGTTCCATGTGGATACGCTCAACAGCATCTAACCGTTCTGATAGCTCATGCTCGTTGCCGTCATTACGCCATCGAATGCCGCCATATTTCCGGAGTACATCATTCCGAACATTAGGCATCTAGTCCAAGATCCTGAAGTGTCTGTCCGATGTACATATGCGCAATGCATAGTGCAATTGGCGGATACAGCTGTTCGGTATCTTGAAATGGGGCAAGCCCTTAGAGCCCATGGGACTTTCAAGCTGTCCGCCGAAGCTCAAGAATATGACCACGCTAATTCCGAGGTCTGTAACGTATGTGTTGTGCTGTCAATTATATACTGATGTCCCAGCAGCTCTCGTATGACGCAAGCATGCAAGATTTACAGGCAACCATACAAGAGCATCTCTCTGCGCTACTAATGGACCCTTCCAGCGTGGTTAAACGAGCGGTACTACATAACATCTCTCCCCTCTGCATCTTTTTAGGACGCCAGAAAACGAACGATGTCCTCTTGAGCCATATGATCACGTACCTGAATGGTCGGGACTGGCTTTTGCGGTATGCCTTCTTTGATAGTATCGTGGACGTAGCTGCCTGCGCTGGAGGGAGGAGCTTAGAGGAGTACATACTGCCTCTGATGATACAAGCGCTCTCAGGTAGGGTTCATCTCAGGTATTTTGTATTCAGCAAGCTCACCTGCTCTAGATGTGGAAGAGTCAGTAGTCGCCAAAGTTCTCGCCGCCCTCACTAGTCTATGTGAACTTGGGCTTTTCCAGAAAATGAGGATCTGGGAACTTATGAGCGCCACTCTCGGTTTCTTGTATCATCCTAATATATGGATACGACAAGGTAAGAAACCAAAAACCTTTTCCGCGTGAAGTTGACTATAACAATAAACTAGGTGCTGCCGCATTTATGTCTTCGGCAGCGAAGCACCTTCCGCGAAGCGATGTTTGGTGCATACTGTACCCATCACTACGATACTTCCTTAAATCCGACGTAGTCGTCATTGATGAATCAAGTCTACTGACGGCCATGAAACCTCCTGTAGGCCAAGGTCGAGCCTCTGTCCGATGATGCTTTACTGACGAATTCTTTGATATAGCTCCCAAGGCAACTTTTCGATGCCTCAGTGCAATGGGCCATGAAAGCTGATAAGAGCAGCTTTTGGCGAGGAAACCGTCGTGTGCCCACAAGAACTGAATCACCAAGAGAGAGTATGATCGCCACGAGGAGGACCGGAACCTCAACACCCAGAAGTAGGTCTGATGAGTAAGCTTGTCTATACCGTTCATCCCATAGATCAGCACTGATACTACTCGCAGCGACGATGCACAGTTGAAGAAACTCCAGAACATGGGCATGACTTCGGCAGATGAAGCGAAATTACTTGCAATGAGGGATTACATCCTCAAGCTCGCGAACGCGATATCTAGGTGCGCCTCCTCGTAATTTGCCGATTGGAGCCGACCTCATTGTCGGTCAAACAGCTTCTCTTCGAGACTGATATTTGAACCTGAATCAGACAAGGGGTTGAAAACCATTAGCAACGTCGAACTGCAAAAGCTGGGTGTGGTTCCGCGCACTGTATTTCTCAAAGCCCGCTCAGACAACTCCGGCGCTCGCATTTTGCGCTCGCCCACTCCCCGGTCAAGGAAGCCTACCTACGAATTCTCCTCTACTTCTAGGACGCCAATTCTCAGTCCTCGTCTCACTAGTCGCACTATTGACAGTCCATCCGGTGCCCCTTTCGAGGACCTGCGGCGCAGACTTGCCACTATCAATGGATCCGCTTCCTCGCTCAACGTACCCCACCTCAACCGCGAGTCGCGTTCTTCGACTTCTCCTCCGACCGTGACGAATATGCCCCAAGGATCCCTCCCGCCCTCTTCTCCATCGCTCACCGACCGGCCAGGCAGTCCTACCGAATCGGTCGTTTCGACATCAACGTCAGCGCCTTTCCATCCCATTAGTCGCATGCAAATAGGTGGAACCGATGGTCAGAAAGCGGCGCCGGCCGTTGGTTCCTTCAAGACGAATGTATCGGGCGTTCTTGAGGCACATTCAAAGTTATTCCCGGACGGGTCGCCTGTGCCTTCTGGGAGGACATCTCCGTTGTCGGTCGCCGGCACCTCTCGGGGGACTCAGCCCCGACTCCCTCCTTTGCTTCCCACAGGCAATCCTGGTGCGTATGCGAATGATAGGCGCAGTTTCCAAATTTCTAAGCATCTGGGTGTAGAGATTCTAGAACCAGGAATAAGCAATTTGCTGGAAAATCTGTTCTTAGACAATCAGTCAGATTATCAACAAGACTTCGGTCCCAGAGTTCACGAGGGTCCAGTACGAAGGCGAAATGCAGTCCGACATGGTTACCCCCTCCGAGAAGGCTCCTCGCGTCGGCTTGACGCCGCGCTCATCGCCAATCTGACTTCTCATTCCGATGCTGTGACTGGATTCGCTGTCTCCCCCGACCACATGTTTTTCGTGTCCGCTTCTGATGATAAGACAGTGAAAGTATGGGACACCGCGCGACTGGAGCGTAACGTCACAAGCAAGCCACGGCATACCTATGGGCAGCATCATGCCCGAGTCAAGTCCGTTTGCATCCTGGAAGGGTTCCACTGTTTTGCGAGCGCTGCCGATGACGGTAGTCTGCATATTGTCCGTGTCGATATCACCCAGACGGGTGCGTTGCCAAAATACAACAAACTCCAGGTTGTTCGGGAGCACAGAGTTGACAATGTCGGCGAATATATTACTTGCATGCATCAGTATAATACCGGTACGTGGGCCGAGATCCTTCAAGCTTGCGCTATTATTGATGCTTGCCTTAGAAACAACATCGAACCTAGTTTACGCGACAACTCATTCGACAATTGCCATCTTAGACCTTTTTACGATGAAAATATTGCAAACGATGGCTAACCCACGCCATTACGGGCCGATCACTTGTTTGTGTATAGATCGCAAGCGATCATGGATCATCGCAGGCACTTCAACCGGGGTACTCACCCTCTGGGATAAACGGTTTGGGTTGCTAGTGAAAAGCTGGCACGTAGGGGTCTCAAGCAATGGTCGGTCAGTGCGTGTTCACCAATGCGTCGTGCACCCGACAAAGGGCCGGGGGAAATGGATCATTGTCGCCATGGAGGCGTCCCGGCGTAACAGTGACAAGAGCGCAACTACTCTCCTAGAGGTCTGGGACATAGAGAAATCTGCACTTGTGGAAAGCTTTTTGACCCGGAGTACGTCGGGAGCAGCTGAAGACCTGCCGGAGCCAAGCGACGTCAACGGGGCGGACGCCGAGACCAGTCCGGCTGCAGCCATCGCAGCTCTTGTGAAATCTCGTCAGATGGGAAATGATACCTCGGGAACCAAGCCAAGATCTTCGCTACAGCGCGATGAGTTATTATTCACACCTGCGCCGGACGTACGCGCTCTCATCACTGGCGTTGACTTCGGTGGGTACTCACATAGGTCGGATATGACCGCCGGACCGACAGATGTCCGAACGTCTCCACGAGCGGTTGGGCGGGGATTCATCATCAGTGGGTCGGAGGATAGGAAGATACGGTTGTGGGACTTGAGCAAGCTGGATCGCACTTTCGTCCTGAGCGGTCTGGAATCGGAGAATGACGCAGACAAACCATCCTACAGGTATGGGTCACCTCTCCCCTAAATGTCTATGAACTCAATGCCGCTCCATCTCAGTTCTGTTCCAACTGGCCCAGTAGCATCATACGTTGAGACATGGCCCGTCCCGGCAAGCGGTCACAACAATCGGCCCGCCCAGCGAATATCGTTGATCACGCAGAACCAACAAAATCTGTTGAAGGCTCATCAAGATGTTATCACCGCGCTTGCATGCATAGACTCGCCCTTCAAAGGGGGTATCGTTAGCGGAGACCGTGCTGGTGTCATCAAAGTTTGGAGAGTGGAAATAGCTGCAGACCAGTAAACTGCAGGCCAGTAATTCAGTATATATTCTAGACGTTCATATATTGAGCCCTGAATCCCATTCCATGTCGAACCTTTGAATACCAGACGACTTCAAGTTTCCTTAAGCTTTGAAAAGAATATCGGCTCCTCGCTGGACTTCAGCGCTTTCAAGTCTTCACGCGATCGCTCGGCGTGCGCCGAACCCCGACCAAACAAACAAACGATCGTCACGTTGAACGTTGAACACGCTCCGAGCGCACCGCTCGGCCACTGCTCGCCTCCTTTCGCTCTCTGACCAAAGCCCGACGCGATGAGCAAAGTCGTATTCGGTTCGTACAGCTATCACCGCTACCGGAACAGCGACTGACTTTGGTTTCGTAGTGGGCAATGTGCCCTATAACATGGCAGAGGCATGTTCCGATCATTTACAATCCGTACCAGGATATTTGTTTCTACGGGACTGACTGGGACATCCAGGAACAACTTATCGACGTCTTCAAGTCGGTGGGACAAGTGGTTGGATTTAGGTATTGTGTCTGTTCCCAGGCAGCGTGTAATGCAATTGGCAACTTATTCTCCGTTTCGTCTGGGTGACTTGTAGACTGGTTTTCGACCGAGACACCGGAAAGCCAAAAGGCTACGGATTCTGTGAATTTGCTGGTACAGAGTTCATTGTCATATATGTGGCGTACGCAGTGGGCTGACTTGATTATGCATTCTCCCTCAATCCCCTCGCATCACACGAACCATAAACACCAATGCGTGCTTGAATCAACGTCGTGAATCATATCATATTGCGACACGCGGATGTTATTGCAAATGATATAAACTGAACAACCTCAATCGCCGCTGCGCTCGTCAACCGTGCGCTTCAAATTGTTCGCAATCCCACCCGAATCACAAATGCTTTACTTGCACCCTGCGAATGCCATGGAAATGATATGGAATGAACAACGCTGATCGTCGCCACCACCGAATACTTGCCGACACCCGCCCGCTTCACACTATTCACGATATACCCTTACAATACTATGAAGATCACGAGACCGCGATGTCTGCAGTACGCAATCTTAACAACACAGACGTTGGGGGAAGACCACTACGGATCGACTTGGCCGACTCGGATCCGTTCCTTGAAGGCAAGACGACCGTGCGTGGCGAAATAGTCGATGGGGGGATGCCTGGACCGTCTGAAAATAGGTGGCGGTCTGACGATCGACGAGGGGATGATAGAAACCGCAGAGACCCGAATGCATTTTTATCAGGTTTACCCACAGGAGTGGCCGTGCCCCCCGGGCAGACTTCTCTTGACGTTATTAGCAACGTACTCGCAAACATGGCTCCAAATTCGCTTGTTGAAGTGCTTGCCCAGATGAAGGTCGGTGCCCGATCGCTCATTGTTGCATTTCGTTGACGTCTGGTTAGGCGTTCGTTATTAATCACCCCGACCAAGCTAGGGCGTTACTCGTTGCTCACCCCCAATTGGCATATGCGTTATTCCAGGCATTAGTACTAAACAACATCGTCGACCCAGCAATATTACAGGTTAGTATACGCACTTTTGGTAGCAATTTCTACGCTCACCGAAGCACCGCAGCGCATGTTGAGTGCAACCACATCTGGATCGGCTGCACCTCCGCCACCACAGGCACCCTCAGCACCAGCCGTTCCTCCCCACGTACCACACATGCCCCCGCCTCCCCATCTCCCAAACTTTCCCCCGCAACACCAACCTTACGCCGCGCCGCAAATGCCTCCAGCCTCGACACCCAGATACCCTCCCCCACCTCCAATGCCAGTGCCTCCGCCATCAGCAATGTTTGCGCACCAGCCACCGCTGCAACAACCAGCGCCGCAGATCTCACCGTACTATCGCCCGCCTCCGCCCGCCCCGTCGGCAACGCCCCCCGCTCGTGCGCCTCAGGTCCCTGCACTACCAGATATGGACGAAGCCCAGAAAGTAAGATAGCGCGCAGGGATTTGTGATTGATTACTAACTGTGCTCGTTGCGTAGAACATGTTATTGCAAGTCCTCAGCATGACTCAAGAACAAATAAATGCCCTACCACCGACGGAGCGCAATGCCATCCAACAGCTGGTTCGTCCTCACCTTCACTCCCCTTCATTGTGATGCTTACTTCTCCTATTAGCGGAGTCAACTTGGCGGTGGCATTCCTACATGATTCGTTTAATTTCATACTCGCTTTCTATCTTCCTATATTCGCTAGTAAATTATTGCAGCACAAACGAACATTCCTTTGATAGCATCCTACGCATTGCATCTTGCATTTTTACGGTATATAGTTGTGGACTGAGTCCTGTCATATAAATGCCAACCAAAGCCCCCTTGTGCGAGATCAAGAAAGATAAGATGAGATTCGGGACGTTCACGCTTCAAAAAGAACAGCTCACGCGCGAAGTGATTGGCATGATATGACTCGTGACCGATAATCGATGATTCAATTTCGTGTTCTTCAGCGGTATCATCTTCGCTGGAACAGAATCTCCTCTCGCCACGTCTACAGATTGTCTGGTGCTCCCACCGCGTTGCCCCCCAGGTTCCTTTCGACAGCCATGGCGACACCAGTAGCGTCCTCGTCCGCACCCGCAGAAACACCAGCTCTTCAGGGGCCCCATCCTGGACAAGAGAAGCCAAAAGGCAAGGACAAGAAGGCTAAAGACGTCGCAACCGCTGCACACCCTCTAGAGGCGAGTCACCGGCACCGCTCGCTTTCTGCACCGAGTTCTGACTATGTATCCAGCTTAACCCTCCCCCTGCCTTCTTCGATCACCGGTTGAAGATATTCGAAAAGCTGAAGGCCGAATACGATGAGTTCGTTAAAGGTATGGACTCTCTAGGTTGTTGTGATTTTCTGGCATTGAATGGTTTGGGCCAATTAGCGCAACCACGCGAGGAAATCATTGTGACTATGCCAGACGGATCGGAGCGCAAGGGCCAGAGCTGGGAGACGAGTCCTATGGATATTGCGAAGGAAGTATCCAAGTCTCTATCCGAACGAGTTGTCATCGCGAAGGTACGTTCAAACCCTTGCGCGTTTTTTAGGGAGGACCGATACTTATCGGGCTCAGGTTGACGGTGACCTCTGGGATTTAGAGAGGCCGCTGGAAAAGTCATGCTCGCTACAACTACTTGATTTTGAACACCCCGAAGGAAAGCGCGTATTTTGGCATTCCTCGGCCCATGTTCTCGGAGAGGCTGCCGAACGGCACTACGGATGCCATCTGTGCATCGGCCCCCCAACGGACGACGGCTTCTTCTACGAAATGGCCATTGAGGACAGGGCCGTATCGAGTGCGGACTACCCCGCGCTTGAGAAGGTGTCCGAACTTGCGGTGAAGCAGAAGCAGAAATTCGAGCGGCTAGTAGTGCCCAAGGAGACGCTCCTCGAGATGTTCGCCGTAGGTCTCCCTTCCATTCTCTCTCCGAGATAAAATCTAAGTCGCGTTCAGTATAACAAATACAAGAAACATCTCATCGAGAGCAAAATCCCCGACGGCACATCGACGACTGTCTACCGCTGCGGACCTATGGTTGACCTCTGCGTCGGGCCCCACATCCCGCACACAGGAAAGATTAAGGCGTTCATGGTCACGAAGAACTCCGCATCGTACTTCCTCGGCGACGCGAACAACGACTCTCTGCAGCGGATATACGGGATTTCATTTCCAGACAAGAAGCAATTGACGGATTACAAGGCGTTCCTTGCGGAGGCTGCGAAACGCGACCATCGGAAAATCGGCAAAGAGCAAGAGTTGTTCTTCTTCAATGACCATAGTCCGGGAAGCGCTTTCTTCTTGCCCCACGGGACGCGAATTTACAATGCTCTCGTTGATCTGATGCGAGTACGTAGAACTGTTGAAAACATATGTACTGCCTCTGACGATCTATATAGACGGAATACTTCAAACGTGGCTACCAAGAAGGTATTCTTTTCCGTCGCCTATATACTTGAAATTAATACTCGACGTACAGTGATTTCCCCCAACATGTTCAGCAGCAAGCTCTGGGAAACCTCCGGCCACTGGCAGAACTACAAAGACGACATGTTCACTCTTGACATTGAGAAGGAGAAATGGGGGTTGAAACCCATGAACTGCCCTGGGCATTGTCTTATCTTCGATTCGAGGGATCGCAGCTACAAGGAACTCCCTATCCGAATGGCCGAATTCGGAATTCTGCATCGTAATGAAGCGTCGGGTGCGCTTACAGGGTTAACTCGTGTGCGACGATTTGTGCAAGATGATACACATATCTTCTGTATGCCAGAACAGGTACAATCGTTCATTCAAGTTCGAATCAGCCGTTGACCGTCTATAAAGCTAGAGGATGAGATTCAAGCACTTTTCGATTTCATGGAACGTATTTACGGCCTCTTTGGATTTGATTTCCACCTCGAGCTCTCCACACGCCCCGATAACTACCTTGGTACTGTGGAAACCTGGGACGCTGCTGAAGCGGTATGTTTCCATTCACTTCCATCTCATCTCAACTCGAACGCAGCGTTTTCTGTAGCAACTGAAGAAAGCATTGGAAAAGCAATACCCTGGTAAATGGGAATTGAATCCCGGAGACGGTGCCTTCTACGGGCCAAAAATCGACATCACCATCCGGGACGCCCTCCGCCGATCATTCCAGTGTGCCACCATCCAACTTGACTTCCAACTCCCCGAACGGTTCAACCTGAAGTACCGCTCGGCGGACGAACAGGCCCTCACACGCCCCGTTATCATTCATCGTGCGATTCTGGGGAGTTTGGAGCGATTTATCGCTATTATTACAGAGCATCTTGCGGGGAAATGGCCGTTTTGGCTATCTCCGAGACAGGTGCTGGTCATTCCTGTCGCTGCGCCCTACGTGAGTCACCATCATCATGGCTTCATACGACGATGATAATGATCTCTGTCTATCAACGATCTGATAGAAAGACTACGCTGCCGAAATAGCGGAGAGACTCACGAATCTCGGGCTACATGCCGACGTCGACAACGGGGACAATACCCTCCCAAAGAAGGTCCGTAACGGGGAGATCGCTCAGTATAATTTCATTTTTGGTGAGCAAGCGCCGGTTCTTTAGAGATATGGACCGCTAACAACTATATATAGTCGTTGGCCAACAAGAACTAGACGGTAGATCAGTGAATGTGCGCAATCGAGACGACGTTGGGACCAAGGCTCGCGCTGAGGATATCCCGTTGGACACTATCATAGAAAAGTTGATGTCGCTGAAGAATAACAAGAGCATGAGTAACAAGCTAGTTTAGCTTTTGTATATAATGTTTCCATGTATTCGACATCGGGTTTTGTGCCTCCTATGGGGTGAAAGGACACAAGTTGTGTATCAAAGGGCGCCCTTTTGTAACGTTGGCATCGTCGTCACAGGTGTAACGGATTCGGTAGTATATCGCTGTATAGGAGAACCACAGATTGATTGATGCGGCGCGGGCATGGGACGCTTACTATATTAGATGACCCCCTCCGCGAAGTACGAAGAGCTCTGGAGTTTGTCGGAGCACGGTCGAAGTGCAGAGTCGGACAGACTAGTCAACGCAACTAATGGCCATAAGCTTCAAAGTCCGCGGCGAGTGACCAGCGTCTACTAACCCACTGTCTCTTGGACTCTCGTTTGTTCCTCGACACATAGCCTAAAGCGCGCACAAACGTTCATGTCTCTACGAGACGAAGAACGATGGGCAATGTATAAATGCTAGCACAGCATTGCGAGAAAGTCCCTCTGGCCCATTAAAATTCATGAACGATTAATCTTGTTGTTGGTGAGCCTTTTTGCGTACTAAGCGTGTGTCCCATCTCATTACTGTACCGGGCTCTTTAGCATCTTCATAGTAGCAGTGGTCGGTAACGCGGGCGGGAGTCTGTACTCCCTCAGAGGCCCTTAGATCTTTAGTAAACTAGGGTGAATACCTCGTTACCGATCACAGACTCTTGTAAGCCAGTTGCTTTGCGAGGCGGGTACGCGTATGCAGAACGGCAGAACGGCAGACGGTGTACCATGTGCATACTTTATCGCCCATGGCGTTAAGTTCCTGGCCTCCGGAGCAGACTACTATTTGTAGACACTGACTCAACTCTAGCTTCTTAGAAGTAAGCCAGCACCCTTCACAGTGGTATCTCCGTCGCTGAAAGGTACTTATTTCTTATGCACGATTACACCCAGCCATCGCGCCCTACTGTATACAGCGATGTAAATCCCCATATACATGCTTCTTGGTAAGGTAGACCGGCTGTACACGCAAGCCTGCTGATGCCTAAGGCCCCAGACATCTTTGCACGCTTACCTACACCATAGAATGTTCAATGACTCAACGAAAGCTCCACAAGCTGGCTGGTATAAAACCCAAAATTGTAGGGAATAGTCCTCGACACCTACAAACTTTTGTCGCAATGCTCTATCGGCAGGGATCTTTATTTCCACTCCTAACCGTTATTCCTTACATGTTCTTTGCCGGGGGAAGGATTCTGACCACGAGCAATGACTTGCGCGATGAGTACGACTTCGTCGTGGTTGGAGGTGAGAGCCTTGAAGCTCAAGACTATTTGGGCAAACTAATCGTTTCCTATAGGCGGGACCGCTGGAAACGTCGTCGCCAGCCGGTTGTCGGAGAACCTGGGTATATCAGTCTTGATCATTGAAGCGGGCGGATTGTACGTACCATCCTCGTTATGCTTGCCACGTTCATTCTAACGTTTGGCGTCAGGAACGATGTTCTCGAGTCGCAGGTACCATATATGTGGACAAGGCTGCTTGGTTCTACGTATGATTGGAATTATACTTCAGTACCTCAGGCTGCCTTGGGGGACAGAAGCATATCGCTTGCAAGAGGCCGTATCTTAGGCGGAACCTCGTCAATCAGTCAGTGATCTCTAGTGGCCGACGCAGTCAACTTACAAATCTGATAGATACCATGCTTTATACTCGTGGGACGTCGGATGACTACGACAGTATAGCTGAGCTTGTAGGCGACGAGCGCTGGTCTTGGGACTCTCTTCAACCTTTCATTGAGAAGGTATCTTATGATTCGATTCATTGCAGACTCAACTCAGGACTGTTTTCACTCTTTCTAGAATGAGTTGTGGTCCCCCCCTTCGAGTAACCGACCAACGGACGGGGAGTTTGACCCGTCTGTACACGGACGGCACGGCGTAGTGGAAGCTTCACTTCCAAGTGATCTTCAACCTATAGATGACAGGGTTCTTCAAACAACAAGAGAGAACAGCGAATTCCCCTTCAACTTAGATCTCAATTCGGGGCACCACTTAGGCATTGGTAAGACTTTGAGCAGATACTTATGGAAGGTCTCATTTATCATCTTGATGTCTAGGTTGGCTGCAATCCACAATCACGTCTACCGGTAGACGAGCTAGCTCTGCTACCTCGTACCTTGGTTCTGGGGTCATTAACAGACCAAACCTCGATGTTTTACTGGACGCCCAGGTTACTCGTCTACTGCTATCCAACGCTACCGAGGAAGTTAAATTTGATGGCGTTGAATTTGTCGGCGGTACCGGTAAGTCCTTGTTAAGCTCATTGACCCATACATAGACCAATAATGTGATCCAGGTGCTCTCCAGTCTGTCAAGGCCGCCAGAGAAATCATTCTTTCCGCTGGATCGATTGGTACTCCCAATATTCTTCTCCACTCTGGCATCGGTGATGCTGGTGACCTTGCTCCTGTCGGGATTCAATCCATACATCAGCTTCCGTCCGTTGGGCGGAACTTCACAGATCATATCCTTGCGGGGTTGACATGGTTTGCCAATTCTACGGACACATTCGAGAAGGTGGGGCGCAATCCATCGCTCCAGGCAATATTGCTGGAGGAATGGAAGACGAGTGGCACTGGGCTCTTCTCTGGCTCCGGGATTGATCACCTCGGTTATGTGCGGCTGGCCAATAACGCAAGCATCTTCGACAGTGTTGCCGATCCCGCTGGTCCAAACACTGGACACATAGAAATTATTATCTCAGTGAGTTCTTGTCTATTGTTTACATGATAATATATTGAGGTTGAGATGACAAGAATGGTGATCTCTTTGCAGGCCCAACATTTGAGAATTTCATGGTCATCGAAGTCATGCTCACCAAACCCTTATCTCGTACGTCCCGTAACAGTAAACCCTATCAATATTTACGCATCCTTACATATTGACTAGGCGGCTCGCTCACGTTGAAATCTTCAAATCCCCTCGACGACCCAATCATCGACCCGGCGTACCTGGCACACGAGTTCGATCGCTTCGCCCTACGTGAAGCTGTCCGGTCCGCACAGCGGTTCCTCGCCTCGCCTGCTTGGGAAGGATACGTCCTTGACCGAGTCGGGGCCTTTGCTACAATAGATATCCAGGATGACGACCAATTGGATCAATTCCTCCGCGAGAATGTTAGCTCTGGCCTACATTTCGTCGGGACGGCATCTATGTCACCGAAGGGTGCCTCTTGGGGTGTCACGGATCCCGACTTGAAGGTCAAAGGTTTGAACGGCTTACGTATCGTGGACGCATCGGTTATCGTGAGTGTTCCACTTTACGCTTCGCCGACAGTGGTGTGAAACTTAATTTACCCCCACGCAGCCGTTGATCCCCGCGGCGCACACCCAAGTACCAGTTTACATATTTGCTGAACGAGCGGCGGATATTATCAAGGAGGATTGGAAGCTTGTCTAGACAACGGAAAGCCATAGACATTTAGAATTCATACATGATCTACTATTTGTGTGGCGTATCTTGATCCTTCGAGGTTTTTATTTGACTTTCCAATGCGTAGCGAGCCGCGAAATCAACTTTGCAACGTCATTGGGGTGTCACTGGCACTTTATACACAGTTTCTTGCTTGCTACGATGGATATAGAAAGGTCACGGTTTACGACGTACGTATCATGGAGCGCGACCAGCTCTCAAGCTCTACGCCGAATCTCACCGTGTCATATAGAGTTATCAAAGAGGACCGGCGGCTTTCGTAGGAGTTGTTTCGGACATCCAATGTGCAATGGTAGACATACTTTGATATTGCTTAGTTGAAGCGCAGTACGACCAGATGGCGACGAAAGTAAGGTAAAGCCGTCCTTGAGTTAGACGATCACGATGATTGGGTAAAGAATGACACTACGCAGCAACACTATTACGGAATACTATGAACTACAATCTGGCTACTTTAGAACCTGAAGTCCTTCAGGTGCATTCGCTGACCTGGGACCAATGTCCTACCCGTAAATACGAAAGATCCACACATATCTGTCATGGCCCTTTCATGCGGACTTGGGTCGAATCGACGTGAGGGTAAGTCTGCGCTCTTCTTGGCGCACTTGCGTGAAAGCAGGGAGCAACTCCTGGACCTTCTCCCAAGCTGAATCTCCCTTCGAGTCGAACCCGAGGGCACATCTATCGGGAAGAGCGCGGCTCAGGAACGATGCTACTTGGACTGGCGCGACGATCGGGGAGCGCCCTACATCTAACATGCGGAGCTTGCGAAATGGGACGACTGTGTCGACATCGAGGTCGTCGGATAAGCCGTCATTGAAGGTAAGCGCGAGGGTTGTCAGGTTTGGGGCGAGGGGAGAGAGAGCAGCAAGTGTGGCGATGGAGAATTTGGGCAGGTAATGTGGATCAAGCTGGAAGGAAAGGAGAGTGAGGTTGGGTAGCGACTTGAATATTTTCACAAGATCGTCCTGTTTAACCTCTATGGTATCTTGATTCATTATCCTCAATGTCTGTAAAGTTGACAAAGAGAGGATGGGCTCCAAAACATCGAAGGGTAATAACGTGAATGGGCTGATGGCTGGGGAAAGGGAAAGGTGAACGAGGAGTTTGAAGTTCGAAGCAATCATCGCAGCGAGGTCGCGATACGATTCAGTTGACGAATAACTTGCCATATACGGGGAGCTGAAAGACAGGCTGGTCAAGTCTTTTGCGAAACCAGGTTTGAAGAACCACAAGGCGGCCTGAGCAATGCTTGCCCTCGCCCCAAATATTTTCAGAGAGGGGAAGCCATTGGAGGGCAAGGAATCCAAGGGCGCAGGGTTGATCGATGGCATCATCTCAATGCATCGAAGATATGGGAGTAATGAAAGAGATATGACCATATCGTTCGTTATCAGGGTGGCGGGAAGGTATAATTCCTCCAGAAAAGACAAGCTACGGAGAGCGAGAGTAAGGGGGCCCACAAGAAAGAAAAGGGATTGGTCTCTGCTGGCCTCGACACGAAAGTTGCGCAAATTCGGCATTTGCGTAGGGAGGTAGCTCAGCATGGCGGAGGACTCCGTAATCGACTGTTCATCAAGTTCTGAGAGCCCGTCTATTGCCGTGCTTGTAATAGCAAGTGTCTTCACCGACGCATGGCCGAACAAAGTTACAACTGACAATGGATGTGAACCACAGAGCTTGATTTCGGTTAAGTTGGGAAGCAAATTGAGCCGGGGTCTTGCGTGGGCAATCTGCGAGAAGACAGAGTCGCCGTACTTGCACGGGGTCGCATCGAAGCATATACAGCGAACACGCCACGCGTACTTGTCAAAGCGCGCCCAATCACTTGCATGAATTGCATGAGAGAACACCTGGACAACAGCCATGAGGGTGACTTTCTGGAGGAACAGGGAAACGCCCTCACCATAATGTCTGGCTCCTTCCTCGTCAAAGGCGCCAATAGCGCAACTAAGCCAACGATGCTTGCATTGCGCCAGACCTCGCCAAGGGCCAGACTTTGCCAGACTTTACAAACACGAGCGTTGGATGCGATCTCTCCCCGAGTCAAATACAAGAATATTTCGAGGAGCACGTCTCTAAGTGATAATGCATGTTGAGCCACGCTAGGATTCGACATGGTGGTAGAGAAGATAGACAAAGGCGTCGAGACGCGATCGGATTCTAAAATGAGTTTACGGTCCCGTGATCGATGAGAACTGGCAAGGGAGAATAATAATAATCGCACAGATTTCTATGTCTCTTGTATCGAATTCATGAGAGATTCTCTCGCCTGCCTCTCCCCGTCTTCGCTAGGCCTTCTGGGTTCCATCACGGTGTCGACATATGCGATTGCCCAAGCCGCGTTACCCATCTTCGAACCACCAAGAACACGAGGCTTGTCTGTGGACTCCGGCATAGCTTCCCAACGTGACCGTGTCGGCTGCGTATCAACGCGGTCTACATAAAGAGGTGTGTCGGTCAGATAATCAAGCACGTAGCGAAGTGAGAAGGAAGGCTCGCACAAAGGACATTGTTGGTGTGTGGTTCGTACGCGCCTTTGGGGTGGGCGTCTACACCAACTACCTTTCTACGCTTTGTCTTGGGGACATCCTCGTCCATAGCCCCATCCTCAACTTCTCCAGGGTCTTCCGCAAGAACACCATCCGCACCCACAAGCCTCAATGCCGACTCCCTGACTTTCCTCAGCTCATCATCAGCTTCCAGTACGCGCCCGGCCATCATCCACATCCAGTTCTCCTCCGTGACACCGTCCCTATTATACATCGACTTCCGAACAGCATTCAACGGCCCATCGCTGTATGGGCCAAGGCCGTTACCGCCAAATATTGTTGTCGGTCCACCCGCGCGGTAGATGCCCATACCACCGCCTCCCCCTCTGTCGCGATCTGCTTTGGCTGCCGCCTTTGCAGCAGCATTATTACTTTCCGTGTTTCCTTGTGGGTCCGTCAAGTCTCCAACGGGATCACCGGCTTTAGCACCCCGCGCAGCAGCGTCTTCCAATGCCTTGCTCTCGTAGTAATCATCAACCACCCACTTGCCATCTGGAAGTATGATTCGCATGAGAGGAGATTAAAAGAATACCAGCATGAAATTCACCGAGAATCATCTTCGACCCATGCAGTTTGAAGGCGCTTCGCGCAGTTATCAGAGTGACACTACGCGTCTTGAGATGTGACCCGAGTTTACCTTCCTTGATGAGGTACTCCTTCTCCGGTTGGGTTGCATTGAGTTTGAAGGCCAGAAGGTTGCGACGAAAGTAATATAATGAATCTCGGAAACCAGATGTTCGTGCCGCATCAATAGCGAGCATGTACAATCGCTCTGGATGGCGATTTGGAAGCACAAATGTACTCCCTTTGAATTGTCGGCCTGTAAGGAAATGAAGTGCATGTTATCCTCTCGAAGAGCTTCGCAGACGCGGACACGCACCACCGAGTAGTCTCCCGTTCTTGTCGATCTTCGTGTCGCCGACTGGATCGTCCTCCGTGACGAACTCGTCTCCTTCAATGATATACACCTTGTCCCCAATTTTCCTGAACGGCTTCCCACCCCCCATAGGCGCGACTTTCGCGTCATCCGCATCGACATTGCTGTCGATGGCGTCGTCCTGAAGAACCTCGGAGTCGACTCCGGAAGCGTCTCCATCTTCATCTTGCCGTTTAGGTAGTCTAATAGTAAGCGCCGAGGGACGACCACGAGGACGGCCCCGTCCCCTGCCTCTGCCTCTTCCCCGAGCCCTCGGCGTACCGGTCGAAGCACCGCGTCCACGACCTCTTGGCCGACCTCTTGGTCTGCGCACAACGGGGGTGTCAACCTCCATTTGTTCGTCCTCCCCATCCTTTACCTCGGCATCATCATCTCCGTCTCCTTGCTCCTCATCTTCATTATCTCCCTCTACACCCTCGTCGGCGTCTTCGTCTGGAATTTCAGTCTCTGGTGTAGACTTGCTCGATTCCCTGTCCCTCGATGACGCGCCCATTGCAGGAATTACAATCCGGGGTTTCGAAGACGACGCTACTGGTGTCTCTGGCGCAGCGGGCCGGGCCTTTATGATGATTTTGGTTGACGACTTCATCGCGGTAACGAAGAGTATATGGTGTGTTTGCAGTCAAAGGGGGAAGCCAAACAAATGTCGGTGTTACCTGTTATAGATAAGGCATCGGGATGTGACATCATCGTCACATCGGCTTCACTGCGGCCTCTTCCGTAGACCGTCACAATCACTGCTGCTGGACGTCGGCATGTCGAGGTTGCTCGCTGTTCCACGCGTTGTACTCCGACCGAAATATCTACATCAGAAGGGCTTCGCGCCAGCGTTAACATCCTTCTCATGGCAACCCGAACGTTCTCTGCATGCATTTCGGCGAGCTGCTCCGCCGGAACGGTGCCATACATGCCAACGGACTCTACGTATTCCGGAACCTCAGAGGACTCGACTTCTATCGTCGGCGCCATCGACGAGCAAGATATTTTCCGACCCGGACCGTTCTGACCTCTTTTATCACCTCATACAACCGCCAAACCCCGTCTCATCCTCGAACCCAGTATATGCGGTGTCCTTCATCTCGACGGAGCTCTCACTTCTAGATTCGAAGGCCGTGATGGGATGGGTACCAGCTGGGATCGAAGGCGAGGTTAGCTTGATTGGCTTCCAGGAGAATGGTGAGTCGCAATGCACTTCGGAACGAAATCACTCTGTTGACACACATATGTCAGCCAGCTTCAAGGAAATTCTGCACGAGGCTATTCGGAAGGGTCTCCAAGAAGGTGTTGACGATATCCAAATCAACGGTGCCCTCCAGACACATTCCGGGTGGATGCATGTCCATGGTGAGCCATTTCAACACTGTCATAGGCGGAATCGTTAAACCTTCGCGTTAGACGACCGGAACATCCCCGCTCTTGGTAGGATAGGTGATCCCGACGACATTATCGCGTCAGTATTGGTTGAAGACGGTAAAGTGAGCATTGTGCAATTCCTTACCATTCCAGGATTCGTATCAGACTGATTCACTTTCGTAGATTCTCGCGGAGACATACCAGCCCATGCCCGCGTATCGGTTATACACTGCTGATGGGATAACTCGATTAACCCCCGGACTCGACAAGAAGCTGCGAGAAGTCTTGATGGAGGCGACAAGGCAGCATTGATTGCAGCCATACGAGACGCCGCTGCATGCTCAAAATTCAAAATTACGCGTAGATCCCAACTATATCCTAATTGCGTTCATTAATCACCCTACACGCCCCTATACACTCGCGCCCAGCAGCACGGACAAAGAGCTTGCGAGCTGCCGGTTTTCATGTTCTTACCCTACTGTGTGATCGTGCTCAGCAATGGCCGTAAGTAAAAAGATCTCCAAGAACAAGTGCTCCCTGCAAGACGAAACACAGACAACCCTACCCGATGGCGCTGCTCACGCCTTCCTTTTCGGCTCAAACAAGTGCATGGGTAGCGGGAAATAATTCTAAGTAAATCAATAATCGGTAGCGTAAACATGGTAGGTATGTACAGTAGCCATGGAATAGAATGTGGTTGCATAAAAATACTGGAACGGGGTGATATCCGAGTAGAAAACAGGAAATTACAAAAATCGAAGCAGATAACAATACAAAGAGAGCAAGCAGCACAACATACATGGAACTACGGGTCAATCAAAGTCCTCTGCTACGATGCTGAGCTGCCATTAAGGCGTTCGTTAACGCGCTGTCTGTGTTGTCGATTTTTAAGGTGGACCTCGTAGTTGGACAGTGTCTCGCCAGGCCCCGGTGTATATAGCTAGCGGCGCTGAGATCAGGACGAGAGCATCACAAGGTAAAATCAATGTACGAACCTTGCCCGGACAGTCCAAACACTTGATGCGCCATTCAGGGGTAGTCGAAGCTGTAACCTTGCGGAGAATGACTTCGAACTTGTCATTAGTGTACTTTGCCTGCATAGCCTGCATCGCGGCAGTAAGCCAATTAGGAGCCTGCTCACAAATAAGCAAACATTGGGGACAGAATTAGAAAATTCATACATATGTCTTGGAAGGACTGGACGATGACGATGATGATGTTGGGATCTCAACTACAGGGACGACACTGGGATTGGGCCTTGTGGGTGGCGCTGGGGAAGTGTGCCGTGCAGACGGTGCAGGTGCAGGAGGGGACACATGGGGGATCGTCCCGTTCGCCCTCACTCGCTGCGATAATGGTGGCTCAGATGCACTCGATGCCGTGGACACTGGTGACACAGGACGGTCTTGTTCTTCGGTAGGATGCAAGGACACATCTACATCAGCCTTGTCATTTCGCGCAGGTGTGGGAGGTTCTGATGGGAGCTCGGAGGGGGTATTGGGCAACGTAGTGCTTTGTGCTCGCAGGGCTGCAGCACCACCTTTCTTCTTGACACCTGTCTTCGCAGTCTCAGCTTCTTTCTTGACGCCTTGATGGAAGTCGAGGCTGGTGTTATATTCAATCGGCCGTGGACGACGATGACGATGCCAGAACTTGCCTAAAATAGCGGACTCAGTCAGTGGATTAAGATAAGCTTTAGCTAACTTACCGCAAGTACCGCACTGGGATTTGTCCCCGAGCGGACCTTTCCTACGCCCGACCGCGATACTTTCGGGACAGCCGCAGTTGGAGCAGTGCCAAACGCCATCAATGTAGTTCGGATGCTGACCATCAGCAAACTCCTTCTCCTTTGCTTCGCGTTCCAACTCCTTCACCCTCTTCGCTGTCATCACCTTGGAGAAGCGACTATCTGGTGGCTGAGCAGCAGCCGACACTGGAGGCTCAATAGGATCCATCGGTGGGTCGTTCTCAAGGGGGGCAGGCAGCTTGGTGACATCGGCGGCTGTAGATGGCGTAGGAGCAGTGACTTGCGCTCGAGGGAGGAGAACAGTTTCGGGCAATGGCGGAGGTTTGAACAATCCCTTCGGTTTCTTTTCTTTTGATTGAGCAGGCGTCGGCTGTGGCGCCGTAGGGAGCGATTGCGGCGAAATGAAGGCAGTACCATTCTCAGAAGCAACCATATTGGCGATCGTGAGGGAAGCCGCTGCAGCTGCAGCTCTCCTGGATGTGGGTGCGGCGGCAGCAATAGCGGCGGCAAGTGTAGCGGGATCGAGTTCCGGAAATCCGATGGCAGGGGTTCTATAAGTGCGAATAGGCTCGCGGTCTGGGAGGGCAACGCCGCGTCTCCCTCTGGTCGCCCGCTTCCTGCGCTTGTTCATGTCCTTGTCGCGCTCCTTCTCATTCTTCTCGATTTCGCCGTCGCTGAGGTAGTTGAGGAGTGGAGTGAATGCTTGGACCTCAGATATGGATCGAGCGCCGGACGTTAAACTTGGTAGGAAGGACATTCGAAGATCATCATCTTGCACTAGTGCACCGTCCGAAGGATGGCCAATCAGGAAGAGTGACTTCTGGTACGCCTGAACTTGTTCGCGAATAGAGTGTGCGATGGCCGTCCTAAACACGGAAAAAGGTAAATTAATGAATTTGAACTTCTGGCTCATTCTGCTGAACATACTTGAATTCTCCAACGAGCCCAAGTTCTCTAGCATAGACTTCGGCGAACTCTTCAGGCGAAGCGTCCGTGTTGTCAAGGTCCCACTCAAACTGGTCATCAAGCTTGATTGACCCCACGATGATATCCAGCTATTCATAGACGTTAGTCGCCGCCTTCTTCAAGCTGACAATTTGACTAACCTTAATCAGGATCCTCATGTCTTCGTATATTGATGGCTCTTCGACGACGGTAACATCGGGCCCAGAGGATTCCAGTTGCTTCGAGTCTTCGTCATTCGCAGCATCGCCAGGAGTAAGCAGGTCTGCGACTTTCCGACGCTTACGGGACTTGCTACCAAACTTCTTCCTTGCCGACGACCCACGATATTGAGACCGTATTCGTTTTCGCCACGACTCCCACCATGCCAAGTCTTCGGTACACAACGTGCCCTTCAGCAAAGGAGGCTCCTCCAAAACGATCTGCTTCTCGTCACCATCGTAGTTGCTGGAGTGGGCCTTGTAATCGCTGAGTTGCTCTTGTATCGACTTGACAATGATCGAATGGTAACTTGCTCCGAGGCCGTAGTCGTCGACAACAGACTGAGCAAAGCTTTCCGGCGTAACCACAGGATCTGATGGAGATAAGTGCATAGGCATGGACGGGCACACAATACAGCAAAAAATGCAAACTAACCATTTAGATTCCAAACGAAAGTATCCCTCATCTTGTGATGCTGCTCAACATCAAACTCCAAACGTATAGGCACCAGCTCTTCCGGGCGGTCCGCATCTTCAACCTTCAGCCGCCGAGGACTAGTGAGATCATCAATCAGTGAATCACCCTGTTACAAGTATAAAACCCACTCACAGTCGAAGACCCTCGCGTCTCGGCACTTTCTTCCTGTCTCGTGGTTCTCTCCTCACACCAGGGTATCTAATATCAAATTGCTCCCGTCCTCTCCTAAATCGACTGCCATTGGTGGTCAAAGATCCCTTCTCCCACCACGCAAGACTAGCTGGGCCGAACGTCTCCCTCAGCTCCTCGCCCATCTTGTCCTTCATCTTCCTATACACACCGTCATACTCCTTATCGACCTTCATCCACGCCTTAATATCCTCAATCTCCGCTTCAGTCAAAGTCGCGATGAGTTTTGTGGAATCCACCAATGGCACGACTGTCACTCTCGTGACAGCAGGGTTGAGCGACACATTCGCAGGGAGTGGCGGGAGTTGGGGTATAACCGCCGGTTGTTGAGGGACCTGCGACGTTGAAGCAACGCTCGGAGCACCGCCCGAGGGCGGCAGACTTGACCTTGAAGTCACTATCGGGCCAACGTTAACGCCCACCGCATTGGTAGCGAGGGCTTCTTGCTGCATCTTTTGTGGAGTCCCAGGAGGCGGCAATGAAGGTTGTCTAGGCGTCTGGGTTCCAGCGAAGCCGGGGGTCTGGGGCGGTATCGAACTTTGCCTTTGGGGCGTTCCCGGATCCATAGGTATGCCCATCATTGCTGCTGGGGGCATACCGGCGTTTATTGCACCCATACTCATATTCTGCGCCATTTGCGCATTTATACGGGCACCTTGAGGGGGTATCATTCCATTTGAAGACTGCGGTCTTGGCGGAATCGGCATGCCATTCATCTGACCCATCTGCGGCGTCATCGGCACAACCTGCCCTTCACCTCCGCCACTTTGCTGTCGCGGTAGAACAGGAGGACCCATCATCCCCATCCCCATTTGACCAGGTAAGCTATCGACACTCCCAATCCTAGGCGAATCCAAACCAGCCTTTCTCTTTCTGTTCGGCGATCCAGGAGGAGGCGATCCAGCGTGGCCCTGCATGTGCATGTTCATCTGTTGCTGATGTTGCTGTGGTTGTTGGAAAGGCATCTGGGTTCCATTCGTGAACGAGCCAGACGGCGTTGGAGGCTTTCCATTGGGCATCCCCATTCCTCCGCCTTGTGTTTGGCTTTGAGGTGCGTGCATTGGAGCAGAAGTTCCTGGTCCAAAATCGTTCACACTAGCCGCTCGACTAGGAGGTCTTCCTTGTCCGCTACCGCTAGAAGCGCTGGGAGAATGATGAGAATGCGATGTGCCCGGACGGGACATCTGTTGTCCCATTGATCGTTGCCCTTGCGCGGTAGGCGGTCGAGGAGGCGGTGGCATCATTTGTTGAGAACCCATTCCACTACCACCATTACTAGTCGGCTGAGCTTGACTGTGCATAGAAGCGGATGACGAAGGGCGGTCATAAAATTGCCCCCCCGCGCCCGAAGCGGCGCTCGCACTTCGTGGATGTGAAAGCGACGGTATGCCGTCACCAGCTGGAACCGGTTGGTGAATGTGTCCATCTTGCATTTGCTGTACCTGGCCTTGACCGACTTGCGCGTTCATTCCTTGACCGATCTGGATCTGACCGGGCTGGGAGTGCTGCTGTCCCCCCTGACCTTGATTTCGCATTTGCATCTGTTGGGCCTGCGTCGCGCTCATAACCTTCGCCTGGATCATCTGCTTGTCTTGCGGTGGAAGCTGCATGAACTGCTGCTTTGTCAGCCCCATATTCTGCAGTAGCTGCATCATATTCATATTGAGCTGCGCGTTCATGTTCATGTTGTTCATCGACTGGTTATGGGAATTAGCGCCCATATTCAGCGACGAGCCACCGGCAGGGTTGGAGTGGTGCGAGTTCGGAATTGGGTTCATTGCGATACCGCCATTCATGTTCGCGTTGTTGGGATGGTTTGAAGTGGCGTTAGGAGTAGACATGCCGCCCATTGAGCCCATATTGGCGTTCATACCCATGTTCATACCCATATTCATTCCATGGCTCATACCGGTGGCGTTGGGGTTCATCCCTGCGACAACAGTAAATTGGAAATCTTGAGTGCAGACAGAGAGTGAGGCGTACCCTGGTTCATGCCTCCCATGCCCATGCCCATGCCGCCCATATTCCCCATACCACCCATAGGATTCATACCTGACATGTTGGCGCTTGCGGCATTCCCGCCCAACGCTGCAGGATTGATAGTCGCCATGCCCATGCCTCCCATACCACCTCCCATACCACCCATGCCCATGTTTCCCATCGCATTCATACCGTCCATCCCCATCCCCATCCCACCCACGTTCCCCATCCCTGAACCATTCATGTTCCCAAAGCCTTGCTGTTGCAACATTTGAGCGTTCTGGTGGCCGCCATTCATCCCCATACCTCCCATTCCACCAACACCCATCCCATTCACGTTATTCATACCACCCATACCGCTCATGGCACCCAACCCATTCATGTTTCCCATACCCATTCCACCCATTCCCATACCTTCCATGCCCATCCCACCCATGAGCTGCGAAGGGTTGACGCCACCGCCGCCATATCCAAACTTGTTGCCGCCTCCACCGTAAGAGGCCATCATGGCTGGGTTCATGGTATTTCCAATTGACGCTTGTCCTTGGGGAGTTTGCTGTGACGATGCTGAAGGCTGATTATACGAACCATTCATCATCTAGCGTGTCGGTGCGATGGCGAGCGCCCGGTAAGGCCGTCGCCGTGATCGTGAAGTCGTGTAGGATACTGCCGCGTAGGTCTGTGTGACAAGTCAGAACACGGTACATTCACAAAATACGACATATATGCGCGTATAGGACGGACAAAAGTGCGCATATAAGTGGTATGAGGCACATAATGGAGGGTATATGCGCATGTATACATGCATATATGCGAAATAAACAATGCTTACCAGTCCTTAAGAGCGCGTCCAATAGCCTTCAACCCGATATGAGGCCCAATGTTTGTCAGCCTGCAAAATAGAACAAGTATCGCCAATCAGTTTCAGGACGCCCAATAACACGAGTATGAGATGAATAGAGGATCAGGGAGGAGCGCCGCCCACGCTGCTCCCGTCGCTCCCGAGCGTGGGAGAAACGCGCATATCGCAACATTCAACAAGGAGTGCGGACATAGTGGGCGCACTGATTGCGGCGCAATGGAACGACGGGGGAGGATGGGGCTGCGTTGATGGGCAACGGGGAGGAGGCTGTGGTGGTGGAAGGGAAGCAAGAAGGGGAGGAGAGGGAGGAGGGAGGGAGGGAGGGATGAAAGGCAGGCGGAGGAGGAGCTTACGTTTTTGGCTGATTGTCGGGGAGGGAGCCGAGACAGAAAGGATTTTGATTTGTCCCAAGGGGAGGGGGTGGCAAGGCCAGGCAACGGGACGGGACTTGGGACGGTTAGGATTGTTATTTGAAGGGGAGGGGAGGGGAAATGATAAGTCCCGGAGGAGGAGATCAGCGGCCGGCGGGGAGATAGCAGGGGAGAATAATAATAAAATGTTTTTCAAGTGACTGGGTAGTATAATCCACCAGCGAGACTTGGGATCGACTCTTCGCAGGTGTTGCAACAACTCACAGCGCACCAAAACAGTCTGGGGCGACGTGTCACGCACAGTCACTGGGTAGAGGGCACAAACAGTCACAGTCACGCTCATCCCCATCCTTGTCCATCCCGACATACACAACATCCAAGTGCGAGGAGGGGACGGGAGCACAATTATTATTGCTTTTACACCGACGCGGAGGAATTTAGAACCAGCTGAATCACCGGACTCCTGGTCCAATTTACCAAGGCTAATCTGTCGTGCAAACGGCGCAACCTGGATCTCAGATCTGCAGATCTCTCACAGCGACTCTTCCTTCCCCTCCCTTCCCAACTGCAGGACGATACAGGTGCCTTCCAAGGGTGCCCAGAACCATGTATGACATACGAGACGACTTGCAAATTTATGCGAGAAATATTGGTTTATTATATGTCGAATATTTATGTCGAGCACTGAGCGTCAACGACGACACCCAGACGGACTACCAGCGAATGTACTCCAAGGGCTGGAAGGAGGCACACATCTGCATCAGCCACCGAGGGGCACGGAACGGACACCTCATTCATGACGCACCCGGGCAGAAGACGAAAACAAACATAAACTTCAGGTTGTCCCTTGCTAAAGCTAGCTCCTCAGCGCACATAGCCTTCCAGCTCCCAGGAAACCGTCAACATCTTAGCAATCCGCGTTTAAATCCCACATACACGTAACCACGTCTGATGCCTCCGGAATCATACACCATCTTGGCTACACGCGCTGGAAATCCGCACAGTGTGCACTCACGCATGCGGCGTTTCTCCGCCAGCGTACAAAGTCCACGGACTCAGTCATACGGCTGCTTCCTAGCGCTGGATGCACGAAGGGATTAATGAACAACCGATATAGAGATGGAAGTCATTCTTACCTGCATGTGCGTGGCGCCGGATGTCAGTAGGCTGGCATACTAGTTTGGGATTCCCTTACTATATGAGCGGTTTCTGGTTGGTGGGGCGATAAGGCACCGAAGCGGACATTCCTGCCGCTCGGAGCAGTGAATGGATTCATGAAAAGTTAGCAGGTGACGATGAGGGTATCGCAAGTCCACCAGCGCCCTGGATATTCCGGCTCAGTGTCATTTAGCCGGAGATATGGCTTCAGGATATGTCGCTGTCCGTTCAAATCAAAGTCCTATATATCGGGGGAGATACGCCCGGCAAGGTGCAGCCCTAGACATACACTTACGGCTGCTGCGCCTCGAGCGAAGTTGATCAATACGGCCAGATACCCACGAGGCACTGGAATAAGTGATGATGCGAACTGGAAATACACCATTCAATTTTTGATGTACTGGACATGTCTAAAATGGTGATAGTGGCTACTCAAGCTCGAGGTGTCTGGCCCTTAGTGGTGTCCACCATCTGCAATATGCCCGGCCTTGCTATTGTGGTAGTCGTCGTACGAGTGAGCCCAAGCATAGATGCCGTAACCTGCAAAATCAATAACGATATCAGTAAGGACGAATTGATCTTCTCAGAGAGAAAAAGGGGTGACGGAGAGGATCGAAGACCCAAAACACCAAAACAGTGCAACACACAATACCAACATCTATCCGACGAATGGAACGAAGTGAAATAGACACGGAATTAGACGCACCAATAGCGAAAGGAATGACGAAGTATGGCGCTTGCGAAGCTAACCTGCTGGTTCCGTTGAAAAGCCAGCCACGGAAGATATGGCGAGTTGGGGAGCTTTGAGTCGACGAGATGGCTACCGTGGTGAAATGCGTGTACGAGCGCAGTAAGAGATTCGCAAATGCAGCGTAGAATGAATGAGTGTATTTACGGCGCAATGGGGCGGATACGCACTGTACTGAATGACACCTCTCTGCTTCACAAGACCGTGTTTATCTCCCCACCAGACGTTCTATAGGAATATTAGTGACATTAGTTCTGCACAACCCAACCATCATAGAATGCCAATGAAGCGTCAAGCTGAGAGCCCGCGATGCTAGCCGTAATTTATTGCGTCCACAAGCATGATTGAAGGCAATAGCTTGCACCAGAGACTCCACGATTTGTCCAGCATACGGACAGCCCTCTCCCAGCAACTGAATTCATCTCAAATATTTCAACTCACCCAAGTCTTTGCTGCAACAAATGTCCCATTAGTACCACCCAAAGCAGCCTGTAACAGAGCGACATACGTCCTGGCATCTCTCCGAGACGGGGTGATGTGACACGCATGATGATTGTCTAGCACGGCGGCGGCGAGTAAGAGTAATGAATGAGGATGAAGGCAGCGGACGAAGCTTTACCGCCGTCCCTCCCCGACGGCTTTTGAAAGAAACATACGCAAGCTGAGGCGCTGGTCATGTGATCAGCCACGACACTTACTCGTCGGCGTCAATAACATACTCACTTCGCAGTAACTTCGATATCCAGGCTGAACAGAGGTGAATAGCGAACTCCATCAAGCTATCACTGTTGCTACTTCAAACCCTACGCACTACCCGAAATCCAGGTATGATGGAGGCTTGCCGCAACCCGTGCCTTCTCTGACCGCAACCGTTGTATATCGTACTTCTATCGGTACACGGTATTACTCTACAAACCATCTAGGATGATATCAAACCAAACCCTCTACACGCTCGCAAACACACTTGGCGTGTGCGCTATGCTCTCAGTCATTGCGTACCACTTCCTGGCCGTGAACGCAAAGTACCTGGGACGCCAGGGGAATGGTGCAGTAGGGCATAGTTGAGGGCATGTCTGTATATGGTGAGCATCCCTCTAGCTGGCGACTCGTCCCCTTTCCTGATGTGATTTAAGTCGTTAGATGTGTTAATCTGTAGAACTGTTAATCCAGTGCTCTCCGTTCGCATTCATGCCATGTGCATTGGCGGTTTATTACCGTCAGTAGGGCTGCCAATTTGCCTGTACCGGTGCCCAGTGGGGGTTTCTTTATCAAAGTCTCGTCGAGGCGCAAGTAGCTCGTGAACGCACAGGATTAGTCGATTACAGCTTGCCGGTGGTTCTGTCCCCCGTGCGACTTTGATGTGAGGGGTGTACACCTGCAGCCGCCACATTATGGGGCGATATCCAGGTGGGTCCTGGTGACGCCTGCATTCCTGCCTGCAGCGCAGTCCACATGAAAGGATATGTTGGTACCATCCCCGAACCTATACCCATGCCGGTGGGTAAGCCTCCTCCAGGTTGACTGCCACTTCACGGCCTCGGAATCGCCGAGCCCTCTTTTTCCATGACATTCATATCACGCTGGGACTGATCTGGATCCTCGATGCTGTTCGCTTTGAACCATATCACCTCCTTGAAAGATTAAGGCTCCGGCTCTGGCATCGACGAAATTAATATCACCATTCACTTGCTTAGACTATGGGACATATATCGGACCACTCGTATATATAACGGCAACTACGTTAGTGTGCAATAAGCACCCGTCACTTCAAAGCAGCTGCTATGACTGTTTTAGCCAAGTTCTTCACATCAAAAAGTGACTGATGTATGTTGCATCTCAGCAGAATCGTACCTCCATATGGCCAATGGTCGACGCAAAAACTTCATCTGCGAATAGCCATAATCAAAGATAGCTGCATCTGCGGGCTTCGTTCTGATATCGGGAGATGGAAAATGGCAAAATCTCGCGATTGAACCCATCAGGAACAGTCCCTGAGCGTAGAACTTATAATTAGGGGAGCTCAAAGTTGGCGCATAAGAATGCGCGTACGCATATGCGCGCATACGGCCGAGGTGCCGTCGATTATGTAATTAAATGTCACACTTTCGTCACATCGTAAACGCGTTGTTGCGTCTCTTCTTTTCCCGTCGCGTCTCTTCATATGAATGAGATATGCATGCCTGATTTTGTCGTGGATCCTTGCGCGGGGCATGATTGCAGTAGACCAGTGTAGATCAATGAAAGTGATTGTTGGATTTCAGCAATCTTGGCTGTACAGGGGTATAGGAGATGCACGTGACTACTGTAATATCGTGTCGCGCGCATGTATTATTTTCTTTATGCGTTTGCTGGAGTCCCAGCCAAACACAATATATCTACTTGCTCACTCGGAACTCGCGCGACCTCACCGGCTTATTTCAACAGTGATATGCTGCGTTCAGCGCTACGTGGGCGCTACTCGGATATGTGACACTCAAACACCATTACATAATCGACGGCACCTCGGCCGTATGCGCGCATATGCGTACGCGGATTCTTATGCGCCAACTTTGAGCTCCCCTATTGTATTCCTACGGACCAAGTTAGATGTTACCCGTTGGGTGACTTGACTTTCATCCTCTCTCTTCAAAAATTCACCCCGGACTGCCTCATCATTTGCATCGCCTGGTTGCTTTCGCTGTATATATTTTATCCGCTTTCGTCGAGAGCATAGTGGGTGTGATTGTGTCTCAGACATTCCGCTACTAACTGATCGGACGTGGACTAGCAACAGTTGACGGAGGACTGCGAGGACGGTTACTGCGGTGCATCATAAATCTCGCCCCCTTTGCGCATTCTGAACCAAGACATCCAACGGGACCCATATCATAACGCAGAATCCTCCAGGGCGACAGACACACATCATGACACCCGCTCAGTCACCTAAATGGCAGTCAGTCGGCCGCTCGGGGAGTCGGACAAAGGCGAGGAGCAGCGGGGGCCGGTACAGTGTAAACGCGTTGTACAGTATGGCTGCAGAGCAGGACACGGACGTGGACGATGATCTCGCCAAAGGTGCGTGCTTGTCTCACACCGTGGCGTTCAGCGTTTTCTGACTTGCTGGTGCCGGTGCTAGCCCAGAAACGATTACGAGACCTTAAGAATAAAATATCAGTGCAGTCGAAGAAGAACTTTGTGCTTGAGCGGGATGTGCGGTACCTTGATTCAAGGATAGGGTTGCTCATCCAGAACAGGATGGCTTCAGACGAGGTATGAGTTAATACTCGCGTGCCACGACATCCATCTAACGTGGGTGCACGAACAGCAACGCGAGGTTGAGCGTACATTCGAGGAAGTCGATCCCACAGCAGGACATTACCCTGACGAAAGGCGGCTTGCCCAATACTCGAACCTCTTCTTCCTCCTCCAATCCGAACCACGGCACATAGCCTCGCTATGCCGTCTCGTCACTCTCAGCGAGATAGACACGCTCCTCCAGACAGTCATGTTCACTCTCTACGGAAACCAATACGACTCACGCGAGGAGCATCTTCTTCTGACAATGTTTCAGTCCGTATTGTCCACGCAATTCGAAACTGCGACAGATTTTGGGTCGCTGATTCGGACGAATACACCTGTGTCGAGGATGATGACGAATTACACAAGAAGAGGACCCGGGAAAGGCTATTTGAAGGAGGCACTATCTGAGTGCATCAACAGTCTGATCGAGCATAAGGACCTAGATCTGGAGATCAACCCAGTGAAGGTGAGCAATTTGGCTTGAAGGCGTGTTGACGCTCATGCTGGTGGAAAGGTGTACGAGCAAATGATAAGTCAAGTAGAGGAAGACGATGGGTCGCTCCCTGATCATCTCCCAAGGGGAGTAACACCTGAAGTTGCTGCAGAAAACGCGGAGGTCCAGGCAATCATTGCACCGCGCTTGGCACTCCTTATGGAAATCGCGAATAGCTTCCTCATGGCCATCATCGACTGCCTGGATAGCGTGCCATACGGCATCCGGTGGATATGTAAACAAATTCGAAGCCTTGCACGGGTAAGTCTACACTCGCCTAGTATCTCCTTTGGCAAGTTTTTAATGACGAGTAGCGGAAATATCCAGACGCGACCGATTTTGCTATATGTTCGTTAATTGGAGGGTTCTTCTTCCTTCGGTTTGTCAACCCTGCCATTGTTACTCCGCATGCGCACATGCTCGTCGAGGAGAACCCGTCAAAACATCCGCGGAGGACACTCACGCTAGTACGCTACCCCGCTGATTACGACTATTGTACATTACGCTAACAAACTGGGCAGATCGCCAAAATGCTGCAGAATCTGGCGAATAAGCCAACATACGCCAAGGAAGCATTCATGATGTCCCTCAATCCATTCGTTGAGAATAACAAGACGCGGATAAATCAATTTCTGAACGGATTGTGTGAAGTTGGCGATTTTTATGACCAGTTAGAGGTGCGTAGCTTCATCTTCAATTTCAATATATGCGTGCTTGGCAAAAGGATTTACGCGCGTCGGGCATACAGATCGATCAATACATGGCCCTTTCGAAGAAGGACCTCACGATCAACATAACGCTTAACGAACTGTACAATACACATGCCCTTCTGGAGCAGCATATCGAGACGCTGGTACGTATCTTGTTACGCCAAATCCGAATCTCAGTATTTACATCCATATAGGCCCCTGGCGACAAGCAACACCTTCGTATCCTTGCTGATGAACTTGGGCCAGCCCCCCCTCAAGTTCCCCGTAAAGAGAACATCTCGATAGAACTCAACCTGTTCAGCCGTTGGGAGACGGCGGTGCAGGATATGCATACTGCGCTCATGGACACTGTGTCCTCCAGCGATATGCTCTATATGGAAGCGAAGTCTATTCTAGTGCAGCTCATCCGTTCCATCCCCCGTGCAGTTGACAAGCGTCCGTACAACCTCATTGCGATCGCCGAGCGCGCTGCTACCACCAAAGACGCCTCCCTCGTACGCAAAGGCATCAAAGTTCGTGAAATGCTCCGCGAGCTCGAAGAACAGCGTGTCATCGATTCCTCGGATAGCTACAAGCTCATGCAAGAGGAAGTCGCTGCTGAACTCATCCATCTGGGGAACCTGAAGGAGAAGGTGTTGGCGGAGACGACATCGTTGCAGGCCGTCTATCGAACGATCAGTGACCACAATGACTATCTCAGAAGTCAGCTGGAGCATTACAAAGCGTATCTACAGAATGTCAGACTGACGGCGTCCAGCGAGAAGGCGGCGGGGAGTGGAGTCGGAGTGGTAACCGTAGGAGGAAACAAAGCGAAGCCAGTGAAGCAGACGTTCCTGGGTCCTTATAGGTTTACGCACTCACAGCTGATGCAAGAGGGGATCATTGTTGACAGCAAGGTGCCAGAGCATAGGTAAGCCGACACTCCACTCTGTTCCCGTTTACTGAGGCTAACCACATCTGGGAAGACGTCCAAACATCTACTTCAACATTTCTTCTCCATCTCCAAGTACATTCATTATTGCCCTGCATTACAAAGGGAGAGAAAAACCAATCCTTGAACTCGATCTGAAGCTCGACGATTTACTAGAAAAGGTACGTTTCTTCAGCCTCAATCTTCCGCCGTCTCCGGTTGATCGCTCTGGGTTTCTCGTAGCAAAAAGACAATAAGCCGCTTCTCGACCTGGAGTACGTTCAACTGAACGTACCGAAAGTCCTGAACCTGCTCAAAAAGATATTCAGCAAGCGATGATGCTGAGTTGATTGTGTATTGTGATTCGTATTGGAGACACCACTCGTTTGATCTTATGTATCATTATTCCTCGTCAGAACTCTTCGTTCTCTTCCCGCCGCCCCATTTTACTTCGGCGTCGCCCGACGAATGCGTTATGCGTTTCTTTCTCTTTCTCTCTGGAATATGGATCATTGATGTAAACTATCTGTTATTTTTCTCTTTCTTCTTGTTTACATCACATAGCCTATGTATTTTAGCTGGCGTCGTTACAATGAATATCACGATTCCAATGACCGGTAGTATAGATTATGCTCAAGGATGGAGCTTATACTGTTTATACTGTATGTTTCTAGGTATCTGTCCGTCAAGACGAAGAATATGTCGATGCAGACAAGTGGAGGATTGATTCGCAACGATCGTCGATGCAGCTGCATGTCAGGGTGGACGGAAATTTGGCGAGGAAGGAACGGTTGAATATCACTGCGACACGGTCTGGTCGTCTACGTTTCTCTTCCTAATTGCGCGTGTCTCTCTGGGTACACGCTCAGCTACTAGGACATCAATAAGATGGGAGTCCCAGCGCACAGTACAGCAAAGGTTGGAACATACTTTTCGTTGCTTCAACGACAGCAGAAGCGGGCGGCTGAGGAACAAGGTCCAAGAAGCTCATGCGATGTGGGTCCAAGGACTCGTTCAGTACCATTCGACTACGTTCACTGATCGAGACACGACTCGGGGCTACATCTGGGGTAAGATTAGACGCGGTGACAGTGGAAAGAGCAAGATCCAACCAATTAAACTAGAAGTGCCATAAATCACTTCTAGCCTCTGCTTCACACGAGCTAGAGCTCTGCAAATTTCAAATTGAATAGATTGAGAGATGGAAGATATATTGACATGCGAGATTGTAATACAGACGTTTCGTCGATGAAATCACTCCCATAAGCGCCTAGGGCGTTGATTACCATTTCCCAGCCCACAGGGTTGATGCGATTCTGCATGGACTTGTTTCCGATGGGAGTGTGCGTGGCCAAGAGCCCTAGGATACGTGAGAGGTGCAACGAGGAGACCTGTGCAAGAGAAGAGGACCAGGCAGATGATTCGAATTCTTCGTCCCAATCGTCCTCGTCGGATGTAGCATCTTGGCCGTAGTGAGAGCGCAGTACATGCAAGCCAAGTAATTTTATCTCGTCTTCGAATCCCCATTCTGGGACGAGTACATCTCCTTCTAGGAGAGGCCACCTCATCCAGGTGTCACTTTTCTTCTTTCCTTGAGATTGCGATGCCGAGGACCGTGCTGCATGATAAGACGAGTCTGCTGTCATGGCATTTAGCGTGTGTGCATCAGCTTCTGCTCGAAGGTCGTCCTGTGAACGGTCGGCATCGTCAAGTGCGATGAGCTCGTCAAGGTCCTCCTGAGACGTGCTACCGGACTGTGGGCTGGACTGGCGTTGGGTCAGTTGAGAGCTGAGGTCAAGGGTGTGGCTGGTTCGTAAAGCTCGAAGCAGTGACGAGTATTCGGAGAGCTCAGAATGAAGTTCGGTCGGAATCTGCTTTCGCTTGCCCATGGTCATGGAGAGACACTGGCGCTAGATGACTTGAGGGTCCGAAGCCCGGAAATCACCCGTGTGAAGCGGTGACTAAGAACTATACAGCACAAGTGTACTCCAAGCACCCCAAGCGACCCCACACTTCCCCAACCTCTTCCATACACTACGAAAGTACGTTGAGAGATCCGAACCGATGTTGCTGGTATCCTGACCCCCGATCCCCTTGCAGTATGAGAGAGAAGTGGAAGAAAAAGAGATCCAGAAGGCTTAGACGCAAGCGCAGAAAGATGAGAGCCCGTTCCAGTACGTTCCCCTCTCCGTCTGTGCAGCTATGCGACTGTTTGCTAATTCACGCCTGTAGAGTAAACAACCCACCGTTCTGCTGAGCATGTGTCTCTTCGAATGGATGTCTTGTCAAGATTCTCGTAGCTGATGGATGCTGGTCACGCACTCCTTTCTACAACTGCGTGACGTCCGAATCGTGGCGTTGCATCGCTTCAAGCAGTGTCTCTGCGTTCTCGAGACAAAAGTAGCTTTACCTTATCAAGCCAGGGGGAACTTACGATGGGTCGTGAATCAAATCAAATGTTGTATTCGTCCCAATATACTTGTTCGATTAGAGTCGTCTCTGTGTCTTTCGTCAAGCCTAGATCAACACCAAGACGTGTGAGTCGTTGGTCGTCCACGCCGTACTGTTGAGCTTGTATAGTTGTTCCGGTATCTGAGCTCGGCATTTGAACGCTGGATTCAGTATTCGTCAGGGACCTTCAGTTCATTAGCAACTTGGATGAAGGCAGGGGGCGTACATTGTTTCATGTCAACATAGAGCATTGTCAGCTTCAAGGATGATCGATGAAGGATGGAATATTGCTCTTCGGATTCGGATAATGTAAATAGTCCTCTGATTATAAGATGAAAGTGAGGGTCACTGCCGTCGTAGGGGCGGGAGTTCTCCTTCCTGCTTTGCCGCCGGACCTCACGAAGAATTTGCTTGCCATCGAGTTTTGGTCTACAGTAGCGTTCGACTCTTTCAAGCTTTTACAGCTTGATTAATTGACTCTTTAACGCGTGGGTCACGCGCGTGTTCCAATCAACATACACGCTCACGTGCAAGAGTTCCACACGAAAACGCCTGCCCTAAACATGTGGCGGTTGCAGTGGCTTGGATTTGAACAACTGCGCCATAGATGCGCTGCTGAACGTCGTTTCCAACAATGACAAGCAACTCGTCCGCGCCGTGGTCCCCAACGTACGGGACCACGGACTACACCTCTGTAACACCTACCGACACACTAATGTCACCCTCAAGATACTCATATTCCGGTAAGTTTGGCTTTTGACGTGCAGTTCTCTCATGACGGCTCTTGTTCGGGAACAGACGCACCGACTCAATCAACCGATAGTGAAGACGCATCGCCCAGACGTGCCATGAGACGCATCACTGTCTCGCCGTCACCTTCTAGCGAAGACTCGAATGGAGCGCCTTACCACTATGAAGAAGAAAACTCGTTCGACGATGCAGACGAAGTAGCAGCGACTCTCAATACCCTTGAAGACGATATCAACGAAACGGAAGACTTATGGACACGCACCACGTCCTCGACAGCTACGCCCTCAAGCTTTTCAGGTACTTATTCTGGTTCTTACACTCCAACATCTTCGTCTCTTGCGCCATTGCCACCAGCTGGCACGTTTCCTCGCGCGGGACATATCCAAGACCCCCAGATCCGACTCAGTATTATCTCTGAGCGCACAGAGCCCTCGCGCCCGACGTCTGGGGCATATTCGACTACCCAGTACGCAAGGCCCAATGCACCCACACCTGATGCCCACAGAAGGTCAGGCGTTTCTTCGCACACGCGTTCATCTACCGACCCGAACGCCGATCGAGAGCTGCCGCCTCCAGGTCGCGCCATTGAACTGATTGCGCGGTTCGAAACGAACTCCCCTGGTGGCGGCCACCTCAGAACCACCTCAGCACCCGGTGGGCCTCGCTCGCCGAGTCCTTACATGTCAGCTAGTCAATCTACGCCTCATCTTCCCAGCACGGCTGGGTACAATTATACAAGCAGCTATGGGTATGGAAGCAGTTACGGCTATGGTTCTCGGTCGTCATCTCCATCGAAGTCGTCTTCTTCGATTTCGTCTTCAGCATCTGAAGAGAGAATCTCGAATACGTTGTCCACTCTGGCAACCCAGCGCGCTGTGACGTCTACTTCTGGCGATACTAGGTTCCTCACGACTGATACTGGCTCCCAAACACCCACGGGCAGTCGCACAGGCACGGGTTATCTAAGCCCAAGCGCGTATACCAACACATTCACGAATACCGGCAGTCAAACACCCACACGTACAGGGACCGGTTACCTGAGTCCCAGTGCGTACACCGGGACCTTCACCAACACTGGCTATATGGGGACATACACAGGAAGTGATACTTTCACCGGGACGGGGACCACACCAACGGGCTCCTCGCTAAGGCGTCCACAGAATATCTCGCCTCGATCCCCATTAACTTCCGTTCGGAACATCGTTGCAGCGTGGAAGGAGAGAACGCCCGTTTCTGGGGCTAGGACTGGTGGGAGGGCATCCTCAGTGACTAGCACGACGCCGCCTGGTGAAGGGGAGGGTGGCTTATTGGGGATTAGGCGAAGGGCACAGAGGGTCGGTCAGAGAATCGGCCAAGCGATAATGGGAGGTCCTGAAGAGTCGGTCACTGATGCTACCCCACGAAGTGCCCGCAGCATTGGCCTGCCCCCTGGGCTGGACATCGCAGACCTTACCCCATACACCCAGACGAACGAACAGGTAAGTCGTCCATCGTGTGTGTTATCATCATCTCACGTGATCGTGTTTAGCCTCAACACATTGGGCTGCTCTGGTATCTGAACGTACATGCTTCTCCACCCTATAGATGGCAGCGTTGCCAGGCGCTGCTGTATCCGCACATGCTGCTTCTATCTTGGCTTGCAGCTGGTGGAGGGCGAGGGATAGTGGCGGTCGATCTGTTAAATTGCACTTCGGTTCAGTCAGCTGCAACCCCAACCCATCCATCGGCGAGAGATGATGTCGGGACGATCGCAGCAATGAGGCAGAGCAATGAACCTGATGGGCAGCCCCTGATGGATGTGCTAGTGCCATTCCACATGCTGTACGCAGATGGTGTAGAGAGACTTGCAGCCGAGAGTGTTCACGAGCGGTCGAAGTGGGTACACCGTATATGGTACGTTTCATACGACTGTATATCCATCGCTCTGGCACTGATGCACGGTACAGTGAACTGCTTCCCGCCACTCCGGCGCCGTCTCGGACTCAGTCGCCAACTGGTTCCATGCGAACGATCCTTTCCATCGATACCACTTCTAGCTCGTCCAGTGTCGGCTCTCGATCCACTGTCTTTGTTCCGCCTCTCAGTAGTATCCCGGATATCTCTGATGATTTCGATACGCGATCCACCTTCTCCAGAACTACTTCGTTCATTTCGACTCACCATACGGGAACCGTCGATGATACCGCCATTTTAGGGCAAGGATACGTCTATCGTGGCGACCCCCGAGTTATCGCACCGTCTCGTGGTGGTTCGCTGAGGCGTACGAGTTCACTTACGGATATGGATCAGGAGTTTGCCTCTGCTTTGGATCGGGCGCGAGGTGCCAGGCCTGGTCTTGGGTTCGCGAGCCGCGTTATTCTTAGTGGTTCCCCGGTGACAGTGTCAAGTGGTTCGTCGCTTGGCAAAGATGTCTTTGTTACGCCCCCTCCTAGTGCTCGCGGTAGTTCGACACCCCATGGATCGTCGACCGACCTCTCAGACGAGGCTTTCTTTTCCGCCGGTTCAGGGACCAGTGATACTCGGACTACGTCGTTGTACACATTAACGTCGACGGGTAGGGACAGGACAACTACCGGATTCACGTCTACTGGCTTTACGACCACTAACACCGCGACGGGTCTCACTTCCGGTGATTCGGACACGAATGTCGTTTCGTCTACGTTGTCCTACCGCCACACAGATTCTGCCTCTTACCTTGGGGACTCGCATGATTCAGACTCGTATTTCTCCTCGGGTTCGTCTCGCACGCCGCTCACTAGATCAAGCGCTTTGTCAAGGCGTACTGGGAGGTCGAACTCGAGGTCGAACTCCTCTGGCTTTCCGTACAGCTCAGACGAAGCCTCGGACAAGGAAAACTCCAGCAACACTATGTCTGGCTCTTCGTACACTCAGTCGGGTACCCGATCTTCTGACGACACTGGCTATGACGTCTGCCACTCCTCCGATTTGTCGGCTCTCACCTTGAATTCATATTCAACATACAGCTATTCTACGGCGTCCAGCAGCGAATTCTCCGAAGTGCCGCCATCTTCAGCACCTTCATCAGATGTTTTTGCTTCTGCATCAGAAGGTAGCGGCTCCTATGTCACGGCTGCGTCCCCAGCCTCGACGGCCTTCGAGTCGCTTCCTAGTATTCCTTCCGAATCTGAGTACGGTACTGCGGACGAGGCCGCGTCCACGGAATACGCTACGGCATCTGAACCGTCGGAATACATCACTGCAGAAGTCTGTCCCTCGGAGCCTGGGACGGAATATCTCACAGCGATCGAGCCCAGGGAAATTCCCTCTGAGCTCAGTACGCCAAAAGCCTCGTCGTCTTTGCATTTAGAATCAGATGTAGAATACGACATCGAGCCTGACATTGCGGAAGAAGAACAGATTGAGAAGGAGTTGGTGCTCTCCGATGAGTCACCAGAGGAAGCAGAAACAGAAAGCATATTGCCGTCGCCGTCTGAAGTCCCAACTATCATCACGACAGAGTCTGAAGGAGACGATCTCCTCGATCCAGCTAACGTGTCACTCCCGCCGTCTCTTCCTCCATCTATCTCATCTCTGTCGTCGATCACTTTGGATGAAGTGACGCCTTCTTTCTCGCCATCGTCGGAGCCGACAACAGTGCCAACCCCATCGTCGATATCTTTCTCTGCTACGGAACTGACGGAAAGTTCGTTGCCCGGTCCGTCGCCGATTGGTACAGAACCAGCTTCAACCCCACTGCTACCATTATCGTCTGTCTCGAGTATCAGCGAGTCATCATTAACTCCTACTCCTAGTAGCTTGACACCATCAAGCCCGTTGGATATTGCCCGCTCAGTCCCTGCAACGCCCGTGACTATATCTCCATCGCTTTGGGCCAGCGAGACTGACGATTCTTATGAATCCTCAGTTCTTGCGGCATCTGCATCGGTGGTCACCATGGCTAATGAGGGCCCAGATTTCTCTTACGACACTTCTATCCTGCGACCTACTGGATCAGCAATATCTTCTCCGGATCGACTCACGACGATTCCTGAAACGATCTTGGAGACTCCCTCGCGATTCACGTCTCTACCACCCGTTACGCCTGTCCGAAGGCCATCCCCTCCCCTTCCACCTATACCTATCACAGAGCCTGCAGAGCCTGCAGAGCCCGCAGAGCCCGCAGAATCCGCAGAATCTGACATCTCCTCCAGTACGCCTCCCACAGCTTCGGACTTGACTCTGTCCAGCACAACAGAGTCGCCGTCTCTGATTACGGAATCGTCCCTGTCACGATCGTCGGAACAAGAGTCGTCGTATGTTTCGTCGTCGACCGTTAGCTCGTTGCTTCCGTCAGAAGAAGTCCTCCCAGTCCCTGCTCCAGAAGACATCCCTGATGATGTTTCGACGATCCCGTCGCTTTTATCTACTCCACGAGCTGCAATCGCCCGACCTCTTTCGGTAAGTAAAATTTGGCACCATAGAAGTCGCAGCTTTAACGTTCCTATAGCCGTCATCTATCTCGTTGGTTTCGACTAGCCCAAGTCTACTCATGAGCCCACAATTGCCCACACCAGAAGATGTCACAATGAGCGTCAGTATCAGCACACCCCGAGGGGATACCCCGTCAATCCACTCTTTGGATAGCCAGAGGACTCCAACGATGAGCGTTGCCAGCATCAGAACGGATCGGTCTATCAGCAATGACATCAGGCGCCTTGCGGATGATTTGCACCGCATGGACGATGTCCGAGGGGAGGAGAACAGAGAGCTCGTAGATCATATTCAGGCCCTAAGGCATGAACTACACGACCTGTCCGAATATCTCCGTCGAACGCCTTCGCCTATCCTTCACGCGGATAAACGAGATCAGAAAGTAGGAGGTAGCAGCCTCCTCTCAGTTGACCATGCCACTCGTAAGGGCCCCACCGAACTCAGCGTCCCAACACCTACTGGCTCCAATCTTAGTCGTGCCAATTCCATTGCCAGCAGCATGGTTTCGTACTTGTCTTCCCACCATTCTGATGACTTCAGTCTGTACGGAGGATCACCCGTCGCCGAAGAGCGTGAATTGGAACCTGCCATGGAAGAAGAGTGGAGAATTCCCTCGCCCCAATCCTCTACCACATCGTCAAGTTCCTTGTCGTCTTCTTCTCCGTACTCGAGCTCCTCTACGTCCCTTCCTACTCCTCATTCCATTGCTTCCACTCCACCGGTGCCTTCGTTAGTGTCCCATAGTACGAGTACTTCCACCACGTCAACTTCTAGTACATCGACTGTCCGTGCTAGGCCTGCATTTCCCAACCTTGCTCCAGCTCTTGATGGTATTCGTGATAAACTGAATGCTCTGTGGGATGGTCAGCTATCCACGAATCATATCCTTGATGAACTACGCGCACACCGTCCCGGAATACCTGAGCCAGCTGGCCCAGATATCGAAATGCATAACCGACTTCATCGTATCGAGGGACTCGTACAGTCTTTGCTAGATCGACCAATCCAGCAAGCTCCTGCTCCGCCGTTTCCTCAACCCGAGATACATCGCGATCAACCGCGACAGCCAACGGATGACAGCTCTGAAGCCCCCAGCTCTGATAGCAGTTCTGACTATATTAATGGTCTCATCAATGCCCTTAATGACCTGCGCACAAACCCCCCAGAACCCCACATCCAGATGCCAATACCACAGACTGCTGGCCCTTCACTTGCGCAACAACTCGAAGAAATCCTTTCCTCCACGGCTCCCGTCCCGCCTTCGGTTGTCCAAGGCCCGCCGCCCCTTGTACCATTCAGTTATCAGCCAATAGGTACTCGTCCTCGCAGCGCTAGTCCTCTGTCACTTCGAGACATGCTGCGGCGACCTGGCACGGAACCCCCTTTGCCTCATATTCGCGATATTCCTCCACCATCTAGAGCGGGCAGGCGTGTTCGAGCACACCCTCGTAGGCGATATTCTTTATATTCTCAAGCGCGTTCGGAGGAACCAGTTATACCAGCTCCTCCTCCTGGTCATGCTCCCTCTCAACAACTGCGCGATGAGGGTAGAGGTGTCCCGTCCGAAAGAGTCCCACGACGTGGTACGTACATACTTCAGCACGATGAACATGTATTTAACAGTATGTCTGAAGGTCCTACACCAGAACCAGTGTTTCCTGGAAGAGACACTACCGCCAGCGCTCCTCCTCCTGGTTGGTATAGGCCTTCTCCTCCAGTAAGTTTCCCTAAAAGTATTACAAAATTACATATTCACGATCCGTAGTCGGTCATCCCACCGCCTCCGATTATTGATCAGCCTGCTCAGCAACGTGCAACTACACAGCAGCGAACTTATTTACCGATGCCAGCTGGACCGGTATGTTAATTCAACGTGTTCACTCCTTGAGCTCATGGCGTCCACAGACTATCGTTCAGCTCCCACCTCTTTTCGAGAATTTGATGGAAATATTACGGGTCCGTGCATAGATTTTCTCGAGTTCTGTCTCTCATATCAGCGTAGGAGAATCGGCTCGCCCAGCTCGCTACTGTCGATCAGCAGAGAGAACTTATGCGATATATGCGGGGCTTGAACGAATGGCTTGAAAGGGATGTGCATGATCGTCAGGCAGAACTTCGAGGCGTAGCAGCACGCGTCGACGACCTTACCAATTATATTCGACGCCTCGGCGCACAACGTACGAGTGGCCATCTAGACATCATTGTAGCATGACTGACGTTACTCTTTCAGCTCGTCGCGATCGTCCTGACGGTTCCTCCAGTGATTCCGACCGTGCCTATCCACCGCAAATGCAAATGCAGATGCCGATTCCCCAGCCCGGCCCCGCACCGCCGATGCCTGTTCCACAAACTGGAATGCCCCAACCGATGTTTACACCATATCCTCCTGGCTTCGTGCCTGTAGGCGGCGTCATTCCTCCGGTTGTGCCAGATCACAGTCCTCCATACGACGATGGACGGCCAGTAATACCAGACATGCACGCACCTATCGTGATCAACCAACCACCAGTGATACCAGGCGGATATCAGCCGATGGGTATGCCTCCACCTGGTATGATGTCAGTTCACGACGAGCAGCCAGTTCGCCCTTACATCCCCCCCGAACCTTCCGCTTCGGGCTCACCCCCGTATCAAGTTCGACCCCCTGGCGGTTATGGTCCTACCATTGTCCGTGTTCCAGCCAGCGAACCCAGTAGTTCCGGGGGGAGCAGTACCCATCGATCGAGCAGCCGGCGGCCAAGTCGACATCCATCACGTCGTTCAGAACGTTCAGAGCGATCGCGTAGGAGTAGAAGCAGAAGTCCAGACAGGCGCGGAGGTAGAGACAGAAGTAGGAGTGGAAGCAGGAGTAGGAGTCGGAGTCCACGAAGCCGAAGCAGCAGGTCCTCCTCATCTAGAAGTTCTCGTACTCGGATTCCACAAGTTGAGGTGGCATCAGGGCCACCAGTTGTTAGCATCCAACCAGGTCCTCTGTATGTCCCTGGCCCTGCCACTACCCCCCGCCCGGGCTCTCCGAGACATCCTGATGCACCTCAACATCCCACTCCTTCGCCACAACCCGTGGTGATCAATATTCCTGGACAACAGCCAGGGATGGTCCCCGGTATAATGCCAGGTATGATGCCAGGACCTGGTATGATGCCCTCCCAAATTGGTATGATGCCCCCCCAGGTCGGAATGCCCGGTATGCAGCACCCTACTATCGTCGACGTGCGTGGGAGCCGCTCTCCTTCGCGCAGTTCCCGTTCGAGTCGTTCGCGCTCGCGTTCGCCTCGTTCACGTTCGAGTCGTTCACGACGTTCGCGGCGTTCACCTCGGAGTCGATCACGTTCAAGGAGCAGCCCGCGGACCCAGCGTGATCGTCCAAGTTCCAGGAGTCCTTCGCGTCGTTCGCGCCGTTCTCCGCGTCGTTCTCGCTCCCGTTCCCATTCTCCAGCCTCAATCCACGTGCATACTCAACCGGCTCAGTCATATGTTCCTACTGTACCTGGTATGATGCCGTCAGGTATGCAAGGCGGACCAATGATGCCAGGGATGATGCCTCCAGGGCCTGGTGGAGTTGTCGTACTCCCTCAACGGAGTGGTTCTTCGCGTAGCCGGCGCTCTAGGAGCCATCGTTCCCGTCGATCGCGGTCACGTTCACGTTCACGCTCACGCTCACGAACTCCACCTCCCCAGATCATACAGCTCCCAGGAGGTGGCACTCAACCTTACTATCCATCCGCTCCTGGGTCGCAAATACCTCCCACTCAAGTAGTTTTACCTCCTCAAGGCTATCCTGGGTCGCAGTATCCGCCTGGGCAATATCCACCAGGGCAGTTTCCTCCGGGGGGTCAGCCTACTGTGGTCGCGATTCCGGGGTCGCGGTCGCGTTCATCCTCTCGCTCTCGTCGCTCTCGATCTCGATCTCGCTCCCGTTCTCCTCGACGTGATCAACCTGCAGTTGTTGTGCAAACCCAACCTCCTACCACCGCACCTATGCAACCTGCTCCAACGCCGCTCATAGTAACTCAAAGTCCTAGTCACCGCAGCCGGTCACGCAGCCGTTCGCGTTCGCCCCGTTCTTATCCTCCGACTTATGCACCAGACCCTAGCCGTTACGCACCGAGTCGGCCCCAAACTGCCATGGGCCCGAGCGAGCGTCCCTATACCGATCGACCACGCCGGCACGGTTCTCGTTCCTACTCACCTCGTGGTGGAAGCCCATCTCGTCGTCGTCGATCTCGTTCAGATTCACCGCACCGGCGACGTGATAGTAGAGGCCGCTACGATGACAGGTATCCCGGCGATCGGTACGGAGATAGGGAACGGTACGGGCGTGGATATAGGGATGACCGGGATCGTCCTGGCCGCGATTATCCTTACCGGGATGACAGGGATCGCCCTGGCCGCGATTATCCTTACCGTGAGCGTGATGACAGAGATCGTCCACATTCGCCAAGTCGTCGTTCCCCGAGTCGTCGTTCCCCAAGTCGTCATCATTACCCCCGATCCCGATCACACTCTCCCTACTACAGTCGTTCAGAAAGACGCCGGCCTCGATCACGATCACGCTCTCGATCACGTTCTCGTTCTTATTCTCCATCCGGAAGACGTCGTCCTAGCCGGCGCTCACCATCACTTCGTCTCGAAACCTCTCGCTATGGCACGCCTGCACCTGCACACACCGCTGGACCGTCTGTCCAACCAACTCTGCCCCCAAGCTCAGATGTGTATGCACCCAGGCACCCTCAACAAGCCCATGTCATTGCTCCTTCCGCAGAATATTCAGACCAGCCGTCTTCCCCTCATTTCGTCACCGTCCCCTCTCGCCCCCAGCCGTCTGCCACACCCCGCCCTCTCACCGCCCTCTCCGTCGCCGAACATGAGGAACCTGGTTTATACCGCACTCCTAGTCGAGTAGGGCGAACCCCCACCGGCCGTAGTGGTGTCTCTGGTAAGTTGATTATTGCATTATCAAGTTAATTACTAATCCTGTTCTAGGTGGATATTCTCCTGCGCCTTCTGATTATGCAGATCATAGACCTCCCGAAGTCGTGCCCGCTCCAGAAGACATGCTGCGTCGTCCTCCCCCTCCTAGTCACACCTCACCGGTCTCTATGCGCAATGTCCCTTCACCCTCTGTTCACACAGTGCCAGCTGAAGAATACCCCGCATCCCCCAGTCGTTCTGCAGCTTATCCCCCTAGCCATGCTCCAAGTCGTGTAGCAACACAAAGAACGTCCACCCAGCGACTCCCTAGCGAAAGTACCGTCGCTCCTGTTCCACATCCCTTGCGTCCCGTCACACCTTTCCCTGGGGATCTTGAGGCAGCAGAGATGGCGAGAGAGCGCCTGGAGCGCCTGGACGATATGGAACAACAGCTTCAACATATAGCAGGCGACGCACAGGAGGCGGAAGAGCTGCGTGAAAGGGAGTTCCGTGACCATGAAGAAGATAGGCAGCGCATTTTCTTAGACAACGAAGCGCGAAGGGATCACGAAGTTAGAGAACGTCACGATGAAATTTGGAGCGATCTCGAGAATCGGATTGCAATGCTAGCGCCTCCTCCCCAGAGGCCGACAGCGCCAGCCTCCCCGCCCCCACCGTCGATTCGACCATCTATCCCTCCCTCTATCATGGAACAGGAGCCTATGATTCCAGGTGAACCGATGGCTGATACTGCCTCTGTTATGGAGTCTCTCCGTGCTAGTCAGGAAGCAGCGTCTCTCCATGCACAATCCATCATGCAGACCATTCAAAGCGAACGCGAAGAGTTTGCGCGTGAAAGAGACGCGGCAGCTGCTGAAAGAGAGAGGTTGATGGCCGATCTTCAGGCGGACAGGGAACGCATGCTAGAAGAACGCGATGCACGAATTCAAGCCCTCGAAGATGAGCTCGCCGCTGTTAAAGGTGAATTGGAGAACGAGAAGCAACAGCGGGTGACCGAAGAGGCCGAGAATCGCGAGCGAGAAAGGCAGCAGAATATTGAACGGGACGAGATGATTCGAAACCAACTTAGTGATATCACGAATCTCCTCCAAGATCAACAGGCAGGGCTGGCTCAAAAGAGAGAGATTATGGACGAGCGATGGCGGGATAAGATGGATCGGCGACAGGATACGGACTCTAAATGGATAGAGCTACGCGATATGGTCAACAAGATTCACGACGATTTAGAAGCAGACAGAAGGGAAGAGAACGAACGTCGTTTTGCTGCCGAGCAGAAACCTGGTAAGCCCCTTTGTTTCATGTCGGCCCAGCGCAATCATTAACCGTATTCTAGGTATCGACCAAGTCATGGCAGAACTACAGAGGCAAAACGGAGAGTTGAGAGAATTATTACACAACATGTCCAATGGTAAGTTGCAAACCGACTTTAATCGCTGCATCCTAACGTCACGAAAGATATCCGTACGGAGTGTGGGCAACAACATGAGGAGACGCTGAACGCAGTAAGAGCCAGTGCACAGGAGCAGGTGTCCTTCAACGTACAAGGCGTAAGCTATTCATGTCCTCCGTGGTTTCTTGTAACTTACTCGCTTGTAGTATCTGGACGACTTCAGCAAACTGTTGGCTTCGGAAGTCAAGATGCTCCTCGGCGAAGTTGGCAAGCTACGAGAAGAGAAGCGCTCCCTTAAACAGTATGTCTCTTCCTCTTTCCTCTTGATGACACGGTCTTACGGCTATGCAGTGAGGTTGGCTTCTTGCTATGTGTACAGTCCAAGTATGGTCCAGGCGGTGAATACGAGCCCGAATGGTGAGTACTTTGCGCGCAGTCTGTATTCTCTGTTCTCTAACCCTTTGCGTGCATAGGAAACCGCCCGCACCACCAGGTCCTCCAGCCGACGCCCCACCCCCTGAACCTCCCATGCCACCTGAAATGCCACCAGCTGCGAAGCCTGGTTGGCGCTTCACTCACCGTGCTCGTCCTCGCCGGAAGAAGGAGCAGGCTCCTGCTCCTCCACCTCCTGGGCCTTCTGCTATGCAGATGCCTCCCGGAATGGACCCTCGCATGGACCCGAGACGTCAAGTTCAGTCCTGGGCGACATGGCAACGTACGTTCCTTTCCCTCCCTCTTTTGTTTGTGTCTTACTCACCATCTATTTTCAGCGGACCCACATCTCGTACCAACACCTCCCTCAGTTGAACCTACTCTCATTGTCCCCGAAAGAGGCAGTCCTGGCCTCTTTGGTCCACGGTCGCCCCGCAGCTCATATAGTTAATCACTCATTTTTGGATTTGATTTATGCTTGATCTATTCGTATGCTTCACTTACTGTACGACATGACACCACGATCTGTTACTTACCTTATGCCTCTGATTCTTGTTGCTCTCATCTCATGAAAAGGAATGTATTGCATTGCTTGTATGTTACAATTAGATTATGCTTGCTATGATAATGATATGCACTTTCGTTGTCTTCTGAATATCCCGAAGTTCGGCGTGTCCCTCTTAGGTGTTTGTTATCTGCACCCTTAGTACCCTGACGATCATACAGTAATAGCAAAGGGCACTGTGTTTTGCTCTGAAGAGTGTCGTCGTTTCTAGTAGTATACATTCAAAATTGTACGCGACTGTGAGAGCATCATAACCACATCTAGCGTCCATATCTACGAGTCGTGGCGGTTATCAGTAAGGAAACAATCAACGAACAAAGGATTCCAATCACGTACTTCTGGAGTTCCCACTCCCTATTGTCCAACGGACAGACGTTCCTTGTCTTGAGCCACCGAGAAATGCAGTGGAAGTGGAAGGCGTGCTGCAATGATATGAGCATCAACGCTGAGATTCACCGACATTGCCATGTACTTGTGATAGATCACAGGAAGGACGAATGACTCACGTTGCAGATTCCCCATGCAGCATTGCACTCTTCGCTGGTAGCAGAGACTTGATTGGCTTGACAATCGATGCCTTGAAGAGAAAGGAATGTAAGCTGTGAAACGACCCACATCGCAAGCTGAAGCTTACACAGATCCATGATATGGTTCCTGCAGATGGCGCAGTTGTCCACGACGATGTCTAAGAGAGATCCTACATCAGCGACATCTCAGTCACGCGAACGGTCTACTGACCCCACGCCCACAAGGCGACCGCGTTCCACTTCATTCGAGCAGCATGAGTGGCCGATTATTAAGGCTAAGCAGAGATATCACCTTCTTAACTTCGAATCTTTGCTTGCCTTCCTTTGCTTTGCCCTCTTTCTTGGTCGTCACAACGGTTTGATCAACGTCCATGTCAGCCATGATGGTAAGAAGCAGAAAGAGTACCGCTCAGATCTGCTAGGCGCTCACCCAGTTGTACCATAACTGTGCACTCAGGGGTTATTGACATACCTCTGAATACAGAATTTATATCCACCTGTATCGCGGATCAACTTGTATCGCAGTGCGTATTATAATTCTAGCGTAGAAAAAGGAAAGCCGAAGACTACTACTAGTGTATGTTAGCTCAAATCCCAGGAGGAAGGGTGACATCGAGAAGCGTGGCTACTTCATCTGGCCCCATGTCACTGTCGGGCAGGCTGGTGGGTGGCGTGCTACCGGCTGGAAGCAGAGACCAATTCGGGGAAGGAGTTGGCCGGATGTGAGAGAAGTCCTGCACCATTAGCGGTTCGCTCTGCAGCTGCCGGCTGTTGGGATCAGGACGGCGACAAAATCTGATACGGCTGCAACCCTCTACGATCGGCGAAGACGAGATCGATACGAAGACATCGACATCCTTGGAGGTATGCATCCTGAACTGTTACGCGCGTGTCATTAGCCATATCGTCAGGGATCACCTGTTAACTTGCTTACTTGATGGCATCCAACCACAATGCTGCAGCGGTTGAGATCGTGAAGCATCACGCTTCCAGTGATGTCAGGAAGGAGTAGCAAACAGTTCTTGAGGTTGTGGATGTGTAGAGCGGTGATTTGTACACCGTCAGTCGTCTGAGAGGCCAAGTTGACAATGCAATTCGTTAGATCGCGTATCGTTGCGTCCGACGAGCTTCCAGCCATAGGAGTAGGTATGTTGTGCCATCCCAGGTACGCATCGTGATGAGAGCTCAAGATGAGATTCGACGAGGATGGGGCCTCCGGGCGGGGGAGTTCACTGGGTTTATGGGAAGACGGAGGTTTCCCAGACCCATTTGCCTTTCGCTTGAACGTGAATTTAGACTTTGGCTGTGCTGCTCTGAGCTTCTCTAGTGATTGTTCTAATGTTTTCACGCGCTTGTGCAAGAGTTAAACCTATTTTCTGGCTGAAATACAATCAGCCGGCGTACCTGTTCGTGCTGGCGCTGATCGTAGCTAGGCAAAGTACCCAGGACATCAGACAGTCTTCTAGATAGTGCAGCGACTTCCGCAGCTAAACCTTGGATGATTTCGGAGGAAGATGGCTCCATCGCGGCAGCAACACTGATGCGCGATTCAAGGTCTACAATGAAATGGTTATGCCAATGAAACCAGTAATTCTAGAGGTTGGCTTTCAACCTGAGAACGTAGCATTGAACCCTTCGGCAAAGGAGTGTGCGATCTGCCACTTTGCTGTGTCTTCGGACATGGTGATATGAAAACAAAGAACTTGACCACTCTCCCTTAGACTCCCTAGCGACTTCGCTGATTTGGCTCGAAGCTCCTAGGGGTTACAGAAGTAATATTAGGGCTGTACAAGCCGAAGCCCATGCATGTAATTATGACGGTCAGGTTGAGTATTACTCCTTAATCGCTTGTCTCCAACCTCCAGCTCCTTTCTACTTTACAACAACCATCGATGGCTGACAATGTTTTGGGCACCTGCTGCGCCGGTGTCTGCGCGATGTGCTGTAATTCAATCTGTTCTGAGCCTAGTTCGTTGGTTTTTTATTGACTGTATTCTTTCTACATAGGCATTTGCGGCGAAGTCTCCCTTTTCCAATGGTGTACCCAAAGTGCGTGGCTGCTGAATCCAGTAGCGTAAAGAAAGTCGCTGTAATGATGTATGACCTTTATAGAGTCCTATGGGTCTGGTTCAGGCACTGCACAGAGGGGTTGCTGTGGACGCTGCTGCTCTGACTCCTTCGACGCAGACGATTTTGATAAGGCAGTTAAAGAGGATTTGGCTCGGACGAAGGCTACGGAGGGGGACGCAGTCATGAAACAGCCCCAAGCGAGTGGTGAAATGTCAACTGCGGTCGCCCAAAAGCCGACCGCCTCTGCGACTTGAAGAGACATTCCGTTCTTTAAATGCTAGCTGCGGCGAGGCACCAGCTCCCTGATGAGTTTGACTGCTCTGTAACGGACCTTTTTCTTGAAATTGATGCACCGTTCACTGTTTAACCTTACCGAGTTTTAAATGTACGTTGCCGAGCGCCCTCCTGATGATACGACGTATTTATTATCTAAGTTCCAGTTGGAAAAGATTCAAAATCGCGTTGATGCTGCATATGATCGTCTGATGTAGTGGGCCCCTCTACCCTTCGATAGCATAACACACCGACTGAATTTTGGAAAGGGCAGGAAAGGTTTGGTGTAAGATAAGGAACGAGCACGGAACAGAACGAGCGGAGGGAGATGCCGGTTCATTTAGTTGCCGCAGAGTTGCCGTAATTCTTTCCACGCTGCCAGAATCTTTGCGATTCTTGAATATTTGAATTCCTTCATTATCGACACTGGCCGGCCTTGCTCAAAAGCGCGTTTACGGCGCTCTTCACGATGGAATGTCACTCATAGCGCAAAATACATCATTTTCACGAGTTGTACGCCACTCTAGGTCCTGGGCTCATGCCAATAACTTTTTCGCTCATCTCCCAACTTGCCGACGACAACTTTTGCGCCGAACTTTTGCAACTGAGGCCACCGCGATAGCCAGTTTATCCCCTGAACAACGCGAATGGCTAGACGAGCAAGAAGCCCATGCAGCTGTCCTTTATCGTGACATTCCCCTGAACACCGAATTCAAGAGGAAGCCGAATTCGTGGGCTCCTGCAAAAGATTTTGAAGCTTCTGCTGCGGAAAGCGAATGGCTGCAGCCTGATGACGGCTCCTCTTCAATGATTTCAATTCCGAGTCACGTTGAAGAGTCTGAAGCACGCGACCGAGTTGATTGGCGGCAGAGGGCACCGTCGCGCATGCGACAAGTAGTAGCCGAGACGAAGGATGGGAAGAAGAAGAGACTCACGCGTCGGCATGAACCTCCAAAGGTAGATCTAACTGTTGGGGAGCCATTCTACCACCAGATTCAGAACTACCAAACTCGGTGTGTTTTCTGTTTGCATTCGATGTGATGCGCAGAACCTTATAGAAGATAAGATTTTTGGAGTTACTAAACATGGAAGAAGATGAAGACGAAGCTGTCCTGCAGAAACGTCTGTCCACCTGGAGCCTTGATCGCCTGAAAGAAGCAGGGTACTGCTTGACGGAGCTCTCAGCATACTGGATGAAAGCAAATCAGTTCGGACGCCCCGTAGCTTCGTTCACCCTAGGCCCAGGAATAATGCTACCCGAGCATCGATTTGAGTATGTATCTTTCTTTCATCGTGTTGCACCTAACTTATGCGTTTCTGTAGGACCGGTACTCAAGTATTAGTTTCAAGGATTGACCCCCTGACAGAGACTCCTTTGAAGGGCAGTGTCGTAGGGAAATACGACCGAATGCTTCATATCTCTTTCCAAGATTCCTTTGATCTCTCGCAGGGTTCCTGGAGGTGAGTTCGGCTTGATTGCCTGTTGACTCTGGCTTATCTTATCAGGCTGGACGTCGGACGCTCGAATATTATCTTTGAGCGAATGCGAACAGCCATCTCCCACTTCAATCATGATGTTCGAGCCCAAGAATCCATAGAACCCGCCGCAGATCGTGAATACATCCTACAAGGCACCTATCTCAGAGACATCCTCCTTCGTACCTTTGGCGACGAAGAGGGTGTAGACGAACATGACGCCCTCCAGGAAGCAGACGACGTTAGCTACGTAACGCGCTCAGTCCTCGATCACTCTCCGACAGAAGGGGCTGAAGGAGCATTCAAAGACGATCTGCGAATACAGAGTTGGGCAAAACGGTATTCAAAGGAGAACCCAGTGGTAATAGAAGGTGACCCTGTGATCGAGGGCTTGAATGACACGCAAAGGAGGGCGATGGCTATGATGATCGGCCAGCGAGCCAGTCTAGTACAAGGCGTAAGTCTCGACCAGTGATATAGCTGCAATTCTCTCATCATCTCATGTTGTTAGCCACCCGGTACTGGCAAGACAAAAACCATCATTGAAACCGTTAAACTACTTAAAGTCAGTACACGCAGTCCTACATCCGAACCAAGTCTCTAAACTATGTTTTCTTAGATGCATTTTGAGGTCCCGCACCCCCTCCTTGTTTGCACTTATACCAACGTTGCTGTGGACAATCTCGTTGAAGGTCTCGCCGCCACTGGTCTTACCCCGCTTCGCGTTGGGTTCGGTGGCAAAGTCAAGGCCTCGCTGATACAACATACGCTTGATTATAAGCTAGACATCCATCCATTGAAACCTAAGCTCGATAAGCTCGTACAGGACGGCGACGCCTTGACCGAGGAACTTCGTAATTTGGTTAATAGGACCCAGGAGTTTAAAGATCAACATGCGGGGAAGAGTTTGAACCAGAGGGAGCATACGATGTTGACAAGGATGCAAGAGGCCTTGTTGACTATGGAGGCGCGGGCGAATGTTCTGCGGGCGAAGAAGTATGCGATTCATCAGGAAATGTTAAGAGATGTCTTGAGGCAGGCTGACGTGGTACGTCAACTAACCCAGGTATTCTCAATATGCGCTAGCACTAATGACGAGTGCAGGTATGCACCACCTGTGTATCTTCTGCGTGTATCGCGCTCAAAGTGATGGACTTCCCTGTGGTATTCCTTGATGAAGCATCGATGTCCACGGAGCCGGCCGCACTAATACCGCTGATGAAAGGAGTACGTGTCTGCCAATTTTCATTGTTGGAGCTCTTTGACATTGATGCCTACCTATCTATCCAGTCACGGCATGTAGCTCTGATTGGTGACCATAAGCAGCTTCCGCCCGTCATCACCAGTCGAGATGCCCAGGCAAAGGGCCTTGGCATCAGTCTCTTCGAAAGGCTGACAAAGGAAGGAGGTAAATGTCAATTGTGATGACTTCATATTCGCGACAGCCCATCTAAGTTTAATGTTTCTTTTTTCCAGTCGTACCATCGATAATGTTGGACACGCAGTATCGGATGCATCCCGGCATTTCGCGATTTCCCTCTGCCGAGTTCTACAATCTGTTGCTCAGAGATGGGACGGTTGATGATGGAGGGAATGTCTTCCCTCGGCTCCATCCGCCCAATTCGCAGCACTTCGTGCAGGGTCCTGGCTCGGAGAATAGGCCGCCCGTTATCTTCTTGGATCATGCGGGTTCGGAATCGCAGAAAGATAGAAGCAGGGTCAATGTTAACGAAGCACACATAGTCTGCAGTGTTGTAGAAGATCTTTTGTTGAACAATCCGGTATGTCCTTCCGCTTAGTGCCAACCCTGCTTTCTCATTTTGCACAGGAGCTGAAAGGGTCCGACATTGGTGTCATCGCCCCCTACGTCGCCCAAACGTCTCTTCTGACTCGATTCTTCAACTCGAATGAGAAGTATAGGGAACGGTTCAAGGATGTTCTTGGGGACCACCGGGCTATGCAACTCCCCAGCATTGAAATCAAAACCGTAGATGGTTTTGAAGGGCGGGAAAAAGAAGTCATCATCTTCTCCACTGTGCGAAATAACTCTGGGGGACATATTGGTTTCTTGGCAGATCGAAGAAGGTTGAATGTGGGCTTGACCCGGGCTAAGAGAGGGTTGTTTGTGGTTGGGAGTATCAGTACTTTGAAGACAGGAAAGGTTAGTGGGGGTGAAGGTGGCCATGGGGTTCTGAGGGTGGGTAAAGGTGCAGAGAGCTGGAGGAGATATGCAGAGTATCTGGCCGAGGAAGGGCTGGTGGTGCGCTTGGATGGTGACACGCTGACAAGAATGCTAAATGGCAACCTGTCGCCTCCGAGCCGAAAAGCCCTCGATAGAGTGCGTGTTCATAAATTATGACGATTATTTATTTGGGATCTATGGTATTCACTGTCTACTCCTAGTTTAATTGATATAATTCTGCGACAGATGCGATGGTTCTCATCAGTTTCCCACTCTAGCTCTCTAGACTGAGAGTCAAGAACTCGCCTTTTGTGACACGACTACATCCGCGAACTCCATTTGACGATTGTCGCCAAAAAGTGTGGGAAATGACGATTTTGGAAGTGTATGTCGGATTTCCCTGAATTCCGTCAGGTTTGCGGGAGAAAAAGTTTACGTGACATCATGGACAGCATCCGCGCGCTCTCTTGATAACCCATTTCTATAGCCAATGTTCTTTTCCGCATCCTTGCCAATCTCTCATCTCGACCGCCATCATGGCCACTGACACAAAAATGCGAACCCGCCCGCCGCGACCGCTCAAGCACGTACGCGTTTCGTCTCTGAGGTCTTTCCACAAGGAGCCGTATCCGCCAACTAGCCCCTCGAGCGATGTCGATCCAAGGTCGTTGGGCGGGTTGCTCCCGTCGCCCTCGACGTCTTCCCCGACGCGTCGGCATGCGAGCGGGTCGTCGGCATTTGTGCCGCCCACTGAAACGAACACCACTGGTGGCGTTTCTTCAGCCTCCGTGACAGCGATGCTGGTTCCGCTGTTCTGCTACTTCTCCCTCAACCTACTCCTCACTTTGTACAACAAGATTGTTCTTGTACGTTTCCCCTTTCCCTATACCTTGACAGCTTTCCATGCACTTGCCGGCACTCTCGGAGCCAATCTACTCGTTCATTACCCCTCCCTGGCGCTTCGCGTATCTCAAATACCACGACGCCCAATTCCATCTCTTCCTCCATTCTTTGCACGCTATACATGGCGCCTGCGCCGTCTATGGTTCCGGATGTCTGATCGCTTTGGGGGCGTCCGGGAACACCGCCCATTGACTGCACCCGCTAGCGCCCCTGGACTGGAATCGTACAGATTAGGCGAAAGCGAGGTAGCTGATTCATTTTATATGTCGACACACTCCGGCATGCAGTCACATCCGGGGTCATCTCCGACACACCGCCAGCCTTTTAGTGAGCGCTCTACTGACACCCACCCTTCTGTGGGCCCTTCGCACGTTCCTCGCGAGGTTCTGAAACCAAGCAGCTTCGATTTGACGCCGAAGGAGACGCTGGTGATTGTCGCGTTTAGCGTCTTGTACACGATCAATATTGTTGTAAGCAATATGTCGTTGGGACTTGTTACGGTGCCGGTAAGCGAGCGTCTATCATCCTGTGCTGTTCCTTCATCAAAATGCACGACCTAGTTCCATCAAGTTGTTCGTTCATCGGCTCCATTCTTTACTATCGCCTTGTCGGCTGGCGTCCTCGGCCAACATGCAAGTAAGGCCAAAATTATCTCCTTGATTCCAGTTATCGCTGGTGTAGGCTTCGCGTAGGTCATATAGCTCTTTTGAGCACTTACGCGTCTCACATCAGCGCTGCAGGACTTACGGAGATTACTACTTCACACCCTGGGGGTTTGCGCTTACCCTACTTGGCACGCTTCTGGCTGCATTGAAGACAGTAATAACGCACTTCATCCAGTCTTCCGGAAGGTTTACACGTTCCAGCGCGCCTAAACACGATGAGAAGACGTTGCCTTCGCCAGCTAGAAGCGTGGTCGTCGGCGCTATTCACACGCCAATACGAACCGACTTGCCCTGGACGCGTAACCCTGATGGGTTGTCAGAAATAAGCAGCGGCGAACATACCCATCGACATAATCTAACGCTCTCAGACTTGTTTCCCCGATCACCATCCCATTCCCCTGCTAGCTCCATTGCTCAACACTCCAGCAATGATAGTATCAACGCGTACCTCAGTGTGCCATCGTCGACCAGCATTAGCAACCTAGGATCCATGTCCACTGCACATTCGATCTCGTCGGAGGCGTTTCAGGGAAGTATCCATAATATGTATCTCGGAGACGATGGTCTCCATTCGTCACATTCATTTCAGTCGTCATCTTCAGCGTCTTCAGTATTCGTCCCCCCATCCCCATCACCTTCTTCTCGGATCATGCCTACATCACCTTTAGCTAATGTTGCTACATTCGCTTCAACCGCTTTCAGTCCAACAAATGGCGATGCTTCTGTGCCTTCGGTACTTGGGATGTCCCGTCCACCCCCCCAGTCCCCCACAAGGACTCATTCACTTCGATCGTCTGATTCGCCATCGTCACTATCGCCTTCTTCGGTTGGTCGGGAAGTAGGGGACAGGTCCGACTTGCAAGCCTTTAGGTTCCCTAGAGCTGTTACGCCGCCGCCGCCCTACTCTGTCACCGATGTGAGCAGCGGATCAACTGGCTTGGCGTCGTCATCAAGCTATGGGCAGTCGAGTGGTATTGTTGACGAGCTAAACATGGCTGGCGCCAGCTATCCGTTAAGCAGTTCTCTATCCGCGGCTAGCGTATCGTCAATCAGCACGAACGGCAACTTACCACCGTCGATCTCGTCCCCGGATAGCGGCGTCACCAAGTATATGACTGCGACTGCGCCCGCAGGTGGACAGGCTGTGAGCAGACACAATGGCTTGCTGAGACCGATGAGACCATTGGATTTGTTGCTCTTGACATCGCCATTAGCCTTCATCCAGTGCGTGCTCATTGCGCATTTTTCCGGTGAATTGGACAAAGTGTGAGTACGCCGATCACTCCCGACTCTTGACACATGGAACCTCTATTAACTCACCACCGTTCCCATGTCAGCCGACACTACAGCCAACATGAGATGAGCAACACAAAGCTGATGGCCTTGCTCGTAAACGGCCTCATCGCTTTCGGGTTGAACGTAGTCAGCTTCACCGCGAACAAGAAGATTGGGGCATTGGGGATGAGCGTGGCAGCCAACGTGAAGCAGGTGCTGACGATCCTGATTGCGGTGGTGATTTTTGAGCTGAGGATATCGGGGACGAACGCAATTGGAATCTTGCTGACACTGTTTGGCGGTGCATGGTATGCGAGGGTTGAGTACGCAGAAAAGACCAGAAGGAGTGGGTAAGAGTGGGTACACGAGGTCATGGGGCTGGGCGGCGCGAAGGTGACGGATGAGAAAGGTGTCAAATTTACTAGAGGTGATGTGGTGCCAGCTGGTACCCCACAACTCCCCCGAAGTAGAGTGCTGCGCAAGGAGGCTTCTATATGGCCGAGTCAGCAACCTCGACCCTCGCGTAGAGATCCGTGAGGTCGCATCGTGCAAGATCTATTCTTCATCCTTTTGCCTTTGGGTTTCATTCAGCTTGATTTGTATCATCGCCCAGCAACAACAGGTCATGGTGATTCATTAGGTATCTATTAATGATGTACTCGGACCCTAGACTATTATTTGTAGAGCAGCATGTATGTATCTTCGACGAGTTTGATGCCATACCACGGGCATCGCGATTGGCATGTGGGTTGATGAGCACAAATAAATGAAGTACATGTGTAATAGCTGAGCGCTGAGTTTAGGAGCTAGGGGTACCCACGTGGTCATGTGTGTTTGACTGCCCGCTACAGCTCTCTGAGTCATCGCCTTTCTCTCCAGCGACGCCGACCAAGTATTCCAAGAACAATGGCCTTTGTGGAGGAGACTATTCACGTCTCGGTCAAGGACACGTCTTCCCCATTGTCTGATAAAGTTCGTAAACCCCCTCCTGAAGAATCTGCCATTCCGGTTCCATTCTCGTATACCCCGAGTGATGATGGAATAGACGAGAACCTGTTGATTTTTTTGCACGGTCTCGGTGCGTGAAGTGATTCGGTACATGGTTTGACTCGTGGCACATCGTTGTCACTGAGAATCAGGCTGATTCACCAACACGATCTCCCAGGGGACACGCACAAACCGTTCTCGAAGCTCGGAAGACAGCTTAAGCTGCCGCAAACCGCTACTTTGTCCATACGTGCGCCTGAAAAGTAAGTCCCAGTTGTTTCCGTTTCACGCTGCTTCACGATCTGTGACTCAGCTCGAGCTACGTGCCTGTGAAATAGGATTCCTTTCTTATACGAGGAGGCATATCAATGGTACACGTCTTTCGACGGTTTTGGGGAGCTGATCGAAAGGCCTGATCCCACCCCGGCCATGAGCCTGATTTCCGCAGTAATCAAGCATTTTGTCAGGGACTGCGAATGGACTATGAACAGGATTCATCTGTTTGGATTCGGCCAAGGCGGAAGTGTCGCCGTCCAGTATGCGATTCACCACTGGAATGATCTCCTGTTACAACAGCAGACCGCGGATCTCAAACTAGCAGTCAATGTTCCGACGTCGTCGAATACTAATACACCCTCCGGCCCCAGCGTGGATACACGGAAGGGGTCGCCAGTTGCTATCATTTCATCGAACTCCCTGGCATCCGTCGTATCTGTCTCGGGTCCACTACTTTCATATCCAACGCTGAGCCAGAAGTGCCCTACCCCTGTTGCCATCTCGTATCGTTTACCCCCCGCCGAAGAAGCCCTGACGCAATCACAATTAACCGAGTTCAAGAAGGCATTCACGCGAGTCGAGGAAGTAAAGTTATCGGACAAACGGGGCGGTATGCCTGCTTCGAGAGGCGAATGGGAAGGGATCATGAAATTTTGGAGTGATGTCCTGGAGAGGAGGCGCGGGGAGGGGCTATTTGAGGTGATGAGCGGTACGCCCAAATAGCCCGTCAAGCGGACCCCTAAACGTTGTGATTTCTTGGAAGTAAACCGACTCTGTATTGCATCACACGATCAACAAGCGCCTTATGGTCGGGCTGCCCTCTTGACTCGGACTGAGTCGCTCGATTATCGGCTCGACATCTACTGCGGCTTTGTGCACTGAATCTTGTCTCCCCTCTAGGCGATGACTCGTAAATCGTTGATTAGTCACACAGCCAAACGCCGTATGTCAGCTCAAGCTTAGGCATCCACTCGTTGTTATTGCTCATAACGTCAATCGTCTTCGGTATTCGACGGCGGCGGTGATTTGCAGTGCGTGTCCTGCTTTTCTTGACTGCGCGATGCTAAACTTCCGTACCCTTCAGCACAGTGCGCTTGACACCGTCGGCAAGGCTGTGTGATGAATCATGAATAAAGAAGTTCTCACGCCACGGATCGCATCGGGCCCTTCCGGAGGTGACTCATGCCTAGTTCGCAAGCTAGAATGGAGCTGGGTTGAACAGCCTTGAATCGAGTCAACGCCGGGCTAACCTAGTGTTGACCACGGGAACTATAAAATGAGAGGCGCGAATTTTGAGCCTCATCCAACTCACCACCATAGACATGATAACACCAGCCAACACATCCTCCACTCGCAAAGTCGCGAGATCGCCCTCCAACAACATTATGAACAACGAGTACCAATTTCGCAGTCTCGACCGGACCCTGGCAATGAGATACATGCAGGCTCTTCGGGAAGGGCGCATCCGCGGAGAGACACCACTGAATCTGCCCAAGCTTGCGACTTTGACATATAGACCTAGGTGAGTTACACGGATCCTGTACAGTTTGCCTCTCTCTCACTCATTATTTCAGGATGGATCTATTTGACGTATCCTCGTCCCCTGTCGTTGCAGCCGTGCTCGAACTACCGGGCTTGAAGAAGCAAGACATTAATCTTCGCGTAGAACAGGGCCAATTAGTAGTATCAGGGGAACGTTGCATGCATGTCCCAGCTGTGTTACAAGAAACAAGCGGTGGTTCCGTAAAAGCAGAACCCGGAGGAGAGCAGGGGACATCGAATCACTCCAGCGTATACCACACACCAACGCAAGAACTCAAGTACGGGAAATACATCCGCGTCATACCCCTTCCTGTGGGAACAATGGTGCGTCTCAGTCCCAGCTGCCTAAATGTGCTCAGAACGATGTTAAATGACTCCGTTGTTTCTCAGCCCTCACAAATTAATGCTACATTAGGCGAAGGGTTACTGACTGTAACCTGGCCTCGGGGGTCAGGCACGGCTGCCTCTGACGTAGCCTCAGATATGAACATTTCCCTTCACTCGGCACCAAAGAGTACCGTAGATAACCATGAAGAGGCAGCACTCACTCGAGCCACATCAATGATGCATATGGATGCAAACTAACGATAAAGTCGACATGGACCTAAGCGGGGTTTTGCATATAATTTATTCTTTGTTTGTAATTGGTACTTCATACATTCTGTCTTATATTGCCTTATAATCTCCACTCAGTCCGCTGTTCATATTCCTATACCCTTGATATACATTACCTTAGGAACCCAGTAGCTTCGACGTGTACCTCGTTACATACTAATCTTCGACCGTCGTCGCCTTGACGAGAAGTAGAAGTGTGTATGATTATCTTTTGTTCTTTGTGAACATATGGATGTACTCCAGCGCACATGAGCTGCTGCAATATGCATGGGAATGCGGGCGTAACAACAGTTGTCGGCGCGGGCAAGATTGATCTTTCACAATCAGATATGTTGTATATTCTAACTAGGTTGTCAAGCAATAGACCTTGCTCAAGAGCAGGGACAGCTCGTATGTCTTCACATTTAGCCGCTAAGACGTTATTGACTAGTTCAACCAGTTCAGCGGCGAAGCTTCTACTCCTTTCCGATCCGAGGATGACTGTTATCTTGCTTAGATTGGACTGACATCATCTCAGGTCCCAAGGACAAAGAATGCCATATCGGTTGGTGCATATGGTAAATCCGAGTCGGTAGTCTGGTTTTGCGTTGTTGAGTATTTATGATGCGGCGGCCATTCACTGGTTGTTACCAATGTAATCCGCTCTACATAACTGGGTGAGAGGAAGACAGCCAATGCCCGCGGCGAGTACCGGAGTCGTCGTAGTACGATATTCGTGGAGATGCCTGAGTTGGATAGATCCAAGGTCGGCGGACTATCGGCGATGTATGATACATCACCTGAGTATTCCCGACATAGCAAGCTACATTCAGGTAGATATGACTTCGCTGTGTGTGGGAGCACCGCTGCCGAGTCATATCGTGCTATCAGGAAGGCGTCCTGTTGGCTCGGCGCTGTAGATTCGTAAACAAGCGATTGAATCATGGATGCTTCCTGATAAGTAGCAAGTGAGCGCCACGCACGACACAAGGGAAGTGAGAGATACTGCGTTCCAGCGTGCTAGTGCCGCTGCTAGCAAGATGCTGTACTCGGTGTGAAAATGAGACTGCAGTATACTGCCCTTAGCGAAGATAGCACAAGGAATTGCGAACGTCGCATTCCGACGAGCATGGATCTTAGGCTCACGGCGACTAGAGTACTGGTCGCAGATGACGGAGAAGGAGCTGTATATGGAACCTGTTTGTAATGCTTGCAGGCGAGATGAAGGGTTGGAGTGAGGCGAGTGAACTAGGCCGGTTCGACGAGGTTGCGCTCCGATCGCGAACGTCTCTACAGCAATTGCAAAACTATATTTGAATTGTGCCCATGGTAGAGCCGGCGATTGGCCAAAATTGTTCGACCAGGAGCCATTGTTCCCCAATGTTTCCGTCTACGGATTAGCTTCTGCAATCGCAGTCCGATCCATTTCCCCTATCTATAGCACAAGGAGCAGCCTGTTGTGCAGAGCTGTTTCTTGAATGTTTGAACCTTCAAAGGTTCAAGAGCATTACCTTGGGCGTAGGGCTCCCATCTCGTACAACACGCCGCGAAGGCGTGGACCGCAGTCAGTCTGAGAATAACCTCAAGCTCGATGACTCTGAAGGCATTCAAATTTCCTGTTGGGTCATAGCCTGACGCCCCGTCAATAATAAGGGTATCAACGTCACGTTGTAGGCGTAGCACTGAAGACGTACCGTTCCTTTGATTCCGTATATTGAGTGGCGCAACCTCGGAAGTTCTCTGCAGATCGCCTCTCCCTTCCGTGATAGGTTCATTTTATCGGGGCCTCTCAAAAATCCTGCTGAACATCATCATGGCAACTGGCTATCATATTATATACCTATGGAAGGTAAAATGAAATATTAGCGTGACCCATCTCACCAGCAGGGTGGACCCCGTTCGAGTCCGTCGTATATTACGGTGTAGTCCATCGACTTCCATGAATGCCACGAAAAAATATATCGAGGATGTAAATCGATGGCAACGATGTTCCTGGTGCTACCGACGCCTTCCAAGAGCGTTGAATGGCCCGAGAAGTACATGTTATGGTCAGAGCGCGTCCCGCTGCGGACTGGTTGTCAAGGGGCAGAATGATAAGATAACGAAGTTCCCACGGCGATCTAGCTAATCTAAATGAAACCCGCTTGTTGCCCGCTTGTACGATCGACGGTTACTGTCAAGTCTCTGTCAAGTATTTTCTGATGTCAATTAGGCCACCGTGACTTTAGACCCTTCAAAATAAACTCCTAACCACTATTTAAGGCCCTTCGTGATCGTCTGTGTAATGTAAACTTCCTCATAGACGACGTTACTGCGCGTTGAAAACAAGGGGATGTCCGCAGCTCACCCATACAGAAGATCTCAACACGGGGAGTCTTCGTCCTCCTCTTCACAGGCCCAGCATGATCCCAGTGCGCAAGATATGCAGGACCTACTCCGGCCCACAGCTTCCACAAAGGAATCAAAGCGCCTGCGGTACGTTCCGCTCACGGATCAGGTTTCCTGTTCTCTAACGAACTTGTTATAGGGGCGAAATTGCGTGCGCTGAATGTCGCAGACTGAAAATTAAGTGTGACAGGAAAGGTATATCCTGGCCGAATCTCATAGTCGTGCATCACACTGAAGTCCAAAATTGTAGTACCTTGCACAACGTGCATGAAGAGGGGCTGCGCTGCGCTTTGCCCAAATAGTATGCCGTCTCCTAAAAATTTGACGTCGATCTAATGTTGCCTGAAAAGGTACCATACCTCCGGGCGACGGAAGCAGGTCCGCGTACTTCCTATATTGAAGAACTCGACCATTAAAACTTCTGACAGATTTGTGCTCGCGGCTACAGAGCATCTCCGCCAGAAAATGGCAGCAATGGAGGCCCGAATGCATGCTTTGGAAGATGCTCTGGCCATTGCACAGTCTAGCGAATCCAGTCAGCCACACCCTCTACTCACCGTACCGTTTGAGGATGAAGTAGAAGACGAACCGAGTCTTTTGCAACCCATGAACTCGGAAGAAACCGCCCAAGCATCAAATCAGTTCGGTATGCTACACATGGATCCTGTTGACTACGGCTCCGCCAGGTTTTTTGGGCCGTCCGGAGGGTCTGAGGTGCGTCTCTTCTCTTCTCTTCAAACCAGTTAAAAGACTTTCACCTCCAACAGAGTCTCCTGATAGTAAGTGCCAGTTTATCAGATGATTCTACGGTATGAACTCTTTATTACGGCTAGAAAGCCAAAGAGCTTGAGGCCTTGCAGCAGCCCCGGCCAGTATTGCAGGAACTGGATCCGTCCTACCTCCCGGATGAAATCAACCAGTTATGCCAAGGTTTCCCTTTCACGCCTCCAGGAATGCAAACTCAAGTTGTCATAGACATGATCGAAACGTTTCTGCCTCCGATTGAGCGAGCAATCGAGCTGACCGATACGTTCTTGGAACATCTATCTTGGATGTTCCATATTGTGTCTCGCCAACTGATCGTGGGCGAGCTTATTCCAACCATTTATAAGCTCAACCACAATACTTATGGCCCCCACGACCTCGCTTTGATGCTCATTACGCTCGGAATAGGGGCGTTGGTTGACCTGAACCTACCACCATACAATCTAGAAGCTCAACACTACTATCGCCTTGCTTGCGCTGCTTTGGGTCTACAGCCAGTACTGTCCCAGCAATCCATCGTGACGATCAAGACGTTACACTTGATAAGCATCTACAACGGGATGAGCGGAAAAGAGAGTAACCTTGAACAAAGTTACATGATGCTTAGCTTGGCCGGCCGCCTGGCCCTTGGGGTGAGTTTTCTCAAGACTCTCCTACCGCGCGCGCACTAACGAGATTTCCCCCAAGATTGGATTCCGTAAGTTGCTGTGTTGCCCCGTGGGATTGTCGTTGACTTCCTCTTCCCTAGATGTCGACCCTTCTTCTTGGGGGTTTCAAGGTAGGGAGGCATACGACCGAAGGGTCTATTTTTGGAATCTCTTGGCTGCGATCTTGTGGCAGGTGAGTGGGGGCTTGTATTCCTTGAATGAAGAAGTTCGCTGACAATTTGTCCAGGCTTTAGTCACCGGTAGACCGCCAGTCATCCTGCAGACGTTCATTCATTGCAAGATGCCTACTGATGAGGAAGAAGAGCTCTACCAACTAGGTGAAGTCCCTCACGGCTGTAAGTCTTGGTCATCACAGATTCTTTCGCATTGTTCATGTATAGTCTAGTCGGAACATGGGGCTTCAAAGCTAGCATCGAATGCCTTCTTCCCGCCGTACGTGCCACATTGGCAGCGAAGCCACCGCCCTATTCGGAGATCCTTGAACTTGATCACAAAATACGAAAATTTGCATCGGTGACATCGGCCTCTGAGGACCAAAATGACAACACGGCTTTGTCCATGCGGACATTTGTACGATCTCATTACCAGGACCTGAGTAAGCTGGGGGTTTCGTTTCATTATGCCCGCTAATGTGCCTCGTTTAGTCTTGTTATTCCTCCATAGAGGTTTCTTCGCTCAGGCGATGGCCGAGAACACCGATAACCCACTGCGAACGACGTACGGAGAGTCAGTAACGGCGGCCTATCAAAGTGCATGTGTTGTACTAGAAGACACTCGTGTCCAGTTCATGAAGAAGCCTACGCTTTGTGCCCGCGTATGGAGGATATGGTCGCTTGCCTTCTCAGCCGCTGTAAGATTATTCATTTTGAGCTCTATGTTGACATTTTGACACTCCTGCAAGATTGTGATAGGTGCAGTCGCCATACGAAGGCTCGATTTTCAACCACCACCCCTAGAACAATTCGAAATCGCGTGTCTTTTGTTTCAAAAGGCTGCAGAGACTAGCAGTCGAGCAGCTAGAGCACTTGTAAGCCTCGTTACCTTATCACTCTCTCTCTATTCAGTCGTCTTTTAGCCAATTCTGTTCAAGATGCGTCAAAAGGCACACACGAGATGTGGTTCTGAGGATGCCAAGAGGAGCGCTGATGAGGAGCTGGCTATCTTCAGCGGTAGAGTCTATCCCCCATCCGCCTCTCAATCCACCCCTACGGCTGGCCCGTCTTCAACTACCCCAGTTTCGACGCATCAGAATCTTCAATTCCACTATCATCCTCTAATGGGCGACGTTGCACAGTCGTCCTCCGATTTCACTACCTCGTCGACCAGCCAGCCAATTCAGCTGCCGCTTAATCCGCTCGACGGCTGGAACAGCCTTTACACAGAGATACCTGGCCCTGTAATCCCCACAAATATGGATACACCCCCGCAAAATGTAATGACCGCCCCCCCTGATCCGCCTGGAGCAGGGTTCACGTTCGACGTTCGTTGGTCTTCATTCATGGATACATAACAGTGTATTCTGGGACGGCCCGCTGGTATATAAACTCAGCAGAAGCATCAAATATTGTAAATTTATTCTCTTATTTATATGCTGCGTAGATATGTAGATTCCAAACAACGAGACCAACAGACAACAAGTTACAGACGAGTGTGAAGTAAGCATACGATACCCCTGTTCGTTCGGCGTCAATTAGGTAACACCTCCGACAAACACTTTGAATCAAAGCCGCACTTCTCCTCAGTTCCACCGTATCATGACCCAGCCTATTCCTTCATCGTCGAGCAGAAAACGGGCGCTTTCTGATGCTCCTGCTCAAAATGATTCGCGTCCGAAGAAGAAACGCGTCGATGGCGGGGCCGACGCGGCCACCATGCACTCAAGTACGGCTTCTAGTCGGGACAAGAAGAAACGAAGGAAGAAGAAGCGCAGATTGTCAATAACTGCTCATGGGGAAGAGGCCTCTGTCGTCGCAGAAACGGCGCAAAGCTCTACCAGCCGTACATCTCCCGCTGCTGCCCACGCGTCCAGTGAATCTACCCCTGATTCTGGAAGATATGCGAACTCACGTCGTACATTCATACATGGTCGCAGGCAGCTGCCTCTGGTAAGTACAAGTCGCGCATATAGACGTTTTGCTCTTGAACCATTTCTCAGTCTGCGAAAGTGAAGGGGAAACGGAAAGCTGCACTTGGATCAACGTCGCAGCCACCTCAATTAGTAACCACCGATACCACAGTCGAAGAAGAAGAAAAGGCCAAAGATGCCACAATGTCTGAACCAGGTCGATCAACCCAGGTCGCAACGGACGGGTCTGCCGCCATCATCGCCCAACTCGGCAGAGAACTTGAAGAAAGCAAGAAGGTGGGGGTTCGCAACCAATATATGCGTGCATATCTTGCTCATTGTTCCTGGCGATAATCTCAGCTCCTTTCAGTCCATAAGAACACCCTCGCTTCCCTCACGAACTCTCTCACTTGTCAAATATGTGTCGATCTCATGCATAAACCCTACCTGCTTACTCCGTGTGGGCATCTGGCATGTCATAACTGTCTAGTTCGTTGGTTCACCGAACCTAGGGACGGCGGGGGTAATACTGTTCCCCCAGGTCTCGACATCCCACTTCCTGGAACAGCTGGTAACTATAGTAATATTTCGGTATCATGCTCACCTTTTGCTCACGGCAATGTAATGCAGAACCGAATCCTTCACAGACCAATCCTTTACCGCCTCGCAGATTGGATTACATCCGACGACCAAAAACATGTCCCCATTGTCGAGCTCGCATCCTTTCTCGGCCCGTAGAGGTGTATGGGGTTAAGGCAATGGTCAACACTCTCGCGCACTCCGGTCTTGTCAGTGGATTTTCCGCGTCACCAGACGACGATGGGAACGTGAATCGATCCGAGGCAAATACGCTCGGAGATGGTGCCTCATCATCGCCCAACTTACGGACGAACAAAGATCCTTGGGCTGGGATATTCCCACCAGTCCATAGCGTGCATGGAGGGGGACTGCTGAGTGCCTTAGCAGACCTTCCCTTCTATAATGGTGGCCGCTGGCCTCGCCCCCATGTGACTCTTGTCAACGGCACTACCAACGAAGGGAATCAACGCGGTGCTCCCAGCGTTCCCCTGGAGACTCTCGACACACACGGCTTTCACGATAGGGAAGACGGCGTATACAGATGCGTAGCTTGTATGCACGAGATATGGGATGGCGTCTGTTCGAACGAAGCCTGTGGTAGAACATACGCAGGACACGACATCGACGATGAGTCTGACCAGGACCATTGGCTTGGCGGTGTCGATGTTGACGATGACTCCGAGTCCGAGGAAGGGAACCGCATTTTTGATGACATACTTCGGGCTCAATTAGGCCTCGATGATGATGCGGACGAAGATAGCCTATATGCAGATTTCACTGAAGACGAGAGGGATCTGGTAGGTCCCCTCGATGGAGCCGTAGCCCATTTTGGCCAGCCGCCCTCCGATGCAGGACATCCACAGTATCGTAATGGGTATCGAGTAGGCCGCGATAATGGTTACAACGAAGGATATGACGAAGGATTCGAAGAAGGTCTTGTAGAGGGACGGTATGAAGGTGGAAGTAGATCCCGTGTCCGCATTCCTCTAAATGATGAAGACGAGGAGGACGAGGATGACGACGATGGCTACGAAGGAAGCTTCATCGACGACGACGACGTAGGGGGCATGGTTTTACCTCTTGGCGCTAGGCTCAGTCCGTGGGTTGATGAAGATGTAGATATAGACGATGACTCCGGATCAGATCAGGTCAGAAGGTCAACTTCAAGTCGAAGGAACGTACTGGTTAGTGAGGAAGAAGATGAGGAGGACGATGAAGAAGACGAAGCCGACATCTTCCCTATCATTCAACCAGGTAGACCTAGAAGGTTGGCCGTCTTGCCCTCCAGTGACTCCGACTCTTAGGTATTGTCGCTCCTACTTCAAATGCCGCCTACTTCACACCGTTCTCTCGACAGGATAGAAATACTGCACAAGATGACTATAATCCCTAAGTTACCCCTATTATATGAGGCTATCCCCTCTGGGGTGCTCGGCCCTGACGCAAGGATTGATGCAAGGAGACTGCCCTCATAGTGGCAAGGCCTAATGGCTGGCGTGATGGGAAGTACTCATTATCCATCTACTTTCGACTCTTCCAAGCTTCGCCTCAGAATATCCGGACAGCGGTCTTGGTTTGCTATGTTTCCAGCGAACCATAGTGCACTGTTACGACGTGGCTAGCTTCCATTCTGCAGACTAAACCGCTAACATCTTCTACGGCCGGATAATCAGCGCGTCCTTGCTCCAACGCTAAGGTACACTAACATAGCCTCTTAAATAGCCGTCGACGCCAAGAATGCGCTCTTCGCTTTTCTCCCGTTACTGGAGACGGCATCCTGGGGGCGATCACTAGGAACGTTGGCTGCGCCAATGCTCAAGTTTGTTTTGGTCGCCGGTCTCGTTGGCACCTGGGCCGCCCCAGTGAAGGATGGTCTGGTCCCGAGGCAAGACGGCTCCTCCCTTGAAGACGATATTTTGGGACTTTCGAATCTTGATGAAGTAAGTCATCAATATCGCTGAATCTTCCTTCGCGACACTGAGAGCATGGCTTAAGGACCCGAACCTCTGGTCTGCGTTTTATTGCGAGGGTGCCAACTATGTGGGACAATGCATAACTCAGCAATATTCCAGTGGGGAGTGCACGCCCATTGAACCTCCGCTTTGCGAGAACGTTCTGAGCTTCTTAGCAACGTCAAGCAATTGTGTGCTATACGAGTAAAGACCACAAACTATGTGCATTGCATTTCGTCTCTGACATTTAGATAGGGGTGATGATTGCACGGGGTCTGCTATTCCAATCTACTCGTCTGCGCAGGATCTCCACGCATTTAGGAAGACGAACAGCTACAGGTGCGGGTTGTCGAATGCTCAAGTTGCTGCTCAACTCGCCACGACTCCAACCACGCCTGCTGCTCACTCCCGTGCTTCGGCTCCTCGGCTCTCTCTCACCTCGACGGAGACTGCAACGGTCGCTTCTGCACAGTCCTTCAAGGAGACTAGTATCGTCGATGCCCACGAGTCCCTTCATGCGGGTAGGTTTATATTTCTACATCAGCCTGTTGAGTATCTAAGTATGACCAGCCGCTGTTACATCTACTGTAGAAGTTGTCCCTCCTCCTAGTGAATCCTCGAGTTCACGTATGGATGGCACACCTTCTACTGCAACTGCAAGGACTGTGACGAGCTCTGTGTCAATCCCATCCATCTCTTCTACTGATCGGCATCGTCACCATCGGCATCCCAAGTATGTCACAGTAACTGAGACAGCCACTCGTGTAGTTGACGCATACATTGCTCCTACGGAAACTGCGGCTCCCTCATCGGTCACTAATAATCCAAGTTACGCAGAAACGAGGGAAGCCGCCCCTTCGCCGACCAGGGCTACGAATACGGAAATTGCAGCCACGTTTACACCGTCTCATCGTCATCACCACCGTCTCCCTAAGCATGTAACAGTGACGGAAACAGCTACTCGCACCCTTGATGCATACATCATGCCCTCAGCGACACTCTCCGAGCAAACACTTGACAAAGTATCGGTAGCTCCAGGAGTACCGGCGACGTCGACTTTGGCGGATGCCCAGCCCCTCCCACTTGTGAGTTCGAGCGTTGGACCCCCAGCCTTGGAGGCTTCGGAGACGAGCCACGCCCCCACCGCACCTAGTTCCACATCCTTGATTCCAAGCGTGCACCATGTAGCGGACGCTGCCGTACCAACGGTATCATTGCCCAATACTCCGCCTTCTTCACCTTCCGCTTCTGTAATCTCTCACACAGAATCCATCAGCCACCCGACTGTCGGTTCGGAAAACACATCTGAAACCCCATCTTCAACGAGCGACTCTGTCACACACACCTCGACGGGTTTATCCTCTCCGCCTGAAGGGACAGGAGTGGTTAGCGGTCATCAGACCAAGCCGCTAGTCGGCCAACCCAAGGGAGGATCAGGCATCGCAGGGGCTCCAGAACCAACGCAGTTACACGATATTGTACCCTCTCAAGCTTCTCCAGCGATCCCGTTGCCCATTCCATCAGCCTTGACGACTCCCATCGCTGACAAGCAAAGCGCCGCACTCCCTTCAGTAGAGCATACTTTCACAGGAGTAGTATCACTGGATGGTACTCCCACAGCTTCGGTTTCGGCAAAGCCAGTAGGGCACGGCGAAACTGTGAACAACGTAACGCCTGTGCAAACCACTTCCCTCCCAACCCCTACACCGGAAACTACTGGTGAGATTTTACCCAATATCTCCTCTTTGCTGAAACTAACGCGTATGTAGAACGTCCACCGTCTTCGGGCACGCCAAATAATCATGCCGACGATCTGCCACGCAGCTACGGTAAAGACCTCTCCTATTTAGAGAAACACCTCCCCTGATATCCCCTAGTGACCGCCCATGAAACGCCGCTTACCAGCGCAGCGTTCTCACCAACGAGTGCATTTGTTGATGATCATACGTCTCCTACTGTCACCGCCCATGCTACTGCTTCAGTCGAAGCGCTTGTATCTGCCCCCTCGTCTAGTGATAATGTTGCACCTCCCACTCCCGCCTCTACCTCTACCACTCCTGCGTCCACTGAGGCACCTATAATACCCCCGGCGTTGAATAAAGGGGGCTCCACTCTCCACGCTGTTCTCACAACTGACCAAGTCACCGAGGATGTGAAGACGACGGACGCTCACCGGATCGCAACTCCGACCATAACTTCGATCTTAACTGCTTCCACTCGCAACAATGAAGGTCTTAGAGGATCTCACGAGGACGGCCATAGCCATTTACCAGTAGACAGCAGCGCTACGATCGCGGAAGTCCCCCCCACCGCATCTTCCGATATCCTCCTCAAAGAATCCGTTACTACCAGCGTCCATCCAGCGCTGACGACCGCGTTCTCTTCCTCCTTGAAATTGCCGGTAGACAGCAGCACCACAATCGAGAACCTTCCTCCGGTCTCCTCTTCTGGTGTAATACTTAAGGGACCCGCCTCTGTCATCGATAGCGTCTATGCTGCGTCGACAACCCCATTTTCTTCGTCCTTGCAGGCGCCGTTGCCTATCTCATCCCCAACCCAATTCTCTCATGTGGCGGCAGATGCTAGTACCTATCATGATACCGTATCAAGCGCTCTTGCAACCCCTAGCTCCTCGTCAATACAGGCTCCAGAAAGAGAAGGCCCTGCAACGGTAACGACTCACGAGGTTACGGTCCCAGATGCCCCGTCTTTAACATCATCGGACCTGCCGTCGACCTCAACGGTATCTCACGCCTCCTCTCCAGCCACGGGTGCTAGTGCTGTTGCAGCCCAAATACCCTCTCCCCATACCTCCTCCACACATCTTTCTGTTCCAGCAGCAGCAACGCCACCACCTCGTTCCTCCGAAGATGAATTACTCGCGACGGTGACAATACACCGGGTTACATCGCTTGGAGCCGCCTCAACTCACGTTCCTACGTCCGTTTCTGCAGGCTCAACGCCAAACACATCTCTTTTAGTCAAGGAGGTGGGTGCCACAAGTGTGACTGTAGGCGCTTCAAGCACACTGAGTGCCCCATCGTCGATTGGGCCACCTGCAGTCATTGAGGCAACTCATGTTACCTACGATGCGCCTTCGGCAGCCTCCTCTCTTTCGGCGACTCCTTCCGTCGCAAGCCACACGGATTACGATGGAGTTGCCTCTGCCACCATCGACCAAAATATCGGCGGAGACCCTACCCCAGCGGCCCAACGGGCGTCAGTAGTGTCTCCTTTCACCTCGGCAGCAAGTGATACTCGCGTCCCAAATGCACCTTCACCTACCGAAGAGCCTGCTTCGTCACCTGCAACCACCAGAACGACCCAGCCAGAGGGCGAGACAGTTAATATTACTGTCGGCCGTACCACACTTCTGGGACCCATCGCTACATCTACAACGGCAAGCCAAGTTATTAGCACCGCTAAGGTATTACCAATAGTAAATCCATCTAAGTCGCGCTCGACATTAGCAAATGATGGTGGAGGGTTTACATCGACATTACCTTCAGACAAGGGATCTATAGCTACCGCCCCTCCGACCCCTACTAGTACCGACCGCGTCGCCTCTCGCCCGTCTTCTCTAATCAGTCCTATCCCTGAAGTGCACGCCAGCGACAAGGGACCTAGCTATGCAACAATACACGAACATACTTCTTTTGGATCCGCAGAGACTTCGCCGGGTTCCATTCAGGCCACGCCTGCACCCGTATTGCACCTCGCAAGTCATAAAGGTCATGCCATAGACAATGAAGCAACTGTGTATGCGACTGTTACTTCGTCCACTCTGATCGCATCCAACTCGGCTGCGCCAACAACGATCCCCGAGTTGTCTCCGGAAGCCCTTGCAACAGGGAAGTTGCGCCATGTCAGCAACGGCGGTGCGGACGTGACCTCAGGTATTGGTTCTCCACTTGTACCATCGTAGCCCCCTAATCCACATGACAGCTCCTATGGCCCCTGAAGAGACTACAGTTCATCAGCCGACCTCGATCACAGCGTCTTCTACTCTTTCAGCTCCCAAAGTTTTGGGCGCGCCATCTTCTGGAGTACTTGATGGATCGATACAACTTAACTCAGGCACCGGCGCCGCTCACTCTACAACACTACTGTCACCCGTTACCACCCCAATATCTTCGTCTGTTTCTACTAGTACCCCAACTGCGGGTTCTGCCAGCAGCGAAATAATTCGGACCTCTCACCCGACGAGCTCTCAAGGTATTAATCCCTCGCCCTTTGCTTCACCTTTTTAACCATCCGGCTACAGTGCTTTCCGAAGGTGATCACGAGAGTTCCAAGGTATATGGGGGAACATCGGGCTTGCCTACATCAGTTTATGAGCCCGCACTCACGACGACTAGCCTTACTGAGGCAGACCTACCACCAGTAAACCCAGCTATTCCGACTGGCTTGCCTCGATCCCATGCTGTAGATAACGGTAGTGGCCTCGGTCATGTCACTGTTCATCCCACAACAGGCTCAGTACCCACTACCGCAGTCAGTATCGTTTCGCCAAAAGTCGAGGAGTCTGAGAAGGCTGTCGTTACCTCCGTGTCTTCAAGGGTCGCGTCTTCAACCGCTAGCGGCTCGCCAGGTGAGGGCCCTGCGTACTTCACTTCTCGAACGACAGATAGTGCGAGCGCTACGCCAACGGGTGTCATCCCTGAGGTGTCGACCGTTTCTCTACCTCCAACCACAGGTAATGCATGCGTACATGTTGTAAGGGTTCCTCCAATATTCACCTTACTTTGTAGCAGTTTTGGCGATCTCTACGCAATCGATTCATCAGGATGGAACTGCATATGCGACAATTCAACAGAGTGTAACAGTTGGGGCCACATCTACAACTACATCTGGAACCCTCGCTTCTGTTTCCTCCCCTTCCCATGTCGTAGACGACGAAAGTCTCGTCTATGTCACCATCCATTCGACCAGAACGCTAGGTGCTCCTCTTGCCCCTCTATCCACACCAGTGGCTTCCGTTTCATCTGGCGTTGAACTACCCACAATTACTCCTCCTCTAGCTTCAAGTTGTACGTCTTCGAATTATTAGTAAAAGCGACTAATTTAGGTATTCTCTTAGCTGTGTCTCCAACGCCTAATCCAGAGAAGGAAAGTGTATACGCCACTGCCGAAGCACCTACGACTACGGGTTCATCTTTTACGGCGTCTGTCACCGTCACCCCCTCTACTGGCACTACCACTGCGGGAGAAGCAGAGGGTCCTGCGTACGTTACTGTCCAACAACCATCTACAGCAAGCAAGACGATCGTAGCCGAAAACACTGGTGATGCAAATGACATTCCTGTGTTTCCACCAACGTCGACGCCCAGGACTTCAGCACTTCCGTACGTCTCGGCCGGAACTGCAAGCGGGTCTTCCGTGACTGGTATTATCTTACATTGCCTGCTTAGACATACTTAGCTTACATCGCGATAGTCACAGAGCACATCGAATCTGCCAAACTTGCCATGACATCGGTTGGAACGACACCCATTGCAAGTGCAACTTCCGCTAGTCACATTCTCTCTACCAAGAAAGAGAGGTTCACTACCATCCGATACGCAGGGATCCGGACGTCTACTCCCACCGCCTCCGCGCCGTATGGGAGTACCTCCATTGCTATCACGGCTGCGCCTGCGGAATCGACGGGTACGAAGACGACGGTAAACACCGGCGATCCAGACGATATTCCAGTCTTGCGGACGTTTGCATCCACTATTCCGACACCTCCGTATGCATTAGCAAGTGCCACGGGAACTGGTACAATAGGTACTAGTTCAGTCAGTCTTGTCAGAGATATTTGGTTCACCCTTTGTTTCTAGCGCAAGTTGAATCTGCCGCTGTGAACCCAGCAGCGTCATTTGAAACAACAGCTACTGAAAACGTCACTTCGTCCATGAAGCCTGCCACCGGTGATCGTACCATCGCGTCATCAGAGCTACTTGGGGGCGCATCGACATTTACAAGTACTATTATAGTCATCCCCCCATCCAGATCCACAGGAACCAAGACGATCGTGACTGACACCACAGACGATTCAGACGATATTCCCGTCCTACCTGCAGCGTCGACGCCCTCTATCTCAACTACATCTGCTTCATTCCCTGAGTTGGGAACCGGGCTTTCTACGACGGGTACTGTTTCATACGCCGATCTTAGACATGCATGACTTACATCTCCCAATTTCCAGGGCGAGTAGAAACGATAGGATCTGTCGCGTTGAAGACGACGACGTCAGCTGGATCGACGCCTACTCAAAAATCGCCTGGGATAGTAGGGCCCACCTACGTGTATCATGCTATTACGACCACTCCCGCTACTTCTTTCTTGTCGTCAGGGCTCCCAGCAAGCCCATCAGCATATACGAGTACCTACGCCACCGCTCCAACAACGCAGCCTACGGGAAACAAGACGATTGCAGCAGAAGGTGCCGGAGACTCGGATGATATTCCAGTCCTACCACATCTGACAACTCCCACTGCGTCTCCCACTGCTTCACTAGCAGAACCCGCAACAACAACGACCCCCATAGCTCAAAATGTGGATGATTCGAATGATGTTCCGGTCTTACCACACACATCAAGTCCTACCGTGTCACCTCTCAGCCATCCAGTACGCGTCGTCCCGGTCTCCTATACCTCCCCTGTAGAGACTGCGTCCCCCTATGCTTCAGCGCCTACTATCAGTGTGACACATGCTTCCCTCATCACAGAGACCGTGTCTTTGGCTGCCCACCCCGCATCTTCTGCTGCCTCATCGCCTGAGGTAATCTCTGTCACGGCTACCACTTCATTAGCTGCAGTTGCGGTTGAAAGCGAGTCTTCGGCCGTCTCTTCCGTCTCGGAGATTACGTCGAAAGTCAATTCCTCTCCAGTTGCCACCAGTACGAAGGAGAATCAAAACACTCCTGTAGTCACCACTCCTACGTACAGCTCACCGGTCTCCGCCAGTGTAGAGGGTATTCATCCCATCTCTTCCACGTCAGAGAGTGCGCCCGCCACTAGCTCATCTCCGGTTGCTGCTGGCACTATCAATACTCAAGTTCAGCCCATAGTAAAAGCCTCTTCCAGCAGCCTCCAGGTGACGTACACACCAACCTTATCGCCCATCGCTACTGCTGAGGAGTCCCAGAGCACTTCCTCCCTTTGGGAAACAACATCTATCCTCAGTCCGTCTCCAACCCCTGCCACCGTAGAGCAGTTGAGTCTTCCGCCCTCCGCAGAGACGGCGTCTATCCAGTCGAAATTCTCCGTATTGTTTACAGCGACGCATGCTTCATCGCCGCGCGCTGCCGCTATTACCACGTCATCGCTTCTGGAGGCTGCCTCTACTCCCGTCTCCTCTTCAACTGCCCCCACCACGAGGAGTAGCACGGCGGCTGTCCCTTATTACACCCAAAGCACACCAGAGAGTGCGCCCGTCTCTGCTTCGTCCCCTACCCCCAGCATAACTGACACTCGAGTTCTGACCACTGTAGAGGCCGCCCCCAGCACTCCGGTGGCATCCACATCGGGATCTACCTTAATACCTATCAATACTACTAAGGTGTCCCAGAGCACGTCCTCCCCCATACAGACGGCGTCTACTCCTAGCTCATCGTCAGCTCTTGCCGCTACAGAGCATTCGGATCCCGTAGAGACTGTGTCTACTCCGTCAGTATCGGCATCTTCGGTACTGACTTCCGCGACGCCTATTCCACCGCCCGATGCTGCTTCTGTGGCCGTGCCATCACTTCTAGAAACTGGATCTATTCCCGTCTCTTCTCCAGCTTCCGCCACCACGGAGAGTAGTCTTCACGCATCTTCTGCTGTGGCCACCCCTTTGTATAGCCGACCGCTCGCCTCAAGCGCAAGCTCGGGAGCCATCAGCCCTACACCGTCTACGTCCGAGGTTGTGTCTACCCCCAGTTCGTCCCACATCCCCGCGGCCATCAAGGACACTCAATTGCCACCCGTTACAGAGACCGCCACCCTAAGCGTGCAGTCTACACCCCTTGTAGCAGGGTCGACAGAACCCGCTTCTTCGCCTGCTACTGCTACCCGAAAGGAGTCCCAGACCACACCCTCCGTCCTAGAGACGGCGTCTCTCTCCACTTCATCTGTGGTGCCTACCGCTACCGCCGTCGAGGGTAAACAGAGCGCGCCTTTCGGAAGTGCCTCTCCCGCTCCTAGTGCACCGTTCACCTACAGCGCGGAAGGGATACGTCTGACATCCTCCGTTCCAGAAGCTGCGGCTGCCCCTTGTTCATCCCATAGCGTTGTTACCAAGGACTCTCAATCGCCGCCCCCCGTAGAGGTCACCAGCTACGTGACACATACCCCAACACCTACCTCATCGCTTGTTGATGCTACCAAGGATCATCAGACTGGCTCGTCCTTCCCAGAGACCGCGTCTACTCCTACTTCTTCATCAATCATTACCAACGTGAGCCTTAGTTCAGTGCATCTGGCCTCCGTGCAGACTACGCCCATCCAGTCAACATCCTCCGGGTTAGTCACCGCAATACCTGTGGCTGCTACTCCAATCTCGACATCCCCCGAGGCCATCTCTTCTCCCGCCCCCGCCCCAGCGGCTGCAAGCTTCAAGGACCGTCTTGCATCTCCCGTATCTACCCATGCTTCGGTTCCTACTGAAGCGACCGTGAAGGATACAAGCAGCCCTATTGCGACGGACGCACAACCGACCCTCGCAGTGCTCACCACGCCCACACCCTCCGTCACGACGCGCTCAGACGCGACCCCTGCCCCTACACATACCCACCACCATAATCATCACGACGATGAGGAAGAGGAAATAGTCTACGTCACGATTGTTACGACGACCACAGTAACCGAACCAGTCTGCACAACGACAACTTACCCGACGGCGACTGTGACGCAGACGGTAGTGACCCGCCCCGGACTTGAAGTTGTTCAGCCCACAGGGCTTCCATTAGCCTAATGGCCAGTAGAGTTAGTTTTAGTGACTTGTATTTATACCACAATGTACCAATAGTGACCGTGGGAATACAATACCGGTTCCTTCTCATCTTTGACTCTCCGCGACGCTTGGAGCACCACCATCACCACTCCCCCTCGTCCTCGACACCAGATGCGACATTGCGACTCGAAAATGCCAATTATGTACGTAGACCAACAGGGATATGTTCATTCACTCCAGGCCACGAGCCTGCAAGGCTGTTTCATGCAAGCGATACACCGCCATCCTGATTCCTCGAGGCTTCATGCAGCGTGTATGGAGCCATGTCACAGACGCACATTTCATACCCGGGCACATGCGAAGGCATGCATATGAGGCCCTTGCTCATATGTCTCATACGATACCACTCTTTTCTGCTACCCCCTCAGTTATAGTTCATCGTGGAACTGATATTTCGCTTGTGATCCAACTTCATGCCGCTATCACCCACATCGCACGGAAACACCAATAGCAGAGCGTTAAGAAACCAGCCAGCGCAGTATACTACGGCCAGGCGGCCAACCTCCAGGCATTCGTCTGCTTCGGCTCCCAAGAATATCCTGCCATCTCTGCATTGGCTTTTTCGCAGCAACATCCCTCGCCATCGCAACTCTTATATACCCGCTGGTGTAGACATCCACAAACGCAACTTCTTCGGAATGGGAGAAATACTCAGTGTCATAACCAACGTAAGTGCGGAGTTGCTCTATTGATTTCATGTTGTTAAGTCATCATGACGTTCCAGCCTGCCGAAACCGTACGCTCATTAACTGAGTCGAAGAGACTGTTGGAGGAGGCGCGACGGGAGATAGAGGAGAACAGAGAACGTGCACAGATTCGGCCCAAGCATACATTCTCTCGCCTTCCAGGATTCTTTCCTCGCAAGGCCGAGATGACCGCGATTGAGAGGGCTTTGGCCGGAGAACCGTCGTTTACCGTCGTCTTTGGTGCTAGCTCGGTCGGAAAGGTGAGCTTGCCAAAATCAATGTACATGCTTCGGGTTGACTAAACCAACGCTCTGACTTGAAGACCACTCTTCTTCGAGAAGTTCTCTCCAACCCTAAGTACCATGTGTTGCATTTCGACCTCCGTATAGCCGGCTTCGCCGATCTTGGTAGTCTCTACCAGAGCCTGAGCCAGCAAATGGAACAATACTTCGAGGAGATCGCCAAGCAAATGGAGGGGTATGAGGACTTCGAAAAAGAAGCATGGAGCTTCAAAGTGGGTGTTCTCTCCGGGCACGCTCTATCCTAGTACTAATTCCGCTTGTATCTTCCTCAAGCATGATCGTCTGAATGTCGAAAAACGCACGATGGATTTGCAGAATGGAAATGGCTCCAATGGAAAGGTGAAGACAAGCGACATCGCGAGGCTCATGGAACTCTTTCAGGTATTTCCTTCTCCCTTTTCTCTGCTTCGCTTTCCGGCTTAGCCGGTTCGCTCTATAGAGCTCTCTATTGAAATATTGGGAATTCAAACCTGAAACGTCGCAAGACGATCACTCCAAGAGCCGCCATGGCGCCAACACCCGTAGGAAGAACTCTCAGGAAACTACGTCATCCCAAACCCGAGTGGGGACTCCCAACGATGCCTCTAGGAACAATGTGGGGAAAAAGTCGAGGTGGAATTTCTTTCGTAGTGGTCGGTTCAAACGCTGTTCTTCGCACAAGACCAAATCGGCCGCAACGGAAAATACGAGGGAGGTCCCCGAGAAAGAAGAAGAACGCACGATCCCAGACAAGAAAATACCAGTGATCTTTTTCGACGAAGCCCACAAACTGTGAGTTATTTAGTTATTTAGGGGATTTCTATAAATGGTAATAATTCTACTCTTTTCGTATTACCACCCTCCAGGCCAGCGTTGATTCAATCCTCTGATACAATGAAATGCCTCTTGGATTCGATGCTGGTGTTAACGAAGCAGGATAGGTTGTGTCATGTCATACATGCCACGAGCGATCCTTTCTACCAGACGTGGCTGAGGCAGCTCAATGTCATGCAACATTGCAAGGTTGGTTCTTCAGAGTTGGTCGAAGCTTCCAAGCCGCTAATGGAACTGTAGATTGTTACAATTGGCGACTGTTCGAAGAGCGAAACTCGCACATACTACCGTGATCACATATTACCCAACGTTCCTGGACACCTGCGACAAAGTCTTGTCTTCGAACGATTGTACGAAGCCTTTGGAGGAAAGCTTGCGCATTGGCATGACTACATCAACGATTACAGTGCGTCCGAAGTAATCCTCACCTGAACGTCTGCTGATCGAGATACGCAGTCAACTCCAACGGGACATTGGACAGTGAGTATTCGTTCAAGAGTGCCAAGGGTCCGGACGCTAACGCCCCGTTCAGTCAAACAGAGTTCCCATTTTCTTCAAGCTCACGCGCTCCTGAATCTCCATATCATTCACTCCTCCCAGTCAGACAATGGTTCTCAAGACTCAAAAGACAAAGCGCGTCAAGCTGCAGGAAGTCCGACATCGCGGCATACCAATGCAGAGTCGTTGCATCCGGCGTTGGGTCCGGCTGGTTTCAAGATATATTCTCCATTGAATCGGCCGCCATCTTCACTTGCTGTCTTGAATGACGGGTTCGCAGGTCTAGGAAGTGAGCTATCTCGATATCTTAAGACGCATTATTCTGACTCCAGCCGCGCAGTGTTTCCAACGTCAGCGCCGTCAAACTCCGCCGAATTTACCGCCATGCACCTTCTAAAGGTCATGAGCCGGATCACTCAACCCGGCAACATATCTCTGCCCTACTTCTTGCTCTGCAGGGAGATCGGCGTCCGCGAGGTTGACGGCATGGTAAAGGGCAAGGTGCTGGATTTACGTTGGACCGATTGCGTGTCGAGAGAAGACAGGGATGACCGCAGGAGCAGGGCTATGGGATCCGCAAGCGGAATCGCAGCTCTTGGGACTCACGCGGGTGCGGAAAGTAGCGGAACCGCCGTCGAGCTTCTTCCACCACCGCCACCCATCATTATGGAGGATAGCGACGGGCTAGTCGACATTTCGGAACGTGAGATGCCAGAGCCAAGATACACTGCTGAGCCCTACGCGGAGGAAGCGTACGGAGTCGATGGGGAGGAGGAAGAAGACTTTATCGTCGGGCCAAGGCTGGTTCCCATTACCCCGATCATGCGATTTGCAATGCGAGAGGTGGTAGCCGAGTACGAAGATACCCAGTCGGTCTCAGAGTATGCATCACTATCCGATGTTGACGAGTATTAGTATTGTCCATTGTGTTCTAAGTTATTTGTTAGTCCGTGACCACATACTCCGTCATTATCTGGGGTGTAATTTTAGTATTGTCCGCCAGTTTCGGATTCGTTAGCATAGCGTAAATCTTAGCATATGCCAGTGACAGAGCCTTTCGATTGATTAGTCCAGACCACCGTATCGTACGTCAGCATTAGCTTCTAACCACGTGAGCCATTTCTTCAGAAAAGCACCGCCGTGGCAAATAGTTGACGAATCACCCACGACGCACTAAGTCTCGAATGTCAGGAAAGAATAGATCAAGCAACATGAGGGCACTCACTAAACTTCGCTTCGCTCGAGTCATCGCAACTAATCAAACATTTCAGTGGTATGCGGGGGGTATATATAGGAAGTGGCGCTCACCGTTTAGCCTGCGTTTCTCTTTCAGAAACCCGACTTCTCTCTGGAAAAAGGAGTTGAGGCATTGATGCGTTGTGACTTTGGCTCAATGGGTAAACTTACCTTGTCATTGCTTCTGACCAGACTGATGACCACAGCCTCTTTCTCTCGGCCCTGCATGCCATCCACTGTCCCGATCTCGAGCGACTGCCCGTGGACAGGTCGAAGTAGCGTGGAGAGAAGAGTGACTTGAGCTTGATATCTAAATACGAGGGACAAGATGGGTCCGTTGTTTATATGCTTCATTAAAAAGAGACGCACGGTGTAATGACGGCTATCTGCTCTGGGAGTACGCCGGCCGAAACCTGTGAATTACGCGGGCTCAGAAAGTTTCGATCGTTTAGTTAGCTAGCGTCTCACCAGCTTGTCCACCCACTGTTTGACGACCATTGCTTCATTTTCGTTCGATCGGCTGCCTTCATCACCCTCTCCATCGACACGTTCGTAATACTCGCAACCGGAGGTGTCGAAGAAGATCACGGGCGTGGCGAGAACATCCTTTTCATCTTCCTCTGAATCCGCGTGTGTATTCGGAAGGTCGAGCAATAGATGGCCTGCCACCGAGGAGTGCGACTTCAATTTGGAATGGTAGAGCATCTTGGATGGGAAAGTACACATTTGTTCGTGCATTCTGGGTAAAAGGTCAGCCACAGGGTCGGTTTGTGTAGAGTGGGATACACGCTGGATCCATGCTCACCGGTACTGAATAGTCAACATGCGCTTGATCTTCGAGCCGTACATCTTTTCCAACCGATCGAATAGTGTAGTCTCAAGTGTCCGAGGTGGACGAATCACGGGTGAGGCCTTTCGACCTTTGGCCGCAGCGGTGCTGGAGGCGACTTGCGTGGTACGACTTGATTCCGCGTCATCTGAAAGTTCAGAGTCATCGCTTATGTCTGAATTGTCGTTCTCAGGCTTAGGAGATGCCTTAGATACGGTCTTTGAGGCGGTCGAGCCGCTGCTCTTAGCAGCCTGAGTCTTCGATTTTTCATGTGCGTTGATCGAGAGGATGGTGGGTGGCAATTGCATCGGGTCACCCGCAAGGATCAATTTCTTGGCTTTGAAAATCGGGATCCAGCACACCTTCATACGCATACGCACGCCAAGCTCAGACAAGGTTACTAGAAGACCAGAGGCCGAACCTACCGCTTCCAAAGCCTGGGTGGCCTCATCGATCAGAACGACGTCAAATTGCTGGTTGTTCAGCTGTCTTCCGCCCGAGGAATGGCAAGTGGCGAGCACAACCTACACCGCGCACGTCAGTCTGTGTTAACTGATTGCGTACAACCACCGGGCGAGAAGCTCCCTACCTGCGATTCCCCGAGAACAGACTTCACAACGCCCCCTTCGCGCTGGCGATACCTGGAGGCCGTGGAGGCTATCTGAGCGGGAGCAACGGCATGAGTCATGAGTGGAGTCTCACTCTTTCCGCAACGCCTTGACTTCTTCCCAGAGCTTCTTTCGTTCAGCGCCGCGGGGGCCTTTGCCTTTCACGCCCTTGCCCTTGCCTGTGAGGACCCCCATGGCCGCGTCAATTTCGTTCTTGATGTCCTTAGCGAGCGCGGCCTGCGTGATCGGGCAGAATAAGCGTCCGAATGGAAAGTGGTACGGTTGAGATGAAGTACCTGCTCCGACCGTCCTGCCTTGGCGTCCAACGTGGTTTCTAGGACACCCTGGTGTGCCATCACCCGCGCCGGATGGCCAACTCTCGTCACCTTCAACTTCTCGCCTTTATCCACCGCAGGCAGCGCAAGCAGCCGTTCCAGTATATTATCGACCGACAGGTTTGACGCACCACAGACCAGCAGCCGTTGCGGCTTGGGATTCGCAGGTGAGACCGAAGTCAATTGGCGGATGATTTCGATCAGAGTGTGCGTTTTGCCAGTGCCCGGTGGCCCGTGTATGCACGCCACCTCCGGGGCTTCCAAGGTGAATCTCACCGCTGTCTTTTGGCTTTCATTAAGCGACTCGTCGAAAAACGTGATGCCAGGGAGAGGAAGAGGCTTCGAGGGCTGCGTGATGCCCAGAAGTACTTCCGTCAACCGAGTTCTATTGGCGCTGTATTTCGGGTCAGTCTGCTCACAGTATTGTTAACCACAACTCAGCCTCCCATGAGAAGTACGCACGGCAGTCTTTTCTAATGTTTCGAGTGCTTTGCTCATCCTGCCTCCACCGTTAGCTCTGACAGAATTCAAGCAAGTGGACGCGTATACCGATCATATGTCACGCTGTTTGCTAATTTCAGGACACGGCAGACTTGAGGCAAGTCGATGTCGTCTGATGCATCCGACTGATCAACTGCTATCACGATCCGGGTGTCTGAGACCTGGGAGATCCGTTGATTTCTCCGATCTGAAGATATTGGGTGCATATACTATGCACCTTGTATACGACACCTTCGACTGCTTTCGCATCACTTGGTGCAGTGGCTTTCTTCGGTTTCTTCGTGGAGGCATTAGATGAAGCATTTGCCTCTATCCTGGCCAAGTCTCCTGGCCTTGTTTGTGTCAAACTTTGTCGCAAACCTTGCCCAATATATGCGTGGCATACCTGAAGGTATGAGGAGGAAAGCTCGGCGTCGTATGATGGGCTAGGGGGCGCTCCAATTCCACAAGACTGGACTTGAAACGACATCAATTCATGCAGATGATCTGAAGATTAATGCGACCGTACGTTTTACCACCGAGTCCGATATTCATCTCTACAACGCCCAAACCGCCCAAGGCCAGTCCTTTGAGTTCCAGCAATTTGGGGCCACAATTTGAGAGTGAGAGCGAGCTTCGCTCAATCTCTTCATTGCGTTCTTCAAGTAGCAGAGTTTTGTATTTGTCGACAAAGGCATGAATATCAGATTCTGAGGACATTGGATTTGTGGTGAGACGGCACCTCGTCGCGCGGGCGTCGTCTGGGGTCGTCGAGGTCACGTGTCAAGACATATGGGATCCTGAACCACTCACTTCTAAGAGGATCGACTGTCATACTCTCGAAGGGAGGCTGGTTTCTATCAGCCTATCGCCGCCCGCGTTAGGTACTGTGAAAACTACGGTAACCGCTCAGACTTTTTTCGTTCTCGGATCCATAGTAGCGGCAGAAAGGCGCATCAGGAAGATCAAATCTTGCTACCGCTGATGGCGGACGGCTATCAACCAACTATCAAGCACATATCAAGCACGCAGCAGCAGATCCTGATCCTTTCGGTTCTCCATCTTTTCGAAGGCGCTGCCTTTTCCGGGGACCACATGTAGACTCTGAACCAACTCGGGCTCGGTCCAGTCGGCAAGACAGCGACGCGACACCCCGCATCAATATTCTATTCTCACTGTCTCTGATCTATGGATCTATGGACCTATCGTGCTGGGTTGCATGTGGTACACGAGCATTTATTCGCCGCTAAAATCCAGGAGGTCGCTTGACAATCATCGCAGCGGCTCGAGCTCTACCCGTACAAGCATGAAACATTACACCGACTATTGAAGCGTACACCAAGCCAGTGGAACCGTTGATGTGTGCACAATGACGTGCCTTTTGGCAATCTTGTCTGCTGCTTCTGACGCTGAAGATCTTCCTGTTAACTGGAGAAGCTGCTTAGGAACCATCCGGCAGCTTGGAAACAAACAGAAGAAGTCTCCAAGGGGTTCGAGGTGGAATCTCACATTCCTGACTACTCAAAAGGACCTTGTTGGAGCTTCCTCGATATAATCTCCCTTCTCTTTCCTATACAAAATGATGTGGGGGAAGTTGATCTTTTTCACCACTTTTGCGATCGTACAAGCCGCGCGCCCGCATGGTGATTATATATAACTTCCAGTCGTATGCGTACATCAGCTCACTCAATCCATTCCCTGAGGTTTAACCAACGATGCTGCTGCCTTCGCATCACAATCATTTGACTTCCTTATTGTTGGTAGGTTCTATTTTCACCTCATCTTTGTTTGGCACAGTTTCTTACTCCACCTTCAGGTGGTGGGACGGCGGGTTTGACTATAGCGACAAGGTAAGGCTTTCATGTCGCAGAGAGCCGCTGAATTTACACCATGGCAGACTTTCTGAAGTTTCCTCCGTTACCGTGGGGGTCATCGAAGCTGGTCAATCCTTCCCTGATGAGCCGCTGGTGAACACACCATGTATGTTAATATTTAAACTTTACTGCCCCGATGCTAGTCGTCTAACGTCCCTCTTAGTCTTATTTGGTAGGGTTCTTGGTAATTCCAGCTTCGATTGGAACTTTGCCAGTGTTCCCCAAACCCGTCTTGGCAATCGAGTCGTTGGTTTCCCCAGGTTCGTTCAAGACGTTCAGTTAGAAGTTACAGCTCAATCAACCATACTCCTCCAGAGGCAAGATGCTAGGCGGCTCGAGTGGCGTGAATTTCATGGTCTTCGGCCGTGGGTCGAGCGACGAATACAACGCTTGGGCTAGCTTAGGCAACCCCGGCTGGGACTGGAACGGTCTGATGTCCTATTTCAAGAAATCCGAAACAGTTTCACCAGGAGATGCGAACGTATTGCCGGGCGCATCTACTGCCCCGGGCTTGAATACGAACTTCGCGGGTAACAATGGGCCCCTCAAGATTGGATTTAACACCAAGGAGACGCTTCTGTTACCTGATCTCGCAGCGAAATTTGCCACCAGCTTCACGAGCGTTGGTGCATTTGTAAATCCGGACCCGGTACGCAATGGTTTGTCTTGCGTATGGATACACTCTGATTATGTACTATTGCGCCTAGGACTCGGGCAACGCAACAGGCATCTTCCAGTCACCCCGCTCGGTCGATCCTAAGGGCGTCAGGTCGTACTCCGCCTCTGCTTACTTTTCGCAGGCGCAGTCGCGGTCGAATCTTTTGGTTCTCACTGGTGCAGAGGTACGTGAATCAATAATCAGTGCTCAAATAGTAGAAGTGCTCAAGTCAGTCGTAGGCTACAAAGATTCTGCTTACCAAGTATGGGAACAATCTCGTCGCTACAGGGGTCACTTTCACCTCCGGCGGGAAGTCGTTGACGGCGAAGGCCAACAAAGAGGTGATCCTGTCGACCGGTGAGAGTAGTGTTGAACCATAGGAGGCCTCCCTGACCCCTAGGCCATCCTTAGGTTCCATCAAGACCCCACAGCTGCTGGAACTCTCTGGCATCGGCCAAAAGGCGTTGCTTACGAAACTGAAAATCCCCGTCTTACAGGACTTGCCGGGGGTTGGCGAGAACTTCCAGGTAGCGTTTGACCTGCTTTCGTTGCACATCGAGGTCTAACGGAGAATAGGATCACATGTTGATTTCGCAAGACTTTCTTTTGAAAGAGCCCGCCCCATTCACTTGGGGTATGTATCAAATATCTATTTCATTCGGACCCGTCACTTACTTGGAACTTTGCAGACCAAGTCGTTAACAACGCAACGTTCAATGATGAACAGCTTGCTCTATAGTGAGCTTCCACCGTCTAGCGCCTTCTGGGTGATGTATAACTTATATTTTTATGACAGTGCTAAGACAGGCTCTGGGATATACGCTGCATCGGGCGGAATATTCTCATTCGAGCCCCTCCAGGCTGTTCTTCCCAAAAGCCAAGTGACGACAATTCTTGCTCAACTCGACAAGGAGATAAAGTCGACCAAAGTAACTGCTCTGCAGGCGGCGCAATACCCGATTCAGCGGAAGTTGATTGCAGATGGACGTGTTGGCCAGATCGAGTTTTCTTTCCTTCCAGGTATTGCTTTCATTAACGTCGCATAGCTGTTTTATTGAATGGTTTATTTAACAGGCGGCCCCACTATTGCGAACAGATTGCCGAGCAGGAGCTACGTCAGTATGACTGCTCTATCATCCGTAAGGCCTTCTTCCTTTCCGCCAAGTTACGTCTGGCTAAGGTTCTGACATGCTTCAAGCGCCCATTCAGCCGTGGCTCAGTGGTGAGCACAGCCCTTACTACACAATATGCCCCCCTGACATCTGTCTAGCACATCAACTCTACCACCCCAACAGCGCCCCCAATCATCGATCCCAACTATTTCGCTTTCACGTTCGGTGAGTGAAGGCTCATTAGCCTTCCATCGTGTAGATTGTAAACGTCTTCCATCATAGATTCACAACTCTTGACTTCCGGGTTGCAAATCATTCGCAGGATCGCAGCGGCTGAGCCTCTGGCTTCACTAATCGAGGCCCCTTCAACTCCTCCGGAGAACGCGGCTGACGATGGGTTCGCGAGGTAAGGCAACACTAATCTGCTACAAGTTCCCCGCTGACTATATGTCTATTTAGCTTCGCTAAACAGGCTTCTGGGGTATGTAAAGAGACTTCCTCCTCATGTTCTTTGCCCTGATCTTGAGTTTAGTCCGTTTTCCATCCTTGCGGTACCGCGGCCCTAGCCCCCAAGTCCTCAGGAGGTCAGTATCCCTGATTCATTTCTCGCGATCGAAGTACCTAACGATCTATATCTTAGGTGTCGTCGATACTAACCTCAAGGTCTATGGCACCAACAATCTAAGGATTGTAGATGCAAGGTAAGGAGACTTTTACTTATCCGGTCAAGCAAGCAGCTAAATATGCACCCACTGCGGTTGTTAGCGTCATCCCGCTAGTCTTCGCAGCGCACATGCAGGCCACGGTCTATGCCATTGCAGAGAAGGCCGCCGATATCGTCAAGAAAGCCAACAACCTTTAAATGTTCCCTCCTGTTTTGGAATATGTCAGAACTTTCATGATATAACGTGGTGCTGTAATATACATATACGAACACGTTCAGTAATTACTGTCTTTCATTTGGACGAACCTTCCTTGGGTGTATATACATAGCTGTTTAATCCGTTCAACCTTGTTCTTCCCCAGTGACAAATATCGATTTGCTTTGTTGTATGAGTGTTGGCTCCCAAGTGTTACTTCCGCATCAGATTGTAGACCGCTCGGCTCTCAGACGAACTTCTGGGAGACAATAACAGGTCCACTATATGTTGTACATTTTGCTATAACTGCCATACTTGCGTTCAATATCCTTCCGCTCGCCTTTTCTTGTCCTCTTCGAAAGTCTCCTTGACCTAACGAACATCCAATGAGCGGTGATCCTAGGCTCCTTCGATATTGATTGCACTCACCCTCTCGAAGAACTTGTCATCAAGTAGTACGCGAATCCCGACGCCAGCTAAAGCGATGGAGACGTCAAGACATGCTTTATGTGCTGCTACGGTACTGGCTGCTTTAGCGAATGCATGGGTGTGGTTGCCGCCGTTCAGTTCAGTCGGGATCGCTGCGGTGAGGTTGGCACGGTCAGTAGAATATTGTAACTTGGAACGAAGTATGTCATACCAAAACCGGGATGTAGAGAGGGTAGAGCTACGAGGGCATTGGTGAAGGAAATCACAGCGATTGAAACATGACTTGGACATTATGACCAACCATAAGTGACATTGCCCTGTAACATATGTCTGTCAGCATGTCTCCGTGTGATGTCCAAACAAAAGCGATCGTACAAAATCCGTTGAAGCCGATTTGATACCCCATTCGTAGTCAACGGCTCCGCCCCCTGCCTTGATGATATTTCCAGCCTCCTCGCCTAAGAAGACGAGTTAACGTTGAGCCATAGACGAGAACGGAATCAATGTATCGTTTACCTAAGGCTTCGTTTTGGCGGAGATCATTGGTAGAAGCAGTGATCTTGATCTCTGCCCGGCAGCCCGTAGCGAGCGCGGCAGCCCTGGAGTTGAAACGTTGATCAGCCTCGCTTGTAAGACGCTGGTAAAATGTAGGAGACCCACTCAAAGCACGGAAGAACCCTTTTCGTCAATGCTTCGACTTCTGTCGTTGTAGGAGCACGGATGTAGTAACTGCGGAAACCATTAGTATACTATCCACAGGATTAGTTTAAGAGAGTACTGACTACAGCTTCGATTTGTCGGGAATGACTGCCTTCTATGTCAGCGCGCCGTTAAATGAGTTCAAACAGGAAGATTATATACTTCCCGGGACCCATTCCTTCCCTTCGATGATGCCATGTACACGATGTGTGGGCTTGATTTGCTGACGAAGGGCTGCAATGTTGTTGTATGAGAGAACAGCAGCGTCCAAAGCATTTTGAGCCTCCCAAGGGGAGAGAGCCGCGTGAGCACTAGAAATTACGGTTATTCATGATTGGGTTCATACGGTGAAGACCGTACGTATGCCCAAAGAAGTCGACGGAGACGCGATTCAAAGCGAGACAACTGCTCAGACTGAGCGATCCTTTTGGTCCAGGAGCGGGGTGGCACCTATTCAAGGACGTTAGTGTAGCTTGTCTCGGGTCCTGAGCTTTGCAAAGCGAACATCAAGCAGATATCCATCCCTTCGTATGCACCTTTGTCAAGTAAGATGATTTTCCCGCCGCCGCCTTCTTCAGCTACAATAGAGCCGCTCGACGATACAGCACACTCTTGAAGTCGGTTAGGACACACCTGGGGTGCCAAGGAGAACGATCTTTCCAGGGATATCCCACTGTTGGAGGGCACCTTTTAGGGCACAAGCGACCGCGATGCCGCTCATGCCTATCAAGTTATGGCCGCACGCATGTCCGATGTTGGGAAGAGCATCCATCTATACCGTTTTGAGCCTGGAACTAACAAATCTAGGGGTAGGGCTAACCTCTGAGTTAATCCCAATAGTGCGACCGCCCTGGCCGTGGGCGAAGACAGCTTTCCATGCAGTGTCCAAGTGTAGGTTGCTACAGCATCGCAAGTAAGCACAGCTACGGCATTGAGTGAGCATGAACCACCCCCTCACCGAGTGATCTCGAATCCGTGCTTCTCCATAAACGCAGTCATAGTATCATGGGCATAGCTGTTCGAGGCGGTAAGTCCTGGCTCGTCAGTACTCCCCCTGTACTTACCGCTCTTCGAAACCAAGCTCTGGGTGAGCTACAGGACCCTCAGTATGTAACTCACAACATATTCGATTGAACTCGAACCATGAATATCCAAGCTCAACTCCCTCAGCTCATTGTCCATGTCCGCGATGGTCTTTTCGAGCGATTTCAGGATATCAGGCCTGAAAATGGTTTCCGTAGCTTTCGCGAAGTGGATTTCATAATTGCCTTCAGCTTCATTGGTAGTCCAAACGCTGGCCGCCATCTTGACCTGAAAGAACTTCGACAAGCTGCACACGACCTTTGTCAACGATCAGATCAGCGACGACCCTGAGAGAATGTGCACCGCCACCAGTAACTGAGGCGCTTCATCTGGCACCACCATCACGCCCTCCCGTTGTGGCGTCGTCACCATGATTTTACAGCATTCTACAGCGTCCCGCAGCACCAATGATGAATAGAGTGTGCATCGTGCTATACTGAGCATTACCACGGTCGTCCATTCTCTCATGCAAGAGATTCTCTTTCCTCGCTACAAGGAATGCGACACATCTGTAATTCAAAGCTATCCTACGCTTGTGCTATGTAGTATGATATTTGGTTGATTTATATGGCAAGAGTGCTGTGAAGAATGCTCACTCGGGGTAAGCCGTCTTTATTTCTGGTCTGTAACATTATCCCCAGGCGCCTACATATGATCATTCATATCCGCTCCTTTTAGCAAGTGTCAGACGGCCCCGAACCCACTGTGTTTGTCGACGGCGGAACGGCCTTGGTCGTTACGCTTTCTACCCGGAGACGGAGGTACAGCAATGGTAGAGACATTGTATGTGTTCTGATAGCCGGGGCGATTATACTAATTTCGGTAAATTCATACAGCATCGTCCAGCGTTACGCAATCCGTTGCAGTCATGCAGGCTGCCTGGCTGAAAGGCACGACTTGTCATTTCCGAGGTAGACAAGAGTAGACACCAACGGACAATGTCTTTTCAAGCATCAAAAGCTGTGTGATAAGCCTCCGGTACCTTGATGTCCTGTTTGACTTGGAGACTCATTGGAGAGAGCAAAGTTCGTATCACAATCGACCCTTGACTCATGATCAAGACTCCCCCAGCGCTCGAAACACACCGCCCTTTGTTGACAGAAACAAAGCGGGACAAATTCAATACTTAGGACGGGGGCGGGGTAGGTGCGTGCGACGCATTTCGTACCCCACCACATCATGGAATCCAGCACTCATTTCAATTTCGGTGTGCGGTTGGGGTTGTTCTTGGTTGTCGAGGCAGCCAGCCTTTCAGCCATCTCAACAGGGTGCCTTCTACTCTATATTTTGGTACGTGTCGTGTGATGGTTGAAGCAGAGTATTCCGGTTGACAAACACGGATTCCTACTTAGTATGGCTCAATCAATCGATGGCGAGCCTCGCGCGCAGCCAGCCATGAACACACAAAGGAGCACTCCGAGGATACGATCAGTGTTGATCAAGAATCACAAGATGTTAGCGGGTCAGCATATTTCAGGAACCTGATGCTGGCCGAACTAATACAGGCCATTGGTGAGTGCACTGTAGTACCTATTGTGTTTCGAGTTTATTAACATCCACTCAGGCGGTCTCCTCAACGTTCGGTGGATCATCGATGCCGTATGTTATGTATTGGTCTCTCCGTATACTACGAAACTCATGACTAGAGCAGGAAGTCGCTTTCAAAGGCCCAATATGCACAGCTCAGAGTGTTTTGGAGCAAATGGGCGATGTCGGGGTGGCTCTAACCACTCTCGTTATCGCCAGCCACACATTCATCGTCCTTGTCCTTCGTTGGCATACCCCAGCGCGAATCAGCATCAAGTCACTCTCTATCCCAGTCCCAGCTATTGTCCTAAGTTTGATTTGGCTGTTTATAACGCTGGCCATCGCCATTCCTGCTGGTCTGCACCAAAACAACCCAGATAAACCCTATTTTAGTAGGACGGGATACTGTGAGTCCTCTGAACATTGGGCCCCGGGGTTATCAAGCGGTGAACTCATCTAATTGTTTCAGGGTGTTGGATCAATGAGTCGTACCCAAAGGAGCGCATTGGTTTGGAGTACTTCTGGTTATGGGCAGCAGCGTTCATCCAAATCATACTATATGTCTTCCTCGCGCTAGTCCTTCGGGGGCTCGTCGTCGTTGAGAATGGTAGATTTGGTTGGGCATCTAAATCGAAGTCCTCTGAGCAACACGATGATTATTCATATGACTCAGATGGTGCCAGAGAGGCTCGAGACGAAGCAGCGAGAGTTGCTAACAGAACGGCTATGCAAATGCTGTTGTGAGTTGCTCTATTATCTTTGTGCCGGTTATTGTTTGCTCATGGTTCCGTTTGTATAGTTACCCCCTTGTCTACATTATCACTATCTTCCCCATATCAATTGCGCGATGGGTCAGTTTCTCTGGCACTGCGATCCCGTCCGCAGCGACCATGTTCGCCGATATCATGTTCTGTTCCAGCGGATTCCTCAACGTTCTCTTGTATACCATCACTCGCCCAGGAGTGGTCCGAGGATCTCCTCAGGCTCCCCCTCCGTCAGATGCAGAGAGAGGTCTTAAATCACACTCCCATAACCCCACCTTACAAGCGAGTTCTCATAGCGGGCATGGTGCAATCTCGGGCGGTCATGTTGAGAGAAGAAGGGTTATCACAGCCAAGGCTTCAGCTGGAGTTATCCCTCTGAGTCCAACACATCGAGCACTAGGAAGGCTACCAGACCTTGGGGAGGATGAAGAGGAGGAACAGATTGCACTGGACAGCGCGATATGTCGGGTGCACAGTCGTCCCCATGGCGTCGAGAACAGTCGCGTATACCCACCCCCGTCTCGGAGAACAAAATCTCAGGACAACGACTTGGGTCGACTACCTGATTCTGACGATGAAGGATCGAGTAGTAGGTAGTTTGTTGATACCTGAGGTCCCCGGGCCTGATGACTCTACTATTTATTATCACGTATACTGTATCTTTAGTGCTCTTAGCGCTTTCTCAATGATGTTACCTATGTATATATTGCTTATTCGTTACATGAACGATGTCTCTATATATGTATAATGCTTGTTTTTTGCTAGTTCATTCAGAAAGAGGAGCGGAGCTCGCTGAGCCGATCATGATCGGAGTGGATCGGAGGTTGGATAGCGGGAAGGCTTCTCCTGGCACTGGCAGCCTTTGAACTCTTTCATTCAAGCTCTTTCTGATCACCGCTTGTGTTCGTCACAATCTACAACCGTGTTCTTACCATCGTTTCTTGCATGGCTTCTGTATGGAGATACCTAATTCTGCTTCGATCCGTGCTGGAGGGTCATGAAGGGTCTTGAATAGTTCTAAAACCCCCAGGTTCTTCGCGCGTGACCTAGACTCTCACAGACGACTCAAGCATACTGACATGTTTCAGGCAACGCGAAATCGTCTATGGAATGAGGTTCGTCGAGTCACTCAAGAATCAATCCACAGCAAAGCTCGCGGAGGGCTTTGCTTCTCCAACTTGAAGGTAGCTCCCGTAGAGCTTGCTTTACAAGCTAGCGAGGAATCTCACCAGCGCTCAGATGCGGAACTACGGTCGCTACCCGGTGATTGAGCATGAATACGACTGCATTGTAGTGTTGAGTCGCCTCACCCTTGAGGGGAAGGCATCCAGTACTCATCTCAAGTTGCAGCGGAGCCGGAGGTGCCGGCCTTCGAGCTGCGTTCGGCCTTGCCTCGGCGGGCTTCAAAACAGCTTGCATAACGAAGCTGTTCCCTACTCGAAGCCATACTGTGGCTGCTCAGGTGAGTAGTGTGGCCAAATCCTAGTGGATGGTAGTAGAATTGAGCATAATATTTAGGGCGGTATTAATGCCGCGCTCGGTGTATGTTTCTATTGCAGGCTCTGTCTGTGAAGGTGTGCTCACGTCTTCACCCTAGAATATGACCGAGGACCATTGGAAATGGCATATGTATGATACAGTGCGTGCATTGCAACTGAACCACAAAACCATGGGTCGCTCAAAGAAAGTAGGTCAAAGGTTCTGACTGGCTTGGGGATCAAGATGCAATCCACTACATGTGCCGCGAAGCCCCCAATACTATTATAGAGGTGCGTAGAATCCGTAGACCGCAGTTGTATCGCTGTTGGTTACCCCTGAATCCATCCAGCTTGAACATTATGGGGTGCCCTTCTCCCGAACATCCGATGGGAGGATCTACCAACGAGCTATCGGTGGGCACACCCTCGACTACGGAAAAGGTGGTCAAGCGTATCGCTGCGCCGCTGCAGCAGATCGAACAGGCCACGCCCTTCTTCATACACTTTATGGGCAGTCACTGCGTCACGACACGACCTTCTTCATTGAATACTTCGTTTTGGATTTGCTCATGCACGAGGGCGCTTGCGTTGGGGTCATGGCCATTAGCATGGAAGACGGCACGATCCACAAATTCAGGTCCCATCATACCATCCTCGCGACTGGAGGATATGGGAGAGCTTACTTCAGTTGCACAAGCGCACATACATGTACTGGCGACGGCAATGCGATGGTGTCTCGTGCCGGACTCCCGCTACAAGATATGGAGTTCGTCCAATTCCATCCTACCGGGATATATGGTGCCGGTTGTCTCATATCGGAAGGTAAGATGGGTGCTTCTCCTTCTCTGCTCCATATAGATCAGCTATTCGTGTTCCAGGGTGTCGCGGGGAAGGTGGATACTTGCTAAACTCGGAAGGCGAACGATTCATGGAGCGCTACGCACCAACTGCGCGTGATCTTGCTTCTCGAGATGTGGTTGCTAGAAGTATGTCCAAGGAAATACAGGCTGATCGAGGCGTAGGACCCTTAAAGGATCACATTCACCTTCAGCTCAGTCACTTGCCTCCTGAAATCATCGAAGAACGATTGCCCGGAATCTCTGAGACCGCAGCAATATTCTCTGGAGTAGATGTTACCAAAGAGCCAATACCTGTCACCCCCACCGTTCATTACAACAGTAAGCAGCTTCTACACAGTGCACGCTACTGGTGTTCTTATGCCTTTCACCAATCAACAGTGGGCGGTATTCCAACCAAGTATACGGGTGAAGTTATAACCATCGACGAACGCGGAAACGACGTAGTCGTTCCTGGATTATACGCAGCAGGCGAAGCCGCGTGTGTTTCTGTACACGGCGCCAACCGTCTCGGTGCTAATTCATTGCTGGAGATAATAGTCTTCGGTCGTGCCTGCGCCCACCACATCAACGACAACTTCAGCCCTTCTACACCTCATGCGACTCTTCCAAGCGATCTTGGGAACACGAGCATTGAATTCATGGAACGAATCAGGCGAGTGACGAAGCCGGGTCATCCGAAATGCGCACTTACATACTACCGACCCATAGGACTGCTGATGGACCAGAGTCAACATCTGCGATAAGGCTGGAGGCTCAGCGTATCATGCAATCTGATGCTGGTGTCTTCCGGTGAGCTAGTAACCATTCCACTGAATTCGAGCTGAGCTTCTTTTAGAACACAAGACTCGCTGGACAAAGGTGTCGAGAGGATGAGCCACGTATACGAGAGATTTGCGCGCATAAACATCAAAGACAGGAGCATGATTTGGAATTCGTACGTGAATTCCTATGTCCCACTAGAATTCCTCACGTTCCTCGACATAGTGATTTGATCGAAGCACTGGAGCTCAGAAATATTTTGCAATGTGCGATACAAACAATCAAAGCAGCGGCGCAGCGGAAGGAATCGCGTGGCGCGCATGCACGAGAGGACTACCAACAGGTGCTCTTCCTATTGTGTCTTCAAGTACGTCGCCACTCACTGCTCGGTGCCCACACTTTAGCGAGATGATGAGTCATGGATGAAACACACATTGACTTTCCAGAGCGAGGTTGAAAGTCCATCTATCGACGTCGAGTACAGACCGGTAACAATGAGCACCTTGGATGAGGGGGAGTGTAGTACTGTACAACCCGTCGAGAGAGTATATTGAATATCCCCTTAGGGGTCTTAGGGGTACCCTGACTTAACGCGCCCAACTTCCGCAACCGGGCCGCCTCTTTGTTCCGTACTCGTTACTCCTTGCGTCCATCGGGGCCATTCTGCGGGATGAAAGAAGTCCTGCTCGTTGGGTTCGGCGCTGTTGGAGCCCTCTGTACGCTGTTCACCGCGTCGCTCTCGTCAACGAGGCTAATGGGAACCGCATATATCCGATCGTTCCAGACTCTCTCGTCTTCAAAAGAAGCGGGCTGGCTAGAGTTACGGCAGTAGCGAGGAGTAACTATAGTATCGTTAGAGGCAAGTAATCTGTGGATTACTGGCTACTCTTGTTGTCTCACGACATGTAGACCAAGGCGTTCATTTCAAGAGCCAAAAGTTCGGAGAGATCAGAGACTGGAAACCTGACCGCCGTGAGCCTACCCACAATGTCTCACGCAATTGAAATAATTAACGCGCATCCAAGTGTGTAGCTCTGTGGCCAGTGCTGCGGATCAAGCATATGACTATGTGGTAGTAACCACGAAGGCGGTACCAGAGCTCAAGCGAACGCCAGAGATCCTGTCACCATTGCTATCTCCTGAGTATACGAATAGGTTTTCGCAGCCGACATACATATTACTGCAAAATGGACTTAATGTTGAGAGGGATCTATACGACGCTATTCTCAAGTTGGACAAGGGGAAGCCCTCTATCATCGGCACGGCTTTGTACGTCGGGACAAACATTACAGGCAGCAATGTGGTAGAGCATAATAATGTTGTATGCCATTCCTCCTAACATATTAACTCTGATACGCATAGTATCTTTAGGAAAGACTCTCTCTAGGCATCTACCGACATGGGGATCCTACGACCACGGAGAACTCGGCATGTGAGGCCGCACTCCTTCAAGATCTGGGGTCAATTCTCCAGAAGGGAGGCAGCGCAACAACCATCGTGCCAGAAATACAACGCATCAAATTCTCCAAGAACTTCTGGAACCTTTCTTTCGCATCGTTCGCGACGTTGACTGGATATACATTGCCTTCGTTATTTCGCAGCCCTCCCGCTTCTAACGGCGAGCAGTATGATCCATATGTGCACCCTATCACGGCCGAACTGGTTCAACAACATTCATTACCCGCAATCAAAGCAATCATGAAAGAGGTTTTGGCATTAGGCACGGACTGATATACTGCGACGAAACTTTATGATGACATCTTCGTGTTCTAGGTCACGCAATGGGCTTCCCAGACTCTCCAGATGGGCTTCCGTCCTCGACGGTTGAGACTATTTTTGAGAACACTGCGGGATTACACCGCTTCCCGGATAGTAGCCACGTCCCCAGCATGCTCCTCGATGCTAGGCGCTCGCAGCCAATGGAAGTCGAAGTAATTGTTGGGGAAGTCGTGAGGATGGGGAAGAAGTACAAGGTTGATATGCCAGTGAGTGTGATCTCCCCAATCATTATTGGCTGTAGTCGACTTACACTCCGCAGCATATCGACATGCTGTATGCTCTTCTTTTGGTGAAGCAGAACCAAATATTAGGTCGTATTGCAGCTCGCGAGCAGTAGCTGTTATACAACATGTCATCTGACCTCGATTACGAGGCTTTCCCTATCGTTTGCATTAGAAGATACAGCTCCGTTCTTACGTTCGTCTCTCAATCGTAACCTGTCTCTCTGAGGCGAGGGTATTCTGCGAATAACGGTCCACCCACTTTGTGACCTTGATTAAGCGCAATTCGCCCCTCGCCCCTCTCCCGATTTTCGTCCTTGACCAGCAAGCCAGGGTATTCAATGCAACCATTTTCTTCACTCTCTTTCGCCAATCCTAGCTCAATGACCCTTTTCGTTTTAGAAGCACCACACCATTAGCACAGTGTCCATATCCTCGTTGGCCCATGCCGGCCGGCGCGTGTCCCCCAAGGCGTTCTTTGAGGTAGGGAATTCTCTCGATTGTCACTCCTAGAACGCGCTAACCCTACATCCTCAGTCCAGCTTCGTGGTAAGAGCCTTTGTAGTGTCCTAAGCAGTGAACGAGTCTGTTGGACGATTAAATGTTGATGTCTTTCTGTGAGCCCGCTATCTTCTTGCGAAGCTGGGATAAACTCCTTCTAGAACAGAAGAGTCACTGGAGAGAGGCGTCCGGCGTACACAAGAAATTTGGGCACAAAATTAAAGCTAGAGCATCGTCTGAGACTGACTCGTGCCTCTAAGGGGCTTTAGGGGCACCCTGGCGACTTTCGACTTGCAATGGTTATAACCCACTCAATCCGCCCATATTTCCGTCCTAGAAGAACACGCAAACGCATGGTGTATGTATACTACTAAACTAATGATTATCCTCAAGTTTCCTGAGGACGCGCAGTGTGGACACTATGTCGACCCCTTCAACGATGCTCAACGATCACATCAGCATTAGTCTCGCCGCGAGCATGGCGGCGACTCGATTTACTTCCCCAATTCCGATCGAATATTTCTTTCGTCTCGATTTGAGCCTATACTTCGTGAGAGTCTGCCTTACCCTCCTTATCCCTTGAGCTTCCGCAGACCTCTACTCGACATGTATCCTTCCAGGGTTCTCTAGCATATAACTAATTGCTATGTCGTGAGCAGAGATGGACGATGATCGATCATCCCCTTGACTCTCGCACTCAGGCTGTCCGGGAAATCCGTGCGATGAAAGAAGTGTTGCTCGTTGGATTTGGCGCTGTTGGAGCTCTCTGTACGCTAACTTCCAAATCGCTCTCAGTCAATGTGACTAATGCCAGCCGCGTATGCCTGGATCTCGGACGGCCTTCCTTGACAATGAAGACTCTCTTATCTTGGAGAGAAGTGGAATTGTTAGAGTCACAGCTGTAGCGAGAAGTAACTACGGTATCGTTAGAGGTAAGTATTCCCTGTGATTGTTGGGCTGCCCAAGTTGTCTGACGACGCGTAGATCAAGGGGTCCATTTCAAGACCAAGAAGTTCGGAGAGATTAGAGATTGGAAGCCTGACCGACGTGAGTTTTCATCCATATTGTACTGAATTTGAACTGATATGTACCGAAGTATGCAACACCGTGGCCAGTGCTGCAGATCAAGCCTACGATTACGTGGTAGTAACCACGAAGGCGGTCCCAGAGCTCAGGCTAACGCCAGAGATACTGTCTCCACTGCTATCTCCTGAGTACACAAATAAATTCGCACAGCCGACATACTTGTTATTGCAAAATGGCCTCAATGTAGAGAAGGATCTGTACAATGCGATTCGCAAGCTGAACCAGGGGAAGCCTTCCATTGTTTGTGCAGCTCTGTATGTCGGAACGAATCTCGCTGCACCTAATGTGGTGGTGACAAATGACCTTGTAAATCACTTCTCTCAGCGTGTACAATCTGATATTTACATTCTGCCTTTAGGAAAGCCTCTTTCTAGGAATCTACCGGCATGAGGACCATACCACTTCAGCCAACTCGGCAGACGAGACCGCACTCCTTCAAGACCTTGGATCGATTTTCCAAAGGGGAGGCAGCGCAATCACTATCGTGCCAGAAATACAACGCGTCAAATTCGCCAAGAACTTCTGGAATCTTTCTTTCGCAACGTTTGCGACTCTAACTGGATATACCGTGCCTTCGTTGTTTCGCAGCCCTCCTGCTTCTAAAGATGAACAGTGCAATCCATATTTGTATCCTATCACGGCCGAACTGGTTCAACAACACTCAATACCTGCGATCAAAACAACTATGAAAGAGCTGTTGACATTAGGCATGCGCCGCTAATGGACTGCGATAAAACTTTGTGATGACATCTTCGTGTTCTAGGTCATGCAATGGGATTCCCAGACTCCCCAGATGGGCTTCCGTCCTCGACGGCTGAGACTGTTTTCGAGGCTCTTGCGAGATTGAATCGCGACCCGGATAACAGCCACGTTCCCAGCATGCTCCTTGATGCCAGGCGCTCACAGCCAATGGAAGTCGAAGTAATTGTTGGGGAAGTCGTGAGGATGGGGAAGAAGTACAAAGTTGATATGCCAGTGAGTGTGATCCCCCCACATTATGGGCCGTAGTCGACTTACACTTCGCAGCATATCGACATGCTGTACGCCCTTCTGTTAGTGAAGCAGAACCAAATCCTGGGTCGTATGATGGCACAGTAGCTTCTCAACACGTGCCACTGAATGAATACATTTCATACTGTCTTCCTTGCACGCTGAGTTCCTGCAAAGCAGCACATTCAAGCTTCTCTACTGCGGTGACGAAGGACTAGCAACCTTAGAACAATGGGAAGCTTGGGTAAGATCTGAAGATCTAATCTGCCTGCAAGCACGGGTGACGGTGCCGATTGACTGGACAGAAGTAGTATATGTATAAGCGCTGCGAAGGAGTCACCTTTGACCTGCGTTCGACCCCACTTCAAAGTGTAATAACAAGTCAATTCGTTCTCCCCAGCACCAATGAGCGGCAGAGGCGATCGTGGTCGTGGTCGTGGTGGTTTCGATCGTGGGAGAGGCTCCCCTGGCGGTGGGCGCGGACGCGGCGGCCCAACCGATAGTCCACGCGGCCGAGGTGGCGGATTCGGGGACCGAGGTGGAGGACGTGGTGGCTTTGGTGATAGAGGCGGCGGGCGTGGCAGCCCTGGTGGATTCGATAGAGGCGGTCGCGGTAGCCCTGGAGGGCGGGGTCGTGGATTCGGCGGGGGTTCTGCGTCTGGGGGGTACGTTTCGTCGTTTGCGCGCTAACCATGGACTCACCGTCCACGCAGCGTATTTGCGCCAAATGAACCAGCAAATGTGGACCAGCGGCTTCTGGATGGCTCACAGGAGGCGCTGGTTGCATCCTTCAAGCAGCTGACCCTTAAGCCCAACGACCTGCCTTCAAGACCTGGGTTCGGCACAATTGGCAAGGCCATCAAGTTGAGGACGAACTTCTTCCCCGTGGAGACATCCGACCGCCCCGTCTTCGAGTACGACGTCGCGATCACACCAGCGGCAGGAACAGCGGCGCGCAGAGTGAAACGACGAATCTTCCAACTTGCTGAAGCTACGCCAGCATGGCAGCACTATGGACTTCGGGGTACTGTTGCACACGACAGTTCGGCAAAACTTATCGCGTCCACTCAGTTGCCACAACCTCTTGCAATCACCGTGCCATACTACGACGAGGACGAGAGCGCCCCAAGGCCTGGCGGAAAGGAATACACACTTACCATCAAATTCATACAAGAACTCGAGCTCCAGAGCCTGATGAAGTAAGTGTATCGACAAAATACATTCAATGCCACTGAGATTGCATTATTTAGTCACCTCGCTGGCGACCTACAATACCGAGACTACGACTGGGGTCCCGTTGTTGCGGCGTTAAATCTTATCCTTGCCACTCACCCTTCTAGCACGGGCGGCATAGTTGTGGGACGAAATCGCTTCTTCTTCCGAGGCGCCATGCACCCCGAGCCACTGGGTGGCGCCTTGGAAGCGTGGCGTGGATTCTACTCCTCGGTACGACCAGCTCACAATCAGCTTATGGTCAACGTCAATGCCTGCACGACGGTGAGTCAGTTATCTATTGACCATAAATTTATGTCACTGATATGAAACTTCCTAAGGCCTTCTATCAAGCGATCAATCTCGCCGATGCGATGACTCAATTTCGAAATGCTAGCTTTGGTGCCAATGTGGGCAACTTTGTGAGGACGGTCAGGGTACAAACGAAGCATCTGGGGCACCGAAAGACTGTCAAGAAACTTTCCAATAAGACTGCTCGCACACATTCATTCGACTGCGAGGATCTGGGAGGAAGGGTCACAGTCGAGGAATACTTCTTACGAAGTGAGTATCGATCTACGTGATCTCTTTTGACGACTAATTCCTCCCTCAGAGCACCAAATCAAGTTGCAGTATCCCGACATGCCTCTTGTCGATGTCGGCGGTCAAAAGAGTGTCTTGCTGCCACCAGAACTCTGCACAATTCTACCAAACCAACCATTTCGAGGCAAGATCACGGACGAACAAACCGCCGCCATGATTCTTGTTGCCTGCAAGCCGCCCAACGTGAACGGAGCAGCCATCGTGGGTCCAGGCTTAGACCATCTCGGCTTCAGGCAGGGTCCTCAACCTCTCGGGGCTTTCGGGGTGTCGGTAGGCCAAGAGATGGCGGTGGTTCCGGGGCGCATCCTCCCGCCCCCAGCAATTGAGTACGGCCAAGGTCGGCCGGATGTGGACGCCGAAAAGGCTAGCTGGAACCTCCGAAGCGTGAAGTTTACCAAGGGTGGCAGGTTGCAGAGCTGGGCTGTCCTAGTGGTTCAAGATAGTGGTCGCGACGACTTTGCGGGTCCCACGGATCCTGATTTACGTAACGTGATCACTGGGTTTGCACAGATGTGCTCAAAGTCGGGCGTCGTTGTGGCAAACAACAACCCGCCTATCGCCGTTGTTCAACTGCCTCGCAAGGATAATCGTGATCCCATACGGGCTGCCGCCCTCACAGCCATTCAGAACGCCTTGAAGGCGCAGCTCAAGACACCACCGCAGCTTCTGATGGTCATGCTCTCCAACGGAGACAAGCATGTCTACTCCGGCATTAAATACCTTTGTGACTCTCAGCTCGGCATTTCCACCGTTTGCGTGCATTCTGCCAAGATTCGGAAAGAGAAAGGGCAGCTGCAATACTTCGCTAACGTGGCGTTGAAAGTGAACATGAAGACTGGCGGCGTGAATCATTCCTTGGATCGTACCAGCATGGAGTGGATGAAGAAAGAGCCCACGATGCTGGTAGGAATCGACGTTACGCATCCCGGCCCTGGCAGTGTGAAGGGAACTCCTTCGATCGCTGCTGTTGTCGCCAGCGTCGACAATCTCTTCGGACAATTTCCTGCCAGTCTTAGGATCCAGGAAACGAAGAAAGAGGTCAGTTTGCCCCAGCTTTCGTAGCCTCAGTGATTGATTTTGTATAGATGGTCACGGCTCTCACAGATATGATGGTAGAACGGCTCAAAGCGTTCCAAGCAACCAACAATAACGCGCTTCCTACTCGCATCCTCGTGTACAGAGATGGTGTTTCTGAGGTAGGCTGGGGATGTTCTTCTACTGCTTGACTACTTAATCTCCGGCTTAGGGTCAATTCGCCATCGTCGTCGCCGACGAGCTCCCATCCATGAAAGATGCCTTTAGGAAATTCGACAAACCCGGCAAGCGATATGACCCCAAGCTCACCATCGTTATTTGTGGCAAGCGCCACAACACGCGGTTCTACCCTACGGAAGCAGCCAACGCCGACAGAAATGGCAATCCCAAGCCGGGAACGGTTGTCGATCGTGGAATCACCGCCGTCTACCATTTCGACTTCTATCTACAAGGTGGGGTCGGCTATTCAGTTACTCGATTTCGTTATGTGCTAATTTGAATCATGGATTAGCACACGGTGGATTGCAAGGCACGACGAAGCCTACCCACTACTATGTTGTCCATGACGAGATCAAGTTCGGTGCAGACCAACTGCAGGGCTTGACTAACGCTATCAGCTACATGTTCGCTCGGGCCACGAAAGCAGTCAGCTTGGCCTCTCCTGCGTACTATGCCGATCTGGCTTGCGAGAGGGGACGATGTTACCTCCATAAACTCTTACTCGGCTTCAGTAGCTCTGGTGGAACCAGCACTACGACCTCGAGTGATGATCAGCAGGTCTTCCAAGAGGCACAGCAACTGTGGGGCACGGGGATTCACGAAAAACTCAAAAATACAATGTTCTATCTGTGAGCCCCCATCTTACGTTTTCTGATATATAGACGACATGATTGTGCGGAAATGGATGAAGAAGCATGTTTCTTTCCATTCTATCGATATGTATGTAATGTAATACTTTGTAACAGTAGCCTTGTGGAATATGGGATCATTTGTATCAATGTTGCACCACCTCTTATCAAGCGAGCAGTCATGCTTAACCCCACATATGCCCTCGTGATCTATTTTCGCGTCCACCGGGGGATCCTCATGTTCGGGGCGTGGTGTGGCGTCAGAAAGCCGGAACGTGGGCACGGATTATGAATGCTTTAAAAGGATCCCCGTCGTCCGCTAGAGACGGTCGCTATTCTGAGTCTATTCAAGCATGGAGAGCCTTCCAGCAGAGATTTGGATGACCATTTTCTCGTATGCGTGCACCGACGACGGCTCGACGGGGAGGTCAATCTCTCTGGTGTCACGGTGGTTTTGGGACACCTCACGGTCGATAAAACATCAGTCGCTTGTGGTGAAAGGTGTTAGCCAGATCACTGGCATTGCGAGCATGCTGGAGAGACTACCTCCGGAGCTAAGGCGGGTGCGGTACCTCTCCGTGAGGGTCCACCACCGGGACATTAATAAGCGTTCGGTCTCCGTCGAGGATGGGGTCATCCTTCGCGGTGACCGAGACGCAAGAGAGCCCGAGTGCGGAGTGTCGGCGCGCACCCAGAGTGGCATCTACGACAGATCGATGGTGGTTCTATCCCACATGCTGCAAATGATCGCACCGCAGTTACGCGTCCTCCACCTCTGGCTACCCATTTCGTCGCCTTCTCGCCTTCTTCCGTCCACGCTTCCTTCGATAGTCGAGCTTCGCCTCACGTCCAATGATATGCGTGGGCAACACCTGGACACACGAAGCATCTGCACTGCCCCGCAGCGCTATCCATCTCTGAGGCGTTTGCGCCTCGGGATGCTGCATCATCAGCACGGGCTCTTCGGTCGCATCGCAAAACTCGCTCCCGGGATTACACACCTACATTTCTGCATCCCGGAACATACACATCTGTACCGAGAGCTGGAAAGGGCGCTTGGGGTTGGTGATACCAGCATGGACGTCGAAAAGGAGAATTTGCTTCCCGAGACGATCCAAAGGGTTTCCGTGCAAATGGGACCTACTCCGAACGCAGGCAAATATCCTGCATGGGCATCGATGCACAAGACGATGCGCTTGAACCTTGAAAGAGTCGCCAGAGAGGACAAGCGTGTGGTCTTGGTAAGGCTGAGATCCGAGGGAACCAGCCTTTCCTCCTACCCCGAAATCTGAACATCATCCCAGAAACCTGAACATGGAGGCGATGCGCAAGTAGGATCCTGTAACGCGTATCGGATTCACTCCTGTGGCGGGGTCATGTGACCCTGCCCCTCAACAAGACAATAGGAGATAGTTCGGCGGGTTTCTCCAATATTAGCACTTCCAGCATTTTGTGTTTGACAAAGCTCGCCAGCGCTGCAGACAGTTGTGATAAACATGTACTTGTGCGCACTCTGTACCCATAATGAGCAAGGAACATATCTGGGATTATTCATTCTCCTGTGTAAAGACATGGATAATGTGATCGTGTGAAACTTCCCTCCGCGACGCCTTCGTCGTTCGATAATTCCTTCAAGTTCACTTGGGCTTGAGGGCCGATGCTAGGAGCACGGCATGTACGAGACCGTTGAAGACTGGTGCATACTCAACACTTGGGCCACATGTATCTGGGTCATGTTCAGAATCCCCAATTGCAACTATCTGAACTTTGGTGCTTCATACCTTGTTTTGTTGCATCTTGCTCTGCATAAGGGATGTTGGCAACTATTGTAGGCCATTCCCACACTAATTACTCTCTCTCAAGCTGTTCTATGTGCTGCTTTGCTGGTTGGGCCTCATCGCCCAACCTACGGTTGGCCTCATTCGGCCCCTGGTTAGTTTTGGGTGCCCTCTTTATGCCCTATCAGGGGGTATCAAGGGGGCTCACATGACCACTTACTTGAGCGAAGTCTGGCGCTCACTCCAGCCAATCAGAAGAGAAAGAGCTTTTTTTGGAGCAAATAAAGACAAACATCCAGACAGCCAATAGCGGGCTGAGAAATCCTGGCCGAACCAATGAGATCGCTGTTCCTAGCTCCTTGTTGGACCCTGTCCCAAAGTTTCAGAGCACTTCATACTAACGAGCCTCCATTCCATTACGGTCTCGTAAACTAACTCAAACTCCACGCGACTGCTTCGAAAAGTAAGCACAGCAACAAAGCGCGCCAACTGCTACTTTTGACTGATATTTGAATGTTTCGCCCCCAGGATGCGCCAGTAACCCATGATGATTATATGACAATCGTTTGTCAGTGTGTCATATCTGCAAACGGATCCTCGGAATGCAATAACATGCAATATAGCTCAAGATTCATGCGATCGTGCTTCACCATTACTCTGCCTTTAGCCTCAGCACAGCCACACCGATGCTGGCTTGAGGGCATTTCGCTGTGATTCCACGGTTGGAATCCCCGCATGATATCTCAAAACCCGCCAATAGCACTGCTTTCTCCTTATTGGCTGCAGACAATAATTCTAAACGCGTTCGCAACCGCCTTGAAAAGCTTATTTTTATCCTCTGTTATTGAGACAAGGATGGCGTTTGCACCGCCTCCCCGAGATGGGCAGATGCACACAGAAACATCCAGTGACCCGGGACGACCGACGCTGATTTCATCTCTCCCGAAGTAATGGGCAGGTACGCCCCATTGGAATGCTTTTCTGTATAAAAGCACTATTTCCAGCAGGACCTAGTCTCCATCATTCTACGTCTCATTCTCCTTCAACTTACAGGCTTCCGCTTTAATTATTCTTCCATTCTCTGGAATGCCTTCCTTCCTTGCTCTTGCTCTTGGTGCACTACCAGCTGTGTTCGCAGCGACATTCGACGTTAGCGTCGGCGCTGGTGGTCAGCTAGCTTACGACCCGCCTTTCGTTAACGCGGCCCCTGGTGACGTAGTCAACTTTGTCTTGTTAGTAGTTGAATCTCGTCTAGATTTCCGTACGCTTACACTCTTTCAACCTCTAGTCACCCAAAGAACCACACGGTTACCCAGTCGTCGTTCGATACTCCTTGTGTTGCTTTAGATGGTGGCAAGCGTTCCGGATTGTAAGTGATCAAGTCTTCGTTCTTCGTTATCGACGCGAAAGCTTAATTGTAATCTGTAGCATGCCGGTGGCTGCTGAAACCGATGGGTTGCCGACGTTCCAATTCCAAGTTGTAGACACGACACCCGCCTGGTTTTATTGCGGACAAACAGGGCACTGTGGTCAAGGTTTGTGACCAGCCTTACCAACGCGCCCCTATGAACTCACATATTTGCATTCCCGCTAGGAATGGTGTTTGCTGTCAACCCGCCTGCTGAGCCTAGTCCACGTTCATTCACTGCCTTCCGCGACCTTGCTATTGCTACAAACGGCACCGCAAGCTCTTCAGCAGCAGCCAGCTCTACGGCCTCCAGTTCTGCGGCCACTGACGGATATGTCACCCCTCCTGCTCCACATTTCGAGACCGTCACGGTTACAGTAACTTTGCCCTCTTCGACCTACACCACTGTTTACAACAGCTACGACGGGACACCCCCACCGACGCCAGCTCCCCAACCTCAGGACCATAAGATCACTGTTGGCGCAGATGGCCAGCTCGTCTACTCCCCGGCCAATATCCAAGCTGCCATCGGTGATACCGTCACCTTCGAGTTCCGCCCCAAGAACCACACGGTCACCCAGTCAAATTTCAACAACCCCTGCCAACCCTTGTTCGACACGACCGGAAAAGTTGGCTTCAGCTCTGGCTTGTACGTAACCCCAAAAATCTTTTCTTGTTGATGATCAAGTCACTTACCATTGGCCCCTTGTTGCAGCATGCCCGTCTCACCAGACGCGACTCAATTCCCAACTTTCCAGATCAAGATCAATGATGTACGTCCACCGTCGCCCACACACTTTCATTGCGCGATGAACTTATCAATGATTCAATCCAATTTAGACTGCTCCAATTTGGGGGTACTGTGGACAGACTGGGCACTGTGGCTCCGGGATGGTGTTCGCCATCAACGCCGTCGAGTCAGGTCCCAACAACTTCGTGGCTTTCCAGGGCCTTGCGAAGAGGATCAATGGCACGTCGTCGTCCAGCTCGTCAGCGCCGGCGCCCACTTCTTCAGCGAATCAGAACAACCAAAATTCTGCAGCCGGCGCTCGTGCTAGCTTCGGATACGCAAGCAGTTTGGTCCTGGCGATGGTGGCCTTGGTATCCCTTTGGTAAATTGACAGCCGCGAGAAGATGTTTGTGATTATTGATGAACGTTTCGACACGATTTTTTTTAATTTGACGATGGACTTGATGCTTTTCATGGACACACTATATCTTATTTTTAGACACATTGCTTATGTATCTTATGGTGCTTGACGCGAGCATTTGTTGTTGTGATACAAGAGTTTTTTTATTATGACCGCGAAAACACGATTGCATCTCTTGCAACCAGGGGATAGGGGACAAGTACTGAAACACTGTTTTTTATCTCCTTGGTGGTCCGACGACGGGCCAGATTATTGAGGTAATTACGCGGTAGCGGTAGACCCGGTGTACGCATGGATCGTCTGATCCGCGCAACCAGCGGGGGTCATGTAGCTGTACGGACCAAGGTTAACGTAGAGGTCACGGTTGCCATCGGCATCCGGGCACACGAGCCATGCCTGCAATGAAGTCAGCAACGTTATGGATCAAGTTCTACTTCACACTCACGTTGTTTTGCGGACGTGTTATCGACGGGTTGCTCCATTCGAGCGTATCGCCACTAAACACGAAAGCTCCGGACGTCGCTGGGGTCGCAGACCAGCTCACTTTGAGCTTCATGACCGTAGAATCGGCCCGCGGCTCGACCACAGCGTAGAGCGGCGTCCCGTTCGCATTTTGCACTAATTGTCCGTTGGTTACCTGGAACTGGGCGGCTTCGGACGGCTCGCCAAGGACTGCCTCTGAGGCCGTCCAAGCTATCTCTGATCGGAGATATTTATGGAAGTTGGGGTCCACCTGAAATTCAAGTTATCAAGATCGTGAATTAGACTTTTAGGGTATCTGTGCTCGGCACAGAGTGTACAGGGTAATACTTACGACTGCGCGAATGAATGAGTAGCCGGGCGCGAGGGTCGTTGACCCGCCGACCGCGGTGGAGGTTGACGAAGGAGGTGTGGGCGGGACGGACGAGCCCGGAGCCGCGGTGGTGGATGCTGGCGGTGCGGTTCCCTGCAAGCATTGCGAGTAGTAGTCGTTCAACTTCGTGCAAACCAATCCTGAATCGCAAACGGTCTCTCCCCCGAACCCAATACCCCCGCACTGAATTCAGTACAGTGTCAGTGACAACGCCCGGTAGGCTTGGGACTTGTATGTAACTCACCTGACCCCACACAGGCACGACGGCGGATACCCCGGACGCCAGAGCAAGACCGGCGGCGATGAGTGTAGATGTTCTTAGCATTTCTGAGGACGATTCTGTGAGCCAAGAATCTCTTATGTTGCGTCAGTTATATAGCGGTCGGGACTGATATGCACGCTTGCTCGGTGGTGGACGTTCCATGATTGCGCCGTCTAGAAAGGGCTATATCTCGGAGACAATGGAGGAAGCGGAGGCGTCATGCACAAGAGAAGACACGCGACGGCGCAATGTCGGTGGAAGAACTGGAGGAGACTCAGTGGCCACCACCTGTATGTCAATTCTTCGCCAGTCGCCAAGGGATTCTCCGAACCTTCACCAAAGCAGGTGGCTAAGTTGGGGTGCATTATCACCGATAATTTAGCAAGAATGAGTAGGACCGAGCAGCGGTGTTACAGTCACGAGCCCGTTGCTGCTGGCATCGAACGGGTGAATCGATTATCATTCAGTGGGTTCACTATAAAAGCATCAATACGCGTAACTAACATAAGGTCCGAGAGGATGAAGTACGGGTCTAAGAATAGCACGAAAGCGAGGTCACTTCAGTATTAATATTCCTCCTTGATGGGATCCTGTGTTGGGTTTAGTTCGTCCTTGGGGGTGAGGGCCTCGTTCGTCGATTCTGCCGATGAAATGTGTCCTCCTTGCACGTCTTGGGGTTCGTCGTCGTCATATGCGTAGTCGTCGTCTTCTAACGGGTCTTGGGCAGGCTCCGCAACGTAATACCGGCTCTTTGCTTCAAGGATCCATTCGTTCAACCCCGCACGTCCTTCATTCCTAACGAGGACGGCCAAACGGAAGAAGAGGTAGGTAGATATCGTAGCTCCAGTAAGGAATGCCGACATGAAGAGTACAGCACCCAGAACGCAGAGAAGCACAGACACTAATCGAAACGGTGAATAACTTGGTTAGGAATGTAATTCCCCACTTACCAAAGATAAGTTCTAGCAACACGAATGCACCTAGTGCAACCGAGAGCGCGATAATGATGAACGAGACAGCTGCAAAGATAGAGAAGCCACTGTTGCGCCCCAGCTTAGCAGACGAGTACAACGCGTGCCTCCAAGCCAGGACACGCACATGAATGTCACAACCGGCACGATGCTGAGGCAGAATAGTATCACCAAAAAGACCTGGAGAACGCCATGAGCCCAGCGCATATAGTATATGGTCAAGAACTCACCGAAAGTATCGGGTGTTGGTCGTGGTACACGCCCCCCAGCTTCATCGCTGGCCTAGCATACTGGTGCTCAAATCTGCATGCGCTTCAGCACATTCCTCACCATTCATGGTGCCGACCTACACATCAGCGTATTCCCGCACTGCGGTCGCGCTTCGGTCAAAATATGAGCTGAGGTCGTCGGAATGCGACCTTTCGGGAGCCATGGCTGAAGGGGACGAGGAGGGAGGAAGCAACCAGCTTGATCGCTGCAGTTGACGGCGTCGAAAGTGACAAGTCGACAATGGAGCGTGGGAATAAGATAAAGCGACATCCTTGATCTTATCAGCGTCCACAGCGATGAACGTACTGGTTTACTCCGGACCAGAGGTCGTCCAAGCGTCCTTGAGCGGTGCCCTCGCCGCTCTGAGAACGATTCTGCAGCCAAATTACTCAGTTCAGTCTATTTCGCTGCAAACATTTCTGTCTCAGCCCTGGTACACGTCGTGCGCCCTTCTTGTGCTGCCTGAATGCCGCAGGCCGTTCCAATCGAAATCAACCTCGGCAATCCAGGCGTTTGTCGAGAATGGGGGCGCGTTTCTTGGACTATCTACTGGGGCAAAGTTCTCTACGAGCCCCTTAGACTCAGATATCACGAACATGACCGCTGGGAGCGGCTCGACCGATCCATTATTACGATTCAGGCAAATGATGAAGGGAGGGTACCTCTACCCGACATACTCCAGAGAAAGCTCGGATCTGGCACGCAGCTCGGTCACCGTCCTTGCACAGGACGGCGCGCAGGCTCGGCTTGTCCAGACGTCCAGGAAAGAATTCGTCGCGGTAGATCAGATGGAAGGGGGAAAGGCACTAGCTACATATGCCGGGGAGGAGGCTGCTGCTAGCTTCATTCACGAACTAGGAAAAGGGAAAGTTGTCCTTTGGGGACCAGGGCTTGAATACCCTCTTTCATCGCTCGCACCTACTGTGGATGTTTCTGCTGAAGAACATCGTCGTGGCGAACTCTTACGGGCTACTCTCTCGAGCCTATCCCTACAAGTTCCGTCAGCGGAACTACCCCGTATATCTCGACCCCTCCCCCAATTCTTGATGGGGCCTCCGTCCAAGCCTGGGATTGTGCTGAAGATCCTACGCCCATTGGCTCTGGGATACCCAGGTTCAGAGCCCAGCGTCTTGAAAGACACCAACGACACTTTCTTTTTCCACCCTATCGAAGACAGCAATCAGGTTTTCCAACAAGCAGTGGCTGAATTGGAACACGTAGAAGATCCGGCCAACTGGCAGCCTAAGCACATCATTGTTTGTCCTGATGGGGTGCTACCTCCTTCCGAACTCACCCCTCTGTTCGATTGTGCGGCATTCTTCAACGCACTTAGTGCCGCGCAAGACAAAGATGGGCTCCCTGCCCAAGGAGAGCCTTGGAGGATGGGTGAAGCCTTCGCTTACAGCAAGGCGGTCACCAGTACTCAAACCATGCTTGACAAGTCGGTAGCGAGCCGCATTCTAGAAATAAGCTACGAGTCCTGATGTAGCATTTGTGCACCTAGGAACCCTCATTTCCTGACGTCCTTACCGGCGCCCTTCGTGTCAATGGCGTCTTATCAACTTGCTGGCCGTGGTCGTGGGGCAAACGTGTGGCTTTCGCCCTCAGGCTGCTTGCAATTTTCGGTGCTTATTCGAGTATCACTCGCAACTTTCCCTGCCAGTAAACTTGTTTTCGTTCAATACCTCTTTGCGCTCGCCGTGGCGGAGGCTTGCCGCGAGGAAAGTGTTTTGGGATCTGTGGGGAATAGTGTACGACTCAAGTGGCCTAACGACCTGTATGCGGTGCTCGGCGATTCACAAGAATCAAGGCGAAAAATTGGTGGTATCCTCGTGAACACCAGCTTCACCGATGGTAATGTCGATATCGTTATTGGTGAGACCAAGTCATATCTAGACACTTTCGCACTTATCAAATGCACCACTTCCTATAGGCTGTGGCGTGAACGTGCTAAATGAACCCCCAATAACGTCTCTGCATCAGCTGCTCGGGCCGGGATCTCACAATGGGCTGACCATGGAAAACACGCTCGCAGCCATACTCAGTAAATTCGACAAGATGTGGGGCGAGTTCGTCGCAAAAAATGGTTCCTTCGAACCTTTCATGGACCTCTACTTATCGAGGTGGCTTCACTCGTAAGCCTTTCTCCTCCTTTTACTCTTTCTAACTTATTAAATCATAAATATCGCCTTATCCATTCACCCGATATTCAATACATGTAGAGATCAACTCGTGACGATCACCACAAGCGTTCCTCATCAACGCGCGCGAATTGTTGGTATTACGCCCGATCACGGACTGCTTCGCACCATGCCAGAGTCGGATGGGTACTCTGCGCGTGGAGGATACATCGATCTTCAACCAGACGGTAACAGCTTCGACCTTATGTCTGGAATGATCAAGACTAAAACATGAAGACCGAATGGCGCATGTTGCAAGTCCTAAGATATAAAAGGTTGTATCACTACTAGAATCTAGGGGGCCCGGCCTCTCAAATACATCGTCGGCCATTTGTTGACCATGTCATAACATGATCAGACCCGGCTTCATTTCCACACTTTCATTCACTGGCAGTCTCTCACTTGGTTTCTCAAGATCTCACATGCAATGCATTGCTCGCTAAGCATTCGTGTAGAAGCATCCCCATTCCGGCCTTGGGCCGGTCATGTGGTAAACGAGCGTTACGAGCAAGCTTCGCGTCACGTAAGAATGGGTCAGGCTCCTCACACAGATGAAGAACTATTTAGCATCGACGAGCGGTCCCAGGGACGCTATCGCAGGACTCACTGCACCTTGCTCTCTGCGACCAAGATGCTCACTCATATCATCAAAACCCTGGCTTCTTTCGTGTTTAGTAGAGGTGTCTTGGCTCTGTGCTTCACCGCGGCTTCTTTGCATGTTGTTCGATGGTATCAGCTAAGAAAGAAGATGCCTCCGGGACCGCTTGGGCTTCCCTTCATTGGTAACAGCCATCAGGTACCTGCAGTCAAGCCGTGGCGCAAGTTCCAAGCCTGGAATGAACATTATGGTTAGTGAGATCTGTTGCTTTGGTACAATGTTCATGACTGTCGATGATAGGCCCGGTTGTTTCATTATTCCTTGGCTCGACACCAGTCGTCGGTAATTATCAGTAATGCCCCGCCTTTTCCTGCTGCTGATGGACTTGCCAGTCCTCGGGACCCCGCAGGCTGCATGGGACCTCCTCGACAAACGATCCGACATATATTCCAGCCGTCCAAGGTTCATAATGGGGTAAACATATATTATTTCGCTTTTTCTATCTCGCTCATCTTCTATCACAACAGGGGTGAAATCCTCTCCGATAACAAGCGAGGTCTCATGCTTCCATACGGTGAGGAGTGGAGGAAATGGAGAAAGGTAAGTGCCACTACTCAAGCAGGGACGTACTCCAATTAACCGTGTATATTCATCTGTATCACTGTTGTAGATTCTTCATTCTGGATTCCATGCACGCAAGTCAGACGAGTATCAGCCTATTCAGTCGTTGGAGTCGAAGATTATGATGCACCAAATACTCACTGAACCCAAGGGTTACGAACGGCATATACAAAGGTCGGTTCACTCTGACTCACATCCGTTACGACCGAGGCTTAAGTTATGTGATTTATCGCTTTGACCGGGAACAGATATGCGGCGAGCGTTGTGACATCCGTCACCTATGGCAAACGCATAGATTCCGTCGACGAGTGGGTCGTCAGGGAAAATATGAGGGCCATGGACTGTGCGTTGCATCGTAGATCTTCCCATATAATCACAGTTCTCATTCCCAGCATACGGTCTTTAGATCTCACGAGGTACGTTTCTCCCCAATATATGGATGCTCACTTTTGACATAGTATCCTAGCGTCAAGTAAAGCCATACAAACCATTCAGTGGTGAAACTAATTCATAGTTTACAGCATTCCCGGCAAATACATTGTCGAGTCTATGCCCTGGCTTCTGAATCTTCCTGTGGGTGCTATGCTCCTCACTCAAATGCACTCTACTGAGCGAACTAACGTGTACTCCTCAGCTGTGTCTCCAGTGGTTTCGTAAAGCCCCTGAGGCACAAAGACAACGCGACGTGAAGTTCCTTATGCACCTATACGATGAAGTCAAAACTCGAATGGACGAAGGTACCATTGCAGATTGCTTGACCTCTCAAACAATCTCCATTTCTGAGAAGAACGGGTGGGATGTATTGGATGTCGCGTACGCCGTGTCAAGTCCCTTTGGCGCTGGCATAGAGACGGTCTGTCCCCTGTCGTCCCCTAGGATGACCCTAAGTTGTTACTGAGAGAAAGTTGTAGACTGCTGGGACGCTCAGTGTATTTTTCTGTACGCATGTCGTTTTATTCCACTGATATGATGTGTACTGATGAGGTTACCTCAGTGGCAATGCTTCATTATCCCGAAACCATGAAAAAGGCCCAACAGGAGATAGATTCCGTCATCGGACCTGAAAGGATGCCTGAATTCGAGCACAAAGACAGCCTCCCGTATGTGAATGCCCTTATCAATGAGACGCTGAGGTAAGTATTTCCTTGAAATAATCTGAAGATACGCCGTGAGACATGACTGAGATAGATGGCGTCCCGTAGCCGCCCTTGGAGGCAGTCCTCACGCCGTGACAAGCGACGATGAGTACCGTGGAATGTCTGTAATGTTCCTCCGATGTATTGATAACACTCTAACACGAAGGACCTAGGTACATCCCTAAAGGTTCTACAGTCTTCGCAAATCTCGCGTAAGAGTCCCCTGTAAGCTCCCCTTCTCTGACCTAACGTACCCCACAGCGGGATCATGCACGATCCAGGAACATTCCCTGATCCGGACAACTTCCGCCCCGAGCGATTCCTCGAAACAAATGATCCTCGTTTGAAGGATTTCACTGTCCCCTTCGGCTTCGGACGCAGGATATGCCCCGGTATGCATCTCGCGAGGAATTCGGTATTTATGAACATTACCCGAATCTTGTGGGCATTCAACATCCTCCCGAAGAAAGATAGTCAGAACAGGGAGATTCTTCCGGACCGATGGGACTTCTCGAATGGGTTCAACTCGAGGCCCATCAGCTTCGAGTGTCGTATCGAGCCGAGGAGCGACAAAGTTGTAAAGTGTATAGAGAGGGAGGCTGAGATGGCCAGGAGCAGCTTCTATAGTCAATAAGACTCGGTAGTGTCAGAAAACCATCAATATTATCCTTCGAGGTCGAAGCTGTTGCAAGGGGGACTACATCGAAAGCAGAGGAGAAATTACATAGGCGACGGACGGCCGGAGAAAGGACCGTGATTTACAAAAAATAAAGATTGTCTTTGCAGATTCTTTATACGCCACCTACAACGCAGCACATACGCATGCATATATTGGGCGATTAGACCTTCAGAAGACTGATACCAATCGTACCTGCGAAGTTCCTTCGCTCCGTTGCTACGAGTTGGGCATCAAGGTCATAACGGTCGCCCATGGCACTGGTCTCACTGTCGGAGTCGAGGCGGGTAGACGGGTTCTGTGACGCTCGATTTGGGATATACGTCGAAGATGGGGAGTTTAAGGATGGAAGGGTAATAGAAGATTGCCTGGTGGAGTCCCTGGCTTGCACGGTGCTCCCATGTGAAGAGGAAGGGCTGCTCAACCTACGAAAGTCCGGGGAGTCGAGGGCTTCACGCGTGGGGCTTCCGAGATGCGACAGCCACCGTTTAAGAAGACTGAACCTCGTTTGTTTATAAGCAGAACATTGTGTCGCTGTCGAGCGTTGCTCTGTTGTTTCTGGTCGTACAAATGCACGATGTGATTCTGCCCAAAGACGGATCACGCGGCCGGAAGCGATCTTTGATAAGGTGAGGTGCTGAACTCTTAGTTGAGGTGGAAAGGTTGACGGACAGATATGACGACGGTAGATGGCACAACGGCGATTATAGCCATGACTCGGTTTAGATTCAACCGGATAAATACCTGAGTATGATTGATTAGTACTGCGAGCAGCGGTAAATGACGATGCAAATGGCATACAGTGTTCACAAGAGACGCAAGAAAGCTGTGAACCGAGAAATCAGCATATAGGTAGGGGATCGAAGGGAATCAGAGTACGCCGCGCCGAACCAGCATAATTCACTCAGCGATATTCTATTGCAGAGGGGCACCTTCTTGCAAGGAAAGAAATACACCCAACCCGCGGATGCGAACAAAATGAGAAAGTATGGAGTGTTGAAAGTGTACCCAAGAGTCGGCGTCAAATTACCAGTATTAGTGATTACGCAACCCACGATGGGGGCTGATGATGGCGTTAGGCATTGCCATGCGGCTGATAGTAGTAGCCATACCCTCGAGGAATAACGACGCTTGAACGAGTAGACAGACACAAAAGAACACGGTAACAGGGACCATCCGGCCCCATACCGCGAGTCTGTGAAGGCCGGGTGGAGCTAAGCACCGTGGATAAGACTGAGTACGTACATCCGTAGGGTAAGCCCAGTACTCGCCAGTTCAATGGCTATGCTAGTACATAGCTGGAGTTGGGATAAGCTGAAATGAACTCGTTTCGTTAGGGGAGTTCACTTGCAATTGTAGAGAGGTGTAAGGATCGGCAGTTAGGCTCCCTACAGTCCTGAGATGAGTTTTGTGCAGTTACGTAGCCCTTTCGAGATTGCGTACGTTGTAACGGTGTCGTCTACAATGCTGGGGGAGGGTGTAAGAGCTTGGTGTTGAGGGAAGAGGTCCACTCACAGACCGATCAAACCCGCGAGAAGAAAGTAACGGTTCAAAAAACCCAGAATCTAGTAGTCGCATCTGAGCCCAGAGCAAGAACAATCGGCAAGAGTTACCATCTGAGGTCGTTCCCGCTTCATATGCCTCGCATATCTCCAATCCATGCTGAGGAAGATGACACATTCCCATCTATGTTGAGGTGAGTTATTCGTTGACCCAGTTGCGACTATAAAGACCTACATGAAGATACCAATGAACACATGCACTAGCCTGCTGAGTGATGCTGATGTTCCACGATCAATACTTCGGCGAGTTTCGGTGACGAATAGGGATAATCTACCTTCATTCCTGCTGATCTTTGAGTCACTTTGCCAGTCGGTCATCTCCGTGACGACTCCAGGAGGGCGAAAGAGCTTGGGCTTTTATAGAGGCCCACAGCACCAGTCCATTGGCAAGACCACGGTTGTTGATATCCTGATATATCAACGGTGGCCAAAGTTCAAATGATATTCGTCGAATTCGATATAGTCTCTAAGGCAGTAGAGGGCTGAAACATAGAGATATCATATTAGTTAGATATCGGGCTTGACCTCATCAGTGATTTGTGGGCTCACCGACTGCAATTGCCACTACATCGACAGTGATGGTAGCAAAAATCAAATCATCAGTGCAGATGACTGGCCAGTTGAGGCACTACCGTACTTCAGTTCTGCCACCACGCGAAACTGTATCAGGAGTACTGCACTGCAGTCCATCTGTAGAGTACAACGACTGAAATTCATTCGGCGGTCGTCGCGATCCGATTTGGAATCGCGACGCGAACTTCATGGGCCTGGGTCGTTTTCTCACGACAAGAAAGCAAGACCCCTGTTCCATTTCCGGGCACCGACGCACCCCGGCTTCAGCGCTCCAGCACCGTAGCCTGAAGTACTGAAGACACGGCGTGCACGTAGAATCGAAGATGGATGCCCCTCCGAGATCGTTTATCCAAGAAACATACCGGGAGAAAGCCCTGCGGAAATTCAATGAGAATCCTTGGGTGCCGCTAGGTGTGTGGTCGTCCCTATGCACCATATTGAATACTGAAAGATAGGAAATGTTTTGCGCTCGTAGGTGTCGTGGCTACGTGTGGTGCCCTCATAACCGCAATGGTGAAGATGCGTCAGGGCGACTCACGGTCATTCAACCGATGGCTTCGCGTGCGTGTGATCGCGCAGGGCCTCACTGTCGCTGCCATGGTCGGGGGGACATACACACTGGGCTCAAAGAACAGGCAGAGCGTGAAGGAAATTGAGGAACAAGAGAGATTGAAGCGGGCTGAAGAGAAGAGAGAAGAAGACAGAAAAGCATTCGAGGAGAGATTAAAGGAAGCTGAGGAGGCCTACGAGGTTGAGAAGGCATTCGAGGAAAAGAGGCACGGCGCGCAGGGCTCAGAACAGTCACGGTCATGGTCAAGCTGGTTCGGTGGTGGATCAAAAGGAGGCTCAAGCTGATTTCTGGCTCCCGTGTATTTATTGATTACCTCCACGCTCCCCCCTCATCATTATTTCCATACCATAGAACGGAACGTCTGTAATATATAATCGCAAAATACAGCCGAGGCAATGTCGGCCGCCTCGACGAGTCCACAAAGCGATGCCCTAGCTGAGCAGCTCTCTTCTCCTCGATTCCTCCTGTTCTTCAGCTTCTACGAGTCCGACCGCTCTCTGGCCACCGCCGGGTCCTCGGACTGCCGTTCAATCGCCAGTTTCCATCCTCCATACACCTGATTTACTAGCGCACTTCGCTTCAGGACCGCAAGATCGTCAACAGCCTCCTTGTACAAGGCCTGTATTTTCGACGGGTCTGATTCATTCTGTCGGCCAGGACGACGAGGGGATCGCAGCGAACAAAATGAGAATCATAGAACAAAATGGATGGGTGCAACGGTCAGAACTTCATTCCCCCTAGAAGCGACATAGCTTACCTGTATGGATCTGAAGGTGTCTTTCGTCTTCCGTACGAAATAGTTCCGGAAGTTGTATGAGCTGAAGGAATTTGATGTTTTAAGCATCACTGAGTATAGATTCAGGATGGATCTGCGGCTCGGTGGTACTATTGTCGACATTTTGGCAGTGAATGGAGTTTACCAGAGGTGCGCGCAACTTGAGCGGCACGGAACGACTCAGGCTGATAATTGTCAGCACGATCACGTGCAATACCAGGGGCTTTACTTCCTCCACTACTCTCGACACGGCGAATTCCATTTCGCTCCTACACCATTTATTTGCATGGGCTTCGTTTGGGTATGATTGAACCCCATCATGGAAGATGACAGCTCTAGGTGGTGCCCATAGCTGAATATACACTAAGCTTCGAGAACTGCAGGAAACCTCCCCCTCTTGCGTACTAGACATTCCGTGATGTCTTCCATCGGAGTGCCACTTTCCGGACGTCCCGAAAACCACACCCATAAGACACCGGGTTTCCAGAGACTCAGCTCAGTCATTGGGACATCAGTGCCATCTTCCATCATTCTTCCCTCTTTGCTCGTCCCGTCTCCGATCTATGACCCACACCTCTTCCAGGGTCCATTATTGTAACTCAGATCCAGCGGTAGTGACTCCAATGCCCAAGGCGACTGCTATGCTCCTGATCCCCGGCGTATGTGTCGCTCAGACTTGAGCTTTATCGATGCTCTGCGCGTCGTCCCGAAACAGTGTTAGCTTTCCGATTGTGACAGAAGGAAGCTTGATACACAAGTCTGATGAAATCAGGTCTGATTTTGATTAATCCATTTCAGTTCTCCAGACTCACAGCCAACATAAAAGCCGAGTAGATCAACTTCGATTACTGTTGATGTACCGCCGCCACCCTTGGGAGCTAGGGTATATAAACCCACTCCTGTGAAGCCCCCAACACTTGCGTTCTTGTACGAGCCATTACAACTATGACCAACTGGAACAGCCCCGACGTAATAGCCAGCAACGGAGGTATGTATCCCAAAATCCCATGAACTTGCTAAAGCAATGATCTTGACGGACACTAGTTTCATTCAGTAGGCTTGTGCATGCGTTTGTTGGACTCTACATGTAGGCCCGGTCACAGATGCAGAACCGAATGGCTCACCCACGCCGGCACGCACAGCTGGGAATGGTTTCTTTTCCTCGATGTGGACTGGATGTATGTCAAGATTATCAAACGCTACCCGCTATCTCCGATGGTGAGTTTCTCTGCCTCCGAGACCTGTTATGCGCCCGTACTTCTGTATACACTCATGCTCGGCTAGATGTTCTACTTCATGAACCGTTATTGCCTCCTTGCTGCGTTGATCAGTGTGTAAGTAGCCATCTACTTGCTTCAAGCACCAAATCCTAACACTGCCGTACCACAGGGTGATAGCACTCAACGTTGAAAGGTAAGACACTGGGAAGCATAATCAATATAGACCTCATGCCAATGATGCAGCGAGATCAACTGCCAGCCCTTATATGCCTTCATGAACGCAAGTCAATATTACAGATTAAATGCAAACCTTTCGGCTTACGAGGACTTCAGCTACTTGGTAACATAGCTCTGGAGCTGGCCAGTATCACCGCTCTTTGATCCTAACACTCATCTACCTCGCTTTTTCCCACGGTTTGACTGGGCACAAAACGACGAAGGAGAGTGCAGAGTAGGCTAGCATGGCTACTAGTAGACAGCCTAAAGAAAAACTGGCGACACAGCGCGAGACGTATAAACCCACCGGCGTACCAAACCTCACCCACAACAGGAACCACGAGAAATCAGAACGCGGACGCAACTTGAAACGCGACGCAGACCAAGCTAACTTGCCAGACGCTAATAGACTCAGAAACACCCCAAGCTCACCTAAGAAATTGTTAGGACAGGTTTTCGAGACCGTAACTGACGCACTCCGCCCGGGCAGGAGCCCTGAGCATAAGTCACGCCGAACACACCCAACACACTCCGAGAGCCCAACCCCGATGTATCGGCACCAGCACACCGAACCAAGCACACCTAGACAGTCCCACTACGGACACAGCAATGTCCATGATGATAGACAAATAACATCCGATACTCGCATGATGGACGACGCGACAACTGAGTATGCGCCCAGTTCGCAGTACTTCAACGGCGATAACGAGTCATCCGTCAACCAGAACGACAACTACCTTGACTCGCTACAGACGCTAAGCATTATTGAACGTAACATAGACGAAGTTCTGAACCTACTGAATGACCTTCATAGCCGAGGCGACCTTCATCTGGCACAGCAACGATCGCAACTCATGCACAACCTTCGCGAAATCGCATCGAAGTTCCGTATCGAGGCAAATCCCGACACATGCGTCAAACTCGACTCGATTCAAGCCGCAATCAGCACACTAGCGCTCACCTTATCTCAAGTAGAACGAAATTCTGACACCATCAAAACCGATATCTCGTCGATCAAGACCTCCTCATCCGATACGTCGAAAGACATCAAGACAATCAAATCGGAAATCATCAAGACAACCGACAGCATCAAGAACATGGAACGGACAACCGTAACTTTGGCCGCTCACGCCACAGCCGCTGCCCCTTCCCAGCTTCCATACGAAGACCCGAAACCCCCAACACAACAGAAGACTATTCCGCGAAACGTTGTAGCGAACGGGCCACTGATCAAGCCAAAGCTCACGAAGGTCGAGAAGGTCTCAACGCCAGCTTCAGCACACCACCCCACGCGACTGATCATTCAATTCCTACCGGAGGGCCAACTTGAAGGAAACCGCCGCGAACCCCAGGAAATCGTGAACACCATTAACGATAAGCTCGCTGACAGAATCGCATGCGGAGGACCGGCCGTAGCAACAGCTAAGTACAACAAACAAGGGAACTTGGTACTAACTACACGAGTAGACCAATCAGCCGCCGACCTCTTAGGATCCGTGAAGGATTTCATCGATGCGGTCGCCCTTGGACAAGAGACAATTGCCCGTGTGGACAGAAAATGGTACAAGATACAGTTCGACCATGTACGGACCCACCACGCAAACGGAAGACTTATTTCGGCCGACGAAGTTGACGCTGAACTCGCTAAGTGGAACCCCGATTATAAAGAAGCTAAACCGTTCTTCACACAGGACCTGAAATGGATGCGCACAGATGAAGAACGCAACACCACACACAAATCATCACTCGTCCTAGCCACCGATCGTCTGGACATTGGAACCAACCTACTCGAGAACGTGCGAGTTTTCGCCCTATTCGGAGAATACTGCAAGGTCCGAGCGTTCCAAGACCGCCCACCAGTCGTCCAGTGCAAGAACTGCTGGGGCTGGGATCACCGCGCCGAAAAATGCAAGTCCCAACCGGTATGCCGTGTTTGTAGCGAGGACCACCCCGAAACCGAACACAAGACCGAATGCACCAAATGCGACGAAACACGCCGAGCAGCGCAAGAAAATGGCGATGACATGGACATGGACGTTGAAGGCCAGTGCCCTCACATCCTCAAGTGCACTAACTGTTCTGCTGCAGGAGTGAAAGACAACAACCACCCCGCTGATGCGAGACGCTGCCCAATACGACTAGCTCGATACGGCACGGCCCGAGAGAACGAACGAAAAGCAGCAGCCAACGGAAACCCTTGGACGGTTGTCACCAGCAAAAAGAAGAAGTCGTCAACCTCTAAAGCTAACCCCAAGCCTCCCGCGTCCCAAACTACCAAATTAACCACGCAAAACAAGTTCGATGCTATCGCCCCCGAAGACGACAACACCCATACGACAAGCCCCGCCACCTCAACCCAACGCGCGAATCAATGAATGCTGACCCAGAGAACACATCGTTATCGCAGCCGATCCGAGTCGCCCAAGTCAACGCACAACGCAAGAAAGAAGTGGTTGAACAGCTATTGAACGAACACATTAACAAGTTTGATGTTATCATTATTCAGGAACCTCCATGGGCTTTTATAGGACACGATGAGTCGGGACGAGAAATCAAAGGACCCGTCGGCCACGCATCATGGACCCCGATAATACCGAACAACACCTCAAACAACAACCGCCCACGCACCATGACCTATGCGAAACGTAACGTCACCTTCAGCACCACCTCCCGATCCGACATATTTGATGGTCTAGACGCCCAAGTTCTAGAACTCAAACAAGAAGGAAATCCGAACACATTACTGATTAATGTTTACAACGATAGCAGCCAAGGTGCAAATAGCGTACTCCACCAACTCCGCCACGCTTCCATGCCGAACGAACAACCCGTGATTATCGCAGGAGACTTCAACCTTGACCACGCCCTCTGGTCGCGCGAACCATTCACGTACCAAGAAGACACCGAAGCCATTGTTGACTGGCTATCACAGCAGGGGTTCGGACTTCTCAACGAGAAAGGGTGTATCACTCACCCAGCACGCCACCGCGGAGAGCGCGACTCTGTCCTGGACCTCACCTGGCAAAATGGGCGCGCAATCGCTGAAGCTTGCGTCCACGAATTCGAAATCAATGCTGCCATATCTGGCGACTCAGACCACTTCGGACTAACATATACTATTGATTACAGCCGCCACGAGATCACCAACCCGTTTGGTATCCAATTTTCCCTCAAGGATGTAAAGCCAGCCGAATGGGTCAAGGCACTTGAGAGCCATCTCTTGAGCGCAGAGGATAAGCTTCATCCGTTGCTCGAAGAACATGAGCTAACCCCACCCCAACTAGATTCTTGTGAACAGGCGCTCACGCAAGCTATTCAGCGCGCAACCGAGGATACCGGAAAGTGGCGAAGACCAAGTGCAAAGGCAAAACCCTGGTGGGATCAAGAACTGACATCAGCGGTCAAACGGATAGCCGAAACAAGGGCCGAACTTCAAGACCTCTCGTCGACCATCCACGACTTCAACGGTCCCATTAACGCTCGAATTAAGAAGGCCCGAAACTACTTCAAACGCCTAGTGAAGTATAAAAAGAAGCAATGGATCGACGAGAAGCTCAAACAAGCAACAACGGACGACATTTGGGACTTTCAAAACTGGTCAAAAGGCGTCCGCAACTACCCCATGCCACCCATATCACGCGGGGAAGGCCGCCCGAAAGCTACCGAGCATGAAGACAAATGCGATGCAATAAGAGATGAGCTATATCAACCACCTCCTCCCCTTACCACTGATTTCCAGCCGAACCTCACTGACCGCCTGCCCGATGACAGTGAATTCCACGACATCACTCAGGAGGAAATCAGAGAAGCACTCTCCAGCGCGAGCCCCACCTCTGCACCAGGACATTCACAGATCCAGTACAAGGTCCTGAAATGGGCTTGGTCATCTCGGCTAGCGAAATCGTATATGACATCGCTGATTCAGCGGTGCGCACGAGTTGGATACCACCCGATCGCCTGGAGGCGTGCTGTAGCCGTAGCGCTACGCAAACCCGGAAAACCAGACTACTCAAACCCCCGTGCTTACCGTCTCATCACCCTCCTTGAGTGCCTTGGAAAACTCCTTGAAAAGGTCATGGCCCGCCGCCTTACCTTCCTAGCTGGCTCGAGAGGCCTGATACTGGACAACCAGTTTGGTGGCCGCTCCAACAGCTCCGCGGAAGATGCTGTCCTCTCCTTCGTAAACGACGTCCACGCGGCGTGGAACCGGGGTAATGTGGCATCAGCATTAACTTTTGACATTAAGGGATACTTTGACTTCGTTAACCATAACAGGCTTCTTTGTGAACTCCGACGAAAGCACGTTCCACTTGAATATGTCAAATGGACGTCAAGCTTCCTTAGCCAACGAGAAGCGGCTGTATGCATAGACAGCCGGCGTGGAAAGATGAAGCCAGTCCAGAACGGGATACCTCAAGGCTCACCTATCTCTCCCATCCTCGCGGCATTCTACACGGCAGAACTCCTCGAACGATTCCACCCCGATCACCAACCAGACCCCGACCCCGATGATATATCAAAACCCACTCGAGTCTCACTGTTCATGTATGTGGACGACGGAAAACTATATGTTTCATCCAAGTCCCTACAACGGAACACCGAGCTGCTCAAGGAGGCGTACAACGAGACAGAGGCCTGGCTGCGCCAGGCCGGGTTATCTCCCGACCTCTCCAAGCGGGAAATCATGCACTATTCGCGCCGGCGGAAAGACAACGAGAACCCATCGATCACGTTCAGCGACTCCGACGGCGTCGTACGGACAATAGCCGCACAAGCAACTGTCCGGTGGCTCGGCGTGTTCTTTGATCGCAAGCTCACCTTCAAGAACCATGTCAAGCGCTTAGCAGTGAGAGGCGAAAACACGGTCAACGGCCTCACCATGCTCGCCAACACTGTCCGCGGTCTAAGCCACTCTCATCTCCGACACCTGTACATTTCATGTGTCTTACCGAAAATCCTCTATGCATGCCCAGCATGGTGGAATGGTCGAAAGTACCAGATTGAACCTCTCGCACGGGTCCAACACAGAGCACTGCGATTAATCTGCGCTGCCTTCCGTACCACCCCTGTGTCTGCTTTAGAGATTGAGGCTTCGCTCCCACCCATCAAATACCAAGCCGAGATATGCAAAAAGCGATGCGCAGTACGGCTTAACAAGCTAAGTGCCTCCAACCCTATCATCCAACGTCTACCTGAAGAATGGAGAGTACAGTGCCCCGAACGCACCCCAGGCATTCCACCGCCCCTCCCGTACCGATACGGAAACGGATCTGCCGCAGATAATGCGCGGACAACGCCGCTCATCGAGGTCGCTAAACTATCTGACCCCAGACACGAACGCCTGCTGCCATATGCGTGCCCACCTTGGAGACGCACACAGTCCAGCTTTCAAGGACGGCTGCACATAAACCCCCATCGTGGCGAAACACTGACCCCAGAACAGAAGGAGGCGGAAGTGAAGGAACACAAAACCTTGGTGAACGACCTAGCTAAGAGAGATGACACACTTGTAATCTACACTGATGGCTCTATGCTGAAAAAATCGGGTTTTCACAGGACTGGCGCCGCAGCCGTCGCCTATCGCAAAGGCAAAGCAAGGTTCAAGATGCAGATGGGGCTTGGAGGCGCCGCAGAAGTTTACGATGGAGAAATGGCAGCGCTGATGATCGGCGCGTTACGTGCCGTCGAGGTTTGCAGGCAATCCCCACAAATCCGAAGCTTATACTTCTTTGCAGACAACTCCGCCGCAGTGAACGCTATATTCGACCCGATGCCTAAACCAGGGCAATTCTACGCTCTAAAGTTCCACCGCTTGATATGTCAATTCCTCGATGACGACCCCACTCGACACGTCAACATCCAATGGTGCCCGAGCCATAGTAACATCCCTGGAAACGACACAGTAGACAGACTGGCAAAGGACGCCACAGCTCTCGCACGCTCCTCGCCAATCGGTACAACACGAGCGTACGCGCTCCGCCGCACGAAAGCCACCACACAGGAAGCATGGCGCAGAGAGTGGAAACACTCACCCAAAACTGGCCAGTTTGCTGCTGCGAACCGCATTGCTCCCTCTCTCAAACCCTCCAAACACTTTCGCGAGCTAAAGGCAGAACGCGAACTTTTTGGTCGCGTCATTCAGTGCCGTACAGGACATGGACACACAGGCGAGTTCAAGCGCAGATTCAAACTTAGCGAGGACGTTAACTGCCCGTGTGGCGCGCCAGTGCAAACCCGTGAGCATATCCTCAGAACATGTCCGCTATACAAGAACCACCGCTCGATTCTTCGGAAGGTCTCAAGAGACATCGTTGAGTCTGAGATCTTGGGAACCCCGCAGGGTATCGAAGCCCTCAGCGCATTCTTACGGAAAACCGGAGCCTTTTCACAGGCTGGGTTCATCAAGAACCCGCGGTCAGCACCTGCCTTTGCCGATGAACCGGACGTACCAGAGGACACTTGGAGTGGCGAGGAAGGGGAAGGAGGATGAGAGGACACCCGACATAGTAGCGGGCGAAGCCGGAGACCGCCAGCACCTGGCGCGCCCTATACCAACCCCACATAACGACACACGCACACAACACAACACACGTCCGCCGCAGCTGGACTATGACCACATTCTCTTTCTCTTTCTCACATATGTTTATTATGTTTATTATGTCCCATGCTTCTCGCTTTGCATTGCGCTACCCCGCCGCCATAGGCGACAACACTTACTGTACAACTCCCCTCACACCACTCACTGTACCCATAGATTGACACTGCAAGCCACATCCCTCACACTTAGTGATACCGTAGATATGTCTTAGACTTACTGTACATACCCGTACTTAGTTGGCGCAAAGAATCGCCTGATTACCATTCAAAAAAAAAAAAAAAAAAAAAAAAAAGCTGGCCAGTATCGGGTTTACCGCACGGATGTGCGTCAAACTTATCTCACGCTAGAACTTCTACTTACCATGTCTTTACAGAGTCAGGGCCGAATGGTCCCCCACTTAGCACGTGTCACGTTCTTCGTTGCCTGTTTAAGCTTTCAAGCGTGGTTATTGCTTGATGGTCTGTATCCTTTGTCCGGGACACATATACTTCAAGGCTAAGTTTGCCGTTCATCAGTGCCGATCAAGGCCGCCTGGATACCTGGCTTCGGTTGTGTTATTACCCACATCAACAGTTCATTTTCAAACATCGGTCGTACCTACAATACCGGATACTTTCTTGTTTTGCTCGCTTTTGCTAGTTGGGACTATGCCCGTACCCTTAATGCCGTGGTTCGCCCCAGTACCGTATCACTGAAGGAATTATGTTGGTTTGGCGTGGCGTAAAGTTATTCCGTTGCAAACTCAAATATACTATGCTAATTTCTTTGTTTGTAGCTTTCTTGCATCTTGCACGAACGTTGTCTTCATTTGGATACGTCTAAACCCCGTCATGGCGGTAATCACTACGACACCAACCACTATCGTCATCTCTGTGTGTATACCCTTTTCGCTACCGCTCGTTCAGCATCTTACTATGCTTATCGAAGGTCGCCTCAGGGCGCGTTATCCGCCTTTGGAACTATTCAGTTCAGGCGCCTATGCTCCCAGAAACAACGGAGCCCAGTTCACAATCTCCTCGTACGCGAAGCAGATTCAGCTTTAGGACATGGGAGCTAGCCCTCGGACGCCGCACGCACGAAGCCATGGAGGATTCGACCTTCCAGAGGCTTGATAGTGCTCCCGCCTCGCAGACAGGCTCTTACTTGGGCGCACCCGACTCCATGCGAGCCGCGAATTCAACGAGACCATCTTCTATTATTCTCCCTTCTCTGATCGCCCCGTCTTCGACATATAGTCCAAATCGAGCCTCGCAGGGTCCGTCCACGCATCTCGACTCTGCGAGTGAAGCGAGCGACCGCGGAGATCGCTACGATCTTGATGCCCAACTGGCAGCAGCACGGCAAAGAAGTTTATGAGGCCAGGCAGGCCAGATTCACTACAAACACACGAATGCACGTGTCCTATTATAGGCGGTGCAGGAAGAGTGTCAATATCTCTATCTGTAATACATGTACTCTGTAAGTATGCGGCATGGGTGATCGGTTGCCTCGCACTGGATGTCTTCGCATAACCTGTCATATCTGGACCTCTAGTCATCGCCTCCTTGAGTCGGGTAAACAGGGAACATTGGACATGTGTATTTGTGAATACAAACAACGAACATTTGCTTTACACATTTCCTCGGTAACAAGAACGCGCTGACAGACACCTTTCCGACGTACGCCCACCGCCTCTCGAGATGGCCCTCAGATGTTTTGTTGCTGTACGCGTATCACGTCAATTCCACCCGATGCAACAGAATCCTCAACCAACCTTGGTAGAAGACTGCACGATGTACGTGTCGCTGTAGACGAGGAGCACGTCCAGGGCGTTCAGAGCAGTCTGGAACTGAGTCCCGCTCTTCTCGAAGACGACGGTGGCGGTCTCCGCTCCACCGCGGGACCAGTGGTTTTGACCCCAGGTCTCGACGAGCAAAGGCTCGGGGACGACATCGAAGGTAGAGCCATCACCGCCGGTGGTGTTGGTGATAGTGACCTTGATAGTTTGGGAGGATCGGTTGGATACCCAGACCATGATTGTATCGATACTGCGTATGATCGTGAAGCACCCCGCGAGTGAGTAGATCGCCGGAAACCGAATTCAACTAGGCCTCACCTTGATAGTTGTAAACGGTGAAAGTCGAAAGTAGTGCAAGCTTTGAACTGGGGGATGGCTCTGCTTGGAATGGGTCCATTTTATACAGCAGAGGGAGGCCGTTCTATACAATACAGACGCATGAACCCGGCGGACTCCACCAGGGTGAGTAGTAGCATCGGGTGCACGATCTCGGGTGGCAGCACTGTCGTCGAGATGGCGTGATATGACAGAGGTGATAGACCCCGCTTTCAATAGAAAACGATGTGCGGGGCTTTCTGATCGGGGGTTCCGGCGTAGGTATAACTCCTAAGTAAACAAACCAAACAGGCATATCATATGAATGAAAGTGAATGAAAGACCACTGAAAGTCCCCGTCTTCTGGAATTAATAGATTAATAGAAGCCTGCGGCGTCTGACATCGGGTCTGGTGTAATTCCTGGTTTAACAACGGTCAACGTTCTCACCTCTGACAGACTACAGTGTAACCGAAACGCGAGTTGTGTCGGATGCGGGACGATTGCAAGGTATTTCTTGTGGTCTCGCCTGTACCTGTGTCATCGTAGTCGCGCGTCCGACAACTACGGAACAACCTATGAGTGCAGAGCTATACGTTGACGTTCCCTAATTGGGCGCCTAATTACACGGCGTGTTCAATTGTGTCATGCAAACAATTGATCATGTTGAGCATCGGGCTACCTATGCGAGTCACGGTGCGGTGATGCTTAGGCTCGAGTAGCGTAGACACGCTACCAAGACATAGAGTTGGTTCCCATGACCCTCGACGGGGTGGGCATTGGGTGGGGATCGGCGTTGATGAAACTCCTAGATGATGTTAAGCGATAATGTCATAGCAGATCAGATGATAAGAGAATGAGAATGGAGGAGCTGCCATCGGGGTGGACTGAGTACAAGGATGTGTTTACCTGGCACCGCCCGAACGTCATCCAACAAGGCTACAAGATCGAACGATCATCATCGTTCAACCATGGAATATCCAGAAACACACTGGCAACTCGGTCGATGGAACTTCCTAGCAGAATTCGTTTGCAATACCTTGAATTCACTCAACACGTGGCTAGGGACTTATCTGCATAATTGTCGTGCATCGCGCATTGAACGGGCATCTCCTCCCCACCTGAAAACGGACTTCACCACGCGAGGCGCAGTGATTCCCGTTCGCTGTGTGTTGTTCTCTCGCACATCGGAATCTAGGAGCCAGCAAAACACCGGACACCCCGTTAAGTGAGCAGCACCAGATCTGTGAATGGCTGATAGATAGGAAGCTCACGAAGTCTGTTGAGTCCCAGGGTACTTTGACACAGATGTCAAACCGCAACACGGCACTGTTGTATATGGGGTCAGTCGTTGGACGTTTGACCTTCTAGTGTGTGCTACGTGGTCCAGACTGCGCTCGTTTAGCTAGGCGTTATTACAACACCGATGTTTTGGGGTGATCATGAGTCGGAATCCGCCTTGTATCCATCGCTAATTGTGCAAGGCTGGAGTCCCAAGACAGACACTGCACAGGGCATCTCGCCGTCCACTCCTCTATAAAAGGGAGACGTGCAAAGCGGAGACATCATCCCCCAGTTCAACCGTCGACTTCACTCTTCACGCCTAAATATCAATGTTAGTCAAGTTCCAACCATGCTCTGCGACAACTTACTCACCGCTCTTCACAAGTGTTACAGTAACCATGGTCTGGATAAGCAACCGATCTAGCGAGACCATCAAGGTCGTTGTCACCAGTCCCGGGGGTGATCCCGGCACCTACGAGATCACTCCCGAGCCTCTGCTCGTCGAGTCGTGGAGACAGAACTACTGGACGCGCAAAACCCCCGAAACAGCTACGGTCACCTTCGAGAAAAGGGGGGTGCAGTTCCAGACTGCGGTGAATCCGACGGATGTTCTCCTCGTCTACAACGACACGTACATCGTGCAGCCCTCAACCAAGGTCGGTACTGACTCCTTATTCGGATCGAGCTATGAGTTGACGTCGTACCACTTGTTGTTTTAGGTTGAGTTCTACTAAAGGATCGAATCGCACCTCGCCGGGTGGATAGGAATGAGTCGAAGAGCTGGCTGCGCACATTTGAGGAAAGATAAGGGCTCCGTAGTTGTGAGGATAGATCCGCTATGTCACTCGATTCCTAGTCGCCGTAACAAGTTCTGCAGCCATAGTCTATCAAGTGAGGTGCCTGACTTTGATGATCCAAGCAGTAAACTTGAAGTCAGCGTGGAACTGCCAGTGCGAAATGAAAATACCCACGCTCCGAGATTGACGAGGATTCTTCGAGGATGTCGTCCCAAAGCGCGATGGCGCGGCAAGAAGCGACCTTGAACAATACTTCACTGCTGTGATGCTCCCGGGGTGGGTGGCGCAATGAGACAAGGACGGCGGGCGGTGTCGCTATGACAGGGTGCAGATCTACCCGGACGAAGATCTGTGCCGGTCAGTAAGTCTGGCTGGGGTCAAACGAGACGCGACGAGGCGACATTCATTCGTGGCGGAGGTTGCAAGCCTATGAGGGGTGCCAACCATTAGCACAGTTCAAGACATGGGAGGTAAGCCATTTAGGTGGCACCGAAAGTTTCGGTGCAGCGAAGCACAGCGGCATCCCCGGCGCCAAGACGCGTGCTTGCAACCAGCGAGGGCGAACAATGCGAAGGAATATGCGATGACAAAAGCGTAACGGATAGTCAGAACACCGCGACTGAGGCCAGTGGTGAATACGCATGATGCATCCTCGGGCAGGCATCGAGGTGGCCTTGCTAGGAGCAATTACCGGAGTTCTGACTCGGTGATTCCAAGATTTGCATGGGCGGGAGGGTGGCGTGCATACTATACAATAGTACCCCAGCTTCGATTAGGAACCCGAACACAGTGATGGCTACCCAGCGCGCCGATGCAGCAGTTCTGCGGTTCTTGGGATATGAGAGGGGTCACGGCCCAGTAACACTCATGGCTGTAGGGGCTGCGACCCGATCGTGGCCCGCCGACTCGGAGACTTTGGCATGGGCGTATGGTGTAGTTGGTTTATCACGCCCGCTTTGCATTCGTGTTGGTGGCTTGCGGGAGGTGTTGGGTTCAATTCCCAATGCGTCCAATATTTTCTTTTACTCGTACTTTTGCACGTGCTTTGCGTGACGTCACCGCTCCTCCTACGTCAGGGGCTCCTTTTTGGGTGAGGGCGCTGGGCGAATTTCAAGCCCAAGCCAAAGTTCAAGCTCAAGGACAAACTCAGACCCATACCACCACCTCCTCCACCACATCCACGACCGCGACGATGATGAACGAGCTGCCCATCGACATGAACAATCCCCACGTCCGGGAATACCTCCTCCTCATCCGGTGCGTTCCCCAACCCTACGCGCTCTCCCGGAGGGTCCAGCGACTCACGATATTTTACAGATTACAAGTCCTCACCCCGCTCTCTCTCCTCATCAACATAGGCTCCGTCCTAACGTGCTCGCTGGTCGCCGACCCGTCTATCCGTGCGTCCTTTCTACTTGTACTCGCTATCACAGTCGAACCTTTCGAGCTTCGAAGGTTAATATGAATGCTAATGCTAAAACGCGGTGGAATCTAGGCGGAATATTCAGACTATACCCCGCCCCCATATCCCCAAAAGCAGTCGTTATCGGCGCGTATGTCCTCCTCATCTACGCAGCGCAGATAGGGTACTGCGTCCTCCTCACCGCCGCGCGCAAGCCCGAGACGAAAGTACGTCTTTCCCTCTCCTCCCCCTCCCCCTCCCCACCTCCATTACTCTATCACGCCACCTATCTCATCTCTGAATATCGAATATCGAATACCGAATATTGATCGTATATCTGAACAGCAAGCAATGATCAAAGGCGTCGGCTTCACCCTCATCCTCTCCAACGTCCTCATGGCCGTCTGGGCAATCACCTGGATCCTCCAGCTCTTCCTCGCCTCCACCATCCTCCTCGCCCTCATCGCCCTCCTCCTCCTCTACTCCAACCTCACCCTCCTCGTCTACCATCCCCCAACAAGCGCCAGACCACTGGACGTCGCGCTCATCCACGCCCCGATGCGCTTCTTCCTCATCCTCCCGCTGGGGATCATGTTCGAGTACTCGCTGTTGTAAGTCCCCTGCCCCCCTCTCCGCTCTCCATATGTCCCTGATCACCTCTGATTAATTGAATAGCGTATACCTCGGCTATACATACACCCCCACCGCGCCCGGCATCCCCGCCGACTATGCGCAGTACCAGCTCCCCGGCTTCCTCGCCGTCGCCCTCACGAACCTCTTCAGCTCCGTGGTAATCGCCACCCGCAGAGATATAGTGTGGTGCATCGCCGCGGTGTGGATATGCGTCAGTCTGTGGAGCGAGCGGCCGAAGGGGGCTGCTGTTTATGTGAGTTACATCATCCTTTTGAGTTGCTTCTAGTATCATTTGTGGTTTGTGGATGACTTACGTGGATGTTTGGATGCTTTGAATTGTAGATAACGGCGCTAGTCTTCACGGCGATCCACCCGCTCGCGCTCATCGCCGGGTTCATATACAAGCGCTTCGTCAAGACGGGGCGCGTCGCGCTCGTGCCGGAGGACGACGCGCTCTACCGCGCTGCACGGGTACCGGATTCCACTTCCCAGCCCAATGCACATATTGACCGTTCTACTGCTGCCACTAACGGACAGGTTAATGGAGCGAATGCGCAGCAGGGCCCGAGGGAGGTGGATCCGGAGGAGCTTTGGGGGTGAGTACTAGTACTTGAGTTTCGTGGTATGTGTGGTTTGCGTGGTGGTGTGTACGGTGGATAGCGGGTGGTCGGATCGTTCGCGTGTGTACCAGCTTTTGATTTTGTGTGTATATCGGACGGACAGACGGACGGACGGTGTGAGTTCCCGGCGCTGCCTATAACCCAATACATCTATAACCAACATGCCAATACATGATATCAGTATTTGGATCGTGCGGTAGGGAAAAATTACAGCCCACCAAATGCACCACTCACCACTCACCGCTCACCACTGCTTCCAAAAATACAAATACACCTGGAGGTAATATAATAGAATGCACCTTTAGTGGACACATTGGGAATTGAACCCAACACCTCCCGCAAGCGAGCAACCAACAGGAATGCAAAGCGGGCGTGATAAACCAACTACACCATGTGCCCGGCGAGCTGACGGGGCGGGGGTGACGTGTTGGTGTTGGTGACAGGATGGGCTGGATGGTGAAGCTTTGAAGGAAGGGTAAGTGAAGGAAGGAAGGAGGGGTAAGTGAAGGAAGGGTAGGTGAAGGAAGGCGCCGCACGGATCGTCCGGAGCGGCACGGCGGAGAAGCAGCGCGAACACTGGAAGGGTGTGCCTATGTTACTATGTTATTATTATTTCCTTACAGCGTCCCGGTCAAGCCTTGGCTGCGAACCGCGAAGTGCGTGGCTTTGCAAGATGCGGTGGTCTTCGGGATACTGGTGAATGTGTGGGTGCGCGAATACGCGGATGTGCGGATGTGTAGTCGTGGATAGCGTGGCCGCGGCATCGTCGACCTGGAATTATCACATCACGCATCACATCAGCGATCGCGAGGTCGAAAATGACAGTGCAGCGCCAGACCTGCGCGCCAGCTACCTACTACCTACTACTTACCACGCAACCCGAGTAACTGTTGGAATTATTTACTATATTAGGGTTTGAGCTACTCGAAGCTCCAGTCGAGTTGTCAAACACTTATTAGTATACATGATAAATTCTACTACTTTAGTGTACAGTTTTTGTATATAATAGGGTATATTTGGTAGTGTAATAACTACTCGATTGACCAGGAATACCCCGAGTCCGTCTGAATTCCGCTGGACCCCTTTCCGGCTTATCGAGCCCCCCGAATTCTTACAGTAACGAGTAAGTAAAACCCACATACTATATAAAAAAGTCAACGCGGAACAGATACTCGTGGACACATTGGGAATTGAACCCAACCCCTCCCGCAAGCAGACAGCGTGCATGCTAAGCGGGCGTGATAACCAACTACACCATGTGCCCGGTGGGTGGCCGAGGCGGGGGTGACGATAGATGGAGTCGAGGGAGGGGGTGGGTAGATTGCGGGAGCGCGGAGTGGGGAGCGGGGAGACGGGCGGTTGCGGTTGACTACGACGTCGTGGCGGTGGGATGGGTGAGATGTGGCGTGCTAAGCGCTCGGGTGGTTGAGCGGAGGCGTCGGTGCGTGGCAGCCCTCAGATCGAAGACGTAGGCGTAGCATGAACGCTACAAGTTCCCAGCGTTCCGCTCGAGCCTGATCTCGCATGGTTCGACCGTATTTCCCCAGCCACAGAAGCTCCGGACGCTGGGTATAGAGCGGGCCGCGACGCGCATGGCTTCGTAGGACGCAATGGTTGGGTCTTCTGGGCGATCTTGGGCGGGGTGGGAGAGGGTGATGTCGTGGAGGGACCATGCTTGGTAAGTGCGGTCTTTCATGTCTTGGGCGAAGCTAGCCTACGTCGATGCCCAATGAGTGAGGATGCGTCCGGGATGTTAAGCAAGGAAGAGGAGGAAGGGGGATGACGCACAATATCCCAGGAATCCGATTGGTTTGGCTCCGAGAGGGAATTCGCTGTGATAGACAGCGTACGTAGCGCGGCGAAACTCATCGCCAAACGGTCGAAAGCTAGCCCGTTCAGTACTTGCAGATTAAAATGTACGTCGTGGACTTGGTGACTAGTGATCCGCCTCCCAAAAGCATCGCATATCAAGCTGAATCGGTCATGCGCGAGTGCAGGTGCATCGATGCGCAAATGCGTGAGGCTCGTGAACGTGAGGAAGCCCGACGCCCAGAATCTGTTAAACTGGGTGGTTTCGAGGTCGAAGTTCAATGAGAGTTTCGATAAGGCGGGGAGGCGGAGCGTCGCGAGGGGCGTAGTGTCGGAGTTGGGGGAGATGCGAGCGGTGAGCGAGAGGGTGTGGACGTGCTGCCCGTGGACGTTGAGGAACTGCGCGATGTTGTACCCGGTGATATCGTCGAACTGGATGTCGAGGTGGACTTTCCGCAAGTTGTGGAATTGATCTACGAGTAGTCCGATAAGTAATGGTTTCTTTGAGGATGTGGTAAAGTATCTTACATAGACGAGTGAATATCAACCGGAGGTGATGCACAGGCGTAGCGGGGGACGAAACGAGACTCAAGGATTCTAACCCAGGTGCAGCCTGATTGAAGAAATTTGCTATAAGCTGCGACGCATATGAGGACCCCCACCCATCAAGTTTATCGCACAGCACCAGCGACAGCGCGTGCACTTGTAACAGGGAGTCCACGGAGACGGGGAGAGCGACATTCAACACGTTCCCCGGGACTTCCAACGCAAGATCGTCAACACGACCGCGTACTCCCTCCCAGAGGGCCCGGATGAACGGGAGGTAGGTGTATATGTGGTGAGAGGAGGGTATCCGGAGGCGACATCGGCGAAGGCTCGTCATGTACTTTACCGAATTTAAGAGGATTGAGGATACTTCGGGGGCGCTCATGCGTGTTACGTCGTGCGGCCCTTGGGGTCGATAGAACAGCGATGCGAAGAGCCCGAGAGACGACTGCGCTCTGGAGGCCACCAGAGCGTCGAAAGCGTCCAGGTGGATGTCCAAAGCCAGGACACGGCGCGATATGAATGGTTTCTTGCTACGATGACGTTCAGAGCCTGTACGCCGCACATAGCAGCGATATCACCTGGCGTTTTGTATCCGGGAGACCATCCCTTTGGTGAACGCACGAATCCGCAGTTCTTGGTAGATGGCGTCCATCCCGAGCTCGTAGAAAGCACGGCTTAGAGGGTACAGACTGGGCATCTCGCGTTCTGGGATGTAAGAAGCAATCTGAAGCCATACTTCGGTGGGAAGTGGGGGAAGCTTCTGAGTCATGGTGGTAGAGGATAAACTGCAATCAGCGCTCAGCATTGCTCCGATCTGCATTTCCATATGTGGTACTTCGGCTTCAGCGCTTCCCTCCCCGCCACCTTCGACCGCCCTTGACGAACGAACGACAAAAACAGAAAATTCAGAAAAAAAAACATGGACACATTGGGAATTGAACCCAACCCCTCCCGCAAACAGCATCGACTAAACGTGCTAAGCGGGCGTGATAACCAACTACACCATGCGCCCCTATCTGATGGGCGCCAAATCGCTACCAAGGCTTGGCGCCCACCTGTCTCGCAAGTTGCCTGAATCTTGCAAGACGCGTCTTGAACTTGCCAGTGATCATCGCTTTGCAAGTTCAAGTTCACAAGTCCTGCGAGGCTTTCTACGTTCGACTAGCAGCCGCGCTACTTGACTACGTTCTTCGATCTACGTCGCCTCTTCGCATGGCATCGTCCGTCTCGCTCAAAATTGAGTTCGGCGGCGGACTAGAGCTGCTCTTCGCGAACCAAAGCTCCCATAAACTTACGCTCCCGAAATTCGTTCCTATCTCTAACTCGACATCCCTCTCATCTCTCTCTTCATCTAATCTCAAAGACACCGATACCGAATCAGCGACGAGCGACGACGCCGCGATCCCTGATGGATTGAAACGCGTAGATGTTACGTACCTGCTACATCACCTGCGGGATCATCTGCTGAAGGAGCGACCGGAACTGTTCATGGATAAGGAGACTGTGTGAGTACCCCTGGGCTTGACTAGCAATATGTCTGCTGACTCGTTGGTGCTTGATATCAGGCGACCGGGGATTTTAGTGTTGATAAACGACACGGATTGGGAGCTAGAAGGTGAGGGGGAGTACGAACTCAAATCAGGAGATGAACTTGTATTTATTTCAACCCTACATGGCGGGTGAAATGCACTCCGATTGCTCATTTGCTTCACCTGTTGAGCTGCATAATATTGCTGAGCAGGTAGGTGCAACACGCAGATATGGCCCCGTGAAGATTTCGGAGTTTATTGCTGCCAGTGTGGCTGCAAACTTGCGGCGGTCGCTTTGGCCGCCATGAGGCGGCCTCTGCACAAAGGCACTCAACGACAGTTTGACTTTCCTGCAAACCATCACCATGTCCCCGCAAACCCCCACCAGTGTCCAAGTGCCCCCCGTCCTTGGAGGCTATCACCTTTATCAATTATTGGAGTCCAACGCGCCCAGTATGCTTTCAAAAATCCTCGGAGTAGTCTACTATTAACTCTGCCGATACTAGCCCACATCTATCTGGCTACTGACTACGAGACCGGGATTGATGTTGCCTTGAAGGTGGAGCATCATCTGAAGGCTACTTCACGGTCGGCCATCCAATATGAGCAAAAGATTTACTCGCACCTCCCTGCTAAATCGGAGGGAATCCCTCAGTTCTTTTCGGGTGGGTCTTTGGGTGGCTGGGAGTACATCGGGGTAGAGCTTCTGGGCCCCTCTGTCGCTACCTTGCTTGCGGAGAGCGGTCGCAGCAGCCTTGAACTGCACAGTGTCTGTTGCCTTGGGATGCAACTGGTGAGTCTCAGTATTACTTCTCCTTGATCATTGTCCAGATCCTATACATCATAGATTGATCGGCTAGCCCTTCTTCATGATCACGGCATCCTGCACCGTGATATCAAGCCCGAGAACTGTGTCATCGGCCTGACGCCTGGCACAGAGCAAACCATCTATCTCACGAACTTTGGCTGTGGCAAGTATATCCGCCACCCACTGAGATTCATGAATGATGGGGATTTACAAATGGGTTTCTTCACGTATATCATCCCTCCTTTCGTGACTACCTGTATACTGATCTACATCCATTTCTAGCTCCAAACGAGTCCATTGTGAGGGAGCAGGTATGTGATTCGATCAGTTTTGATCTTGTAGCCATCTAATATCCTAATCAGTAGCCTACACCTACCGGGATGATTTTGAGGCACTCGCACTCACCCTCATCCACCTGATCAAGCCATATGGCCTTCCTTGGGCTAGGAGGGGGATGCTTCGGCAAGAGGATCGACTCGGACAGCAGCTTCTTTCAACCGCCAAAGCGAATACTGCCATGGAAGGCCTTTGCAGCAACATCCCCACCATTTTCAAGGACTTTCTGTTGTACTGTAGGTCCATGAAAGTAAATGAATACCCTGATTATCAACAGTGGCGAGACCGACTTTCGGAGCCCATCGTTGAGAAGGGGTATGAGGCCGCCTCCCCCTTCTATTGGCCTCCACTTCCGTTGCCTTCAAGCCCGCGTGCTTCAAGACACCATTCACCTGTCTTTATCTCCCCTCAAGAAACCCACCATTTAAGCCTAAGCCCCATCCCTCTCCACCTTCCCACTCTCCCTGCTCATAGCCCTCAAGATGACTTCCATGAGCTCCTTCTTGGAGGGCATGCCACCAAGGCGGCCCTAATCAAGATTCTCCGGTTTGACATTCTGCCATTTGCAAACAGCAACAGAAAACTTGCTGATGTGGTGCTGCAATTCTGCGACGTTCTCCAATTCCATCGGAATGGACCCTACATTACTAAGGATGGTTTCGAGTTTTTGAATCAGCTTATCAACAAGCTGAGTGGTGGCCTGGAAGGTGTTTGGCAGTAAGTTTCTATTTGAATCTAGCTATATGGTTTCTGATGTCATTGTGCTATTAGTTTTGACAAAGAAGAAGGTTTTGTGGCTGTCAAATTGGCTGAGCTTGAGGATCTGCGTGATGAAGTGAGGGCTGCCCGCAATAAGCAGCAACTTGCGAAGATGGTCATCTGCTTTGGTGAAGCGCACCGCGGAAAGCATGATAAAAAGGCAACAAAGGTGAGTGGTATTCCTTTTGGATATGGTGATATATGTGAGCTCACCCTGGAGAAATAGAATGGCTTCAAGTTCCTCCAGGGGCTTGCAGCTCGACTCAAGACTCTGTGATGACCATAGCTGTAGCTGTCACATTCTTCTGAGGAAGGAACAAATATTACTTCTTTTCATGCTTATTCTTCTTCCCCTATGCATACAAATACTACAGTAGACACCTCGGTGCTGCTTCATGCCTCTCATACATCTTATTTACTCTCGACGCTCCATATATACATGTAAATCATTCGTTCTTACGGACATTGTGCTCCTATTTCTCCTGTATTCGTATCTCACATGACTTAACGCGACCGCTTGAGCGCCCTTCGTCCACTGACACTCACCGTTTCAACTCGATATCTCTCTTACGCGACCTCGTGGTAAAACATACGACGTGCTGGCCTCAATATTGAACGCTTGAGCGCTTGAATACTTCAGCAATTTTAATTTATGCTCAGCCCTGCCGGCTGTGAGGTGTGTCGCGATCTTTAGTAGTAGCCCGAGATGTTGACGCGTTCCTGGTAGGTTTACGGTTTCGCCTGCGTCTTGAGTAGGTCGCGTATGTAATCACCGTTATTCTGCATAAAAACATCCAGGGATTTAATGGACTCAGTAATCGGATCATTTTGCGAAGCTACATCGTTGGTGGTGACCATGTACGTGGAATCATCTTTTCATTTGACGTTCAGACGTTTTTACGTGTCCCCGTAGACGTTCGACGCTCTCGATGGACATTCATTCTCCCAACAGACTAGCGATCACGTTCACGCGGCGGCGTCCCGATGCATGAGCATGAGGGCCGAAGATCCGTCCTGCAAAGCCCATCATCAGCGTGAAGTTCCCATTTGCCTCAGCCTTCACACGTTTGCAAGAACGATCTTGCCATCAGAATTCCGCCCTCGATATCGGTCTTGCAGTGAGTACTATATGGGAACCGTATCTCCATTATTGCTCACCTTGTGGCCTGATATGCACCGCAAAATAGATCGAAGCCCCCCAGCATGATCACGAGTACATATGACGAGAGCAAGCAACATGGTGCGCCGACATACCATTGGGCACTCGTCCCGACCTCTGCATCACAATCAGCCCAGCACAGGGCCAGTGCTCGGTCTATGTTAGCGAAACATGTCATATGTACGAGTACCCTGCGGCTGAGGTCATCCTTCCGTGAGTACTGGCCACGCTCTCCCATTGTACATGGGGCTAAACTTCGATAGAAGGAGCTTCTACTGAAAGGGAATCTTAATATATACTCACCAATGATTTTGGAGTACCTCTGCCTTCTTGTCCACCGGCAACCACCTCCCCGACCCAGGGTATCGTCTATCTCGCTCGCAACGCGGATTAAAGCGCTTTGCTCCTCAGCCTTGTCTCTCGGTGACCTTCTTGTCGCTTGACTGCCGAACTCGACCTTCCCACCGTGGGCTCCATAGGGAAACACAAAGTCCTTAGCTTGCATTCAGTAGCTCGCCACCTTTTGCGTTCTGCACCTAAAAATGACTAGATCCAAGACTTCGAGTCCTACACACTGGGAGATTACGTCTGACACTGCGAGCGTGCTAGACCGTGGATCCCACGAACCGAAGGAGTCCGTGTCGTACCAGGAGAATAAACCCCATGTCAGGACTTCCGGTAAATCCCCACGTTTTCCAAGTAGATGGTGGAAGTATAGGTCAGCATAATGATCATCCGGGTTGCTCTTAGCTAACTACGGGACTCACAGACAATGGTTACGGGAACCAATGGCAGAATTTGCGGGGACGATGATCCTCGTCATCTTTGGGAATTCGGTTGACTGCCAAGTGGTTTTGTCGACAAATCCTGGCGTTGCGGCGAGTCCGAAGGGCGTAAGTTTTCTCATTTCGATTGCGTCCGTAAGAGGTTTGACTTGAGTGCGTGAAGGACTACCTCTCCTTGACTTTCGGATGGGCCGTAGGGACTGCCATGGGAGTTTATGTTTCTGGTGGTATATCTGGTGGTCATATAAATCCAGCCGTAAGCATTGCTGCGCGACGTATTCCAGCAGTTAGGCTGATATATTGTTGATGGAAGGTTACGCTCGCGTTAGCGACTTGGCGTGGATTTCCGTGGAAGAAGGTGCCGGTGTACATCTTCGCCCAACTGATGGGAGGAGTTGTTGGCGCCGCAATCACCTACGCCAATTACTTCCACGCGATCGACATCTTTGAGGGCGGTCCAGGGATCAGGACGATTAAGACGGCAAGTTTGTTTTCTACCTACGCGGTAAGTTGCTAGTTTTGATCGCTACCTGCGGAGCTAAGCGTATGTTCAGGCGGATTATATGACCAACGTGTCGGCCTTTTTCGACGAATTCCTCGGTACGGCCGTGTTGATGCTTGTTGTCCTCGCGATGACAGACAAGCAAAACACGCCGCCACCACCTGGGCTTGCACCGCTCGTGCTTTTCATGCTTGTCCTGGGTATCGGCGTGGCGTTGGGGGTGCAAACAGGTGCGTTCATTCATTCATTAAGCTGTTTCCTCTTTATGAAGACTCGCAATCAAGGTTATGCTATCAACCCCGCTCGTGATCTAGGTCCAAGGATTCTGACCTCGATGGTTGGATATGGAAAGGCTGTATATACGTTCCGAAAGTATGCTTTCGTCTTCTCTTCGTACGATAGCGGCTGACCAAGTTACCGGCTCGCTCTAGTCAGTACTGGCTTTGGTGCCCTGTACTTGGGCCGTTTATTGGCGCTCAGATTGCCGCCTTTTTCTACGACCTTTTCTTGTTCAACGGCGAAGAGGGGCTCTTTAATCGCAAGTAAGTGTCCGCGTAACGTTATCAAGGCTGAGCGCTGATGAAGGGTTCCGCCCACAGACAAGAGAAGCATCATGAAATCGACGAGGAACCTAACGAAATGGCATGAGAGTCACTATTTTTCGAATGACATTTTCGCAAGGGTATTACGACAGTCTTTACTAGGGTTCTTCACATTGTTGTACTTACATTTAACAGAAGTGAGGTCTTCGAGACCTAGATTTGATTCATCAACCCCACATAAACAGCCAGAAGTGCATCCCGGTTCACTGCTTTTGAACGAACGCCGCAAAGTGTACTTGCACACTCATCACTCATATTTGAAATAGGAATAGGTCAGAAGGACCAGGGTGCGTCTAAGAGACTATCTACTGGCGTATCTCGCCAACGTGCCGTCCTACCCTGCGACGACCGACCCTCAAGTTGAATTGCTAAGACGCCTCCAAGCGACAACGGCTCCTACCACTCTTCTCACCGGCGTCGAGTGTCATGATGGTTAACAGTTCACAATGGAACACTGCGTCGGTGTGCGGCGGTTCACCTTCCCAAGCCCCCTAACCCTAAGTCCAAACTGCAGTGCCATAGTTGCCCACTAACGCGGCATCAGAGTCACCTTTGCTAGCAGCTTGCGCGCATATCTAGGATTGCATTGCGTGAGTTATCCCTTCTGCGACATGATCATTGGTATAGACTAATTGAGCTCCAGACTATTTGACCTCTGAGCCTTCGGGGTCCAACTTTTTGGTGCTGACGAATTCTCGCACGCACCAGTCCTGAATTATATTCACCTCGCTCTATGAATAAAAACACGCCCTTCATTACAGTTAACGTTCATCGCGCGGCGTTTGCGCTACCTTCCATCGTATGCGGTAGGGAGAAGCTAGAGCAATATAGGCCCCTGAGCGCGGAGTCGTCTAGAGTCACATGAACAGCTAAGCCATCCTCTCAATTAACCTTTACATCCTAGTTGCGACTCACCTTGCTCATCTTCAGCCTTATCGCTGCCCATTTCTGCTTATCTTCACGCAAGACGTAAGAACGCACTCAAACCCCAGAGTTTCCTACGCAGGGGGCATCGAAACTTGAACTCATAGCTTCAGGTACCCTTTCGAGACACCGCAACCACATCGAAACATAGCAGTCACATCGAAAGTGGGATTATTCGACGATGCGTAAGGATGCAATGTAGACCTTGACTCCTGATATTCCCTAGGAACAAGGCGAAGGTGCGCACGTATTCAACGTTGATCGTTGGCTGTCGATCTTAGCGAAGAACTCGGACAACGTGGGCGTATACTCCAATCTGTGTGTTACATTCTTATCCTCAGATGCTGCTTACTGACGCCTCCCCCGAAGGCTCACTTTTGGCGGAGGCTTGCGCGCGTGGATTGGATTCCGCTTTGCGTAAGCCGTCTTTGTATTCTGAAGGTCGCTTGCTTATAAGCATAAGGTAGATTCATTGAGTTCCAGGCATTCCTGGTTGAGCTGGTCAGTACGTACGAGTTCGCACTCACGGAGGGGACAAACATACTCGCAGAGAATCGCACGGCGTTATGATTCCCTTCATCGAAGGTCAAGCCGAACAGGAGGCCCATCTTCTGCTCAAGGTGACATTTGCATCGTATGAAGCTGAGTAATTTATCGACGACGCTATGAACCCAAATTTACAAAATACCATGTTAAATGACCGACGTTTCCTTCTAACTTCGTTCAAGAGCGTAGGGGAAATAGGGGCTCGACCATTCAACCAGAATAACTACAAATCCGAACCCTGCTTTTTAGGCACATTGTAGCGCACTCCATCTCTGTTAGAACTAGCATCATGTGAAGGTTGAATATAGTAGATGGCTACGTTGGAGTAGTTGGCAGCTTGCTCTCCATCGAAGGAAGTGAGGAACTCTGGGTCGATCTGAAGCTGGGATAAAGCACGAGTACCTAAAGAAGATGAGGGGCTCTTCACAATGAATTTCGACGCGATATCCTTGCAGACCTTGGCTGGGCGAATCAAGTCAGCGCTGAATAGGGGCTCCAGGGATGGCCTAGGCTACTCAGGGCCTCAACTTCGAAGGAATCTACCACAAAATATCGGAATACGCTCAGTTCACTCAGGCCTCAGGTGTCAAGAGATTACCTCAAAAGCTACTAAATCTCACCATAGAACCCGTTCTCACATCCATTCAGCATCAAAGACCTCGATTCCCCACAGACGCCGCCATGTGAATCGACTTGCATATTTGGTTTTCTCTAGGCTATTGCTTGGGACAGTCCTAGCAGCTGAGAGCATAGAGGCTCTTGGTGCTTCAATACCTACACCTATGAAGGCTTATCAAAATCAGGGAGTGATACCCCAGAGGTGATGTCGATCCTGCTGAAATGAGGCCAGTACCTTCTATCATTATATTCTATTCGAAACCCTCCTCTGGAATTGACTCGCATTGATAAACGACTAAACCCCCTTGCATCCAAGCCGGACGACAGGCGTAGTACGTCAAGTTGTGATCCTCGAATATCGGTTAGCAACTTCCCGCGGTAAGTGTCACGGCTGGCTGAAAGATTCGAGAAACTTACCGAGTCATCGGACGTCCTGGTCATCTAGTTTATGATGATACTCCGCTGCGTGGAAACGCTTCTCCCAAAGGATTTTCTCAAGAACAGGTAAAGAAGCACACTTCCTGTATGTATCTGGCCTCATACGTTAGCATCACAGCGTCAGCTAATCCGCGAAGCACCGGGCCCACATGCTATAAAGCCGAGGACCTCCCTACCTGAACCAGCACCATCCAATGAATTACCTTCTTCTAGTGGTTGGCTTTGCTCTCGTCGCTCTTCTCCGGGCAGTATATCGACGATACAATCGTATCTCTATTCGTCATGTACCTGGACCTCCATCGGATTCTTTCTTTCTGGGTATGTCGTGGCATACCTATTGAGATCGAATTATTGAAGCAATTATCCTTGATCATCAGGAAATATGCGCGAATTCCACCGCAGACCAGTAGCCGAGGTACGTTCATGGGCAGCGTCGGGGGGACCTTCGCTGAAACATACGCTCTCTAGGCCGATTTTAAGTGGCAGGAAGAATATGGCAACATCGTCAGGTTCAAAGCAGCGTTTGGGGTAAGCGTCCTCAAGACTCTTATCCAGGATAATGCACTGACCAGGAAGCCATCTCTAGGAGGATAGGCTACTCGTTATGGATCCCAAGGCTTTGCAGTACATCTATCAAACCGCAGGTTATAACTTCCCAAAGCCCAGAGAAAGGCGGGAAATGTCAAGGATCATCTCCGGGAATGGTATACTCTCCGCGGAATGTGGGTACCCTCGACGGCCCGTGTATCTATGAAGGAAGCTTATATTCCTCCATCGACGCAGTGAATGATCACAAGAGACACCGTAAAGTTCTGCTTCCCGGGTTCGGCGGACCAGAATCTCGGGCATTTTGGCCCATCTTCTATGGTTACGCCGCTCAGGTGCGCGGCTCGCGGTTAAGCAGGATGATTACCTTGCTAACGACACTGGATATTCTAGTTGACCTCCAAATGGAAAGATATCATCAGTAACTCGCCAAACCAAGAAGTCGTAGTAGACATCCCACGATGGACATCCCGTGCAATGTTAGACGCTATTGGAGAAGGTAACCTTTCTAGAAGTTTAAACTACAGACTGATGATCTGACGGCTATTAACAGCTGCGTTTGATTACCAGTTTGGGGCGATGGAGAACGCAGAAACCCCACTCAGTGTTGCGTATTTCGGGCTCTTGTACGGAAGTCGTCGTGATGCGCTCAGTATATGGAACTGACACCCCCATAGGGCCAAGACATTTGGATCCTTAACCGATTCGGCGATATTCATGCAGAATCTATGGGCGTACCTTCCTCCGCAGTGCCTACACTTCATTTCCTACTATTCTCCGGGATTCACGCTCAAACATGCCCGCTCGACTGAGAAGATTGCGACGGATGTAGCTAGGAAACTTGTCCAAACGAAGACCGAGGAACTACGTCACGGTACAGAAAACCGGGATATCATGAGTCTCCTTGGTACGTGTATAGCATTTACGTTAAAAGACATTATTGAGACCTTCGCGCAGTCAAGGCAAATAACTCTGAGAATGAGGGAGCCAAGTTAACTGAAGACGAACTCTACGCCCAGATGAGGTTGGTAATTATCTAGTCCGTAAGTTCCATTCTAATTCCCCAGAATAGGACCATCATGTTGGCGGGCCACGAAACCACGGCGAACTCCACCAGCTGGACGCTCCTTGAGTTGGCCCGACACCCCGAAATGCAGAAACGCCTTCGTGAGGAAATATGGGCAAAGCAACAAGCCTTGGGACGCGAGTTCGAAGCTAGGGACCTTGAATCGATGCCCTACTTGCAAGCTGTCGTGAAGGTACCAATCTGCGATTAATCTCAAGAATTTTTCGTTGGCTAAGGGTTTGGCAGGAATCTCTACGCTACCATCCAGTAGTACCTTTGACCCAGCGCGAAGCCGGGCGCGACGATGCGCTGCCCCTTTCCAAACCTATCACTCTGACCACGGGTGAAGTTCTGCACAAACTACCTATTCCCAAAGGGCAGAAGCTCGCGCTTTCGATTGCTGGATATAACAGGTGAGCGGTCTAAATATAAGCATGTGAGATTGGCACTTAAGGCCCTTCTAGAAACAAAGATATTTTCGGCGAAGATGCACATGTATTCAACCCAGATCGCTGGTTATCTAACTCCCCTAAGAATGCTGTCAACGTGGGCGTATATTCTAACCTGTGAGGACCCTTTCAAGCGTGCGACATATTCGTATATCACTGACTTATATACTCTTCTACAGGCTCACTTTCGCCGGTGGACTGCGCGCATGTATTGGCTTCCGTTTTGCGTAAGATCTAATCTTGCTTCTACATATGAGACCCGTCTATTGACATCCACCATCTGCTAGACTGCTCGAATTCCAGGCATTCTTGGTAGAGCTCGTTGGAACGTACGAGTTCTCCCTTACTGCCGAATCAAAGAAGATTCGCCGAGAGCCATGTGGTGTAATGGCTCCTTTCGTCGAAGGGCAAACCGATAAGGAGGCGCATCTACCACTCAAAATCACGCTTGCCACGAAAGGTGCGGAGTAGATTACGAGCAATTGGGTGCTATATCACCCGACATGATCCCAGTTCGAGTACTTCGTGTATGATAGTTAGGAGGGGAATACTTCAAATGAAATCCGATGCTTCTTTCGAGTACGAAGTTCAATAGGGGGATAGGGGGCATGTGCTACTTTTAGGGACTTCAATCACTTCGCTTTCTCGATATCTCATCAAGCTGAGGGCTGGAACTTAGGCTCGAGGCATGCATAATAACCAAAGTGAAAGGGTAATGTAAGTAAACAGTCCATGTAGGTCGCAACGAAAGCACCCCAAAGCACGATAGATTTTACTCGCTCTTCCTTGGTTCTTCGGCCAAGCCGCCATATGCAGCGCTGTCAGTCTGCTGGCTTGGCCTAGCTTCTGTCTGGCTCGCCCTCACCTCCGCCTCGACAACATCTGTGGCCTCCGGCTTCGGTGCCTCCTGGACCTCCGCCACCTCTGTGACCTCCGGGGAGCCCTCTAGGATGTTCTTCACCAACGGAGCAGTAACCTTCCGTGTAGCATCAGCGTTCCCTTGCTTGTACCCCTTCCATCTAATCTCTTTCTCCTTCTCTTTCCTCTCTTTCTTCGGAACCAACTCGAACTTCTTGTGCTTCTTCAACTTCAGGTCGTCGCTCGCCTTGAGCCCCTCCCACAGCCTCTCAGCTAACGCATCTATCCCCACGACGTTAGCGTCGCCGCGAATAATCCAAATTTGCTCTCGTCGATGCTTGCCCCTCCCGCTCTTAGTGAACTTCTTCTCGTCGCGGAACGAGGTCAAGACACCGAGTACTGTCAGACCTCTGAGTTTCATCCACTGCTCGCTGGCTTCCAAGAGCTTGCCCTTGGTCGCCCACGAAGCTACGCCGGTTGGGACGGTGGATAATCCGACTTTGATGGTAGGCTGATCGGGAGCCCATTGGAGAGGGTAAGAGTATTCCTTGTAGTCTCTGCGTAAGAGATCGTACGCGCTGAGTAGCGAGACATCTTCTTTCTTCGACGACAGAGCAGCAGTCAATGTTTTGATAGCGGGTGCCTCAGCTAGCTTGTCACCACTATACGAGGTGGGGTCAACCTCTGAAGCGTAAGTGGACATGGGGATCAGAGCAGTTGCCGCCTCGTAGTCTACGGGCAGAGCCTTGCCGTTGGCTTTGAGGCCTCCAGTATCGATGAGAATCGCGCAGAGTAGCAACGTAGCGAGTTCCGCAGGAACATTATCCGCGCTTCGGAGTAGAAGCCCTACATGCGAAGCGCAACTTCCCGCTTTCCCGATGATCCTCGGTTCCGCCGTGCCCTTATAAAGCCCCTCATCTTCGTGGTGGTCAACGACCGCGACGACCTCGGCGGATGGGTTTTCCGTTGTGAAACGTTCTCCAAGGCGATTGTGGTCGACTAGAGCAAATTTATGTGAAGGGAAACGCGCGTCATTCCCGATGTCTGTGATGGATACGAGGCTCTCGAGGGGGTTCGTGATTCCTGCTAGCAAGAACGCGTAGAGATTTTCTTCGCGAAGCTTGAAGTCATCCTTTGCAGTTTGAATAAGTGGCACGCTTTTCTCGGTGAACTTTGTCGTGGCGGTTAACCAGGCAAACGCAATAGAACTCGCGAGACTGTCAAGGTCTGTTGAGATTTTCCTCACGTCAGACTTGGGTCAGGACCGCCGGTTGGTTCACTCACCTCCAGCCTCGTTCCCCATAGATACAGTCCATTCGCCACCCCCGACGCTTGCATCCTTTATGTCTCGTAAGTAGTTTGTCTTCGCGGAAGTAAGGAATTCTGAAAGAGTGTGGGTCTCCGGGATGGTAGGTGGCGGATTTGACGACGATACAGCGGCATTCCCATTCGTGCTGAACTTGAGGGCCATCGACAGCCGCTTCAGCGGATTTCTGGACATGGTGGAGAAGAGATAACGAGAGACTGGTTTGTGGTGGAGTGGAAGCGAAAAAGAACGTCTGCAAATTTCAGCAAGCACGGCTGGGCATGCAAAGAAACCTTGAGGTTCCGTGATGAACCCACAGGTTATATAGTGTCCCCAGCATGCGAAAGGACGTAAAACGGCTAAGGCCTATTACATGCCTCAGGTACGGAAGAAGCGAAGTGTAAATAAAGGCTGCTGCAGTGACATTGACAGGAGGCAAGAGTCTTGTGCTCGGAGAGCGCTTGAGACCGACTGTCTGATTGGGACATTTCAGAACACACGCATGCCCAGGAAGGACAAAATCGCGACAAAGGGTATACACGACAGGTACTTTCTAAACAGCGGTCATCCAGTTGGAGACTAGTCCTCGCCCAGCCGCATCTTTTCCGTCCCTCTTCTCCATCTCCGCTGCCGAATAAGCTTGCAGCACCCTCTCAGTGGCGAGCTCGTCGATAAGGTTCAGGTGCTTAGGTATGTCCGTATGCGAGGCAGATACCGAGCTGCCCGCAAGTAGTCGCTTCGAGCACTAACAGGCGTGATTAGCTACAATAAAACTGAGCTAGATGACGATGAGGAGACGAACAAGTTTAATGGTCCACCATGCTCTGATTAAGATGCCTTCCGGAACACGCTGGATTTCATCTTGCTCGCACATGTCTATGACGACGAGGGCCGTCTTGAGAGCGAGGGGGAGATCATTCGCAGTGTACGCTGTTTCTGCGAACTGCAGGGTATAGAATGGGTTCTGCGCCGCCAAAAGTAGTACATGAGAGAGCGCTTGGAGTGCAAGGGTGTATCTAATAATTGCAGGTCGTCAGGATGGCTGTTTACCAGGTGCACAATACAACGAACGAGACTCACTGGGAACACGTCGAATAAATGTCTGCGAGCTCTAGCCATCCTTCGACATCGGAATAGAACGTGTCGAGGAACTGCGACAGCTCAGCGACCGCTTTGTCTATCTGCCCAACTCTCCGAAAAATGGCGATTTTCCGTTTCCAAGCAGCCTACACTCCATCAGTCCGGGCGCACGCGTGATTCGGGTTGCTTGCTACTCACACCATTCGCCGAATCATTCTCCAACAGCTCGTCGTAGTACTGCAACACCGTCGCAGGTGCCTCCGACACTTCCATTCGAATGCCCGCTAGGATCTCTACGCGAGGGGAGCCAGGGAACTTTGCAATGAGTTGTTCTAAGCATTTCTTGTCGTCAATAATCGTCAAATCCAGATCCAAGCGAAACGGGTTGCTATGTGCGTACATCTGCCACGTCCAGTCTCCCGACATCAATAGCTGCCAGAGCCAGCTGTTCTAGGAAGGCCCATGCTAGACGGAAACCAATCTGAGCGAGACGACACCTGAGCACTTGCGCGAGAACGTACCATCGTCACCCAATTTTCCAGCGCCGCCAGACTTGAGGATCACTGAGCCCTCGTTGAGAGTCTCTTGTGATGCTCTGGTATTGTGTATTCTGAAGTTCGCAAGCTTTTGGAGAGAAGCGGCGACAGACATGTTCAAGACACCTCGGCAAAGTGGAAGGTGACTTGAAGTCAAATGGCTTACATCACCCAGCGCTTATTTCACGCCCTTTAATCTCTTTCTGGTTGAGCCATTTACTTCCAAGATGAGCTAGAGGACTGCAAAGTACATGTTCAATACCCCTCTAATCAAGACCATATTGCCCCAGAAACCTGCACAACGTCGCTCATTTCCCTTGTGTCATGGACCCGGACCACCAGTGATTTCTGTTGTACAGCACATGCAACCGCCGCCGCCGTTGCCCATCCTCGTTCCTTCGGTGTAGTCTTCCTTCCATTTTCCCCTCGCGATAAAATTTCCCCCAAGAACGATTTCCTCGACGCACCAATAAGGATAGGGTACCCAAACAACGGATTCCGCCGCTTAGTGTTCAGGTGCTCTGCCATGCCAAGTGAGCATTCCCAGCTGTAAAAAAAGGACTCAATACTCACCAGATCCAATTTCTGCGTCTGACACGAGGCGCCCTGCATTTCTCAGTAGCTCAAGGTTTCCTTCGACGGTCTTGCTGAAGCCGATCCCTGGATCCACGATCACGAACCACCGCCGAATGCCGTGCTTGACCAGATATTCTACTTTCTCTCCCAGTTCGACCTTCACGCCTTCCAGCACAGGCGCCTCGTTCTCTCCCGCATAGCTATATTCTCTGTAATCCTTGTTCTTCCCGGCATCGCCCCGCGAATGCATAAGAACAACGGGCACAGCCAGATCCTTCGCTACCTCTATCATCTGCGTCATGTTCTCATTCGCCAAGTTCAGTGGATACGAATTTGGCCCGGAAAACGCATGCACATCGTTGATACAATTCGCACCCGCAGAAACAGCAGCTTTCGCCACCTCAGGCCGAAACGTATCCACACTAATCAGCACTTGCCTCGCACTAGCGTCCGGATGCCCACGGATTTGTTCCACTGCCGGGACGACGCGAGATGTTTCTTCTTCGGGGGAAACGAAAGCGGCCCCGGGTTTAGTGGAGTAGCCCCCGATGTCGATGATACTGGCGCCCGCTGCGACGGATGATTCGACGTATGCGATCGCGGAGAGGGGGGCGGTGTGGTCGGAGCCGTCGGAGAATGAGTCGGGGGTTGTGTTGAGGGTGGCCATAACGTGTGTCTTGCGTGGTTTGGGGTTTGATGGAGCTGGTTGAGTGGGGATGGGGTATGTCCAGCGTGTAGATGTCGAAGGTACGCCGGAGAGCATTTTGTTGGATGTATCGCCGGAAGAGGGGTACTTCGGAAAAGGAATAACCCTTTCCATCGGGGGATCGCTCAATGGAAGAAACTCTAGCAATGCCCGTATAGTTTTGCGCTGCACAGGATGTATGTAGTCCGGGATCATGCTTCACACATACTCAATCACGGAGCCTTCATGATACAACAGAGACATACGTACTCAAACAGAGGCCGAAGAACGAACTCCCTCTCGCACAGCCGAGGATGAGGGACGACCAATTGACCATGGAGGTTATCTAAGGTCGTGCGTTCTGCCAGCGGTCTAGTGTCGAGCACAGAATCATCATATAGGATGATATCTAAATCGATCGCCCTAGGGCCGTTGCGGATCGACGGGACGCGCCCAACGGTCTCTTCGATGCCCTTGAGCACCCTCAGAAGCGCGAGCGGCCGTACGTTAGTCTCTACCTAACACGAAGACAGACATATATGTGCATTCAGTCGAGGCAGACGCGCAGGGCTGAAAACAATACTTACTATGCATGCGCAGTTAAAGAAAGGAGGTTGATCGGTGACATACATCGGCGCGCTCTGGTACATGAAGCTAGTGTCAGTAACTACTAGGTGCGGGGGCACATTCGGGGCTCCAGTTTCTCCAGATTGGAGATGCGATGAAGGGTCCTCGAGGAGACGGAGGGCGTATTCGATGTTGCGGCAGCTGTCACCTATATTGGATCCGATCGCGAGGGCTACTACGTGGTTCCACGAGTCAGTGAACTGCCGCGGGTTTTCGATAAGGGTAGAAGCGCTAGAATCTGAGCGGTGACTTAGAGTTAGTGAGGTTGGCTGACATGGGGAACGGGGGATGGACCCGCCAACATGTTGCTGGAGAGGCGATCCGTCGCTGGGATGTCTGAGCTTCCCTCCTCAGACATCATTAGTGTAAGAGCGTACCTGGAAGTAAATTCCATCTCAAAAAGGTGGCGGAGAAACCTGATGCAAACAAACAACTATCGCAAGGGGTTGAAAGCAAGGTGCCAACTTGAACGGTGACTAAGTGTGAATTCCAAACCCAGCGACCGAGGGGCTAGGGGCGACTCCTGTTGAAGGAAGATCTACTATTCAGCACCTTGACGTTCAGATTGGCTGCGAGATGTATTAGCTGGCTGCTACAGCTAGGTAGCAAGGCCACAATAGTAGTCTACAGCAGTACAAAGTAAAAAGTCGCTGTCCGTTGATCGAGGACCGGGGAAACGAAATGGGTTCATTCTGAGTGTATATATAGCAAACACATCATTCATCTAAGTCATCTATCAATGCATCAGTACATAGGGCGACTTCTCAGCAACGGCTCAATAGACTTACACCATTCGAGTGTGTATATTGATCCTCATTTGAGTTTCAAACTTGATCATGCAAGCACGACTTTACATGGAGCTTTACAGCAAACCGCGTTGATCTTTGGCAAAGCTATTAGTAGTTGGCGAGAACCACCGTGACAAGGGTATTAGGGTATTCTACACGTTCCACCCAAGGCCCAAAACTGAAACCAAACATGAAGTCGGACATATAAGCGTTTGTGCTCGAGGAGTACGATTGAGGAGCACTCACTGCATGCGACCACCGCAGTAAAATGGTTTGAAGGCTCCAACGAAACATTCGAATAAAATAGCAAGTTGTGTATCGTCTCATCTGGAGGACTCGCACGAATCGCCGGCCCGTTCTAGCAGTAAGCACAAGGCTAGCACCACAACATCATTCATTCCCCATGGGAACTGCATGGGCATGATTAAGAATTCAAATGACAGCCCTTCTCGCTCCGGGTCGGTGCTGTTGAATGAAATAATGATGACCGACTTGAATAGTGCAGAGACTCGGGAACGAACCTGACCTCCGAGTTCGTGTTTCAGGTGCAGTTCAGGCCCACATGGGAATCATCTGCATGGCTGGTGTGCATGGAAAGGAGGCTGAGAGCATGAGCCAGAGGACGCGGATGGGCGTAGAAATTCGCATGGACCACGACGACCGACGGCAGCTTTCGAACGGTATCGCTGATGGTCGGGCGTCGGTTGGCGTCTGGCGTGCGGCGGCTCACCAGATGCAATGTTATCAAAACCCGGGATATATGATGGTTTGACAGTCGAGACACAAAGCCAAACACCGTTTGACTGATGGGGCCGCGAAGGAAGGCCCAATTGCGTTGCCATCGACTATATACCCATCATATACCCAGCTTTTTCTTTCCCCACCGTACCCGCGAAGTGCTGGATGCTCACGATTACGACCGGCGACTGCTATGCTCTCTTCGTTCATCTCATACATCCCCAAGGGCAACAAGCGCAAGACCAAGAACTTGAATCACCATGGCCGGGTACCGACACTCGCAATCGGACCCTCGGGGTCAGCACGAGGAGGCGAATATAGCGCATATGCGGCCAGCGCGCCCTGGGACTACAGTGGCGCGTACTCGCAGACGTATAGGTCGCCGATCTTGGACATCCACGACCAGCGCCGCACACGCGATGGCCAACAACGTGTATCAGAGGAAGAGTTTCTACAGGCACCACCGCCTGCATCACCTAGGCTGGATCTCGATATACCATCATCTCATCTGCAGCTGTCTGGACTTCTCCCCCCGGAGCTGGCCAAGGGGGATTCGATAGCATTGCTGATTGATGAGGAGTTGAGCAACGACGCGAGAGCGACGGGGGAAAGGCCATGGGTCGATGATATGGACGTAGCTGAGAGGTACGAGCAGAGAAGGAGCGGCCAGGGTTACCCAGCAGCACACGAGCAGGAATCAGCAGAGGACTCCCCCAGTGCAAGTTCGGCCAGCAGCGACGGCGTTCCAATACCTCCCCGTCAACCATTCCTGGAAGACGAGGAAGACGAGGACTCAATATATTCCTTGGAATATGTGAATTTTGATCCAGATGCACCACCAGTGAGTTCTCATCTTCACTTGTGCATAAATTCGTTCAACATTTATTCAGAGTCCCCAGAGAACGAAAGCAGAACCTACAGAGGGCGAGGAGGAATCAATACTACCATACGTGCGTCCTTGCGTTCATTATGTTGGATGCATCCATCTCATTGTTCTCAAATTCAGGCGTCGGTCTCAAGGAGACCTGCACCAGCACCGATTAAAATTCCCAACCTCGCACTCTATGGCCCAAAGGTACAACTACTCCCTGGCTCTTCAGGCTACCAGTCACGCCCACAATCCCGGGGCAACGAATCCATTATCTCCACAGAGCCTTCATCAGCGGTATCGGGTACCTCGCTCGCGCGCGCGCTTTTCGCCAATACATTCGTGCTTAGCGGTAACCAAACCTCTCGTTATCGCAGCGGCGTCAGCATGAATCTGACAAGACAGGACTCGGCGACCTTACCACGGGGGGAGCACCCGTTGATGTCTTCTCCATTCTTCCGTGATCGGCCTGAACAAATTGGAAGCCCAATATTGATCCCAGCAGGAACAGGTGTCTCACTTCCGCCACCATCTTCATATAGACCGTCGACGGCGGAATCAATGCACAGGCATAGAGTCCCGAGGCGTTCAGTACCTGACAGACCGATGACGGCACCATCTTCTAAACATTTTAGTGCCGCAAGCCTACCCATCAAGCATGCTTCTGAGACAGATCAACCGGAGACGGAGACGAAACCTAAAGAGGATGAGATTGTGAGCGCTCCTATAGACGCTTCGTCTGACCAGAAGGGGTTGCATCGCATTTCGCGCATCTCGGAAGTCGCCTCTCCGCCTCCCAGTGCTCCTCCCAGTGCCTCCACCCCTGGTGTAGCGTCGGAGCACGAGGAGAACAACGTAGGCAGTGAGGCCGAGGCATCACCGTCGCTTCTCACCGACGATAAGCTTGGACCAGAACCACAATCATCACCATCACCATCACCATCAAATCCCACCCATGTCCACGCAGCATCCTTGCCTGCGTCAGATGTTCCCAACATTGCCTTACCACAGCTTTCCCAAAGCCAGGAGGAGGTACCCATGCAGACGAATGAAGAGCCCGGCGTTCACCTCGGTGCCTTGAACTCACCCAATCCAACTCCACGTTCGGCAGGCGAATTCTCCATCTCGTCCGAGCCAGGCTCAGGAAGGGAAATCGACAACGTTCTCGATTATTATCAGTTCGAGTCCCAGCCGACGACATTCCCAAACCTTCGCCTACCTTTCTCACCGATATCCGAAGAGTCGAGTTCGATGCTCAGTCCTGTGAGCTCTGCTAATCAAAGAAGCCCTAACGGAAGTAATTCGGGTGTGAGCTTGGTTGGCGAATCGAAGATGAGCCAGCAACAGAACGATGCTAGGATGAGTGTATTGTCGTCGTCGGCACGAGGTATGTAGCCAGTTACCGTTGTTAACTTCTTCATCTCTGGCTCTGTTTTCTGACCAGCTTTTTGTGCAGCGGCGGCAGAGTGGTCACCAAGGAAGCCATCGAGTCCGCCTTTGTTACCAATAGGAAAGAGAGAGCTGCCTCGTCGTCCTGGGTTGCTACCGATCGGTGACCGTCCAAGGTCATTCCAGGTGCGTGCTTTGATCAGACGATCAATAATGCAATACTTAACCACCATCGTTTCAGGTTTCCCCTCCCCCTCCCATATCTCTCGCTTCTCCTCTCTCTTCTTCCGGTTCATCGAAGATGAGCAGTTTGGCATTGTCTGCAAGTACGACTGCGTCATCTTCACTAGCGTCTCCGGACTCTGGAGGTCCACTCCTCCCCCCTTCACGAAGTGTCTTCAACCGCGCCCGATCTGGCAGCGCGCCCAGCCCCATCAAAGTTGTTCGAAACTCGAGGGATTTCAAGAAGTATCACATTGCCGTTGTCACGCCTCTCAGTGGTGGGAGCGAGAAGGAAGAGGCCTTTGAGTCAGCACGAACAGAGCACGATAGCAGGGAAAGTAAATCCCCAGATGAAGCACAGGATACAACGTCTAGTTCAGGCTCCCAAGACCTCGATCGCCCACGCCAGGAATTTCCCGAGACACCAAGTGCCTTCAGTCCAACGTGGTCGTTCACTATGATGTCCCCTTCTGGCCGCGGAGAGTCGACTCATGAGTATCCTGTCTTGATGCCTATGTCTGCTGGCGGAGGGATAGGTGTACGAGGGAGTATACAACCGGCAAGTCTGGCCCAACAAGTGCTCTTGACGCGAGCAGCAACCTCTGTCCGTGGCGCGCGCCACTCTAGGCAAGCTAGTCTGCTGAGAAACGCGACGGTCCCCGCAGCCAAGGTTGAGATGGCGCCAGACGGGCAACGGGTAATGCAGCCTATTCTGCAATTGGAGCCTCCGTCAGCAGGTCGACCATTGTCATTGAAACGACCGTTGGATGAAATGGAGGAGGAAACTGAATCGGTCGGAAGTCCCGTGCTGCCTGGTACCCACCATATGGTTACCGAAGAGCCAGAAGCAATGGAGGGGCAACTTCCGGAAGACATCTCACCAACGATCGCGAAGCAACCTCTCCCTCGCGTACCGTCAGATATTACTCATGATGAGCTCTTTTCTCCTCGTATCCCTAATGCATCCCCCGTCCGATTACAGAAGCCCCGCGTGGGTGATCCTGTACTTCCCACCCTTTTCGACCTCCCACTACCCTCACCTCAGCGCTCAGCCTCGGCTAGTTCCCCTCCTGTCACGCCTTCGTTCTCTTTCCGTGGATCCCCCTCACCCAAGCTGAGTGCTCCAGCATCTTTGGCTAGCGCCGCGCCTAGTCGTTCTGTTTCTCCCCTTTCCGTTGCAAGTTCCTCTCGACATCCACCTTCTTCCAAGCACTCTGACTGGTCTTCCGTGCACCACCCGGCCTCACCACGCCTCCATCCTGGCTCCCCACACCTTTCACCCGCTCCGTCACATGTAGGGTTCCAAGACACATCTTCACTTCGTTCTGTCTCTCCGGCTTACCCCGCCTCGCCCACCCTATACAACCATAACTCCCACTCTTCTCCACAGCTTCCACCCCCGTCGCCTGCTCGCAGTCCTACGGTCCCCTTCATGCCCCCCCACTCCAACTCTGGTGCATCATCATCTTACGAGTCGTTGCACTCCGTACATAGGCTTCCACCTGTTGTTCGACCACCACCATTGTTACTCAATACCCCCGGCTCATCTACGCATCAATACACTGTACAATATACCCCTTCGCCCTCTGTTCCTAAAGCCCTCCCTTTGCCGTCACCATTTATATCACGACAGAGCAGATTAGATCTAGATCATCCATTGTCACCCTCATTTGTTCCTCCTCCACCCTATTCCACCGTCGCCAACTCGCATGATCATTCCTCGAGTGTGGATGTGTCTGATCAGCTCTCTAATCTAACCCATACGCCTAACAGCGCCAATTCAAACATCGCTGCTGAAGTCGACCCACGAACCCCTCTGTCCTCAGTTCCTCGCCGCCCAAGAGTCCGCCCTCCCCTTCCTATGGGACCCCGCCGTCCTCAACAAGTTGTCGGGCATCTTACTGCGAACAGTGGGGATGTCAGACAACGAAATGCATCGGCTCCCAATATCGGCAATACCGGTACAGCTAGTGGCCATCAACGTCAATATTCCGCGCAAGTCCCAAAATTCCGTTCTCCAGTTCCAAAGTGGAGAGGGTACACATTGGAGGCTGCGAAGTGGACGTTCTCGTCTGCGGAGCTGCAACAGATAGTCTCGAGGGCGATACGGCAGTCCGCTGAAGCGTCTTCTTTCAGGCTTTTGCAGCTAGCGACACTTGACAACGATATTAGCCAGGAAATGGAGAGGCTCAAAACTCAGCAAGCTGAGATTCGGACAAAGTACAAACTCCTGTCTCGCAGGAGGCGGGGTTTGCTAGATGCCCTTACTGGGCACTTCGAGGGCTCGGTCGTGGAGTACTCCGCGCCAACCCTGCGCATCGTGGACGAATTGGCTGACACCTGTTTGCAGCTCGACGAACTTGCCGAAGACTTAGATAGCGTTGACGAGCAGCTCAGCCAACTGACGTCGTTGTGCGAGGTGCATTCGTCCAGCGCCTTGGCCATGGCGCTTCGGAAACTCAACACCAGCTTCCTCAAGCAGATGCAAGAAAACAAAGCATTGAAAGAGCAGATCGAGACTCTCCAGGCCGAGCGAGATGAGGCGTGGAAACAAGCACAAGAAGTTGCCAACGACTACGACGATCTTACAGGCCGAATCGACAGTGCGGTCCCTGATTCTGCTGGATGTCGGTCGAGCAAGGTCATGGCAGTGAGGAAGTCTAGCATTCGGGCTTCTAAAGCTGGGTTGCGATCTACGTCAAGCTTCCGTCGTAGTCAACGCTCGTCTGTCAGTAGCAATGGTCAGCGCAACAGTGTTGCATCTGTGTCAGCTCCTGCTGTGTCCCCCAATGAGGTTCCTCCGGTGCCGCCGATTCCTCGTCGCAAACCCTTTGATATTGTTACTGATATACCGACTCGAACATCATCAGTACGTTCTCGCACTAAATTCTCGCTGTTGACGAGATCACTGAATTTTCGCTTATAGACTGCGTACTCTAACGGAGTGACTCCTACTTCCGAGACTCGTGCTTTAGTTCGCGCTCAAGAGGAACTATACGATATGCTAGGAATCACTCTGCGGGAAACACACACGGCTCTACGTCGATCGCATTCTGTCTCAGATCGGCCGCCCGATTTTAACATCTCCACGCTTTATCCTTCCGGAGATCCTCGTCAGCGATACTCCGATGCCAGCAGCGGTGGGCCCGGTACTCGTCGGTCGTCTATGCCCAACCATACCGGCTTGCATCAAGTCTATACCGCTATGACTGCTGATGTAAGTCAAAGACTAGCTCTCGAATGAATCACCATAGCTGACGCTTTACATTAGCGCAAAGCCATGCTTGCCACTCTCGGGATGCTCTCGGACCAAAACTGACATTTATCCGTTCGTTGCATTGTGTGATACATTATCCATACCCACACTCACTTCATATCATTCACATAGTATATCCTCTGTATCAATACTAGTTATTATTATTCTATCTGACATTGGCTATATAACTATAATAGTAGATGCAAAGTACGCAAGAGTTGAGAATCCAGAGAACGAAATCGGATCGTACCCTTGACAGGGTTAATGGATAGGGGTTAAGCGTTAAGCCCCTATGAGCTTTCAAAGAACACATATTCCACGCCGGAGGACAGAGGTTCCCATGTATTTACAGTGTTTTTCATTTATGTAAAAATTCCTGTTATCTAGAAACCCATGGTAGTATATAACATCGTAATTTGAGAACCAGTCGTCGATAAAGATGAACCCTAAGACATTTTCTCGATAACGCTGTAATGATGATACATATACTGGTAAATTCTCTGGGATATCAACTTCAAACAATTTCGTAGAGCATCCTGCTTCCTAATGGGAGGATTAGCTATCGACCAATCAATCACTGTACTGCTTCGTTCGTACGCAAAGCGAGGTGGATAAAAGTTGGGTCGGGTATTATGTTAATGTTATTACAACATTGATATCTGGACACATTAATAACTCAAAGCAGCAACAGAGCACGGTATTAAGAATAAAAAGGCATGCAAGGTCTAAGTTAGTGACGAACTCGTTTTTTGATACGCAACTCCTCCGCTGGAGGTGTCGGTGGGTCATGGGGTGGCAAAGCCGAATGTTCGTCATCGACGGGATTGGTTATGCTCTCTGTTTCACTACCTGAGCCATGTTCTGACCGTGGCCGTTTCCGAGAAACTGGGGTTGTCATTTCGTCAAAGTCAGAGAGGGGCGAAGTTGGATCTCTGGCGGTTGTACGGAGTCGAGGGCGCGCCCTGGGGGTTGTGGGACCGTGGTCTCCATCAGCACGGGGCGATTCTTCCGGAGGCTCTGGGTGACCTGTCGGAAGGACCGGTGACTGGTGTGTTTCAGATTCGTTGTGATCGTGGTCGTCTGGTGCCTTCTCTGGTTCAGTCTCGCCTTCATCACTAGTCGCAGACTCCTTCCCCTTATTGGCAGCTTTCCTTCGTCTTCCCTTGGGACCAGGTGCTACGGAAGGAACGTCAGTCTTCCAACAACTAAAGGGAGAAATGAGACCATTCACCTTTGTCTTTGGACATCGCGGTGCTCAACCTCTTCTCATAAGCTCGCTGCGGTTCCCAAAGGCGCGCGCTTGGGGAAGCCTCCAGTTTTGCTTGAGCCAGGGCTTGGTCCATATGTGCTTTACTGAAATTGATCCGTCAGCTAGTTGACCTCCGTCAAGACATATATACACCGACATTTTAAGAGCATCGCGACTCTCTATCACGCCGAGAAGAGGAAGCAAGACTCGGAAGAAGGTGATGGATGAGCGCAGACCATTCTTATTCTTATTGCTCTCGTACACGGCTATCCGCTTGGTGATCCATGTGAGTAGCGTGCTGTGCACTTGCACCACATATTGACCGTCTAGCCGCCGGACAATGGAGAGTTGGCTGCCGCGGATGACGAAGCACGAGAGGAGGAGTTTTGCGAGAGCCACAGCGTTTGTTTCCTCCCGCACAACGCCTTCGAGAACTAGAGTGAATGCCTGTGAAGACTTGAATATACCGTCCCCAAAAAGTAAGCGAAAAGAAGAACACTCACTTCCTGTAAGGCTTGGATAATAACAGTGGCCACCAGGTCCCCGTTCCCTTTCACCATCCCCTCTTCGCGCAAGACATCCACAATCGTCCGGGAACATATGTCAAATGACGGGCCCAGCCGACCATAATGTGCTAGCAGCGTCGCGCCATGTCGAACATGTATCGCACCCGCTCGTATAGCCCGTAGAAAGGTCGACATGACATCGATGAACGCATACTCTTGCTCTAAGAGGGAGCGAGAAACGGCTGCAGGTTCTTTTGATTCGGAAGCCACTCGTTTTTGTTTCGACGGTTCCTTGGGGTCCGCTTGGTCGTCATCGCTTCGTTCAGACGAGCTTTCCTCGTCTTCCCGGGGTCTGTGCTCTGCATAAATATCTGCGTATCGCTCGATTTCGGCTTGGACAAAGCCCGCGCAGCGATATTGAATTTCGTCTTCTAGGGTGAGGGGTAGGGATGCCGTGGGTAGTGGTAAGCCTTCCGCGTCGACTGTCAAAGACGATGAAAAAAGAACATGGAGATTAAGGAGATGCTGGAATGCCTCTCTCTTAACGCTTTCGACGGTATTCGACTGGGTACCAATTGCGTATTCGGTTAGCTTCTCTAGCAAAGATTCCCTCTGCGCGGACAGTTTATCCTTGTACTGTATCTCATCGGGCGAGGGTTCAGCAGAGGTCGGAAGTTCCTTGGCCTTCCAGATAATATGGAAAGACAGGAATCGTAGGGCTTGCTTGACCATCTAGAACACCGTCAGACGAGACTGTTGAAATAAAGAACGTCTTGACGTACGGTCTCTTCTTCCTTGTATCCGAGTCTGCCTCGCTCCGAGATAGCACTGATGATGTCCCAGACACTGGACTGCTTCCCGCCTTCATCTTCCTCTGTCCATGCCGTTAGGTCACGATTACCAGACAGTACGGCGAGTCGGGTGCACAAGGCTCCTAGCGACAACACTTCGTCTTCGCTAAAGGACGTCACCTCGATCTCGTCCCTCCCAGCAACGGCATCCCTTAGAAGCGACGACAACTCGTCCTCCAACTCCAGGATCTTTGTACTATTTGTATTTGAAAGACTCGTTGCGGCCAGGAATGTGAGTATCGTAGAAACTGCATGTGTCAGGACGGGTAGCGAGGAATGTGATAAAAACTGTTTGGTGACGTCGTCCCACAAACTTGCATAGCCCTAAGAATAGAACGGATGTTGTGATCAGCATCGGTGTCCTAGCCACGTCAAAAAATGTACGCACAGCAATCATTCGCATCTCTAGGTACAGATCAAGGTTCATGAGTTGAGGAATCAAGAGGACAGCCGCGATCCGTTTGGAATCCGTTTGATGCTTGATGAAGAGGCGAGGTAGCCCTTTGATCAACGCGCGGGTTATGTCGTTCGTGACGGTTTCTTCTTCACCCTGATCGCAATGTAAATGCCATGATCGCGATCCGCCAACTTCGTAGGACGTACCTTTTTGCCTCCCGCTGCCACCCTCTTAGCCCGTTGCAGGGCAGCGACCAGGACCTCCAACAAGATGCCTTCTTCAACGTCGTCCAGCCGCCAGGCCTCATCAACAGATGCTTCCGAGCCGTCAGCAGTACCGTCAGCACGGCCGCCGTGAGACGTCTGCGAGTTATCTTCGCCCGTGGCAGAATGATCCAATAAAAGCACGTCCAGCAACCCCTCCCAGTCACTGACAGGTTCCAACTCATCCCACAGTGCCTCCACTGCCAATGCTACCCGCCCAGTAGAGTCTGCAACAGCCAAAGCCGTCAACTCCTTGCGCCCAGCTTGCGCGTTAGCAGTATCTTCTGAGTCTCCCTCGCCATCGTCCAGTCCGCCAGGAGACCTGTCAATTACGCTGCCCCACTTGACCAGAAGCATAGCTAGGGCTTTAACACCAGCACGTGCCTTGTCGTTCTTGCTTGACTTGCTTCGGCCCACCAGACGCTCCTCCGCCGTCTCATCCCACATACTCTTGACAAAGCCGCTCACAGCTCTTCGGATTTTTGGTTCTTGATCATATATAAGCAGGCACAGCTTCTCTCGTTCTTCGTCTTCCAGAAGCGAATTATCATCCATTGATTCGAGCACTTGGATCACTGCTACCCTTACGGAAAGCTCGGTGTCGCTGGTAGCCATTTCGACCAGCCGAGGCTTGAAGCGTTCGGTGAAGTGGTTTAATGAGCCAATGTAGTCGGTTTGCTCGTAGACACCAATAAGAGCTCGCACAGCTTCCAGGCGGACTTGGGTCGTTGAGTCAGAAAGAACCCAGCCAACATATCGGAGGTAGGATCCGTCCAAATAATGGGCGGGAAACTTCTTGAACCAAAGACCAATGGCGTGAACACACTCGGCACGGATATTAGGATCTAGGTCGCGATATCGGTGAACGAAGACGCTATTGAAGATCGTTATGACATCAACGGCGGAGCCATGCGCAGGGGCACTCACCCGTCAACAAACTCCTTCAGATACTCTGCTACCTTCGTTCGCCGCTCTCTGACCTCCGCCGCTTTCCCCTCAAGCTGCTTGTCTTTAGCCCCGGTACCTTTATTATTGGCTTTTCGCTTCTTCTCTCCCTCCCGCTGCCGTCCTATGACTTCAGCTTCCTTCTCAACCTTAGCAGCAACCTCGCACAAAGCCGTCTCAACTTCCAGAGCGACAACCGTCGCGGTATGGCGGAAGCTACGGATTTGAGATGAAGACATGGCAATCACCCAAGTCTGGAGTGTTGGCATCAAATCGGTGGTATAGAGGTGACCCAGTGATGCCGAGGAGGATATCAACCGTCCTAAAAATTCACTAAGAGACTTGCGGAACTTCTTGAAGATGGGTAGCTTGGACGTGAGTGGATAGACTGGTGAATTGTCCTAAGGAGGAGTGAGCAACGATCAATACGGTGTAAAAACGCATTTCTACCTGCTTTAGAAGTTCAGTGAAATTGTCAAGCGCGTCGACGACACCGTCATAGTCGAGAGCTTCGTCTGCATCGACAGAATCATTGCAACCGCAGGCTCGTAGAATGAGATTGACTAATTCAGCTTGCGCGGCTCCTGGCGTTTCGGTCAGCGTTTGCAGTAAGTCTTCCGCCGTGGACTGCAGTGCTGCCGACGGGTTCATGATAGCATCTGTGACAAAGGTCAGTCGACAACTTTAACACGAATGCTGCACACACTAAATAGGGGATTGTCGTCCGAGATTTTCGTGTCCTTCGCGACCTCGGCGGCATTAAACGCGCCAGTTGTTGCGTTCTTAGGCTTCCTCCCCCTACGCGTAGCAGGCTTGTCGGATTTAGGCGCAGGCTGCTTCGCGGCTCGTGGTTTCTTCGCTGGTGGCGGGCCTTTGGGTTTCACTGGTGACTTCGTCTTGCTCCTGCGAGGCTTTCGCTTGCTCTTAGGACCTGGTTCGTCGTCCTCGTCATCCCCCTCATCCTCTGATGCATGCACGTCGCGTTCATCTAGCCCCTCGTCCTCGGTTTCGCTGTCGTCTCGTTTGCGTTTTCCCTTACTGAGAGCACTATCAACTATAGATGTGATGAGCCAAACTCAGGTAGACCAGACACAGAGCATACCGGACGTAAAGTGCTGGGCTAGTTTGCGTTCCCTCTGCGAACGTCGCGGTGCCGGTGAGTCTTCGGCCATGAAGGCAAGATGGTGGCGCGTCGCGACTTGTTGCTGCTCAGGCGCGCGTGCCCTCGGTCACATCCCTGAGTCACAATGTCACAGTGACTCGAGCACAACCCCTTCTCGACGTTGAACTTCGCCCACACAGTTTTGATTCCAATGACCACAGGCATTTAATATCAACGCACGAAATCCTGAAGTGACGGTGGAGTGGACTTCGGTACAGTTCAATTTTCTATTCCAGTGCGACAGTCTTCGTTTTACCTTCCGCAGTGATGTGCCAAAGCCGCCAGTGACTGACTACTAATGCAGGTCCGTCGGAAACCTTTTGGTTCCATCGACTCTGCCATTGATGTCAGCGTTGGCGCCGTTCGTCAGAAACAAGTCAATCGCAAACACGTAGTTCAATTCTTCGATAGCCGAATCTTGCTTTATAGGGAGACGGCGTTATCCCGAAAGGCCCATTTTTGGATGCCTCGAAGTCAAGAATGGCCAGATTTCCATTATGCTGCATTGCCTTGATCGCTTTCAATGTAAGTCGCCCCCGCTAAAGTCATCTCCGCTAGGACTTCGGAACTGAGGTACTAACGGATGTGGATGAACGCGACGAATCTGCTATTTTGATGTAGATATCGTCAGACGCACACAAGGTGATTAATCCACTCTCTGCAGCTACCGTGTATTCACTCCCAATGTCCCAGGTCCCGCATGTGGGCCAGACGAATTACCCATATAGTTGCGAGTGTTTTGAGGGCCTTGGACGTCGGCTCCGCCAGGTACTTCGGTATCAACAGTGACCTTGACAGATCGCTCCATCTACCACCGGATTCATCAATGATATCGACTGTCTCTCGACGTCCATCCTACACTGAAACAATATTGCCATGAATTAAAAGACAAATGTACAAAGTAGGATGAAGTGGCTGAGTGCCGTCGCCCGATACTGGACAGCATGATTGATTAGCAGTACACTTTATATGGAATGTGTCTCTACTATGATTGACGCCAGGCTTTTCACGGATTTCGTACAAAATGGGTAGACCTCACGGCTGATCGTTGATTACAGCTAGGAACGTATCACAAATTGAAGACTACTAAGCGCTCTGGAAATCTGGGCGGGTAGTCCCCGGTAGTCCCTCTCACGGCCAGGAACACCTTCAAAGGGCTACGAAGCCACTCCCCCCGCATTAGTTAGATCTCCGTGACCTCCACCTCCGGGAAGCATGAGTCGATTTCGCCGTCTGATCATGCTCTAGTTCAGGCAACTTTGAAAGCGAGGACGACTACTCAATCCTCAGAATGGTCAAAACAACAGTAAGGCTCCACTGACACCGTCATGGTATCGTCCCAAGCGCGGACAGCATCCTCCGACGTCGTCGGTCATAAGAGCCTTGGAACCGGGACCTCAAACTATTCGCGTACACATAGCGACCCGAAATCATTGCATAAACAGAGAATGTACGACCTACAGTGCAAGTTGATTCGCGGAAGTCTAGCCTCTGGCCCGATTCAGAGACGATCTCGCAACCTAATTTGACGATGCAACACGTCTTGCCAACAGCATTTACTGGGAATCAACTGGATTCTTGACGTCTACTGAATTCGAGGTTTCATCCACTGGCAGCTGAGATCTCTGCCACATCAAGACGCTAGACACTGCATTACATTTCGACCCCTCGACTACATTTGGTTTTTCCAGACAAACCGGCCTTCACTACTTCGTCTCTCCATGGAGGATGGAGACAAGGTATAAAACTTGAACCCGGCCGCTGAATACTGCTACATTGTTAACATCTTCTTCGACTTCCTCGTTCTACCTAGATTTTTTAGCTCATTTCTCTCATTTCTCATGTCGCTGTCATACTTCGAAGCCGTGAACATCCTGAACAGCCAGGAGACACTAACCGACGTCGGGGATGCGTCTCAGAAGCTAGCAAAATCGATCGCGAAGATGATCCACGAGTTCGACACCGTCTCAGCCCACCTCCACACCATCGATATGCAAGGCCTTACTGCACCGATGCTCCCTCACTGGACCGCTTTGAGCCAGGTGAGTGGACCCTGGTTTCATCGTGGCCAGGGTAGTACTGACTCCCAGAAATGATTGAATATTAGAACTTTCGCCAACAAATTTGGCAATTCCGCAACAATGCAGGGCTGATTTCCAGTCGTCTCACAAGTTAGTCGTTTCATCAGATGAATCCCATAAGTTCAGCGTATCTTACCCTTCCCAACGACTAGTGTTTGTTTCCCTCGTGCTGCCGTTGGCAACGCGCAATCTGAACGGCGGATCGAGTCATAATCATCAGGAGAAGCTCCAAGTGTTACAGTCGTTCATTGGAGTATGTATGGTACTTCCTTTTGGCGCATTGTCTGACGCGTTTCTATCAGGTTTCGTCAGATCACGCTGCGCAAACGCGATCGCTGACCGAGGGCATGCTAATGCTCAATTCGAACCTAAACGCGTTTCATTCGAACTTTGCAAGGTTTGCTGCTAGTCGAATGACCTCAGGGCAGAGCGAATTGCAAGAAGTAGCACAGAAGATCGGTCAACTTGACGCACGGGTTAAACAGTGAGCGAAATTTTTAACTTGCTGGCTGTTCGTACTAAGCGATTTGGTTGCCTAGACTGTACATAGGAGTAAGAAGCTTCCATTTTGCTTCTTCACGTCATTTTTGACATTTACTTCTAGGTTGGGCGACTAGTTGGCATTGAAATTGCCTTCTTAGTATTCTCGACGTTCAGAATGGTTATGTCTTCTGGTAGGACTGGCAAATCCAAGGGTTCTCGCCACAGGCTTGTGCGTAGGGATTTACATACTTTCCTCCGTTTCACTGCTTAATTTGGGTCCTGTCTTCTTCAGACACTCACCAATACCGATGCTACCGCCGTGAGCAAAGAATACGATAACATTGATCGTCTGTCTCAGCGTTCCCATCTGGGTGGCTCCGTGTTTAACCTCTCCATTGTCAGGTCTCCAAAACGAGTTCGCTCACGCCGACCACAACGTCCAAATGCAACTGCGCAAGACTGACACGGTGTCCACCTCGAGGGCAGCCATTTCGTCGCTGGTCAGTAATCAGATGGTTGCTGTTCAAGCAATGCTGGGCTTGTGTCTTGCGATCTGGGCTAGGCTTCAGACCGACTGCATGGAGATCCTAGGCTGGTTGCAGGGGTCAGGCCATAATGTAAGCCGTAACAACTCGCTCAGTCATATCATCAATGATGACCCGTTCTCTCCTTTTCAGGCGTTTCCATCCGTCCTCTCAGCCTATATGGAGGGAGGCCATACGATCTACGCCCCATTGGCTCGCGCACTGGATACGTTCACAGCCAGCATCGATCCTTCTCTATTTCCTGGTCTTGCGCAACAGTGAATCTTAGATTACTAGCCAGGCTAATAATGATACCGTAGCTGTCGTGGTAACATATATACTTCATAATCATCGTAATATGACGCTTTATCTTAGAGAACGATATTTACTGGATGGCGACTAAATCTAACCGTTTCAACTTGCGATCAACTGCGGAATGTTCGAAGCCCAATACGGTTTCGGGGACTGTGTCAACGTCAACCCCCGGGGTCCGGTTCACACACCAGCCTTGATAAATACCAACGCTGTCTCGTTGATACAGTTACGGTACAAATGCACACAGCGAGTTCGGACCTCTGGAGTAATACTCACTGGCATCACGTAAAATACTAGGTGATGCTTTCAGGCAACCCGTTGTACTCGGGTAGTGACAGGATGGACTATTGGCGGCTGTGTGAGGAATTGCTGAAACGCAGATTCTTTTGCTGCCGACCATTCTTCTTCTCTACATACTAATGGCGGGGAGGTGACACTGGGTCAACGTTCGGTCCATGTTCGGGATCCAAGCATGAATCTCGGTTTGCATCTGTCGGTGTAGCCAAACAAGCATACAATTCGCGCCAAGTCTGGCAGCAGAATCTGCGTGACTCGTAATTCATCGCCATCACTTCGTGCCAGCAATGAGATATTTCTCGACTCGGGGAGGGGGCGACACGCTTTCCTTCGAAGAGGTCAATTTCGATTGAACTTGCTACATATTTCCGACAATAATGGCGACCAATAGGCTGTATTAACAGGATTGGCGCCGAATGGTGGCCTGTACATCCCAGAACGCATCCCACAACTTCCCGCCAACTGGAGATCAGAATGGAAATCCTACACTTTCCAGGAGCTATCAGTGGCGGTTCTCTCTCTGTTCATTTCCTCAGAGGAAATATCGCAAGCCGAGCTGAAATCGCTTGTCGAGAAATCATACAGCACGTTCCGACATCCCGACGTGACACCGCTGAAGCAACTCGGCAGCGCTACTTACATACTAGAGCTATTCCACGGGCCGACATATGCGTTCAAAGATGTGGCTCTTCAGCTGTTGGGCAATCTCTTTGAGTTTTTCCTACTTCGACGGAACGCGCAAAAGGGGCAAGGGGCTAAACCAGAGCAATTGACGGTTGTCGGTGCGACGAGCGGTGACACTGGAAGGTGAGTTCCTGTTCCTTAGCTTCGAATGTTGTTTCAACATAGCATCCTAGCGCTGCGATATACGGACTGCGGAACAAAGCCAACATATCTATCTTTATTTTACACCCGAAGGGCCGAGTATCTCCTATACAGGAGGCACAGATGACCACTGTCACCGATGCCAACGTACATAACATTGCCGTCAAGGGTACCTTTGATGACTGCCAGGTAACATTCGGATTACTGATGGATGGAAGTATCGTCTCTGATTGCCATTGTTTAGGACATAGTTAAGGCACTGTTCGCCGATAAGGTGTTCAACGATGCATATCGCCTAGGAGCAGTGAACTCAATCAACTGGGCTCGCATTCTGGCTCAGACAGTATACTATTTCCTCGCCTACTTCCACATCCATTCCCAACTCACAGAAACCACCGATTTCGAAATTCAATACGTCGTGCCGACTGGGAATTTTGGAGACATCCTCGCTGGTTACTATGCCAAGCAAATGGGCTTACCTATGGGTAAACTCGTCGTTGCAACAAACGCTAACGACATTCTTGCAAGATTCTGGAAGAGCGGAAGATACGAGAAGATTGACTCGACGGCGATAGTCGATGCTTCTGACCCCACGACCCCTGCGAACGGTGCCTCCGATGGGAAGCAAACTTCTGGCGGCGTGAAAGAGACTTACAGTCCCGCAATGGACATCCTTGTTTCAAGTAATTTCGAACGCTTGCTTTGGTACCTTGCGAACGAATCGGCCGAAGGCTCCAATGAAAAAGATAGAAGACAGCACGCATGTGCTATGGTTGATGACTGGATGAGAAAGGTCAAGCAAGATGGCCGTATGGAGGTCCCACCCGCTGTTCTGGCCGCCGCACGGAGAGACTTTGTTGCCGAGAAAGTGACCGATGATTTGGTGTGTAGATATCTTCCGTGCATCGCCATGTTGCACATGCTGACGATAACACTCTCCTAGACGCTCAAAACTATCAAATCATATTTTGAAGGGACCCCATCTTATATCGCGGATCCGCATACCGCCATCGGTTTGGCCGCTGCGCAGATCGTCGCCCCAGAAAAGTAGGTACTTCTTCGCATGTTATGCGCAATCGTTCATCTAGACATTCTGCAGCTCCGCGAATACTCGGCAAATCATTCTCTCTACGGCCCATCCAGCGAAATTCTCCGAGGCGGTATCCCGGGCCCTGGAACAGTCAGCGCAATTCAATTTCGAGCGTGACGTTCTCCCTGAGGAGTTTCGTGCGCTATCATCAAAAGAAAAGAGGATCATCGACGTAGAACGACCTGAAGTGGAGTTGGTAAAGCGCGTCATCATGCAGCATATGGACATAAAGAATACAACTCCACTTCAAGAAAAAGGAAGCAGCATCTAGAAGCCTTCCAGCTTAACACGGTGTGTGAAGCTGCTAAACCTATGTTGAAGTAAACCACATGTAGTGCCTTACTTCTCATTAGCCTTTGCAGACAAAGGAAACGTGCAATTTAAGTCAAATGCTAAGCACTAGGTCAACGCTGGTGACTCCACCACCCTATCGAGCTCGGGCAAACCGTTGAGAAGGAAGCTCGAAATGACCGCGATTGGATTGAGAACCCGATAGATGGCCGAAAGGCCGACGTCGATGATACACAGCCGGAACAGCAGTGCCGGAAGACCCTTGCAACCCCGCTGCATGTAGCTTGTTACGGAAGGACCCTGACCGTATGTAACCTTATTTCCTCTTTTCGCCTTCCACTTCCTCCTATAAAGTAGAAATGGGTGATCACCAGATGCTCAGAAGACGACCTGATTTGCCCATGCCCTATTGTTCTGTTGTCTTGGATGGCGCTGGACGAGCCAGATGCGAAATACGGAAGTACTCGCAGTCAAAACATGCCCGATTTCAGTTGGTGCCAAGCACGGCGACATTGGAATGAATGGCATCGTAACCGCTCGATTGGGTGGGCGTACGGTGGGTGAGTTGAGAGGCTCATGGCCGTCGGGGAAGTCCAGACAACTGCTTCCGCTCCGTGCGAGCCAGGTAGGTCCCAGCGGTAAGGGGATCATCGTCTGTTGTGACACTCCAATACGACCGTCGAGGGGCCTTTGCTTATTGTGCAACCTGAAAAGTTCATTTGTGAGATGTGCTTTTTCCCAGGAAGCCGATGCAGCCAAGGTGTTGGGCCGAAATAATAGGTGTGGGAAGAAATCAGGACGCGACCCTGCGTTTGTAGCTGTTCCAGCGAAATATTCTGGGTTTGCGCGTATCTGGATAAGCATGGCTCCCCAGATCTCGCCAACGACCTAGACGTTTCATCGTTTCTTTTTCTGAGCCTTTTGCTTTCTCTTCCTCACCGCGTCCACGACTAGAGTCTACTCAACCGTGGCGAGAAGCAGCGGTCAGTCAGGTAAGCATGGTCTCTCCTGCCTGTCACTCAGGCTTCTGCTAAACGCCCAGTAACGGCATTCGCTGCCAAACTATAGCTTTGTTTCCAAGGCCCTTTTCTCCCTGCTTCCCCTCGCAGGTCCCCCACATCGAACCGCAAGCCTCAGGAAATTCAATTTGACGATTATACACGGTTTTACGTATGTCAGGCCTCTCCCCCGCGCGTCGTCTTCGAACGAAAACCACCGACTTTTCCGATTTTTTTCGCGGGGGGTCAAGTCATGGATCAGCGCAGCCTTCGAACATACTCTTCGCGCAGCATGACGCGAACGACAACCATCATCGCGAACCATTCGACGTGTCCAACATCATGGAAGCTTCTACTTCTTCGACACACTCTCAGTCAGCCGCGAAAAAGTTCAGCAGCAAACTACCATTTCTTGGTCGATCACGGAAGAAGTCGAACGTAGAGGAGGCGAGCGCGAATGCTGCGCGTGAGCGTGATGTGGGGGGGCACGAGACCGCGCACGATACAGCAACGCATCAGACACATTCAGACTCGATGTGAGTGCTCATGTCAACTCTCACGCTCATCGCTCAGAATTGATGGGGTTGTAGACTGCGACCAACCAAGTCAAGAGATGGTTCCCAACAGAGCCTTAGCTCCAAGTTCGCCGCTCATTTCACTCCCTCGCGACCACGCAAATCGGATGTCTCATCTTCACGGAAAATCTCATCTTCCCCCTCAAAACTACGCCAGAGGGCTCCGACGGAAACACCATCGACTCACGATCGGACACTGCACCCGCCTCCCAAAGTATCCCCTCGTGGTCGCTCCTTTGAATCGACTTCATCTGGTGCTAGCGAGAATGGAATACGATCCACTACTCCCCGGCCATCACAATCACAACAAGAGGGTCAGCAACCCACGTTTACGGTATCGATTTCCCCACCAGATGATCTCAGCAGGTACGCCGACCTCTTTACACGCCCACGGAGGAAGACCGACTCGTCGAGTTCAACTCCCCCTGGTCGGGATAGTGATGAGCGAAATACGGCAAGTTCCAGTTTATCCACTAGCCCGAGAAGCAGCCTTCCTACTGGGGATTCTGAGCCGTCTGGGACACCGGACGACACGCCTGTCAGACCAGGAAGTCGATCATCTGTCAAGAGTGCAGGTCGACAGCACCAGAAGAATGATTCGGCGAGCGGGACGAGTGCGATACTGGACTTGAGGATGTCGGAGGACTCAGTTATTGACAAAGAGCGGCCGTTTCCAGTTCCTCCCATGATGCCGGGTACTCCATCAGAAAGACGCCCTTCCGTAGCGAGGATATCCACGCAAAATATGGAGAAGGGAACAATTACGGCTAGGACAGGACGCGCTCGCTCTGCCTCTGGTAGTCGTCCTAATGGCGCGCCGCCCAACATACCTCTCCCTTCACCGCCACACTCGTCTCTCCCCTCTCCTCCCCCATCGGCGGCGCCTACCCCTCCTCCAAATGCCGCCCTTCCCAGTATTCCTACGCTCACTACAGCGCCCTCGCGTAAATCTGTCTCTTCCATTTCATCAGTTTCTTCGGGACAGTCGGCGGCCTTCCTCTCGCGCCGTACGCGTGCGAATACCATCCCTTCTCCACCTACACTCACATCTCCAATACCATCCGTCCCTTCTCTTCCATCTTCTCCCATTCCCGTCAACAAGCCCCCGCCATCATCATTCGCGTCCCCCGCATCTCCATATCTCAAATCGCTCAAGCACGATCACCTCGCAACTGACTCGGAGAAAAGCGATTGGGAGCGCTCAGATATTGAGAACCTGGATCGAGCTACTCCAGATCAACTCAAGCAGGTCCTCGTGTCGCAGAACCTCCGAATGGACGAACTCATGAACTATCTTAAACGCATATCAGACCAGCACGAGGCCGAACGGAATGAGATGCGGGATAAGATCGAGACACTTGAGCGTGAATCCGCACGCAAAGATCAAGAGATCAGAGGGTTGACTTATCTCGTGCATCGTGGCGGGGGGGCACCATGGGGTGCCGCCGGTTCACCTCGAACAGGCTCCCCGCGCATCACTTCGGCTCGCTCGAGTCCTCTGGCTAACTCTCCTAACGCGTCACTATCTGATACGGAGAAGACCCATATTCGGACTCGGCGTATCATCGCTAGTGGTACACAGAGTGATGGCGGTCGGGGAGCTATGACAAGTGATTCGGAAGTCGACGCTTCGACCATCCCAATCCTTCCACCCTCGCTGAGAAGGAACAAGACGGCGCTGGGCACATCACAGCCTTCTCCTAAAGCCGCTGCTGTTCGCTCAACTTCGACACGATGTATACCAAGCACCAAATCCTTGGCCGCTGACTTCTCTACAATAGTCAATAAACGTGCATCGACATCATCCACCTTCTCTTTATCATCTACTATTTCCTCCTCATCCTCCCTTCTACCAGCGAGTTCTATCGCTCCCAGCACAATATCATCAAGTCTGTCGTCAATACCGGAAACACCACCACCCTCTCTCCCGCCCAAAGCTGCGCTGCCTTCGATTCTTCAATCACACCATCAGCAAGCCATGGCCACTCCCAAGCCAGCGGCAAAACGCACGCCATCACTGACACCCGCTGCAGCCTATGCAGCCAACCTCAAGAAAACCAGACCTCCTTCAATCGCTCAGGTACTAGAGCGTGATGAGGGCAAGGCGTCGCCAACGTAACCTTCACTGACCCTTCGCATTCTTCCTAGGATAGCATCGCATTGTTCCTGTGCTATACATTTATCGCTTTATTTTGGATCAAGACTGAATCTTTTACCGCTCTTTACTGCAATCGCATCGCATCATGACTCAGACACCATCAACCCCCTCCCCCTCACTCGATCACGCAAGTCATTTCCGATGTACCACACTACCCCTGGTTCGTAAACTGTACATATTACTTATGAGCACAGGGTGCTTGCGGATTATCGGTGCTTCTTCCGTGCGGATTCTGTTGCATAAGCATCTCCACCTTCATTTCCTGTATCGTCGCCCCTTGCCTCATCCTTCCTGTCTATAGGCTTTTGCCTTTTCGTTGCTTCACAGCATCAGTCGCTCTTTATCCTTTCTCGATCTCGTCTATTCGTCTCTTCAATCACTACCATCTGCACTGCTATTTAACCGTATGTCCCTTTGCTAGTTATTCGTGCGTTGCAAGCAAGCATGTTGCTGTACTCATCCGCTCGCCTATTTACCTTACTTCGCGCAAAAACGACAAATAAACTTTATAATCTATATTCTTGTGGAGATAGGGTGGGGTGACGGGAAGTGTGAGTGGTTTACAAATACCTCTGACGAACCGATGGTCTAATTGTCTTCAACTTTTGAGGCCCTGCAAGACGCGATACCTTCAACGTCAAGTCAAGTGACAGATCTGATTGACTTGATGCCCGTGAAGACCACTCCCGTCATCCAGATGTAGGGTGCAAGCAAGACTCAAATGTGGCTTTAGACAACAATTACACCAGCGAGAACACGTCAAACGGCCCGCGTACCGTACCGTATTCAAACTTGACATCTGAGTCCTAAGTCTTGGTCCAACAACGATGAAATGATACCCTTCTCCACATGACCTCTCTTCTTGACAGATTTCGCCTTTCCTTTGGCGGCACCAGCGCTTTGTCAAGCGATTCTCATACTTGAACCGATTTCATTCCAGTGTATCATGCCGATGATCCAGAGGTATGCTATCCACATGCTTCGACTACTCAATGTATCCCCTCCTTTCTAACACCTCATCAACCTTTCTCAGCGGCTACACAAATTACGACAATGGCCTAACGTCCTACGTTCATTCCGAACTGATTTACTTAATCATAGGCACATTGTATCCTCCGTGGCCTTCTGGCTGCAAGAATACGCCGAACTCCCACAGATACCAGTGCGTGTGGTCATATTCACTCTAATGGTAACATTTGCAGGTACGAACATTGCGCAAACATCTGGCAATAACTACCATGGAACTTAGAAGTTTTCTTGATCGTCTATCCTGGAGGCCACGAACGTACCTAAGGCAACACGCTCAGTCTTGCGCTCATACTCTTCACGTCTTTCACTGTAAGTGTATGTTGACTCTAAACGTAAAACGACATCGACATCGATTCCCTATTTTTACCCTGGGGCCAACGTCAAGTTTGAACCCTTCAGACTTCCTTCTTCAGAACTTCCACCGATTCCGACATGAAGACACATGTTGATTGGTATTTACCGCCTAGTCGACGACTTAAACCAATAACAGTGCTCACAAGCGACGCACCGATGAGCCAATGACAATCGCCACGGACATCTCAAACTTTCCAGACATTGGCACGCTGAGTCATTGAGTCAGCGTTGACCATTGGTCGAGCGCATCATCAAATCCCCCACTTTTTTTCATGAAAGAAGGCCCATCACGATGAGGGCCACTTCCCTAGCAAATCCCTGGAAGCCATGTGCTCTTGAACTTTCCTGTTGGAATTCGACTCACCATATTTCGAGCTTCAACGTCAATCTCAGCCTCGATGCCAGTAAGTTCAATGAACGTGTACATGTACATAGGCTCATGGAACTTAATAGCGGATGGCAACGTTCCACTTAAGAGCGATTGGATTTGATTCCGAATTCTCACCCTGTTCCTTGTGCCTCATCGACATCGATCATCTCGCGCTTTCGTCACCGTGTCATCGGTGTGGCGTCCGCGCCCAACTTAATAAAGACCGGGCATCGGGCACAATAGGGCACAAGTTCGTATGAATTGATTTCATATCTGTATTCAAATGGAGCCTTGCTTCGATTTTCTGATAGCCTTTGCCATGCGCTACTTCAGCATAATGAAAGAATCGTATTGAACGCTAGCGGCTAGCCCTTGCCAGTCTTCTCTAAAATTAAGTTTGCATTCACTTGACGGCGCTTTTACGACTTGATAATTAAGAAGGCATAATCATAACGAATCGTCGCCACCAGGGACGTGGATTCGACTCCGGGCACGATGATCGAGTCTGACAAAAACGAATCAAGAAGCCGCCATAGGCTACTATCCATGTACTCTTCCTATTCCTATCAACAATTGGACGGTCTTTTGTGTGACGGCGGCGTAGACAGCTTCTGTCAGGAGATGTGCGCGCATTTGCCTGCACATACGACCGTACGTGTAAATTACAAGGGCGATTATGGAAGTGTAGTTGTACCAATTGACCCCCAGTGACCTAACGCGCTAATTACAAGGAAGCACGGTTGAAATGATGATCCTTCCAATAGGTAGGGATCTCTTCGATCCCGGAGGATTCCACTGAGAAATATATTAATTAACGTCCAAAGTTCAGACAATCTCCGCGTTCATTGAAATTTCAGCCATTAGTGTGGAAAGGGCTTCGTGCGTGAGACCACAGTCCCTGAGGATGCACCCAACCGAAATACTCAAATGGGTATTGACCGGACCTCTGTCCTTGGTCGGTGCTTTCCCACTGCGGTTGGAAAAGTTCTGGGGGGACCAACGCCTCGTGGTAGTATTCGTCGAAGTCGTGATGGAGCGGAATTGACGGTCGAGCACGGGCTGGAATAAACCATGTTGTAAGTACTAAGGATGGAGTATACTAAACGCCGGATGAAGGAATACATACCTTTGTTTTCGATGTCGACAAAATAAGATATACTGTGAATAGATATGAGGCCCGGGCTTTGATATGATGGAAAATTTAACTGACCCTTGTATGTTGTGAAAGTAAGGTTGGTTCAAAAGGTCCGTTACATTGTACCGATGGCTGGGATCCGGATGCAATAACTATTCATTGTAACCGTTAGGATTGGGTGATTGTTGCAAGCAGATACTTGTATTCACCCCAGCTATCACAGTCCCAGCATCATCGTCCATCCCCGCGTAAGAAAAGTAGGAACGCCCGGCGAGTAGGTCCGAATCCCAGGCCAAATAGCGATCGAGGTCTTTGCAAGTAGGGAACGGCGACTATGTAAGAGACGGAGTTAACGAGAAGACAGAAAGGAAGTACAGGAAAACGGAACCTTGGGCGAGCCCATTTCGAGTTGGAATGCCACACATCCTAGGCTCCAGTAATCGACTTGGAGACCGTATTTCTGCGGCGGCCCTTGGCAGTAGATCATCTCTGGCGCCATATAACCTCGGGTGCCCGCTACATGGTGGCTATACGAGGTGTTGGGATTCACGGGGTGCCCATTGGCGTCTATATATGAAGAGCCGAAATCAGTAATCTTGACGTTATCTCGTGTGTCCAAGAGAATGTTCGCCGGTTTGATATCTCTGTGAATGAGACCTGCGGCATGAATCGCTGTGATTCCCGTGGACTACACGGGGGTCAGTGATAATCATACCAAAAAGAATCTATCCACACAATTTGAGCGATCCACCGCTGAGCTTGTATAGGTCTGTGAGGCGCCTCTCCGCGCAAAACGTTTGATAAGTCACATTGCATTAATTGCTATAGCTGCCAGTCAATATAGCAAGCAGATATATATTTGAGCCGCTCACCATAGCGAAGAAAAGACGGTTCTTGTCCTGCATGCACCCTTCTAGTTTCATCACGAAGGCGTCGCCGTCATGTTTGGGAGCATAAGCCAGCTGCTTATAGGCAAGAAGTTCCCGAATAGGGTAGGCCACTAGGTTACGTTCAAGAAGATACTTCTTCCTGAATACCTTCATGCAAACCACGCGACCATCCTGAGGAGACAGGGTCTCTCGGGCAATTATTGTTTCGCTGGAGGTTGTAGAGGCGATAGTATGATAATACATGAAGCAGCCGGGGTGATTGAAGGGTTTGGAATTCTGGGTTGGATACAGTATAGGCGCAAGGCTTGGGAGAGGTTCACAGTACCCGACGGTACTAGAGCCAGTACTAGAGTCATCGGAATCGCCGAGTCTGAGCCTAAGTTGCGCTTTGCCGCTTCTCGCCACGGGCACGTTCGCTCTGGAGTCGAACGGCGATTTGTGCTGCTTCATCATCTGGGCCGGAGCCTCGTCGGCAAATGACTTCATCTTTTGCTCGTAAGCTATGTCCGCGAAGCTTCCTAGAGCCAGGCGTTGTATTTCTTCCATCTTCTCGGCGAGGAGCTGGCAGAGTTCTGGGTTAGGATAGAAGCACGATTGCAAAAGATAGTCGTCGCAGTCAAGGAATTCCATGGATGGTAGAAGCGAAGATGCCAATGAAAGGAGATGGACGAGAAAGGTCACCTTAAATACATGGCAAAGGCGTGGTTGCCAGACAAAGAGCCAGTGGCACAATGCCGCAAATGTGACCGACAAGTCTTTGTGCCTGCGTCGTCAAAGATACCTTTTCACTTACAAAGTGAGTAGAATGTGCCAATAACCGCAACACTCGTCACATTCCTTTGCACTCAACCGACATAGCCAGCGATACAGAGGCATCCTTAATAATCAAGCTCAGACAAGCCCTGTGAAGGCAGCAACGAGTAGAACTTGCTTAGCTTAAACCTACAGCAGTCACAATTGATTCAAAGAACTTACTTGTGAATATTCCTTCTTGGCTGCTCGTTCCGTATAGCCGTATGGCAACCTCCCGCTACGAGTCGGCATTCTACCCCAATGGCTCCGCCGCATGTTTCAAGCCGCTGCTTCTCCTACAGATTTGATGGGTTTGGTGCCAAACAGTCCCCCCATTGCCCATTGCTGCCACTGTCCTGATTGACGGAGCAAGTCATTCGGCAGGATGGGTCACTGCAAGCAAATAATCGATACGACACTGTATTAGAATTTGAGGCACATTGTCAATTGACTCGTTGAGGGCGGAATAAAACGTTGACGATGGACGTTCGAGGTAAAGATGGAGCTAAACGAGCCGACTGGGTCCTCGACACGTGCACTCCATTCTCAACTGCATAATTCTAGATTTAACTGCTTGTATGTACGGGACAAATCCACTCAAGATAAGACCTCCTACAAGCGCTCGGCACTTTTGGAAGCAAACTTGATCCTGAGCGGAAGATGGGCCTCCCTACCGCTTTGGCCTTCGATGAAGGGAGTCATAGTGCCGCACGGTTCTCGCCGAATATTCTCAGCTTCTTGTGTCAAAGAAAACTCATACGTCCCAACGAGCTCAATCATGAATGCCTGGAACTCAAGTAATCTGGCGGTTAATGAATGTCAACATGCCGATCTCGAAATGCGAAAGATTATCTTACGCGAAGCGAAAGCCAATGCAACTGCGGAGGCCACCAGCAAACGTGAGCCTTGGAGAAGGGGTACATCAGTGAATACGTTCAGGTTTTACGGTGGAAATATAACTCACAGGTTAGAGTATACACCTACATTGACAGAATTCTTGGGGGAGCCAGATAACCAGCGATCTGGGTTGAATACGTGCGCATCTTCGCCGAAAATATCCTTGTTCCTACAGAAAGATCAGCCGTTGGGTTCGTTGCAGCATTTGAATCCATGATCACCTATTGTACCCAGCAATGGACAGCGTAAGCTTCTGGCCTTTGGGGATGGGTAATTCATGCAGGACTTTGCCGGTTGTCAAACGGATAGGTTTCGAAAGAGGTAGAACGTCATCACGGCCGGCATCACGGTGGGTCACAGGCAACACAGGGTGATAGCGCAGAGTTTCCTGATCAATGGATCGTCAGATCAGTAAGGAATTTTCGAGACCAGCAGTCGGCCAATACCTTAATCACAGCCTGCAAATACGGCATCGAATCGAGGTCCCCAACACCAATTTCATGTCCGAGGTCTGTTTGCTTGGCCCATATTTCATGGCGGAGGCGTTGCTGTATTTCGGAGTGTCGGGCCAACTCAAGAAGGGCCCAATTGACGGTGTTCGCCGTGGTCTCGTGTCCCGCCAACATGATGGTCCTATCGTCAATGATGAAAATAGAGATAGAGATCGCGCATGGGACTAGTAAGGGCTTACGAACCTCATCTGGGCCAAGAGTTCATCCTCATCCAACTTCGCGCTATCATTCTCCGTTGTATTGGCCTTGACTTTGAGAACACCTCAGCGATGTCTCCTCCCCGGGTGTGAACAACCGAGCAACGCACCGAGCAAGCTCATAACATCCCGGTTCATCCCCCCTTGAAGCAGCTCCCTTGTCTTTATTTCCACAAGCTCCTTGGCCACATCCGTCGCGATCTTTTCTGTGTGTCGCGCAAGCGTGAAGTCCATGCCAGGAGTATAGCTGGAAATAATATGTAGCCACTCTGAAGGTATGTACGCCCATAGGTTCTGCGTGAATATTGCAGCATCGGGTAAAGCGCCGAATGTCTCCGATCTATACACTCGGGTCAGCATGATTGATGAGAACGAAAGCAAGATGTCCGTACACAAGCCTAGAGTATGCCTTGCTGAGAGGCGTTTCATCATCATCCATTGCCCCGAACCGGTAGTCAAACGCAGCTGCGTGCATCTATTAGATGGCCCGTCTATACAGCCAGGGAATGATGCACACCTTCTCCGATAGCATCTAACATGACACGAGAAGACCATCGCGGAACATCCACAACTGCTTCTTCGTTTAAGGAAGTGCTTATAATGTCCTTCCATTTGGAGCTCAACTGAATACATGGTCACTGTCGCGTCGCCAGGCCCACTCATATTCTGCGCACCTGAGTGGCATGATAACAGAATATTGGCCAAAACGCTCGGCATTCCGGGGCACCAAATCCGGGAAGTAGGACCTTTCGGTGTCTCTTATGAACATCCACTACGTCAAGATAGTATAAGCTTCTATCAAGAAGGAAATGTGGGGGATACTGACACTCAGCAGAAAGAATTCCATTTCCAGCGATGATCCGCGATAACTCGTTTATTTCTGCTGGTTTCCGAAAGTTGTATCCAGACGTCTGATAAATATATTGCAAGGCTTTGGGGTCCATAACGAGGATACGATCTTCCTAATGTATCCGTCAGCATTGACTCGAAAAGCTAGTCGGTTCAAATAGTTACCCCGAATGCCGCTTTAAACCTGACTATGTCGCCGTATTTTGCTTGCCATTCGAAGTCCGCCTAGTAAATGTTATGAGCAAAGGTCAAGTGCTAAAAGGGATGGGCGGCCTACTTCGGCTACAGGTCTTTGGTGAAATTCTCGCATATTACCTAGGGTAACAATCAGTGTCGTGGTTTTGTGGTCTAAGAGCACGAAACTCACCAATAAAGAAAGACGGAGATGGGGGACCAGGTACATGGCGGACAGAGATACGGGTAAGACGATGATATATCGCTTTCAGCAGAGCGACCAAGACAACCCCAGCTGCTAGCAGACGATAAGACATTTTTAGTTGCCGTCTAACCCACCCAGAATCACCACCTTATATACTGGTCAGTTCCAGCATACCCCCGATTTGTTCATCCCACTAGCATAGGAGAATTAAGATCCACCGCTGACGTACGACGGGCCTTCTCTCTTGCTGAAGGATTCATCATGACTCCAACCTTGCTACTCGCGGCACCGCAGACTAAACTGTGCATTTGCAGGCCAGCCCGTAGTAGTGAAGAACCTGATCGTGGAATCTGGCCTTGTCATTTCCCGGTCGAATGGAATATACACTTCGAATATGCTTCGAATTCCGTATAACGCGGCGTATCCGTGTAGAAAAGACATCCCAAAGAGTGATAATTGGGCAAAGCGTAGCCATCGGCTCCCAGGTCCAATTATTCGCTTACGGCGTGACACACGCGGAGGGTTCCAGTCTTTGTAGGATGTATACGTCTTGTGTGAAGAGGAAGAGAAGCCGCACGAGAGAGAGAACCAGGTGGGATAATGTGTACCACTGGCAACAGGATCATGTAAAGTTAGAGAAAGTGTCTCAAGAACCTGAATGGAGCCTTTGTTGTGGGCGATGACAGCAGAGATTCTCTTCTATAAAGGTAGGTGAGCGGTGTGGATCCTAAACAGCCCGTTCAGAGAGCCATCAGCGAGGTCCAGATGTTGTTTGAAAGTGGACTGCGATGAATTCCATGCTGTTCGAAGCAATTCTTCATACCACTTAGCTAAAATGGGATCTATCTGGACGGATGCTCATTAGCTACATATTCCAATCTCTTTGTGAGTTCTTACCAATCTTTACCGCAATATTAACCGAGCATGTCACGAATCAGCAGAAACGCGTTATTTCATCAACCTTTTTAGAGAATCTATACCTCGAAAGTGTTAAAGATTTCCGGAATGGCGCCATTGACTTTAGGAGCATCTGCCCGTTTTGAGCGAGTAGACTCAAATATTCTGTTGCTAAGTCCTACGGTAGTATTGGATTTCGTGAAAACCATGAAAAGAAGGAAGGGGTTGAGAAAAGAAAAGACAGTGTCTGATACAGGGGGAGATGGCAGGACGGCCCAACCAGATAATCACGTGATCCTCTATTTAACTTGGTCTGCAAAACGGACGATTTCATTGTCAACGCGAGATACTTTACATACGTCGGATTCAAGAGCGATTCGCAAGAGTTCTACAGTTTGCATTCACCCATGCAATTTACTCGGCACCCTTAGGAGCAAGCCTGATTCTCAGGGGCAGATGGACTTCCTTACCGCTTTGACCTTCAATGAAGGGGGCCATAACACCACATGGTTCTCGCCGGACGCTTCTGGCTTCCTTGGTCATTGAGAATTCATATGTCCCAACGAGCTCAACCAAGAAGGCCTGGAATTCAGTAAGCCTGGCAATTGATGATTGTCAATAGGCCTTGCTTGAAATACCAGAATGGATGTCTTACGCGAAACGGAAGCCGATGCAAGCACGCAGACCACCAGCGAACGTAAGCCTGACGAAAGTATGAGTAAAAATATACACAGCACGGTTTAACTGTAACATACAGGTTAGAGTACACGCCTACGTTGACAGTGTTCTTGGGCGAGTTGGACAGCCAGCGATCTGGGTTGAATACGTGTGCATCTTCTCCGAAAACGTCCTTGTTCCTATAAATATGTCAGCCTTCAACGTTAGCGTACATTTTTGGGCAATGTTCACCTATTGTACCCAGCAATAGAAAGGGCGAGCTTCTGGCCTTTAGGAATGGGCAATTCATGCACCACTTCGCCAGTAGTCAAAGTGATGGGTTTCGAAAGAGGCAGGACGTCGTCGCGGCCGGCCTCCCGTTGGGTCATGGGTGCTACTGGATGGTAACGTAGAGACTCCTGATAGATCGTCAGTTTGAGGTAAACTCGAAAAGCTACGGTGGAGCAATACCTTGACCACAGCTTGTAAATATGGCATCGTCTCAAGATCCCTATACTCAAATTCACGTCCAAGGGCTAGTTGCTTGTCCCAAATTTCTTGGCGGAGGCGTTGCTGCATTTCTGGGTGTTGGGCCAGCTCCAAGAGCGTCCAACTAACTGTGTTTGCCGTGGTGTCGTGTCCCGCCAACATGATGGTCCTATGTTCGGCGTCAAAATGAAAATTATGCTTCCGGCAATCAATACCGACGGACCTCATTTGAGCAAAGAGCTCGTCCTCATTCAGTTTCGCGTTGTCCTTTTCTGAGTTATTGGCCTTGACTGCGAGATCACTTTCGTCAAGCCTTGTATTTGAGTGAAAACGGCTAACCACATACCAAGCAAGCTCATAATGTCCCGATTGCCTTCGCCTTGAAGTAATTCCTGTGTCTTCGTTTCCACAAGCTTCTTAGCCACGTCCAAGGAGATCTTCTCTGTGTATTGTGCGTGCTTTAGAGTCATACCAGGAGTGTACTTCGAAATGAGACGTAGACACTGTGAAGGTAGGTATGCCCAGAGATTCTGCGTGAATATTGCGGCATCGGGTAATGAACCGAATGTCTCCGACCTGTACGTTATGTCAACACAAGTTATAATAAGGAGAGAAGGAGTTCTTTACAGAAGCCCAAAGTACGCTTTGCTGAGGGGCGTTTCTGCATCAGTCAAAGCCCCGAATTGATAATCGAACGCAGCTGTGGAAGGTCGTAAGGTTTTCCGTCCGTGCAATCCGGTACTGTAATGGAGCCCACCTTCACCGATAGCATCCAACATTGCGCGAGACGTCCAGCGCGGAATGTCTACGACGACTTCCTGGTTCGAGGACGCGCTTATGAGGTCCTTCCATTTAGAGCTCAACTGATAAGTGGTCACTACCACGCTACCCAGCTTGCTCGCAACCTACGCACCTGAGTAGCATAATTGTAGAATATCGGCCAAAATGCTCGAGACTCTGGACCACCAAAGCCAGGGAGGAGGACCTTGCGATGTCTCTTATGAACATCCACTTCATCAAGAAAATGTTAGCTTCGGTACGGCTGTACGGTGGGGCACTGACGTTCAGCAACGAGGATTCCGTTTCCTGTGACGATCCGCGTCAGCTCGTTGCTTGCTCCTGGCTTTGGGAAATTGTATCCAGAGGTCTGATAGATGTATTGCAAGGCCTTGGGGTCCATGACGAGGAGTCGGTCCTCCTAAACCATGCGTCAGCGTATTGGACCGACAATTGGACGGCCTGAGTGATTACCCCGAATGCTGCGTTAAACCTGACTACGTCGCCGTATCTTTCCTGCCATTCAAAATCTGCCTAGTGGGGGTTATGAACGAAAGTCAAGCCTCGACAAAGACGACTGTTAAAGGACGGCTGTATACCTCGCCTACGGGCCTCTGGTGAAATTCACGCATATGGCCTAAGATAAGATAAAAGTCAGCATCATGGCGTTCAATACGACGAACACATCGCTCACCAAGAAGAAAAGATGCAGGCGGAGGTCCAGGGACATGGCGAACAGAGATACGGGTGTATCGACGGTATATCACTCTCAGTAGAGCGACGAATGAAAGTCCAGCTCCTAGAAGAAGGTAATTCATTGTATCTTATCGCTCAACTTGCCTCGAGGGATCACCTTAAATACTGCTCAGCTCCTACATACCCGGTTTCGCTATCCCTCTGGCGTGGGGGATTCCAATTTGCCGCTGTCGTACGATCGCCGAGAATTTGCGCTTCTTTCTCGTACTGTGACTCGAACATTGCTTCGCGCGGGGCCGATGACCCAATAAACTGTGCATCATCTACTACTATCTACTTGTTTGTATGTCAGCCTGTGGTCGTAAAAGAACTAACCGTGGAAACTGACCTTGTCATTCCCCGATTGACTGGAGTTTGTTGTGTGAATCCCACCGAGTTCGGTACGATATGCTGTGCCCGTGTTGGAACGTCATTCCAAAGGGTTCGTGCCAGTACACGAGTGTGATCATTTTTCGAAGCATGGCCATCAGTGTCGGCGAGTATTGTGCGTGAGCGAGAAAGGATCCAGACGTTGTATCGAAGGAGTGTAAAATCCGCAAGAGAGAAACGGCTCACGGCTCGCCGTTGGAACCAGGATGTAAACTGTGCGGAAATTCACATTAACCCTAGATCTTTGGAAGTGCGGTATCACATCTCAGTTGTGTAGCAGAACAGCAAGAAGTCCCCTTGAAGTTGAGGTGAGCGGTTTCACCGCTCAGACTCCTCGAAATGACTGGGAACGGACTCTTCTCCATTGAAGGGTCGGCTCGGCCTGGAACTTCAATGGAAGTTGGTGTGAGCGCCTCATGTTGTTTCCACGTCAACGCCGTTCTCCATGCTGGATCACGGCATTTTAATCTGGGAAAAAAGAGTTCGTAAATGCGAAGAAAGCCTGTTTGCGAGATGTCCTTACTGTGGTTCCCCTGAGACTAATGCTGGCTGATGGCTCTCGGGCTGAGAATCACTGAGTTGAAGTGAAAGCAAGTCGGTCACGAACTGTCACATACATGGGCATCGACGACTATCACCTTATTTGGCAATCTACACCTTCAAGACGACTTCCAAAATGGCGTCGACTTCTGAAAGTCGCGACAACGTTGTCGTCGATTTATACAAACCTCTTCCCCCCATTCGAGTAAGCTAGGGCTCAACCAGCTAGTAGCTCGTAACTTACCTGGGCAATAGAACCAGAAGTTGAAACTCACGTCGAAGGATCCGTACACTCCAATGTATGTTCAAGCGAATCTGACCGCGAACACGGATCCGGCTACAATATACGAACAACGGGTGAAAAACAGGCAACTCCTCCTCGAGAACCCAGTTCGCGACAGTCGCGTGAAGAAGGAGCGCCTAGAGAAGAAGACCAGGAAGAAAGCTGAAAAGGAGAGGATAGCAGGCGTGCTGGGCAAGAAAGGTGCTCGGTCGAAAGGAGTTTGGCGGCTTGATGAGTCTCAAGCAAAGTAAGTACGCACACTTAATCAGTAGTGGTGGCTAACACGACCGGCGTGCAGATGGAACCTGTTCCTGCCCTTGCATCATCTGTGGCAAGGATATATGTCCGAACTGCTTGGCCTTGCGAGCCCTGGCACACTCTCTGCCAATGCGGCACCCAGTGCAGCTAGCATGCATCCCAAGCTGCTCAAGGCTGATTTTCACGGTTCCATAATGACAGGTTGGCGAACGAGTTCTGCGCGATTACCCCGAACTCATCTCGGTTGAATCAGTGAAGCAGAGTAAAAACCCATGCCTGATCGGTCTCTCAGGCATTGTAATACTTGAGTCAGAGAACGCGTTTAAGGTGATCACGAAGGACAATCGCGTCAAATGTCAGTGTGTCTTGTTTCAGCTTTGGTGACATTAATAACAATCGCCGCTAGTAATACCCAAACAGAACGCGATCTTTACGTTCGCTGTGCCTCTGTACTCCGTGTTGTCGCCGACGCACTCGGCAGGAGTTCCTTCGCCTCTCCCAGTGGAGCCAGAGAATGTCAAGACTGAGACCGTTTTAGACGGACCGCACATCGAGCTGGATTTGTATGGTAATCAATTTCGATTCAGAGCCGCCGACAGAGCTGGTCGCAAATTCAAACCCAAGGAGACGATTGAGCTATAACCCGGGATCACTGCCTGCAGCCTAGGCCTGGATGGACGCGGTTCTTCTCTCATTCAAACAGGGAAGACATTTCGAACCCCCGATTTTCTTGGACACCAAATTCTTATGAAGACGTGGGTATTAATAACAAACGTCCTGAGTCACTTCCATCATTCTTCTCCTGCAACCAGATGCCGGTGATCCTCGTATACCCCCCAATTATTATCTATTACTCAGATCAACGGCATCGGGTCCATCGACAAGCCCCCAGTCAGCCGCGTACCTATTCACCAAAACTCGCCTAGGCCTTACTGTCACCCCCCGTCTGCTCGATAAAAACGAGGGTGTTCATCTATTGTGGACGCCTATAGACCCGGTCTTTACACTTTGCTACTTGTCCCACGTTCATTCTCAGGCGATTCGCTCTGTATGCTTCCTTTCTTCAACGCCTACCTCCGATCACAACAGTCCCCGGGTATCCACTACACCCTATGTATCTCATACAATCCATCAATGTCTCACCTCCCATTTGTCCTTATACAGTCTCAGCGCGTGAGCTGGCACTATCAACACGAGATCAGGGCGGTAAAGACATTTTTACGTTTCCTCTGCGCCTCATGTCCTTCGTCTCAAAATGCTCAAAGGATGTACGTCTAATTTCTTTCCATCGTACGTGTGGAGCCTTCTAATCGAAGCCGTCGGGCAATTGTGCTGGTAGCAACTGCAACTCCCTTGTCTTTCTGGGTCTTCATATCCGAACGCCTACCCCTATGCTGGTACTGCGAAGTAGCGCTGCGTGAGGCGAATATCTCCTTGACATGGGTATAGCCATGGCCATCCGTACGTACGCCACACTGACAGCTTTTCTTCCGCTAATTATATTCTACCAATCGATAAGCCTTCCAATATATACAAAACCTGCGCGCGCGTCTGAGCTGTTGTTCAATCCACTTCTTGGCTTCACTCCTCGGTCGAGCACACGCCACTCATGCCTCGCTGTCTGACCTTGCTGCTTCGACTCTGTGGATGTGCCCCGCGAATCGACGACGAACTTGCGGACCAGCAGAAACAGGCGCAGCGTAATTCGGTGCCCAAAGAACATGACTACGATGTCGGAACACCCTTCGAGCCCCCGAGACGTGGAGGCTACGTCGAATACAGCAAAAGACAGCGCAGGAAAACTAGATCCATGACATCTAATTTTGGCTCTTCGAGTGCGTGTGTTTACTTTAGGCTTCAGCACGACCAGGGAATTGATCCAGGCTGTCTAGCAAGGCGGGAGCATTATGGACAGAGCCAGTCAACACTGAGGAGTGGCTCGACTGTGACTGTCGGTCAGCAGAGTCTAAGAAGGAGATCGGCGAGGAGGCAAATGCGAACGCCGAGCATTGTTGACTACTTCTCGCCCCGTCCAGATGTTTTCGACGATCCTTCTTGAAGCTGAAAAGTAGTATCTTGATTGACGAGTTATTTATTTCCCGAATGTGAGTCCACCATCTTACGTCTGTCCACCTCAACTCTCAAAGGCTGAATTGTTTTCAGATGGATCCATGTCGCTAATCCGAGTTCAGAGTGCCATCATTATGTCGCTCTCCAAACGAATATGCCCCTTCCTGACGCCCTCGCTGATCCCATGCGCGCTTCCCACAAGCAACAAAATCTATATCGACCACGCTTCGATCCTGTAGTTATGCCTTATGTCGGCCCGTTATCGTTAAACCATTATGTGTACTTATCACTGTAAAACACCTGTACAGTAGGTCAAATATACGTTCGATTGAACCCTAACTAAAGGCTAAATGACGACGGATACGCCTGTGGTCGACTTTCAGTATCGTTGGCTGACGCTTGAAATCGTCAGTGTACTAGAGACTGACGATGTAGATCAAATGAAAGCTGCTGTACATCATTCGATAGATGCTTCGTTGATCACGAAGATGGTGGGTGTGGGAAGTATTGCATGGCTTGGATTGGGCATAATCGATAGCATGAGGATGTAATGCATGGAAACGTGCGTGAATAATAAAACAGATAGGGCCCTCTCCCCCAGCCAAGATATCCCTACCCTCATCGGTCGCGAAACGACGGCACGGACATGCCTCTGGTGTGTACACCGGGGAATGGGAAGACGATTATTTTACTTCTCGGGATTGGGGTTCCTATAAGTTGGGAGTGCGGTCAGCAAACGTAGGGGAGTAGAGGATATATGAAGGGATGATTGGAAAAGGATCAGATAGGAGCGAAAGACATTTAGATGAATTGTTGTCAACACTTGGTTATTCAGTGTGAACTATGCTTGATTCGGTATATCATCACATAGAGGAGATGCAGAGTCCTTTGAACTGGAAATTCGAATACTCACATTCGGCGTTTGCCACCTGGTAGTGTTGTTACATTCACGAAGCTAAGTCGCGTAGAAATCAGCCACAGCTCCATCGAATTCATAGCAATCCAAAGCTCACCGTCTGTTGTAGAGAATGCGCTTCTTGGCACGGCCCTTTGGTGTCTTTTTCTTCTCGGTCTTGTCGACCTTCGGTGTTTGCGACTTGACTTTACCAGCGCGGGCGAGCGATCCGTGAACTGTATACGACGAGATGGGGGATCAAGGGGAGCTCATCGTCAGATACAACGCCCTTGAACTGCAGGACACGAATTGACCTTTTCCCATGTTGTCTTGAGGTTGCGTTCGACAGCGGTCAATACTGGGAGACGAATCAGTCAGCGACTGTACAGCTGCAGCATTAGGGTTTCGGGGAATCCCGAGGAGGAGTTGGTGACTGTGTGAGCTTGTTTTGTTAGCGTGGGAGAAATCACAGTTCTTGACTTCCATCATTGATACTGAACCCACTGCACCTCATTTTACATCAATGCAATTCACCGCCCATTCTATTTACCTTCGTGAGAAGCCGTGCTGTTCGATGGTGCTTACAGGACTGGGTGCATCGCGGCTTGCTCCCAAACTCTCATGTCGACCCGTCAGTCTCTCGCAGTGTTGGCCATCCTGATCGCTGGGGTGTCCTTTCTCTGGTCTCCACAGAAATGCAGGACTTATCCTGGCGATCCTAGTTGGCCTGAACCTCACGTCTGGGATGAACTGAATAAGACTGTCGATGGTCTTTTGATTCGTTCGAGACCGGTCGCGATTGCGTGTCACCATCCACACTTTGACGAAGAACAGTGCAACGAAGTCAGGAAGCAGTGGCATTCACCACAATATCTGTAAGTGTAAGCTGCGCAGAGCGTATAAATAACCGACCTTCTGTAGCGAGAAGAGCTCGTCAGCCATTCAGACGCCCTTGTTTGCGAACAAGAGCTGTGATCCTTTCACCGAGCCTGACGCTCCGTGTGCAATCGGCAATTATGTCGCATACTCGGTCAAAGTTGCTTCACCAACGCATGTCATTTCCACGGTCAAGTTTGCTAAGGAACATAATTTGCGTTTCGTAGTGAGAAATACTGGACACGAGTAGGCCTGTGGTTTACACTCGTTCAAACTATAACCCGCTCATCAGGTTTCAGTTACATGGGCAAGTCCACCGGCTCCCAGGCATTGGCAGTGTGGATGGGCCACCTCCGTCTCACCGAATGGTTTGATGACTACGAGGGAAGTAACTACAGGGGGCCAGCAGTCAAAATGCAAGCTGGTGTCCCCGTTGAGCAAACGTATGAGGAAGCGAATACCCGAGGGCTGGTCGTGGTCAGTGGTGTCTGTCCGGTACGTGTGCATACTATCGTACTCGGAAACGTGTTTAAGATGTTTCAGACGGTGGGCTTTAGCGGCGGGTATATCCAGGGGGGCGGACATGGGCCATTTGGGTCCTTGTACGGACTTGCAGCTGACCAGACGTTGTCCATGGAGGTCATCACAACTACTGGTGAATTCGTCAGGGCCTCCCCAACTGAGAATTCTGACCTTTTCTGGGCAATGAGCGGCGGTGTATGTTCTCCGGTTTCTGTTACTACGCTCCGTACTGAACATCCTTGCTCCAGGGAGGTGGGACATACGGAATCCTTTGGACAGTTACAGTGAAAGCATTCCCAGATATTCCCATTGCTGGCGGTCGCATCGGCTTCTCCAAGTCAGACAAGATATCCGACGACACCTGGTGGGAAGCGATTGATTTCTACCAGGCCATGACGCCCTCCTTCACCGACATCGGCGCAACGAGTTTCGCCTTCTACTCCAATGAAAAGTTCGACCTCCCCGCAGTCTTCCTTCCAAACGGCACCTCCCGCTCTATCATAACGCTCCTACAACCCTTCGTCGACAAACTGTCTTCCCTGCGGATCCCCCACAAGGTGGATTACAAGACGTATCCGGATTTCCTCCCCGCATATAAAGAGCTGTGGCCTTCTGAGTTGTTTGGAGTTGGGTTATTTTACTTTGGGAATCGGTTGTTGCCTAGGGAGCTGTGGGATAACCGGGATGGAGTTGAAGGGAAGAAGTTCAAGCAGTTGACGAAGGCGGTTAGGGAGATGGTGGAAGACGGCGCTGGGGCATTCGATATTGCGATTCGGCCGACATTGAAAGTCGCTGGCAACCCGGACAATGCGGTGCATCCTGCATGGCGAGAGGCTGAACGTGCCTTCGGTATCCAGTTGTAAGCTCGAATAGCAGTGTAGTACGCGATTCTCTTGACTGAAGTTTCTCTATAGGTTGTGGAACGACCTCGACGACTGGCCTGCCATACAAGGAAAGCTGAACAAGATAACCGCATACGTTGGTCTACTGAGGGAACTGACGCCTGGTGGTGGCGCTTACTTGAACGAGGTTTGCAATTGCCTTCATCTACTAATTCAATTCTGACCACAAGTCTGCTACTCTAGGCTGACCCGTACGAGCCCAACTGGCAACAGGCGTTCTATGGCTCCCACTATAACAAGCTACTGGCCATTAAAGACAAGTGGGATCCTGATCAGATGCTGTATGGCGCGACGGCTGTCGGTGGCGATCGATGGTCCGAAAAGGACGACGGGAGGTTGTGTCCTGCTCAGTCTGGCGTGCAGTGGTTTTTGTCTGAGGCTTTCGAACGCGGCCGTGGCGCCCTTGCATCATTCTTACCTTCCTTGTAATCTTCAATATTTATTTTGTACCATCAATGCCCCTTCCAATGCCCCTGTCTGTATCGTGACTTCAAACCAAGGGTTAGGGTCACGATTTACATGTTACTCTCTCTCCTTCGCTTGAGAACACCGTCTCTCGCTGATACAACATGCTACACGCGTCGTCTGAAGCTTGCATTATCGAGATCAATATCTGATGCATCCATTACCAGCGACTTAACTGCTGAAGAGAAAGAATCACTCAGAGAGAAGCTTCATAGGCAGAGGAAAACAGAATGGAAACGTAGGCAAGGGGTGCGTCGGTAATGGGCTCATGATAGGGCTTATGCTCATGAACGGTGCAATCTTGTAGGGCCAGAGTTTTCTAGACTATCTCATCGTCAATGTTCGAGGAGGTGTGTGCGTGTCCGACCATTTGCATCCGGGATAATGCTGAATCTCACCAAGGAAATGGTGGCAATGGATGTGCGGCCTTCCATCGCGAAAAGTTCGTTCCTCATGGGCCCCCATCTGGCGGTGACGGCGGACGTGGTGGCGACGTCTATATCATACCAACACCGCATATGACAACATTGTCCTCGATTTCCAAGAAGATACGCGGCGAAGCTGGGGGACACGGCCGCGGTACTTGGCAGAGCGGCAAATCTGGCTCACCGACGATCATCAAAGTCCCCCTTGGAACGGTGGTTCGGGAACTCGGTAGGGACCATCCCTTGCGAGCGCAGGACGAGTGGGAGGCAGAAGAAGCCGCGCTAGAGGGTTTGCCTCCTGCATTGAAGCGGGACAAAATGCGCGAAAATCGATGGGTACATTACCCGCGCGCTGCTGAGGACAACGTCGAAAGAGACTCATTCAAGGAAGCAGAACAAAACATGTACAAGGTAGAGCGCGAGCGCCGCTTGGAAAGGCGGAGAAGAGCCATTGAATCACCTATCGACTTGGACCTTTCTAAAGAGATAAAAGAGGATACCTCGATCGATGCACCGCTAGGTACAAGGCGGCAGGAGCCCACGGGTCATTTGGTTGCTTCCGGTGGTCAAGGTGGCTTAGGAAACACCCACTTCATAACTGCTGAAAATCGTTCACCAAAATTCGCAACGCGTGGGCAAGAGGGCGAACGCGTTACCCTCATTCTTGAGCTCAAACTACTCGCCGATATCGGGCTAGTGGGCATGCCCAATGCCGGAAAGAGCACTCTCCTTCGCGCGCTTACCGGTGGACGCGTCAAGAGCGAGGTGGCGAGCTACGCGTTTACAACGCTGAACCCTGTCGTAGGTGTCGTCCGGGTCGCCGAGGATGGTACATTCGAGGGCAGCTTGCAACATGGTGCTGTCTACGGCGAGACGGCCGTCGAACGCGAGCACGACCAAGCTAGGCATGACCTGGATCGCCAAACAATTGCTGCGGAGGATATCACATCAACTTCCCCATATTCATTTTCTGCGGAAGCTGCAGTGCCACAGCGCTCAGGGCACTACTTCGATGCTGTAGAGGATTTCCGGTTTACCATCTCAGACAATCCTGGCCTCATCTCTCGTGCTTCCGACAATGTAGGGCTTGGCCACTCGTTCTTGCGCGCTATGGAGCGATCTCTCGCCCTCGCTTATGTTGTGGACTTCTCGCAGCCTGCGCCCTGGGACGAACTGAAGGTACTCAAGGAGGAGTTGGAGCAGTACAAACCTGGGATGAGCGAAAAAGCAAGGATAGTGATTGCGAACAAAGCCGATCTGCTGGCATCTACGGGGGACGCCGCTGAGGTAGAGGAAGCCAAGACGAAGCTTAAACACCTGGAGGAATGGGCCAAAGACAACTTGGGTCCTCTCGATGTGGTGGCTGTCTCCGGAAAATACGCTCAGAATCTGAAGAAAGTCGTTCGGCTCATGCGGTCCTACGTCGAAGCAGAACGCCTCGCCATGGAAAACAACGTGGAGCTTGACTCCCCACCTTCAGCTCCCTCGCTTGAAGAAACGTCGACGCCGTGATTCCAAAAGCTGCACTTAGACTACTTCAACTCAATTCGTCGTTCTGCGCACGCATATAATCAATTAATCTTATTTTAATCTATACTTGCTGTTGAGTCTTGGCTTAAATCATGCTTGTTCTCACTCGCATCTATCACCGTGCCTAGAGTTGAACCTTGTGTTGATCTTCGCGCTCCCATGCGCAGTCATCTAATATAAAGCTGCGGAATGAACCCCAACAGCTTCAACATACAGCTCGGTAAGTTTAGGCGATGCTGCACCGTAGAATAAAAGCGAGCGAGCGGTGTGCAAATGGTTCTCTCAATATGATGTCCTTTTTTAAGGTACTGTATCTGGTAGCGTGTCTCGCAGCTTTGTCGCGTGTACAGGTTGACGGACGTCAGTGTTGTTGCCTATATGGCCAGAGTTGCTGGCCCTCTGATGCACATTTCGCACTGCTGGAGTCTCAAATATCACAACCCCTGATCTATCCTGTTCCCCCGGCATCGGCATGTTACACAGAGGGTCCGTCTTCAAGCAACTGCTCGGACTTCCTCGCCAACACCTTCGACGGGAGATGGCGCTCCGACCAAGCAGGATCAATGCAATCCGTCAACTGGGAGACCCATATATTCGACAACGGAACCATTTATGCCTGCTACTCAAATACGGCCTTGGGATTCCCCTGCGAACAAGGCAGCATACCCAATATCGCCGTAGATGTTCGTTCCATCGAAGACATCCAAGCTGCGGTGAAATTTGCGTCGAGCCATAATTCACGGCTTGTCGTGAAAAATACCGGGTCAGTCGACCGTTGACCGACCAATGAGGAAATTGTTTTTTGACGAACATACCTATATCCCAGGCATGACTACCTTGGGCGTAGTACGGCTCGAGGTTCCTTCTTGATCTGGACCCACCATCTTAAGAACATTACATATCACGAAAAATTTGTGCCCGCTGGAGCTGGTCCTTCCACCAGCCACAGCAATGGTACGTCGATATATAGCTACTCATTCTCCGTACTAACCTATAATCCGCAAAGTTATAACACTTGGCGCTGGCGTACAATGGTACGAAGCATATGATGCCGTGGAAGCCCACGGTCGTATTCTTGTTGGCGGACTGTCGGCGCGGGCATCCGTTGGGGCGGCTGGTGGCTGGATTTCTGGAGGAGGCCATAGTGCGCTTAGTCCGTCTCATGGTTTGGGTATAGTAATTCCACACATTTCTCATGACTTTTGACTGATTCTTCCTTCTCTTAGGCGTTGATAATGCTCTGCAATTTACCATCGTCGTTGCTGACGGGAGACATATTGCCGCCAATGCCCATAGTCACCCTAACCTCTTCTGGGCTTTGCGAGGTGGTGGTGGAGGAACCTTTGGGGTCATCACATCCGTAACATATCAAACCCACCCCTCACTGCCCCTCGTTGGTGCCTTCTTCAGCGGCAATTTCACATCGCCTGAGATCGCAAAAGGTGTCATTACAGAATTCGTCCGTATCCAGCCTTCTCTTGCCGAGACAGGTTGGGGTGGGTACTCGTTCTTCGACAACTCTAGCCTTAATGCCTTCTACATCGCCCTGAACACTTCCTGGGAGGCAGCTAACGTTACATGGCTTCCTTTCTTTGATTTCGCACGGAATGCATCCACTGATAGCCCCGGCCCCCAAACATTGACGGTGCCCTTCGACTCGTTCTTTTCGTGGTACCAGGCGCTCTTCAGTGGGGGCCAGCAGGTCGGCACAAATGTATACCTGGGATCTCGTCTGATTCCTACAGACCTGGTCAAGAGTGACCACGAGAAGGTGGTAAAAGCGCTGCTTGCCATCGACGGTGTCACTTCATGGCAGTACGTGTTCACGCCACATACCAGGACTAATTCCTAATTCTCGGCTTCTAGTGCCATCGCAGGAGGGGAAGTCTCGAGAAGCAAGCCTTCCTCTGCAGGTATCAACCCCGCTTGGCGCAAAGCGATCTCCCACGTCGTCGTTTCTGAAGGTTGGGGAGAAGGAGCGCCTGCCGCTGTCATTGACGCTGCTAGGCAGCGGCTTACTTCCAAGGTCAAGAAATTAGAAGCACTAGTTCCTGGAGCAGGCGCTTACTTCAATGAGGTGAGCCAGGGCCTTGGATCAGAATGGTTTCATCCTCATTCTGCTCCCAGGCATTCCCATTTGAGGAGAACCCTCAACGTACATTCTTTGGCCCCCATTATACACGGCTAAGGTTGATTAAACTCCAGTACGATCCCAAAGGTCTTTTCGTCGTTGCAAACGGGGTAGGGTCCGAGGAATGGGATCCTTCGCTGAACTGCCGACGTTAAGCGCTAAGTGCGATTCGTACTGTCTATAATTACGCTGCATAAATATTCATGCCCCTCTTGTCCGCTTTATTGCCAATGTTCCACGGAAGCCCAACCAACGGATTGGTGCGTCCGCTCCAATCCCGGACGCAGTCGCTACACATCGGCCTGTCTAGCGATGCCCGAACAGCCGGCGCTCGAATGAATGTCTGATCTGTTGGCGGCCCAAGCGCTTCAACAGTACTTCCTTGCAGCCCTTGTTCAGGAGAGGAACAGGGGCAGGATATGCTGCCGCCGGCTTCACACATAGGCTAAACAACTCGCGAGGATATTCTGCCGCCATACGTACTCAGGTGCATCCCCGAGCCTGCCGCAGATGTTCCACTTGATCTCAACGCTGTTGGTCATTGTCTTACCCCTTGCACGTTTGTCCTCCCAATGAGGGCCACCCCTGAAGCACTCCATATCCTCTCACAATGGAGTTCGACTACAGTTTGATTGGGCGTTAGTTGCAGACAGGCCAAACCAATCAACGCTAATAATATAAGCTTCTTTGGAAAGGTGAAAGAGGGTACGAAGTAAAATAATCATCGACAAATTCCTTGAAATTCCATGGAGTTTCTTCCCATGCATGGCGCGACCGTTATTGATAGCGAAAGTACCCTCCCTTGAGTCCCTTGACCGTAATCATCACGTTACGGCTAGTTTAAGGAAATACTTACCCTCGAAAGAATTACTGCAGGGAAATTCCTACTATTGGTTTGATAGACTATTAATACGGCGGCCAATAAATCGTCATATGAAGGGGAATGCAATTGCAATACACATGGCATACGAAGAGGGCATCAGTATCGTGCTTGTGGCATTGATATTGTTACAACGGCCCCGTCGTTGGCGTCAACGAGGGGGAAACGAAGTCTAGGACCTGTCGCGCGGTTGCCGTCATGTCAGAATTAACCTCCACACATTCATGCTTCTTGACTCTCATGCCCCCCGTGAGATACTGTTGACGAGCAGTTCGGCTCCACTTAGCACCCCAAACCATCCAAACAACACTCCGTGTGGAAGCCTATCACTCGACTAACCCGGACAACAGGTTGGAAGTATACATAACATTGACAAGGGAGGGAAGCTGTCTAAGCTTACATTACGATCATCGAAGAAGCATCGATGAAGACGCTGATGGGGGTGATACCTTTGTGGCGTCGTGTTCTCTGGATTCTCTTGAATCTTGACATCGTAGTCAATGGGTTAAATTTATCTATTGTTCACACTGTCCATCAAATCAGCGGTCAAGCATTGAAGCCGAAGCGAAGCATTCTCATAACCTACCGTAAGGCGGAATCAATAATTGATAGGGAGGGTAGTGGTCCCGCCAACACGGAGAAATACTCTTTGGTGCGGGCAATATGGGTATGGGGAACTATCGATAAGCTGTTTCGCGACAGATCCAGTTAGATGTGAGTCGTAGCGCTGGTTCCCGAAACCGAAACTTCTCCCGCGAAGGTCTGGATCACCCAATCCAAAAGCATCCCACACACACAGCGTGGTTAGTTTGGGTGTTCTGCTTCCAGGTTCTTGGACACTCCGTCGTATTAGCATGCTTCATGCGCCCTATATGTAGGCGTTATGTAACGGCGAGCTCGATCTGTGGGATAAAACGTCCATCATGGGGCAGTCCATGAAAGATACATGAGGGGGTACCCCTAAACGGAAGCACAACGCGAGGGCATGAGTATTCATTCTTCCGAATGAGTCCATATAGGGCACCCACCCGCCTGACTCATAGTTTAGATGGGATGTGTGTGGTATTGGGAGATTAGCAGGTGATTGACAAGGTCCTCGGACGTATAGTGCTATCATTCCCCCATGATGACCGTGCACTGCAATGTAGGAGTTATCATAACGGAGGGGCTGTTATCAAACTCTGTATATAGCCTGGTCTCGACGTCATATGGTTCCTATGAATAATAACCGCGCATCATATTGTCCCATGCCCCATGGAACGGCAGGGTTGGCGCAATGATGAATGAATTCTCGAAACAATAGCAGGGCTCGGATGCGTTAAGAATGGATGCCACCACAGATATGCAAATCAAGCCGCCGGCTGCGGGGACGTTGGAAGGGGTAAATACGAGACTGACCTTCTCCTAGTTGATTCCCGTCTTCGAATTGTTCCGTCGATAGTCGAGCTCCGACTCATTATGCACTTGCACATATCTGATGGATGTAGACTCGGATGAGCTCCATACACGAACGGCTGATTAAAGGCTGTCGATCGGAACCGGATATGGATATCTGCTATATGTCCTATGTACTCCGGCAAATCGACGCCGACGAAGTCGCAAAGGTAAATAACAGTAGCCAGACTCCATGAACGGGCTCTCAAGATCTCACCCCCTTTTGTTAATAATTTTTGGCAGAAGAGTTACTGCGCCTTCGACTTCATGTAGATGAGATGATACGCAGGCTAGTGGGGGCTTGATCAACTACGGCCTAGCCAGGCCTGGCTTCGATGCGGAGCGATGCGTTTGTACACTTCTGTAGTCGTAACACGCGGCGAAGTGAGGATATGTACTTTCGCCACGTGTGACCGGGTGAAGTAGTCCGTAGCAATACGAAGCCTGAAGAGTTTAGAAGGTGATGTTAAGCTGGATGCCAGACTTATCGTATGCGATGTCCTGATCGGCGAATGCGGCACGCTCGTATTGGCACTTGGCAGACTCGAGTATGGGCCGCCGGAACGAGTGAGCGGTAAACGTACGTGTCGCGGGGACGGTGCTTCCGAGATCGTATATCAAAGACATTGCTGCTATCTCCTAGAATAGAATGATCACGGATATGTCCATTTGCGCCAACCTGTTTTCGGAAGAAATGAAAGGTGTATGAAAACAGTGGGAAACGAGTCGACCCCCTGAGGCCGTGGGCGTGTACGAAGCGGTTCGGATACGAACTGAATAGATCTTGAGCCACTTACGATGGTACTTGGTGGGACATTGTCCTTGAGAAGTACATCCGTGCCGCGGCAAGATGCCGCAGATGTGCTATGCCGATGGACAGGGGACGTAACCACGGACGCCACGACTGACTGGTAAGTAAGTAAAAGCTCCGATCGCACTAAGCTTCAAAGGGCGCGAATGTGTGACAGGGTCTGCTAAGTCACATAATTGCCACCAGCTCGGCGACGGCGACGGCGACGTCAGTAAGCGTCAAACTCCCTGCAATTTCAGACTTTTCAGCTTCACGCACAGAGGAGCCACGGAGATTCTGGGTTACTTGCCTTGCCTGTGGTGGTTAGGCCAACTTTAGTGAAATATCTTGCCGAGTCCCAATGGTGCATCGTGCTCACTGCGTCAACTTTGGGTGCCCTGGAGCGCCAAGCGCAATGGGGAGGAACTTTATTGGAAGGGTTGTTGGGATAACGTTATGGGCGTGCCTGGTTTGCTTCAAGGCCAGTTGCGGGCGACCCAAGGCGACCCATGCGCTCGCGAGCAGCAGGTTGCGCGGTGCGCTCTCAACAATGCGCGTGCTCTATTTTATGCTTCGAGCGAGGCCAGAAGCTCGCTAAATGGGCCTGAATGAGGAGGAGGGGATGGCGATTTGGTTCAAGATGGGTTGCCTGCTAAGTATTAAGTGTCGGAATATGCCGTGTGACTTATCGGCAGAAATATTCTTTTTAGAAAACCCCAATTTTGGGAGGTGAGCTATTTGTATGGAGATCAAGACCAAACGCGCGAGCCAAATTCCCCCATTTCCTCCTGACCGTCACTCTGGCCAGAGGATGAGCACGCCCGTCCCCCACCAATACAACCACAACAACATCCCCCAAGTGTCCCCGACGATGCCCCCGACGTTGATGTCCCCGACGGCGTCGTCGTCGGCCACCGCTAGTGCTCCTGGGTATGTTCTCTGCATCTAAACATATATCTGGGACTGACCGCACCATATTGCTTCATCCACCCCAGGTCAATGCGTTCGAGAATCACTGTCGTTTGTGCTGAGGTATGCTTTACTGCGCCAATTATTGTCGGCCATGGTCTGACCACAATATTCCACGCGATAGTGCAAACGCCTCAAATTGAAGTGCGACAGACGAACGCCTTGCGGTAGCTGTCAGAAGCGAGACACGGTTTCAAGATGCATATACTCGCCTGCTGCTGCTGAGAAAGTGTCAGTTGCGATTTACAGGCTGCTTTCTAGTTGCTGCCAATCTAATGGCAATACTTCAGGGATTTACATTCACTGAACAACCGCTTGATACAGGTCGAAACTACCCTCACGCAAATGACTTCCGGGTCGTCGGCCCCCTTCGTATCATCCTACCCGCCCGCATCGGGTGGTGCTGGGCAAGCACTTTCCTCAGCAGACACGGCCAAGGCGAATCAGCCCACCCAACCTACTCCAGGGCCTTCGAACTATAATAAGCAGAGTTCTGTCTGCTATTCAAACATACCCACTTCGCAGGCTCCAATGTACCACGCCATATTCAAAGGTGATAGGTCTGCCTTAACGATACCCCTTCCTATTATTACGAACACATTCCTATCCGGGGCATTCCAACTGCATTCGCCGTCAGAGCTAGAACAAGAAGAACTCCTGACCCTCCAAACTCTTGGTGTCGACCTTACGGCGTCTTCACATAAAGGTAAAGCCTCCACGAAGATGAACTATCAGACCACGGAAAGCTTCGAGACGACGGGCATGAATGCCCATAAGGGTACGGAAAGCGTTAAGCTCGAACCTACACTCGTCTCGTTACAACACCACTCAGGCACCCACCCAGATGCCGTCTCCTTGCCTTTGAATACGCCGAACGGCCCCACGACGACTGGCAATAATCCGAGCTCCCATCCGTTCCCTGCTCCGACATCACACCCATATAATTCCCAACCTTTCAACAGTGCTCCGGAGGCTGGCGGTTTCAGGGTTCCAATGGATACGAATGCGGAACAAGAACGTTCGCTTCTTGACCGAAATGGGCTGCCCCCGCTTTCAGCGTACCTCATACCGTCTCGTCCTTCCGCTAGCTACGAACATGTATTTCCCTCCTCGGCGCAAACTCCAGCACCAGACCAATCGTGGGGTCCGGCAGGCCGTCATGGCGTCACCTCAACGGTCTTATCGTATCTTCCTCACGACTGGGATGAGATCAAACAGCTAGTGGCCAACGTGGAACACTTCGAACGTAACACTGGAGTATGTGAGGATCGAAGCTATTTGGAGCAACGCATCCGATCCATGGTTGATGGGACAACATCATCTGATGGACGGTCTCTCAGCCTGTCATTTTTCGCCAGTGCATGTGCCTTGCTCGCCCTGGGTAGCGAACTTCGACGACAATCCACGCTCGACCATCATCACGATGAATCACGAATGATCGTTGACAGTAATATGTCAGATCCAGGTAAGGGCAACGGAGGGTCAGACCCGAGGCAGTGGAGGAACAACCCAAGTTTTATCGCTCACCGAAGCTTCGGTACCTCTGCTCACACCATATCCTCTGCATTAGTGCCACCACCCTACACCTCTCCTCCGACCTTTAATATGTATCCCTCTACGCCCAATCGCGCAGAGCGAGCGATCGCCGATCCCACTCTCCTTTACGACCTTTCCGTTCAAGCTCTCTCCTTGGCCGATTCCGAGTCCCAGATCCAGCCTGCCGACATCGATTACGTGCAGGCATGTTTATGGCAGGTGAAATATCTGTTCGCGAGCGATAGGCTCATGTCTCCTCCTCGAAAAGAAGGGACAGGGACTCTTGCTCTACCTTTGGTAAGTTTTCTGTTGCATCTAGAGGAACCTATCCCTTACACAATGCTTCTGTCGTAGGTCGGAAAGATGGTCAATGTCGCTAGGCAAATAGACCTCGGTAGTGACCCCGACGACGACGACCCCGACTTGACTGGTAGATCCAGCTCGCGGCCTCAGATGGTGGACAACGATGAGGAGCTCGAGATTGAGAAGAATAGAAGGCGACGGGTCTGGTGGGAGGTGGTTTATTATGACTTGTGAGCATTTTTACTCTTCGTCCTGAGGTTTCGACTCTTGTTTGCTTCTCCCGCGCGCCATACGCTCTTTGGATCGAAGCCACTGTGACAGGAAGTTGATGTTACCACCTAGATTCATTTCTGACTCCATGAACCACCCGCCGCTAATCGCACCAGCACACATTCCTATGCCACCATCGTCGATTTATCCTCTAACACCTTTACGGGAATACCTCAATAACCGCCAGCTCGATCCTACTTCGTTGCTCTACGACACCTCTGCTCCCTACACGACTCTGTTACCTAACTACCCTAACGACGGCGCGGATATTATGTCTGAATTTGAGCTTCGCTGTCGGTGCGTTGGGCATTTTGCCAATATTTATAATCCTAATGCATGGCTTTCCCAGCCTTGCGCAACTCGTCAAATTAATTCAGGCTCGTCTGTCAAGTGGCCGAGGATACTCCTTCGAGCAATTAGCGTCGTATGAGACTGACTTGCGGACTACTTTGGAGGCTTTCCGCGAAGACTGGAGCGGCGGCAGCGGCGAGGAAGATACCGCCAACAATGTCAATGCTGATGGTCCATCTCGAAGTGGAGTACGACCAACGGACCTCTCCAAGGCTGAAGCTACCCTCATCATCAATAAGCTGATTATTAAACTCTATCTGCCCTTCGTCCGCCCCAAAGTTCAACCGACAGAGGACGCTCACGAACGCTCATCCGCACGTCCCGTCCTTCATCAAGCCATCTACGGGCTAGTTAATGCTGCTCATGGTCTGCTCACTGCTGCCCAGACAATGGTTTCCCTGGCGCCATCCAAACCCTCCCTGGCCCCTCACATTGTTCTCGACTTCTATGATTTCGGACGCTTTGTCTTTGACGCCACCGTAGTGTGCGCTTACGCTCATTCGACGCAACCAACCGCTATGTGGGCTCCCCAAGCAAAGGAGGACGTCGCCACAGGGGCAAGTCTAATTGATTCGGAATCTATGAAGGAAATGTGGCACTCGGAAGATGGCATGCACGCTCGCACAGATCGTTCAACCTCGTTGAACTGGATCGAAGCGCATCTCATTCTGCGTGCGCTTCGAAAGAACTGTTGTGCACTTCGTGGTTCATCTTCATCTTCGGCATCTATTACAGTCAGTCCCGGTGCTTGTGGTTCGAAACGCAAGTTGGTAGAGACTCAGGCTAATCCCGAGGAACGGGTTCAGGAAGAGGTCGAACGAGAGGAACGAAATACAAGATATGAGCATCGACTTTCCAACGATCGTTCAATGCCCGTGGCCTCAAATCCCTATCCGCTCGATGTAGTCCCTAACACCCATGGCTACGATACACCCCCACTGGCAAATCCTCCTCCACAGGATCCTTTTCCCTCAGTGGGGGGCAAGCGGCGAGTCCCCGTGTCCACACCCATTGCATCGACAATAACACCCAATATCGGTGGGCAGAAAACGAAAATCAAGGCAAACAGGCCGCGGACAATAGTTCGCCATCGTATACAATTCCCCGAGCCGGTGCTAGCATCAGGCGTTCGTTCGAAAAAAGATAGATCGGTGTTTTCGCCCGCTGGTATTGATGGTGAAGGCTCACCGCACGGAGCTCCAGACCCTCCTCCTCCTGAGGAGGACGACTACGTGCAGATTAATTCGTATCGTTCCCGATCATCATCGCTCATGCAAGATGGGATACAGCATCCTTCACCCCAGCACCGCTTGGATTCGCCCAGTACAGGCCCCATTCAAGAAGCAAGTGCCCGCACAAGGCGCCCGAGTGACCATGACGCCCCCGTTGTCTCGGATATTCCAATGCTTTATGGTGCTTCCCCGACGTCATACGACTCTCCCTATGATACTTCTCGAGGCTCTGTAGATGCAGAGGTTTATGCTCCTTCGTCAAGTCCCTACGGGAATACCACGTCATCGAGTGGGCCTCTATCTGCTGCGAGTTCACCCTACACGCAGACAAGTGGGCAATCTCACAACGCGTTCAATTCCTCCCCCAATCAACGTAGCCCTGCCTTCGAGCCCTCGCGTAATCCAAGCACGGAGACTGCCACCTATTATGTGGCACCCAATCCACCTAACAACGCGCCGTATGAGTCGCAGTACGATAGTAGCAACATGCGTCACGGAGGCGCGCCGATGGAATACAACGCGCCTCACCCTGGGCATTATGGCATGAAAGTTGTGGGCGACGGTCCTCCACCTCCACCTCCACCTCCACTTCAGATGCACCCTATGTCGGTTCAAGCATCGCAGCATCGCTCATATGGTCAGCAGCAGGTCATGCCCAACCCACAAACCTCCCAATGGTCTGTCAACCCCATCCAAGATATAGGGATTTCGCAACAGCCTTCCAGTCATTACGGATGGCAAGAGCATAATTACTACTAGACGCCTCTCCTTCACGAACTTTCACGATCAGCATAACACGACCCGCTCCTAGATATCCCCCACTCTTTTATTATTCCCTTTGTCGTTCGTTCATACATGTATCATAGCGATTTTTGCATATATATATATTTGTATTATACGTCTTATCTGTCCATATAGCTTTCTGCACACTGTTACACAGGAAATTCAGAGGAACTAAATTATCGTCCTTTCACCGCACGTACGAACCTTAGAGATAGCTCAGTCTCAATCAGAAAGCGCTCTACAGAAGGGTAAGCGCAATTCGACATGCCTATGCCCCAGACTACGTTCAAACGCCAGAAGCCCATTGATACAAACCGTAAATTTACACCACGTACAGATCACCATGTATCTAGCTCTACTAGAACCCTACTTATTCACCCAAAGATACACGTTCCATAAGAAGGGAATTATAATCGCTATGAGTTGCTCGGACCGCCTACGAGAACAACCTAATGGTTTGGCCCTCCGCCCCAGCGAAGATGGCCGTGAGGAATAGCAAAGTTGCAAAAGCGAACCAACTTCCAACGAGGAGCTTGCACCCTATCTCCGATCGCTTTGCAGGCGCCTCAGCTTGCAAAAGACCACACTGAATGCCATTTTCAAGATATATGTCGTGTGACTGGGGTTCCCATGATGGCTGGGAGGGAAACGGCATGGAGTTGGCATCGTAGGAAACGCGGGGACCGAAGAAAGGTCTAATCGGTTTCTCGTTCATGGCCTCAGCGAGAGTTTGTGCTTCGAGACGGTTCAGAAACTCGTGGAGCAGTTGATATTTGGACGGCTGGGGGTGGGCGAGCTCCTCTGGAGTGTTTACGATTATGGGGACGGAGGTGTTGTCGGCGGACATAGTGATTAGACGGGGAGAATAATTAGGTAGTGCCAAGGGTGTCGATGAGTGAGGAGAGGGGTGAAATTAGAGGGAATTAATGGCTTGGCTTTGCGGGGCGGGGAGGCGCTGTAGGGAAGGCGACCGGAGGGCTTCGAGGCGGAGAAGTCCCGTTTTAATACTCAAGCCGGTCGCTTTCCGACTTCTGGCCCCGTACCTAAAATTACAACCAGATCCCTCCAGAGCTTCAGAGGAGGTAGGAATGTGTATTTTTGTGGTACTCCTAAAAGTCGCGGGCGTGTGAGCGACGGAATATGGAGGATATTACCAAAGAGGTTGTACCTGAGTGTGCACTGAAACTGAAGTGCGGAGGTGATCGATCGACAGCCGGCCTGGAGTTTTCACCGTCGGAATCGGTGAGCGTCTGTGAGCGCGCGGACTCCTACTGCCTGCCTCCCGAGCGCGAGCGCTGATCCAACGGTCCACAGGATCGATCAGCCATGAAGCTTTGAAGAGGCCAATCCCAGCACGTTGATTTTGATGTCTCATTTGGTGACCCTACAGTCCGCCATCGCCGGAAATAACAAACACGATATGCAGTACACGCCTCAGGCTCCCGCCCAAGTATTCTTGTGCGGAAACTGTTTCGTCTGCATGGTATTAACGGTGTTCCCGGGATGTGTTGTGCACATGCTAAGAGGTCGTATATAAGTTTTCGTGATTCGAACAATGGGTGAGCTACCAACCTTCACTATGCAAGCCCCGTACCCTTTGATTCCAGTCCCAACTATCTCTCAGGATGACTGGATGGACAAGCGAAAGACGCTGTGTTGGGACATGTCTCTTATTCACAACGTCTTCATCCGGAGCGTGAATACGATCTGGAATAATGCGCCGCTCGTGACGCCTCAAGACGAGGTGTCCTTTGCCGGGTACGCGCTGACGATGGCAGCGGCCATCCATACACACCATCACTCAGAGGAAACCATTGTCTTCCCTTTCCTCGCCACGAAACTTCCCATGGAAGAGAACATCGAACAGCATGAGCAGTTCCAGGCCGGTCTCAAGGAGTTTATCGCGTACTTCCAAGAAGTTTTCAACGGCAAGGCCAAATACGACGCGACCAAAACGCGGGAGCTGGTTGCATCTTTCGGTGGTGCGCTTGTGCAGCATCTGCACGACGAGGTACGCGTGTTTGCCGATGAATAGAAGGGGGTCTTGACGCGTCCATCTAGATCCCCACGATCTCCCCAGAAGCGTTGAGCGTCCTGGATACGGAAGGCTTTGACAAAATGATGCATGGTACGCTTTGCAAGGCTACTGTGCATTCGAAGGATTCGTCTAAGCTGCTCGTTCTAGAACTGGAGGAGCACATCAAGAGCGCACCTGGACTGTTCACCATCTTCCCCTTTACTTTGTCGAATCACGACTACGCGGCTACACCAAACTGGGTCAGTACACTGTCCATTTAAATCGTACATCACGACTTACATGTGAACTCCATCCCCGCAGCCGCCGATTCCAGGGCCTCTGTCGTGGTTTGTCAGACATATTGCGGTGTGGCGACATTCGAGGTGCGGGTCTGATCATCCCCTAACAAAGATTAGCTACTCACCCGCCCCCTCGCGTTCCCATAGTTATTGGAAATTTTCGTCGTTCGATATGGCGGGAAGGCCCAAAACGTACTCGCCAGGAAGATGACCGCGACGATACCGGTTGGCTTCAGAGTTTCGGAGTGCTTCTTGTTGCTTCTCCATTAGTCGATGATCTGTACACACCCTTTATGCACATCATGCACTAGAAAATATATTCAATGGGGACTTATGAAGCTAGGGCGAAGTCCATGAGTGGGCAATCAGTTAATTAATGGCGGAAAGACGAGCGGTAATCGTAACCACCCTTCCCGCCTTCTTGCTATATTAAGGATGGGGGTCGGGTGTTAAACTGAGACTTCATTGCGATCAGAATTGCGCCGTTTGCGCAAAGACTGCCGACGAAATTCCTAGCTGCCAGCGAGCGTTGGAGTCGGGGAATATTTGCTGTCGTAGCCTACATGAGTTATCAGAGTCTCCTATAAGTTCGCCCCTGAGTCGACGCGCCAGATCTGCTGGAAATGCTGATCCCATGGCGATAAATGGAACCAGTAGATAATCGGACAAATTCGCGGTCATGAACGGTGGCCAGGGCCCAATGACTAACTAGCGTAGGTCGCAGCGTTCCGGGATCGTTGAGACACGAATAAGTGGCATTCAATAACTGAGCGAATGCGACATAATGCAGTACTAAAAGTTTAGATATCTTGTACGATGATTCCAAAGAATGAAGTGCCTGAATAACAATTGGTAAGTGGTACGTCCTAGAAATATATCCAGAACGAAGGGGATGATTCAGTATTGCAGAAGTTGGGTCATCAGATGCACGAATGCATATGACTGTTGAGCTTGATAATGTGATTGGTATTCATCATAGGGAAAGCGAAGAACTATCACCAAATGTTGCAAAAACTCACCTACGGAAAGACTTGGAGGGGATCGAGACGAAATTTTACCGTCCAACGTTGCAAGCCCTTATATACTGTATTTCAACCCCCGACACCAACTCCCACGCTGTTCCATACACAATCACGACTCAACGCGACAAGCCGTCTATAATCTACTCTCAATTATGGCCACAATGGTGACAAGCCAACCTCAGGCTAAATCTAGGAGGGACAGAGACAAAGAAAGGAAGGACAAGACCCAAGTTCAAGTGTCCGCTCCTGGTGACCGACTGAAGACTATTGTCCGAAGATTACCTCCAAACCTTCCTGAGGATATTTTCTGGCAAAGCGTGCAGGCGTGGGTTACGGAAGATACTGTGACCTGGAAAGTATACTACCTGGGCAAAGCGAGCAAGCGGTAAGTGCATTGCTTTATAGATGCGGTGGGAAGCCATCCGCTCATTTGAGTTGTGGTAGCTTAAATAAAGAGAACGTGCCATCACGGGCGTATATTGCGTTCAAGGACGAGGAGACGCTTATGACTTTCAGTCGCGAGTACGACGGTCATATATTCCGGGATAAATCAGGTGCGTAGGGGACATTTCAGATCAAGCGAGCTTGGTATCAATGTCGGAGCATGTACGCTAGGCAACGAATTTCAAGCAGTAGTTGAATTTGCGCCGTACCAGAAAGTTCCTTCGGATAGAAAGAAAGTCGATGCAAGGCTTGGAACGATTGAGAAAGGTGAGCCGAAAATAAACACTCAAAGATTGCCGCTTTGGCTGACGCCTAAGACGTAGATGAGGACTATATATCATTTATCGAGGCCCTCGAAGCCTCAAAAAAGGCCGAACCTGTCTCTCTAGAAGCCCTAAGTACGTGCTCGACCTAATTGCTGGCATATATTCTGACTATCCTCGCAGTTGCATCGACACAACCAGCACCTATGCCTACAACAACGCCCCTGCTGGAGGCCCTCAAAGCAGAGAAGTCAGCGGCCAAAGATAGGGAGGCCATCCTACGCAATCACGCCCACTACAAAGAGATTGCCTCGAGGAAAGAAGACGCGAAGAAAAAGGCTGCTGCGAGTCAAGCCGCCCGGCAAGATCCTCCCCACTTGGCTTCTGAGACCTCTAGTGGCAAGCGAGGGAAAAAAGGCGGTGCCCCTCCGCTAAAGCAAGGACCCCCGCTCACGAACGCGCAGCCGGTGAAGCCGCCTCAGATTCAGACCAAACCCCCTCCAAATACTTCTCCCGCTAAGCCACCTAAGGCATTCAGGAGCCGTGGTAAGCAACAAGCTCCAGTTGAAAGCAACTCCTCGACATCTACTCCTGCGTCGCAAAGCACCAACAACGAGGTATCGAAAGTTCCAACGGCTGGACCGTCTCAACCGCAGGCAGCTACTACATCCGCCCAGCCACCAACTGCACCTCGCAGAATGAGACTCGGTTTGGCTTCGAGACAATTTGAAGCTGCCCTCAGCGGCGTCGGCGTCAGTCGTAGGCGCGATAGAGAAGACAAAGCCGATTCCCCTGCCGGAGAAGGTCCCAGAGATGGCGTTTCGGATGGCGCGCAAACCCCCATACAAGCGGCAATCCCTTTGTCACCCCGCAGTCCCAAACGCGAGCGCCGGCGCAAGGAAGATGGCGCTTCGGCGGGTGGCGGCGGCCCCAATGGGGCGGGGGTCCCGGGGATACTGCAACGTATCGATGCCCCTCAAGCGCAAGGGAATATAAATGCCAGAATCGATGCTGCTCCACCTCCTCCTAATTTCGGGCCTCCTGCTAGAGGTGGCGCGCCAAGGGGCAGAGGCAGAGGACGAGGAAGGGGCGGTTCTGTCCGTGGAAGCGGTTGAACGGCACTTGAAAGGAAAAGAACAAATGATAACAGGCATCCTCCTTTCCTCCCAGAGAAGGAACTACACGTACACCCTCCCCTACTCTAACCTAGTCTGCCAGCAACGCGACGGCGCCGCGACCAGCCGAAGCGTCAACCTATCATTACGCGCCCTCAGCAAGACATGCTTCGCCTGCCTCCTTCCCGAACGCCAAGTTTATGTCCTATATTCACGGTTAAGTCCTATAACGCTTGGGCAGCAGACGTGTAGCCCTACATTCCTTGTCTATCTCACGGATTCCGATCCCTCCTGCAATCGAACTCTACAGTCAGATAGTTCATGCCTCGGGCGAAGTAAGAAGCGGGACGATTCAGTGATTTATCAGATTGATCTACGTTCCTGGCGAACACGTACAGGCCAAGCTCAATAGTTAGGATCGCCATTATCATGTTTGAGCGTCCTTCCGACTGCTTCATGTGCGAGAAGGTGCGAAAGAGCCTTGGGAAGAGCTCGCCTGATTTAACAATCCTCAAGGTATCTTCACCCTCCTTCACCTGCAACAGGCGTAAGTTCACGAGGTGAAATTGGCGTTGGTGCACGCAAGGCCGATATTGCGGCTCGGGATTCATAGAGGGCGCCGTCCTCTTCGGTTTGTTTGATTTTGCGGTTCTGAAAAGGGCAAATTTAGAGGCTCATCGAAACAAGGTTCAATCAAGCATTTTAGCGCCTACAAACGCCATCTCACGGTCATTTTCGACAACTCTTGTTGAAGCTTGACACCATCCAAGAAATGCTTGTCATTCAACGTACGACTTCCGGGTCTTGTCATCATCTGTGATAGTGTCTGCATAGGCAGACGACGTCGGGACAAAGCATAACAATGGTTTGCGTCAACCTCCCATCAGTTCTACTTCCTTTGATTTCTCCGGGTTGAAGTGAGAACCCATTCTGTATGGTCCGAGAGCCGCAGAATCGCAGTACCGTGAGTGTTCGGTCCTTTCGTCGTTCCCATAGTGTCCTGATCAAACTGAATATACTGCGATAGGAAACTAGGTTTGCCCTCCTTTGGGACTAACTTTCGGTGCGCTGGCAGTTGGGGGGCACCGATAAGACAAACACGACGAGCAGTAGCTGTGTAAACTGTTAGAGACGAAATTTGGCAGCAACGTCAAGCGGTTCCCTTGCAGCTGCGGCAGGCGATTGCACGCACATCTCAGGGGAACAACATATCAGAACGCTATAAACGCCGGAATAACAAGTGCCAAGCTCGCTTGTTCCCTGACACCTACCACGCGACGTACCTGCAATGATTTCAACTCCGTCCGTTAAAGATTTCGCTGATATTCGCACCTCCCCTCTTCTCCTCAACGTTCATCGTCCTTCTTCCCCTGTGCAAATTTTTGGTCGTTTGCCTCGGTGCAACCCACTCCACTCGCTCAAACCACCACACTCATTTACTTTGAATAACCACCAAGATGTTCTCCTCCGCCCTTGTCATCCTCGCCCTCTCTGCTTCGGCTCTCGCCAACGTTTTCGTGAGTTCAGCAGTTCTAATAATGGGTATGTGATTGACGGAGGGATTTGTAGATTACCTCGCCCACCGCTTCAACAACTTTCACTGGTGGAAAGGAAGCCACCATTAGCTGGCAAGATACCACTGATGCGCCCAGCCTCAAGGACTTTGGCCTCGCTACTGTCTCTATCTACGCTGGCAATGCCATCCAGCAGGTGTGTCAAAATCATTCGTATATTATTCAAGGAACGATCAATTGACTTCGCAAAAGACGAGCCTTCAACTCATCGTTGACAATGTGGATGTCTCAACCACCTCCTCAATCAAATTCACCCCCAACCCCCAAATCGGCCCCAACAGCGACCAATACTTCGTCCGTATTGAGTCGAGGAACTTGAAGGATGCTGCTCAGCCCCAATTCCCCGCCCTCGCGTTTTCCGCCAAGTTCAAGTTTGTTTTTTTGTCCTTATCTTACTCGCTTCCCATGCTTATTCGCTCGCACAGAATGGACGGAATGACCGGTACATTCAGCCCCGCCGTTCAGGCCCAGATCGCAGGACAATCCACTGCTCCTCTCGCAGGAAGCACACCAGCAGCCACGGGTGCACCTGCCGCCTCATCAGCCGCTGCCTCCACTACCAAGAGCGGCTCTTCCACTCGTGCAGCAACTAGCACCGGTAGTGCCCAAGCCGCCACCCAAACCGATGGTGCCATTGCTCTTGGCTCGTCCGCCAAGATACTCGTCGCTGTTGTCGTCGCTGTCGCCGTTGCGCTGTGCTAGTAGCCTCCATCAATTCATATTCGTTTTCCTCCCGAGGGCTTAGCACCGCCACCCCACACCCGGCCTATCCCCCGTCCCCAAACCCGATTAAGATTAAGATGACCTTTCCGAGTTCATGATTACGATAGCCATTTTTACTGACAGATGGCCCATCTTTTCTGTCGATTTTAGAGGGGGTTACACTCTTACATTCGTTTTAGGCGGAACCGTTACGCTACTTACATCCCCGGGCCTTCTGCTAATCTCTCTACTTCGTCGTTTTCTTCTGGTAAAGAACCAATTGTATCTGCTTATATCCTCCGTTTTATCAACCACATCTGGTTCCGTCAGTTCCGTGCTTCGAAATGTGATTGTAAACCCAGTTGGAGTGAGTTCGACCCGTCAGAGACGATCATGACCTCAGCTCGCCTCGTTGAGGAGTTCCCAGGTCCTATATAACCACACTTCTCAACTTCTCAACTCTTTCCCGCCGCTCTATCTACCAGCTGCGCTAGGGATCTACTGCCTGTAAGAGACACCGACTCTCAGGCATTGACAGTAACCGGATGTGATTGGCAAACCCTATAGGACCTAATAACTTACGAAATACCAATAATGCACCCAGCTGCCAACCGTTTGCTCGGCTTTTCGAATCACATTTGCAGGACTACGAGGAGCCCAATAGCGGGTGCGGCGTTCACGACGAGCAGCAAGCAACGTTTAGCGCAATTCTCATCCATGCCGAGCCTTCCGAGTTCTTCACCATCACCGTCGACGGCGCCACCTCCGAGTGTCTCAGCCTCGGACTCGGGGCCGCTGAACAACGTTCAGGCTAACTTTGACGTCTCACCAATGCCACAGAACCCTTTGGGCGAGGGGCGGTATATCCGGACGGCGGCTGCGTTGATAATTGGGTGCGCGGTATAGTCGCGTGGCTGTAAACTGACGAAGACCTAATTCCGAAGGGTGTTGCACATTGGGGGCATGCAGAGACGAAATATTAAATGGCAAGACGCACGACAAGAACTCAAACTATTTCGCCCGCTATTGTTTTGAGCAGGGGATCGAGTTGTATGTCTGCTTCTGCTAATACGGTGGCCCGTGGGGGACTAATGCTAGGACAGGAAGCGGATAGAAGTCATCGCAGATGATGAGGCAGAAATGTACGTTCACGCCCTGGTCTGCGATATAGGAAGAGGCCGAAGGTTGACTGGCGGGACGTTCTAGCATTGAAGCATCGCGGCGAATGGTACGGAATTACGACTTCGTTATAACGAGCGGCGGAATAGGTCCTACACACGACGGTAAGACCATGCATCACTACGCACGATAACGGCCCCTGATTCGCCTATCGTTTGCTGTGATGGAATAGACATAACATACGCATCTCTCGCAAAAGCATTCGACCAACCCCTCGCCCATCACCCAGAATGCCTCCGCCGAATGGACGAAATGATCAGACACCGCCCGTGGGTCGCCACTCAGAACGAGGAGCAGCGCGAGGCAACGAGGCGAATGGCGCTCTTCCCCTCCCAAGCGGAAGTGCTGTTCATCGCTAAAGATGTCTGGGTGGTGCGCCATAATTCCCCACTTCGTTCTTCATTCCTTCTGGTGTGAACTGTGAACTAACTTTTGTTTGTTCTGTGCAGCCTGTTGTACGGTTGGAGGGGAAACTGTGTATCTTTCCAGGAATACCGGCTCTATTCCAGAAGATGATAAACGGGCTGACACCTTTCCTCCCCCTGCCTCCCCTTTCCGAAAAGCCTTTACGCATGCAGATCTTTACCTCGTATGACCACGATCCATCTGCCTATGCCGTCACTCAGGCTCATGATCCTATTTATACAGACGTCCTGAATCACTCATTGCACCGTACCTGACTGCACTCCAAGCGCGAATGAAAGCTCACGGAATCCAGGTCAGTTAATGATTCATTTCGCTCCGAACTCCCTCATCTCAACAATGTAACACAGGTTGGCTCGTACCCGGTCCTTGCACAAGGCGTATACGTGTCGTTGATCGGCCGGGATCGCGACAAGGTGCAGGACATAGCTAAGGAAGTAGAGACAGAGGTCGGAGGGAAAATCGTGACCGAGGAGGAGGTTAAGCGACGCAAGGATGATAGTAAGCAGCAAGCTAAGATATAAATGACTTTTCCCGTAGAGCTGCAGAGGCTTTGTATTTATAATTTCTTTCTAGTAGATTTCGCTCGCAAGACGGTATCATTGGACGAAGATGAATAAGGCATCACTTAAGCCTTTGACATTTCAACGTCAACCATCATGGGTCCATTCGCCTCAATGCCTCAATTCCCCTCCAAGATGTACTTGCAATACCGGTACCCCCGGGTCTGAAACAACGCTGGACAGTAGTCCGGCACGCTCTTCACCTCCACGAGTCGCCGGCTGCACGCAACATTGGAATGGATGCTCAGGATGTTTTCCTCGGAGGCACCCATGATACATACAATGGTCATGACATATCGCTAATACCTCAGTGGACTGACCTCAAAAGACTCATGTGTCCAATTGCCGTATGCTTTTCGATATAATGGTGAGACATGTGGCTTACGCGGCCTTGCGAAGTTGCCAGCATCGAACTTAATCAACGATATCCTTAGGGCGACCTGCCAGCGGAGTGTGCACCTTGACTCAGTGGAAGAAGGCATGGAGAAAGCCTGCTTGAGTTCACCGTCTACCGGATGAACAAAGTATCCAATCCATCATCAATGCACCAATGTTTCACGGTTCACTATCACATTCATTCATCTCGGCGAACAAATGGCGAGAGGCGCTGAACTTCGGCGTTGTCATCTTGCTCAGCGGGACGTGCGAAACCGCGCTCCTGAACCGGGGCCGACACATCTAGTATTACGATCATGAGTCCCATGGGATTCAGATGCTATAAGTACTGACAGAGTAGCGGTTTCGAAGCGTACTTCCGGTGTTTTCCGTTTTTCCTATTAATACCGCCTGCTTTCTTCACAGCGTCCCAAGCACGCCCTCCATGGCTACTAACGACACTATCGACCTCTGGGATGAACCCGAAACCATTGACATAGGGAAGGGGCTGACTATGGTCCGTGATCCTATGAATACGATGGACTGCACGTGCTAATCCCCTCAGCACGTCTGTTGTACAATATACTTATACTAGACGTTCCTTCGCAATTCAGACTATCTCACAAGGGTAGTGATGACGGCAGAACACGACGACTTTCAAGTTCCCTTGCATTACCACGAGACTCACGATGAGATTTTTCGTGTTGTGAAAGGGCGTGTGCGATATACATTAGGCGAGCCAGGAGCCAAGTTCAAGGCTTGGTCGCGGCTGCGTGCTACGACACGCTTTTACACTCCAGAAGACGGAGAGATAGTCATTCCAAGAGGCACCGCACACGCCGTCTTCGTGGAGGCTGGAGAGGAAGTCATTGTGGAAGAGAAGACAACACCAATGGTTGGTCTAAATATTCCACGGGTGTGTTGAGATAACGTACGGCTTGCAGGATGAAGGCAAGGAAGTATTCTTCAGGAACTTCTTCGCCGCTGGTGGAGCCACAGCCAATCCGTTTGCTATCATGCAAATATTCTACCACGGTGATGGTTATCCTGTTCTCCCCGCTGGCCTTCGTTTCCTTGAGAAGGGGGTATGTATTGTCTATCCGCCTTCGTTTCAAGCTGAGAGCTGACATGAGTTACCTCTTCTAGCTCGTGACCATTTTGGGAAACTACTTAGCCCCGTTGTTTGGTTACAAGCTGAAGTACGATGCAAAGAAGCTGAAGAAGCATTGATACATCCGCTGTGTGTGCCATCCTGTCCTGTAACACCTCCAACCCCAGCTTTCCATATAACCCCTTTCCTCCCCTTTCCAATCTATCCCAGGGGTTCATCTGGGCTTTATCCCGGCTGTCTGCTCCTACTCCACGAATACTCACCGCCAATGCGGATCGATGCTTAGCCAAGTCTGAAACTGAAACCCGATCGTATCAATCAATTCAGTCAGACCATGCATCATGGGGCCTTCTTAGACATGGTGGGCTTACAAACAGTGAGATAAAAGCACTCTAAGATGTGAGTATGTTCACGTTATGTGACCATCGCCACTTCAATGGTCCAATGGGTACTGCAGATGCTGACCTGTGGGATGAGCCCGAAACCATTAACTTAGCGAAAGGGATCCTAGTGGTAGGCTGGCACTTTTGTCCCCTCTTTAATTCAGCAATGATAGATTAGCATAGATTTCAAAGACCTCCGTAACTCGGACTATCTCACCAGGGCGGTAATGTCCGCGGAACACGACAACTCCAGTGCCCCCAGTACCACGAGACTCATGATGAGATTCCCGGATCATTAAAGGGCGTGTGTAGTATCTCCGTGCTACGACTCGTTTGTATACTTTGGATGGAGAGCATGATCATTCCAAAGGGCACCACACATGCCATTCTCGCGGAGGTCGGAGAGGAGGCTGCTGGGGAAGAGAAAGAAGTGTTCAGAAACCTGTTCGCTGCAGGAGGTCCAGGGGAGACCAATACGCACGCCTTGACGCAGATATTCTACCACGGCGACGGATACCCCGTGTTCTGGGCGGTGTCCATTTCATTGGACAAGCAGTACGTTATATACTCAATTTCCATGACTTCCTCAAATTCTAAATTCTGCTGACTGCTGCGAACTCGCAGATCATCAAGATTCTGGAAAATCGCATCGAGCTGTTGTTTGGCTTCAAGTTGAAGTGAAGCGTAGCGATTGACGAACTCATCACTTGTCCATATGACTCAGCGCAAAATCCATAATCTCAACGTCTTCTACTGAAAGGTATCTCAAGTATACTTACCTTGATACCACTGGGTAGAAGCATATTTTCGGACTCGTACCACATAAAATGCGTTGGTGTATCAGAGAAAGGCGCGAATCCGATCTTGTTTCGAGCTTGAAACGAAGGCCAATAGGAGCTAGGAGACCATGGATAGGGGTTGCTCAGACTGGCACCAGTACAAAAGCCAAGAATCGACACCAAGTCCATACACTGACAGTCCCAAAGTACATATCCATAATTCACAACAGTCGGGTATAATTACAACTAGTCTACAGGGTTCGAAAGTTCGTTGATACTATGAGAGAAGAAAATAGCGAAACTAATGATAAAGTTACATGAATCACTCCGTGACTTCCCTAGCACCGAGACCCAGGCGGCTCATCACCCTCTCCACGCCACCCATCCCGAGTAGCGAGCTCGGCGTCTGGGGAGTAAGGGACCCGTGGCGGCTCTCTTTTTCGTATGTGCGTGAGTTCGTGCGCACTCGCGAAGATGAAGGGGTGCACTTCGCAGCGGAAGAGGAGCGTTCTCCATCGCGAGGCGTTTCAAGGATCTCATCATCTTCGGAGCGCCACTCTGGGCCCAAACGCGGGGAGACGAGATATACTTCTTTGCGGGGGTGTTCGGACTCCCCAGGTCCAGATGGAGTGGCGGTGTGTTTGCCGCCCGTATGAGCAGCGAGCATAAGAGTGGGGGGAGAAAGGCTTAGCCTCTCCGCGGACGTCGAAGACGTGATCCTCGGGGAGGTCGAGATTGGGAGCGTCGGCGGCGTCAAGCTGGCGCTGATTTCCAACAGCATCGACGCAGCAGAGTCCTCATCGGGCGTATGGGGGCCGCTCGCACTCGTGAAAGTGCGATGATCTCTCGTGGTGTTGCGGGCATCTAGGAGATCACGCGATGAGCCCATACCCGATGGGTGGGACTTGGCTGCCTCAACTTACCGACGGTGTATGCTTCTCCAAGGTTCAAGGGCGCAGGGACATCGTTGTGGCCGGCTCTTTGAGATAATGGATAGAAGCGTGTTGAAGGCGGAGGAGAGGGTAGGTATGACCCCGAGTGCGGTGCTGCTTGCATGGCAGAATATTTCTTGGACTCTGGGTCTGCAGTACTGTAGTCTTCTTCTACCCTTTGAGAAAGGGCGCGTAAAGCTGGGTCAATGTTTGCCAAGGGCGTATTTGGGGAGATCGGGGGAACGCCTGGCGAGTCTAAGGGAGCAACCGTGTTCAACCAAGACGATATGGAAGGAAGACGAGACGTGCGCGTGTAGCGAGAATGGTGGCTAGTGGAGTTGATGGTAGGGTCGCTTGGATGAACAGCACTAAGAGAGGAAGGACCGTTGAGAAGGTCAGTCAACTGGTGCGGGAGCGCAGCCGCAAGGCTATCGGACGTGTAGGCTTCAACATGTCGCTTCTTTGACCTTCTTTGGTCATCGTTACGTGAATCGTCTTGTATATCATCGCAGGCTTCATTCCGTCTCTTTCTCTTCTTCCCCTCACTCGTTGGAACAGGGGCAGACGACACGTCGTCGTCAACGTCGCGAGCGCCCTGCTGGGCGGCCTCCAGAACGCGAATCCTCTCTAGTAAATCCTTCATGAACGATACAGTTCTGACGAGGATCTCCAACTTGAACTCCTTCTCTTCCTTCTTTCCCTTCTTGCCGCCTTTCTTGCCCTGGTCTGCCTCGTCCTCTTCATCTTCTTCGTGGGTGCGACCGTAGTCCGCTGGGATGAGCTCACGCAAAGTCGCCAGCGCATCGTTGATCTTGGTTCGCCTGGCCTTCTCGATAATCGAATGGTTCAACTTTCTCTGCGCCTCACGCGCGCTTCGAGATAGGCCGCTCGGCTTTCTTCCTCGACGAGCGGGCGGCTGTGTCAGACACATCAGTCAACGCACTCATGGCTAATTGAGCAACACTCACGGGTGCACTGGCCACAGCGGGTTCTGCTTGCGCAGATGAAGCAGGGCCCTTCCTCGGAAGAATGGGAGTAATGGCGGTACGATCTGCTCCATGGGGTGTGCCACTCGTGTGGCCAAAGCTTTGGCTGCGTCCCAGGTCGACTCCGGGATGGAAGTCCGAATCCTGGTCCGAGTCTTGCCCAGCGTCCGAGTCTGAGTCCGACAGGATGTGCCTTTGCGGCGGGGCGAGCTGTTTTGCCCGTCGCGAGGGATTGACGCTTCCGATGCTTGTGGGCATGGTGGATGCTCGGTGGAAGGGGGGACGTCCGATAGGCCGAGCTGGGTAAACTAATATAGTGGTGGCGATAGAAAACGTCGAAGAATGTGTGTCGTTAGGCTTGAAATGATTCCCAGAGTCCGCATAGTGGTAGGACCGTGCATCAGGGAATTGCTCGTGTGCCAGCTCGATAAACGTGCACCAGCGTCCGGGGAAGTGCATAGCCCCTGTCTCTCCCTGGGCCAACGGGCCAATCATCGGCGCGGGAGCATGGTCGTGTGCTAGGAACGCGCGCGCTAAGCCTGGCAGACGCGCAGCTCGGCACCGCCACCATTGGTTGGCGACGCACGTTCGAGCAGGGGCTGATCCAATGTTCGTGTCCCGCTTACTATGGGGAAGGATAAAGCCCGGAGAAGGAGATAAGCGATGGCGAGAAATAGACAGCTCAGCTAGATCCAGCATGATCAGGTCACTAGAAGCTTTGTGAACGTTGGTGAGGGTTCGGCCAAGGCATGAGGATCGTCTCAGCAGGAGGGTCTTCGCTGGGGCACCGTGAGACGACTAGGCAGAACGATGAACAATGCCTGAGAACGACTGGACGGGTACGGGCTCCAGGCCAGGATCACCACGGTGATAGCCAGTCGAAGTACTGTCACGTAGCAGGTCCTGAGATGCACGACGAAAGATGATGGAACCTGACGTACGAATGGACTACACAGATGGTTTACTTGGCCAACTGACGACTCATTAAGGTGCGACCAGAACATAAAGCTACGCCTATCGCATACGCAGGCAATTCTTCTCATGAGAAAGCTGGAAAAGCTTCGTGTGGAACAGGATGCGGCGTTTGCCGTCAACCCCTGAATAGCCCCTAGTACCTAGCAACGTGACTGGACTTCGCACGTGGACAAAGACTTTAGATTAGCGCCCTCTCCTCAGCACTACGAAACTTCCAAAATGCCTCCCAAAGGTTCAAAACGAACGAAAAAGACAGCGAAGGCGAAGGCTACAGAGGCTGTCCCCGAAGTAACTGAGGAGCAACCCATTCCCCCAGCCGAACCCCCACAGGAAGAGGCGCCTCCCGCCCAGCAAGAGCCGCCTGTTGCAGAACATGCTAATGTCCCAGTGGCCCCAGCCCCAGAGGGCAATACTGAAGATGTGGATATGGGCAACCCCGAGCAACCTGAAGACGCCGTTGTCGGAGCTGAGGGTGAAGGGGCTACTACGGAGGTTGAGTCCACGAAGGAGAAGTCCACCATGACTATGGAGGAGCGGAAAGCTAAGCTCGACGCACTACGGAAGAAGATGGTGAGTAACGTAGCACTATATACAAGACATAGCTGACGCAGAGAGTAATTCTTCAGCATGCTTCATCGAAAGCCAACCGACAATCATTAGTAGAGGAATCCGCGAGACAGAAAATCAACGCTCGTGAGGCTGCACGGCTGGAGCGACAAAGGGCCCTTGCGGAAACTCTGCGGACAAAAGCGGATGCTGAGGAGCGCGGCGAGGATATTGAGCGAGCGAAGAACTGGGAGTACACGATTGAGGAGAACGATGAGTGGGAGAAGAAGCTTGCACGGAAGAAGAGACGAGCGGATTTCGAGTTCCACGGTGAGTGGCCACGTACTCGTAATATTTCAAAGATATTGAGCATGAAACTGGCCTGTAGATGATGCCCACGCCGCGAGACGACGATACAAGAAAGACCTGGACCACCTTAAACCTGACCTCGAAGCCTACAATAGGCAAAAGGAAATTGCCCTCGGACTTGGGCCAGGAAGTCTCATAACTGGCTTCAACCCCACACAAGGTGCCTCATCATCTCAGCTCTTGCCGACATCACAGCAGCAACAACTCGCCGCCGAGAATCTCTACCGCGATGCCAACACACTTATTTACGGCGATAATAAGCCTACGGAGGAGGCCATAGATCGTGTGGTTGGTAAGATCAACAGAGAGTGCGTGCTTTGACTGGGATTTGTCCGAATTGTTGCTGACCTGGCTGATTAGTGTTGACAAGAAGAGCAAGTTCTCGCGCAAACGGAACAACGAAGAAGAAGGCGACATCACATATATCAACGAGCACAATCGGGTGTTCAACAAGAAGGTCAGTGATCCCATCCTCAACCGGTGATATACAACATACTGACCTTGCCCTCGTGTAGATTGCAAGATATTACGACAAGTACACTGCCGAGATACGCGCCAGTTTCGAGCGTGGTACTGCTTTATAATCTGTTCGTCTTGGACATTATGGGCCAAGCTTCCTGTCCTTTCGATATAGACCTCTCATCTCATGCTTTTGTTCTGTATCTTAGGGATGTATTTTATATAATCGTATGCAGCTCGTGAAGACGGTGACGGTTGTAGGCTGCTACTGCGTGATCATCGATCAGCTGTTGATCCGACATATACTCAGTCAACCGACCACCTTGTATGCGATGACCGGGCCCTCGCGCTTAGAACGGAACGTTCATCGGCAGACTTGCGTATCCTGCAATACAAGTCAGGGTTGCGCAAGTCCCGCTGATTCTGGCAGTGCATTTGTACGAGCATGACGAACATGACATGCATCATCGGCTATGTGGTGGGAGTTTGTTTGTCGAAGAACACTTCTCACTGGTCGTCGCCAAGGAACTTTCGGGCATGTGTAGTGGAAGCTGAAACCCTTGTGTCGTCCATGTCGTTTGATGCTAGCAGGTGTTCGTTCGAGACCGTTGTTTCCGTATATAAATTCTAGCATGGCCAGCAAATCATCGCTCACCCCGCATTCCTTTTCGTTCTTCAAGCTCAGGCTTCCATCCCTGACCATACGGCCGTGCCTTGTGGTTACTTTTTGAAGCTGTATAGCTTGGTTCAGGTGACCAGTGCTAAGTGCCCTACGCGTAGCTCATCCGGAAAGCGCGCACGGTGAGCCTAGAAATACGTTAATGTCCCGTTCCCCGGACTGACCATCTTGATATAGATAGTCACGGCGATCCCGGGGAAAGTCCTATTTATTCTACTCGTCCAATTCTTCCCTCCGTAATTCCTCCCCTCATAAATCCCCCGGGTTCCCTCTGATGTGGTTCGGAATGCGTTCGTCGACGTGTCTGTCCTTACTCCTCCTGTCCACCTCGTCGCTCCCTGCACATGGTCTTCCCGCCCAGCAGAGGGCCATATTTCCTTCCATCGGTCCTCTGGACGATGTTCTGCTTTTTGACGCCCCCGCATTTGTAGATGGAAATAATCTCGTCGCAAGCGTCCAGGCCTTCGTATCGCTTCGCCAGATCAACCTCACTCCGTTCCTCTCTGCAGTGCAGTCGGCTATTGAAGACGCGTTCGACCTGGACATCGGTAACAAAGTGGCACAAGTGGAGGAACGTCTGAGATTGTTCGCTGCCATTGGTCAGTCAGGGAAGGATGTTAACGTGAAGGTCGGCGGATGCTCTGCAGCGGCGAGTGGAAGTGGAGCAAGTGTAGGCAAGACAAGCAAGCTGCCTGATTTGGGAATGGTGCTAGGAAATGTACCTTTGGGGAGCTGTGCTCAGCAGAACGGCGCCCTCACTGGTGCCGTAGAAGACAAGGGCACCATCATCACTGACGCAAGGAAGTTTGAGAATACAATCTTTGCCTCAGGACCGGACGGGTTTGGCGTTATTTCCGGTAAGATTATCTGTACACCATAACCCCGATTGGCATGATTCTGAGCTTGTGGTAGACATCGACGATACGGTGAAAATCACCAACACCCTTGACAAACTCGGAGTTGTCAAGTCCACCCTCCTTGATGATCCTAAACCCGTCCCGGGAATGTCCTCCCTCTACGCCTCCCTAACTAAATCCCTTGCCACATCGGCACCCCCTCAATTTATCTATGTTTCTGGCTCCCCCTTCCAGCTATACCCGTTCCTCCGCTCATTCATCTCCACTTCGTTCCCCCAATCGCGTGGCCCGCTGTTGCTGCAGAATCTCACTCTGATCGACATACCTGGGCTGCTGGATTTTGCGAACAGCGATGGGATATTTGAGTATAAAACGGAGATGATTCAGAGGATTCAGAGTTTTTACCCAGCCAAGAAGTGGTTGACGGTTGGTGATTCAACGCAGAAGGATCCGGAGACATATGCTAATGCGTGAGTTGCCACTTATTTCTCCCTTGATGTGGACTGCATACTTAAATTCACTGTGCAATAGCTTCAGAAACTTTGGACCAGACTTCATTGCATGCATCTGGATCCGCCGCGTTGACGGTGCAGATAACTCTGATGCTCGGTTCGCAGAGGCTTTTCAAGGTGTTCCGCAGGATAAATTTAGGATATTCAGTGATGAGGACATACCTAGCCTGGAGAGTATAGATGTCAAGGGAGGCAAATGTTGAACCCTCAGCACTCGGTATTCGGCCAGGCGAATGTGTTCGTGCCTGTTCGTCCCCGAGCTTCCCCTTAGCCCCCTGCGTTCATGAGGATTAATTAGTTTTCGCCGGTACCTCGCTTTCTCGTGCTATATTAGCCTTTGATCTAGTAATTGACTATGGGAGTGGATGTTTGTAGTTCAAGCGAGCCCAAACTGATTCCACGGGCAGCAGTCGCTCATGCCCCTACGGCAGTTCGGAGATGTACCTCTTTCGGAGTTGCGGAGATCCAATATGGCTGTATATATAAAGTTGCCAAAAATGGCAAACTAAAAATCTGAAAACCTCTATCGTCCGTGCCCCATGAATGTGAGTTCCTCCTCGAGTTTTCGCGTCTTGTCCGCGCTGTATTCCCGCATCATCGTGATGAACAAAATCTTATTCAAGCTCAACAGTCATATGCATTCGTGCGTTTGATGATACAACTTCTACTTTTCTGATCTTTTCTTTCTAAGCATTTTCTCCGTCCAACGAATGAACGCTGACTGGCCTTTGTCTTCAGGTATTGCTTCAAGCTCCGTCGGTACGCTACATAGTTAAGCATCGTGTATACCAGCACGATAGTAAAACGATCGAATTTGAATAATCTACCATCCTCCTTCGGGGATACGTAGTGAGACCTGCCACATTTTACATAACGATCTACGTTCGTGGCACAGCCCAATCCGCTCCGTCGACCACCCTTTGTTCAAAATGCTGAGAGTCCTTGCTTCTAACCACGACAGAGTGACAAAAAACGCGAGTTCATGGATTTCACTCACGTTGGCGCCGCCCTCGCTGTTGGCATAGCTTCTTTTCTTGTAATGAAGGGCACCAGCAGACCTGTTGGTCGGCCACCTTCGAGTTATCCCTTTCGAGAACCAGGATGCTACTTTCCACGCTTGGGCGAAGGAATACGGCGAGTACTGGACTTTCTTAGGAAGTGTGCCTACTCGCTGACACGTCAGTAATCATAAGGCGATGTGATACATCTAGAGGCATTAGGAAACCATATAGTAGTTCTCGATAGCGTCGAAGCAGCCAATGACCTCCTGGAAAAACGGAGCGCAATTTACAGCGATAGGCCCCATATACTTGTCTTCGACATGTGAGGCTGTCACCAGATATTTCCTGAGGTTCGGCGTTCTGACTGTTATGTGTAATGTCACTGCAGGGTTGGGATGAACGATATAGTCCTGATGCCATACGGCGAAGCTTTCCGAAAACACAGGAAGTTCGTTCATTCCACCATCACCAAGCGAGCGATCACTACTTTCCAGCCTGTTCAAACCAAGAATGCTCGCGCTCTGGCTCTGAACCTTTTGGAGAACAAGAACCGGCATGAAATGTTTTTCAACATGTAAGTGCTATATGTGTCGAGCCTTCCGACGCTGTCTGACCGGCGCGAGTTTAGGTTCGCCACCAGCGTCATTACCGGCATCCTCTACGGGCACCAGGTCGTTTCCGAGGACGATGAATACATGAAACTAATGGACCACCAAAGCATGATTGCTGTAAATCTTGGCCAGCCTGGAGGGGCGCTCCTGGATATCCTTCCGTTCCGTGAGGCATTCTTGTAGATCGGAGAAATCGACTTAACCCACTCATTGTCCATCCAGTACAATATCTGCCCGCTTGGTTCCCTGGAACAGGACCCGCCATTAGAGCACGGGAGTGGAGGCCCATGTTCAGACGTGTTTATGATTATCCTTATGAACAGGTGGAGAAGAAAATGGTCGGTGTCAGTATACACACGACTTGAGCCAAGTTAAACTCGCTTTACCATTGTAGGCCGAGGGGGTTGCAGGAGACTCAATACTCGCTCGAGTGTTGGCGAAGTTTTCTACCAGAAATTCTGTCCCTGAAGAAGAGATTGAATATGTCAAACTGGCGACCGGTGCGATGTATCGAGCTGCCGTAGAGACAGTATGGTCTTTCGTCCTCACATTGGTCGGTCATTGATGTTATTCTTAGACTTGGTCTACGATCGCGGTGCTATTTATGACCATGATCTTATACCCCGAATGTCAGAAACGTGCTCAAGAAGAAATCGATCGAGTCATCGGGTCCGAGAGATTACCAGAGTTCGAGGATAAAGATTCATTGCCGTACACCACTGCTCTTGTTCATGAAGTTTTGAGGTAAGACCTTGATTGATTGTCTGCCCTCTACTCACTGCTCTGAAGATGGCATCCTGTCATTCCTTTAGGTATTCAAACTTTCGTCTCTTATCACGGTGATGCCCAACCCTCGACGTAGCCATACCTCATCGATCAGTCCAGGACGATGTATACAAAGGAATGTTCATACCTAAAGGCACCACGATCCTAGCTAACGTCATGTGCGTCGATTTACCGAACTTTTCACCACCCTGGTTGGCTGATTGGCTTGTTTCATAGGGGGATGGCTCTGGACGAGAAAACATACAAGAACCCGTCTGTCTTCAACCCATCTCGTTTCCTTCCCAAGCCAAATGGCGATGACGAACCGCTCTTCGGCTCCGCGTTCGGATTTGGGCGCAGGTAGTTTCTGGTCGACTTCGTCATCTATGTGCCCAATTAACCTCGTACAGAATCTGTCCCGGAAGACATTTCGCACTCAACAGTCTTTGGATACTTACGGCTACAATTCTAGCGACGTTGGATCTATCTGCAGGTAGAGATGAAAACGGGAACCTGGCGCCTCCGCCGCTCGAGTTTAACCATACCGTTTCTAGGCAAGGGTGTTCGTTCTTCATTGTCAAACCAACAGATGGCTTATTATTTGATTGACAGTCGACCAAAGGAGTTTGTCTGTGATGTTCGGGCACGTTCGAGGCTATCTGAGTCTCTCTTGTCAGCCCAGGATACGTGAAGAATACCGACAAAGGGGACCTCAGCGTAGACCTACTCCCCGTGGGCTGTCGCAAGTGCTACGTACGTTACCTTCACAGCGAATGGAAGCATGATGTTTGTTATACAGCATGTTGAGTTGGAAAGCTACCTCCCTTTGACGGCATAGTCCTATTTGCCCCCAAGTCACTCTCTCATTGATATCGTTCCATATACCTGGTCAACTATAACGATACTGAATATGACTGATCATCTTATGGCCTGACGGACAGGACTGGGTTCAAGAAGAGAATAGTCAAGTTCAGTACTACCAACGCTAAGATCCCAGACCTCAGCAGACCATGTGCGTATTTGGCCCAACGTGTAACCTCTCATCCTTCTGCACTTTGCACGAGGGGATCATAGGTGTGTATTGTATAGTATGAACCATGCGCTGCTGAGATTCTAGGCTGAGCAGTCGCGGGTCAGGTCAATCGAGTAGATGGTGATGCATAGCTTAAACCTCTGTCAGTGTATACCTCCGCGTACCGGAAATTTTCTTGCTCACGCGGTTCCCTTAGTACTCACGATCAAGCTGAGCCTGTTCAGTGTCAATTCATTATAGCAGTGTACCCGGTACCGTCGCAATGCGATGGCTAAGCGGGTTTTCGGCCAGTATATAAGTGGCTATTTTATTCTCACAGGGCACCAAAAGCAATGTCCAACTTCGATGTCCCACCACCCGAGTGAGTATCAGAAATGCGTCCATCTCAGCTCAATTCTCTGATCAACTCATCGGATACCAAAAGTTATACGTCGGTCGCTGATGAGCCGATCACTGCTATCGAAGACTCCGTAATAATATTTTAGCCTATCGTAGAGGATCAGTCAAGACCACCGCGGCTAACACTACCACCATCAGGTTCAATACAATACACACCGCCGATACAGGGCCTGTGGTATTGTCATGGAATCCCGCGCAGTCGTATGTCGAGCCGTCAGCCTTTCTCACAAGGACTACCTTCAGAGAGATCTACTTCTCGATTAAGTCCATTCCGACCACCGACACCGACACCAGAAGGACCCCCGGGGTGAGCCCTCCTGTGAAGGGTTGGGGATTCCTTGACCTGATTGATTACTAGATATGTCGAGGCGAGAGCACCGACCGAACCTGTAGTGTATACCTCTTCGCCCTTTGGTCACAACTGTATGATTCTGGTACCCCCTCCTGAATCGCACGATACTCGGCCACAATATCACATCACAGTCGATGCAGACTGTCTCAACCCGTTGGTACACGTTACGACGGTCAAACGAGGGGCGAATGAATACGGCGACCTTGTTGCTGAGTTCGAGTTAGTCTGTTTCTTTGATACGTGATCCAGCACCTGGCTTATGTTCATGCTGCACTTCCCTGCCACTCTTAGCATTCGAGGGAAGCACTATAAACCTAGTGAAGTCCTGCTAAAGTCCGGCTCGCCGAGGCCCTAACGTCAATTAAATACCATGTGCTTATAGAAGCAATCCCTCAGTACTCAAAGGCCTGGCAGTTTATTCGCCATAAGCTGCATTGAGATAGTAAGCTTACAGAGTGCAAGGTCGGTCAAATGATCCATCTATTCTCTCCTAAGTCCGAAATGAACACAATGCTGCTATTTCAGTGCTACGAGTCCCCCTGGAAGACTACCCTCTACGCGACATTCAGGCCCGTGCGACGGCCTGAAGTTCGCACTCATCCTGTCATCCAAGCGCAGTTGGAGCTAAACTAGCTGGTTATATACTTGTCTCTGCGTTGATCATAGCTCAATGCCGCGCGATGCCCCAAGATAATAATGACCTATTCAATTCCCAACGGTGATGACTCGCTCTGATTAATCCTCCTTTGCAGCTTCTCAACACTCCAGAATCCGGGTTCAGAGTTCAAACATGTACATCCATAGAGAAACCACAGGTTCGACATGTTGAATTGGTACTATTGCCTTCGGATGGCAGCGAAGTATTATTAGGCACCGCTTATCCTCCGTTATTCTGCCATACCTTTGTGAGACTCCTACACAACGAAGATCATGCTTGACTATTGGGGCCACCAACGAAGCTTGTTCGCTTCATCTAGTAGACTGTAGATATGATTCTCATGGGCTATGAGCGACAATGTTACTTCCTTGTACATACACGGTTTATTATATTCTACGACACGCAACGAAAGCAAGCGAAATGTTTGTTACACACTTAGGGTATATCTCAATCAACCTTCGATTCTCCGTATCATCCTCTTCTCCCTCTCGCCCATAACCTTAACAATGCCTTCATTCTCCAACGTCTTGATTACCTCGTTGAAGTCCGCCGTGTCGACTTTCATACTGCTCTGCTCGCTCAACTGCTTCACAACGTCCGTCCACCTGATGCCCCTCTTGCCACTCGCCCCGGCCCTGTCCAGCATCGCGACGACCTCCTTCCGCATATCGTCCCGCAGCTTCCGCTGCCCCTGCCCCGTGCCCGTATTCAGCATGCTCATGTCGATCTTCCCCGTGCGGGGGTCCATCGCGCTCGTGCGTATCGCCTCGCGCATCAGGCGGTACGCCTCCCGTACGTCAGCGACCTCCACGAACTCGGACATGCGCATGCGCGCGTGCCCCTCGGAGAGACGGATCATGCTCTCGAGCTGCCGCGTCGTCGCGGTGATGCGCTTCTCGGACGCGCGGGGGTCGTCGCCCATGTTGCGCATCTCGACGTAGGAGGAGACGAGCTCGTTGCCTGCGGCTTCGGTGATGACGGGATGGACCTTGTTGCGAGCGTAGTCGATGTAGGCGGAGAGTTCGTGAATAGGCTATGGGTGCAGACATAATATTCAATGGTAATCATGAGCGATGAGAATGCGACGAACTAGAATATCATTGCCAGTGTTCATAGGCGTGTCCTCGAGGTACAACCCCACAAGATGCTGCGCGAGCTTACGGTCCAACACTTCGTCGATCTGATCCAGCACGAGATACAGCAAATCGAACCGCGAGATGAGAGTCGGAGGGAGGTCGATGTTGCGGGTGATGGGGAGCTCTGTGTCGTACTTCGAGCCCACGGGGTTAGCTGCAGCGAGAATGGATGTGCGGGCATTGAGGGTGGTGATGATACCGGCTTTTGCGATGGAGACGGTTTGTTGTTCCTACACGGAGGGAATTGTCAACATAGGCAATGATGGGGGGAAGAGAAATGGATCGGGAGCGTACCATTACTTCGTGGAGGACACTTCGTGTAGCGTCGGACATTTTGTCGAATTCATCGATGCAGCATACACCACCGTCGCTCAGTACGAGGGCACCACTATACATCTTACCTGTATCATTACCCAGTCAAAGTGGTTTGGGGGTTTACGCACCTTTCGAGAACCAATTGCTTCGAATCCGGGTCTCGCGTGACATACGCAGTGAGACCGACAGCTGAGGACCCTTTCCCTGATGTATAGACACCTCTAGGCGCGATCTTGTGGACGTACTAAAGGCCAAGGTCAGACCTACACGCTTCTGGAATATACTAACGAGGCTCGTACCTGGAGGATCTGACTCTTACTTGTACCAGGGTCGCCAACGAGTAAGACGTTAATGTCGCCTCGATAGCGCGGGCCACCACCGCCTCCACCGCGTTTGATGCTCTTATTCGTCCCACCAAACAACTGCAGCAGGATGCCCTTCTTCACGTCATCCATCTCCCAAATACTGGGAGCAAGGGATCGCGAGAGTATCTCGTAAATGTCGTCCCGCTGGCTCATTGTTCTCAGCTTGGCTTCCAGTTCAGCCCGACGCGTCTGGTGCTGTCCTCCCTGGTCGAATGGCGTATCGTCCGCATCCTCGTTTTCTCCATCGCCAACTCCACCGACACCAGGGACACGGTCACCACCTATGGGGCGCGTGCTCCGATCGTAGCCTAACCTCGTGTCGCTATCACTCAGCTTGATATGCACAACATCAATATACGTGCGGAACAGGCTCTTCATCACCCTCTGTCGAGGATTCACGCGCACAGGCACGCTGCGGAAGATGCCCGACACCATCACCCGATCGCCGGGCTTCGACACATCCACTAGCTCGTCGTACACACCGAGCGACACGGTATGGGGCGTCTGCCCGTCCGGCACCGCGTCGGGCGTTTCCTGCAGCCGGATGAGCTGTCGGTCGGCGAACGTGCACCGGTTGTGGATGAGGGAGAGCGAGGAGACGGCGCCGCAGACGTCGCGCGGGCAGCGTGCAGGCTCGGTGATCTTGCCGCGGTCGATCTCCGCTTGGATAGTGTGGTGGCACGACATGCACCGGAAGAACGCGACTTTCATGTCCGGGATGATGGGCGTCGTGCGGATCACGAGCCCTTTGATGCACACGAGCTTGTCCGTGTCTTATCGTCGTGTTTTGTTGGTGTGCAGTATATGAAGGTGATCAGAGACTTACCAGAGGGGTTGAGATCCCGCATGTTCACGGGTTTGAGGCCAAAGGGTCTGACTTTGTATACCCTAGTCATGATTTCCGAGATTTCTTCGTCGCCGTGGTCGCCTTGCATCTCCTCTACGCCCGCCCGCTGGTCTTCGTCCGCAAGCTCCAGCATCAGATCCTTCAGCACTTGATCCATAGCCGGCACCACTTCCTGCGGATACTTCACCAGCTGGTTATGCAGCTTCCTGCACGGCGGGTACGCCAGCAGGTTCGTCACGTCTAGATTCAGATTCGACTCCCCCGTCTGCCGCATCCGCCGCAGGTACATCTCGTACAAGATAATCTCCCCCTCCTCTGGCGATGCCAGCGCCCGTGTGCGCTGCCCCTGCTCGCGGTCGTGCGCAAGCCGGTACTTGGGCTTGAACCCCTTCAGGAAGTCCCGGAACAGCTTCATCGTCTCAGAGAGGTTCACTGTCGTCCCCCAGATCGCACGGATCTCGTCGGGCTCGTCGGTCGGGGCGCCGGGAGCGGAGAGGGGAGGGAGGCCCGAGGATGTGGGGAGCCCGAGCATAGTGCCGTCTGAGGGGGGGTTGTCACTCATCATGGGGTCCAGGGGAGGCGCGCGGATCGGGCGGCGCGAGCTGGACGTCGGGGTGAAGCTCAGAGAAGCGTGGATATCACCGCGCAGGTTCCTTGGAGCGGGCGCCCTCATGGGACTCCTACATCGCGAGAGTCAGACATGTCGCGATTGTGCGACCGCTACTCACGAAGGGAAATCAAGGGGATCGGAGTCGATAGGGCCATAGTTTGCGGCGCGTCTTGGTGTCTTTGATGGTGATGAGCTAGGATAAGCTAGGGGAGAGGATGTTCCAGCTACGATAGATAGTATCTAAGCATGTCCTTTTTACGACGAATCGACGCGACTTACGTGCGAATAATGGGGTCCTCTTTGACTTTGGAGTGGTCATTCCAAGTGCCCTTCTCGCGGCGAATCCAGACATGGGTGTTCTGGCGGGGGTGCCCATGCTGGTTGATGGGGTTCCGGGCAAGAAAAGCCCCTCTGCAGGAGTGGGGGCAGCACCTTGCCCTTGCTGAGCATCACCCATTTGAACATCGTCCATATCAGACGAGGGGAAATCGAGGGCCGGCGGAGAAGACATTTGTGGTGGTTTGAGAAGAAGTTCGCGAAATGAGACGCGTCGCGACGCGTCTCATTTAGGGCCGGCCTTTTACGTGCGAAACACTGCCGCCGGGGTGACGAGTAAAGTTGTTACTTCTTCGACGCGAATGGGTTCATCCTCTAAATCGGAAGATATCAACCAGGTACGGAAGGTCTTCTCGTCGACTCTGCTTCTCTGATCTTTGCTTAGAAAGTCGTTTGCATACCTTTTATCGAACCAGGTTTGATCATTGCCTGTGCCATCGAGAGCCTTCCTGAACATCAAGGACCACAGAATCTGCGATAGAACAGCAAGTTATCCGCGATGATACCGATCTGCCAGACGGCGTAGAGCTTAGGTTGAGGGCATACCAGACTGCCTGGTCGAAATGTCTTGCAAGGATTCAGGTTCGTGAAGTACGGAATCCACAAGGCTTTCAAATTCACATTGCGTAGAGTATAGTGCATCATCTAAAGGATCCTGTAGTGTCAGACGTTGTTCGAAGGGTTGAAGGGGCGTACGAGGATATTCTACCTGGGTTGCCGCAGCCCGAACTGCCTGTCATATGTATTTCAGGTGAGTGCGCCTGTATCACAGTATATGTACGCTCTCATAAAGACTGTGCTAGAGCCCACCGGGGATTCTTCGACATTGAACTTGATTGTGGAAGAATTGACGCGTAACGACCGCACTTTGGTCACTCGCCTTTATCCAGCCACTTGTAACAATGCCATGTCGGCCATGAAGGCACTTATCTCTGGGTTCATTAATCAATCGGACGATGAAGGTAGTGAACAGCGTTCGGTGCTATCGTTCATTTGAAAACTCAAAAGTAGGTAGTTGGTACCAAACACAAAGCCTCAGCATCGCTAGCCAACTACGATATTCAAACTCTTCTGGCCTGGTATGATGCACTCAACGACACGCAAAGTATCAAAGTTTTCCAATAACATATCATTCTAGCGTCGCTCATACACATCTGACTAGGGTTGGAACTTGTGGTTGTATTCCAGGGGTTCGAACAATTCGATCCGCTAGTAGTCCAGGATGTCTGCTACATTTGCAGGTATGCTATGGCGTTGTCCCATATGTATCCGTACTAATATCTGCTGCGCAGCCTGAATGTCCCCCGGCTTCCCCTTGTGTTCTTATTAGGATTATCATCTCCTCCGTCCGCCCGTTTCCTCTCACATACATATCCCAGGGCGACGCTATGTCTCCTGCGGGTGTCTAACGTTACTGTACCACATGGGCTACCGGCTTTAGAGGATGTCATATTAAAGGTAAGTTGACCTCTCACCGTTGAGAAGGGCATATATTCATATATTCGAATCCCATAATCAAGACTTTTTTTGACCTTGACTTTCAACCAGATATCGACATAGGTTCCTCTGCTTTTACCTTCCTGGTTGACTACTTTATGCGACACAATTCGGGGATCGATGCAGCTTTGACCATCTTACAGGTATGGCTATAGACTCACGTTTTTCGTTTGGCTGAGTAACATTTACTCTAGCTAGCCTACATGAAACACTTCGAGGATCCACTGACAATCCTTGTCAATGATAACCTCCTTGGAACGTCCAGTTTATCAGAGGCGATGGAAAAGCTCAGGCAACCCCAGTCTTTCCCGTTTCTGGACTCATTATTCGCCCGCGTGCACGCGCAATCAGAGCAGGCGGGCGCAGAGCATATTGACCTATGGCATCAAGAAACTATCGATTCCCTCTTCAGGTCGCTGGATAAGGAACGAAGTGCATTCCGGGACCACACCCGGCAATCTCGCATCTGGTTCAAGATTCTGACACTGGCGAGAGCTTTTCTACTGAAGGAAAATGCGATCAAGGAGGCGCCGGATAAACCTAGGTCGAGCATCGATTTGATATCTTCCTACTTAGATGGCGAGCTCGAAGGGGAAGTACAAGCCCTTGCTAAAGCCATCAAGTACGTACTCTTAATCTCCCCAATGCGAGTCGTAACACAACATTTTCTTTCACAGAAAGTTGGGTTCCTACCAGCTTCGCGCACTTCTAGACGACCTGCACGACTTCTTTTCTGAAGTGCCAGCCTCATCACAGAGGCTTGTTAATCACCCGAGAAACCATTGTACCTCACTTCTCACAAGTCTTCCTGACGAGGAGGATGTCACTGGGGTCAGCGTACAAATAGCAGAGAGCGTGAGCACCTGGCTCCTGCAGCATTGGTCGTACGTTATGTACAACATAACTTTCTCACGCTTCTAACCATCGGCCAGAGATTATTTAGGTAACCCCGAGACATCGAGTAAATTGTGGGACATCTGGTATACCGCCTCCACACCTTTCCCTGCTGATGTGGGTCCACACGCCTCCTGCTTGCGCAATCGTAGACTAACCGATTTTTAGCTCCTCAACCCCTCTACACGCTCGTCCCTGTTCTCCGGACTCTTGCAACCATGGGCCTATCTGTCACCGGCAGACGTTCAGAATGAAGCGACACGCTACGCGACGTGGCAGCTTCCGGACACCAGCATTCTTTTCTGTCGCTATCTTGACAGTGGGAAGATGATCAATGTATACGACTGGTTCGAATCCTTTGTCTTGGTCCTAGACACACAAAGGGATCGCCTACGCGAGAGGAAGAAGCAAGAAACGATGGCCGCTGCGAACGCCAAACCCCTGAAGAAGGGAACGTCTTCGAAGAGGAGTAGATCATCAGCTTCTCCAACCAAGAAAGGGGATAAAGCTGCACGAGGTGCTCCAGATGACGAGGATAACGTATGGGACGAACAGGACGATGAGAATTGGAAACTGGAGATACAGGCTAGGTTCATCCGAGCGCTGCATGAATTGGACTATCTGGGATTTGTCAAACACACGGGCAGAAAAGCAGATCATGTTTTGCGTACTGTTTTCGACGTCGCCGATTGACCAGCACGCCAATTGCAATATATGCATAGTTTGTAATGCCTAGACCCATCAAGACTCTACTTGTTTGGTCGGATTCGAAAGGTGAGTGCTGTTATTGAACGTAATGATTATTGGAAGACATTGCAGTGATCATTTGGTCCGCCCAGCAATCAGCACTCACGGTCAGTCAGTGTATGCTGGGTCGAGCACCAGAGTGATTCTAACGGGCATCGGCCATGTGCAGACAACATCTTATTGAGTGCCTCAGGTGATTGCATTTACCGGGGCTCTAATCAAAAGTTTCTAATTTTGTCCACCCCATTAGACGCAGTACCACTGCATAGGTACTCCGCGTGACTGAGCTTCTTGACGCCGTCGACGTCCCACACTCCAAGCTTCGCCCCGCCCTAGGGTATATCATGACCACCACTTAGATATCATGTATTCCTTGGTTAAGACCGACTCTTCGGACTCCATCATTTACATGGCGACGATGAGCACTCCTGAAGATGTTCACACAGACAACCTCAAGGCAGTTGAGAAGGGATTCGGGAGCGAACCCAACGAATCCAACGAAGACGGGACTTTCCATCAACAGCAGCTCGGTCCCAAAGCGAAGAGGAAACATTTCTTTTCCTCCCTCGATCCTGCCTATGCGGATGCAGTTCACCGCGATGCACAATCAGTTCAATTTACGGAACTGGACGAGGTGCATTGGCACATCCTTTCAAGCCCAGCCCTCCCTCATCTCACCACCCGTTGATTAGAAAGCTGTCAGGAAGAAGATAGACAACCGAGTGCTACCGTTGGTCATATGCAGGTAAGCGAACTTCCCTTCGTTGCCGTTATTTCTGAGCCTCACTGCATTTCAGCTACATATGTGAGTACACACTACATACGTGGTATCGTAGTGCTGACCTTCGGATTCAACCTTGCAGTCAATCAATTTGGTGAGCCACCTTTTAGCTTCCCCTTGCCCCTGGATATGCTCCCTGAGCTCCTATCGTACTAAGATCGAACAAATATGTACGTGTCCTTGCAGAGATTTGGAGAACGGAGACGTATTGATTGGTGACAGTGGCAATGCACATGTCCTGAAGGCTTTTAATGATAATTTTGTACGAGATCCAAATGATTCTCCATCACATCCTAATCACGTAACATAGGGAATATCGACCAATGCTAGATGGACACTAGCCCTTAGTATATTTTATGTTGGCTACTGTGAGCTGTGAGTCTTTGTACAAGCACCCGCGCTGATCAACCCCTCAGGTCTTCTCGAAATGCCCGCGAATGGTCGGTTCTCGCTACGCGTTTCCCCTACGTAATTCACAATACCCTCTTAACAGTACTCCAACGTCATATCGGCGCGAACAGATTGTGAATAAACCCTCGGTACACCTTTGGAATTCGCACTGACCGTACTTCTGTAAAGTTTCTTTATCTCTTTAGGTTTCTGGGGAATTACCTCTTTGTCGTTTGTATATGCTAAGGGGTACGCAAGCCTGTTGGTGCTGAGGTGAACGACTTGGCAAGCCTGAAGCTTCCCAACTATGCTGATTTACTATCATTCTCAGAGTTCTATTGGGAATCGGTGAGGCCGGCTATTACGCAGGGATGATTTACTATCTATCCTTCTGGTACGTTCCATGATATAAAATGGAGAGTACGACTCGAGCATTTTTGTAGGTACAAACGGTATGAAGTAACTCACTGCCTGTGGCGCGCAACTCATATATTTCACCACGGCGATAGATCGGAGCTTGCTGTGCGAATAAGGTGCGCATTTCTGTCTATATCCACGATCCCACCCATCCTGATTGGGACAGTCTATGTATGACCGGGACGCTTCCTGGAGCAATTGGGGTATAATGATTTGATTTAATTCTCGGGTGTGGTCATCTGAGAGTCCTATTACAGGGTCTCTTGGCCTTCGGACTTGTTCGAGCGCATACGTCGCTCCTTGTTGGGTATGTGACGAACATTTCCTTGCTTGCTTGCGCTGACGCAAGGCCTCTAGATGGCAGTTTCTGTTCCTAGCGAGTCACTCTAATATTGTGTGCATCGAATATACTAACTTTGTTCAGATTGAAGCTATTCCAACCTTGATCATGGCGATCTCGATATTGTTATTTCTTCCGTCGTTTCCTTTCTCTGCCGAGTTCCTTTCCCCAAGAGAGAAAGCGATAGCGCAAGCTAGACTCAATAAAGACCATAATCCTCAGTCCCATGGCGGCATGTCGGGATGGGAAGGCTTTAAAGCAATAGTATCGGATATCAACGCTTGGCTTTTCATGCTCATCTATGCCAGTTGTGAGTACAGCTGCCATTCCTGTAGGCAACACTCATTGACCTCCTTTACTTCAGTCAATGTTGGAGTGGCCACGATATCGTACTTTCTACCAACCGTCAGTAAAATCGACTTGCCCTGCGCAAGATTCTCATGCTGACATCATTGTCAGTTGATACGAGGCCTCGGGTTCTCGGACATCAATGCGCAGGGCCTCACGGTGGCGCCCTACGTGGTCGGTTGGTTCATGGTCGTCCTCCAGGCTTGGCATAGCGATCGCACGAAAGACCGCGGTTATCACATAATGCTCTCTTGTGCTATTTCGTTGGTGGGCTACGTCATTCTGGCTATCTTGTCGCAGAGGAACGTTGGAGCCTCGTATTTTGCGCTGTTCCTGGTTGTTGGCGGTAATTACAGTTTATTCCCTTTGGTCATGTGGGTGTTCCGAACCACGCACACAGGCGCAGAAACTAACTTTTGACTTTAAGGAGCTGGGCAGCTAATGCCTTCTCTCCGACATCCAAACGGGGCGTTGGGACTGCCTTTATCGTTTCCATCTCAAACTGCGTATCAATGTGCGTCCCCTAATATTGCCAGTGAACGAAGCTCATACGGAACCTCGGAAGTGCTTCTCCGCAAGTATATTTCGACCCTGATGATGGCTTCCAAAAGGGACACGCGATAGCCGCAGGGTGCGTACTTGGGGAGCGAACCATTGCAGACGCTGGGACGATCTCATTGTTCCTAGGATGCTGGCCCTCTCATTCATCACGGCATTTACTCTGCGAACTCGGCTAGCCTTGCTGAACAAGCGAAACAGGCGGCACATGTCATCTTTGGACCAGGATGGGAAAGGTTCCGTCGACAATGACGGAGAAGAGATCTGGGACACAGACCCGAGATACCAATTCAAGACATAATCGTGGCGCCGCTTCACCTCGTGTGCACTACATATTGTCTTCTCAGGCGAATCGCAATGTGGTGCTGAGTCCTGACTCTGTGGCTGAGATTGCGCAGGATTCAAATTGTGCCAAGTTTTCTCAGCTGGGGGTAATCCTGGTATTTCTCATGTCACTCTCTCAGGGATCGCAGCCTGTAAGTTGAGAACGGTAAGATTCCCCTACTCTGGTCATCGTTAGCAGCGATCCTCGTCCCAAGAAGTCTCAATTGAAACATATCGCTATAAATATGATTTACAAACATAGCAGCTGCGATAGTGGATTGTCGAAGCGGACCTTCGATAATGATCCCCGAGCTTCTTCTGCTTCTGCTACTACCCGCAGTCGTCCTCGCATGGCGATTGCGTAGGTTTGGCCACCGAGAACATTTTCTTCCACCAGGGCCTCCTACAAGATTTCTGCTGGGAAACGTGCCAGACATTCCCAGGAGTCTGCCATTCATCCAGTGAGTGCCACCTATGAGATTGTGGTTGACTGTTGGCATAACACTCACTATCAGGCTCACTCGCTGGGCAGTAGAGTATGGCGAACTCGTGTCGGTGTGTTGCCTTCGTTCAGCGCTCAGGGAGTAACCAATGTAACTTGGTCTTGATCATTCAGCTAAAGATTTTGAACCAGACCATGGTAGTCGTGAATAGTGGCCCCGCAGTGAAGGAAATCTTGGATAAGCAAGGTGTCTTGAGCGGAAATCGTCCCCAGGCGTACTTGATCAAACGTGCGGAAGGCGAATATCCTTTATTCTCTAACCTAGGTAAGTGATCGTCTCCGTTCCTTTCTAAGTTCCAACTAGTTGATAGCCTGTTCCAAGATGAGCGCGTCTTCAAAGGCAGTCGGCGAGCATATCATACATTCCTAACCAACGAAGCTATCTCGAGTTATCTCCCAATGCAACAGGTGGAATATGCGAGGCTTGTGAACGACCTTGCCACTTCTCCCGAGGTCTGTCTCCAATCACAAGCCCCTCAATCTACACTCTGGCTCAGGATAACTTCCCCGGTCACAGAATTTCATTCCCCACATCAAGCGTATGTCCACCTCAATCATGGTGACACTCCTTTACGGCAGACCAGTGTCCGACTTCGGGGTCACCAAACACCTCGTATACTCCGAATCCATGGTTAAATTCAGTGAACTAGCTGATCCCTGGGCGCATCCCCCTTTGGATATGATGCCCATCCTGAGGTATGTTCCTGCTCGGTGGGCTAGGTGGAAAGCCCTGTGCGAGGAGGCCAAACGTGTGCGAGGGGCCTTCTTTGACGACATAACCGAAGACTTCGAAGCACGATACCGCGCGGGGGATCGCACTGGTTCGTTCCTGGAGAAAGTCCTTGATCACCCTACCCACTTCGACATGACCATCGAGGAAATCAGGTGAGACCCCCGCTTCGACACTTTATAAAATTCATGGCTCATCCATATGGTCTGAACAGAGGCATGAGTCGTCTGTTGATGGACGGTGGGGTTGAGACGACTGTGTCCTATATCCAGAATTTCATCCTGGCGCTTGTATGCTACCCCGCTTGCCAGGCCAAAGCGCAAGCCGAGATTGATGATGTGATCGGAGGTGAACGCGTTCCGACACTGGAGGACTTCGACCATTTGCCGTATCTGTGTGCTGTTATTAGAGAGGTAGGGTCTGAGGCTTAGAACTTGAGCGTGGGTTCAATTGTTTCCAGGTTCATCGCTTTCGACCGGTCCTTCCGGGAGCTATGCCCCATGTCGCTGCTGGGGACATTCATGTAAGCGTCGCCATTCTGTACTACGCTCAGGTGCACTGCTGACATAGATCTAGTACAAGAATTATCTCATCCCGAAGGGCTCAATGATTGCAATGAATACATGTTTGTCAAATCCATTCTCCAATTTCAATTCTGACGATGCATCAGCAATCACTGACAACTTATCTAGGGGGGATCTTCCATGATGCTGGTACACATTACTGACAAGGATTGTTAAATCTCTGATCATTTGCATCTAGACGTTTTTGAGAGTCCAGAGACATTTGACCCGGAAAGATATCAAGTCGGAATATGGCATCAAGGGCGGTGCAAACCCTGATGGTCTCCGAGACACGCTTCCATTTGGTGCTGGCCGAGTGGGTTCATCATGTACATTCCAAAGCCAAACTTCCCTCACCTGTTTCCAGCGCATCTGCCCTGGGGCTGAAATGGGTCAACGCACAATCGTAAGTATCATCCTCAACACTCGAGTACCGCCGATCTTATCAGAAGTATAGGCAATCAACGCTATGAATCTTCTCTGGGCGTTCAAGTTTACCGACACAACTGGCAGGTGCTCTATGGATCTTGAGAATTACCATGTGCGTTTCCCTTCGAACTAATTGTGTTATACCCATTCCAATGGACTCTCCAAGCCTGGCGTAGAACTTTCGCCAAATCGGTTTGCTTGCGACATCAAAGTGCGGGATGCCAAGCGAGTGAAGCTCATGGAAGAGACCTACATGCATGCGAGTGCTTGATCCTCGCTACGCACAGCTCACGGCAGCAAGCTCAATACGACGCCTCACAGTTACTAGTTGGACATCATTTGATGCAATGTGAGCAGTGCCGTGTTCTGATCATACTTCAGCGCGTAGCTTCTAGCCTATGCTAGGATACTATGATAAGTTTGCTAGTTCTAGCTATAGTAATGATGAGTTGAGAAGCTATCTATATCAGAACGTTGAGAAATGACCGTTGTCCTGCCAGACTCGGAGGGCGGGGTTTGGAAACTATAGATATTGTGTGGTTCGCGGAGTATCTGGGATCGAAAATTTCGGACGCATTACCCAATATAGCAGCCAGTTCATTTTGTTCCATCGCAACGACAAGTTCACGAGTTGACGTTACGACCTCACGTTCCTTCACGACCTCAAGCTCAGTACGACTGCGCTTGATCCAGGCTTCCATCGCGCGTCCCACCTCGCCTCGCCCTCGCTTTAAGCCATAAAGCTCACATTCTTTTTGTTCGCCCCATATTCGTTAGCTTTCAACCATGCAATACTTGGTCTTCACTTTCCTCCTCGTTTCCCTCTTCTTGGCCGCTGGTGCGCGCGCTGGGGTTTATGTGAGCTTCAAAAACCCTCTCAGAGCAGTGCAAGCGCCTGACATGACCCTTGCTAACTAGATTATCCGACCCTCGGCTGGATCGACATGTCGCGGCGGAGAAGAATGTACACTACAATGGATGGACGACGGGCAGAGTCCGTTGTTGTCAGCCTTTGGACCGAGTACCGCAGGACTCTACACCGGGCAAATGGTGAGTGTTCCGAGTTATTCTTCTTTCAATTTGCAACGATACTGATGGTCGGTCACGCCGCCACAGAAATTAGTTCAACCGCTGGGCGATGTAGACACCTCTGGAAGCAGGTCCTTCACATTCACTGTAGATCCCAGGGCTGGCCCGAATTCCAACGACTAGTGGGTCATGGGCTATCCCCCTCCCATCCAAACTCATTGTCGTACTGACGTTCCACTCTAATCTAGTTATATCGCCTTGGCCTCTAAATCGCTCGGAGAGATGGCGTGGTCACCATTCTTCAGGTTCACTTCCAATCTTGCTTTGAGACCTGAACTCCATTAACGATGTCTCCAGGATGTCCAATATGGAAGGGTCTTTTGACTCGCCCTTGCCTTCCTCAGCCATACCCTCACTGTCTACCTTGTCACCACCGCAATCCAGCTCGACCACTATTCTCCCTACTATCACCGTCGGCACTTTAAACACATTGCCACTTTCTATATCCTCCACCTCCATCGAACCCGCTGCATCGTCATCGTCTTCAACAACACCGAACCCCAGCGACTCATCAGCTCCCTCGTCCTCTGCGACACCTGCGACACCTTCATCTACAACCGGATTCGCGTCACCCTCATCAACCTCGATATCGACACCTTCAACACCGACACCACTAGCGTCTCTACAAGCTACGAACGTATCCCCGGCGCCTGCCTCGACAGACGTCGTTGAAGCGATAAGCTCTCGCTTCGTGACCTCGACATTATCTCCCTCCTCAGAACCCACTGCAAGCTCAGCGAACTCTAACTCGTCATCCAACGCTGCCTCGACGCTTCTCCGTGGCTCGTCTTTGTCATCACCGCTATGTGTAGGGGCAATCACTTTGTTGGTGTCCTTCGTCGTTTCCCTTTTGTAGCCCAGTCACTAGCCCTGTTCGTCCATCCGACCACTGCGATCCCTCATCTATTATCTAGCTATGTTGCTTCCCTGGAACTTGTTTTGATATTATCATTATTTTGTTTCCTTCCAATTTCCTGCGAAACCAACACTTGATCTCCCTCAAGTTGATTTTCGGTCCTGGCGATACCTCAATTCCGTACTTGACTACGCACTGCTCATTGTCTATTAAATCATTGCTTTAGAAAGAATATGGCAAAGCGATAAAGCGTGCTAAGATCTTCGTTACGCGTGGAAGAAACCTATATTCGTGTCACATGCTTCAATGTTTGATTTCAGATTCTACAAGTTCAACCACGACTCAGTCTACCAAGGGGACATCTACCAAGGGGACGTGTAGGGATTCCTCGGTTTCTCGTACGTATCACGACCGTTCGTTCACCACTTATTTCGGTCTGCGCACTCGAGCACGAGTTGCTGCGGTGCACGTTCTGGCACGCACATCCAGCGAACACTGTTTCGCGTCTACAGGCGACTGGCGAGCTGCAACCAGAGCGTTTGATCAGGATGCAAGCTCACAAGACACGAAAGCCCTCGCGACGGCATGGAACTTGTCCAACCGGCTCTTCCTTCGAAAGCTCTACTGGGCGCCGTGACGCTTCCTGGCCACAATCTACACGGAGGATCTCCTTGTCGGCGAAGGATGCCTATCCGACGACAACTCCTCAGTCTTACTTCAACGTCACAGGACTCCTTGGCGAAGGGTCTCACGGAAAGGTCCTACTGGCTCGCTCCGACGGGTGTCCGCAAGCACAAGACGGGCTGGTGTATGCGATCAAGGTGCTTCCCAGGAAGGTACCACACGGGACACGCGGGACCAGGGAGCTCGAACTACTGGAATGGATCGCCGGCAGGCCTCAGGATAGGACCAGCGCGGGAGTCTGTTTTCTGCAGAAGATGATCAAGGGATTTGAGCGAGGAGACCATCTTTTCATAGTCATGGTCCGTTCCCAGCCTCAGGCTACTGATTCAATATTCACTTTCAACCGTAGGACCGTCACTGCACTTCACTGGCCGACCCCGCGTTCGCACAGCGTCTCAATCTATCGACTTCTATTCTCGCGCACTCGTTGACTGGCCTATCTGCTTCTGTCTCTCTGCCTCTGGAGTCTTCTCCATCTCTAGTAAGTGACTCGCGGCCACACCGCGAAATTCTGGCTACTCTCCGTGTTCTTGCTGCCGAAATCGTTCTTGGGCTGTTATTCCTGCACGAGCATGGAATCGTACATCAAGACATCAAACCAGCAAATATCATGGTGTCGTTTGCTGGCCACATCGTGATCGGCGACTTTGGTGCCGCGAACTTGCTTGACTGTGCTGGCTCTGGCTCGACGTCCCCGGTTACTTGTATCGTTGTAAAACCCGAAGAACTGGTCATGCACACCCCATTGTACGCCGCGCCCGAAATGGTGACCCGAAATCCCGAGCAGCTTCTGGTATACGGACAGCATGTGGACTGGTGGGCCCTGGGCGTGACGCTGTACGAACTATCCACCGGCGACACGCCGTTCCCGCTCTCTCATCGCCTCCAACTATCAAAGGACCAAGTTTCTCGTATGTACAGCCGTAGGAGCGACGGCGACACAAGCATCTCATTTGGCGCGTTCGAGAAGATCATGCTGGACTTGGGCGCGAACAGCCACGGCGGCGACCTTGATCGGGGAGTTGGAGATTTCGAAGCGCTTCTGAAGGAGCTGTTGGTGCACGAGCCGCAGTACAGGTTGCACGGTGCGCGGGTGAAGGAACACGAGTTTTTCGCGCTGATGGGCGATCGGAATGCGGGATGCAGCTGGGAGGATATTCTGGCGATGAGATGCCCGCCGCTCCCCGACCCGATCTGTAATGATGGCGAGGAAGGAGTGATAGCTGATGGATTTGGGCTGGATGATATCGGCGGGCTCATTGCGCCCGATGAGATGGAGATGGTCCAGGGCAATGCAGCTGGTGACGTCCTGGCTCCCAAATCACAATTATCCATTCACGATCACGAGGGCTTAGGTGACGGCCCAAACACCCACCCAAGTAGCAGCACTCTTCAAACCCTGCCTGAAATACCGTCCCTCCCTGACCTCATGGGCGAGGGCACCGCACTTCCTCAATCTTCGGAAGTTGACGCTGCTGGTCCGTCGTCGGTTTGGGACTTCTGCTACCCCGCTCCTCAGCGACACACATCGGATGCTGACTCCTCGCCCCGTCCAGCGCCATCCCCGTCGGCGTCCCCTCCCCAGAAACAAAATGGACTGAGCAGTGCCCAGCCGCCGAATTCTTTCGATCAATCCTCTGGGTCCTCAATTTCTGCGCCACCGCCGGTAGACGTCGACGAGCCGCGGGTAATGGATATCCATTGCTCTTTTTCCGACGAGGGCGACGAGGAGTACTCGCCTCCCCAACCCTGGCCGTCTACGTGCTCCCTCGCCAACTCCATCGAACGAACGCAAGTAAATCAGCATGCCCCCGCTCCGCGTGTTTCACCCCTTCTGCTTTTGCACCACTCTGAGCGCCCTCGAGATCTGTGTCGTGGCGCGGCACTCGACTACGAGCACCAGTTGTCCCCCATAATATTTCATTGCCCAGTTCTGGATTCGACCGTCAGCCTGGGTGTCATGGGACCCGAGGATTTCTCTATGGTTGAGAAGGACACTAGCTACTCCTCTAATAATCTCCTCTCTCTTGGCGAATCATGGACGTTCGAAGAGAACATAACGATCGCAATTCTCGACGCCATCGGTTCGCGCCCTAATATCAATGCACCCCAACGCGCCAAGCCACTGCCCGCCCCACGGACACATCACAAGAGGAAGCTGAACTGTTTGAAGCTGAAGCGAGTTGTTTTCTACAAGATTAAGCGCTTCATGAAGAATAGACTCCTTCGAAGTCTATTGAAAGTGAGACCCTGAACCCGTTCTTCCTCCATTTCTGGCAATCTCTTTGCCTTTTTGATTTGTTCTGGGCTCGGAGGCCTTCGTACCCTTTCTATTTCATTATTTATCGCACATTGTCCGTCGTTCGTTGTATCCTGTCACCAGCTTTTTGCATCTGCATAAACCATAGCCCTTGGCCCGTGCCATTACATCAGCTGGTGTCCCGAAACGCCCCGGGACAAGGATAGCGCGAAGGAGGGCTTCGGAATGACTTCATATCAAAACCACAGACATCGGAGCTGACAGAAAGTCTTCTGTGTTCGCGACCACCACATTCACTCCAGATGCTCTGCAAGAAAATGGTCTTTGCGGGTCGACCGTCTCGCCCTGCATCCTGCCTGGTCCTGGCCAGTGGCGGCCGGGCGCCTGCGTATGCTAACTCCCGGGCTTTCAGTTCCTCGTTGCCTAGGAACAAGGAACGGCTCGTTATCCTGGGGTCTGGATGGGGCGGTTACGAGGTCCTTCGCGCAATCGACAAGGAACGATGGAGTAGGTGACATTTCCCTGTGCAGTGATGGTTGTTGACGGATGTTTGCACTAGACGTAACCATGATTTCGCCGAATAATTATTTCAATTTTACGCCGTTGCTCGCCAGCTGTGCCGTAGGCACTCTGGAATTTCGGTGCGCCACCGAACCGGTAAGCTTGAATCTCAAATAGCGCTCAGCGGCGCTTTGTTGCTGATTGATGTCGCGACATTCGTAGGTGCGCCGGTATTCGCCTGAAGTTGTAAGTTGCCCATTCACGCGCATGGTGAGGCCGCGTGTGAGGGGAGCTCATTGCATTGAACTTTCTAGGTCGCATATCAGGCGTGGTGCGATCATATCGGTAAGCCCTGTCAAAGATTCGGGGAAGAGATCTTGATTCTCGAGCGCTCTGCTACCGACAGATTTTCGTCAGAAACGATTGCAATGTGTACGCTCATCACCTTCTCCGCCCCGGGCGTAGGCCTTTAAGTTCTCAACTTTCCATTGTCTGTAGATGCCAGCCACGCCTCCCCTGTCATTCGAGACGAGATCAGCGCCCAAAGCTGATGCCACTACAACTCAATTCCCTGGGACTGGCACTCCCTTTACGCTCACGTACGACAAACTGGTGATCGCAGTCGGGGCCTATTCACAGAGTAAGCTTCGTCATGATGCACGGTGATGCACCACCTGACAATCATTCACCAGCGTTCGATGTTCCTGGCGTAAAGGAGCACGCCCATTTCTTGAAGGACGTAAAAGACGCTCGGGCTATCCGCACTCGGATATTAGAGTGTGGGTCTGCATATGGGCTTTCCGTATTTATAGACGATCGAACTGATTTGTGGGGGACGATTAGGTTTCGAACAGGCAAACCAACCAACTATATCAGACGTTGAGAGACGCAAGTTGCTCAATTTCTGCATCGTCGGTTCGTCTGCTTATCAGTTATCCCGGATATGTATATGTCGAGTCTCTGATCCCTGGTTGCAGGTGGTGGGCCGACGGGTGTTGAATTCGCCGCTGAGCTGCATGACCTCTTGCATACGGAGATGGAACGCCATTACCCGGGGTTAACTCGCTTTGCAAAAATCTCAATGTATGACGTAGCACCGCAGATTCTGGGGATGTTCGATGAAAGTCTCGTCAAGTGCGTGGTCTCCATGAACGAATCTCTAATTCACACAGGGTTCACCGCCTATTCCTATAGGTACGCGGAGAAGACTTTCAAACGCGACGGGATTAGTATATTCACTAGCCATCATGTTGAGCGTGTTGAGCCTGTAAGCGCGAGCATCTATCTTTGTCGTTGACGGCATACGAACATGATCCCCGTCTTAGGGAAAACTGTTTGTCAAGGAACAAGGAGAAGGTACTGTTGTCACACTTTCGGTTCGTGGCCGCGCTCATTAGACTTATCGCCAGTCCCATTTGGTCTCCTCGTGTGGAGTACTGGCCTTGCTCCGAATCCTTTAGTACAGTCAGCGAGCGACGTGAAAAAGGACCTAAAGACCAGCAGGTGCGGTGTACCCCCTTTAGCTTATCTATGCGCTCACTTTCCCTTTCTACGTAGCATTATCACGAACGACCACTTAAACGTTCTGAAAGAAGATGGAACGCCGTATTCAGACGTGTGGGCAATCGGCGATGCTGCGATGATTGAAGATGCCCGCCTCCCTGCTACGGCCCAAGGTCGGTTCACGTAGTTTCCTGATCTACGCATGGGATTTACCGACTTGTCGCCCCAGTTGCGAATCAGAAGGCAAAGTACCTTACGAAGAAACTTAACAGGCTTGTAAAGGACAAAGATTCACCCAAACCGTTTGAGTTCCACAACCAAGGCAGCCTGGCGTATATTGGAAACTGGTCAGTAGTTGGTGTGCCTGGGTAGGTTCGCTACTCACGCGCATGCTAAAGGAAAGCCATATATGATCGCTCTGGCACCGGGAACAATGTCATGAACAAAGAGACAGGTCGCCTTGCTTGGTTGCTTTGGCGGTCAGCGTACTTCACCATGACACTGAGCGTCAGAAACAAGTACGTTATTTGGGACTTCCATGCTCTCGTTCTGTACTGAGACACTTCGCACAGAATCCTAGTGCCAACTTACTGGTGAGCAGCAACCTTCTATCCCCGCCGCTAAATTTGCGCATTCGCTGACAACATCTCCGGTCTCGCAGGTTTCTTAATTGTGAGTCTGCTCTCTTTTAGCGCCGCGACAACACGCTTATCTTTCCTAGGGATTTTCGGCCGAGATTTGACACGTTTCTGACTTTGACATACAGCAATTTCCAATTTCCATCATCAACGCATCATCATCACAACTCAAGCATACATCAGGACTTTACTACCATATACACATATAGATAGACATATCGCAGTTAGTTATACAGGATGGGGGTATCCAGATATCCTCAGACCATGTGCCAGGCATCAAACATCGGCGTCGGGTATATGAGACTATTTGTTTCGTTGATCAAGCAGCTTGTTGCGTGGAGCGAATTCTCCGCATTCTCCAGATAGACACTAGAGAAAACAAGCGTTAATCACGTTTCGGACCGATGAACGACTATCGAACGACATACGACTGGGTTTCTTGCCTAGCTTCGGTGCTGGCGGGGCAATGTGAGTGGTAGACTTGGAATACATTTCTGGTTGACTATCATAGCTGGTGTCCTCCCTGTGGTTGGTGAAGTCGGCCAACACTCTACTCCATTCGGGTGACAGGTCTTGGGAGTGTTCTATTGTCCCGGAAGCCACATTCATGCCAACGTGGGACACATGCGCAAACGTATTAGCCATCGGGCTGGCGACTATAGCAGGCGATAACTGCCCATTCTTGGACGAAGGTGATCGCTTGGCTTTGCGCGTCGGTTTTGGGGATACGGCTACGAACAATGATGACCTACACGTTCAATTCACGAAGGAGAGATTTACTCACGAGGGGATCGTGGAGCCGTCCGTAGAGTAACCTGCTGACCGAATCTTGCAGCTTCCTCGTCGTCGCCAAAGAGAAAACCAAACTTTCGGCTCTGGAAGGGGATTATTACTTTGAGCAGGATATGTCTGCGGCACACTGACCAAGCCTGAGAACGTATAGAAAAACGGTTTGTCTAGCTCGTACACAAACCCAGCGGGTAACCGAAACAACCAAATCACTCGATCGGAGATGTCGTCTATGAGGCGGAACCAATGTTCGCCCCCAGCGTCCTTATCTTGCCCAAAAACCAATAACCCTCTCAACCCAGAGTACGCCCAATCGTCTGATTTGGAAGAAAATTGCGAATGGTAGATGCGGGCGGTGGCTACGGCATACACGTGGTTGGCTTGAGGAGGGAGACATGAATGGTGAAGATTGATGCTAGTACGGCGGGATTCACGCCCGAACCCGGTGGTATAGTGATGAGACATTGTAGCGAAGACCAAGGTTCTGCTGAAGGGATTGGAGGGGCTGTGGCTGGGGCTGAATTTCTGGGAGGGAGGCCTTAAAGAAGGGTCGTGTATACGGCATTGCCTTGAAATGAGGCAAATGTCCTCCTTGCCCCATGGCTGCGGGCTACAGCAAGGCAATTGGAGAACATGCGTGGCTGGTTGGCTGGTTGTAAGTCACCGTGATACATGGGACGAGCTCGTTTACATGAGCCGCTTATCGTAACAGGTTTCCGTGTACAGAGTTCATGCGACTTTGAATGAAATAGACATGGACAGATCGTGAGGTATGGAGGTGGCCTCCACGCATCCGCCAGAGGGTAGTTAATCGGTAAGGAGTTCTGAAAGGTAGGAAGCACCCCTGCAGAGCACGCGGGGTGGATATTAAGTGTGCCGTTTCACTGTCCAGCAACTTGAAGAGCACCTCCGTACTGTCGGCATACGGACAGATACGAGACATCAATTAAGCATCAGCAGATCAGCAGTCCCCTTGCACGTTCATCCAACAAAACTAGCTTGGCTTCCAGCAAGACCCGTACCTTGTCGTTGGAAGGACCGATATATCTCCAGGCATCAAGGACCGATCGTACGCGCATTGCAACCGCACCATCATGGTAGATTTTGATGTAGTCGACATCCTTGATGATTGATCGATAGTTAGAACGAGAAGAGGAAGAAGAACGTTCGCTGTTTTGGGATGCATCCTTGTCCACCGTCGAGGCAACCCTGCTGGGTCCTTGGTATCCTTTGTGGGCGGAAGCGGTCGATATCTGGGTGCAGGATCTCGTCGAAGAATGAGAGGTGTGAAAAGATATGCCGATGGAACCCAATGTGCCCTTGTCCCGTAAAGTAAGAAGGAACGTCCAGAAATCCACCAGTGACGACTTATTCCACATGATACCTGAAATGGTACCATCAAATGGCTTTAGGTCGGAAGGGTCTGACGACGTATGTGTGACGGCCGGGGAACTCCCTTCCCATGGCAGAGTACCTCGAACAGGAACAATCCAAGCAGTCCGTGTTTGAGGCAGAGGTTCAAAGTCCGTGAACGTATGTGGAGGTAGAATAATCGGCTTAGCTTTTGAGAATGGGTGAATCGTGACCGTCGCATTTCTTGGACGGTAAGGAGAGGTATGGATATGGGGCTGATCAATCAAGACCAAGTCGAGTCAATTATGAACGGGGGAAACTTACTTGGGGAATCCACGAAAATAAGGATCCTGCTTCAACTTTTAGCCGTTTGCGAGGTCGTTCCTCGGCTTGCGAAGGAGAAGGCGGCCGTCGGGGCGGTGAGGAAGCACTGTGTTCATGTCGCGTAAGATGACTATGGAATTCTTCGAGTTCCTGGATATCGTATATTTCGTTGTCATCCACTGCCGTGCCCCATTCTTTCATATCGAGCACGCGAGAACCTCGCACTCGCGGGGGCAAGGTAGACAGCGTGTAAACGTTTCCTGGCTTGATGTATCAAGCACAGCCATCAAGCAGTTCGACCCGGGACGCACCATATCTACTATGAGATCCATGTGGCGGATTCAAACATTTCCATTTCGTGCCAAACCTTGTGGCTGAAGATTTGACGACGCTTCTAGCTGAGTTCAGGATGGCTGTGTCACTTGAGAATGATGACCTATCTGAATCTGTGAAGTTATGTACAATAAGCCCAAACTTGGGTTCGCTGTCCCAATCGTTTATCGACGAGGTCATGGCAGAACGAATTCAAGAAATTCTGAGGCGAAACTGAACGATCATGGACGCTGCTTGTCAATGTTTGCACCCCTGAGTCTCACGTGATGAACATAGATATCGAGTCAGATCTCGTTCAAAGATCCCACTTAGATCCTACCACCACAGCGCACGTCCAGCGACAAAGGAATGCGGGAGACAACAGCTAGACATGTCGTTATCATTGGGGGTGGAATCATGGGATGTACAACGGCATTCTATATCACTCATGGAAAGCGTCCCAAAGGCACAACCGTAACTGTCATCGAACCATCAACCAAGGGCGTCGCACAAGGGGCCTCTGGTAAAGCGGGGGGACTCGTGGCTAAGTGGGCCTATCCGAAGGATTTGGTTGAAGACTCGTTTGAGGAGCACGAACGGCTAGCAGAGGAGTATGGTGGAGAAGAGCGGTGGGGTTGGCGTTACGTGAACTGCGGGAGCTGGGAAGGCAAGTCAGAGTCTGCGAATACCAACCCGAACACAGCACCAGAAGGGACCAAAAAGAAGGACCTTCACAAGACAGCGGAACTCGATGCTGTGTTGGCCGAGATATTCGCCCAACCTAGGGAAAAGAAGGGCATGCCAGAGGATCTGGATTGGGTCAAGGAGGAACTCAGCGGACACTACACTCCCATGGCGGAGCTTTACGACACGGCACAGGTATTTCCGTATGAATTCACAACAAGTATGATGAACCTTGCGATGGAAGAAGGCGCCACCCTTATATCAGGTCGCGTTACGACAATTAATAAAGCCGATGGCCAGGTAACTGGCGTTACTTACATAGACAACGAAACGAAGCAACCGACTACCATATCGGCTACCGATGTCGTACTTTGCGCTGGCGCGTGGTCATCTTCCCTCGTTCCAGAACTCCCAATATCGTCGACCCGGGCCCATAGTATCATTATCTATGCAAAGGAAGACGTAGAACTCTCACCTTATGTCTTGTTTACCGAAATCATGCTACCGTCTGGGGAAACTGTAACACCAGAAATTTACGGCAGGCCCAACGGCGAAGTCTACGTCTGCGGACCTGGCGACGACTTCCCGCTTCCGGCAACCGTGGATGAAGTAGAAGTACACAAGCCAGCGTGCCAGAGTCTGTGGGATAGCGTTACTGGGATATCAAAGGAACTCCGAGAAGGTACCTTGGAGTTCGAACAAGCTTGTTATCTCCCCCTTCTCGACGTTGCCTCAGGCCCCGTGGTCGGAGAACTGTCGAAGGTGGCGAAAAAACTCTGGGTAGCGACGGGACATAGTTGCTGGGTATGGATATGCCCTGCAAGCTTCTACTAATTCTAACTTGAAGTGCAGGGAATTTGTAACGCACCTGGAACGGCGCGCATCCTGAGGAACGGTATTATGGGCGACTCCCCACCCCGCGCTGCTTCCAGCCTCCGCCCATCCAAAGTATTGCCAGGGATGGGCGACGATTAGACACCAAGACCACTCCTCAAGCGTTCCTGTGGCCTCATGTTCGTGGATAGTATCACCTGAGATTCAAGAGGATTGCGAGTCGTCATTGCAACCCCGTTTCATCATAGCATCAAAGGTAATGACTATCCAAGTTGAGATTCGGTGTCAAAGCCCCAGGGCGGTTAAAGTGACAGCTTGGTTCTTTGATTAGAAGGTGTTCTACTTTGTGGCAGGCTGTTCGCATCGGTTCGAGTGATGATACGTTTGCACCAAGTGCTGGGGACTGACATGCCTAAAATGCCGGAGACTTCGTGAGACCCACATTGATGAAGTTTTGACTCGCATGGGAGTCATATGAAAGGATCTAGCCGCCACCAGACCGAAGAAGTTTAGATATATCACAGAACCAGAGGTGAAATTTTTCTGCGTCGGTGGTGAGGTGACTGGCTTGACTGGCTCGACACGAAGGGAATGGCTCGACACGGCTAAGAATAGCAGCCGAGGACCGTAGGAATCAAGTATTCCAATACCTCTCGAGCATAGTCGGTGACTGCGTCAAGCCAGAAAGATGACAAACGGAAGGGAGGGGAGGTCCGTTTGCTCCTCCGTTTTCGTCAAAGATTGTCGGAGACAGTAGACAGTACGTAGAACAAAGACATTCGATTATTCCCATGATCGGTGTGAAGATGAGCGACTTCTATAAGGTCTTGACGCCACGTTTCCAGATCCATCCCAATGAGCTGGGGCACCTTTGATGGGTCAAAAAGCGAACTGCGATCCAGCCAGGGACTATAAATGTATTGAAGCGGGGTCCCCAAAGTATTTGACGGTCGAGCGCGCAAGAGGCTTTGCAAGCCAGGCCATAACGAAAAGAGCAGCCCCAGGGGAATACATTCACGCTGTGATAGCGTATAAAAAGCACTTCTGTCTCCGTCGGACGTCATGAAAATCCAGGCGTCGGGTTGTTAGCAGGTGTTCCAGTAATCATAGTGGTGGAGCCGATGAACGTAGTGAGGCGAAAATTTGTCCGCAGGTTTGTTTTTCAGCATTCGACGTTTTGAAAAAAAGTAGGTGTCATTGGTAGCTTGTGCGCAAATTTGAAGCGAGTACATGTCGTTTGCGGTGACACGAAGAGCAACCACAAGCGTTTGTGAGGAGAAACAAAGTAGTCCGAGAGATACCTGGGCCTGCGGCGGCCTGCAATCCAAGTCAATCAGTCTTGAGTCCCCTGATACAACTCCGCGCGTCGGCCATTATTCCGAGGGTCCGCTTTGGGTAATAGAGATCGGGAACGGCGCAGAACACCCTTTGGACTCCGAACACCATGTCGGTGCTGCAACTGCTTGTCGCGACCCGCACACATCGCGCTATTAATCTTCCTGGAAAAATTGGAGTTGCAAACATTGGGCTGCTGAGAACCCACTTTACTTGTTTCATTTGAGCTCGACACATTAGCAAAACATTCAGGTTATGACAATGACTCAGTATATTCCATACATCCTCCCAGAACAGCCCTGCTGTGTCCCCTTCATTAGGTAGGAGTGAATTTTGATTCTTTATTCTTTACCAGTCAAGGGGGCGCACCACCCCGCCGTTAACAAGGAGTATCCGAGGGCCGAGTCCCGCCATTTGCCCAATTTGGCATTAGGTGCCAGAGAAACTCGCATTACCCAATATCCGAGTTGTATCAGGGGACTACATACTCCAAGTCAATGCAGCACGCGGAAGCTTCACGATGATACTTTCCGACTTTCTTGTCAGTCTACGTTGTCATGCAAACGAGGGCTAGGCTAGTACAAAAAAGATTAGATTAAGGTTTCACATAGGTGCCGCTGAGCGCAAATATCAGTATCGGTACCTTGTATAGTTCGGACTTTACCGGACTTTGAATATTGACCCGAATCGAATCGGTTCATTGCCTGGTTGAGGTCGTTCATTTCTACAGCGAAGGCCGTCAATCTGCGCGATCACTTAGATGAACAGGTGGCTGTTGCAGGTTCTCAAGACCTCAATTTTTATGTGAACTGATGTAGATTCATGATGGTGTTCTCTCATTTTGCAGAAATTCCGAGACACGAGCCGGGTGCGCTACTGCGACCCTTACTAAAAATTTCACACAGCAGCTCACCCAGTTACGGTCAATCCCTTGCTGTGCTCCTCCTCAATTGCCGACTCCAATACATATATAATATCGGGTACACGCGCAGGAGAATCGGGCAAGCTACCATGTGTACACCCTCCTACTAAATGTTTCTTTGTCGCACAATAGCCGCCGTGTAATTTTCTCCGGAGCCAAGATTCGTATATATTTGTCAGTGCGTCCTTTCCTTTCGCGCTTCACTCATTCTATCCGGCGATCCTCCTGCTTCCCCCACATTCGTTTTATATCTCTGTCATTCCAAACGGCTCTTTGAGCAACGCGTCGACATCAGTATTAATATCCCGGACAGACCTAACTAATCATCGCCAAATGTCATCTTCATCCCAAACACGACGGCGACGGGCAGGGAGTTTCGTCCCCTCTCTGCCAACGACACACGAAATGCCCCCTTCACAAGTTCGTCCCTCCCAGCGGACATCGTTGCTAGCAGCTAATTACGATCCCATCGAGTGAGTACTCACATTACGGGGTGTTCGGCTTTAACTGTTTTCCAGTGCCCTTCACCAATATCTTAGCGTTTCGAGAGTTGCTGTCGCGTCCGGCGTCCCCCCTTTTCCTAACACCGTCAATATGCCCATAGTGTGCAACGGACATCTACCGACCCACGCGCTCGCGTTGTACGAGACCAGCAGCGATAGGCCCTCCCAGTGTTACATACTCCCGATCGATTCGCGTCTATATTCAAGGGGTTTCTACACCGACATATTATCGCAGGCCTCCGCGGGATCCATCCCGCCTTCCCGCTCTTCCGATGGGACGATTACCCTCCCTCTTGTACCGTACCCAGTACCTCATTTGCCCTCCGCTGCTCTCCTACTCCTCTTTGGTATGGGTCTCGAGACGCAGATCAATACCATGGCGTGGCGATTACTACCTCCCCATGTCATCGAAGAATTCCCGAACGCCGCTGCTATGTCACAAATGATGGTACGCTTGGGTGAAGAGGAGTTCTTCAGCTATCTCGCGTACAATCAAGGGATTTGGAAGAATGTCTTGGCCCTGGGTCCGCAGGATAAACAGTTGGCGGAAATGGTCAAGACGGTCTGGAACGTCACTGCGGACGCTCACCGTAAACGTCAGCGTAGTCAACGGTGATCGTGCTTCTACCCCAGGCACACTACTCTCGAAGTCGATGTCCCTTGCCTCTGCCTTCGCAACTTCCCCTCGCGTAATGCTCGTGTTCCTACCAGTTGATTTACCCGGCCATCCTGCAATCACTTCGAATTTCTTGCACATCTCATCTCCCCTTGCATCTCCAAGTCACCTCGTCTGCATGCTTTCCAATCCAATGACCTCGCATCTCAGTACCATATTAGCTTTCCTTTCGCTGACATTGTATCACCCAGTCGAATCCGTAATTATCACCTGTTAATTTCCGATCTCGCGTTTATACCAATCACCCCCTCCGTCGCCCATTTTAGACAATTACTTGTAGTACACGTTCACTAGTACACGCCCGATCGACTTCTCGTACCTCTATGCAACACCCCAATATCTGTAGTTACCAAAGAATATTAGTTACCGGTTATACGTGTATGTAACCTCACAACCACGATTAAACTTGAAGCCAACACCGCCGATGTTTGCCCCAATATAGGACAATATTCACTTGAGTACTTGCGTAGAACTGTACGAAAGGGTCACGCTGGCCTGCCTGAGGTTTAGCCGACGATCTATGATGATACGTACACTTTACATCCGAACAAGTTTGTCTGGACAGTAGGCAGACGCTGCCGGCCCCGTTGCTGTAAGTGGGGATTGCATAGTCCGTTACCTTGGATAGCTGCTACCCTTTTCGCCCTATGGAAGACCGACAAATCCATGGGCAGCTGTCGTCGACGGTACCTAGACCATTCGGGACGGCACATAAATACCGGCGAGCTCGTGGATGGCAAGTAAGATAAGTATTCACGACATCCCTGTACCTGTAGTTGGGGACGAACCTCGCAACGACCATATATTCCTTAGATAGCATCGGCCCGCTTCGGCGACTAGCAGGGTTACACTTACATATTTGAAGACGTACATTCAGTAGGACCATTCTGATGCCCGAGCGCGCGCAAGTTGGAAGTATGCATCAGTAGATCTTTGCAGTAAAAGTCAGCAACACGGGTCCATTCAGGAATCGGATTTGTCCAGATTATTAATGATCCCGAAACATGGCTGCGGTGAAGAAAACGGTTTATCGGCGGAGACTACTGAGGAGGCTATCCCGTCGGCATTTTTTCTGTATGTAGATCGAAGGCACATCTTCCAATATCTGCATCAATGCAAGCCTCTGCTTCGCAATCATTGAGGGTGTACACCAGGACTGTGTTGATGATTTGGATGCACAGATGAATCCGTTGACAACGGTAAGGCGCTCGCGCCGAGAGAGAACCCCCAATATTCGGGGTCCTGGCGATTATTCATACCATTATGGGCGCGCTGATTCAGTTTGGATTCAGTAATTAATAATAGGTGGTTCAGTTGCGGGAGACTTACGCAAAGTGGTTAGTCGCAAAAGCAGCCCCCACCGTACTCGAGTCGGCCTGACTGAAGTGTAGATTTGTCTACCCCGATTTGCTACGGTGAGCAGGTTTGAATAAAATATGAGGTAGCGATATGCGGGAGCCCTTGTACCTTTGCTTAAAGATTCATGGATATGGAACTGGAGATAACGCGAGCTCTCCCTTAGTCTTGAATTTAATGTCCCAAGTCACGACGGTAGTCCTACTATACTATACTACTACTAGGACTGGTGATAGGCAGTCACATGTTGACGCGTTTGACGCCCAAGTGGATGCCCACGTGATACTTGTTGAACGCGACACTTGGCACGCGACGCGATATCAGGGTCGGCCTTTCACCACAACTTCTCGAATCTCAGTGCTTCCAACGGTCCCAGGTCGACGTGCGACTGGATGCTGCGGGACCTTACTCGACATCAAGATTATTTCGCCCGACAACTCTAGCGTCGCATATCAGCACAGAAACTCTACCGCAATCACAAGCGATAATGTCAACAACTCAAATTTTGTTCAACTCTCCAGCGCTTCATTCTTTGAAACGAGATCAGCTAGTAAAATTGTGCAAAATTCATTCAATAAAGGCGTCGGGAAAGAACACAGACCTTGTCGAGAAACTCAAACAACATGCGCTAAGTCTGCAGCAGGCTGAACAAGAAGCCAATGTCACCGGCGAGGCCAATGTCGATATGGACGACATCGAGGTCGCCGTTCAGGCGCGATTAGACTTGTCACAAGAAGCAGAGCACACCGATAACTCGAATGCGCCAGATCGTCGACAAATGCCTAGGCCCAGCGAACAATGGGAGGTCGTCATGGATAGCATCGACGAAGAAGAAGAAGATTCTTCCCAGAACACAGTCTCATCCAAAGGAACACTTCGAACGATTGGTGGTAGTGGTAATACAACACTGGCAGGAGAGTTTGGCACCGGGGGATCAAAAAGTGAGCTCAACGACATATGCTACGATGGTCATAGCACTCATTTGTGTTGCTCCGTGTCTTTGTTCTACTTTGTCTTTGTAGCTTCATTAATGTCCTCTTCGCTCAAAGCATTTGCGACTTCGCTTGGCCTCAATCGTACAAAGGGAGGGTCCGCGCATTCCGTTGCTAACATGTCTACCAGCATGTCCGACACTTCGTTTGCCTCGATACCTTCTAGTGTACCGTCCTTACCAAATACCATGAAGAAACTAGATGATCAAGGGGAACTCATCGCTACTTCTGCGCCATACTCGTCACTGCCTCAGTCGAACAACCCCCCACAAACCGATCATTTGACCTTCGTCCCTCCTTCACCATTTCCCGGAGCATTTGTAGACGACAGCGATCCTATGGCCATGACAGAGGATGCTACCCCTTTGCCCGGACACCCACTTCGCCCTGGTCGACCTGCGCCTTCAGCACCCAATGTCCGAATGAGCCTTGGTTTAAATACGCCTGCAAGAGGTGCGGCACCAACGACCACTATCCGTTTAGTTTCAGGAAGCGTACCCAACGTTGCATCCTTATTCAACGACCCCGATTCTGGGGATAAGACGACTACATCATGGGGAGATACTACGTGGGCCGGTGGCGACACCCCGAAGCTTAAACCGTTTGCTACTTCCTTCGATCTGGTTTTAGGCAGTCCTGGCCCCTTGTACCCTCCTTTGCCACTCGATGAACTAGTGAACGCTCAAGCAGGACGACAGGCCTCGAGTTCCAAACCACAGTCCATTGACGCGGTGCTCGGTACACCCTCCAAGAAAGCGCAGAATAACGCGAAGTCTACCCTCTCTCCTCCGCCGAAAGCACCGTTTGTATTCGGCTCACCTCTGCCGCAGCATCGTATATCCAATGCGCAGTTCCAGGATGCTGCCAAAAGTGTGCTGGACGAGATGAACCAAAGGTTGGCCGGCGAAGGCGTTCAGAGCGTCAGTACCGACGTGCTGAAACAACTGGACCCATCTCGGCGCGTTAACCTATCCGACGCTCTGAAGACTTCTTCACTCGATACATCACCGAGCAGAGATCGGCAAGCAGAACGTGCTGCAGTGCGGGAGAAGTTTAATCGAGCACACGAGGATGCCTTTTCGAAGATGGCTGGTATCGACGAACCAGTCGGTGCTGGAAGGAAGAGGAAATCTAACGTACTTCTCGAGAAAAGGGAATCAGCTGGGGTCCGCAAGCGGTCGAGTGTCGGCGTTGCTGTGAGACAAGGAGGCATTGGTGTTAATCGGGCTAGCGGTGCACGGGTCATTAGTGGTGGTAGGAAGAAAGCCGCTAGAGTCATTCCTGGTGGGTTCGATGAGAGTGATAGTGCAAGCCAAGATGAAGATGAAGAGGCTGAGGAGACGGAAAGGGGAGGGAAACGTATAAAGGTGCAGGATGAGGAGGCCGCGGCGCAGGAGGCGGAGGCGGAGGTAGCTAGAAAAGAGAAGGAGCGGGAACTGGTCAAGCGCAAACTAGAGAAGAACAAAGCTGCAAGGAGAAGCAGTATGGGTGTCGCCCGACAAAGCATGGGTCGCGGAAGGGCAAGCCTCTCTCGAAACGCAGGTATGTCTTCATGGTACTTTAGGTACTTAAGAAGCATTTATTTATCCACAATAGTACCTCAACCCAAACCAAGTCGCTTTGGTTTCCTCTCCTCGGCGAAGAGCCTCGTGCAGGGCATGTGGAAGGGGAAAAGCTCAGCCAAAGCTCCAGCTGCACCCTCCAATACTAGCATACCCGTTCCGGCGAAATCCGCCCCTCTCTCATCTACAACGAAGGCCTCAACGTCCAAGAAGCCTTCAATAGGCCCAGCTGCTGTCGCCCCTACTGGATCTTCTGTCACCGGCGGTAGCACGAAGAGGGTTGCTAGTGGTAGCAGTAGTTCTTCCAACTTCCTACACCCCGGAGGGGCAGAGAAGTCGAACACTGTGAAGTCGAATTCGAGCTCCCGATCCCGCAGCCCCATTCCATCCTTCAATACCCCCAGCGGAAGCAAAGCCAGTCTTGGAAGAACCAGTACATCTGGTGCCGTGTCCTCGATTGGAACGAGGAGTGGAACAAGGCAAAATCCTACAGGCACACGGAGCAGCACCGCCGGCACCACTTTGAACTCAGTGGGCACGCGAACTACGTCGGGAATATCATCGTTGGGAACTAGGACTAGTAGATTGTCATCAACAACTGTTTCAACCGACGCAGGCTCCAAGAACGCCAAAAGCATGCCCTCTACTTCACGGCTCTCTTCCTCTTCGCGACTAATGGCTCCAACTGCAAGTTCATTAGCGAAGACGCACTCGAGGGGTAGCACCACTGGTCTGGACGTGGTCAAGGAGAAAGATAATAGTCGACCCTCGCAAGGAATAGCGACGACACCTAGCTCTAAGCCAGGCATTTTTAACAAACACCTGATGTCTTCGCCTTCCGGTATACCGACCCCGGTGAGAACAACTGGAACGTTCACGTCGTTTGGCGGTGCCGCAGCATCTATTGCCAGTTCACCGGTAAAAGAGGATCATTCTGACTTCGCACCCAAACCCATTGCACCCAAACCGCGGTCATTGATTGGCCGGAAACCTAGGATATCACGATCGAAAGTGATCGCTAAACTGGCGTCGAAACGAGACGGCCCTGGTCCTAGTGGCAAGGTTATAAGAACAAGTCTTGACCCGAGGGGTGGTGCAGGGAGGACACGGTCGAGCTTAGGTGCAAAGGCGCAACGAGAGGGTTTGGGCGGGGGACTGAAGAGCGGGAAGGCGGAAGCGGTCTTGATGGCCAGGAAAAGAGCAAGGGCCAGCGAGTACGCTAGAAGGAAGAGCCTGAAGGGTTATTCCGGTGATTCCGACATGAAGGTGGACGATTGATTAATTTATTTCGACGGCTGAGCTTTCATTTTGATTTTACCATTCCCCCGAGTATTTTTTATTATAGTGCAGAACACAACACCGTTTGTATATCGTAGCTTATTGCGTTCCGTCAACCCCGCGAACGTTCTTTGTACCAAGCGGTTCCATACCCAACCAGTGGGGCATCGAAGTCCCTCCGAGGTCTGACATCTCTCAATCTACGCCCCAGGTCTGTCACAGCATCTGCAGTTGAGCTTTGGCCAGTCGTCAGCCATATCCTAACGAGCTGAAAGGAACTGGTGTGTTGTCGAGCTCGCGGTGCTCTGATGATTGAGTGACAGGGGTAACCAGGGGCGAATGGAGCAATTTACACTAGAACACAGATCAACGACGCTGATGAGGGTGGTCGCCAGACGTGCGCACCCTGCCTTAAGGCTACTAGATAATGGCACAGATCCTTGACTAGACGGGACGCCCCGGCAGAATCAGGGCAGCCCATCTCCAGGGAAGACATACACTGCGCTTGAGCTTGGATGACTGGGCAACTTGACCGCAGCCCGAACAGCCTGCCGATGCGTTGAGTGGCGTGGGCTCAATATTGCAAACATCCGAGGCTCGAGGGATTAGGTGTAATTTACAACAGAAGGACAGTACGTTCAGTGTCTCCGGAGCTTGAGCTTTAATTTACGGAGGCCTTTGGATATTCTCTCTTTCAGACGCTACAATCGTACAAACGTCGTCAGTTCCATGAGTTGATGCAGAGGGCAGGAAACACTGTACAAGCAGAGCTAGTGAAATAGTTCTTCGAGGGCCATCGTCGGCCCAATAAACTGGGTGGTAGGTTTCAAATCTTGACTGTCGTAAGGCGACTCTTTCCTGAAGTAGGTCCTCTTGTGTGTTCATCGGCTAGAAACAAAGGAGTGAGTAGCAATACCTACTATCCACCACGCCACTGACGGGAAGCTCGCTGATCAACTCATCATTGCGCGTGTAGTACGTTGAATGTCGATAAGGGTAGTTCGACATCCGTCATTCGTGAAGTAGTCGCGGAAGAACCTGGTATTGTGACCGAAGGTAGGCGTTATAAATCATCGAGAAAATCTTTAGACGGGCGGTTTTCGGCCCAGATCCGAGTTCAAAGGGAAGGAAGATTCCTCCATGTGAGAGATATCCTCGTGCGCTAACATAAACGATTATGGATGGCCGAAACCGAAGCGAGCGTGCACAAGGAATATATTCGCGGGGCAAGAGAAATGATTCCTCGAGCTTGAGAACATAGCCATACAATCGCCGACAATTATTGTTATGGCACGAGAAGATCCAGGGCCCCATGGGGAATAGCAGGTGGGATCGGTTAGCTGTAGACTGTAGTTACCTTATGCCAAAACTCCGCTTGGGCAATAAATGATCAACTTTGTTTTCTATAATCACAAGCAGGTGACGGTCGAATGCCTAAGGAAAGAATCCGGATATCCAAGGCTTTCTGTGGAACCTAGGTGCTATCGCTACGTCTCGTTAGATAAATGTGGCTGGGAAATAATGAATAACAACCGTGCCGATGGTGACCTCCACGACCTGCTTCTGTTCTTTGCTACCGTGAGCATGTACGGCACAAAGCATACGAGTCGATGCAACTCGGATTGCAAGGGAATCATCAATTTACCAGCTTTGATCCACGATGGCGCGAGCCGATTGAAAATTTGACTCGCTCTCCTGGTTCGTCACACCGAATTAGAAGGAAAGGTAAACAGACGCTATACATGGCGGTTTGGTCGCGAGTTTCTGGTACGTCTCTGAGACGGCATGTTAGTTATTTGATTACCTTCTGCGAAGTCGACTCAGCCGGGTTACAAGGTGACATGGTGGTGCTTCTTGATCCCCCCTTGATGATGGGGGTCGCTTGATCTAGTGGAAACCACATAAATAGACATACCAAAAGTGCCCTTCATTTGCTCATGAATGAATAAAAGAGCGGACATCGATACAATGGTGATGGCCGCAGCAACGATGCTGAGAATCCTTCCAGAGCGGAGACATAAACGGCGTGTGATGAACATCGTTGTTCCTAGAGCTCCGAAGTGAGTTATGGTCTCAGCAAAGAAGCTTGCCTGTCAAACTCACGGTCTATTTCCAGGATTCCGACCTTCGTTCGGTACCAATTGCAGATCTTTCAAAGAGCTTGAAGGCGGTACTGTGATAAGAACTTGGGATCATATGGACCATATGGATGCCACTTAGGCACGGTGATCGTTGATATATGATGCAGCCCCAGTCTCCGTCGCAATATGACGACTCGGTCAGTAAGACTGACGGCGTTTGATTCGCCTTTGGCCAGGGTCTGGCCATGTGTCTGCTTCTATTGCGGAATAGACGGGCTGGATTGCAAATTCGGCATCTGGAGCGTAAAAACAGAGCGGAAGGCATATTGGAGTAAGTAGCAGAAGCCACCAACTAAAGGAAAGGAACTCCGCTAGTGAACGCGATGCGACGCACGCCCCCGTTTGTGAATGGAAGTTGCACTCGTAACGGTTGATGATCAACAGTACAATGAGCCTAGTAGCAATCCAAGTATCATCCAATGCGACACGTAGTGATTAAGCTTCACTCAGCCCTAGATGAAGCCAGAAGGGACTGGTCAACATTATCATTCTTGCTTCACCATTGACTCACCGAGCACGATCATCCGAATGCGGTCTGCCCCGAGTTGTGAGGCATGAACACATCCATCAGTATGCCGCAAGTGAAGTGACAAGGTCAAGACAAGGAGGGCGCAAATCACCAGCCACAGTAAGTGAATTTGGCCTGTTCGCGGGGTGAATCATCCGCAGCCCGTCTGTTTCTGGCAAGGTCAAAGACTCGACGCGCGACCTCAGACCTCAGGGTGGATTGAAGACTTAAGCGCCTGGGCGCTCACTCGATGGTGGCTGATACAAGGAAATCAAAATGAAGAGCTCGGAGTGAAAGTATAGTACAAGGCAGTGAAGCAGAACAAAGGGAGGGGAAAGGGTATAACGGTCAAGCCCAAGTGATGGGGTTGTGATTTGGGCACTTCAGCTGCCTGCGCAATTGTGCGTACACATTCCAAAGAGGGGCCGCTACCGGGGTGACGGGAACACGGAGGAAGTCCTCGACTGTGACATATAACCAAACAGGCATGTTCCGGAACCGCCGTGTGTCGCGTTCGCATTCTCTAGGCAGCAAAGTGCGCATCATTTCGCGATCGTCCTTCGTGACCATAAACTCGTAGAAGAGGGTGAACAGTTCGATGGAGGGAACATTCAACTTGATCGTAGGGATTAGGTCTTTTCGATAGCCTGTAGGGACCCGTTTGCGTAGCGCTTCTGTAAGGTTGCGATGAATCAATGTGGAGTATTCTGCGATGACACTCGTTCGAACCTGTAAGAAAGAATACCAGTGATTCCCATAGAAATCATTCTCAGTCAAACACAACATCACCGTAATTGGTAGATCGCTAGGAGTACAAGAGCCATCGTTCTCGATGAAGTATTGGGGTGGCAGGTTTCGTTCGCCGTAAAGGTATTGTCCTCTGGCAAGCACAGTTGGCTCAATACTGCAATATATTGTCAGAGATTGTTCTTTGCGAGACTGGAAACGTACAAGGTTCCATTGCACCGCATTTCAAGGTCCATTTCTTCGTTAACGACGCGTTCAGGGTGAGAAGACAGTTGAGGAAGTCGAGGAACATGGTGGTCGTTATTCTCGCCTTAAAAACCACGGAATGTGCAGAAAGGCCAAACCACGGCAAGTTTGTGGTTGCTTGCTACTCGCATCAACCCTGTACGGTGAGGCCATAGCACTATGTTCCGTATTGCTCTTTGTTGTAGAAAGCCATAGATGGAGCACATTGTCGCGAGGAGGGCCACATGGAGGGCCTGAGCCAAAGCGCCCAGAAGCAGCTCATCAACCTCATCAAGTCGTGTGAATAAGGACTCCCACGGTTAGACTCAGGCAACTTCCAGCTAGGAATGGCTAGCCAAATTCGGGCTTTCCAGAATCAAATTTCATGCCCATCGTTCGCCATGACTAGATTCTTCTTGTACTTCCAACAACAGGCGTGCCTACTTTCGAAGTTCGTTGGGCTTATTTATTTGACTCACAACAAATACGTAGCTAAAAGTGAGCTGCATTTTTATCATCTGGTTTAAAGGAGTTACCGACGAGTGGCGTTCGTACTCAGTAGCACGATTCTATCGTGTTTCAAGCAGGATCCTTTCTAATCGACCATCACGATACCCGAGCCGTGGATCATGAAGATGCTGATTGATGGTGAGCGATGTCCAGCGTGCCATTACTGTTGGCCGACCAAATCGATTTGTGACCAAGGAGACCTTCGCGATTTGGCGTACTGATGCGCCTAGTCACAGTCGGAAGACTGGACGGAGATTTTGAACCAAGACAAAGCAATTTCCACCAAAGCCAGAGCGCGCTGGGTACGCCTGCGACGTGGGATTTCGTATCCCCTCTTGGCAAAGGCGCTCATCGTGACTTCGGGACTGTTGCGCCGCCCCCGTCTTGTGTGTACTCCCCTGCCTTGTCCTCGGAGGGCTACTATCTTTTCCGGGGCGACCGCGATCCATTACTAGGAGCGTTCTTAATTTTCCAACAATCTTAGAGCCGATGAGGACCTGCGGCGCCCAGTAGGTACTTTTCCTTTCCCTTATCTCTCTATACTCATCATTTAGTGGCGTGATTCATCGCAGCCGACCCACGCAAATTTATTCAAGGTACTATGTAGTCGACTGACCCACTCCCTTAGACCGTTGTTTCAGTGCTCTACCATTTACTTTTGGTACCACCATCAATTGCAACGGAATCCCGGACGTCGGTAAGGAATTGCATCAGCCATCGCGCCCTCGGGGTCCATCCGTGTTCCTGTATTATCCAAATGGACCTACGCCTCCATGGTCGCGCCGCTGCGCGCACTGGCTACATACATTACATCTTTGGGTAAACTATTATCTGTATTTTTCTCGGCAATGGCTACCTGGTCAGGAACCAAGATGTCTTAAATCGGCGGAGTGCTCTTTATAAAGGGCAGTTCAAGTTGGCTGAGTCTTCAGTACTCGGTACATAGCTGCAGCTTCAATGATTCCTACACTCTCCCTCCTTCCTCTTTTCTTCCTGCTTGCCAAAAGCGCGCTTGCCAGTCTCTTCACGGATCCCAGTCAACTAAGAAGTACGACGTACGATTACGTGGTTGTTGGAGGTAAAGTACTCTCCCATGCCTTCTCCCCGCTAGCGCTGATCGTCATTTAGCTGGGACTGCGGGGAGCGTTCTTGCCAACCGCCTGTCAGAAGATCGCCACGTCAGAGTCCTTGTCATTGAAGCCGGTCGGAGGTGACTACTCTCCAACCCTAATGAACGTCATATAAAAGCCAACGCTCACTTCATTCCTTGGTTTAGCGATAATGGAACGGATGTAGCCAATATTCGCATTCCCTTCAATGCACCGATAGCCACCCCAGGCACACCCTTCGATTGGAACTATACCACCGTCAACCAGGGCTTCCTGAACAACCAACCTGAAGCGTACCCGCGAGGAAAGGTATTAGGCGGAACCAGCACTACTAGTACGTCAGTTGGTATCTATTCGTACCGATTGTAACGCAATGACTCTCAGACTATCTGGTGTACACTCGGGGAGCGTCTAACGACTACGACCGACTTGCTACAGTTGCAGGTGATGATGGTTGGACATGGGACAACCTTCACCCGTATATCATGAAGGTAAGGGTTCTGTTCTTCTATGCTACACGAGAGACTGATGTGTAGCTCATTCCTTAGCATAGTAGTTTTGTAGCCTCCGCTGACGGTTGGATATTTGCTTTAACATCCTGCGGGGGCATACGAAGCTAACCTTGGCCGCAGGACACAATACGAGTGGGCAATTCGACCCTGCCTGGCATGGAAATGGCCCTCTGAGGACTTCGGCTCCTGGCTTCCCCACTGTAATGGATTCTCGGGTTATGGAAACGACGCAGACCCTGCCCGATGAATTCCCGTTCAACGTCGACATGAATTCGGGAAACCCTCTTGGAGTTGGTAAGATATCCCCAGATCAGATGAAACCGAGCACGTTGCTAACTACTTCCCCTCGTAGGATGGACTCAGTCTGCAATTGCTAACGGGACACGACAAAGTGCCGCGACTGCATTCCTCGGACCTGTTCTCTTCAGATCGAATTTAGATGTCTTGATCAACACCCAAGTCACTCGCCTTATTCAGACTGGACGTGCCAGTGGGAAGCCTGATTTCCGCAGCGTTGAGTTCGCACAGAGTGCGACGTCCCCACGTTATCGTGCTACAGCTCGGCGAGAAGTGATCCTGTCGGCTGGTACTATCGCCACTCCTCAGGTCCTCTTATTGAGCGGAATCGGTGATCGAGGGGCTTTGTCGCGATTGGGAATCAGGACTATCATCGACAACCCACACGTCGGCAACCATCTTCAGGTAACTTGGCGGCCATTGTTATAACGAACTATCGAGCTAATGAAATCCAGGACCACCCCTTCGTCCCACTTCAATGGGAAGTCAACAGTAACGAAACATTCGACCAATTCTCCTACAACCCCGACGCCGCTGCGGCCGCTCTTGATCAATGGAACTCCAACCACACTGGACCCTTCTCTACGAATCCGATTGCAAACCACCTTGCTTTCCTCCGAATCCCGGAGAACAATTCAATATGGGAGCAATTCGAAGATACGTCCTCCGGGCCTCATGCTCCGCACTATGAGATCGCATTTGACGTATGTATAGCAAGATCACATATTACGGTATACTCACGCGTATTAACAGAACCTTTACATCTCGACTTCGGTGGAGAATCGCCCTACAAGTGGTGGCTTCTTAAGCGTCACACTGATTGTAACATCGCCAACGTCGCGTAAGTCACGTCTTGTGCAGCAATGAAATAGTGTTCTGACGCGAGAATAGGAGGCTATGTGAAGCTCAACTCTAGTAACCCATTTGATCACCCTTTGATAGATCCCGCTTTACTGTCTACGGACTACGATATGGCCATCATGGTGGAGGCCATCAGAGCCGCACAACGATTTGTTGACGCTTCGCCGTGGAGTGGATTCATCATTAGTCCATCAGTTGATTCCGCCCAGACTACCACTATCGATAGTATTATCGAATATAGTCGTCGCCGCGGTGCTACGTCTGATCATCCTACTGGCACTGCCCAAGTTGGAAAAGTCGTTAACGGTGACTTGACTGTCAAGGATGTTAGCGGACTTCGCGTCGTTGATGCATCTATTTTTGTGAGTGCTAATCTCTATCGAACGTGTCTGCAGTCCCTCATCGACGTTAACAGCCATATGTCCCCACCGCACACACCCAAGCGCCCGTTTACATCATCGCTGAAAGGGCTGCGGACCTTATCAAAGCTGCTCACAGGAATTAATATTATACATCACTCTTATACTTCATAATCGTTGAGTTTGTGTTATAATAGGTTATATATTTAGTAGTAACTGGGTAGCTGTCGCCCCAGTTTATTCTGTTAACAACTACCACCTTTTCTGTAGTAATTTCGGCTTCTGAAACCCGGAACCCCTCAACCAACAACGCTCGAAAGGTACAGACGAGCGCGAAGAACGAATGTGGTTAGGACACCTTCAGGGAGTATATCCAAAGTCACGGCCACCCTGATCTTTGGATGTGGCTCGTATTGTGCCACAGTGGCAACTTGAGCACTGGCGCATTTTAATAAAACCATTGGCCACATAGGCCACACTGAAGAGTATAAAACAGCGCTCAACTTGCTTCTCTCAATTCTCCCCGCCAATTGTGTTGCTTGTAGGATGATATCCCCCAATACGTAAGTTGCGTATATCAATTTTATCCTTTCTCATGATACTGAGGGAGAGGTTCAATGCCAACTCGGATGCTCACAGTCGAGGTCAAGTCCCCCGGAGCGTCGACATCAGCTATTCTGGATGGGCCCCAGATCTTGCTTTGGCAATATACGACAGCAAGTCGGCCTCAAAGTTCACTATATTTCCGGCACGGAGCTGGGATATCCTTGAATATGCCCCAGACTTTGCAGCACCACTCCTCACTGCCTCCGACTACAGTCATACACCTTCTATCAAGACAGTTCCTGTCTTCCCGTTCAGCGTACATTGCCTGGATAGTTTCTTCATCATCCACAATTACTACCGAACGCTGGAGAAAGGCCTGGTATCCGCATTCGTGTTCGATCAAGGAAGATTGACGGCTTCGCAATCCAAGGACATATTCCACAGTCTGATCTTGACTGCTGCCGCTTTGGGGGTTCGAAGTGATGGACACGCTTTCTGGAAGATATGCCGTGATTGCCACAGCCAGCTCTGTACTAAATCATCAGCTTAGCAATTCGGAGCGTCGATGCGTTGGAACTAATAAATGTAGTTGACATTATCGTATGGTACATGATGCGAGATTCCCACCACCCCTTTTGAAGGACGATAATATTCTGTTATTATCGACAAAGCAGAACTCCAAGTAGGACTTGAACTTTATACGCGAAGTCCGTTAGGAGAGGTTAGGAGCGTCCAGGGGAAAGTACCATGACCTGTTCCACTTTATCAGAGCTGACTGGCGGGCCTGGAACGTGACGATGGTCGCCGTAGTAATTCACCTTAGTCGGAATTATCAGGTTAGTATTACCCGCAATCAGTTTGCTCGAAAGTTAAACTCGCGATTGACTTTCAATGCTTCGGTTTGGACCTATTAACGACATATGTTGGTACAATAGTGTTCATTTTATCAAGTTCATTGGTATGCAGCCTTAATGTCGTCGGCCATCTTTTCAGCTAGAGTGTATAGAACCGCTTGAGGGTGGGCAGACACGACGTATGGCTACTCAATCAGTCAGTAAAGATAGATATTCAGAACAAATAACCACATACGAAGATCGAGGCATCCACAATGCGAACGCCGCTAATACCCTTGACAGTGAGGTCCCCGTTGATGACTTTGCCAATTTGAGCGGTGCCAGTTGGGTGACGGCAAGTAGCCGTACGCTGAAGAACATACTGGACGATGCCCTCGGTGGTAGTGGTGTTAGCAGAGTCGGAGTAGGGTCCAATGATATAGTCGGCCCAAGGAGATGCTGCGACGAAGCGTTGAGAAGCTCTCACGGCTTCAACCATGACGGCCATGTCGAAATCGTCGGCGAAGAATGCGGGGTCGATTAATGGGTGATCGAATGGGTTGGCGGTAGCCAATCGTACGTAGCCACCTTCAAAGGAGGCAGAATTAGGAATATACATAGGGGTATCGATGTAAGGCTTACGGGAAGTGGGAGTCACCACGATGGGCGTGATAGTAAGGAATCCTCCGCTTGTAGGGAAAACTTGGGTAGAGGTAGTGACAAAGGAGTTCTATCCAATGGTTAACCGGGAAAAGTCTTCCAAGAGTTTGAGGATCACTTACACCAAATGCGATCTCGTAGTGTGGAGTGTTAGGCCCTGCGGAAGGGTCGGTGTAGTTCTGCCAAAGCGGGTTGTCGTCAGGGACGCGGAGGAATCCGACCAGATTCATAACTGGGTTGTTGGAGTAGGGACCGGTGTGGTTAGCATTCCATTCGGCCAGTGCGGCGGCGGCCAATTCGGGCTGGTAAGAAAGTTGGTCGTACGTTTCATTACTGTTTACTTCCCATTGCAGTGGCAGGAACGGATGATCCTAATATCGGTTAAGGTGGGGGGGGGGGTTATGAAGTTGTAAGGCAGAAAAGCATGCATACCTGGAGATGTTCCCCAACGTCGGGGTTGTGTATGATCGTCCGGATTCCCAATCGTGTCAAGGCCCTGCGATCACCAATGCCGCTCAACATCAAAATCTGCGGTGTCCCGACAGCACCTGCGGACATGATCACTTCCCGGCGAGCGGTGGCAGTGAATCTACGCGCATTGGGGCCTTGGGTGAATTCGATGCTTCGGAAGGCTGGCCTGGAGCCAGTCCGCCCTGTTTGAAGTAAGCGGGTGACTTGGGTGTTGATCAGGACATGGAGATTGGGTCTAGAGAGCGCAGGCCAGAGGTAGGCGACGGCAGAGCTTTGGCGAGTCCCTTCAGCGATGGTAGATTGGACCCAACCTAATATCTTGAATCAGTTTGGGTGTTAGTATATGGGGAGAATATGTACCAACCGATGCCGAGGGTGTTACCAGAGTTCATGTCAAGGTTGAAGGGGAATTCTTCGGGAAGCTCTTGGGTGGTTTGGATAATGAGAGGGTCAATCACAGCAGGGTATCCAGCAACTGAAGTATGGAGAGGGCCCGACCCATGCCAGGCGGGGTCGAATTGACCAGTAGTATTGTGACCTAGGACAATAATTGGTGTCCGCTCTTGTTATCTCGGGCTTATAACCAACTCACCATCAGCAGACGCAACCATGGTGTTATGCTAGGATGGAGTCAGCACAGATGGCACAGCCCGAACGAAACCATGCTAATCACCTTCAGGACGTATGGCTTCAAGTTCTCCCACCTGAAACTGTCGTCTCCGGCGATCCTAGCAATTCGGTCGTAATCATCAGATGATCCACGAGTGTATACCAGGAAGTCTACAATTCCCCTGTTATGTTAAAAGCATGTTTGAACAAGGGAGGGAATAGCGTACTGGTCGAAGTACTGCCACCGAGTACTTTGCCACGAGGATACGGCTCAGGCTCGCCGTTCAGACTCCATTGATCAACCGTGGTGTAATTCCAATCGAAAACGGAGCCAGCACCGGCAGCGGGGGCATTGAATGGAATGCGGATGGGGGCTACGTCAGTGCCATTGTTGCTGCAAACGTATAATATAAGATCGGCGGCATTAGTGCGTTGACGGGATAGCCTACCTTCTACCTGCTTCAACAACAAGAACGCTCACATTTGGGTCTTCAGATAATCGGCTGGCCAGTACACTTCCGGCAGCTCCAGCTGTAAAGAGTGGTATTAGAGATGAACTTCTGCATGAGAAGCGAAGCAAGCTCGCCTCCGACGATCACATAATCGTATGTCGTGCTTCTGAGCTGACGCGGGTCTGTAAGAAGCTCACCACAAGCGCTTTGGGCAACGAACAAGGGGATCGAAAGAAGAGCAAGTGTTGGGAGCATTGTGCACCGCTGCTTGAATCCAAGCATGTCCACACAGCTCACAATTTATACTTGCGCCTAAATCCATGCTTACAGCGCAGGGCATGCGCCAATTCGGAGTTGTGCAATGGATTGAGCGATGAACGCGGCCTTAGACGTACGCTCATTCCGATTCCGGGCTCCCCGAATGTACCAAGGGAGACGACAATCCACATTCCGGGTAGGACCCTGAGTAGAAGCACGGTGATCACAAGGTGCCTCCATGCCGTTGCACTCAACTAGCCTTTCATACGGCCTGCTGCCATTTGCTGTCGGGGGCCCCACTGGCTTAACTAGATGATCTGGAACCTGGTGCTGTCGGAGCAACCTGGCAATTTGCTGGGTAATGACGCACCTGACGTTCTCGAGTCTTCTTCGACCGCATCGGTCGCTACCCGACTCATCACCGGTTCATGGTTTACGCGACAGGCGGACTCCGGTGGGTGCCAGTAATAGTATGACCGCCGAGGATATGGTGCTCAAGAACTGAGAGGATCAGCAGAAACACCAAGCCGCCAAACCGAAGGTGCATGGTTCAAACATAAATTGTCCAAAGACAGAGGCTGATGGCCGCCACAAGGAAGGCACTAAAGGGCACTAAGCGTCGGCACCACGTGACCCTTTCCCGCCATCCGTCGGGAGTCGGGCCGCCCTAGTAGCGAGGTGACATCGGCGCGATACGTTGTTAGATCTTCGTTATATCCGGGGAACTCGCGCGCCGTAAAGCGTTAATCTGCGACACTTACGACCTTCGGGCGAGTACAATATGGAACGCAGCATCAGATCCTCAACCTGCTTGAACTGATTGCTACAGAATCGGATCTTTCAACATAGATTACCCTGGGTAGCATCTGCTAAGCAATCTCCGGGGGTGGCGGGCATTTTCTCGGACAGCGATGAAGGTTGGAGACTATGGTTAATAAATTTGCTATTACATGGATCTAGTAAGGTACGCTAGTGTTTCTATATAATTTTCAAGAATTCCAAGTTCAGTATTTCAGTGGTAGGCAGCCTTGATCAAGTCGGCAGCTCTTTCAGCAATAATGTAGGTAGGGGCCTGAGTATGGGCCGATGGAACATGCGGCTAGGTACCAATTTATGTCAGCATTGATACCCAGAAGCGACCAAATATATGTTACTCACGAAGATCGAGGCGTCAACGATGCGGACACCGCTTATGTCTTTAACGGTCAGATCGCCGTTCACGACCTTGCCGACTTGTGCGGTACCCGTCGGGTGGCGTGTGGTCGCTGTACGCTGGCGAGTGTACTCAATGATGCCTTCAGGTGTGGTGGTGTTGGCCGAGTCAATGTAAGGGCCGATGATGAAGTTGCTCCACGAAGAAGTCGCAACGTAGCGTTGAGATGCTTTGACAGCCTCGATCATGATGGCCATGTCGAGGTCGTCAGAAAAGAAGCCTGGGTCAATCAATGGCGCGTCGAACGGGTTGCTGGTGCTGAGGCGTACGTAGCCACCTGGGATGATGGAAGAGTCAGTTACCTGAGGGAAGAGCCCGCGTAGACTAGGAGCTTACGAGAGGATGGCGAGACAACGATTGGCGTGATGGTCATGAAGCCGCCGGATGAGGGAACAGTTTGAGCCGAAGTGGTGACGAAGCAGTTCTAAAAATGACATTAACTTAATCTTGTTGGAAAAAGATGGCGTTTACAGCCACGTACTCCGAATGCAATCTCGTAGTGAGGGGAGTTGGGCCCGGCAGATGGGTCTTCATTCTCTTGCCAGATAGCATTGTCATCTGGGATTCGGAGGAAGCCAATGTGGTTCATGACTGGGTTAGTTGAAAGAGGGCCTGTGTGGTCGGTATTCCATTGGTTGAGGGCAGCAGCGGACAAGTCGGCATTATAGAAGAGTTGATCAAAGGTTTCGTTGCTGGTCACTTCCCATTGGAGTGGGATGAAAGGGTGGTCCTAAAGAATGCGCGAAGGATGAATGTTACGTGCGCCCAGACGTCTGAAAGACTGACCTGGAGATGTTCGCCGACGTCTGGGTTGTTGACAATTGTGTTGATGCCCAACGCAGATAAGGCGTCCCTGTTGCCAATACCGCTGAGCTGGAGGAGTTGAGGTGTTCCAACGGAACCCGCAGAGAGGATAACCTCCCGTCGAGCTGTGGCGCGGAATCGCGGAGCAGAGGGTCCAGTAGCAAATTCAACAGAACGGAAAATAGGTGTTGCACCAGTTCGTCCGGTTTGAATGAGGCGAGTGGCTTGAGTATGGATTAACACATCTAGGTTGGGTCTGTTCAGGGCTGGCCAGAGATAGGCGATTGCGGAACTTTGTCGGGTGCCATTGGCAATAGTAGATTGCGCCCAGCCTAGAAAGTGGAGTCGTTTTAGCTGCTGGCAGAATCGTTTCAAGGTAGAGCACGTACTGATGCCGAGCGGGTTCCCGGAGTTGCCGTCAACATTGTAAGGGAATTCAGCCGCCTCTTGAGTAGTACCGATGACCAAAGGGTCGATAACCGCAGGATAACCAGCTACCGAGGTAAGGAGAGGACCATTTCCATGCCAAGCAGGGTCGAATTCTCCAGTAGTGTCGTGTCCTAGGCAAATATGAGAGCTGATCAAATCTAGCTGAAGTTCACCATACCATCGGCTGGAGCAACGATGCTACTGTGCTATAGCGAGTATAAGTCTCAACGATAAATGCCATGGAATGAGGTGATTTACTTTGAGGATGTAGGGGTGGAGATTTTCCCAAGTCCACCCATCATCACCAGCTATTGCAGCCAATCTGTCGTAGTCATCGGCTGAGCCGCGAGTGTAGACCATATAGTCTATTGTGTGCTCATTAGAAATTATCCACCCAATGTTGGAAAATGCGTACTGATGGAACTACTGCCGCCCAAGACCTTTCCACGAGGATATGGTTCAGGCTCATTGTTCAAGGACGGCTGATCAACTGTCGTAAAGTTCCAGTCGAAGGAAGTGCCCGGGCTAGCTAGCGGTGCATTGAAAGGAATACGAATATTGGCATTGTCAGGTCCTTCGTTACTTTTTTATGAGGTAAGTCAATGATCTGAGCGCCTATAGACTGATTTGATTTACCTCCTTCCTGCTTCGACGACCAGGACTCTGACATGGGCGTCCTCTGTAAGACGAGCTGCAAGAACACTTCCAGCCGTTCCAGCTGTGCAGCAGGATATGTGAGATGCGTGAGTCACAAACAAAAAAGAAACTAACCTCCAACAATAACGTAGTCGTATGTAGTGGTCGTCAATTGCGTGGGATCCGTGAGCAATGCGCCAATGGCGCCTTTCGCAGCCAACAGAGCAAGAGAAAAGAGGCTAAAAGTGGGGAACATCTTGTACTAAACAAGAACTGATGCCCATCCATAGCTTTAGAGCACGCTTTATATATTCACGAAGCCATGCCCTTCACCAAGCTGCGAAACCCACTCGTACAATAAGGAGACCGCTTCACGCGTAGCGAGGTCGCGTCAGAGGTATGCCGCTTCTCCCCAGGGTTAACTCAATGCTGAGATCGTGACATGTCGTGGCTACTTAGCTTTGGTGGACCTGCCGAGGTGGTGAATCGTGAGCCATGAACGGTGATTTCGAGGGATCGAAAGTGGGTTGACGTTAAATCCGACATTGCATCAAGTTGAGATGATCATATGGGCAGCGCATCATCGAATTTCGGAGGCCGCGGCGAGGCAATCTATTTGCGATCCACAAGGGTTGTAGTGGAAATTGCTGCTTCTCTGGATCACGAGTCATCTTGAAGAAACGCAAGAACTCATAGCCGTCTGGCGGGGGGAGTGGAGAGGAGGCCTACATGGCCACAAGCCCATTGTTGCGCCTGACATCAGTGTCTCGAGCTTCTTCATATCCCCCTCCCCGGCCATTTTTACTGCTACAGAAATAGTGTTCCTTCCAATCACCCCACTGCTCCGTTTGTGAAGACACGTCGTCGTCGAAACATACACTGCTCTTTTGGATGAGGCGCGCTTGGGTCGGCCTGGTATTTGTCATCCACACAGTCAATAAATTGTACGCTTAAATGCTGCGACTTCGGGTAATCTCACCTGTCTGAGTGTCGGTAACAGGCACCGGCAAATTCAAGGTGGACCAAATGCTCGACGTCGGTTATGGGTCAACCTCAGTATTTTGCCTAAGTCAGTATAAAGTCCACGTAAGTCCATTTTTTGATGGAATTCGTCAGTTTCCGTACTTTTGATGTAAAAATTCCGGCACCTTCCTCTTTTGATCTTGTGCGGAAGGTCACGACGAAATCTAAGTCAGTGAAAAGCAAACTTACAGTGACTTAGTTTGACTGGGAATGGGAGCGTAAAGTAATAGGATTCAGACATTGCTTATGTAAGGGGAACTAATCCCAGGGGCGAAGATGCATTAATCGAGAGAACATTAAGGCTCTAGCCTAAGAGCAGTTGCTCAGGAAGTGACAAAGGGGGTATCTTGAGGGTGCTGAATGTCGGATAATGCAGGGGTATTTAGATACGAGACGAGAGACTTGGAAGAGCATGAATACTGGTGACAGGCGCTGGTGCCCCCCTGTCTTCAATTACATAATCTTTTTTGATTTCGCAATTGTTGGACTTCAACGTTTCGACGTTTCAACTCCTCACCAACATCCCCAATGTCCACTTATTTCTTCGACAACCATTCACAACACTTGTGGCATTCAATGCGGCCCCGAATTGAACATCTTGACATCTCTTCTCGCCGTAACGCGCCGTGTGGATAACAACTGCTCCGACTCTCTGGATCCACGCGCCTGGCAAACAGACTACTGGCAGGATTCCCATTCCCCTACGCGCTTCGCTAACTATTCCGACTCTCATACTCAAGTTTAAGCTTCCAGACCACTCAATACACGCAATCATCATGCCACGGACACGGAGGGGGTTTGTGAGTACCTTATATTTCAACGTCAATGTGATGCCTCCAGCCAACCAGGTTAACATTACTCTAGAGTCCTCCTCCATTGGCAATGGAAGAAGCGAATAGACCGTACCGTATTATTATATATATATTGCATCATGCTTACTATTAGTATGAATTTATTTTATTGCCTGAGAACGGTTTTGTACTTGACTTAACCTGACCATCACTGACTGTGAGCGACTGTTGTGTTGAACATGGTGGCCTGACTTTCCATGACTGACTTCGACACTAACAGACTTGGCTTGACCTGTTTTCTTCGATACCCGAAAGGGACCCACAAAATCATTTTCAAGTCACACACCGTGCACTGATACATACCTTTAAACTGGGATTTTTAAAAGTAAGGTGAAAGTAAGCGGTTTATTTCCTTGGTACTTTTGAGCTGAATATTAGGAAAGTATTGAGCAGAAATTGCCATATAAGGAAATTTCTGATCAATACTTCTCTGATATTGCACCCGAGAGTATCGAGAAAGTAATCTGAATACTTTTACCGTACTTTCTTCAGTTCCAGTGTAAAACTACGAATCAGTGCACGGTGTGTCATTTTACGGTAAATATTCCGGCCTAGGTCCGGCTAAGTCATTATTTTATGACTCACACAGACTTAGGCAAAACACTGAGGGTCAACTCGGATTCCGTTGGATTCAGCCAGAGCCCTGCACTGCAGAGTTTGGAACCTGCTACGGTAGAGATGCTTCAAGATTGACGATATTTGGATGGAATCAAAAACAATATGTTCAGTCCCAGTACTGGATAGTGGTAACAGCTCCAAGGCAGGAAGAGCTTCAGTGGTTCAGCTCACACTGAAAGCTACGCGGGTGTACATGGCTCTCATTTGGTTACGGGAGGGGAAAAGAGAGGGCGTCGGTGCCAAGCGCCCGCCCGCCCTTTCCTCAACGAGCCAACTCAATTTCCCACGCCGGAAATTTCTTTCCCCACGAACCGGTACAGCGTATTTTACTGTGAAACAGCAATGTCGATGCAATCTTCAACGATGGCGGGTCCTTCTCGACCTTCCAAGAACCCGAAGAAAAAACACGCCAAACCACTGAAATCCAAGAGGGTCAAGAGGGCAACTGAGCTGCAGAAAATCGAGGCCTTGGATAAGGAAGCGATGTCCTATGTGAGTCTTCTGGACGCGCCGATCCAAATAAATGTTCAATGGTGTAGATTCATGTCCTCAGATAGCTCCAGCAGACTTGAGTGCATTTGCTTCTCTGCCGATAACCGAACAAACCAAACGAGGTTCGTATATGAGATAGCTCTAAGTCGGGATGAAATTGACGTAACTTTCAGGCTTAAAGAAAGCATTTTTTGTCGATATGACTGAAATTCAGACGCAGAGTATACCGATATCGTTAAAGGGCAAGGACGTGCTAGCTGCCGCCCGGACAGGGAGTGGCAAGACTTTGGCATTCCTTGTACCAGTGCTAGAAATCCTCTTTCGTCGGAAATGGGGGCCAAGTGATGGACTCGGAGCACTGATTATTTCTCCAACCCGTGAACTCGTATGTATGTCCTCTGGGATTCTATAGACTCTGAGCTGATCTAGTACCCTTAATTAGGCGGTTCAGATCTTCGACGTGTTACGATCTATTGGAGGGTTTCATTCCTTCTCTGCGGGCTTGGTCATCGGGGGCAAGAATTTGAAGGATGAGAAAGACCGACTCTCGAGGATGAATATCTTGGTGGCCACGCCTGGACGGCTGCTGCAGCATATGGATCAGACACTCGGATTCAACGCAGATAATTTGCAGATACTCGGTGAGTACCATTGACATATCTATGACTCGTATCTTGAAAGTTTCGTAGTGCTCGACGAAGCCGACCGTATATTGGACATGGGATTCTCGCGTACGCTGACCGCCCTTCTATCCCACCTCCCTAAGTCTCGCCAAACACTCCTCTTCTCTGCGACGCAAACCCAATCTGTACAAGATTTAGCTCGTTTGAGTCTCAAAGATCCTGTACCCATCGGCGTCGGTGAAGCTGGCGACCCATCCGCCTCTGCCACCCCTCAGAGTCTTGAACAACACTACACCGTATGCCCTCTGGACAAGAAACTCGACGTTCTATGGAGTTTTATCAAAACACATCTGCAGTCCAAAATCGTCGTATTCATGTCCAGCTGCAAGCAAGTAAGATTCGTGTTCGAAACCTTCTGTAAACTCCACCCAGGTGTCCCTTTGCTCCACCTCCACGGGAAACAAAAGCAAACCACTCGTCTTTCAATGTACACTAAATTCACATCCACATCCCATGCCGTCTTATTCGCTACCGATATCGCTGCTCGTGGTTTAGACTTTCCCGCAGTCGATTGGGTCATTCAAGTCGATGCTCCAGAAGACGCCGACACTTACATCCATCGCGTAGGTCGTACTGCGAGATATGGGAGCGCTGGGAAAGCACTTATGTTTTTGCTTCCGAGTGAAGAACAGGGGATGTTGGGTCTTTTGGAGGCTAAGGGCATAACCATCAAGAACATCAAAGTTCGACCAAGTAAAACTCGCAGCATTGAAAACGAATTGCAGAATCTTGCGTTCAAGGATCCGGAGATCAAATACCTTGGACAAAGGGTCTGTTATATTTCCATTTCTCTCTCTTGAAGGCAGTCCTGAGGCTTGTTTAGGCGTTCGTCTCATACATGAGATCAATATACTTACAAAAGAACAAGTCAGTGTTCAAACTTGAAGGCTTACCCATCCAACGCTTCGCCGAGTCTCTGGGCCTGCCTGGAGCACCGAAGATAAAATTCCTCAGCAAGGAACTGGCAGCCCAGAAAAAGAACGCCTCGCGGACTGTTGCTGCTGCGCAGGCCGAAGTCCTCAAGGAAAAGGCCGACGACTCGGACGACGACCTGATGGAGTCCTCGGACGAGAGCGATGAGGGAACTACAAACGAGCAAGCGACCAAGCTGACAAAAGTATGTAGCCATCATTCTCAACGGGGTGGATTATATTAAGATTTTGCTCTAGACGAATGGCGTTCGCACGAAATACGACCGCATGTTCGAACGCAAGAATCAAAACATCTTATCGGAGCATTACAATAAGCTTATAGATCATGACGATGATGCGGATGATGCGGACGACTTCATTACCCTGAAGCGCGCCAACCATGACATCGATGATGACTCCGAAGAAAGTGATATTGACTTGTCTCAGCTGTCCAAACGTAAACAACGGATGGGCCGTATCAAACGCATCGTAGCTACAGCCCCTCTCCCCAAGAAACTGGTATTCGATGATCAAGGGAATCCCCATGATGTCTACGAGCTCGCTGACGCTGACAGGCTGTATGAGGAACGCGGGGGGTTGGAAGGAGTCAAGGAGGAGGGCAAGAAGTTTGCGGAAGGAGAACGGGGCAAGATGAGAGTGACAGATCAGGTTGACAAACAAGAAGCCAGGGACAAGAAACGGGAAAAGAAACGGAAAAGGAAAGAGAGAGAGCGTGGAGTAAGCCTAGTGCGCCCACTCCAAGTGATCCGACTGACACTGCTGGTAGACAAACGTGGATGTGGATGAGTCCGGGGCTGTCGTGGCGCCTCCATCCGACGACGATGGATATGTCTCCCCTGAATTCAACCTTCCAGACCTATCCTCGGAGGATGAAGAACACTGGCGAACTGCTCCGCCACCACCGAAGCGCAGTAAAATATCGAATACTAAATCAGAACGATACCCGTCACCTCTGGACGATCTCGAGGCGGACGAAGAACTGGCCTTGCAGTTGCTACGTAGGAAGTAAATATTTCAACATTATTAAGGCATTCGTCGTACTTTCCCTGCAATGATGGCTTTGGCAGTGCTATCCACCTCATCTGACCCACCCAAAGTCCTTCAAGCGTCGAAATGTATTATGGGATGACCCACTCTACTACGCCGCCGTTTCAGCATCCCGCCACTCACCGCCATAAACACCGTTCCAATTAGATCCTGGGCCGAGGTATGGGTAATAATACCTATGCACGAACTAGCCTACAGCACGGCGTTCCTCGGCTTCACGTCGTTGAATGGTCGTACGGTTGACTGATCATCGATCATGCCTCTGAGCGCATCATCCCCGCATGCGCATGCCCGACCAGGTTTGAACTGTACCTGATGCGCCCAATCCCTTGTCACTGCCATGATAGATCCTTAAAGCAGCGGCGGTATACTGTGTATAAGAGGAGGTTTGGGGGGGACAGGGTGAAGGCAGAGGTTATACTATCATGTATCTTTCACTGAGCGTTCTGTCCGTATCCCTCCTAGCAGCACAAACCGCTCTAGGAAAACTGTACACGGAGCCAAGTCAATTGAGAAGCACAACCTACGATTACGTTATTGTTGGAGGTATGTTGATGCTACCATTGCTTCTTTTCCCGCCGATGCTGACTTACATGGCACCGTTTAGCTGGAACCGCCGGCAGCGTGCTCGCGAACCGCCTCACAGAAGATCAAAAGATCAGGGTTCTCGTCGTCGAGGCTGGGAGAAGGTACTTGATCTCACGTTTACTTCCATGGCCCTCAAGAACTCATCCAGACCGGTCTAGCAATAACGGCAGTGATGTAGCGAACATTCGTATCCCCTTCAATGCACCATTAGCCTCGCCAGGTACTCCCTTTGACTGGAACTTCACCACCGTCAATCAGCCTAGCCTGAATAACCTACCTGAGCCCTATCCACGAGGGAAGGTCTTGGGTGGAAGTAGCTCCACCAGTACGTCGGTCGATCCAGACCCACTCTTACCATTTACGCAAATTGAACTATACGCTGTTTAGATTATTTGGTGTACACTCGCGGAGCATCTGATGATTATGACCGACTTGCTAAGATTGCCGGCGATGATGGCTGGACATGGGACAATCTACATCCGTACATTTTGAAGGTTAGCTACCTTTACACTCTGATCGTCAATGCCTTTCGGGTGTCTGACTTTAGCTATAGCACAGCAGCATTGTACCGCCAGCAGATGGTCAGTCACAACGCATGAGCGCGAATCAAGTATCTCACTCCGATATACAGGTCACAACACAACCGGGCAGTTCGATCCTGCTTGGCACGGGAATGGGCCACTGCGAACTTCGCTTGCTGGCTTCCCCGCAGTCATTGATCCACTTGTCATACAAACGACACAAGTCCTTTCGGACGAGTTCCCTTTTAACCTTGACGTCAACTCAGGGAATCCTCTTGGAATCGGTTAGATGCCTGACGATCATCAAAGAAGACCATAATCAACTTACGTCTATTGTTTCCAGGCTGGACTCAATCCACCATCGCCAATGGGACGCGCCAAAGTTCAGCGGTCGCGTACCTCGGCCCCGTACTTTTTAGATCGAACTTGGACGTCTTGATCAACACCCAAGTTACTCGCCTCATCCAAACCGGGCATGCTGGTGGAAAGCCCGATTTCCGTAGCATCGAGTTCGCTCAGAATGCGAAGTCCCGACGCTTCCGTGCTACCGCCCGCCGAGAGGTCATTTTGTCATCGGGCGCCGTTGGGACGCCTCAACTCCTGATGTTGAGCGGAATCGGTGATCGCAAGGCCCTATCGAAGGTGGGAATCAAGGCCATTGTGAACAACCCCGACGTCGGCGAACACCTTCAGGTCAGTCGTGCGTTGCCTTCACCCACAAGTTGGTCTGACGAGATAACAGGATCACCCATTCCTTCCCCTCCAATGGGAGGTTAACAGCAATGAGACATTCGACCAAATTTTCTATAATCCCGATCTAGCTGCTGCCGTTCTTGACCAATGGAATCGCAATCATACCGGTCCCCTTGCCACCAATCCCGTCACCAACCAACTAGGCTTCCTCCGCATCCCCAAGAACCATTCCATATGGGAACAATTCGAAGACCCGTCTTCCGGACCACATGCCCCACACTACGAGATTGCATTTGGCGTACGTAGGACGTTGCATTTCCATAGCGCCGTATATACTGACATAGATAACAGAATTCTTTTGTTACGACCTCGGCGCAGGATCTGCCTACTAGTGGAGGTTTCCTCTCAATCACGCCTATCGTTGTGTCGCCAACGTCGCGTAAGTCTTGGAGGTCCCCTTAAATCTGAATATACTCGAGTACTAACATATCAATAGGTGGCTACGTGAGGCTCAACACCAGTAACCCATTTGACCAGCCGTTGATTGATCCTGCTTTCCTGTCTACGGACTACGACGTGGCTGTCATGGTAGAGGCTGTGAAAGCGTCTCAAAGATATGTCGCTGCATCCCCATGGAAGGACTACATCATCCGCCCTTTCATCGACTCGGCCAATACTACCACTGTCGAGGGTATCGTGGAATACAGCCGACAACGCACGGCTACAACCCGCCACCCGACCGGTACTGCTCAGGTCGGCAAAGTTGTTAACGGTGACTTGACCATCAAGAACGTCAGCGGACTTCGCGTCGTCGATGCATCTATCTTCGTAAGTCCCAGACCCCTTCTGTCTAGACACAATCAATCTGAAGCGAACCTGCAGCCTTTCGTTCCAACTGGCCATACTCAGGCTCCTACTTACATTATCGCCGAACGAGCGGCAGACATCATCAAGGCTGCACACAGAAACTAATTCTTTATTATCGAATCAAGGACTTCGTATATTACATGATAACTTTCCGCTTGTGTCGTCTGTGTTTCTCCAGTTCTCTACAGTGCTGCTGCACAAACTCTTTCTAAGATTGATTCGTATGATATCGAATCTTTATAATACACGAAGTTAATACTATTTCAAACGACCTGTGTAGTTGTGACTAGTGACTAGTCCGTAATCCACCACTATACGACATTCATAAATTTCCAACAGAAACCATGATTCGATATATTTGAGATGGTTTCCCATTACGGCAACAGCTGTTGAGCCTCCGCCATACATATACCTGTCTTCAACCACGAAAGTGACCCTGTTGAGAAGTTTGCTAGCTTTCAAGAACGGTTCTAGGCTAGCAGCCATCCGGCCCCAACCATCTTCGCCCAAATCCACCAGTACCGTGTTGCAGATAAAGTGGATACTGAAAGATTCGAGACGCAAGGTCGGCCGAAAGCGGGCACATCCACCTACGCAAGTATCAAACACCTATTGAGTTGCTTCCTGACCTCCCCCTGACCCCAAAGGATTCATAGGTCATTGCATGGGCTATGAAGCTTGCAGCACCGTCGATCCCCATCAATCTTCGCCACCTTCGGTTTAGGATGTCCGTGGATGACGAGGTATTTCCAGCATCATCCGTGAAACGACCACACGGGTACGTTCGAAGAGTGATCGAAGGGTGAGGGACAATGCTCAAGCAAATTACTGAGCTCAGGAGACTCGGTCGCTTTGAACAGCAATGATCTAATATTTGTAAACTTTGCAACTGCAAGAGGGTCGCATTCCTTGGTTCTTCCGACACGAAACTCTACACGCCGGACATACGCAGCGAAATGAAGCGAATCCGCGAGAATAGAGGCTGCTGGTGTGCATTTTGTGCCGTCTGACGAATAGACGCGCTGGCTCAGGACAAATTTGTTGGAAATGAGGCGCTGTGAAGAGTAGATCCAGGATTTGCACACAAGGCTGCATGCCCACAGTGTCTGGAAATTTTCTATGTCCAAGTACAAGAAGATTTGTTTGACAATATCGAACGGAATCATTTGGCGCCGGATGCTACTATATTTCAAGTTGCCCCTAATGATTCTCCTGTCTCAGTAATCTCTTCGCAACACCACCACCGTGTTCATTCCCAGTCTCGCGTCTGCATCAACTGAACACTTGGAGCTCAAGATTCCTATCCATAATATACTGTCTCTGTGCTCTTTACCAGTCAAATGGCTGAGGTTTGTAGGTTGGGCAATTATCCACTCCAGCAGTGGCTACCTTTCTCGTGACACCGAAGGCAATCTCACTGCTGCTACTGTGTTCAACGATGAGGATACCCTCTATTACCACGCACCTGGTGAGCACAATCATGAATAAATATATGTTATCTATGAGATCCGTAATGGCCTACTTCTTGAAGCCAATGTTCGCGGACTCGTCAACCATAAGGAGGTCTCAATTTCGGTGGTGCGACATCCGCCTCCGTCTCCACAACTGCTTGCGACCACTGACATCCTAGACCGCGCAGATATTCCTCCGTCGGTCGAGAATCCACCGGACACGCGCGGATCCCCATCATCATGTTATACCCTCCAGTATCAAGGCCCCAGATGATACTCAATTCTTGAACTTCAATCGAGCACCAGCACCAGATCACAATGACGCAAAATTCCACGACTGGTCGCCAGCAGGCTTCCAGATCCCATGCTCCTTCATTATGTGTATGGCGCATCTGAGATATTTCTCGCAAGCAATGGCAAGATTTGAACAAACCAAATTGGCCTAAGCACCACAACCAAACACACGATCCGCCGCAAATACCACGTACTTTTGAAGATCGTGTCTCGGTTGGCCGGAAGCGCTATGAGGCAAACCCTCCCTCCGAATCTTCAGAAGCTGGCGACAGCGGCCGTGTAACGAATGACTGGGCTATAGAAAACATGTACGACATCACGTTGATTCGGTTGGCGCAGCATGAGCATGTTAGATGGGAGGAACGCAAACACGAGATCAGCGACTGGGCCAAGAAGTTTCCCCACCTCTATGTTTGTGCTATACCTTATACTCTCTCCTCTGCATCATTAGAATTGGACCCCCCATTTCCATAGTATTATTGCCCCCTCGTGTATGGCAAGGCCTAAACTGTAATAGATAGTACATCAGAAAGTAGACAGACAAGCATCCTCACGGTTAACCCCTCCACGATGGCACAAAACCTGTCCAATCGCACATCTAGTCCGCGACCCTACAACCCCTTACAAAACATCTTCCCTCTCGCAACCTGCGCCTTGCATAGCTGCAGCTCCGTCGGCATCGCCAGCACCGACGCCAGCAATATCCCCGACGAATCCGAGAACCCAATCGAGCCTATCTTGAACTCCCGCTCCTGCCGTGTGCGCTCGACGTCGTGCGCGGTCCTGGGATCGGGGGCTTCTTGGTTGACGCGGTAGAAGACGTTGACGCTATCAAACGCAACGGTAATGGCAGATTTAATGGAAGCATAGGAGTTTAAGTTCAGAAGATCTGAGGGAAGATGGATAAGGAACGAAGAGGATAACTCACTAAGCGAGGCCGCCACATATGCCTTCGAGACATACCAACCCGAACACCATCAGTACGCTGAGGCCTTCCGAATCGTCCGGGAAGAACCCTACAGCAGCTTCGGTAGCTAAAATGATTAGGATGACCCCTTGGACAACGGCAGGCAGAGGAAGGAGCCGCTGAGGAAGCGGCGGGAGGCCCATGGAGATGGATGACCGGGACAGGAAGACCGTGGATTGATATACTAGCTATTAAAGTAGTCGTACTCAGCACGTGGGACACGTTTGAAGGGGAAGGAGCAGGGAATGGAAAGACGTACCTGCCAGAGAGGGTAGTAATCGCGGATTGAGTGGATAACCTTACTCAACAGCCAGTACTTCTCCGGCGAAGGAACAGGGTAGAGAAGTGTCGGTGCTATCCCCTTTGCTAACAGTCAACGAAAAATCCAAGGCGCGGCGTATCTTCTATGTATCGCATACCTGATTGATCGTATACTCAAACTGAGAGCCCGTGGTAACGGCACTACTTAGACTGCAAGCGAGGACGTAGGAATGACAGTGGACGCACCAGGTATACGCAGACTGACCGGTCGCCGGATCATCAGCAAGTGCCAGCTGGAGTAGGCGTAAGATAGAGGGCGGACTCACATAATGGAAACATGTATCTCAAGAGCATGGGTTGCACGAGGCGCCATTTATCGCTCCCCGTGAGCGCCACGTCTCGCTTCACAGACGTCAAGATGCTCCCCTCTTCCTCCCCGACTTGATCCTCCGTCGCAGCCAGGGGTGTGTACGGCAGCGACGAGAAACTCGTGGTCAGATCGCGCTCCTCGTACGAAGAGGACGATGTATCAATGTACAGAAACTCCGATGTCGATGGGAGGAGGAAGAAGTATGTGAGGGGGATGATAAATGGCATGACCGACGACAGGCCGACGCCGATGCGCACGCCTAGTCCACGTATTTCCCACCAGAGAAACGCGCCAACGAGTCCGGCGGCCCCTGTCCCCGAGGCGAAGTATCTGAACTGTAGAGTAAGCAGAAAGTAGGATGCACCGATAGAGCTCCTCACCCTACGCTAAGCCCTGCAACAGACGGCGGCGCATAAGTTGTTGAAAGCTGCAAGAACGTGAGCTCCCCCAGCCCAGACGAGAACGACGCTATCCCAATGCCCAATAATCTCATGTATAGACTATCGAACGCAGCAACTACCAGCATGCCGAACGTACTCAAGCAACAGCATCCCAGCAAGCGTCGAGTATATCGTATCCGGCCCTTGAGAATGTATGGCCATCCTACTTTGGCGATGAGGGACGGGGCGATATTGCAGAAAGCAATGATTCCCTTCGGTGTCGATGGAGGGACCAGGTCAAGGGCAGCCGACAGTATAATCACATATAGAACTATATATTCTTCGTAAACCAATTCTCTCCCCACCCGCGACATAAGACTGACCGTTATTGATCAATCCGAATAAGAAGAATGAGGCCCCTAGTTTCCTGAGTAACCCCGTTTCTTGACCTGCATTCGAGTTCAAGATCAATATCTCGAGCTCCAGGCCAGCATCGCACATACCTTTCTCCTCGTCTAGCAATGAGAGTGACTCTCGCGAATGACGGCCTGCGTCGTCATGGTCCGACACTGAGGCGTACTGGGTGGTGGGCATCCACGTCTAGTGCGATTATTATGATGATTTGGTGAAGTCCGGGATATTATAGAGCTAACTTTATAGTGGTCAATCCAGAGAAACGCATGGAGTGCGAGTACGACCAGGAAGGGCTCGGTTGGTGGCACTGTAGTGCAAGGTGCTTTTGTTTGCCCCTGCTTGTATCGGGGACTATTAGGCGCGCAACTTAAAGTTGAACGTTGAACCTTCCTTCTGTCTTCTTGAACTCGATTCTAAACCCTCCTACAGTACTTCTACCACTGCCTCGACGTGAAGAGATCTGTCTGCCTAATGACGAACGCTAGTAGTATTACAGGATCTGGGGTTCCGAAGTTCGAGGTTCTTCGCGAAAAATACCGACGAAAAGCGCTTCTGAAGCCTATACCGAGTCTGTGTTTGCACTATATTTTGAAGAGGCACTGGCGAGCGGTCAGTAATGTTAAACGCTTCTGCGTGCAATCCTTCCGCAGCCGCTTCTCTTAGATTCAAGCATGCCAAAGTTTGGAGGTCGTCCTACCTACGCTGGCGTACACATCGTGCTAATGACTCTTTCTAGCCACGCGACCGTCAGTATACTAGTTACAAGCCTGGAAGTCATTTGGGTTCTTCATCCCGGTGTGTGTCATGCATCCTATACGATAGAGCATCGTTCGGAATAGTCGGAAATGGTGTGAATGGACAGGACGCACCACAGAGGACTCCATTGGCATCGATTACAATACGATCGGCCGACTTGGGAGGCGAGTCCCCTGATCCTGCTTTATGGATCTGGAATTCTTGGAGGGGCGGTACGCAGGCCTTCACATCAGGAAACACTAGGTTTCCCTTTTCAAAAATATCTCGTCAGTATCGAAATAATCCTGGCCATCGTTCTTCAACATACACTATTATCTTTGCCGCCGAAGTGCTTTGGGAAACCCCTTGTGTTTGAGTTAGTACAGTCCATTGAAGGCTGAGGCCTACAAGCAGTTACATGAAGTCCTTCTTGCCCAGCTTCGCCAAATTCTTGTATTTCTCAAGGGCTTCATCGATTTCCTTCGCGGAGTAATTTGTTCCTTCGAATGTTCCGTCTCCAAGTTTCTTGTGGAATACTACTCAGAATGAAGTCCACATCAAGGCCCAAGTGTACACTTACCAATTTGCATTTGCAGGCATTTGCATCAGCAACGTCCTCAGTATTCGTCCCCAGACTTGCTCCGTGAACTGACTGGACGGCCAAGCCAGCGAGGATAACAGCAGCAATGAACCAGGAAGATGTGAGGATCGACATTTGCAAGAGTTGACAAGCCTATGAGGGTACAACTAGAGAACTGTAGGGTTGGCTCTTGCCATCCTTTTCTTTTATGTGGTTGGGCCCGACCTAGCACTCCTCAATGCTACGGCGGGTGCGGAAGGAGCAATTAAGCAACACAGATAGCTTCTAGTTGAGTGGTTGTGTAGGTATGGAACACCAGTGCGCGCGATGGCTGAGTATCATTCAGGGCGGCGTGTCCCATCGGTAGACTCCTTCGTTCATGACTCCTTTGTCTATGTGCTATTCCATGCGGAGCTTTGGGCCAACTGTGCAGCAACTATGAAGCATGTAATTGCGGAAATGGTTCGGCACCGAATAAAGAAGTAAGGAAGTCGTTTCCTGGGCCATGTGGGTTAGTGTGGCTAGTGGCTGGCAGGTACAATGTCAACGAATATATTTCCATCACCTGGAATCATTTGCATTGGATCAATGCACTAGTACTGAGGGTACCTCGATGGAAGGACTTTCTCGATATATGGCCCGTCACATCTTCTGATTCCATATGAGAGAATTCCCCATACCTATTAAACGGCAACAGCTTTGGCGCTGTCTTCATCCCAAATTGAGGCGTCACTTCACTCTCAAGCTTGGGATGATTCAGGGTCTATAGGTGCGAGGGATAGCTATACAATGCGTCCAAGAATAACGTAGGCGTATATTCCAACTTGTGCATTATATGACAACCGTGCCGCTTGAGGATATTTACTCATCCATATTTTTCAAGAGGCTCACATTTACTGATGGGCTTTGGACTTGCATCAGCGCCCGTTTCGCGTAAGGTATCATTCACGCGATTGGCCTGTATATTATCTACATTCCTCGATCGCTAGCCTCCTCGAGTTCCAGGCATTCCTGGCCGAGCTCGTAGGGACATATGAATGTTCGCTGGTACAGAGAAGTTCAATTCATTAGGGGCGAGGCACTAGGGGTGCATAGGGACACCTTGAAGTACTAAGGCAATTTGAGGGTGATGGAAGAAACTGTGTCCAGCTACGAGAACAACGGTAACAACACTAGATATAATCAAAATACCTCAACCGCACTACAACCGCTGACTGAACGATGGTCAGATCAACGCGTGTATACCTCGTTGTCTTCGCCTTGCGGACTCCACATCAGCCCGCAGGAAACCATGTTCAGCTAGCCCCAAGACTGTGGCACGTAGACATTGTATAGTTACATATCAATCGCAACTCTTCCAGACTTGATGGCTGGGAATGCGTTCGTTCGTGTTTTTACATGTGAACAACCCGGAGTGAAATACAAGATAAATGGAGAGCAAGGTTGCGTGGATCGCGCGGGGACAGTAACATAGTGACCATTACAAAGCTTCGACTGGGCGACGAGATTGGGATGAGCTCCGCTTGGAAGTCGATGAGGATGATGACTTTGAGTGGTGTGGTTTTCCCGTTGGAACGCTGGGTAGTTCCTTCATGGATTCCACACGTAGAGGCTTCGCGTTCGCTAGATGTGATAGGGATGTTGTGGAGGCATTAGAATATGTCGATGCATTGGTAGCTGAGCGAACGAGACTTGCGCCCGACCTAGAAGACGCGTTGGTGGCAGACCTGGCTAAACTCGAGGCCGTGGTCGACGATTTTGCCAGCCCGGAAACGGGCGGTGAGGAACGATGACCAGCACTCGTAGCAGCCCTTGCTAAGGTAGAGGCCGTCGTCGCTGATCTCGCTGATGGCGCCGAGGAACGATGGCCTGCACTCGTAGCGGACCTTATTAATGGGTCCCTCCCCTTCTCCGACATTTGCGGAACGTCTTTGGGAAGGAGCCTCTGTTTCTCCGAATCTGAGGCAAAGCTTTCACGCTTACTCGTCGTGGTGGTGTGATGCACAACATCCAGCATCTTCGGGGCAGCAGCACGTCGAACAGCGTCGATGAACCGTGACTTCGGAGATGTGGGGCTGCGCCCATCGCGTATGGGGGAAGCAGAGGTAACTTGGTCGGGACTCAGAATATCTGCGAACGACTTGGGGGCGGGTCCAGGGGACTTAGTGTCCACGCTGAGCGGAGCCTTGTCTATAGGGAGGGGGTGGCTAGTTAGATACATGCTTCATCTGAGGTAACATACACCACGCACCCTTATCAAACATAGGTCTTGTGCTGGCTGGGGGCTGCGATATGGGGCGTAAAGTGCCATATCTTTGGTGGGGAGACCCTACGTAGGTCTGACCATTCCCGTCGCGGTACGTGTAGACACCAGTATCAGCGTCGTAAGCAGTTCGCTTGATACCTGCTGGTAATCGGTATGCATCCTGATTCAAATGGTTAGTCGTGTTCATCTAGAATTCATACGCTACTCACTTCGTCGTATTGAGTCCATCTGCCCATGGTGGTTTAGTAGCAAGTTGTGGTGCGGTGGTTAATGTTGGTCAGGGGTCGTACATTGAACTTTATAGTCATGCAGTGCACTGAAGTGGCCGCCGTTGCCGAGCTACCAGGTTCTTTGGCGCCCACTCCGAGTTATTGCCTATTGCCAAGGTGGAAAGTACTTGAGGCGGCCGACCTTGCAAGTGTGAAATTTAACGGCCAATGTTCGCCCCACATGAGAACGGTCCAAGGGATCACATCACGGCTTTCTCCTTGGAACATTGTCGTTGCACCGTTGTAATCAATGGATTATATCCAACATACGGAGTACCTGGTAATGGAGAGTATAGTACTTATGGCTGTAGTCTAGATCATGATACACCTCTCGAAGTGGACTCAAAAGAGACTCATAGTGAGCGGAAATGACCCTGGCATGCTTGTTGCTTACGGTCGTGTGCCGCATGAAATACGATGGGGATAGAGATCGGACGGTGGCAAAAATAGCATAGGCCAGAGCGTGATCGATACGACGTTACCTTCGCGCGGAGTCGTGGACGGCCTACAAATAACTGATACGCAGAGTTGAAATCAACGATTGGTTGGGGGGCATGGTGATGAAGCATGAGGGAATGCTGCGCGGTGTCTATGAGGTTGCAACGATGATCCCCTACAATGCAATGTGTCCACTGCCATTGACTCATTTGAGACTACGAGCTGTTCATGATAATTTGATGAACTGGAATATTTAAGGGGACCGAAGGCAGTGAACATAGTGTGGCGTATTGCAACTTGGCGGATGCGGTCGTGAGGGTTCGTGGCCTTGAGCTTGAGCCCCATCATCCTGTCGCTGGGATAGCGACGGATTGTCGTGGACGCTCGATAGGGTGATTACTAGATAACACTCATAGAATGACAAACGAGATCCCATGCGATTCAAGCAGTCATATACATGTAGGTTTCTTCGATGAGCTTCGCCCGTTTGGCATCACGCACTTTGATGTCGCAGGAGAACGCGTTTGGCGACAGTTCCGCGCCAGCCTTGAAGCGTCCGTTAGAACAAGCGAGCATCTCGTCCAGAGGAGACGTACATGGTAGTTCTCCAAGTCCATGGAACATTTCCCGGCCTTGTCCGTGAACTTGAACGCCCAGAGTAGGTTCATGGTGTTGATGGCCTACGTACTTCCTCAGATCGGCCGTGTATACACGGGTACGACTATACTTACGATTGTTCGCTGGCCCATCTCAGCCCCGGGGCAGATACGCTTGGAACAGGTAAGGCGTGCAAGTTTGGCAACGTAGTTAATCAACTCACTCGCCCAGCGCCGAACGGCAGTGTGTCTCTGAGACCATCAGGACTCGCACCGTCCTTGACGCCATATTCCGACTTGATATACCTCTCGGGGTCGAAAGTATCGGGGTTCTCGAATACCTCTGAAGGCGATGATCAGAGGGGCCCGGACGGGGCGCGTGGGCAAGGCTTACCCGCATCATGGAAAATCCCCCCTGGATACGTCGTTAGCAATTGCGCCATCCAAAACCGGGTAATGGAATAGACAAACATGTGTTCATGACGATGATCGCGCCTTCCGGGATGAGATGTTCCTTGTACTAATTTGGCGAAAAGTAGGTGAGCACGACGACTTGGCATGGAAGGCGACACTTACGCGAATGTCCCTGGCCGCCATATGAGGTACAGCGCCGGGAAGGACAGGCCGAAATCGATGAACCTAGAAATCGCTGAGCCACGTAGTACTCAAATAATCCCCAAACTCTACCTCCTTGATGAGAGCGCGAAGGTACGGCAAATCGTCAAAGTCCTCCAGAGTCGGAATGCGTTCTCCTCCGATTACTCGGTCAATCTCTGCCTGTGCTTTGTCCTGACAAGCGGGATGGCATGCAAGAGCAAGGATGAAGTTCTGGATATATGACGCAGACGTCTCGACTCCGCCATCCATCAGGAGGCGACTCATGCCCCTGCTCGCGCGAGGAGGTTGAGCGAGACATTCTACTAGTAAAGCGTTGAAGCGAGGTGTCCTCACCTAATTTCCTCGATGGTCATGTCGAAGTGATTGGGGTGATCAAGCACCTTCTCCAGGAACGAACCAGTCCGCTCCCCCGCATGATATCTCGCCTCAAAGTCTTCAGTAATATCGTCGAAGAAGGCCCCTCGCAATCGCTTCGCCTCTTCGCATAGGCCTTTCCACCTGGCCCAGCGCGCAGGAACGTGTTTGAGAATGGGCATGATGTCCAGAGGCGGATGGGCCCATGGATCAGTCAACTCGGTGAACTTCTTCATAGCATCGAAGTATAACAAATGCTTATTATCCCCAAAGTCTGACACCGGTTTGCCGTAGAGGAGGGTAACCATGATCGAAGTAGACATACGCTTGATGTGGGGAATGAAGTCCTGTTCGAGGTAAAGTAACTTGAGATAAGGCGCGAACCAAAGAGTTCAAGGCCAACCTCGGGAGACCTCGCGATATCGTGCATGAGCCTTGCGTACTCTACCTGTTGCATCGGCAAGTAACTCGCGATAGCTTCGCTGGTTAGGAACGTGTGATAAGCTCGTCGGCTGCCCTTGAAAATGCGCTCGTCTTTCAAGGCGGACGATCAGCCTGAGCCAACGATACGACAATCGCGATGACCACCCACCCAAGTTAGAGAATATGGGGTATTCGCCCTCCGCGCGTTTGATCAGGTACGCCTGGGGGCGATTTCCGCTGAAGACACCTTGCTTATCCATGATCTCCTTCACTGCGGGTCCACTATTCACGACGATCATGGTCTGGTTCAAAATCTTGACCTATACAAGGGCGATTAGCACTGCGATATTCAGTGAGGAATGTAAGGACCTTACCGACACTAGTTCCCCATACTCCGCTGCCCATCGCGAGAGTCTGGCGGTATGAGTTACATTAGCGGTTAAACGCGACGCAATGAACACTCACTGGACAAAGGGCAAAGTCCTTGGAATATCCGGCGCATTTCCTAGCAGGAACCTCGTCGGAGGCCCCGGAGGAAGAAACCGTTCTCGATGGCCAATCTTCCGCCAGCGCCACGCAAAGACGACGATAGGGAGCAGCAGAAGAAGTGCCACGAGAATCATTATCGCAGATTGGGGGGTCAATGTCGATCCCAGCTACATATTCTTCATTTCTATTATAGCTACCTGTTTCATTGAGGATGAGAATTATGGCTAACAGAATAGGCAACCGTTCTCATACTTAGAACTAACGAGCCCTGTGGAAGTGGCATGAGAAATACCAGCACTACCTCCTTTGAGACTCCTTTCGTTAGGCCATTCAGTCAGCACCGCAACTGCGATTCGTTCCAGAAGCCACGATTTTGTCTTCGGGTGTACTATGGCTCTCCTCCGTCGCTATCAAGGGAATCTTCCCTATCTGGTCCCTCAGATGTCATGTTTCGCTTGTTCAGTAGCGCTAGCCGAGTTCATATGAAGGAGAACCACCATTCCGCCGTATGCACAAGAGCGACTAGATTATTCCACCGTGCACGATGGTGTTGTATCATAACCGTCGCAATAAAAGAGATTTCATGACGTTGCAAAGGCATCCTCAAGGCTGGATTTTCGGACAAGTACTTCGGTTGCGTATAAGTCTTGTTCATTGACGACACAAAAGGAGACTCACGCTGGCACGTTCGAGATAAAAACAGCAAAAGCAACGCTCCACGCCACATTTGGGTGTGGCTGAGAAGAGATTAGCATGTCTCTGCAAAAAGAATCACATGGCCATGGAGGGGACTGTTATCGTGATTCGTTGATTCGTTGACAGGCGACCAGGCGACAAGAACGAGGCTTCTGCGAGAAGACAGTCAGGATCACGCAACTTGTAAACAAAATAATACAAGAGGGCATGAAGTGACGACCGCAATGCGAATGATATTTCTAGTACAGGCGAGAGCAGGAACACGACGGCAGAGCAACAATCAACGAGGCTATAGTCATCGATGCGAAAATGAGAACTCGCCTAGCCTGTGCACGCCACAGTGTACCATTTCGGCTCCTGGCTGCCCAACCCCAGATACTCCCTCAGCTCCCGCATGCGATAGACTCGCGTAGACCTGTCCATCGGTCCTGGTGCTTATATGTCTCAGCACAAGGCAAGGCCTCGAGCATTGGTCCGTGTCTACGAGTACGACGTCGTGTCAGCGGAGAGGGATGTCTGGGAAGTGCTACTGGTAGTGCGCGTTGGAGAAATGCTGCCCTAGGTTAGAAAGCGACCAAGGTTATCCCCAGTGAACTGATCCAGGAAGGCTTGCAGCAGAACTTCGAGTGCAATCGTGTGGATGCTCTCTGGGGATCAGCACGAAAACGTGGTCGGGGATAGGTGGTTGAGAGCGACGTTTTCGACGGCGAGGACGTGTCGGTTTTCGGTGAACCTCATCGGCTGGGCTCGCAGGTGGCAAATCGAAATGAACGGTCTTCAAGTCTGCGTTTCTGTTGTTTTGCGAAGTATTCGAAGTATTGTTCTGCCGAAGCACTGCTCTGATACAGGTTGTTTCACGGTTGGGGCCAGAACCGGTGCCAGTCAGTGGTCACTTTATCAACCTCCAATCGTTTGCTGAACTTCTTGTCACGTCGATCCCTTTGCATTCATGGTGCTGATACGGAGGACCACCAGATGAAAGAGGACGAAAGATCTGGGTTCAGAATCATATACCTTGGCCAGCGGACTTGAGAGATGCCGTCGATGAGCGCCGACATATCACCATATTCTTGACGATGTTGTTCACCATCCTGTAGTCGAAAGCCCGCCACAACTGGACATTCGTTCACCAAAAGCATGCCCTTGTTCTCGTCGCAGCGTCTGTGACAAACCCATCACTACTGAAGACGAATTGGTGGTGCTCTTGTCAAGCCATTGTTCCCTGCATATTCTCAGCGCTACTCAGCATGACTCGAGTTCTGGAACAACAAAAGGACCTCTAACAGCTGGGTCCATTGTGTTACACACAAACCGCCATGTCCCAAGAATCGTCTCCCGAATTCGCGGCTCATATCATCGAGCTCACCTCTATGACCGACAGCAAGATTGTCCATGTCAACCTATCCCCCGGTCGTGCAGAAGTGACTCGAGCGTATAAGTTATCGCTCCAGGTTGGGGTCAATCAGGTCAAGATATCCGGACTACCAACTGAGGTCGATCAAGACTCGCTAAGGTGACCACCCCGTTCTGGATGCTCCTGCGGTATTGATTTGTTTCCATAGAGTCGAAGGACGAGGCGCCGCCACTATTCACGATGTGTCCATTGCACCAACACCTCCAGCTACAGCGGATCCTGAAATTATGTCTGCGTTGGTGAAGGAACACCAGAGCATGGCAAATAAAGTCAGGAGATGCAAGGACGTCTCCGCGTTCTTGGAGAAGTATTTGCGCAACATTGCGGCTGTGCCTTCCGATCACCCCCAACTTCCAATGATCATGCAAACCTACGAGCGCGAGAGCTCGAAGATTGACGACCGGTTGATGGACCTCGAGGATGCACTAGAGAAACTACGACTGCGTCGTGATGAAGAGCTGAAGCGTACTACCCAAGCTCAACCGTCGGATCCGTTGCAACTGACCGCCACTATCGGTATATTCGCTGACAATGGAGGGGATGCAGAAATTGCGTTGATCTACGGTTTGTCGCGCCAACCCCATCGTTTGGCTTGCTTTAACGCATTGTACTTATAGCCGTCCCCGGTGTTTCTTGGCAAGGGAGCTATGACATCCGCATCAACATGCAATCCAAAGATGCGCCCTTTACCCTCAAATACAAGGCAGCGATTTCTCAATCCACGGGCGAGGTACATGATCTTCCTTGTGGTTAGCATTTTGATATTGACAAATTGGCCGTCATTTACAGAACTGGGACAACGTGCAGTTAACGCTGGGCACCATCAGCCCAACTTTCGGCTTGCGCGTCCCATCCCTGGGATCGTATCGATTAACCAACTCCTCTGAATACCCGCCCCTCATCATCCCCCAACAAGCTGGGCCTGCCTATCCACAGCCCATGGTAGTTCCATGTTCTCGCAGCTCCCGCTCGCGTTCTCGGTCCCGTTCGCGGTCCCGCTCCTACTCTCCCCGGAGCCGTAGAAGTCGATCTCGATCCCGCTCTCGTACTCGTCGAACTATCATCGTCCCTCCGCCTCCTACCCCGATGATTATGACGCACGCCACAATCCCCGTGTCAAACTTCAGAGGCCTCAGCGCAACGTACGACATTCCCGGCTTGATCAGCGTGCCCAACGATGCTCGGGCGCACAACGTTACCATCGCTGAGCTCTCATTGGACGCGTCGTTTTCGTGGCTGGTTGTGCCGAAAGTTGACCTCAGGGCGCATCTGAAAGTGAGTTCGTTGCAGTTCTACATGGGATCCACTCAATGGCTTGACTCTACTTAGGCCGAAGTGAAGAATAGCTCTGAATATACCCTCGTAGATGGGCCTGCTAATGTCTACATTGACGGAAGCTTCATCGCCAAGTCGCGTATACCAGCTGCTAGCCCCCAAGAAAGTTTCGAGTGTTCCCTTGGGTAGGTCGCCACGCAATCACATTGGGTTCATGACTTAATCGTCCCACCAGCATCGATCCCTCGATCCGTACGACCTACGTCCCGCTGAGCAAGAAGACCTCGTCATCAGGACTTATCAACAAGACAACCACGACAGCGTATTCCAGACAAGTAATTATTCGGAACACCAAGTCGATTCCCATCGAGAACTTGAAGATCCTCGACCGTGTTCCCATCTCCGAAACCTCGCAGATCACCGTCAAGTTGATCAACCCCGCGCTGACATTGCCTCCCCCACCGAAGATGGAGAGGAGTCCTTCGGAGAACACGAGCATATTGGACAAGGCCAAAGGGTACCAGTTCAAGCCGATCAAGTTGTCTGGCACTTCATCGCTGAAAGTGAGTGATACTGTGACTGTGCAGTGGGAAGGTGAGGACGGCGAAGTGGGCACGGGGAGCGATGGGAGGTTGAGCTGGCATTGTATGATTCCCCCGCAAGGGAAGGTTAGTGTCAACTTACAGTGGGAGGAAAGCAGACCGGTGGGTATGGTCTTGGTCGAGCAATCGAGATAGCGACCTTCATATATCTTGTTCGTTGTCTCAACCCGAATTACATTGGGTAGTTTAAATATTGACGCAAGCGTAGGCATTCAATATGTCTGTCCGGAACTGGACCAAGCAGCGACCGGCACTGAGAAACTGAGAGTCCCCAGAGACAGGGGCTCCATCAGTTGTTTTGCGCCATCACCATGACTCTGTTCACCGGCAGCGCCTCCTCTCAATCTAAATAAACGGACCCGCCTTGTGACAGCCCCAAGCTGTTTGGTGGCACTAGAGCTTGGACTTACTACCCATACGCCCGTGCCAGGAATCTACATGAACCAAGTTTCGTTGCGTTAAAATTGATGAGCCCATGCTTGAAATATCACATATCAAGCTTCAAATTTCAAAGCCAAGCTCGCAACCCCCGTACCAATTCCGTACAGCACGATATCACCATCTCGCATTTGTCCTCGGCACTGGGGGATCTGTGTCGCATCGACAGCAGGGCGTTCATCAACCGGTATGTTTGAATTTCTTTAATTTAAGCAAAGGAGGAGCTACTGGGGCCGACTGTCGACTATAGGATTGACGGGAGCACTTACAAGTCTGTTATTTCCACAGGACCGTTCGCCGCTTTGCCGGACTCACCACTGTCTGCAAAGTTCGAACGGAACCCTTCCCAGTGTAGCGAGGCGCACTGTCGCCTCGTCCTGCTCAATTGACCAACGAGGCCTTGCTACTCGGACATCTGTTCGTTGCACCGCACTCGCGCGCCGCCTGTCACTGCGTTGGCGACGAAATTTATGAGGTTATACGGCGCGCTCGTTTCCCCATCCTTAAGGCAGAAATGATCATCATCGTTGCCTCCTAGTATCATATTCTACCGAATAAATCGTGACGTGGAGGCTGAAAGAGTATAAAGACTACGACTCAGAAGGTCTGTGTTCTTTGGCTCGGTCTTCCCTACACCTTCACAATCTTGTTCTTCAGTGCAGAGCGTCTTATTCTTTCAGCTTTATAGACAAGGCCGTGCCTTCTATCAGCCTCCACTCTTTCATCTTTTACTCCCGCTGTCTTACTACTTTCCTCGACATGAAGGTGATTTCCAAGCTTATCCCTCTCCTTGCTGCGGCACTTCACGTCTCTGCATATGGCGTAATCACCGATGTATCTGGCGCGAACGGCCTTCATGGTGTAGGCTTTGGTGTCGTTTCCACCATCACAACATTAGACCAATTTCGACAACAATCAAGCATAATCAATGATATCGAAATCGCTGGAGGTCTTACTGGTATCTGTGGGCGAACACTCGGAGGAGGGGTCATCGACGTCCAGGCTATGCTTGCGGGCAGTAAGTTGAAGCCGAGCCCAATATCAGAAATTCTGATGTTAATAACTCCCCACTATCTTAGTTGCGTCAACTGGTGGCCTACCGACCGCTTTTCCAGGTGGTTTTGTCAAGATGAAGCTATTTCAACCCGACACTGGTGGAATAGGGTTAGTAGTGCGCGATCGTGCACATCTGAACACCTCATTGACACTACTTTGGCAGACCATACACTTGTGAAGTTTCTCCCAGTGCTACTGGTGAAGATTTCGCCGGGATGGCCATCCGCATGGATATACTGAGACGGTTTGACCCGACAACTACAACGTTCTCGCTCATTGCCCGTGCGTTCCCCCTGCCTTCCGCAGAATCATCGATCCCCTTTGTTAATTCTGCATGTTGTATAGAAATACCCAATGGTGTGACTTGTACGGGAGGACCCAACGCAAACGCCTGCCTCGTTCGCTGCCGTAATGCCGTCATTGCGGGATCGTTTGGAGGATGTGTAGCCGGTCAGTGCCACCCAGCATCTTGCATCCGATACCGAATGAGTTGACGTCTTCTTACCTTTTCAGTAACCACTGCGGACAGCGGAGGCGCGACTGGCGCAGCGGCAGAAACCGATGTTGTATTTGATGCCAACGACGCCCCCAATGCTATGGTGCCTCCAAGTGTCCCTATTGCTGTTCCGTCGACGTTCGTCCCAGTAGCTGCACCTCCTTTAGCATCGGCACCTCCTTTGGGAACACGCCCACCGGCGCCAGCCCCGGCACCATTTGCTGCTCGCCCGCCCGGGGGAGCAGCCCCATCACTCGGGGCAGCAGGCCTATCACTCGGAGCAGCAGGCCCATCATTCGGAGCAGCAGGCCCATCATCCGGAGCAGCGCGCCCGCCACTCGGAGCAGCAGGCCCATCATCCGGAGCAGCGCGCCCGCCACTCGGAGGGGCACGTCCGCCGGCTGGTGGGCGCCCACTGGCACCCGCGGCAACACGACCAACAACAGTCGGTGCTCTGCCTCCTGGGAGTAGGAGCAGACCTGGGTTTTCACGTCGAAGACACAGTAGACAGTAGCGATAGTGTGATCAGCGTACATCCAGATGTCTCGAATCACGACAGAGTATTCTCCATGGATGATATCACTGAAGGATCTTGGATAGGAGTGTTTGCTAAGCTCTCAGGTCAGGCGTTCAGACGGCTATTTGTGCAATGCGGTCTCTTATCGAATTCGAGTCATAATGCGACGTCTGATCAGAGTTGGCGCTGCGACGGACGGAAGAGGTCGCAGCATCTCAAGCAAGTACAGCAACAAGGCGATATTTGTATCCCGGGTTAGTTTAAACGGTTATCCACTTAGGCAACAGCTCGGTATCATCAGTAGTTGCAGACTGTCGATTATTATGTACATGTACATCAAATAGCAGCTAGTAGTCAAAGGATCCTAAAGGAAATCAACGTATCAACCAGTAATGTGAGGCGAATTTGTTTAGTCGCTCTTGACTCGTTGATATCCCTCCTTGGCTCCGCCACCCCAGCCAAACCAGCTAGCCCGGGATTGCGCCGCTGGTCGCGCAGATTCATAGCCGGCATCACTTGGCTGACCATCATTGTCCTCGATATCGCTAGGCACTTCGATTTCTTCAAACGTCCGTGAGCTAGACATAGTCCGTTCCCTCAAGCGTACATCTGACGAAGAGGAGTCCCGCGAACTCGAGGAGGATGCTTTACCTCCAGCCATGCTGGGTATTGGTATTGCCTCATGCAGAGGCATGGCGTTCAAGGCTGCGAGCTCAGCTTCAAGCTGGCGACGGCGTTCCAGCACGGATTGAGTAGGTGTGGGAGCAACGGGAGGGGTTGCAGGCGGTGAATTGAAAAGACTAGGGGCAGAGGGGTTCGTTCGAGTAGTAGCATTTGCTGCGCCCTGTCTAAGGAGAGCTGCTCCGGAGGCAATAATTCCCGGACCATACGAACGCCACAGTGAAGTGGCGAGCTGCGCTGGCCCAGAGACAGGGTCTCCCATACTCGGAGGTGCTCCAGTGTCAGAAATGCCTGTCGCAGGTGTAAAATTGGCCTGCTGCGGCTGCTGCCCCAGAGAAGCGGCAACCTGGTCCCAGATCGCACGGAAGCGCTCCTGCAAAAAGGCATATACGCGCGCCTTGAACGATGCGAGCGCTGCATCGATTTGCGATTCATGGGTGTGGAAGAACGGTTGGAGGTGGTGGATGTACAAGTACGAGGAGCCTCGTGTTTGCGGCAAGGCAAGGTATAGAAGGAAAACGGTCTTGAGGGTGTAATAGAAGGGGATCCTGGTTCATTGAGAATATATATGAGTGCAATTGTTCCAGCTCGTCGGGTCCCACCCTAATGCGGGATACAAAGGCTCACCATGAAATAAGCCATTCCGCAACGTATTCGACACCAACGATGCAGCCCAGCACCGACCAGTACATCAACCAGCGTTCAAGTTCATCTTCCGATGCAGGTCGCTGACTTAGTGTCTTGTACGACGCGTAGCCAGGGTAGAGAAATGCTCCCGCCGAGCTGAATGTCACGGTTCGATTAATCAACGATCTCTGTTCAAAGGCTCGAACTCGACATACCTGACGATACGCGACGTCAGGTAGAATAGCATGCGGCGGTTCAGATATCAATATCAAGAGGGATCTAAGGGAAATGGCTTTGAACGTGGTGGTTGCAGTCGAAGCGTTGTGCTGGATTCAGTTGCGCAGGGCTCCAGTACCAGAGCACAGCGCTCATCCTGGTGAGAAAAACATGAACGATATTCCCACGTTTTCGGTATGTCCAAACGACAATGAAACTAAAGCACTGTTCACGGAATACTATCAGTATGGCTCGTCGTCGTGCTCCCCGCCTTACCCTCGTAAAGAATAAGTCTAAATCTTCAAAGAACACCACTACGGACGCTGAAATACCCACTCAACAAGAGTGGAGGAACATGCACCAATATGGTCGGTTTAATGGTGATTGTTCTCCTTCGGGAAACTAGGGATCTGGCGGGAGCTAATGGATCAATGGAAGTCCTCGATGAGGAGGGCACCGGATACGTATTTAAAGTCGGCGATAAGTAAGTCGTCTCACCAATGCGTGCGTTCAGCTGCTCAGTAAACGGTATCTCAGTGCCATCATTCTTCCCCCAGAGTCAGAGGCAATGCGTCGCAAGGAACTACCAGAATACCGTTATTGGGTGGGTAAAATCAAGGACATACGGGGTCGGAATGTTGATACCGTGAGTTCATTGCTCGCTTGGCCTCCATTTATTCTGACCCTCTTTATTCAGGATCAACCAGATGTTTGGGCACATGTTCAATGGTATTACTCAGGCGAAGATGCCAACGAGTTGACGAATGAGTTGTAAGTTTCTTTGTCTATCCTTTTGTCTTTGAATCTCAAAGACGTAAAATAGTGACAAGGCCTCATGCAGCAATTACGAACGTATAATATCTAATACCCACGACTACGTATCTTCATCTTCATTTGAAGGTTGGTTTTCCATATCCTTGTAATATTTGCTCATAACCAAAGAATCACCTAGATGTCGTGAAGGTCAAGAAGTATCATGAAGATAGCCTTGATCAAGCGGACATCGAAGACACCGAATTCTTTTATCGATATCAACTCGAATATAAAACAAAGGAAATAAGTCGCTTCACTCACGAGGACGACCCACCAGAAGCCAAAGAAACGCCGGTATGTCCTCTTTCTATGCTACAACTTTTCGTCACTTTCATCTCTACTAGCGAACACCTGGAGCCAATACCTGCATCTGCAAGACCCCTTACAGCCCCTCCGCCTCTTCGGTCCTCATGCATTTCTGCCCCCGTCCCAGCTGTCGACGATGGTATCACGCGAAATGCCTGAAAGGCATCAAATCTATGCTTAACGTCAAGAACACTGATGCTGAGGCTGGCCGACGATACCTAGCGACATCACCGTTTACTGATGCTCCTATTCGTCTCCCAGGTGGTGACGATGTCGCCGCGTCGCCGCCAACGAAGAAACGACGAACCAACCACGCTGTCACCATTACCCCAATAGACAGCAGCCAGGACCCTGAGTGTAAGGCTCGGTACGATGCGCTGCCCGATGATCTGTTGCAAGCAGCTCAGCAGCCCATCGTCAAAGGCCGTGCGCTGGGAGGCGGGCATGTTGTCGGCAATATACGCTTAGTTGCTCTGGCAAGGAAGGCTGTATACGGGATCATTGATGGAGATGAATTGGAGGACGACTGGGAACAGTCAATTAACCCCAATGCGGCCCTTGTGCATCAATCTGTCCAGTTGCTGCTATGCCCCAAATGTCGAAGTGTGATTTGATTGCCTCGTTAAGAGTTTGCTCGGTATTGTGGTTTCTCGTTATTTGGTACAGGCGCACATTCTGACACGATTTTCTCGAAATTTAGCTTTATTTGTATCACTTGCTGTATACCTCGCTCTCGCTTTCACCTCTGTATGCAACCGGTGTCCCCGATGTGTCATCTCGCATTGCTTTTCAAATAGCCGTATACATTCGATTTACCCCCAGCTCTGATCATGATCGCGCGGGGCCCTGTCAGTAGCTGCATTTGCCGTTGGTGTCATCTCCGCTTTCCGCAATACATCCGCGAGAATCTGCAGACGTCCCGCTCAAATTTCATCCGAATCGCGTGCGTGTGCCTTCATTAAATGTGGTTATGCACATGAAAAATGTAGATAACAGTGCGTCGGGGACGCTAGCCGTTATCCATCGTCGCTTCCCGATGTTCTGCGCAGACGATTGCAGCACGGGTCCGCTCATCAAATGAACTGTTAGCCATCATTCTCGATGCCTAATAAACTACGTCCACATTGGTCTCGATGGCGTCCAACCCCACGACTGTTTAAAGTGCTGCTTCGTCCGAGTCGGCGGGCGAAACTGAATTAGGGCACGGTTTCTTGCCTCACAAAGAGGCCTGATCGAGTACACAGGGAAAAGTAAGGTTTCAAGCTCAGCACAACGTACCGCTGGGCTTGAACCACCCCTTCCTTATGGGCATACGGTGAGGGGTGCGACTTTACGTTGTTGTACAGTTATACTGCCCTCCATCGTCGTCAATGAACGGCAATAGAACTGCAAATTTGCCCTTCGATGGTTCCCCAGGACGCGGACTTCTTTCCCGAATTGACACATACTTAGATGCCTCGTTGAGGCGAGCTTATCCTCCTCTCATCTTCAGGACTAGCATCTGCATCCTGCAAAACACTCCTTAGATGCCTCAGACCAGCAAAAAGACGGGCACCAATGTCCAGAAAGCGCATGACAAGGAGTCGAAACGAGCACGGGGTGAGCATGGCGATTCGAGGTGAAGGCAGCGCAACTTAGGTGTGTTTCATGGATAGGTGCTATGTCTTGCGCGGAATGCCGTAGGTGAGATTGTGCGTATCTTGGTTGTAACAACCGAACTGAATTGCACACAAAGGCTTAAGTTGAAATGCGATAAGACTGTGCCGTGCTCAAGGTGAGTAACGTTTAGCTGGCTCTGCCGTCGCTAAATTGCATCACAGTTGTAGACGCCGGGGTTGCGAGTCTATATGTCCGAACGGAAGCCTGATAACAGGTCAAGGGACTAGGTATGGTGCATCGAGTATGGCCTACTGCGCCACGCTAATGTATTCATAGGTTCGTTCTGGCAGATACAGAGAAACTGCATCAAAAGATAGGCCAAATGAGCGATCGAATTCGCCAACTCGAAGACGCGTTATTCGTTTTGCAGTCTTCTCTCACCAGCGAAACACACCCTCTTCTCACTCGAGACTTGCTTCAAATCAAGTCGAGTATTGACCTCCATTCCGCTGTGGATAGCCAAGACGGCACAGTTGAACAGGAAGACATCGACGAATCCCAATATATAGACTCCTTTGGGACGCTCGCCATCAGAGATGACGGGGCGGCAACATTTTATGGCCGCTCTGCTGGTTCAGAAGTAAGCATGGTCAATACTTGAAATCATTCAATGACAGAATGCAATTTGCCAGAGTCTCCTCAAGGTCAGTTGATCCCTATGACTTCGACTGTGTACTCATTATTTAGGATGAGGAAGCATCTCCGCCCCCTGAAATTGCCCCGCAGAGTATGCGGAATACACCCACTTGGCAGAATGCGCTTCCCTCGTCAATCGCCGAGCTATCTAGCTCGTTTCCGTTTGCAGGCAACTCCTCAGGAGTCAATCTAGAACAAATGGTCGACGAATTTCTGCCTCAGTGGGGCGACGCTTGGCGATTGTGCGAGTTTTATCTAGAGCAGGCACCCTGGTTTTTCGGAGCAGTCACCAAACGCCAAGTACACGAAGAGATTCTACCGCTTTGGTACTCAGAAGCCGCGTGCATGGCTCCAAACACCTCCTTTCCTCCTCACAACCAGCCACATATGCAAAATGCAGGCCAATTCGCAGCTGCGTCGGTGCCAATTCCCAAGGGCACCGCGCATGATCTCGCCCTCTTATTCGTGATATTCTGTTTCGGGGCATTGACTGATAACGAACTCCCACCAGCCCCCGACAACCCAATTGCCCATCAGTATTTTCAATTGACTAGAGCAGCGCTCTCTATGGAACCAGTCATCGACCGCCCGCCATCAGTAGCAACCGTACAGGTGTTGTCGCTGATGGCAATTTACGAGGGCCTATGCAGCGGCGAGAACAGTATCGAAAGGACGTGGGCCCTTATGGGCCTTGCTACGAAATTGGCACAAAGTGTGAGTCAATACACTCTCACGTACGGCAATTGAATTGATGATAACTTTTAGATTGGACTCCGTAAGTTACTTGGCCGTTTACTCTACATCATCGAATTTCGGTAATCACCGTTCACGGAAAAAATAGACAAGGACTGCGCCCGGTTCAAACTTTCTCCTTCAGAAGTTCAGAAGCGACGTGCCTTGTTTTGGGAGCTATTCATAACAGATTGCTGGCAGGTACGACCATCGAGTCGCGGATATCTCGCCCATTTAATAGACCCTTCGTCCACTAGAGCCTTGCCACAGGACGCCTGCCTTCGTTCTCTCTCCCTTTCGTAGATTGCGAACTCCCATCTGATCCCGATCAAACTATGGCAGCCGACGGTTCAATACAACCCAGCTGTAAGTGACATGCCCTTCTCAAGAAAGTAACTTATCCCTTCGCTAGTCCCATTCTGGAAAGCTCGTTTTGGGGCAGAATGTGTATCAGCAGTGGTGCAAGGCACATTAACGTCCCGCGCTCCCAAGTACTCGATCATCCTCCAGTTGGATCGTAAGATCAGGGATATGACCTTACCCAAGTACTCGCTGGAGCCTCCGCCCCAAGGCCTCGGGCTATCCCAAACCATGCAGCACTTCATGCCCATCAACTATCGAGAACTCAGTTGAGTGGCCCCACACTTCTCTTGATTATTAGCTCACATATAAGCTTCAATCAACTAGCGCTATTGTACGTGCACCGCTGCTTCTTCGCCCATGCAGTATCAAGTCATCCTAGCGACCCATTGAAGAGCCCATATGCTCCATCCTTCTTAGCTGGCTATCGGAGTGCATGTGAGCTCATATCGAGTTTGGCCATGCAGTTCTCCATGTTCCCCGCGCAAATAGCGCGGTTCTGGGTTCTGTGGACGCATGCATTCTCTTCGTCTGTGAGTTCCAATTTTTTTACATGATACGCGTCGCCGAGTTACCCATACCAAACAGGTGATGCTTTCGTCGGTTGTCATCCATTGCACCAAGAATAAAGTTGCTGCTGCCGCCATCATTGAGCTAAAGAAAGCACACGAACTTTTCGAGAAAGCCTCACACTACGGTGGGCGGGCAGTTAAATTCTTGGTACGACACGTCCTCCTATCTTCGCAGCCAGGTCTTTGAGCTATGTTGATCCACGGTAGCCTATCATTCAACGGCTTTGGTTGAAAGCACAGAAGATCTATCAAGACGCACATAATGGCATTCACCATCCTGGGTCGAACGATATCTTCACCTTGTCTAGTGGCCAGAAGCCCGACGAACTTTCCATTTTCGGTGGAAAGACACATTCTATCGTGACGAAAGTCACTTCGCCCCAAACTACCAGTCAATCCCCGGCTTCGTCGTCAAGGCCGAACTCGACTTCTGCGCACGAATCCATTACAAGCAACCCGGCGTTCTCTGGCATGCATCCCTCCCTTGCTGAGCAAATGCATAGCTTCGAATCGCATATTCAGGCGCAAATTCGAGATGCGCAGCACGTTGTGCAAGACGATACTGTTCCCGCTCCACTGCACCAGCATCAGTATTCACACCCGTCTCACCCCCCGCCTCAACATCCACACCAGCACCCACCTCCACATCAACACCAGCCCGAACCTCAACCTCAACACCAACACCAACAACACCAACAACATCAATACGAGCATCAACATCAACATCAACATCAGCCTACTGCGGTGCGCGAAGCTCAGCCGCCCCCGGGACAGTTCGCATACTCGTCCCAAGCAAATCCTCCCCCAGCGCCCCCGCAGCATCGTTTGTACCACAACCAATACCAGCCAGGGCCCGTTGTGGAAACGCACCCTCTACCAGCGATGTCTAGGCTGCCCCAGCCACGCGGCACACAATCGTCCTACCAGCATCCTGAATCTCAGACATCTACGCATGCGCATCATGTCCACCCATCTCATCCCCATCCATCTCATACACGACCTGTACCTCGCCCGGCTCCGGCATCGGCGCCCATCCACAACCCTCCTCCGGCGATTTCCCCAAGCCAAATATATCACCAGCATGAGCACCACCATTACCATCACCCCCGCCACGTTTCTTACGAAGAACAGACCCTTCCACCCCCACCTCCCTATGAGCAGGAGGATGTTAACCAACTCCACGCTCCGCAAACAACTTACGATGCAAATCGCTTGCAACATGCTATCCGGTCCGAATACCATGAGCCGGCACCAGCTCTAGCTAGTGCATCGACGGTAACTTACCAACATACTGCTCCACCTGTTACCGCACACTACTACCAGCCCCAAGCCCAACCCCAAGCCCAACCCCAACCTCAACCTCAACCTGAAGCTCAACCCTACCATCCACCGGAAGAAGAACATCGAAACACCTATTATAACCAACAGACGGATTATCATGCTCAACCTGCTAACCCTCATTCGCAACCGCAAGCACAGGCGGTGTCAGATGGATATACATACGCAACACGCCAAGAGCCAGAGACACGACAGACAAACTACAGCCACTCAACTGATTATGGAGCGGAAGCAACGGCTTACCCCTCTCCCCAATCCGTGGGGGATCCTCAAGCTCAACCACCGTCAGCGGTCTCGGAGCATTGGCCTGTCAATCCTGCCGTTCAACAGTACTACGGCCATCCGGACCATACCACCGCTCAGAATGCGTATGCTTCTCAGCATTACACGCCCGTCGCGGCACTCCAGGGGATTGCTGCTGATGATAATAGCCTACAAGAGACTTGGCTGTCGTACATGAACCAAGTCGGATCTCCTCGCAATCTCTTTGATGATTGAACGTTAGATTATATATACATCGCTCTATATTCCAGGTCATATACCTTCGGCTGTATCTATTGCATCTTCGGTTAGACGACGGTTCACGAGGCCTCTGGGGGCCTCTCCTCTCCTGACTGTCACCTACGTACCAGCACCAGCTGTTGGCTATACGATCACAGATAACGAAGTATCTGCGTCGTGCTTACATTTGTGAGCGAGCAGGGTCCAGACACGATAGATCTTATTGAGTAGCATGGGATCACAGGCCACTACCCGAAGTTCGAACACCTCAAAACGTCTTGCTACCTCCCGCATTATCGATTTCTCTATTATGGGCTGCAGCAGCCTCCAACTCTTCATCATCCTCATACTCGACCATATCCTTGTTCCTTCCATTGACCACGATGCGAAATAGATCGGGGCGTGAGCTATGCAACCATGGTTGCCACGTTAGTACACTAGTACAGCGAGAGTCGTTTCAGGAAGACCAAGGGTACGCACTAGTTCCCGGTCATGTCGGCTATCATTTTGGTTTCTCCAATTTTGTCGAGCGATATGTCGGCGTAGAGGATCCCTTCAGCTGAAGAGTCCAGCGGTTTGGTAAGGGTTCTGCCATCTGGGCCGTATATCTTCACGCCCATCCGAGGCTGCCTCAGCCGAGCATAGCTGTATAAAGGAAGAAAGCAGCACGCACGCAAGCGAAGCCGCCACCAGGCACAGACAACCACGGAAAATCAGCGACCTTCATCTTCTCTGCGCCTGCTTGGCTCATCACTTGGGTGGAAATGATGCCGTAGCACCCGCCTTCGATCGCGACGACCTGCGCCATGCTTCGGCATGCGTCGCTGCTGATACTGTATGGACCTTGTCCTTGGTGCGGGAATGCTGGGGGCCAGCTACCCACAAAGATCTGGGGGTGTTGGGCGTAGAAGTGGCATTTTAGGAACGGCTGTTGGCAATGGGGTGTTACTCGTGGGCTGCTAATCAACGAGGTCGATGACCGCTTACCTGTATATGTTCCCAGCACGACAGACTACCGACGCGCCCCAAGTCAGTTTGAATAACGTTGTGGATAGTTTGCGCTACGTGCTAGCCAGCGTGAATTGGGGACTTTACAATCGCGCAGACATAACACGCACCCTTGCCATCGCCAAATACAACCTTCTCATATCCTGTAGCCTGTAACTCACAATAAGCCTGAGGTGTTGCCTAAGCATACGGAAAAGAAGTTTACCTTAATCTTCTGTCGATGATTCGCGATTTTGCCGTCAGCAGTGATCGTGACTTGCGAGATATACAGAGAGCCGCCATCGCGTTCTGCGAACCCGAGGACAACTGTAGCAGAGGCATTCTTGGCAGCCAGGCAAATACTCTCCATCTCTGGTGAATGCACAGCTAAAGCATTTGCCTGATACTCCTTCAGAATAGGCTGGCACGTCGTAAAATCGTTCGCCCATATAGTCCATGGGTAGCCTAGCGCCTCCTCATTATCATTTCATTACTCGTCCACGGTTCTTCTCCTACTCGTACCTGGTATGAAGACTTCAGGAAAACCGATGATCTTGGCCCCTGCCGCGGAAGCTTCTTGAATGATCGCAATCGTTTTATCGACGCTTCCCTTCAGATCTAACCAGACCCTTGCAGAACCGGTTATCGAAATCGCTTTGAGTATCAAATGCGATGAAACTCACGGCTCAGCCTGCACGGCCGCGACTTTGAAGACGCGGGTGTCGCTATTCGAGGGGTTGAGAGTAATCGGCATTTACTACTTCGTCGCAAAGATGCTGTTAATGGACTTTGTAAGGCTCTTACAGCATTCCCATGATACGTACTACACAGACGCGTGAGACGCGCCTCCAAGAAATCATTGATTCCGTGCCAAGGTTAAAGTCAGGGGTATGCCTGTATACTCCTGTTTCTGTCAGGAACCGATAGGAGAGATGAAAGGAGCATCCACGTGACTGATCAACATTATCACCGACTTTCAAAAGGCGGATGATAATGACCCTCAGCATGGGCGCCATGCTGCGTCTCTGCTTTGAACCACTATAGACCCGCACATGGCGCCAGCACCAACTTTCGAAACGATCGCCTCTACAGTCGAGGCAATCCGCAGCCAGCTTCCTGATGGCCTGAAGAACCCTCGCGTTGGCATCGTATGTGGATCGGGACTGAGTGGTCTTGCCACGAGCATGAAGGAGGTCGTCGAAGTGGCGTACGACAATGTCCCAGGATTCGCGAAGAGCACAGGTACGCGTTATCGAACTGAGAACAGGATCAGAGATTGACATTGAGGTGGCTTTGACAGTTCCCGGCCATCGAAGTTCGTTGGCGTTTGGATTCATGGGTGATAACCAGAAAGTTCCCGTTGTCGCGATGCTGGGACGCGTGCGTAACAGTATCCTGTATCAGGATTGACACACGCTGACCGATGGCCAGCGTTCATAGTTTCACCCCTACGAAGGGCATTCACTCTCGACTGTAGTGTACCCCATACGCGTGCTTGCTGCACTAGGGATCAAAGATATTATCAGTTAGTGACATACACCCTCCAACGTCCACGAACTGATTTATCTTCAGTCACCAATGCTGCTGGTGCGTTGAACCCGGAGATCAAAGTCGGTACAGGTGCGAAATCTTCTTCTTCCTTGGGAGCTGGTCTTGCTCACCCGTTGACTTAGTCGTCGTTGTCAGAGATCACCTCGCACTCCCTGGCTTAGCGGGGATGAACCCTCTGCTCGGCCCCACATTTTCCTCTACTACACCGCGATTCCTGCCTGTCTCTGACGCGTACAGCCCTGCCCTCAGGCGTCTCGTCTTCCTTGCTGCAAACGAGCTTTCTATTCCGTGGTCCGACTTTGCCGAGGGCACGTACGCGTGGGTAAGCGGGCCGACGTACGAGACTCCTGCTGAAGGCAGATTCTTGAGAGCGGCCGGGGCTGATATGGTTGGCATGAGCACCGTTCCAGAGGTTCTGGCCGCTCGAGAAGCGGGTGTAGGTGTGCTTGTGCTAAGCCTTGCTACTAATATGGTTGTGATCCTGGAGAAGTACCGAAGCATCAAGGAAGAAGTCGAAGCCGAGGTTAGTAACGCCTCTGCTCGTCTGAGCGACCGCGCCGGCTAATCATCGTCGTGCGGACAGCTCCTTGGAAAGAAAGTAGAACTTCCCGTCGAGGAGGTCGTATCTCATGAGGAGGTTTTGCTCATCGGCCGGCAGAAAGGGGAAATGATGAAGCGTCTTGTCGAGAAGATCATAGACCTCATCCCGGCATCCGTCCGTGATGAATCCCAAAAGTGATTTTCTACCAGTCGTGTCCCGCGCCGTCATACCATTTATTTACTTCAAACGATTTGTTCATGGATGAACGTGTAAATTTGGCTTCCCATACGGAGGATAGTCGGTCTGGTGACTGAATGACCCTTGTGATCTGTTCCGGCTATGGATGCAGTTACCAGCCTTCCATCAACGTTCTATACATAAACCCCATACCTGGCAGCCTGCTTCCAGAACCCCCGCCTAGCTGGCTTGTCATACATCGCGTGCATTTTCATCCTCAACCACATCGTCAACCTGGGCGCTTGTAAACGTGGTACCTTTAACCCTCAGGATCAAGGTTGACCAGAATCTGAATTCAACCATCTCGTTTCCCCTTCTCTTGAAATTCGAGCACAATGTCGACGATGATGTGGGCATCGCGCAGTGCGCGCAGCTTTCGTGTGCTGGCTGTTCCAACTGCGCCACGCTTGATGCTACGCCCCCAATACAGGGCATTTGGCACCACCCTCCAACGACGTGAGTACGGTTCAACTTCATGCACGTTTATGGTCCTTTTCTTGGGGGGGATTCCGAGATGTCGGCTAGGGGAGGGCTCGGGGGGACAGGTGTTTATTTTGCTCGTGCACGTTCGGCACGACAAGCTTCCGCTCCCGTATTCCGTCCCCGCTCCCCCAGATCAGTGCATTAGCGAGACCGGAGCCCATATGGCTTCGGCAGCCTTGGCCTGCGCGACGTCGATATCTTTGACCCGAGCCATAACAAGATATAGCGTCGCTGCCTTGCCTCTCTTTTTCACAACCCCAGTTACCCCACCCATCCCCCACTACTTTAGTCCCTTCTTAAACTTATTATGTCGCTCCCCGCAGGATTCGAGAAAATCGAAGTGAAGAATCCGGTGGTCGAGCTAGATGGAGATGAGATGACCAGGATCATCTGGAAGAAGATCCGTGAGGAGGTACGTTACTTACGAGATCTTATTATTGGAGGTTCTTTGACTATTGGTTGTATTTGCGGTGGGTAGCTCATCTTGCCGTATATTTCGTTGGATATCAAGTATTACGACCTTGGACTTGAATATCGAGACCAAGTAAGCATTCCACATAATGCTCCTGAAGGACTATGCTGACGGTCGTCGCACGTTTGTAGACGAACGATCAAGTAACCGTCGATGCTGCCAACGCTATCATTGAGCACAGTGTCGGTATCAAATGCGCGACGATCACGCCTGATGAGGCGCGTGTCAAGGAGTTCAACTTGAAGGAGATGTGGAAGAGCCCGAACGGCACGGTACGCACTCTTCTTTACCATGAGCATAATATGCTTCATGTTGCAAATAGATCCGAAATATCCTTGGAGGCACAGTATTCCGTGAGCCTATTGTCCTCGAACGTATTCCACGTCCCATACCCGGTTGGGTAAAGCCTATATGTATTGGTCGACACGCTTTCGGTGACCAGGTGCGTAGGTGTCCGACTTCCACTCAAACTGCATGCCTGATGGTTGTACCGTTAGTATCGTTCTACCGATTACGTCGTACCTGGGCCTGGTAAACTTCAACTTGTTTATACCCCGGCCGACAGAGGCCAGAAAACTACGTTGGATGTGTATGACTTCACGGGGCCTGGTGTCGCCATGAGCATGTACAATACTGACGAGGTGCGTCTTCTATTCCTTCCGAATCTCGTTTCCCACTAAGGTTGCTTCAAGTCGATAACTGGTTTTGCTCACGCGTCTTTCAAAATGGCTCTGTCCAAGAAAATGCCCTTGGTAGGTCGTCTGGTTGCTGCCATAGAAGTTAGTGCGCATGACTGACTTGCAAAATCCAGTTCTTGTCTACCAAGAACACCATCATGAAGAAATATGACGGGAGGTTCAAGGACATCTTCCAGGAAATCTACGAGTCGTCCGTATTTTCCGCTTAATCCACTCTTCTGTTCGCTAACCATGTCAACAGGACCTACAAGTCCCAATTCGAGGCGGCAGGTATCTACTACGAGCATCGTCTCATCGATGACATGGTTGCCCAAGCTATCAAATCTTCCGGAGGCTTCGTCTGGGCTACTAAGAACTACGATGGCGATGTCCAGTCGGACATCCTCGCCCAAGGCTTCGGCTCCCTAGGCATGATGACCTCCGAACTCCTCACCCCCGACGGCAAGATCATCGAATCCGAAGCCGCGCATGGAACAGTTACTCGCCACTACCGCGAGTGGCAGAAGGGCAACGAGACGTCCACGAACCCCGTCGCGTCGATCTTTGCGTGGACCAGAGGACTCCTCCACCGCGCCAAGTTGGATGGGAACGATAAACTGAGAGATTTCTGCCTCGACTTGGAGAAGGCGTGTATCGAGGTGATTGACGAGGATGGGATTATGACGAAGGATCTTGCTCTGGCCATTCATGGGAAAGACATGAAGAGAGAGCACTGGGTTGTCACTGACGTATATATGGACACGGTGAACGTGAGTCTTCTGCCTCAACCTCATGAAAAACAATGCTAATCTCAACCTTTCAGGCCAAATTGAAGGAGAAATTGGCGAAAAGAGGCCAGGTCTAGATAGCTAGAACAAAGGCATATTGTGTTGAGTGCCGGGTGTTAACGGACGGTATATGTACCCTTCTGTTGTATAGTTGTTGGGTGTGCTGTGTAGGGTTTCATTCATACATTGCAATTCTGTACAAAACGGATTCCTAGTGTCAGACTGCGAGGGTAGGATATTTACTGATGGTGAGTCCACTCGTACTTATGAATTGATGTGAAAGGAGGCTACAAACCTCGCAACTACCTTTGATCAAGATGGTGGTAAGGTAGGGATGGTACGGGCACCTGCCTTTCGATTCTGCGACAGCAGATTGTATGTTCAACCAATAGCCTTGTGGCTGGTCACGGTCACCAGATACTAAATAAGGGCATAGGACATTTCGCCTTTTACAGAAATTTCTTATTCCCGGAGGATCCATTGGCGATAGCGCACCTCTTCGTTGAACCTGTTCCAACACCACCATCAGTTTATTTTTTTCAAGCGTCGTGACCTCTCGCCATCCTTCAGTTTAGGTTATTATCCTTGTCACACAGCTCGACGGATCACCCTGCCGGGGCCCTCCATGATAGCGTCGTGCCTCTCTCAAAGGTTGAAGTCACCAAGCTCCACGTTATTCAAGTTAACAGGCTCCCTATCGCTGCATTAAATCGACGTATTGGCATGATACTGTCTAATACACAAAAGAATTACAGCGCGACATGACTGTTCAAACGTACTTTATTCCCAGCTCAGACTGCTCCCCTGGCCTCCCTCTCCTTGGCCGCTTGTTCCAGAATAGCCCTCTTCCGTTCCAATGCCTTGATGTGCCCGGAGATCCGCTCACGCGCCTCCGTACTTCCACCATCCCCGTAGGTCATAAGCAAGTTTATAGCGAAGGAGAGATATCGGACGAAGCCCCCTGATAATGCTCGTTTGTTGTATTCCTCGCAAACTGAACCAAGTTTTTCCATATCGGCAACAACCGTCGCATCGAGATCTTTGATCTTCATACCGATGTGCCCCTCTAGCATACGAGCGCGTTCTTCTTCAGTCTGGGCTTGTTGATATCTCAGTTTCGCATGCTGATCCTCGTTCACTTCCTGAACCTCCTTCTGCACCCATCTGGCGCGATAATGTTGATGGTAATTTGAAGAGTGGCCACATTCGTTGCAAATATAGCCGCCGTCTGGCCCGAGCTGCTTTGAAAAAACTTCACAATTTCGACCAATGTTGTCTCGATCCAAGGTAAATCCGAGGGGGCAATCCTCGTGACAATTTCGATAGCAGTCGGGAGCGCAGCAAAGGGTGTTATGAACTTCTGTCCCCTCGTGGACCCAGAAATGCTTGATGATAACGCTCTTGTACTGTTCGTGGATCTTCATTATCTAGCCCAGATCGTCAATACAGTCATCAAATTGAAGCGATAACCGTTTACCTGCTTCTGGGCATCAATCTGTTGCTGGAGTTTGAGTAGCTCAGTCTTCTGGGTTTCAACTTGTGAGAGACGAGCGGTAACGTCGGAAAGCAGGGCCTCCATCTTGTTTGACAGTCCGTATAGCTCGTTTACCTCCTTGGCCGGCTGCACCCGCCTCTCATCCACCCATTCGAAGAAGCTATTCAGAGTTTTGATGCCCTTGTCGTAATTACTCTTGATTTCCTCTCGCAGTTCCTCTCGAATTTCTTCCTCGGGAGGATCATCAGAGTTTAGGGCCTTTTTGAACCTCAGCCAACCGGCTAGAGGGTTGTTGATAGCCAGGATCTTTGCATTGCGCACAGGGACAGGAAGGCTTTCGCGAGCGAGGTTGGAGTGCAAGGGACTGGAAACCATGGTAAACATGAAGGCGATGTTATCCACGATGGACCTAGGGAACATTGTGGAAATGACCGACAGCGCGTAGAGGGCAGAGACACCCAATCGTTCCATCGTGCCATTTGCTAGGATTAAGACACAGTCAATGGCGTCTAAGAATCCATCAGCATCCCCTACGAAAATCAATCCCCTCTTGTGTGCTCACCTATTTGTTCCTCGATAAAATATGCCAAGGCTCTTCTGTGTTCTTCATTGAACTCTCGGGCGTTTGACAGGCCAGGAGTGTCGATAACATTGATCGCGGAGCCATTTGCACAAGTAATACGATGAAGCTGCGGCTTCTCGCTTCGATCACGAGTATCAGAATCGGCCTCCCTTGCGTGCTCCGCCTTGAACTCATCTGCTCCACGTCCAGCACAGACATTTTCAAGGAGGTCCAAGAACGAAGTCTTGCCCACGCCGGTCTCTCCAATTAGCAAGATAGTAATTGAATGTTTCTTCCATGGCGTCAGCGTCATCTTCGAGTTATCGGAATTCGACATAGGCGATAGAGGGTTGAGTGTGGTATTGGGACAGGCTGATTCTGCGATGTCGGGGTGTTGGGAGTTAGACAGGGCGACGACCGTTTGTCGTGGCGGAATCTGCTTTGGAATGCTTTATACTTGAGATCCTGACCCCTCGCCGCAAAGTCTTCGTGGAAGTCTACAGACGTAGTACAGGCACGAGGGATCTAGAGTAGGCTGCATATGATCGCGTCACGACAATGCACCGCACAGGATGATCTAAGGCTCGTGTTGTTCCTCAACATCACGGAGTTGCAGTGTAATACCCCTTCCGAGTGATCGCTGAAGGTCTATCGAGCCAATCAGAGGACGTAGCGGGTCGCGGTGTCTGAATCAAGTTTGAACGAAATGTCCTGATTAGAGAGGGCATCGCGCGGAAGCTACTCGAGCAAGCCCGCATACAATGAGAAGGGGGACGGCTACGATGTAGGCACCCTCATCAGCGAGTACTTGTAGATCGGCGCCTCGGGCTAGACCAGGGCACTAACCCGGTAACAGTCGGTGAGGAACGGATCCAAGGCACGCAGGACGGTTCCTCACATCGGCTGGTAGACACATCCGGACGGAGCAGTTGTAGTTCAGATACGCCATATGTGGAGGTGAGTCTGTCGCTGAGGGACCGGCGTTCGCTTTCCCTTGCTCATTACGAGGGCCCCACAGGTCGCCTTTCTAGGGTAGTGTCAGCGACCGAGAGACGAGCTCAAAGATAACAAACGGCAGGCGAGGAGTAATAATAGATTGTGTCTGCGTCAAAGTAAACATCCCCACAATGATGATATATACGATGGGGTCCCAAAACCTTGTCTCTTCTACAGTTGGTAAGATGGCTTCATTGTTAAGCACAAGTATACTGAGACAGCGTGTCGTCGCAGGGAAACGAATAGTCCAAGCAGTCAAAACAAACGTAACAACGACATACCTATGGACGTCCCAGAGGTTCATGACAACCCGCATCACGGCTGCAGTGAACATTTCTATCCGCGCATGTCGGCATAGTTGGCACGAAGTTAGCTTGTGGCCTGGGGTTGAGAGGGAGAGTTCTATGCGAAGGCATTGGAGGTCCCTAAGTTGTTGGCCTTCTGTTGAGCCACAGGCGAAACATGAAGTAGAGCAAGCACGTCAACGATAATACGAGCATTGCAATCGTGCGCGAGCTCAGCATGGAAGTTTCGTGCTCAACCTACTAAACAATGAGTAACCTAGCAGTGTGTTCATCTATAGTTGTACTTACCACAGACGTAAATGGGGATAAGATGGGGATGGTAAAATGGGATGGAAGCGTCAGCCAGGAGGACGTTTGCTTGCTGATTCTGTGATGAGTCGAAACTGCCAGATATATGACGACCGAAACTAGCAGCACTACGCATCCAATCAGTAACAACTAAACAGTGAAATATCAACCGTCGTCCCCCAACATAAAACTGGCTGCAACGTACTACAACTCTCTCCAGCATAGCATGCTTCGCGTCGTTCGCACTACTAAGCATCGCTAAGTCCCTCTGTGATTTGTTGATTTAATTGTTGGCTGCGGCAATGAGGTATGTGGACGTACCGCAGATTGGACTTCTTGTTTGTACGAGAGGTATTGCAGCGCGCCCTGACGAGATGTCTGGGCCGCTAGTGCTGATTCTGCCATCATAGCGCGAGAGGCCCAATACGCCTCAGTCCCCGCAGTGGAACTTTGCGATATAATAGGCGTTCTCTTTGAAACTGAGATGCCAATACTTGACTTTTGTGGAGAGTTGTGGACCAGCGCTAGTGCAGCTCGCATAGTGTTGCTAGTCCTCTCCAGCGGTGGAGACTTCTTGAGTCTGCTCATGGTGGACATGAACGTCTGACCGAAGTTGAAGACTGTTGAAGCTGAAGGTTATGCACACCGATTGATCGCACGTGGTATCGCAACCAATGGTCGCACGGTTTACTTCTGGGATTCGGAAGCTATTGCTGTCAAAGACGGTCAGTGCCTAAAACAAGAGTATACAAAGAGGGTCGGGAGCTGATATGTTTATTCTTGTGATATTTACGTCCTTCGCTACTATAGATACCACTTCACGGCGATTCAGTGATTTCAAACTTGATTGAACTTATCAAGTCTGAACTTATCAAGTCTGAAACCTAACTGAAACCTCCGAGGAAGCCGTCCTAGTACTGCCTTGTTGGTGCTAGCCCTGGAATGCTGACCTGCACATACGTTCTCCTACAATCGGATTCATCCTCTTGTATTACCCACTCGACGGATACACAAGTATGTCCAAAACACACGCATTCGTCGTTGGTGCCTCAGGAAATACTGGAGGGGCCATCGCAAAGGCGCTGCTCCAGGCGGGGACCTTCGTGAGCATCTACCTACCCAAAAGCCTTACCCAGATCTGAACGGGCTGATACCATGCGGTGCAGCGCCTCTCGATATTAGTACGGCAGTCATCTATCGATAAACCTGCCGTCAAGGAGCTCACCGATGCTGGCGCTGAGGTCGTAATCGGTGACGCCTCTGACTCTCCTGAGAAGCTGGAATCCTACCTGAAGGGTGTGGATGTCCTGATCTCCACAGTCACCATGATGGTGGATCAGAAGCCTTTGATACTAGCGGCCAAGAAAGCTGGCGTCGGACGGGTCGTTCCATCTGACTTCGGACCGACCGTACCAAAGGGTGTGATGGCCTTGCAAGATATGGTACGTAGTGCCCCCCAATCCGCCATCGTCTTCAAATAACCCTGGCGGCCATAACTAGAAACTTGGAGTCCGTGACTACGTCAAAGAGCTTGATATGCCTCATACATTCATTGAAGTCGGGTGGTGGTTGTCGGCGATGTTCCCCCCTCTGCACTCAGCGAAAGACACGCTTCTAACCCGGAAGATGTACGTGGGTGATCGCTCTCGACCGCTCATTTACTCAACATTGCCAACCATCGGTCGAATGGTCGCACGCATCGTCGTCGATCCACGAGCACTGAACCAGACCGTCGTCGCCTACGACGGGGAGATCAGCGTCAGCGATGCATGGAAAGTTGCGGAGAAGGTCACCGGGGAAGACTTCTCCGACTATCCTGAGGTTAGCATCATCGTGCCAATTACCATAGTTCAAGCGCTTGATGTTATCGTTTCCCTTGATAGGTGTCTGCAGAGGAGATGGAAAGGGGCTGTCAGCAGACAGAGAACTGGATGAAACAAGTTGTTGCTGAATATCTCAGGACTGTATTCATTCGCGGGGACAATACACTAGCGAAGGCGCTTACGTCGGGTAGCCTCGATGGCAGGAAACTTTACGATGACCTACCATATCCTGACGTCGAAGAAGAGGCGAAGAATCACTACGCGTCAGGTTTTGTACTGGAGTACGACTACATTCCTGAGGAGATTATATCCGATGTTTTCAGAACGGTGTAGTACCGCTGCATTCGGAGACTTAATCCTGTTCCATGAAATAATGTGAAATCTTTCTTTGCATACTGCATTGTGTTCTCCGGGCTCCTGTCCCAAGAGTAAGGAAGATTAAATGTATCAATGTAACATCACTTACCAAAAGTTCATAGGAGTTTACAACGAATAAAGACTTAGAGCCCATACCAGCTAAGCATAGAGATACTAGACAGCGACATAAGCCCCGCCAACTAAGTTTATTCTAAATCCGTCCGCTGCAAATACTTGTGCGCAAGGCCCAGCATCCACACCGTGAACACGAGTTTGAAGTTCGGATACGTAATCGTGCACGTCTTATTGAAAATCCCTTCAATAGCCTCTTGTTCCCAAGACCCATCCTACCAAAAATAAAGCCATCAGCATTCCATCGTCATCCGATGTCGAGCCCATCCCGACAGGTCAAAAGCGCTCACAGGTAATTGCCGCGACATGACAAGTTTGACGGCCCGCGCAATAGGCTCGCGCCGTGGATACTGGGCGAACATGAGTGCCATTGCCGCCCATGACGTCTGCACGACCTGCGAGCGCTCGTGGCAGTGATATATCTCGGTTTCACAAGACTGAGCAATGTGATACTTCCGTCAGAACGACAATGCAACGATACCTGGAACAAGGCGACTCACTTTGTAAGTCTCACCCCAGCCACCATCGTCCATCTGCTTATCAAGAAGGAACTCACAAGCCTTCCTTGCGGAATCGCTTGTAGCGTATGTCTCCCCGACGAGGGATAGACTCTCCAATGCGAACATCGTGGCATACGTGAAACAAATCCCCCACGAACCAAACCAACCCCCTTCTGGCCGCTGCACCTTATGCAAGAATTTAATGGCATTCGCTACTACGCGGCTGGAGTGACAGTGAAAAAGGCGAACGAAGAGAAGGTAAGGGTACGGACCTGATATCATCCTTGCGATAATTGGGGTAATATTTTCGGAAGACGCTCAGAGCCGTGATCACCGATGTGGTACATTCAGGATAGTTGAACTCAATCATGATGTTGCCTTTAGCACACAAGTTCGCATTAGATATCCTGTTATTGATAGATAACGGGTTGGTGAGTGATGGAATGGGCATACCAAATACTTCAGCGGGGTTGAGTGCTTCCAAAAGGCTGGGTCCCCGAATCTTCTCGTAGCTAGCGAATCCACCATCACTATTCTGCATGCCAATCATGAGATCGACGGAATCAAACATTCGGCGATCAGACATAAGTCTCGGGGAGTCACTGGTAGAGGCATGAGTACTATGACTGGACTTGGTCTCCAAGCCTAGTAGCGCACCTCCATTTATTCTGCAGATACAGAACCGCCTTCAGGCCTTCGCCCGTGCAATCCGAAAGGGTGTAGTTCTGTGCCTTGGTACTGAATCCCCTGTAATAAAACACTTGAGTCATAGAGAAAGTCATATACGGAGGCAAGCTAACCATGCTCCTTTCGTAGATTGTCTGTAGGCAGCCTCGTAGTGTTTCGGGTTCTCCGTCATCTGCGAATCGACAATCCACTGCAAGATATTCAGCGTCGCCTGTTTGTTCTCCTCCAAATCAGCGAGCCCGGTCTCCACGACCGCCTGCGCAACGAACCCCGTATCCCAGAGCTGACTGCCGTTCGTGCCGCGCACGCACATTCCATCGGGGCGGACCCACATGAAGTCTGCACGGGCTTCTGCGTGCCTGCGGACGGCTTCGCTATTAGGTCCCTCGCGATGGGCGCGGCACACCATCTGCATCATCTTCGAGACCGGCGCGAGGTCTTGGAAATCTGTGTTTTCATCCTCCATGCAGATGAGCTCATAGACTCTGTCGAGCGCACGCCTCTGCAATGGGGGGAATGGACACGATTCCACGGTCAAACTTAGCAAGATGTTGAGAACATCTAATGCAAGCGTGTGAGGCGAGTACAGGTCGATCTTAGCGACGTTGTTGCGCTGGGCCGGCCAATCAATGTGTCTGTACGGCGTGGTGTATAGCTCCTGGGTGAGGAAATGTTAATGCTAGGTAGCAAGAACGCAGTGCTAGGGCTTGCCTCACGCAATGAGAGAATCAGGGGGGTTTCTTCGACCTTGAACTGGACGCGATACAGATAACTCATGGGAATATACACATTGCGTGTGTGTATCCACCAACGCCAGGGGTGTATCGGAATCCAGTTGGGTAATAACCTGCAAATGTTTAAAAATGGGTGGAATACGCTAGTCAAGGTAACCCACCATAATTCTGGCGGAACTGGGTTATTGCCTTCCCACTCGTACACATTCAGGACAGACATCCAGAACTTGCCCCAGGAAGGCGACGCGGCGGCACCACCTATAGCAACCTTCAGAACCTAGTAGAAACGAGGGGAGTACTACACATATATGTACCAAGCTTGTGCAGCGTTCCCCGCGCCTTAACAGCAGCTGGGTGGTCCTTATCCACACCGAGCAACCGAAGGGCACAGTAATTGAGAGAAGTCCCCAGCACGGTCGACGGTCCCTCGACGTGTCTAGGAACTCGTAAATCAGAGTGTAACCACCCTGTGACTACCGGAACTTACATCCCCCAACCCCCGTCGTCTGGGTGCGCGCGATTCAGCAGGTACCGAACCATCTCCAGACGTTCTTCCTCCTCAAACCACTGCCCCGACGCGTACGAACCAATCACCATGCCGGGAAGCAAGAACATGGGACCGCTGTACTCTCCAGGAAGATGTCCATCCGGTGCTTGTATGTGTTTCACGAACTCGAATCCTCGTCTAGCTGCTTCGAACGCATCCTTGGCTGGTTTGATTGATATGATCTTCTCGGAGGACTAGGGGAGTGCATTGAGTACCTCATTATCATTATAATAGAGATAAAAATGTACCACAAGCGGCAAACCTAGCCAATATCGGTCAATGTCCGTCTGCGGCCATTCTGAGATTTCTTCGTCCGTTCTGAGGTAGTGCCATGTATGACGTCCTCCGGGTCCTAGACGCAAGCGCCAGCGCGCGTAGTCGGTGAAGGGGGAGTCCGGACTTTGGCTGGCAAATGGGTCTGGCATGAAGGACTGGTCCGAGACGCGTTGCCGAGCATATTTCGGTGCAAATAAAAGTGTAACGATACTTCAATTAGTTTCCGGAGTCCGTTGTGTCACGTGGCACCGAGCGGAATGGACGACTCGGACGCCGAGCGAGCACCTCATGATGCAGTTCGCAGGATGATTTGGATGCTGCTTCCCCTCTGACATAACTCGTACCTTTCAGCCTTTACCCTTGCTTTGCGGAACTCGGTCGTTGTAGTTCCATGTTACATTGTTGTTAAAATTACGCTGTGACTTTGCACTGCAGGAACGTGCTTCAAAGCCGTGTGCGTGACTGCGTGAACGCTCGTCACACGTCCCCTAAATTTCTCAACCTGGACAACCAACTTCTCGCTTCTAAGTTCTCGATGAAGAAGACCGTTGGTAGAGCATGTGCGATGCGGTCTGCGGTCTGATTCGCTACGGAGTTGCCATCCAGTGGGAAATGGGACCTTGAGACTTCAGCTCCTCCGTATATATGGTAGCTTTTCTGGCTCTTGGTTGTACGAAATCGAAATCCCCCGACCATGTGGCACCTTGGGTTCTTATCACTGCTCTTCGTTGGGATTTACGTTCTACAGGCTCCACTTCTTGCGGCTAGTATGCGTGCAGTGACGTGGAATCTCCGTTTCGACTCGCAGCCCAACAACATTCCAGTGAGCCAGTCACTAGCCTCGCTGGGGGATCCCCTTCAGCAGCCAGCGTTTCTGAATGGCTCAAATGAACGACCGTGGAGTACCAGAAGATTGCGAGTAGCAGAACATCTTCTCAGTGAAGGCATTGTCCTTGCTGGTAAGCGCATCAGTGCCCATATGCATCACGATTCTTAAATTGGATAATGGTCGTATAGGTTTTCAGGAGGCATTGGTTCGACAGGTGAATGATCTAGCCGAATTATTTGGCAGCGAGTGGTCTTGGGTAGGTGGATAATAATCTTCTGCTGCTCAGGCCTTGATAAGGTAGATCGGCGTCGGACGAGACGATGGAGTCCAAGCGGGGGAGTTTAGTCCCATCTTCTACAAACGGTAGTATATGCCCTTCGGGTTACGATTCAACCACGCTGATTGCCAATCAGTTCTGCCATCACTCTTTTGTCTAACGACTCTTTCTGGACCTCGTGAGTCCTTGCGCATTGGCGACATGAGTCGCATGGATTGATTCTTTCCTAGCAACACACCCTTCGAACCCTCTAGATTCCCTGGAGCCGGTTCATTCAGAATTTGTACGGTAGCGCACTTCACGCTGGCGAGAGAAGATGGGCCTCGGAACTTTACCTTCTTGAATACGCACATGGATGATCAGTCGGACGCGCAGCGCAGACTAGCTGCGTCGCTTCTTCTCACACGCGCCCGCTTCGAAGCAGTCACAACTGGTGGACCCGTGCTCATCTCAGGTGATTTCAACAGGTCAAGAAATGTTTTACCCCGTCCTTCGTGTGTACTCACGCGAAAGACACAGCCCTTCCACTGGTGTTGATTCCGGCGCATATTCCATCATCACGGGGGCTGCTCTCCCGGTGGCTATCAACGCCACCTTCGCACAGAGGTTCAGCGTTCCGGATGACCAGCTGCCTGATTTCAAGATGATTGATCTTCGCGGCCAAGCCCCGCGCCGTGCCGTTTCCACGAACTTTGCTACCTTCACCGGTTTCACTGCACCGAATGATGCGTCCCACTGGTCGAGGATTGATTTTATCTTCGGCGGAAGTAATCTAGAGTGGTGAGTCACTTTAGTTACTGATATATTGTTGTCGATGCCACCTGGATGATAGGACTGTAGATGCGTACAAGGTGGACTCGGTTCTGGCGGATGATGGTGCGCTGGCAAGTGACCATCGGCCCGTATTTGCAGATATCAATATTTGATCAGCGTGTAAGCCGCGTAGATATAAATGTGAACTCAGTTCATTGATCCCTGGGGTTAAGGTGTCTGTATGTGGTATGCGTATGTGCACAGAATTTCATGGTCCATGCGTATACCCATCGAAAACCAATATTCATCATTTCCCAAAATGAATGTATATAATACATTCTTATCCAATATTTTCTCATAAGAACTGTGTTTACGGGGGAGGGCAGAACGTGAGGGTGTAGTCGGCATTGAGGCTGGAAGGGCAGGTCCACAATGCGGTTCCGCTGCTCTCATCGTAAGCGTAAGCATAGGATCGGGGGCAATTTTGCTCTGATCCACGGCGTCAGTGTCAAAAATGATGGAAAGGCGAGTGAATACTCACTGAAGTAACTGTAGAATGCGACGCCTGAGGGTGGGCAGGTAGCTGGGGTATTGTGACTCCCAGAGCAACAGTTAGCAGAGTTGGCTACGGAGATAAACGTCAGATGACACATGTGGAGTGAACCATGTGGGCGAGTTACATACTGGGGTTTCCATCTAGGTTGGCGACGCATGCACTCTTGCAGCCGACCGGGAATCCGACGTTATCGAATGGGCCTTTGAGGGGGGCCGGGCCTAATGATCAGGAAGCCTCAGTGGGAAACATGTTTTGCAGTGAAGGCAGGTCGAACATACAATTAGGACCGAGATCAACAGGACATTCGGCCACGGGGCAGCCTTTGTTGTTGGTGATTCTCATTGGAAGATTGTACCCATCAACGAGGGAAACTGATCCAAAAGTGCCGTTGTTTCATATGCGTCGGAATGGGTAGAATGGAGAAAAGTACCATCATAGAAGTCTTGGTTGCCGCCAGCTTGCAAGGTCCACTCAGCGACGGAGGCGGGAGGGACGCCCTGAAAGGCAACGACGGTTAGCCAGGCCGATGATCATTACGGATCTGCTTACGGTGCCAGTGCGGAGATCGCATTGAAGGCCACCGTTGCAGCCACCGTCCAAGCAGGAGTTGGGACCGGGGTTGCTGGCAAAGTTACAATTGCGGCGGCCCTATCATTCGAGGAATATCAGGTATGGGCATCGTTCATTGCATAAACCATCTTACCCAGATTCTACCAGCCTTCCAGTCGTTTGGGACAGTGAAAGACACGGACGTGAAGGCAGGGGCCTCCCATCTGCAGGGCAGTTGAGTAAACTTGACTCAGGTATGCAAGTTAGAAGGGCCAACATACCCAGTGGCGAAGTTGGGTCGGTTGGGAGCGACGTTCAGGTCCGTGAACATCTATATTTCAACGGTCAAGTTGCGTCAAGGGGAGTGTACGATGCGACCTACAGCGGGCCTGTGGACAAAGGTGGGTGTGAATACGAGCGAACATATGCAAGAGACGACGAACATACCAAATGGTGAACGGGCACCCGTTGTACACGGTGAATGTGCGCGCGGAGGCGGCAGACGCTAGAGCAAGCGCAGAGACAATTGAGAGCTTCATCGTGCTTTGCAGTGTCTGAGACTTGCCTAAAACCAGACTCTATGTCTAGCTTTTATACATCTAAAATTTCTAGCTCTCGAACAAGAGTCCGAGGCGGCACATTGTCTTCAGCAGTTGTTCTCACAAAATTAGCGGCGTTCCCCTCAGCTGATGTTTGAATAGTAGGCCAGCCATGAGGTGCCTCGCGCTAGACGCTGCTCGTGCCTGGGTCTTGGATCCGTCGAGGGCCTTCGTAGGAGGCATGGCATGATTTCATTGGACTGGGAAGGTCGAAAAGAACCATATGCGCATCAGACGATAGTGTTTGTTGGCATCGAGGGCAGAATTCGAAGGGCTTACCCGGTCTCATTCGGAACAAATCTCTAGCGAACTTGTATACGGACCATATGTTGCGAGTCTACGCGGCGGATGGGTGCGTAGATTAGCATTCTTTTTTCTTATCCTGGATGTAGATTACGGTCACATGGCCTTCCGGCGTATCCCCCTTCAGTTGAAGTTTGAACTTCTTTGCCAAGAGCAGAGCAGACGCGAAAGGCAGTTTTAGAGACGGCCTGCTACCACCGCATACGGAGAGTTGGCCGCGCCTCCGTAGCGTTTGGCGTAGCACTGGGTGCAAGGTTTAGCGCCGGTTCGTGGCCTTTGAACGGGGTTGCACGAGCACAAGTGATCTCCATGCTTCACCATCTAACCTTGCCCGTTTTGGAGGACTAGTGTCGGCCGTCTTTCTACGAACCACTTTTTCGGGACCGTGCAGTCACACAAATGCACGTACTCAGCATAGTGCCGCCTCCACGCCGCAGATGATCCCTGACACACCGTATCCGTCACCGAAAAGGAAGAGAGCCTTTGTGAGCCTAGTAGATAGGTACGGAGAGCGAACAGACCATCCAATATGTGATGCAGCAGCTGTCCGCTGCATACTTAGTACATGCCGAGCAATTGGTAACATCTAGTGAGCAAACAGGTCATAGTTTGGAGTAGATTGTCGCATGAAACCGACTTGACGCGTCTGTTCAAACTCACAGATGTATTTGGCATCTCGACGCAGGCGGTTCCGTGAAGAATACTGGAATGAGAACATGATGGAAAACAGAGCTCTCTCAGATGCAGACGGCACGGCGTGAAGTCGGCGCGAGGAGATTCGAGTTCCGAAGCTTGAAGTCAAGGACGTTGGAGACTCGGTTCTGGGTACTCGTTACCAAAGCGCGGAGTACTCTTACCGAAGGTGCTCGAGCAAAGATACGAAGGAGACGCTTCAGCTCGGAGTAGCCACAATCCCGTCGCATGGTCCAACGGTACCACAGGTGGCCTTCCCCTCTCGTCTCCTTTCCTTCCCCTTTCCTTCCCCTATGTATCCCTATCCAATCCCCTTATGCCCCTTCGTAAGTAGGCGGATAGAAACCACCCTCTCTTCGCCAGGTTTGTACCTTCGCCCCAACAAGTGTGGTGGTCAGCCATGCCCCGAATGCGCGACACATCTCCGAAGACCCTGATTCTGATTTGAACTCGAACATCGCTGCTGGCGCGGCAACAGCTAGGGGTGCAGACAAAGAGCTCGAGACTCGCACTAACTCCGGACGTCAACGCGATGAGGTGGGGTGGGGTGGGGTGGGTGGATCTACGTATCTGCGCATGAGTTCGCTCACAAAGAAATTGAACCTAGCCCGCTGCAAAGTTACGCTCAAGGATTCAATTTGGCTGGGACGTGAGGGAGTCCAGATTGTTTGTTGGTTTGTTAGGCCCTGTCTCTCGATAAGAGTGAGTAGGGGTTTTGGTACCAAGACAGGTTTGTTCGCTGCTAAGCCAGCACCACAAAGCAACTGTATGTTGTCTATACCTTCGCCAATTCTGCCGCCCTTCAGCGAAGATACGGAGATGGACTCTTAACGACTCCAAGCATGCGTTGAGGCGTCCCGCGAGTGCACATTGCCAAGGGCAAGCGGGTCACTAGTGATTTAATCGCATGAGTGACACAAGTTATTGACATGTAGACTTTGCGAAGGCTAATATATCTGACGTACTAGTCATAGTCGCTTGCTATTTGAGTCGAGGCGGTTCCACTTACGAACTTTTGTAGGGCTTTCGGCCTCCCCCGTCAGCATGTTGACGTCGACATCAGCGCCAAGGTTGGGGGTTGGTCATTCAGCAATTTGTTTCGGAAAAAGTGAGAAAAGTTTCTATGATTTTTTTAGCAGCGACTTATTATGTAGAGCTTGCCACTGCGTCAGATAGACCAGAACCACGGCGTCGAAACTTGAGTTCTTATGGAGCATGGAAGCCTGGACGGCTGGAGGCTTCGACTTCGGCGATTGTGCCGCGCGTGGAGTGCTTGAGAGTTTTGTGTGATTACATAAGCAGCGCAGTTGGCAGGCGATGCGGCATCCAGTGCCCTTTCGTCATTTCCCTCGCTGTTCGTTGCTTCTGACCACCACTACCAATGCCTGCCCGCCCGGGCAAATCAAGCCAGGAGGGCTACTCGTCGTCGCCGTCGACGGAGGCGCACCTTAATGATCCTTTCAACTCCCAGCCACGATATTACGATAATGAATCCGACAACGTCGATTATGGGCGAAGAGATACTTATGCATCTGACACCAGCCATCCTGGGTACAACGATCCAGGCTACTACGACCAGAACAACTACGACGCCTATCGTATGTGCTTTTCTCGTCTATGCCGCTGGGCGTTGGATTTATCATTTTCAACCCGCCAGCTCCCCCAGACACCGACTCGGATGGCGATGTGTACGGTCAACGATATGCACCTTCAGCAGAGTCTCTAGCGCCACCGCCACGTATGTAACGCGTTACGCCTTTTCTCTGAATCTCTAAAGCTTTCAGCAGGCCCTGCCGGCGTGCGAGAAGACTACCCTGCATGGACAGTAGAGCGGCAAATACCACTTTCCAAGGAAGAAATAGAGGATGTCTTTCTCGACCTGACGCAGAAGTTTGGTTTTCAGAGGGATTCCATGCGGAATATGGTGCGTGTTGAACTCATTGCGGCCGTTGCCAACTATCCTGACTAAGCGCCCAAGTTTGACTTCCTCATGCAACTCCTGGACAGTCGGGCGTCCCGGATGTCCCCAAATCAAGCGCTACTTACAGTTCACGCCGACTACATTGGCGGGCAAAATGCAAATTATCGCAAATGGTACTTCGCGGCTCAACTTGACCTCGACGATGCAGTCGGGCAGACCCAGAACCCCGGCCTGAATCGCTTGCGTTCCAAACGGGGCAAAGGCGATACTTCTAGTACTGATAAGAAGGCACCCGCGCACGAAAAGTCTCTGAATTCGGCGTTGGAACGATGGAGACTCGCAATGGCCAGCATGAGTCAGTACGACAGGCTTCGTCAGGTTGCACTTTATCTACTTTGCTGGGGTGAGGCCGCTCAGGTCCGCTTCGTTCCGGAGTGCCTATGTTTCATCTTCAAATGTGCGGACGACTATTACCGGTCTCCCGAGTGTCAGAATCGCATGGAGCCCGTACCCGAAGGCCTATACTTGAAGACAGTCACGAAGCCACTGTATCGTTTCATTCGGGACCAGGGGTACAAAGTTGTCGATGGCAAGTTTGTGAGGACGGAGAAGGATCACCAGGACATCATTGGTTACGATGACGTGAATCAGTTGTTTTGGTATCCAGAAGGTATCGCAAAAATCGTGCTGACAGATAAGGTAGAACAGGCGTTATCTTCACCGAAGGTTTACTGATCTTCCATTTCATAGACTCGTCTTATCGACTTGCCTCCGCCTCAGCGATTTATGAAATTCGACCGGATCGACTGGAATCGCGTGTTCTTCAAGACGTACTACGAGAAACGGTCTTTTGGACATCTACTTGTCAATTTCAACAGAATCTGGGTCATCCATATCAGTGTCTACTATTTCTACACCGCATTCAACTCTCCCACTATCTATGCCGTCAATGGTCGTTCTTCACCCGCTATGACATGGAGTGCCACTGCTCTTGGTGGAGCCGTCGCAACTATCATCATGATTCTCGCCACCCTCACTGAATTCTCATATATCCCGACTACTTGGAACAACACGTCGCATCTGGCCCGACGTCTAGTATTTCTATTCGTTACCCTCGGCCTTACAGCTGGCCCTACGTTTTACGTTGCTATTGCTGAAAGCAATGGCACAGGGGGTTCTCTTGCGCTTATCTTGGGTATCGTGCAGTTCTTCATTTCGGTAGCTGCGACGCTTCTCTTCTCCGTCATGCCTTCCGGGCGGATGTTCGGGGACCGTGTAGCTGGTAAATCACGCAAGTATCTTGCCAGTCAAACTTTCACGGCATCCTATCCGTCGCTCCCCCGGACCAGTCGATTGGCCTCCTTCGTCCTATGGATTCTTGTCTTCGCCTGCAAATTCGTCGAGTCGTACTTCTTCTTGACTTCGTCGTTCGGTGATCCAATCCGTGTCATGGTGGGTATGAAGATTCAAGGCTGCAGCGACAGATTCTTTGGCGACGCGCTTTGCAGGAATCATGCTGCATTCACGCTGACGATCATGTACCTTATGGATTTGGCGCTTTTCTTCCTCGACACTTTCCTTTGGTATATCATCTGGAACACGGTTATCAGCATTGGGCGGTCCTTCGCAATTGGTCTGTCGATATGGACGCCTTGGAAGGATATCTTCACTCGTTTACCTAAACGAATCTATTCGAAACTCCTGGCGAACGCTGACATGGAAGTGAAGTATAAACCGAAGGTATTTTTCTTTCGCCTTCCTACGTCGCTATACCTTACACGTGGCATTGCAGGTGCTGGTATCGCAGATTTGGAATGCTGTCATCATCTCTATGTATCGCGAGCATCTCCTCTCCATCGACCATGTCCAGAAGCTTCTGTACCATCAAGTTGACGTGGGCGAAGGCGGTCGACGTAGTCTTCGTGCTCCGCCCTTCTTCATGTCGCAGAGTGACAAAGGGTTTAAGGGGGAGTTCTTCCCACCTGGGAGTGAAGCAGAGAGACGTATATCCTTCTTTGCTCAGTCTTTGACTCTTGACATCCCCGAGCCACTTCCTGTCGATGCCATGCCAACGTTCACCGTTCTGACTCCCCATTACAGCGAGAAGGTATGTGTCCATCATTGTCCGATCATTCCTATACTTATGGGGACGGGTATAGATCCTGTTGTCGCTACGCGAGATTATCCGTGAAGAAGATCAAAACACTCGTGTTACTCTCCTCGAATATCTCAAGCAGCTTCATCCGATTGAATGGGAGAACTTTGTCAAGGACACCAAAATTCTTGCGCAGGAATCTGCTATGTTTACCGGCCCTAATCCGTTCGCTGGTGACGAGAAAGGCCAATCGAGGGTCGACGATCTGCCATTCTACTGCATCGGCTTTAAGAGTGCCGCACCAGAATTCACGCTGCGCACGCGTATCTGGGCTTCGTTGCGCGCTCAGACGCTTTACCGCACTGTCTCGGGAATGATGAACTACTCTAAGGCCATCAAGTTGTTGTACCGCGTGGAGAACCCGGAAGTTGTACAGCTATTCGGGGGCAATACGGACAAGTTAGAACGGGAATTGGAGCGCATGGCACGAAGGAAGTTCAAATTCGTCGTCTCCATGCAACGGTACTCGAAGTTCAACAAGGAGGAGCAGGAAAACGCAGAGTTTTTGTTGCGTGCGTACCCGGACTTGCAGATCGCTTATCTAGAGGAGGCGCCCGGAAAAGACGGTGAAGACTCGAAGATTTACTCGTCGCTTATTGATGGGCACAGCGAGTTCATCCCAGAGACGGGGCGCAGGCGACCCAAGTTCCGCATCGAATTACCCGGGAACCCAATTCTTGGTGATGGGAAGTCCGATAACCAGAACCATGCGATCATCTTCTACCGTGGCGAATACCTGCAACTCATCGACGCCAATCAAGACAATTACCTAGAGGAGTGTTTGAAGATCCGTAATGTTCTTGCCGAATTCGAGGAATACTCCGTTTCGACACAAAGTCCGTATGCGCAATGGGGTGCACAGGACTTTTTCAAGAAAGCCCCCGTCGCCATTGTCGGTGCACGCGAGTACATCTTCTCGGAAAACATTGGAATTCTAGGTGACTTGGCTGCTGGAAAGGAACAGACGTTCGGTACCCTCTCGGCTCGGTCTATGGCGTGGATTGGCGGTAAACTCCATTATGGTCACCCCGATTTCCTCAATGGGTTATACATGAACACCCGTGGCGGTGTATCGAAGGCACAGAAGGGCTTGCATCTCAATGAGGATATTTTTGCTGGTATGAACGCCTTCGGACGCGGTGGACGAATCAAGCATACAGAGTACTATCAGTGCGGCAAGGGTCGTGACCTTGGGTTTGGCACTATCCTGAACTTCCAGACGAAACTTGGAACGGGTATGGGCGAGCAAATGCTTAGTCGAGAGTACTATTACATGGGTACCCAGTTGCCCATTGATCGCTTCTTGACGTTCTATTACGGGCATCCTGGCTTCCAGATCAACAACATGCTCGTTATATTGTCGATTCACCTTTTCGTCGTCACCCGTGAGTAGACTGCCTCGTTCCTGTTTGCGATGCTAACCAGCTATTCCTACAGTGGTATTCTTAGCTACGCTCAGCTCTCAGGTCGATATCTGTCGGTACACTGCCTCTGGCCAGTTCATTGGACCAGTGGGATGCTATAATCTTGTCCCCGTCTTCGACTGGATCCACCGTTGTATCATTTCTATTTTCCTTGTTTTCATGATCGCATTCTTGCCCTTATTCCTGCAAGGCGAGTATTGGGCCCATTTATAATCTTTTCTGGGGCTTATATCTGCTATCATAGAACTCGTGGAACGAGGAACATGGAAAGCCATCCTTCGTCTTGGCAGGCAGTTTGGCTCGCTCTCTCCAGTCTTCGAAGTGTTCTCTACCCAGATATACACTCACTCGATCCTCAGCAACTTGACGTTTGGTGGGGCTAGGTACATCGCTACCGGACGTGGCTTTGCTACAACCAGGATCAACTTCAACATCCTCTTCTCTCGCTTTGCCGGACCGAGCATTTATCTTGGAATGCGTACACTTATCATGCTGCTATATGTCACCCTCGCAGCTTGGACCCCGTACTTGCTCTACTTCTGGATTTCCATCCTGTCTCTCTGCGTTGCGCCCTTCATCTTCAACCCCCATCAGTTCGTATTCACCGACTTCATCATTGATTATAGGTTCGTTCCCACATAGTTTTCTTTCTCTAGTTAGCTAACACTATCTTCAGGGAGTTCTTGAGATGGATGTCTAGGGGTAACTCCAGGTCGCATGTCAACTCCTGGATTGGTTACTGCCGTCTTTCGCGAACCATGATCACTGGTTACAAGAAAAAACGGCTGGGTCATCCCTCTGAGAAGCTGTCCGCCGATACCCCTCGGGCTGGATGGCGCGCGGTAATCTGGACGGAAATCGTCTTCCCAACGGTCATGGCCATTCTCTTTGTCATTGCCTACATGTTTGTCAAGTCTTTCCCCGACCCCAACGGCAATCAACCACCAAGCCCCCTCATTCGCATCGCCGTCATATCCATAGGCCCAATTGTTTGGAACGCCGCAATGTTGTTGGTGCTCTTTTTGATATCTTTATTCCTCGGTCCAATCCTCGATCCTATGTACCCCCGATTTGGTTCAGTTATGGCTTTTATTGCCCATGTCCTAGGAGCAGTTGGCATGATCGGGTTCTTTGAATTTTTCGTAAGTCTCTTTGCTTCCATCTCTTCGGATATTGGAAGTGAATACTTATCTCCTTGTCAGTGGTTCCTTGAGCGATGGGATGCGTCCCACGCCGTTTTGGGCCTCATTGCCGTCATTGCCATTCAACGCGCTGTTCACAAGATCTTAATCTCTGTCTTCCTCTCTCGAGAGTTCAAGCACGACGAGACCAACAGAGCGTGGTGGAGTGGTAGATGGTATGGTCGGGGCCTTGGATCGCACGTTATGTCACAACCCGCTCGAGAGTTCATTGTCAAGATCATTGAACTTTCGTTATGGAGTTCGGACCTTCTGCTTGGACATCTCCTGATGTTCATGTTAACCCCCCCGATCCTGATCCCCTACTTCGATAGGCTTCATGCGACTTTGCTTTGTGCGTGCCAGATTTCTCTGCCGAAGAGCTATATTTACTGAGATTCTTCTAGTCTGGCTTCGTCCGTCAAAGCAAATACGTGCCCCGTTGTTCTCTATCAAACAAAAGAGGCAGCGCCGCTGGATTGTAAGTTTGATCTTGATTTTGATATTCTATAACATTTTCTGACCCGTTCTGCACGAAGGTTGTGAGATATGGGACTGTTTACGTACTTGCCATCACCATATTCGTCCTTTTGATCGTTCTTCGTGCGTACTCTTCGTCTCCTTCTTTTGAAGCGCCTAACTGTTCCCGACAGCTGCCGTATTCCGCAATACTTTGCGTTTCGATTGCACTCTATGTGACAATCTATGAGTGGACTACCTTTTCATGATTCATAATCTATAGACCATTACAGCTACGACGACTATTCCAGTTGGTATTCACCCTTACTGCCATATCATTCAATTTGGACAGTTGCATAATTCATAACGAGGACATTTCCGTGTATGCTTATGAAGAGAGTACAATACCACCTTCTCCTTTCTGCATCAATTCCGTAGGTTTGATTATTCGCCGAGTCATCGTCACAAGGTGATGAACATTCCCCTTGCTGTATCTTCATCACCACGGGACGCATTTTCGCGCAGTAATATTATTCCCTCGGGGCGGATGATCAACGTGAGTATCCTCTTCCTCGCTTCAGCGGTTAACTCATTGAAATGTTCAGTAAAACATATCCAATTCCGGGTAGCACGCGTGGTCGGTGGAGCACTTTGTGATGGATTCCAGTCGTCAGTGAGTTCACGCGAATACAATGTCATAGCAATGCCAGCTATTCTTGTGACATTCGGTCCAGTTGACCTTCGGCTTGATGCCAACGGATGTGGCGAAGCTTGATTTCCTTGTGGTACCGCCATGGAGAACACATGTTCTTAGTACCCAGCGCAGCCGCCTTAGCGGTCTTGTGGTGTGCCCGGGATGTCGATGGCGAGACTGGCAGAATATAAAAGGAGGATAAACTTGTTGTGGTTCATCACCTCTCTGGTGTTTCAACCAACGCCTCTCTAAACATGAAGTACTTTCAAGCCACTGGTCTTCTTCTTGCGGGTGTTGTCGGAGCGAACGCTCGCACCTTCACCGTGTTCAATGCTTGTCCGTTCACTATCTGGTATGTACGGTTCACCCCCTTGTTGAAGGTTCGTTGATGCTGATTTAATGTAACGTGTAGGCCTGCTGTGAGTGCGCCAGCTGGATAACTCCCGCGCAGTGATTATACAACGGACCATAGATGTTTACCGACTTGAATGTCGCGCCGAACGTCCCGAACTTTGCTACAGGGTCAGTGCATCGTCCCAGGATCCAAATTTACAAGCCTTGACGATGCGTCCATTTATAAGCTGGGAGGCTGGAGCATTCACGTCGGTGTCCTTCAGCGTTCCAGACAACTGGAAGGCTGGAAGAATCTGGGTAGGCGCAATCTCCGGTAGTGATCTCTGCCCCAATTGATGTATGAACTGTGTAGGGCCGGCGCAACTGTGACTTTAGCTCGAACCCTGGGCCCAACTCTTGCTTGGACGGAGGTTGTAACGGAGGGCTTCTCTGTGATGCACACACGGGTACAGTCAGTATCCCACCACTACAGCGTCCATCTCTTACTAACGCACCACCGTTCCCAGGGCGTCCCACCTGCTTCAGTGGCCGAGTGGACTTTACAAGGGGATGGTAATAGAGACTTCTATGATGGTAAGCCGCGTCCTTCGATCAACGTGTCGCTGTTACTGAGGGCTTGCGTTTCTAGTGTCCTTGGTGGATGGGTACAATCTACCGATGAGAATCACTAACAATGTTGGATGTCCAGTTGCGGACTGCGCCGTCGATCTTGGGCCTAACTGTGCGTCACCTTGTCATCATGATGAAGCGTGATCCTCGTGTTTAAGGCGATGCACATAGGTCCCGCTCCGCTCAAAGGGCCCTTTGATGCAAGCGGTTTCCCTGTAGGCTGCCGTAGCGCATGCCAGGCTAATTTGGACGGGAATCCAGGTAGGAGCAGGACACCATGATGCCACATGGTATAGCTAATTAGAGGTTTCTTATCAGGCAACTCGGCCAACTGCTGCTCTGGGTCCCACAACACCCCACAGACATGCCCCCCAAGTGGTGAGTAAGACACCCGAATGAAAGAAGTGCTTCTATCTAATACGATTCTCGAAAGGTGTTGCGTTCTACGACTATTTCAGTGCGTGCACCCTCTTTATCGTCCGCTGGGCCGAAGCTGACGAGACCTTCAGAGAGCAACTGCCCGAATTCCTACGCGTATGCTTTCGACGAAGGCAGCGGTACCGCTCTGTGGACCTGCGACTCTGGATTGAGAGCAGACTATACGCTTACCTTCTGTCCATAAATACGTATCAGACTCTCACAATATTACGTTTCTTGCCAAAGTGTTGGAACTTGGTGCGTCTGATAAGGTTTTGATGCCGACATAGGGTAGTGCGGAGAAAAATAAGATTCCTATATAAAGACGACCCAGCGCCTGCGACCGGGAACACAGCTCGTCACCCCCACGATAGGTCGATCCAGCGGACCTCCCCTTCATCGTCCCCATCCAGCCAGTCCCTGAGCTGGTTCACGTCCTCAGCGCGACGGACGTCGCCCGGATGAGCACCCACCACATTAGTGTCTTTCAGCACCAGCCTTTGCCGGTGCAGCCTCGAATCCACACATCATCACCTCAGCTCCCAAACTCTCATCAGCCGCCTCTTAGTCACCAGCCGGCTGGGCTGGACTTGATAGGCGAACCAATACATTTTTCCACCGGCCAATTTGCTGGTCAAGTCGTCAGGGCAGAGCTCAAAGAAATCCAAAAAGCTGATCTTGGGAGAAAGTGGGTGCCCTACTAGTGAGGTTCACGGAGACTTATCTGTTATTGAAATATGCGGGGGGATGAAGGTATGCTAGGGTGGACCGGAGACCGCTAGACCCTCCGCCAGTAGTACTTTTGAAACTCTACATAACGTATACCGTAGGCAATGAACAGCGGGAGGAAGAGGTTCCGGACTATGAGTATGTTTCCCACCGACTCACGCACAGCGCCACTAATGTTTACCCAGACAGGTCCACAACCACGGCCTTGTGTGTACGGTCGATTTATTTCCGGTACAAGGAGCAGACCAGCCTCCGAACGGCACAAGTGGCCAATCGTCTTCCTCACCCTCTTCGTACTCAACGCGTCGCGCACATCTAGAAGACGGCGCACGAAGTGCTGATTATTTTTCGGCGGCGTTTCCCGCGTCGCAGGGAAACACACCCGCCTCACCACACCCGTCGCGTTTGATTGGGGCTTCAAATATCGTGCACAATATAGATGGCCACTCTATAACTGAAGGGTCGAAGCAAACTCACGCTTTGGTTGGCGCTACGTTCGTCCAACCAGCCTCCGTTGAGTATCAAGGGCGCAAATGCCTTGTATTTGTTTTCTCTGCAAGTTGCTTTCAAAGTATCTGAACGATTTGTCTTTGACGACAGTGGTATATACAGGACTTAGCCGTAAAAGTCGAAGGCACTTTCATCCTTCGATACCGCGTCTTCGATCTATTCTCAAGACCGACTGAATCCGACCATCTCGCCATTCAAGCAGAATGCTACGGCCAACGATTCAAGGTGTATTCCACTAAGGAATTCCCGGGGCTCCAAGCTTCTACAGACCTAACTAAGGTCAGTCCCGTTGTATCCGTTAATCGCGGCCTTGAGTGCTTGACTTTTGACTACAGCACCTTGCCCGGTGGGGTGTTCGCTTAAACATCCGTGAAACTGAACGCAAGAGAGGCAAAAAGGACAATACAAGCGTCAGTCCAGTCCTATCCAACGGCAAAAAGCGGAGTATCGGATCAGTGAGTGACGCAGGGCATAGCGAAAACGAATAGACCACCCTGCCTGTGTGGGTCTGATAGTCTACCTTCGCTGCAATCGTCTCTTCCTCGTATGTATATTGACTGCATCCATTTAGACTTTCTTGGCGTCATTTTCAGACAACATGCTCCACAATCTCACCGAGGACTTTCTCTATCGGATTTCGTATTCGTTTGTAGGCTACAAATTCATTGCATCACAGCTTGGGCGGGCCTATTGTACTGTATATGGAGTTTTGACAATGACATTGGCGATAATAGAAATTACATAGGGCACAGAAGGGGCAATGACTCTACCTTTTAATTACCGTCACTTTTACAGAATAATGCTGCATGATCAAGGTTTAGCACGGATGTGAGTTAGCTCAATGATTTAATGACTGTCGTTTTCGCTGAATGGGGCGATATACTCAAAGTTTAGAATTGATATGAGTTGGTATAGGCGCCGCAAGAACTTTAGCAATCTCCCCAGCCAGTTGTGTTGGATTGATTTGCGTAATCTAGAGGGCAGATGAGTAGAGTAAGCTTCGATGCGCAGGATGTGCTGACCAGATGCCCTGCACCCTCTGCCCATACAATGGAAGCAAAGTTGGACGCTCCAGCGTTGTTTATGACATCTTCCTTTATAGTCCCGGGGCTATAACGTGTGAATTCAATTGCGATAGGAATGGTGCATGAACTGACTAGTAATCGCTGACAGCCCCATAGAGCATATGGACGGGGTAGCGTTGGACGAGGGTAGGTAGGTACCAGAACGCTCGCGTGCGGGTTACCCCATCGCGATATGAAGCCTAACACAAACGTAAAGATACGATTACGAGGGTGGCTTCATTAACTTACCGCCTCTAAGTGACGAGGGCATTTGAGGGTGACTCCCTTGGTGATATCTGGATATGATAAAGTGGGTAGTGACGTTAGTCCGTGTTCCTACAGTCGTGAGGAATGAGGCATATTCGTAAATGTCGATTTCTATCAAATCTATCGCACCACGTAAGTTTTAAGGATTCGCGCGTCCCACACTTGCCAAGAAGGTCGACTACTGAAAGCTTTCATTGCTTCTTCTTTGCTGGGCCATATGTCACGTCGCTTCACTGCGCCTGCTTCTAGAACGTTGGGTATGCCGGGAGGAAACGCAGGAAGGATCATTGGTTCCACCAAGTGAAGCAGGCTATATTTCACCCGAGGGTGATAGGTTGTGGAAAGTATCCTGGTACATTTATCAACATAATTCACATATGAAGATCCATCAGGGAAAGCCTCACAAGCCGACCGCGCCCGATGAGTGGCCGATCCCTGCAAGCTTTCGCTTACTGAAATCAACGTCTATCCCTGTGCCCTTGCCACTGAGGAAGAGATGTATGCCGCGGGCAATATCCTCCCAGGAGCCTGCGTTTAATCAGCCCTCGTTCCAGCAGAACCTTGTCTATCGAACGAACATAGTTTATCGTAGCCCTGCGTGAGCACGTTCTCGTTCAACAACGCCGAATCTCCGTGGTTGTAAGTGTCCAAGCACCAGGCCTCGCGCACTTTTGCCACCCCGCCTGGTTGTTTGGGTAAAAGTTCGTACAGGTCGTCCAGCACAGGCTCCCAGTGCTCTTTGTGGAACCCAGTCCCATGAACCATGATAAGCGTGTACGCGTCCTCATCTTGGACGTAAGGCGACAAGGGATCCCAGAGTCGCTTCACCGCAAATCTAAACGGAAAATCCGGTCGTGGGTCGAAGACATAGTGTTGAGAAGAGAGCGTCGGCATTTCAGCTTGGCCCAAATTCAATCCAGGCGGTGGTTAAATGTATGATCGGACCGGCGTCTTGAGAGATTTAGCCGGTGCTGACTGATTTGGGTCGGTGTCCGGTCAGGGGCTTCAGGGACTCATAGGGGCGCTCTACAGGTGACAGAGGGTATTACAACTACGAACTACTCGGCTAAGAGAGACTTTATAGCTGCAGCTCGGCTTGCGAACTCTAAAGGCTTTATAGGTGTGCGTGTGTCATGAGAACTGGCGCCCATCTGAGTTGGAAGACATCTTACCATGTGCGACAATAGGCAGTTTGGTTTCTCCTTGATTTGTCCGTGTAGTTGGTCCACAATCTCCGTAACGAGAGACCCACGGGGATATTTCTTCTCTATTTCCCGGACTGTTTGCTTGTCGAATACATGAGCTAAGGAAGTCCCGAGTCCCTGGTATCCCTGTAAATCAAAGAATGCTGACAATTGGACTAGGAATCCTGTGGCAGAGGATCTGCCGGTTGTGAATGGGATGGTGTGCAGCATGATCCCTTGGACAATGTCCCCAAGTTGTTCTGGTAGCAACTTGGGTTCCATGTCCTTCAGATGTTCATATGCCATGATTCCACCGTGCAATTCGAAGCTCATGCCACACGCCGGGTGACTCAGCGCAGAACTATGCTGTGTCATCCCCAGGTCGTGCAGGATGCACGCGTGGAACACTCTGTTCACCAATTCCTCCGAGCTAATCTGTGGCACCCCCGGGGTGTTCGACGGAAATCCATTCCTCAGCATCAAGAGCGAGAAGTAGAAGCATCGGATAGAGTGGTGGAACATCCCCGGAACAGTGATCTTCTGCGCGAGATCGAAGGAGGATTGTTGAGCGGGGGTCAATGTCTTGAGTCGGATGTCGTTGAATGGAGTGTAAGCTGGTTGGAATTTGGCCTTGGCGAAGAATTCCTTGAAGCTGGAGGGAACGTAGGCATCGTAAGTGGCGTTCAGCGACATGCTTCAGGTAGATGAACTTGACTAGTGTGCCAAGGAAATACACCCAGGCGTTATATACCCTAGCTGTTGAACGCCCCATCCCACTATTAAATCATCATGATGAAGCCTTCGTACCTCTCTTCGATCCTGTCGGAAGTATCCAAATGCCTCACTTGAAACGGCCCGTCTGTGACTATGATCCGTTCACCCATTCGGATGTCAAACTACGGCGAAGAGCTGCGGCTCCGAAGGTCGGTCTTCTCAAGCCACAACCGTCGTTGACCGTATACAAGACATCCTAAAAGTAGCCACCAGGATTGTTCTCCTGCGATTCAGAAGGTAAAACGCTTAGAGGTTGTTGTAGCAATCACACCCGTTCGTGATTGATGCCATCTTTAAATCATTGCCTTGCTGAGGTACGTTCTTGCCGCCGAACGGTTGAGCGGGTTAGGCACTTCAATCCAGGGTCGATTCCATGCTTGGATGTTCAGTTTCTTCGCATGGAAACCCTTGACCATGAGAGTTATTCAAAGTAAGAAGTAGTTCAAGACTTACAATGACGCGGATAACGCGGATAAGCGGTATCCGCGCAGTAAATGGCAATAGAATAAAGAATGATTTACAGTAGATCGGTACACAGATTGTGATACTTTGCAGCGTTTATGAGTAACCAGTACTTACAAAGCAATGATGAGGCGAAACATGGAGACATACATCATGACATTTATCGGAAAGTATCCCTGAATGGTGTATCTGAAGAGAAAGTATCTTCTAATGAGGACGAGGACCCAGAGTGACTGCGGGCATAACTAGCCGAGGAGCCGGATGAGACTGCAGAGGGTTCGTTGAAGGTCCACGCACGCCGTGCATTGTCAGCGGCTACAACATCAAGAGTCGACATCTGCCCTGCCGCAGCGGTCCGGGACAACTGAGACGTCGTCCCTTGTCGGGCGCTAGGACGAGGATGCCGACCTGATATCTGCGTAAGTACTTTACCTAGGCCTGCAAACTGACCAGAAACTCACCGGGGATTTGTTGCGTCGAAGAAGAAGCACCATTGCGCGACGAGGTATTATAGCTCCCTGCGGCGGTCGATTGCTGGTACTGCAAACTACCACGCACTCCGGACGTAGCAAACGTCAGGTCCGGGGTATCTGCGGGATACGCATCGCACTGAATGCACTGACACATCCCCGGCGGGCAGTTACATGTTTCACCAAAGCAGCGCATAGCGTTGACAAAGCTCTCGGAAAGATCGGGCATTTGTTGCAACGGACTGATGGTTCCGCCTCCATTGTGGAGATTTGGAGGCAACGAGATCTGTTGCGACTGTTGAGGATCGCGTTGTGGTAGGCGGGCGAAGTTTTGGGTTTCTGATGTGGATAGTGCAATGCCCGAAACACGGCGGATCCATTCGTCTAGCGCTTGACTTTGGTATGGATCTAGTGGGGGGATGGGCGACCCCTGAGGGGGAATGGAAGCCGGGAGAGACAGTATGGTGCAGTCCAAGCAGCTGGAGCAAGCCCCAGGATTAGTGCAGTGGGCGAACGCCGAAGGGGACGGTGCACGATGGGGAGAGGGATTGTGCTCAAGGCAGCCTGGGCAGAGGCAATTGTCTCCGCATCCACATGCAGATGGGAATGAAAGGCCATCATTGTCCACATTCTGGGCGAAAGTATCGGTCCACCCAGTAGCGAATTGTAGTGCTTGGGACGTCAACTGGGAACCGAAACCTTCGGGCAATTGGGGATCAGATAGAGTACCTAGGTTATTTTGAGCGACGCTATACGAGTCGCTTCCCATGTTGCTATGTAAGCCCTCGTAGGTTCGGTTATAGGGACTATATGCATGTCCATGATGTCGGCTGGCGTGTGGAATACCAGTCGAAGGGTGATGGACGGGGCCGGCGTCTGCAACAGTCGTATGGTGCTCGTGGGGCGATGGCTTGGGGAGAACGGGGCGTAGTTCCGCTATCCGCGCCATGATCTGGGACTGCATGTGCGCTGAAGGGTTACCTGTAGTATGCCTAGCGGCTGGGCGCTCCTTCACGCGTGATGTTGACGCCGCAGCAGGACCGTGGTGTTTCGGGGGACCCGGCTTCCTGGGAGCGCTCTTTCGAGGGGTACAGCAGTGGCATTCACCGCCAGTTTTACACGAGCAGCTCCCTATCAGGCATCGTTCAGCATTTAACTATACGCTGGATACGATGCTGAAACAAGTGAACTGATGCCTACCGCCATGGTCAGAGTCGGAAGAGACGCTCTCAGAGGAAGAATGGGGCGCGACCGTCGCTTCCAAGGCTTGTTCTGGTAAGCCATGCGGAAACGCGGCGCTGTCTGGCACCTTTGTTTTGCCTAGAAAATTGAGAACGCGCCTTACGGCTAAGCCCACCCGTTGGTAAATCAAAGTGATAGCGACACACACCTTTTTTTCTGGGTAGGGGTGCCGATACGGGGGGTGAGGTAGATGGGGGTGATGGGGTATCCGAGAGAATATCATCCTTCTCACAGATGCATTTGACATGGACTTGTTTCGTTTTTCGTAGCTCTCTGCAATGCTCGCACTGGGTGACAGGGCGGCCCTTTCTCTTGATTTCGAACAGCGGTCGGTCAGTGTGCTGGCACGACGACGACCGATGTCCCTTTATGCACGTTTCACTGATCGAATCGCTTCTTGTCAGCAACCACCACCTTCGACAACCAGCTCAGCGCTTACCAGGCATATTTTTTGTTATCGACCAGAACCTGCGTAGTGCACATCGTTAATAAGGCGTCTCGGGGATTGTGGTAAGCAAGAAAGAGCCGACCATATTGATACACAAGCCAAATTCGGGGTTAATGGATATTGCGGGATTCGACGCTTACGACGGCGAGGGGTTCGCCAGCGACGACGAACCTATTGTTATTGGGCGACGACGGCAAAGATGAACTCGTAAAATATGTGAGCTGCCATCTGTAAAATCGATGGATAAGTACTCTAAATCTTGCCCAGGACTGCCGTGAACTCTTAAAGCTAGATGTCCTCAACGCACGGACCAGGAGGCAATGCGCAGGCCAAACAGGCGTCCACTACGACCCCACGTTCTCGGAAGAAAGCACTTGCCCCTTCCAGAAGACAAGAGAGGCGTGATTGAGCCACAGTGCAGGCATACGTTACAGAAGATCCGACTTGAAAACTACCACGATCTCTGCGGTCCGACGACGACCACTTCTACATTGCGGTCGATCTGCGGGTCGCTCGACATAAGCTCCAATATAGGGCTTTACAGCTTTCGTGTAGAGACCACATGCCCAAGAACAGTGGCCTATCGAAGCCACTTCTTCTGCGAGGTACTCGGATTGCACAAGTATTTCCTTCTTATCGAATTCAGTGACTTTCAAAATGGTCCCACCGTAGACCACTGGCTGTCTCACATATTCGGGTATCTATTCGCCTTATCATCCCCCCAGCGAATACTCCTCTCGGTACACTGATATGCACGATGCGCGCTTTTCGCCACGGGTCGCCACTGTTCAAATCCCAGACCTTTCAATAGCTCCCCAAAGCGACGACCACGATCGTCCTCGTGGGTTTCGTCATCCGCAGCAATCCCGCCATTTGTAGACACTCCCATCGTCGTATCGTGAACTGCAGGCGAGTAGCGTGCGCGGACATATGATCCAGCGACAGGTTCCATCACGCCACGTTCGTAGATTCAGAATAAGCCAAATAGGCTTATACCAGAGAGCATCTCAAACTCCGGTATCTATTCCTAATGACTTTCCTTAGAGCACAGCAATATCACTCCGACCTAGATGCTCCGCGCGTCGTTCTACTGCGCTTTACGGCTACGAAGGTCAGCTTGATGCTATCAGACTATTGTTAATCGATTCCAAGCCCTAGGTTTCTCCACCGCGCCTTCGCAATAACTTCTCCGCTCAACGAGGCTTCCCAGCGACCACAGAAAGCACGTACACTTGCTACTACAACAGAGCGTCTCTTCTCGACGTCACATCTGACAGGCACTTTCCGAAGCTTCTTCTATCCTCTCGGTCTTCGCCGTTTAGTAGTCACCAAATTCCCACACTCCACGGCCTGTGTCTAGCTGCTGTTTATTGATGCTGTGCTCTGAACTTTGAGGTAATTGTGCTATAGAATGTCAATAATAGTAACCTTGCTACCGATAGATAATTGATTGGCCTCCATGCTGTGTGTTGGTACATGGTATGTGCTAAATAGATGTGGGCGACCGTACCTCGCTCAATCAACCCCCCTCGTTTCGGTGCTACGAACTTGCGCGTGTCTGGTTGTGTTGCAGGCCAGCGGACGGCAAGTACTTGGTTGCAGACGAGATCTCTCTACTGGCATCTCGAGGAAACCATCGAAGAGCTGAATATTGAATACCTGGCTTCTTGTAGACCTGCACGGTGTATAGTCAGCAGGTATGATGATGACCGCTAGGAGCAAGGAGGCGGCTTGCACTGATCCACGCCTATCAGCTTCGAATTCTACCCATTCTGTTACTTGCGTCGGCCACCACAACTCCCCTGTCCCGGGTAGACGCGGCCTAACTTCTTCGGTCTGTCGGTTATACTATCGGTCAACGTGCTAAGAAATCCTCTCCGCTGAAAATAGCCCCTCCTTACTTCGAACCCAGCACATCTACAGCATGAAACAGATTGTCCTGCTCACTCGGCGGTGGTAATTCACCCTTTGTGACGAGATACCAGTTGACACCGCTTCTCGAACACGTATTGTACCGATTTTCGCCCGTCTTGACAGCATAACCACACTGACTGCCTCGCCTTCGACACTCGTGGCCGCCCCACAGAACATCCTACGGCCATTGTGCTTCTCTCGATCAGTCTCCCAACGGCTACCTGACTCAATTCCACCGGTCATCGTACTATAGTTGCACTGCTGCATCTATTCTTAAAGCATGTGGTTCGAGGCAGGTATTCTTGGTGCCACAGGAATAGTGCAATGAACTTCTAATTGTCATCGTAGGGCTATTCTGAACCATCGTCAAGGGGTCAATAGGAACGCCACTGCCTGCATTGCAAGGGTGAGGCTGCTTCCTACCCCAGAAGAGCTAAATATACCACCTTCTCAAAATCTCGAACCAGCCTTGCGCTTCACGGTATGGATTATCTGCATCCACGATGTGGCCTAAATCAAACCTGCGAGCAGGTGTGATTGCTATAAGTGCACCGATCTTTGGTTCGACACCGAGAATAGCACAACGCTGCATTGGAGAAGGAGGGACGACGTCTGCTCGGTGCTGCACGAAGCACACGAGGCATGATGAGTATTCTGTCCCTATCCATGGATTGACCGATCCTCATTCCGTTGATCGGACTTGGAAGCCCCCGCGTTGGAAGCCCCCGCGGATTCGAGTTCATCGTGGTGGAACGCGGCGACCTCACTCCGTGGAGACGAATGTCACGAGGCCCAAAAGCACTAGGCCGTTTACTTACTCACTTACTTCCAAGTTATCGATGTCACTTGATCGGTCCGGCACCGTAAGTGATACACCATTCCTCTATGACGAGTCGACTGCGCTCACTTGATACAATTTATACAAGGCGTGCGTACAAGCTCCAATCTGAATAATTCGACACCAGACTCGCTTCAGATTTCTCAGCCATTTATGGAGCATCCTCTGGCACATTCATGTCACCGCTGCTGCAAAAACTACGAACACTTGGTATATGGCTCGCCGCTATTCGCATGACCTGGTACGAGAGCCGTAGGAAGTGCGCCGGCATCTCAAACGGACCACTCGCGGGCGTGTTTTCAAGTCATAAAGCGTCCAAGCCGGATATTCTCGATGTTCCATTTCGGCGTTGAAGGACTCCTAACGAATATCAAAACGTGTCATGGTTGAATGGTAGAATGACGTACAATATCCCAATCACTAAGAGCTGAGCAGTTCGAATTTGACAAGAATATTGTCGAAAGGATAAGACTGTGTGGGTTGGGGAAGGCGTCTGATAGGTGATCAAAGCTTTCGGCATTCAAGGTTCGGCAAGTGAGCTCAAGACGTCGTACGAGATTCCCTCCAGGGCGTTTGAACGTTTTGCAAAATGACGCTACGTGGTCCACGTCTATGAAGAAGCCGCTTATTTCTATGCAATCAAGCATGGGGAAGTCGGCGACGGCCCAAATTTGTTGAAATGGATTGTTCAAGCTATCGCCCCAGTCGAATGGGTCCCAAGCAACGGAGAGCCTGCGTAACGAGGGGATATGGAGGGTCGCAATACCGAATGGCGCACCCCCAGCAGTGCGGCGAACTAATGATTTCAGTCCCTCGATATTCTCCCCGTGCGCATTCAGAAATTGGGCTACATCGGATCTAATGGTGCCGTATACAGAGAGACTGACGTGTTTGAGCCTGGAAAGGCGATCTGTGAAAGGTAGGTAAATAGAGAACGCATTGAACATCGCCGTAGACACATAGGGAGACCGGTGAGCATCGTATGGACTGAACTTGAGGTAGATATAGCCAACATCTGTAAGCGAAGAGACTCTAATGACTTCGATGCGGTGTTTATTAGGTTGGCCAATCCACGCGCCTCGCCCTCGTACCTTGCAGCGAGACGGACAGATGCTTGATACCATGTACGTCGAGGAATGTCGGGTGAACGTATATATGTCCCGCCTGAATACGGATAGATAGAGAGTCAACGCGACCAGATAGCAGCGACCAGATTTGGCCCGCCATAGGCAAGTATCGTTCGACAAGTCCATCGGTGGGGTGGAGGTCAAATAAGACAGACCTTAGGCCGTGCATATTATTTATCCCTCCCAGCAGGAGCTTTTGGACGCTGGCAATAGATTTGGGGGTCAGTGCCGCAGGGTCTTTACTGAAAAGGCCCACATATGTCGAAATTGGTTTCTGAGTGATCGAAACCGCGTCGACTTGGACCTGCACAAGACCTCGAGTATCCCGCAGCATATTTCAAGGTCTTGAACACCAATAAATCCGGTAGTAGCCATGCCTGCTCACTTTCTATGGGCTTCATACCGCGTCATGGAAATTGCGGCGAGCCGTATACCTAGTGTTCGCAGTTTCCGTGGGAGCGGCCACATGCATGCACCAGAGGATGCAAAAGGAATGGCGAATGCTTCATCCCCTTGTCACTTGGTGTACAATATTCTGTACTGTTTCGTTTCGCAACTGATTTGAGCTGAAAGATGGAAGTGTATGACTATTTTATGTTAATATTTGAACTAGTATCTCAATTCTGGTCCCAGCCTTTCGTTGTTGTAAGTTACCTGATCGGTCGTGGGAATACCGACGCTAGGCTAAGAGATGTCAAAGAGACGCCAGAACTCACTCCGATCCCACTGCGTTCTCAAGGGGTGCAGGGATACCACCGGGCTTTGCGTATGCCGCCAACGCTCCCCTTCGAGATATGGGCTTGCATTGCATCCTATCTATCTAATGTCGAACTGAAGACATTGTCCAGTGTCAACAGGGCGCTGTGTCAGATCTCCTTGAATGCCTGGTACAAGACCTTGCAGGTGCACCAGCTTTCGCAATACACAGTCGCAAAACTTCAAATGATGCGGTGCGTAGGGAAACCAATGCTTCAATGATCCAAATTACAACGCTTATGCCTTCACAGGGACACGGCTTCAGCCGTAGGACGTGTTCAAGATCTCGAGGTTAATATCTCAGCATTTGAGACCTTGGCGAGATTGACGCGGTTTCAGCGGCTCAGAAACCAATTTCGACGCTTGTTTAGTCTTCCCGGAAAATATCCTGCAGCTTTGACCACGAAGTCCGTTACCAGCGTCCAGAAACTCTTGCTAGACGCGATAAGAAATATGCACGACCTAAAAGCTGTATGCTTTGACTTTACTCGCGCCCATGACACCAGACAATATTTGTCTGTGCATGAGGTTTGGTCGCTACTCTCCGGTCGGGTAGACACATTGTCTATCTATATCTGCCCCGACGACGCACACTTGCTCCCTTCGACTTTCTCCAGTATACTTGGGATAAAACATCTGTACATCGAGTTACGAGGCTTCCGGGTGACCGAGGTGCGCGGGTTAACCGAACTGATAAATACGGCCTCCCAGTCGTTGGAGACGTTTGCATGGAAATCAAACTTCTGCTTCATAGATTTCTCAAGTTCGATCCATAGGTCGTTCCCCATCCTGCGTATGTTTTTGCGCTTGACTGGGATGTACAGCTCTAACCCCCGCCTTCTGTAGATGTTTTCCCAAAACTTAAACGTGCGGATCTGGCTGTTTGGAACACCACAGGCTCCGAAGTGACGACATTCTTGAATGCCCACGGGGGGAGCCTTGAGGAATTGAATTTAGAATTCTCTCACCCTGACGGGGGTCCACCGGTCGGCGTCGCGGCCCTCCAGCTCCCCTCACTGCGTACCCTTTCTATCGCGTGGAATTGGTGCAAATGGGGTGGTCCCGTTACTATCCCGTTTCAACGACTTTGGTCCGGTGCCAACTTCCCCATGCTCAGTTGCCTGGAAATAAATGATCCTTACATGAAGATGGACCATGTGGCTTTCTTTTGCGATGTGTTCAGAGAGTCAGGTGGAAATCGCATACGGCGTCTTTCGTTCCATTGCGAAGCCTTGAACGCGGAAACCTTCGACCATCTATCAGAGGCCTTCCCGAACCTACACACACTCATCGTCACAGTGATATCCTTGCCAAAACCCAGGGACAAATTGTGGAACATCGTGTGTTGTCCTCCCTCCAACTACCTCTTGTATTCTCTGACATAGACCGAAAGGAGTCTTTTGTTGCCGAAATGGCACATCGACAATATAATGGTTGGCCGCTTTATGACTTAGAAATCACGCCTCCGGATCGGTTACGCTACAGGAAGACGACGCGGTTTGATGACTTCACAAGGCCCTCGTACCTGGCCATGCAAATAGTGGCGAGCCGCATACCCAGTGTTCGAAGTTTCTTTGGGAGTGGCCACACTGACGTACCACGGGAAGCGCAGTGGTTACCATTACCATGGTGCCTTGTGAATGGTGTAGTGACAAGAGGGCGTTTACATCATCAGGTGTTGATGAAAATCAACGAGAATGGCTAGTAATACACGAAGCATATTGGTACAATCAGAGGGCTCGGGATATAGCGTAACATAGAAAATCAGCTGGACTGGTGCAAGGATTCGTCAGTTCGCACCACTATACCGCTGTAAGAACTTTTCGTGAAATTTCTCCAATTTGCGAACATAATCCTCCACTCCGGGGCAAAGACATGTCAGCCTGTAATGCCATTCACCCTGCTTCTGGCCAAACCCGCTTCCAGGAACTACACAAATCCCCGTGTCATGGAGCAATTGAAGCGCATAAAACGCATCTGGCTCCTTTCCTGCCTCCCGTGCAGCTTCAATGGCCTCGTCCGGCAATCTAATCTGGGGATACAGGTAGAGAGCACCGGGGGAATCGACACATGATACACCAGGGAGAGCGTTGAGTCGTCCTGACATCGTTTTGGTGCGGTGGGCAAGAGTCGCGTGGATTTCATCCGTCTCTTTCTTCCATAAATCGTACGACTCCTCGCCAGGGTTAGGCGGTCGAATCATCGTGTCTACGCCAATCTGCCCGGATAAAGGTGGGCATAGGTTCACGGACACCATTTTGTAGATAAGATCGAGTATGTTGGCTGGGAAATTGGTGCATTCGAAATACCCTCCTCGACGGCCGCATTCGCCTGAAACACCCTTCGAGATAGAGTGGAGTGATACGAGGGGGACGGGTGATTGTATTTGAGATACAATCTTTTTGAAAGAGATAAACGGGTGGGTTGTCGGTTTATGGAGGTTTACTTGGTATACTTCATCGGCTAGCAAGACGAGTGAGTGCTTCTCGCACAGTTTGACCAACTCGATCTGCGTGTCTTCGTCAAGTAACGCACCCGTAGGGTTGCCGGGGTTGATTATTACCAATGCTTTGGCTGTGACACCTTCACGGTGCGCCTTCTCGATAGCTGCTTCAATGTCGTGGATTGATGTGGCCCAGTCAGCTGCTTCGTTGAGATGGAAGGGAAGCGGTACACCGTTGAACCGAGCGAGGGTTGCGGTATAAAGCGGATACTGGGGTATCGGAATCAAGACGCCGGATTTATGGGGTACGGAGATTAACATGGAGATCAACAGGCTGACACCTGCTGAAGCACCGCCGGTTAGGAAAATGTGATTCGGATCTGAGGGGAAGCCATCGCGTTCTACGGACAGAATGAGGACATCACACGAGCACGAAGTATTGGGACGCACCTTCAATGAATTTGGCCACATTCTCTCTGATAAAGGGAACTCCTTGACTATGGGAGTACGCGCCTATTGATCCGATAGCCTCGTGCAGCTCTTTTGCGCGAGCGACTACGTCTTTCGGGAAAGCATCTGGCGCGATGTCTGCCAAAGCTGGCCATTCCATCAACGCAGCGACCTGTAAAACACGATATCTCATCGTTTCGTGATGAAGGCGCCAACGTGCATACCTGTCTTGTAAAAGTAATAGGTGGTTGATCCAGTCCCTTTTGCTGAGGGTTGCCAATGTTCGAGGAGATGACCTTGTCGAAGGGGAGACCATGATTCTCTCCTTTTAGCTGGACTCGAAGCTCCTCTGCTCTGATAGCCAACTCTCCGCGGACGGCATACTGTACATTGAGAATCGCGGGATTCAGCGCCTCTGGTGTGAGCTGGCGCATTTTAGTGGATTTGAGGGTAATTGGGGGATAGAAGTGGGGAGAGGCATTTTGGATTGTCGTGTGCCGTCATATACCCCTCTTTCTGATCCAGGCCGGAGCTAGACAGAGAACGTGGTTATTGATTTTGAATCGGACACTGGCGTACCTTGGCTGCAGCCTTTCTAAGAAATAAGGAAGCTGACGAACCGCAACCTAGATGGTGGCGGTACTGATCCATTTCTCGACCGCCACCCAAAAGTGATTTAGGGGTTAAGATACTACAGAGCCAAGCTGTTCAAGAGCAATAACAGACGATGCAGCCAAACAGCTGTAACGGCGAACCTGAGCATGCCGGATACGCTGGCACCTTCTTTCGACTGTAGCTGACTGCAGAGGACAGTGTTGAAGCCTGTCTCTCGAGCACAGTATGATATGACACAAGCTCAAATTTAATTTACTCGAGCCTACTTATAATACTTTTTCTGCATCAGCGCAAGTGGTCTAAAGGTGTGGACTACTCACTTCTTATAACTTTGCCTCCCTCTTTGCTGCTATGGCTGCTTCCCTCAGTTTCTTGGCCCTAATTGCTCTCCCAGCACGACTAACGCTTTCTCGGCCTAGCTTTTCGCTTATCCACCAACCAATATCTACGACTTCATCTAGGTTGACACCCCCGCTAGACCCGTGCGAGCCGACGACGTGGTATTGAGAGCCTTGCAAGGCATATAGAACATCCTCTGTCGCGACGTTCCCCGTGGCGCCAGGCGAGTATGGGCACCCGCCTAAACCACCCACGGAAGAGTCAATGGTGCGTATGCCTTGCGACAAAGCAGCGATGACATTTGCTATTGCGGTTCCGTAGGTGTCATGGAACTGGACAAAAATCTCGTGTTCAGAGCTTGCCGCTATGCATTAATTGGCAAAAAAGCTCACATGACCCTATGTTGTATGAGTGGTGCGTAAGTTGACAGTGATAATAAGAAACGTACAGCTAACTTTTCGACGGGAACACTCTTCTTGACCTCCTCAATCATCTCAGCAACTTCGTCTGGTGTGCCCATGCCCACAGTATCCCCCAGGCTGACTTCGTAACAACCCATGTTCAAGAGTTCTTTCGCCACTTCCCGTACCTTGCCGTAATCCGTCTTGCCAGAATACGGGCAAGCGATCACAACACTGACATAGCCTCGGACTCTCAGCCCATTCTTGATGGCTTGTTCGGTGACCGGCCGAAGACGAACAAGAGACTCTGCAGTAGTCGTGTTGAGGTTCGCCTTGGTAAAGGCATCAGTGGCTGCAGTGAAGATGGCGATTTCGTCCGTGAGACGGGGAAGAGATAAGAGGTTATCCAGGCCTTTCTGGTTGGGCACGAGCACGGGGTAGTGGTTTCCTTCTCTTTGTTGTATTCCTGACAGAACTTCTGCTGTCCCGGCCATCTGCCATCCTCGATATAAGTACCTGCTCTCATGCTACGCTCGGATATTGACACACCTGCGGCACCCATTTCGGACTCACGAAGCTCCCCGCTTCTATGGTCTTCAGACCAGCACGCGACAGCCTATTGATCAGTTCCACTTTCACGTCGACTGGAATGGTCCCCTTCTCGTTCTGCAGCCCATCACGAGGTCCCACTTCCACGATATTGACGAAGTTGGACGCCGTCGCATATTTTCTACTGGAATTTCGCGCCGACGACGACGCTACGCGTACAACCCGGGCAGGCCAAACCATGGTTCAGACAGAGTGCTGATCAGGGAAAGTTGGGTAAGCTCCGGTTCGGCAGAGATCACAAACTTGAGCCACACTGTTAGCCACTTCGATTTGGAAGGCAAACTAACAAGAAAGTTTTTTCATAGACACCGTTCACTGGCGCATTGGTGTCAAGGGTATGGACAATTGGGCACTAGTGTAGCTGATGAAACGCAGAAATATTTGAAGTCCAATTTACGCTTGTTTTAAAGTTGTTCCCACAGTCAGATACAGTCTTCGATCACCACCAAAATTTTTGAGACCTCCTAATACCAATAATGCCAGACGCATTCTTCTCGTCTACAAAACCACGGAAGCGGAAAAGGACACAGTCTGTTGGCGGCGCAGATAGGTCCTCGCGTCCTGCGAAGAAACAAGCAAAACCAGATGCCCACTCAAGAGGCAAACGCGTCAATGGTCCGTCGAAGGTGAACGGCGGCAAGCAAAAGAAGAGGCAGGATGAAGAGCTGCACTCTGACCGAACCGATGAATCAGACGGGGGAGGAATCGATGATATGGACTTGCGTGCAGCATCCGAAGAAGCGCACAGCGGCGACGAGTACGCGGATGAGACTCCAGCAGACAAGAGGCTTAGGCTGGCCCAGCTGTACCTCGAGTCGGTCAAAAAGGGCCTCGGTGAGTACTCACTTGTATTGTACTTCATGAAACTGTCATTGACATTGATCATTAGCTGATGGTGAATTTGATGCGAAGGAAATCGACAAGGAATTGATATCCGCGAGGTTGAGACAAGACGTATTAGAGCACTCTGGAAAGGTGCATCAGTTTATCGCGAATTCTGTGAGTGTACCGGCATATCCATCAATGGTTATACTAAACCTCTCAGTTCAACTTCGAAGACCCTCCACAGTCATCCATGAAAACGAGAGGCCATCGTTTGTCTGTAACATCCGCCGTCGCTGCCGAATCTGCGAGGTACCTGTTCACGTCCGGAAAAGAGGGTCACATAATTAAGTGGGACATGACGACAGGGAAGAAGCTAGCTACTCTGTTTAAGGTGCGCTCTAATGGGAAGGGAAAGGGTAAGGCTCCGCCAGCGGGCGATGTTAAAGGGCACACGGATGAGGTGCTTGCCCTGGCCCTCAGTTCCGACGGAAAATACCTAGTGAGTGGAGGAAGAGATAGGAGGGTGGTCGTCTGGGACGCTGAGAAGGCCGAGTGGATAAAATGTTTTACTGGCCCAATGTGCCACAGAGATGCTGTATCCGTGAGCTCTTTTCATTCGGTACGAATGGGAACTATCGTTAACACCTCTGTAGTCATTATCTTTTCGCAAAGCGACACATCAACTTTATTCAGGCTCTTTTGATCGCACGTTAAAAGTCTTCGATCTCACACCATCTGTAATGGGGTATGTCGAGACCTTGTATGGTCATCAAGACCACGTTCTTTCCGTCGACGCTCTTCGCTTGGAGACTTGTGTTAGTGTGGGTGCTAGGGATAAGACGGCGAGGTTCTGGAAGATTGTCGACGAGACGCAGCTAGTGTTTAGAGGTGGCGGAAGGAGTAAGGTCAGAGAGATGCTAGAGGGCGGGTTACGGGGTGATGATGATGGGGAGGACAACACGATGGACGTTGACGGACGTTCTACGAAACGAAAAGGAAACGAAGCCCAGAAGTTCATCGAGGCCAGCTTAGAATGCATAGCCATGATTGACGAGTCGACTTTCGTTAGTGGCGGTGATAGCGGGTACGTACCAAACCCACCATCGTCTGCATCCATGTTTCAATTGGTTTGCAGCTCGATAAGTCTGTGGAGTACTACGAAAAAGAAGCCGATATTCACTCAACCTCTCGCCCACGGACTCAACGAGGCGCAATCGGAAACTGAAGGAGTCATACAAACACCTCGTTGGGTGACCGCTTTGGCAAGTCTGCGATATTCAGATATATTTGCGTCAGGTAACTTCCACCATGCCGTACCATTAACTTGCTTACCTTAGGCTGACTGCACACCAGGATCCTGGGATGGCGACATACGCATATGGAAGCTCGACCCAAAACTCAAATCCTTCGAGCTTGCTGGCAAACTGTCTCTTCCAGGCGTCATCAACTCTCTTCAACTTCTCTCACCGCCCAAAGGGTTCCTATCGAGTACTTCATGGCTAGCATCGCAATCATCATCGCAACCGGACGAGCAGGTAACGGCTACCCGTCTGTCAAAAAATAAAATTGGTGTACCCGAGTCAATACTACTCATCGTTGGCGTGGGGCAGGAGCACCGACTTGGGAGGTGGCTGTCTGTAAAGGAGGGCTCCTTTAACGGTTCATATGTCGCAGTATATTCACCTCGGACGCTAAACTAGTAGCTCGCAAGCTTTTGAGCCTATGTATCCGTCCATTTACCAGGATAATGCATCTATTACCACAAATACATCACAATCGCCAGTTTTAACCGGTTTTCCTTCATCGACTTCTATATACATGTGCCGCCGATCTTGGCACTTGTTTAAACGTTCCGTGACTTGGTTATGGCTCCCACTCCAACTGATCTGGGCATGCTTAACACCGACTTGCGGGGCTTGTCTTGTAGTCAGCCGCGAAGTCGAATGTCTTGTGGCGACACGTCGGTGGATGCTATAGGTTCTCCCTAGTACTTCCTCAACTTCTCACAACAGCCCCCGAGTCTCAAAGCAACCTCGCAATACAAGCATTCATCGGGAGTATTGTAGGCTGACCCGTACCTAGCAGTACCGAACTCTACCACACATGACCTTTTTAGACCTTTCGCTGGCAGTCAGACGTAGTGAACGTCGATTATTTGGATACCGGTATCGAGTCTATTTCCCCGACGTTCGATAGTAGTCAATTGCGGTGAGCGGTAGTCGTGTCCTTTTCTCGGTACCGATTGTCATAGGATGATCCATACTGAATCCGTAAGTTTTAGACTTCTTCCTAGTTGGTGGTATGACCTCGGCACCTATACGTGCATAATTAACGGAGCATTCACATGGGGAGTTTATGCGGACTGGAATGTATGTGGAAAGCGCGGCTTTATTCAGTACGGAATGAACGACTGTGTGCGTATATTCAACGATACATTAGTGGTAATAAACATAGAATCACGGTCTTTCAAAGACCTTTTTACAGAGGTATACAAAAGTTTTAGGTATTTACAAAGCAGGGACGGCGTTGGCAACCAGCATTTCGAAGTAAGCCTGGAAAGAAGAATGTGAATACACGGAAGCCATTTGATGGTATGGGAGGCTCTTACCTGGAACCAGGTACCAGCTTCGGGAGCGGGCTTCTTGGCAGAGGCAAGACCACAGTGACCGTCGTAGCGAACGGCGGAAGTGTCAGAGGTTCCATCGGATTCTCCTCCAGGCTTGACCCAGACGATGGCATCGATGAGCGAGGAGCCAGTGCTGGTGGTGGGGCGAGTACCGAACCCGGCGTTGTCGACGTTGCACCTGAGACGGAATCAATACGAGGTGGTGATTGAGTGGGATCGCAACTTACCAGTCACCCCAAGCTCCGCGGATGCCTTGGACAGCAGACCGACCTTGGTCGACGATGAAGTGAGCGGGGAAGCCACGGGAAGAGAGTTCAGGAGCGAGGGCCTATGATACAAATCGTTAGAGACGTCCAAATTAACACGAAACAATCACTGACGTTGATGTAGTGGATCTCATCGTAGTTGGCATTGGGACTGGTAACTGGGTCCGGGGAAGGAGCGTTCAAGAGGTTGTAGTTGGCAACGTTGGTAGCGAGACCACGGAAGAAGGAGGGGGATCCGGCGTTAGTGTAGAGGTTAGCGAACAATTGAGCAGCGGGGCCCAAGTTGGCGGGCCATCCGAGCCATCCAGCGTGGCCAGCATCGACGTAGGAGTAGACACCGACAGTGTTGAGTTTCTGGAGAGCATAGGTGACACCCTCGGTATAAGCGGCCTGTGCACCGGCACACTTAGCAACGTTCAAGTTGGTGACCATGTTGGCCAATGAATCGGGTTCGACAACAGCAACAACGCGGATTTGAGGGTACTCTGAGAGGCAAGCTAGATCAGTAATAGCAGAAGTAACAAGGGGGCAACACGTACGGGCGATCTGGGCAACAATCTGGTCGACGTAGTTCTTGTAGTTGGCGAGACCGTTGTTGGCAATGGAAAATTCACCATTGGAAGCCAAAGCGGCGCAGTCACGGTCGGGCAGGTCGTAAACGACAATTTGGACCAATTGGTTGCGGCCAGTACTTTGTTGAATGGAGAGGGCATCAGCCAAGTACGTGCCCAAAGTGGGGACCTTGGCGACGACGTCGAACCAAATGAAGGTGGGGATGTTGGCGACTGAGGCAGCCTTAGCAGCGAGGGCAGGGTTGCTAATGGCGGAGACGGCAGCGGCAACTTCATCAGCGTAGTAAGGGCTGAGATAGATCTATTGGAACAACATTCAGTGAAGTCACTGACACCAGAGGACGTGACTTACGTCGTAGCCAATGTAGGGGTTGCCTGCGTCTGGGGTGGGCTGAGGACCGGAGGAAGTGCTGGTTGAGGTCGGGGGTACTGAGGGTCCAGATGAGGATGACGAGGACGTTGGAGGTGCGACAGTTCCACCGCGGCTGTATTTCTTTGAGTTGGCAGCAGTGGCTTAAAGTTTCTTGAATACTCACAGGCACTGGTGATAATAATCGTTGATCACATTGCAGACCAATCCAGCATCACAAGTGGTAGAACCAGCTGTAAGAGGAAATCAGAACGCGATTCACCACGACCAGTATAACAAATAAAAACTTACTGTAGTTAATGCCACCGCATTGTCCCCACTCTCCAACAGCGAGAGTGAAAGCCGGTACGAGAGCGACGAGCCCGAGAAGGGTGGAGAACTTGAACATCCTAAATCTGGAGGAGTAGAGATGGCCTGGTGAGGACTTGTGCTAAATTCCATGGGCCTTTTATACGATTTCCCTTGCATTTTGCTTATGTCGAGAAGGCGTTCGTAGAAAAGCCGGCTTTCACCCGAGTCACCTAACGGAAAGACGTCGGAATGTGCGTGGTCATCTGGTACAACCCGCAACAAGGGGCGACCAGGCGCGTCAAATTAGGCGAATGAAGTCATTACGCGTTCGGTTGAAAGTCGGTGGGGTATCAGGAAGTAAAGAACCAAGGAAGGGAAGGAACGAACTTGACTTTGATCACTGAGAAGCAAGAAGCGCTGCAGATCACGTCTGTTTGCAGAATTAAGACTTTGTTTACTTGTTGCGGATACGTGTGCATGTAAGGTATCTATCGTACGAACGCCTTGACCTCGACAACGCCCTGGTCCAAAGGCCAGGGCGTGACCTTTAGGCTATCATCCTGACCGGGTTCTAACCGCTTCCCTCTGACCTTCAACTTCATCGCCGCAGGTTTGCCCTTAGGGATTACTTCCACGCGGAATTCATTTTCGTCCTTCCAGCCAAGCATTTCTCCTATCCGTAGAATATGCGAAGGCGTTGCGTCGTATTTTCGCAGGGGGAGTTTGTACGAAACCTTGGGGACGTTATTCTTCAGGACGATCGTCATCTTCACTACCACGCCGTCGACCTGGTAGATGTCGTTGATAAAGACCCCGTTCGCCTCTTCCGAACCATCAGCATTAACCAATTTCCCTTCGCCGTGCCGTGCATCCTCCCACCAATCGCCGGAGTAAACTGATTCATCGGCGTACGTGATTGTACCACGCCCGTGTCGCTTTCCAGATCGTACTTGACCAACGTAGTAGTGGCCCTCCGACTGGTTGGTAAGGAACCCCCAGCCTTCGTCGTTGAGGAGACTCCAGTCGTACTCCTTCTGCACAGGCTGGTGTGGCAATAGGCTGTAATGAATAAACCTCGATTCCCCGCTCTTCTGGGCCTCCTCAAGGCCCTTCGTAAGTGCGCGTTTAGGTCCGTCAAGAGCGCGGAAATCGGCATCGAACGCAGGATCGGCAAAAAATGCGGAGAAACTTGTCTTTGCTGCTGTGCCATCGGGGTTTGTGTCTTTCTTATCCTCATCCTCGCGCCAAGACCGAATGCTCTTGATCAATAAGTTGAACGTGTTCGTTGCGCTATTGATATTCGGAGATGGGGGGATAATTACCACTCCAACAGTTCCTCCGCCGACCTTGGCCATCGAGTTTCGAAGCTCGTTGATTGATGCCAACGGAGCCTTCTGGGCTTGGGTGAGAGAGTTGATGGCGACGAGGAGCTCCAGCTTCGCTTCATCTTTGGTGCAGATTTTGATCCCATCCTTGAACTCCGTGGTAATGCGATCTATGAATGCCTGAACGCCCTCTACCTTGTCTGCTCCCTCCTTTCTCACCGAGATGAGGAACTTGCTGAGCTCCTCCCTGGCTTTCCCCATAGCCTTGTCGACAGCGAGCTTCCTATCACGGCATTCGTCCAAGAAAGTAGGGCAGAAGTCGCCTATCCCGCCTTCGAGCAAGCTCACTAGCCTCGCGCGTCGGCCAGCCAAGCGGAAGAACTCGTCGTATGCCTGGCACAGGCTCAGCAATTTATGTTGCTCGAGCTCGTAGAGCATCAAAGCCTCCGGCGATCCATCCACGAACTGGGTTATCGGGGTAAGGGTGAGGGTGCATGGAACACCGTCGCCGACGAGAGACGGCCATTTCTTGATGACTTCGAAGACACCGCCTACGGTGGTTGGAATTTCCATCTCCGCTGAAGCCCAATCACCATAAACCTTAAATTCACAACTCGAGTTCAACTCCTTCGTCTTCTCATCAGAGTCCACGCTCGCCTTCCCGCTCGCGCTGAAGTTTCCTGCCATGCCCTCCATGAACGACGCCTTGAAGCTGCCTTTGATCACTCTGCCACTTTCTGAGGTCGAATCCTTCTGGACAATGTTGGCGATCAAGGTTCCACCGTATCGAATGGCTGTCACGACGTGGGTGGCACCCATGGCAGAGACCTGCTCCCATTTCGGTTGCTTGATGCACTGGCCGATGTCGAGGCGCTTGTTCTTCTTCTGTACAATGCACGTCGCGGAGACTTCGTGGGAGGAGACGTTCGACTTGCTCGCGTCCAGGTATTCACCAGAGCCGGATAAGGATATCATGCCACCCATGATGGACACAGCGAGCTCGGCCGTAATCTTCAGCGATTTGGAACGGTCCGACTGGCTCTTGACGTCGGAATACGAGATCATGGTGCTTGGGTGATTCTCTTCGCGGATGGAAGCTTCGAGGGCCGCCTTCTCGAAAAGCTGGGTATTCAAGAGTTGCTCGCTGCTGCCGTTGTAAAGCTGCCCAAGGAAGGCCGTTCGACCCAATCCAGGCGTGGTGAATTCATTCTGCTTCAATCCCATAGTTCTGGAACGGCGAGGTCAGCTGTATGAGCAACGACAAGCAAGTTGACGACCTACGAGTCTCGTACTGGCGTCTGTCAACTGTATGTGATGAAGTATGCGAGTGCCCGAGACTAAGGGAGCGGTTCTATTGACTACCCCAGCACGAAAGGCCCATTCAAATACGAAGTACATTAGGCCAGTACCAGAACAGGAATGCGGTATCCCGCGCCAATCATGTCGCCCGCCAATGAAGAGTTGTTCTGGCCTTAGAACAAAGGCCTACTTCGTGCCTCGCAGTTTTGGCTTATTGGACACTGGTGCCTTGGTCTATCCTACGTCGATGCGGAATACTTCAAAGGCCTTGTGCACGAGAGCTCTATCGGACGCAACACTCGTGCCTATCATCGTTTGCGGGGACATAAATTTACTTCCGGAAGCGCAATTCCAGGCCACAACGCGATCGGTTACACCTCTTGCCCCTGGCGTCACACCTCAAGGTGTCACAATCGATGATGTGCCTCTCGGAGGTCCTCAACTGACAAACTTCCATCTCGCCGCTGGCTACTTACGCGTACCTCGAGAGGTACACTCCGACCTACCCCTTCGTTCTGTCCTGTTCTATCTCTTGAATTAGGCACTTTCCCATTCTACAGTAAGCGGCATGAACCCTCATGAACCGCACGTTGAGAAACGAGACACAATGACCCTGTACGGACCAATACCTTCTCCGATGGCACCTCTGCATCGCATTGTTCCAAATTCACGTTGGGGAGATCACACGCTGTGCCTATTGCCGCATTTAGTTCTAACTATGAAGGCCCAGTGTCAAAGCTCAGGACTTCAGGTCGATTACGCAGCAATCCAGAACAGTTACCATTGGGAGCGTTGTGAGTGTCGTTCGATAAATACTGCGATAGTGGTAGGACTTCTCTCAGTATTCTTCGAACCCTTGCTCCCTTTCTTCGAACTACCTGAAGCGTAACTTTGTCGCCGTCATCAAGAGGACACGATGTCTGAGTAAGTCCTTCAGCTGGCATCCACCTATATTTCTTACTAACGAATGTCTACGTCTTCGTTGGTATTACGAACAGCCTACTAACTACCTCGCTCCCTGTTGAATTGGCGCAAGGTGGAGCTATCCCAACACCATCAAACGCCGCTACCCCTCCAACGTCGAAACCCGATTGCAACCCCTCAGCTCCAGCCACACAACCCAAGCCCGACACTACTCCTGCGCCTCCCTCGTCTAATCCTTCTCCAGCCCCCGCCCCAACCCCAGTAGTCGCTCCAGGGCCAGTGCCACCAGTCGTGCGCAAGATGCCCGATTTCCCTCCTTGGGTTGACAACTCCAAGATGACCCTGACGCCATGGAAGAAGGATTCACTGACAATCTTGCTAATCGGAGAGACTGGCGTCGGCAAGACTGCGTTCATGGATCTTCTTGCCAACGTCTGTGCCGGACGCGTGATGGAGGACTTCAAAGTTGAGCATAAGAAGGACAACGAAGCTGGGGGTAACGGATCTGGAAGTCAAACTAACAAGCCGAAGCTTTATCACATTAAATGTGCGAACGGGTATATGGTGCATGTTTTGGATACCCCTGGCCTGGCGGACACTCGAGGGACTGACTTCGACGACGCTCACAAAGCCGCCATCGCAGAAACTATCAAGGACCAGATAGGTAAGCACGCTTGATTCGTTTAGTTATCGAGATGGATGTTAATCAAGTCTTCAAACCCCAGAAACGATCGATTGCGTCCTGATTCTGGCGAATGGCACGCAAGAACGATTGCCCATACCTACCAAATACGCGATCACGGTCATCTCGGGGATGTTCCCCAGCTCCATCGTTGACAATATGGCCTTCATCTTTACCATGGTCGCCAATTCCCTTCAGTTCAACTTCAAGCGGGACGGCCTTGACGTTGCTGTCCGCAAGACGAAGTTCTGGGCAATCGACAACCCCCTCGCTGGTTGGGTGAAATACCAGAAAAGCTTAAACGATGAGGAGCCGCCCGAGGATTTTATTTTGGAAGACATGCGCGAGACCGTCCACGCAACTTACGCGAAGACCATGAAAACTTTGAATAGTTTCTTCAAATGGGTGGATGAAAGGAAAGTGCAGCCAGTCAAGGAGATCAACGATCTGTACAACATGTCGAACAAGATCGAGGCCTCTATTTCCGACGTCCTTGCTCGTATCACTCAAACGGAAGCGCAGAAGACAGAGCTCATCAAACTCCAAAACGAGATGGAAACCCAGAAGCAAGTGAGTACATCTGATGGCCTCTCGAGTGAGCATGTTATTGATTATCTTGACTTCTGGTAGATCAAGAAGATCAACGTGAACTACACGACCATCATCAACAAGCCTTTCCATGTCCACGAGGGGACAGGGGAAGTTCACAATACCCTTTGCTGCGCTTCCGAATGCTACCACAATTGCCACGAGAATTGCAACGTCTCGTTCACCTTGGACCGAGATAAGCTCGGACGGGATTGCAATGCCTTCTGGAAGCAGCGCGTCGGTCCGGACGGCGGCTACATCTGCGACGAATGTGGCCATTCTTCGAAACTCCATCAGCATTATCGCGACAAGTGGGTGGTGAAGGAGAACATAGAGACGACCGAGGATAAGATTGCGAAAGAGAAGTTCCTGGCAGCTAGTTCTGAAGAGGATCGTATCTTGGTCATGAAGCAAAATATCGATGAGAAGCTCAAGAAATTAGAGATCAGCATGGCCGACGACGAAGATCAGCTTAGTTCTATTTGTTCGGAATACAACAAGCTGGCGCTGTCAGGGAGCTTCGTTGGATATATCTCGCAGGCCATTCTATTGCTGCAGATGCACGAGAAGAAGATGACGGAGGAAGGGGCTCCTGCGGACGCACTCGCTCGAATGGCAGAACGAATCAAGTCGTTGCAGAAGAGGCGGGATGTCGTAGAGCAGGCGATGAGGGATAAGAAGGCGAAGAATGGAGTCGTCGGGTACATCAAAGACAAACTGAACTCTGCTAAAGAGGCCTTTATGGGTTGAAGATTTATTCTGCTGTATGGCTATGTATAATAGACCTCCTCGTTTCCATTCGGTCGCATACCAGAGGCTCAAGGCTGTGCATTTTGACAGGAAATGACACGCACCGCGTTTGTCTAGAGTCATACAAGATAGGAGGCGTAGTTCAAGGGTCCGTGGGGCAGCTATAAAATGGTTAGAGAGCAAAATGCTGTCGCCAATCATCCCCTCGAATTACCAACATGCAAGACCAACCACCAAGCTTCGACGCCGTCAACGTTTTGGAACTTCGTACCGCCGATGTTAGCAAAATCCTGAAAGTCAGCGTGTACACCAACCTTGCCGAAATTACGCGGCTCTACAAGTTCAAGGTTAAGACGGGACAAAACCAGGTGAAGATCAATGGATTGCCGGATCTTATGGACTCAGACTCCTTGAGGTGAGCAAGAGAGGGCTATGGTCGTCTGGGCTTGATGCTTAATCAGTTCCTTGTAGGGTTGAAGCACGAGGTCCTGCCAGCATTCAAGGTGTCTCCACTGGCCCGACTCCAACTCCACCCGTACCGACTACCTCGCAGGAGCTCAAGAAGTTACAGAAAGAGAAGCGGCTCGTCGAAAACGCCATAGAACGATGCAAGGCGTCAATTGCTGCATTGCGATCCTACGTCTCATCGGTTTCTGCCGATCGTGTTCCCTCAGAGAACCTAGGCCAGTTGCTACAACACTGTGAGACTGAAGGCGAGCGACTTGCTTCAAAGCTACTTGAGCTTGAGGATAAATTGACCACGTCGGATGCGGCTATCGAAGCGGAGCAGAAGAGACTTTCAGGAGCCGACGAAGTTGATACCGTTGAGTACAAGCTCGATGGCTCCGACGGACCTGGGAAGCTGTACCTCGGTTTGACTGCATCCATTGGCTTGTTTGCTAACGAGGAAGGTGATGTAGAATTAACACTGATTTATGGTAAGCCTCGATATAGCTCGCGCTCCCGTTTATCGTTTACTGACATAAGTTTCCAGCCGTTCACCAGGCTACGTGGAGAGCCGGCTACGATGTGCGCGTAGACATGCAGGCTAAAGACACGCCTGTAGTCCTCACATACAAGGCCATCATCCATCAGACCACTGGCGAGGTAAGTAATGCCCTTGTTGCCTACGTTCATCACTAATCTGCTACTCTGGACAGTCCTGGACAGATGTTCCTTTAACATTGGAAACCGTAGCACCCACGTATGGCGCTCATATTCCAACATTATCCTCGTGGCCCCTCTCCGTCTATGCTCCCGCCCCTCCTTCGCCCATTGCTTTGGCCAGCTATGCTTCCGCAGCCCCGGGGGGCTTCCGTCTGTCCCGCAAGACAACACGCGGAGCGTTCCAAGCGGACATCGTCTCCCAAGGAGCACTGAGCGCCACTTACCAAGTTCCAGGTCTCATCACTATTCCAACAGACGGACAGAACCACAGTGTCACGATTGTTGAGCTGGAACTTGGTGCGGAGATGTCTTGGATAGTCGTTCCGAAACTCGATAAGAGGGTGCATCTGAAAGCGAAGATCAAGAACGCCTCTGAATACACTCTTCTCCCCGGCGAGGGTAGCATTTATGTCGACGGGAGCTTCATCTCAAAGTCAAACATCCCCTCCGTTGGGCCCCAAGGCAGCTTTGATTGTTCACTCGGGTATGTCATTTCCTCAATTAAAGAGGAATATGATCATTAACAGCTCCCTCTCAGAGTCGATCCCTCTATCGACGTTACATATCACCCTCTTTCTAAGAATATTTCGAAGTCGGGATTCTATACAAAGAACTCAAAGTATAGCTACAACCAACGCATCACTGTTTCCAACACCAAGACCAAGCCCGTTGACAATCTCAAAATCGTGGACCGCATTCCTATCTCCGAGGATAGCCAAATCACTGTGAAGCTCATCAGCCCTTCATTGTCCCTTCCGTCGAGCGGCACCGATACAGTGGCGCTGTCATTCGGCAATGCAGACAAGGCGAAGGACGCTGCGGAACGCCCGCTGATGCCCCCAGTGAAAGTGAGTAGCGGGGTTGCTGCTCAGTGGGACGGGGCGGACGATCCTCAGGGCGACATCACCGCCCTCGGGAAGGACGGGAAGCTCAACTGGTTGTGCTCGATTCCGCCGCAAAGCACGACAAACGTGTCTTTGCAATGGGAAGTGGAATCTGCCGCGAACATTACCATCACTGGGCTCTAAATGGTGCTCGGCACACGTTGCCATATAGCAGACTCGCAATATGTGGTTCTGTTCATGTACTATTTGTGGATCTTAAACGACACGGACGTAACTTCCGATGATGTTTCCTCGTGTTAACAAATAAAATGGTCTCATTACATATACTCCTTTCGATTATAAGAAATATAGTCACTAGGGTCGCCATTTCAAGGATTCTCCCCTTTCGTGTAAGTAGTCCTTGGAACGCACATAGTACCGTGGAATTTCGTATACAAGTACAACCATCAGTCGAGTCTACAAACCATTAACAGTGATACTTGCAGGAGCTAGCACTTCCCATTGCAGCGAAAGGTTCACCGTGCCTTGGGGCGGGATTGAACACAACCAATTCAACTTGCCATCCTTCCCGAGGGCGGTGATGTCACCCTGAGAATCGTCCGCCCCGTCCCACTGAGCGGCAACCCCACTACTCACTTTCACTGGAGGCATCAACGGACGGTCCGGGTCATCCTTCGTTTTGTTGGACGCTGTGTCTTCGCTGATGGACGGTAAAGAGATAGTACCGACGGACGTGCTGATCGACGGGAGGCTCAGCGAGGGGTTGAGGAGCTTCACGGTGATTTGACTGTCCTCGGAGACAGGAATGCGGTCGAGGACTTTGAGGTTGCCGACTGGCTGGGTCTTGGTGTTGGCGATAGTGACGCGTTGATTGTAGCTGTGCTTAGAGCTCTTGGTATAGAAACCTGTTCGCGAAGCGTTCTTGATAAGGGGGTGGTACGTGACTTGGATGGAGGGATCGATTCTGCGAGACAGATAGGTATTGAGCGGTGCTATTAGCAACAAATGTATAGTCGACTTACCCAAGAGAGCAATCAAAACTTCCTTGCGGAGCCACGGAAGGGATGTTCGACTTCGAGATAAAACTGCCATCGACGTATATGCTTGCTTCGCCAGGGAGGAGGGAGTACTCGGACGCATTCTTCACCTTCGCCTTCAGATGCACCCTCTTGTCGACCTTCGGCACAGTTATCCAAGACATCTCCGCGCCAAGTGTCAGCTCAATGATCGTAACACTGTGGTTCTGAGAATCGCTAGGAATGCTGATGAGGCCAGGGACTTGGTAGGTGGCGCTGAGGGTTCCTTGGGATACGATTTCGGCCTGGAAGGCTCCGCGCGATGACATTGGTAGCGGAGCACATGCAGCTGTGGTATACATTACCAAATCATCATCCGAGCTCAAGCGTGCTGTCGACTTCTTCTTTTTCTTGATTCTCAACTCGGGCCTGGGCGGCGTCCACACAGAGAGATACCACGAAGATAGCGTCGGAATGTCCGCGCCATATGTGGGGGTCACTGTTTCCAAGGTCAGTGGGACGTCTGTCCAAGACTGTCCAAGTAGGTTAGCAGGGAGCGTTTGTTTCATTGGGGGAACTACATGCCTCGCCAGTAGACTGTGTAATGTTGGCTTTGTAAAGGAGCACGACAGGTTTGTCGCTGGCATGCATATTGACGCGTACGTCGTAACCAGCGCTCCAGTTGGCTTGCCGTACAGCTAGCAACCGTCACATCAGAGTCTGAAGAATGCTGAACCGAAAATACGCATACCGTATATCAGGGTTAGTTCTATTTCCCCCGCTTCGTGGGCGAATAGACCGATAGATGCCGTCATACCGAGCCCGTCTTGCTCAACGTTGCCGCCTTCGAGTTTCTTCTCCTCTGCTTCCACGGCCTCGGTGACCGCGCTTAGCTTCTCCTCAAGTTCCAGTAGCTGGGAATCAAGTCTTGCGCCTTCTGTCTCGCAGCTCTGCAGCAACTGGCCGAGGTTTACAGATGGAATGTTAACAGTCGTTGTCGACGCAACATAAGAGCGTATGGATCCGATGGACGCGTTACATCGTTCGATAGCGCTTTCAGCGAGTCGCTTCTCTTTCCGTAGATTCTTGAGTTCCTCTGAGGCAGTCGGTACCGGCGGTTGAGGAGTCGAACCAATGGTGACTCCTTGGATGCTCGCAGAACCTCGTGCCTCAACCCTAATAGTGACCACATCTCATTCAGCGGTAAAACCAATCAAACAGGCTCGCAAACGCACCTCAAGGACTCCTCACCCATAACATTCGGTAACCCAGAAATCTTCACCTGATTTTGCCCCATTTTGACATCGAACTTAAAAAGCCGCGTAATTTCAGCCAGCCCGGTGTACACGCTGACCTTAGTGATTTTGCTGGCATCCACCGAACGAAGTTCCATAACGTTGACGGAGTCAAAAGCTGGTGGTTGGTCTTGCATGATGGAAGGCTGAGGGGAGAAATGATTCGGTGAGTGATTTATATCGACAGCGACCCCAGTGGACCCTTGTCTCCTATCTCGTGGTGGAATGACTCCAGGTCTCTCAGAAACATGCAGTGCACGCCAATTCTCCCTTAGAGCATAGCTTTTGCCCTTCGATATGCAAAGTGGCCCGCTGTGCGAGGCGTCCGCAGTTGTAGCAAGCTCGTAAGCCAAATTAGATATGACCTCAAAACATGCATCCTCGGCATGGATTTGGAAGCGGCCCTCCTTTACATAAATTGAGCTGCCTGCATGAACTGTTTAGACGTTTGCTAGCACCACCCACTGTTGCGCACCCTTGTATATTCTTGACTCTACGTCCCCCCTCGTCCATGGGATCACAGCAGAGTCGATCGAGTACCGTCAACCACCTCAAAACCAAGTTTCGCCATCGCCGTGACTCCCAGAGTTCAAGCTCAAGCTCTGACCAACGAAGGGGACACGAGAGCAGCAAATCAGCACCGTCTTCTAATGGGTCAAGGGGATCTACGGGGAGTCCAGCAGCGCCGGCTGTGCACCCGTTGCAGGAATCGATGACAATGTCGTCAACAACGGCCGTAGCACAGGATCACGTCGAAGATGGCGACGCTCGGGGTATGGCGTCGGCGGCGCCGGCAGCGTGGATACCAGAGGCCCAAGCGACGTCGTGGACACAGGTTTCAGCCCTGTCGGCGGTGAGTTGAGTACTTCTGCAGTGCTGGTCAGGGGTGGCTGTACGGGGTCTGGAACGGACTGTTATCAGAGCGCCCATAATATAAACTTGACTTCTGCCATTTCATTCATCGGACTCAGAACATCGGCGACATTTGCTGCTCTCTAGTTCGCTTCCAACTCCCAACTCACCCAATTTTCTTGTAGCCTGAGGCCTCCCAGTCATTTATGGCCCCATCAACGGTCCCCTGCCAGGTAGGCCGTGATCAGCTCTGATAACGCGCGCATTGTCGCTGATGGTTACCCCTCGCGCGTCCATTCCAGTATCGCACAGGCAGGACTCTAGGGAGCGGCACGTACGCCATCGTGAAGGAGGCGATCCACATCAAGACAGGAAAATACTATGCCTGCAAAGTCATTAACAAGAAGCTCATGGAAGGCAGAGAACATATGGTATGTTTCATTTCCGTGCCAAGGCCACGGGGGTCCTCTGGATGCCCCGTAGATCTACCGATCGGTTCATCCGACTTTCGCTAAAATTGCGATAAATTCTCCAATATAGGTTCGCAATGAGATCGCAGTGTTGAAGAGGATTTCAAGTGGGCATGCCAACGTCGTGACATTACACGACTATTTCGAGGTATCTATTCCCATCCGCATGTCTTGTTCGGAGGCTTAATCCTGGTTCGCGCTAGACGACCCACAACCTCTACCTATGTTTCGATCTCTGCACAGGAGGCGAACTATTCGACAGGATATGCGCGAAGGGAAATTACTACGAAGCGTGAGCATCGCCCCCATACATTCGCCGAGGTCTGACATTAGGCATCAGTGATGCGGCCGGCCTCATCCGTACAATCTTCAAGGCCGTCAAATACATCCACGACGCTGGTATCGTCCACCGAGGTCTGTCACGGACATGTACCTTTGCTTCGTACTACCCCTGACGAGGTATCATGTCCCTCCAGATCTCAAACCCGAGAACTTACTCTTCCGTTCGCCCGCTGAGGATGCGGACATCATGATCGCCGATTTTGGGCTTAGCAGAGTCATGGAGGAGGAGAAGCTGAGCCTTCTCACTGAGATTTGTGGTACGCCCGGTGTGAGTAGATCCTGTGGATGCAGACCCATTGATTCAAATGACCCCTCTTCCGCAGTACATGGCCCCTGAGATCTTCAAGAAGAGTGCGTTATTGCTTTCCACCCTAAGACCCCTATACTGAAGTACCTTCCTCAGCAGGCCATGGAAAGCCCGTTGACATTTGGGCCATGGGTGTCATCACATACTTCCTTCTTGCTGGTATGTGATCCTCGTTTGTGTGGATTTATCTAGACTGACCATTCCCCAGGATATACCCCGTTCGATCGCGACTCCCAGCAAGCCGAGATGGAGGCCATCATCGCTGGAGACTACAAGTTCGAACCGGAAGAGTACTGGGCCAATGTCTCGGAAACGGCACGCGACTTCGTTACGATGTGTTTGACAATCGACCCGAGGTCCCGTCCCACAGCTGCCGAGGCTCTTCAGCACAAGGTTCGCTATCCCCCTTCCCGTGACATCTCGTAGCTGTTAACATACCGGTCAATGTGAAAAGTGGCTGGCGGATGAGCAACCACACTTCGTTCCTATTGAGGGTACGGAGCAACCAACCGATCTTCTTCCACACGTCAAGAAGGCGTTCAACGCAAAGAGGCTATGTAAGAGAGCGTTTCGATGGCGTCTGGACGAGCTCTGATTACACTTCGCGTTCGTTTTTACAGGGAAGAAAGCCGCATTCAGTATACGTGCTCTGAACAGAATGTCCATGATGGCAGGTGGCGGGCTTACGGGAGATGCTGCCATCCTGTCGGACGACGTTCGGAGGTTCAAGGAGGAGTCGGAGAAGGAGGTCATGGAGGTCAGTCCCCCCGTTTTATATTCTTAGAAGCCTTCTGATATCATCCGTCATTGCTGGATATCAGGACGAGTCCATCACGTATCAGCCCGGCTCCGAGGGTGGCAGCCCCAAGCTCAACAAGATCGATGACATACCCACTGAGGATCTACACACCAAGTTGGCGAAGACCTCCCTTGATGAGAAAGCTCAAACCCCGAAGTAGCAGGCCCGTCCGTACCAAAGTATTCCGATTGACTCTTGGCTCTTGTATAAGTAATGTTTTATGATCCAGCTTGTTTGCTTACTACGTCTTGCATATCCTTGTCGGCTGTCCTCCTGTTGCGATTGAATAATGATTATTGGCTGATTGCTCAGTCCTGTTTAGGCAACTCTCTTTCCGTTTTGGATGGTCGATCATATGAATTTAGGTTACCTCCTGGTTAAATCTACTCGACTCAAGCGATTCATGCCTCAAGGGCACTGTCCAGTATATCTCGCATAATATAATATCCCGCCTCACCGGCACCAAATTTTTGGAAGCAGCGCACTCGGACGGCTAAATGAGCTACGGTTCCTATGTGAAAAACCCCAAAGAGAGAAGCTAGCTTTTTTAATTCATCCCGGAGGTGACACGCTGATGGTGGGAGAGATTCATTTCCTACATACCCATTCTGAAACACCGTCCAAGCGACCGCGAACGGAACTCAATGTCGCTACTTGGTTGCTTGGACGATGTTCCTGAATCCTGGTGCGTGCTGAGTCAAAGTTATGACCACTTTTGCTGAAACCTCGTAATGACTGTCCGATGTCGGTGTCGGACCTTCCGGGAGCTCCCGGTGTACTATTCTGTATAAGAACCCAGCAAACCCATGATCCAGGAAGGCATCAACTCGTTTGACCACTCTAATACTCACACACGACCATGACTGAAGGACATGCACCTTTCCGCGTCGGCACTGAAACCTACCAAACCTGGTACAAGGTTGTGGGCGACCTAGGGGCAGGGGGGAGGCCCATTGTCTGCGTACACGGTGGAGGTGGGATGACTCACCACTACATGCTGTATGTGTCCTATTTATGCGTCGGAAATATTCTGACATTTCTCTCTCAGACCGCACAAAGAGCTCAACTCTCGTCTTGGGTAGCGTGCTATGTCCAAACACTCGGATCTAATCTAATCTACTTCCCGGCCCACTAGCGTCCCCGTTATATTCTACGACCAGCTAGGGAATGGAGAATCGACCCGCATTCCAGATGCGCCCAAAGAATTTTGGAAGGCCGAGTTGTGGGTGGACGAGCTCGAGAACCTAGTCAAGCATCTAGGAATTTCAGATGACTTTGATCTCCTTGGACACTCTTGGGGAGGTGGGTCGCTGTCTGCACTCCCGGGGATCTTATCGATAAATTGTGTATCAGGGATGCTTTCTGGACAGTTCACCGCGACTCGGGCACCAGCAGGACTCAAGAACTTGATCATAGCGGATTTCCCTGCGTCGGTCCCTTTACTGCAGGCATCAACGGACACGATTCTCAAGCAAAATCCTGAAGTTGCCGCCATCATTCAAAAGCACACTGAGGCGGGAACTTTTGCCGACCCAGGATATCTGGCTGCTACTCAAATCCTCCATAAGAAGCACTTCTGCACAATCGATCCTATGCCCGAGGATTTGATGACATCCGCCTTGTCCATAATGAAGGATCCGACGGTGTTTTCCGCCATGTGCGCACTACTTTCTTCCGAGCACCAATAGGCAACCTGAACTTGCTATAGGGTTGGTCCCTCCAGCTATAACCTGGTGGGGAACTTAGTAGGCTGGTCTATTATCGACAAGCTCCACAACATCACATGTCCGGTGCTGCTCCTTAGCTCTCCGCACGATGCAGTGCAGCCATTTGCGATCATTCCGTGGTTTCAAAACATCAATAAGGTTAAGTGGGTCGAGCTGTACAACAGTTCGCATATGCCCATGTTCGAGGAGCCGGAGAGGTAAGCCTAGGGGACCGTTTGCTGGATGTCAAACCAAGCTGACGAGTCTGAAAAGGTACTTCCAGGTCATTGTAGATTTCTTGACTCGAGAATCTCCAAATGCTCCGTTGGTAACAAAGTAGTCAGCAACCACCGTTGCACTTCGAGCTTGGATGTAGATATGTAGGCTAGACCACAAGATAACCCCCCTTCACAAATTACCGCTTCGTTAGCGTTTTGCTTGATTTCAGATAGTAAAAATATTTGCAAAGTCTGTCCGAGTTATTGCAATAGCAAGACATACAGTGTAGAATGATTACTCTGCAGTTCCATCTGCTCCTCTCCGACGTCTCAACTTGCCAGCTTCTCTCCATCGCCTCCTCCAATCCCTCGTCAATTCAACCTTTTGATCTTCCCACCGTTTCTTGATCTGTTCATCTGTCTCCGTCCTCCAGAATCCTGAGTTTGATTCTCGCCAATTCCAGCCTCGCTCAGTGGCGACATCAAAGATGTCTTTCGCCTTGCCCCGGATGCTATGAACTTTGGATGCATCGCTACCTTGGAAATGGAAGGAGCTGGACAGGGGAAAGAAAAGGGGCTTCTTTGAGTCTAACATAGTCGCTTGTCTGGTCATGGAGCCAGCGACGACGGTAGGTTGCGCTACTTGACGGAAATACTCTGGTTCTGCCGCCGGAACAGGCTGCACTTCAACGGGGTATTGGAAATCGTCATCGAGTTCAAGGTCGACACCAAGATTTCCGAAAAGGGAGAATCCAACTAAGCCCAGAGCTAAATTAGCGGCAATAGTAGACACGAACGCCATGGAAGTACTCACCATCTTCTTCGCGCGAAGCGAATAGACTTTTCAAATTTGTGGCTTCTCTCTGCTCTGCCGTGGGTTTCGCAACCTGGGTTTGAGAAATATCATCTGGTAAGGAAGGTGCCTGCGTTGGTTCGTCAACCTCCATAGGTACCTCCTCAATCGGTTCTGCGTCATATCGAGCAGCGGCGAGATGGGTATTTGCCTCAGTTTCATCAATATCTGAGAGACTTTCCTGACCGACCCAGCTGTCGTTTTCTTTTCCTCCAAAAAGCGAGTCCAAAAGGCGCAGCGTATTTGTCTTCTCAATGGTCAGATCCTGATCGGCGTTGGTCGATGGTTGCGGGAGTGGTTTCGCCAGGGGTGCTGGTTGTGCAGCTCTCATCGGTGAGACTTCTGTCGGGGTTGGATTTGGCACGATACTGTCCATCTCTTTGATGCCTTCACCCTCGCCTTCACTTTCTTCACTACTGTCGTAGGCACTCTCCTCCCATTTATCCATATTCTCAGCGGTAACATGAGCTCTGGTACCGTTCCCAATAGCATCTAAAAATATACCCTTCAGGTGAGTGCTCCCCCATGCCGTGGGATCGATTGTACGCCGCCTGGCTCTCGTCGGTGGTGGCTTTACGCGATTCTTCTTTTTACGTTCCTTGGGGTTCGTCTTAGCGGTGCTCGTATTGGATTGCACAGGCTCGGCCAAAGGCTTTCCCGGCCTCATGCGCATTGGCCGAACAATACGACCTAGCGGCGTGACTTTCCATCCTCGTCGCTCAGAGACGTTTTCGGGCGTTACTATTGACATATCCTCGGCGTGTATACCCGTGCAGCGCCGTTTTTTGCGAGGAGGCTCTTGCTCCTCGCGTTCTTTGGCTAGCCTTATTGAAACATCAGTCCAAACTCCGGATTGGAATGAGTATTCTACGCACCTTTCATCGTAATCAGGCTTCGCGTCTCCGAGTCGAAGTTTAGTCCCCTTCCATGTACTTCCACTTAGGATGTTCAGACCTTATAATATTCATTGAGCATGGAGGTGCGCATCCGTCTGGAAGCAAACACCGTACATTTAGACAGTTGGGGTGCGGTTGTTTCTAGAGTAATGTACCCAAATTTCCGAGGTCGACCTACACCATCCAGGAGGCCAAATCCGTCCAAAGATTTCACAGTACCGAAGGAGGAAAGTCTTTTCTGCAGATCCTCCTTTGTGATGGCTGGGGTGAGGCCAGAAATATGAAGTCGTTTCGTTATCGTGTCGCCCATGGAAGCCGCAAGGTTACTACAGCCAAAACTTTCGAGATCGTGATCTAGCATGTGGGAACTATATATCGACCGTGGGTGATAATTACCGCATACAGACTCCATTCCATAGACGTGTCCTCCTCCTCATTATTGATTGACCACGACCACGAAGACCACGAAGACCTTGGAATAAACATTACGAGAGGCGGATATAATTGAAACATGGTATGTCTTGTCCAGATCCTCGCGACATTTGACCTACATCAAGTCTAGGTTGTCCTCGCTGCTTCAATTTGTACCAAGGGTGGCAAGGGTAGGGCCCCTTCTACTCTTCCCCGCATTCAAGACACTGAAATACTTCTCTAAAGCCGTACTGTCTCGTCAGTTTCGAGACATGACTCGCGCCCGAATTGAATCCTTGCTTGCGTCTTTCCCGAAGCTAGTGCCAACGAACACGCAACATACAACTGTCGAGACGGCGGACGTCCGATTCGTGTATCAACCTCTGGAGGATCTCTACATCCTTCTGATCACGAACAAAGCATCCAATATCCTACAGGATAACGAAACCCTGCATCTCTTCGCTCGCGTCGTTTCCGATATGTGTCGCGGCGCAATCGACGAGCGGGAAATTTCTCGAAATGCATTTGAGCTTCTCGGCGCCTTCGACGAGATTGTTAGCTTTGGGTACAGAGAGCAGGTCAACTTGATGCAGGTCAAGAGTGTATTGGAGATGGAGAGTCACGAAGAAAAGATCCAAGAGATCATTGCTCGAGTAAGTGTTCCTTACGAATCCGAGAGGAGCCCTCTCACAGAATACAGAACAAAGAAGCCGAAGCCAAGGAGGAACTCAAAAGACGCGCCAAGCAGCTCGAGATGCAACGCCGCGAGCAACAACGACGTGCTGCGGGGTCAAGTTCTGGAGGCAGCGGTTACATGGGTGGAGGAATTACTGGTTATTCCCCTGTCCCGCAAGCTGCGCCCGAACCTATTCGTGCTACTCCTTCCCCTTCGACAACGCAAACCACAACGCGTGCTCCTGCCTTCCGGGGTTCGGGCATGAAACTGGGCAGTAAGAAGACAAAACAAGCCGAACTCATCGATGCTCTCGGAGGTGAGGCCCTTGCCACAACGCCCTTGCTCGCAGAAGCGTCTGTGCCCCAGTCTCCTTCAGTCTCTGCTCCCCCTGAACCTAAGAACGAGCGTGGAAGCCTTCCGGAGGTTGAACATGAAAGGTCAATATATGCGTTCCCTCTAAATTTACGTGTTGACATTATTGCATTTAGTATTCACATTGCCATTAAGGAACAGATCTCACTATCTTTACTTCGTGACGGCGGTGTCGAGTCCATGGAGATCAAGGGAGACATGAACCTACATATCACAGACCCGGACGTCGCGCATCTTCGTCTTACTCTCGCCCCTCCCCAAGCCGATGGTATCCCTGCCAGTGCCATCCAATTCAAACAACACCCCAACGTTGCTAAATTCACTCCTGGTCAAGACCGCGTGATCGCGCTCAAGGACCCATCAAGAGCATTCCCTGTTAATCAGAGTCTGGCCGTCCTCAAATGGCGATATGCTGGTACCGACGAGAGCAACGTACCTCTGTCTAGTACGTGCCACTTACTGTCTTGTAACCAGCCCCCTCATTCGGATGTCTCTAGTCAACTGCTGGCCGTCGCCGTCAAACGACGGGACATGCGAAGTTAACATTGAGTACGAACTAGAGAACCAGAAAGCCGAGCTCTACGACGTGGTTATTTCCATCCCCCTGCCGTGAGTAACACTCACGATACACACCGTCGTAACGACTTAGCCTTCCTTAGTGCTGGATCCTATCCCAGTGTTTCTTCGCACTCCGGATCGTGGTCGCTCGACCCAGACTCCCACTCCCTTGCTTGGTCAATTCCCTACGTCTCCGCCGGCGAACCGTCTGGCTCACTCACGTTTACTGTCGGCGGCGATGACGCCGGGGCATTCTTCCCGGTCGAAGTGACGTTCGTCGGGAAGGGCAGTTTAGCTGGCGTTGGTGTGGCCAGCGTCAGCAAGATTGGTGATGATGAACCCCCGTCATACTCCGTGGATTCCATGGTACTAGTTGACCAATATCTAGTCGTATAAATGGTATCGATCGCTAGCACGTACAAACTTTCTTCTTGCTGTCTCACGCTGATCGCAATTTTTGTACCTAGTACCTGCATTGTCTAGAATCGAACATGATACATATATCATCTTCTCTCAGTCGTCGCGCTTCTGCGTAGTTACGTGTTATCTGTGTTGCAAGTGCCCTTGATACAGAAGCTACTGCACAGTTGTCTGCGTTGCACCTGCATTGTGAGTCCCTCGAGTTGTCTGTAGGTAGCTTTGCGAGTTCTCAGTGTGAACTCAAGCTTCGCTCCAAAGATAAGTACGTTCATGCACTATCTCCCAATGTTTTGACTTCTTGCTGCGCAAAACCTTCATTAGAAAGCCCCTGCTTCCCCGTCAATTGAGTGCTTGAAGCCTTCTACTGCTCACCATACTCCGCAGACTAAATCCCAGCGCGATGCTTATCTGCAGGTATAAAGAGGGATAGTCGGTCAGGCAACTCTCAGCACCCACCAGAAGTCCGACATGACGAAGTAGGTGCAGGTATTACATTGCTATATCTCCATACTCACGGGTGCTATCCAGCATTAGTGATGATAACGGTAGCCAGTCCAGCTGTGTTTCTCTACTCGCAGGGACTCAGCCTCCAAACACCAATGCGATCGCATCGCCGCCCGTTTCATCTTCCGTCGTTTGCGTTCCTTCTTCTGATCGGACGGAAACGACGCTGACCCCGTGGGATCAAGCCCTCAATGTCCATCCTGCTCATTGGCGAGACGGGTGTGGGTAAAGCAGCGTTTCTGGACCTCTTAGCGAACATGTGCGCTGGTCGACATCCTGAACGATTCGCCCCCTGCATGTCAGTGGCGATGAGGTGGGCGGATCCGTCGCTGGAAGTCAGACGAAGAAGCCGATTCTGTATCAGATTGCTAGTGCAAATGGTTGTCAAGTCCGCATTCTCGACACACCAGGTCTTGCCAACGTCCGCGGTTATGAGTGGGATAGCAAACACAAAGCCTCCATAGCGGAAGCCATTCGGCGGGAGACGGAGACCATCGACTCTGTCATCATTCTGGCCAATGGAACGCAAGAGCGTTTGGGCATTGCTACACAATATGCTCTGACCGTCATTGCCCCTATGTTCCCCCATTCTATCATCGACAATATTGCCTTCGTCTTCACGATGGTATCGAACCCGTTTCAATTCAACTTCCAACGCTCCGTTTTTCAACCCGAGCTTCGGGACGCTAAGATATGGGCCATCGAAAACCCGCTGGCTCAATGGTTCAAGTTCAAAGACTACGGCACCTGCGACGAATATCTTTTTCAAGACATGCGAGATACACTTTCTACCAGCTATGTACAAGAAAGCGCTCAGAGCCATGGATAATTTTTTCCAGTGTGGCATGACACACGCACTACTCAACCGGTTCGCGCCATCAACAGTTTGTACACAATGACGACTGGCATCGAAGCTTCGATTGCTAACGTACTCGCTCGGATTGCGGAGACGGGGGAATACCGAATGAAGTTCACCGCTTTTCAAGCGCGACTGAGTGAACAAGAGCAGGTATGCAGCTAATCCAGTATTTCTCCTCGGAGACTCAATAATATTTTGATAGATCAAACAAGCCAACGCCTATTCAGAAAGCCAGTTCACGAGCACACTCCGACGAGATTTCACAACACCCTATGCATCCACAGCGGTTGCTACAAAAACTGCCATCAACATTGCAGGCTCATTTTCACGCTGGAGTGTGAGCAGCTAGGCGAATCCTGTTTGGCGTTCAGAATCCCAAACTACACCGGACATGCCGACGGTGGATATGCCTGTAATACTTGCGGACATTCCTCAATGTATCACCAACACCATCGAGCGAAGTGCGTAACAACCCTGAAGGAGGAACGGAGCTCGGATAAGCTGGCAAAGGAGCGCTTTTTGGCAGCGGAAACGGAGAAAGACAAACTCGAAATATTACACATCAAGATCAGCGAAAACATTAAGGCTATGGAAGCAGATATCCGTAATGAACATATCAGAGCCCTCCAACAAAAGAAGGCAGTGGTCGAGAGTGCGGAGAAAAGCAAGAGGAGCAAATAGACCATTCTTAATTGGCTAACTGACTAGTCACAAACATCTTGTTTTGACGTTCATACCTATGTTAGTACCTTCTTCGGAAATATTCTGCCACTCGTCCTAGACCGCAATTACTTTGTACAATTATGGGTAGTCAAGAAATGCCAGTACAAGAAGGTACGAGAAGGCGAATGGAGATGATGACAACAATAAAGAAAGAAGGAAATATGATTCATCCTTCCAGCATCTTCACTATTCCAAACGCTGCGCCAGCCGCCAATCCGCCGACCATCAGTGTACTGACTGCACCCCACACGTAGCCCTTGACACCTTGGCCAGCGCCAGTTACACGGGCTTTAATTGCGCCAAATATGAGGAGGATGATACCGGTGAAGAGGCAGGAATACATGAGGGCAATGTGTGCGCGTGGAATGAAGAAGTATGGGAAGAGAGGGATCAAGCCGCCGACGAGATAACCCAAGCCGATTGTGAACGCAGATGCATAGAGACGAATGGTAGGAATATCCTCTGTAAGACGGTTAGCAATACCGCCGAATAGTACGAGAAGGACGACGCACCCAAACCAAGACCGAATTTAAGCAAGAAAGCTGTTAATCCCACATCAGAACTCCAGCGTAGTTTCCCTTCTTCCTCATCAGGGACACGACTCGAGGCCCCATTCACCGTTCCAGCATCGTCCGTTTCGACAACCTCAACATCTCGCAAACACCTCGCCACAGCAGAACAAGTTTTGTCGTCTACACCAATGGGCCCAAGAACATCTCGCACTTCGCGTTCCATTTCTCCTTCACAGCTTCGGATGACCCGGGCAGCAGTATGGTGCTTGAGGTACCGGTAGTGGTCACGCTCGGCTTGAGAAGCGAGGAATCCACCAATGCCCATGGATATCGCACCAGCGATTAATTCTGCAACGCCGCCGAGAATGACGAGGCGCGATTCGCCAAGGGACGATAGACCAGCGGTAAGCGCGAACGGAACGGTGAGCCCATCCGAAAGACCAATGATGCTACAAGATAACGATTAGCATATATATAGCAAAGCAGCATACAGTCAAGATAGGGCACGCATAACGGCGATCAGAGGTAGAAGCAAAAGAGAGGCCAAATGCAATGTGATGACGCAGTCCTGCGGCTTTACGGTGCACGCGGACTGCCGAACTTCTTCCTCCCTTTCTGCAAAATTGGCCCTGCTTTCCCATACCTCTGAAAGTATATGACACATGGCAGGATACTCACACATCCCGGACAACATCTGGGTCGATGAGCGTCCGCTCGTCGTCGTCTTTCAGCTCTTTGCAACAGACGCCACCGGCTCGGGAGTTGCGAGCGCATTTTGAAGGCAAAGGTGTCGGATGCAGGGACGATGCCTCATCCAAGGGCCAGACGGGTGGCTTCGTCTTGATTGTCGACCTCGGTGGCAGCGGTACGGCAGCGACGGGTGCAGCACTTCCATTGTTTGAAGCCATTTTCGTAAAAGGCGGGAAGACGGGGCGGAGAGGAAGGTGGTGGTAAGAAGGAAAGAGGTGAGTTGGAGACGCTGCTCATTGGTGGATTCGTGGATTTGTGATTGGATAGCGCGTGATCCATTGGGCGCTAATTTCTGGACCTGGTGACGAAACCGAGAATTGCCAAGTTCCAACTCTTGGCCAACTCAATCCCGGAGTGGCCTAGAAACCAACTAGAAACCGTGCGATGCACTAGAAGTTTACAATATGCAGTGATATAAAGTCCGAATGTAGGCAATGAGAAAGCATAGCAGAGCGGAATGTCCTTGGAGAATGACAAATGTCCACATGAAGAGGGAAAGAGTAATGCCATGACGATCAGCAGCAACTCAAAAACGAGAACGCAGCGTCCATGATGAAGGGAAGGCAGATAAAGTACTGTGAGTCCGAATCTGGCTACAGGCCCGCGTACGAATTCCTGGCGGCCTTGTTAACATCGGGCATCAAGCTACTCCCAGGATATCGCGGTCCCACACCAGTCACCTTGCTCGGGTCGCGCGCACTGCTCAACGGCGTACTCGCGGTGCGCGGTCTTGGTGAGCGAGAGCTATCTCTCGAGATATCGTTCCCCAAGCCGAGACGCATCTGGCCTAGCTCATTCACCAACGGGCTGCCTCCACCAGTAACTGGATGCGGTCCGAAGTACTGGCTAGCTGCGCGCGTGAATGGGAGTGACATGGACATCTGCATTGCAGGTGTAGCGGTGTGTGGTCGCGCGTCGGAGTACGTGGGGAAGAGCATTGGGGGTGCAACGAAAGGCATCGGGGCTATGGTAATAGGCATCGCCATAAACCCTGTTGGAGCAATTCCAGGTCCTCCAGGCCGCCCTATGCGCCCGGTCTTGACGCTAGGCGGCGCGAGGCCCTCTGGCTCAAGGAGCATCTGCAGAGCGACCAAGCACATGAACGCATCGTTGCCGGAATTGTTCAAGACGCACCCCGGAGGGATGAGGGGTCTCATCACAGGAGGAATGGGAGAGGTGTGGCCGTTGCTTAGATTCGGCGCCCCAGAAGGTGACTCTACTGGGGAGCTGCGCTTCGGTGACAGCTTTCCTGTTACCGCGGGAATTGACGGTGTAGCAGGTAATGGTATCGCAAGCGAGTGGAGCAGATTCTCTAAGGAAAGAGTTGAGCCTTCAGCGCGTGGTCTACCTGTAGCAGGATCGGACATGGCAGGACGCTTCCCAGAATGATAGAGTGTCCTTTCATACAACGCCGTGTCGATAACAAACATGTTGTGTGGTAGTTCTGGGGCCAGATCAGCTACGGGCGACGCGATAAACAGGAGAATGCTTACTGATCTTCAACTCCTCGAGCTTCGCCAGGTCGCCATGGATGCCATGGCCCACAAAGACAAGGTTATTAGGTGTGGCCTCAGAATCTGGACTAGTAAAGCTACTGTTTACGCGGGAGTATAAGGTGTGAGTAGTGTGCTACATCAAGGTACAAGCTGGTGCACTTGCCTCAAGATAGCTTGGATGATAGTGGGCAAGACATTCTTCGATACCACTTGACTTTCTCCGAACTAGCACATAATCAGTTATAAATCAGATTGGGAAACGAGCACGCACTGCATAGAGCCATGGATGAGTGGGCGAGTGTTTGTTGACTATCTTGTCAACATGCTCGGCGACAATATAATGCCCTTTCCTACATGTATGCGAAATTTAACCCAGTTATTTTTGGCAGTAGAGTACGACTCACATGTAGTTTTTATCCGGAACTGGCGGCCAGCACTCCTGTGCTGCGAGATGGCTGCACCTGACCGCTGCGTACCCCCACTCCAGCACCGTCTTGTTTCTCTCGCTCCATTCGAAGTCAAGAGCCAAGAACGTCTTATCACGTTTCGCCCACAGATCAGCGATGGTCTTTATCCCGATCCCCGTTTCGCATGCGCGAACACGCGACTTCAAAGCAGTAAGATGAGTCGCCGCAAGCGTCTGATGCAGCTTCCGGTACGACGCATAATCCGCGATGTTTCTCAGTGGCCGCGACGAGGTCTCATACGGTGCAATGCGAATGATATTCGGGGGTATGGTCAGCGTTTCTCCGAATCTGCGTCGCCCAGGTACTAGTCAGCACTCGCCAACTTTGCACATGGCCGGAAAGCTTAAAGCTAGGCGTGCGACGTACCTGGTCTTCACCATCTTCAAGAAGGCATTGATAGAGCTGAGCCGAGTAACTATATGCGCGCGTCCTGTCCAACTGTCGGTAACTGTAATGACGGGCCAGGAAAATACGAGGAACTCTTCGAACGAAGAGAAGAGATGGCCCCATGTGCGGTCGTACCATGGAACGCCATGGTGCTGGAAGAACCCCATCCATGCCGAGTATACCTGCCCAATATGCGACAGTCAGTCCACGCATCACATATATGCTCTCCAGCATTTGAATCGTTTCGACGCACAGATTGGAGATCATACTCCCAGCCCTTGGGTTCTACGACAGTGAAGTCCGACATGGTCGTCAAAGTAGATTGTGCGTGGCCGGTCGCCTGCAAAAGAACCCCCAAATAACGCCGGGCGTTCGAGCTTTTAGCGTGAGTTTAAATGTTCCAAGGCCCGAATTGTCCGTCAAGCGAAGGTCTTCCTTCCCCGAGTCGCAGAGAGCGCCTTGAGTTGGTAGCAGGAGTGTTGCAGCAGGGGAAAGCGATCGCCAGGGCCTGGAGAGGCACCGTTTGTTGATAACTAGCAACGCATGCCATTTCGAGTTCGGTTGATCAATGAACAGAAGAATCCTGACAAGACAGTGAGCGTAATGATGAGGAGGCCAAGAATAGGTGGTCGTCTTGTCCGCAAGGTATGTTGTCAACTACGTGCGACCCTGGACGATCGTCGTAGGGATTTTGAGGTCGGCCTTGGCAACGGAAGCGAATTGCAGGAATTGTCAAATTGAAATGGTATTCAGCGTACTACACTACGGACAACATCGTAGGTGTTCAAGTGAGATGGGAATGCTAACTAGATAGGCCTCGGTAATGATATCCTTTGGATTGCTTCGTGCCGAGGGGCCCAGGCGACGACAGCAAGGAGAGGGGGAGGCAAAACACACAACGAACAGGCAGGGGACCACCTTAATGCAAAACTCTAGAAAAAGGGACGAGAACAATGAGTTCTGAGTTCTCGAGATACATGAAAGCAGGAACTGAATCAGAGACTTGAATGGTTTCCGAAGAAATCCAGCCCACAGTGCAAAAGCACGTCACGGGTATGCATATTTATCTATCCTTTAGAATCTCCGAAGGATCGTTACTCACCACCCGAATCTTCAAGCCTTAAAGCTTCAAGGGTTCCTCCCAAAGCTCCGCGTAAATTCCCTTGTAACGGCGAACTCAGGCCTGAAAGAGGAGGGAGATTATGAGTCAAATGATTTCACGAGAGCGATATTGAGGGTAAGAGGAATCAGTATATAGAATCGTGTTCTTCTCATAGCTTTTTAGCATCGAAGTGAGCTGAGTTAACGAATGAATATCATCTCATAGACGACAAAAATGATGGAGGGAGACGTTGCTAGTATCCACTCACCTAGAAGCCTAATCCAAAGCCCATCGCCTCCAATGCCAGAAAACTCTTGATATGGCCTATCCAGCCTGAGTATGCGTGTACGTGAGTGTAGGAAGGAAGATGCAAACGAAACTAGGAGCCGCCAAACGCGCAGCATCACATGATCGTACTCAAGACCTGCCCTAATCAACTGTACAGTAGTTTCCCACAGTCATCCTCACCACCAACTTTACTGACCGCCCGCTGAGCCCATCGCAACACATCGACATCGGCCACGGTGAGCTCGCTATGTTTCTCCGCTGTACAAAGCAATGATCTGACATTTCTTGTCGAATTCAAGATGCAAATCTTCGTCAAGACCCTAACGGGGAAGACTATCACCCTTGAGGTGGAGTCCTCCGACACCATCGACAATGTCAAGGCCAAAATTCAGGACAAAGAAGGGTGAGCCTTTGCGATAACCTCGTGCTTATCGACCGACCTCTGACTCTGTACCTGGATGCTCTCGCACGAACAAATTTATGGCGATGTGTATTTCATGAAATCAGTATCCCGCCCGACCAACAACGCCTAATCTTCGCTGGAAAGCAACTCGAAGACGGTCGCACCCTCAGCGACTACAACATTCAGAAGGAGTCTACTCTTCATTTGGTCCTCCGGTGCGTGCTCTTCTTTGCTCAAGCATTCGCGGGGTCGTGACGTGCTGGAACTAGTCTCCGCGGTGGTATCATTGAGCCCTCGCTCAAGGTCCTTGCCTCCAAATACAACTGCGATAAGCAAATCTGCCGCAAGTGCTACGCACGTCTCCCACCTCGTGCCACCAACTGTAGGAAGCGCTCCTGTGGCCACTCGTCACAGCTCCGCCCGTACGTGATATTGTATTGACAAGTTCTAGAATGACTCTGACAGATCTGATGTTCACAGTAAGAAGAAGTTGAAGTAGTGGTTGCGCGCTCCGCGGGTTTATTTTCGGCGTTGTTGCGTTCACTATGCCTTGTGTAGGCCTGCTATGACAAATACAGTCCAACGAGCCATGCAATCCACATACAAAACCTCTTGAAGAGACCCTGCACTGAATATTATCCGTGCTGTATTTCCAAACCCCCTCTTCGCAAAGGAATTGAACCCCTTTGTCTGCCTCAAGAGCTGGCGAGCAATTCCGGGTGCAGCGGGGCGACAATTCGAGTAACGCGCTCAGAAGGTCCAACACACTGTTGGAGGGCTAGACAGTTGTGCCTAGCGCCAGCGCCGGTAGCCTGATCTGTGATTCGTTTAGTTCGTTCCTGACCACTGAGACAATATCAAGATATATATAGTGGCTTCGATTGTTACTACGCTTCCCATCTTCCAGGATGTCGAAAGAACTACTCCCCCCCTCGTTCATTCACCAGATCGACCTTGTTTCGGCGGAGAGTAGCAAGATTGACAAGGTCAGCCTGTATGTAGGCCGTGCTGAAATTACCCGGTCGTTCAAGATCGACGTCAAGACGGGGCAAAACCAAGTCAAAATCTCGGAATTGCCCACTGTACTCGACAAAGATTCATTGAGGCGAGTGAAGTAGTGTTCTTCAGTAGCTCGTATCAGTTTACAGTTATCTAGGGTAGAAGGGCGGGGGCTAGCCACGATCTTTGGTGTTACTGTTTCGGATAAACACACGACTGCAGCGCTATCACAGTCGCTACAGTCGCTGGAGGACCGGAGGGAAATCACTCAGAAGGCGATTGCTCGATGTACAAAGGCCATCGCGTCCATCGAAGCGTATCTTGCGACCTTAGACGCCCAAACCCTGGGATCCGAACATCTTGGGCCATTGTTAGATGCCTACGAAGCGCAAGCAGAGAAGCTAGATCTCAAACTGCTGAAGTTGCAAGCGGATTTCAAGGAGCTGGACAACCAAATTTCGCAAGAACATGCACTTTGGGCTGCTGAACAGCGGCGGCGTGGCCTTGTGAGCAAGATGGCGACTATTGACATATTTGTAGAGACTGAGGGCAAGGTCGAGCTCGTGCTGATATACGGTAAATCAAAGTCTCCTACAACAATTTTCTCCTGGTTGACGGAGTCATTCAGCCGTCGCCGGAGCTAGTTGGAGTGCCGTATACGACATTCGCGCCGACATGTCAGGGGACAATAACCCCCTCAAACTCGTATACAAGGCGGGAATCAAGCAGACCACGGGGGAGGTAGCCCTCATTGCTGTTTCTTCCTATTCAAAGCGCTGAGAAGCCGAACTAGTCCTGGGACAACGTCTCGCTCACCTTGGAGACCGTCACACCGACGTTTAGCGCTGCTTTGCCCAGACTCGACTCATGGCGCGTGGGTGTCTACAAGCGCCCTTTAACATCGGAAACATCCATGCCAGTCTTTCGTCTCCAATCGACGGGTATGAGTGGGGATAACATAGGTGGATGGGATAGGGAGCGTTCTCGCATCTCTATCACGCATCGCGAAACCGTTGTGGCGAACCAAGGGAACCTAAATGCCTCATTTCAAGTCCCAGGATTCATTACTGTGCCAAGTGACAACGAAGTACACACCGTCACCGTTGTTGAACTGCAGCTGGAGGCCACCATGGCCTGGATTGGTATACCTAGGGCGGTACCTAAAGTTCATATCAAGGTCGGGTGTTCTCGTATTTTACTGGGCGTCATGTGTCTCAATAACGACCTCAGGCCAAGATCAAGAACGCCTCCAACTTCCCGCTGCTCAATGGAATAGCTAGTGTCTATGTCGATGGTAGCTTTGTCTCCAAGACCACTGTGCCCGAAGTCAGTCCTCAGGAAAGCTTCGATTGTTCATTGGGGTACGCGTTTCGCTGCCGGCCTTTTTCCCTCATGGCCTCATGTCGTCCTTTCCGCGCAGAGTTGATCCTTCGATCCGGCTGACGTATCACCCACTCTCCAAGAATTCGTCAGAGAATGGTTTCTACAATAAGTCCTCTAGCCACACGTACTCTCAGCATATCACCGTTCACAACACCAAGAACATCACCATTCGCGACTTGACTGTCATCGACCACATCCCGCTTTCAGAAGACTCCCAAGTGACCATCAAACTCATAAACCCCGCATTACCCCCTCCTCCAGCGGCCTCATCGGCCATGAGCAGCATGAAGATCGTAAAGAGTGAGAAAGCACCGGCACCGCTCAAAGTAGGGGAAAACGTCGTCGCGCAATGGGATGGAGGGGATGATCCTCAAGACGATGTAAGTGCCATTGGTCGAGAGGGAAGGATTGCGTGGAAATGCGTAATGACGCCTCAAAGCAAAGTTAACATCGCTCTGGTTTGGGAGGTCAGTGCTCCGGCAAATATTACAATCACTGGGTTGTAAGTTGTAAACATATTTAACATGTGCTTTTAATGTACCATCTGTATCCAAACGTCTAGGTGGCTTCACGGATCCGGAGGCAAGGACCTGCGTAGTCGTCATACGTCGCTTTAACATTCAGCATATCGTAGGATTATACGTGCATTATATGTAAATTTCTTCGGCACTGCAAAATAGGTCTAAGTCCCGAGAACAGTCTGAGTGCATTGCCAGTGGCGTCACTTACGATTGTACCCTAGTATTCTCGCGAATTACTCGAGCTGGTCTTGGCTTCCCGCTCGAACGCGACGAACGCCTTCCACAACTCCGGATCGTACAGCTCCAGGTTTATTGCCGCCTTCAACTGGCAATTTCGTATCGCAATTTGTTTGTTCTTGCCTTTGCCATTCGCCAGACGCTGCGAACCGACCATCATCACTGCAGATGTGACATCCTGCAGATGCGGGAGAGTGAATGTCATGATCGTGGGTTTCTGGAGGTTGTGAAATTGGTGGTAGAACTCGAGAAATTCGCGAGCTTGCAGCAAGGTGATGTTTGTACCGTTCGCGAGGACCACTTCGGCCATAAGTGTTTGGATTGCTTGTATCGGCGCAAGGTTTAGTTGGTTTATTGGTGGGTGGGGAGCAATGCCACCAAGGGCTTATATATCGTAGCCTGTTTCTTGTTCGGGATTGTTTCCCCGGCAGCGCCTCAACAAGGTGAGTCGCTTGGGTGAACAAGACATACTTTATTGCGCCGCAATCACGTAAAGCGAAGACAAGGCTCGAAGACAAGGCTCGAAAGCCCCTCTCCATGTAGGTATATCGGATGAAGCCACTTCGATACTTATCGATTCTCGCTATCCAGTCACCCTTTTCAAGTTCACTTTCAAGTTGGAACTTGAAGTGCCTCCCACTGATACAGACTGTTTACCCAAGTAGACAATGGCAAACAACCGTGCCTATAATCGCCAATCCCTCCTTGTTCCCGACGACCACGACAACGACCTCAACACTGCATAGCTCGTTCCATACAGACCATTCTTTCGTAGGATGCGTTATCATTTTTGCGAGCGGGTCAAGGTCTGAGCATCTGTCCTCCTCGATCGATCCTAGCTGGATCTAGCCTTAAATGGTGACGTGTCGAACAAGAAACTCGCGCGACTCTGTCCTTGCCCGAAGATCTCTTGGGAGGGCCCGGGCGGATTTCGCGTTTGAAATTTGGCGCGAGGACTGGGTGGCTGCTCCGCTGTATCTCTATCGACATGCGCTTGCTAGCTGCGGCGGCATCCAATGTTGAACGGGTCGCTGTTTTAGGCATGACGGTTGGTCTCCTTTTAGGCTTCCCGGTTTTTTGCAACCGTTTCGCTGGGAAATCAACACTTCGCTGATACTACTGTTGGGGAATACTTTGCGGCTTGGTGAGGTAGAAACCTCGGAAGCTTTGGTGATCCGTATCGATGGACTGGAGGCCTGGTCATCACACATCGGTCGCATCAGCCCATTATCGACCTCCTAGAGGTTCTTTCGACAGCAAGCTGTCGAGGAGGTGATAGGCATTGAATGGCTATCACCTGCATATTGGTGCGCTCCTTAGGCAATGCTATGTCCCCATCAGTCGGTTGTCGTCGTTAACGATTAGTTGGCGCAATCACCGTGGCGAATGACGAATGATTTTATTCAAGGTCGATTTCACTTCCATGTTCGTGGGCGACGTGACGGATCCCTGGCCAGGTACCCCTGCACGTCGCTCTGTTCATGTGTTGGAATGTTTCGCCCAAGCGTCAGTGTTGTGTTGGATATTCTGCGTGTACGAGGAGATGTGGTGCGCCGCCCTTTAGTGCACTATGCGGTATGCGTTCGTGGAGCTCGCACAACTCGATTCAGACTATTCTGGGTCCGTTGTCACAATTTTTCATCTCCCTTGCCTCGTTCGTCGAGGATTTTGCTACTTTACATACAATCCAGCGCCGCGTGCATTTTACCCTTTTTTCAATTATGAATAACGTTATTGCTGCTGCTAGCCCCGTTCCTAATCGGTCCCCGAGCTACATTAATTGGGAGCCGTGAGCGAAAAGTGTAAGGACAGCTACTGCTTTTGCATTAATCCTTTTCCGCCCACCATGGAATGCTGGCCGTTCGACCCCAAAATTGCCTCCGGACAACCTATTCCGCCTGTTGAACATGCCATCTCCGTTTCACTGCCGACGTGGAAAGACAATCTCAACTACGAAGACGATAAAAAACGGCTCGTCGGCGCATTGGTACGGGGATACCCTCGTTTCATCGTGCACGAGCGTATCAGAACAGTGTGTACCTACCCTCTTGTGCTCAGCGGCGATCTCAACGGTTGGATTTATAGCTCGGGTCTTTGTGCGTGCAAAGATTTGGAGGCAGCCCGAAGGAATCGTGTTTGCTTTTCCCAACCCAACAAATTGCCGATGATTGTCGGGAGTTTATCGAACGCCGCTCTTCCCTCGCTGGGCCAACCATATACGCTCAGTTGGCACATCTCCGTCTCATATCTACCGAGAACAAGCGTGCGCTGGATCTGCATATCGTCATATTCCCACTGGAGACATTCCCCCTTGCCAAGCAGTTCTGGCAACATGCAGGCCTCGGGATAACGACTCGCTACAGCAATCTTTGTTTGCAAATGAGCGAAACCGCCACTTATGAAATCCCGTCACCCATTTCTACCACTAAGAAGACTCGGGATGACGTTAGCTTCCTTGAGGCAAACTGTCATTACGATCTTGAACTTGACAGCGACGTCGAAGTGAAGGATGCTTTGCGCCTTAGAATTGCTGGCTTCTTTAATACCCCTGACTCGGTCTCTGCCCAAGATTCAGGGGGTAGCCCTCGAAGCGTATCCAGCGAAGATGTCTTCCTTTTCCCTACGGGAATGGCTGCAATTTGGAACGCCCATCAGCTCGCGTTAAGTTCACGTTCTAACTCAAAGACTATCTGCTATGGGTACGACCGCGCATCTGACCACGTTAGGGAGCTTACGTACCGAATTATGACAGGTTTTTATACACAGACACACTCAAAGTTTTACAGAAATGGGGTTCTGGGTGCCACCATCTAGGTCGTGGCCTCGAGCCTGATATCCAAGAACTTGACCACCTCCTGGAAACTTTGACTGCCGCGGCAGAACTATCTGAACCGCCGGTATCAGCCTTATTCACGGAAGTCCCATCCAACCCCCTTCTGCAGTCCTTCAATCTCCCTCGGCTTCGGAGCCTTGCGGATAAATTTGGGTTCCTCATCGTGGTCGACGATACGATCGCGACGGCCGTGAATGTGGACATCTTGCCCTACGCGGATATCGTCACGACAAGTCTGTCGAAGTTCTTCGGTGGATATGCGGACGTCATGGGTGGCAGGTAGTTTCTTTACCTATATCCTCGTTACACAAACTCATGCGGACCTTAGCCTCGTGTTGAACCCACAAGGTCGACATTATGAGGCGCTGAAGACAGCCCTTCAAGCTAGTTATGTTGACACGTTCTTCTCCCCGGACGCCATATGCATGGAGCTAAATTCTCGGGACTTCGAGGATCGGATTCGAACGATCAACTCGAGCACGGAGTACATTTGTGACTTCCTTCGCGAACGCTCCTTAGCAGGTGGCCGCCCAGCAGGGTCTTCTGTTATTCGAGACGTATATTACCCGAAGTACATCACGAAGGAGCTCTACGACAGTTGCCGCCGTGAACGAGGTGGGTATGGGGGGCTGTTTACGCTCATGTTTACGAAGGAAACTGCTTCGCATTCTTTCTACGACACCCTGTCGTGTTGTAAGGGACCTAGCTTGGGGACCGCTTTCACACTGTCTTGTCCGTACACTATCTTAGCTCACTCGGCGGAGCTGGAGTGGGCGGCCCGGTGGGGTGTGGAGGAAGGACTTGTCCGTGTCAGCGTCGGCGTAGAACCTCTTGATACGTTGATAGAATGGTTCAAGCTTGCGCTAGCCGCGGCGGAAAGTGCGCCCTAGCTTTGCATGAATGTTTGTTCAGCTATTCGCTCAGTTACATACATTGTGAGAGTAGTAAGTACGAACACTTTGATCAATAGAACATATATATATATATAATACACACGACATTGCAGATCACAACCTTACAACCCACTGATCGTAACATTGGCCGCGGCACTGACTTCCCAAACCAGAGTCAGGTTGATTTTGCTCTGGGGTGGCAATGTGCACTTCCACGCAAGCCTACCCTCTCGGCCAATGGCGCTCTTGTCGCCTTCAGGATCGTCCACTCCATCCCACTGTGCCATGACATTGTCCGCCACCTTGATCGGCGGAGGCAATTTCTCGCTCTTCGACACACTCTTTATACTACTTATAGCAGAAGAGGAGGCTGCCGGAGGAGGGGGCAAGGCTGGGTTGACAAGCTTGATTGTCACTTGAGCGTCCTCCGATATGGGAACTTGATCAATGATTGTCAAGTCTTTGATGATGATGTTCTTGGTGTTGTAAACAGTGATGTGCTGAGAATAGGTGATACTGGAAGACTTGTTGTAGAACCCGCTCTCCGATGCTTTCTTAGAGAGCGGGTGGTATGTCATTCGGATTGAAGGGTCGAATCTACGCGCAAGGGGGTGTTAGGTCGTATGCTTGAAAGAAGAGGCAAAAAGCTTACCCTAGTGAACAATCAAAGCTTTCCTGAGGGCTGACTTCGGGAACAGTCGTCTTCGAGACGAAAGTGCCGTCGACATAGACACTGGCAATCCCCTGGAGCAGTGGGAAGTTGGAGGCGTTCTTTATCTTGGCCTACGCCATTGGGTATCGTCAAGATACTGGCGTCAAGTGAAATATGAGAACGGCGGACCTTTATCTGGATCTTCGGTTGCACTTTGGGGATGCTAATCCAGGCCATCGCCGCATCCAATCTGAGTTCGACGACGGTCACAGTGTGGACTTCGCCATCAGTAGGAACGCTGATAAAACCAGGGACTTGGAACGAAGTGCTTAGATGACCTTGATTCGTCACTATGGTCTCACGATGAACAATTTCGGGACTAAGTTCTTTGTCGAGCGCGAGATCTTCGCTGTACAATTCGTATCCCGAAGAAGCCATGAGAGGACCTCTAGAAGCCATACCAACTTTCCTGGTCGCAAATCTTGGGACAGGCTTGTAAACGCCCACTCGCCATGGGTCGAGCCTGGGCAAGCCGACACCGAACGTCGGAGTGACCGTCTCTAGGGTGAGGGAGACATCATCCCACGACTAATTCGACGACTGAATATCTCGCATAGAAATGAATAGCAACGAAACTGACCTCCCCTGTGCTTTGAGTAATTGCCGCCTTGTAAACAAGATTGACGGTATTGGTGTCCGAAGATATATTGGCGCGAAGGTCATATACAGCACTCCAAGTAGCTTGGACGACAGCTGAACGATTCAGAGTCAATAATTGGCGGTCGTCGTATACCGTGCTTAACTTACCATATATCAACACTAGTTCTACTTGCCCTTCAGCATCCACAAAGAGATCGATAGTCGCTGTCTTGCCGAGAAGGCTGTCTCGCCGCTGCGCGGCGGCCCGAAGAGCGCGCTCCTGCTCAATTCGCTTGTTCAGCTCGTTGAGTTCTGCCTCCAACTTTAGCAGTCTGAGATCAAGTTTCTCTGCTTCCGTTTCGTAGGTATCCATCATTGGTCCGATTTGCTGAGAGCCCACAGTTTTGGTGTCCAGCGTTACAAGGTACGATTCAATAGATGAGATGGCCTTCGTGCAGCGGGCGATCGCCTTTTGGGTAACTTCCCTCAAGTCCTCCAAAGAAGAAAGTATAGGGGACGCTGTCGCTGTTGTAGAAGCCGGAGGCCTGGCCACAGCAACGCCAATAATTGTGGCTGGCCCCCTCCCTTCAACTCTAATAATTTGACACGTCAAGGTCAGCTTTGAACTGCCCAAAAGAGCGCGAAACTACCTCAATGAATCATCGTCCAGCAGAGAAGGCAACTTTGATATCTTGATTTGATTCCGCCCGGTCTTAACGTCGATCTTGTATGACCGGGTAATCTCAGCGCGGCCGCAGTACAGGCTGACCTTGTCAATCTTGCTACACTCCGAAGAAAGGTCAATCTGGTGGGTAAAGGAGGGGGAAGCTGGTGGTTGCAGCATGCTGGCGATGGGGAAAGAGAACACTCAAGGACACTATTATATATGTCGTTGAACCTGCAGCCAGGTACCGAACTATCATGAGCGGTGAATCAGAAACTGTGCAAAGCACTGGCAGTGCGTTTCTCAAGCCAAGGAACTTGTCACACCGTAACGCGACGCGTCCGTGACTACAAAAGACATTTGCCCCTGACTCAGGGGGAACGCCCTTTGAAGTTGTACCATCAGGAGACAAAGAGATAAGGATGAGGACTCAGTCAGTAAACCTCATAAATCTTAGCCGTGAATGCCCACTGATGAATGCTGATTTAGCGCAAGCATCGGTGACCCATCTATTCGTCTGATGAACGGCACTGTCCTTACATATGAGAGGGCTCATGCGTTCATGGCCTTCTATAGTCAACAATTCGCGCTCGGTAAACCTATCATTCGCATCGACACGCTTCCGCATAAACCAGGATCATCTGCCATCATGATGTTTGGCGAATCACGTATGTCTTACGGGAGTGGCCCAACGGACGGGGCAGCGAAGCGAGATTGTTATTTGAAGGGAGCACACAAGGTGGAAAGCTTTGATCCCGAAATATGGAAGTTGTTTGTCGCCAGTGAGGCGCCCAAGGCTCAGGCAACTCAAGAACGACCAGCTGCACCAGCTGTTTGTACAAGCACTCGCCCTCGTGCTCGCCTTCTTGATCCATATGCAGCACAGTCGCATCAGTTCGTTTGCAGAACCTCCCAACATGTCCGCTCTTCAGCTACGTTCTCGGCCACTGTCGTGAGATCGAGCACCGCCCGCTAGTGCATCTAGCGTAGGTCTTTGGTTTGGAAATGTAGATGTCCCTGGCTTCTGACTCTTCTTTCAAGGATCGCTCTATGGTTTGAATATGTAGACCAAATGCAACGCCAATCATGAACGTCCCCGCCTGCTTTATTCCATGTATCTCCCATATCTTCTATCTAGCAGTCGCAGCATTGAACTTGATGATCGAACAACAGCGGCTGTAACGAGAAGACAATTAAAAAACACCTTACGGTTTGCAGTATGAAGTGAAACATACACTATCTCGAACTCTCAGCCAACATCATGTCCACAGGTGTACATTCTTCCCACTGCAGATTGACGCTAACCTTTCCTTGCGGTGGAACCGTACAAAGCCAGCTTATCCTCCCGTCTTTCCCCGTCCCGTCTTCGCCGTCTTCACCTTCCCACTGGGCGCTCACATTCTCAGCCACTCTCAATAGCGTGTTAGATGACTTAGCGGTCTTGAACTGGTACCCTCCGGCCTTGTCCAGCATGCCCCTGTTTTCCGAAGGGCTCTGCGGCGATTCCGACAAGCTCAGTGCAGGCTTGATCAACTTGACAACAATCTGTGAGTCCTCCGAGATAGGAATTCGGTCGAGAATTTTCAGGTTCTCGATGACTATCGATTTGGTGTTCCGAATAGTCGCTTGTCTGGAATATGCAGTTGTGGCCGTTTTGTTAATAAGACCTGAAGAGGACACTTTCTTGCTCAACGGAGTGTAGGTAACACGGATGGAAGGGTCAACGCTTGAGGATTATTAAGTCATGAATTCAACAGGAATTCGTGGGACTGACCCAAGGGAACACTCAAAACTCTCTTGAGGGCTAACGTCCGGTATACGCGACCTGGCAACGAAACTCCCGTCGATATAGACATTAGTGGGTCCAGCGACGAGCGTATATTCAGAGACATTTTTCACTTGAGCCTGAGTCGAGTTAAATATGTCAGTGAATTCCCTCGCAGACTTTGAAAGAACTCACTTTCAGATGTGCACTGAGGTCAAGTTTCGGCACAACCAACCAGGAAAACGACGCGTCCAATTCGAGCTCAGCAATGGTGACAATGTGGGCCTGGGCTTCGTTTGGGATACTGATCAAGCCAGGGACATCGTACGTCGCATTAAGGCCTCCAAAGCCTGACACGGGGACTGTGGCGTGTGGCATGGACCTTGGAGGGCGATGGGGTGGGGTATAAGAACGGGAACGAGCCTGATAGCGCTCAGAGTTACACACCACATCGCGGCGTGGGCTGCGCTCTCGGGAACACTGTCGTGGATGGGCGGGCTGAACCATCACGGGCGTTAATCGACATAACCCTAGAGACGGCACCCCTGTGTCAAGCTTGGGGGTGAAAGTGTCCAACGTCAACTGTACACCGTCCCAGTTCTGGAGATGAAGACGAGTTTATTAACATCGGAATAACTTTCGCGTGAAACAAGATGTACCTCGCCAGTGCGTTGGGATATCACCGCCTTGTACCTGATGGAGAAGGGAGCATCTTCGGATTTCATATCTATGCGAATGTCATAGGTAGCGTTCCAGGAAGCGTTCGGCACCGCTTATATGCCGCGTCTGCGTTAAAGCAAGGGAAACGAGGGAAATGACGACACGGACCGTAAACAAGCGCAATTTCTGCTTCCCCTGCATGCTCAGCGAACATAACGACAGTAGCCGTCAGTGGCATCAAATATGACAGTGGGGTACGGCTCAGCCGTAGTTTCTCCAGTTCCTCCTCAATGTAAATCAGCCGATTATCAAGCTTCGAACTTGCGTGCTCGTAGGTACGCAGGATCATTGGGATTTGGGCGTGATCGCAGGGCACAAGTTCCACTTTGCGCAGAAAATTCTCCAAGAAAAAGGAAGCGTCCTTGTATCTCCTAGCTTCGTTTTCCGCGCTCCGATATTCTCTCGCTACTGCACGCTCAGTCGCAGGATCTGACGGAGCTAGAGGCGTTGGTGTAATGGAGACATCATGGATGGTAGCGTCTCCTCGCCCTTCGACTCTATGCAAACACATGAATACCGAGTGTGCAATCTGAGCAGGGTAGATCTACCTTATCGTGTCGTCGATTTCCTCAGGAAGACCAGAGATTTTAATCTGATTGACCCCAATTTCGAGTGCTAACTTGTAGACGCGAGTGACTTCTGCACGACCAGGCGATAGGTGGACCTTGACGATGTTACCGTCGGTAGCCGAGGTGAGCTCGATTACATGGGGTACGAATTCTGGCGATGGTTCTTGGGACATGATGGTCTAGGTGTAGCGTAGCAGACCCGGTTGTTGGTGATTTACTCGCATTTTAAATAAGATGAGCTTGTCTGAGCGCATCATGATGATAGGCCAAAATTAAATCGATGCATCAAGGAGTCGAGTCACTGAGACTCGGTGGTTGCCTGCGCGCCGGAATTTTCAGTGATGGGCTATGGCGTAGTGATAGATGAGGAGATTCTGCGGCATGTTTGCCATGATCAGCTGAACAGTGACAACCATAGTTTTTTCTTCGACAGACACAGTTTGCGGAATCCGTCGTTCGAATCTAGCATAGCTCCGGGCTCGTAGGCATGTCGTATAGGGATGTTCGAATTTGGGCGCGTGCCACTGTGCCAGGAAGTCTCGGGAACTTGAAGTTCAACAACTTGGGTTGAATCACCTGAGACGCCTCTTGGCTTCTTACTCCCACCAGCTCGTTTAGCGCCCACGCTTTCACCATATCGCTTCCTCAAGCTAACCAATTCCCTCCCAACCCCGGGGCCTCTAACGCCCAGCCAAGCGGTGGATTTCAAACCGTTGAGGCCTGGCCCCAACTGCTATCGCAGACTCCACCCCCTCGCCCGCCCAGCGCCTTCGAATCCGAGTTCGGAGACCCGAAATCAGTGCCAAACCTCGATGATTTCTACGTCCGACCGCGTCCGACCGCGTCCGACCGCGTCGACGCAACTCCTACGCGAAAACGTGCTAGAATCGAATCAAACAACGCCCTGCCGCCCCCCACGCCCCATCGTGCCTACTTTGCAGCGATCCGTCGGGGTGGGGGCACTCGAGATATGTCATGCACAGAATGGAGTCGGGCCTGCGTAGAGCTGCTTGGCGATATAGTAGACGGCGCCAGAAGCACACTCGGTTGGACCGATGACGGCGATGCAGTAGCAGAGGTCCTTAGCGTCGCTAAAGCACTCAAGAACACACTACGCGAGATCGACAGCATGGTGTCGGTTGACGATGACATCTTCATGTCCCAACCTAGCGCGCCCGCCCCGGCCCAAGATAAAGGTTTTGACGGATTCAAATCAGAGATTAAGGATCTCTTCCTCAGCCTGGAGGTTAATCTCTCCTCGAGGATTTCAAACGTGGAAAGGCGGCTCGGATCTGTCCCACTCCCTTCTTCCGTGCCCAACCCAACCCAGATCACGCCCAGCTCACGGCCGCAAGCCCCCACCCCATCTTCGTATGCGTCAGCTGCAAAGTCAGCTCCTTCGAGTCAACCCAAGCCGGCCCAGCAACCTAAGGCCGTCGCCCCGGCCCCGGCTTCGAAGTCAAACACAAAGTTCGTTGTACGTTTCCGAGGTCGCCTACCCCCCGAAGCCGAACGCAAATCCTCGCATGTTTTATTTCACGCTCTCAACCACGCTTTTAGCAATAATGCTGCCGCTCGTAACGACGGCTTAGAAATTCTTGGTGCGGAATGGAACCGCAGCGGTAATATAATCCTTACCTTCCCCTCCCACGTTAATCCAAACGCCGTATATAATCATATTAATCTGTTACATCCCATTGTAGATCATGGCCTCGACGAGGTCATAATATCGCACGACACGAAATGGTCCAAGGCAGTTTGCTCGAGGGTGCCCTCTGTAGGCTTTGATGGCCATTATTGGGACTCCAAGGCCCTTGGCGTCCTCCTCAGACGCAATCCAATCATCAAGAGTCTCAAAATAACCCAGGAGCCCCGCTTTGTGTCCAACCCGGCCGAGGGATTGCCCCCAGTCGCGCCAGTTGTCTTCGCATTCGAAGATCCGGATGGATCAAAACTTAAAGAACTACTCAAGACCCCCATCTTTATGGATGGGCGCCACACCCCGGTACGTCCTTGGAGAGAAAAGCCCAGGCTGACACAATGTGATAGATGTCAAGGCCTTGGCCATACGGCAAAGCTATGTGCCAAGCCGCATGTGTGTGCTAAATGTGCGCAAAGACATCCAACGACAGAACATAATGTCTACTGTCCTTCGGTTCTCAAAGACGGTTCCAGCTCATGTAAATGCACGCCTAAGTGTGCCAATTGTGAGGGTGAACACTGGGCCACGGATGGCTGCTGCCCGGAAAAGCGCAAATTCGTCCCTCGACCTGTTCCCCCACTGGCCCCTCCTTCGCAAATGTCACTGCAGCCCCAACGACAGCCACAAAACCCCCCTGCCCCACCACACATGCAGGTTGACACATGAACAACCTCCCCCCATTTGTTAGGGCAACGCTAATACACAACAAGGCGTACACGGACCCTTCAAGAATAGGAGTGAAAAGTAAAAGATTTGAGAGACGAGAGGAGTAAGGTCGAAGACGCTGACTCAGGCACTAGTTACTAGCGGTATTCCCAAGAGAACGAGTTAACGTCTCTGGGTATAATATTTAGTCTTATATACTATGGTACATGCATAATCCTCATGTCTATCTACACGCCGTAGCCTGTCGGCTTTCCATGGAATGCTTAGCACATCACCGTGAGGTGTGATGTCATGTACTGTGCCCATGCGTCTACGGTGAGGTTCTGACTAAGGTGTTTAGTAATACGGGCCGAGGGTTGTAAGCAGTCTGTAGTAAGCTACTGCGTGTCCGTCATGTGATATATAGGGGAAAAGGAAAAGAGAAAAGTCGAACCATAACACCATTGAAAATGGTGCAGCTCAACATAGCGCGCTCCTCGGCGCGCACCCACATTATGCTCAACCACTTGAATGATACTCACATTCTTCTTCTTCAGGAACCATGGTATGGCCGCATCAGATTAGATAAGGCAGACACGTCCCCAGAGGGTCGGCCCATTAATGGCTTCACAGCCTCGCAAGCCTGGGAGTCATTTGCGCCTCTAACGCCTGAGTGCCCCAAGGTTGCGACATATGTCAGACGCAATGTGACAGGCCTTAAGGCAACTCCCCGCCTGGACATTGCTAAGCATCCAAATCTTTTACCTGTTGAGATTACTTACGGCGGCTCAACCTTTCTTACAGTAAATGTGTATAACGGCGGCAATGGTGCAAAAGCTGAAGCCGTAACAATGCTGTCACTTCTTCCTCTCAGTCCTGCGGTGCCCACAGTAGTAGCTGGCGACTTCAACCTCCATCACTCGGCCTGGTCAATTCCCCCGTCTACCAACCAGCAGTCTGCCGAAGACCTTCTGGAATGGGCAGCCGATAATCTCTTCTTTCTGGCTAATCCTAGGGGCATACGTACAAGGCTAGGTGCCAAGGGACAGCATGATTCAATTATCGATCTCGTATTCATCAACCATGCGGCCGTGGACGCGTCTACATTTAGTGCACCAATTGTTGACAAGAACCTCTTGTATGGTTCGGACCACAATGCCATTGTCTATACGGCTCAGCTCCCACCGCCAGTCGAAGAAGACTCTCCGTCCGTTTTGGGAAAGCGACTGGATCCAGAGAAGCAACAAGAATGGTCAGCAGAATTTTCGGCCCGTATCCAAGACATCACAACCAGCTACAGGAATCCAGAGACAGCTCAGGAGTTAGATCAGCTTGTGGACAGGTTAGTTGAGTGCTACGTTCAGGCTACTAACACTTGTATGCCAGATCACAAGCCCATAACAACAAAGGCTGCACGGTGGTGGAACGAGGACTGCCGTAAAGCAGTTGAGGAGATGCGCAATGCCCCCCGTGAGGACAAGCCCAAGCTCCTCAACCACATGCACCGCATCGTCAAGAAGGCTAAGCAAGAATGGGCTAATAGTATTCTTGAGACAGCTACTCCAGATAATGTGTGGCGTCTGGCAGACTGGTCGGCAGGCAAGCGCAAGACTCGTATCCCGCCACTCATCACCGATGCTGGCGTAGCAGCGTCCCCAGCTGAGCTAGGAGAAACTCTCAGGACTGTGTTCTTTCCGCCAGTGCCACCACAAGTTGATATCTCGCAAGAGAGTGATCCGCAAGCCAAGCCTGTCAGGAACTTCATTCCAATATCGGTAGATGAGGTGTAAGGGCAACCTCAAGATGGCCGACAGTGCAGGCCTAGCAGAGGGAGAATCCAAAGATAATGAATAAGACTAACTACAATACATGAGAGGGCTGCTCACCTAGCAGAGGGAGAATCCAAAGAGAACAGGATAAGGATTCTCCATGCTAGGAAGCGAAGTATATACTGTAGTAGCGTGGGAGGGATGAAGGGTAACTGTACAGTACATCAGCCACAGGTACGAACGAATGTCACAAGGTACGAAGGGGCATGTGATAATGAAGTGGAAGGGGAATGTACAGGAGTTGTGCCGGCGACCTGGGGAAGTGGGAACAAGGGATAACGAAGTGGAAGAGGAGGATGGAGGTAGCCCGGACGAGCTCCGAGGTGTATATGCGAGTCCGAAGCGTCCGAGGCGAGTCCGAAGTGCGGGAAGACTTCGGAGTCACCGGATGTAGCTCGGATGCGGAAGGAGTGGGCGGAAAGGAAATGGAAAGGAAAGGAAGCGAAAAGGAACAAAGGGGAACAAAGGGAATGTAAGTAATAGTCCGTGGGATGAAGGAAGGGAGAAAGGAACGAGGAGGAAGGGAGGGGGACAGGGGAATAGGAGAAAATAGGAGTGTCCCCTTACATGAGGTGAGTGATGCATTACGCAGCACATCTAACGTCTCTGCCCCAGGACCGTCTGAAATCAGCTATCGCCTCATCAAATGGAGCTTCCCCATGTGCAGCCATCTTCTTGCAGATGTTTTCAATGCCTGCCTCCGTCTTGGACATCACCCGAAGGCATGGCGAGCAACTATCGTTGCCATTGTCCCAAAACCAGGCAAGACAGACATGTCTCAACCTCGGTCATACCGCTCAATCTCGCTACTGGAATGCCTCTCCAAGCTCCTGGAGAAGGTGGTCACCCGCCGCATTCTATTCGATGTAGGCAAATATCAGCTCATTCCTACTAACCAGTTTGGATGCAGGGACCACTCGTCAACAACAGACGCTGGTGTCCCCCTCGTCCATGATATTCAGTCAGGCTGGAAAAAAGGACTAACTGCGTCAGCGTTAGCATTTGATATTAAGGGGTTCTTCGATCACGTTCACCATGGTCGCCTCCTTGAAGTCCTACGTCTGGCCGGCTTCCCCTCCCAGGTTCGGGCGTGGATCCAAAGTTTTATCTCAAACCGCCAAATCTCCATACGAATCAACGGGTTCAATACTGACCCGTCGACAAGCTCAGTTGGGATCCCTCAAGGTTCTCCCCTCTCCCCAATCCTCGCAGCACTTTATACCAGCCCGGTAATTGAAATATCGATAAGGTCTAACACGTCGGCACTTTATTTTTACGTCAATGATGGTCTTTTGGTGGCTTTCTCCAAGTCGATTGCAGACAACGTACACCAACTTCAAGCTGACTTTCAAACCATCAATGGTGCTCTCCAAGCGGCCGGCCTTTTGGTCGACCAGGGGAAATTTGAAATCATGCACTTTACTAGAGCTAAGTCTCCAGACCTACTCTCTATTCACGTTCGCCTTGCGCCAGATAACTTGCTGACAGTTTTTCCCAACCCAATCATGAGGTAGTTAGGCTTCTTCCTTGACCGCAAGCTCGAGTTTAAAGAACATGTACGCATCATGTGCAACTGTGCCATGTCAAAGGTGCAAGCACTCAACGTCCTTGGCAATTCCGTGCAAGGGATGAATCATGCTAATCGTCGCCTGGCGTACAAGACCATTGTCCTCCCAGTTCTCACATACGGTGCCCCTCTCTGGTACACCGGCATACGTCAGAAAGGGCTAACTAAACAAATGACCAAAGTGCAAAACGCAGGTCTTCGTCTCATTCTAGGAACCTTCCGCACATCCCCGGTTGCAGCACTACATCATATTGGGTCAATTCTGCCAATTCCCCTTCTCTTGGAACATACCGTTGCCAACGCGGCAATCCGCCTCCGCTCGCTACCACGGCATGCCCAACCTATCATACACTTATCAGAACCGTGGAACTACGGCCCAGTCCAAGGCCCGACACGCTCCAAAAGTCGGAAAAAAGGCACCAATCTGCAGCTCATGGCAACTCGAGCCCATTTCTTGCTCGATATTGATGAACGCACCAATCCACATGCCACCCCACCCTGGGAACTGGGTAACAAGTGGGGGCATCGCCTGTTGTTCTCAAGCTACGCCCCGACAGATAACGATGTTCGCAAACAGCTAATCAGAAACATTTGCAAATGCGAAGCAGATGCAAGATCGGACCCCTCAGTTGTCAATGTCTTCACAGATGGCTCGAGACACCTGGTAGGTGATGAACTACGCACAGGAGCAGCCTTTACTGTCTTTCACCTAGGTAGAGAAATAGCCCAAGGGATTCTTGGGCTAGGCACGTGCTCAGATAATTTTGATGGTGAAATGTATGCCCTCGCTCGTGCCTCCCAGCGCCTGCAAGACGTGGTCCAACACATCCCAACCGTAAAACGTATCCACATCTTTGCCGACAACACCTCGGCGATCATGTCCATTTACGACACAAGCCCGCACCCATCACAGGATGTGTCAGTTGTTTTCCGCGAAAACATCGACCGACTACTATCATCTCACTGTGGCCTCTCAGTTAGTGGCTCCTGGTCACCAGGGCATTCAGGAATCCGGGGAAATGAGAGAGCAGATATATTAGCAAAGGCCACGGCAGCCCAGAGACCCTTCATCGGATCGACAATTGCGTGGGCTAAAGCTAATGCCAAAGCCGAAGTCCTGGAACAATGGGTGAACCAGTAGAAGGAATCTGCTAAAACATCACCTTCGGCCCTATCCCTTACTCATTCTCCGTCCTTCAAACTTGCCAAGTTCCACCGCAATTTTACCGGCAACCGTCGCACATACTCTCACACCATACAGGCCTCCCTCGGCCACGCATTCGTCGGAGAGTACTTCTCCCGTTTCGTCCCTCGGCTACCATCGTCGTGTCCATGCGACAACACGCTACTTCAAACTAGAGCACATGTCCTCACTGAGTGCCCTCTCCATGAACATGCCCGCCACATCCTTAGGGAAGCATCGTCGTCACTCTCCCTCGATTTCTTACTCGGCATGCAAAAAGGATTAGCAGCTATTGCTAAGTTCATTCAACACTCAACCGCCTTCCGACGACATGATTGATATTAGCTAAGTATACCTATGAAACACGCCATGCACCCACATTTGCCCGTTCTCCCTTTGCTCTCCTAATGCCTCCCATCGTGTAATACCAACTTTGCTGATGCCATCATCCACAGGTCAATATCGCCGCTTGTCACCCGGAACTACTCCTCGTCGGCCTCACTCCATAACGTCCCCACCGTCCCGTCACAAACGGGTACAGCAGGTAGCTTTTTCCTGGCGGCTTTTTCCCACAGGGTTTTGCCAACAGGTTTTTTAATGCACCCTCGCTGCCGACGCTTGGATGGGCTAAGCCCCCAAGCAGGGAATGTAGCTACTTGTTTGTACCCAACCTACACCGCGTCTTAGTAGCGTAGCATACTCGTTGCGGTATATAAATGCAGAAAAAAAAAAAAAAAGGTTGAATCACCTGATTTGTGGTACACGTCGATGCTGACTGACAGTTGAGGTGAAGCCGTTTGATGAGTACAGGTGAGTCCTGGCTTCTAGCTTCATAGACAAGATCGTTTGCACCAAAAAGTTCGAGGCCCGAAGCCCTAGCAGAGTCGCTCGCCTTGATCCAGCCAGTAATACTCGGGTATAGCGACTCGTTCCGATTGCTAGTTAATTGGTTGTAGGACTTTGACTGGCCTTGAAGGCTTTCAATCTTTCTCTATCGCGACTGTGATAAGGGACGTTAATTCTCATAAGTCAAAGTGAGTACTGTCGTAGCGTGTGTTTTGCATAATGTCTAAATTATAAATTTGAAGGAAATGGGAGGCATATCTTCAATCTTGCATGTGGGCGGAATGGAATGTTGCATTTCTAGTTGGTGTTCATAAGTTTCGTCAAGATGCGGGTAACATGCCCTGCGATTTCGGCGGTCTTCTCCTTCTCGTCCTTCGCCATGACGGGTAGAACCTTGGTGTCGAAACGATCTGGGTGCCAGCGCACGACCTCCATTTTGAGGACTAGGCGACGGGCCTTGCCTTGAGCTTCGGGTCGAGCTGAGTGGAGGAGGAATTCAGCGACGCGTGCTTCAGTGATATCGGCGGGTTCAGCGACATTGAAAAACACGGGCCAAGGCAATTCCGTGGCGCGTAGCTTCCGAAAATTGGGGCTGAGGCCGTCCTTCAGCTCCTTCCACTTGCCCTCGTACACGAAGAACGCGTGCTGCAGAGGATCCTGAGCTGCTTTCTCGACGCGTTCTCGCTCTGCCTGTGCCGCTGCCAGCTTCGCCTGCTCAGCACGCGCCTCCCTCAGCCGAGCTAGTCTGTGTCGTTCTTCCTCCAGACGCCGCGCCTCTCTCTCGGCTGCTTCTCTTGCCAGCCTCTCTTGGTGAAGGCGTTCCATCTCCACCCGCTGCGCCTCCTCCCTGCGCAACCGCTCAATTTCGAGTCGCTCAGCTTCCAGCCTCGCCAGACGCTCTGCCACCAATCTCGCATGTTCCTCCCTCGTCGTACTCCTACGCGCCATCTCCGCTTCTCTCTTCCTTTCGGCCACAATCCGCTCCACCTCGTCGCGGTGCTCCATAAGACCCTTCTTCATATAGTGAGCCTTCATCATCACCGCCATCTGGCGGCGGAAAATCTTGTCGTCGTCGTCGGTGCTGTCGTACGAGTATTGCTCTGAAGGCCTGCGGAAGAACGACTCTGAGCCAGGGAGCACGATAGTGGCCTGGGCCTCCATGAAGCTCGGGGCGGCAACGGGCTGGAAGCCGCCTGGCATCCACGCCGGTCCTGCCATTGTGGCGGGTGGTGCAGTAGGGGGCTCGGCCACTGGACCCCCTGGAATCACGGTGGACGCAGACATGTTGGCCACACTCTGCATGCCTCCAGGCATGAACGCGCGTCGACGAGGAATCGTGGGGGTTGGGCCGGCATCATCCTTTCGAAGGGACTGCGGCGCCTTGAGGGACCCTGGCCTGCGGAGGGTCCTGTTGTAGGGGTGCGCGAGACCAGCACCCCGGGCCAGCTTCTCGTGAAAGCGTCTAGCGCTACGGGAGAAGTGTGCGCGAACCGCGGGGCGAGCGACGGGGGCTGGCCTTTCGCGAGAGGGTGTTGGGAGCCTCCCGGGGGCGCGAAAGAATGAGAATCTCATGATGAAGACGATGGGGGATAGATGCCGGGAAAGATGGCGAAGTCGATGAGTATATGTCTTGAGGCCTAAAGAAAAAGTTAGTATATGGAAGGAAGAAGGAAAGAGTTACGACGGTTGGTCCTACTTTATGTATTGCCGGCTAAGCAAATGGCCACAGCAAACATTGAGTGTTGTCCATTGTCTGTTGTGGTTTATTGCTAAAACAGGCAATGTGGATGGAGTGGCCAGGATTGACCCTGCATTTGAAACCAGCGATGTGAGGACGCCGTGCATCCATACTGTTTTTCAACTCTGCAAGGGCAAGTGGACAGTGAACATATGGGCGTATGAACAATGAGTATGTGGTTTGATTACAACGTATTGCGCGTATGTGTACATGTCCAGCCCCGCTGAACGTTGATGCGGATTGTACATGATGATATCGATGAAGCTGACTGAAGAGATATGAAAAAGTTGAAACGAACGAAGTATAGTTGATAGCAAGCCTCGAAATTCTACCAAGATATGTGATATGCTCCGTCGCTGAAACTCCTTGCGACACAATGCAGAACATGACATGCAGAAAACGACAGGGACAGAGGATAGTATGCTACCGTGCCAAGGGACTGGTTGGTGCCGACGATTTGATAGCCGTAATCACTGCACCGCCGTTAGTTCTGCCCACAGGTACAGCTGGGGGCTTTCTCCTCTTTGGTGGGGCAGGGGGTGGGGGAGCTGTACGCCTTTGCTTGACGGTTGAAGTGGCTGGTAAACCTGAACCATTTGCGTGCGAAGCAGCCCCGCTGTCGCTCCTACTACCATCCTCTGCAGTATCATGCTGCGACGCTACTGGTGATGCAGGTAAACTCGTAGTCCCCGAACCAGAGGAAGGGGCGTTCAACAAGTCTGATGAAGGGCGGGGGGTACGATGATTGTGAGACACATGGTGCGCGTGTTCTGGCATCACAGAATCCACCGTTCCCGGCCGTCTGGACGGGTGCACCGCGCTCGCTTTGGCGGCTGAGGACACAACAGCTGACGCAACGCCATGCAAACTGATCGAGCTCGCATTGCTGGGCCTACGCAGATTCTCAAGCCCTGGGCGCACAATGGAGTACGACGGGGTAGAGGAGAGTGGGGATTTCAAAGCTGGGGAGGATTTGCTGTGCATGTGCTCCACGCTCTTGCTGGATTTGAGTGTCTTGGAGGCCGGCCCAGACGAACTGTGGTACCCGGCCCCGCTGGAGGAGTGTGCGTGTCCTTGCGGGGTGGACGACTCACTGCCACTGCTCCTGCCGTCCGAGGCGCCTGGGTCGCTGAACAACGACGACGTCGAAGGGGACTGCGGCGGCGGGCTCTGGGATTTGAGTTGAACGCACCATTCGCCGCCAAGACATCGTTCGACGAGGCGTTTGGTCGTGGAGTTGATGTCTCGGAAGGAGGTGTTGCTGATGAGGGATTCGAGACAGCGCATGATCTGTGGGCGTTTGTAGGGAGTGAAACGGAGTTGTGTTTTGGTGAGGAGTGGGTGGAGTACGCGAAGGTATGTGTGGCGTAGCTACAAGTGGAAGCAATGAGCACCTTGGAAGCTATTATGGCTTGGTACTCACTGATTCGCTTTCTTCGTCTAAATCGACGAGTTCTCGAAGAAATACATCCACAAGTACGCACAGGTCGTTCGTGTAAAAGTACTCAGAGGTCCCATGAGTCGTGAATAACAAATAGAGGATCTTGAGGACTAGCAGTTGCATGCATAAGCCCTCCGGCGTTCGTTCTAGGTAGCCATTAGCCCAAGAAGATGAAGAGTAAGGTAGATGCTAACCTGCTCGGTTAAGCATGAATATCATGTTTTCTCCAAATGTCTTCGTAGAGTTAAGTCGTCGCATAAGTACTCTGAGGACGCGATTCTTGATAGTAGATGGTTGTGCTGGATCGGCATTTGGGTCAACCAGTTCGGAGCTCTGTGCACTCAAGGACGCAACCATGAACTGTTCGTTGAGCGACACTATAAGTTTGATGACCGAATAATTGAACGAGTCGTCGCTCATGTCCCTGGTCTGCTCCACAAGGTCAAATAGATAGTCAATGAAAGCGTCATCGAAAATTCCTATCGCAAGCCATGAGCTCAATGATTTGTCAACCAAGCCAGGGGGCCTCACGGAGATCCTGCACGGACAGCTTCTGGACCCTGCAGACTTCGTACAACAGCCTCACACTCAAGCTCCGGAGCTTGGCTTCGATCGGGACCACCATTGGCGTCTGCTGAGAGCCCGTGTACGTGTCCTCCGTGTCGGGGTCTATTTCTACGAGAACGTGATCCATGAGCAGCGGTACGAGCGGCTGCCATCGCTTGTGTGACCGAAAGAAATCCGCCCGACGCCGCCCGAAAGCGAGGAGGACGTTGAAGAATATGAATTGTGCATGCGGATCGGTCGACTGAGTCGAATAGTGAGCGGGGGTGTCGGGGGACGAAGCCGGGGGAAACTCACCGAACGTGTGTCCTCTACTAAGATCTCACACATCCGTTCGGAGTGGAACGCGAAGAGTTCCGAGTCGAGCAAGAGCTGGCAGGCATGCTCGAGCTGTAATGGGCTCTGCAAGTACTGTTCTGCAGAACGCCGTGTAAGTTACGTATTCCCGCACATGCCATGCAACCCGGACACACCGTGGTATGCCGCGCACAAAGCCAGATAGCGCTTCAGCGTCGAGTCTAGCAACGACAGGGTTGGGATCTCGTCCTTTGGAAAGTTGAGGAGATCCTCGAGCTCTGCGCGATTGTCGAGTCAGTTATAATACAGGGGTGGGGACTTGCACGCACCCGACCAGAATTGTTGGGCATTCTCAACGAGGTATACGATCCCGAATTCGTCTTCGAGAGAGATCGCGGGAGCGTAGGACGTGTTGGTGAGTGTCATCGAAGGCCTCTGGTTATGAGCATAGAAGTGGTTAATTGCAAAGAGGTCAAGCCCGCGTGGAGCGCTAATCTGTCTGGAAAACGTGACTACGGCAACACCCGCCGCTTGGGGCGCCATCTGAATATGGAAATACTACAGGCGGACCCCGCATCCCGTCGCACCTCAGGCCTCCACCTTGACTTGAAAAGTCCTGCACTCAAGCGATTCGTGGATGGTTCATCGTGTTGGTCAAATGCTCAAATCGTAGCGCGGGCGAAGCGTTCGCTTTACCCTGAACGTGCGAACAAGTGCAGCCAACTGACCGTCGACCATTACTTATGACTCAACCGAACGCGACACTACCGACAATGAACGATTGCGCCGATAACTTGTCCTTCACTACTGGCTTGGGCGCAGGAGACTCATTCATTGTAGAAGATATATTGCCCCCAGATCTAGCCGAAGATGTATTTGAGCGCGTCCTTGAGGAGGTGGGCTGGGGGAAGATGTTCCATCGAGGTACTGTCGTCGTCTAGGAGTGAGCAGACGCGCTAAATAGGCACGCAGGTGGCGAGGTTCCGAGACTTGTTGCAGTACAAGGGGGAGTAGATGAAGACGGCAGGCGAGTCCAAACATCATGCATGCCTAAATTCTAAACTTCTAATGAACCAAGTACAGTTTCCCTATCTACCGCCATCCAACTGATACTGCTCCACCACTTTACCCATTTACGTCCACCATTGAGCGCATTCGCGCCCAAGTCGACAAAGTTTTGGAATCCCACCTTCGCCGCCATGGCGGCACATATGTTGGTCCGTTGAACCACGTCCTCATTCAACACTATCGCACGGGCGCAGACTACATCTCTGAGCACAGCGACAAAACCATCGATGTCGTACGCGGTTCGTACATCGTCAACGTAAGTTTGGGTGCTGAGCGTGTCATGGTTCTGCGCGCGAAGCGAGATGTAGTGGGTAAAGCCCCTTCGTCTACGGGAGGCGACACCACATCAGATCACGAGGCCCCTACTGCAGTGTCGCATAACCCGCCTCGCCCTGCACAACGGATTCCTCTCCCGAATAACTCGATGTTCGTGATGGGACTCGATACAAATAAGAAGCTGCTTCATGGAATACCAACTGACAAGCGACCGCTTACAGTGAAGTCGGAGACGGAGAGAAATAAAGGAGGGGCAAGGATTAGTCTTACCTTCCGGTGCATCGGTACGTTTGTGAGCGGAGACGCGAAGAAGATTTGGGGGAGTGGCGCAACGGCGAAGACAAGGTCTGAAGCAAAGGATGTGATACTAAGCGTGGAAGGAGATGGCAAATCGGAAGCGTTGATTGAGGCATTTGGCGGAGAGAATCGAGATAGCGAGTTCGATTGGGAGAGGTGGTATGGCGGGGGTTTCGATGTCATTAATTTCGGGTTATCGATTTGACAATACTACGACAAATGTTTACCTGAAGTCAAATCTCTTGCTCCTTCAATGTTGCCCCTAACAACCTCCTAGGCTCCAAAGGGCTATGTTTTGAAGTCGCGCCCTTTTGTTGTGACTGTGGGAAACTCGCTTCGCGCGTCGGTGTCTCTCCAAAACATGCGTTCTTCCCTCATTCCATCAGGGATGCCCAGGCCGACCACACTCCCTCCAATTTCTGCCAAACAACAGCAGGAACAAGTATCTGAGGGTATCGAGCAATTCGAGCTGCCAAAATCCCTCGTTACCAAAATCGCCAAGTCTGCAGTACGCGACTTATGATGCATTGGGAACGGGTCTGGTGCTAATTGGTGTGTATGTTGCTGTAGGTGCCGCCGGACGTGAAGCTTCAGAAGGATGTCGTGCTCTCCTTAGTAAAGAGTTCGACAGTGTTTATCAACTTTCTTGGTGCGTGCTATCGAAGGAGTTGTTAGAGGAACACTGCCTGACGCGCTTGCATTTCAGCTGCGACGTAAATCCCCTTGCCTCTTCGCCGCCGTCCTCATGCTCATGCATAGTGACAGTGCACACGATATAGCGCTTTCCAAGCAGCACAAAAGCATTTCTGCATCCGATGTACTCAAAGCTCTAGAAGCCGTAGAATTCGGCGATCTCGTAGACCCGCTTCAAAGGCAACTGAAAAGTGCGCTTTCAATTCATTTCCTCTTCCTATAGCCTTATCTTCGCGCCTCAGAGTACAGGAACTCTGCAAAGTCAGAGAAGAAGAGAGCTGCCAAAGGGAAGTCTTCCGCTGCCGCCGCCGCCGCATCGGCGCCAGCCCCAGCTGGTGGCCCCTTGTCGATATCCATCACGCTCCCTCCGAAGGGTAAGGACAAGGGGAAAGCAAAAGAGGTATCGATTTCCGCTCCCGGTCCTGCTCCTGCCTCGGACGCTATGGACGTCGATGATCAGGTAGCAGACGTGAAGGACGATGAGATCATCGAGGAAGAGGAAGACGAGGCAGAGATAGAGGAAGAGCCGGAGGATGTTATGGATGAAGATGAGGAAGAAGACGAGCTAGTGGATACTGTTGCTCTGGAAGAAGAGGAATTACGGAAAGATGCCAAAGGTTTAGACGAAGTGGGGATGAAAGATCGTGAAGATGGCATCTGAGATACCCTTATACCTTCCCTTCATGTCCTGGTTTTATTATATTGTACGTTGTAACACTATGAGCACAACAACGCAAGTCGGCCGACAGCGGTAGAGACTTCATCGACATCAACTACCGCCATGGCTGATTTCAGATCCCCTTTACCCAATCGCATCCATCCCACCGGAACTGAATCCATTCCATGATGTACACATCTAGGGAATCCTCATTGAATGCATTGAGACCTCGGTAGACAAAGTAAATCAACTACTTTGCCTGTAACCGATTCCGTTTACGGAGAGAGCAGCGACATCGAAAAAGAGTGAATGCGAAAACGACAGGAGTGACTACAGGATTATAGATGGAGCAGGCCCTGCCGTTATCGAGGACGGAGATAGGGAGGGAGGGAGGAATAAGATATTGGTACTGTAAGGGTTGAACCCTTTCGTTCCGTGCACTCCGGCTTCCCCTATCCACCGTCACCTAATCATCCTATTCCGTCATTGAATTCGAATCCCCTCCCGATCCTCTGCACGATATCTTTCCGGAAGGTCCGACGCAACGGGCTATCAACTACCTCTTCCGGAAGACATCCGAATATTTTCCGTTCAAAATAGTCCGCTCTTGGGTTCCCGATCCCAACACCGTCATTTGGCAGTTCGCACTTACCGGCCGCCCAGAATCCGAGCATCCGAACATCCTAGCACGCCCTAATCCTCCATCCCTCCGGCACAGTCTGTTCTATAATCCCGCCGCGGCTTACCACCGACCCACTCCGGAGTCAAACGACACTACGTCCGGAACACCCTCATCGCTCACCGAGTCGTCCGAAAATCTTCCGCCCACTTCTTCACCTTCCCCTATTCCTCCTCCTACAATGGCCACAACTATGCCCGTCCGCGGTCACCATACCGCTCCGAAATTCAACGGAAAACCCGAAGGACTCCATCGCTTCTTCTCGGAAGTGGAGTACCTCGCTGCCCGTGCTCAGGTCGAAGGCCGGGATCTCATCCGAGCTACAATCGGATATCTCGACGACTCCGACTGGGAGATCTGGCGCAGCAGTGGCGATGCAGCCGACGGAGACGACTGGGATGCTTTCAAAACGTGCATCGGGAAGCTCTACCCCGGATCGGATAACGAACGACGCTGGCGTCCGTCCGATCTTTCCACTATTGCTGCTCTCCAGTCCCAGACCCCGATGCTCACAAAGGACGATCTCGGAGTCTATCACCGAAAGTTCCTCGTTCCGGCCAATTGGCTTCTGTCCAAAAATAGCGTCTCCACCCAGGACGTCGGACGAGACTATCTTGCAGGATTCGATCCGATCACCCGTCAGAAAATCAAGGACAGATTGGCGATGGTCCACATGCAGCATCATCCGGACGATCCTTACACGATCACGGAGATCTATACGGAAGCGAACTTTATTCTCGGAACATCGACTCCGGCGACTCTCACAACGTCTTCGACATCTCCGACAGTGAGTCCGACGGCTCCGGTTACGGTCAAAACCGAATCCGCTGACATCCGTGCCCTGCAAGCTATGATGCAGCAGTTCATGACCATTCAGCAAACGCATCCGCAGTATCCTCCTCCTCCTCCGCAATATCCGTATAATCCGAACTCATTCTATCCGTATCCCCCGCCTCCGACCGCTCAAGCATACGCTTATCAACCCGTCCCGCCCCAACAAAACTATCAGTATCCGCCTCAGCCACCCCCATCTTCCCAGAATCAGCAATCACGTCCTCCTCCGCCTCCTGCACCACAAGGGACTGATCCGAGACCTCCCCGGAAGTGTCACTTCTGTCATTCCGTCTACCACACGATGGGCTCGTGTCCGGATGCGGCCCGATATGAACGGAGCGGGTGGATCGGTCGGAACGAAGAAGGCCGATGGATGGTGCTCCCGACCAGAGAGACTATCAATCGTTCCTTCCCCGGAGACTCGTTCAAAGAGCAGATCGACAATTGGATGAGAGCCAACAATAGACCTCAGGATCGCGATGCCCCTCCTCACCCGATCGTCACTCCTGCAGCCACAAGTTCCGGAGTAGCGTCCGCGAATATGGTCGAGGTTAGCACCTACCACTATACGGAGGCCGACGAGTCCGAGTCTCGGGCGTTCATCGAAGAGCTTCCGAGCCCGTTTGATCTGGAGGAAGAAGAGAAAGAGGAGATCTTCTTGCAGGTTCTCATGCAGCGGATGCCCGACGTAGCGAAAAAGTACGCTTCATCTCAGAAGAAGAAGGATGTCCGTTTCTCCGAACCGGTCGAAACGACTCCGAGCGCTCCGGCAAAGGCTCCGTCCGAACCACCCCTTCCTCCTTCGATTCCGGTCCCCTTCCCTTCCACTTCGGCCCGTTCTCAGCTAGCTGAAGCCATCGAGACCGGTCGCACGACGTACCGTCCGAACTATCGGGTCCAGTCGAACATCGAGAATCCGAAGGTGGCCTCGGATGTCCTGGAACGCGCCCTCAACACCACACTCACCATCACACAACGGGAACTGTTCGCACTCTCGTTTGATGCTCGGAAAGGACTTCGGGATCTCATTTCGTCAAAGCGGGTCTCTACGGAGACTAACTACGCGTCCGTCAACATGGCAGCGTGCTACGACGACCCCGAAGACGTCGTGGAGGTTCTGATGTCCGCCACCCGGGATCCGAACAAAGAATGCATTGTCGCAGCTCCGACCCAGTCACTCCGGATCATCCGGCCTATCTTCAACGATCGGTACGAGGTCGAATGCATCCTGGACACCGGATCACAGATCATCGCCATGCGCCGCGACGTCTTCGACAATCTCGGGCTGCTCATCGACATCGACAAGTTCATCACCATGGAGTCCGCGAACCTATCATCGAACCAGACCATCGGACTCGCGCACAATGTAAAGATGTCTCTCGGACCCGTCGATCTCTACGTCCAAGCTCAGATCGTGAACGATGCGCCTTATGAGGTACTCCTCGGACGCCCCTTCTTTTGTCTCACCTCCGCTGTCACCCGCGACTACCCCGACGGTCGTCAGGACTTGACCATACACGATCCGAACTCGAGCCGTCGTTTCCTCATCCCCACTTTCAAAAGGGTCCACCGCTCCCGAGAGCCTAAGGAGCATTTTTAGATACCGTCGAGGAACCCCTGTGGCGAGACGAGTCTTTTATACCCCCGTCCTATTCCTCTCTTATGATATCGCTACCCGATTCCGCTCCTTCTTCAGTTCCGCTCCGCTGCATTACCTATCCGAAAACACTTTTATATCATATATCCCCTTCCGAGCCCGACCCTTCACTTCCCCTTCTGTCTGCCCCCCCTTCCATGAACCGAAAAAGTACATATGATGCTCCGCGTGATTCCGGTCCCGACCCGATGGCTCCGGTGTATACTTGTGCCCCTCCGCCCGTACCTAATACTCATTCTTCTTGCGCGTATGACGAATTGCCGGATGAGCGACGGATCTATTCAGGTCTTGTTGATATCATCGAAGATGGCATTACTCGGAGTGCTTCTTATTTTGATATTCCCCTTTCCACCACTACTTCCTACTCTACCTTTACATCCTGGTTTGTCCATAGCGACGCCGACACTCCACCCGCCTCATCCGAAGTTCCCGCTCCGATCCCGACCACAGAAGTCTTCGCAGCGACTGCCCGGATGCCAACATACGGAAAGAAGCCCTACCGGAAGGTCGCCAATCGCACAGTACCCGTCTCCACTACGCTTCCCGAACAGTATCGGATTGTCCGACGCGAACCTCCCGACATCTTAGCCGACCTTCTCCCGCTTCCTACTCAACCACCCGACTTCACTCCGGGACTCCGGTACACTCAGGAACGCGCTGACAAACAGGCCGTCGATCCGGACAACTGGCTTTCTCCGGAGGAAATCAAACTCGCGCACTGGTTCATCCGGACCGACGAGGACGCTTTCGCTTGGTCCGAGGATGAACGTGGCAAGTTCTCTGATGAATGGTTTGACCCTGTGGTGATGCCTACCATCGAGCACGTTCCCTGGGCACTCCGAAACATTCCCATTCCTCCGGGCATCTACGACGAGGTCGTCCGCGTCATCCGAGACAAGATCAAGTCCGGAGTCTACGAGGAGTCCAGTTCTTCTTACCGGTCCCGCTGGTTCTGCGTCCTCAAGAAGGATGGAAAGTCTCTCCGTTTGGTCCACGATCTTCAGCCTCTCAACGCCGCCACTATCAAGGATGCATCTATTCCGCCTCGGGTCGAAACTTATGCCGAAACCTTCGGAGGCCGGTCTTGCTACGGTATCTACGACTTGTTCGTCGGATTCGACCAACGGAAGCTAGCGGAAAGCTCGCGCGATCTCACAACATTCCAGACGCCTCTCGGAGCCAAGCGTCTCACCGTCATTCCTATGGGCTTCACCAACTCCGTCCAGATTCAGCACGGCGACCTCACCTTCATTATGCGAGACGAAATTCCCCACGTCACCGATCCGTACATCGACGATTGCCCTGTCAAGGGTCCGCTTACACGATACGAGCAACCCGACGGATCCTACGAAACCCTACCCGATAATCCGAACATCCGGCGCTTCGTTTATGAACATATTGCAAACATGCATCGGATCGCGCACCGGATGAAGAAGTTTGGCGGAACGTTCTCCGGAGTCAAGCTACGTGTTTGTGTTCAGCGCGCATCTATTGTCGGACACATGTGCACTTACCAGGGTAGAGAACCCGACGATGACAGGGTCCAAAAGATTCGTGATTGGCCTGTGCCCGAGAACGTCACCGACGTCCGGGGTTTTCTGGGTACCATCGGAGTCATGCGTATCTTCATCCGAGACTTTGCGAAACATGCTAAACCACTTGTGCAGTTGACCAAAAAGGACGTTGACTTCGTCATGGGCCCGGACGAACTAGCTGCCATGGAGACCTTGAAGAATCTTGCCATCACCTCCCCCGCTCTCCGGGCTATCGACCACTCATCCGATCGCGAAGTCATATTGGCCGTCGACTCCTCCACCGTAGCCGTCGGGTTCATCCTCTCCCAGGTAGGCACCGACAACAAGCGCTATCCGTCCCGTTTCGGATCTATCACTTGGAACGACCGAGAATCCCGCTACTCCCAATCCAAAATCGAGCTCTACGGACTCTTCCGGGCACTTCAGGCCACGAAGCTTTGGCTTATCGGAGCTCGCAATCTCACTGTTGAAGTCGACGCGAAGTATATCAAGGGTATGATCAACAATCCGGACATCGTCCCGAACGCTGCGATGAACCGCTGGATCGCCGCCATTCTTACCTTTTCTTTCAAACTCAAGCATGTTCCAGCTCGGGATCACACTCCGGCCGATGGCCTCTCACGACGAAGAAGAGCCGAAGAAGACCCGGTCCTTGTAGAAGATGTCGAGGGTTGGATAGACGAAGCGTGTGGTTTTACTTTACAGGTTCACTCGGACGGCGACGCCTCTGTCGCTCGGGTTGCGCAGAACCGTTTCCGGGGTCATCTCGGGTCCCTCGTCCGCACGTTCATCTATGATGAAGACTCTGCTGGATTCAACGACTCCGACGATTCCGACGACATTCCCCGGACTCCGAAGGCCGCGGGTAAGGACGCCCGGATGTTGGAGATAGAGACCTTCCTCCGGACGAGCAAGGCTCCCGTCGGACTCGCTGAACCCGCCATGCGCAACTTCGTTCGACAAGCGCTCAATTTTTTCTACCGCGACGGCAAGCTCTGGCGCAAGGATAACCACGGGAAGCATAAGGTCTACATCCATCCGGGTCGCCGTCTCTACTTGATCCGGGCTGCTCACGACTCTCTCGGACACAAGGGTATCTTCGTCATCCGCACGCGCCTCCTTGAGCGATTCTGGTGGCCCTTCCTTGACCAGGACGTCCGCTGGTTTGTCAAGACTTGTCATCAGTGCCAGATCCGCTCCAACTTCAAACTACACATTCCGCCGTCTCCAACGATTCCACTTTCCCTTTTCCGCCGCGTCCACATTGACTGCATGGTGATGCCTTCCGCCAACAAATTCAACAAGATAGTCCACGCTCGGTGTGCTCTTACCTCTTATCCGGAGTGGCGCGCGCTTCGCCGGGAGACCGCGGAGACACTGGGCATGTTTATTTTCCAAGAGATTCTATGCCGCTGGGGCGCCATCGAAGAACTTGTGACGGATAACGGTACCCCGTTTGTGAAGGCAGTCGAATATCTCGCAGAGAAATACGGCATCCGACACATCCGAATCTCTCCGTACAACTCCCAAGCCAACGGACTCGTCGAGCGGAGACACCGGGACGTGCGGGGTTCCCTCCTGAAGACTGCGGATGGCAATGAGAAGAAATGGGTTGAAGTCGCACCATCCGTCTTCTGGGCCGAGCGCGTCACCATCTCCAAGACCTCCGGAATGTCTCCTTACTACATGGTACATGGCATCGAGCCCCTTTTTCCGTTCGACCTCCACGAAGCTACCTATCTCGCCCCTCCTCCCGATACCACTCTCACCACTGAACAGCTCATCTCCATGCGCGCCCGACAACTCCAGAAGCGTCCGGACGACATCGAACGTATGCGCGAGAAAGTTATTCGGAGCCGGATTGCTTCCCTCGAGGAATTCGAACGTCGGTTCGCCCGGACGATCAAGGACTTCAACTTTCTTCCCGGACAGCTCGTTCTGGTTCGTGATAAGAAGATAGAAGGTGATCACTCACTCAAGCATCTGCCTCGCTACATGGGACCTATGGTCGTCGTCCGACGCACTCATGGCGGATCCTACGTCCTGTCCGAACTCGACGGTTCCATCTCAAATCTACGTTATGCAGCATTCCGCGTCATTCCGTACTACGCCCGACACCGCCATCTCCTTCCCGTCCCCCATTCTGCCGAACCCGACGACTCCGATGACCCCGACGATCTTCCGGAACCTCAGTCCGCCGCGAACTTCGCCGGACTACAAAATACGACGAACGACCGAGTTTTGACGCCTTCGCGGCAGCCTAACCGTCTAGTACTCTAAAATTTTTTCCACCCAGACCAGGGTTCGCCCTGTGTTGTATCCCGGACCTCGGTCCTGTTCCGTCTCTCATCTTTCACCTCTCTCATTTGATCTCTCTCCTGTCCGATCCTTATATTCCCTTGCATTTGCCTCGTATGCGTCATCCGACGACTCCGGTGATCCTCCCCCGCTTCGGAAGCCTCCGGACTTGCCGGTTTTACGCTGCGTCCTTTGTTTTCACTTATAATCACTCACGCATTTTCTTTGTTAGTTACCAAGAAGTATGATTAAAATTTACTACATATGTTTTCAAGAAGTGTCTACGGGCCAAGCGCCCTTTCTCTCCTCTCACTCCCCGTCGTACTCAGCGTCCTCTTCCCTTCTCTGGTCTTCTTCCCGCTCCTCCGCATCCCCGGCTTCCGCCCGTTGCGCTTCCTCCAATTCTCTCCGCAGCACCAACGCCGCCAGACTTCTTGTAGCCGCGGCCCGAGTATTCTCCGCCTCCTCCGTGGCCTGCTTGAGAGCAGCGATTCGCGCGTCCATCGACGACATAACTTGAACGAGGGTCCGGAGCTCGTGGTCTGCGCAAGCCTCCGTGAGGACGGGCATCACCGAGCTCCCAGCTCCCGCTCGCGTTGTCCGGCTGCTCTCGCCGACTTCAACCCTCCGACGGCTGCGAGTCCGAAGTGCAGCTCCTCCGCGCGCCTTACCCTTGTTCCCCGTGCTCTTGCTGCCCGCCGCCGTGGCTTCCGCCGCTCTCACCTGCTTAGCCCGCGTCTTCGCATGCGAGCACTTGACTTTGGAGCCGGTGCATGTCTCGCAGGCGTGGCAGCCGGTGCCGATACAGGTAAAGTACCCTTGTTGGCATCGGAAGCACCGCCTCGCCTCCGAAAACTCAACAAGCGGGTGAGGGCACGACTCCCGGGATCCGCCGTATCCGCACCCCCACTCCACGTTGTTAGGGCTGGCACTCGCGTCTGTTGAGTCCGTTAGCCTAGTGATAACGGCTGTTCGTACTTCTTACCTGCCGGATTGTACTCGCCGTACTCCGCTACGTCGAGAGGCGCTGCCGGTGGTGGACTCTTCAGTTTGGCGTCCTCCGTGTAGTCCGCCCGCTTCCGAAGCCGCTTCGACCGGGGCGTCGTCTCGACCTCGCCAGCATCACTCTCGACGGCCTTCCGCTTTCCGGCTCTGATTGCGCGAGCGCGTCGACCGCGCGTCCTCGGAATGGGCGTGCTGTCGTCATCTGCGTCCGATGTGATTTCAATCACGTCGTCCGCTTCCCCTCTGCCGACGGGCTCCGGCGCTGCACTCCCGCTTCCACATCCAATCGCTCCTGAGCCGGCGACGAGCTTGGCCTTTCGCGCAGCCTGACGTCGCGCCTCAGCAGCGAATGCGTCCCGTCGTCGTGCGTCACGCACCTCCGCAGCCCTTCGGGCTTCCTCCGCCCGTCGTTCCTCTGTCGCCTCGGCCTCCCGTCGTTCTTCATCCTCGGCCCTACGACGTTCTGCATCCGCGGCCTCCCGCGCCTCCTGTGCTAGGCGGTCGTCCTCCGCTTGCCATTCGGCGAGCCGGCCCTGCGCCTCGAGCAACTGCCCCGTTGCTGTAGCCATCGTGGTCCGAACTTCATCTTCCACGCTTCCCAGCAGTTCCCGCCCGACCAGAATCTCCTCCGCAGCTGACAACCAGTCCTGGCTTCTGTTAGTTGGGATTGCTCGCATTTATCACCTACTACGCACCTGTTGCTGCTCCATTTCCACCACAGCCAGCTCGACGTCCTCGCGATGAGCGTCGTCCAACTCCGGCATCGCGTCTCCCATGCCAGCGAAATACTGAACTTCGGTTTCGTACGCGACAACCGCCTCCTTCTTCTTCATTGTTCGGAGGTCGTCGGTCGTGTGTGCGGGGACGTGTTGAAGGGAGTTCGACATGGCGGATGCTATTGGTAGTGATGAAGAGAGAAGAGCAAGTGCGAACGTTGGACTTCGTCGAAATTATCAACAATCTGTCAGGTGACCGCGCTTCCTTTTGTCCCACGCCACTGTTTCGGTTCGCCCACCCACCTTCCCACTTCGCAATTCTTGCTCGCCGTGTACGTTGCCCCGGAGGGTCAACACATAAAGTCCCCGGGGGATGTAAGGGTTGAACCCTTTCGTTCCGTGCACTCCGGCTTCCCCTATCCCCTATCGACCCCTCTCCGACTCTTCGGATGCGCTCGCACATGACTCGGACGTCACGAACCCGTACCGGACACGCGTGATAACGGATCAGACAGCACGGATCAATGTTTAGTCTCTTTTGTTTTCGGACTCTAATATTTGGACTATACTAGCACCTTTACTCGTTCCTGGTCCCTTTTCTTCTCGGACACTTCCGATATTTTCTTAGCTACAAAAACCGTCTATACTCGTAGTTAGAAGAATAAGATTTGTTTCCCCCCCACATCGAGTCAGATTCTAAGCCGTCCGAACCTTTCTTCTCATCCGTTGTCAGAGTCTGCCGCTGTCCGAGTCCGAGCCCGAGTCCGATCCGAAGTTGCTTTCTCCTGCCGTCCTTGTCATTCTCCTGCCGTCCTCGTCGTACTATCCGAAGCCAAGTTGTCTGTTCGCGTCCGAGCGCGTCCGAAGGCATCCGAAGCCGTCCGAAGCGTCCGAAGGTTCTCAGTTGTTCGTTTTCACTCTCGGACTCATCCTTATCACACTTTACTCACGCGGGTGTCGCACGGACTTGTCCTGCCGGAGGCGGACCCTCGCATTTTACTAGACTACACTACTAGTCTACGCGTACATTCACTACTACAGTACATATTACATCAGAGCCCACAAGAGAGACGCCTTCGGTGGCAGATATCGATACGGTTTAGAAGTTCTCTGTGGGGTAAGGGAAATACGGTCAGGATTGATCGGGATTGTGGTAAGGCAAAAAGGTTGACGCACCCTTTCCGAAGAAGAAACGAGTACCCTTCGGGTGAGAGTACTTGTTCGAGTATTGATGGAGTTGTTTCGACAGCACTGGAGGACCACAGAAGAACTAGGGACAACTAGGTCAGCAAAAAGCAGGGGAACAGAAGTAATGGTTGTAGACATACCACTCCGACATCGGTTTCTGGATGCTTGTCGACGATCGAACTGAACACTCTGTCCCAGTTAGGTCGACCGAAGTGAGTGGGTGCGCGCAGGGAGGTAATTGCATCCTTCTCGGCACCGACATCGTGAACAATGATGTTGTTCATGTCGTCTTCCTTTATCTTGGCAGTAAGGTAGATGTTGATCTCGATACGGTTCTGCGTGTCCTGTTCTTCGATGGCGTGCAAGAGTGAATGGAACCACTCGGCGGTACCGAAGTCACGGATGACCCATGTGAAGTAGACCTAAAGAAATGAATACTCGGGTACAACGAAGTGAAAAGGTAGATAATTACCTTTGAAAGACGGGTTGGCTTGGAGTGATTGAAGTTGTTCATGCGGTACCATATCGACTTTAGGATCCTTAAGGACAATTTAGAACGGTTCAATAAATATGACAAACGAAGAAACTTACGAAGCAAACGGCGTGACACCGATACCAGCACCAACAAGGAGGACAGTCTCGTAATTCAAGAAATCCTCACTTGCACTTCCAAATGGCCCGTCAACCATGACACGAGGGAGAGTGCGGTTGATCGGTGGGTTCGTGTTTGTACCAACAACCTTACCACCGGCAGGAGCCTTATCTTTCTCCTTAGAGAAGTCGCAACCAACAGCGAGCGCTAGAGCCCTTGTGAAGTCACCGCAAACACGAATGTGAACGGAGATATAATCCTCTTCTGGTGCGCTACATTCTGCACTGAGTTCTCGTTTCTAAGCAACAGCAAGAGAGGACAAACCTAGTGAGGGTGAAGGGGTGCCACTGGAAGTAGGATACCTCAGGGCAAGAGAGGAAGATGTACTGTCCAGCACGAGTAGTCGTCTTCTCTTTCTTGATTTGGAGTTCCATGACATCGGAAGGATGCTGGATAACTTTGGAGATGTAGGTGACATGACGAGAGCGGACTTCACGCAGAATACGCTCAAAGATCCAGATGACACCGCCAACAAGCCAGTAGCGCTGGAGACATGTTCAGCTCGATCGATTATTCCCTGCATCTGAGCGCACTCACCCAGAAAACACCGATTGTGTTGAAGGAGCAGAAGGGTGGTCTGTCGGGTTGAATCATGCAGAACATACCGTGGAGTTGCCAGTTGATGAAGAAGACGATGAACAGGTGGTGCGAGTACCAGAACCACTCAAAGTGAGCGCGGCGCCTCTTCTCAATAGCAAACCACACCATGATGCCAAGCGCAGCGGTCATGATCCATCCAGTGAGACCCGGCCCAGTGGCGAAATTGGCACGCAAAAATCCGACAAAGATCTTGCCGGGGGTCGTAGCATTTGGGTCGAGCATTGCGAGCTTCGCAAAGTTCACCATGTGAGCGGCAATGTGGACGAACGAACCGGCAACAATGGACCAGGCGGTAGCTTTGTGGAAGGTGATATTCTTGTCGAAGGGAATGATGTCGTTCAGGGGGGTTCGGCGTAAGAAAGAGATGAAGTTACGGCAGACTGGGAGCAGGATGAAGATAACATCGATGTGCAGGACTAACGCCGCCGTTCGGGCAATGGCTACAAAAAAACTGAGCAAACCGCTAGTGGGCGGCGGCCGAACCTAGACCACTCACTGAATCCATAGCCAAAGAGGCTGCGGGCGGTGTTCAAGTTGTCTTTCATCTGGTAGTGGAAGAACCCGAACACGGCGACAAGGATATGCAAAAAAATCCAAACACCAAAGAACAACTGCCTCCCTCCTTCGTTAATCATCCAGAGATTGAACTTCTGGCCGAACGTCGTAGGCACGAAGAGGCCATTGCCAGGCGACTTTACGCTGTTCGTGCGCTGCAACCCCTGCAACCTCCTCCTCTCCGTCTTGTTTCGCTGCAGAAAGCTCGGCTGGGCTGGGACGTCGGGCCCTACTGCTGGTGCTCCATCTGAGAAGTCTAGTCCTGACGAACGGTTTGGCATGACGGGTGTTCTATTCGACGACGGCCAGCGTAGAAAGCGAGTCTTTTGGGAGAATAGGAAACGTAGAGACCGGCCTGCTGGTCAATAAGTAGTGTAGTTCGAAAGGAAAGATGGGGGTTTCAGAATGAACTGCAAGATATCCTATTGAGTGGCAGTTGGTTGGTGATGGGAAAAAGATGTGACAGCCGATCCATCGGCAAGGGGGCGAAATCCATGACAACAGGTCTCAGTATAATATTTGTTGCCGTTCTAAAGGCATCCAGACCGTGTCGTGCCTCTCAAAATAATACAAAGAAACGGAGAACGGAACGACGAGGAGCTCAGCACGTACGACTGCAGTGCAGTAAATAAAGCCCTAGAAAGCTTTACTTGCTACAATGCTACCTGTCGAGTCGCTTGGGCCTAGCAGATTCCGCAATCAAGCTTCGAGCCTCACATTGACAGCGCACCGGCGACGGAGGGGTTTGCGAAATGCCACGGTCGCTATCACAGACTCCATCAGAGTATCAAAATCAACCGTGCGTTCGCAATCACTCATCCTACATCAAAGGAGAACCTAACCTGTCAGCAGCATTAACCATCACTCGCATCATCATGAAGCTCAACTTGCCGAAGAAGATGCACGGCGTTAATCAATAATACTTAGCTCGTGCCACAAGCGGCCTACATACTGTTTGTATGACATATGGACTCCGAAGCAAAACACGTCTTCTTCGCGGGCCACTCGACCTTGCGGGCCGTTCAGAACTTCTCCGCCCCAGCTTCCTCGTACTCGTGATCGTTCCAACGCATAGACCAAAATACACCGTTGGTCATATAAAGTCCAAGGAAGGGGGCCATGTAGATCGCCTACGCAATCCAAAATGTCACTCAAAACAATACTTACGGCCTTGCTCGCCCTCTGGCTCCTCGCGATCGTCCGGCCCACGGAATGCCGACCCGACACTGAGCGAGTATGCTCTGTACGACCCCTTGGTGCGGGCAGAGACGACACGGAGCAGGTGCGTTACACAGCTCCAAGAATAACCGGAGATGCTGTAGTATGTTCAAATGACGTTCGTTACCAAGGTTCTTAGAGCGATTGATACCTGCGGACACGGCGGTAGAGTCGTCTTGGAAGCTGGCTCCTTCAACATAACACGGTGAGTTGCATCAGCGGAGAGGAGATGCGGTTGAACACTGGTGATTAATTCATTGTTATTAGGAAGATGACCTGGGATCTGAGAGATTCTCGCGTGGACGTCCATGGCGTACTGAGCGTAAGTATGCGAATAATCCCTGATTCTGAGGTGAACGTTGACGTAGTTGCCTGCGATAGTTCCAGCCAGACATCGAATATTGGTTGAACGCGACCAATACATATCGGGTCGTCTTTATCCAGGTGAGGAGAATAATGCTGATGTAGCAGACCGTGTTTCTGATAGTATCCGGTAGAGCCAAGCATCCTGGTTCGTCGTAACAGGAGAGAACTTCGTAATTGATGGGCACAACACGGGTGGCATTGACGGGAATGGCCAGGTAGTCCTTCCAAATCCTCATCCTATTTCATCGGTGAAGCATCGGGAGAACTGACCTTGTTTGTTTGCCTGTCAGCCTTGGTGGTCATTCTTCGCTACCCGTACCCGAGCAGACGGCGACGGACGTCCTATCTCCTTTACGCTCTGGCGAACGACCAACGCGCTCGTCAAAGACTTCCACATCCAGGCGCAGCCCTTCTGGTGCAATACCGTTGCGGAATCCCAAGGCGTCATCTACGGTGAGTCCCCCATCCTCTTTCATTCTTGGGTTGAGCGTGGCCCTTTTGGTGGCGATGCGGGGAAGAAGGGTGACCCGGTAGCATCAACATCGACTGACTGGCATGACTCGGATGCAGATGGTATGAAATGCAATGCGAGCAACAGCGACCCAAGCTTCGCCGGCAAGAAGTGAGTCTATCTTTAGGCGTTAGAGACGGGGGCGAATGATATTAATAGCGGGTGGGGGTGGGGATAGTATTGTCCCTAACACAGATGGTGCGCACAAGAATAAACGCGGGAGCATGAGGATCTGACGTTGTTATAGGAATCAACACGTACCGCAGCACCAATGTGTCGCTTCTGAACTGGGACATAACATGCGGGGATGATTGCCTTGCCATCAAAGGAGTCAGTAAGGTTCCGCGATCTGTTAGCCTACAAGCACTGATGCTTCGTGGCGGGTATGCATTTATAGAATTCGACCGACCTGACGGTCCGCAACATAACGTGTCGGGGAGGGAATGGGATTGCCTTCGGTTCGTTGGGACAGTATGCTAACTTGGTGAGTGGACCATATGTTGCGAGTCCCTCATCGATCAGCTGGACTGCAAACTGGTAGTCGGACAACGTACGCAACGTGGACATGAGGGATTTGAAGGTGAGCTTTCCTGTCACTGGTAAAGAGTGCTGAGTGCCCTTGACGACTTCGACTGAAGATGATTCGTATCGATCCTAATATCCAACCGAATATGGGCAACGGGGTGCGTGATACGTGGAATGATGCGTTTACATTTACAGCAGAGTGATGGGTGTCGCGCAGGTCTATTTTAAGTCGTGGACCGGAACAGTCAACGGCTCCCCACCAACCGGTGGCGGAGGCGGAACTGGTGCGTGCGGCAAAGTGATAGACGTCTCAACGTCGTGACGAAGGTGACTTCTTAACAAGGTGTCGTCGACAACATCACTATCAGCAATGTTTTACTCGATCGTGTCAATGCACCCCTCCATCTCTATCAAACAAACGGCGGTCACTCGTAAGCACATGCAAGTAATCAACAGCATCATATGGAGACTTCACTCGCGTACGTATTTATAGTGGCGATACTCCATCGCAACTGAAATTCGGAGGCCTGCGCTTTTCGAACTGGTCTGGAACTGCTTTGACCAACAAAAGTAAGTTGGAGCGTGTAGACCTTCTCGTCATCATCTGATTTCGAACGGTGGCATCAATTGATAATGGGTGATGGCAGTCGTCGACATTGAATGCAGCCCCGCTGTAGGTTGCCAGGAGGTCGTTTTCGAGGACTTTTCCGTGGCTGGCCCGCAAGCGCAAGCGCCTAGGTTTATATGCCAGAACGTGCGCGACTTGTCTGGACTCGGCGGTAAGTTCCTCCTTCCAACTTACATTCCAAGCTTGACAGCCCATTTATTCGCTGCAGTGCCCTGCAACTCGACGGGATCGGCGTAACATCCGGGTGTCGCTACCGCTACCACTTGCTTGTACACACCGCTATGCCATCATATGAGAACTGGATATTTACATCAGCCCATCAAACGCATTCTGTGAGTAGGAACAAACGACCTAACAAGATCTACTTCGCAGGAAAAAGCCGACACACATCGCTCCTCCGACAGTACACAATAATATTGCCCATACAACCACCGCATACGCTTCTTCGCTTTCCCCTGAGCGCGTTAGGATAGGTCGAGCGAGTTGCGCCACGATCAGGGCAATCTCTCCACGCGCAACCATTGCTAGTCCCAGGAAAACACTCGCCTGAGAGCGAGTAAGGGTGGGTGGTGAATGTCCCAGTACTGCTACTTCTACTTCTGTGACTCTGGGAGCTGGCCACAAGAAGATAGTTCCACCGACGACGGCTTTTGCGAGGAACATGAGGATGGCATAGACGATGCCGCGCCATATCACTGCAGACGATCCATCTGCGACCCCAAGAGCACGTATAGGAAGCGAGATTCCGATCGACGCGAAGAAGATTGGGGAAAGAAATGACTGCAAGGCCGGTGAGATGTATCGTGCGAATGTCATGGCGGAGAGCCCTTCGTGCACGACTGGAGGAGGATACGAGTGCGTCGTTTTCTGTTCTTCGGCGGCGAGAATAATATCTTCCGTTGTGTATCCCTTGGTAAGGAAGTTCAGCAAAATCCCGGCGAGATAAGCACCGAAGAGATCGCTTGTTCCAGCGTAACGGGCTCCTGCCACGAAGCCGGATAGCACTATGACGATAATAAACAGTAACGACCTTTCATGGTACCTTTTTGGTACTACCCGGCTAAGGTGGTACGTGACTCGCATACGGTTGAGCAAGTAGGCTAGTAGGGGGACCAAAATTCCGAACGCCACAGAAACAAGGATTGGTTGGACGATGATCTGCCACGGAATACCGCCGTTTGTGTCTGCGAGTTGCGCAATGATCGCGGCAATAACCAGTCCTACGATGTCGTCCAAAAGTGCGGCGCTTAGCAGAACAGCACCAGCGCGCATCTGTCTCCATTCTGGTTTAAGCAGAGCCAAAGTTGTGCCCAGTGATGTAGAGCTGAGAGCTGCACCGGCCGCGAAGGATTGGAGAAGGGTATATCCGTATCCTACATGTAACAACAACATGGAAAGACCTATGGGGACCCCGATGCCAATTACCGCCGCCACCGTTGAGAGGAGGAGATTGTCAATGAGGAGCTGCGTGTTCGTCGTCAATCCCGCTTCGAAGACGAGAATCAGAAGTCCGATATATCCTAACTGGATAAGTGAGATTATGAGGTCGTTCGGGAGTATATCTGCAGCTTGTGGTCCATATACAACCCCTATAATCAGTGAGCCAATGAGCCCCGCATTTATCAGCCACTCGAAAAGGGCATCGGCGACGTTGATGAGGAACAGAAAAGAAGAGATGGTGAGGATAATAGTGGCCGGTGGATGTTCATATATCGCAGTTTGTTGTGCCATGTTTCAAAATATCCCTCCATAAAAGACTTCAGTGCTAAAAGAAGGCTGTTTTTGTCGGCGGCGGCGATGGTGGTAAGTATTGAAGCTTTGAAGAATAATATCCAAGCTCAAGTGCTGTGCCTCATGGTGACCTATTCGAGCTTTCCCACGATCACAATGAATATAATTACAGGTGACCTTGCTTCGCCACGCCTCACGACAAACAGGCTCGACACCGTGTAGCTCGTTCCCCACGAACTGTCCCTTCGAGGGATCTGTCTTTTCGCGAGCGGGTCAAGGTCTGAGCATTGTATCCTCCTCGATTGGTTCTAGCGGAACCTAACCTTCAAGGTTGCGCGCCAAACCAGAAATTCGCTCAACTCCGTCATTGCCCAAAGATCTCCTGGGAGGGCCTGGTGGATTTCGAACCTGCCTGAAATTTGGCGCGAGGATTGGGTGGTCGCAATACTTCGTATCTGCCAGGTGCCTATCGACACGCGCGGATCGGCTGTGGTATTTCCAAGGCCCGGCGATCTTCATACTTTCAAGACTTCTGTTGAGCGGGTATTCGATGCCTCCTTGCAAAGCGCCTCATGCAAACTAGGAGCACGACGGCGAGCTGACCTGAGGACTGAGGACTTCCTTGTACTCGGGTCTTCTTGAAAGCATTGGTCCCTGCTGGCGAGTGCTTATGGCACCCCAGCCTTTGGGGAAGATACTTTGCTACCGTTCAGGGCTGCAATCGGCCCCTGTCGGTCCCGTCAGCCCATACGTTCCTCGAGCGGATATAACGCTGCAATATCTTCAGCATGACGATGTTGCTCCCTAGGGCGGTTCCCTCGAGCGCCGTCACAGAGGTATCTGCTTCGACGTGAACGTCCTACCTTCGTCGTCGCAGCCCTCGCGTGTGGGTATGTGCTCCTTGAGTTGCGTTGGGTACTCAGCTCCAGCCGGCGCCTAGCGCTGATGAGCGTGGCGAATGCTCAGTGTTCGTTGTTGTGCTACTGCCTCAACGGGGACGATGCTCAAGGGATCCCTGGCCCGGTCCCCCTTGTGTGACGTCCCTTCTCGTGCGTAGACAACCTTGACGCTAAAGTCTTCATTGTGTGCGGATCTTTTGCATGCACGAGGGACTCTACCAGCTACGAAGAGGCGCCGCCCTTTAGTGCACTACGCGGTATGCGTTTGCCTGCGTGGCCTTCGCACAACTCAATTCAGACTATTACGAGCCTGTTGCCATAATTTTTCATCCCCCCTCATTCGTTGAGGCTTACGGACTCTTTGAAGACCAATTGTCCAGTCGGGAGACAAGTATATCACATATTGTTCAATTTTGTTTCGAAGGTGGTAAGTCCTTGCCTGTCTCAATTGTTATGATTTGTAACAGGAATACATTCACTCATTGATTTTTGTACACTTGAAGATCATGAAGCTTAGACCTAGGCGGTACAAACAGCACAACCGCGGAGCGTATGTTGATTGCATGCCGTGCACCATTGAGCTGTGTTGTCAACGGCTGCAGCCTAGACGATTTCTATCAGCATACTCCCACATCAATACCTAAAGGCTTACTGATAGGGTTGATATAAATTGCGAAATGGGGACCGCGGTCTGATTGTTGAATATGGGTAGAAGACGGGCATCGGTGGTGGTGCCATTCCTGAACGTCAGGCTCACGGTAGCTTCCCTATCGTCAGGCTTCCTAACTTCGAGCGCGACCGCGGAGGCGTAGTCAACTGTTTGACGCGAGAACATCAATGATTGGCCTAGCGATAGAATTATTGAAAGACGAACCAATGCCAAAGACATCAGGCGAGCCGGTAGGAACATCGGTGATGTTAAACAGACTAATGAATGGTTTGTAGCTGATCTGGTTGAGCGCGAATTTGAGCGGATCGGTCGAGTTGGCAATACGCTTCAGGTTCGTGAAGATGGACGGAAGGATTGTACGGATAGCAACTGGATTCCACCGAATAGTAAGCTAAATCGGAAAGACAAGGGATGTGGATATGATGCTTACTGTTACCGATACCGGACGGAGAGGTGTCGGAGAACACACCACGCTCGTGGAAGTTGCCCAGATCGTAAGCCTGGGCAGCGAACGTGGGAGGTAGACTTTGGAGGAAGGTCGCATTATGGATCATGTTGACGTTGACAAAGTCAAATATCTAATTGATTCTGAGATCAGCTGGACAGTGCCACGCGCCGGGGAAGGACGAGGCCACGTACATTGAACTGAATTGACGGGGTCCGTCAGTGTTCTCATCTGCTGCTCAAGGTGTACATATACGTACCATATTAGTGAAATTGACGTCGCGATCACCCAGGAAGGGCTTGAGCTGGTTCAGGAACGGTGCAGCTTCGGCAGCCTTGGCTAAGAACTCGGGAGAGTTGTAGAAGGCAGATGTGTGGAGTTCGAAGTTCTGTGAGAGTGTTTAGATTTTATTCGACCGATAGAATACCGGACAACATACAGGACAAGACGTAAAACTGTTCAAGGATATGTCCTGGTTAGGTTCAACGGATTCGACTACCAGTAAATATGGTCAATATAATTCCTGACCATATGGGTGGAGTGCTTACTGGGAACGTATTGGTAACCACCCATGGCACCCAGAACGGTGGTACCGTTTGCTAACGTAGTGCTGAACTGTGTGGTTGGCGGGTAGAATCCCTGGAGGAAGGCAATGCAAGACTCAAAGATGATGTTGCCTTCCCCAGCAGCGTCGGCGCGAACAATTAGTTGATTGATATCAACTAGGTCAGTGTTCAGGTCGTCGATGCGGTTGGGGCCAGGTTGAAGGTATCTTTGCCTAAAGAAATCCCCTTGGTTGAACGCTTGAACCTTGTGGATTCCGTCAATGAAAGAAATGCAAAGGTAATAGATGGAACCTACAGTGCCGAGAGGCGTGAGTGTCGTCTCCGATGGCGTATACGTCAAAGGATCTTGGAAGAATTCCAAACGATCGCCGTGACGAACAAGGAGGATGGCACCCAGCAAACCTGAGGCTAAGTTGACCATTATTTCGACAACGTCCTGAGCGAGGGAGTATGTAGAGTAGATCCGAAGAAACTGCAGAGCCAGGGAGAAACGACCAGGGAAAAGTCTTATTTATACAGAATTCTGCCTATTCATTTTACTGCCTTTCGACGCTCCGGCGTGGGCGGACCTGGTACGGGAGAACCTTGCAGGAATGACCGTACACATGCTCCATCATGGTGTCACCCTTGTTCGCCGCCGCCCAGCAGAACAAGCACTGCGCATGCTCAAGTCACTCCCTATATTTATCTTGACAGATTGCCGTACAGCATGTCTGGCCAGTTCATGTCGATGTCTTCTCACTAGCCCGGGCGCGAGTAAGTGTAGGTGAGAAAGATACACCTCTCCTGAGTATGGAAGCCGTAAGTTAGCCTTCGGGAAATATATCGACTGGTGCATGTGGCACTGGCAGTCTTGAAATGCCGTTGACATCTCTGGGAGCTTGGGCAGAATTTACAGCGCGCCGACTAGCCGCTGTTTCGCAGCAGGATACAATCGCGCCTGTGTGGCGTATCCCCGAACGTCCCTGTATGTTAGTTCAATCATGTATATTCATATAGACGAGTTGCTGTTGTCAGCGCCCAAACATAAACATAGTAATATCCAATTATCCTCACCGCAGGCAGAGCTGCAGAGGTTTGAACTTCCGCTTAAGCTTCAAGTTCGTCTATGTTCATTAAGATGGTTCGCTGAAGGAAACCCACTGGGAAATGAATTAGGAACCTTATAGGTGTATGCAACCTCAGGGTGAACCGGTGACGCGACTCTCGAACGAGCCTCGCAAGCGAGGAAGCGCAGCCACACGTTAGGGGCGCTCAGGAGCTTTGAATGAAGTCAAAGAACCATTAGATTCAGCACCGTAATGTAAGTAGTACGAAAAAGTAGGTAGGTTATTATACGGGTGCTACTCTATAAGTCCATACATATGTAGAGCGAAAAGGTGTTACAGAATGTAAGGCTGTCGAGTCTCGATCCACAAGGAAATCATTAGTTTGGGACATGATTATACAGAGGTCTCTTTTGGGGCGGGAACAGCCCAAGTTGGCATATAGTCAATGGCATATTTCGAAGACTTGGTCGGCTTGGGTAAGTTCGCGTTGTCGTCTCTATTTGATCGCAAGTTGAGTAGACGGAAGGCGTAGTATCGCGGAAACACGTACACAGTTGTTGGCGACGATGGTCTGGATCCATAGCCCGGCAAGTAATCAATGGCATATTTGGATGGATTCGGCTTCGGGGCAGTGGTGACAGGATACCCAGGTAAGTAGTCGACGGCGTATTTGGATGGATTTGGCTTTTTGGCAGTGGTAGTAGGTGCTGGCGACGCATCGTCGACATTGCCCTGGCCCTTGTTTGGTAAATAATCGATGGCGTATTTAGTTGGTCGAGGCACAGGCGCATCTACCTCACGCCCATTGAAATGGGATGGAACGATGGGACCGTGTCCGTAGATCGGGTGCCATCCTGGGATCCCTGGTGCTTCGCTGGATGAATAAAGTCAGCCTGAGGTATATTTGTATCGAGCGGTAGATTATCTTACCCCTCGATGGCCTTGGACTGAACAACAGGTCCAACGCCGTAAATTGATTGCCATCCTGGAATGTTGGCTTCTCCATCACTGTCGAATAGAGCTGAGTAACATGCCACCTTCGTACGGGAGGGTCGTACATACCGAGTGATAGGTGTGGGCGCTGCAATGGATAGCAAGGCAAGCGCGAAGCAAACGACGACAGCGAGTTTCATTGAGGAAGAGGTCATCGTTGATTGGGTTGTTTTGGTAGTTGTTGGGGTTGTAGCTGACTTTTCAAATGCAATGGGATGTTTTGATGATGGTACATCTCGAGGCAATCCAGAGATATTTTATACAGAATCGTTCCAGTAAAGGATCCCGTGAAATCTGAGCGAAGTGACCAAGGCTCCATGCAAAAGGCATCACTGTGGACAGCTTCTATCCACTTGCGCGTGTAGCTGGAAAGAGCTTTGGAGGCGGGTGTGTACCCAGACCGTCTTTGTGGGCACTAGATACACTGCATCGTTTGGGTGACTTGGAGCCGAAATAGACCTGGGGCTTTGCGGGGCTTTGCCGACTCGCTTAGCTGATTTAAAGCTCCAGGCAGACAAGGTGCACCATGTACACATTCGCTCGTGAAATTTCTGGGTCTCAGTCTCGACCGTCAGAGCAAGAGGTAAGTTAGAGAAGGGGGACGAGATATAGGCGTTGACTTCTGGTCTAGACGTATTATTAGCTTGGTGAGTCAGACAAAGTCCTTGGGTACGCACGACGGTCAACATTTGTTATTGTGATTGAAGTCCCCCTGCTTTAGAGAAGGCGGCGCTGCTGGACCGATTTTGCCGAGTACTGGACTTCTTCCCTTCCATCGAGGTCGAATCCACCCAAAACATCCCATTCTCAAAAGTATATGCCTCAGAAAGCCTGGGGCAAACCTCGGGCAAACACTGTGAGTGGTCGACGAAAAACATGTGGAAAAACGCTATTCAGTAAGCAACTTGCAGAGTCCTCCGGGGGTAAGTCATCGTCTCAATCCAACGAAGTTGCGGATATCCTCGACCAGAGTCGCTCGAGGTAGGGCTACACATTACCCTCGGTTCAGTCTTAAAAGCCCTACAATAGCTTGACGGGCAACGCGAACAGTCGCGACGACGCGACTGTGTGTAACAGGGGCTCAGGGATGGTCACGTTTGCGGGGATATTTTCTCCGGTAACTTCGTCGCCCATATGCCGGCAACGGGATGAGGTACGACGACCACTAATATTTGTATTGGGAGGACCGGGATACTATATAGTCTGCCTAGTATCTGGTCCCCCTTCAAGCGATCTATACGCCTGCCAATCATGGCACCCGCTCAACGTCGCCTGAACCAGCTCCAGAAAGAGCTAGTGCCAACAAGAGCCTCCGTCGGCACTCTGAAGCTCGGGAGCATCAATTTCGACGTACCGGAATCGTTGGCACCTTCAAGATTACCCCACACGAAGGACTTGCTGGACATCTATGACCCCGTCAACCTCGATAACCTGCATTTCATGCTGCAGAAGTATCTGCTCGGCCAGGATATATTTCTGGTATCGCAGCCCGGGCCATACGCCCGCAGGCTGGCTTTGACTTTTGCGAGGTATGTATTTCTTCATGGCTTCATTCTTTGCGCCAAAGCTCACTTGTCGAAGGATGATCAACTCTGGGTTCGAACATATAACTCTTCATAGAGATGTCGGCGAAACGGAATTGAAACAGGGGAGGGAGATTAGAGAAGGTGGAAACCTAGTCTATGTTGATAGTCCGGCCGTTTCTGCTGTTAAGCACGGTCGACTTCTTATCCTAGAAGGAATAGAGAAGGCTGAACGGGGTATCATGCCAGTGAGTTTTGCTCAAACGTTCCACGTCTTGCATCAATTGAATCGGAATCTCTCAGGTCTTGAATAATTTACTAGAGAATCGTGAAATGTAAGTACAATGGCGAGTTAGTCGATTTCTTCCTTATCACCACATTTAGGAATCTAGACGACGGAACACACATTATTCACCCACACCGATATGCACTATTAGACACAGATAGAGACGACACTACCGGGAAACTATTTATCCCAGCGCACAAAGATTTCCGAGTCATCGCAATAGCCGCCCCCGTCCCACCATACCCAGGGTACCCGCTCGATCCCCCCTTCAGAAGTCGCTTCCAAGCCCGGTTTATCGACCCCTTGGGTGCCGCAATGGCCCTCCATAAAGCGGTAGAATCACCATCACCACCCTCCATCTTCACCAAGCTTCGCGATTTAATCCTATCCACCCAATACGCTAGCGAATCGCGACATGCTCTTGAAGCTATTTCGAGGAGCACACTCCCGCCTTTCCCTCAGACTTCACTGCTTAGACTTGGGGCCTTGGTCACGATGTTCCCACCTCCGGATGAGCTTTCGCCAGGCCAACTCGCCCGAGTAATTCTGACAATACATCCTGCTCTTATTCATGCTCAGTTCCAAGCATGGGCTATCCTCGGCCGACAGGTCGAAGAAGCTGGCTTGGGTAGATTGGGCGCCCCATCGATGTTCGACAGCGACGAACGGATAGGATTGCTCGGATACCGCGTCGAGGGCATCAAACGCGTTTCCAATGATACTGCTGAAGTTACCTTCACTCCACCACACAAGGCTCCCCCAGTTTCCGTGACCGTCCCAGCTGGGCCGAAGGAGTTCAGACAATACCCATTAGTCGCTGATCGGGATTTCCATGTTACTGAGCGCTTCGTAGGACTGCTGTCTTGTTTTCTACAAGCCCATGCCCTAGGGTGGGATATCTCGTTGATCCCACCTGCTTTGCCTTCAACTGCGTCGTCTTCATCGTCGACCCTCGTAAAGGCATTCGGCCAACTCCTCGGGTACGAGACCGACGTGGTACACATGTACAAGGAACTTGGAGGTCGTGAACTAGTTATGCGTAGGATGATTGAGGACAGCGGGGCAACGAAATGGGAACCTAGGTCTCTTAGATGCCACCTCCGCATATGTCTCTTTCTGACTTTCTGTCTGTAGCCCTCTCATCGAGTCGGCCTGGCAAGGTCGTCTCGCCCACCTCAGCGGTTTAGACGTGATAGGTTCGACGGCTGGCTCCCTCTCTCGTTTATTCCAGGACCGTGAAATTGAGCTTTGGGAGGGCCAACGTCTTGTTGCAGAGAAGTATCCAACTGATGTACGAATTTACAGCACATCATCTGGTGGTATATATTGACTCAAACACTCTACAGGGCCTTGCCGAAGATCTATCCGTTGCCCATCCTTCCTTCCGTGTGATTGCTACCCCCTCCAAATCCACCCCCCTACGAGACTGGGTTTCTGACGAACACTCAAACATGTTCTTCCCCATTCCCAGTCAACCCATGGATGTCGAGGAAGAACGCTTCATCCTTCTCGCGACTGGTTGTCCTTCCGAAGCTGTTGAACAGCTACTTGCCTTCGCGGATAAATATCGAACAAGCCTGTCGTCGGACAACGTCCAGAAGAACCGAAAACTCGGCACAAGGTCTCTCGTGCGCATCGCCCGTAGAGTTGCGATGTTCCCCGAGAACTGCGATTTGCACACTATCGTTGGACGCTCATTGTTGGCAGAGTTTTTACCTGCGGTCGAACGGCTCAATCTCATGACTCTCCTCGAAGAATCTGGGATTAGACGACAAACTCCTCCAGTAGGTTCCAGCCATTTCTTCGTCTTTGCTTGTACTGACGTTATCGTGAACAGTATTACCCCCCTCCCATCACCCAAAGCAAGGTTGTCTTCTTCCCAAGGCCCACCAACACAACCGGGAAGCCCACGCATTCCACCTCTATCCCCCGCTTCAACCCTGCGAACGACCCCGAGGGCGTAGCCACCCATGTCCCGCATATGGACCACTTCTACAACAACAGCCTCCAAACCGGGCTCATGAGAGAGTTGGCGGTAGACTTAGAGCTTCTCGGCGAGCACCTTGTCCTCCTGGGAAATCAGGGCGTCGGAAAGAACAAGATCGTAGACCGGTATGTTTGTTGTTGGTTAAATCACTAGTGAGTTTACTGAACGCCCGTTTGATATTTTTCAGTCTTTGCCAGGTTCGCTCTTCCATCTTCCCGTGATGTATCTGTAACTTACCACCCAACAGCTCCTTGGTAGACCACGAGAGTATATCCAACTCCATAGGGACACCACTGTCACTCAGTTGATGTACACGACCTCTCTTGAATCCGGGGTCATCAAGCACACCGACTCTCCTCTCCTGCGGGCCGTGAGGTTTGGGCGTGTCATCATCATCGACGAGGCGGACAAGGCTCCTGAACATGTTGTCGCGGTCTTCCGTAGTCTCGCAGGTCAAAGCGAGATGACACTCTCCGACGGTCGTAGAATTCGACTTACGAAAGAGAAGGATAGCGACATCCCCGTGCACCCCAACTTCAGGCTTATACTGCTCGCGAACAGGCCTGGTTATCGTGAGTTGATATACAGACCATCTACTCTTGTCGAAGTGACACTAAATACGATATCTTAGCTTTCTTGGGCAACCACTTCCTTCAGGTCCTCGGCGAGAATTTCAGCGCCCATTCCGTATCCAACCCCGATCAACTCTCGGAGCGGAGACTGCTTAGTCAATTGGCACCTGGAATCGATGAAGATATGATCACTAGGCTGGTCGGTGTTTTCCAAGACCTCAGGCGCGGTTACGACGAAGGAACCTTGAGCTATCCTTACTCGTTAAGAGGTAAGAAATGTCCCTCTGTGAAGGAGTAGTGGTTAACGTTGTATCGCAGAACTCATCAACATTGTTCGCCACCTACAAGCATTCCCAGAAGATAACCTTGGGGAAGTCCTTCGCAACGTCTTCGACTACGATATCTACAAGCCGGAGACGATTGACAAGTTGGCTGAGATATTGGATCACCATGGGTAGGGCACCGTAGTTAGAGACCATCACCAGGACTGACTGATTGTAGATTGAAGGTGCCACATTTAGGCCTCGACGCTGCCCGCGAAGCTGTGAAAAAGATCCAAGATGTGCAGTTCGACCCTAAGGAGACGGAACTAGGCGAGCCTAAGGAAGGGAAAGATGATCCTAACAATGAAGAGCATCAAGGCGGCAATACCTGGGCGGGCGGCGTAGGTCCATCATAACCTTTTATTCGCCTTTCGCTTACAAGTTTCTAGACTGGCGGTCGGGATACAGCTGGACTTGGCGGTCGCGGTGGTTACAAGCGACTATACAAGCCTGGCCATGATATAAAGCAGGTATCCGATGAACTCAAGGAACAAGTGCCAGACCATGTCAAAGATCGTGCACGCGAGATGGCTCGTCAAGAGCTCCAACGTCGATTGGACGAACTGGAGATGAACATCAGAGAGGTGAAAGGGTATAGCGAACTCCTGACTGCTACGCAGGCTCACATGCTTGCGTTGTTTGATCTACTCGAACGTGAGTGATGTTGTGTACCCTACATTTCGGTTCCTTACCTCTGGTATCATAGATCTGGCCGCAAAAGAAGAAGAACGTGTTTGGATTAAACGTCAGACTGACGGTGAACTAGACGATACCCGACTCACAGAAGGCTTGACCGGTGAATCGACTGTGTACAAGCGCCGTGGTATGGAGAAGCCTGAACTAGGCCGACCTCAGATGAAGTATGTTGCATCTACCTTCCTACGACTTTGAGTCCTTACCCATGCGCCATAGACCCAAACGTATCCGCTTCATCTTTGATGTCAGTGGTTCTATGTATCGCTTCCAGTACGATGGGCGCCTGCAGCGGAGCCTGGAGACAGGTATGTTGTACGACTAGGATCTGTCTCCGCCTCTCTGACACCTACCCGCATCTCAGCTGTTATGCTGATGGAGACATTTGACAAGCTTTCTCGCAAGGACAAATATGTTTGGGATGTTCGTATTTGCACCTCTCCTGGCGTCGCGTTGCTGACCATAACTTGACAGATGTACGGCCACGTAAGTCTCGCTCGATGGAGGTTGTCAGTTGATCTAATTTGACGCAATGTTTTTGAAGTCTGGCGACGGTCCCGATATTCCACTCGTTGAAGCCGATTCACCTCCACCAGAGGTCAAGGACCGTTGGAAGGTGGTCGAGAAAATGAACATGATACCGCAATACGCTTTTTCTGGAGATTACACGGGCAAGTAACCTACCAGGCATTTTATCTTTCTCAAAGTCTAACGAATTCTGCAGTCGAAGCTATCGAGAAAGGTGTCAACGACGTTGCTCAATATGATGCAGGTAACTACCAGTATTAACACCTTCGATGTTACAATCCGCTCACATTCTACAGATGACTGGTTCGTCATCGCTATCACGGTGCGTCCACAACAAAAATGAGATTATCCAACCACTCATTCATGTTTATCATTTTCGAAGGACGCAAACTTTGGAAGATACGACATTACTCCCGAGCAGTTGAAGCGTGTAATGAATCTCCGACCCAAGGTGCACACTGCATTGATATGCATTGGAGAGGGGGCGGAGTCGACATGGTGCGTATTCCCCAAACTCTGTGAGGAGTATAATCTCAAGACTGTCGCAGGGTTACAAAGGCCCTACCAGGGAAGGCATTCCGGGTGGAGAACACTGGCGACATCCCCAGTGTTTTGCGGAGTATCCTGTCGACGATGGTAGACAGATGATACTGCCTCCTCATCATGATTACCATTTGTAATTTACGCATATGAATAGATAATCTACTCTTTGATAGTCGCAGCACCTCTCTGCAGTGGGCGACACCATTGCTCTGTTTGGTTTGTGGGGTGCTTAGTCGACGCCCCTTTCTCCTAAATCTCTCCCTGTTTCGCTCAAAGCTTCATGTTACGACCCAGTGGCTCATTCGATCGAATGCTTCAATTTACAACGTAAGACGTAGGTGAACAGACAACAGGCCTTGTGCACTATGATGAATTCTGACGAACTCTACTTTTCAGTACTACCAACTTTAACACCCACTGAGGCAGTCGTGACTGAGAGTCAGGTTCCACGAGCCAGTCGCGCATGGGGCACTTCGGCTGGCTGGAGCCTTGAAGTCAGCTATACGAGCCGGAAGCACTTCACTAAGCTCCAGGCCCCAGTATCGCAAATGAAGCAGTGTATCTAGTTCTCGCAATTTTCCCCCGCGTCTCCGAGCGTCCTCCCGCCTCCAAGGCCTCTTTCCGGCTGCACGCAAGCTGCCCATAGTTGTGCTTTTGCTTGGAGTGTTGGTCACTTCGCTCACATTCCACGGGATCCTTTACTGGAAGTTCCAACGCCATACCGGGAGCTCATTCTGCCAGCGAGAGCATTTGGCACTTAAAGTTAAAAGGGGCCCACGTGACTGTGCGAGATCATACAGAAGCGGCAAGCCCACAGCTCGACTCGAGGCTATCCAACTCAGACTCTCTTTCTTCTGCTTAACATTATCTTTATGTCTGACTTTGACGATATTGGTGACGAACTTCTCGAGCTCGCGGGGGATGGCGACAAGAAGCGCAAAAAGAAGTCCTCTCATAAGTCTTCCAAGCGTCGTAAAGGAGAGTACGTGCGCTTGATCTGCTCCGTCCCGAATATATACCAATTACCAGCACCCTAGCCCCATGGATTCTCAATCAGACGAGGAAGTTCAGGAGGCTCTAGACGTAGTCAACGATCCATATCCTCTCGAAGGCAAATACAAGGATCACGCCGACAGAGACCGGTAAGCTTGTAGTCTGTACGTGTTATATCACTACTTGAAGGTGGCAATTGGCAGACTACTGGGTATGAGCGAGTTTGACCGCGAACACACTCTGGCACTCCGTTCAGAAGAGATGGAGCGCCATCGTTTCCAGCAGAGCGTCAGCGCAAAGTTAGCGCAAAGCAAAGGGGACGACAACGTTGCCCATGCGGCCAAAAGTATACCTAGACATCTCTTTCCTCGCTTTTTTAGTTTTCTCAACCTACACTAGGGCAACATACTGCGCGAGGCGCTACGAAGGAAAAAACACGTCGGCTGGAGGAGCTTAAGGCTCGTCGGAAAGCTAAAGGCGAGAGGGATCGGGTGAGCCTTAGCTCTCATGAGTGTGTTCGTCTACTTCATGTAATTTCGCAGACCAAAACTGGGTCTCCGAAGAGGGACCGTTCATCGTCTCCGATGGATATGGAAACATCTGATGAAGAAGACGAGGACGGCCAGATCAGTAAACTCGAGCAGGAAGATGAGAAGCACTCCAAGTTATTTAACAAAGCCCCCCCTGCGCAAGAGGAGAAAATATGCAGAGCAGACCTCGAGAAGTGTCGCTTGACGCGGTCTATGATCTCTCGTAATTGTCTTCGCCCTTGGTTCGGGGATCTCCTTAAAGGTAATCCTGATTTGATCCTATACTCTAATTCTCACCTATCTAGGTGCATGGGTGCGATACCTCATTGGCAACACCAACGGCGTCCCCATATACCGCGCCTGCGAGATCTTAGGTACAACCCTTCTGCCGCAACTAATCAGTTCATTTATTCTGCTTAGGCCTGGTTTCCGAGGGCGTGAAGACGTACAAAGTGGATGATATCCCTGTCCATGTCTCTTTCGAACTCAAGTATGGGAAGGCTATCAAGATCTGGCCTATGGATCGCGTGTCCAACGCCCCCTTCTCCGATGTTTGTGCAGAGCTCATGGATTTCTTGGCATACCTGACGCGCCGTTGCAGAAGGAGTTTGAGCACCTCGAGAGAACTTGGCAAGGCGATAAGGAAAAGTTGCCTTCCAAGTTCGACGCAGAGAAGAAGGCTGCAAGTATAAATCAGATGATCTCGCAGCCCATCACAGAGGTACGAGTATATGCCTGCTCTTAGATGCGTGTTGAATGTGTCCCCTGTCCAGAGTGACCTGAATCTTATGTTGGAGAACAAGCGCAGTCTTCAACCACACAAACAATCTTCAGCAGCGCTAACGCTAGAGCGCTCTCAGCTCAATGCTCAGAGGACACTTGCTCTTCGAAGGCATGATGATACCGAAGTTGCTGAGCTCGATGCTAAGATCCTGGAACTAAACGGGCGCTTGGGCCAGCGTCCGCCGACGACCGCAGTTGATGAGCTTGCGAAACTTAATGAACGCAACCGTAAGGCAAATGCAGAGGCCGTTCGTAAAGCGGAGCTCTGGGAAGCCGAGCGCAAGCGCAGAGAGAGAAAACGGGTGCAAGCTAATGGGGCCCTTCCTCAAGACCCGAGTGCCCGCCTCAAAACCGTTCCACGCGTCTTCAACGCTGCAACCCCTTCTTCCAGGTTTGTGACGTTCCCCTTCTTTACTTGCTGTTATATGCGGCCCATGTCATTCGTTTCCATCCCGTTTTATCGTCTAGGCCCGGAACTCCTGCTGCTGGCAGCCCTCACCTGAATGCACAAGCTGATGTCAACGGGTCCTCTGCCTCTCCTCTGCTTCCTGCCTTAACTTCAAACGACACCGAACTTAACATTTTCGCTGCTGTCGACGTCGATCTCGGGGACTTTTAGGATTAATGTACAAGCTGTCGTCCATCTATATGCTCTGTTACTGTATACTCTGTAGTTATTATTCGGGTCCAAACACGTGTATGATAAGATAAGATAATTTGTCTCAAACCTAAATCTATTTCTCGCGCACGTACCGGCGCTCATCTCTTTGTCGAACTTTCATATCTTGGACTGTGGCCGTCGTCGTGCGCCACGATGCCAGGCTCAGCGAATTCCCTGGGATCTCTCAGTTCTCCCTCGCCCTCACTCTCCCCACCTCCCGCCGAATCCTCGAAGCAGCCAGAAGCAGCCAGCAACGGCCTCGGCACCGACTCGGACTTGTCTGAACTCACAGAAGAAGAACAAGAGACAGAAAAACAGAAAAGCAAGCAAATTAAGGCTCAAAGAGGCTCCGGGCACTCTCATCCACGAGTACGTCGCCCAACTACTCATCAGCCACGGCGGGGCCGCAAGAAGCGTGGGGGAACGCTGGTCCCCCCTGCTATGTGGGGGTGGGTTCCTAAAGCCGTTGAAGAGGAGGAAGAGGAGGAACTGGCTGGTCCGCCACGAGCCATGGAAGAAGAGGAGGATGACGAGGATGCCTCTGGTGCTGGTCGCTCTTCTGGCCATAGCCGATCAGCGCACCCCGCCAGGCAGGACGATGACGATGACGAGGGTGAGCCCGAGATTGATGTTGTCCCTCGTGACGCCAACGACCCGGAATCTGTTGAAGGTGACAACGACGCTACTGAGTCGGGCGACGAGGAACCCGTCTACCCCAAATCCCAACGGAGCAGGCTGATCCGCCGACCGACTGCTAGAAAACAAGACCCAGACGATTCCGACTCGTCGGCTTATTCTGCAAGCGGGGCAACGCCCAGGGACCCAGAGAACGACGACAGCGATTCGGCTTCTGAGCACCATGTAAAGCCGGACGAAATAGAAAGCGAAGACGAGACTGAACCCGAAGGGCCCAAGGAGTCGCCGCTGGACGTAGCCAATGCCAAATCACCGGCGGGCGACGCGAAGAAACCAGTTGTGGCGATACCAGCGGTGGATGATAGCATGGATATCGACGCGACTGCTCCTCCTGTTCATTCCGTAGCGCCCCTTGTAACTGCGGCCGCACCCTCGTCAATAATGGCCGGATCTGCTGTTGTCGATGCACCGTCACCCGTATCTTCTGCATCTTCTGCTGCCAATTCGCCCGCCTCTTCCCGGTCACCTTCACCGGCCCCCCTTCCCCCTCAGTCACCACCAGACGAGCCCCAGGAGAACGACTCTCGCACAACGAAGGATTCCAAGTCGCTACAGAATGGGACTAAGGAACCAGATGAAGGTACTCCCCCTCCAAAACACGTCCCTCCTCCTCTCGACCTGGCGAACAACATCGCAGAAGTTGTTGAACAGGACGGTGAACCAGACTTGGAGCCAGACCCCGATCCCGATCGCTCTGCGGAAGATATAGATGTCGATGAAGCATCACCCGACAACGATCTGGAAGCAGAACTGGAAGCAGACCTACAACCTGCACACAGGGCGGAAGCATTAGACGTATTAGCGACGATCGAACTCAAATTCGCCTTGCTTCGGGAGCGATTGTACGTAGAAAAGATGGAAAGCCTGGCTTGGGAAGAGAGCCTCGTAATGGATGGTAAGTTCACTATTTCGTTGCTCAAAAATCGCACTCATCACCCCTACAGGGACCCATCCGGAGCTCATTCATCTGCACGCTGAACTGTCGAGTCGGCGAGACAAGCGTATAGAGCTTGCGACCCGTAAACGGCAATTCGAAGTGACCAGCGTAACTAAACGTCGGAAATTGGATGAACATGCAACCTGGTCCTGGTGGAAGGTTCGGATTCTGTCCTATCTATACCTACCTGTCTAATATTTATCCTTCTAGTTCACCCGTGATGCTCTGCAAACGGACATGATTTCGGAAACAAACCGTCGGCGTAGGAAGCTCGAACGCGATCGTAAAGCGCTGGAAAGACCACAGCCAAGTCAGTTCATGACATGTAAACAATTGAACTTCATTCACACATATTTACAGTCCGAAGAATGCCTCAGCCTATTCAAGACCTGCCGCCAGCGCCTACTCTGCGACAGATTGCAAAGTCCTTCCCTCAGCCACATCGTCAGGAGGCCAAGCTCAACACTGTTGTTGGGAACCCGCTGTTCTACCCTGAAGTGACGTCACTTTCGACTGATGAAGTTCACAGTGATATTGGGCTCATATATCAACATCGTCGGGCAACTCACGGTTTTGGGATGGCTATGAACGCTCCTCTACACGCCGCGTATGAGCAAACTGAAGGCTTCGGTATACCGTCGCCGTTTTCCCGCATGCCCCCGATGCCACCTTCTCAAACGCAGCAGGGATTTCCCGAAGGGAGAGCGATGCCCCCTCATCCGATAAATAATCATCACCTTCATCACCCTCAGTCGTTCACAGATCAGGAAACTGGTCCGTCTAGTCAGCATGGCCTACATCCTGCATACTTCGGACCAGCTCAGTCCAATGGGGTTTATGGGGGTCAAAATAGTCGCCGATCGATATCTCCTGTGAACTTAGCACCGAACGGGGGGAACCCAAAGCAGAATGGATCGTGGCCTGGCATCCATCCTGCTGCTGCTGGACCAATGAAGGGCGGCGAATGGGGAAACGATATGGGTCGACGCGACCCCACGTACATGGAAGATGACGACCGAATACGAACTGGCCGTAGAGACCGGGACAAACGGGACAGGGAGAGAGACCAGGAGCTTGATCGTTCTAAAGACCACTTCTTGGCTCATCCCCAAGCATCACAGAGTCGACATCCCGGCGCACCGCCGCCTCCACCGCCGCAACCCGTACAACACGCTCATCCGCATCCGCATCAGTCACACCACCATAATGGACCTCATCACCATCACCATCACCACCACCATATAGTGCATCATCATCATAATCCTTCTAATCCTCCTTCCATTATATCTAACGGTCCAGCTCTCAGTCCAAACCATATACCTGCAAGGGATTTCGACACTGGACGCCCACAATCGGGACCCATCCTCCCAACGGAAGTCATTAATTTATCGTCAACTCAACCTACGCCATCCCACTGGAAGAACGACGACTCGTATGCGGACTACCGTGACGGTCGCTCGAAAACCAGCGGTCGAGCGATCCCAAGTCCTCAAATTATAGACGAACGCGAACGCGACCGCCAACTCGCGACACCTTTCGTGTTGAGCTCATCTGCTGCCCATCAACAGCAGGCTCACACCTCTCACACGCCGAATAATGGCATGCGCTCACCTCGGGGATCCTGGGCCAGTGAAGACCCAGGCCTGCGTCTCCCTCCTCCATCCACTAGTACGAACGTCCATGGCTACCCAGATAATAGTCCCCGCTCGCCTGGCTCGTCTCGACACCGCGCAGGCCCTTCTCAACCTAATCGAGGGGTGCCAGCAAGCCAGAGCTCCCTCGGCCTGTCACCTCCACGAACGAGGTCTATCCCAGAAAGTCCCTCTCTGACATCTAACCATGCCTCGTCTCTGCAGTCGCCCCCACGATTTGGTGCTCCGCCTTCTGGCCTTTCACCGAATTTAAAGATGCTTCGCCCGGGTTCCCCACCTTCTCTACCATCATCAAGTAAGATCCACAGCTCAGCCTCCGGTGGCGCAAATGCTGCACCCTCAGGATCTTCCACATATTCACCGCGGCTGGTAGGGCCAGGACGTACGACAACACCTACCGGTGTTGAACCGAGGCATGGCAGTGCACCCAGCAACGTCAACGTGTACAACAGCAGTCGAACGGCATCCCCGTTAACGAGTGGGTTGCCATATCATTCGCCATCGATGCAAGTGAGCATGCCCACACCGTTGCCGTCGAGATCATCGGGTGGTAACATCAACGGAATACTCGGGGACAGAGATCGAGAGCGTGACTGGGAACGCGAAAGGGAGAGAGAACGACGCCTCCCATCGCCACGATCCCCTATGCTGGCCCCCACAAAAATGCAAGTAGCGCAGATAGTGGATGGACACTGATTGTAGGAATGGAGATTATACCATATATTATCTTGGATTCCCTTCGGTCGAGGTTGTGTTCTCTATGTTGTGCTAACGATTTACAATTATTACTTCCTTCTATAGTGCCATACCTTTGTGTTTCTTATTGTATTTGCTTTGAAAGGAACTGTGAAAGAGGATCCAAGCGGACTGTAAGTGGCAGTAGGTTCCGTTACGTGTGGGAGGAAACGACTGGTTATCACGACTATGCTGCTGTGCGGTGGTCACCAGGCAGCCGCGGGGCAAGCGCGGTAGCAATAAGAAATGCGAGCCTCGATGCGGAAGCAAAGGATTCAAGCTCGTGGCAATGGGCAGCACGGCGGCGGCCGATCGCCAGAGGTGGTTACATCTACTTCTAAAGTTCTACCCACACCAAATCGCCGCATAGGATTTGCTCCGGAGGTATTTGCCGCCAAGTTCTGTAGATGTTCTGACAGGACAGCTAGGGAAGGATATGATATAAGCAGCGATTGCGTTTACGAGCACATGGCCATGGCGTGGCATAGGCATGGATTGGGCACGCGTGAAAGAACCGTCTGATGGCTGAGTGAGCAATATCAATACCGTTGAGCAGGCTTCGTGCGGGCTGGGATTGAGATGCCGCCAAATTCTAGTTTTGGGGGCCAGCGTGGTGTGTCTTCGGGTAAGGACGAATTGAATTGTCAGGGTATGTCACCTTGGGAATATTTTCCTCGAGATTGCCCCGACGAAGGAGTTTTTGGCAAAAGAGTGCGGTGCTGACGTCAAAAACAAACGGTTCTCGGTGCGCCTATTTTAAGCATTAGGATTGGATGAGAACTGGCACTGCACTGTGCATGGTCGACGGCGGAGAAACTGGAGGAAAAAAGACTCACAACAATACACTCCGACCTAGGGTAGCTTGGGAACATTGCCTGAGAATATCCGGACAGGATAGGGATGGTCACCATCTTGTTTTGAGATTTGCAAAATATACAAGTCATTTGGGAAAAGGCTGGGAGACCAGTGGACCACGGTGCCAGTGCTATGCGACCACATGCTCGTTTCCTAGGTATACTCGTTCCCAACCGTGTAATGTGCGAGCTGCGGGGAAGTTCAGCAGTGATATTCCTGAGAAATAAATCTGAATACAAGTCGCTCTGTTATCGTCGATTAGAAAGAGGGTGCACAGAAATTACAACTCCGCGAGTGATCGAACAGAAACGGCCGCCGGCTCCGATCACTTTGGTGCTCTTCGGAGTCTGTAATCGGAGGAGCCGGCAGCACATGGCCGCTTTGAGATCGAGCAGCCGGACCTGGTTCAAGTTGAAATGGCGCATTGATATGTTTCCATTTCGCGGGTGATTCCAGAACCAATTCCAAGGTGAACCACTGTGACTTTTGATATTTATGACCGTATACATGCAGTCTCCCTGTAAGTGCTTACCCCCGGTACCTCGTCTTGCCCCGTGTGCCACAGCATCCGCCAATGAGCAGCACAAACGCCTCTAATGCCAGTCTGTATTTTATATCAGAATTACCGAGGACTGCCCAGATTCATCATCGACATCCCATTGTCAAGCTAGAGGCTTCTTCTTCCCCCGATTTGCCTCCGGACGCTCCTACCCAGCTATTACATCTCCAATATCTCGCCTCTCACCTCGATCAATTCCCCCTTGACTCCCATTCTTCCTCCGCAGGCCCCTCAGAGCCCGCAACCCCAGTCAGCTCATACAACGCGTCTGCGCCCCCGCTCTTTCGCTTTGGCCAAAAGCCTGGCCACAATTATATGTCAACTCAGTCCTGGCCTTCCTCCTCGATTGGTTCTCCTGATCTCTCTGCAGGGCCAAGCGACACGATATACAGAACAAAGCTTGACCTCGGCGCTATGCATCACCACCATAGCACCGTTGCCTTTGATGAGTATGATGATGATGTCTCTGAGCTCGTCGACATGGCAGGCGCGTCAACGAGCCATGGGGGCTCGGCGCATGACAAATCCGTCAGACGTCGAAGCAGCAAAGGTGAGCGCATGTCATACACATGTTTAACCACCGTCCAATGCTTAACCCCGTTCTACCCATCAGCTTGTGACCAATGCCGCAAATCAAAGTGTAAATGTGAACGGACTTCACCCAACGAGCCTTGTCGTTCGTGTGTCACTCTTGGAACCCGTGAGTGTTGGCATCTTTCTCATTTACGTCACCTTGCACCACTTTTGTTATCTGCTGTTCCACTTGTTTTTACCATTTCGGTCGCATGCTGGGACTAGCCTCCTTGTCTATTCTATTTCACGCTTCCACGAAGCAGGGCTTAGGGCGCGTTGTTCAAAGACCCACATCAGACCACTGGCTGTTCGTACCTCTACGTATGATCCATCCATCGTGGCTTGACAATCCCTTTTATTCGTTTCCTCTCACGATTTCGTTCCTCGTCTACCACTTCCCCGAAATTCCCACTTCTTTCCTTCAATCGCTTCGATAACGCTCACGGTTCTTTCTTTATTTGCGTCCGTATAGCATGTACCTTTTTGGGACCTTCTCGAAAACGCGGACCGCCCAAAGGGTATATCGATGCCATAGAGGCGCGTCTCCACCAAACGGAAGCCCTCCTTGGTATTGTCTTGTCTTCGAGCGACGAGCGGGCACAGACCCTGCTACACGATCTATCACAGGTACGCCCGCCTTCTAGTCTTACTGAAATTCGGCAATGCTGCTTTCACACATTTCACACCTCCATTTCTACATATGAGGTCCAACATATATCAGAGCTAGAGCCAGCTCATCCAGGGTGGCCTCTTCTGCATGGCTCCTTACGTTGTTGCCGCCGCTCTACTTCCTTTGGACAAACTCTATTGTTATTTCGCCGGTCTGACCCTTGCCTTTCTAGGATCCTCTCGCTAAGGAAATAATTAAGCGAGTTGATAATTCGTCCTACGGCTGTCAGGGTCGCAAGCGAGGGGACAGTACAGGTGGCACCAAGCGTCATCCTGCTTCCAGCTCTGATTCGGCGCATGCACAAACGTCCGGAAAATATACGGCAGACAAAATCGACCTCCAATCTACACAGTGAGTCAAATGATTCTTGGCTAGCTACTTCGAGTAGGACTTCCAATTCTGATTGAATTCTTTAGTCCGTCCAATGAGTGGCAGGATCACGTTTTGTCTATTCTCCGTTCCGCTTCCATGATGCGGGGTACTCTCATACAAGGTGACCCTGAAACCCAAATCTCGCCGACAGAAGGCCGCGCGCATCGAGACGTTTCCTCCGCCTCACGTCCCGCTCCCCCTACACTCCGTGTCGCTCTACCTACCGATGATCACAGCGACGATGAACGAGATCAACCCATTCGTAGGCAGAGGCGACGCGTGGACACCGGCGATGCTGACTCTTATGCTTACGCCGCCGTATCTTCCAGGGACTCCGCATCACCCATCTTTTTATCTAAGCTGCCTCACGGTTCGGGAAGCTTGGGAAGGGGATCAAGTCCCTCATACCGACATCATCGCGATAACAGAGACAATGGCGACGGGAGACGACAATACAGGCAGACCCCCAGCTCAATGGATTCAGCCAGTTCAGGTTCAGAAGACGAACTTCCTGAAGCTGTCGGTCAGCTGAGCCTGAACGAAGACGAACAAGTTCGCTATCACGGGAAGGCGAGCGGCCTGTATCTCCTAGGCACTACGGAACGAAATGATGGAAGGAATGCCGCTGGAATATGGTTTGTTTCTTTTCATGTACGTGTCAAGCGGAAGTTTACTCACAACTCGTGATAGGCGATTTCCGAAAGCAAGGGTATGGCCCCCTCTACCGGATGCCCATAACTCTGGGGCCCTGCAATCGCAGGAGGACTTTCGCTCCACTCTCCCCGCGGTTGAGGATCAAGAACATCTCATCGAGCTCTATTTCACGTATGTACACCCCTCCTTCCCAATTATTCACAAGAAGTCGTTCCTTGAAACTTACAAAACGGGGTGAGTGATGTATTCTTGGCTTTGCATTGGAGTTTATGTTTATTTTGCGATATGGTCCAGAATGGTCGGACCGGAAGAAACCCATTCTCCCCCGCCGGATCCCCATGCGGCCTCTACCTCTACTTCGTCACCCACACCTCCGTACACAAGTCGTCGGCAACGGCGCGTGCCCGTGCTGCTTCTTCTTACCATTCTCTCTGTCGCCTCGCGCTTCCAAACGACTGCCAACAGCAAACCACCCTATCCCTCCGATGGCTCAACTATGTGGGCAGCTGGAGACGAGTACTTGGATCAAGCAAAATTGCTCCTAGATAGGTGCTATTCAAGCTCAAAGCCTGCAACATGCCAGGCGCTGCTGTTGATGGGCTATCGTGAGATTGGCATTGGTGCCATGGCTGAGGCGTGGACGTACACTGGTATGGCCATCCGCATGGCGCAGGATTTGGGACTTCATCGTAGTGCTGATGGCTGGGCGCGTGCGGAACTGGGAGGCCGCCTCTTCACTGACACTGAGCTTCAGGAAAGGAAGCGAATCTGGTACGGTTGTGTCGTCATGGACAAATATGTCTCGACGTATATAGGTAAACCCTTCCTCCAGCGTAGCTGTCAACACCCACTAAGAATACATCAGGTCGCCCTCTAGCTATAATGGAGAGCGACTTCGATACAACCTTGCCAGACGACGACGATGTTGGTCTGCACCATGCCCCGACATATGCCCTAACTGACCACCTACTACATAGATTGAGGAGCATGCACTATGGAAGCCCCACCCCTCTCAGCCAATTCACGGCACCCCTCTCCCTCCAGTTCCCGGACGTCTCATGACATGCTTTAACGCCTCTGCTTCCCTCTGTGAGTCCGCTGTCGGTAACGACTGTGCTTATCTATCGCTAATGTATCCGCCCAGCCAACCTTATAGGCGATATCGTTGTGGGAATCTATGCTGTCCGACCACTCTCAAGTCGCCATGGAGCGTTGGCTCGTCTTGAAAGGGAGCTGGACAAATGGTATCTTGATCTTCCCGAACATCTACGGTGCGACATCGGGTCCAGCAAGCACCCAGTCCCCACTCCCCATATCCTTAACCTTCATCTTCAATACTGGTGTACTGTCATCCTCCTGCACAGGCCTTTGTGAGTCCTCAGGACCCTTTGTCGCCTCCATCTCATCCTTCCCCTTCGTAGTATTCGCCGCCTCGCCAAAAGCAAGCAGTAAGTTCATCTCGCTTAGTTTAATCGGCTCCATCCTTACAACGTCCGAACAGCAGCCCGATCGACGATGCGGGGGAGGCTCGCGTACTGGCTGAGAAGAGCTACGGGTTATGTTCGGCTGCTGCTAATCACATAACAGCGATAAGTGAGTAGCGACTGTGCTGCGGGCTTTTTAAAACTGACAACCGGTAACTACAACTACAGTCGACGACTACATCGAGTTTTGGTGTATCAAACGTGGGGCGGTCTTCCTCTGTTATTACATCTTCACTGCCAGCCTCATGCACATCACGACTCGTAAGTCTAGCCTTATTGTTGTTCCCGCTTCGCTGACTCCGTGTCTGCTAGTCTCGTCGTATCCACACGACCCCCAGGCTCAGGCGGGGCTCGTCAAATGCATGGATGCTCTTCGGAGGATGGAAATCGTGTGGCCGAGTGCTGCCCGAGCCCTTGAACTTCTTCAGGGTTCCAAGCTGAGCCTAGAACAGGACACTCTTGGCCAACTCTCGCAGACCCATGGCCGTCGAAAACGTGTGGCGGAGTCGTGTTTGGACGACCTTTCGAACCGCAGTCGCGCCGAAACTCAAGATTACCTGGGACTTAGGTCCTCGTTTGGTTTGCCTGGCAGTCACGCGGTCCTCCCTGGTACCGATGATAACGGCACTTCGATACGAACGCCCTACTTCCCCTCCTACGAGCGCTGGACATCGGATACGTCGCATACGACGATGCCATTCACGGGACCTTTGTCTACGTCTGTCTTACCGCAGATGTATAGTTCTGGCCTGGCCGATGAACGAACCGTTACGCCCCAGAGTCGTAGTCATTCAAGCAGTGACTCCACACACGGACACGGGCAACGGTATCCACAATACTGGAACGACTACTCGGCTTTCACGGCCTACAGTAACCTTCCGCAAAGCACTCCCTCCACACAGAGTAGCTCATCTTCTATGTATCTACATGACCAATATGGTATTTATGGTGCGTCTCGAGGTTCCGTTTATCCTGCTATCATTCGCTTAATCTTTCGGGGTGTCTAGGACATAACCCTCCTCGTCTTTAATTCGCTCTCGCTTTCGCTATTCTTGCTGTGCATTTGGCTTTGTACGCGGCGGATTTATCCTAGAGTCTCGTCAATAGTTCCGTTGTCGCATACACATATCATATCGACACACGTGTATTAGTAGCGCATCTACTTTAAGTCCAATAGTACCGAGCCGCTTAACCATCGATCAGTATCAATAGAGTATAATAAGCAACCATTCTCACCATTCGACTTCTGAACGCGTTGGAGCTACGCCAATGATCAACGTCTATGCCACGACGAGCCCACGAGAAAAACAAGGAGGCAGTTCTAAGAATATATCACCACACAATTCGGTGGAAGCCCGCAATACAGCTTCATCTCGGCCGTAGACCGTTCTCTCGACCGAGTGACGCCGTAGTCGTAATATACGCCACTACACATGCAGCTGTGATTAATTTCTTGGCCATAACAAATTCACAAATTCAAGGTCTCCACGGCCATGCTGGACATTTAATTAACGTATCTTCAAGCTCGTGCCGCCGATTTCTAGCTATGAGATACCGCAGATCCAAGTAGTAGAGATTGATCGAAGACAGTGGCGCAAGGGAAATACATATCGCCGCTGGCTGTGACCAGGTTTTTCTTCCGTGAGAAGGGGTTTAGGGGTCAGGAGGTTTTTATTTCACATCTCTTTCCTATTCGGGATACTGACCTTCCACTTCGGGACGAATAGGCGCTGAAAAGCATCCTGGTTGAACCTAGTATTCTGTGGAGCACTCCCTTCCCTCGTGGCATGGTTTCTCTCGTGAAATGTAGAGATGCTGTAAGTAACTTTCGTAAAATTGCGTATATGGCAACATGGTCCCAATTCTCTCGAAGGCGCCGGGGAAGTAATTATGTAAATTCCAATTTTACCGCATCGACCATGAGGAAGACATGATCGACGAATTTGGCTTTCAAATTACTTTGCTCCGAACATCCGAGTCGATGCGCACTTGCCAACCACAACGAACATTGTCATTTGCAAGGCTGAAAAACATGCGACTCGCGGCGGGCTGTTCTAGGCTCTTCCGTCGTTCTGTGGGCGCAAGAACCACGCTCAATGTGGTTAGTACAGCATCATTTTTCTGATGCTGTTATGACGTGGGTTGAGCGCGTGTGTAGGCACGGCAAGTAGGGCGTCGAATGTTTATTGTTCAGTTCAGAAGAGGCACTGGCAGGATCAACAACTTCATGGTTTGTGGCGGTATTGCCCCTGCAGGGCGCGAGGGGCGGTGATGAGTAAAGGTCGATCAGTCACGTGATGCTCCGACGCGGCCCCCTCGGAGAGGCGGTCTCTCGCCGTAGCAGCATAGCCACCCGCCACCTCCCACAAAGTTTCCAACTTGGTGCGCAACGGTGACTTCAGAACATCCTGTTCCAAGTTTTCGCCTCAGATTTCACGAACTTTGGATCTGACGGCCACGTCGTGATGGCGCCCTTATTCTGGCGTTTTTCTCTCGCACCACGGAAATCTTTGCGTTCTAATCATGAGAATCTCACCGTGTATCGCCACGGGCTCCCATGATCAAAGGTACTTCTTCTATTCTGTCCTTCGTGATCTCAGCTTCCTAAGCAATTCCTTCCGAAGGGCGAAACAACCTTCTTTCGGCAATAATAATTGGCGAACTCAATCAGTAGCCTGATTTATCTATGTCTTCTTCTGGCGGCCGTCGTGGAAGCAGCGCCGACGAGCCAATCGTCACGATCTTTTGAACTTTGAACAAAAGAACATGCATCATAGTTCGGTAAACCAGCGGGAGTGAGAGAATATGGACTGATGGGGCGGGAACCTCGGTGCTTCTCCTCACAAGACCTTGCTCCTTGAACAGAGGCAGCTTTTCATGGTGGGTTTATCGCAGAGTGGGTGTGCAGACGTATGCGGCTGAGCTGATTTGTCTATTTTTGTAGAGGTTCCTTTACCATGGGCTGTGGGTCTTTGCTCATATGCTCCCTTGTTACGTGGGTCCAAGGGTCTCGAGACTCGACACCAGTGGTGGCTTTATCCACTCGACTAGAACATGTTCATGAATACATTTTTTGGCGCATCTATGGGGTACCACCCCAACCAATACGCTTACGTGCAACTTCCGGTGTAGTGAATCCCGATCACGTTCGTTTCCACTCGTTCGGCTGCTGCATACAAGCTCGACGCCAGCACCCAACGAGGGGGTTCTTCTGCAGTATGGAAGCGCGTTATAGAGAGATGGGTTCCCAGTTGTGCCGACAATCGCGACTTTCCAATGTTTCCATGCAAAGTTCCATCTTTTGCTAGGCCCCATACCCAATGCATGCTACTTCCAAGGGTCGTGCGCAGGGGAACCCTTCCAATTCAACATGTACCTGCGTAGCACCGACTCGGCGACGCGGCTAGTCTGCAACTTAGGTACGCGAGTGATGCCCGATTTTCTCGCGACGCTTTCTACTTGCAGGGTACCCTGCAGACGCTGTGAACGACGAAAGGGAGACCCGAGGTACTCGTAACGGTCTCCGTTGGATCATCGACAACCCTGTGGTGGTCGGGTAACCGAGTCTCGATATGCAACGGCAGATCAGCGCCTTGGCCATCTCGACGCTCAAAGCCCTTCGTCGGCGTCAGACAAGAAATTAGTGGTGTCGCAACCACAATACGGATACGGAATTTGATGGACCGAGGTGCACATCCAACGAAGAAACCAGTGGAGTCACAAGTCCTCGTCTCCACAAGGGACTTCGGGCGATCCAACAGGACCGCGCCACTCCGGTCGATGGACCTCCATTCTCCTCTTGTCGCTCTGCTCTGCGCTACTTGGACGGCTGGACGGCAATCCTCGGTCACAAGGTCTCACTCACCTCTCCAGTTGGGCATCCACGAAAGAGGCAGCAATCCCCAACCCCTATTTATCTCCCTGTGCCCTTTTTCGTCTTCTTGGGTACGCCAACGCGAATTATGCGTCCCCTGGACATCCTGAGTGCCTTGATTTCTCCGAACTGACGACGGTTAGTGCGACGCTAGTCATTGTAGCTTCTTCTCGCTGCTGTGATGGGCTCCGACATGACCTGGTCATCGAGTTGTTTGAAGACAGGTGACTATAGGCAATAAGTTGCCCATTCCCGATAACCTTCGTTCCTCGAGGATCACAGTCCACAAATGGGAAGGTTGGGGAGTCTTCTAGCGATATGCTTACCGGAATGAACGTGCGCAAAGTACGCTCTATTTCCTTTTACTGGCACTGACTGACAAGGTCCTTCATTAGCGCGCTTCTCTTCTTCAGCTGTCGGGCGGTTCATATATCATCAATTCGGTGCTACGCTACCTCGTGGCTCGCAACCCTCATATAGTCGTCTGTCGTTGAAATGGCAGAGATGTTTGCCGCTTAATTGCACTTAATATGAATGAGACTGCTCTGCGCCTTCTGTGGATCTCTTTCCGAGTTGAGGGGTGTAGAGTAGACACCGGACGCGTTGCCTAAGTCCCTATCTCGCTATTCGGCTGCGAATGGCCCCGCATTTCCCTGTTTGTGCGACAGCGTCGATATCTTACCAATGCCTTTTGCATTCCATCAGTGATACGACAAAGTGGTCAGTGAATTTCTAGGCCTCGCTTCTGGTGTAGACGATGTCTGGTCATTCGCGTTGCTTTTACCATCAAATTGTGAGCCCTTTGTGTATATAGAAGACGTTCGCCACAGCAGGGATGATGTGAAAGAGAATTCCATTCGGATTGTGAAACTACCAAATATGGGACTTGTGATATCCTGGGCTGGGTTAGGCTGACTGGCTGCGTGCGCCCCTGCAGCTTGCCTCACCTCATTCAGTGCCTTCGCCAGGCCCTTTTTCTTCTCAACCGTCGAGCATTTTGGCGAGTCTTTCGGCTTTTGGGTCTTGAGTCTTGAGAATCTTCGTTTTTGCTGCCACCAGCCTGCTCAGGTCGAATCGCCCTTCCGTGTCAGCCCCGGAAGCGCTTTAACACCCAAAGAAGCCCCTTTGGACGGTTCATTTTCTCCTTTATCTTCTTGGTAAGTCTATATGCGATCCTCGTCGCCCTTATCGCCTTCTCCTGCTCATCCAGACTTTTTTGAAAGGCATTCTCTCTTTCTCTCCACGTTTTTTCAAAGTGCTGCATGCACCCGGTCGACTTTGGATTCGTTAAAGACCTTCACCTTGCGACAGAGAAATCTTTGGCATAGAGATGCTCATCCGACTCACCCCGCAGGCACCGCACCCGACGGTGCTCTTCACCATTGCCTTCAACAATCTACCGGAAACACTCCCAAGCCCTTTGTCATGGGCGAATCAGCTTAACTGTCTCGCTGCAGACGAGCTCGATGTCCCGACTAGCCACCACTGTCTAGACAAGGCGGCATGCATACCTAGCTTGCTAGAGAGCATCACGTTCGACTTGACGACGATGACCGCCAGTTGTAGTTTCGTGGATGGTGTAACGGCAGAGTGGCCTTTGTTTGATCCGGGGTGTTTAAAGGCATTACATGGAGTGGTGAATGATGTTAGCATGTCTGCGTTGGAGGCGGAGAGGGAACGGTTTAGAGAGAAAGAGGAGGAACAGCAAAGGCTGCTCGACCTCATGACCCCGCCACCGAGTCCTCTCAAGCCAAAAGGGCACAAAAAGCAGCGATCTCTGCTCATGACTATGATTGCGTGCGTTGAATCTATACCTCCTGTTATATCAGTCTTGTCTCACTGCATTGACTTTTAGATCGCTGGTTCCTCTGGGACGACAGTCTTTGGCGCCGACTCTTCCGACTTCAGCGCCCCCTTCGCCCCCTCCGTCACCGCGACCAGCTGCTTCGTCTTTTGCTTCATTTCTACCGCCTTCGTCGGGTCCTGATGCACGAACTTTACGCAGACGAGCGCGTTCTACTCTCGTGGATACCTTTAGGCGCTACATTTTACCCGAACTGACCCGCCATTTCCCTCGAGCCGGCTACTACGCGTGGATAGTACAAAGCACGCTTCGTCGCGCATCGATGCGCGCGAACGCGCTGATTGAGAAATCTGGCGGCCACATACCTGACTTGGGACGGCCACGAAGGGGAGATTGGATTGAGTTCGGTCAGGATCCATTCCTGGATACCACAACGGCGTGCACACCTTCATCGTTGTACGATGATGATGACGACGACACCGATACCGATGGTTCTTCTGTGCATACGCCGTCGTCTTCTCATTTCAACACTATGACTAGCGCATATACCTCCCAATTTGCGTCTTCCCAACCATCGACACCTTATAAGCGACCCCCTAGCTCACACTCGCTACCGATGTACACGCCACGGCCTACGCTTTCACCTCAAGAGGTTGAGGAGTACCACATCCTAGCCAACTTGATTGCCAGACTTCAGCACCTCTTTATTGCAGTTCAATCCCAGAATACGCATATAGAGAACGATAACGCCCATCATGAAGCTATGCTTGAAATTCGTTCACGAAGAAGAGCGTGGCTCAATAGGAACCTCGTTGGTTCTGCTCGCTGCAGTAGTCGAACTATCGGTCTTTCGATGCCCTTCCGAAGTTCACCTTTGGCACAGAGCTCGTGGACATGTGAGGAATACGATTTGGTAATGACGCCGGTCAACCTGGACGCGTTTATGGAAGATAGGAAATTGGAACCTGATTACGAGTCTCGTCTGTCAGAAGGAGTCAGTCGATTGCGATTGAGCGACGGTCCCAAGCTGTTCCCAGTGGTGGAGGAGAGTGAAGGGGATTTCGAGGATGAACAGGCGTTTGTTTCGCGGGAATTTGGGATGGAGTTCGGTATCGATCTGGAGGCCCAGCGGTCCCCACAGATTGGCGAAAGTGGCGATATGGAAGTAGGGAGCGAGGGTCTGCAAGTGGAATTCGATACACCGCATATACGCCCACGTTTACGGACAAGCAGTATGATGGCGCATCGTCGGCGTTTTGACGACCTACCAACTTCCGACGAGTTCCCTTCCTCACCGTCGTCTTCATGCTCGACGTTGCTCTCTACCCCTCCTCCATCACCGCCCGCCCTCTTATCTTCCCCGCAGATGCAGCTGGACTCGACGTCGCTGCTATGTCAGCCGCTGAAGCGTACCTCTTCAGTCGAAATGACAGACAGCACGATGTCTACAGATCTGGAACGGTCGCAAATTTACTCGGACATGGACGTGGACATGGGTGCTTACGAATTTGGGAATATGAAGCGTCCTCAGGATCAGGAGTTCACTCTAGGAATGGATCTTCCTCTTAGAATCCCCATCCCTGTGCGGGGTCGCAAGCAGCAGCAGCAGCTCCAACACATACGAGAGCCACGCCCCCTCCCGAGCTACGGAATGCCCACGGACGAGGATGAATGGGACATGAATTCATCTGGTTTGGGAGATTCCTTGGCTGTCGAGTGTCGATGATGGGCCACCGTGGAGGATCTGGATCTGGTGGTGTTCCCAGCCTTGAAGTCTCCAGTTGTACACGCTTCCCGCTTGGGTTTAGTTCGTGTGAGCGTTCGAGAAGATAACCGACTCCCGTGCGGATGCGAAGGCTTTTCCTCTTTTCTACTTCGCGATAATCTCGCATTTGTGGGGACTTCCGTCCTCCGGCGGTCGCTTGATCTGCTTTTCCTGTACGTCCCACACTGGACCCCCTCGCTTCGGGACAAGGACAAGGTCCCTCTCACTTACTTCTTCGCTCCGTAATCCCACCTATCCTCCGTTCATCATGAATCATTTTCACTCTGACACCCTTTTCTGATTTTTCCTCGACAATCCCGGCCCTCCTTCTGCATCATCTGATCCATTCCATTCCATCCCCCCTTCCACAGTATCCTGATTCGATTTCATTAATCCAAGCATCCAAAGTTCATCAGTGTACAAATTAGTCCATTGTCGTCGTCTGCTCTGCTCTCTATCAACCACTGGCATTTTATTCCCACTTCCTCATTCTCATTCTCATTCTCATTTGCTTGTGCATCATTGCAAGGTCCACATCCACCCGTCCATTCATCGTCCATTCATCTATCATTCCATCCATTCCTACCAGCATATCGTCCATTTCCACTTCTCTCTAAAACCCGAGATCTAATAATATTCGTGATTACTGTGCCTACACATGCTTCCCTTCGTTCGTACATATTCACCGCCGTACACCATTCCTTTGTCCATCATGAGCAAACCAAATCGTTGCATACATACCGCTACAACCTAGTTCGCGTACCCTCCCAAACCACCGGACCCTCCCCTGGTTTCTAATCATCGTAGTGCATTCTTGTTTTCCGTCATCGCGACGATCGTAACGAGTGTCGACGTTCTTATTCATTCGAAGTACATAGTCACGACTCATCAGGAATTCAGATTATGCTTTTACATGAATACCGTGACGGGTCAGAAAACTAGCAGATAAATAACGGATCTGTAAGTGTTGCAGCGAAAGCAAGAAAATGGTGTGTAGGCAGAGTACATCTAACAGTCATCGATCATCAAGCATGCATCATGACTCGTCTCGCTCCAAGAAACCAATCCCACCAGTCTTGACTTTGCTCAGGAAGCTATCATACCACTTCGCGATCATCCCCACCGGCACCACGACATCTGGCGCAAACCCTCCTGGTACCGAACCGACGAAGCTCGACAGATAATTGAACAGATGCTTCACCACTCTCTCGGCCATCAAAGTAGCATCGCGGGTTACGTCTTGGGCGATAGTTGACTTCACAATTGCTGTCGGAAGTCCGGAGACTTGGACTTGGATCTGATCAAGAGGCTCGATGGCGAGGCCGAGGATGGCGACTACATCAGATGTCGAGTTCTCAGCGGGGGCGGGCGTGAAGGCATTGGGATTGGCTGTGTTGGTCGCGCTCGATGTGAAATTACCCCTGAGACGGAATATCGCTGATGGTTTCTCGTTCGAAAGCCTGCGCAGAAGCAGCGATGGGAAGTTAGTTAACGGTTCGATAAATTATTAATATGAATAGGCCTACATTCCCAGTAATTGGAATCCTTTCCCGGGCCAATAGAAGTGGACTGACGCACCATAGCCTTCAGGAAACGGAACTACAAAGACAAGGCAATCAGTATATCGCGCTGTATTATAATTATCAGCTATCATGTCATGAGTGAACTCACGGACCTGTTCCCAGCAAGAAGACGGAAATATGATTTATGGTACTAGCCCCGGATAGTTCGAAATACGCATGCGTCTCATCGACTTGTTGTAGATTCGTTTGTAACAATCGTCCAGCAACAACGCAACCGAACATGTTTGGATCTTATCAGCGTTGACTCCGTCGGGCGGTTGGTGATGGTCCGATGGTGGTGGGGGTGTGGTGATTATACAATCCAGCAGTCCAGCTATTTAAACGAACGCGGTGATGGTTATAACAGCCACATTGTGGAACAACGTCTCGGATTTGAATTAGAGTTGTGAATGTCCTGGAAAATTCTGGCCAATAGGGGTCGTGGCTCCATCAGTTCCACATTAAGGTGGCCAAATGGTATTGCGCTAATAAAACAACAAGCTGAGCACGCGAACGAAAGTGGAAAGACAGCTATGCAAAGTTCAGCCTCTTAAAAAACCAAGCCCACCCAGCAAAAGAAGCGGAAGAAGACAGGGAGACACAAATGTGTGTATGCGTAACTAAAGTAAAAATGCTGGGCCAGCAGCAGCAGCCAACTCCAGCAGTCATACAAGGGATCCAGTAAATGCTTTATATAGATATCATAATATAACCTTTGACTATTCTTGCCAGCCTAAGGACTAGTTTCTGGAAAAGGGATGTCGGCCAGTAACGGGACTATCTGCTTCAAGGCCAAGGACCTCAGAGTCGCGCAGAACCCCACGTCCATATGCAGAACCATACGAAGAAGATACCTCGTTAGCAACAATGCTGTCCCGATATACTTCAGCGGCAGTTTTCTGGTTATCATAAGAATAAAGTGTTGACCCCCTTGGCCTGGGACCTGCTACGGCGGATGTTGTTGGGAGGGATTGGGGAAGCGTCTCGACGGACATGTACATGCTATCTCTCGCATGCGCCGAGCGAACTGGTGTGGGTGTCGAGCGCCTAGGTGCACGCCCGATACTCTTGATCCTTGTCAACTGTACACGGTTCGCTTTCTGTATTTCGAAGTCCTTCTTTGGCGAATCCCGCAACCATGGCACGGTGATAGCATCTTTCTGCAGGCGCGCGCGAAGCTCTTCTGCATCCATCTCGTCGTCTTCATTCGGCGTAGGCAGCGTGGAGCGCTTGGAGTCACTTCTCTTCAGTGTAGGCGCCGGGGATGCTTCATTGTCCCGCCGAAGAGAGTTCGCCTTCCTGAGTTTCCATTCAGCGAAGTCCTGTGATCGCCCCGTGTTGAGGGCCGCTGGATAGCTATTTTGATCATTAGCTGGGGAAGCCACCACTCCATCTAGATATGCGCTCTGCGGCGGAGACAGAACATAATCTTGTACCGCGCTTTGCGGCAGATCAATGGGGGTGTGGGAGTGGCTGTTGCGAGATAAGATTGTTTGAGCCGCACTCAACGTGTACCCAGCGGGTACGGTCGTGTCCACAGTTAGGATTGGTGAAACAGGGGGTGGTGCTTTCCTCCTCTTCATCGAATCGCTCCTGGCATTGCCGTGGCTAGCGACTGATGCGCCCTGGTGACTCGCCTGCGAATAAAGTGAATGCGTCGAATCAGAGTGTCCAGTTTCTGAAGCGGGCTCAGCGGGCAGTTCATCAAGCCTTTCTCGTGCTTGTGGTGCTGGCTTGACAGTTGCTGGGAGTCCCGGACGAGAGTTGCTTGTTACAGTTCGGGTTGATGAACCATCAGATGGTGTTGATGCCCCGTTCACTACAGTCAAAGTCCCCAAGGGCATACGATAGTCACCAACTCCTGCCCGAGCATATGGATGAGGATTGGACTCAGGCCAAGGGTTAAGGACTTTCTCGCGAAGCGGCCTTGCTGGCCGTTGAGCGCTACCGGACTGATTAAAGGAAGTCATTGATGAGCGTAATAGCAGAGTCGGAGTTCCAGTCACTGGCGGCTGTGCTGGCGGGGATGCTAGGAATGAGAACGTCGCAGAGGTAGCTGTAGAAGGAGGTTGGGTTTGGGCGTCCGCCATACGGGAAACAAGGGTGCGTGTGTTCGAACGGGGCGAACCCGGAAGAGAGTTGATTGTCGAAGGTGGCGGACGTTGGATGAAGGAGGGAGTGTACATATCAGAAGGACCAGTGGTGACTGTAGGAAGAGAATTGACGATTGACGAAGGAGGACGCTGGATGAATGAAGGAGTCGGTGGACCAGAGGCCGTAGAGTACGGGTTCATCGTTGAGGGCGCCCGAGAGCTGGCATTCATATTGTAGTGTGCTTCACCTTTTACAGAAGAGACATTGCCCTCGTCGTCCCCATAGACGATGGAAAGAGTGGGACGAACAGAAGGCTGATGGGGTGCATAAAAGTCGGAAAGCGGCCTGGACTTGATGCTATCGGCTACGGTATTGGGCGAGGGCAAATCATAGGAAGAGAGCCGCATATGGAGTGTGGGCACACCGCTGTTCGCCCGGCGGATCGTTACCCGCTTTCCACTTTCGATCTCGCGTAGCTTGGCAAAGTCTGCCATCGTAGGCGTGTCCATTGGCGTGAGGGTTGCCTTGGGTGACATAATTGGCGACGCTGCGAATGTTGACCTTGACGATTTCTTCTGCAGTTTCCTGTTGTACTGAGGCGGCGGCACAGGGTCGTTGTAGGTTAATGATGCGGCACCATTATTCGGACGGAAATCTGAAGCGCTGGGCGATAGTCTATGGAATGTACTGAGTCGAGGGTTGGAAATAAGATTGCGAATCTGGCTAGACTGCCTATTTGCTCGTTTCCCAGCATCCAGCTCAAGTTTAACCAATTCAAAGTCTTCAAGCGTATCCAACCTAGACTCGATCTGAGTAATCTATGAGTGCACAGCTGAGTAGTACTCACCCTTTTGCCAGACCAATGATGATGAAAGCCCTGCTCAACATGCGTAAAACCCTTCTCGTCAAAGACACCCCGAATCCCCCCGATGTGACAAAGCCAACAACCGTCTCGACGGCACCAAGCTTCACGCCAGCGAGTATCCAAGCCGTCCCTTTGAATAGAGTAATCTTGTCTGAGCTTCTAGTCGTCATAGACTCCTTGGATGGGGAGACTCCGTATGAGTTGAACCTATTTAAGCCTTCCTCTTCTTCTTGCTTGCGGGTTGAGAGAACGACTCTCATGAGACGATACAACGCGAGCACGAAGTTGATCGCTTGGTATGCAGTAAAGAGAGCGAGGGAAATACTTGTAAAGAAACTCCAAAGAGTTTCAGACGACGAGGTTCGGAAGCCTACAAGAAGAACCTCGTCCCGGGAAAGTTCTACGGTGTACAAGTGAGCAGCTTGATAGTCATCACGAAGGGGTTCCTTACGAAGATATTCAATCCCAAGAAATGAACCTAGTTCGCTGGTGACTATGATCCCTGGTATAAAGATCAAGAGCAAGGCTTTGGTCACGTTTTGAAATCGTTGAGGAAGGGTGTTGATGAGCTCAGCGCGAGCGAAGAGGAACAGGAAGGATATGTAGAGGAGTAAGGGAAGGGACGACATGGCACCAACGACTCTGTCCACCACTTCATATGCTCCCAGATGATCCCGCACAGCAGGTAGTATACTCGCGAGTATGTCCACAAGTGTTAGCGTAAAATATATCCACCCCTCGGCCGTGAGCAGGAGATGCCGCCTATCGGAAGCGTGAACTAATCCTTGCCTGAACTATGCCTAGGCAACTCACCATCCTGAGCCCCAGTTTGTGAACACCAGCGAAGTCGCAAATAGAAGCTCCAATCCCGTTGGTATCAGCAGCAATCCAGACTGAACTTGAGTAAATGTCGCGCAGCGAAGGTTTGAAGCAGCCGATAGACATATTGACCGTCCCATTAATCACTGACTGTGCCTGTTCAGGGAGGGATCCAATTGCATTTCCAGAGGCGGCTAGTCCGTTCGCCGTAGATTGTCGAGGGAAGGTGAATGAATGAATGAATATAAAGCAGAAACGGGTCCAAGAAGCGCTATGCGGTCAGTGAAAGAGTGGCTAGCAGAGCTGGCTGCAGAACTTGTATACAAACAAAAGCGACCAGCGTCCGACGAAGAGAAACGAGAGCTGAAAGGAAAAGTAGATGATGAGAGCGGGAAACAAGGGAAATAGTCCAGAAGATCCCACACCGTTGCTAGAGTTCATTTGTGGGATCACTCGGTTGCTACGCGCCGCCGCCCCGAGAGATTTGGACATTCGAGGAATTGGGTACGCTCTATCACCCGTCGGAGGCGCCAGACCCATCAGATTGATGCTGCAACCCCATCGTGAACGGGAAGGTTGGAGTGATGAGGTGAAGTGATCAAGTTCAGTCCGAGGCTGTCCAGCGTCATGATCGAGACTTAATGATCATGATCAGGGTCACTAAGTCATGAAGTAGTTATTATGTAATTTCATTGCTATCTCACACTTCTACTGAACTAGTTCCAATAGCAAGTATACAAAGGGATCAAAGCCACACACTTATGGGTAGTGGGCAGGGGTATGTGCATGTGTATGATTAGTTCTGATGGGTTTGTTAGCCGGCTCTCGGTAAAATATGAAACCAACATACCTCTGGTATCCTGAATATAGTGATTTCCTAGACGACGTTGCCTTAGATAACAGCCAGAGAGAATCAGAGTGATGCGCACCTGCTGTTTGAAGTATCTCCGGTTCTCCTCATCGACAAGCACAAGGTTCAGGTAGTACCTGGTACTGAACTTCTTGTTCACATCACGGAACGTCGGGGTTAAATCGAAGCCTCCGAGGAACAGTCGTATTGGTATTGTCTCGCCTGCATTCAGGTGAGTGGCAGATCCGACACAACATAAGGAGCCTCACCTCTCACTGGCGCACCGTCCATAATCTCGAACTTCGTAATCGTCTCGCTTTCGTTATACTGATTGGGCGGCGAACCAGTTGTCTCGCGGCGGATAATTGACAGTTCCATATGTTTGATCTTGATGCGAACAAGTAGGAAATATATCTTGCCGACAATTACGTCCTTGAGGTGATATCTTAAGCAAGTGAGGGGCGCTCCGTGGGATGAAATGGAGGAAACAAAGCGTACTTGGATTTATTGTACTCGAATTCGATGTGCAAGCAGTCTTCTATGCCGACTTCCATCTTGATGGAATTATTCGAATCGGGGGGCATACGGAAGGAGTGAACCCATAAATCTTGCTCTTTTGATACGTCTGCCATCCGCCGAGAAATAGACACACGAATAAAGTACCTGTATGTCATTCAGCAACCACTGTCCGTTGCGACCGCAGCAAGAACGCACCGCAGCTTCACATTGATACCCTGGTAGCTCTCAAACTGCTTCTCGACATTCTTAAAGTTAAAGTCGAACGTCTGCGCTTGTCGCATCTCCCCAGGGGCCGCGAGTTCTTGCGATAATGACAGGAACTCATGATGATGCCCCCGGTCGTAGAATAGCTCTAAGGAGGGTTCACGCTCAGCGTCGGCACACAACAGGCATGCACACACCAATGCTGCCCACAAACTCGACCTTGATTCCCTCATGTATGACCTTCTTCCCATCTCGAATTCGTATGGTGACTTGGCCGGTCACCGACTCGCCGTCGTAGTACACAGGGCACGATATTACTTTCTCTTTCTCGGTCTTCATTTCGACATGCTTGCGGGCTTCTTCGCCGTCTAGTTTGACGTCAATATCTATTGGAGAGCCAAAGAAATAGGCGGCCATTGTTGTGGGGTAGGAATTCAGAAAAGTACGGGATATAGTGATGCAAGCCTCAGCAGTTCACTGCGACATGTCACCTGACCTCAGGCGCCCACGATTTTCGTTCAGAATCAGAATCAGTACTCAGGAGAACTACATTTGCCGCAAATTCACCAAGCCAAGGTCGAGGCTACCAAGATAAAACATGGTGGTAAGTGATTACGGGGCACATGCAGATACTATTCTCATCTTTCAACAGAAAATTTCCGTCCTTCAACATGCACCATCGGAGCACCTACCTTCTCGACCTGGAGACCCTACACCAGTATCTCGAAATTTGAATCCCATCATGCACCCATTTGCTCGGTCGCGAGAGAGAATACGAGCACTAAATGCTGCAAAGATGGAACGAATGTTCGCGAAGCCGTTCGTGGATAGTCTGGAAGGACATGTAGATGCCATCGAAACCTTGGTGAAGAAGCCAGGCGACCTTTCCACAGTGGCGAGCGGTAGTTGGGACGGCGGTACGTATGCATAACGGGGCTCGTATGGATGCGTCACGCTGATTTCGTGTGTCAGGCCTTATCGTGCATAATATATCGCAGCGAAGTCAACTACTAAATATTCCTCAGGCCCATAAGGGCAAGGTGTCAGGGCTATGTTTTGCTTCAGACAGGCTTCTAAGCTGTGGCGTAGACCGTACGGTCAAGTTGTGGTCGACAGACAAGTCTGAGGTATGTCAAGGAATTAGATCTCGGAGGATACCTGTACTGAACGGCATCGAAGGGTCAAAAACCTTTGTCTGTCTTTGCCGGAAAATCTGCTTTCAAGTACGCCCTTCAATCCAAATAATAAATAACTTCGCGAGACTTATTCCCTTACCTACTAGTTCAATAGATCACCACCGTTCAGACGGTCTCTTTGCGACAGCATCGAATCTTGTACAAATATGGGATGAGACCAAGTCGGCATAGTTCAACTCATCTTGCAGCCTCACATCTAACAACCCCGCAGGAGCTCTCCAATATCCGACCTCACATTTCCCACCTCTACCGAAACAATAACAGCCGTTCGATTCAACTTGAGCGAATCATCAGTCCTAGCTAGCATAGGCTCGGATCGTACGTTCACACTCTATGATATACGAACAGGAAAAGCCGAGAGGCGAGTCATAATGCAGGTTAGTGACTTCTCGTCGCTCATTGCTAAGCTCTAACCGCCACCTCGAAGTAACAGATGCGTTCAAATTCCCTTGCATGGTCTCCCACCTTCCCCACCATCCTTCTCCTCGCCTCCGAAGATCACAATCTCTACACATTTGATATACGGCATGTTTCCACGCCAACGCAGATATACAAGTCGCATGTCTCTGCCGTCATGTCTTGCGATTGGTCGCCCACAGGAACCGAGCTTGTGAGTGGCGGATGGGACAGAACCGTGAGGATATGGCACGAAGGGAGAGGAACGGCGCCTGAGGTATATCACACGAAACGGATGCAGAGGTGCGTTCACAGATGGTAAGGATGTTTATGTTGTCATTAACGATGTACAGAGTATCATCGGTGCTCTTCACGAATGACGCTCGGTTCGTACTTTCTGGTTCTGACGATGGTAATGTACGGATATGGAAAGCCAAAGCATCCGAGAAGCTTGGTGTTATCACTGCCCGTGAACGTGCCGCCATCGAATACCGAGAGAGTTTGAAACAGCGATGGCAAATGGACAAGCAAGTCAACAAAATCATGCGGTAAGAGTTAGAGATTTTCCTTTCTGACAACGGATCATCTGACAACAACACCTTTCTACCTAGGACTCGTCAACTGCCCAAGCCTGTTTACTCTGCGGCCAAACTGAAGAGGACGATGGTCGAAGCTGAACGCGTGAAAGACGAAAGGAGAAGGAAACATTCAAGAGCAGGAGAAACAAAACCCAAGGCGGCAAGGAAGAAAGTGGTCGTCGTCGAACAGACATGAGATGGTTCAACCTTTTATTCGTTCGTTGGATCTTACCTCTGCGCTACTTTGCACTACGTCACGATCGTCGTGGGGACTACAGCATTGTGCTCAACCTGCAAACCGTATACAACGACAGAAAAGTATATGTACATTTGTTGTAATCGAAAAATATGAGGCAAATAGCGCCTATACAAATTCAACGACCTAAGCAAATTATAAGTAGCATAAACACGACGGTCCAGGGTAAGCACGGATTGTTATGTTTCGTTTACGAGAGTTCCGCCACATTGATGAACCGAAATAGAAAAAGTGCAAATTATTGGGTTGTCACGATGGACGAAGAAGTCCGACCTCTCTACAGGTCCGACCTTGTGGCTTGAGGAAATCGATATTCAGCTGGCGTAAGCATGAGAGGGGAAAGTTAACGCACTCAGACATGTGATCAATCAGATCTCTGGAGAGTAGAAGTGCTCTACAATGAACACAAGCGACAATGGTGATGGAATTGAGATAGAACATCAACTCAGCATCTCCGAAGCATCTCATGCTTTCCGGCTTTGAAAGCTCACACCACTGGTCGTCGGGGTGGATATGAGACACCTTGACCTAGTAAGAAGATATTATCACTTTCCGGCTCCAATTTCCGACGATTAAAGGCAATACATACGGCTCTTCTCCAATCCATAACTTCAACGCCCCCCGAGTATGCAGTCGAAGACATCGCACAAAACTCTTTCGCATCAAGGTCCTCAGTCTTGGCCGTGTCTGATTTGAGTCCACACCCTCTGATGACTTCGGAAGCGGAGTCTACACGGCGTGGTATGTAGGTCAATGCATGATTTTCATTCCACGGTGCAGTCTCCAGATCGAGTAGCGCAGAGCGGCGGGGGACGTCCACAGGGCCGAAGAGCGGGGGTTCTTGAAGGCATGCATGTGCCAGAACCTCTGGGTAGAAGATACTCTCATCGCAAAGCCTACAAGCGAAGATCGTCTTGGCTAGATGCAGGACGCTTTCATCCACTTCCTCGCCGGTGGCACGTTGAATTACGGATAGCAACTGAGGAATCATGGAGGTCTTCCATTCACTGCATAGCTGTGGGAGCTGGTTCTTGTATTCTGCGAAATGCTCGAGTGTGATTTCTTCCTCATCGGGAGACTCTTCGATGATCTGGCGCACGGTGGTGGCACTGTCGAGGAAATAGAGGTCGGCTGCGGATGGTACTACCTCCCCTAATGGGCACTCCCTCTCATACAAATTGACCATCCTGGCAAAGAGCTCTCGACGTTGAGCAATTATTTTGGCGCGTTCCCTCTGTTTGCGTTGGTCGCGGAACATCAACATAAGTGCAACCATCGCCGGTTCTATGTTCTTCCAAACTGGGTGAAAGGCAGGTATGAGCACGAACACAATGTCGATTTCTAAATGGAGTGAACGTACTCCGATCGCTCAGCAATCTGGGCTGCTTAACCATATGATGGTTACGGAATTGTTGGATCTCCCAAGTAGCCATGCCACGAATGTCCTCGGCAAATCCTAGGCAATGATTGAGGATTTGAAAATTCGTCAGAGTCCACAACGCACCTGCTGTGGTAAGCTTGTCTAGAATGCTGCCTCAGATGTGAGTCATGGTACTTTGGGGAACAAAAATAGATAGATATGAACGTACGCGTCGCGCCTTTTATCGCGGGCTGCATAGCGATGCATGGCGCGTAGGGCCTCTTGTTGCTCCATCCAGTCACGGTACTCGTATTCGCGCTGCGTCCTGGTCAATACACGAAGTAAAAGTGTAACAACCTAGGGCGACTTACTTCCCCAATGTCACTAGCAGTCGATTTCTTAAGTTCAAGAAAATCTTCGGCTTTCGTAGCGCTGTCTGGGAACTCTTGATATTCCTTGAGTAGATCATCATAGTCTTGCTGAAGCCAAACCCCTGCGAGTGGAGCATCTAGATCGAGATGGTTAACACGAATATATCGCGGCTCGCAGATTTGACTAACTGGGTCTGTTCACCTCGTACGTATACATGAGTTTAAAAGACGCCGCCCTGCCCCCAGGCAGTGCACCGAGTAGGTCAAGATTAGAGTAAGGCTTCCAGATAACTCTGCGGCAACTTGTTCATTGTCAAGAATCGTTGGGTTGAAAATTGACATACTTGTGATCAATACAAATTCTGCAGTATCTGACGCATCGTGCAGCAAAGCTATAAGCAGCTCGGGGGCTAAGACAAACCTAGTAGGGACTGTCAGCACGAACCATCTTACGTGAATGATATACGCATACATGGCAGTTGGTTGTGAACATAAAATTAGCAAAAGCAGGCTCGGACACGCCCTCTAGGCAGTCAAGCAAAAACGGAATGTTCGCTCGCGCGCTTTTCCAGACCGAAAGAGCCGACCTATTCATAAGAACAGATCGCAGGTCCTTCGTAGTCCGCGCCATACGAAGTAGATCCAGTGGGTCAAGGTATTGTAATATCTGAGTATATACACTAAGTTTAATTGGTGGCATCCTGGCTAAGTAGCATACCTCGAATAAGATGTCCAATGGCATTTCCGGCAACTCACTGAGTCTTCCTCTCTTGCGAGACCCAACTAGCTTCTTGGAAAATGTCTTCTTTGTAGACGAGCACTTTGTTTTCTGGCGCTTCGCGCTCCACTGCTGGGTAGCGCCATCGCCGTCGCCGTCGTTTGGTCCCTGCTCTTCGTCCTCGGTGAAGTGAGCATCGTTTGGTGAGTAGTTGGCTTTAGTAGTCGCGGTTCTACGTCTACTGGAGCGGCGAGGTTGGACGATGCTCATTTCGTCTGTGGAAGAAAGAGAAAGGGGGATAGACGCGACGACCGTGTCTCAAATATAAAGCTGTCACATGACGTCAATCTAATTACCGCCACTAGTGGTATACACGCCGTACGGCTAACGCATACGACTAATCCATGGATCTGTAGCCAACACAGAATCCAGGTTGAGTAAAGACCCGCGCAATATGCGCAGCAATACGTCCATTCAGTAGATACAATAGTACAGAAGTCCTATCAAGACTTGTGAGACATTGATCACTCTTCGATGTGTTCTAAGGTTGCCTCTCTCACACTTTTCTCTAGGGCAAATGCCCTCAAAGTCAGCGTCGTATCCCTTTCACGTTCCCTGTCCACGACACCATCCAAATTCGAGAGCGAGCCATCTCCCGGGGTGCCCTCGCGACGCCCTCGCATGCTTCCATGACGAGAGGGGGATGGTGACACGGGCGGGGTCGACTGGCGACTGCCTCCCGTCCTAGGACGTGACGTACTTCGGTCCCTTTGTCTTGATATATGACTTTTCGGGGTACTCGGAGGTGTCCCGCTCCTCGAGCCTCCACCTTTACTGCTCCTTGTTGACGTTCCAGTGGGCGTGCGTACCAAGGGAACGGCTTTGTCGGGACTACTGACGGTACCACCGCCGTCAGACACCTCGCCTCCGTCCTTCACGAAAGGAAGATTGAACCGCAACCAACTAATCCCAAACCATCCCTTCTGGCTTCGCTCCAGTTGTCTTTGCTTCTCTTTACGCCGTTCAAATGCGGAGCGATATCGTTCGTAGGATTCTCGAAAATTCTTGTCCACACGTGAAGAGAAGATCAGCTCACCACGGGGGTTATTGCTTGGAGGTATAGGTGCGATGGGAAGTGCCGTCGAACGAGTCCGGGACACGCTTCGACTGGGACTGCGCGAAGGCGCATCAGCAGGTGTTGCGGGTGGCGAGGATGCAGGGGAGTCTGTAGTCGTTGTGTATGTCGTTTCGGGGCGAGGGAAGAAGAACCGGATTGGATTGAATCGAAGCTTAGATCGAAGTGGGGGTTTACGAACGTTGAGGAACATGTTGAACGATCGAAGTGCGCGGTTGGCATGAGGGACATACCTGGTGCAGGACATTAATATTCAGACAATTGTCTTCTCGTCGTTGGAATAAACGGGACACGAAACGTACTTGTTCGCGTAGGCAATTTTGTCCGAATACATACCGCTCGCAAAGAACAACACTAGAGTCGTAAAGCTAACAAACAAGAGCCCACTGGCGAAAGCTGGGTGCAAGGTGATTTCGACGTCGGGAGTATATATCTCTGGGAGCAGCCATTGCAATAACATCTTGTAGGGTATTGCAAGCAGCGATATATGGGGAGGGAGAAGGACTTCACATAGCAGAAACGCTATCAGAAACAAGAGTTGCCCCAGGAACACTAGGCAGGAAATCAGTACATCTGTGGAATATGAATCGATTTCTTGAACGTACATTGGTAACGATGTTTTCGTCGCTGGAGGTTAGCGGCATTTGTCTTGAGTCTCTCCTCAAATCTCAGGAGGTCACTGTATGTCGCGGCGTCGTTCAACTGAATCGTGCTGCCTCTAGGTGGCGGAGTGGAGCGGGGGGGCATGAAACTCGGACAAGGAATGTGGCGAGGAGGCGGAGACAATGAACAATTACTGAAATTACATAATAGCTACGCAGGAGCATGTGATTGCACAGTGACTGTGGGAATATTAAACTGATCGTGGAAGTGACCGGCATTGGGAGTTAGCCTGAGTTAGCCAGCCAATGATCACCTTGCAATATGTCCATGAAGGCTCACCGGAACCCCCTGACTTCCGTTTGACCACCTACCACCAACGATGTTGCCTAATCGTGGTGTACAGCTTAGGCATTTCGTCGCTGCGCTTGGAAAGAGCTCAAAGAGCTCGCGTTCGAGGGGGATAACCTCAACCTCCGCACGCTTGAATCGCGAAACATTTGACGCAGCGAACGTTGAGAGAGCCGAGGACGATGTCGATGTTTGCATAGTCGGAGGAGGACCAGCCGGGCTCAGTGCTGCCATCCGCATCAAGCAGCTAGCACAGGAGAATGACAAGGAGGTCCGAGTGGTAGTACTTGAGAAGGGTAGTGAGACAGGTGCGTGTTCTATGGAGTAAGGCAATGCTGCAAGAAATTAATTTCCTAGCAATACACTAGGTTCACATATAGTTTCTGGCGCTGTCATAGAGCCTAGAGCCTTGAATGAGCTACTTCCTGAGTGGAAGTCCATGTCGGGACATCCATTGACGCGACCTGCAACCTCCGACTCCATGCTCCTCCTCACTAAGAATTACCACATACCCCTGCCCCATCCCCCTCAAATGTCCAACAAAGGGAACTACATCGTCTCGCTGTCTCAGTTCACCGCCTGGTTAGGATCTGTCGCTGAAGAGCTTGGGGTCGAGATTTACCCCGGGTTCGCGGGAGCTCAGCTGCTGTACTCAGACAAGGGCGTAACGGGAGTCATCACGAACGAGGTCGGTTTGGATAGGCAGCGGCGGATGAAGAGTACATTCGAGGCAGGCATGGCTTTCAAGGCCAAAGTGACACTCCTCGGCGAGGGAGCGCACGGCTCGCTTTCTAAGACTGTCATCTCGAAGTACAACTTGAGGGCGAACTCTCAACCTCAGACGTACGGAATCGGGGTCAAGGAAGTCTGGAGAGTGGACCCGGAGCAACATCAGCCAGGCAAAGTTGTTCATACATTGGGATGGCCACTCGACTTCCGGACTTATGGGGGTTCGTGGGTATATCATATGGACGACGGGCTTGTCAGCTTGGGGATAGTTATTGGTTTGGACTACAAGAACCCATACTTGAGTCCCTACCGGGAGCTGCAGGTATCTACTCCAGTTTTCGTGACAGCACTAGGTTTCTGACACCAAATCGTAGCGTTTGAAGCACCACCCATACTTTAGGGAGCTTCTTTCCGGCAACTCGACGCGACTTGCATACGCCGGTCGCACTCTTAACGAAGGTGGTCTACAATCAGTGCCCCAACTCCACTTCCCCGGAGGCGCTCTCATCGGTTGCTCCGCCGGTTTCGTTAACCTCGCTAAAATCAAAGGAACTCACAATGCCATGAAGTCAGGTATGCTCGCTGCTGAGGCAGCGTACAAGGCTGTTCAATCGGATGCGGACGAGGTGGCAGACATGTCTTCCTACACGGAGGCGTACAAAGACTCGTGGATCTATAAGGATCTTCACGAAGTTCGCAACCTCCGTCCTTCATTCAACACGGCCCTTGGGCTGTACGGCGGCATCATGTACAGTGGTGTCGATAGCCTGTTCCTCAAGGGACGCGTACCGTGGACATTCAAACACACTTCTCACATACCGCCTCCGAATACAGCGCTCGACGCCCTCGAGACGGAGCCTGCGTCACGCCACAAGCCCATTGATTATCCCCCATTCGAGGCCCCGTTGTCAACAGACCTCATGACCAGTGTTGCCTTGACGGGCACGAATCACGCTGAAGATCAACCCGTGCATCTTCGTGTCATGAAAACTGGCGCCGGTGAAACTGATGAAAGCAAAGAGCGAAGGCTTGAGCATGTCCGCGTCAATGTAGGCGAGTACGCTGGGCTGCTCGGCAGAGCTTGCCCTGCCGGTGTCTACGAGTATGTCGACGCCGAAGGGGAGGGTAAGGCTATCGAGGATCAGAGTTGGAACGGCAAGAAGCTGGTCATCAACTCCCAAGTAGGTTGCATCTCACTCCCGCCTGCAGCATAGTTCTGACGTTCAACAGAATTGCATTCACTGCAAGTTGTGCGACATCAAAGTACCTACGCAAGATATTACATGGACCGTCCCAGAGGGCGGCGGAGGACCGAAATACAGTGCGTAATATTCACCGACTATCATCAGTATATTCTAATGCAACAATCTCTAGCTGTTACATAGATAAATAGATTAATAGTGCGTAAATACATATACAAGCACAAGCTCCCAAAGAGTCCAGCAGAATAAGAATAAAAACAATCCACAACGAAATCCGAGCCTAGGACACTCCTGCGCGACATATGCGCAGCCACTATCGGGCTTGAGGTCCTGGCCGGTACAGATGTACACGTGCCACTCCAAAATAGGGTGGTAGTGACAAAGAACGGACAAGGCGGCCAATCGACCAGCGCAGTTGGGCCGTTGGCACGTTGTGCTTGATCAGGGCGTGATCGTCGCAAGCAGTCGCTATCCTTCGGAGGAAGGGCGGAAGCGAGTAGGGTACACGAAGACTGCACAAGGCTTGACGGCGACTACAGCCCTGGGTACATGATAGGCGACTGCATGAGGTCGCTCCGGCTTCGGGTGAGTGAGGGCATGCCTTCTTCCAACGATAAGAAGCTGGTGAGTTGGACTGGTCCGCTGCATATTGTTCCCCGATCCGGCGGCGGCTCTTCAGTCGTTTCCGCTGATAGCAAGTTTGTCACCATACGGCAGCCCTGTATACGAGCATGAAGGAAAGTCAGCACGGATGGGAAATGTATATTGACAATTGCTTACGCAGATGGATAGTAAACTTATGAAAAACCTGCAAAGTCCCCATCATCAGGAAGGTGGTGAAAGGTGAAAGGTGAAGGAAACAGACGTCGGTATGACATGCGCCAGCACTGAAGCATGAGTGGAAATGATGATGCACATCGCTAGCAGTGATTGAACAAGGAGGCACAAAAAAGAGGGTACTGTGAACATACCTAGTAGCCCAGCGCAAGTAAGGAACGTATCCCGAGTCACAATAGACAGTACTGCCGAGTGGCTCCTCCACATCACCTTCGGGCATACTGTCAAGAAGGTCAAAATAACTTGAGTAGAAGAAGCCAGAGCCCTAGCAATAGCGATGAGTTGGTGAGAGGAATCAACGAACAAGACTTACCCAAAGCAGGCGACGTGCCACGGGATGTTCCCAACTAAGCATGCGCCATCATACGAGAGGATTCGGAGTGTAGAGACAGTGGTGAAGGAGACCAGGGCGAAGTTGAATACCCGAAAGATACGTAGGCAGATAAAGTAATTTCGGTACTCTGAGTATATGGCGTAGACTGCAGAGTGGATCAGACAAAGGCTTAGAAGGATGACAGGAATGACGACGGACCTTTTCTTACTTGAATGTACTCTACGGACAAAAGTAGAATCTGAAAGACGACCGTTTGGCAAGAGTGCCAAGCTAAGCAAGATGTCTTGGGAACCGGATACTTCTGTTCGGCGACGGCAAAGAAAGTTTGAGAGCCACTGTGGAGCAAGGAGACAACATTGTTCGTAAGACATAGCAGATAGAGGTATAAGAGGTATATAGACGTACATCTGGAGAGCCAATGCACCATATCTCAGGACCAGAAATAGAGCTTTCGTCACCGAAAAATGACCCCTTGAAAGGACGGTACAACCGTGAGTCGGATGGAAAAACAGCTTTGACTTTGCAGCTCACCTCCATATCACGGCAACTTCGGTGGAAAGAGTGGTGAAGTACTCGTAGACCAGCACAGTCAGAGCCGCGACTAAAAAGCCAGGTCAATCAACAGATGTTCTGATCCCGAGAACTGGAGTACGTACGCGAGGCATGATTTCGAACGGTAGCATCCCAATCATGGATAACACCCAGGCTCACGGGATAGTCTGCAGCAACATGAACCACCATGGAAAAGAGATGGTGGTCCGAGGGGAAGCTGGGCGCCTTATGACAGAGATAGACTTGCTTGAGGAATGGATCTCATCCAGGATTGGGAAAGGTCATTTTCCCAGAAAATTCGGGGGAAACTGGCATCTGAATTTGCCTCCGCGACCACAGGGGAGAGACATGGGGTCGGCTGACGGAATGTTTTGCTACCTATCGGGTGATTATCAGTGCGTCCCTTCATCGTACCCACACAGTATACCTAATCGGCGCACAAATGGAGTTCACTTCTTCGGTACCCCGCATCATGATGGCTACAAGCCATCCTCAACTGCAAATCGATCTCTGCCTACCAGGAGTATATGCTGGTAAATTTCACGAATATTTTCATGAAGCTTGGTTCGATCAGAAAGCATTATAGCAGGCACTTACCTCCCTGCAGATACCCTGCAATGCCTCTGGTGGCACCGTCGCCCCTGGGTTGGCGGCGGCTTTAGCCCCAAGGTTGAGTGAGAGTCACCCCACGTGATGGCAGTGACACAGCGCGTCCGTGACGGATGTTTGCACAATGAACTTGGTTCCAACGTTAGCGATCAACACTTACGAAATTACCATGAAATCAGTGTTCAAGGAATCTGGATCCCTTGCTGCACGCTGTCGAGTGCCTTCTCCTACCCGGACCCAGAACAGACGCAGAGTACCATCAAGCACCCCAGAACCCCAAGCAACAAGAACACAGTCCACTGCAAACCATGATGATGATGACTCCGAGATAGAAGTGTTCGGACCATTCGAAATCGAGGACCCTTTACTCAAAGGATCAGTCCCAAAGTCACGAAAGCGGCGGGCATGTGGCACAGAGCCTCTCGGTGCATCCAGCTCCAGTGCTCTGAGGGTGGCGGGATCAGCGACTCACGCCGAGAAGTATGCAGTCCGATCGCAATGAGTGGGATTGGTTCTTAATAACTTTATACTGACAGCTTGCACCCGTTCTTCACAAAATACCTCAAAATACCAAGTGTGAAATCTCGGCCGTTGACCACGCTTGTGGATTCAATGCAGGGCTTATCACTGGAGGGTGAAAGCTTAGCATCGCGACGACCAACGTCTTCGGCTTCGACATCTTCTCCGAGGCTCTCCGCACAGTTGATACCCCATCCTGCTGTACCGTCGAAAAAGGCTGAAGCTCAACCTGAGGAGGATACAGAAGACCAGCATGAGTTGTACTCGTATACGCTGTATGAACCGGCTCCTGCGCGTGTGTACGTTACCAATGAGGACGAGGCCAATGACTTAGTCGGTATGCTTCAAGGGTGAGTCTTGTTGAAGTGGTGACTAGGCGCGAGAATGCATGATGATCATTCATAGACCCATTGGTTTCGACATGGAATGGCGCGTCTTTTATACTCGGTCGTCGTCTGGTCCGATGAAGGTCACTACGTGTCGGACAGCCACTGTTCAAGTTTGCGACGAACGAATGATCCTCGTAATCCAAGTACACCGAATGCAGCGTAGGTCTCGTATGCCCAGCCACCAATATCATACCGTTGATATTTTCCGGACACAGGGTTTCCCCAAAAATTGCAGGTGACTACAGACTTGCGCTACCTTCTTAGGGATTTACATTTATCGCCGCCAGGAACTCATTGAGTCCAAGACAATTGTCAAGATGGGGGCGAATATTTTGAGTAAGGGCCCCATCAACCGGTCCGTTTGTCAATCTCACATCCATTTCGTAGATGATGGCGCAAAACTTTTCAGTGACTATGGGGTCGCAGGCCAAAATCTTGTAGAGTTAGGTGCACTGGCTCGGCAGGCTGATCCGGACGCAGCAAAACTATTCATCACGAAGCGTGGTACGGTCCGTAACTCCACGGCCGGGATCGCCTCTTTGGCAAAGGTCGTTGCTAAGTACTGTGGTAAGATTCTTGAGAAACCCAAAGAACGGACGAGCAACTGGGAGGCGCCGTTGACCGAGCGACAACTCTCTTGTACGTATCCGTTTGTCACTTTGCTGTTCTATATTCACCGTTTATACTGTAGACGCAGCAAACGATGCCCATTCCGCTTTGATGGCTTACTTGAAGATATTAGAGATCGCGAAGCAGCATGACCGGGCGTTGACGCCTTCGGGATACACCAAACACGTCGGTTCTGCTCTAAGTGGTCTTCCATCTGAAGACGAAGGATTAGATGACGAAGAAACTAGCCAAGGGAAGGATAAAGGGACGGAAGATCATTCAATTGTCCCTTCGGTGGACACCAAGGCAACTAAAACAGATGTGGCGCCGGTGATTATACCGCTCACTCACACTGGTATGCGTTCGCAGTATTGGCGGGCGTATCGAATGTGGCATGGCAAGGGTACATCGTTGGAGGATATGTGCAAGACATTAAGCATAGAGGGCCCGCCGTTGAAACGGACGACCGTCATGTAAGCGTATTACTTTGCGTCGCCAACAACCTCCTAATATTTGTATAGATCGTATGTGATCGGCGCCCTGCAAGCTGACACTACGCTCCCCTTCGACATGAGGAAGCTCAGGGAAATAGTTCAGACGGAAACGAAGTCATGGTCGTATTATAAACCGTGGCTTCTCCAAGTAGGTCGTGAAGGGCGGGGAGTTGCCGGGGCCACGGCTGCGAAGCGAGAGTAGTGAGAGGGCGCGCGTCTTCTTGTATGTAAGTCAGCATCGCTTATTTATGTAACGACGCTAGGATCACTGAGCGCGATTTCCAGATACTTATTTTGTTTTCCTTTTGAATAGATCAACGCATCATATCGTATAGCTCGAAATATTTTCTCATTTAAATCCTGAATTTCGTTAAGCACCTTGAAACCTTATTGATTCACGTTTGGCGTCGGGTAGTAATCTCTTATGGCCAAAGATAACGGTGCATGATGGATACCGAAACCAATTATGCCTGGGAGGTTCGCACGTTCCATTCAATTCAGTCCGTATGACTCTACTCAATGAAAAATCAATGATAAGAAATTTACGACGCACCGGCGTTTATAAAGGACAGTCCTTCGACGAAACTGACGTCGATTATTATTACACTGGTTAATATCCCGATTGTCATCATTTCGGCTGATCATCTCTGGCACTGCGCAAGCAATACCCACCTTAATCCAATTGACTGGTCACACGCTCGCTTGCGCTGAGTCATGTAGCTTGACAACCTATTGTAAATATCCCTGTCAGGGTTATCGAAGGGGAGAAAATGCAACTTGCCGTTAGTTTGCCGGTAAGGTCCTTGACGCCTCTTGACACTTGGACTTGCAATGCACTGAAAATGTGCTCTGCGTAGGATGTCGAATGGCTTTTGTCAGGCTGTATGTTGCAAAGGTTATCCTGTTCATTTATCGTAGGAACCCTACTCCCCGCCTCAGGCTTCATCAGTCGATCTCAAAACATACCTCACGGTCACGTAATAAGGGGTATTCGGAAAAGAACATAGACCCTTACAGACACTTTAGAGTTAGCCCAATCAGAACATTCAGTCCGACCAGTTTGCTTAGTCGTCGCGGAGCAAAGCAGTGCTGGCGAGCTGCGAATTTCAAAATAAGGGGTTCAATCTTACTGTTGGGCAAGTAAGTATATAACTGTGTGCATTATAGCCCGCCCGCAAAACCCCCTCGCTCGTTTCTCTTCATGCGTCATGCTGGAGGTCTTAGCCGGACCTGAAGCGCGCTTATATCTTCGAGCCTACTTCTGTGGTGAGTTGTTCAAGAACTCGTCAAGAAGCAGCTGCTGATTTTTGACAGTTTCCGCCTCATCTCTGGTCGTCTATGATTACTGTCTCACTATAGATGACGAGCTGCATCGGATATGGCGGTGAGTTTCTTAATTGCCTGATATTAACTGTTCATTAATTATCAGCGAATTCGCCGTTCAGACAGCCGATCAACGTTGCCAAATGTCTTTTCCTCGTATGCAGATACGTCGGGCTCATACCACTGATGTATGTTGCCAGTTTTCGACGCCGTTATAAGTGTATATTCTGACTATTCCTCGAAATCGAAGCATCCTCACTATTGCGCACCTTTCTCTCCGACCCGATGTAGTGTACTCCCGTCATCACTGTATGGCGTGGAACTGGTTCCAGACCGTTGTGTTTCACATCTTGCTTTTGGCGGTCGAGGGCCTGCAGCTCATCAAAAGTGCGTCTTTGTTTTCATACTATTCTTGATACACCCTTACAACGGTGCGCCAGTCCATGCCCTGTACGCCCGCCACATCAAAACGATGTCTGCCGTTTACCTGTTTCGCACTGGAACATTTGTCGCCGTGATGTACACCTCCGCAACCACCATACGCCTAGCCTCCTACGATAGCTCGTGCCTTGTTAACGATATACCGAAGCAGGCAAATTACTTTGCGTGCGTGACAATGCCAGCTATTTTCTCGTACTCTGACAATTATGCCCTATAGTGCCGTCGCAATGAGCACGCAAGTGTTTCTATCGATCATGATAGTTGGGCATCAAACGGTATGGGAGAACTTTCAGAAGTCCTCGTGGCTTGGGACCATGTCGCGGGATTCAGTCATTGCATGTTCTATCATTGTTGGTGAGTCCGTCTTTGGGTTATATTGGGTATCCCCTCATCCATTTTTCTAGCCCTCCTGGCGATGATAATAACGAAGGCCGAAGAGTTAGCCCACGTTCTACCTTCGTGAGTTCTCTACGTGAGCGTGGGGTCTCCAATGTCTTAACCACCTTCTTAGGATTTTCATCGCCATCCTGTCGATCAGCGTAAGAAATCCTCTATTGTTCACTGCTCATCCAGACTGAATCAATTATAGGGCTGTCGTATGGTCATCAACGTCCCTTCTTCCTCCGAGAAAGAAGACTACGGCGACGGTCGCACCATAGCTACTGGCTCCGTGAAGCTATCGACCTATTTTGAGAGTTCTTTGGATATTGAACCTGAGTTGGACCTTCACGGGTAGCGACGTCGGTCCCGTAGGCGGGCCAACTTCCTCTACGTTGCTAACAGTGTCTTACCTCCCATACAATATTATAGGAACGGTCAACTCGAATGCATGGCTCGCGATCCTGAGGTCCGATGCCCCACGCCAGAGCGCGCGCTGTCGTCGATTTCGAAACGCCGATCCACTCCCACCAATGATACCACCTGCCGATGGGCACCTAGGCTCTAGCCGTATGATTTTATTCATGTCGTGCTTAATGTATATAATTCTTTCAGTTAATTACATACATACTCGCGTAGATAGTAGATAGAGGATGCGTAGGTAGGCCCTCTGGGCAATTGCGTCGTTCTGCCAATTTGATTGCATGACAGCCGACATGTACAGTAGACAGATTATCTCAAGCCAAGGAGTGTCCCGGGTTGAGGCATTTGACTCGGAGGAAAGTGCGCGGTTCTGCAAGCATCTTCCCCAGCTCGGATCTCGCTCGCCCAGCTCCACTATTTGTCCACCATCTATCTCCTATGTCTTGCACGCACCTCCTATCATGGTCGATCTACTCAACTTGAGTCCCTTGTGCCTTCAACAGCCCGGCTTATGATTTAGAGAATGCCGGAGTGATCCCAACGGGCCGAACGTGTCCTTTCGATCTTCAAAGATCTTGCCTTAGCGTCACTCTAGCTCTAGTCTACGTATATATATACCTTCTCATCTCGAATCTTTTTCTTTTAGTTTGTGATACGTTTCATTCACGAAGTCTATTGAGGGTTACATAATAATAAAGGAATTGGACAACCAGACCGATTCAAACGACACAACCTGTAGTCAATGGAATTTCATACAAAGAAGCCCCAGCGAATGGGGGGGGACCAAAAATTTGCACAGCAGACCGAGAGTAGTCTGAATCGAGTTACATCGACGCCAGCCAGCGCGAAGCTGGTGTAAGCCATGTACCGCGAAGTGCACTAAAGGATGGTTGAGAGACGGCTAATCTGCAGAAGGCGAACTTTCTCGTGCATGCCCCTCCTGGGTGGTTCTTCCTCTATTTCAGAGGACCGACGGCTCAGGCCGGAGTCTGAGACCAGAACTGAGAAACTGGTGCGTAAAGCCAGAACGATTGAGATAGAGCATTATGCCTTATCCAATCTGCCCCGTCCGCACCAACCCGGACGTGCTTATCAGGCATCCTGTTAGATAGATCGGAAGTGAGTCAGGGCGAGGATGTAATGGTATGTGCACTTGCCGAACGTCTTTGAGATGATTCCCAAAAACAGAGCGGGGGAAGGTCCCGCTGCAGACGCCCCCTCCGCCATCAACTGAGTGCCTTCGACCAGGTTCGCAAGGTGAACACAGATGCGAATCATAAGAGCACTCAGATGCTTCGTAAAAGCTTCACAAAGCGAGGCCTGATCGATAACAAACAGCTAATGGCCACCCCAAGACCCAGGAGATACTGCGAAACAGTTATAGGTGCTAGTTGGACTTGAGGAGTTGAACCGCATTCGCCTACGATACCGCAACATGTCGATAAACGACCATCGTAGATTAGCCGTCCAAGCAGAAACCACCCGATCCCCGCACCGCATTTCATTCCGACCACTCCATCATGCCCTCCCAGTAAACGATCTTCGGGCAAAGAGACGGAGCGCGGAGGATTTCGGGTACGATGCTTGGCTAGTTTACAGCCAGGTCCAGCTAGGACCGATCGAGGGGGACTAGAATACTCAGACCTTAGCCCGCTCGCGAGAGAAACACGGCCAACATCGTGGACGGTTTGTGGGGGACGAGCCTCGCGGTTTTCGGCCTGCTGTGGTGGTTCAAGAAGAACCTTGGAAGTAGGTGCGGGCGCTTAGTACCACGTAGAAGATAGGGGTCACAGGGGAGGGACTGCATGTACAACATGGGCTGACCCGACTTGTAGGGATAAAGAGGCGAGCCTTCGTCTGAGTAATAACCGGCCAACTCACATCAGAAAATAGACTTACTCTGAGCCAACGCGCTCAGCAGTTTAATCGACAACCATTGAGGCTCTCTGAGTGTGAACTTTTCGACAGATTCCACCAGCTGCGGGTTCATAAGTATAAGTAACATAAGTAACATAATTACAATTATATCCAGTGTTTGTATATGGCTGGTATATGGACGAAGCGTAGTCATATTAGCGGCCCCTATCTCGAGCGTTGGTATTAAGCGCCCAAAAGCTTCTGGCACGACGGTTCTTCGTGAACCACCACAGCAGGCCGAAAACCGCGAGGCTCGTCCCCCACAAACCGTCCACGATGTTGGCCGTGTTTTTCTCGCGAGCGGGCTAAGGTCTGAGTATTCTAGTCCCCCTCGATCGGTCCTAGCTGGACCTGGCTGTAAACCAGCCAAGCATCGTACCCGAAATCCTCCGCGCTCCGTCTCTTTGCCCGAAGATCGTTTACTGGGAGGGCATGATGGAGTGGCTGGAATGAAATGCGGTGCGGGGATCGGGTGGTTGCTACTTGGATGGTCTGATCTGCGCTGATGGTCTTTATCGGCATGTTGCACATTTGTAGGCGAAAAAATTCTAGGCATCGGGAATCCTCAACCCAGTTGCCACCTATGAGTATTCGCAGCGTCTCCTAGGGGAGGTCACCATCGGCTGGGGACTTCATGTTGCCTTGCCTCCGCTCGATAGAGCGTCTCTGCGTGCCTTGTGCGCAATTCCACGATGTTCGTGGCGCGGGTTTTACGGGCAGAAGTAGCCAGGCGGTGGTGGAAGAGCCTCTTCTGTCTAAAGGAGTTGTTCTTTACATAGCGTGTCAGAAGTATCTGGCATGGTCTCGAATGGCCTTGGGGTCTCCCAAATCCATTCAACCCAGTGCGTTGATCCACTGTATTCATATTCTCGCCTTGCTAACAGAGGCTCCCTTAGCACCCTCGCAGATTGCGAGGAGGGTGTTGACGGATCGGAGTGGGTAAAGTGGGATGCCCATTTCTAATGGGATCGATCTCGCTGTGCCTCGCTCCGTCTCCCGACCAACGATCCACCTCTCTAGAGAGGGGACTCTCTAGAGAGTTTTACCCTGGGAGGCTGACGTGTACGAGAAGAATCGCCGTCCGCAGACAGACTGTCCATCGTACAACCATCCTTTAGTGCACTTCGCGGTACATGGCTTATCCCGGCTTCGCGCCGGCTGATGCCTGTGTAACTCGATTCAGACTACTCTTGGTCTGCTGTGCCAATTTTTTCCCTCCCCCTCTCATTCGTTGAGAGTATTTTTACAATTGTAATCGTAGATTAATCATTCATTCATAGTGCATGTCGTGTTTTCTTGTGCCGCTGCGCCGCGGTATATTTCAGCAAGCAATACGGCTATGGTGCGTAGGTGCAATCAACGGCAGCATGGTACAAGGCAATTGTAGACACCAATGGGCACTTTAACTGACGGTGGGGCATCCTCCAGGACGTAACAACCGGACTGTTCTGAATCTTGCGAGACAGGAACAAGGGAGGAATCTAACTCACTATTTCTTGTCCTCGGAGGCCGTTAATACAGTGAAAAGCGAACAGCCTAACGTACCAGTGGCAGTACCAATGGCAGATACCGCCCAGTACGCGCTACGCTCTCGATCATGATCGAAGTAAGATCAAACCAACCCCGGATCCACGTTGTTGCAAGTTATTACAATCATGTCGCAGTGGCTGCGCAATAATCGAGACTCGAAGGCCTTGTTCCTGATCCTTGCCGGAGAGAACTGTAACAACGTCTTCACGACAGCACTAGCACGACCACTGTTGTGGATCGAATAGGGGCTCTGTTGAAGATCAGCAGTCGTTACTCTTCACAGAAGCAGAAGCAAGGGAGACTGATGCTTGCCCTCATATCCTCTCGCAGCTACCGCAACGGCGGCCCCGTTGGAACCGTACGAGGGGACGAGGTTCACGAGCAACTCTAGATATGCTCCTCTGGACGCTTCTTCACCTACTCTGAACCCTGCGACTTGACCAGACGACGCCGTTTGTATCCTGGCATAGAACGAGGGAGTCAAGGGTGTACGGTTTGTGTAGATTTGAAAAGGAGAGCATACATATAGTTGGATACGTCGAGATTTGATCGACATCAGCTTCAGGCTGGTATCCTCGCGGCTCGCGAAACGCTGAAACCGGGAGAGGTCAGTGAGAAACGTTGCATGGGTGCTGACGTCGACTTACCTTACAGGAGTTTACAGGACAAGTGGAGCGCAAGCGTTCTACCTTCGAATTTTTCTAGTTCATCAAGGAATTGTAGCGTGTCACGAAGTTGGCACGCGTTACTGTGCTCATCCATCGAACCAAGGGCTGAATCATGGATACGAGTGATGGTGCATCGAAACCCGACGAGTTTTTGTCTCAATTGCTGCCACATCAACAAGAACCTAGAGACCATAGCGACTTGGAGGCTAGACACCATCAACTTTCCACTAGAACACTTTGCCACGGACCTACATCAACGTTGCGCGCGATTTGCAAACACTTAGCGCCCCAGACAATAACTAGTGATATGTGTACACCAGCAGGAAGACAAACAGACGCACAATACGACTCTCAAGCTCATATTGATGGCATTGTCCTGATCGCCATATCCGTCGGACGCTACGGGTTCAAATCAAACTTCCAGCTTCGAGTGCTATTGTCTCCTCTGCGGGTCTTTGTTTGAGTGACGGTTTTCGGACAACTGAAAGCAACAGACGCATTGGGAATCCACGCCTCCAATACCAGGCACCCACACCCAAAAACACATCCGGACATATCTCCGCTTACACACTTGCGCTGTAACAATACGTCCACGCAGGCCAGTACCTGCACGACTTTTGCCTGATATGGCAGGCCTTTGTGACCGAAACGAACAAGCGCTGGAAAACAAAGCAACTCTCGCCGGCTTTGTGCCAGGGTGGAGTGTAGGCGCCATGAGGAATTGCCATGTGAGGACCAGTGTTTGTCCCCAGGAACGACCGGTGATTGGATAAAGTAAGGGAGGAAGGGAAGGGCGGAGGAGGAGTATATAAGGTAACCCGATGTTCAACTTTTTTCTTCAACTCATCCTCCTCACGAGTTTTCAAAGCAACTAGCAGCCCGTCTACCTCCGCCTCCATCAATCTCAACGATGTTCTTCTCACTCGCCTCCATTGCTCTCCTCGCTGTCTCTGTTGCCGCTCAAGGAGGTTTCCCTCGTACGTCGTTTCTCTCACATTCTGCAAAGAAAAAGACGGCTCACTCTCAATGTCAGAGTGCGCCATTCAGTGCTTGGACCCCACGCAATCCGTCAACGGATGTGGCCCAACTGACAACGCGTGTCTTTGCAACGACACTGCGTTCATCAGCAGCACAACCGCGTGTATCGACACCAACTGCGAGGGTGACGATGTAGCGAATGCCCAGGCTGCAGCCAGGTCACTGTGCGCTGCCGTGGTACGTTGATGCTTACTACGGAAATATCAGAAAACTCACGCATTTTAGGGCGTCACATTGACTTCAACACCGGCGTCTGAGCCAACGTCATCGTCTTCGTCTGTCACAGCTCCATCGTCGGGGTCATCAACGGTTTCGGGCTCTAGCTCTGCTCCCACGTCCACCGCTCCTGCCTCGTCTACCGGCAGTGCTACGACTTCGTAAGTGTTTTGCTTTCTCTCTTGTTCCCGCCTCCCTTACATGTCACTTCAGACCTGCCCCAGCGCAAACATCCAATGCCGCCTCATTCAACGGCGTCAACTCCTTCGCCGGCATCGCTGCTTTGGGCCTTGCCGCTCTTGCTCTGTAATACCGCCATCATCATTAATCGGAGTGCTTAAACGCCATGTCACATTATGTGACGCAGGCGGGCTGGTTGTTTCACCTTTCGTTCGATTTGGAACTATACCCTCGCATCCCTTCTCCCTCTCTTTCTTGGTTGAACACTGGCTATCGGGAGACGGTCCTTACGTTATTTATGCTATGTATCTACAGTGACAGCGTCACGAAAAGTATTGGGAATCATAATGGATAAATCCGTACTTGCATGCGAATATTTCTGCCTTTACTTTGAGGGAAGGACGATCTCGTTCGTAACGTAGTCTACTAGAACTTTAGAGTCGTGTGGTTGGTTCTCTTCGTCATCCCTTGAATGACAAATGTTCGCCACGATGCACATGGTTTATCACTCTTCTCTTCTATGGATAAGCTGTCTTTATCACGAATGGAGAATCTCCATGTGCGCTTTTATCGTTCGTTATAAATAAATGTAACGTAGAACGTCTTACAACCCAGATGAATGAGGGGGGTAGTGTTCGCTTACAGAACAAAGCATGATTGTATTCTACGTATACGTGTACAATATCAATAACATCGGCATCTCATACACACCTCGTGCCACTACATTAATTATACAAGTACATCGATAACTCTCATGACGAACTCTACTCAAGGCAAGCTCAACCACTTCTCCAACAACTTTCCGAACCTGGGCGTGCCCAAGCCAGTAACTGGGTCCCATCCTGATGTAGCGTTGAAGCCCGACGAGCCGCAGCCCGAGTTGTTCCCAGCCACGATATCGTTGAACGCGTCTGAGAAATCAGGGGAGTAGATCTAAGAGAGCATGATAAAAGTGAGGTCATCAGCATCGGCTTCTGCTTTACAGCACACTTCAGATTCCCCGGGTTGGCCGGGTTCGGCATCCCACACTGACACCCCCACAAATGCCTCTGTTCGTACCTCAACCCGCAAGTTGGGTGTGGGATGGTGTACGCGCATTCGAACGACAGAATCATAGAAAGGACGATGGAAACGTGCACTTACGGTAGGGTTGATGAATCCAACGGTCTTCTTCCCGGCAGCAAGCCGTGCGTCGTTGATCAGAGTGATGAGAGCTCCGATGACAGGCGTCGATGCAGAGGTTCCGTACACGAGGATGAATTGGCCATTAACCTAATTCGTATTAATGGGTGTTGTTAGCTCACATAGTGGAGAGGCGATTTGATCTGAAGGTAGACGCACTGCTGCGACAAAGTTCGCACTGAGGGGGTGTGTCAGTTAGCGTCCATTGGATGTGATCGGAACGGACTCACCCATTGGCAGCGATATCAGGGAATGCACGAGCCTAGAAGCAGGGGAAAGGTCACTTGACGAAAGGCTACGTGAGCGGATGTACTCACGACCCCTGTAGAGTTCCAGATATCGTCAGGATGACTTGGTGGGAAATTCGTAAGGTAGTTGTTGACATGATCCTTCTGGTAGTCGGGCATAGCAAAGTGATTGCTAGATAAGTATGAAGCATGATCAATGCAAGCCACGCTTGGAAGAGGACAAGGACTAACCTGAAGCCCCCTCCGCTGAAGATCACTTGGTCAATGGCTGCTTCGGGGGCAGTCACTGGCGCGTTCTTGTTGATCTGCGTCGCACCGACAACAGTGACGAAGGGGCAGCTCGCCGGGAATCCTGGGTTGAAAACTGGCCCATAGGCGTCAGGGAAACCTATTTACAATCCAAGCTAGTCAGCTACCCCGTAATCAAGAAAGGAAAAGCAAGTAGCTTACCGAATTCAGACATACATACACCGTTGTTCCCTCCAACACCACTGTCTCCGGACGAGAAGAGCATAGTGATACCCATAAGTCCCAGTTTCGCGTATTCAGCGCATTGACGCGCGGTATAAGTGGGATTGAGGTCTGCTTCATTGTAGCCGTACGAGGTGGAGATGACGTTTGTGGGTTTGACGGTACCGCATTCGGCGGCGCCTAGAGACGTATGTACGTTAGACATGGGAAATGCGGAAGGGATGAGGCACATTTCGTACCTTTCCATCCGCCGGTCTGAGTGTTGGGGTAATGGGGGTCTTGATAGATATCGTCGCCCCCTTCGAACGTACAGTATGACCCGTCGATGGCATCAAGGAAATTGTTAAATGAGGCGCCTGGGAAGACAAACATAAGCGTTGAGATGATAATGTACACGGTTGGAGCAGCCCGCGCAACATCCTAGGATTCCTACCTTGTACTAAGTCTCCAACCTGATAGAGGGTAATGTTTTGTTGGACGCCGACAAGGTTCATCGCGTATTCTAAGTCAAGATCCGACTCGCCGTTGTACGCAAAGTTCTGGACCTGCGTTTGTAGGACACCTAGTCATCCCAATAAATTCAGCCTGCATACTGCGCTGGGTGGTGAGAGTGGACTTGCCTCCGTCGATGGATATAACATTAGGCGTCTTGCCCATTATTTCTCGCGAATAATTAAAGTGGAACATATCAATATCAGATTGGAGGAACGCCTGAGGGGTATATTCGACTGCCCATACCTAATCAGCAAACGCTCTCAACCAATGTCGTTATGGACAACGCACCAACACCGAAGCTGTTCTTGGCAGCTGCTTGAGTAGTATAATTCAAGCCATACAGCGTCCGGAGACAATCTGGAGTCAAAATTAGCCAGCAGTAATCGGCGGCTGCAGCGGCATCCTGCTTCGCATTATGGAACTTGAGGACTTCGGTGGGGACCTTGCCGGTGGTCTTGGGTGTTATCCCGAAGCCTGGTTGTCCAAGGTTGCTGATAGTGACAGGGGCGGTAGATGGACCGCGCTTTTCTACACGCGCATCGAAGTGGACGGAAGGCAGGACAAGCTCGACATGCGGCGCAACGTGTGCGGGTAGGTGGTACTCATTGCACCCTATGAGATGAAACGATAAGATTAAGTGACTATGTATCTTACGTTCGTGAACATTTTAAGACGTGAAGGTTTACTTACCAACGTGTGACTTGCCACTTTCGTGGACGTAAACGTTGTATTCGGTGCGCAACAGATCGTTTGCCTCTGCGACAGACGCGTCGACGTTGATCCAACCCTTTGTCGAAGAGATCTTGATCCGCTCAGCAGGGATCCCACTCCCTACAAGCCAGTTATGCACGGTCGAGACGGTCTCTTCACTCGGTGCGAATGTCTCCGCAATCTTTCCTGCAGTCCAGTGGTTACCGTACTGGGGTGACTTGGGGTGGGACACTTCGTTCAAAAACTCTTCTAGACGGTGCATATTCGACTGAGTAAGCGCGAATTTCAGAGGGATGGTCGCGGAAGGGTCGTGTCTGCGAGCGTGCGCCCATCCCGATGGGAGGAGGTCGCGCTTTTCGTGCAGGACGGTCGCATGTGGGTGCGTTATAATAGCAGCCTGCGCCGCCAGGAAAAGCGAAGCGAGCAGAAGCAGCTTCATGACGGATAAGTGGGGTGGGGTGGGCCTAATCAAATGCAACCTGAAGCTCATCCATCGATCCCCCTTTATGCAGGCGCGAAGGCCACTGCTGTAGCTGTAGCTGACAGCATGCCGTCACGGGCGAATTTTGGTAGAAACTGCATACTCCGAAGTCATATGGGATGCACCAGGAAGTATCGATCTAACTTCGGGAAGGCGATCTTACGTGCCGTGCAGGCATTTCACCGCGATGCGCACGGGCACCTGACGCGCGCTATCTTGAAGGAGCGGGCGTAGGGTGTATCTACGGCGATGGGGCCTGCAATGCTAGCGTGAGCAGTAGGACAATCCAAGGGCTAATCGTCATAACCACATGTGTGCCACGAATGAACAAGCAGCCACAATTAGGTCGGGGAGGGTGAAGACATATGCAACTGGCCCAAAAAGAAGCATGGTATGAGAATTACATGCCATGCTTGGAAGGATGGAGAAACGACGGCAGAAGAGGCTCAGATGGTAGAAGAACGATCGTGCTTCTGTCGGAGAGAGGTGTCATATTAGTATAAGGCATACATCCGTGCAAGGGGGGGGGCGTACATATAACCTAGACTCTAACGTACATGTGGCGATATGCTCTCTTGAGCCTTGGAGCCAAACTACTCATGATAACGAAGGCCGGTCCCGAAAGCGGGACGACTATCCGGGACAGCAACGGGGTCAACTGAGAGTCTCGCTTCTTCGGCGATTTGTCGATAATCCACGGGACCAGCGTTAAAATGGTATAAAATTACATAGGGACAATCGGGGCACTGCCCTTCTCTAACGCCGTGCGTAAACTGAACACCCACCGTCAGCGCGCTGCAAGGAGTGGAAGAATGAGTAATTGTACGCACCTATAATCGTCACCGTTCTGCGTGATGTAGCGCACCCAAGGAAGAGCCTGATAACCGCTCTTTTCCACGATTTTGAGGTACCGAACTTGGATACCTGACACTGTGAAGTAGGGGATCTCAAATTTTACAGTTATCGGTGCTCTCTTCTCCACGTCAGCCTCTGCGGCCGCTTAATCAGCGCGTGTTCTGCTCCAAAGGGATGTTGCACGTACCGCTCTTGACACTCGGCAGCCCAAAGTGCGCTCGCATGAGGAATTCTCTGCCGCCGCCAAGCTGCTTTATCTTCCATACGAATGCAGACTTGTCAGGCGCGTATTGCACGCTACCGGTGGACGCCTTGGCGTGGGACGAGGTTCTTTAACGTGGCCTCTTCGAGGAAGAATAGAAACGAACGCACTCTGAATTTGGGGCTATCAGCATCATCTGGTACGGGGACGTATATCTCTACGTTGTTGGCTGTACTTCGCCTCTTGAACTGGGCTTTGCATTTCACCATATACTCCACGCGACTACCCTTGTGGTGTTCCACAGCGGCCTCCACCCATATCAACGGCTTCACCGGCGTCGAAAGGCGGTACGACATGAGCTCGAATTCGCCGTCTGGCGGGATGAACGAAATCGTCCGGTCGTTCTCGAAGCGTGACAATCGCACACACTGGTGGAACTTGACGTCCTCCATTTCGATCGCCTTGCCCCGCGCAGCTAGCTTGAATGTCAGTGATAGAACACCGCCAAGGATGGAGGGAACGTACTCCGCCCGGTGCTCTCAAACATGACTTTGTCATTCAGACCTAACCGTAATTCGGGCATTCCAGATAGATAGCACTTCATCTTGACTGCTCCCAAAATTTCTGATCGCACAACGTTGCCATTGGCGTTGACCAGTAGGTTCACACTCTCGATTACATCCAGGAACACCTCGTTCTTGCGATATCGAATTCCCTCGGTTCGCCAGGAGACTGCGTTCGTGACTGCCATCGGTGGTCGGACTTGAATCTCTAGCTTGTGAGATTCCTGGGTGATATACCTGCACAAATGAGCAGTCACTATGAGACATCTGCGCGTAACCACTCACTCTTGCAAGATCTTGCTCTCTGTTGTCTGCGGGTATCCGAAGTCCATCATCTCATCCAGCAACTCGTAGATGATCACAAAGTTATCCCGTATACTCTCCTCCTCCAGTTCTTTGAAGTATTCGACCAGCACGCTGGTTAGCCGATGTAGGAAGAGAATGATTTCGGCGGCATTGGAGTTTCGTTTCGATAGTGCCAGAACTAGCGCGAGCTGAAAAGTTATAACTTGTTGAAGTGAGAGTACATACTGTAGAGATTTGAATGGCGAATGTGCATGTAGTTGATGCCTTGGCTCGAGAAACACGGCGTCACTTGCTGGCCTTCTTCTTCAAAGTCCAGGACTAGAGGCAGAAAGCGTTCGATATATGAAGAAGGCACATCGTCGCGATAGGATCTTTGAATCAGAGGCTTTCCTTTGAGATCCAGAATGGCGATGAGACTGGCCATCTCTTTGAAGGAGATACTTGAGACGGGAGGTACGATCGGGAGTGCTCCCCGCAGCCAATTGGCGCCGAGGGCACGTGCCTATGAGTGCTTTCAGTGAGTTTCTGCGTCTCTACTGCATTAGCATTTGCGGTTGACTTCGCTTCAATTGCAGGAAGATGTCGGATACCTGTACTCCGGTAAGTTCTGGTGCTGTGTCATGGTCTATACTGAGCAAAAATCCCATGATATCAGGCTCATGACTGGTTTACCGCGACACTCACGGCCGGACTATGCGTTGGTCTTATGATATCGTACGCGCCGCAGGTGTGTGGCACTTGCTTGCTTTGACTGGTGTCATCCCAATACTGCTGCCAATAGCACTTCCGAATAATAAACAAACAGTCGTCGGAAGGATTGTCCCCGTGGTTCCTTTTATTAGGGAGCACCTCCAGTGCGTCAGGTTTCTTGAATATGTGAGTTTTGCGCCGCGGCTCCAATACCTTTTATGCTAATCACTAGATACGGAAGGGTCGCCCTGCAATGGGGTATTGTAAAGTGCTGCCGTTACGTGGTAGGCGTTTGTCTTGCCTACGACACTTGAGACCGAGGGTTGATGTATTACGCAGAGCGTAGGGAGCTGCGCCGAAATTACTCTAGGAGTCGTCCAGGTTGGGCTGCAGTGGTTTCTCTTCACAATGATGTACGTCTACAATTCCATCCTATCTGCATCACGCCCAATCGTGAATCCTTGGTCTTAGCATGGTTCTATACATGATATACTATCCCCCGTATCTTAAATATGTCGCGGCCAATGAACATGAAGATAACCATGACACGCGGCCGTCTTCCTCTCCCATAAAGAAGCCAATGAAGCGGGCTGAATGGAGCCTTTCCATTATTCTTTCTTGGGTGGTCGTAGTTCACATGTAAATTCCTCCATGTCTTCAACACTCTGCCTCAGCTCATCTTTGCCATCAGCATCTTAATATCATTCACTACGTTCTTCCTCCTCCTTACGGCTACGCCATCTCCCTCGCCATCTCTCCCTCTCCCAAAGCAGGTGCTCTCCTGGGCAACATTCCTGGGTGTATCATCTGCCATTCTCGCGGCCATACAATACGCGCCACAAATTGCTCACACGTATCGACACAAGGTAGTAGGTGCACTGAGTATACCCATGATGTGTATCCAAACGCCCGGGGCAATACTGATGGTCACTTCCATCGCGCTAAGGTAGGCTCTCTCCTTCATTCAATTTTCCGTATTTATCGATTCCCTAGGCCAGGCACCAATTGGACTAGTATGTTCCGATCCATCTCATCGGTTTGGAAACTAACTGAACGATGGTAGGTTGGATAACCTTTGCTGTGGCAGGGGTCATGCAAGGGACCCTTCTTGTCATGTGTATATTCTGGAAAGTCCGTCAACAACGACTGGGGATTGATGATTTCGGCCACTCGCTCGCGCCACCAAGTCCATCTGCTTCAGGGGGGAGCACCTATGACTCGAATTCTCGTGGAGAAGAAGAAGTACCTGGACTGGTGACCGGCGAAGGAGACGATCCCACTGCCGTTAGCATGGCATTAGCCGCCGCTCTGGAATCAGCCGTCGAGACAGATTTGAGGGCTCACAGTGATAGTCGTATAGACGCAGCGCAGGCAGAAGATAGTGAAAGGACGCCGCTCCTTGGAAACCCTACGAAAGACAATGAAGCAGGGGGACATGAAACCAACCATGGGTGGTTCGGCTGGCTTCGAAGGTAGCGCTTTCGTGCCGTAGGCCACAGAGACGTTTTACTATTTCCATACTCACGGCTTGTAATGTGGACCAGGCTCAAATTTTCTCTCAATTGCACTATAACAATGATTCGGCTTCTATAGGTGACAGTTTTCGAGTTACCTCCTGGACGACCTGGACCCTAGGCATTTTGCAATCGCAGATCTCCTTGATGATACCCCTTTCGTTTACTTGCCCTGCCAGTTGGCTATGCATGCATCCCTTCATCTTCGTGGCACATGCAAACCCTCATTGGGTGTGTGAAGCCAATGTCCTGCTGAAATGATGCAGTAGTCCTAGCATGCGGGCCTTGCTCTTTGTCCACTATTTGGGAAGGAACTTATGGATTTCTAGCTCTGTGCCGAAATAATTCGACCAAGGCGTTCAGCTACCCCGTGACCATGGATCAACCAGAATGTGAGCATTCTGTTGGATTCTGTTGTTGGTCGAGCTTGCCTTTGACATTCTTACTAGATCAAAGTCACTGCAGGATAAGTACTTAGTTGTCACGTGTGACTTGTTACCGAAGGCAGGGATCCTACTTCAAGCTTCAACAACAGCGGATGTCAATTTGCAAACGGGGCTTCGTCAGCTCCAGCCGACCGCATCCAACCCCTAAATCGATACATGATCCCCCCTTCAATGTTAAGTCGTATATATGTGAGACGGAAGTCCGGACACGATCGCTATGTCTTCTCCTCTTATTCCTCGTCATTCCGACTTTATTCCCCACCATCATGCGACAGCCCCTAGTGTCCGGGAATGGGATGCCATGCTACGAGCGTATTCATCATGTGAGCAGGATGCTGTTGAACCCCCCGCTATAGTCTCACTTTCGAGTCGTCGCAGTCGCGGCTCTGTCAGTGCTTTTGTACGAGCAGTGTACAACCTTGAGCAGCGAGTTTGAGCTGGTTTGGACGTGAGCCCCTCTGCCCTCGATTCCAATCTGCATTCAATCGCCTCTGCAGGCGTCCAATCACCTTCGTCAAGTGCTTGTATGTCATTTGTCGATATCTAGCAATCGCGTGGCAGATGTACGAGCTCCTTGCGGTCGTAAAATCTGAAAATCCCTCTTGACGCTTCTTCTAGCACAAGTCAAGTCTTTCTCTTACAGCTCGACCTTGAAAACCCATATTCCTACAAGCAATGCATTGCGTGGCACTCGATCCATACGGCCGTATCCCAGATACTCCTTTTTGTTATCGAGTGTATCCAGGCCATGAAAGGTGCGCGCCTCCACACATTCAGATGTCTTCTTTTTCCGACGCCCAAATGACAGTTCATGCACTTTACTCGGAGAGGCGCAGGACGCTGTACATGCTGCATCTCTTTCGGACAATTTCCTTCATCATGATCACCTATACGACCGTTGCGACACTCTTGGTCCTGTCATACGATGGCGCATGCATTGTAAGCGATATACCTCAGCAGGTCACTTGGTTTGGGTGAGTGGAACGATTTGTTTTTTTTGTGTCCAATTCATAACCTTGGTGAAGCGCCTTGGCGATTCTTTCCCAACTCATCGTCACTTTCCTCGGAATGTCTCCCTCAGTGCTCAAGGAAATCTTACGGCAGTCTTCACTTATCGCTACTATGTCAAGGGACTCGTTCTTGATGTTTGGAATCATCACCGGTAAGTCGATACTCAGCCTTCCGTCACGCTTATTTACTTGGATTCGCGTCAGTTTTCTCCGCCATCATCATCCGTTATGCTGCCTTGATGGCGCATGTCATACCTCAGTACGTACAGTACTACAACGCAACTTCAATATCCAACACTTACGCCTACTAATTGCACAATATCCAGGTTCTTCCTCAGCACGCTATCCGTGATTGTAAGTATTATCTTCACAGCAGTTAGTATCTCTAACCACCCCTCCAGGGCTGCCGAATGATCCTCAATATGTTGGAAACTGCGTCAAGAGAGGGCGACACTATACGGACTGCATCGGTTCATTTGTCCATGTTCCTGGACGGTTCTTTCGTTAGCGGAGAAATGGAATCCTTGTAGCTCTCTCAACATCTTTCCTTGTTCCGGTTTCGAGTTGGGCTCATTTATGTTGTTGTCATCGCCTTTACCTTAGAAAGCACCATATCTCATACAATACGCAACACTACTTTAGATCATCGTGTACCAGTCGATTGCAATCGCTGCGATTTGAGTCATACAACGTCCTAGACACACTGAGAAAGACTGAGAATAAGGTAGAAAGACATGAAATAATTGAGGGGCCCGGCATCACATGACGTGGGCGCGTAGTCTTCCCCCGATCTTCCGAATGTTGGATGTATCTTCCGCTCAACGCTATTCTTCATCTCTCCACGCTTGACTTCCGGGACTCAGATTTAGCCAATTTCTGTGCCAAAGCGAGTTGGACGCAGCCGTGGTTCTCTTAGTCGACGGTATTCCTTTACGCCAGCGCGCTTTCCACAAAACCTTCCCCATTCAAATTCACGAAACAAAACGGGGTGTGATAGAATGTCGAGCTGGTTGAATTCTGTGGCAAAAGCAAAAGGCTGCCGGTCTCAAGTTTCTCGATATGTTTCAAAACCTGGGTCCAGACTATCTCAATTCGCTTGCCGATCATTGTCGTCGCGCTCGGGGCCCGCAATTTTAGAAAATACACCTAGTCGAATACAGCATAGTGCCTCAACTCCTCCCACATTACGCGCTGGCCGAATCACTCATTCATTTGATATGAGGAAAGGGAGTAATGGCTTGGGGTGGAGTTTGCGGAGGAGAGAGTTTCATTCGTCTTGTGGTATGTGCAAGTTGACGACGAGTGAGAGGCTTACGATTGAGTACTAAGTTATCGCCCAGCTAGGCTCCACGGTCATTTAACAAGACCAGAACCCGGTACTGGGTACGCTTGGATCCTATTTGCCACATCATCAGCATACATGTTTACAAGTCGTCAGAATAAAAGTAACGTTCAAAGACTCGAAGGGGGAACTAATCAAAACGGTCGAAGCAAATGATGGGGATGACCTTCTATCGCTGGCGCATGAACATGACATTGACCTTGAAGGTAGAGATGTCACTGTGACTTGCATCTAGTTACTGACCAGATTCACTCGCTATACACAGGTGCTTGCGAACGCTCTTGTGCGTGTTCGACCTGTCACGTCATTCTACCACAGGAACTCTACGACATACTCCCCGAACCCGAAGACGATGAAAATGACATGTTAGACATGGCTTTCGGGCTCACGGACACCAGCCGCCTGGGATGCCAGGTTTATGTGACGAAGGAAATGAAGGAGATGGGCGAGAGAGGAGAGATTGTCGCGACGCTGCCGAGTGCGACGAGGAATATGTTCGTTGATGGTGAGCCAATCCAGTGAACAATACTGATGTACCAGCGACTGAACTATATTCGTGTCATCAGGAAGAAAGCCCACGCGACACTAATTAGATGCAATGTATCTTCATCATATTGACATACCTCACAACTCACCCATATTCCCCATCCCTGTGCATTGTGGTCTATCAGCAACTTCTCACATTGCTAACGGTCAGCAAGTCACTGCCCACCCACTCGTGCTTACCACGGTGTTAACGCCATCGTTAATCGCCATCGATGATCTCACCCAGTTTTTAAAATATTCCAGGATCCATCTTCCCGACGGATCAGGTAATCGATTCAACAGCTATGCTTGAAGCTACCCTGGACTTGAGATCATGGTGAGCCCTTATCAAATTTTGAAGCATTTACCTCTCGCTATCATATGAGTCACCAATTTCCTGCGACAGGGACAATCAAAGGCCCCAACGACCATCGCGCCTCATGGAACTGCAATGATAACATCATCTCCAAATGCGCAGTGGCTCGGGTGAGCCAACGTTTTTCGAAACTTCCTTATCGTATGAACGTGCAAGGCGTCAATGGTTCCCGTTCCAGCTCGAACTTCGGGGCACAGTATCATCTTGCCAATCCCTATATCGGGTACTAACATGACCGATATTAACGACCGATTCCAAAGTCTGCGACGCTCACCAGCTGGCAAAAGCACTGGTACCACGCCTTGACAGGTCTAGCCGCGACCACAAATAGAACGAGAACGCAACTCAAACGAGCAGTTCTTCTAATGGTTGGTTACCATACTCTCCTCCTCTGTCTCCGTCTTCTTTACGGATGGCTTCTCGCTGACGATGTTCGTGCTTAGGCGGGAATCGCTCCAAGATAAGGAGCAAGGGTGAAGGAGATGCATTCATATCGGCAAGCACTACATGCATCCGGTGCGTTGCTCAAATTTGATAGTTTTCGAGTAATTGATAGTCTATTCGGCCTTGTAGCCTGTAATTCGGTCATCAAGCCCATGCAGAACTGCTTGTCAGGGGCAGAGCGCAGGAGAAGACCATAGCTCCCTGACAATCTGTCCGAAATGCGTCAGATAATTTCCATTTCCATTCCCTTACCCTTTCTTCTTACATGAACATTTGTAGTGGACGGGCATATGTTTATTTTTGTTTTGGGTTTCGAGTTTCGAGTTTTTTCAAACAGTCATCAAGACTTACTAGTAGTCCAGCAAAGTATTTAAGGACAACACTTGCAGCGATGTCACTTTGGGATGGTATCGTGCCTTATCGCGTATTGCCTGCCATAGAAGGCTCATGCACTTCAAGCTTCGGTAGGTACCACTGATGCCACATGTACCCGAATACTCACATACCGAAAAGGTTATTTGCAGAGCTTCGTCGAACGCCCGTCCGATACTCGGAAGCTCGGACGTGTTGCGTGCAGGCTTCATATATTTGACCCGCTCCCCCCAAGCATCCACTGCTCCCACCGTCTTTTCACCTCGCTCTCTTAGGACATGACAGTCTCGCCGGCGGGTACGAAAGCTGGCTCTGACCGTGGCGGTGTTGTGGTATGTTGCAACCTCGTGTATGATGGAAAGACCTTCTTAAGTCTACGTTTAGAACCAAGTCCCGTCGGGGAAATCGCTAGAATTGCCGGATGTGAATGCCAACAATATGCCACCTAGAATTCAACCATCGACCGCTCGGAAGAGTAGCACAGGCGGATCCCATGACTGTGACACTCTGAGCGTACGTGTGAACTTCGCCGCGTTCGTTTTCTCATCTCATGCGACTTCACTATATAGAGTTATCTCAACCCATCACAGAAGTCCCCGATACCTCCACGAGAACGCTCTTTGCTGAGACGATTTTCGTTACTCCCTCAACCTGTTGAACCTATATGTCTGCATAGGCACTCATTAGCCGTCGAGCCAGTCAGAAACCTCAATCACAAATTCTCGTCACCCCGCGGACAGCTAAACCAAATCCACACAACCAGCCGTCACTCGCTCCATCGACCCATTCTTTCTTCTCCCTTGACGGAGGTTGCTTTTTCAAGCACCAATACATCCTCCACGTCTCTGACAAAGTGCGATTCGGACATGCCGGAGCGGCCCAAGTTCAAACCCTCCCGCATTTCTTCGTCCCCAGACATTCCTTCCACGGTCGAAGCCATATACAGGCCACGTGGTAGCCGCGCATCCAGTTACACAAGTCCTCGGAGACCGAGTTCTATTAACTCTCTTGCATCTTCGTCGTCAACCCTCGATGTCGCTTCGCCCCCCGAATCTTCTGCGGCAGCTGCTCCCCAACCTCGCCCGCGACCGCGACCGCGACCACGACCCAGCACTCACCGCACTCGTTACTCTTACACAAATAATCCATATCTCACGCACCCTCAATCGAACAAACGACCAATATGGTCGCCGAATCATAAGCCTTTCTATGACAGATACCCGCCATCGCCGAGTCCAAGATTATCTACGTCGCTATACAGGAACAGTTCTCAATCATTAGGCTCGCGTCCTCCGTCATTTCACCCAATTCCACCAGCACTCGGCCCTATCCGGCGTTCTCACTCTCTTAATTCCTCTAATGCCTCTCTCCAACCCGCGACTAATTCCAGCCAGCGCCCTAGTTCCCATGCAACACCAGCGAAGGCCAAGGAACCACTTACTGCTGATCAGCACTGGAATTTGGCACACGCTTTCGCTTTCACACCCAGGTTTAGCAGGCTTGGACTAAAGGGTGAAGGTGTAATATTACCTATCCATGCAAAAGACTTCCGCAAGGCGAGGCGCAATACATCGATGAAGTCGAACGAAAACAGCAATCCGGCTTCCGGTGAAGCTCGTACCGTTCGAGAATCCATTCCTCCACGGCCGTCGTCAGCACCTCCATCAGCACCTCCCGTTGCAGCAGTTCCTCCCACAACCGCCTCTCCACCTCGCAAACCGGGGCCTAATAAGCTTCGAAAGTCTCGCCCTCCCTCGTTGTCTCGCCCAGCAACCCCACGTAATCCCTCGATTCCACAAACGAATGCCAATGCCAAGGTCCCTGTGAAGCGCGCCGTTAGCCAGAAAGTAAATAAGTCCGAAGTACAACCAGGAGATGTTCGTCGATCGCAGTCACTCAGCGTCTCCGGCACCTCCCGTCGGCCCACTTCAAATTATAACCAGCGACATAGATCACATTCTGGGACTTCGACACCGGTGAAGAGAAAGGAACCACTTACTGCTGACGAGCACTGGAATTTGGCGCATGCATTCGCTTTCACACCTAGATTCTCAAGGCTCGAGCTGGAGGCTGAAGGTGTAATAATGCCCATCCATGCGAGAGACTTCCGCAGGGGCAGGCGCAATACAATCTCGAACGGACACCCAAGTCGTACCGTACGACAGCCCACCCCTTCAAGGCCGCAACCCATGCCGCAACCAGTGGCTCCTCCTGTTACAGTACCTCTCTCCCCCGTCGCTCCTCTAGCGCGCAAAGCAGGTCCCAATAAGCTACGGAAGTCTCGACCGCCTTCGCTAGCGGGGTCGGCAACCTCGCGTGAACCCTCGATTCTACTCACCAATATGGTCGCCAAGGACACCGTCAAGGGCGCCACCGAGACTCAAGACGAGGAAGTAACAAGGCCTGAAGTTACAGAGTTGCGAACAGAGAAGGATACCCCAGACTATTTGGTCCAGAATTCCGCTTCCTGCCCCTCCATCAGAGTTTTCTCTGCTGACGACCGACGAGACTCTGTAGTGTCTTCTGATGGAGCTTCGTCTTACTTTACCACTCCTTCTGGCTCCTCGTCTCTCTTCCAATCGTCGTCTCGGTCAAGCTCATCTTCGGTGCTGGAATTTACGACAAGAACGCCTGACTCTCTTGCTATTGAAGAGGTCGTTGCGGTACCAAACGATGAGCTATCTCTCAATACACTGACACCTCCACCTACTACAAGGACGCCTGATTCTCTGGCTGTCGAGGAAGACGTTGCTCTATCAAACGATGAACTATCCCCGCCACCAGCGCCTCCACTCTCCGAACAATCTCCCTCTCCGCCAGCGTCACTATCCTTGGTCCGATTATTGGCTTCTCCCATTCCTCCACCGCGTGCTTTATCCCAGCGCGATTCTGCTCCTCCATCTCCCCTCGTCGATCTTCCCTCCCTGCGTTCACTTCCTAGCATTCCTGGCGTCAACGATACCCTTGATGCAGATAGAAAAGTAACGCCACAAGCAGATGCAAACAAAACTGGGTTGATGCGGCGGTTCACTCTTAGGTTGAAGTCCTTGAAGCGGAATAATGCGGCTCGGGAGAAGGTCCGCCCGAACCAGGGCTCGGAGCAAAGCGATCGTAAGGTTGATCCCGAGTTGCCAATGGTCATTCGGCCGCCGTCCAGCAGGAAGTTGAGGAAGAAGCGACGCCCGACTCCCTCAGTTTTGGCGCATTGACCATGCCTTGCGCCACTTCCCGGGTTTGCTTGGATAGTATCTTATTATCATCTCGCTGAGCGGCGCAGATCCCACACTAGATATCCCGATGTACATATTGCGCCTTAGAGAATATTTACCTGATATGCTTACCTGGATTTCTCCTGCTTTGATGTTTTTGGTTGAAAGACTGATGGAATCCCTTTTAGGTGCCGATGCTATAAATCAAGTAAGTGTCGTATGTCTCGACTAGGTTCGCTTAGGCGTGATGCTGACTATTGTTAAGGGTTTAGGATCAGACACCGACATCTTGAGCGAGCTCACACTCACGAGTATTTTGCCGCTATTCTCTCTGCCCCGGCGGACCCTGCCTGTATGATTTTGTCCTGATTTCCTCTGGGGGTTTTTCGAAAGTACTTTGCACGATAAATCAAATCAAAAGCCTCAGGGTTTTAGTTGCAGGGTCCATCCTTCCAAGATTGATCTCGTTCAGCTGGTCATCCTAATGACGTCCACCGAATTTGCAATTCTTCAAGTCTCAAGCTTGCAACTGCGCCCCATATTTGCGACTGTGATAAGAAAGCACAGGAGTTCTTCGTTAAACACTACGGATGGAGTGCGAATGTCTGTTCCATCCATCCCCAATCCTTGTCACATTGATTCCACACCAATATCCGCGGCAGCATGCCCCCTGGCGGCACACTTTTCCTGGAAAGTTCAAGTCTAACTGTGCGGGAGTATACATATCGTGAGTGTTTGCATACATCCCTCATCGCCATGAATTGAGTACAATGTTGACACTGAATTGGACCAATTGTGGACAATTCATTGTAGTCGCCTCCCTCACGGTCCTAGTATACGAGTACTTCACAACACTATACCTCGAAGTGGACTTCATCTGGAAGTGAGTGCTCCTTCCCAATTGAAACGTAGTTTGATATTTCCTGCTCATATCTACACCTATATCCAAGGCCTCCGATAACATTCGTCAAATGCCTTTTCTTCGCCAGCAGATACTTGGCCCTTGTGTCTCAGATGCAAGTACTTTCCTTCTAGCCTCAACCCCTTAGATATCTGACCACTCTGCTATACTCTACCCTAGCATAAGCCAAGCGCTGTTTTTCAGCCTGGATCGTACTGGCCAGGATCCGTATACCTACCGCCAATGCATCGCGTGGCATTCTTTCCAAACAGCCTCATTCCAAACGCTCCTCTTCGTCGTAGAATGTATTCAAACGATGAAAAGTACGTTCTTGTCGTCTTACTTCAGTTTACTTCCTCAATAGCACGCTAATAATTAAAATAATGTCAAGTTCAAGCTTTATACGCTGGAAATAGGAAGATGCTGTGGACACTCCATTCTTTTCGGGCGGTTGCTCTCTGCCTTATGACATATACCACGGTGGCTACGCTCATCCTTCTTTCATATGACGGGGCATGTATCGTCAGCAGTGTTCCGTGGCATGTCGTGTGGTTTGGGTACGTGATCTCTCCCATCTTACCCAATTCACGCACTATGGTAACTCACTCCGCCCCGTTAGAGCCACTGCGATAATTACTCAAGCCATCATCTCCATAGCTGGGTTATCCCCTACGGCAATAAGAGATCTCAGACGTCAATCAACGTTGTTCGCAATCATCACTCGGGATTCCTTCTTCACCTTCTTGTTGGTGACAAGTAAGTTTCTCGCCACCCTGGCCGCTCTCACGAATCAATTCGAACCTGTTGCCTCTAGCCCTATCCGCTATCATTATAACCCACGCATCCCTGCTGGCCCCCATCATTCCCTCGTAAGTAGCCGCCTAAAGTCACAACTTCAACCCGTTGAATGCGTACCACCGGACCGTAGCTTGTTTATAACGACGTTGTCAATCAGCGTAAGCTACAGATTCGATCATCTCGCTCTTCACTAACGACGACTGTGTTGTAGGGTTGTCGCATGATTATCAACATGTTGGAAACAGAAGCTCGCAGTGGACGGACATTACAAACGGGCTCAGTGCACCTAACGTCGCTGTTGAACGCTCTCGGCTCAACGTCTTCAGGTGGGTCGGTAGAACAGGATCCATCTCAGGTTGTCCAGAATTCGTCGCCGCATAACCCTAGCACGGCGTGACGGAGGTCCTTGGTGTTAGCTTATTCCTCTTTGCATGCTGTGCATTTGTATGTGGACGTCTAGATTCAAGGATTATTTCAGCTCTAGAGATTAGTATCGGTTCCTTTCTTTATATACTATTACGCGTACCGTATTGTTCGATAATAAATGTACATTACTGTCGGCATAGTACACGAATGCAAAGCTAACCTCTAGCCACTGGTGAACTGAGATAATAGGCTATTCCCGGGCCCGTTAGAATTTGCCTTACGAGCCATTGGTATTCAACGTCAACACCTGGCATAACTGGAACAACTGCAATTTTGGATGGGTATCTACGTACCCTTGCTCAGAGCCAACAGACGTCAGCTGTTAAACACGATCAATGGCCTATGGAGCACGCAAGCAGAAAAAGTGAAATTGAACCCAGTCGTCGTAAGGATCTTGTTCGAGATACATACTGCCCAGCTGAGGCCTGAAACTTAAAACCTTGGTCACACTTCCACTGACAATTTATTACCAACCTGTAGACCGTTGCTTGACACAGTTGCTCGGATTTTGTTAAGGAACATTTCCATTTAGATTATTAACCAAGGCGAGTGCTGCAACAGATAAATAGATGTTTAATTGACTTGAAACAGAAGGAAATACATGAGTCGTAAAGGATGACATAGGTGATAGTACTGAAATATTGCATGTCTAATTGATGTTCATAAGGAAGTTTGTCAAAATGCGCGTAACATGGCCTGCGACTTCGGCGGCCTTCTCCTGCTCCTCCTCCACCACGATGGGCAAAACCTTGGTATCGAAACGGTCCGAATGCCAGCGTACAGCCTCCAGTTTGAGGACCAGGCGATGGGACTTGCCTTGAACCTCAGGTCGAGCGGGATGAAGGAGGAATTCAGCTACGCGAGCTTCGGTGATATCGTCCGGTGAAGAGACCTCGCAGAGTATGGGCCAAGGCAGTTCCACAGCGTGTAGCTTCCTGAAACCGGAGCTGACCCCATCCCTCAGCACCTTCCACTTGGCCTCGTAAAGAGAGAATCTTGCTTGCAGCAACTCTGCAGCTTCTTTCTCGGCACGTTCTCGCTCTGCTTGCATCGCTGCAAGCATTGCAAGTCTCTCCTGCTCAGCACGAGCTTTTTCCTCGGCCTCCCTAGCCAGTTTCTCCTGCTCGGCGCGAGCCTTAGCCTCGGCCTCCTTGACCAGTCTCTCCTGCTCGGCGCGAGCCTTAGCTTCGGCCTCCTTAGCCAGTCTCTCCTGCTCAGCGCGAGCCTTAGCCTCGGCCTCCTTAGCCAGTCTCTCCTGCTCAGCGCGAGCCTTAGCCTCGGCCTCCCTCGCAAGCCTTTGGCGTTCCTGCTCCTGGCGACGCGCCTCTCTCTCCGCTGCTTCCCTGGCCATCCGCTCTCGGTGAAGGCGTTCGATCTCTGCTCTCTGCGCCTCTTCCCTCGCAAGCCTCTCCAGCTCCAGCCGCTCAGCTTCTCGTCTAGCCAACTCCGCTCTAGCCAGCCTCTCGCGTTCCTGTCGCGCCTTCATTTTGCGCGCCATCTTCGCTTCTTTCTTCCTTTCTGCTAGAGCCCGCTCTACCTCTTCGCGTTGCTCCATAAGGCCCTTTGTCGCGTGGTGAGCCCGCATCATAGAGGCCATCTGACGGCGGAAGATCTCGTCTTCGTCCTCGTTCATAGCAGGTTCCATTTGCCCAGATGGCCTGCCGAACACCGGATCTGCCGCCCCAGGGAGGACGAAAGTGGCATTCGCCTCCATGAAGCTCGGCAGGGCGACGGGCTGCAGGCCGCCGGGCATCCAGGCGGGGGTCGCCAACGTGGCTGGTGTGGTCGACGGCTTAGCCACCGGGGCAACGCCACCAATCGCGGGAAAGCTAGCCACACTGTGGATGCCCCCAGGCATGAGGGCGCCGCGACGGCCATTCCTGTCGGTTGGGCGAGAGGCGCCCTTGCGAAGGGACGGTTGCGCCTTGAGAGACCCCTGCCTGCGGAGGGTCCGGGTGTATGGATGAGATGGACCAGCCGCCCGGGCCAGTTTCTCGTCGCAGTGTCGGATGTTACGGGCAAATTGCGCGCTCGACGGTCCAGGCGGCGGGCGGGCGGAACGAGCGACGGGAGTGTGGCTGCCCCGGGCAGGAGTTGGGGCCTTGCCAGGGGAGCGAAAGAATGCGAACATCATCGTCGAAGGATGGTTGGATGGGCGAAGTCGAAAGTGGGTCTTGAAGCTTGAAGTCTTGAGGAGGTCGCTGGCGACTGGGTTGGTCGAATATTGAAGAGAGAAGGAAAGAACTATGAGGAAAGTCAGTATTTGAGGGCTCCCAGCTTATATGATATCGGTTAATCAAGATCTTGCCACTGGCCACTGCAGCCAAACTTTGAGTATTCCATTGTGCGACTGTTGTGGTTTATTGCCAAAAAAGGGTAGTATGTACGATTGACCCTGATTTCGGGGGCATCCCATGTCGCCCTCATGGCACGGAACAACGGAGGGGTCGCCGGGCGTTGCCAGCGTATCTGGGGTTTCGGAGTCATCTGAACATCTAGTCACGATAGACATGACCTGGCGCTTTTCTATCCCCTGCGAAGCTAGCCTGCTTTCAGCGTCGAACAGTTGGCCATTACTGTGTTCGCATCTACTACAAAGCTCAAGCGTAATTAGTACGTAACTTCGCGGCAGGACCAATATCATCATCATCTACGTCTCCTTGTGTCCGTCTACGCGTAAAAACGAAGTCTACGACGGCGGTGCTGCGACTTCCTTCAGGTTCGCGCCGAGGTTATCTGGGATGGCCAACGACTCGTCGACTTGACTCTTTAGTCGCCCGCCGAAAAGAACGGGGCCGTTCGCAGCTCGGAATTGCTCGATGCGCTCCTCTACGAGGGGCCGGAAGTGGCGCATAAGCCCCTGAATGGGCCAAGCGGCGGCATCGCCGAGGGCGCAGATTGTTCGGCCCTCAACTTGCTTGCTGTAGAAGAGGTAATGCATGAGCAAGGGGGATGGAAAGTGCGAGGGGAACCGTACGTGAGTTCAAGCAACATGTCGATCTCCCGGACATGGCCACGCCCTTCGACCATGCGGTTCATCATGTTCATCATCCAGGTGGTCCCCTCTCGACAGGGCGTGCACTGGCCGCAGGACTCGTGTTTGTAGAACTACACGTCAACGAGTGTTCAATACGATGTCAATAAGCAGGAATATATGTAGAACGCACGGCGGAGAAACGAGCAATGGCTTTGATGATGTCGGTGCTCTTGTCCATGACGATGACGGCGCCGGTCCCCAGACCTGATTGCGCATCTTTGAGGGAGTCGTAGTCCATACTAGCAGACGACCGTGAGCCTTGAACGGTTGAACGCGCCAAGAAGCAAACGGGACTTACAGCACTTCCGCGCACTTGTCTATAGGCAGAACGGGCACCGAGCAGCCACCGGGGATGATACCGAGGAGGTTATCCCAGCCACCTCTGATGCCACCGCAGTGCTTCTCAACCAGTTCCTTCAGCGGGATGCTCATCTCCTCCTCGACCACACAGGGGTTGTTGACATGACCGCTGATGCAGAAAAGCTTCGTCCCCTGATTGCGCTCGCGCCCAAAGCTAGCGAACCAGCTCCCGCCCCGCCTGCAGATCGTGGGCGCAACCGCAACAGTCTCGACGTTGGCCACCGTCGTCGGGCAGCCAAACAACCCGACGTCGGCGGGGAACGGCGGCTTCAAGCGCGGCTTGCCCTGCTTGCCCTCCAGACTCTCGATCAGCGCCGTCTCTTCGCCGCAGATGTACGCCCCGGCCCCGCGATGCAGGTACACGTCGAACGCGTACCCAGAGCCGCATGCGTCTTTGCCCAGGAGACCCGCAGCGTACGCTTCGTTGATCGCCTGCTGGACGTGGGATGCTTCTTGGTAGAATTCGCCACGGATGTAGATGTAGGCCGCGGTGGCGTTCATGCCGCGCCCGGCGACGAGGCAGCCTTCGATGAGCTTGTGCGGGTCGCCCCGCATGATCTCGCGGTCCTTGCAGGTGCCGGGCTCTCCTTCGTCGGCGTTCACGACAAGGTAGCGAGGCCGCGGGTCCTTCTCCCAGCCCGGCTTGTTCATGAAACTCCACTTCAGTCCGCTGGGGAAGCCGGCTCCTCCGCGCCCTCTCAAGCCCGAGTCTTTCATAGTCTGAATAATCCACGAGTCTCCCTTGAGCAGAATGTCCTTCGTTTTATGCCAGTCTCCTCGAGACTAGTAGTTGTTAGCTGCAGGGAAAACTAGTTCAACTGTGCTACTCACCTGCGCACCCTTCAATCCGTGATCATGCTTGCAAAACACGTTTGTAAAGATGCGATCCTGGTCCTTCAAACCGCCGTATCTGCGCACAGGGGGGTCGGTGACCGTCGCGAACGACCGCGCGGAAAGTCGGCCCAGTTTGGCCCTTGCGGGTCGCGGTATGGCTGGTAGAAGATGAGCATCACTCTGTGTGGTTTGGTGGTGGACGTACACTTCAGGGAGGATGCGACGCTGAGCATCGCAAGGCAAGACGAGGAGGTGTAGTATGAAAGAGCGGAGCTGTCCGGTCACAATGACCGGCCAATCAGCAATCTCACAGTTCAAATTTGTGACCGTGGGAATGTGCGGATTCTACTTACTAGAATCTACGAAGTCTACTGTACGGGCTACGGGTCGGTGCCTCAAGGCCTCATGCATCATGGACGAAACCTCTGGAATACCGTCGACGTACCAGTACGCCTGGTGACCGTGCGCATCAGGGCAGCGGCTAGTCAAACATATGTGAGCTATCATATATCATATACTATATATCATTAACCCATTAACCATTATCTGGAATCTATCTCACGACTCGTTTTACTGTAGACAGTACAGTCCAACATGATTGGACTGTGGGCGTGCATCCGCACCAATAAAGACATACTTGCGCCTTGTTCTCGCTCGTCGCAATGAAGGTTTCCCCGTCTAGACACAACCCCATGACCATGCATTGGTCCATCATCATACCTATTGTCTGCGTCATATCCCGAGCGCCGTGACTCACCTGGTGAACCGGTACAGCTTCACATGCACAGGTCTCGATCACCTCAGACCCGCCCTCATAATACCAGACACGAGTGATCACCAATACATCAATACCGACCGCCAGGCTTCCCAGGGTCCACCTAACCGTAACCCAGACGGCCCAAGAATCGTCGTCAACATCCCCCTTCCATGTCATCGCGCCCACCTCCGTCACCGACAGCACAACCACAAAATTACAAAATCACAAAGGTCAATCAATCTCTCCCCTGTCCCCTGGCCGTGCAGAAGTCACCCGCGTCTACAAGCCGACGCTCGGAGCCTGGGTTAATCAGGTCAGCATCTCTGGGCTCCTAAACAGGATAGACCGCGATTCGCTAAGTTACGATCGTCGAGCAGTAGCGCGAACTTTGAAGCCATTCATTCCTTCTCTCAGAGTCGAAGGACGAGGGGCTGCGATTCATTCGCGACGTCCCCATAGCGCCAACACCTCCTGCTCCAGCAGCTCCAGCAGACCCAGAGATAGCATCCACGCTGTCCAAAGACCACAAGTCCATCGCGAACAAAGTCAGGATATGCAGAGCTGTCTCTACCTTCTTGGAGTAGTGCCAACGTGGCACTGAGCTTACGCCCGCCATACTACGCCCGACTCTCCACGATCATCCGAGGCACGTCACTGACATTACATGCGGGGGTCGCGCGTCGCGATGTCGGGATACATCGAGGACGAGTGCAAGGGTAACGAAGTCAAGGCAATGGTGTGTCGTGTGCTTATGACCGCAAGCGAATAAATTACGAACAACAAATGCTCTGGATTAACATACATAACATAAAAATATAAAATATCAATGCGAACTCTCCACTTTATCTTTTAGAAGGAAAGAAATTTGCTTTTTCTACCGTTGCTGCTGATGGTGCTGATACAGCGGCTGCGCGGATATCGAGTACCCCACAATCGTCCCAGCGGCATTGCGCGTTGGCGAGGTAGGGCTGGTAGGACTGGCGCCGGCACCATAGCTGTCTGAGGTAATATTGCAGCAATTGCCTGGATGCGCGAATTCGCTGAGACCGTGCATCGGCGGGACGGCGACGAAGATGTGTTTCTCGGTGATGGCGTGTCTGGGTCTGGAGCTGCGGCGCTGTGGTGGGTGTTTGGTGAGTTTCGTGAAGTGGTGGAAAGAGAGAATAGGGAGAGAGTAGGACATGACGTGATGCACAGGGAGAGGATAGGAAAAGAATAGAAGAAAAATCTCACCATCGCAGCCGTCCGCCAGGCCTCCCGCATCTCCGCCGTAGTCTCGTCAAGGCGCGCGTTCACCCGCGCGCTCGAGGTCTCCGCATCGAGCTCCTCGCCGTCTTTGCCTATTCAACAAAAGGTCAATTAAGTGTGCTTCCCTGGTAAAAGGTAACGTTGGGTGGACTCACGTATTTCAATCGGTATCGTCATTTATGTACCGCTGGAGTTGATGTGAAGGCGGCGAGGTGATATCTATGATATAGGGCGGGTCGCCTTGCGTAGTGCGTAGTAAAATTTGAGGGTAGGCTCGTGGTTGATACGCTGAGGAGTGCTAGCGGAGAGGCGTCCGTGTTTTACTTGGGCACATATTCCGCCGTGAAGCCTACTTATAGCAAAGTCATCTAGTGGGTAAGGATACGGATACGTAAGACATCGCGCACCGCCGCGGGTATGAACGAGCCATGACGGAAGCAAAGCCTAATAGCTCTGATGCATAATCCATAACCCATAATAATGACGGATCCGGACTCAGGGGTTCGCAAGAGGAGTCAGTGGTGGATATTGGATATTGGATGGGTGGGGAGATGGGTGAGGAGATGTCAATGAGGATGCGCAGGAAAGACCGATCGGAGCGTACATCGCCAGAATAGGGGCGTATCGAGGGGAAGAAGGGACGATTGGGGAAAGGGATCGAGCTCGAGGAGGGAGCGACGTCAACGCGTCAACGGTGTCACCCACGAACCCTACATACTCCCAAAGTTCGAAATACGTTCGTATCCGCCTATATGTGCATGTGAACGCACGCGTCACCCAATATTCAATATTCAATGGTCGACTGCTCCCCTGCCGACGGCGCTGAAATCGCGCCAACCGCGTCTTCCCTTCCCTTCCCTTTGTCTCCGCAAACGCAAATCGCAGAGTTTGGTTATCGGAACGCTGATTGGAGATTTGAGAAATTTGAGGAGTTGGGGCTTCGGAGGGTGGGGTGCATGCTAGACAGGACTCGCGATGGCCGGCGCCGCCGTGTCGGTATACACGCGCAAGGATGCATCGATGAACGTTGGAGTAGCCAGGCAGGCCGCAGAACGATGCTGGGAGCCTCGGGAGTCGGAGGAAGAGGGCATGCGATGTGGGACTGGGCATGTTATATGGAGGGAGATGGAGCGACGGAGGAGGTTCGTCTTCTCGTCCACCTACCAACATACCTACCAACCCCAACCATCCCCAACCCACCATGGCAATGCCCGAGCCCGATGCCCGAGTCCTCGTCCGCGTTAAGCTGCTCTCAAATAAGCACGCGCACGGCCAAGGAGCGCCGATGATACGCTTATTGTCTTCACTATCATGGTGCAATCATGGTGGGCGAAGTCAGCTTCTCCGATATGTGAGGAGCGCTCGCTGGATCGCTGGATCAGGATATGGATATGGATATGGATATGGATATGGATATGTTTCCGTTATTTATTGAGGCGTCTTTCTCAAGGACCTGCGTTGACCCAACCCCCGTCTCCCGTCCCCCGTCTCCCATCTCCAGCGATAATCCTCAATCCTCAATCCTCAAGGCCTCAATCGACAATCCTCAATCCTCAAGGCCTCAATCCTCAATATCAATCCTCAATCCTCAATCCTCAATCCTAAATCCTAAATCCTCAATCCATAATCACTAATCGACACCGTCAGAGTCGTCTGCGAAAGTCGAGAGCCCCAAGTAACTGGTCCTCTGCAGGTACCGCGATGCCGCAGCCGTACATCCACTCCTTCGCCCACATCCCGACCGTCCGCTCCACATTTCCGCCCGGCACCTCCTCGGATTCGCATACCCGACAATCCGGAGGTGGTCATGGTCATGGACATGGAGATGTAGATGGAGGTGTAGATGTAGTTGGACATGGTGGAAATGATGGTGATGATGGACATGGTGCGCTACCGCAGGAATTCGACTTCATCGTGGTAGGCGGCGGCCCCTCGGGCTGTGCGCTCGCGACACGGCTGTACGCGCGCACGCAGGGGCGGGCGAGCGTGCTGCTGGTCGAGGCTGGGATGCAGTGCGTGTGACTCCCTTTCGCTCTCGCTCTCGATCTCGATCTCCTTTCCTCCTCTGATCCCTTGTATCCTCGGATCCCTTTATTTTGTCGCTACGACCTCTATCTCCTCTCCCCCCATCTCATCTCCTCCTCTCCTCTTATCCCATTGATATCGCTCATCGCTCGACGCAGCCCCGCAGAGAGCCCCGAGCTCAACAACTGCGTCCCGCGCATCCTGCAGACGCGCGCCCTCCACCGCTCCGCGTTCGATTATGCGTATCCTACCCACCACGAGCACGAGCGCGAGCACGAGGACGACCACGAGCGCGAACACGGACACGAGCACGGACACGAACACGAGCGCCACCACGAGCACGGGAATACCGAGGATACCGAGGATAACAAGGACGGGGAAGGAGGTGCAGCGCAGGGCACAGAGCACGGCGCGAATCCGAATCCGAAGCCGAAGCCGAAGCAGCTGGTGCTCAACAGCGGCAAAGTCCTCGGCGGCTCGACGTGTATCAACTTCGGGATCTGGACGAAGGGTGCGAAAGGTGCGTCCCAAGCCTATACCTTATACACTATATCTATATCTGTACACTATACCTATACCCACCCTCCTCCACCTTCGTTTCTTCCTCGTTGTTATTAACAATAACTGATGCTTACCCCCACCCCATCCCGCGTTCGTTCGTTTGTTTGTGCAGCCGACTACGACCTCTGGGCTGCCCTCGTCGGGTGCGACGAGTTCTCGTGGGCGGGGATGGGCGCGTGCTTCGACCGCGCGGTGTCCCCCTCTCTCCCTAATCCTACTCCTCCCCATCCTACTCCCACCAATCCCCCTACTCCCACTCCCACCCACCCCGCCCCCGCCCCCACTCCCACACCCCCGATCAAGACGCGCCGCATCTCGCAGAGCCCGCGGCTGCATCGCTGGTCGGGCGTCGCGCGGCGCGCGCTCGAGGAGCGCGGGTTCCGCGTGCTTGATTCGGCGGTAGATAGGGTGTATGGGGTAGATGATGGGGTGAATGGGGGGTTGGGGGTGAATGGGGTGAATGGGGGGTTGGGGGAGCTCGGGGGTTCTGATACCGGTGCGCGCGTAGGTGGAGGCGTAGGTGGAGAGGGAGGAGGTAGAGAGGGAGTGGCTGATGTATTCGGAGAACTGACGGAATGCGTGGATGCGGCGCAGGCTCGGTCGACGGCGCTGGGGTATTTCGAGGCGATCGTCGATCCGCTTCTACTTCCACAAACACGAGAGGCGGATACCGCGTCCGCGTCCGCTTCTTCTCCTTTAATTCCTGCTGGTGCGATTCCTGCTCCTGCAACTCCTGCAACTCCTACAACTCCGACGAGGGCGAGGGCGAAGTTCGAGGTCTGGACGAGTCTGCGCGTCGAGCGTGTCGTTTTCGAGGACGATGTCGATGGGGAGGAGGGGAAGAAGAAGAAGGCGGTGGGCGTGCAGACGCGATTCGGGGTCGTGCGTGCGCGGAGGGAGGTGGTGAGTGCATTCTCTGTTTGTCCCTATCCAGCCCCTCGCTCCTTGCTCCTAGCTCCTTGCTCCTGTCAACTGACTTCGACTATTACTTTGTGGGTGTGTGGATGTGTGGATTGTGGATGTGTGGATGTAGATATTGTGCGCAGGCGCCATCCAGAGCCCGTACATCCTCCTGCAATCAGGCATCGGCCCCGCACCCCACCTCGCCGCGCGCGGCGTGCCCCTCGTCCGCGACTCGCCCGGCGTGGGCAGGAACCTGTGGGAGCACCCCTTCGTGGACGTCCGGTGAGCTGCTCGTATCTTTACCCTCTGGTGTACACGGTATCTGATTCCTATATTGCTGTATTGCTGTATTACCTGTATTGCTGTAATATGATGTATACAGCGCGAAACTGCGCCCGGCGCACCGCAAGGATACGGTCGAAACGTTTGCCTCGCTCGTGACCTCGGCGCCGCATCTGCACCAGTGGGCGACGGAGCGCAGCGGGCTGATGAGCGGTGCGTAGTACCATTTCTTCATCAATATATAATGGACATCCAGCTGATGATCGATGATTACTCAATGTAAAATAGGTCTTCCGTACGAGTGGCTCGCGTACAGCAACATGCACGCCGAGCTCTCTTCTCTATTCACCCCGCCCCATCCTTCTTCCCGTCCTTCTCCCCCACCCTTGCAACCCTCCGCTCCTCCATCCACGTTGATACCCCCAACCCCAACAGACACGCACGTCCTCCTCCGCTCCAACGCCCCGCACATCGAGCACCTCATCCACTACGGGCACGGCCTCGCCCCCGCGCCCGACGCGACGGCATCGTCGTACATCGCCGTCAGCACGGTGCTCCTCGTGCCGCGCTCGCGGGGATACGTGGAGATCCCCCCCACTTCGACCTCGACTTCGACTTTGACTTTGCGCGGCGCTGAGGGCCCCGCGGCCGAGACGCCCCAGAAACCCCGCATAGTGGTGAACCAGCTGAAAGACCCCGTCGACCGGTGTGTGCTGCGCGCGGCTGTGCGGCGCGCGTATGCGATTCTGGGCGCGCCGGCGTGGAGGGCGTATCTTGAGGAGGTGGGCGAGAAGGGCGACGCGGAGCTGGATGAGGTCGTGAGGCAGAGGGTTACGACGCGTGAGTATGATTCCTTCTCTCTCTGTCTCTGTCTCCCTCTCCCCTTCCTTTCCTTTCCTTTCCTTTCCTTTGTCACCCTTTGTAACTCGATTCTCATGTTATCTTGTTGTGGTAGTATGGCACTACGGCGGTACGTGCGCTATGAAGACGTCTACAGCCGTACTCGGAGATGGCGTGGTCGATACGCGCTTCCGCGTCGAAGGCGTCGAGGGATTGCGCGTAGCCGGTACGTCCTCCCCTCCCCTCCCCTTCCCTACCCGCATGCTCCCAATCTCTCCTCATTTCCTCATTTCCTCATTTCCTCGTCTCCCTTACATGCTTATACTGTGTATCATATCATAGATACGAGCGTCATCCCGTTCCCCGTAGCCGGACACACGCAGGCTGTGGCGTATGCGATTGGAGAGAAGGTCCGTATTTTATTTTCTGCCCGTACACCATTCCTGTCACTCTTCCCTACATCCCTTCCATCCTTCCATCTCCTTCCATCTCCTTAAATCTCCTTAAATCTCCTTAAATACCCTTAATCCCCTATCCACCCCTTTCTCCCGCCCCGTTTCCTGAAAGTCGAGCACGCACTTACGCTGAAAAACATGTTTATAGATGGCCGAACTGCTCGCGCGGGAGTACGCGTTTTGAACCCAGCGTCAATCCACCTCGATCGCACTCAATCGAGTCGATTGAGTCCCCAATATTTATCTCTTTATCGCAATCTCTGAGCCCCCGGCGTTGTCTTGTATTGTATGTCGTTCTATGTCATTCTATGTAATTGTATGTCATCGTGTCCTCCCTGTTTCCCGATTATCAATGGCTACTTGTGTATTGTATGTAACGTAGTATCTTCTGCTTGGTTGCTCTGTATTTATCTATACAGTATACGTCCTACTTTCCTATGTACCCCGATCTCCTATTCTTGTATCAATGCTGTGGGTTTCAAATGAGCACCGCGCCCTCCCGCTACTCTTCTCGTGGGACCTCTCTCTTCCTTTTACCACGATCATCAAGATTAAGCGCCCGCCCAAATTCCGGGTATGCTACACGGTAAGATCACATAGAAAGTGAAGAAAAGAGGTGATATGAATAGCTCCAACTCGGGGAGTAAGCCCGTGTTCGATCTAAGTAACTGGTTCCTTCCCGCTCGCTCGGCTGACCGCGCAAAGACAGAGAATCGCGCGGGACCGACCGCCTCCCTTGATGTGCGCAATGCTGCAACTGAAGATGAAGATGACGATGATGACGACTACCACTCCACCTCCGACCAGCCAACGCCAACACCTAAGATCAGGGCCAGGGCGAGATCCACCCAGTCTGAAGACGGCGGCCTCAGCAATTTCACCTTTCAAGCAACGCTGGACAGGATCAAGGCAAGAAACCAGGCGGGGTCCAATCGCACGGAGCCATTTAAGGATCACGAGCCCCCCCCACACACAATTCTACAGCAGAGCACTCTCCCCTTCCCCCACTCCACGACCAATCTGGCAGGCACCAAGCGCAAGGACAAGAGCACGGGTGCACCTGCCTCAGCGTCCCCAGCGACTGCAGCTACTCCAAAAACAAACTTGGGCACTCCCACCTGCGGCATGCCCTGCCCCCCCCGGAAGCGGGCCAAGATCCCAACACCGGATGCCGAAGCGGAAACACCCCTCAGCAAGGCCACCAAGCACCTCCGGGATGCCGGGTTGCTTGGACTCATGGGTAAAATCGACCTCCGTACTGTAACTAACGCGCTATTTAGAGTAGCTGCACGGTCGCAGGATACTGGGACAAGCGAGCTCCTTTACGCCCTCGCCACGGTCCAGGACGAACTTTTGTTGCAGCAGGTCACGGAGCAGGTCACCCACACATTGCGGGACGCGGCAAAGGAAATCTCAGGAAACCTCACCAAGAAACTGACCGATCTGACCAAGGAAACAGTCACAGCAGTCCGACAAGGCGTCATAAAGGCAGGTCGTGAACTCGACAAGTGTACTGACGTAGTAAAAGTAGCCACCGGGGATCTGAAGGCCACGGCAGAGAGTACCCCAAAGTCATATGCTGGCGTGGTGTCTGCTGGCGCTCCCGCCCCCTCGGCACCGGCACTCATACAGCCGGCTACGCAGGCCAGGATGGAACGGGATCGCAGACGCATCCTCATCGACCCACCTGCAGGGCGTACTCAACTCTACCCCACCACAGTGGGAAATTTAGGTATTACGAAAAAGGCTACTGAGGCACTCCATCAAGTCGGAGGCGAATCCAGCTGGACATTCGTCAGTTGTATCAAGCTCGAAAAAGGAGGGGTGCTCCTGGAAGCGAATTCGGCAGAGGTTAAGGACTGGCTTGCGACTGGAGGGCACCTCACAAACTTCATGGCCGTCTTCAGCCCTGGCGCCATCGTTAAAGAAAAGAAGTACACCATCAAGGCCTTATACCTCCCAGTGGACCAGTCAATTGACATGGATGAAGCCCGCCTGAGTGTCGAGAAGGAGAACGGCCTCCCCCCCAACGCTATCACTTTAATCAAGTGGATGAAACCGGCGGAACGTCGCGGAAAGAATCAGCAATACGGACATGCAACCATTACTTTTACCTCACCAAAGAATGCTAACCTCATCCTTCGACAGGGACTCACTTTCCTAGACACCAACTATCGCTGCCACAAGAGCAAAACAGAGCCGCTGCGCTGCCTCAAATGCCAGGTTTACGGCCACATTGCCAGTGCCTGTGCGGCTCCGCTCACGACATGTGCTACATGCGCCCAACATCACGACAATGTTGGGGACTGCCCCCAGCTGAATCGAAAGGAGGCCCACGCCTGCGTCACCTGCCGCATCGGGGGGCACGCGAGCTGGGAACGCTCGTGTCCGGGACGACTCAAACTCCAGAAAATGCTTGACGAACGGCTGGAGGGTAATTGCCTGCCCTTCTTCCCCACCGAGGAGCCCTGGACCCAGCGCCGCTCTCCCTTCTACTCGGGTCGGGTCTCAAACTACAGCCTTGCGGACTGCGACTGGCGACAGAGCAAGAAGGATCAGTTGCTACAGACGACACTACCTGACATCTTCAAGCCATTGGTTACCGCGACACGCACACGTAGTAGTCGCTCCCCGCCGCCGGTTGGCACTGAGTGGTCAGACTCCAGATGGAACCTACCCGTGGACCAGGCCCCGCCGACACTACTGACAGAGAAGTCCCCCACACCCGTAGCCTCATGACTGACAAACCATCCAACAGCATTCGTATTCGACAGTACAACCTCAACAAGTCGTCGGCTGCCCAGCAAACAATCTCCAACACCCCACTACACGAAGACTTTGACATTCTGCTAATTCAAGAACCCTACCTATGCCACGCACAACTAACACGTACCAACCGTAACTGGGTCCCACTCTACCCCTACTCGCAGGCCGATGAATTATACCCCACGCGCTCTCTGATCTTGGTCAATAGTAGGATCAGCACTGATGCCTACGACCAGCTACCCATTCCCGGGACTGGCGATGTTACTGCTCTACGCCTCACTTCCGATGCTGGCGACATCTTCATATTCAATATTTATAACGACTGCAACCACTCACAGGCTCTTGACAGTGTCCGACAGACCGCCCTGGGCTTGCAGCTGAAGTACAGGCACCCACTAATGATCTGGGCTGGAGACTTCAACCGACACCATGAATGGTGGGACAAGCCAGCTGACCACCACCTTTTCACAGACAAGGCCCGTGATGACGCTCAGCTGCTTATCGATCTCACATCCGATTTCGAGATGGAGATGGCACTAGAGCCTGGGGTTCCCACATTGGAGCACATGGTGACGAAAAACGAGTATCGAGTTGATAATGTCTTCGTATCTGCTGATCTTATTGATAGGATTTTGGTCTGCGAAGTGCATCCGGGGGAAGCCCCTGCAGGTGCAGATCACTACCCCATAGACACCGTTCTGGACCTCGCTACCGACCTAGCGGAGGAACGACGCACACGCAACTTCCGTCTCGTGGACTGGAAGGCCTTCAACGATGAGCTCACAGCACGCCTCCCAGCCGCCGGTATCCCCAGTCACCTTACCGCCACCCAGGATGTCAATGTCGCCGTGGACGCGCTCACAGGGCTCCTGCAGGGCGTTATCAAGGACACCATCAAGGAGAGTGGCACTGCCCCCTACAATCGCAGGTGGTGGAACTCAGAACTGGAGACCCTCCGCACACAACACACTAGGGCGAAGCGAGCGTCACACAAACTTCGGGGAGTGGCATTGCCAGTCCACGATGAGGCACGGCAACTTGGCAACAAATACAAGCGGCGGCTAGAAGAGACAAAGACAGCACACTGGGAAGAATTCCTCGAAGACCTCGATCCACAGGAACTGTGGATAGCTAACAGATACATCTCCAGTCCGGGATCAGACGGAGGCAAGGTGTGTGTCCCCTCTCTCAAGTTTAGCATGCCCGATGGTACACAGAAGGAGGTCGCCTCCAATGAGGAGAAAGGGCACATGCTCGCCAACATGTTCTTTCCCAAACGCCCCCCAGACTTCCAAGCAACGGCGCCCGAGGCATTCCCAGAGCCAGTTCCTCACAGGTTCACCGCCTCGCTACACAGGACAAGCAGTGTCATTGCCAGGCTCAAACCATACAAGGTCTGCGGACCGGATGGCATCCCGAACATTGTCCTCATGAAGTGCAGTGGTACGCTCGCCCCCATACTAACCAAGATCTACGAAGCAGTCCTGCGACTGGATCACTACCCTCTAGCCTGGAAGAGATGGACCACCATTGTCCTCAAGAAGCCGGGGAAACCTCGATATGACCTGGCCAAGGCCTGGAGGCCGATCGCCCTACTCAACACGATGGGGAAGGTCCTCACAGCACTGGTCACCGAGGACATGGTGGAAATGTGCGAAAAGCACAATCTCCTTCCCAGCCACCACTTTGGGGGGCGCCCAGGAAGGACGACAAGCGATGCACTGCACACGCTCACCACCAAAATAAAGAAGGCGTGGAGCGAAGGGAAAGTGGCATCTGCACTCTTCCTAGACATTGAAGCCGCCTTCCCAAACGCGGTAACTGACCAGCTACTGACCAACCTTCGTAAGCGCAGGATTCCACCGGAGTTCATCAACTTTGTACGGAACCTCCTTACCGACAGACAGACCACAATGGTCTTCGATGACTACAAGTCCAACTGGATTGACGTGGATAACGGTATTGGGCAAGGGGACCCTATCTCAATGATCCTCTATCTTTTCTACAACGCTGACCTAGTAGACGTCCCAGCTGATGACAAGGGGGAGGCTGCCATTGCCTACGTTGATGATGTTACATTCATCGTGGAGGCCAAAACCTTGCGGGGAGCACATCGTAAGTTGTCCAACATGATGACTCGTCGTGGAGGGGGCTACGAGTGGTCGGCCACCCACAACTCCCGCTTCGAGTCCAGCAAGCTCAGGATCATGAACTTCACGCCAAACGACACCGAGCACCCCACCCTGCTACTACAAGGCCAAGAGGTCACGCGCGAGTCGTCATACAAGATCCTAGGGATTATAATCGACGAGCACCTACGGTGGAAGGAACAGACAGCAGCGGCCCTCAGCAAGACTGTGCAATGGATCAACGCCTTCAAGAGGCTGGGCCGTGTCGGGGGAGGGATCAGCTCCAGACTCCTCAGGCAGCTGTATCTTGCCGTTGCCATCCCCAAGCTAACTTATGCACTGGATGTTTGGTATACACCAGTTCGTCTACCTGCAGGGCGCAAGCGCAGGGTAGGCTCAGTAAGGACTCTGAAAATCCTCACCAAAGCGCAGCGGGTAGCAGCGCTAGCAATCTCTGGAGCCATGCGCACCACCGCCAACGACGTGCTGGACCTTCATGCCAGCCTCCCGCCCCTGGAATACACACTGGACTTCATCTGCCACAGGAACGCAGCAAGAGCGGCGACACTCCCAGGCACGCACCCAGTGGGCGAGATCTTGTCGTGGACCCACAGCTATCAAGGCGGTCACGTCTCTCCCATCATCGCACTCATGAGGCTCTACGACCTCAAGCCGGCAGAAACAGAGGTCATCCAGGCAACCTCACACAGGAGGCTTGGTAGCGCCTGTCCAATCCCAACTCATATAGCAGCCTCTCGGGACAACTCTAAGGAGCGGGAAGCTACATCGACAGCAGACTACAAGATTTACGTCGACGGCTCAGGGTATAAGGGTGGAGCAGGGGCAGCAGCAGTCGTTCGTCAAGGCGAAGGGGAAGTCACAGCAACAAGCCACACACTAGGGCCGCTCACACACTACACCACCTTTGATGCCGAAGCGGTGGGACTTCTTCTCGCGTCGAACGAGGTACTGACGAGAAACTTACAGGGAGAGATCGAGATCTACATGGACAATCAGTCCGTGATTCAACGACTGGAATCGGGCAAGAAAGGCACAGGACAATACATCCTGGAGCAGGTTGAGGATATGCTGAAGCTAGCACCTAAGGCAGTACATGTAGGGGTCTCGAGGACCATTTAATTTCGTAGTTGGAATAGATCCTGGAGACCCTTTTCATGGTCGAGGCTCTTAAACGTAATATGTACGTCATATCAACTTTACTTCTAAATGATGTGATGGGGCAGCTTCTATCCCCGTTGCGTATACCTCCTGCTTCTTTAAGCCATGCTCCCGTATCGTATACTTCTACTTCGACCACGCCAGCCTCGTTCGCCTCCGCTGAGCCACGACGGCTACCTGATGAATCGATGGCCTTCTGCTCCCCCTATTCCATGTCCTGTATAAGTCAGTATTGTAGTACCGTTGAACAACTCGTCTATCCATGCCAAAGTCTCAGCGGAAGTCGCAGATCGTAGTCCCGGGTCTTGGACAACATTATACCAGTCCCAAGAAGGCGGCGCCTCGTCGCCCTACCGTTCTTCGACCCCTTGGTCATGACCTTAAGAAGCGTCGCCTTACGGACGAGCTCAATAGACTACTAGCCAACCCTGGGGCTACCATCACTGCCGTGCCCGATACTGCCGTGCCCGATGTACCCTCAGGAGAGCATGATGACCGTGCACACAACGCCTCCGATGCGCTGGACAATCTCGCGGCTCAAATGATCACCAACATGGACATGGGTAATGTTGTTGTTACGACCTATATGGAGCACTGGATTGACTAAATTCTATGCCCCCCAGACCCTCCAACACCTCGTGGGACGGCGCCGCCTCCACCGAAAGCCAGTGGCGAGGCTAGCAGCAAGTTGTATAGCAGCTGGGCAAGCCTATTGCCGACCCTCGTTGAGCCCCTACTCGAGTATGAACGCCAGTCGATCGGTAAACCGCTGACATCACCATCCAGCATCCTCCGCGGATGCACCAATGGCCGCAATATAGATTGCGAGTTCAGAACGCTCAATATGCTGTGCTTATTCCCAGACCGTATGTGCATTGATTATAATATGTCATCGGCCATACCTCATTTCGTGCAGACTTCCGGATGCTGGAGGTGCAAGGATGTAAATGTCAAACAATTCCCCAACGCCTCGTCACCCATGGTCTCTTTCCCACTTCCCCGGCGCAGCCACGAATTGCCATCTCGATCGACCTTCTCAATCTCTTCCATTCTCTCTTCGAGGAATCCTGCGACGCCGTCCATGCGATGTCCCACGCCTTGAAGAAGTACTACCTTCGTCGTGGCTACATGCTTACAAGCAACCAAACAGTGAGCCTCTCGTCTAGAAGTTCATTCAAGTGCGCACCATTCATTTACACATCCCACTAGGGGGACGAAGTCAAGGAACCCTTTCGCCGAAGCCTCGGATATGCGATGCAATGGCACGACACGTTGCGTTTGCTTGTAGACAAGCGAGTTCAGGCCGCAGTCAACGCCATGGTTCACGAGGCGCAAAAGTCAGCCATCAGCACGACGGTCGAGCCCCACAATACCTCCTCTCCTCCTGATATATCCTCTGAACTTCCCAACGAAGTGCTAGCCAACCATGGAATTGATCAGGCCCCCTCGCTTCCTGCAAGGGAGCTGCAAATTCGATGCCCTGCCTGCTTCGGCGGAGACAAGTTCGGTGTCCCCTTTTCAGAGTGAGCCTTGTATCGCCGCGGGAGGCTCTCCAGCTCATCAGTCAAATCACAGGGGAGGTGACTTTCACGTCGCTGTTGACGGAAACTTCCATCATCGACATCGGCGCAGTGCTGGCGACAGCGCGAGATTTCACAAACCAGAGTATTTCCTGTCAAAGGAACAAGTTGATCGAGTGGGCGTTCATATTCACAAGGCTCGAAAGGGTAAACCAAAGGAAATAAGGCCCGTCGTGCCCAATGAGGCTATTGATCAATGCAAGCAGTCTCATGATGCTGCAAACGACAACAAGGCTAAATCGAATGTGGAACAATTTGATGATCATGGGATTAGTGCACTGGTCTGTCGCCACGGAGCTCCGCTTTTCACCACCAACATCGATACCCCCGGTGAGCAGCAGAAGTACGCTGTCGCTCTCATACAACACCTCTTTCGGCGCATTCCCGACAATTCGACCGTGCTCGTCCTTTACGATGTAGGCTGCGTCTTGAACCGATCAATGGAGTTGGTGAGTCAAATATGAGGCCCGCAGACCATTCTCACTGTTCATAGTATGATATCTTCCCTCCAGATATAACTGCCAGACTCGAATTCGCGACCAGTGCGATGCATGCGTACGCCCACCAGTGGTCCTGCCAACTAGTCTACAATCCACGACTTCGAGAAGGTGTCGGACTTACTGATGGCGAGGGCGTAGAACGTCTGTGGTCGAGGCTCCGCAAGCTCATTGGGATCACTCGTACATCAGGCGTAGGCGATCTCTCCAAACGTTATCTGTCACTGACTGCTGGGAATAATTTCACAGAGATCTCGCCGGATATGGCTCGTCGACCGCCAGCTCAATAGCATCGGATCTTCGCATCGTGAAGACTTGGGTGATTGGCTCACAAGGCGCTATGCCTTTGCGCAAAAGGAATCGAGGGCGAACGAGACTGTGGTACGGAACTCTGGGTTTACTGTCAAGGAGCTACAACATGAGTGGGCTTTACAACGAGAGGCACAATTGTCTGTTCAAGCCCGTGAGTAGTAGTGTGACTTTTGCAGTCGCGTACTAATGGCATGCTGTTGCTCAGACGCCCCAATGCGTCTGAAACAGGAGCTCGACAGCATCCTCAACCTTCAATCGGAGCTAGACTCGCTAGACACGACGATTGAAGCCACAAAAAAAGCCTTGAGTAAAGGCACGACCCCGCTGGCCTCCAGACTCCTTCCCGAGCTCACACTTACAGGAGAGAAGCTTCGGACGCAGGCCGATCAAATCTACGACACCCTCAATGTCCAGAATCGCTTCCCGGAGCTCAAGCAATGCAGCCTCGAATTTGTTCGCATACTCCTGATCCTTCGAGACTTGAAAGTCAACATACGAAAGCGCGCAATTGGCAGTTTCTTCGAATGGGACAAGCTGGACCAAGCAGTAGGCGGACGACAACAATCAATAGGTACACAACGGCGAGTACTATTAATGTGTCTGGCTCTGTTGTCTAATCCATACCAGGCACGAAACTTCACCAGCGCACAAGGAACGCAATCACAAAGCGAAGGCCAGCATTACTCACAGCCATCAATAAATTCAATGCGCTCTGTGGGACCCTCGAGAGATTGCACGACCCCACATGGCTGGTACCCTTGCCTAAGCCACTTCCAACACAGCTGAGCGGCCTTCGTGATGCCCAAGAGCTCATGGAGGATGTCTGGATCACACCGTCTGATTCTGCGGTGCCACGATGGCTCGAAAACCTCGACGTTCGGAACGGCATTCGGTCGATGCAGAAGATCCATCGTTGTACAGAGGAAACTGTTCGACTGCATCGCGAGGCCGAGAATATGTGTCTCTGGCTTACTGCTGAATCAGCCGCAGTACGTCAGGCATTGACGATACCTCGTCGTGAGTCTTTCACCTTGAAACACACACCATCTACTTAACGGTTCAAGCAGATAAGAACCTTCTTTTGCGTTTAGAGCAGTACCTCGCCTCCATCGAACGCCTTGAGGCTCGATGGGCATGTTCACTCATTAGCCGCAAGCGCCTTCGGGGGATACTTGATCAGTCGAGGCCTAATCCAACGCGGTTGACGCCACCCTCAACTCCCTCAAATCAAGGGACGTTCACGACATCAGTCGACTGCTCGATAGAGGCCGATTATCCCAAGGACGACGATGAAGTCCTTGCCGATGAAGCTCGCTTCCTTGAGCCTGAAGCGATCATCCTTTCCGACATCCTTGACAACGCAGAAGATGCATCAGATGACGGCTTGGAAACGGAGGTCACCCCAATCGAGGCTCCAGTCAGCCTTTGTCACTCTGAGCACACCAGGACACCAAGGGCCGACCAGGACAACGACATCAAGCCACTGGTTAAGCACAGTGATCTAACCGACCGCCACCATATTGCGTTAAATAAGGACAGCGAATCAACGGTATCTGGTCGCCTGGCTTCTATTCATTGGGCTCTACCCGTGAGTGTCCGATGCTTCTTCCACCTTGTGCGCGTTTACTGACCCTTCTAGGATGATATGCGTGCTGATTACAACACGTTGCCACTGCTTCGGAGCATCAATTACCTTTGTGCTCAGTTACTGAACGACAGTGCCCCACGTATGGTCGGCCGATATTCCATGTATCCTGACTCCATCCGCCTCTTGTTTAGCCCCGAATCGTGGCTGGACGATGTTTGCATCAATGCATGTGCAAGTCTATTGCAAGACTCCTTGTCGGCACCCCAGCTGCCCTCATCGGACGCCTCGAGAGCATGTGCTATCTTTAGCACTCACGATCTTGTTCGGGTTCGTCACAACACGGCCGATGAATACTTTTGGGGTCAAGTTAGAGCTACGGAATACTGGAATAAGGCCACATGGATCATACCTATCCATCGACCGAGTCCGGAAAACCATTGGGTCCTATGCATCGCGCTTCCGCACTCACACACCTTGTATTTGTTCGATAGCTTCGGCCATCGCGGATCCTGGGACCAGGACGTTGAAGTAAGTCTTTCATTGATAATGACCCCTGGTATTTTAACGTAGCTCCTTAGGATGTCATGAAGCTCGTCACCCGGCTTGTGCTCATGGCCAACAGGCAGTACAAATCATGTCGAGTCATTACAGAAGGATGGACCGCCAAACCCACTTGTGTATGGGCCGCCCAGAATCCTATGTGCACGTCGCTGATTTGACCTACTAGGTACAAGCGATGCAAACGAATGGCTACGATTGCGGCGTATGGGTTTTGGCAGGAATCGCAGCCGCACTCCAAGGGTTCCATGTCCCTGCCCTTACCGAACTCGAGGTTAGAGAGTTGAGGCACCACCTTTACCGTGCCGTGATGGCCCAACCAGTCTATGTCCCTCGGTCTCAGAGGTGCAATCAGTAGTCCAAATATCACCTTCGTTGTACATATCTACTAGCTAGAAGCTCGTGTATATGTACACCAGCTATGTATAAGTACCTTCATTCCCCAGATCCCCTCGCACGAATCTTTGAGGCCGCGACGAAGAGATTATTGACGATGCGTGCACGCCACCACAGTCTGTTGCGAGCCATTGCATTGTGGCTAGCGCTGGCCTCGTAGGTCTCTAGGATGGTCGCAAGGGCTTCCCATTCGCCTAATTCATCAATCAACTCACGTTCGATGCATTCGTGAGACTTGCACTCCATCTCTGCGTCCCTCTGCCTCTCGTGCCTTGCCCGGCGCCCACTCATAACATCCAGCATCTTCTCTAAATAATCGCCGTCGGGTTCAGTGGATGGAGGTTGTGCCACGTATGGGGGATCTCCGTCGAATTGTGTGATCTCACTTTCGTCCAGGTTGTCTGCACTCTCGGAGGCCTCTAGGAACAGAGGCGACGTTGGGAGGGGCTCAGAAGCCAGGGCGAGGAGTGCCGTAGGTAGAGATTGAATTGCAGTATCCTTGTTGATGTATGGAGTGCCCTTTCGGCTGCGTGACTTCCGGTACAACGCTCGTTTACGCTCGCAAAGCTGAGACCTAAGACCTCTATGAGCTACGATTGGGCCAGAAAAGCTAAACATATACTCACCTATTCGCAGCTGAGTACGCTTTCGATGCTGCCTTTCGCCCCGAGTGTCGTTCCTCGATAGTGTGGAACTTTGAGGCTCGTCCCATGGTGGTTTTGGACAAGAGTATAGTCGGTGCTAGAGAATATGGATTGGATCGGCATGAATTGCAGTCCACTCAAAATCGGGCACCTCGGCATCCTTGGGGTACTCACAAATTTCATATGTTATTGTTCGGGCAGATCGTGGCTACCCCAATGTGCATTCTAGACTCCTTTTCCATGCTGTAAACGGGACGAGGAAAAGTCTTTCTTTCGCCATGTTTTATATGCAATCTCATTGGCTCAAGCGAGGGTCCCGAGTCCGCGATCACGAGGACACGTGCTGTCTCGATATGGCCTATCTTGGATGCCAAATGCCTCGAGGTTGCTCCTTTGGGCGTCAAGTCCTCGAGGTGGGCCGAACTTGGACTTTGCTTGCTGACCAACCTTGACTCTCACCCAAACATGGTCCTCACTCCTCTGGATGTAGTCAGTCGGATCCGCACCATGGCGAGGACGATCGTTCGGTGTACGAGTCGCAAGGCATTGAAATGGAGCTTCCATTCTCGGGGGTGTTCTGGGGTGTCCTGTGAGTGACTTGACTCATTCGTTCTTTCTTCCCTTCCCCTACTTGGCTCTCGCCTTCTCTCGCCTCGACGAAGAGCTCTCAGACTGTATCTGACCACATTTTCTGCCACCAGGAACCCAACTGAACTCTTGAACAACCCAACGAAGGCTTCAAAAGCCCTGTGTGACCGCCTTTCCACCAAAGCAACTCAGCGGAGCCCGCAAGATTGGTTTTGCTTACGACCGTCTGGGCACACCGCACTTCTTGAAGTGCTTTCAACATAATTTGTGTCTCAAAATTCCTTGGTGAGCCTCATAGCGCGAGGACGGAGCCCTCTAATGACAGACATGCAACCAGGTTTCCTTCCTGAAGCGCCCTCTCCCATTTTGATCTACCAACGATGGACCCTTTGTTCAACCCCAACAACTCTCAACCAGACTACGGCGCCCACGATATGTCAATGATGGTTGACGATGCCGAAATCGCGCCTGGTGCCTCACAGCCAATAGCCGACAGCAACTTTTTTTGTAGTTCACCCGCAGCCTTGCATCAATCTGATGATGAATATGCCACCCCCCCTCATCACAAAATCCCTTTAGAAGACGTCGACACGATGATGTCGATTTACGACCAGACAGCCGCGACAGATCCGAGCCGACTGTTCGACGGCGACGATACCAACTCCACGCCAAACGATCCACCAGCTGGGTCCTCAGATACCAGTGATGAAGACTACAAGCCCTCGGACTTGGGTGCTGGCGACGAGGCGGGCGACGAGGAAAATGATGAGGAGCAAGACGAGGAGCCACCAGCTGGGTCCTCGGACGCCGGTGACGATGACGCCGGTGACGAGGAACAAGGCGACAATGAAGAGCTCCAGGAGGATGACCATGAGCCCTCGGACTTCGGAGATCGAGATGGTGAAGGGGAGGATGAAGAGGACGCTGACGCGGTCAGCGACACGGATACTGAAGATCCGGCTGCTCTTCCCCAGCACGGCGGCGGCAAGAGGGACGTTCTAGATCCCAACGACATCCTCAAAGATGGGGCCAAACGAACCATCAAGCTGACACCGCGAGCTACCAGAACTACGCAAGCCTCAGCAGCACAACGAGACCCCATAGGGAAAATCCCAGCACTGCGACTTGACCCGGACGGGGAGGAGATGATGTCGCCACCCCCATCCCCGTCACCACAGCGGCCACGAGCGTCTGCCCTATCCTCAGCACCTCTCGACCACGGCGAGATCCACTGGTCCCCGTCACCACGAGCGTCTCCTCCAGCCCTAGCACCCCTTGACCACGGCGAGATCCACTGGTCCGACGGACCCGAGGGTCCTGTCATTAGCTTGCGCATTGTCAATACCGCGGAGGACGACCCGGAACATGATGTCTACAAAATACCGATCACAGATATCAGAGAGCAACCCAAGTCGGGGCTCCTTGCCGTATCGCGATACCTTCTTGACCACGTAGCGGGGCAGAAAAACGATCCCGCCGACTATGGCATCATCTTGCCCAAGCGACCAATTGCGCTCAGGACGGCAGACGAGATTGATGATGACAGGGAAGAGGAGGAAGAATACGATGTCAACCAGCTCTCACCTCGCCGCCCTGGCAGGCTTCTCACACAAGCACTCGACATGGTGGATTGCGGCATCGGGCTCCTAGATCCCATTCGCCGAAGCCTCGCGGAACTCGCAGGAGTATCGGAGAATTTCATTCAAGCTAGGTGGGATAAAAGGAAGGGGGGTACAGGCAAAGGCTTAGGACAAGGTCGATGGCGAGCATGGGTTCGCTACTACCACAGCAAACCGGCCATCATCATGGAACGCACTGGAGTGACTTTGCAGGAAGGCGAGGAAAAGTGGCACAACTCCGTGGCGTCTCGGTGCTACGACCGATTCAAGCAGCTCTTCCCCGACACACACGCCGAAATCATTGACAACCTGACCGCGTTGGCCGAATTGGAACGCCAACCGCAGACCGTGCATCAACGTGGGGGGCAATGGGACGAGTACTGCCGAGATTTGAGAGAATTAATGCAGCGTGGCCACGAGTTGGGATTCGAGACTTACGCCGTCGCTGGCGGCTCGAACATCCATCAAGACAAAGGCCTTAGCTTCATTCACGAGACGCAGTTCGCGGAGGGGGTATGTGGGGAACATGATTGCCTCTCACAAATGTGCTAACCGTTTCGTCAGTTCTTAGCAAAGAAGATGGGCAAGAAGCACAGTGATCACCTAGCCCATTTTATCTCTTACATTCAGTAAGCTTCATTTCTTTTTTAGCATGGTTGTTTGAATTAATCCTCCACAACAGAAACAAAGTATCCGACGCCATTCTCGAGGACGAGGACGAGGATGATCCCAAGGGTACGAAGCCATCAAAGCCATCAAAGCCATCAAAGCCCTTGAAGCCCACAAGGTCCACAAGGTCCGCGAAGCCTATGAAGGCCACGAAGGCCTCGACTTCGAAGAACCCCCCCTCGGTCATATCTATCTCAAGTGAACACGCTGACCCCCCCGGCGAAGGCTTGGCCAAAGTAGGTGATCGTTATCACCAAGCACGGCATGCCCTGTCGGCTGCAGCTGGTAAGCCACCGTCTCTCATAGCTGCCTGATGTTGCTAAATGTGTCCATTAGCACCCGTGGGCCTTTCCCTCAACGTGAATCAATTCCCCTGGAGCACGATGCCGGGGGTACTAGCCAACGCAGGAGTGCGCATCGTCAATTACCCCGTTGGCGTCATATTTCCAGGGCACGAGAAAGACAAGCAGCGAGGCATTACAGCGGCTAGCGCAGTCCACATCGACTCCATCCTCGAGCACCTCAGTCCGTCGGCCGCACAGCAAATCAGATTCGAGCTAATCCCGGATGCTGTCGTAAAACGCTACGCTGATAAACGCGGAAAGCTGCCAGTTATCATCAACGCGGCACCGCAGCCTCAATCAAAAATCGTGCGGGGCTCCCGATTGCTTGCCGACTCTAGCGTAGATGATCAAGGCCCTTGGCGACTCAAGCCCGGGGATCAGGAGGACTCTCCAAACTTTGTGGAGTCTATTGACGAAGATGGACCGTCCAAGGCACGGACACGCATTCGGAAACGCAAGGAGCGGGCTCTACTTAGTGAGTCAGATGCGCCTGAGCCTAGCGAAGCAGAGCGGCGCGTGCTGCGTTCCGAACGGAAAGGCAAAGGCAAGGCTCGTGCCACTGGCACTGAATCAGCCCTCAGCGTCTCTGATGAGGACTCCCGTGGCGTACAGCACAAAAGGCTGCGACGCCAGGAAGCCTCGCCTGATACGGCAATCGAAGTCAAGACCCCTCAGGGGATCTTGAACAAGCAGCCTGCAGGCAGCCATGATGCCCTTCCGCCGTTGAAGAAAGCGCGATCAGTAGTCGAAGGTAAGGTTTGAATTAGCACTCGAGAAACATGGCTCACAGTTTGCTTCCTAGTGGTGATTCCTACGCCTCGCAAGAGGATGCCTGATGCGACCAGCACGCCGATGCCTGATGCGACCAGCACGCCGATGCCTATCATTAAGGCGACCTCGAAATCCAAGAGTCAAGCCGCGGCACCAGCTGAGGCAGGCTCATCGAAGGACGCCGCACCTGTCCCCGCTCCTACTGGGCCACCCAGGAAGGCCTCGAAAGCGACGGCACCAGCTGAGGCAGGCTCATCGAAGGACGCCGCACCTGTCCCCGCTCCTACTGGGCCACCCAGGAAGGCCTCGAAAGCGACGGCACCAGCTGAGGCAGGCTCATCGAAGGACGCCGCACCTGTCCCCGCTCCTACTGGGCCACCCAGGAAGGCCTCGAAAGCGACGGCACCAGCTGAGGCAGGCTCATCGAAGGACGCCGCACCTATCGCCCCTGTCCCCGCTCCTTCTGGGCCACCCAAGAGCTCATCAAAGGATGCCGCGCCTGTCCCCGCTCCTACCGGGCCACCCAAGAAGGCCACGCCTGCCGCCAGCACCTCGAAAGCTGAGAAGTCGTCCAAAGCTGCAGCGCACGCCGAGGTACCTGACCCCAAGGCCCCCAGAGCTGCGGCAGCCCGCCCCACCACCGAAGCTACCAACCCCTCAGATGTGGGACCGAAGGCGGCGCCACTCGCCACCTCGAAAGCTGATTCAGCACCTAATGCGGCCTCGCAGGTGGAACCCGGGTTGAAGCCAATCTCTGGCTCAAAAGGTGAAGCCAAGGCTCGTCAACGCAGCAGCTTGAAAGACGACGCGAAAGGTGCGACGAAGGCCCGACGAACCAGCACTACGAAACCGCCAAAGGCAGCTGTCAGTGTCGCAGAAGCGCCTGCGACCTTGAGTCCCGGGACTTCGAAACAAAGACCCTCGAACGCAAGTGCAGATGGCGCACCTGAAGGAGTCGCCGAAGCCTCGCTCACCACTCCTGAAGGCGATGGTGGAACACCAACTTTCCGCCCCGTTCCCCGCCGCCGCCTGCCACCATCAACCTCGTTAGGAGACCTTGACAGTGTTCCCCCATACGAGGGCCTGCCCCGAAGGACGACATTTCCGGTCCAAGTTGGCGGATATGGCCGCACATCTGAGGACGATCTTGGTAGCAATCAGGGCATTCCCCGGGCCGACGCTCGACTCGATCCCTCAGAGCCCCGTGTCCACGACTATCGCCGGGAGCAAGAGTATCGCCGGGAGCAAGAGTATCGCCGGGAGCAAGAGTATCGCCGGGAGCAAGAGTATCGCCGGGCGTTCTACCCTCGCCCAGCCCGATCGATTGCAGGCTCACACACCGGGAGCATGGGGGAGCTTGACGGGCGAGAATACAACAGTGGCCCCAGCTACGAACACCACGACTACCTACGAAGCCGAGAACCCTTCGATTACCCTGCCCACAGCCGTGACCACAGTCATGATGAGTATCCTGGGTACGAGCGAGTCGGCGAGCATGCAGACGAGGCACATCGCCGTCCTTACCCCCCACATGGCCGTGAACGTAGTCATGAGCGCCCTGACGGCCCCCGCGGACGCGCCTTCGAGCAACACGAAAACGAGCCAAATTGCCGCCCCTACCCCTCACGCAGCCGCGAACGTAGCCACGAGCCCAATGACGGCGGCCCCGCTTTCGTACCACATGAAAACGAGCCAAACCGCCGCTCCCGTGGTTACCCATCAGACGACTATCCAAGAGCGCGCGACTTCTACCCTCAAGATCGGAGGCACAACTACTATGATCGCCCCTTTGGTACTCGCTATCCCTCTGATTACGACTTCGACCCGCGCAACCCTCGCGACGCTGGATTCCACGAACCCTCGTACTACTATCGGGACGGCTACGGAGACATGTACAGGGAGAGACGTAGGCCCGAGGGCTATCGCGTCCGCCCACAGTCTCCATCTCGTGCCAGGTCCCCCAGCATCGCTCCTGCTGGTGCTCCTTCCGAAACGGAGGCAACAGAGCCATAGGTGTGGATGTTCGTGCTCATGTCCCATTAGTCGTCGCAAACCGTCGCAATACCCCTCGCAATCTAGTATCACATAGCCTTGAAGGACTATCCCCCAGCTTTTGTATTTCTCTTGTAGCCATCCGTAGCCCCAGTAACTATTTTGTACGCCCGAATCTGTTGTAAACACACCTTTGTGCTATAAACCCCATATGACAGACAATTCACAATGTTGTACTGAGATTGAGAAACATGATAACAACATGAGTGCTACATGGAATAGATCACAAATAAAGAATTGAGAAACCTCAAGACTTGTGTGAATCTAGGTAAGTATAAATGTTGACGGACCATTAATGGAGGTAAGCGAGGCTCGTCTAACACAAGCCTCATCCAGGCCACTCGACACTGGATGATTGATTCACAATACGGTACGGTACGTGTCTTGTGGTCTCTACGTGCTGGGGTCTCCAGGATCTATTCCAACTCCGAAATTAAATGGTCTTCGAGACCCCTAAATGTGCTGCCTAAGGTGGAAGCTAGCCAAGGAGAGGGCAGCAGAGGCCGCAGCCCCCCTTCACATCAGTTTGCACTGGATCTCAGCGCATGACAACGTCATAGGGAACGACCGAGCGGATGTGCTAGCGAAAGAGGCGGCGACAGGAACGGCGCAACCAGCTGAGCACTGCCCCTCCCTCTTTACTAACTACCCAATGCTACCAGCTAGCAGAGCAGCCATACGGCGCGTAGCACGCATGCGAATCCCGATTCGCTGGGAAAAGGCATGGCGGAAGTCTGCTCGCAAACCAAAGCTGGACAGGATCGACCCGACGCTAAAGGTCGGCAAGTACCTGGGCGTGGTTGGGGACTGGAGGAAGAACCGCACAAGTGTCATTACGCAACTACGTACTGGACACGTCCCTCTCAATCAGCACCTACATCGAATAAAGAAGGCTGATTCACCATTCTGCCCCCACTGCAACGACAAGGAAGAATCGGTCCGACATTACCTTATCGAGTGCCCTGCATATGACACAGAGCGGGCGGCGATGCAGACGGAGTGCAAGAACTTTGATCTGCCAATGAAGGTGCTACTGGCCACAGCGGGAGGTATGGAGGCCACCATTGCCTTCGTTCGGCGCACAAGGCGGTTCAACAACCCTTTTGGAAGTCTGGAGGGGGAGCTACTCGCACCAAGAAGGGCGGCTGTACTGAGGGAGAAGAGGGAGAGGCAAAAGGAACGGGAGGGGAGAAGAAAGGAACGGCAGAAGGAGAAAGGGCGGGAAGGGGCGGAGCGGCGCAGATGAAGGCCGCAACCGCGACTTGCTCGCGTGCGGGCCGTCATCTGGCGGGGTAGGCAAGGTCCTTCTTTTTGGCGGCATTTCCTCAAGACCACCTCAAGACTCTACTCTTCTTACCTTGACAGATAGCCACGGACTCGCTCTCCCTCGGGACGAGCACCTAACAAGGGAGGCTTTAGGCCAAGAAGCTGTCCAACCCACACCATTCGGCTGCCCATAAACACGCTAGCGTCCGAAAAACAGCGGTTTCTGTCGCTGGGCGGCAGGGGGACGAGGTCCAGGACCGTCCGTCTGTCGTGCATGACGAGCTAGGGGTCAAGGTGGGCATGGGGGCCCTTTTATTTACTTCCAGGTATATATAGGTAGTACGGGATACAGGTAGTACAGAGCCGTCCGCATGGAGCACCTCCGATGGACGTTAAACAGAGACCAAAAAAAAAAAAAAAAAAAAACTCTTCTCGTTCTCGTGGGCAGACATGTAAGAGGACGAGCGCGATGCGGCAACGGCTCGGCGACCACTCCGACAGTTTGACTTTGATGGAGTATTGACACTGAAATTCGAAATTTGAGAACTAATCCCATCCAATCCACCGAAGGTCTGGCAGCTTGAGAGCTCCAGAGCTCTATTTACTCTGCCTTGTGTTCCTGCCCAACCTTTAAAGCTTTAACTCTCGCACTGGAGGGCTTACCTCTTAATTGTCCGGGCAGACACGTTTAGCGTTGGCAGACGATACCCCAGATACCTCAGAGAAGGGGCAAGCTGAGGATGCAGTACGCGACTTGGCGTGACTCTGGGATTTAGGAGACTAGAAGCTGGCGTGGTATCTCGTAAGTAACAAGAGTGGGAGTAAGTGTTTGTGTCTAGGCTCTACATACTGAACGTTTATCACGTGGAGTAGAAGGCATCACGGCAGGACAGCTGGGAACGAGCCTATCATTGGACATTGGATATGAGTCGTTGTCGCGCGATTTTTCAGAAAAGTACTGACGTGCAGCTGCTGCTCATGGGTGGCTTCTAGGCTCAGTATACGCTAGGCGTGGAAATCCTCTTGCTCTAAAATCTATCATGAAATGGCTCGACTTTCGGATTCTTCGTATCGACGACTTCGCTTTGAATGGCCTCAGAAGAAACGCCTCTCTTGCCAGAGGGGAATGTTCCCGTTGACCGTGACCGTGTTTACGACCGCTTCACCCCGTGGAGAAAGCGAGGCATCTTGACCTTGGTGTCCTGCAGCGGCCTGATTCCGTGTACGGACTCACTTCACTCCAGAGACCAATTTGAAGTGGCTTATCGCGGTCTGGTTTCTAAACACTTTAGTTTTCGTCAGCGGGACATTCATTCCGGCAATACCCCAGATCGCCCGTGATCTCTCGACCACACCTGAGATGGTCAGGTAAATGAGTACTCAATTAGCCCCGATACATGTCCTCACATCTCCCGGTTCACGCTTGTAGCTTTACCATCAGCCTGTCGATATTAGGCGCTGCCATTGGTAGCATGGCCATGGCCACCTACTCCGGGTTCTGTAAGCGTAATCTCCATATATAATCATAATCACAACTTGGAATGATCTACAGTTGATTAGCTCATAATGCATACGCTCATGATGCATATTTCTCGTAATGCATTGACTTTCCATGGGGACCACGTCGGGAGGCGGGGAATATAGTGCATAATGCATAATGCATAATGCATTGCTTCACAAATGAGGATTTGCATTATTACATCGCCGGATGAAGGGTCGGGGGACACCGGCACCATTGTAGCACACCCTTTTTAGACTAAATTAGGGTGTACAGCGCCACCTCAATGACGACTCGGTAGCACAAATTTATTACAGAAAACAAACCACTAAACAAAGACCCCATGCCTCCATCTGAACCCACTCGAAAGGTGCGGCCCAAGCCCCAGCCGTACAATCGCAAGCCAAAGGCACCTGCAGCAAAAGCAGACCATGCAACAACAGCAAAGCCGATTGCTGAGCGTAAACGGCAGAACCTAACACTCGGTGACTGGATGACAGTCTTCAATTACATGGACAAGCACCCAGACACGGCGCAAGCAGATATCGTTGAACACTTCAAGACACGAAGGGAGGGTGTGTTAACGTTTGACCAGTCGACACTTTCACGTAAGATCCGTGACCGTGCAAAGTTGGAGGAGCGTGTCAACTCAACACCAAATGCATTGTCATCGAAACGCCCTCGTACGGTCACAAGACCAGATGTTGAGAGGGCTTTGATTGTTTGGGTACGGCACATGGAAACCAAGGGTGAGACGGTAACCGGGCCAATGCTTCGAGAGAAGCGCAAGCGTTACGAGGAGATGCTTGAAGTGCCTAAAGAAGAATGCCTAACAGGCGAAGGATGGGTTGCTCCATTCTGCAAAGCGTGAGTGATTATCTCCGTAGGCTAAACCCATTCTGATGTCTTACCTAGGTACAAAATTAAGGAGATCCGGCGCCATGGGGAGGCTGCATCAGTGGATTTGGCGGCAGTCGAGGCAGAGCGGGTCCGGATGGCTGCAATTCTGAGCAAATATTCTCCGCAGGACCAGCTCAACTTTGATGAGACGAGCTTATTTGCCTTCGCACCTCCTGATCGTGGCCTAGCAACAAAGCAAATGAGCGGCAAAAAGAAGGACAAGTTTCGCATCACGGTCGGATTTCTGTGCAGTGCCGTAGGGGAGAAATTTCCTCCCTTCTTCATCGGCAAGTCAAAACAGCCTCGCTGCTTCAACAAGAAGAAGCCTGAAACCTTGGGATTTTATTACCGTAACAACAAGAAGGCTTGGATGACATCGTATTTCTTTGAGGAGTACGTCAGGATATTTCTCATCACTGGGAAAGCTCAATGCTAACGAAACGAGGCATTAGATACATCAAGAAGCTTGATTTACAGTTCCGCTTACAGAATCGTCATGTCGTCTTGTCACTGGACAATTTCTCAGGCCACTTCATCACATACGAGCCGCGCAACATTGAACTGGCCTTCTTTGAGCCAAATCTCACGTCATTTGTTCAACCTCTTGACGCGGGAATCATCCGCTGCTTCAAGGCGCACTATAGGCGATCATTTTGTTTACGTGCAATTGACCTTGACGAAGCAGGCGAGGTAGAAATTTACAGGCTAACATTATTGGAGGGCATGCAGATGGCTCGTGATGTGTGGAACGCAGTGGACAAGACAACGATTATAAACTGCTGGAGACATACAAGAATCCAGGACTCGCGAGGGGCCACAGCATCTATTGAAGCCCAGGGGCCTACTTCCGATAGCCCATCTACTCATGCAGATGCAGCGGACATACTTCGCCAGTTTGCTACTTCAAGTACCATGTCACTCCCTCAAGCTGAGCAGCTGCTCCAAGAGAGGCTTGGTGAGAAATATCACGACGAAGATTACCGGGAGGTATTCAAGGCTGTAATGGATGCTGAGGATGATACGGACGCTGCGCTAGCAGCTGTAGAGAAGTTCGTAACAACAGATGCAAAACTCACGATCACGATCCCACCACGCACCAAGCTGATGATCAAAATCCCACCTCGCTATCCTCCTGACTCAGATCGCGAGAACGCTGAAAAGGAGTTAATGGAGGCCGTTCAAACGCTCAAACAGCGCTACCGGATTTCTGGCGAACCACCCAAGTTGGAGGAGTTGGTCAATCCGAAGGAGGAACACATCATCGAGGAGGTTGATGAAGAATTTGATGGACCGGCTGGCGATAAGGCAATCATTGATACAGTGCGACATCAGCTTGCTGACGAGAGGGGAGATGTGGTTGTGGTGGAGTCAGATGATTCCGATGACGAAGAAGAGCCAGTCGTACCAAAGGCTGACCTTCTACATCTGTGCAAGCAGTTGGAGAAGTCTTGTATCCACCCTGCCCTTGCATCAGAACGAAGCTCGTTTCTCGCACAAGAGCTCCGAAAATTCCGGGGACATTTACGGAGTGAGATCAGAGCTGGACTCAAGCAGAGTACCTTAGAGGGTTTCCTCGACGCGGCGATGGACAAGAATGGTGGGGCATAGATGATTCTGCCGGATATAGTAACTGTCACATATTATATCAGCTGATATCACACAATGTGACAATTTCGCATTGCATATTTCTCATAATGCATTGGCCCAGGACGTCTCCCGACGGTATGCAATATGAGATAATCAACTGTAACTTACTCCTGTAAATCACAGATGGAAGGCGCCCAGTCTACCTAGCCGGCCTCCCCTTCTCCTGCCTCGGCTCGTACCAGATCGCTGTCTCTCAGAGCATCTACCACCTCATCTTCTGGCGCTTCGTGCAGAATGTGGGCATGTCGGGCGGCATGTCGCTCGGCGCCGGCGTTATCGGGGATATATACAAGCTGGAGGAGAGGGGCTTTGCTATGGGGGTGTTTTATGGGGTGAGTCACTGGCTGACGCACTAATGAAAACGAAGGGATACGGATGGATGCGTGCGGCTACAGGAGGGTTTGAATCTGACGTCCGTTTGAATTTTGTTTGTCCAAAGGCCAGTCTTCTTGGGCCGGCAATAGCGCCTCTCACTGGAGGCAAGTGTTTACTCCCTCTTATCCTAACGGACTCTACGCAATACCAATCGATACGATAGGCATTGCGACTCACTACTCATCTTGGCGGATGCTGCAATGGGGTTTCCTGATCTATGGCTTAGCGCTGTTGGTCTTGATGGTGCTCTGGCTCCCCGAGACAAGCCATCCAGGTACTCTCGGCATAGAAAAGGTATTTGATGACCAGAACCAACAAGTACCTCGGTGTACGCCATCGCGTCGGCACTGGAGATGGGTGTGGCTCAACCCGTTCTCTTGCCTGGGACTGCTACGGAGTCCTAATCTTATGCTTGTGGTATGTACCCTCTCCCTCTCCCCTGCTCTTGATCTTCTTGGGCGTCGGTCGTTATATCAGGAATTAAGACTGAGAAAAAATTAAATCATTTCCCCGCGTAGATGCTAGCAGGGACAGCGACCATACTCACAGATTTCGGTGCGTCGTTTCTCCGCTTTCCTGCGTAACGCTACCCGCCCTCTCACGCGATCTCCCATTGCAGTCCTTCTTGTACCTCTCGCTTTTACAATCGTAGGTCCATACCCTACACACTCACACACTCACTCTACGTATTATCGTTCTCCGAAACTCAACCCACTGTATGAACGCAGGGAGCCAAGTACGGTATCACGAACGAGGCCCTGATCGGCGCCGTCTTCATCCCGTGCGGTATCGGCAACGTCGGCGAGTCCATCCCCATCTCTATACCCTCCTACACCACTCCACCCACACGAAAGTACTGACTCCCATCAAACGACAGTCGGCGCCCCTCTGGCGGGCCTCCTCTCCGACCGCATCGTCCGCACCTCCCGCTCAAAATGCTCAAAACGCTCAGAATCCGGGCGCGCGGGCGCGGAGGGGGGGTGGTACCCCGAGGACCGCCTCCGCACGACCCTCATCGGCGCAGCGGCGTGCGTCCCGCTCTCCGTCCTCCTCGCCGGCCTCGCGATCGCGTACGTCCCCGGCCGCACGGGGCTCATCGTGTGTCTGGGATGCCTGTTCCTGAACGGGATCGGGGTGCGTGTATCTCTATCCCTCTCACCGCGCCTGCATATGCCTATGCCTATGTGCGCCTGGTATGGTAGTGACGACTGACGACTGACGCCGGACTGTGTCGTGACTCGCAGGTCGATCTGGTGCTGAGCCCCTCAGCGGCGTACAACGTTGACGTGGTGCACAAGCGGAGCGCAGAAATAATGGCTGCAAACAAGTGCGCATCCACTCCCTCCTTCCTCCCTCCTTCCTTCCTTTCTCCACTTCCCCCCCTGCCTTCCTTATCATGCATCACGCACATCTTCCATTCTTCCATTCTAACACCCAAAAATCCAAACACAGCGGCTCGCGCGCCCTCCTCGTCTCCCTCCTCGTCCCCTCCATCCTCCCCTCCATCACCCACTTCGGGGTCCTCCCCACGAACGCCGCCGCCGCTCTCGTCGCGTGGGCCGGGTGCGGGTTGTTGGTGCTCACGATCCGCTATGGGGAGGAGCTGAGGGGGTGGAAGGACGTCGGGTATTCGACGGGAGGATAATTGAAGGATAGGGATAGAAGGGTAGGAGGGTAGAAGGGTAGAAGGGTAGAAGGGTAGAAGGGTAGAAGGGTAATCGGTAACGCGTCGACTCTGGGGCTCTGGGACTCTATGTTTTCCTGGATATGGGACCCGCACTACCGAACCGAACCAAGTATCTACCTATTCAAAACGGAGTAGCCCGCTACGACGCATAAACAATATATATAAATATAATACATATAATGCGTAAAAGGCGCCCTACTCACACCCTCATTCGACTTCTACTTTCACTTTCACTTTCACTTTCACTTTCACTTTCACTTACTTACTCACTGATTCCCCCTTTGGCCTTTGAGCTCATCCACACGCCCAACCCAACTTAAAACCCAACTTGAAACCCAAGAACGCAGAACGCAGAACGCAGAACACGAAAAGAACGAAGAAAACAAAACAAAACAAATCCAAGATCATGATCAATAGTCCCAAAATGCAAGATACAAGATATGATACGGAATAAATCACCAAGCTGCTCCCCTTCGTCACCCCTTTCCCTACCCCTCCCATTGCCTACCCCCTTTCCTCACCCCGTACCCCTATACCCCTTTGCCCCCTTCCCTCTCTCTTGCATCTCCCCGCTCCTCCGCGTTAGAGCATTAAAACGTTCGAGTGTTGAGGTGTCAGAGCGTCAGAGCTTCGCGCCCCCCGGCTGCATCTTGTTCAGAAACGCAGAGGCGACGATGCGCCCCGTCTCCTTCGCTATGATCTGTTAAGAGAGAGAGAGCAAGTGTATGTCAGTTATCGTTATTCGTTCTCGATGGAGATGGAGATGGGAGGAGATGGGAGATGGGAGATGGGAGATGGGAGATGGGAGATGGGGGATGGGAGATGGGGTGGGGTCAAGGTGAAGGTGAAGGTGAAGATAAAGATGAAATTGAAGTTGAAGACGAGACAAAGACGAAGACGAAAGAAGAAACGAAGGAACGAACCGTGAATCAAAAAAAAATCAAAAAAAGAGAGATACAACGAAGGAAGAAATGAAATGAAATGAAACAAAACGAAGGAAGAAAGGACCAGAAACCAGCAGAGAACGAGAACCCAAAAGTGCGCCGTGCACGCAGCCTCGAGTCAAAGTCCGAAGGGATCCGACTCGCGAGGATGCGCCACCGCAAAACCACCACACCAGCACTGCACGCAACGGCGCGACGATCACGATCGATGCACATCCAGTAAACCCAGTAAACCCATCATCAAACAAGCAAAGAAAGCACGGCACGGAACGTATCGGCGCCCACGCCTCCACCCACGAAGATCCATGCATGCGCGATCTTGATCACTGCCCATCGACCATCGATCACCGACCACGCAGCGCGGTGCGTGACGCAGACCCGACACGCTGCACGTCGCCCCATCCGACCCATACGGCGAAGATCGCGCTGGGAACCCCCAACGTCCCATCAAACCGTAACCGTAACCGCAGCCGTGACCGTAACCGCAAACGCGAGGACGCGAAGACACCGCCACGCCAAATGCCAAATGCCAATTAATCAGCCCAGTCCACCTCCCTTCGCACATCCACATCCACATCCACATCCACGCAACCTAAATCTATCACCGCGCCCATACACCGCATACACCGGTCAGGCTGCCATCTATCAGGTGGCGCCGCCAGACGTGTCAGCGGATGAACGCATGAGAGTTTCTCTGCTTCCCTGCTTTCCTGCCGGGATCCCAGGATGCCAGGACGCAGGATGACAGGACGCGTGGTACGCGTGTACGCGTCGAGGGCCGTATCGGGCGTGTGGCGGAGGCGTGGCGTGCGGACGATCTGCGACGGAGGTGATCTGTGCTGATGGAAATTGGACAAGGGATTGGGACGAGAAATTAGGATAGATGAATAGATGGATGGGTAGGCGTAGGCGTAGGCGTAGGCGATAGACAGACAGCCAGGCAGGGGGTCATACGTCCTCGACACTGACATCGCGACATCGCGATATTGTGACATGATAGATGAAATAGGCGAGAGATGAACAGATGGATCGTCGAGCAGCTGGGCAACTGGACAACTGGGCAGATAGCCAATAGATGATAGATGATAGATGCCCACGTCCACGTCCACGCCTCCGCCACAGGCGCGATGCGATGCGATTCCACGCGTCGATGAAGTGGACACGCGTGCGAGCGCGATTGCGAGAGACCGCTCTACGTGTACAGATGTGCGGGTCCGGACGCAGTGGGACACAGTGGGAAGTTGGGAACGTCAATGGCAATGCAATGGCTCCAATGCCAATGCCAATGCCAATGCCAATGATTGATCGAGTGGTCGAGTGATCGAGTCTCCACGCGCCGGGAGCAATCAATACACCAGAACAAACGGAATACACCCTCGCCTCCGACGAACCCACGCGTTTATGGGGGGCGGAGCAATATCGGTATCGGTATCGGTATCGAAGCGTGTAAGGGTGTGAGCGTGTAAGAGCGTGTGAGCGATAGGGTCCGAGTCGATAGGGACCGAGTCCAAGGGTGTTTATCGAATATTGCATATCGAATATTGAGTTGTCTCGCGTTCGTGGATGCGTTCGTGGATGCGTGGAAGCGGGCGGGGGTGCCGGCGGAAGAAGCGAGCAAGCAAGCAGACAGACAGACAGACAGACAGAGAAGGGTAGAAGGACGGAAGGATAGGGATAGAAGGGTAGAAGGGTAGAAGGGTAGAAGGGTAATCGGTAATCGGTAACTAGTAACCAGTAATGCGTCGACTCTGGGGCTCTGGGGCTCTATGGTTTGCTGGATATAGGGACCCGCACTACCGAACCAAGTATCTACCTATTCAAAACGGAGTAGCCCGCTACGACGCATAAACAATATATATAAATAAAAAATAATACACTGCGCACAAGGCGCCCTACTCACACCCTCATACTCATACTCATACTCATACTCATACTCACAGTCCACCCTCATTCGACTTTCACTTTTACTTTCACTTTCACTTACTTACTACTTACTGATTCCTCCTTACCCTTCACCCTTCGGCGCTCATTCACACACCCAACTTGAAACTCAAGAACGCAGAACGCAGAATACGAAAAGAAAAAACAAAACAAAACAAATCCAAGATCAATAGTCCCAAAATGCAAGATACAAGATATGATACGGAATAAATCACCAACCCGCTCCCCTTCGTACCCCTTACCCCTTTCCCTACCCCTTTCCTTTCCCTACCTTTCCCTACCTTTCCCTACCTGTACCCCTTCCCTCTCTCTCCTGCATCTCCCCACTCCCCACTCCTCCGTGTCAGAGCGTTGAGTGTTCGAGTGTTCGAGTGTCAGAGCGTTAAAGTGTTCGAGTGTCAGCGCGTTCGAGTGTTGAGTGTTGAGCGTCAGAGCTTCGCGCCCCCCGGCTGCATCTTATTCAGAAACGCAGAGGCGACGATGCGGCCCGTCTCCTTCGCTATAATCTGTTGAGAGAGCAAGTGTATGTCAGTTATCGTTATCCGTTATCGTTTCGTTGATGGAGATGGAGATGGGGTGGGGGTCAAGTGAAGGTCCACGTAAAGACGAAGACGAAGGAACGAACCACGAATCAAAAATAAAACAAAGAAAAATATAAAACGAAAGAAATGAAAGAAGAAAAGAAAAGAAACGAAGAAAACCACGCGTCCGGATCGAAAAGATCAATCAAAGCGCCGAATGACAAGAAACGAAACGAAGAAAGAAAACCACGCGTCCGGGTCGAGAGAACGAGAACCCAAAAGTGCGCCGTGCACGCAGCCTCGAGTAGCCTCGAGAGCGATCCGCCACCGCAGAGGGAAACCCGCCACCGCCACCGCAAAACCGCCACCGCAAAACCAGCACACCAGCACACCAGCGCGACGCTCGAACGCTGTCTAACCACATCACCACATCACCACATCTCCACATCTCCACGATGACAGGCTGCACTGCACGCAACGGCGCGACGATCACGATCGAAGCACATCCAGTAAACCCAGTAAACCCATCAACAAGCAAAGCAAAGAAAGCACGGCACGGCACGGAAACGTATCGACGCCCACGCCTCCACCCACGAAGATCCATGCGCGATCTTGATCACTGCCCATCGACCATCGACCACTGCCGATCGATCACCGACCACGCAGCGCGGTGCGTGACGCGGACCCGACACGCTGCACGCTGCACGTCGCCCCATCCGACCCATACGGCGAAGATCGCGCTGGGAAGCCCCATCCCAACTCCCAACGTCCCATCAAACCATAAACGTGGAGGCGTGGAGGCAAAGACACCGCCACGCCAAATGCCAAATGCCAATTAATCAGCCCAATCCACCTCCCTTCGCACATCCACGTCCACATCCACATCCACGCAACCCAACCTAAATCTATCACCGCGCCCATACACCGCATACACTAACGGTCAGGCTACCATCTATCAGGTGGCGGGCGCCGCCAGACGTGTCAGCGGATGAACGCATGGGAGTTTCTCTGCTTTCCTGCTTTCCTGCCGGGATCCCAGGATCCCAGGACGCAGGATGACAGGACGCGTGGTACGCGTGTACGCGTCGAGGGCCGTATCGGGCGTGTGGCGGAGGCGTGGACGATCTGCGACGGAGGTGATCTGTGCTGATGGAAATTGGACGAGGGATTGGGACGGGAAATTAGGATAGATGAACAGACGGTGATAGATGAATAGATGGTGATAGCTAGGCAAGGGGCGATACGGGTCCTCGACAGGCGCACGCTCTGGCATCGCGACATCGCGACATGATAGATGAAATAGGCGATAGATGATAGATGAAATAGGCGAGAGATGAACAGATGGATCGTCGAGCAATTGCGCAACTGGGCAACTGGGCAGATAGATGATAGATGCCCACGTCCACGCCTCCGCCACAGGCGCGCTGCGGTGCGGGGGGTGAGAGGTGCGGGGGTTCGATATGCCTCCGAGACTCGATTCCACGCGTCGCTACACCTGCCAACGTTTAGGGCCCGACGCCTGAGGCACCCAACGACGCGAAGTGGACACGCGTGCGAGTGCGAGTGCGAGTGCGAGCGCGAGGGTCCGCTCTACGTGTACAGATATGCGGGTCCGGACGCAGTGGGACACAGTGGGAAGTTGGGAACGTCAATGGACATGGTCATGGCTGCAATGCCATTGCAACGATTGATCGAGTGATCGAGTGGTCGATTTCCAGTCTCCAGTCTCCACGCCCGGGAGCAATCAATACACCAGAACAACCCGAATCCAGAATACACCCTCGCCTCCGACGAACCCACGCGTTTATGAGGTGCGGGGGAATATCGGTATCGGTATCGGTGGCGTGGAGGGATAGTCAATAGGGACCGAGTCCAAGGGTGTTTATCGAATATTGCATATCGAGTATCGAGTATTGAATTGTCTCGCGTTCGTGGAGGCGTGGAGGCGTGGACGGGCGTGCCGGCGGAAGAAGCAGACAAGCAGACAGACAGACGGACAAAAGACAGACGAAGTGAAAGAAACCAAGTGGAAGAAAGAAAGCGAGAAAACAAGAAAGAAAGACGAAAAGCAAACCAAGTGAAAGAAAGCAAGTGAAAGAAAGAAACCAAGTGAAAGAAAGCAAACCCTCCCCCCCAAAAAAATCCAAAAAAAAACTCACCTCACACCGACTCGACATAACGCGCGCCCCGAGGCTCACCGACGTGCTCACGACGCGCAGCGTCGTGCCGACGGCCGCGGGCGCGTGGAAGAGCACGGTCATCGCCTGCGTGACGCCGACGCCGTTGCGGCGCTGCAGCAGCCCAAGGACGACTAGGGGCGTGGAGCAGCAGCTAGAGGGGGGGGAGGGGGTTAGTGAATATTAATATGAATAGAAGGGAAGGGGAAAACGAGAATGAGTAGAATAGAATAGATAGAATAGAATAGAATAGATATAGAACAGAATGAAAGAGTAGATAGAGTAAAAATGCCCAAAAAACAAGAACGCACTTATCCACCAAATACGCGACACACCCGCCGTGCAGCATGCCCGCGCCGTTCAGCATCCCGCGCGTGACCCGGATCTCGGCCGTCGTCGACGCCTCCAGGCGCTCCATGCCCATACCTCCCTCTCCACTCACACCCATACCTCTTTCCACGCCTACACTGCTCTCTACACTTCTCTCTACATCCCCACTTCTCTCTACGCCATTTCTCCTCTCCGCGCCGCTCACGTCTTCAGTAAAAGTGGATGTCGCGGAGTTCGTTGGGGGAGAGTGCGACGGATACACGCTGATATCGACGAGCCGCACGCGCCGCCCGACCGCGTACCCGAAAAAGTCGTCCCCGCTCCACGCGCCCACCCCTCCGTCTCCTCCTCCATCTGCCTCTTCATCTGCCTCTGCATCACCCTCATCTGCCCCGTCATTTCCATGTCTATCACCCTCACCCAACGATCGCACAGAAGCTCGCCCAGAAGCACGCCCAGAATCCCTAGAACGACTGGAATCCCTAGAACGACTGGAAGCTCGAGCAGCAGCAGGAGGAGGCGGCGGCGCCCCCACGCCATACGCAAAGAACGTATTCTGCGTGAGGCGTTTTATGTGCTCGGGCGCGTTGCCCGCGATGTGCGCGACGGAGCCGTGCGAGGGGAGCGCGGCGGGGTCGATCCACGGTTTCTTTTCCGTGGGTTGGTGGGGTTGGTGGGGTGTTTTGGGTGGGTGAGGTTGGTGGGGTTGGTGAGATGAGTGGGGTGTAGTAGTAGGTGTGGGAGGAGGAGGTGTGGGTGTTTTGGGTGTGGATGCGGTGAGGGAGGGAGTGGTAGTGGGCATCGCAAGTGCGGAAGCAGAGGCTGCGTTCGTAGGCCTATAGCCCGCCTTTGGCTTTGTCTTTGTCTTTGAGGCGGGTGTATGGGTACCGTACGCTGCAGACGTGGCGAAAGAGGGGTCTGAAGAGGCGACAGAAGGGGGGATGGGGATAGGCGGGTGTGCGGACACCGAGTCCCGTGCGGGTGTACTACTGCGACTGCGTATGACGGAGGTGGTGGGAGTGGTGGGAGCGGCGAGAGAAGGCGAAGAGTGGGATGACGCGGAAGAGGAAGAAGGGTGCGGCGATGTGCTAAGCGGCGGCGATGACGTGTTCGCTAAGGCTGGGTTTGGATTTGGATTTGGCGGTGTGTGGGGAGGAGAGGGAGAGGAAGAGGGAGAGGGAGAGGGAGAGTGGGAGGGATGGGAGTATGAGCTGATGGATGTGGCGGCGCTCGCTGTTATGCCCGCTGTTCTGCGCATCGTCGCTGGCTGGTGTGGATGGTAGGATGACGGTGGAGACAGGATGTGTGATATAAGAGAGCCGGCGGGTGATACGAAGAGCGAGGGTGAAGAGGATGGGAAGGCGCAACACAGACTTTATATATTATCCTTCGCCTGGTCACGCACGGAAGCTACCCACCCACACCCACGCGCAAAGCCAAACCTGAAGCCAAAACTATGTAATTGCGGGAGTTGGATCATCTGTGGAAGGGCGCGTGTGGAAGCCGCGAGGGAGAAGCCGCGTGGAAAGAGGCCGGCTTCCCTGGTCGAATTCCGATTGCCGCATCGAGGAGCAGATGTGGATGGATGGTGGTGTGAGGGAGATGAAGGGCGTGGAAGGGCGTAATTAAATTAAGACGGACCGCGTGTGCGCAGGTGGGAAAGAGATGGAGGGAGAAGGCGAGATGAGAAGAGAAGACGAGAAGCAGGGAGGCAGGGAGGAAGAGGGGCAATACCGTCAATTATCATCGCATCACCCCATCAACTCGTCCCATATCTTATCATATCCAGTGCGGAGGCGAAGCGGGCAACTGTGCAGGCGACTGCGCCTGCGTCATACCTATGTTGATGTCGTAGATATCAGAGTCGGATCCTGCACGACTTTGCTCAGTCTCGATCTTCCATTGGTTGACGTTACCCATCCATCATTGTCTAACGTTACTCTCTTCTCTCTTCCCTCGCAGCCGAAGCCTCTCGCCCTACCCCGTCCCTTCTCCTGCTTACCCGCTTGCTACATAACCCGTCCATCCCACTGTCCATCCATCCCACTGTCTCCACCAGTCCGCCCCATCGTAGCCCCGGCTTGCAGGATTATCGTTTCACATTAAATATTAGAGTTCACAAGCTCAGATCTCAGAATTTGCAAGCTCCGAAAAGCAAAGACTTGGCCATGGACATATGGAAGAGTAGTACGTAGAGCTGTAAGATCTAGAGCCTCGACCGCGTACGCTCTTCCATCTTCCATCCTCCACCCATCATCAAGCATCAGATTTAAACAATCCCGGCCCAATAACATGTACATCGCCCATCGTTAACGTTACCCCACCATCGCTAACGTTAGCAGTACCAGTAACGTTACTCGTCCCATGTCAGCCTTCGACGTTCTCTGTACACCTCTCCTCCTCTTCCCCGGCCCCCCTTCTTCCATTCCGCGTCATATCAACTTCACAAGTCTAGACCTTAGACCTTGACCTCGACTCCTCTCGCTCAAGAATCAAGAAACAAGAAATAGACTCTACTAGTACTGTCCTGTCCTGTCCTACCTCCCCGCATCCGAGTCCGGCTCAACGGCGCCCCAACCTCCTCTTCAATCTTTCAAACCTCAAATTTCAAACCTTCACAGGGTATGTCCAGGCTTTGCATGCTGTCCCAATGTCTACGTCATACGCCATACGACGGCAAGCACCCACCCCCCCTTTCCCCCACAAATTCAAATTCAGATTCAGATTTCTCGTTTCTCGTTCCAATCCACCCACAATCTACATCTACACCTACAACGTCTTCTGCGCCATCTCATGCATGTGCACGCTCGATTGTTATTATCCAGGCCGGAGACTGGTGGAGACAGATCAGGCTACAGACTACAGATGCGAGACGCGAGACGCGGGATGCGAGATGTTTGTTGCATTGTTACATTCAATAATCGAATAATCAACAATGGAATAATGTGCAGGAATAAAATAAAATAAAATACATATATGTGTGTAAGTAAGTAAGTCGAGTAAAGTAAGTGCAGTAAAGTAAGTGCAGTATAAGTACAAGTCCAACACAACGCGACGCGACAACCGCCCGCTTGCCCGCTCGTCCAACGTCCAACACACAAACGCGTCAACACGAAACTCGACTCGCAAGTCACAAGCTCAAAACGCGAAATCAGTCCTCTCCTTCCAACTCGCCCTCCACGCCTACGCCCGCGTCCGTCGCCCCGACGGCCTCCCTGACACCCGCGCCCGCGCAGTTCTTGTAAAACACCACACTCCCCTCGTCCTCCACGAACACGCACTGCGTGAAGGAGCGCCACAGCGCGCGGACAGTCGGCTGTGGCACGTTAGAATGAGTGTGAGTATGGGTATGGGTATGGGTTGTTGATGAGTGTGAGTATGGGTATGAGTATGGAAGGATGAATTCGATTAGTTGGGGGGAAAGGAAAAGGAAAAGAAGGAGAGCGTGGAAAGAAGCCGGGGAGGACACGCACCGTGCTATCGTAGTTATAGTATTCGCCCAGTACCGGCTTGATAGCTTCCGTAGCCCGGGGGAGGTTATCTGTTGTCCGGACAGCAATTGTTTATTAGCATCCGATGTAAGGGGGAGGATAGGGGGAGGGGGAGGAGAGGAGTATTAGGAGGGGGGCATAAGGAGAAGGAGGAGGATAAGGGGAGGAGAGGTATTAGAAGGAGGAGAGGAGGGAGAAGGATAGGGAGGAAAAGAGGAGGAGTGTAAGGACGGAGGAGGGGTATAAGGAGGGGGGAGAAGGAGAAGAGGGCGAGTACTCACAGAACGGGATATTCGAGAACAGGTGATGCGCGACGTGGTCGTGGCCGATCTAACAACATAAACAATGAGCATGCGTGCGCGATCATCGAATTTGAATTTCAGAGGAAGGGATAAGATGAGGTGAGGTGAGGTGAGGTAAGGCAGAAGGTAAGGTAGAAGGGTAGAAGGGTGGAAGGTAGAAGGGTAGAAGGGTAGAAGGTAGAAGGGTAGAATGCAGAAGGTAGAATGCGGGTCGGAGAGTCGGAGAGTTGGAGAGTATAGTGTATAGTGTATAGTGACATAGTGGTATGCACACGCACATTGTACAACAGCGCCCGGCCGACCCATCCAAAGACGGGGCGGTCGACCGTAGAGAGCGCGCCGCGCGCAAAGGTCCACTGATCCTAAACATACGCAAAAAATCAAAAACCAAAAATCAGCATTCGATATTCCAAATTCAGCATTCAGTATTGCACATTCAATGAGGGGAGAGTAGGGGGATGGATTGGGATGCGGGATGTGATAGGGGATAGGAGTGATAGGAGCGCCATAGGAACAGTCGAGCTGATGAACGGCACGAACCTTTCTGTAATACGGGATCGTGGGGTCGCTGTGCTGGAGGTACGTGAAAGTCACGATCCTGTTCGATGATACGTCGTCAGCGTTAACGTCAGGATCGGATACGGGATGAAGGGGGCGATGAAGGGCTGGAAGGGCCGGGATGGAGGGGGTGACGTAGGGCTACGATGAAGAGATGACGCACCAATTATTCGCCCACTGCATTCACAAAACAAAAAATACCAGACATCATCAGCGCACAGAAACAGAAACGGGGAGAAAACGCGGAAACGCGTACGAGCCACGGGAGGACGTAGTAGCACCACAGCGACGAGCGGCCGTGGTGGTAGGCGTACGCCGCGAGGAGGGCGAGCATCGCGCACATGCCGATGTTGGATATGATTATTGAGGTGCCTGTTTGGGGGCGATGCGGATGCAGATGAGCAGATGCAGATGAGGGGGTGAGATGGGGGGGTGAGCGAATGGTGAATGGTGAATGGTGAATGGCCGGGCGGGTGGAAGAGTGAGGAAGGGAGGAAGGGAGGGGGGAAGGGGGGAAGGGGGGAAGGGAAGAGGACGTACGTTGTTCCGGCGTGAATAGCATCGACGACGGTTTGTAGTGCTATTCGCGCGTTAGCTTCAGGAGTTGGGTGGAGGCCAATGCTACTGCTGCTCACACTGGTGCCCTTGGGATATTTCGGATTCCCCTTGCGATTATGTCTGTCGTGCGAGATCGCGGACGAGTACCACGAGTGGAGCACGTCGCCAACACCAAAACGAGCGACGGGCATAAGGATTTAAGGATCAATCAATCCACGGGATGAAAATAAGATGATGATGATGAGGCATCAACGGATCAGCGTATGCGCGGCGAGATGGGTGCGCGGACAAGGAGATGCGTGGATGGGAGCATGGGAGCATGGGAAGAAGTGATCAGTCAGCGGGCGGTCCTGCGTTTGTTCGCTCCGATGGAGCGGAGGGAGGGAGGGGTAGGTGACTCACATTAGGTAGAGCTGGTAACCACTGCACATTTTGCAATTACGGGGAAGAGCAAGGCCGATCAGAGATCGAAATCAGTCGTTGTCGTGTCGTTGGGTCCACGCCGGGCGGAGAGGAGGGAACGCGTCACGCATACGTACACGCGTACACGGGTTGCGGGCACGCGAGGCATAATGAATTTCGATATATCATACCATATCACATCATAATCAATCACCAATCACCAATCACATCAATGAGCGCCGGGCTCGAACACCGAAACGGAAACGGGGGGTGCTCACAAGAACTGGCGCATGAACATCTTGAAGAGCGTGAACGCCGGCGTCTCCTCCAGGATCTCCTGGTAGTCCATCTTCACCGCGACGCGCCCGTGGGGGAGGTTGAACGTCCTGCGCGTCGCGGGGTAGTGCGTCTCCTCCCTGTCGAGGTGGTTCGTCGCTTTCTGCAGCACGGCAAGCGCGGGAGGTAAGATTAAGAAGATAAGATAAGCACACGGCGATGGGCGGATATCTCGATAGGTATATTATCCTGGAGAAAGGGCGAGAAATACGCACATGATGGGTACGATGGGTGGATCGCCAAGCATAGTAAGGCACCAGCACGAAACTGTGCGTCAGGAGACCCAACGCCGAGTTGACGAGTGCGTGGGGGGAGAGGTTGCCATGGCCCGCCTGTCAAAGGTGCTCCCATGTCAGAACCGCCAACCACCAACAAAGAGCTCGTGGAGCGATGCGTAGGAACAGAGATCAAAGATCAAAGACACACCTCGTGTCCTGAATTAGTGGAGGATGTGTCAGTATGCATTCGCTTTGGGATATGTCTGAGGAGGTAGTCACCCAGGCACCAGAGTCCAGCGAGGGCGATGCCCTGCCAGGCGGCATAGAGCAGCCACAAAACCGTGCGTAGCCACACACTCGTGAAGGAAGTTACGAGCCCTCCGTAGCCGTGTAGCGAAGCAGCAGCAAAGGCAGCGACGGCATCGATCTTTGTTGCGAGATGGTAGAAGAGGAGGACGATCATAACGTGCCGTATCACGTAGAAGAGACTGATGAGGGTGTTTCTTTCGAAGAGCTCAGGAGGGACCGCGTCGCGGACGTCTTTCAGTGCGATATTGGGCGGCTCGAAGGATGATTTGCGTTTCCGAGCCTCGTATTCTGGGCCATCCTGGAAGATTTGATACCACAGCATTTCAAGGGTGAATCTCGGGGCAGCGGGGGAGAGAGGGGGGGTGCGCAGGGGAGGTACTATCTGACTGTACGCAGTGGGATCCGCGCGAAGAGGGCTTTATATGAGCGACGCCCGATCGCTTGTAGATATCTGAGATGCATCCGGGGGCCTGAACTCTGGATAATCTCGCTCAAACCTCCGATGGCAGGCAGTGAGCCTATACCGAAAGAGCGCTCGAGATCTAAGCCATACCGAGCACGCAGGGGCCAAACGTAACCACTAATGGAGCCAAATCCGGGACGCGGAAATCCTCGGTTTCGCGATTATGTAGTTCGCAGCGGCAGGCGTGGAGAACCGCCATCGTCACGGCCGAATCTTTGGGGAGGAGACAGGGCACCGCGTCTGCCCGCGCGACTCCGGAGGGGATCAGCACGGGCCAGGAGTGTGGCAGGCTCCTGGTGCGCGCACGCCGCAGCGGCGGTGAGAATCGAATATCAAAATCGTCACGGCTGGCGTTCTGGAGCTGTATTGAGCGGGAACGAGGCTGACGAGGCCGTGGGTCTTAGGCCCGATGGGCTGATGCATCATGAATCACCATGAATCATGCACCAGGTCCGTCGTGGGTTCGGAAAGTCGAGTGACATCGACTGGCGACATAACAGATGTCTCCGAGCTTTTTTGCGCTGATGATGGCATACTAGGGTAACGCCTAAACAACACAAAACAAGACACGGTAAGGCGCGTTATCCTTGGAGAAATGGTTTTTTGTATTGTTTCAACGGCAATGAGGCCAGACGGCGTAAAGGGCTACCTCAAGGCCAACCTCTTACATTCCGACTATGTCGACAATTATCTCGGGATATGACACGTGACGAGCCAGTCAAATAGTCGCTTATAAAGTTACTGGGCCAGACAAGATCGCGATTAACCTTCTACGGTATGTATGACATTCGACGCAGGCTAGTTCTGTTCTTATTGTTATTGTTTCGTGGAGGAGCGCCGACGGGAATGCTGGGAATACAACTCCACCATCAAGGGAGGGACCCAGCGCACCAGCAGACCAAGATAAGCGGGAACCTTATGCCCGCCTCTCCCGCCCTATCGCAGGATATGCGCGTGAGAGCGACGGCGGTCGTGGCCGCGCACCGAAGAGGCGGGGCCTGACCAATATCCTACCCACTGTTACTTACCATGAAGCGCCAGAAGAGACTCGCGCATTCACTGCGGCGTCTTCAGCGCTTCCTGAGCATGCACTGCAGATTCGCGCTTCAGATGATCACGGACTTGTAAGGTATGAGCGGATCGAAAGCACCACGAGCAAGGTCCTGAGGCCTGATCATGGGCGCCTTGTGGATGTTCCGTGCGGTGCCACATCTTGCCATATCCCATCTAGGTCTTGCCACATATATGGACGCTAGGACACACGGGATTCCACGACGAGTTAGCCTGCAATCCGCACCAGCCCAGGCTAAACATAGGGCGGCTAGTACGGTTCGAGGTATTTCGGTGCGAGCGAAAGACATACCTTACTTGGGTCTGAACCTTTGCTTGCCATCTCATCATTCTTCGCGAGCTAGATAGGAACGAACGCGTACCGCCTCAGGCATCATTATGTTATATGCAGTCGCCGCCATCGAAGTGTTTCGCGTGCGCATGGGGCGGAGAAGTTGGCGAACCGCGCAGCTGCTAAGCAACTGGGGCCGGTAGCGGGTGTCTTGCGCCTAATTCGAACCTTCATCAGCGTCATAGTGCAATAACAGCATCCCCGGCGGCTCGACAATGCAGCAATCTGGGCCTATCCCCGACGGGATACAATTAGCCACGGGTTACGGAGGTGCCTATAACCCAAATTAAGAAGCATCACCAATGCTACCATCACATATATGTTTATAGTGTCGCGCATGTAGACCGTTCCTGCAGTGTGCACTATGGTGGGCAGTGGCGGACTGTGGCGGGGCACGCACGCCGCACCACACCCATGCATCCAACTCCTTCGAGCGGGAGCTATCCGGATCTGCAGTTGCAAGCGACGGCAGGCAGAACGCATATCCCGCAGCAGTTGGAGCGTCGGACGAGGCTGTCTTAGCGACCTCTCGAGCGCTCCGGGATCATTCTAGGCATTTGGTTATAAACGAATCTTGAATGCTCAGTAACCATCATGAGTCACTCACAGATATTGGGAAGTCGACGTCGGGAAGGCGCGAAGGCGCGGTGAAAAGTCGGGGTGCTTGCAAGATGCTTATGAAGCAATCGCATCGCCGCTGCTTCTTTGGGAGTTAACGAGTTCCTCATTTGCGAGTCCTAGTCTTCCCCATCGGTGGCATGTGCAGTTGACTGGAGATTGGTTGGACCATTGCGATACTAGTCCACGGATTAGATAGTAGTTGAGAGAACGGCCCAGCCAGCGGTTGGAGAGACGGATGTACGCCCAATTGCGACGCAATCGCAAGGGCTAATCATTGCAGTTAAAACACTTATTCATCCATGATCAATAGCACTGCCTCTGCCTCGAGCAAGCAACCTGGCGGCTGATCAGTGACGCAGTTGAATTGTGTTGATGTTGCCGATTCCTTGGTCATCAAAGCTGCTCGAGGCATGGTGCAATCCCCTTGTGGAGGTGATGGAGAAGTCAGCAGAAGCAGAATGATTGAATGCAGTTTTGGAATCGTACTTGGCGGGAAGCGCGTGGTGACCTTCGTCTACCCAGAGCAAGAACCAACCGTAGATTTATATTGGTCACGGAATAAACCTTGAGGTTCCTGAGGTATCATGCAGCAGTTTAATTGATGTTATGTCCCTTGCTGATACATCCGACCTTCAGACCTAGGTATACGAGTCAAAGTGCGATGTCTCCTCGCCCTCTTCTATGGGTGCCCGGTCCAAGATGGAGTAGAGTATATCAGTTCAGGAACTCAGACAGCATGCTCACCATAGCGAACTTCAATCAAAATCGTCATCCGAAACTAATACTCAAACTCGAGGGGGACATTGTACTTAGGGAATACGGGGAGAGGACCCTCAGCCCGCATCGACCATGCTTATACTTCGACGCGCACATCACAATGACGGAGGAAAGGATGCAACCAGAGTGTTTGGGACTTGAGTTTGATCGGTTGATCGGGGCTTTGGCAGGAAGAAATGGGTGTATATAGGGGTGCGAAAACGGGAAGCGTAGATATGGTCGCAACACCTACTGACAGTACTTACAAGTTCGGGCCTCGAATATAGATAATGCTTAGCACCCCCCTCGCCGATGCACCCGAGACCCGTCTGCTTTCCCTTCGACCATTCTCAATGCCGTTTAAACGGCTTTGAACCTATTGAATCAACGAAAGGATGCACCCATCAGTAAAACAACAAAGTATTAATAATGAAAGATGGTAATGATATAAGTAGAAAGGTAGAATGTAGGAATGGAAAAAGGAGAATGTGGGAGGGAGACGCACGTTTTTGCAGCGAGCGAGGTCAGCGTCTGAACGTCCTCGGAAGGGCCGGGGGTACTATTCTTCAGGCAGGCATCTCCGGACGTGTTTATAGGCTTGTGCGAGACGGCCGCCAGCTCGGCAGAGTATTGGCCAACGCCAAAGTCTTTCTGTGAACAAATCGAAGAATGAGCGCGCGTTTCGCATGTAATGGAATAGGGGATAGGGGATAGGACAGGAGAAGGAGGAGGGAGAAGGAGGGACATACACTGAGGAGCTGCCACGCCTTGCCTGCTTTCGCGCTGAGCCCCAGAGGCTCATTCGGTTTCAGTCCAGCGAGGGCTTTGAAGAATGCGATGGCTTGGCCCTTAATCTCGACGCCGCCAGACACCTCCACCCCCGCATTGATGATCACCGACCCAGTGAACCCAGCCGTCGTCTTTCCAGCGACCGAACCGTCCGAACCATCCAAGTCACGCGAAGCAACGCCATACGGTGGGATGTACGCGCGGTCCGCAATCTCTCGCGTCTTCTTGCTCCCGCTGACGGACGCCGACGCATGGCCTTTGGCGAGAAGGTACAAAGCGGCCCAGACGTCGACTTTGGCGAAGACATCGGCCGAGTGTCCGAAGGCTGTGATGTCGACTAGGATCTTGGGAATGAGGTGCCCCTTGAATTTGGCGGTGCCGGCGATGTTAGTGGCTGCCTTTAGCGAGAATTCTGCAAGACGAGGGAGTGAAAATGCAGTGGTTGTGCTACTGGAGGGGATACGCACTGGAGTCCCTCGGTTGGGTGATAGCGTCTTGCTTGAGCACGTCCTTGACGTGCTGGCTATACTTCTGCGGTATCACATATTGCACTGCAGGTACGCATAGTCAGTGTTGGTGCTCTTGTATCCCTGCTAGAGAAGAAAGACTTGCGGTCGATGTTGAAGTTGCCCCCAATGACGCTGTCTGATGTGAGCTGTAGCTCGGCCTCTCCTAAAGCATCCAGGACGATCTTAGGACCGAAGTTGGCGATACTAAAAATTGAGGAAGCAAGTGGGTATTCTGAGGACGTGACAAGGGAAACATCAGTACTCACCCGGGGATGGAGAAGGGGCCGAGAGGTAGGTCAAGAAGGTGAATCGAACGCTTTTCATTTCCCTATCAGAAGCAAAGACGATTAGGTTAATCAAGGTTATGTGCGAGGAGGGTGAAGGGCCTACAGCAACTTTAGCAAGGACGGTGAAGCTGGCGTCGGCATCCAAAGTAAGGCCTATCGTAGAATCAATCAGGTGATCCTCTATAACCCACAAAGCATAAACCACTCACGGTACAGCGTTGCCATGTCATCCGTCTCCGGTTCTATTGAAATCGCCGTCACTATAATCAGTATTCGCTCAGGAAGACGCCGCCGACACGCACTGACCTTTGCCAAGTTTCCCAGCAGCGACGAAACCGATGTTGCCTTTGATGCTTCCTTTAGCACCGACCTCGACCTTCAAGGTGCCTTTCAGCGGCCCGCATGTTGCATTCTTCTCGAAGATAGGGATCGTCTTGTCGAAGGTCTTGGACGCCTCGACGCCATTCGCATCGGAAGCGAAGAAAGGCTTGTCCTTGAGGTGCTCTGCAAGTACCACGGCGGCTTTGGCCACCTTAACCAGTGCTGACTGGAACCACGTTTTGCTGTCCTCGCGGGAATGTAGCCCCCCGTCGTGGAAGTGCCCAGCCGGGAGCTCGCCGTTGATCCCAGCAATGCGGAATTGGATCTCCCCGCGACTAAAAAGAATGAATGAGGATGAGAGCACGGTGGGTCATCGCGAATGATAGCGCTTACTTCTCTGTATCGATGGATAACCAGTTAGCGTCGACACCCAGCGAGATTACCTGAGGAGTGGCGCCATCTCGGCGGACGATCTTCGGGCTGACATGGGCAGGTATGCTCTGGTCCTCCGCTGTACTCAAGTGGGCGATCCGGGCGAACGGTCCAGCGCCACACTGTTTCGTTGAATTAGAAAAGGTCGGCGATAGGCCTCCCCGAGATCGAAGACTTACGGATTCAGGGAGACGGACGACCTTGTCCTGAGGCCCGCCATGAGCGAAGAGATGACCGCACGCCTCCTCGTCTTCGTTCATGCAAACCAAGCGAATGGTTTGATCTAAAGCGTTGGGGTCGCAGTCCAAAATGACCCATCCAGCGGCAGGGGTGATGTCCGTCATGCCTTTCGGGGAGCCAAACTAAGATCAAGAGCACGTATGGAGCCGCACACGTTAATGCTAATGAAAGAAATAGCGCGCGAGGAGGATGGACTCACGAGCTGGACTGTGCCGGAGCCCACGCTGCTTGAGGAGGTATCGTAGGCGCATTCCCCATGGAAGCAGGGGACGCTCCAGTCATTGAACGCGCTCGTCGCTGAAACCAGCGAGAGCGCAAGGATCACGACGGGCAGAATCCTTTGACTACAAAGTCGATGTCATTGAGGATGGTAAATAGCACAGGTTGGTGGAGTAACCTACCTTGGGCGGGAGACCATACTGTTAGCTAGTATGACCGGAGGAATCCCAGGGAAAAGAGGGATGAAGAAGGCCCGCAGAAGTCGAGCGAACTAAATACGCTACAGTTACTCGATTCCCTACATAAGCTAACCCGAAAAATCAATACAACTTTGCCCATTCCGACAATTCGTTGACACGACACCGAGGCGCGAGCCACTGCAGAATAGAATGGTCTGTCCGAGGTCTCGCAAGGTGACTCAATGCATGGTCTGTGAACGACGTTAGGGCACGTATTTGAAGGGCTTCATTGACCCTATTGTACCCTTAGATCCTGAAGCCGGCATACGAGCCATGTAGACTGACTTGATCAGATTCCGCTTGACACTAGGAACCGACTGAACTTACATACGGCGAGCATTCAGAATGGAGGATTTGTCACCAAGCCAGGCGCCCCAAGGGATCGGAAATAGCCTTGTCGAAGAGAATCGAACCCATATATGGATTCGGCTAGGACTCATAGTAACTCTTGTGCGTAATATACCAGTAGCAACAACCATGTCTACAGCAGGAAGTAACGATTACATGGATCAACAAACTAAAGGACGTACATCATAACACCTCTCAAGCCTCGCCACCTTCAGCTGCACGGGCTGCTCTGCGGGCCTTCTTAGCAGCATTGGCAGCAGCAGCCTTTGCCTTCTTCGCTTCGGCCTTTGCCACCTCTTCCGCTGCCTTCTTCTCTTCTTCCTCTTTCTTCTTGCGTTCCTCCTCCTCCTTGCTTGGCTTCCCATTGACCTTCCCATTGACACCCGGGGTACCCGATCGTGAGGCAGCCTTCTTGGCCTCTCGGGCAGCCTTTTCTTCTTGTTTGATGCGCTTGATACGGGGGTCGACACTATTACACGGGGGTTGTATGGTTAAATCAAGCTCGCTTAGGCAAAGACAGAGACCCGTACCTAAGAGCCAGATCGACAAGTCCCCGAACCTTAGCAGTATCTTCCTTCTTCCGTCTGGCGCGTTCCGTCTTGTTCTTCTTCTCAGTATAACGCTTGTCATCACGGTTATCGCTTCCTTCATTGATCTCCTTGTCCAGCCATTCGAAGCTTCGCCATGAATCAATGTTATACCAGAAATCGTAGAAGCCCTCGACTTCTTCTTTGGACGCGTCAGGCGACCCTAGTTGAGGGACAGGCTGCGTGCGGGAGAAACGAGAGTACAGCTCAAAGAACGGTGCCATCTCCTTAAAAAAGGCTTCATTAGGATCTTTGGCTTTCGACATTTTGGCCTGACGTATATACTGGTTAGATTCCATCGAATAACAGTATATGAAACCCGTACTTTGAGTTCGGCAGCAGTGGGTGCATCGTCCCATCGATCCTGGAATTCGGGATCTACACTATCGAACTGTCGTCGCTTTTCGGCATGGCTCAGGACCTCATAGGCCTTTGAGATACACTTGAAAAATGCGTCATCATTGGTGTTAACAGTGCCATATAGTAGCGACGTCGTGCTATTATCCGTGGGCGCAGCCTTCTTATCGGGGTGGTGCTTGAGCACCTTTTTGCGGTCTGCAAAATCCAATGATTATCGGTCAATTAGCACTGAAGGAAGCGTGCCTACGAGCAATTTTGATCTGATCCTGGTTAGCTTTGAATCTCAACTTGGAGAGGCCAAGAACGGCGTAGTAGTCATGTTTCTTCCACTCCTTAGGATCGAGGCTGAGTAGCTCGTTGCTTTCGTCCTCATCGCCTACACCAAGATCGTCGGTTGCTCCGAGTTGAGCCAATCGTCTGCGCTCTTCATCTTCCTTCTCCTGCAAGGCTGAATGGTGCTCATCGTGGCGATCAAAAGAAGAATCGTGATGGTGCAGAAGTCGAAGATGCTTGAGGTGAGCAGGACCTGCGGGCAGTAATGTTCTAGGTTTTGGTTGGGAGAGAATCGAGGTCGAAGTCGAAGGTGCAGAGTACGATGGAAGGAGAGGGGGCACGGTGACCGGCAGTGTTAGCACAGATGCCATTGTACTTGACGAAATATGAGGAACTCCAGCTACAGCGCGCGCTCTCGCCGAGTTGTGGAAAATTTTGTGCATGTAGTCACGTGACGGACCAACAGGGACCTCCTATTTACCATCTTGCATTTGGACATTCGCACAACTGCAACGGCACTATCAGATATAGGGATTTAATATTTGATACTTACAGGCTACATAAGCGATTGCTCCTCACACAAGCTGTTACTGGATCGAGGATTAATTGTCGTTGCCAGCGACTTTGTTCGGTTCACTATGTAGATGATCGATTCCCTGCTGGATCCACGCATCTATAATTTGAATGGTGAAGTGCCGTACGCATTATGACCCTGATGCCCGTTGCTCGGGCGCAGAAGCTTAGAGCAGAAGCTCTCTGCAATTAGCAGGGATGTGGATCTCATCATGGCATCGTTTCAAGTTAGCGTTGGCTGTGCGATAAGTGGGTTGAGATCGATGTCCGGGTGCAAAGGTTTGATATCATAGAGAGGGTTTTCCTTGAGGATGGGGCGCGGAAAGAGCGGTTGAGAATGGGTGACTGTTGGGGCTAAGTGACACAGCAGATGCAATATACATTATTCCGATAATCGTGGCCAATCCCATACGACGAATGTCTTCGATAACGTGAAGAGCCATGCGTTCATTTGAAGTGCACTGAAGTAGGTCTTTAATGAAACAAATTTACTGACGCAACCACGCAGTCTTTGCTATCTTCTTCAACCGTTTCTGCTCCTTGAACCGTTCCTGTAATACTCTGAGAGTCTGCTCTCGCTTGGGTCTGGAAGAAAGGACATACCAAGTCTTTCTTCGTGGGTCTCTTCCTCTTCTTCCCCGCTTCATCCTTGTCCTCCTCCTGCCGAGTAGCGAGGTCTTGCTCCCACTGGTTTACATCAAAGTAGAACTCGCTCATTCTCTTGGCTCGCTCATACTCAGATAAATGCGTTGGGTCACGGGCGTTATTTGCAGTGAACGCTCCCGTACGTGCATTGAACTTTGCAGTGAACAAGGGTTGACCATTCGGCGCCGTAGATGCGCCTGGGATCCCAGCATAAGCCAGAGAAGGGTCAAGGTGAGCAAGGGAAGGATCGATGCCTGCGGCGAGAGCAGCAGCTTCTCTGGCTTTATAAGATGATGTGGAGGCGGAGGGCGTCGTGGATGGGACATCACTTGGTTCTTGCGATGTGGAGGCTGCTGGCTCTAGAGGATTTGTCCACGTCGTTTCCTGGGTTTCTGCATTATAAAAGTAGTAGGCATTGTGCTGGGGAGAGTATATAGCTTGCCACGCTGGTTGAGACGGTGTCGGGGACGACCCAGACGTAGAAGTTGGCTCTGCGCCTTCTTCGGGAGAAGGAGACGTCGACGTCGACTTAGACGACTCCGCCGCATTACTTTCTTTCTCGGTGGAGGGCACTGGCTCTGGGGTAGGAGCTTTCGTCGCTATCTCCTCCGTCTTCTGTGTGACGTCTGGGTTATCTGCCATCGTTCGTCGTTGTCGTTATCGTCGATGTCGGTGTTGGGGCAGGGAGAGCGATATTTCGAACTCCGCCATATTCTCCTCAGAGACGATCCCGCCCGCTGCATACAGGACTTTACTGAACGTCTTCCATGTCAGACTACGGACACACGCACCAGCCTCTGCCGCCCGCGCCATTGCGCTCAGCGTTGAAGAATCGGGATTCCGCTCATCCTACACCAACAGCAACGCCGGACCTCAGGTCATCGCGGCCTACCACTCCAAGTGGTACCATCTCTCCTGCCTCGGATTCACCCTATATCACACGTTTGCCGCTACCTGGCTCACAGTCATCCCCTACCGCACTGGATGGCCCCGTAGCACTCCCGCCGTTGTCGTCTACCAGACTGCGGAACTCGTTGCCCGCAGCTACCGGCTCTGGCGGTCTCTTCTCTCAATCACGACAACAAGTGTCGAGCCCGCCGCCGGGGCCTGCAGTTCCGCCTTCGCCGTTGCCCTCTTTGCTTGGCTTACCACCCTCGTCGAGTTTGCCCAACCCGCTTTCCCCGACCGCATCGATTGCGGCTCAGGGGTACACCCCAAAGGTGTCTTTCGATACTTTTGAGAATCCTGTCGCGTCTATGTTCTCATTCACACTGCAAGTCAAAGCTGATGGATACAAGCGCACACGATCAACTCGTGTGTTTCTGTGTGCTTCAAGTCCAGACGAAAGTGGAAGAGAAGCACTGGACTGGGCATTGGAGTCCCTTGTACAAGACGGCGATGAGCTGATTGTATGTCGGGGTGTTGATGAAGACGTATTAGGTATGATCTACCCCGTATAGTAATAATCCGCCTCTCAAGAATATTCCCTCAGAGAAGGACCACGATATCATCCGAGAGGAAGCGCGTGAGTTCATGCGCCATATCCAGGAGAAGGCAGTAGAAACGGAACCTGATCGCAAAGTATGTTGTATGCCCCTTGGCGTTCCTGTCTGCCAGATTCCATGCAGCCACAAGTCCTCATCTTTGGTTTTGCCTATTATAGCTCTCTTTGATCTTGGAATACGTCCCTGGTAAAATAACTGACACGCTCGACCGTCTAATTGCTCTCTATCGTCCCGATAGCGTTGTCGTTGGTACCCGCGGCCGAAGTGTGTGGCAGAATATGAGCATTCCAGGCATGTCACTTCCCGTTCCGAACAAGAAATTTTTGACTTAATCCATCCACTATTAAGGTATGTCGGGCATGGGTAGTATCGGCGTTGGCAGCGTCAGCAAGTGAGTCCGGTATCTACGCCGATCGTTCAGGGTCTGAGACTTCTTTATTCTCAAGGTACTGCCTCACACATTCCCCGGTACCCATTATCGTTGTTCGCCCTGAACGCAAAGTCCGCAAAGCCGTTGAAAAAAGGCGTGCAGACCCGAAACGGGGCCGGCATTTTGACGGGTATGCGACCTTCCAACTCTGTTCCAATTATTGCGCAGGTAGCCCGCTATGTATATCGCGCTAATTATACTCCCGTCCCAGTGATCACACGAAACCTCCACCTCTGAGCCGACCCACCACGCGGTCCGCTCCTGTATCGATGTCACCTCCCACCATGTCTTCACCCGTAGATGGAGGCGATTAACTCAGCATCACACGGATCACCCCGACTGAGGGTTTTACCTTGTTGTAAGGGTTCAACATACCGTACGATGCACACCGGTTCCTAGCGCTAGGCAAGTAAGCAGATGTAGTTTTGGACGAATGAACGTGTCATAGTCAAGAGCAGGCAATATACTGTAATTTAATGCTTCGGTTTCGCAGACGTCAAGAAATGGATCGCTTGGCTTCCGTTCGACACTCGGCCGGTGGCTGGTTGGCTCAGCACCTACCCCATTCCATCCGTCACTGGTGATGCACTTGGTGTCCAAGTCGCATGAGGGCTCTTTCCGACTAACGCGAACTCCGGTCGTTTCAAGGCATATGGAATCCCCGTGACGTTGTCCACGCTAACCTGGGGTTCTACCTTCGCCCGCTTGCCTGGCTCCCCCTAGCTCTAAGCTTGATCTACTCAGCTCATTTCCAAAGAGAACTAACTCTTCGACTTTGCCGCAATACAGCATGCTCCAATGCGCATCCTTTCGTCATTTATCCTGCCAACGCTGCTCTGGCTTATGATCTTCGACGTCGCGAGTTACAACCAAGCAGTAAGCAAATTCCTCTATTCCATATCCCTGATGAGCATCAGCGACGCTCTATCATCGTCGTCTGATGGCCGTCGGTACAACTCAAGCTGTGAGACTATCGACGATTATCTTCGCGCGCTCACGGAGAATCACTTACGGCAGCATCAGCCAGCCGCTGCTCATCCGCGTTTCCTGTTCATGCCATCCTCACAACGCATTAACCTTCTCCACAGCTGTGATCATTCATTAGAGAGCCTCTGTTCCGTTTGACAAAATTAGTTTCGGCTGCATATGAGTTTGTGTTTTGGCTTTATGCTTCTACGTCCTTTTTACTTCTTCTCCTGCCTTCTACCGTCGCACGCCATCAACACCAGCCCTGTGGCTCTCTTTCATGGATCTCGACGTTTCTTACTTTGGGTGCATGCTTCTAGCAAGGCAGTCGAGTTCCCTGCGCTGATACGAGGACGTGGAAGTTCCGCTTTTTTCGATGAGCCCGTTTCGAGCGCAGAATTGTCTAATACGGCGGGCCAGTGACATTCGGCCTTATCACGCATCTATCACCCTACGGAACTCATGATACACGGCGCGACGATATAAGGCTCTCGGATTCTCGCACAATGGATCCCTCGGTTTAGAGGAACGCCATGAGGCAGTAGTCGCGCACTAGTTTGCTTCCGTGCTCCTTCCATTGACTTCGTAAGAAGGCGCATCCTCCGTTTTGTAATGCTAAATTTTATATAGGCTGGCACTCCTTTCTATAAGCTCCTCGCCCCTACCCCACCCGGTCGCTAGCATCATTATGGCCGACAACAGCTACAACGCGAGCCCCACTCTCGCTTGTGTGAGCATGCCTGACATTGGGAGGCCAGAGAAACTGGATGTTGAGAACAAGGCCGGTGAAAGTCCACCGCCGTCAGGCCCTCCTGATGGGGGTAGAGATGCCTGGCTGACAATCATTGGCGGGTGAGTCGTTTGCAGATGCTCTTGACGGCATGGCTCTAAATCGTTTAATAGTTTCCTGGTACAATTTTGCGCCTTTGGGTGAGCACTCGCTGTCGTCGGGGCGGTTTGTCGATATACTGAATGGTTGGGTCCAGCTACATGAATTCCTTCGGCGTGTATCAGGATTACTACACGCGGGACTTTTTGAGCAACAAAACGCCATCTGACATCAGGTGAGTCCCGTCGCTGCTAAGTAGGAGAACAGACCGTGTTGACCGGCGACTATCATGCATCAGTTGGATTGGAAGCTTCCAACTGTTCATCATGTACGCTCTGGGAGTGGTCGTAGGGCATGCGTTCGACTCGGGATACTTGTGCGTTCCTCTTTTCCCAGCGGCATTTCTTGACGGCTTATCCGAGATGTCAGCCACCACACCATGATTTTCGGTTCAGTGTTCTATGTGTTCTCGATGTTTATGGTCTCGCTAGCAAAACCACATCATTATTATCAGGTATGTATTCCCTTGTAGTGTCGGAAAGTCTCTGTATTTCCTTGCTACAGGTGTTTCTGAGTCAAGGAGTAGGAATGGGTATCGGACAGGGCATCTTGTTCCTACCATCGTTGACAATTGTTGGCCATCACTTCAAACGCCGGAGGGCCCTTGCAAGTGGTATCGTTGTGTCAGGCGGTATGTCCTCTCCGAAAAATCTGTAGGCTCTAAACTAAAGTCTTGTACTGCTAGCATCTGTGGGAGGCGTCGTTTTCCCCATTATGTTAAGCAAGATTGCACAGCGCACAACATTTGCGAACAGCATCAGAGCTACTGCAGCGCTGGTTGCAGTGCTGCTGTTCATTGCGAATCTTTTGATGAAGACTCGCCTTCCGGATAGGACGGTGGGTCGTCCTGCTCCGCGGCCGGAAGTGAAGGGTATCCTTTCCGATTGGACCTTCGTCATTGCCGTCCTGGGGTGAGTGCTTATTTGGCTATTTCGATCAAAACCAACTGATCCTGATCAGGGCCTTCCTGACTAATCTTGGCCTCTTCTTCCCTTGTGCGTACCAGGCCCCCACGTGCATGCCCTACAGTGTTGGATATTGGTTGACGGACTCGTATGCCCAGATTTTTATTTGCAGCTTTATGCTGTAGCCCAAGGCATCGACCCGAGCGTAGCATTCTATGCTGTGAGTAGACCCCTCTAGTGTTCACTTTTCCCAGCTAAATACGATTCTTAGTTGACCATCCTGAACTCAGGCAGTATGATCGGACGACTGCTGCCAAATTTCCTAGCGGATAGCTTGGGAGTGTATAATATGCTTATCCCTTTTATCGTTATTTCTGCAGGCTTGATTTTCAGCCTCCTCGGAATCCACAGTTTTCCGAGCATCATTGCTTTTGGTGCCTTGTATGGTTTCTCCTCTGGCGCATGTGAGTATGATGCTCCTTCAGATTTCGACATACTTATGAGTATGAAAGATGTATCCTTGGTCGCTCCGCTACTTGGGCAACTGAGCAGCCACGTCGGCGAGCTTGGGTATGTTGATTTCCCATATTCTTGTAGGACCTAAGTCACACGCAAATATAGTATCAGGATGGGAATCGCTTTCTCTATTGTATCCATTGCTATGTTGATCGGAACTCCCGTCGAAGGAGCTCTACTTGGGCGCGAGGACGCCGAGATCGTTTGGTCAAGGTCCATCATCTTCTGCGGCGTAGGTCTGTTCCACCTGCAGCCGTGATCTTATTCTCATGATTTCGCTATTCCTCACAGGTCATGGTCACTCTGGGCTCCATGATGATGGCAATATCTCGGTTCTTGTTTGTTAAACGAAGAGGGACCAATTCGAGAGCATGACAAATTCACACGAAAGACAAAAATCTGGGCGCATCATATGGACATCATGACATGCGTGCGTATGTTTCTCGCTTTCAACATATAGCTAGACTGTAGTTTACCCAGGGTGCACGTTGGAGATCAGCTAGAACCCTCTCAATCCGCTCCCGGACAATAGACGTGTATTCCATAGCCATCACTTATATGCAAACTAGACTGCTGCTGCACAGCTGCCTGGCCAAAGTGTGTAAGTGGCGATTCAAGCTAGCAACACCATCGTGGCTATGACTTTATGTTGGTATTGTTTGCCTTCCCGAGCGCTTGTGTTGTTCGGAATTCGCTGAGTGTATTCTGTTACAGCCACGACTCTCACTGAAGCCAGTACCCTCACCTTGCTTGATAGACATGGTGCCTCAGGTCCTCATGATTGCGTATCTGCCACAAGGGTTGCTGTAGATGATCTCCAAGACACCATGCTCAAGTATGTACCTTTTGGCTTGGATTACGTGACGGTTTACCTGTACAGCAACGATTGCGGGCACTGCACTGTTCTTCGGACAAGCAAGACAGGTCGGAAATTGGTTTACCTGTGCCCAGCAATTCCCTGAGATATCTGGCGTGACCGGCTATACCAACACCATCAAGGACCATGCGGATTCCGAGCCCGGAGGTGCTCCAGCGGACAAGGTTTATCGGAGAAACGTCACTATCCTTAGAGGTCCGTCTGGCTGACTACCTGAAAAGTGCTTAGTATTACTCAGGAAGTTTATCTCTCTGACAAATGCCTCATTAGGTTGGTAAATTAACGCGATTGTCGCGACCCTTTCGTTGAAATGAACAAATCGCGGTGCAGAGTTGTCGATTCCACTCCGACAGAGCTGAGGGTTCAAACTTTACAGTTTGTATCCCGCGTTCCCATTCCTGGTCAAATGAGCTCTTGCGAACATGGTCACTGTAGACCAGGATAACTCGGCGCGGTCTCTAAGCTTCTATGGGTGTTTCCTTGGAGCATAATTCGGCTCTCTCTCAATCGCGCATGCATACCGCGGTGTCCATTTTCACAAAGCCCAATTCGAGACGCAGCATAGCGCGCGGCCTTACTAACGTTCCACGACAAAGCCTAGCTCTAGGTGTGATACCTGACTTCATATGGGCTTTTCTTCATTCCCTGAATTAAAGCTCTCGTGCTGTAGATCCACTCTGACACCCTTGCATCCGCTTCCGTTGTTAGGCTCTCCCAATGTGACTACGCACGCGGCTCTTAGAATGAAGCTGCCACTTCCTTGTCAAGACTGTTTACATCCCCGTCAGTTCAGCACGATGAAAATCTAGGAGTTATTCAAACCACCGGGTGGTGGCTATGTGCCATATTACCACTTCCCATTCCCGAAGGTCTTAGTGAGAATCGACGATACGTCGGTTCAATCTACATCTAAGGGGACTGGACCTTCGTCTCGCAACCCAGCTAGCCTACGAGCAAAGTATATAAGCGCAACACCACAGCCTTGGATCGGGACACAACGCACTCTAATCCTCTCCTCATTCATCCATAGCCTGGTGAGGTCGCTCAATTATCTATCTATCCATCTCATTGACAAATGATCATAGACATATTCCCTCCGTATACAATATGTGCCACAGAGAAGTTAGTTGTGCACGATTCTCCTGCGGCCACACTAGTCCGCAAGGTGAAGGCAATAAGGTATACCGTATACGTTGACCAGGCCGTCATTGAAGGAGTAACATCGGCCATTTGATTTAGGTTGACTGCCAGTCGTTTAGATGTCGGTACAGCGACCTACACCCTACAGCCTGTGGCAATTGTCCCGCCACCTGCACGCAATGGTATGCGCGTTCCGGTATATATGGAGTGCACCCACTAACTCTCTTCTCAAGGCTTAAACCCGCTCGCATGATTGCGAACCAAACTGTTGCCTCTCCCTGCCGCGATTGCCTACAAGGTCGTCGTTCTTAATTTTAGATCCATGATTATAATTCTGAAGAATACTTCTTAGTATGCGCCATTTAATGCCCGCGGTCTCACCATACACAGTGGACGGCCTACCCATTAATTTCTCTTTCTTCGTTCTCTATGGATTTGCTTCAATACTTATATTACCTCATAATCCCCCTATGTGCACCCTATCTTCTACTTCGCCTTCTCACTGTTATACACTGTCAATCTTATTCGTTGCCCATATATCCTGGCACTTACGGAAGGGGATCCGGCATTCACGCCGCACTTCGATCTCTCAACCATTCAACATGCACCACATTCACAGGTGCCGGGTGCAGATCGATGGATCTACAACAGGCGCCGGTTTACTTCTAGGCTTGGTGAACGGGTACAAAGCGAGAATGATAAAGCTGATAGATTTCCCCGCCCAGTTTGTCCGTTTGGACTTTTTAAGGTAGTGATTTCATTTTGAGATGTCAAGTCATTGAAACTTGATCCAAGAAGTAGAAACGGAGGTGAACGGTGAACAAGTATACATTCAGAGTTCGGGTGTATCTGCAAATAAAATTGCGGCCATGTCAGGTGGGTATCGTTCTCCTTGTGCTGCATCCGCAGCTGTCGCCATGGCGCGCACTTCCGCCACATCTTCACTTGAGAGCTTGAGCGTGGCAGCTCCGAGATTATCGTGAAGATACTGCGATGGCATGAGCGGCGTCTTCACACATATAAGAGATGCTGTTTACCTTGATACGTTTGGTACCTGGGATAGGAATGATATCGTCGCCCTGAGCAAGGAGCCAAGCAAGTGCAACTTGTCCTGCCGAAGCACCACCATGTCTCTCTCCGACGGCCTTTAGACCGTCAGCAATTTTCAATATGTTGGGGAAGTTTTCTTTGCTGTATCTATAACGCGGGGATATATAACAATGTATGACATGGCATGGGTATATTTGCTTACCGAGCTACTCTTCTTCTGTAGTCATTAGGGTCCAAGTCGTCGGGCGATTTCTGAGAGGAGCAAGTCATGTTGGGCATCCGGTGGAAAATGAGGGAGACGGACGTAGACACCCGTTAATAGGCCGCGCCCCAAAGGAGAGTAAGCAACGATTTTCACCCCGAGCTCTCTGGCCGTGGCCAATAAGCCGACTTTCTCGCTCTCGATGTCAAGAGTGAATGGGGAATATTCTACTTGGAGTGCTGTTATAGGGTGCACGGCATGAGCCCGTCGTAATGTTTTGGCTGAACATTCCGACAAGCCGATATATTTAACCTTGCCCTCCCTATGTTCACCACGTTATTAGCCGGATGAACGGATATACAAGTTATGGACACCTACTTGACCAGTTCCGACATAGCACCCACCGTTCGCTAGACACAATTCACTAATAAGCTGGTTGTGCGTCGACGAACCATAGCCAGATACTTGCCTCGATCGGAACCGTAGGATCAGCTCGCTACGATGCACTCCTGTAAGTGTCATGACTGTCTCTCCTTCACGAGATATCCACGTACATGGAAATAATACAAGTCGACGTAGTCAACTCCCAATCGCTTCAACGATTTCTCGATGGAAGCTTTAACATACTCGGGATCACCATTGATCAATCTGGTGGGACTGCTGCGAAGGCCAAATTTAGTTGCTAAGAATATTTCGTCGCGTTTTCCCGTTCGTTTAAACCTAACGGTTGCATGAATTAGAAGGGAAATAACGGCAAATCGCATAGAAGCCACGGCGAACCATTTTCCCAGCAACTCCTCCGAATCCATGTATACGTCCGCCGTGTCCCAGAATCTACATCCTGCTTCGTATGCTGCATCTAGAACCTAAATGGGGTCCATCATTGAGCTAATTGGCTTCTGCGATGTACATGTGGGAGCCTGGTCCGCCAACCTTGAACCGTTCTTCATCAGGCTCGGTCGGCCCGTAGAATGCGGAGATGCCCATAGCGCCAAAACCCAAGGCAGAGACGTTAACATCGCCAACTTTGCGAGTGGGCAATGTCATATTTGCGATTCGGGAATGTGAAGAGTGCGTTGCAGAGATAGTGAAGAGAGCCGCACCCGGGGGAGCTAGAAGGGTCCTCAATCGTCCAGTGAACCCTCTTATACTGCGGCCACACCCTGGTCCACTCCATCGATACGAGCGTAGGACTGAGATTGTCAGCACCATTTAGTCAGACCTCTAGAGTGCACCTGCAATCCATATGCTTTGCAGAGATATCACGAGATTACGGACATAGAGTGGTACAATTGGTGTGAAAGCAATTCCAAAGCAGCATAAATTAGGGTCTCCGGGGCAATCCCAGTAAGTTTACAAGTAAATTCCGTACATTATGATGAGGGTGATACAGCCTCTGGATCTTTGTGGTTCGGGTCGCCGATTATCGAATCTTGATGGGTCTCGCGCGCGACGTTGAGTGATACGTGTGTAGTGAAGGCTATGTCTGTCGCGCTAGTTCCCGCGCCTCTTGCTGCGGCGAATGTCGACCGTTTTCCTGAGGGTGGGGACACGGGACTTAGCCCGGCGGAAATGGTTACAATGATCAATGCTGGCACGATACCCTGGAAATATGTCAGTCTATAGCAGCCTCGACACGATGTCATGAGCACGTACAGCCATCTGAGAAATGGTATCCAGCGCGATTGATACGGCGTTATGGCCTAAAGCAAACAATACTAGGTAGGCAATCTATTCGTTTATCAGTAATTGACGAGGGGGGTGGGAGCAGACAATTACCCATGCGAACGTGTACAGTGCACCAGATTCGATGATCACCAGGGATTCGAAAATAAGGGTAGAAAACCCATGAACCCGTTTCATGGTACGGTGATGCATGCTGAAATGGATGTTTCGTTAGCTGCCGGTCTCGAGCATAACCATGTGCGTACATTAGTTTGATCGCCATCATGGACGTCAGGAATACATTTGTGGTGGTCGAGAATGATATCCCTGTGACTTGCCACGTCCTAATAGGGTGTTTCTGGGCTTGAGAGAACACCTCCTGAAGATCGTTTCCCTTCAAATCATTGAGACCGGCATAGCTTGATCCAATATAACCGTAGAACGTCACTAACATATGTAAGCTTCGGGAAGGGATTGTCATCCGGAACGCGTTAGCTCACTGATGACGCCCGAGACCAGTGCAATGGGTAATACTGTTACCCGCCAATCCCGGTTATATATAACCCAAGCCCGCCACACTAATAGCGTGTCGGCCATGATACACTGTCAGAGAAACAGTAAGACAGTGTACGTAGATGCGTTACCAAGAGATTACTCACATTCAGGAATTCGATCGCAATCTGCGCAAGCCCGAACCTTGCGAATGCTTTGACGTCTCGCGTTGCCGGGTCCACTTTCCCGCCGAATTCGGTCAAGTCTTGATATACGACCATGACATAGTGGGTGGTCGAGATCATATACATTATGACCACGACACTCAAACCCAGCCAATTGATCCCTTTCTCTCTCTTGCCTGAACGGCGAATACTGTGCGATATTTAGCTTATTGATAGAATGGAATGGAATAAGGAAAGACGCACACAACGAAATATACAGCGGCTCCAAGGAGGACCGTAAATATTCCTGTTAATCCCGTATTAACGTACGCTCTACGCAACGACTGAAAGTTTAGAAGCAATCACCTTGGAGAAATGACATGATAAAGATTGAAATAATCAGAGACTCGGTGACCGTGAGCATCTTGCCTCTGGGATTGGGATGTGATGCTTCCAAGCCTTACAGCATACACTCCTGGCAATGTTGGGGGGAAGGGAATTTGTCGACGGAAGGCAATCGGAGAGCATATGTTATAAGATCAAAGATAGTCAGGGTAATGGAAGGAGGCGCAATAGTAATGGTTAGGCTGACTGAGTTACGGAAGAATCCTTGTTACGAACCGTCAGGATTTCCAATTTTGTAACCACACGGCTCCATCTGACTCTAGACCTATCCTGACTCTCAGGTATGAACATGACATTCGAACAAATGATAGCAGTGGGTCAGGCAAATGCCTGTGTCAATCTGCAACGTTCTGATTTGGTCTAGCAAAGAAGAACATATCCTGTAACTCAACTTTTCCCATATGTAGAACAGATCAATTACTATCAATCAGAGCATACGGATGGCGCGCTCGCTAGGCGTCGTTATGCGATTTGGTATGAATGGTCGCAAGTCAGCTTGGTGACACTCAGGAGTCAGCACGAGTGAAACTTGAGGAGCGTCCACAAAAGTAGCGCTCCCAGTCGAGGGTCCCAGGGTGTAGGCCCTGACCGGATTCAATGGTATCCAAACATCCTAGGCGGGAGCTTGAACAGCTTGAACATCCAACTTCATACTGGTGGAACCTGACGGTTATGTCAACAGTCAAAGTAGTTCGATGGGTTCTTGTCCCATGGAGTAGAGCTGTCCACGCAAAGGAAGATTGGTCCGTACCACGTATGTTAGTTGCCATTGAGTGATTGTCAGGAATAGTCTAGCGTTCTGGGCATGTAGCAGATCCATGTTTTGCATCTGCGTCTTCAGAGATTCAAGAGAGCGATTTGTCAACGACTTTGCCATAAACTCTAGTAGTATCGGGAACATGTCGCACGGTAGGGAGCACTGCGATACTGGAGGAAGTTGAGTATCTCACTGATCAAAGTTATGCACTTCGCTGTGTATATTGAGCGCCTGAATTTAGGCGCTTGGACTACTGAATTTTCAAAACAGTGTAGTGTAACACTCTCAATCAGTGACACTGGTACCATGGCTGCGACATCTCTACCTCTTAGGAGCAACGTCCCCGAATCGTCGAAGCAAAAGAATAAAAAGAATCCGACATCTACGATCGGAGCTCCAGCCCAACGAAGCCAATCGAGTAGAAAAGGCAAGCGAGCCTGGCGAAAGAATATAGATATCGACCAAGTCGAGGAGAGACTCGAGGAACTTCGTACCGAGGAGAGGGAATTTGGGTGCGTACCTATCGCTCTAACTACATATGAATTGCCAGAAATTTGACGAATGTACAGGAAACCACTCCAAAAGCACGATGATAGCGAACTCTTCCAAATAGATGTCACAGGAGATGCAGATAGTGAGCAGCCCCCTACTTAAACTGGCTTATCTATCTCACATAATGCTCAAGTACGGAAGAGACTTCCCCGATACTCAAAAGCCCAGCTAACTTCGACGAAAATACTATCACAGCGATCGGCCGTGCCTGCTGTTGTATCTCGCACGACCACTTCGTCAAAGAAAAGAAAATCTCCCCTCAGCCAAGAAGATAAAGCTCGACTGCTACGCATGGGCAAGCGCATGCGCCGAGGCCCGTTCAATAGTGTCATGGATCCGACGGAATTTGGAAACGGGAGCGGTTTGTTAGAGTTGAGCGAGGCCGTAAAGAAGAGTGGGACATATGATGCTTGGGCAACGGAGAACGAGGAGGAGGACATTGTAATGGAAGGAGGCTTCGGCACGGAAACAGTGAACAAGCCGAAGGTTAAAGTGCGTTTCGTGCAGTCATATCTTTGTATTCGAGTATTCATCTCGAAACTTCAGCCACCTCCCGTCCCTCACCCGAAAGACAAGATCGAAGTGCCAGCGATCGCTGAACCGCACCAGGGAACGTCGTATAACCCTCTCGCATCGGCCTATCAGGACCTCCTGCTCAAAGCGCACGAGACTGAGGAACGCAGAGTAAATGAGATCGCGAAGGTAGCTGCAGTGAAAGACAAAATGGCGGAAGCCAGGCATAATGACGATGACGCCGACAACATTGGCCTTCCTCGTGGCATGAAACTCGACACGCCCTTAGAAGATGATACGGAAGCGGAGGGTGAGGTTCTTCTCCCTAAAAAGCAGCCGGAGCGCAAGACAAAGGCGCAACGAAATAAAGCTGCGAAAGCCCTCGCCGAAGTAAGTTCTCTGAACAACTTGGGAACTCCTCGATTGACAAGTACGGAATAGCGACGCATTCTAGCTGCAAAAGCAGCTCGCAAGCAGCTCCTCGTTGCGATCGATGGTGCAAAGACACTTCGGAAGTCGACAGAACAGTCGTTTGCGGCCCGTCAACAAGAACGTTTACTTAAAAGGCAGATATTGTTAGACAACCTCAAGTATGGATTGGCAGGCACGCGACTGGGAAAACACAAGGTACCGGAAGGTAACCTCGATGTCCAGCTCGGCGACGACCTCAGTGAAAGTCTGAGAGCGCTGAAGGTGCGGCATTCTTCCATGTATTCGTCTTCGTCATGCTAATCATTCTAAAGCCTGAGGGGAATCTCTTCAAAGACCGGTTCATTAGTCTACAGCACCGAGCACTCATCGAACCCCGAGCACCAGTGATGTATGGGGCACCCCCGTCCTGTTTGCCTCGCGCTGACATAGTATCTGTAGACCTAAAAAGCGCAGAACAAAAACGATTGAATACGAAAAGCACGCCTGGAAGCGCTTCGAATAAAGGCTTCCCTGTAATCCTTCCATCACCAGTTTGTATCGATAGGATTATATTGTTTACACAATACTTCGACTTCCCAGACACTGTCACACTTTGCTGCGCACACTTTGCCTCAGGATATAGTTAAAATAGGTGTGTGTCTGGCGGCCCATCTTCGCGATTGCAAACGCTTGAGAGCATTGATGTACTTGGTCTCTACCAGGTCAAGTTCTACTCGTTGATCCCTATGAGAGTAAACACCAACAGACCTAGCTCCGTCAAAGAGGCAGGGTGGTTTTTTGTGATCTCCCTCCCCTTGTGCCTTCCTCATCTGACCGGACCCTCTGCGGCTTGATTTGCCCAAACGTTGAACATGGGCCGCTCACTGATGATAGTCGAGCAGAATGATCTCATCATTATCGCCATCAATTGCAATCAACCAGAATCAACCCATAGTGTATCTATCCTACCCTTAGGGGCTCTCAACAATTTCGGGCTTAGATGAGGGGGGTGGCGCTCATCGAGGCACGCAAGTGAACAGATATCTGCATACGCGTAATGCTATCTGATGCTATCAAGTACATACTTCAACGAAGGGTTGTGTGGAGACATGGACTAATCTGTACAGATGGCGCCAAGGACGAAAGGTATCGAGTTGGGAGGCATCATTTGCAAAGATAGTCAAATTCAAACGACCCGAAGATCAAGGGTTTCCGGGGAAGTAGACATGGGCTATGGAATTTTCGGCTGGAGATATCGAACCGTCCATTCCACGAACAAAACGGCCCCTCTTTACAGCGCTCGTTTGAAACCGAGGATTCTTTCATCAACCTTCAACCTACTCTCCTAGACTATGGTTGCGGCAAGGGTCCAGCAACGATCAAACGCCTTCAAATGTACTTGTCAAAAGAATGCGGAATCGACCGAGCGGGTAGTGTGGCAACTCAGCATCTCAGGGACTGCATGATCCTACTCCGACAGAGCCTAGTGTTTGCTTCCGTGATATAAGACCCTTGAACGTTGGCGGGAGCGATCATCAGTGATCACCCCGACGCCCCCCTCCTCCAACCATGGGTGCCATCACAGCAACAGAATCGTTGATAGTCTCCCTTTTCTTCGTTTCTTTCTTAGAGGGTAGGTAGTCTAGAATTTGTCACTTACCCGGTTACTGAAAATCAAATGTCTAGGGGTGTTTGTTATGTTGATGGCGACGGGGGTTTATCTGGCTCAGTGAGTCGTCCTCCGACGTGCTTGACCTCCTCTCGAACTCACCGCTGATAATTATTTAGAGCCCAACACCAACGAAAGGATCGCAAATGGACCGGCCTCGGTGTTTGCGGGGTCACCTTTTTCTTATCGACCGTGCATTTCATCATGGTCTTCTACCAATACTACGGTTTACTCGGAGGCTCTGAACGATATTCACCGTCTGACCTTCAGGGTTACGCGAGGTTCAATCTAGCATCTTATCCCGTCGCCTACTTGAATGTGAGTGGAGGACGATTACATTGTATTTGTCTCCGTGTTGATCTGTACTATCCAGGTTATGGTCGCGTGCTTGATCTTGACATGGAAGGCTTGGACGCTATATGACCAGAGTTGGGCAATCGTAGCTGGCGGAGTTACTGGGACTGTTGCTTTGGCAGGTGTGTACAGATATCCTCGCGCAGAGTTGGCGTAGCTGACGACTCCCCTCAGTGGCATCCTACGGCTTCGTAGCCGTCAGCTATCAGGAGGTCCCCAATTTAGTAGGCTCGGCCATCGACGACTTCTACTCCGTAGCTAGAACCGAACCAATTCGCGCCTGGGCTCTGAGTTCCATCGTGCTCACTGTCGTAACAAGCGTCGCCTTGACTGGTTTGATCATGGCCAAATTGATGTATGTCCTTCATTCTTGCCGCCTCTACCCTTGGGGATGATCTCATGAATCTATACAGAGCCCAGCAACGAGCCATGAGGGAGTACTCGTCTGCGGTGTTTGATCTGCTGCTTTTCTTCGAATCTGGAGCTCTCTTTGCGTCCGGATGGGTAAGCACACTCCTTAACACTTCGCACTACCCCATCCTAACTCCATGAACTGCCAGATCATCTACCTTGTTCTCTTCCTCGTAGATAACCAAGCGACTATCCTTACCTTTGACTCGATGTCTCAGCTTTCTGTGAGTTATTCTGCCCACTAATCGTGTCTCATGCTGATTTATCCTGGTTAGGGCATTGTACCTTCCCTTATTATCATACTGACATCTGCTGGAGCGACCATCGTGACACCCCGAGTGTATACCGACCGACGACCCACCATAGCATCATCCCGCGTCGAAACAAGTATGCAGTTCGGCGGCCCTGCCGACACTGGCTTCTCTGTGAGTATGGGTGGCGATTCGACAGAGTTGGAAACAAAGATAAGTTCCAAGAAGTCGAAAGAGCGCCTCTACGTGAATTGATCGCTTGATCACTCCCTCTATATCCACGATACCTGCTGTGCTGCATTGCTATTGTCGCCAACTTGTTGCTATTATATATCTGTTCATATGACACGCTATAATGTACTAAAATATATATCGAATCGCGATTGTTCACGTACGGAACGCATTTGTGTGCTTGAACTTGATCACTTGCTCACGTGGCCTGACATTGCTTTCTCCCTTACCAACAGCCTCTCATACGATGGACGTCGACGCGCCAGAGGATTTACCTCAGACCAGCACCGCTCCTAAGTCTGGAAAGAGACATACAATAGTCCCCGTGGACGATGCTCATCCTTTCGACCTCGAAAGCTATATTGCTAACTACACTGGTGCGCCCATTGTAGCCCTAATGCGCCGGTGGGATGTTTGACAACTTATTGGTGTCAGGACGCACTGTTATCGACAGATTAACACACATTATTGTTTCGTGTCCCTCGATTGCGCCTGAGGCGTTTAACCTCGCCATCCAGCATATCCACCAATCACGCGATCCGTCGCAGTACCAGATTGTCCTCGATGCGTACGAGCATGCTGCAGCAGCATCTACTTCACCACTTCCTAATCCCAACGATATCGCGAGTTTAGATGGACAGTGGGCAGAAGAGACGTTATCGAAGAACCAGGCGGAACGCACGAAACTGGAGGTGGAGTTGAAGACATACTCGAATAATATGATCAAAGAGAGCATTCGGGTGTGTATTCCCCGTATCTGCACGGCATCTGACTTGATTGGTAGGTAGATGGGATATCGGGATCTCGGGGACTTCTATCGCTCTGTGGGTGACTACGGCAGCGCCCTCAAGCAATATACCAAATCCCGCGAATACTGCACAACGAGCCAGCACGTCTTAGATATGTGCCTATCGGTGCTTGAGGTGATCACCAATGCTTCTCAACCCACGCTCCTTCTCACATCGCCATTACTGCAGCTCCTAATTCTACAACGAAATTATTCACATATTTCTACTTATGTATTCAAGGCAGACGCAGCGCTCGACGCGGCTACGGCTTCTGGGTCAGGCAGCGGTTCGACGGGTAGCTCGAACAAGAAGGGCTCGCCAGAACGCGAGAAGGTGCAGTCTAAGCTCGACTTTGCAACTGCTCTCTCGCATCTCGGACAAAGTAACTACGAGAAGGCAGCGTATTATTTCCTGCGGCTAGGTCCGTCGAAGCAGCTCGGTGACTGGGCTGGCAAGCTCGTCGGGCCTGGCGACATTGCCATCTACGGCACGTTATGTGCGCTCTCCAAGCTCTCGCGATCCGCTATCAAAGCCCAAGTCGTCGATAATAACACATTCGCTGGATACCTCGAACAGGAGCCATATGTGCGTGAACTTATCGGGTCGTACATGAACAGCAACTTCAAGACATGTCTCGAGATCCTCAGCCGCTACTCAGTAAGTATCCAGTGTGCCGTTCTGCATATTTACCATTAACTGCAGCAATAGACACGCCATTTTATCGACATACATCTCTCCTCACATGTCACAGGGCTCACCAACCTCATTCGGGACTGGGCAGTTGTGCTCTACTTCCAGCCTTTCGCTACCATCAAACTCGAGCGCATGAGTGCTGCCTTTGGATGGACGGTAGAAGAAGTCGAACGGCATGTAGTTGCCTTAATCCAATCTGGGGACATCAAAGGCCGAGTGGACAGTAGAAATAAGGTTGGTCAATTGACATCGAGGACCACTGTATTCGCTGACAAATGGTAGGTCCTACAAGCGAAGAACACTGATTATCGTGCCGAATTGTTTGCCCGCGCGTTCAAGACCGGTAAAGAGATTCAGACTGCGAATCGCAAGCTTCTCTTGCGTCTCAGATTGTGAGCATCCCCGTCATTTGCGCTAGTTCGTAACTAATGCATTCCATCAGGCAACAGGCTGATCTAATTGTCAAGCCCCCGAAGAATCAGCAACAACAACAGCAGCAGCAAAACCAGAACGAAATGATGCAGGCTGATTAGTGGAGCACGTCGTGGCAATGGTGTAATTCGTGTTTTGTTTGTGTATCAGTGCTTTCAGTATCACATATGTGCATTATAGAAATCTAACCTGAAACGAACGATGTAGAAAGCAGCCTGCCTGTGATCAATTCGCTGACCTTCTGCCGGCGTCCACATGTCATCTATTATCCAGCGATGCAATTAATGTAGCAAAGGCACATATACACAGAAAGTCCAGGTGAAAGAAGGTTCATCTATGCCCCATCTCCCTCGCGAGCCGCCAGCACAGCACACAGGCAATCGCTGCCGATAATCCTCCTATTCTGCAATCATGAAAACACTGTCAGTATTGCAACTCGAACAGAACGCCGCTCAGGTATTCTCTCACCTAAAGATATATACAACGGAATTAGACCCGCCCTGTATCTCAGGTTCTCGGGGAAACAATTGTGATGTCAGGTCCCTGGTATCAACACCTGCCACGGTGTTGTTCCCGATACTTCCTGGGTGAGCTCCATGCAACACCGACTTTTGTGGGTCGAAAATGGCGAATAGAATGGACGAGAGACCGGTCACTAAGAACTGAGGGATGACGATGAATACGTTATGTATGCCCTACACCCATGGTTAGCAGCGTCCAGATTCACACTGGACAACAGGCACGACTCACCAGAATTATACCGGCTTTTGCACTTAGCCCTCCACCTTCTTGTTCATCATCGTCATAATCGCCCATACCGCTACTGATATCAGCGCGGCTAACTTGGGCCTGCCCATTTCCTCCAAGAATGAAGGCGCGCCGGCGCTCGTCTTGCTGGCGAAGCACGTTGTCCTCGTCGTCGCTGTTGTCCGAATCGCCTCCCTTCGCACCATCATCACTAGCCACAGCCAAGAAACCGTCGCGCTCTCCAGCGTCGGCGTCGGAGCCACCGTATGAAGTGGAGCCACTAGATAACTCCCTCGTCCTCGTATCGGCTAGCCGTATTGACCCCGCGTCGTCAGTCGTCGAGGAGTCCGCGAGAATGGCTTCCCCGAGCTGGGAAGTCATACCTTCGGTCAGAAAGGTTTAAAAAGTCAAAAGATACGGAAACTTACCAAGGCGAATGGAGCCCATTGTGTTACAGCCCAGGAAAATCCGGTGATTGTCATAAGAACCGTAGCACCAAAGACCCCGCCAGTGAAGCTAAAAGGGGCATAGTTCAGCCTGAAGACGGCTGATATAATAAGCCATAAATTATACTCACAAGGTACCAAACATACACAAGGCGAAGATGAGATGGCTCACAGCCCAGAGGCTTGCGAGATGCACCTTCTTCCTTGTCAACAACGCACCTAGCTTCAGGAGCTTCGCTCGAATGCCAGAGACATGTCGGCTGTTGAACTCGTCGGATCCATCGCTGGCTTCAGCAACAAAGAATGGCAACAGGATATTTGCTGCAAGCGAAAGCAGGGAAGAGTAGAATAGGGCGCGAGAGCCAAGACGTGTCGCTGTTGCGTCGAGGTCGGCTTGGGCTTGTGGAAAGTCGGGAGAGGAGGAAGGAGGTAAGGAGGAGGAATGGGCGCGTTTGTACAGGTCTCCGACGTATATGGTGGTATAGAACAAAATCGGGAACCAACCTATCCAAGCACTTTCGATGAAGGTAAGCTTGGTGGGGGTTTACGTGAACGCATGGCTTACAAGAATTGGATTATGCACTGTATGAAAAGACGTCAGACAAGGATCGAGATCGGCGAATATGAATCACGCACAATCTGCCGTATTACTCTTGGAAGCGACAACATATTGGAGAATATGTCCTTTATTTCTCTCACAATTCTATTCTCTTTTGCTTGTCTTGAACTGACCCTGTAGGAAGCATAAACGTTCAACTGGTCATCCACGGTGATAGGGAATAGAAACAGGATTATGCGCATACATACCTAGAAATGCTTAACAGCCGTCGCTCCTTAACGAACATCGCTGTGACGCTATGAGTCGCTAGAAGCAAGAAAGATCCGACCGCAGATAGAACCTGTAGCTGCCCCGAACCTAAGAAGGGTAGTATAGAGGGCAAGTCGATATTGCCACTAAGGTGTAGTTCAGGTTAGATGACGGGGTATGCTACACCTATATCAAGCCAAGACCAAGAACTCACACAAAGAATCCGACAACGCTTCCAACGCCGAGCATCCGAGCCGCCCAAGCATTTCCCGCTGGTTGCTCAATCGAGGGCAAAGTGTCCACCAGAAGGGCTCGGTCGACAGCCTGAACTGAATCAAGTCGGAGGTCGGAGGTGCACGCAAATAATGAAGACCATTCAAGGTAGGCCACGTACCAGCATTTATAGAGAAGTCGATGAGGTATATAGCAAGAACAGCTAGCCATATCGTCAATATGTCGGTCTGGGTAAACGGCTCAACAGAACGCGCAGCAAACAGGCAGATGTCCAAGACTCACGGCATCGCTGTCCTTCCCAGTAAATATGGATGCAAAGGCTCGGGTGTACCCAAGCAATAGCATGGCGCACGCGCATACAATGGACCCTCCAATCATGTAAGGTCTCCGTCGGCCGAACCGTGAAGTCGAGTTGTCGGCAAGGACACCTGTCTCGGCGATTCAGTACATCTTCACGCAATTCGCATACGGGCAGGATTTCGCACCTATTATCGGTTGCATTATCAGACCAGAGAGTGGTCCTGCGAGAAACACTACCGCCATGTTGGATTTCGACAGCCCTAGGGACAACAGATACGGCGAGGCTGCGCCGGAGAATGAGAAACGCGTCGGTAACAGTCAATGTGCACCTCCCTCTCGTGCCATGCTCAGTTACTCACCGTAAGACATCTCAACGGACCAGAATATCTGCACGCCCAGCAGGCCAACAGTTATGGTAGGCAAGTGTGCCCATCTTGGTCCTATTATTTTGGATACACCACCGAATTCGCGCATTGGATCGTCGTGGCCCGCGCCCTCGTCCGCGATGGGGAGACTTGCGAATCCAGTCATTCTGTAAGGCGTCGCGCCCGCGTCGTTCAGTTGTTAAAGAAACGTATTTTGGGGTCGTTTTTGTTCAGGGTAGAGTTCGCATAGCCAGAGTTATGGAGACAGAGTCCGAGTGTTCGGCTGCCAGCAAGTGAGCGTCAGACGGGCGCTTCTCATACTCCTGTCCCAAGCCGCTCAGCAAGAGCACTCAAGAGGTTCAGGATGTCTAACTAAGAGAGAATACGTACCAGAGGAAGACTGAAACACCTTGTGCAGTTGTTTACTTCACTCTCACATAATGCAGCCTCGTGGATTCCGTGGCTCAGATACCCAATATTAACCTAGTACGCTGCTACGCAGTACGTGAGTGGAGGTGAGTTCAACAACAGATGCAACGGCAATGGCAATGGTTATATTCAACATCGGCGTCGAGGCGCAGCTAAAGGGTGTGGTAAACGAAACACTGGTATAATGACACATTCGCAAGACACGGGAGCTTAGCAGGCTATATGTGAATAGTTTCAAGTTGGACAAACGTCAGCAAGCAAGGCACTCGCCCTCTTTGTAAAGGCCGAGCGTTAGAAGAACTCCCAAAGCGCCCGTTTTGGCGTAATTGTGTTATCAGGTCAATGTAGTTTACTTTTGGGTGCTGTAGCCTGTAGGCTAGATATGGATAAGAGCGTTCGCCACTAATGTAGCTACAGTAGGGTATCCAAGATTGAGAAGTCGTGATCCTACGGGGGGGAGGCCAGATCTGAGGTCACGCCGCCAAAGGGTTCGCGTTAAATATTGACCAGCTTTGCGGTTATGCACGACCGAGTATAATGGCATAAATTCATCCAAAGTCAAGATGGCTACGGGAGCATCAAGTATCAAGTATTCCCTGTCCTTCCTGGATAGCCAAGTAAACACTAGGCGTATATGTAGCTGATAACACGCCGTTATTATAACATGAGTTAGAGGTAGAGGGGGAGATCCTGGTCAGCGCGTCGCGGATAGTCCTATGCCATATACGCGCCACATGCCGGACAGAGGGTCGGAGATTGATTAAGCGGTTCGTTGCACTTGGAGCAGTTCAGTCCTCTCGGAAAATTCCTTGCTTTCCAAGTGTTGTTCCCAGCGTTACTGCTTGGGTGCGAGTCGTTTTGGTGGGGCCGGGGGGTGAATAAACCCTTGAAGTTTTGGACGAAGGTGGATTTCTGTGGCATATTTGCTAATCTGTTGCTCCATTGGTACAAAAAAAGAGGTTATCTAGCTGTTGTTAGGCAGGTGTAGTGGGTACTCACTGTTCGTTGATTGTTTGATTACGATTTTGATGATTAGGACTTCCGACGATGACATGAAGCGGGGCATTGGGCCTTGTATTTAAGTCACCGTAGATGAGGCGTAGAGGTCGAAAGGCTCGCCATGTGAAGAGATATTACAGCTCTACATCGGTTCACTCTGTAATTTAGGACAAGTTCGCTGCGCCGGGGGATGTGGCCACTGGCGAGTCACCATGCTGGAAGGAGAGGCGTTGCGATAAACAGTCCGAACAATCCGAATCAGTATACTAACGACAATGAGAATGTCGACGGCCAGTATGCAGTATTCCTGAAGCTGTCCGCCCCATGTGGACCTTTGAAGGTCGACGGCTCGAGTCGCGAGGCTGACTCCATCCAGTCGGATCAACGTAGCTCTTGCAGAGGTAAGAACTTATGCACAGCACGAGGATGTGGCTCGGCCAGAAGAATCATCAGAAGCAATGAGATACAATGTCGGCTGCTTTCCACATTCCAGAATCTAGGGTGCCTTCCCGACCGAGGAATGGGGCGCACATCCAAATCAGATCTAGCAGCAATGAAGTACCAATTCCGCTCATGAACGGACGTCACCGATCCGTCTCCTAGGACGGAATTGAGGCGGGGATCAACGGCAAAACTCGAATTGGATTCATTGTCAGGGCATTGAGGATTTTGTAGCCTTCCTCATTGCAGTGCCAGGCCAGGCCCTTTGCGTAAAATGAGTGTTTGGCAAACCAGTACGAGGGACGGTCGACATTGTCGTTGAGCTTGCAGGTCGTTGAGTGCTTGAGTCTTGAAGCCCTGTTGACGAGACGTCAGACCAAGTACTGTTCGGTTGCTATTCGGAAGCGCGAAACAAAGATGGTCTGTGCGTGGGCACTTGTAGTACCAAAGATTTCTGATGACCGGGGACCCTGGCGATCACAACAACTTCGACGTCCTCGAGAGAAGTTGAGAACGGACTTGCTTCGTATTTGGCTGGGCAAGAGGCAAGAGCAGCGGACACTTTCGTTTCAAGAGGCCAGGGGGTGAGCTGTCTTCTGGTGGATTCAACAGCAGCAACAAAGGTGAGTGCGGAATCAACGCGTGTCGAGATGAGCACTAAAACTATATAGCTGGTCCCCATTTTCTGTACAGAACTGAAGGAAATCTCCTGCTAAAACACCATGGAGCGTAGTCGCAGTGCAGCTGGCGAAATCCCCACCACAATCCTGCAACAATTACGCAGGATCCCGACGCCGCTTGCATTACTGATTGGCATTATATTCGGGTTCATTGTTTCACGATTCCAGCCGACTTTCTTTTCTACAAGCCCGATTGCGTATACGAAATCCCGCCAGCAAACCCGCCAGCCGATAGCTTTGCCGACCCTCGAGCAGCGACTCCGGGTACTCGACCTCGTCACGTCTCTGTCGCCACATTATACGAAGGAATGCACTCGCAACTCCCAGCCAATGTACTGGCAACAGACATACGAGCGATATGCCCCATTAATAGGCCACAAGTCTCCGAAGAACCCGTCCTGGTTTTCCTCGGTTTTCACAACGTCTTCTGCTCAGCAACCACTGTATGCTCGTAACAAAGCTAGCGACCAGGACTTGACCGAGCATAAATACTTCTTCGCTATTAACCTTTATAACTCGTTCGACGTAATCCCTGACCTCTTCGCAACCCTCTTTCGCGTCGCGGCAATCCTCGGATACCACAACGTCTTCATTTCCATATACGAGAACGGTTCCACCGATCAAACGAAGGCCTTGTTGCGCATATTCGATGCTTTGACCCGTTCACTCGGCATGCGCATTACTATCCGAACCTCTCAGCGCACACGTGGTGCCTTCAATCATCGTATTGAATATCTTGCCGAGGTGCGAAACGCTGCGTTTGTCCCTTTGCACGAGCTCCGCGATTCGGAGGGTGAATACTTTGACTCCATCATCTTCATGAACGACATCCTCCCCTGTGTCGACGACCTTCTGGAGCTCGTCTGGCAATCGAGGAACAACAACGCGGGTATTACATGTGCAGCCGATTATATGTATCATGACGAAATCCAGGCGCCTGTATTCTACGACAACTGGGTGGCCCGCGATATCAATGGAACCGCTTTAGAAAACGCTCCCTTCGAAAGTATCTTTCACCACGCAGATTCCTCCATGCGCTTCCAGCGTCATCTCCCAGTACAAGTGCAGAGTTGTTGGAATGGTATCGCCGTTCTCGATCCGGCACCATTCTATGAGCCTCCTCATGTGCGTTTCAGAATGGCGCGGATTACCAACGGTGAATGTAGTGCCAGTGAGTGTAGTCTAATTTGCAACGACTACTGGGAAGCAGGCTACGGGCGAATTATGATGGTCCCTAGAGTGAAATTGGCCTACGACAGAGTAGGTTTTTCCTCTTCATCTACGAGTTGATTGACGATTGACGAACCTCACTTCAACTAGCGCGTGTTCGACATCATCCACCCGGCCCGTCGTAATCTCACCGCTATTCGTGGGTTCAAGCGACTAGGCGGCCTTCCAGACAATCCTCGCACTGACCCGCAAGATCGCGCATGGTTTGGTCCTCACGATCGTCTCTTCACCGAGGAGGAAGGTGAGCCGCTGGTCTTCGGTCCAGGTCCCGAATACGGTACGTGTGACGTCTTTTTCCTGTTTTCATCCTCAAACGGTATTCGTAGTTTGGTGCTGGGGTTGGGACGGTGCTGGTGATCTTGACGGACCAGACGTCGACCCTATCTGGGAGCGCATGCCTAACGCGTCGACTAAAGCCAGCGCAGTGAAATTGCGACATGACCGTGGTATGGCATCTGTTCCTGTAGTTGGCTTGTAAGGTCAGAGTAGACTTGCCTACGTACTGTCGTTATTCTTCTTAAAGTTTATACGTTGGTTGGGTAGCGATGGACTACAATGTACTATAATGTTTTCTCTGTATGAGATAGAGGTAGACTGTCGAGGTATGATTGTGGTAGACAAGAAGCCATGAAGAAGCCATCAGCACAAAGTATTACTGAAACTTAAGTTCTAGTCTAGCACCGCTGCCCCGACTGCCTTGGGAAAGTCATTCATACCCAAGACCAGGATGGGTGTCTTCGGGAATATGTAGGAGTTCGAATCGAGGGCCTTTGGGTGGCAACGAACTTCGTTCTGACGTACCATGTGTTTTCGGGCTCGAAGATTGCAAGGATCAAGTGCTGGTTCGGTGGTAATGCTTGGGAAGTACTGGGCGAGGCCGAGTACACTAGGACTCTTCCTGAGGGCGCCCTGTGGGTTTGTCTGGGTGGAAGGTTTCCACTGGCATAAGTCGAACAAGACGAAATTCTTGCTCGGAGAAATCGAGCTGGATTATTATTCAAGATGAAACTTTGAAGGAAACTGCCAATACATACCGTATCGAGGCTCTCAATAGTCAACCCAGGAGTAAGGAGAATTTTAGTCCCCTTGCATATAAGATATGCACCTAGAGCATACCCAAGTGCGGGGAACTCGTCTGGAATAGGCACATCCCGATGTACCCACTCCCAACACTTCACCGTGTCGTCAAGTATTGAACGTTTCGCCGGGGCTGGTGGACCCCTCCTACATCGACAGTCACGGGAAGCGTGGAACTTGAGATAAGATTAGATAACTAGTGACGATTTACCTTGCTCGCTTATGTCACAAACGCTGTGACGGTCGCCACTGTTCTTCATTCCTCATAATGGCGAAACGGCATAAACGGCCCCGATCAGGACTCTCTGGAGGAGATACCTTTGCACTCTATCAGAATGTCCTTCATGTGCAAGAAATACTCAAGAGGATGATACCGATTCCCGAGGATGAAGCTGCGAATCCAGACGACGACGACAGTCAGGATCTTACTCCTGTGGACGATATGGTGGAGACAATTCGGAAGCTGCTAGAACCAAAGCTTAACTCACGCCCAGTACGTCGAATATCACAATTCCCCCTCGATTCTTGGTGAACAGTCATCCCTAGGTGCTCTCTCTCTCTAGTCTTCGGCAAGAGGAAATTGAAAAGCTCCACCTCACCGAAGGGCCGCATCTGATACTCGTGGCTAATCCGGGGCGGTTGGACGAGGAGCGTGTCATTGGCGAAAACCAGCTGTGGTCCCACGAAACGTTCTATAGGCATTTGTGTCTCTTACAGTCCTCTGTCACCCAGGTGAATTCCAGAATCAATACTGCTTCGTCGCTGGCTGCTGATCTCGTCAGACTGAAGCCAGTGCTCGGACGTTCATCGATGCCTTTTTCTACCGTGCTGCAGCCATCCTTTCCTCGCGATCTTCCGAAGGCAAGCGAGTAGTTCTTGGCCTCGAGGTACCTGTCAACGCTACCGTTGGAAAAGAAGAAGCCACCTTAAAAGGTTTCGTTGACTATGCCATTCTGTTTGCTGGGGACACTCGTGCTAGTGAGAATCTCATCTTTGCCCGATCTCTGCAGAGCTGATGCTTCTTGGTCTAATAGCTTCTTTCATTCGCGAGCCGCTCCTGTCAAAAATCCGGCTGCACTCTGACTTTGTTCTCTTCATCACGGAAGCAAAAGCCGTCGATGTATCACTCTACCACCAACTTCCTCAGGCGCTGGGAGAAATGTACGCCTGTTCTGCAGCCGTCAAGTTAGTGCCTGTCACGAGTCAGTCATATATCCGCTAACCCCTCGACTTCAGCAAGAAAATAATACGCGGAGCCCTAACCAATGGGCGTGCATGGTTGTTCTTGATTCTGAAAGTCCTTCCTGATGGTCGGGGTGGAGAGTACAGTGTTTCTAAGGAAATCTCGATCATGACACCCGGTGTCGATTTCACTCTCGAGGTCAATTCAAATTCATGCGCACAGATTTCTGTTATCATTGCTAGCTGGGTATGTATCGAAGCAGCTCGTAGACAGTATTCAGCTGATTGGTTGTCCTGCCCAGATCGAAAACAGCTTTAAGGACCTGGACAGCAGTGATTGGTACAGGGCCAATGTTTAGGTTGTCTCCGTACCTTAACGTTCGCGTTTGTGTAGTGTTTACTTCGTTTTCATTCAATCTTCATTGACACATGGGTGATTGATGACTTGCAGCTCGGGTAGCCACTTTCACTCGCCGTAATCATGGTTTTTGAGGTTGCCAGTGAAGAGTTGAGAGCGTAGTCAATATTTTACTTACAAACCATACAAGTCGAACTTATTATTCCCGTCGCAACGGCTTTGTGAGTCCACTGATCCATGCCACCGAGAAACGAACCCAGAAAGGACTACAGAAAGGCATTCACCTGGAGCAAAAGGAAACAGTGGACAACCCTTGAGGTGGAAACAATACTGAGTTACATGGCTCTTTTGGGATTGGCGTCGACGTCCTAGGATGACATGGGCTGGGTTCACCTTGCTTCCGTCGAGATATCAATAATGAACCAGCAATACCAGCACCAAGAACGCCAGCCTCCTTCAACGACGCTCAAGCGCTAGCACTCTTCACACCGAAAACCGGACTCAACCAACTCTCATAATTCACATCCTTCGCAGGATCCCCCGTGACCTTGAGCGCACGCACCACTGGCAGCACACGGTACTCACCGTTCGGGATCCCAGCATATGGTGAGCGCAACATCACTCTACAAGCTCCAGCAATAGTACTATGAGATAGAAGCAAATGTCAGCTATTGATTCCTTATTTTATTTTATTTTTACTTATTTTACTTGATCAGTGTGGCCAAAACCTTGGGCCTCCGCCAAAAACTGGAGCCTGAACGGCTCAATAGAATCACTTCGGACCCAACGGAATATCAAACTAGACGCGTGCGAAAACAAGTCCGAGGGGAGAAAAAAGGTCGACCTAAATTTGATGTTTTTGATTGTCCTCGACTGTAAACTGGAAGTAAGTGTAAGTGTAAGATTGGACACTCGTGACTGATGTTCAACAAGCGCTCGGCGTGCCAGTAACCTCACCAACACCAAAGTGCCACGCGCCGCGTTCAATCATCATGGCTGATCCAGAGGTGATAGAGATCTTTGACGATGAAGATGCAGACGACGACACCCAGTACGACCGACGCGCTTTGTTTGAACCGGTTGTACGACGTGTCGTGGACGCACTTGGTGGACGCGAAGATGGGAGATACAGGCTCGGAGACGAAGTGACCTCTTGCTTGAAGGACCTGAAAAAGCTTTGGCGCAAGGACGACACCGACGACGAACGTACCATCGCGCGCATTCTCTGGGATACACGCGTTTTGCCCAACGATCTCGTGCCCATTCTGCTAGAAACCGCTGGGAAGGGCCTTGTCGAGGATAAGCGAGCAATCTATTGCGCCGACCTTGTTACTGCGATGACATGGCCTATTGATATGGCCGAAGAACTGAAGGAGCTCGACGATGAGTTAGACAGAGGAACGGATTACACGCAGCTTCTGCTGAGCCATCTCCACTACAAAGCCGCGTTACTTAGACCGGGAGTCCTACAGGCGATGCTAGGAATCCTGCTGCCACCTTTGGCTAAGCCACCCAAGGAGCGCAAGGAAAGAGACGGCCAAATCGTCAGTGTCGTATTGCACCTCATTCGAAACCTAGCTTTCGTCAAGGATCTTCCTTCCAACTCCCATCTCAGCTCAGACCAGGCAGAGTTCTCAAAGTTGCAAACCAAACTGGTGTTGATGTTGCAAGATACGAACATCCTAGCGCTGCTGGTGACCATCGCTGCAAACTCCACGAACGATCCCATGTTCACCGACTTGAACGCACTCGTTCTTGAGATATTTTATCTGTTGCTTCGAGGTGTGAAGCCATCGGCATTGACGTTGGATCAGGCTAAGGCGAGTTTCCATCCCCCGTAACCTGAAATTTACTAAACCACTCAATAGCAACCGAAGGAGAATCTCCATCGTCTACTAGCCGCCGAAGCGCAGAATCGCAAGGCAGTTGCTCGAATGGCGTCGTCCCGTCATTCTCGATTTGGGACTACCATCGCTGTCAAGCTGAACCCTAACAAGAAGCGACAAGTTGATGGGGAAGCCGCCGCTCCTCCCGCGGAGCCATCCACAAGATCGATTGTTCTTCACAGGCAACAAGCCTTGACGCACGATTCGGGCAGTATCATGGATATGGTGAAGAAACAAAAGTTTCGCAAGGGAAAGACCGTCGACGCCTTAACACGCGAAGATAACCTCTCCGTGGAAGCAAAGAATATATTGAAGAGCCTGGCAAAAGATTTCGTAGAGGGGTGTTTCAATCGTACGTACATGTTACCCCGAACTCCGCAGGCAAATCCAACCAATTGTATCCTAGCTTTTATCAGGACACTACTGAAAGACATTCGCTCTGAGCGGGCGAAAATCAGCGACAAAGATAACTTACGCCTTATGGTGATCTCGAAGTGGTTCCTGGAGTTCTTTGTTGCTCTTCGCACGAAGGAGGGATCTAGGTGGAACTTTGGGTTGATCGCTGAAGTCACTGAGAGGGAATGGATAGTGTGGGTCTTGAGGCGAATGAGAGAAGCGCTAGATGAGAAGGTTCGGATGCTTTATCCCCTGCTTTATCCCCTCTCCGTTTGATTGACATGGCCCCAGCCCAAACTATGGACTGAGCTCCAAGCCGGTATTGAATGCATGACCCAAATCCTCATTCTCGTCGATGCCATGGCGTCGTGTAGTGAGACCATGAAACCGAAAACCCCGATCAGCACCTCGGACGACCCTTTCGTAGTCAACAGCGATGACGATGGTTCAATGGAGGTCAAAGAGGCTGCCGAACTCCTCCAGCAGCAACTAATCTATAATGGCGAGGTCCTCGATTTTGCGCTTACCAGTCTCGCATCATATAAGGATGGCGCACAGTCACTTGGGTATCTGGACTCGAGCATTTGCTACAGCTATACTCTTTTCAAGATGATGGAGAAATGGAGTAAGGGCAAGGAGGCCTATGTCAGAAAGAAGGTGGGAAAACGGAGAAAGAAGAAGGCCGCTGGTGAGTTCCTCGCATCGGGGAAATCGAGATTGTATCAACTAAAATACTTGCGCTCTGCGTAGGAGATGAAGAGGGCGTTCCTGAAGTCGAAGAAATCAAAAGCGACAGCGAGGAAGAAGTTGTTCGTGAGACTATATTCACCTTCGAGGCCTTCGAGATGGTAAGTCAGGACACAACATCCCTGTTCTGATTGCTCACTAACTTTGCATAGAAACTAGCCAACTCTGAGATAACACGCACACTTTTAGCGTATCTCGCTCGATATGATGATTTCACGTCCTCAGAAGAGATGAAGAGGATTGTCGGGCTCATACACCGACAGGTTGTGCGTGCAAAGGCCGAGGGTCTCTTCTTCAATGCGAGTCACACTGATGATATCGATCCTCAGCCCACCGTCCTAATTTTATCACGGGTGTTTCTAGGTTTCGACGCTGGGTTTATTTAGGACGATTCTGGCGGAACAAAAGACGCTACCTCGAGAGCAGCCATACAAGGATCTCGTGAACTTGATCAACTACATTCTGCGGCAGTTCTTCAAAGCACTGGAGAAAGATTCATTCCTCGCCGTGGAGGTGCGTTAACTTTCATTCTATTATCCCTTGTTTTTCTTTCTTGTTATTGAGGCACTTGTCTAGGCATGGTTCCCGATGAATCGAGGCCACTGGAAAGAGTTCTCCAGTTATGAGCCAGAGGAGAGTTCTAAAAGACGTCGTGGTGCAACAAATGCTAGCTCTGACGACGAACCTCCTCCGGAGGTACAGGTCAAGAAAGGCTATTCGTGGAGCGACGAACTCGGTATCGCTATCGCTGCCTTGGTAGAAGATGGGCAAAAGGACCTGATTAATTGGACGAAAGAGGTAAAAATTTATCTTGGCACGACCTCACCTCTGACTGCTGCTGGCGTGTAGATTCTAACGCTCGTTATTGCGACCCGTCAGAAGATCGTCAAGGAAACCGACGCGGATGACGCCTCGTCCGACGACGACGACGAAGCTATTAAGCCTCGATTGGAGGGTCCTTCCAATGACGCCCTCGCGAAGTTCACTGACTTCAGTATGTAAGATCGAACCTTTGGAAATACCAGCGCTCATTTACATCCTCCAGTGGTTCCTTACACATCGGATGAGCAAGCAACGGCTGCTACAAAGAACGCTAACTTGAAGCTACTCTTCCGACTCGCCAAATTTTACATGGTTGATGAAGGTCAGTGTCTTTTATATTAACATTAACACAAATATTCATGTTCATTGACTGTTTACCAAGCGGCGGATGAAATCCAGTGGTATATCCCTGCCGCAATCACTCCTGACGAACTTCAGCGTACTTTGAAGGTCATTGATCAATTCCTGGAGACGCCGTTCGACCTCAATGGCGGGAGAGCAAGTCAACTTCTCTCAAAGAAACGCCGCCGCCGTCGGGCAAGGCACACAGATGATGTCGATGAGGAGGGGAACACGAAGAGGAAAGAGCGGAAAAAGAAAGAAAAGGAGAACTTCAAGTCTGCTGAGTTCATTGTGGACAGTGACGAAGAATATGGGGATATAGATGCGTTCTTAGATAAGGAAAAGGAAAAGCGAGAGGCCGCCGAACGGAATGCTGCACAAGCTGGCAAGCAACTGGGGACGATGCGCGCCACAGGGACGAAGAAAAGGCGGAGAAAGGGTGTTGAGAAAGGGAAGAGTAAGAAGAGGAAAGGAAATCCTGAGGGTGATGATAGTGATGATGACAACGGAGGAGCGAGGAGTGACGATGATATTGAGGTCGTTGGGTCGTCGCGTTCTAGTCCTGAGCGTGAAGAGCCTGTCAAGCCACGCCCTCGTCCACGGCCTAAGAAATCTGTTGGCCCACGTAACACTGTCGATGGAGATGGGCGCGCTTCTCCTGTCTCCCCAGTAAGCAGTCCCAAACCTTCGGCTGCTGGCACGCGGAGGAAGACAAAAATAGTCATTTCAGACGACGAAGAGTAGTACAATGTATGGTCTTGAACGTATATACCTGCCCAATAATATACCCATTTTGTATTCAGGGAGGGTATTTCTCCACTACACCGCGCAATTATCCAACACTTCTTCAACGTAGTCTGCCATGATGCGATGAGTCTCCTTGGAGGGATGGCTGCATAAGGAATGAGTTTAGTGATAGTCGTGTGGATAGTATTGGAACGTACTTGACGAGCCAATAAAAGGCGTGATCCGGGTCGGCACACTCCCCCGAGACAGTACACTGCGAAACGGCGCAACAGGGATCTGTGCTGGTAAACCCGAACGCTCTGAAACCTGGTGGAACCTGTGGGTTGAGGACGGCATCCCAAATTCTGGAAAAGTCGATGAACGCTACGTTCAGCCCGTTGTTCGCGTGGAACTGGGAAAGGCCGTCGAATATCTGCTGTTTCCAGAGTTCTCCGTCCGTGGAGTGGACCTGGAGCCCATAGACGTCAGCGACAAGGAATGAACGACCGTTGGTAGGCGGAGAGGAAAGAATTCGAATTTGGTCAAGGACGACCTGGGCAGCCTGGGGCATATGGTTGCCATCGCCTGCGATAGCCACATTTAGTCTGGATGAGGCGAGCGCTATGGCAGGACCTACTGTTATAATCACCAAAATCGCTGGATCGTCGTTAGCGTTCAAACACTAGTCGTTAGAGATTGCGAATCTTACTTGATGCCGAAGAATATCGCGTACAACGTTGTATCTGGGTCGAGGTTGTTATTCTGGCCTAAGAACGTGTCCACTAGTCGAGATCGAAAGTTATGACTTGCATACAACATGGGAGTTGAGCCGTACTTACTCTCCATCAAGAAGTCCACTTTCCTGGGGTTGCTAGGCCATAGACTCAAGTCTGTACACGCTCCAGCGATCTAACGGACAACTGAGTGATGCTCTACAGTGAATGAGCCAACGAGAACGAACGGCATAGTCTTTGATCGTAGCGCTGACATCGTTCGCCAGATGTTCCACCCAGACAAGGCCGTTCGTGGACCTACCACCAGCTAGTACATCGGGCGGGACGAGAACGGGAGGGTCTAAAGGTGAACCATCATGTTTACCGCCATCTGTGTACGAGTCCTAGTGACGCAGGAGAATGAGACCCATGAAAGTGAAATATGTCGAAGGAAAGGACGTACGCCGAACGCGACGATAGTTCTGTAGTTGCTGAGTACAACTCCAGCGCTCACATCCGCGAACGAACCGCCAAGGGAACCGCAGCGAGGCCCGATCGCGAGATGTACACCGTCGTTGCCACCAGACTGTCGAAGGACATTCAAGTGAGATGAGGCACCAAGTCGCGCGTGGAAGACTATGAGAGCGATCAGCGCAGTAACCTTCATGATAGACGGATGCTGCATGTATGCATTGAAGTAAATGAACCTTATATAGGGAGAGGATTGGCGTCTTCGTCGATATATGGAACGATGTAATCTGCCGCGACAATGTGATCCACGCGTATTCCTGCTCCTTGGAGAGCCAAAGATGCCGGGATTGTGATGGAAATCCTCGCGTACCGGTGGCAAGAAGCGTTTCGAGTTGGACGCCGTCGGTCAGGACTGCAGTCATGGTTAGAGGACTCTCACCATTGCCATTCCCGTGCCGCCATCTTCAGATGACCTCTAGCAGCAACCGCAGCGTGCACATCACCTCGAAGGGTTTAACGGCTCATAGCTCTTTGATCAGTCTAGATTCTCCGGTCGATCCCACACATATAAACTGCCTAGAATATCTTTTGAGAATATGCAGAAGGCATACGTAGGAGAATACATGGGCGTATAGTTGCATATCGATGTGGCGGCATGGGAAATGTGTGCGATCGAGACGAAGGTCAATGGGGCTACTCGAAACCAGGCTCCCTTGGTTTACTCAGCATCGACAACGGTTGTTTGTAGGCCCTACACAAAGACCATCGATATGAGAAACACAGCATAAATTGGGCGACGCACCTTGAAAGATTCGACGGGCACGAAGCTGGCGTATGTGAAAAGCTTCTCCTTAGCGTTCTCCTCGTCATTACGTTTGCCTACACCACGAAACCCCATCATCAGACCCAATGTCCCATATATTAAATAACAGATCACGCACGCTCAAGCTTCACGCGCATCCGGTGTGGCACGGACTTGATGCCCCTCGACCACAGCTCCTGGTTGAGTTTGGGGTCAACCCGTACGTCCTTCGTGCCCATCGCCTTCTGTGCGAATTCGACGACAGACTTGACTGCCCACGGGGCGCGCTTCTTGAATGAGCGGCCGTGCACGCGTTTGTGTAGGTGGATTGTGTACTCCCGGGTTACAACGTCCTGGAGAGCTGAACGGGTCTTGCCGCCGGTCTAACGTCCATGAGTGATATGGTAGCCTCTACGACAAGCGGTATACCTTTTTCTTTTGTGCTGGGGCCTGAGAGAGTCAAGGTCAGTACCGCATCTTTCGTAGGATCATACGTTCGACGTACCATTGAGTCTTGAGGATGTGAGTGTCGTTCCGCTTCAAAACCTGATACCTTGCTTAATCGCTCACGCTTTGGTGTTGTTTGGTCTCAAAATCGTTTAAGGTTTGGGCGCCACCCAGGTACTTTACAGTCTTTCGGCCTTTGCCGTTTAGCTCCTATTGCGTTGCCCCTATTCATTTTCCTCTCCGACAAGGTAAGCGCCATGATGGTAGCGGGAGATTGATATGTTGACCGTCGCTAACAGTAAATCGGAATCGGAAGCATCTTGAAATATCTACATCCAAAAATCTAGACGCGCTCTTGATTTCATTTCTTCAAGTCTCGCTACACGAAAGCCTCTTTTACATCGCGGAAGTGATCATTCCAGCGAGAGTCTCAACTGAGCCTCGTCTCGCTGTTTTGCAATTTTACGCGCCAAGAACCACATTTTGACGGGACCTGTCGAAGGTCGCTGAGATACCAGCGCCATGTGAGCAACGAAACATCAATACCAGGGGCGAGCCTGGACGATCATTCAGTTTAGGAGCTATATCAACTCCAAGCCCTGCACACTTTGATTTCATATGCCACCACGAGCGTCCTGACATGTATAAAGTGCCTATGTTGAAAATAGTGGACCTCAGACGTCCTTTTCCTGTCTAATCACTTTCCTTCTTCACTCCTTTTTACCTCCCCGCCGTTCCCTCTTTTTCGACACGTCCACCATGCGTTATACCATCGCCGCTGTTGCCCTCTTCGCCGCCTCTGCCGTTGCCCAGAGCATTCCTTGTACGTGGTTTCCTACAATCGGTCAATGTACCATTCTTATGAGATGATTGTAGCATGTGCCATGGGTTGCGTTGCCTCGCCATCAACCTTGGGTGGTTGCGATCAGAACGACATGAAGTGTCTTTGCGGGAGCAAGGAGTTCATCGCAGCCACCACGACCTGCCTCAACACAGCTTGTCCTGCTGACGAACTTGAGGCCGCTCGTGGTGTTGCTATCTCTCTTTGCCAGGCTGCCGTACGTTCCTGTCCCTCCGTTCATCGTGACGGCGGTATCTTAATTTATTGATCGCACAGGGTATTACTCTCGATCTCCCCGAGTCTGCTGCAGCTTCTTCTGGTGCTTCGACCGCAGCTGCTGCCAGCGCCACCGTACCAACCTCATCATCGTACGTCGTATTTCTCTCTTGATGAATTAATTTGTGATTCTAAGCTCCCATTTTTAGCGCTGCTGCCGCCGCTGCTACCAGCAACGCCGCCGCCTCAGTCGGTGCCAACGCATTTGCTGGAATCGCCGCGCTCGGCCTTGCCGCCCTCGCTCTATAGAGCATGACATCTATCTATTCCTTATAAGTCATCTGGAAGATGATTACATACCCTACCATTGGGTATAAATGCCCCATTTGTCCCTTGTGAAAGCAGTACATCGTATACATTATTCATATATGTATGGCATATTTGTTTGTTCTAGGAAGCATTCGTATTATTATCATAATGGGTTGAAACATCACTTGCCACCATCTATCATCTACCCATCTGCTCACCTAAATTGCTAACCTTCTCGCTCCACCGAACTCATGGAAAAATTTGAGCCGATATATAAATCAATCGGCTGCGAAGTTTATCACCAGCTGTGCAATGTCCATTGACCAACGTCAACAGTGTTAGTGCAACTCAAGTGCAACTATCATGCGCCGCCATGATTCAACTGACATGGTGTCGGTGACAACAGCTGACAAGTACCCACATGCTGCAATATGGGGACCCTGGGGTAGAGCTCCGTATAGGCGATTCAACTGGCTGACCGGTGGTCAATGTGGAAGCAGGAAGCCCATTCATGTCTTCGAAGTGGTGCGGTATTCCGCTGATCATTCTCAGCTGATTTTTTCCTTACACGCGATGTGCCAGTAGAATGGAGACTTGCCCCCACCACTGGCATAAGGCTCAAATCTAAGCTGTCGGTTACGAAATGGACGGTCTGCTCGCAGGAAAATGAGACCGTATTCTGAGATTTTGTAGATCTTTTTGATGTGCATCACATCCCGTCGTGGTCGTGGAACTTCAATTCCATACAAAACGCGAAAGAAGGGATGGTTTGGCATGATGAGATGATGTCATCACGAGCTTGAGATACAGATCATGATTTCCATCCAGTTCAGGGGGACCCTAGTCGCCTGAAAATCATATATAAAGAAAGCGCGACCGTAACACGACTGAAACTCTTCTTTCTTCCCCCCCATCACCATCACCAGTCCCTCTCACGACAACATGTTCACCCAAGTCCTCAGCGTCGCGCTCTTCGCCTTCTCCCTCGTTGCCAGAGCCCAGGACCTCCCCAGTAAGTTTCACACAGAGTTCAACAGCGCAACGCTGATGGGGACCACAATTCATAGGCTGTGCACTTACATGCTTGTCCTCGACGAGCGGCAGCTCCTGCAGCCAAACTGACATCCCCTGCCTTTGCCGCGACAATGCATTCATCAGTTCAACTGCTCAGTGCATCCTCACCGCGTGCCCCGCCGACCAGATCGCGGCTGCTACTCAAGCTGCCCAAGGTCTCTGTGGCGCTGCAGTACGTTCTTCCGTTATCACCGTGAATTCTTCCTGACATCAGTGTGAAGGGCGTCTCGGTCAGCATTCCTTCCGTTGCCCCTTCTTCCAGTGGTTCTTCCTCTGTTTCTGGATCTGCGACACCCACGGCCCCAACTGCGTCCGTGTCAGTCACTGGTACCCCCTCCACTACATCGTATGTCCGGTTTCAGTCATTTTGCTAAATATATGCGTACTGATTGTTATGCAGAAGTGGCGCTGCCCCTGCTCAAACTTCCAACGGAGCTGTCTCGCAGAGCGCCAACGCTGTTGCTGGCATGGTTGCCTTCGGTCTCGCCGCCCTCGCACTCTAATTTCCATTCTTCGACCTTTGTTACCCTTCGCATTAATCATACCGTCGTAGAGGGCTTCCTCCCACGTGGCGTCATTAACCACTGTGTCGAAAATATGTAAATTATTCAGATGTTCCTCACTTACAAAACCATGCAACCTCTGAAATGATTTGCTCGCAACTTAGACCCTAGTTCGAGGTGGAAGGGATTAAGGCAGGGCCCCATGAACTCTGCCGAGCGTTCAAAATGTTCCTACGCGCATCTTCGGAGCTTTCAATCTCCCAACAGATGTGAAACCAATTCACGGATCGTTCCTCGGCAGGAAATTGTATGATTGGACGGTTGAACCCATGGCCGAATTTCGGTCAAGAGGATGCTCGCTTCATAAGACGAAGAGTAATTTGCAGTCAATGTTCCAGACGATGAAAGTTGTGCGGTCTTTGGCGGTCTCGTCCACCATCATCCCGAAGACTTCGCAGATGGCTTCTAAATAAAATAAGTTACGAGCGAATAGTACAGAACACAAATAGGCTGATAATACACGAATTTAGTTCGGTTCCTGGCGGGCAAGCGAACATCGCAGCTTCCAGCATAGACACCGTCTTCGTTCAGAACGCGTCGTCTTCCATTCCAGTGTCAAGGCTTCCGATAGTGAACGCAGATAGGTGGCCGTTGTGGAGATTGTACCCGTGGCCGCCACCAAAACTCGGTGGCCCAGGGGTCAGGCCCGCTTCAGGGGACACAGGGGAAGGGACCTCCGGAGCCTCTTTGATCGGATGCAACGAGGGTACGGACTGCAGCTTGTGTAGGCTGATGTGATCGTGTTGACGCTGCGTGTGTGGTTCTGTTGATAATCGTTGGTAACCGAAGAAGGTACGTCGATGCCAAGGGAGCATGGCGCGTAGACGGGCGAAGGGAGATTGGCTGGGGAAGTGTAGCCAGCCAACCTGGGTGGCGTTGGATGATGAGGAAGAGGGTAAGCGTGGAGGGTGTGTTGCGGTGTGACTGTTGGGGTGCTGGTATTGGTGGCAAAGATTGGATTTGTGAAGAGGGTCGGTGGATTGGCGGTAATAGGTGTGCGCGACAATGAGTTGGAGGATCATGGGGAGGAGAAAAGATATAGGGAGTGCGAGAAGGTGGGTGAGGGTGTCGGCGGAATAGGCAGACGTGCAATCTACCGCTTCATGATTCGTGAGTGAGGGATGGGTTAGCGATTCCACGAGAACGTACCTCCGCTATCGTTTGAAGTAGGCCATGGATTAAGGCGCTAAGAGAGAGGAGGAAGGTAAATAAACATATACCATATACCGGAGACGAGACTCACGAAAGTGGATCTTAGCAACCCCTCGTCATGTATGCTCGAGTGTACGCATTCGCTGATGAGCTCATCCTATCTCTCGTGAGCACAAGGAACAGGTACATGATCGAGAGACCGGGGGACCGACAAACCTTGTATACGAGGTACGTGCCCGAATATGTGAGGCCAGCAACAGCTACCAGGATGGCGGATATATCCACCAGCCTAGTGTATGTTTCGATTAGATGTAAACGGCGCTAAGATCTATTTTAGGGCACCGAGGTTGAATCAACGTGGTCAGATAGACGTACTGGTAGGAGGTTGACGACGCTCCCGAATAGCTCCACTGTGCACAGCGTGATGTATATTATGGTGGTGACGTAGGAGAGGATGGCGAGCTCGGAGAAGCCAACTGTACAGGCACTGGTCAACGGATGCGATCCTTGAGGCAATGGAAGGAAGCGGAAGCGCACGGTGTTTGTCGACATGGAAGTCGTTGAAAGCGCTGATCTGTTTTTGGGCAATTCGATAAAATTTCGAGTCAGATCATATGTAGATGTGATGTGTTATTAGGACGGGGGACTGACGGCACTAGAAGATGCAAGATGAAGGAGATGCGATCAACGGCGTGCATGGAAGCTTGGGGGTTGGGAATGAAGACATACGAATTTAGATATCGAAGGACGTTGAGGGAGGAAACTTTGTCGTTCATTATCAGTTCATTATCGTTCATTAAGGGGTGATACCGGAACATTCGAAGATACTAACCAAGTATAACAGGAGCGCGCCAGCTGAAGGTGTAGATGCGGGAGAAGGTGGGGGTGCATGTCAGTGTAGGACAACGCGGTTCGGTCCTTCGAAGTGCTACATAGAAGAGATCATACACGGATGCAGTCAGATATGACAGTCGGTGATTGGGGATGTCGGTGGTATGTGGATGGTTGTTAGTCTGCGAACCTGGGTGGGAGTACCGATTGTCAACTGTGATCGCAGCATGTCAGACTAAGTGTGTTGATTGTAACTTGCAAGTCAGATTAGTGTGGGACTCACAGCGCAAGTGCAAGGGTGGTGGTCGGACCATTCTGTGAGTCGACATGATGAAAGGAGGCTAGTAGGAGAAAGTGGATTCGAATCTAGTAGGGAATGTTCGTTGCGGTCCTGCCAGAAGACTCTAGGGTGGTGGGTGTCCAGCACGGCGATGGTGGTGGTGCAACAGAAAGCTGGCGCAATCAGCCCGGCCTCCGTTTCGTGTCGTCGCCCATGGACTAGATCCTGTGCTGATTCCTTGCTTACCTTTGAAACGGTTAGTATCCCCAATTTGTTGCGTGCACGCGATCGTCGCGCATAGCCTCGGTGTGATTGATACTTACTCGTCGGGTGCCATTACCAGCTCGCAGTCAAATGCATCGGTTTGGATATTGTGCCTTTGTAATAGCTTGGCCATGGGTCACGCCTTGACTTTGAATTCCGTAGTCTATCGAAATAATGCATGATAATGTTGCATGACTGCGTAGTACAGCCAACGGCCAGGTATAATTTTGGTTTAGATACACATACGCCCGGTTGCATCATTCCCATCATAACCGACGGAAAGATGCTTGTGAGATGCGAACATCGTGGAAGTAACCGCGAACTGGTAGCTTGGTGAATGAGTGGCACGCGCCAACTATAACGCCAGCGCCAACCGCCCGCCTCTAGATGTTTCCGTTGCTGCGGGAACCAAACACGGACAAGCACACTGCTCCCATTCCCATTGTGACGCCCTTCGCACTGCCACTTTCCACTTCTTAACCACAACCACGCTGCGCACGAAACCCTCCTCACCGAAACTTGTAACGAACCTAAATTCCATGGACTACAGTAGACCTGCTCCTCCACAAGGTATGTGAAACGTTCGGTCTGCAGAGATCTAACTAATCTCTTAATTGCTGTTAGGTAATTGGGATTTGGCGAGAGGCGCTCCTCCTGAACAAAGACTGACCAAAACCTATTTACTGTAGGCCCGCCGCCGACGTATGCATTCGTGACGAGGTACTATAAACGTACACTAAGGCCGTTTGTATTGCTATGTCCGTGTCCTTTCCCCTTTGACGTACGGACGATTGCTGACCCAAACCAGTCGCATTCCTCGGTGCACTATGGTCGCTCTTCTCGTGAGTGGCTTCTCTTCGGATAGTCTCCTACACCTTTACTGAACCACTCATTTACAGAGCCGTATGTATTCTACGCATTGTCTGACGGTCATTCGCCCTAACATGTTGCCTGTCAGATTGGTTTCTTCCGTGCAATCAACATTGAAAAAGCAGGTGCGTATTACGATGTCCTTTAGCCGAGTCTTTCTCTAATTGTTTATCAGAACACCCCCAACTGTCAACATTCTCCATTGCGCTGGGCGCACTGTATATGGCCGTTTGTGTCATTGAAATAATAGGCGTTGTTGGATCGGCTATGGTATGTTGGCAAGGCAATCTCTCCGACCTCTTGCACTAACGCGGCCGATCTCAGCAAAAACTAGCTCTTGTCAGAATTTATGCCCTCGCCTCCGTGCTGGCCTTTGTCATCGTTCTTGCCGCCGGTATCATGCGTATTGTCATACACTTCCAGTTCAAGGTGTGTAGTCCGGTGCTATCATGTCGGGCAGACAATTGATTCAACGAACACATTAGGACGTCTTGATCAAGGAGTGCTCGGATTCGACTAACGGTCGAACAATTGTATTCGTGAGTACTTCTGATGTGTATTTGTTGTACTGGTTGCTTACCGCAACTCACATCATAGCGTTATGGATTGTTCGGACCAATCACCAGCGATACTATCAACCCAGAGGAGGCAGATCGATGTACGCTCCCCCATAACATGTAGTGAAATAGTTTGATTGACCATCGCCCAGGGTGTCGACGTGCTTGGGATCGCGATTCTTGGGGAGAGATAGTCTCACTCCTCATCATACTTTGTACGCATTGACACCGCCGTTTCCTGCTACTTTTAACCAAATCTTCATCTAGTCCTTGCCGGCATGTTCGCCTCGATCGCATTCGCGTATTATCGACAGGTACTGGACCCGTCGAGTCCAGCAAACGCCTCCCGTGCCCCGTCAAGCCAAGTTCGTGCTGCCGGCTACCCCACATACTACAACCCCCCGTACAATGCCTCCGCCGTTCCCAACCTAGGCTATTCTCAACCTCCTCAGCAATACCCACCTCCACCAGGGCCACCCCCACAACACCGTGACGAAACCTTTGTACCACCGTATGATGGCAAGCCCCCGGGGTACGGTGCGGGCGACAGCGGTGACTTCATCGGTGGAAAGGACGATAAAGAAAACCCGTTCGCGGATTTTGATGAGCGGGACGTCACGAGTCGACCAGGACCGGGTGGAAGGGACGCTTTCTGAACAACTAAATCATAACAATAACCAGCAGTAACGATCTTGAAGACGACGTCGACGATGCTACGGACATTGATATCATATGCTAATTCTAAATACTCATTGTATATGGATTCCTTATTGTTGCAATTCATATCTGCTACGTAGTTTTGTACTATTACTATCTTGATCAGCCAATCGCATATGCTTGTATGCTTGTAGCGGTCGTATCAGTAGCGGCCCAATAACATATATCGAGCTTCTCATTTGTCGTCAGATATCCCGCATTTGCAAAACGCCGTCTTCGTATCAACACGTTCGTGCCAGAGGTGTGAACTCGGCCTGTTTGTGGAACCTGCAAGGGAACGTCTACCCAGTATTCTGGTGCTCGCAAGGCTCACACACTGGCAGAAAATCAACATCGGAAGGGACTTGGATATGGGAACGGGCAGAGTACCGGCTTCCTAGAGAACCTCCGACCAACACGAAAACGCATGTCCCAGAGACTCCGTTTGCCATTTGGAGATCACAAATCAACGTTTTCTATTGGGTTTTGGACTTGACTGCCCGTACATGTTCATCGGCAAGGTTGATTGTACCGCTGACTGTTAGTGCGGCGATAGATCCGATGACATATCCACTGACAATGCCGAATGCAGGTGTTAGTGGCCACGCCTGAGAGCAACGAAACATGAGGCCGGGCATCAGCGAAAAAGAAGTTTATCACTGCATACCTGCCATGGACGGTCCCAGTCCAACGCAATTGGGATAACACCGACCCAACTTCCTGCAACAGCGCCGAGCGCGGGGTATACCATCGCTCTCTCTACAGAATTTCTTGATCTAGCGAGAGAAAAGCCAAAAATAAGTCAGTATCGGGGATGGCGCTCTATGAGAATGCGTTGATGGTGGAGGTGGTGATGGTGATGGTAGGTGGTGGAGGTGCTGTAGTGTTCGGTAACTTACGAAAATTCGGCGAAAAGGCGAACCCATGTCATGCGAATCACGAACGACTCCGTATCGCCCTTTGAGAAAGGAATTCCTAGCGTGTAAGCAGGGGGAAAAACTACCATGATGGATAGTAGAAGCCCGAGGAGATATGTCTGGAGGACGTGGCTTGGAAAGGCCTCAGCGTTTCCCCTCAAGAGCCGAAACTTAGTCGCCACGTACCTAGTGATGGGCGCGCCGAAGAGGACGAGGATGATATGAAAGGCAACTGAGGCCAGTAGAGTAGCAATCCATCCGTCTCGGATATCCTTGGTGCAGAGTAATCGTCAGACAAGCTCAATACCGCCGCGAATAGCTCTAACCCCGTCGCTCTTTGCCTTACCTTGAGTTTCTTCTGAATCACTTTGTCCCTTTTTTCGACTTGGTCGTCAGTGCCATTTAGAACGACCAGTTCGATCCACCATCTTCTGATCCAGCCGCCCCACCAGGCTTGAAGTACCACAGCCCCGGCACATACGCACGCCATTGTCCATGTCGGATTCAGCGTAAGCGGCGCGAGAAATGGGTGCTGCGGCTTGTCCCGAGAAGTCAGTTGGCTCGCAACCGGCTTTGGTGCGAGAGAAGGGTCAAGGAGAATCGTTGTTCGCGGTAGAAAGAGGGCCACGAATAGCAAAAGTGTCGAATGCACACCCACAATGGAGGTGTAGCCGGCGAAGGGGAATTTCATGGGCGACACCGAGAGTTTGGAGTCCAACGCGAATTGATCTGGAGGCGGACGCGCCGGCCGCGTGCCCCCCTTGTGCTTTGGGGCCATTCGCGTGTTCAGGAATACAGAACAGTGACACTGTGAAGTGAATGGCACTTGCAAGCGAAACTTGGCAACAACTGGCAGCTGAAGCTAGTAAACCCAAAAGGAGATAGGGGGCGTTTCCCTTGTCATACTTTTCCCGAGTCTATGCTCTCTAACAGCGGCATGCGACAGATCATGATGAAAGAAGAACGGTGCGCACCAAGTCCGTATGGCACTATAGATCATCATTGTGGCGAAGCGATAATTGCAAATCTATCTAAAGACAAGTTCCGCGAACGACTCGTACCATGATAATTGCTCCTTGTCACAATTTTAGAAATGCTGTATACGATTTCCGTCTGGGATCTGGCGGGAGTCCATCAAAAATTTCAGGAAGCCCGGAGAAGACTATTAGATGGCAATCCTGAGACCACCAACAAAATTAGTAGCCGACTTGTTGGGTGCCAATCTATCACTCGCTTGGTAAAAACGCCGGGGGACTTACAAGGGTGGTGCTTCTGGCGATGTGCCTCCTCAAGGTCTGATGGTGGGGCTCGACGTAAAATTACGAAGCGGCCTTGGGATTGTTTCTATAAAAAAAGACAATTTCAGATTGTGGCTGCGCCCAGGCATACCCTAGAGGCAACCGATTGGTCTCTGATTCTATTCAACGTGGTGTGGTGCGGACACTGGGTACACGTCGTCAGCTGCTTTCACAATGGTCTGCGGCCCGCCGACCCAAGGGAACAAGGGAATGTTAAATTAGACAAATTGTCGAAGTCGACTCCTCATTTGTGCGAAAAGGACTCCGAAAAACTTCTTTCCAGGTTTATCGTCCGTGGGATGAGGAGTTTGAATCCTGGCTGGATACTTCAACCAGGGCGAATACAGCTTTATTGCACATGCTATGCTTCCAACATGCCTGGGCAATGGCTGGGTCGTTGGAGCATTAGATGGACCAAGATACTGGCGGGGCAATTTACTTCCTGGAACAGCCTGGAACACACGTGATCGTTATACTGTTGTGAAGCGCTATCCAGCATGGGCGCTCGGTATTCGCCGATGCAACTATCCAGTACCAAGCCACCGACCACTTTAGGCACAAGTATAGTATTGACCTCGACGCCGGCCCCGACATCCTCAAGAACAAGAAGGTACGTCGTTATGCTGTCCTTTCGTTGAGTTGCCTGCTAATTCTATGATTTATATCTTCTTTAGACCCCGTTAATCCGGACAATGTGAGTACTACACTGGCAAAATTTCTATCTGGGAGGACAGTGCGAAATGGGATCTATGCCGTGGTAATGAGAGGCCAGGAGGAAGTGGAGGGGATGCGGGTAGATGGGCCTTGTGGGGGGCTCGTTGGCGTTGCGGGCTTGCGGTGGCGCGAACCAGGATCACAGATGCTAATGTACACCAACAGTTCACCCGATGGCCCAACGTGTTACTCTTCGCAAGCGCACTCCCTACAACACCACCTCCAACCGCCGGAGAGTGGTCAAGACCCCTGGTGGCAAACTCGTATATCACCACCTCAAAAAGCCCGCCAGCGGGCCAAAATGCGGTGACTGTGGTGTCGGTCTTCCAGGAGTACGCCTTATTCGCTCTATCAGGAAGATAATCGCTTACGGTATCTCGTATCTGTCCTCGTATAGATCCCTGCCCTCCGACCGCGTCAGTATGCGACCATCTCCAAGCGTCAGAAGACTATCTGCCGTGCATACGGCGGCTCACGGTGTGGCTCTTGTGTGAAGTCACGGTGAGCATTTCCTCCATTCTTCACGTTCAACAGGTACCGACTATCTCCCAGTATCCTCCGTGCATTCCTAGTGGAGGAGGCGAAGATTGTGAAGAAGGTCATCAAGTCGCAGCAGAAGACCGTCCGAAAATAAATGATCTTTTCCGCACAATCGTGTCGCACCACCGATGGTATATCGCAGCATTTGCCTTGTTTTATGACCTGTATGCAACATAACTTTACTATGAATCCATGCATGCATTCCACCGTCTTTTACAGCTTTCAAAGGCTTCTCTAAGTACCCACGATGTCTCACGCGATGTCACTTTCGTGATTGATTCAGCCTCTTAATGTCGTTAATATCTTTACCATCATCTCAGTTCTAGATGTAAACATGCGACGTGTCTATGGCTAATCAATTCAACGTTTCTAGGACTCGCAGGTCGCCTATCGAGCGTGTGACAAAGTCTGGGACTATTGGCGATGCATTCGGTCCACTAATGTCCGCTTCAGACGTGATGCCTGGAAAAGGGTTGCCGTCAGACAAGCTAGCGAGAGAAGCGGTCGACAAACCCGTCAAGACGAGAAGTGTTGCAAGCCCCCCGTTTTGGCCGAAAAGGATGTCCGTGTTCAAACGATCGCCGATCATTATCGTGCGCTTGGGGTCGAAGTCAATCCTACGAGGGTGTCTTCTCAGTACGTGGCAAACATGCTCATTATTGACAAGACGACTTACTTGGCTTTGATGCAATCCAGCATTGTGGTTGCAGGCTTGCCGATCGAAATTGGATCCTTTCCCAAGGCGAACCTTAATGGTGCACTGATGGCACCAGCCCCGAGCAAACGTCCTCCGGCTACAGGGTACGTGCTGTCCTCGTTCGATGCCAAGAAGTGGCATCCCGGGTTGCGGGTAAGATACTGGAAGGCTTTTGAAAGCTTCCTGTAAGTCATATGGGTGTCGAGTCCGCAAATGACCGCGCCGACGGCGGGATCGGGTTTGAACTCCGTGAGAGAAAGTGGTTCGAAGGTGCAGTCCTCAGGATCCTTGCAACGGAAGTGTGAACTAACATAACTTTCAATGGTGCCACGCGAACACACGCAACTGTTCCACCAATGTAAGAGATACCTTCGTCGCGGAGTTCTTCCTCCATTCCCTCCATGCCAATGACGAAGACCTTCTTGTCCTTGGGAAGCTTTATGACGGACGAGATGTAGACAGCAGATGCGAAGGCCGATCCATAAATTTCGTCCTACGAAAGCGGGCAAGTACATTCATGGGTAAAAGTAAAGGTGACGATGGACCCTTGCTCTCACCACATGAGCTTCTACACCCAGATGGTCAAACTTCTTCTTGTAAGTTTTCCGTGACTTCGTGGCGTTGTTTGTCACAAAGACAATCTGCTTCTCTGGGAGTGCATCGGGCCCAAGTGACATGCGGTGAAAATCAACCAGGTGGATCCAAACAAGCGAAATTCAGTGATTGTAGTGAATATTCCATCACGGCGGTGAACAGTCAGGCTCGCGATGGGTTACGAAGCGGGGGCCACGATGGAGGGTACATACTTCTTCGACGCAACATGGCCAGGACCTCGACGGCGCCATCGATCAGTTCGTCGCCTTGCCAGAGGACTCCGTCGCAGTCGAACATAAATACATCGTAGCGATCCAGCAAGCCAGCATAATCGTCGTCTGACGAGAGTGTAGTGCTCATGATTGGGAAGGACGACTGGTCGCGATCAACGATGGCGACAATAATGTTGCAGCGGGCCGCTCTTCGTCCGATCGCCTTGCCGGAGTCAAAGTTCGACTCAGCTTACATCGGAGTACGAAAAGCACATATGCGATCTATCATCCGGCGGAAACATCTCTCTCAGGAAAAGCTTCAATGATTCTCCGAGTGGTGACTAGACGGCTTCATCCTTGCAGATGACCATCTGCGTGGAATTTATCATGTATCACCGCGAATACTCCCTAACAGCTATTGACCCTGCCCGGCATCTCAATATCAATGTCTGAGCACCTTCAGCTCACCCGGGCCCTTCTTCGGCCTCTGGATTGGGCTATCTGGCGCTCAGCGCTTTTGGGCCCACACACCTGGGTAAGCTCGGGTTGACCAAGAGAACTTTAAGGAAAGCCTTCTGCTCCCCTTGCAAGTTAATATCCGACTGAAGGGATGCATTTCTCAAGCTAGTGTACCCCAACAAATGATCCAGTATTGGCACCCAACTTTAGGATCGAAGGTGGAGTGTGAAGCCCTGAAGCGCGAGTGTCAACGCGAGCAGTCAGGCCTCAGGCCTCAGGGACGCATTGATCAATGCCATTATGGTCTTTCCTTCTGCCCGTTGTAAACAGAAACACAGAACTTCCCTTCCATTGATCTTGACCACCTGCTAGACGGCATGCCGTCTCCGCCCTTGTTTACAAGTTGTGTGAAGCTACGAGAAGATCAAGAAGTCTGGAGGCATGGTGTCTTGATTGGCGCAGGAAGTTTTCAACGTAGGACATCGTCAGCACCAACGTCAACTCAACAGCCATCGTCCATGGTCCCTCCTACCTCCCACCTTTCGAAAATCCCTCCATGGGGATGGAGCGGAACGGTAATCCTTGACACCCATACATCCTCTGTATTGGAACTTACAAATATATTGGGTAGGCATCGCCGTACACCCGGATCCACATCATCCCTCGGTGATAAAATCTGATAACAGTCGATCGATAAGTGTTCGACGGAATATGCCGTTTGTGCGGCCTCTCGCTGCGACGGAGATGTTAAAGGAAAGCCATTCTATTTCGGACGAAGGCACATCGGACGGGGTTCCGGAAGGCGACTAGTTGCTCGAACAGGAGCTTTACTTACTGGTAATGGACCAAGCTTTGCCATTGAATTCTCGTTAGAATGCGATAAATAAATAATTGTGGGCATAACTCAAAACAACGGGCGAGTAAGTCGTAACTTTATTACTTTTATTGCTCTCTTTAACAGCTTCGAACAGCGACTACATGCAGAGAATATTGGCTCAAAAATAGTCTAAACCATCTATCAAACTCTGGGGTGCTCGTGCTTCACTACGTGCCTTTGCGTGCTTTGAAGTTTCTTTGTGGCTCGGCAAGTCTTTTCTGTGTTTATCCTTGCCTTTGCTACGCTTAGGACTTATTCCGTACAGAGTCTGGATGTCTAGAAACTTCAAAGTAAGTTGCCGCGCAAGCTCCTCTTCGACGGCGTTCTCCAACTTATCCATAGTTACAGTTGCCCTCCCCAGTTCCCAGTACAGTACGTTCGACAGCGCGCTCTTGCTTTCAATAGAGAAGCAGCTTGTGAATCCGGACTTCGCGGAAAGGAATGACGTCGGATATTGCGCTTGTCGTGCGCGAAATGAGGCCCGAGTCGTATCTAAAGCTGGCCATGATGGTGGCGGAGCGCTATCAGTTGATATATTGTGCGCGTCAAGACGGTCCAATTGCATTTTGGTCAACGACACGGCGTCCAAATTTTCTAGGTACAGTGTCTCTTGAGGCTGCAGCACCTGTCAGAATCATTGCCAGACCGCCCGACGAGAACGTACCCTACGGAAGGCTGTCCCCAATAATTTTGTTTTCATGTCGTGCAATTTCACGTAGATCCCGATTGCTTCTATCGCTTCTACCCCCGGGTGATCGAGGAGGTCGCTGTAGACCTTTCGCCGCCGGGCTTCGTGCCACTCTAATATCCTACCGACTGGGATGCTCACCACCGTGGGCTTAGCCTCCATACATGCAATTGCATGTATCAAGCTCGTGATATGGGTGATATTGGTATGGATCGAATACCTCTCTTGGAGTATCTTCGCTGCTGCTGCACCTTCCGCTGTTCCAGGAATCTGTGGAGCGTTAAATAGGTTAAACGTGAGTGATATGTCGAAGTAATTAGCTCTTACGCTGATGACAACCCGTTCATTAGTCGTCCCTTTTTTAATGAAGCCTGAGTGTATACGTCTGGCGTCCTTGACCATTTTCGATGTAGAGGCGTAATTTTTGGGGTTTACGAACGTCAGGTGAGGTCCTGGGACACAATCGAGCAATGCTACGCCGAGTTCCACTAGCTGGTGGCCGTTAGAGCGGGATATGAAAACGGGTGGAAGCAACTCACAAAGGCGGCTAATACTTCTTCGGCGAGTGAGTCTTTGCTCTTCATGGCCTGGATGCTCTCGCTAACTTCGATTAGTGTTTCTCTGGGTTTCTGGCGCTGCCCCACTTACGTGTTGTCTACGACACTTTTCGTGGCTACCCAGAGATGATAATAAATCTCTTTGGTGCCGAGCATGCTCATGACTTTCCTCGGGTCTACCATTGTCCCATCAAGGTTATGGGTCATGAGGGCTGGAGAATCCATGTCTAATGAAAGTTGCACCTGTTACAGCGCGGAGACTTACCACTCAGATCTATCGTGCCGCCCGTTATTGCTATATTCCGTTTCCGCAAGATTTTCTGGAGCTGGCAGAATGAAATTTCCGAAGACAGCTTCCTAACTGCGGGCATGTGTTCGTCCCTCGCGGCAAGTGGCAATGAGTTGTCATTGGCTTTCTTGTTTGACCCGGACGGCGACTTCGTAGATGACATGGCAAGTTTCTGGCGAATTTCCGATGTGTTTGCAACCACTGGAAATAGGGTGTATATACCGACTACCATTTGAAGTCACCTCTGTTATATGCCTCCTTGGGTGGCAAGTTGTGGTGCTTTGGCCAGCAGTTGCCAGTAGCCTTAGCCACCGGTGGCAAAATGGCTTCGCACTGGCCACCTGAAACAGACAACGGCTCAATAAAGGGTGAACATTAAATAAATAGGAGCTGATAAGCATGCCTTTGCCCATGAATCAGTATTGACGTTCTGTTCGAATAACTGTCCTCGGACAACATTTGAATATTGGATTTCGTAATTCAATGCGCACTCCGATGGCGATCTCAGAGGACCAATCTCTAATCGGGGGGCAAGCTTCTCAGATTCTCTATTAGGCCATCTGTCGCTTCTTGGGATTATACTTCGCAATTAAGCTTCTTATCTACTTAAGTCCCACACTCACACGTGTTGGCCGAGTGGAAAGTCACCTCCAGAAGGAGCATCGAGCATGATGCAAGATGATGAACGAGTGGATTACAACAGGTATCTAGCTATGAACACGTCCATAGCCATAAATATTTAACGACCAAGTTCGCTGCGAAAAGCATGTCTATCGGCGGGTAATATCAAGGCGCGGAAATCTCAACGGACATCGATCCCAAAAGGGTATACGGCAATTATATAGACGACAATAGATGGGACTCAGCGATGAAGATTTGGTCGCCCCGACGAATACGCGTGCCATGTGTCCATGTCGTTTCCCGTTGCCGCATGGCCATAGGAATTTGGCAGGGGATAATGTTGATGCTGATGTTGAGAGTGCTGAGGTGGGGCATGGTGATGGTGATTGGAAGCCTATGAGAGTCTGTCAAATCCGGAGCAACATAGTAAGAACTCTGGCGGCGTACCGCGTAGTTGTCTTCCTCCATTTTGACGGAGCCATAATACTGATGGCTGGGCATTGAAGGTCGCTGCTGGACGGGAGAGTGCGACGTCTGTTGCATTTGGGCGGGCTGTAAGGGGGAAGAGACAGAGGAGCGTCACTAGGATCCAAAGAAGTTCTAGCCTGGCTTTGGCCATGGTGGCCGTGAGCAGAGAAAAATACTCGCCGAGAACGGTGGGCTTGAGGTCGAACTTGAGCCAGACGGCGTATCTGGCATTTGGAAAGACGACGCGTGCATGCTGAACATAGGCGCAGAGTTTTGCGATGAGTGGGCGCCGGAATGAGGCATGCTCGAATAGCTGCTATGAGCCATGGATTGTGGAATTGTTAGAGGAGGAGGGCGGGCGATGTCAGGGTTGTGGGGTGTGGGGTCGGTCGGACTCTAATCAATACTGTCACGGATGGACGATGCGTGCATGATGAACATGAATACCAGGTAAAGATCATCTATACCGGTCTTCCGTCGTTTGAAGTCGCGGTCGCAGGCTCTTGCTTCTTGATATGTTGTTATGGATGTCCTCCGTGTCAATTCGAGTGGCGAGGTTCGTGTCGGGTCTGACAGCATGCGACGCATCTCGTCGTTTTCCCGTTGAAGGCGCGCATTTTCCTGTTCGAGCTCCTTGATCTTGATCAAGGGAGGCGGGAGTGCAGCGACTTGGTCAGGAGAGAAGCCCAACGCCGTCTGCAGCTTGGTGACAGTTTGCTCTAGCTGATATCAGCGGTAAGTAAGTAGCGGTCGCGGAGCTGAATGACTAGCAAGGGCAAGAATTGAATCACTCCGCGAGACGTACCTGCTCAATATAAGCTTTGCGCTTTGCTCGATGTCTTGCTTGGGCTTTGGCGTTACGGCTGCGCTCAGGGCGTTCAGAGAGTGCCGTACTATGATGACCGGTAACGCTGGACATAACGAAAATAACGTAAGTGGGGGAATGGCAACTGAGTCGGGGTTTCTTCCCAAGGAAACCTGACACACTTATAGTCCATCCTTGAATGCCGCCCAGAGTAGAGATGAGGGTATTCCTTCGCCATGTTCTTCGGCCTTTCGTCCATTTTGGAGAGCCAACGGTAGCTGACCCTGTGAGAGTTTATGGATGAATTTCCTGCCCGTTGTTTTGGGCCAGAATTCACATTTCCGAGCAAGTAATATATAGTACTATCACCATATAGGGAATACTGAGGGCCGAGTCTATTGACTTGCTTCGATGACCCTCCTTGTCTCCATTAACCGTGCGCCTTTGAGCTGGCTCTCGTAGTCTCCTTCATTAGACTCGTTCGCGATCCCCTTCCTTGTTGCTTCCTGCATATTTTGGGAACACAAAGTTTACTGTCAACTCCGCTCTGGATGCTTGTCAGCAACACCTCGCCGGTCGGCACGCCCGGCTGTTGCACCTCGTTTTATGCCTGCAAGTCTGTGTTGGTCAACTGTGCCTGAGACCGTGGCCTGCTGGTGATCGGGGATCAACGAGAGAATGCTTCCGTTCCCCAGAAAGGATCTCATGCAACTGATCGTTCTGACACTCCGCGATACAGATACAATTATCTACAAGAATGCCAGTCCAAATGGTTTAGTGGCGTTCTCTGGTCTTGTCTTCCTTACTTTATATTCGCTCTCCTGCCCATCATACTTAAACCTCCCCTTGTTGGCTAACCAAGTTCCTCGGACTTCCTTGGGAAATGATCTATTTGCTCCTTTTCACACCAAGGTCGGTGTGCTACCACGTCAGCTGGACGTCGCTGCCTAAGCATCTCCTCCCTTGATGCTCCAATATACGCCTTGCATCCTAATCGTCGCTGATAAGGTGCCAGTGTCTCTATCCCAAGGTTCGAAATTTACGCTGGACCCAGATCGGCCTTCATCGGGCGCAAGTTTACGACCAGTTCCTATACCTCTCTTAGATCTCCTGACATCAAGGCGTTAGACCTGGTAATTGAGTAGAAAATAGCAGATTCCACCACAGTAGGTCGTCCGCCGCTATTAAGAGTACATCGCTCCGCACTTGCACATTGTTTGCCAGATGTTGGTTCCACTACTGATTGGCCCGTTCTCAGCGGCGACTATTTTTATCGACCCGAATTGCCGTCCATCCTGGCGGCAAACAACCGTATTCCTGAGGCTCTCAACGAGTCCTGAGCATCAGAAAAGTTGAGAAGTACGATTAATATCGGGTATTTCCGCTCGTGGCCCGTGGGCGCGATGCACATACCCCATAGCTGTTCATTATGATTGACCGTGGTTTGTTGGCCCCGAATGGACAGTCGTTTCGGTGAGGGAAGCACTTCGTGACGGGCACACTTCGAACGTTGCTATCGCCTCGTTCTGTCAAAAATGAACCGGCGGATAGGTATGCCTTAGCGCTGAGGCCCACTAAGGTGCTAATCTCGAGTTCGCCGTTTCGATGAGTTTTCCGTTTTCCGTAGTCGTTATCAGGAGACGTCAAGGGACTCGCATTGTAGGGAATGGTGGAAGCCAACAACAACAATGACTTGGCACCGGTGAAAAGTAATGAAGGAAGAAAAACAGGGTTACAGTCATGTGTGATAAGCCCAAGCGAACCACGGCGATACTATCAGACTGATAAATCGTCGAAAGGCTGCATATAACTGATTATCGCGCCCCAACAAAATGTATAGTCCCTCACCGTGGTCCACCAAGGAGATATCATACTTCCGTGCTCCGTATATGACATAGGCTCAAGCGCCGCCGCGCGAACATGGCAACCGAAGAACGGGCATAGAATCATCTATTCATATAAAATTGTCAGAGTAGAATGGTAGAGTGGAATAGAATCGCGACCTAGACTTCGGAACTGATCCTACATTTTGGAAACATTTAGCAATATTCCGGGTCTTTGTAGGAGGTAAACGGAAAATACCGCCAAGATGCGCTTCATTGACAAATATATCCACACGGAATAATGCAATCTGACGCATGGCATGTCGGGCACCCCGTCGTAACATCCAGAGTCGAGTAGAGTCGACGCAGGCTCAACGCTAGCACCATTCGGGGTTGGTCTTTCGCCTAATGCTACTAGCACTTCCTGGATGAAAGGTTCTGGACAGGCTCAAAGCCTCTCCCCTTGGCGTGATTGAAGAGACCGTTGAACGGTCTCGCTGTCTCATCAACTCGGAGATTCCACAGTTTTTGCTTGTATCGTCGGGTACAATGTTCTACAGGCATGTACATGTACGCTGGTGCATTCGGCGAGGTAGCGCAACAATAGCAGTCGAATGTTGAATGGTTATGAGTATAGACCGGAGACCGGAGAGTCAAGCCAATGACTCGTACGCTAAACCATGATGGGTAAGTACAGCTTTCGAATGTCGACCCACTCACGAGTGTAACACCGCGATCCGCCGCTGAGGTAGTGGGGTTCAGTCCACTGGTGCTCCGCTCTTCAACTGAATAGAGCGATTGCCTGGAGCAGTTTCACGAAATAGGCCTCATCCCTTCAAACTCGTCGTGAGCTCCATATACGTTTCCGACAAGCGACGTCAAGCTGCCTCTGCCTATCTTATCCCTTTGGGGTAGGACGTCCCAGGGCTGCTGACGTTGTCTGATAACTCAACATATTTGGGTGGATCGAAGTAAAACATACTGCAAGTGCCCACCCCTTGCATCGTAATATAGGTCTTGATGAGCTTCAAGTACACCCAAAGTCTTAGGAAGGCCCATATCCGGCGCCAACCTGATCCTGTCACTGGTGAGCTAGCACCTACGGCTTGTTCCATCGCCCTTTTTGTCGTCGTCGTTTGAAAGGGCGACAGCGCCGTCATGGTTTTCGTTGCTGGTGAAATTAGTCAAACGCCGTTCGCCGTTTCTATTTCGTCGGTTGAGTTGGGCCTGAAAGGCCACAAATAGTCCGTGGGATAGCGGCCAGCGTCGAGCAGCTTGTCCATGTGGAGCCCTTGGGACAATGCTGTAGATGAGGAATGAACGTCATGATTTCGGAGACCAGCCCGGTCCACCCACATTCCCAGGACTTCTTGCTCACATCAATTCATGTCAAGCCCGGTGCTCTGCTAGAAGCGACGGGGCAGAAGCCCTATGAAGGAAGGTACATATTCATTGTCTATCAAAGGGGAAGGCCACGGAGCGTACCTTTACGACGGAGGCTGGACCACTGGCAGCCGAGTAGCAAGCCTCGTCTACTGCGTCGATGCCTAGACGTGGGAGGAGTAGAAAGATGAACCTTCGGAAGAGTGTACGTGACATCAGACGAAGAACGAAAGAAAATGAAAGCCGAACAAGGCCAATAGTAGGGAGCAGGCGAAACGGGATCCGGAGAGCATGCGTAGCTGTACAACCACCTACGTTGTGTGATTCAATTCATGGTCAGTGAATGGAAGGATCCACTATGAGCTGATGGGCGTACCGTCATATGGCCCTTCGGCCAGTCTGATAGGGTGCCAGCGTGTTAGGAGACCCATGAGGGGGTAAGACAATTGGTTCTATTATGGTCGATGAAAAAAAAAAGAGCCTAGAGGGTTCTTGACCTCCATATTTTTTTCGGGGGCACATAACACATGTCCAAAGTCATCAAAATCCAGGCATTCATAGACGTCGGGGTGGTGGTTGTAGAATGCGCATTTGTATAGACGCCTGTAGTACGGAGGGTATCTACAGATGTCAAGGACTCACAGATGTACTTCTTCAACAGTTCCATGGTCCTGAACACTTCCCTCTAGATGCATGTTCATCCCGCCGTCCTGATAGCTTAGGCCCGAGCGTTGAGCCTCGGAAGAGGAGGGGCTATTACATCAGCCGAGCCAGCAGGTCGGGGCGTAGACCCGGCTGCGGTTGCGGGTGCTTCGATCGCAGAAACTCCTTCACATGCGGTCGTCACAGTTGCCGCAGTCGCAGTCCCACCTACACCCATGGGCGGGAGTGGCGAAAACCGCGAGGGAGGGAGAAGCTTGTTGCGAAACGGGAGCCGCCAGGTTTGCGCTGCTCCCACCGCGAGAAGGACATAGGGCACGGTATGCATTGAGAGGACCAGCCGGATTGGCCGCAGCAACAGGGACAAATGGCGCATCTGGACCCGGGCATGCAGTCTCCGTGAAGCTGAACATCATGCTGTCCTTTGTGTTGGGCCACTATAGAAGCAACGATTAAGCACTCCCAAATGGTCGCAGCAGATACCAGCTTGAACCTACGAAAGTAAGGCCGTAATTGGGCATTGGGCACGTGGCACCAATGCGTCTCAACCTGATGAAGCACTTTCCACCGGACAACCTCCAAGACACCGGCCTTAGCCGCGTTGGCATTCAACTTGATGTGTGTACCCCCAGCGCCATTGTCAACCCAACCAGCTCCCTTAGCATCCTAAGGTCTGCCCATCACAAATTGTCCGTCCGTGGGCACTGCTTCTCCTAACGTGCAGTCTGTGGTATTGCGACAAAATTTGAAGGGAATGTCCTTGAAGAATCCATCCTTTGCGTAAGCCGCGTCATTGTGATTAGGGCCCAATTGGGTACCATCGGTGAATTTGAGGATGATCGTCGCCGTGACCACAAACGGGATCGGCGAGGGCGGGGCGGAGCCAGCGCACATTTGCCGTTCAACCGGCAGCGCAGCACCCGCCGGTCTTCGTAGCCCTGTCCCCAACAAATGCTAAGCTTGGGGCGCAGCACCCTCCAGCACCAGAGGCTTTATCATGCGACCAGTCTAGGCCTTTGTTCGCCTACAGGCAAGACGAACGGCGTGGCATCCCCAATGCAAGCCTGAGTAGCGTTCTTGGAGTTATCAAGAGCAAGACTCCGAGTTTTATTGACTGCTGCGTGAGTAACAGCGGCAAAGACAAAGACGAGTGGAACAGGTCGACGAAAGACATTGTTGAGTGCTGAGACCGTAGTATTGCTGAGAGCTGAGAACCGTTGATTGGAGGGTTCATGGAAAGATGTCCCCCCTTTATAGGAGCACCGGAGGGTATACTGGCTGGGATGCGTTAAGGACCGGATGTCGATTATATTTCGAGTACCAGAATCCCTGAGAGCGCACTAAGAAGTACAAGGAGGGTCGTTCATGGAGCGCGAAGTTCGGATATGGATATAAGGAAGTTCATCGATCCAGAATGCCATTGATACCAGCGAAAAGACACCAAAACACGAGGAAGCGCTCTTGGTCGGTCGGAAGGCTGCCTTGAGTCGGACCCGGCATCAAGGAAGGCAAGCAGAAGGACAGCCAAAGCGCGCGCCAATGTTCGCGTTGGGCACTAGCGAGAAAGCAGGGTCCAACGAAACGTCTGTCGCGCACCTAGAAGTCGAACCCTTGGCCCCGTCCATGAATGTGCAAAGCGTAGGTTCATTGGTGAACGTTAACTGTTCGAGTGTCGTCCAGATAAGTATTGGTGGTATAGAAAAGGCCAAAGCAGGATTACACCCGCGTCTTGATTACCGGAAGAACACGATGTCTATATGAGAAAAACTATGGCCACGAGGATCAAAATCGACGTCGCCCTTTGCGTCTCCACAAAAAGAAATGTTCTCGAGGCGTCGGTCATATCGCTTGCCTACACAAAGGATGAAGAGTTGAAGCTTGAAGAACGAAACGACTCGGGGCTTCAGGCGGGTGTGATCCCGACAGGTTTTTCTGAGACTGTTGCTCACTGAGTTCGTTAACGCTGTCAACGTCGAAAGAAAAGAGGCAACGGTATGAGAGCTGGAGGATGAATCTGAACGACTTAGTCAGTTACGTGAAACGGACTCTGCTATAGCCGTTGAAATGCAACGGGCACTTAGCACAGGGGTAGCGCGTTCGCTTCGCACAGAGTACCGGCCCGACCGGCTCACAGTGCTTGCGAGAGGTCGTGGGTTCAAATCCCACAGTGTCCACTCTATTTTGCTAGTAGCGTCGACGCTGCCGAACTTTTTCCTCGAGGGAATACTAGAGTGATCACTGAGGCCTGAGGCTTGCCTTTTGTCAAGACACCATTGAGTTGTCCACAGTATGTTGAGAAAAAGTTATCTTGTGAACAGCTCGAAGCGGGAGGTAAGCTGTTGTTTGCTTGCTCCGCAACAACCATATCTGCACTACTCTCCAATACACAGCATTTTCACTCACATTGGCCCGACGAGACTGGAACCAGCGGATTTTGTGTGGTCAAAGATCACGTCGAGCCGTGAACACCCTCATTAGGTGTATATACACTGCCTCATCCAGGATGGCTGGCTCTCTCTATAAGGGAGCAGAGGCTTTATGGGCTTATCACATTCAATTTCAACGACACCGCCCTCGCAAGATGGTCATATGGTCCTACATGAGAGCCAAGCAAACGCGCACAGGAATACACGCATCGTCGTCCAATAAAAGCCAATGTGCTATCTAGTCCGACCACAACTCAGTCTATGTCGCTTCTCGAGGCCCGTACTGCATTCTACTGTAAGAAACACTCTATCTGAACGGTTGGAAAAACAGGACACTGATTTCGGGTTTGGTGATAGTTTTGCTCGTTCTTGTTGGGCTTGCGGAGACCGTCCTCGGAGCTTTCGTAGTTATAGGCGCGAGCAATGATTTCTTCTCGAGTATGTCCCCCAGGCGCAGTACGAACGTCACGACTTGCTAACTCACCCTGTGTCTTTAGCACCATTTTACGCTACGGGAGCGGCGCTCGCTGCGATCACTTCGATATGGACGGTCGTCCTGTAAGCCTCCCACTTTCCCTTGCACGCCCGCGACTCACAGATACTCAGTGTCATATTTGGGTTGAATCCACAATGGAAGCACGCGCTCTCGAAGCCGGGCGCCCATGTAACATCAACCCTTGTTTTCACCATTGTATGGGTCGGTGAGTAGCCTTGGTTGGTTGTTTCCCTTCGAGAACTTACTTATCTATCTGCAGTTTACGGAATTGCGTCGGCCATAAGCATGTCCAGTAAATGCCGCCACATCCAAGGCAATTACTGTGCCCTCGCGGGCGCGTTCACCGGATTAGCGTTCTTGCTATTTACTCTGAGTGAGTACTGAGTCTATGGCTGAAAGGCAAACAGCTGAGATTCTACAGCTTCTGCCGCTATGTGCCTTTTCTGCTGCACGCCGAGAACACGGAGGGGACAAGAGGACGGCGATTCTGACATTCCATCTCACGAACTGACGTTACGCGCACCGAAGTCCCGTACGGTCAACGTATAAACTAAAGCGATTCCTTCTAATGTATATCTCTCACTTGGGTAATGATAATTAATAAGTTGACCATGCCCTTCTCGAAGAACTAAGTAGCTCGATCCCCTGTAGCCCCTGTCATTGCTCCTGGCCCCAATCCCGACTCCCAGGGAAATCCCCGAAGGCCAAATATACCTATATTTTGCTCGACGCGATCCTACCCCACGATAGCAATCCTGCACTTACACGCCACAGTTGCAGGGAACATGCGCTGTGTACACGAAAGTCGGCTCTTTGTGAATTCTTCACACAACGTCATTACGTAAGTTAAAATTCATTGATTGCCAAATGCGGAATACCCGTCGTCAGTTTAGTCCTGCCATGCTTCTTCGGAGGGCAGCTCACATCCGCCCACCACGCTCGCCGCCGCTGACAATGGGCTCTGAAGAAAAGCCACGTCTGGCGCAGCGCAGCCTCGGCGTCACAAACCGCATATGGCTCATCGTCGGGCTTATCATTGTCGTCCTCACCCTCACTCACTTCATCTTGCCTTCGACTTCTTCACAAACCGCGCCTGTGCAGAAGATCTTGAAGTCAAAGAACTACCTAAATGCATCGCAGAATGACCCAAATCCGTTTCCATTTTGCCCGTTATATGGACCTGGAGACGATATAGGGAACAAGTATGGGGCGCTAGCGTTGTCGCAGAGTCGAATGCACCTGGGAAGTGGAGCGAGGATTCAGAGAGTGCTGCAGAGGGCCTTGTCGGGGCAGCCTGTGACGATCAGCGTGATTGGTGGCTCGAGTAAGTGGTTGGCGACGACGACGCGAATGCACGATAAGACTAAATTCTACCTACAGTATCAGCTTGCCATGGCGCAGGCGACGACCCAATATCCCCCAAGTGTTACCCGACTATTTTTTTCAACTGGTGGAACTCCATATTTCCTCACCCTGCTACCGAACTCACGAATGGCGCCGTTCGACGCACCAATTCCCACTACTTTGGTTATTGCCATTCACAGCATATCCCCGATGTTACCGACCTCGTTATCATCGAACTTGACACCGAAGACACGCCTGACAGAGACTCAATGGAGCATTTCGAAGTTCTGGTTCGCAGCATCCTCCTTCGCCCCGACCAGCCTGCTGTCGTGCTGCTCGGCCACTTTTCGCCCCAGGTACAAGTGCAATACGGGTTCGCTGGGCCTGATCACTGGCACGACGTGGTGGCGCAATATTATGACGTTCCGCATATCAGCACAAAGCCCGCTCTTTACCCGTCATATCTGGCGTCGCCGTCGTCCATCTCCAAGTTCTATGCCGATGCCGTCCTGGCTTCCCCGGCTGGGCACCAGGTACTTGCAGACGTCCTCAGCGCGTATATCCAATCCCAAGTCTGCGCGGCATGGGATATTGCCATGGGACTCGCATTTGACTCGTCTTCTGCGGATGGCGTATTCGACGCGGCTGTGGGCGCGGAAGGTGGCGTTGGCTCTCCCAATGCGAACGGTAACGGTGGGGGGTTGTTTGGTGGTCTCGGTCAGAGAAAGGGTGTTCCTGAGCCAGAGAACCCGAACAAGAAGGCTGGGGAAGAAGTCGATCCGTCTGACCCCGATGCTCGAACAAAGCCTTCGCTGCCTTTGGGCAATGCGGCTCTGCGGGTACCACAACTAAGGATAATCTCTCCCCCGCCTGGTGAGGGCAGCAGGCCATTCGAGGAGATTAGCCCGTTCTGCGTCAGCGCGAACGATTTGGTCAATCCATTGCCACCAAGCTTGTTCTTTGGTAGCGGGTGGTTCGTTCACCATCCTTGTGAGTGCCAATATTGTTGATCGAGGCCGTCTAATGTACTGATTCCCGTTTGATCAAAGCAACTGGCGATGCCAATATCGCTTATGCCGCGTCGCATTACTATTATTCCACCCTCCCCACCTCCAAGATCAGGATTCCACTTCAAGTGGGCGCTGGAGACATTGGCATATATTATGTTCGGGAGAAGGCTGGCAAACAAGGCTTCGATGAAGGTAGCGCGGTCGAATGTTGGGTCGACGACAACTATGCAGGAGCCAAGACGCTAGAGAACGCGGGCGAGTCTGACGGCCTTGTGTGAGTACATGTCTATTCCTCGTTGTTGTGCTAGTACGCTGAAGCTTGCCGCTTAGGCTTGAGATGATCGACCACTACGTCTCTCGAGGCTCGCACTTTGTCGAGTGCCAGTTACTCGGTGAAGAGGGAGAAGGTGTTCCACCGTTCAAGATCGTCGGTGTCTTCTCCACGTAGCCACACCTTTTTGTTCTTTATTGGGCACTCTATGGTTGAATGATAGATACTCTCATGGACCCTTCTTTGTTGCTGCCAACTTGCTGTCCGATTGCACGATTGTTCGCTCTACCATTATTACACGGCATTCTGTATTTATATACTTGTTAGCATTATTCCTACTGGTAATAGCATCATCGTGTGTGTGAGAGGTCGCGTCGTGTGGATCGGCTGCAGAGACAGATGAATATTGGCGTGACAACAGAGTACAAAAAGAAGAGCTAAATTCAGAGAAAAACAACCTAGATATCTGAGCAACTGGAAGTCCCGACTAATCGTCTCCAATTTTTGGCGCGAGATAGTATCGAATGTACCCGGACTCGAAAGAGTATGAAACCTCGAAAGCACGATTAAGTTGGTTGGAAGTCTTGGGGACTGAAAGGCTTACCAATAGAGGTACGTCGTTGCTCATCATCAGTTGGACGCTGTCGCTTAGACTCGAACTCTTGGAGAAGTTAACGAGGTATTTGAGGGAGAATGTCAAAGTGACGTGTTGGTTCATCGCGATGTCGACACCGCCGGAGTACTCATCATCGTCCTTCTTTGTTTTCGCTTTCTTCGCCGGCTTCTTGCTCTGTAAGCGAATATGAGCATCAATAACCGGAGTCGGCGTAAATCAAACGGCGTACCTTCGACGAACTGGCTTTCTTTCGCTTTTTGCTGCTTCCCTCCGACTCCTCTTCGTCGTCCTCTTTCTCGTCTTCGCCCTCGTCGTCACTCTTGGCGGTGAACTCTTCGTTACCATTCTCCTCATCGCCATTCATCTCCACATCATCGTTGCTCTCCTTCTTCACCTTCTTCTGCTTCTTGGCTTTCTTTTTGGCCTTTGCAGAATCTTCATCCTCATCTTCCTCGTCCTCCTTCTCTTCTTCCTCCTCCTCATCGTCGTCGCCGATCTTGACTTTGCCGTCCGTTGGTTTCAAGAGAACACTGCCGTTCGCAGCCTCCCCGTCGCTAACGAAACGAATACCCTCTTTGTTGACCTCAATCCGCACACTTTCACCGAGCAGGCTAAGATCCTTGACGATACGCGTAAATTCTGCAGCAGGAAGCGTTATTCGCGCGTCGTAGTCCGTATCAGGAATCCCGAGTTGCTCAGCATCGATATCCATGAGTTTCATATCGTATTCAGCAATTCGATCGGAGTCTTCCTCGACAGTAAGCACGAGTCAAAGAAGCCAAAGCGGTATAGATCTCACTTTTGGCTTCATATACGAGGTTCAAGCTGTCCAAGCCATCGCCGGCCTTGAGTGTACATGTGTCGTCGTCCTTCGCGCACTTGAGAACCTTGGTCAACGACGCGAGATTCACGCCCAACGGCATGGGTCGATCACATCGATACTTTTTGAAGCCCGTCGACTCCATCTTGACTACGACGAGGGCAACGTGAGAGTTGTCCATAGCTTGGAGATTGATGCCTTCTTCATTGCAGTCAAAGTTCGCGTCTGTCACAAGTTCCTTTATGGCTGTGGGATTTCCGTGAGACACATATCTCCAGCTCTCAGAAGACCCTCACCATCGAGGAGTTTCTTGAGCAGACCGGCTTCCTGAAGCTTCGCTTCGAGCATGGCGGGTGGCGAGCGGCGTGAGGGACGTGAATGTGGGGTAGATGGTGGTTGCGTGAAAGACGCGAAATACAAGCACGACGCGAGGAAATGAGAGTTTGGGCTTATTTACCGGTCGCGCGTTCCAATAAACAGGGACAACGCCCCTGACAGCCCCTAAGGGATATTCACGGAGTTCCTTGCGTGAGAAACGGCATGTAATCTGCTTCAAACTTTTCCTTTTACTCTTGCGACTTGCTGCCCTTCCCCTCCCAATGATTACTTCAGTCCCCCTCGAATGGATAAGACTTGCGCCGAAACGTATGCCTTTGCCCCAGCTCGCCTAGCACAATATGCCCACTAATACTCAATTTACCAGCCATGCGGCGCTGCAGCGATTTATCGCATCCCAGAAAGCCTTCCTCGAGCGCACCCAGTCCGACATAGACCGTTTGAAGAGGCTCAAGGCCGAAGCAGCCGTCGATCCTGATCGATTTTGCTCAAATATCAGCAATAATGTGGGCTTCTGGAGTCCCCTGCCCTGTATTGTCGCTCATATTGGTCGATGGTAGCTGAATGACTCTGCCTACAAGCTTAGCAAGCGGCTGGAAGGCTGGACGGACCCCCCAGACGTCGACTGGGATACCTTTGTTGGTTGTGGTAAGGAATGTCGATGTCGATGTTGGCTCGTTTCTAAGACCCCTTCAAGATCCCAGTGCGCTGAAGGCCCTCGGTTCTGATGCGCGCTCATCGTATGCCAACCGTAATCAGCCTCATACTTCTCAACGCTCCGAGTTGTCCGAACTCCAAAAGCTTGTCAAACGAGCAAAATGCCAGATACTTGACCCCGTTGTCGACAAGCTCACTTCGCAGGGGTGTTTCGACAGAGACGAGGACGACGAGATCGACATGGAAGAAATGAAGCGTGAGATCGAGCGTGAACGGATGATGCGCCTGAAGAAGAAGAAGATTCGCTGCGGAGGTCTCACGATCTCAATCAGTGCTCGAGTGCCCACAGATGTTGTCGTTCGAAAGGACTTGGAGGACGAAAGCGGCGATGTGGAAATATCTATCGGGGATGATCGCAAGGCTTGCGACCCTGCATCATCTTTGCAGTCTGCTGTCGACGACATTCCATCGATTTCTCACACATCATCCGCACCACCTTTTGTCACCAGTTCTTCCAACATAGTCAAGGCGACACGTGTCCGACGTGCCCCAGCGAGAACACAGGAACAAGACGCAGGCCTGAATGACACTAGGCCGCTAAAGAAGGCGAAGCTGAAGGCAGAACCTGAAGAGCCTCTCACCATAGCTCCCACTACTGCTGCGAATACGAAGCGCTCGCGTGATGCTAGCCGGCCCAAGTCAGAAACCTACAAACAGGCTTGGTCGACATCTGAACAACACCTGCTTGAAAAGCTTCTTGAAGACATACCAGACGGCGAAAAGAATAGGTAAGTCTTGTTCGCTTCTTTCTTCTCTGTCATCAACATACTTCACAGGTGGCAGAAAATTTCCCAAGCAATGGACGGACGTAGAACACCTCGTCAGGTAGCTAGTCGGGTTCAGAAGTATTTTGAGAAGTTGAAACGATTCGGTGTTGGATTGAACGGCTCATAACTCTAGTGTATCTTTTACTGTAACCATTCTCCCGTCAACTGTATCCAATCTACATCCGTGGGCAATCCATCGAACGTTATATGGGTAGTGCCAGCAGTAGCAGTCATTCTCCATGGTCTCGATCACGATCGTATGGACGCCACGTGACTCCGCCCCCACAAGTTCACAACCATACCACCTCACGGGCTTGCCACATCACCGCTACATATAAACCATCTTTCAGCTCAACTCCCTTCCACTCAGAGTCCCTCTTCACCTCGTCCAAAATGTCAGGTAAATTCGACCCCAAGAATGCTCAGAATCTCATGGAGGTGAGCACCGGCTTCCCCAATCGCCGCCCTGCATCGCTCATCGGATCTATGGGCGTGTAGATCGAGAAACAGTGAGGCGCCTTGTAGTGGAATATTGTGTTCATGAGTGCTAACTATGTCGGAGGTTTGCGGTGAAGGCGGTTGAGCAGGCTCAGGTATGTTCGCGGTGACACGACACGTTGTAACCACAAATCCTTAACGCGCGCACGACAGACATACTGGAACCTTTTGGAGAAGGTCGCCCCCAAGGACCTCCGCCTGACCAAGTACGTCGTGGCCAGCGCATGCTCGATGCTTCATCTCACGCCGCTCGCCCCAGATACGACGACGAGATATTCGAACATGTCATGAAGGACTTCCCAGAACTCGCTGAGGAACCTTACGACAAACTGGTGAAGATTGATGAGGAACTGATGAAGAGCCCTGAAGGAAAGGAGAGATGGCGCAAGTTCATCGCCGAGTTCGTCGTCTCACGCTGTTGTCGGTGCAATGACGTGTGCTCAACGCAAGGTACAGATACGAGAAGAAGATCAAGGACTTCAACTTTGGTTCCTTGATTAGGACCGACGCGACACAGGAATATGGCGAGACCAACACTATCTTCGGTCAGTTCGTCATCCCGTGCTGAGCTCGAGCTCTCACTAATCTTACCCCATATGTAGTTACACGTATACAAGTACGCTAACATGCACTTGACATGACGAGACTTGACTGACTTACCTGCCTTACCCATCAACGTAGTTCTACGCATATGAAATCTGCAGAAACAAATTGGGACTCAACGACCGCGCCCACGAACTTGCGAAGGCCGAGGCTGAGAAGGAACGCTTGGAGAAGGAGAAAGCTGCAACAAAGAAGGGGAAGAAGAACGGCAAATCATAGCCTCTACAATCGGATAGCTGCATGTTGTGTGGGTGCGCTGCTGGTCGACTCCGTTGCTCCTACCTGCTAAAACGCGATTGTGGGTAGAAAAGTACTCAGTGCGTGAAGTCGGGTCTGGTATTATACTTGATCACACCTTGTACATGTCAGAATGAATAATTGGCATTTCATCGTTCACGTCCTAAACGTTTGTTCTAAGTTATTGCCGGGTCTCATTAGATGGGATCGGCGAACGCCGAATCGCCTCTTCCTCAACTACTACTTACTTCAAAGTTCGGGGCACCCTGAATAGACGTACTGTAGTGCTTGCAGCAGCATCATAGATTTGAAAATGCCCTTCACGTATGCCGTAGGCGAGTCATGATATCGACTATGCGAACATTTTTATTGAGATTTCGTTTCCAGAACATATGGAAGAGGACGAGCCTGCGAGTAGCTCCAGCAAAACGATACCTCCTTGGGTCGAATTAGAATACGCAGTCAGAAATCGCACTTCCATATTGGTTCCAGCGTTCCATTCTCTAACAAATCCTTAGCACATGCGCATACTAGCTGGACCCAAAGCCCAAGTCCGCTTCACCCATTTATCCAGATCTTCCTGCAAGTCTCTTGAGGAGGCTCTGAAGCCATCATCTTCGCCCGAGGATCTGGCTGCATTTTCGTGCCATAGCGAGGGCATCCTTGAATGTATGAAGAATGCAGGTCTTCCAATCGATAAAGTCTGCCTCCTTGATCCCAAGGCCGAAGCCGAGCTCTCCCCGGACGATGGGGATGGAAGGTTTGCTTGGTTTCTGTTCGGGGTACGTCCCTTTTCGTTGCAATGCATCTCCTTCTCCCGACTGATTGATAATATTCCAGGGGATTCTGGGTATGATTATACACTGATGGTCCATGCTATCATGATGACGCTAAACCCGACGCTGTAGGAGATGATCCACCCCGAGATAGGACGTCTGAGCTAAGAAGTTTGGGGTTTCCTACCCGTCATCTTGGTCCGACGCAGATGACAACGGATACTGCCCTTGGCGTGACAAAGATAGTCGTCGACGATAAAGGTGAAAGGATTACAGTGTCAAATAGGTGATCGGGACTAACTCTGCTCATTTTCAGTACCACTGGATAAGATACCCTACGTAGTGAGTGCTGCGAGCCACATCCGTTGCTATGCTTGACTAGTAGCCTAGAATTATCCATCAATAGTGTTCAACCCTAAGGAAAGCGTAGAAATGCCGTTCAGTAAGTATCTTCTAGTCGTCTGATCTCCCTGGCATTTGACTCTAGACGTCTACCTTCGTAGAGTATATTGCGGACGCCGACGGCAATCCAAAACTTCCGCCGGGTATGCGGGAGCTTCTGCACGAGGACCTCAATAAAGGATTTGAATTCTGATCCATGTCAATAAATGACCCTTTGATTTACACACAAATAATGCAGGTAGTCGTAGTTGTACAAGATGCGGAGGAAGGAAGAGATATCAATGATGATGTAGGTGGTATCGAAGCGGAATATTACCCTATATATGGTACAGAGTCTGCAAGAAATAGATACGGGAGGAGATTGTGCAAAAGAAATGAAGCACTATTTGCGCTTATAAGTCGCATCTAGTCAACGAAGCACGGAACGGGTGAGAAGGAAAACAAAGGCATAGGCCCAAGAAGGGCTCGGTTTGTAAATCGCTATTGGGCGACTGTTGGTTCTGAAGGTTTGTCCCAAGGGGCCGGGATGCGTGCTACGTCGACAAGGTTCTGGTCAGCACGAGCGTCTTTGACGCGGTCTCGATCGTTCATTTCCATACGTGCGCGACACCGCAGAAGGCGCAGTTTCGTCCGTTTGATCCCTACAGACAATATCAGACAAACAAATCAGCGATGCGTGAAAAGACATACATGTAGCAATTGTAGCCCGATCTTCCTCCATGAAAGGGTTGCCGGTTTGCAGAAGGTCGTCTTGCAAGGCGTACAAGCACCATAATGATTCTTCGTATAGCTTTTCGCATTCATCCGGGGAAGTCGCTTGATCAAGTAGCTCCTTTCGTGCAGCGGTACGGCTCTGTAAAAGAGTTACTCTCAGAATAATGTCCTGTACGATAGTATGATCAAGACGAACTAAAACGAGAGCTCGGTCATAAACAAGCTGATCTAACCAAGTCTTTGGGCCCTCGTACTGAGCAGGCAGCCACGTCTTCACCAGCGCAGCACGATCGTTGCACTTTATGAAGTGTTCCTTGAACCAGTTCAACGCTGAGAAAGCATCATAAGTACCAGCTACTAGAAGACACGTCCGACTGACCATCTGTGAAACCTTCACTGACAATATAGTCGTCATCGGGGCACCGCATGCGCATGTGTTCTTGGTGGTTGCGGAGAAGATTGATGCCCTTCTGCGAGAACGACATCAGAAGCATGTAGACAGCGACACACGTCACGGCGTTATATTCCGCTTCGAGGTCTGCATTCTTGCGTCGTTTGGCGTGCTTCTCGGCTTCTCCTTCCAAGGGCGCGAACTTGCTTGGATCGGGCAGGGGTTCTACAATAGGTCGTCGGTTTCCTTTTTGTCCTTGTAACATATGTTGTTGCAAGAACTCACTCTGCGGTATCGCTTTGACGTACTCGTACATTTCGTCAGCCCAGTGTGTCAAGACGTCTGTCTTCTGAGCAAGTTCTTCGAGAGTGCCTAGTAGTTCATCTTCCATAGGGTCCCTCTGCGTATCTTTATCGAGCGAAATAAGCTGGGGGCGCCGGGGCGATGAAGATGTACTGCTAGGACGAGGACGAGGTGGAGCTCGAGAGGTGCCAAAGAGCTTCTTTGATGCGAGGCTAATAGCTCGGTTGAGGGCGTTAGTGGCTGCTCGAGATGCAAGGCTTGACGGCGACGAAGAAAGGGAGGGCGCTTGGGGATGCGGTGGTGGAGGAAAGATGGCATTGCTGGGGGGAGCGGGTGATGCGTCGGTGGGTGAGCCCCGCGGAAGGTAATCTTCAATGAGTGGTGATGGTGGAATTTTGCGGTCTTGTAGGGGACGTCGGGGTGCAGTGTTCAATTCTAGAAGAGGTTATTGAGGAATTTAGGTAGAAATAAATAGTGAAGTAACGTACCGTCAATAGCACGGTTGAATTCAACGGCTCGGGTATCTCCAACAAGGACGTACTCCCGGCGAAGCATACCATCCTCCTCCGTCTCGCCGGGAATGAAGGAGCCTTCAGTAGAAAGCGCCCTTTCAGCAGAAGGGGGAGGTTGGGGAGGATGCCCGTTGGTTGACGGCCGCCTCGTCTGTGTCGGTGAGGGAACCTTGTCTCTAGATGACGAAGAGCTACATGAGGCGGTATGAATACCGATAACCCAAGAAGGTATTTGATGGTTTCCTCACCTGTTACGCGACAATCCTGGAACGGCTGCTGCCCCATCCGTACTCTCGCGCTTCCTGAAATGAAACTTACTTGGAGGTATTATCGTATTGGGGTCCAGAACCTCTGGAGGGATGATACGGTGTGCTTCGGGCGTAGCGGAACCTCCCATCGAGGCCCCTGCTGAATTATTCGACCCGTCGAGTTGGGCCGATTCTCGTGGCCGGGGAAATTTCGATTTGGCCAACGCCAGACTCTTGAAGAAATCATCGAACGTCGCCCGTTCCACAGGATCCCTCTTCAACAATGCTCTAATCAACTGCTTCACGTCTATCGGGACCGTTACGATATCCTCGTTTCCTTCATTACGGGGGTCTTCATCAGGAAACTTGATACCCTTCGACTGGTCGATCTTCTTCAGCAGTTCGATGTGGTTCTGGGCTCGAAAGGGTGCCTTGCCGACAGACATCTCGTAGAGCACGGCTCCAACAGACCAAAGGTCGGCCTTGGCGTTATACTTCTGGTACCGTAGGATCTCGGGTGCCATGTACAACGGGGAGCCGCACAGTGTCTCGGCCATCATCGTGTTGGGGAGTGACCGTGCAAACCCGAAGTCCGCAATCTTGAGGATTGGCACACCGATGGGATGGCCACGGGCTAGTTCTTCGGGGGAGGCTGGATTAAGGAGTAGATTCTGGGGTTTGATGTCGCGGTGAATGAGATTACGCTGTCGGAGGAATTTGAGGGCCCGGGCTACGAGAGTTACATGTGGTATAAGTGGGGAGGGCGAATGGACTCACCTAGCTGCCGAAGGAAGCTTCTGACTACGATCTCGTCTAAACCGCCTGTCCGAGGGTGAACGTAATACTGGGGTGCGGCTCCCGGTGAGGGAACGTATTCTAACCCTTCTACACGTCCCCGCTTCTTGATGTAGTTCGTCAGGTCTCCGCCTGCGCAGTACTCGATGATCAGGAATATATTCCGCTCGCCGCGCACGATGTCAAGCAACCGAGTGATATGTCGATGCGAAAGTGACTTAAGGATCTCTATTTCACTCTGGAGATTATCAAACAGCTTTGCTGACAATTTGTCTCGCTTGACGGCCTTGACGGCCACTTGCTGGTGTGTGTCCTGTCCGCATGTTCAGCAATTATTGGCCACGGGTCTGTTGAGCGTTCAGCGCACCTCATGATAACCCTTGAACACCGTAGCGAAACTCCCTTTCCCAATTTCAGAGACGATCACGTAAGGCTTCGCCTCATCCTCCTCCGATGATTTGCTTGTCATTCCACTGCTAGATCTGCCATTTCTTTGCGATTGGGGAACAGTAGGCGGCATGTACAACAGAGTGAGAGGTAGATAAACAATCCACTAGGGCTTTGAGCAGTCTCCAGCTAAGGTCGCCCGTATAAGAGGTGGTGAAATCCCGAAAGGTCGTTACTGGCTGTGTTGCAATGGGTCAGCGGCTTTGGAATCCCCTTCAGCGACATGAAGGTAGAGAAACAAGGTAGACTTACTAATATATCCAGCGCTTAGCTTCTGGCCTTCTATGGTCCTCGGTCCTGCGGCTGTACCAGAATGGCACAGAGCAACAGACAACGACTCTTGTTGCTATATCAAAGTCGTCAAAATAAAAATGCACAGCGGCCACTGCAGATTAGGGCGCCTGGCAGCACAGGGTATGAGGAGAAAGCAGTAGTCAATTATTCACACGGTCAGATTGAATGCTCAATAGTGTTACTGTGGGAATTAATAACCAAGTCTGGTACCGTGGGTAAGCATTCTACAAATCATATCATTTCGGCGCGTTTTCGCAGCTTTGCTGACTACGGCGACTTGCGGACATCCAGGATGAGTTTTGTCGGCCCATCGTCGTCTTTTGACCCTCTTTTCGCGTTTCTTTCGTTTTCCCTGTTAAAGGTCGAGGCAGCGTTCTACAGTCTCCCCGGTTCGTCGGTCATCGCGCGATATGTCAAGAGTTCGCACCAGAACGATCCTGGCCGAACGGTGTTAGAGCTTATCTTGGTTGTTTTTGCCATCCGGACGCTGCTGCAGAGTCGTACGAGGAATGAGAAACAGCAGAAACACTTCATTGAATTTGACGAAAAGGTATGCACGGTGTCCGTATATTGTTAGATTTTTCTTACGCTTCCTAGGAAATCGACGAGCTTGTTGCAGAATGGACACCCGAACCACTGACACCACAACTTACGGCCACGGAAAAGAGTGACCTCGCTGCAATTCCGATCATTTCCGGCGCAAATGGCGCGAAACCCAGAGTCACGAAAATGGCGAAACCCGTATTGAACCTCGCTAGCTACAATTTTACTGGTCTCGCCGGGAACGAACACATTACATCTCGTGCGGTTGAAACACTCCGACGCTACGGTTTAGGAAGCTGTGGTCCTTCAGGTTTCTACGGCACGATTGACGTCCATACCAAGTTCGAAGAGACTGTCGCATCATTCTTGGGAACCGAAGCCGCTATCCTCTACGCTCAGTCTATGGCCACCATCGAATCTGTCATCCCTGCTTTCTGCAAGCGTGGAGATCTCATCATTGCCGACAAGCATTCAAGTTTTGCGATTCGAAAGGGGCTAGAAATCTCCCGGGCAACGGTCAGGTGGTACGAACATAACGATCTCGCTAGCCTCGAGGAAGTTTTGATGACTATCGAGAAAGAGGAGAAGCGACGCTTGCGCAGACGCGGTTGCCTAAGCAGACTTTTCGGGCGCTCGCGAATTCAGGTCAAATACATCGTCACCGAAGGTATCTTCGAGAGGGACGGAGCCATGGTGGACCTTCCCAAGTTAATCGAACTCAAGCAGAAGTACAAGTACCGCCTCATCCTCGACGAGAACATGTCTTTCGGCTCTGTCGGTCGCACTGGTCGTGGTTTGACAGAGCTATACAACGTTCCGGTAAGCCATCAAGCAATCTGCAAATCGCATTGTAATTCAAGCTTTCCGTAGGCCACCAAGATTGATATGATTGTTGGTTCTGCTGCAATTGGTCTCGGTGCTGGCGGAGGATTCTGCGCGGGTACTCAGGCCGTTATCGACCATCAGGTAATCTAATTACTATTCTATGGCGAATATTTGCTAATATATTACCCTAGCGAAGTAACGGTATGGCATTTGTGTTCTCGGCATCTCTCCCGGCCCTCCTCGCCGTCTCCGCCACAGAGGCCATCCAAATCTTGTCGTCCACCCCGTCCATTCTAGAATCACTCCACGAGAACACACGCGCAGCACGAGCTATCTTGGACAAAGTCGACGGTATCACGATCCCCAGCCATCCTGCTAGCCCCCTCATCCACATTTACCTCAAGGGTTACACCTTCAACCCCAGTTCTCCAGACGCCACGCCCACCCGCTTCCTTCATCCGTCGTCTGCCCAGAATTCGCCAACCTTGTCAATCGTCACCAAGACATCATCCAGCCACGGCTCCTCCAAACAGTCCCATCAGTCTCCGCTCTCACTACCCCAACTCAGCCCAGCCCAGATCGCGCTTGAGGAAAGTATCTTGCAAGAGATTGTGGATGAAGCTCTGTCCCAAGGTGTGTTGTTGACCAGGGCTAAGCGCCTGCGAGGCCAGGAAGTCAACGAGCCCAAGCCAAGCATCAAGCTTAGCATCAGCGGTGGCAGTGGCGGGTTAACGAAGAAAGAGGTTGAGAAAGCTTGTGCTGTCATCAAGAGCGCCGTTGCGAAAGTTCTGGCCAAGAGACGATGAAGATTGCGGGGTACTTATAGATAGATGAACAAATGCTAATATTCGGATGTTATTTAATGCCCATAGAGATGTTGGCGGTACGAACACCAATTGTATACCCTTGGTAATTTACGAGCTTGCATGATAGTACTCTGATTGTTGCTTCGCCTCCCATTGACTCAGTACAATGGTTCCATTAGTTGAAGTAACAGACGGTAAAAAATGACAAGATATAGGTGAACGAACTCGAGAGGGTATACGTATTGTTATATTAGCTTACATGAAATATATCGTCCACGCTGATCATGACCATTAGATGTGGCAGCCATTCAGCCATTCAATCAACTCTTGTCAAAAAATGCAACTAGATCACCAATAGGGACCTTCCCAATTGGCTTCGGCATCGCGATCTCCTTCGTTTTGGCTTTCTCTTGTCTCCGCAATAACAGGGGATCAACGAACTTCCCTTCAGGACCACTACCGTTTCCAGCGAACTTATCAGTGGACCGCGAGGACCTCAAGCGTCCAGGATTGAGAGGTGCAACGGGTTTGGGCGGCGCAGTCTGATAAACCGATGATAACCCATAGATGGACTGAGCGCGGGGCTTGTGGCCTTGAGAAGCGTTGCTCGAGAAGTCGTTGCTCCGCGGAGACACATGCTTTTGTCTCGTCAGACCCGTTGCCGGCGGGAACCCAGACTCTGGGGGCAGGGAATTCAAGGACGCTGTGGAAGAACTGGCGTCTTTGAGTAGCGAGGAAGCTATCCTGGCGGAGCCTTTCTTCCCGATCGTCTCGTCCGCGAAAGTGTCGTCCTCGCTTTCCGCTTCGCTACCACCCTCGTTTGCGTCGTTGTCGCTCTCCGAAAGCATCGCGCTGCCTCTAGTGATCGGTTCTCCTAACGCGACCGTGTATCTTTTCCTGGGAGTAGGACTGACACTAGGACTAGGACTAGGACGCGGACTGACGAGCCGCTGGCTTTGCGAAGAAGCTGTCGGCGCGGGTAGCGGTCTATTAAGGTTTCCTATCTTGACATTGGTGCGAGAGCCAGGCATGGGACCAGGACTAAGGACGCGGGTGGGAGCTCCGAAAGGCGGCGAGGATGGCATGGAAGGCAATCCCGAGATGGCTGAGTTGCGCCTGTCGGGATCTGGCGAGGTTGCGCCGGTGGACGATGGAGATACGGCGAGTTCAGTACCCGGTGGTAGGGGTGCATAGTCGCCCGAAGGGTAAGGCAGACGGGTACCACTCGCCCGTTTAGATATAGCTGCACCCCGTGTGGTGCGAGATGCCAAAGGAGGAGAGGTAGACTCCCGAGCAGTCAACGACGGAACGCGCCTGTGGGGAGTTGCAAGCGGTGAGGTCATTGGGGACATGCCAACACCCAAATCTAAGATGGCTTCCTCTTCTTTGATCGCCTGCTCCTCTCTTGTGGCGGCTTCGCGTACGTCTCGAGAAGCCGAAGCTTCCTCGGTTTGGCGTTCTAGTGATCGACTCGTAGAAGGCGCGTCTACTGACACCTGGTCGCCAAATTCGTCCTCGCTTTCTGAAACTATACCTTGTTCGCTGGCTTTTCGCGGCGTGTCACGGACCTGGACAGGCATCTTCGAGGGCACAGAGGAGATAGGAAGGTCGCCCCACTGACTGTCACGCTTCTCTCCCCTAGATGGCGTGAGGCTGAGATCCCCAAGAGTGCCTAACGTGAAATCAGGCAGCATAGGAGGCTCAGAGGGTTGAGGAGAAGCTGCGGCAACCGGAGGAGGCTGTCGTTGCTGTGGAGGAGGTCGAGGCGGCGAGTCCATGTCTGAAGGCATAGCCATCGCAAGTTTGGCAACTTCCCTACCTAGCATAGAGAATCTGCTTTGGAGCTCTCCCAACTCTTCCCGTACGCCATTCATCTCTTCTTGAACCTTACTTTGGTCGCCTCCGTTGGGTTGGTTGCTACCATTAGCCTGCTCCTTTTCTTTCTGTTCTGCTTCCTTCGCATTTTCCTTCTCGACTAACCAGGCTTCAACATCACCCATGCGCTCTTCTAGGGCCCGGACGTGGCCTACCGTCCATCTTTCCAGTTTTTCAAACCGGCGTGCAATGGCGAGCACTGTAGACGGTACGTCAAGTGTACCCGAAGGAGTGAACGTAGCGTATATAGGCAATGGAGTCGGCTGGCGGGACGTTGGAGAGTTTGCGGCGCTAGTCTTGTTGGCCGGAGAAGCAAGAAGATTCGGCGAGGCAAGGTTGGAAGAGAGAGAAGGGACAGACGGAGAAGCATGCGGCCTGGGCGATGTCGAAGGGGACATAAGCTTGGGCGATGCGGACAGCGGAGGAAGAAGGGCATCTGATGTAGGCTGTGGGGACGAACCAAACATGCCTCTGGAAGGCGTAGGAGAAGAAGGCGACGGTGCTTGAGGTGGGGGCTTCCTTGGTATCTGGGGAGTATTCAACTTCAGCAAGATTGGATCAGAGTATTTGGTGTTCGGATTCGTCGGCCACTCTCGTTCCTTCCCTTTAGATTCGCTAGAGTAACCACCACCTTCCTTCTCTCGCTCTTTCGCGCGTTTCCGCTCCTCTTTCTCTCTAGATTTGGCTTCCTGAATAACTTGTTGGGCTGGTGTGAGAGGTTCCTTAGTCGGAGTCAGCTTGTTCTTAGCAGCTTGCCACCATCCGCCGAGCCCCTCCTTCTGCGACGGGGTAGGCGACGGGGGCAGAGTCTGGGATCGAGCAGGGGGTGGGGGAAGAGTGTTCGTGGCATTTGTTTTGTGCAGCAAGGCTAGAACGCGTTCTTCCACGCGCTTTCTCTCCTCTGCCTCTGCTGTCAAAATCCTTTCAGCTTCACGCCTTGTCCTGTCCCGCTCCCGTTCCGCTTCGGACTCGATCTCTGCTGCGCTCAGCCCTGGGTGATGAGATGGTGGATTGGGAAACTGGAGCTGGGCAGAAGATGCAGAGGGCGATCGTGGGGTCATTGTCGACGAAACAAGCGATCCTACGCGATGAGCCAGATTCGCGGCTAGTTGGGTTACAGATGCGGAAGGAGAAGGGCTACGCGACCCTCGGCGTCCGCCACGGGGTCTATGATACCCGTCAGAATCGTCTGAGCCGTCATCTTCTGAGCCCGAGTCAGATTGAACGTCTGGGTCAATCCCCGTCGAAGTGTCGTAAACAAAGCCATTCCGTAGAGGTGATGGTGGGCGAGGTGAAGAAGAGGGCTAAAACTGATTTATAATTTCAACAGGTTAGAGACGAAAAGCTCACTCACCATGGTCATCCGTCGCGGAGGCGCAGGGGGCTGGAGGTTGGGCATACTGTTAGTCGGCCTATGCGACGCCCCCGCCATCGGTATTGATGATGGACCTCCAAAGTCGGGTTCAAAGGAGGATCAGACAGCCACAAATCGCTGAATGTCGCCTGGTCAACGGGCTCGCCGTTCCCGCTCGTTGTGCCGCAACTCTGAAAGCTTCTGGATGGTTTAGAAGCGTCTTCGTCACGTGCACAAGCTTAGGGGATCCAGAGGGGAAGGATAACAACTTAGTGGTGCCGAGTGCCGAGTATGGGATGCTTCGAGAGTCGACCGTCGTCCTCCGCCTTCCCCGAGTTCTCATCATAGGCTATATCGCAAGCCCTTTTTGAAGCGAGCGTGCCGAAGATGAATGTTCCCGCTGCTCTGGGTTAACGAGGAAGGACATATTTCGAGACAGCCACGCAAGCGCGGGCACAGCTTTGACGCGAGGGAGAAGGAATTAGATTCGACCTTCAAACTTCAAAGGGACATTTTCCATTCCGACAGACTGTTCTGTCACGTATCATAAGTACGAGTGGTAATGAATCATTGTAGATACAACTGTACTATTGGGGGGATGTTCTGAGCGAGTGCGGGCAATTGTCTTCAGAGCTAATGCCCGTAGAGACGGTGCAGATGATCAAGGAATGTCAGGTGCGCGGCGCGAAGATACGCTCCGCAGAGATATGATAACTGCGCCATGCTCTCCCTGACAGATTATATTTGCTGACAGTCGAAGGGAGGAGCCTTGTAGTCGGCGGCCTATGGCTTCGGTGTTCCGCGAGACCCCCTTGGACGTCTACAAGGTGATGGCTGAACGCTGCGCTTCAGGTTGAACGTGCGATCGTTGCGTATGTTGCGTCCTCACAGCGTTTCTAACCTCCGATAGATATCGCAAGCGGGGAAGATGTAGATGAGTGACCACAAATATGCTACACGCATCACTGCCTGACGACAGACGGATGAGCAATATACTCAGGCCTTAGCGTTTCCGGCGTGTGTTATTTTGAATGAGTACAACGAGGTGAGTTAGCGACATATGAAAAGGGAAGGTAAATTCTCCCCGTCTGGCTACAGCACCTTCAGGGATTCTCCGAGTGTCCCCAAATTCGAATGTCCCCCAGTACCCAAGTTCTCGAGTCGATTCGTGTGCATCGAGAATGAACATGCCGTTTGGGATATCGATAGGAAGAGCGTCGGTTGCGTGGAGGGATGGGGTAGCACTTAAACCCGAATATTGAAGAGCAATTGGGCTTGCGGTAGGATACCTTTCTGTGAAGACGAAGTCCGAAAACTTTCAGTGAACTTTGGTGTCACAGGCCGAATAACCGATGCAGCATCCTGTCCTTGACATAGAGGCCTGAAGTATCCATGAATGATACATACCTCCTCCACCTCTCATGCACGCGAAAAATATCTTCCCCAGACCTGAGAGTCAGAGAATGAGTCGACTCGGCGAGGGACGACGATGCACATTTAGAAAGTTGAACCTGTTGTAATCCACAACTGTCTCACGGTCACCATTCAGTCACTTCTTTGATTCTGAACAGTTCTAAGTACCATCGACAGTCCAACGATAATCATAACAACACGACTCCTTCACAGTCCCCCAAAACGCTCAGGCTGAGCAAGATACACCCTTCCAACGGTCCCTGACGGGCTCTACTTAGTTAGTATCCAACGAAGCCTAAACTTCGTTCCAGGGTTCGTCGACTTCGAGCAACCCGACCAAGCATTCTTTGATAACTTGGACTCACGGCGTACAACTCGTCAAGGACGGCTAAGCTGCATACGCGCTCAGATGTTCCAGCCGGAACAAATGGTTCCTAACTCTACGTCGTCGTCGCCCCCAAGAAAGGGTACTTCGTGCTCAATATTATGATATCGGATAGTACAAAAGCAGTGGATGAGGCAGAGGGTGGGGATGAAAGGGATACTCAGGAGTATGACGGACTCAAGACCCCTAGCGAACGCGCGATGAAGCATGATAATCGATTATCAATGGAAGGCAAGTACTTACTGTTAAAGCGCCTAGATATGACAGTGAACCCGCGACTCGCGAAAAAGTGAAAGTGCATTCTGCGCCACAGAAGGTGACTAGCAAGGTAAAAACCCCAGATGGCAGGAGTGTATGGGCGAACAAGTGCACCGTGCTAATAATGACTGCTGTTAAATCAAGATGCGACAAACTTTGCTTGCTTCCAGGAAGAAATGTTTTACCTGATGTTACAGAAGGTGTGAGGGCGTCAAATCCTGAGGCTATTTTTATGAACTTCCTCTTTCTTCAGAGTTCACCTACTCGCGGCAATGAACTGCTCCAATCGCCACTGTATAGCCGCACTGGTCGTTTGACCTTGCAGAACGGTAAGAACTCGCCCAGTGTGGGTTTGGAAGCCACGGGCTTTCCCAACCACAACCTTGAACACTACTATCTAGGCGCCCCATGCTCATGTGCCGAACCGCTGTTTGTTTCGTATCTGTTCTGACTACGCACGAGCATTCCAATATGACTCCTGTATAACCCGCAAGGCTCATGCACCACGTAATGGGGGTTAGGTTGCACCAACATCAGACTGCTACCACATGGCTGTCCGGCTTATCATTTCTGCTGTCGTATATGTAGTAGACGCCAAGGGACCCCACGCAATGAAGGTAAGGCTGGTGGTTCGCTTGTCCTTCCCATCGGTGGCCAATAAGCTCTACATGCTTTTAGGACAATCACCAATTGTAGGGTAATTGTAGGGAGGCTAATCCGTTAGAATCAAAAGGTGTGTCGTATTTGCATTGCTTGCTCTCCATGTAACCCACATTGAATGCATGGCCCCCAGTAGATCTACTCTAAACTACCTCATCAAGGTCTGCCGGACGAAGGTCCTCCACCTCTCGTTCTACCCAAACTGTTATCTTTCATGTGAGTCGTTATATTATCTATATCTAGTTCGTTTCAGTTGATTTCTTCAGTTCTTTTAAGTTTCCATAGACAGCATGTTAACGTATCGTTGTACACATGTATTTCGAAGGTTGATACATGAACGCCTATATCTGCCACTGTCATTGTTTTAGGAATGCCATTACATACAGTTTACGCTGATCGGTGGATGTGCAAGACGTACTCACACGCATCCACAAGCCACCCTTTTGATAACCAGTCCTTATAACATACATTGTATCAGTTCCTTCTGTAGACAATTCTCTCCCACAAAGCAATCAGCACATCAACCATTTGAGCCAATATGCAACAGCCTGGTAGGTGTCAATAAAGATATGCACTCAGCACCTTCTCAAACCGCTCCTTGCCCAGGTTCTGAGGATACTTTCAAGCTGGAAATCAGTAGTGGCTCTAAGTATTGGGTTGGCGATAAGTTTGGCGAAATCTGCGGGGGCACCAATGGTGGAAGAGGAAACATTAATCAGGAGATCACCATGCCCAAAGGTACGGATAGCATGGTCTGCCCTGTTCACCGATTAATCAAAATAATTTCAGCGAACATGTCAGCGATTTTGGCGAAGTACGAAGGGATGGTCGGTGCAATGCCTGTGGCGCTTCGATGGCAGGTCTCCGGAGAACTCGATCAGATGCTTGATAAAATCGACAAGGCAAAAGAACTAACCGAAGGCTTATTGCAAGACTTGACAGCCAAATACGGCTTCGACCCCGTGAGTCCGTCTGAATAGGATTATTGCAGGATACTCATCATCACTAAGATTGCTTGAAGAGCAGAAGCGTCTGGCGAGTGACATTCAAAGGGGTTAGGTTTGGGTTTCTTGTGTCCTACTAGTGTACCATGCGTGTGTGGTAGTGTCCAAATTTGAATTCTCACCGAACAGTCTCTGCGGTCCAATCATGTTACTCAAGCAAGCAAGCAACGGACTTGGTTTCTAGTCGAATACCTCAGGCCTCATACTTAGAACACGCAAAGGACACATTGCCGTATCACAAGAGAAGTTCAAAGAATTGCGACTTGTGCAAGTGACACATTGAGGCTGACAAGACACAAGACAAGACGTACACAGTTGTGCGTTCGTCGTCCGAGTCCCGACGCACCAGTGAGATTGGCTCAGCCTCGAACGCGATTGGTCTCAACTGTACTGAAGCCTTGGCCAAGTCCTGGCCGTAGTGCTGTCATCTATACTAACTTGAATGCAGGCCCAGGCATGGCGGGCGCTGAATCTTCAACAGCAATTATTATTAACCTCGCTGTAACCTGGTCAGGGGTCTTACGAGACTAACGATGATAGATCGCTTCATTTCCGAGTCTTGGAATCATCAGGCACAAGAGTGGCTATGGGCATCGTGCCCCAATTCTCAAGCCTTCGTTACTTCTTTAAGCTTCCAGATCCGGCGATAGAGTGCGTAGATATCGTAAAGGAACCCTCATACGGTACTTTGCAGTTGGGGCCATTGTACGGTTCTTTGATTTCAGGCCTCAATGCCTCAATGCCTCACGCCTCATGTTTCCCCGCATGACACACTGGATATGGTGACAAGGTCAATAAGGCGTTAGAGTTGGGGGCGCGCAGATATATAAATCACATTTCGGAAGGACATGAGAATAACAACCTACCACTACCGACACTTGAACTGTATACAACGGTGAGCCAAAAGCCGGTCTACAAGTTATGCACTGCTTACGCTTGCTTTTGACGCGGACTGCTAGTGATTGGATTACCACGAACACTAACATGTCCAACACAATGATCCGGCCTGAAGGGTTTGAAAATGTTGTGGGCGGCGACGAGTACGACAAACGCATAACGGCAGGCATCAACGGTGGCAGGGGCAACAACAACAAGAGAATCCACATGACTGACGGTATCAACACTATTATTGTTTTATCACAAATTCACTCAATTTGAACGATATAGACGATCCCGAAGCTCAGTTAGCTCTTATCAAGAACAGTGTATCAGGGGACTTACCTGAAGCAGCTGCTAAGGCAGCCTTTGGTCAATTGCTGGAGCTTCGAGATACATTTGACGCCCTGAAGACTAGAAATCTTCAATTGCAAAGTAGGCTCTGTTTGAGAAAGGTTAAGAAAACAGTAAGTTATGATGTCTGCGAACCCTATTTCCGAATAAACTAACCTCAGAACCCAAGCCAACATCAAATGACACAGCTGGCCCTGACACTGCTGGCACTACTTCCAGGTAGTTCGTCGACGTAACGATCAAGAGATAAATATAACTGGAAATATGTAGTTAGCTCGTAGTCGTGGATATCGCGATGTTGCGCCCAGGATCTGTACGCAAACCTTTAGTATTCAAGAATCAAACTCGGATATATGTATGGTGATTGTGGCTTGCCGTACGCGATGTGGGCTAAGTGTTGTCGAGCAGCTGTTTGGCCCTGCACAGGTCCGTCTCTCCCCGCAGAAGACTCTAGTTCGACATCCAAAGCAACGAGACAAAATAGGTCAATCAATAAGTTTCATGTAGTACATTGAGATACTAGACAAAGAACTCACGAACTCGCTGAACCGCTAATAACCTCTGGCTTGATAACGACAACAGGGTCGGTAATGAGCCTCGTCCTTTGTGTAGATTCCCCGACCTTCGCCATTTCCGATGAGACAGATTGTCATACCTCGCGGATGTCGACGAAAGGGCTTTTATGACCATTCGATTCTGTAGTGTTTTCTCGGCTTGGCAAGGGGTCGCACAGCCCACTCAGCAGCGGTTTCTGCGCCCCGCGATTTCATGTTGGTGAGGAGACTGAATATTCTGAAGTTATGCGACGAGCTGCATATGCTATAATCGCTGGTGTTCTGCTAAATATCGCTTGGACGATGGCCTTCGTGTGTGCGTCCTTTGACAAAGCACGTTATTATCTGCAATCAAATGAAGCTTACTCAATACTTTTGCGATCAAGTTGACCGTCACATACCATATACCTCTACACCGACGAGCTTGAGCGTGGTGAGAAAGCCCGGATTGTCTTCGAAATGCCCCGCCCAAACGCCTAGAGGTTGCCTTGAGTGATCATCGATCAGATCCCAAGCCATCGCGTCCCTCGCTATGTATGGCCGCCTTCTCCTACAAGCATCGCGGAGCTATGGGGGATCACATAGGAGTCTTAGAGCACGGGCCTTCAATGTGCGTCAACGAGATACCTCCATCATTCAGGATAGCTCAAACGATGGATAGGAAAAGGCTAAACAATATAGACCGTGACATTGAAGTTCGTATCGTCGGGTTTGATGGTAGGAGCAACATCAATTAGTGCCTGGGTATGAGGACGTCTGAACAAATAGTTGTCGGGCCATCGTAACCATTGAATTTTTGTCCTTCATACCAGGGATTTCGTTCAAGCCACCATACGGCGCCTTGGCATATGCGTCACTACTGCGATATATGTCCTAGCTTGTGCAGTGTGCACGTAGCTGCTCTCCCAAAACCAGCTAGGACAATGGCGAGACGATGAAGCGTATGCTGCGAGCAAGGGGGACGCGGGGTGAGATGAATTCAATTGTACATGTGGGTGGGGAAACATTATATCCAAATCTGAGGGCCGTGAGGCTACGTACTTGCTAACACCACACGCTCTTCGAGATATCGCTAAGTATCTACAATACTTAGCACCATCAATGAATAAAGACAATTCTTTACAAGCTTGCGCGACCAGCATTGCCTCTCCGTTCCGTTCGTCACATGACGTTGGATGGTGATGTTTACATTTCCGAAGGAATGCCTCCCAGACCTCACACCATCCCATCCCATCCATCTTCGATCCTGAAGTGCGAACTCACGGGGAAGGAGTCCAGGCATTCCCAGGTGAGCGAAACAGTGTGAGTATTACGGTTAAAGAACTATATGTCGCGAAGAGCCTTGCAAGGTGCGAAAGAATGGTCGAACGGAGAGGGAAAGTAAATATGTGAAGGCTTGGATTTGAGCAATCCTACTTATCGTCAAAACAGAATCCAGGTATGCTTACTTGGTTTTCTACACAAGACATGAATCATATGAGCATAATAGATTTGCAGATCAACCACAGAGGAGGACGGAAATAATGATAGATGCGAAGGAAGTGGTATATGAAGATCACCACAGGGCAATAGATGCACTGAGGAAACCAAGGAGGATGGCAGCTACACCACCGTTGCGAACACTGACACCACCGTTATCACTAGCGCCTGTGGACGGTCTGGTCGAGGTGGTAGGCTCCGGCCCTGAAGCAACACCGGACATGCTAGCCTGCGCGGACAGCCCAGAGTCGCTCAACGGCTGATTCCACAAGAACCATGCTTCAGCAGGGTAGTCGGGCTCGTTCACTTTGAGATATCCAGCATATTTGCCATCTGGATCGCCGTATTCTGCAGCAACGGCGGCGACGTTCGGGTTGAGCTCCGACGCGTAGTTGTCTTCTTTGGAATCCGAAGCCTTGAACGTAATGGCGAAGTCGAGGGCGGATTGAATGGTCGCGCCTTGCGAAGTCTTGAACTGAAAGGGCGAAGGCGCGTCGGGGGCAGCGTATATGCCGATGCGGGCGTTCGTGATCATGGCAGCGAGATTGTAAGCTCGGTAGTGGTACGGGCGCGTGCGGGCAGCTTCCAGAGGCTGCGAGGCAGGTAAGCGAAATCCCCTCCCAAGAAATGAAAATGACTGACCTGTTCCCCGTTGGCTTCAATCTGGTTCATATAGATGCCACGGAAGAAGGTATCCGTGACATTTCTTGCTGCAGGGTTATTATTGACAAGGAGATATAGAGCCGCGAGCTGATTGTAGTAGAAGGATCCATGGTTACTTCGGACTTGGTCAGCACGAGCAAGAAGACACGCAAACAAGGAACCTACTTGGTGGAAAGGGCCTCTTCTATGGCAAGGTCAGCAGTTTCCAACCAGGTAATGTAGCGTTTGCTCCAATCGTCCATTCGTGCGTCCAACTCGGAAGTCCAGTCCGGGCAATTGCCCTTACGGAGGATGAGGATTCCAGAGACAATTTTGGACATCCCCTTCAGGTCCCTAGCAATCAAACAATGAGGTCCAGTCGCGAAAACTGATTATGACGTTGACTTACAGGACACCGGTGTGCGATCCTTTAGGATCACCCGGGCCACGAATTTGCTGTGCGTAATCGAGGTTCGGAAGCATGCCGGTTGTTTCATCAAGGAACCAGGTATTAACGAAATTTACTGTGAGAAGCATCGGTTACTAAATTCCATTCTCGATCGATGGATAATTAATAGAACTCACCAACATTCTTCGAGTACTCATTACTAGTCGCATTGCTGAGTGCCCATGAGATGGCATTGTACAGGACGGCGTCAGAGAGGTCTTGGAACGCGCCGACATCGTTCACCACGAGCCGGGCATCCGGGTTGAATATACCGTCACGGGAGATATAGCGACACGTAGTCCACACTATCACCATGGGACACAAGGCACTGTTGGTGAGTATACGATAAGAGGAAACGAGTTCGGATCTAACTGACCTTGTTCATCGGACAGCGCGGTTGTGTTTCCGGCCTGGCTGCAGTCCGGCCACCAACTTTCGAATGTAGTGTCAGGAAACGACGGTGGGCGCTGAAATATGAAACACACGCACTAAGGGGCCCAACTCATGTAGGTGCGTTTGTCGCCCGTAGGAGGGGTGGCTGTCTTGTTGGTAACGGCTGATTAGGAGTCATTAGTTATGTCCCAATATTGAAAAGTTGGGACTCACTCCAAGGACCCTTCGCAGCGAGCTCCCTGGCCCAACCAGCGATAGTTAATTTGGCTGGGCTACCACTGGAGCCGTAATCCTTCGCCAAAATATAGTCGGGGTCGACGAAATCGTTCGCATAGGATGTTGCAGCGTGTACAGAGGTAAGGGAAGCAAAAAGGTTGAAGATGGCTAGAACGCGAAAGAATGTGTTGCTGGTAGCGAGTGTGGGCAGCATGCTGGGCGAATGCTGAATTACAAGTTGAAGGTCGAAGACGAAGGGGACTCTTAAACGTTCCTAAAGGCTCATGAACGAGACGGGTCGAGAGGAAGAGAGATGAAGAGATCAACACATTTGTGGCGGTCTGTTTTCCCCGCCGGCCAAGGTCAGCCAAGTCCGTAATTCGCCCCCCGCGACTGCACTATGGCAGCCTCCAGAGGGCCAGATCTCATATAGATCTGTGTAGCTTCATTTGCTCAGGGGCGATTAGGCGTTTTTGGTTACGGTGGCGCACCGTTAGGTAATCACACGTGGTTCAGACTTCTCACGGTTTACGAATCGCCCGACGATTGCCCGAAACGCGTCGGAACGCGTCCACGACGACGGGCTTCTACGGACATGGTTTTATCAGTCCACGACATATCAACTCATCGACTGTCCGGTGTATCTTCCTACAGAAATGCACTGGCGACCTCCCGCGCCTAGGGGCCACACATTATCTCATCTCGGCCCTGCTTCTTTGCCCTTTGATCAAGCACGTCTTTGACTGTGGCCCAACCGGTGCACAATGGTGTGTCAATTGACGAGTGGCTCATTGTGGTATAAATTGATCCACCACAGCATAGATGGCTAGCGTATTTATCCTCCTTACCTGGTCCTTATATTAGCCACTCCTTTTCTCGGACTGTGTCCACTACCCCATTCACTATATATCAGCACACTCCTTCAACGACTTTTCACTACTTCTACCAATGTCTGCGACACGAACACATCTTCCGACACTCTTGCTCCTCCCTAGCCTGGGCAAGCCTGCGGAGTCGTCCATCCCGCCAGAACGCCCCATTATCGCCCAAACTCTACTCGACATCGCGCCGGATCGCGAGGCCCTCTTTACTAGCGGGAAGAATGTCGAAGAGATTAGACAAACGCTGAAGATACACATGAATGACGCATACGGGTGAGAGAATCGCTTCTACCGGCAGTTCCCCGTATTGATTTCCATAGCCATTGGTTGACCACGACGAAACGACGCCAAGGAACGAGATACCGGGACCGTACTGCTAGAACCTCGAGGTTCCTTGACAAGGCCCCTCTTGCCAATGGAAACCAAATTCAAGACGAGAACGAAGCTCCCGAGGACGACGTGCAGATTGTTCGACGCGTTTGTTCGGCTGGCGATTTAGGCTCATTCATGAATAGCATCGACAACAAGCTCAATATCAACGTCTCTCCCGAAGGAATCACGTTCGATATCTGGGGCGACCTTCGTTTGAGCTCCACCGAAAAAGTCATCTCCCCCCGCCCCCTCGGGCCAACTCATATCCTCGTCGTTCACCAGGGGCCCCTTCAACGAACAGCTAGTAGAGCCCGCAATAGTCAACGCGAAAGCGTTCCGGATTCTTTGGAGCTTCCTATAAACGATCTTTTATTCGTCCTCAATGTCCCTAACCTCAGCCCTCCGAATCGCTCTCTAAGCGAAGTTCCAGCTCGCATTCTTCCTCATCGGCTGCACAAGGAGCTCCCGCGCGTCTTATTATGCGTGCCCCACTTGTATACTTTCCACGAACTCGTGGTCTACCTCCACACCAAAAACCAGGCTGCGTTATTCCGCAAGATCATCCCCGAATGGATCAGGGATCTCATGCACCCCTTGCCAGTCGCCATCCCCGTCTGCTCTTCATCAATCGCTCAGCGGAGTGAATCTGGCAGCCTTACACCAGGCCTAAGCATGTACCAACACGCGCCTCTAAGGAAACGCTCCACTCTCTTGAGCTTGTTTGACTCGTCGTCCCCCATCGCCGAGGACGCCAATTCCAGCGCAGAAAGCCTTCTCGGCCTCCCCTTGGCCATGACTGCCTCGTTCAACGGGAGCTGCAGCAGTCTTATTGACGCCGATCGCTTGACGCTCTCCATCGCCAAGGAAATCGCAGATATTTCAATGACCAATTACGCCAACGACGACGTTCTTGTGCGTACGGTCTCTGGGCTGGATGCGCTTAGCGATAACTTGGAATATCTTGGGTACTTTGGGAAAAGCCTTTGGGGAGAACTCTTGACATACAAGGAAATTCTTGTCAGAGCGATCGGGTACAAGTCGAGGCTGGACGCTGCTGTTGCTGCCGCCGATTCTCCATGAGATAGGATACTCCATCTTCTGTAACTTTTGTTGTATCGAAATAACTAATTGCAAGATGTACTGAATTAAATAGTATACTTACTTATGTGTCCATTGTATGAATAAAACTTCTCTATTAATTGCGCTTGGCACTAAGGCAATTCTGCTCCTTCTACTTCACCGAAACCAACCAAATTTCTTTCCTCGAGATCCAAGCCCACATGAGGGCCTTGGACAAAACGGTACAATGCTCATCATGGACGCGTCGGATGATTGATGACAAGTCGACACGAACGGCTGGCAATTCCATAGTTTTCAAGGTTCCCAGCGTCTACACGCTCTACTAACTTTGCGACGCAATTTTGTTTTGGGCATTGTCACTAGGCAGTGAGCAGCAAGCGGACACCTTGCACTTTTGGCGGGGAACTCGTCGATTGGCTGTTGAGTTCCGCATTGCGCTTCTGGTCAATTCTGGTTCTTTGGACGTAATCCCCAGCATACTACGCCGGCGCTTGCAGGGTGAAGTTTCGTTCCGACTATGCTGTTCTGCATCCTGCACCAAGATGTCTCTCAACTGTATTCTTTAACGAGATTCCCCAATACGATGGCTACCCAACGTTCAGCGGCCCGATCCTATCGCCGACATCTTTCGCCAACCTCCTCACCTGAGCGTTTATGCGGCTCATATCAAGGCCATGCTACTTGGGCTTCGATTGCGGCCTTAACCGTAACTCTCGCTAAAGCCATTCACTCCCGCGTTAGACAGGCGTTTAATGGCACGGGCAATACTACGACTAGTCCGCTGTACTCTCCATTCCAGTGCTTCTCGCCCCAGTCGATGTGGATGAAATCTCTATTGTATTATGATGCCGACATGACAACTTGGACATGAAGTCGGAACGGAAGACGTCGTTTTGAAGCGCCCGTGGGTCCTGTAGCTAGTAGCTCTGCTCTGAACTCGAAAGCCGCTGCATTGCCGCCTAGCGATAATCAAGAATAGTGAGCAACTACGATTTATGTCAGACTTTTGCCGCCCATGCTGCTTCTACTTTTTTCGTTGCGTCCATCTATGGCCTGGTATGCGCTGGTCCCTCAGAAAGGACAGTGACAACAAACCCATCAATGAGTTAATACTCGCTAGCTGTGCTTCCAACATCCCTATCAAAGATTTGGTACGCGAGACTGCCATCCAGGTGTCGAAATCAGAAATGACCATCGGCGGTCGAACGTCCATTGGCTGCATCGTTCTCTATTAAAGCACGAGCATGTGAGCCCGAATACCTCAGCCAACAGTCCTCAGCTTTCAGCAGTACCACGGTTTCAAGACTTTAGCAATGGCCTTCATCGCACGAGTTCTCCTTGCCTTCGTCCTTGCAGCGGTCACTGCCAATGCCGCAGTGGACAAAGCTCAAGGCGTTGCTATCGGTCACTCCAAAGACGCCGCCCAGGCTTGCTTCGGAGATGCCACACCGTTCCTCTTGCCTGTAAGTGATCCTCCCGATCGCAATCTAGCAAGTGAAGAACTGACGACGACGAAACAGGGCGACCCAGACAAGACTGTCAACTGCTGTATCGCTCCATGGTCCGTCACTTGGTTTGACCAAAATGCTCAAATCGGAGAGGTGAGGCTGTCTTCAGTCTGGTGTGCTTCTGCCGCTAAGTACATCCCAAGTGCTGCTCTCCGGGCCAAAGCTGGTCTGGCAACCAAACTACTCTCGTAGGAGGGTGCTGCAACAGGGGGCAAGACTGGTCGCAAGATAAGGCATCCGGCCTCGGAGGATGCTGCGCCCCGAGCTTGGTTTTCGTCGGTGACAAGGCCACGAAGACCGGCGGGTGCTGCACTGCCGGAATGATCTGGTTGAACGGCAAATGCGCCCCGCCCCCACCCCGCCCCACGTGCAAGGACCTCGCCGATCCCGTTTGCGGTGACGACGATGATCTCGGTATTCAATATGGCCACTGCTACATCCTCAAATTCACCGACGGCACCCAACTCGGTGCTGACCACGCTGCGCCAACGTATTCCAAGGATGGATTCTTCAAGGACATCCCCTTCAAGGTTTGCCGTAGCACCACCGATTGCGCGTTGGGAGAAGCAGTGCCTACGGATGGTACATTCCTTCTCCAGGACCAGATGGGCCGACCTGAGGATGCTACGGGAGCTGTTGGATGGGTGGACAACGGCGCTGGGGGCACACACATCAAATTCAACACTAACGGGGCTCAGGCTGGTGTCTTCAAGGGTGTCCCAGCATGCTCCGGAGGGAAGTGCTTCATCAGGTTGGGAGGTGGACCTACTGGCAATGGCAGCATTGGCCCTACGTGCCCAGTTCCCGAACACGGTCTCACATTCGTAAGTTCTGTTTATCAGTACTGGCGACGATGGACTCACCTGTTGCCTCTTTCTAGTGGCCTAACCCGAAGGCGACGATGTTGATTAGCTTCACGGAGACTGCTTGTTCGGGTCCGGATGCTCCATTCGTCCCTCTCAACGCTGCGAACCCAGCTCAGGGACTTCTTAGTGCATTCGGAGCCTCCCGCAGTCGCCCTGCTGTCGCAGTTTCACAAAGGCCTGCATCCTCCCTAGTCGCTTCCGCTGCTAGCGGTCGTGTCACTGCGACTGCTGAAACCGCGGCAAGGGCTTCTTCTGCAGCCCCCGTCAGAGCCACTGCTCCTTCCCGTGTCAACGCCCGGGCTTGAGTCGTAAGCTGATACGTGACGAAGGTCGAGAGGCGTATGTACATATAACGGGATGCTCAGCTGTGGCAACACATCTCATATTCCCTGGCATTTGTAAAGCTCTCACCCATACAAATGTTGATACATGCGCATAATGGCTGGACTTGAGTAGCATGTGAGATCGGCGGAATCAAGAACTCGGATTGTACCTAAAATGTACGTCCTCCAGAACATCTCTCGGTTCCTTTCTCTCTCTCTTGGTGCGTTTCTTACCAACCAGCTTCGACCTTTCGACTAACCACTCTGTATTATCCCAATACCGACACTCAGTCTTCTAAGGGTAGCGAGAGGAAAACAAAGGCGGCACACCTTCGGCTGTGATGGGCTGTCCGCCCAATGCATAGTATTCCTCAAAGAAGTCTTTGATACCGAACTTGTGAATCGACGGGTGATCGATTGGCTTGAGGACAGTGTCGCCGAGGAAGGGGACGAAATAAAATATCCCCAGTCGATCGAGGCTACATACATTGGTACCATCAGGACAATGGATACCCGGCAAGGTGTCACAGTCAATGCCTACTGTCGTTGGTCTTCTGGCGGCTCAATTACTGATGTTGGATATGGTTTCAGGTCAATTAACAAACAACGGCTCCTGGATACGGTACGCACCACGATGAGGTGAGGCTTTCAGTATACCTCCTGTTAAGAACTCGATGGAATCCCCGAGATCGACAATGATATGATCAGGATAGTGGCGTACATATCGCCATTCATCGGGAGCCGTCAAGATTTGTAACCCAGCAATAGGTTGTGAGTCTATATAACAATGTCAGTAAAGCCGGCGGAGGAGCTTCATGAGAACGGAGGCCCATACATAGAAAAGTCACGGATCCCCTAACGAAGTTGCAATAAACCAAGTGTAAAGGAGATTTGGGGAGTATCAACGTACAAGTCGGTATGACCAGGGACCCAAAGGTACTTCCTCTTTATTCGGTCTTCCTCAGTAGGTGGATCTATAACGGGTGTCATTCCACGACAATAACCCAGGACGAGCAGACGCAGGCTGACGATACATGGCATAGCGCAAATGATCCTTGGTATGTTGCCATTTGACGTGATCTGCGGGTGCATCAATCAACACACCCTTGTCAAGAACACCTCCCCGATGATGAATCTTCCACAACCTATGGGTGATGGCCATTAGTATCTATGTATTAAGAACAGCCATGGCACTTACGTATCGATTTCTAGGCCCAATCCTAGCGATAAAATGGCCAGAATTTTGCGTAGGATGATGAAGTGATTGTGCTTGTCATGTTGTGAGAGCCGTGATCAAAATAGGCAATAAAGTTTACCTCAATGAATTGGCGAATGTCCTTGAGCAGTCGTTGACCAATGTTTGGCATCCGTGATCGTAGGGCCGTCCAAGGATACAAGTCATAATGCTTCGTGAAAGGTCTGTTAAATGAGGTACAAGCCTCGCCAGCCAATGCGCACCTCGACATAGTCAAAGGCACCATCAGGACGGTTATAATAGCCCTGGGGCTGGGAGGAATTCAGCGGCTTTCCTCAACTGCAATGCAGAGAACTTTACTGACCTTGTATCCTGCCCAACTTCCCTCCCAAATCTGCGCATGAAGTGTTCTCTTCTCTTCCTCAGACACTCCGTAGTTTAGCAACTTTCCAATATTGAATTGATGCCTTATATCATCGTGCGACAAGCCATGTCCCTTAATCGCAACGAAGCCAATGGTCCTAAATGCCTCAAATGCCCGAGTGATAAGTTCTTTATGAGATTCGAGAAGTGTATCGCTTGCGCGCCCTGGGACCAATTCATCCGGAACGTTGAAGGCTGAGATATCCAGCACTTCGAGGTCGACGTACTGATCTACTCACGCTTGGTAAGGGTCATAACAGTGTGCGAGTTGACAAGTAACTGACCTTCTGGGATGGCGTTGGTGTCCGGTGGGAATACCCATGGATCAAGTTGGTCTGGTGAAGCTGCACCAGTAGGACTCAGCGAACACATCGTGGTGGATTACTTAAAGTTGAAGAAGATGCTGAGGAGAGACCTCCAGTTCCACATCCGTATATATAGGTACGACCTCCACATAGAAGCTCGGTGAACACTGAAGAAGTGATATGGCCGACTGCATCGCGGTGCTGTCGGAGTTTATGCAAAGTTCAGATCTCTTTCCGAACAACACACCGTGCACTGATTAGGAAAGTATTGAGCGGAAATTGCCAAATAAGAAAAATTCTGATCAATACTTTTCCAATATTGAGCGAAAGTGATCTAAATACGTTCATACTTTCATCAGTCTCAGCGTATAATTATAGATCAGCGCACGGTGTGCAAAGACTTCAAACTCAGTCATCCGTGCTGCTGGGACCACGAGTACAAGGTTCTCTGTGACAGCAAAGAATCAAATATTGCTCATTATCAAGCCCAGGCGCCGCAAGTTACAGTGACAAGTTCTCCCGCTCGTATCATGTGTCTGATTCCGACGGTGGAGGGAGCACACGCCAAAGAAGCCCAAAGATTCCAATTTAAAACCTTGAGATCTTAAAGTTTTATCAACTGTCCTTCTGCTTTCCCTCCGCTACTGCTGGCTATTGGCAAGATGAAGACCGTCGGTGGCATCCTTCCACTTCTTCAGGTATGTTCTACTCCCCCAGCATTGTGTAAATGTTTCAAAACTCTGTACTAGGTTTCCACGGATTCTTCTCCTTACCAGAACCCAGATGTGCTGCCCTTACCGCCCTCGCGCCGTACATGGTCGATCAAAGTATTCATCTTTTTCTGGTTGGCGACAGGTTCGCATTTCATCTCAACGGCCTCAGTGTGACTGTTGACTAACGCTCCATGTAGCGATAAATATTGCGGAGTGGTCGGGCGCCTCGACAGCACGTAAGGATTTTGCTACTGCCGTTATATTGATGATGAAACCGTTTTGATGATTCCAGTGGCAATTGGGCTAACGGTCGGGCAAGCAATCGCAGGTATGGAGTGAGTAAATCCAAAGCTAGGTCCATCGCTAATATTGGCCATACAGTTAATGCTATCAGCACCATCATGTATGTCAATGAACACCATATGCTCTCGGCTGATTCTGACTGTACTTCAGTATTTGTATGGCTCTGGTCATAAATGGTCACGGAGGAGGGAAATGGCACATCTCCTTTGTTCGTGCAGTCTTTACCTCTAGGTTGACTTTTCCCGCTGAATTTTATACAACATCTTCAGGCTGTCATCAACCGCACTGGATGGGGGGTGTAAGTCTGGCCTTTCTTCTGGATTGCCAACTAATCCAACACTCTTGTGGCTCAGGCGCGGTGCATGGTTCTCACTCTGTGCTCGTATCATCTTATCGTGCTGTTGGTACGGTGTGCAAGCATGGTACGGAGGCCAAATGGTAAAGATCATGATTGGTGCAATTTGGCGTACGTTTTCCCAGTGACTGGTACCTCGGAGAAACCTTCGTGCTGACGTGCGGGTATATAGCGAGCTTCTATAGGATGCGGAACACATTCGCTCCTGATGCAGCGATGAAGACGAATGAATTCAGTATGCTCTTGCTTCCCCCGTGACAGCCGGCTTCTCATGATAGGAACGCATTTCCAGTCGCGTTTATCATCTTCTGGACTATCTCGCTTCCAATATTCCTTCTACGACCCGAGCAGTAAGTGTACGCTCGCCCTACTCTTCCCTGTAATCACCAACGAAATGCAACCAGGTATCGTATCCCCGCCATCTGTTCCTCGGTGGTCGTCACAATCGCCGCTTTCGCGCTATTTATATGGGCTCTCGCCAAACAAGGAAACGTAGGCCCTCTCTGGAGCAACCCAGAAGTCGTGTACGGAACCGGCCGCCTGAAAGGGTCGGTATTGAGCTGGGCCATGATGAGAATGATTTCTAGTGGAATCGGTGGATGGGCCGGGGGAATACTCTACCAGAGTGGTAAGTCTGTATCATCGCAATTGCGTGCACACGACCATGTGTCGCATGATGATGAACGTTAATTTTAACCGTCGACATTTACATGATGTGCGAAGATTTCTCAAGATACGCTGTCAAATCAGGAGACCAGATATGGGGCCAAGTGTTCATCATACCAGTTTGCCTGTTTGGGTCGAATATTCTAGGCATCATCACCACATCGTGTGCTCGCGGTTTCTATCCGGATGAACCACTCCTATGGTTAGTCAGTTAGCTTCGCCCTCTATGACCAACGTTGGCACTAACCCTACTATCTCATAAATAGGAAACTGTATGATCTCCTTGAAGCGATCCAGATGCACGAAGGGCCAGGTGCTCGCGCAGCGGTATTCTTCGCTGCGTTTGCCTTTTTTCTATCGCAAGTCTGTGTAAATGTAAGTACAGACCCCTCAGATTCGGTCAGATTCGGTCATCTGATGAATATTTACCGTAGGTCGTTGCTTGTGGGGTCGTCGGGGGCATGGACCTAGCGGCATTGCTGCCACGGTATGTCTTAAGTATTTCGTACTTAATTTCAACAGACCAACCCGGATTGCTTTCCAAGGTACATCAACATCAGACGTGGATCTTTCATCATTGCAATCATCGGCATTTGTATCAACCCTTGGAAGATTCTGAACGTACGTTCATTGATTCTCTCTTGTCTAGGCCGGCGACTTACACTGGCCCCCCAGACCGCCAACTCGTTCATCTCAGCAATATCAGCGTATGCGGTGTTCTTAGGCCCTCTGTCGGGCATCATGATCGTGCGTGTCATCTCTTTCAATGTTTAACGACATTTGCTAAGCCTTATCGTGTCTGGATTATAGACTGAGTACCACATCATACGACGACGCCAGATCAAGCTTTCGCATCTGTTCATGCCCAACTCCGGTAGCGATTATTGGTTCTGGCATGGAGTCAATTGGCGTGCGCCGATTATATGGGCCTTGGTGAGATCTCTGAGACTGCGAAAACATTGACTTACCCCAACCACTCTAGGGCGTGTGGCCGAGTATGCCAGGATTCTGCGCTTCAATCACCCCTAACGTGGTCAAGGTCTCCACAACATGGACGTAGGTCCTTCTCCCTACCTGACGGCCTACTGGACTGAACGTTTAACGTGGATATTGAACAGGCACGTATACTACATGTCCTGGCTCCTAGGATTCTTCATCAGCTCTTCGCTGTGGATTCTTGTGAACAATATCTGGCCGCCGCCCGGAGTAGGAGAAATAGACGACAAGGATGTGTTTGGTACTTTTGGCCCAGCCCCCAGGAACTCGAGCGATAGCGTCAACGAGGAAGACGGGGATGTGAAAGATGGCGAGAAGTTGAAGGGGTAATATCTACTATTTGGCCGCCGTAGCTTTCTTCAGCTGTAGTAAATTCTTGTCGATTTCCGCGATATACTTGTCCAGCAACTTGTGGAACTACAAATGAAGGTTAGTTGAGGCCGAATTATGGTGAAACGCGACTTACCTCCTCCATCTCCACTGAACGCTTTTCGAATTTGCCGCGTTTCAAGCTAGCCTGTAGTTGCTTACGAAGCTGCACTCGCGACTCTTCAGCCTGTCGTGTTGCAGCTGTATACGCCGCCGTTCTCGCTTCGACCGTCGGCCTAGATCCCGGCGTAAAATGCTGCGTGCTGGTGGCATGGGTCTGTAAGCTCACCTCGGTATCGGTATCTTGATCGTTCGGTCATCTTGCTTCTGAGGAACAATGTTGGGTATTTTGGAAGCGTAGAGTGCCTGCTCGACGTGCTTCATATTCTACATTCGGATGAGCTTTAATAGTTCACGAGTAGCAAACAAACACACCTTCTCCTCAAACAGCGTAATCAGCAGAGTCGAGCCTTCTCTGACTCCTACAGTAGCTATGTGATCCAGACGAACGGCCGCTTTGCTATCAGGAAGAACAACACGAACGGGGTCCAATATCGCTGGCGTTACACGACCGCTGGCACGCGTCTCTACCGCCGCGCATTCCTTCTTGAACCAATCAACGGCAGACTTCATCTTTTCCTCCGCTTTCGCGTACTCGTCCAGAGCCAGTTCCGAAGTCAGAGGCTGCTTCGAACCCGGAACCATGTTGGCGGTGGATTTGACCTTGGATTTCGACGCGTACATACGCATCGTGCCAAGTCTGCATGGTAGATGAGCGTTAGGTCTCCACCGTGCCCGTGTCGAAGCTGCCAACACCTTCGGTATAAGGCGTTGCATGGCTTGAAAAATGAACTTGAAAGTAACGGAACGGATGTCGGGAGGTGGCGCCGGCGGTACGGTTGGGCGCCTAGAATATAGGAGGCCCTCACGACACTGAAAGTATTGTCTTTTTTCCTCAATCACCTCTTCTGAATCCTTTATCATACATGACGGCTTTTGGTCGATAGTACCATAACCCCAAACAGACTCTACGCCCATTCGATGAGGACCTTAGTTTGTTGGGCATTTTACACCTGGGGAAACGCGGCACGATACATCAAACTTTCGAGTGTAATCGAGGAGTTTTGGCCGAGGCCACAACTGACGACGGCTCAGGTACCCGTTGAATACTGAATGCGCGAAGGGGGATGTACATGGGATCCAAGTCAGTTCTCCGGCTGCCCCAGGCTGCGGTAAACCCCACACCGTGAATTAAGTTCGTGGTTTTCATGCATTTTCTCGGTGCTGAAAGATGTTATCACAGAAACTCAATCGCTTGCAGGCTGCCACAGGCTACCATCACAAGTACTCTGATTGTTGATAACGTTTTTTAATCTCGGATCGGGTGTAATGTTCTCCAGAAGATGATTCTAAACTTCTATCCAACTTCTATCAGCCTATCTATAATCTTCAACCGCGTTTTTTACGCGTCCCCATCACGTGTGGCGCGACTATCATGCCATCAATCGCCACTAGGCCGCAGGCTTGATCTTCTGGATTCTCACAATTGAAGCTCCTTTGTTATTTCTCCGTTATAAGCGCCATGCGGTTTCATCGTTGCTTTGCACGGCCAACTCATTCCGGGTTGCAAGGGATATCAGCGCTCGTTGCAGTGCACTAGTCACTGTTTCAGACCTTCATTGCGAATCGGCACCATCCTGAGCTCTCGACGATGAGCTCTCGACCAGCGACACCATGCGAAGCACGAAATTCGACTGAGGATCATGGATCCGCCTCAGATGGAGGCTGCGTTCCTCCAGATTACAGAAAGGCGCTTAAGGTCCATTTCGACGAACTCTACCCGCACTTGGTCCGCCACTTGACTCGATGTACTTGCCGTCCACCGTCGCTAGTGCTGGAGACATTGATGCTGACGCGGTACCACAGCTTCGATCGACGCGCGACCAAGAACGCGGCAGAAGATCAGCCAAGCAACGGAGGAACAGCTTTGGGAGCTGTCTACCGATGTTTACGATGAGTTTATGAGGCGGATGTCGTTACAAGGTACGTTCGCGTCTTCAACTCGAGGCGATGGATTGCTGATTGGGTCGATTAGGTGCTAAGTTCCTTCCCGCACAAGAAGGGTACCATCCAAAGCGGAATGCCGCTCGCCAGAAACTAGCGTCCTTACCGGACGAACGGTTCGAAGTCCTTTGCGGAGACGTGTTCCAGGAAATATCAAGGCGGTACCCTGAATTCTATGACTGCGTACGTACACCACTGCTGCCACTTGCAGGTGGCCCTTAAGCCTATTTTACTATAGGAAAGCAGCGACTCGAGCAGCGAAACGGGCCTTGCATTCAGCTGTTGGCTTATGCGCCAAGAGTTTCCTCGAGGGCTCCAGCGAGCGCGATTCCCTAACAAGCTTCGGGCTACTGCTCCTGCATACGGCACGGCGTGTCAGGCAGTCGAAGAGAAGCCTGTGGTTGCGTACCAGGATGGATCTGAACTAGGCACGACACATTCAGTGGTGACTAACTCAGACCACTCCGAAGAGACATTGATAGCGTCGATCTCTCAATCTGAAAAACCTCGCCAAACGACTCCTTCGCGAAGACAGCGAGGAAAGTATGGTTTATGCAACCTACGCCCTGTGAGTCATGACGCCCATCCCCTTGATTCCAACTAACAACGTGGACGAACAGGCTTGGTTGCAACGGCTTTGGAAAGTCTTGCATCACCAGCCCCAGACCACAGCTCGCGCTCAGAACGAGGTAAAGGAAGGTAGCCAACCAGCAGCCGACAGTTCAAGACGGCAGAAACTTTGCCTTGTCGGCAGATTAGGGTATGGCGACTACATAGTTTACTTCAGTTGATCGCACTGACGCTCCTGCAGACTAGCCTTACACTCGCTATCTTGTTTCGTCAAACCTCGGTTGCCTCCTGAGTAGTAAGGCGATCTTCTCGCTTTGTTTTTCTTGGGTTTTAGGTGGTGATTTACGGACACAAATTCTGTATGCCTAGCCTTGCAACCGCTGGCTCGTTTGCAATTACATGTATACTTGTACACCAGGGGATTTCTCAGCCGTCGCTGCTTCGAGGAATATATCTTGAAAATCGAACGCTGGGAAAGTTAGTATCTTACGGAATTGTTCATCAACTTTGAAATCCTCAACCTTCCGAGTCTTTCTTGGTGGATGTTCGCTGATCACGTGATGTGCTGCTTAGTATGTTTCATGTGTCATCATACCGCTGAAGCTGAGACGACGCTCTTCCTGGACCCACTGGGTCACTGAATATTTTTCTCATCCATGTTACAGAATTCGACTTGCATCGCGCCCATCTCAAATTCTCACTTCTCTCCTGCTACAAGTCACTTCACCTTATCACTGTGTCGAGGTCACGCGCGTTAATCTTACCAAGGTCAAAACTCCTGCTCGGACCGCAGTATCATAGCAGGAGTTCAGGACTTGTTTCTTTGAGCTCTGCAGCAACCACGACCGCTAAATTTACTGTTCAGAATGAGTCTGCAGCTGGCAGATCTTGGAAATTCCTCAGGGGGGCCGCCGCGCTATCGCAACTCTCCTCGACGGCCTCCTCCTGCTCCGTTGCCAGTGTACACCAATGGCACCCTTTCTCCACTCCCAACGGGCGGCCTACCGTCAGACACACCGGTTCCTCACACCCCGACCCATGGCTTGCTCGCACAGCTCAATCACCTACTGCCACGACACACAATCTTCCACGTACGCCTCCATATCCACGAAATCGCCAGCGTCCCCCTCGTCTCGGGCGAATTTGCGGCGAAATGGCGTTTCAAGAACGTCCAGGCTGTTCCGGGCTCGAAACAGGGTTTCCTCGGCATAGGGAGGAAGAGGAATACGTCGCGCTCGCGGACGTCGAGCGGGCAGGAGCAGGACGAGAAGACTAAGGCTAGCAGCGAGGATGGGAGGGATAGTGGGACCACGTCGCCTGAGGTAGGATCTTCCGAAGATACACCTTCCATACCGTCGGTCGTCGTCTCGCGGCATCCTGGTGGGGCTGCTACCCAGCCCCCGACACCAATATCCCACACCTCACCGGACTGGCATCCCGGCCCTTCGTTACTGTCACCCTCCCTCTCATCGTCTCGAATACCGACACTCTCCGAGCTTAGCTCGAGTTTGTACCGGCAGCCGGAAGAACAGTCCACACCTTCCTTGACTGCGACTACCCCAGTCAATGGCTACGCGTCGTCTCGTGGCATGACCACGTTTGGTCAGCTGAAGGAACACAAAGTCGTATGGGACCACACCGTTGACGTCGTGGTCAAGATGGATGTCGAACGTGACACACTGGAACTGCTTCCCAACGAACTCAAATTGGAAGTGATGCAGGTACGCTTCTCAAGCCATATGCCCTCAGTTGAATATGTCTAATTTAATCCCCAGCGCGTGATTCCGAACGATCCCTCAGCACCGCAGAACCCTCGGCTCGGCGTCCTCTACCTCAACCTCGCGCAATACGCATCCCCCTCGACGCCCTCCGTCACGCGGCGCTACCTCCTCCAAAAGTCCAAAACCAACGCCACGCTCAAACTCACCGTCCAGCTCGAATTCGTGGGCGGCGAACGGAACTTCGTCGCCCCTCCGCTCCCCAAGGGGCAGATCCTCGGGGGTGTGAAGGGTGTGTTAGATAGCGATGTGCTGAGGTTGCGGCCGCGGATAGCGGGGCTGGAGAGGGGGATGGCGATGGCGATGACGGGGCCTATGGGATTCTTCCCCGAGCTTGGCGTTGGTAATGGGCCTGGTGTCAAACCGGGGCCCTTCCCTACGAGTAACGGAGCCATCATCGTCGCGGGCGAGCAGTACACACCTGATACCCTCAGCCTGATGTACGGCCCCCGGATGACAGAGAATATCATCGACGCGATATTCAACCCCGTACCTACGACGGACAAAGCTAAAGAGGGGCCGTTCACATATTACCTAGATCCCACCGAGGAAGAAAGCAGCACCCAGCCGGAATCCTCATCTCCGTCTTCTCCCACTTCGACTGGCTCCACGTCCTCCCCTCATCAACGACATCCCAATCATACTGCCAAGCATAACAAACATGGCGACGGCGCGTCGGTGTACTCCACAGAGAGCAATAGCAGCGTCTGCGAATCCATATCCGTGCAATCGCACCACTCACACCATTCTCACCATTCTTCGGCATCAAACGCACCCTCTACGTCAACGCATTCCACGCACTCGAGCTTGGGGATAGGGTTGGGAGTGAGCTTGGGGCCGATGGGGATTGTTGAGCCAAGGCGGTCGTCCGCGGGGTCTGCGGGGAGTGGGGAGGCGGCGGAGCCTACTGGGCGCATGAAGGGGTGGTGGAAGAAGATAGGGCACAATAATAGCGGAGCGAACTCTCCAATGACTCGACAAGATACCCTCACGCCTCCCGCGACGAGTCCTGCCATGCCATCCGTTCAGATAGCTATTTAACGCATCGCCCCGTCTCCTCTCCCACTCACGACACCCTTCACATCTGTCACCAACATGACCATGACCGACAGTCTCGTCTCCCCTAGACCTGCACATATTACCCATCCTCATCCTCATCCCCCTTTACCATCTACTATCATCCACATACGTACATACATATAGCATCCACGGTTAGTTAGACACTACCTTACACCTGGGCAAAACGGCGGTTTTTAATCTCTTGGTTTATCCTCTGGATATGGCTCATCATATTTGGCATTCATACTTGCAATATAATTTATGGATTCACGTCTAGCAGCGGGAGCTTGCGGATTACTCCGTGAGATGAACCATGTCTCTTCTAGATGCAAGATGCAATTGGGGGACAGCTATGCGTAAGTAAGGGGTTTCGATAGGTGTTGTCGTTCCTTTTGCTGGGTCTGAAGGAATGCAATAGCCGTCCGGGCGCTATCATGGACAGTCAGTAAGTACAATGATCTACTCATAGAAAGAATTCTGATGAACTCACTCTGACCGTCCTACGATCACTCGTGCAGTCTCCCTCAGCTTTCGCGCGTCAGCAAGCGTGGGCCGTTGACCCAGCATGAAACCATCATAGTCTTGCTGGGCCCGACGAGCCTTTGCCTCGAGCTGAAGTCGGAGGCGTTCCGTGGACGTGGGGTCCGTCTTGATCTTCGGAGAGGGCGTAGAAGAGGGTTTCGTGGCAGTAGCCGCCGATGTATCCGCCCCAGCGGCCGTTTCTACTTCGCCGTTCGTAGGCGCGAGGGTGGAATCCGGGGACACTCCCTCGATCTCAGCAAGCGCGTCTGCTACGGATTGTGAAACGGATTGGCCCTCTGTTGACGCGGCCGTTGCTTCCACCGCGTCTGGTGCAATGGCGCTCTCTGTATCGGCTTTCGCGTTCGCGGCAGCAGGCTTGGAGGAACTGGCCGCATTGGGAGACGCGAGCTCCCGCTGTCGTTCTGCTAGCCGTTGCTGCACCAGAAGGCGCACCCGCATGCCCTCCCAAGCCAAAAGGTCGGCCCTTGTATTGAGGACATAATTATCCAAACCACCAGCCTATCACCACCGTTCATCTTCCTCAGTACCCCCATTGACGAAAGAGCAGAGCACGCACCCTTTTGATCGTCTTCAACGCCCGTGTTGTGATTTTCAGCCTCACTTCCTGCTCGAGTGTCTCCGAGAAAAGATATTTATGCTGCACGTTGGGCAGCCATGTTCTCCGGGTTTTGTGCTTGGAGAAGGGGACGTTGTTGCCGTATTGTTTGGATTTTCCCTGGAACAGGCCCAGCTGAGCGCGTTTAAAAGGCTGGGAGACCGCTTCGAGGAGGGGAGCGGACGGAATCATTGAAGGAACTCACGTCGGCAGCGACTCGGCGCGCAACGAGAGACTACTGAAAGGTGTTGGCACACAGATGTAAACAGCCCCTCAGCCTCCTGAACTACTCAGGGGGAAAGGACAAGGAATCCAGATTCACTATGGCTAAAGGACTATAGTACAAGCTCGAACAGATTCAGCTTTTAAAGACTAGGCAACGACAGCTTTCTCGCAGCACTCTACTTTTGAAATCCGGAGAACCATCTTGCTTTCTTTTCTGGCTGCCTGTATGTCTCCGCCACCTCGCGCGAATAGGCATCCGCATCGCGCCACTGGAGCGAACTCCATTTATCCGGGTGAGCTTCAGAGTCTAGGAAGTGCTTGAACGCCAAGGCTGTTTGCTTCCCAAAGACCTCAGGCGATATATAGCCTACACCCGTCCCCAACCCCGTCATGAGCACCGTCGAGATCTTATCGGCACCTTCCTCAGCGGACTCGTTGTGATGTGTCAACGCATTCAGCAGCGACCAGACGCAATTGTACACAATCTCCCTGTTCCACGTCACCTCTTCGGGGACGCGCATGGTAGGAACGAGGGCGATGTAAGCACATTTGTGGGGATTATTCTCGCAGACGGTGGCTTGCAGAGGGACCATGGTGCAAGTTCCTGGTGGCGCATATCCTTTCCATCGAGAGTACAGAACGGATTGTGCGATTCTTGTGATGGCGTCGATATCGTCCTTCGGTGCTAGTGCTCTTGAGATAACGAGATCAAACCTACGTAACATGGACTGAGCAAGAGGACTAGACGGGTTGAGCAGCAGCGAATGCTCACCCGCCATCGAGACGTCCATATGAGTTAGCGGGAGATACTATACAGTCGAAGTGGGACTGGGGAGGTTCGAGATCGGAGAGCTTCTTATTTACCACAGATATTCTATCCCGCATAGAATCTGGAACGTGCTCATCTAGCGCAGACGTCAGAGCCTTGGTGAGTGATGTGGAGGGGTCAAGGATGATGAAGCTCAGCTCCTGTAGCCCCATGGTCGAGTACTGAGTTGACGTGTATCAGTATTGTGAGAATGCTAACTGAGCGATGTGAAAGTTTTACCACAGTCTTCAGCCCAAGTCGTTTTATTCAGGAGTGATCGTGGCAAGTCATGGCACTGACGGTGTGCGCTTCGTTGGATAACGTACGTGTACATGTATCGATGTCTGCCTGAGAAGCTTTACAGATATCGGGGAATGTACATTGATGTACAACTACACAACTCCGCAATCAAGAGAACTCGCATGCCCCTCTATCCCTCCCTCACTCGCACTCAAGCCCGTGCGTTGACACGGGAAGGAGCAGTGGCTCTGACGGGGGCTGCAGAAGAAGCCCTTGCGGCGGTTGCAGCAGTCGCAGTGACACGACCGCTAGCAGCGGAAGCGACTAGGGAGGATGCAGGCCTTTGCGAAACTGCGATAGCAGGGCGACTGCGGGAGGCACCGAATGCACTAAGAAGTCCCTGAGCTGGGTTCGCAGCGTTGAGAGGGACGAATGGAGCATCTGGACCCGAACAAGCAGTCTCCGTGAAGCTAATCAACATCGTCGCCTTCGGGTTAGGCCACTAGAAAGAGGCAACAGTTGAGTCCATCGTCGCCAGTATACTGATAAACAGAACGTACGAATGTGAGACCGTGTTCGGGAACTGGGCACGTAGGGCCAATGCTGCCATTGCCAGTAGGTCCACCTCCCAACCTGATGAAACATTTCCCTCCGGAGCATGCTGGGACACCCTTGAAGACACCAGCCTGAGCCCCGTTGGTGTTGAATTTGATGTGTGTGCCCCCAGCGCCATTGTCCACCCATCCAACAGCTCCCGTAGCATCCTCAGGTCGGCCCATTTGGTCCTGGAGAAGGAATGTACCATCCGTAGGCACTGCTTCTCCCAACGCGCAATCGGTGGTGCTACGGCAAACTTTGAAGGGGATGTCCTTGAAGAATCCATCCTTGGAGTAGGTCGGTGCAGCGTGATCAGCACCGAGCTGGGTGCCGTCGGCGAATTTGAGGATGTAGCAGTGGCCGTATTGAATACCGAGATCATCGTCGTCACCGCAGACGGGATCGGCGAGGTCCTTGCACGTTGGGCGCGGTGGGGGCGGGGCACATTTGCCGTTCAACCAGATCATTCCGGCAGTGCAACACCCGCCGGTCTTCGTGGCCTTGTCACCGACGAAGACCAAGCTCGGAGCGCAGCATCCTCCGAGCCCAGATGCTTTATCTTGCGACCACCCTTGGCCTCTGTCGCAACACCCTCCTACGAGGGTGGTCTGGTTGCCAGACCAGCTTTGGCCAGGAGCGCAGCACTGAGGATGCCATTAGCGGGAGTAACGTACGGGCTGCATACGGCCTCACCTCTCCGATTTGAGCGTTTTGGTCGAACCAAGTCACGGACCAGGGAGCGATACAGCAGTTGACAGTCTTGTCGGGGTCGCCCTACCAATCTCGACATTGATATTCTGCACTCCGTGTTGCAGCTAGGAGAATGACTTACAGGCAAGAGGAACGGTGTGGCATCTCCAAAGCAAGCCTGGGCGGCGTCTTTGGAGTGACCGATAGCAACGCCTTGAGCTTTGTCCACTGCGGCATTGGCAGTGACAGCTGCAAGGACGAAGGCAAGGAGAACTCGTGCGATGAAGGCCATTGCTAAAGTCTTGAAACCGTAGTACTGCTGAAAGCTGAGAACTGTTGGCTGAGGTATTGAGGCCAACATGATCCTGTTTTTATAGGAAACGGTGCCGCCAATGAACGTTTGACCGACAATGCTTACTTCTGATTCGACACCTAGATGGCAGCGTCACAGACCATATTTTTGATAGGGACGTTGGAAGCACATCTAGCGAGCGTTAACGGATTGATGGGGTTGTTCACTGTCCTTCCAGGGGGACCAAGGGACGCCAGACATGGATGGAAGGAGCATAGTAGATTATGGCGGCAAAAGGAAAGACAGCATATCAGGAGTGCTGTGGTGGCCTACGGATCGCGGTCCTTCTGTGTATTCTGGCGTGTTGTGAGACGATAACATAGCGGCTTTCACATTTAGAAGGACCATGGGCGCTTCGATGAGACGTCTTCCGTTCTCACATCATGTTGTAGCACTATCATGTTGCAGTACAAGTCAATGATGGGCTGTGTGATAGCGATTCGGAGAGAAGCATCGGAGGTGGAGTATCCAAGAAGCTAGTCATAGCATCGTCGTAGACGCGTACTTAGCGTGTCCACCCCCAGAGCTGGGAAGGCGCGAGAAAGCGCATAGCCTGGCGCCAGAATGATCCACAGCCGCCGAGTGAATGGATGTCAAGAGTTCGAGACCAAAACCGAAGTCAATATGAACTTGACAGCTTGGGAATGTCGAAAATTGTAGATTGAATATTGAGAGTTGAGAGCCATCTCGGACCAGAACGCAGAGCAAAGGTCGACACATAGGCCGACATAGGCTGGTTATTCGGATCACGCCCATAGAAGCAGAGATGACCAGAAGCGCGGTGAAGAAGAGCCCAACGTTGAACATTGGCGACTTCCCACGCAACAGTGCAAGGCGTCCGCTCGTCGAAATCTCCAGAGGCATGATGAATTACAATGTATTTTCGTTTAAAACGGCTGCACACAGCGTAAGAGCTCGAGCCGGTGAGCATCGATGGAGCCAAAAAGGTGTTCGCTTGATTAGTGCCCGGTATTCCGAGTCGCACAAAAATCGTTTGCGGACATCGTAATGTTATTGAATATCGAATAAATGCGGCAAGGTCGCGCAAGGGGTTGTCACCCGTTCATCTGCTGTGGTCAAGGTCCGTCGTGGTCGTGGTCAAGGTCAAGACAGACTTTAAGCGCTGACTGTGAGAACTAGTGGTTCAGCAGTAATTCATTATTCTAAGATACAGGAATGGCACTGAGCAATGAAACCAACGATACAGTTAAGAAGAAGCAAAACACAGTAGCCCAGTCAAATAAGATGAGTATTTATCAAGGTAGCTTGCGATACTTTTGATGCCCAATACGAGCGCATTCTGAGGATCGCTCAGTTGTGAGTGGGAGTAGGCGTGGCGGTGACTACAGGTCCAACACCGTAGATGGGCTTCCATCCCGGGATTCCGGGTGCGTCGCTGAATAAGTTATTTTAGCCTTCGAGCATGTATGGACACCACAAGGGTCTCACCTCTGAGCGGTCTCCGACGGAATAACGGGGCCAACACCATAGATGGGTTTCCATCCTGGGATACCGGCGTCGCTAAATAAAAGGTCGTATCAATTTTTGTTGTGCAGTCAAACTTATCGGGATCCTACCTTTCTGCGGTTTGGGAGGGAACCACTGGTCCGACACCGTACCAAGGCTTCCAGCCCGGGATGCCTGCGTTTCCCTCATCCCTGCAAAGAAGGTGAGTTAGCTATTAGTAGATTTACGATGTACGGTATCCAAAACCGCACCTTTCAACGTGCTTGGAGGGGACCACAGGTCCTACACCATAAATGGGCTTCCACCCTGGGATACCAGGGGCATTGATGTCACTAGAGGGGATGCATTATATCAGTCTCCATAGAGCAGACGAGTTATGCCCTTCTCACCTTTCGCTGGTTTGTGACGGGATTGCAGGTCCAACACCGTAAATGGGCTTCCACCCCGGGATACCTGGTGCATCGACATCACTATCGCTGAGGTGTACCATGTTAGCCTTCGAGGTGGTTGATGACATATATGGTATCTCACCGTTTAACGACCTTTGTAGGAGTCGCGGACGGGATTACTGGGCCGACTCCGGCGTGGGGGTTCCAGCCTGGAATACCGGGCGAATCGACGTCACTGAACCAGTTTTTAGCTTTTGTCATATTTGTGGGATATTAAAAACTCACGAATCGTCGCCAGCGGCTTTCGAGGGGATCACAGGGCCTACGCCATACCATGGTTTCCATCCCGGGATGCCAGGCGCGTCGACGTCGACGTCGCTAGATAGATAGTGTAAGTGTTCAAGGGTACACCGTAACAGATCAAGGAACTTACCGTTCAGCAACCTTAGTAGGAGTCTGAGATGGAATGACGGGTCCAACACCATAGATTGGCTTCCAACCTGGAATGCCAGGTGCGTTGATATTACTATACAAATCGAGTGAGCACCGTCTATGGACATTGTCCAACATTGCCTTACCTTTCGGCAGTTGTGGAGGGGATCACAGGTACAACGCCATACCAGGGCTTCCAGCCAGGAATACCAGCATCGTCACCACTAAGGAGTACATTAGTACATCATTCGATCTGTCCACGAGGCGTGTACGTACCGCTTGGAAGGTGTGGGTGCAGCGGTTGATTGCATCGCAAGAGCGACGCAAACGAGGACAGCAAACTTCAAAGATGAAAATGACATTGTTGAGAGAGTGGGTTTTTTGTGGTTGTAGTACTGAGACTGCAAGGATAGGAATTGATTGTGGACAATTTCGAGGACATCCAGACGGCTTTTATAGCAATCCTCGAATACGAAGACCCCGTGAAATGCGTCTAAAGAGGCATCACCGTGAACGGTGGAACAGCTGAATCTACTTGCGCGTGCTTCTGGTGGTGCACTAGAGGTGAAGCGAACCAGACCGTTAAGCCAGAGGACCATTACTATGATTCGAGTATGATAGTTATTTTTAGCGACGTTGTAGAAAGCCGTGTTTTGTAGAGTACGCAGAAGTTCCAGCCGATCAGTCGATCGATCGTCGAGAACTTGGACGAATTATGCATGAGCGGCCAGTAGTGCAAGGCAGATGGACCAGAAACAGGCTGCTGGCTCGCCAGAACTTGGGTAGAACGAGGAATCAACGAAAGAATAGACAAGCTGAGCATCACCTCCGATCAGTACTAGAGTCAACCGGGCGCCATGTCACTGGATCCCCTAGACCATCGGATTCTTGTGCTTGGCCATGGGTTACTTCCCGGATCCAGTGCCGAGACCACGAATGTGCTGGACAGGGACAAAGTACCATGCTTTCCATTCTCGGGGCATCTTTCTTCAGCTTCCATTACGAGCGCACGGCATTGGGTCGATGATTTGAAGGTCGGCGAGCGGCCGAGGGTTCGAGTGTAACATGATCCGTGCTGGTACACTAAGCACTTCATTCAAACCACCGACAAGAAAAGTGCACCTTCACGAGCAATGCCAATAATTCGTGGCATCTAGATGATAAGTTCAAATTTCAGAGTGAAAGGCCCTGCATCGCTTAGTCGTGCACAGCTCTGGAACACATCCGGCTCGCTTAACGTGTACTTGGTCGAGGTCCCGCAAAGCATCGACTTCAAGATCGTACGAAGGTGAATTTGAGTCTGGGCTATGTTCCGACCATTAAACTCGACCCTCCCACCCCGATTGAAAACAAGCAGGAAACTGGGAGCATCCAGGCGTCATTGGGAAAGGATGGGAGCTCAGAGACGAAGAATGCAGACACTGTGCACTCATTCTATAAAAGAGTATGCGTTTGACTGCGACGCCGAGTAATGTGGGTCAGTTATGTGGAAGGTATTACGAAACGGAGGCAAAAGTTCACCGTTGTGCATAACTGTGAATCTGCCATGGTCCATGTGGAATCGTACTCTTGCTCTAAACAGAAGCTTGAGATGGGCAAAAATAGACTTGGGCGGACACAGTGAGGACTGTAAGTATTTCTAGTAGGTGGGCATCTCGCAGTGTTCGTGTTTTCAAGATGCGCTCGTTGCAATCATGATAGGGTACCGTGAATAATTCGACAGCAAGTTAATAACAATGTTAGTAACTTTGCACCTGTTGGACCGATTGTTAACACCAGTTATTAACTAATTAGTTACATCGGGGTTAATAACATGTTAAATATTGTTAATAACCTATTATTTACATGTTAAAAAATTTTGGCGGTGAAAAACGCGAAAAAAAACGATGCTAGGCATGTCAAAACTTCCACGCCTCCTCTACAGTAATACTAGCACAGGTCTTTGCAGCGGGAGGTTGTGACGCTGACTGTGCAGCAGGGGTTGCTTCACCTCTAAGCAATGCCCGAAGAACGGGGGCGTTAAGGTTAATCTCGCTATCGAGTTCGAAGTCGTCGTCCTCGATCTCAATGGCTAGCTCCCGGAGCATGCCGTTGTCCCCATCGTCGACCGAATTCGTTGATATCTTCGTAATCCGGATTTGTGGACCAAGACAAAAATGTGTACACTTTGCTTGTCCGTCCGGTGTCAGGTAGAGTACGAGGTAGGTACCTGAGAAGTCTCGCGAGGCGAACGAGTTTTTGCTCGGGGGTGTTTTCAGTGATTGCGGACATGGATGTTCAAGAACAGGCTTGAAATTTTGCCAACTCCCTTTCCAGGGTTTGCGACATCGTATTCTAGGATCATACTGAGGCAACATCGTTCGTTAAGGGCCTTATTCGGGGTGAGGGCAACTTGGCAAGGCACTACTAAACTTCGTTTGGAAAAGAGCCTCATGGGCTGCTGGTCACGTGTATTTCTCACAATTTTTAACACCCGCCAGGAGCTCTACCGATGTTATTAAGTTATTAACCTGTTATTAACCTGTTATTAACACTGTTAATAATCCGTTGTTAAAAAACACCCTATTTTTCACGGTACCCTAAATCATGATGTTGATTATGGTCGATCTATGTTGCGCGAGTGGTGAGAACGTGGGAACGATGGAATGGGCGCTTGTTGGTGTTGGACCCTGAATGTAAGTTAGGGGAGACATGTGCGCACATACATGTGCAGCGGGAGCCGTTGCGCAAACATGGCAACTTCCATTGCTGTTGCAGAAGGGGGTGATCACCGTATCGATATAACTACGTGTCTTGGAGTTCTAGAGACAAAAAAGGTCTACAAATGGTATGAGGAACGATGATTGGAAGCGTCGCGTCTACTCTACTCTACTTGCTCTTTGTTGGGTCCATTTGACTAACCAGCCCTACGAGGATTGTATACTGTTAGTAAATTATCCAGGACACCAGTGACCTGTGACAAGACTTACTTCGTGTCCACCTGTTCTTTAGACATGCCATCTTTATACACCTTCACATCTTCGTGTAGATGATCGCCCGAGTCCTCCTTGAACATCTGGACTTCGGGCGTCTTGTCCATCCAGTCCGAAACATGGTCGGCTTGCCACTTCTTGAAGTAAAACCCAATCCCCTTGTGCGAATAATCCTTCTCGTTCGCCTGGTCTTTGTGGTACTTGATTTGCACGAAGTCGCTGTCCTTCGTGGCGGGATCAAGGGAGAGAGACACAAGGGCGTTAATGGTGGTCGTCTTAGGGATCCCTTTGAACGTCCAAGTCTATGATACGTGATCAGCGCGAGATTCAATCAGAGTAATATGAACACACCTGTTCGTTGTAGAATTGGATGAGTTCAGGATCGTTCTTGACTACTTGATATCCAACATTCTCGCTTTTGTTGAACAACATAGGCAGCCCAAACCACTGTCCCGCCATCTTATACCTTCAACCAACTGCGTCAATAATCCACTTGCTGAAAAAAACACGCTCGAGACTAACCTGTCATTCGCGTACACGAACTGATCGTCATATACACAATCCGCCGTGTACCTCTTCACTCTCTCAACAGTCGGTTGGCACGAGTACAAGGCAATGACATCGTCCATTAACCTCTGTCGATTTGGCGGTAACGGGATGGACTTCGACGGATCTGGCTTCCAGTCCGCACTCTCGCCCGTTTGGCGTACTTCGAACTGCTCGCCGGGCGCGTTAGAGGAAGGCATGCCTATGACAGAATAAGAGTGGAAAGGTGATGATACGCGAGGAGGAAGTTGGCGGAAAGTGCGAGCGGGGACAGAGAGAAGTTGGTTGAACTTGAAAGGGCGGAAAGAAAGCATGCGACGTCTCTTCAATGCGCGTCGAGTTTATATATCTCTGCATGGAGTTTGGTCAGAACGGTTGTTGCGTCATCGACGGGTAGAGTGTCAGTCTATACAACATAAGACTCGAGGGAAGAGGGAACGGATCGGCGATCACAAGCATAGGAAGAAACATATTGTTGTATTGATCGTGACGAAAGACAGGTATGCGAGTACTCAACCACGTGCTCTGTCCGTGCTTACTGAAAGCTTTTAGCGGGCTTGGAAGACGGGGAGGTTGCCCATGATGAAGTCGATTTGCTCCGCCCGGTAGTTATCTGGGATAACACCGGTGTTGTTCCCAATGAATTCAATCAACACCTAGCGACCGGGTTAGAAGAGTGATTCATATGAGGGCGTTTAGGAGAACATACTTGGTTCCTACGAGTAAGCTCGGGCCAGACTGGGCCTACAGACAGACAGGTTGATGTCAGGTTGGGAATACTAAAAGAAACGCGAAAGAGCGTACGTCGTAGGCCTTTGCCATCATTCGGGTCAAGGCTAGTGGCGAAGGAAACCCAGTAATCGATCATCAGGCTACTCAGCTCTTTCGCATATGACGGGGTGTCGATCGTGCCGAAGATGTATGGGAGTTCAGCCAGATGTGCCACTACAAGTATAAATGATCAGGTCGGCAATCAAGAGTGACCGTATACACCAATGACGAACCTCCTTGGAATGCTGGGCCCGTTGTAGGTGGGTCAGAAAACAGGTAACCCCAGTTTTTCACGCCAAAGCGGTTGGCGACTGCAGAGAACTTCCGTCTTTGTGCATGGAAGATAGTGTCACCCACTAACCAACATTGCTGTCAGCGACTATATCAACAAGGAATTAGATGCGGACACTTACATATGGCGCATCCTCGTTTGAAGTGGCTACTCAATCCAAAGGTCTCGTTACCAGTGCGGAAAGGCGATCCAAGAGCAGGGACGTCTGGGTAGAGCTCCAAGAGACGCTCTACCGATTCGTTGAGCGCGCGTTCGCCCATCAAGGCAGGTGTGTAGTTGGCGATCAAAGTCTCGCGAAGCATTTCAGTCGAGTTGACCCATGGATGCGTGAGTAGGGTGCCTAAACGATAGGTATTAGCTTCCGCTCTCGCATGATTCCTAGACATTGCTTACCTTCATCAAGGTTGTTGCCCGAAATGAAGGGTATTTTCGCGAACAAGCCTCGCTCCCAAAGCCTCGAAGGTAGATCAGGGAGGAAACCACCAGGCCCGTCGATAGTGTTGTCCCAAGGGAATATCTGCTTCGACAATGCCAGCGGGGCAACGACTGCGGGGAGGAGCGAGCTCGTGTCTGCCGCACGTATACAACTGAATGTATCTCGCGTCCAGGCGGTCATCGAGCACGCGGGGATAGCGGTGACAAAGTGGTGCCAGTCGGCTTCACGATCGAGCGTGTCCACGGAGATCGTCGAGGCTGCTGATCCTGATTGGAAAATCTATTCCCGTGACGTGAGTCGCTGCTTAGAATGGAACGGTTGAATGGTAACTCACGGCGGCGCGAGCGAGGCCATCAAGGGTGTCTCCTAGCATGAGCGTCCCTAGCGCGATTGCGCCCGCACTTTCGCCGAAGACAGTGACCTTCGCTCTATTGCAATTTATCAGCTTCCATGACGACTGCGGTAGCATGAGCACTCACTTGTCACCGCCGAACACGCCGATGTTGTCCTGAATCCAGTTGAGAGCCAGAACCATATCCCTCAGGCCGACGTTCAGTGCGCGCTTCTCAGCTGCCTCGCGTCCTTGGGGGAATCCCAAAGGTCCCAATCGATAGTTGAAATTCACGTAGATTACAGGCGTCCCCTAGCATTCTGACGTCAGTTCCGGTGCTCGCGCCGAAGAAGTGATACCTCATACCCGAGCAACACTTTGCGCGACTATAGCTGTTCCGTTGTATTCGCTAGCGCTTCCCTCTGGTAGATGTCAGCTTTGCTAAAGGTGACAGGGATGAAGGACTCACGATCGAAACCTCCTCCGTGAACCCAAGCCATGACAGGCAAAGATGCGTCACTTGAAATCCCCGCCGGCCGCAGAACATTGATGGTGAGGCAGTCTTCCGACATCACTTCAGCAGGTAGGTCCTACGACGCATCAAACATTGTGGAAGGGACTTGCTGAAACGAACTTACCCGTTGGTAGCACATAAGCCCGAAGTCACTGGCATCAAACGAGGGGACATCGAGAGCCTTCGGCACTGGTGGCCTCAGACGAAGATCACCCAAAGGTGGCTCAGCATACGGTATACCTACACCGCGATCTTTAGGCTACAAGGCAAGAATAAAGCATTGCGGACGTACCTCCGTAGAACTCTAGTCCCGAATCACTCAGATTCCTTCCATAAAGTGTCGTGTTCCCTAGCTGAATCTGCGGCCCAGCAAGCCACGAAACCAAAGGCAGCGCAAGCAGCGGTGTCTGCACCATCGTAAAGAAAGCCGTGAAGTGGTGTCCTGCGCGTCCCTCTGGGCTTATATACCCACATATTAGCCCGAAAGCTGCCGTGCTTCTTTAGCCCGGGTGCCAGCGCCTCGGCAAGGAAGCCACCAGTGATGATCCACTGAATGCCTGAAAAGTCAGGCAACGGGGAGATCCATTCGGACCACTCCATGAGAAGCCGGCCGTCTACCTCGGGTAGTCCAAAGGGCTGCATCATCTTGAGGATTTCCGAGGCATACATTCCAGTAATTTCGAACATGCATCAGTCATCGACCGCACTGGAGCCGCATTGCACAGTTATAATAGATTTGGTACATCTGTGATGCCTTGAAGCTTCGCTAGTCACCGTAACATAAAAGACTTTCGAATCGTGAATTGCGCAGATTACTGAACATTGGAAGGAACCGGGTAGTGAGTGTAGTGAAGCAACATTTCATCATTGGGGAAGGTGAACGCGAATCTCGGACATAGGAAGGGGGTGGGAATATTTGGTCTGGAGGCGGCCGTCAAATAAAGGCACCTCTAGCGAAAATTTCTGCAAATGCTGCTCGACCTTGACCACCACTATCGCTACATCCTTGACGAATGAAAGACTCTGTTCTCATCTCTGATATCCAGTGAAAATATTTGCTGCATCTATTGCAGGCGTGCGGTACAAATACTGTGAGTCCAGATTTTTTCAATACATGAATAACTCCAACTGAAAAGCGACCCAGAGAACTAATGGGAGTGTCTGTCACTGTACAGCTGTCGTCATGAGCATAAGCTGAGGAGATACCTGCCCGCAGACCGTTTCGCCGCGCGGTCTAAGTAAATCTTGGAAGCTGCTCACGGCGCTCTCCCTTCATCCGCGTCCCTTATCATATTCTCGCTCGCTCAATTTTCCACGACGAGAGTACCATTATGAACGCGAAGATTGCGTAAATACCCCGTCCATTCGCTATCAGCGAGGATCCTGCGCGGAAATGATCGTTAATAGATAGTAGGTCGGGGACATGCTTTGTATTCTGTTCTCACCATCGTAGAGAGTTTATATGATGGAATGGATTTGCAACTTGTCAACAACTGGTTGATCTTCGAGTGAACTACGATATCAGTGGACCAGGTGGAGACGCAGACGTGATCACACAAAGAAAGGTACGGTTCGTCCTGCACGTTGTGCGGCAAACTGACACGAAAGTGCTATCGCAGAAAGCCCACTCTTGTGACGCCTATCCAACTTAGTCCTCACCGTGAGTCTCGCTTCGTGTTGCCATTCCAGGGATTATACCTTCACTACTCCCGGAGAGATGCTTTCGACGCGTCTTGCTGAATGCCACAGCTCGAAACCCGTCCTGGTACGCTCCTCGGAGAAACCGCTCGGGTGACGGGCTAAGAACGGAAATATGATATTTCAGTTTTTACCTCCCTTTCTGACTTCCGAGTCTCTGATCGTTGAACTGACGTGATTCTTCTTTTCAGCCGGTCTTCAAGCTTGTTTCTGCCGATGAACCCGTCATGGTGTAGATGGAAGGTGCCAAATTACCCCGTGTATAAATAAGATGTCTATTCTATTCGATCGTGCGCGAGCGCTCTAGTCCTTGCCTTGCCCGAACAACGGTTCTATCTCCTTGTTCCTCCGCCTTTCCTTCTCGTCCTCATCACTTTCCTCTGCCTCCGTCACCTTTTGCTCCTCCTCCCTCCTCTCATACCTCACCTCATCATAATCCTCCGCGATCTTACTGATCTCCCGCTTGATAGCCTTCTCCTCTGCAATAAGGTCCACATACCTCTCAATATCCAACCCTCGAGACTTGTAGAGCGCTTCGCGACGAGTGGATATTGATCGGGAGAGGATAGAGGAGTAGGATACTTCACGACCTTGGTAGAGGAACCAGAGGTAACCGCAGATGACGGTGGAGAGCCCCGAGAGGTACGTTATCGGCTCCATGACATCCCTAACCACCATCGCATGATTGATGTTAGAAGCATGGTCTTATATCGAGCTCCTCGGAACACTCACCACCCAAAATCCCAGAAGGTCAGCCTTGCGACGAGCCCCCAATACACAACCAGCATGCCAAAGCCACTCAAAGCCATCCGCCTTGCACCTTGATGAGCCGCGTAGTCGCACTCTTTCTTCAGCACCTCCATCTCCCTCAACCTCTCCTTCACGAACTCCAGCTTCCTCCTCAAGAACCTCGTCCTATCCGCAAACGTCGGCACCTCTACCTCAATCACCGTCTCCGCCTGTTCACCCTCCCCTCCTTCGCCTGTGTCACAGGTGTCGTCGTTTTTGGTTTGGGCCGTGGTCGTTGTCCGGTTGTCCTCGTGCGTGAAGTGTATGGAAAACTCGGCTTCGCGGGCAGCGTCTTTGATGAAGTCCCCGATGTCCGTGGAGTGGGACCATTGGATGGTTTGGCCACTCGTAGACTTGTTTTGGAACGAGATGGATGGCATTGATGGCGCGAGCGACGCTAATATTAGGCGGCTGACGTGAGACAGAGGTTGTGATGGATGCAGGAGTAGGACTGTTGGAGGTGCAGCTCTGCGAGCTGCTTTAGGATTACCCCGTTTCTCCATGTCGTTTTGAACTCGGTCAAGTGGTAGGGTTAATTTGAACAAATGGGAGGACGTGGGTGATAGTTTCCCTGTGGATTCGAACATATTGTCAATATTAGCAGCGCGACAAACTATGGTCATTTTACTCACCCTTGCCCTCAGCGACCTTCTCGAACCCATTTCCATTCAAGGGGTCAAATACACCTGTGTTTGATGATCCCGTCTCGTTAGGCTTTGACTTCCACTTCGCTCCCGGTGATGCCTCCGCCAAAAACCGCGAATGGTTAACATTCATCGTTTCTGACGTCGCCCGTGTCTGTTCGTCTCGCCTTGCTGAGAGTGTCGAGAACCACGAGTGCTGACGATGAGACAGCACCCAGGCAGTTCCAAGTCTACTGCTTGTGCGGAATGTCCCTGGCAGAAGGATTGTTACCATCTCGAGTTCTGGCGGTCAGTTCGAGAGGTTGCTGCTAAGGCGAGGACTATGAGATTCTTACTCGTGAGCGTGCCGCAGTGCGGGCGTGTTCCTCAAAAGCATTCAGTCGGCGCCGGTGAGGGTAGGCGGTCACTGTCGCGTGGCTGACAGCGCCCTGCGAACATATTCGTGGAGGGTTGGACTGATTGAGGTGATGTCATTTTATGATCAGCGCCTTAGTCTGTCATGTTGGCGCTTGATCTTAGAGGTAAATGGGCAAGCGCCCGGACTTGAATGAAAAAAGGATTCCAGTACTAGGGAGAAGGGCTTTGATATTCGAGTAGTCATCAGGCCCCGCTGGATCGTTCCGATTGTTAATCTCATATACCTACCATTCATCGACAATCACCTCCCACGGCAGGCCATTCCCAACAAACATCGAGAGAGGAGCTATGGGCAGATGTGGGCGAAGTACTCCGCTACTCGAGCAATGAGTACTGCATATCATGGGTAGCAGAATAAGATACATTTGTCGCAATAAAGGGAGATGGATACACGCGATTTAAATAAACGAATCATCGAACATTTCAAGCAATTCCCGCTCAAATAAGTCTTCCAGCTGCCTTGAGGCGTAATCAGCCCCATCGCCATCGCGTGCTTCCAGCTCATCATCATCTCGCGCCTGAAGACCCTCCAAGACGCTGGCCTCGTCGTCTGACAACTCCCTTCCGAGCAGCTCCTCAAAGTCACGCTTGTAGTACCCCATTCCCATTCCCATCCCCATGCCCATCCCGTATCCCATCCCCATGGTAGGCGGCCCATTCTGAGCAGATGGTAGATTCAGAGCCTGGCCAAGAATTTTGGCGGCCATGCCTGCAGCTGGTGCGTAATCCGCTGCTTTGCGCGCCTCCAGTTCTTCGTATTCGTTGTCTCGAACTCGGAGGTAGTCCATAACACCGGCTTCGTGGTCGGACAGCTCCCTACCAAGAAGCTCCTCCACTACATCGCGCCTGTAATACCCCGTCCCCATTCCCATTCCCATTCCCATGCCATAGCCCATACCCATCGTTGGTGGACCATTCTGCGCCGATGGGAGATTTAAAGCCTGTCCTAATATCTTGGCCGCCATGCCCGCTGCTGGGGCATAATCGGCGGCCTTCCTCGTTTCTAACTCTTCGTATTCTTCCTCGCGTGCATGGAGATCTTCCAAAGCCTCAGCTTTGTCGTCTGACAGCGCCCTACCAAGCAACTCCTCGACCTCTCGCTTGTAATACCCCATGCCCATGCCCATGCCCATACCCATGCCATAGCCCATACCCATCGTAGGAGGGCCATTCTGAGCGGATGGAAGATTCAATGCCTGTCCAAGTATCTTGGCCGCCATGCCCACTGCTGGGGCGTAATCGGCGGCCTTGCGTGCCTCGATATTGGGCTCGGAGTCGCGGCTACGTGGTGGTTTCAGCAAATTGACAAGCAATGATAGAAGTGATGAGCACTAAACGTACCTTGAACCTTCTGCAACAGATTGAGACGCTCCACTGAGCGCGACAGCACTAAAGAGCATGAATACGACGGAGTTCTTCATTATTGTAGTTGGGCAAGGTCGGAGGTTCGTGAAAAGTAGATAAAACAGTGACCGGCACCGTTTATCAGTGGCTGGAAGGAGGAATGAGTGAGTATTCACTAGAAATTTAATGTCTAATGCTAACCATGGCTGATTTATATGTTTTGATCGACCGAGACGCACCATTGTAAGACTGCCGCCTTCCTCCGCGTCGCAAGGGGTTCATACAGTTCAAGCCGCATCCCGACCCTACATATCTCGGGAACTGTCAGACGAGAACCCGTCGACACTTCTGGTGTAGCAGCAGAGTACTCCACGATTGGGTCGACTGCATGTTCATCCTCGCGCTCGCCTCAGGAACGATGTGCCAATGTGTACCTTTACGAAGTATGATGGTGCATTGCGCTTTCGCAGCGCAGCGTCAACACAGCCTTCCTCCGGCTCAGGCCTGATATCCGTTTGAGCTCGGTGTGTGGGGTCACGAACGGAGATACATACAAGAAACACATACCAGAGGATTTACCATCAGATGGCAAACGATCAGTACCAGTCAGTCACCAGTGATTGATCTTCAGACCCATTCGTTGTTGTCATGATGCAGAACAGGATCAACGCTGTGTTTTATGTCGAGTCTGACACGGCGCAGTGATGAGGAAAAGCGCCGCGTTCGGACTTTGCCGTGACCCCAGAATTGATGAGAAGCAGTGACGGAAACTACTGCATAAGATATCTCAGCTTGCTCTCGCTCCTTGCATAGATACTGATGCAAAGGATTCAGATGCGTCGATGCAGTATTACGATACATCGTGACGAAGTTATCCACTGCTCGAACTGGGTATACTTCTATTGGTACAGCAAAAATACAATTAGGGCTGCCAGGATAAATGATCGGATACCACCCCTTCGAAGCTGCAAGCTTCAGAAGAGAAGTGGGGCAGCACGAGTACACAACAACACAACACTATAGGTTGATGTTAATCGGCATGCAACCAACGGCGAGTAGACCCTTCTGTGTCTGACGTTATTTCCATTCTCTGGTAGGAGGAAGAGAAGAGCTCACAAGTTCCATATTCTCGCAACATACGGGAATAAATTGGCACTCGTTTTGACCGATGCCTGCAACGTTGATAGGCATACAGTAGACGCCGCTGGGTTGTGCACGTTAGCATACGACGGGGACGTGAGGGTAGGGACCCTTACAGTAGGGATGTTACGGTCTCAACCACACCGCCAACGAGACCCAAGACATTACCAAGTAGCGAACCGTCGGACTGAGAAAAGTACAACGGCATTAGGGGAAAGGGTCCTCGCAGTGGGAAGGGAAGGGGTAATACTGACGCGGTGCACGGAATGGCAACACGCCTGACTCTCTGGAGAACAGTGGCTAGCGGGTACACCTCGTTCCATTATTTCTCTCTACGAAGGCGATGAGTTGAAATGACTGGCAGGAAATCAATGGTACCCACCGGGAGACTACCAGAGCCATATTTAGGCGTAACTACGGGGGTCCCACCGACGAGCGTCGCAAGGAGGCCAGAGAAAAGTAGTACGCAAACGAATATTTTATCAATCATTCTGTTCATATTGCCAATAACGTTCCGCAGTCCAAGAGAGCGTGGGGTACCGAGATCGATGAAACGAGTGTGGTGGGACCTGGGAATTGTGTAGCAAGAATTGCTGCCGATTACGCCGTGCCCAAGTTTTATATATTCGTGGCTTGCCAACGCTGGCACCAAGCATTCATGGTTAGCGGCGTGAATGGCTTCCCGTCACGGCGCGCAAAGTCCATGTTGGAGCAGGCCAGAACCAATTGGGTTAAAGCGGCATGTCGGGACAATGCTTCGTTGCTTAGGAGTCCCTGGTATGCGACTTTGCGTTGCTGCGTAACTGGAGATAAAGATTGTGGCTGTCTTCAACTGAGAGCTTCGATAGCAGTCGGCATGACAGGCATGTTAGTAGTGGCGTGGGAACTATGCTGTTCATGGCCGACCTCGCGCCGCTTCCGAGCATAACTATTTTATGCATCCAGTCGGATAGCGCGCCGCCATATGGTCTCACACTTACCATATACCGAAGGAGCTGTACATCGATCCCCAAGGTGGCACAATGATGGTAAATTCCGTACAAGTTCCTAATACACCACCTCCTGTCTGTCACGGCGACTGTTTTGGTCAAGCCACAGCTCCGAAGCAAGAGTTACTAGGATTAAGGACCCAGCCAGGTTGACCGTGCCCGAGTCGCAGCTACCGGGGCCTTCTGCCCGCCCCCATTGATATGCTCCGACTCAGCTGTCGTATGCGGTAACGAGCACTGTTGCTTGTGGAAGATAGGGGCCGCTCCTTTACCGATAGGCGTTGCGCGTGTACGTACATAGAATATGCGGGGAAATCACTGTTGTATTGCTGGAACAGATTCTCTGAGGAGATCGAAGTGTCGAATGCACGCAACGTCACTTATACCAATACCCTTGCTGTTGCAGAGATGACTAGAATCAACATTCCCAGCAGATTAGATATCGTCGGTATTGGTTATCTATTCAAAGCAGATAGATACGTAGGGGATACAGTGGGGGTAGGACCAAATCATTACTACTGATAAAGTACGTAGCAAGCGAGGCGGGAACCGGGTATTTGAGACAAGGAGAAATATCTTATAGATACACTGTTAATGAGGTCAACGTGCAATATGCATATTCAAATGGTGGGAGTGCGAATGTAGCTTTTGAGAGTTCCGTGGGTATTCGAGTGCGCAATCTATCCTGTAGCACACCAATTATCGCGAGCAAAGTCAATTTCCTCAGCGGGGTTGTGGTAGAGATTATAATAGAGCGAGTATTTTGTGCGGATTTACTGGCGAGCAGCGAGGTTCATTGCGCCGAGGACGACTTCCCAAGCGAGATCCATGGCGTCCCAGAGCTCCACGTCGTAGATGCCAAGGGCAACGCAGTCTTGCCAGAGCTCTTTGATGTGAGCAGCATGGGAGGTAAGTGCGCTGAGGGAGTGGCTGACTTGGCAGAGGTAAACGGACAGCTCATGGAGCTTCTGACCAGAACCAAGCACATGCTTGACATGGTCACCGCCAAAGCCTGGAGCTTGGACGAACCCCTGGGGCATTGGAAGAAGAGAGGCGAGAAGAGCTCCGAGGTTGTGGGTGTATAGGAAAGGGTGGAGGAGTTGGAACGCAGCGGGTGATGGTAGGGAAACAGGGATGACGGGGAGTTGTATTTGAGGGCTCCCTGGGTTGGCCGATGACGAAGCGGGGAAACGTGGAAGCAGCGCGCATTGTGAAGCAAGGACGAGAGCATGTGTGGGCACAATTGTTAAGGCATCTGCCGAGTGCGAAGATGAAGGTTTTGAGGGAGCAATCGCTAGGATGTGAGTGGGATATGATGGTTGTGTGGAATGGCTTGATTGCGAGCGAATTGGGATGGAGAGAGATGATGGGAGGTGCGAGCGTGGCAGAGTCGATGGCAAGTGGGAAGGAGCTAAACTTGCAATACCGGCCATCATTCTTTCACAGAAAGTCAGGACTGCGATTCGTTGTAAGAGAAAGTTTCAGGTACTCACTGAGGAGCAGTGTCCCGTAGGCGGCGACGAATGTACTCAGAGGGCACGTTAGCCAACTCTGGTGAAGCAGCGGTGAGGGCTTCGCGTGAGATGTCTGCGAATGGGGGTCTCGCGAGAGTTCTGGGAAGCTGCACGCTGGAGGAGACGGCCGGTTGCTGGTGGTAGTGCTGGCTCGATGAGTGTGAGCTGCGGTGTCCATGGCCGTGCTTGTGAGAGTCGAAGGAGGTGGGGTGGGCAGCGACTTGGAACATTGTGAATAAGCTAAAAGGGTTGAATGGGATGTTGATGTCGTTTGGGGGAGCTGATGGCAAGTATATATACAGCCATCGTTGAAGGGGATGAGCATTTGCAGAACAAATCCGTCCATAAGCTACTTAGCGCCTGGCGCATCGCTCCTGAAGATCTCTGAGTGGAGATCCAGATGGCTAGATCTCGCATATCATACGGCCCTGGGCTTTGAGTTCTTTTTGGATACTACCTTCCAAATCAGTGGTATCCAAATAAACACAAGCAAAGGCATGTGGCGCCAATTGCCAAATCGAGCGCAAAAGCCATTCGCCCAATTCGGCGGCTAGCTTGTTCATGGTGCGTATGAAGTTCAATGGTTGCTAACAGAACTGGGCTTCCTACTTGTTCTGTTTCTGGTCCTTCTTGTGCATGTCAGAAAACAAGACCTCCAGGGTTATCGACTTCAAATTTTTGCTAGTGCTCCTGTGACGAAGCCTTGTACTTTTCCGACCGCCACGATTCAACCAGGCTGATTATGATCGCGATTCCCCGCAGGGTTCATCACTACGACCTGGCGACACCCGGATGCTGAATGCTGCTGGACACTCTATCTGCATCATGTACTGGGCAAACGTCCCGATTCGCCAAATTTAACTCGCCTCGAGGCCCTGCCATTGTTCAACCAGTTTCTGTGGGTGCTTCGCAGGCTTTATGTTTGATGCACACCCAGAAGGTGGCTACCGCACGGCGAAGGTTTTCCCTGTGACTCGTGCATATGGGAACTGGCTCTCGCAACCGGTTTGTCGAACAAGAGTCGTTCCCTGTGATGTGATGGGACGCGTAGTACTGAAGCATCTCCTTTAGGTCTTCGTCGGTCAACCACATCGCTAAGGATTATGACTCTGCCACTGATTAAGACCACCGATTGGCGGCAATGATCGATCCATACAGTCGGTGGGTGTTTACATTCTGATCCTTGGACGGCCTTCTTGGTGCGGCTGTTCACGCTTCCCCCTGTTTTGGGGTTAAGCGGTTCGTGTGTGTTCGAGATGTATGACATTTCATTAATCATTTGCAGTCCTCGGTCCCCATTAAATGTTCCTGGACAGGACCGCCCGCCGGCTTCTTCGTGACTCAACTTTGCTCCAGAATCCAGAACCCGAATGTAAGCCGCCCTCGACCTTCTCAATACAAGGAACTAACACGCTTATACTCATGATATTATAACAGGGCAATTCCGCCTTTCTGTTCAAACGTTCTCTGTATCTTCTGATAGATTGCGAATCAGATTACAAGACACGGAACGCCATTGGATGCGGAAGACAATGGATTTTTAGAAGACGCTTAGGGATGCGAAGGAAAGGTCTTGCGTGATGAGGTTCCCTGTCTACCAGTACGTACGGCATACGTATTCATCAAAAACGACTCGCCCCTATGATTAGCGATGTACAGCTAACTGGAGCCAAGGTACCATGCATATGCTCAGTATCGCGATGGGAAAACAATGTCAAGTTCTGTCGTCGAAGCCATAGAGCTGACAGAGCAAGGCAAAAACAATGCTTCTCGCCTGCTATTTGTGGAAACAGACTCGCTTCTAAGCTCACTGGCATCAGCGGCGCTGCAAGGGCCAGTGATCCCAAAGGCACGCCAAGCGGCAAATATACAGCTGTATTTGCAAGCTGCGAGTTCGGAACCCGTAAAGGGTTTCCGTAGACCACGGAAAGCGCCAATCCGATAATCGATAGCAAGTATACCGCCTTCTACTCCCATAAGAGGCAATCGTCGGCGGCTCTTACCTCTCTTCCATTTTGCTTTCAATCCTCGAGGCATCACAACTGAACGTCGCAAACCTTGTGCATATTATCTCCACCACGGTCATATATCTAGATTTGCGCCTGTGGAGGTCTGGTGCCATATATGATGTCGTGGAGCCTCGGAAAGGTACGCAAATGCACAGCGTTGAGCCGGTGAAAAATTAGAATGCTGACTCCCGGCCTTGGTGGTAATCTACATGGACTTATTGTTTTCCGCTCCTTAAATGTGTTACACACGAGGCTACCATCCCACTTTAGGCGAAGTACTTGACATACAATCCCAGTGGTTGCACTATATTCCGCTCTTCATTCCTCGGAGGCGAAGAAAGTTCCCTGGCGGAGATGGAGGTAATGTACAGCTTGTTCTCGCCGCTTGCTGCGCGCGGTCGACTTCTTCCGGGGCCCGATGTGGTCTAACGCCCGCTTGACATGGTACCGTATCGGCGGATAGACGCTTGGAACTGGCGGTGGGTGAAATTGCCGTCCACGAAGCCTACTGCCGTAGGCAATTGGCTTCGTGATGACTATGGGGTGCAGGCGCCGACGCGTCTCATTAGGCCTCGGTCTGCACTGCCCCTTACCGGTGCATTTTGCGGTACGGGGTCTATCCTCCTACCAAGCAATGTCATAAATGGCCGAAGACCTTTTCCTTGGCTGCTGTCTTGCATATTTCTAGGCTTACGTTCCCTTAGGTGGTTCCGACCCCGTATGATTCTGCCCAATCTAATCCATCAATGAATCTACGCCTTTCAATGGACGTGGTGGCGAGCTGATACGTACGGCCTTCGGCGATTGTCCGTTGAATGTCTGCATCTATAGGCAGCTACGTGTCGGTTTGTGGGCGCTCATCCCTGCCGATATATCTGTGGCTCCCTGGCAGATGAAACCCTAGCATTTGATATATGCCTGGTGTAGGCGGTCAATAATGTGCTACCAACACGCCCACCCATGGTGCGCGTACACGTTTCCTCTCGGACCAGGCAGCGAGGCTTATTGTTCTCTAGTCTGTCTGCAAAACGCGTGGTCATGTAAACAGTACTTTCGATCGGTGTGGGTGTCAGGCAGCGTTGCTCGCCGATATACATCCATGAGCAGGGCCCACGTTGTTATAAACTCGTGCCCGCCGTCGGCAGATGGCGATTTACTGTAGGTGCGAAGGAGTATTCGCCGTGTGTGAATGCGAGGACTCGAGTTTGCAACGCAACTGAGGAGGAGGAGTAAAACTAGCTTCTTGTTGTATTCCTAGGTGTTTAGATAGCTACTATATACTGTAGGTATGTGTAAATAAACACGCTGGTGCTGCGTGTGTAAGTAACTAAGATAATACCTAAGAAAATAATGTGGCGCGTAGCAACTCATGTTTGAGTGCGGACCGAAACAAGTAGTCAACGAAACGATAATATACGTACAAGATCGCTGTACACGATGCAATACCTACATTACCCTCGCGCTCGTTCATATGGGTGTAGTCCTTGAATTTTCCTTAGCATCATGGTCGGATGTCTTTTGTTATTGAAGCGCTTGTTTCATACCAGCTGGGATAGTAGATGTATGTATGTACACCTAGGGGCGAGTGATTGCTTTCACCGCTTCGCCTATCTCTCCGTGGGCACTACACTTACCACCAGAGCTGCCCGTTACCGTTTGCCTAACCCGACGGCGAATTGTTGCCACACCAATATATATGGTTTGTAGCAATGGGTCCATAGCGTGCGTTACTTGTGCTACAAGCAGGCGAACTCACAAAGGTACTTTTATCAACACGGTGGAGATACACTCCCACTGTAATGAGACGGCTCATCGTCTAGCATTTCCCCAAATCGTAAATTGATGAACATCCCAAATTGCAACCGACTATCTCATTCATGTCTGAGTAGGAAGTGTTGCATTATTTTCTGCGTTATTTGCTCCCTCCTTCTCTAAATAGGGACTTAAATAGGGGAAGACACGATCATGTCGCGGCGAAGAGCAACAATCCATAGGTTCGTCTGTACTCGAAATTATCATAGTGTCAGCATGGCTCACAGCATACACTTTCAGAGTTGTTCAACCCCCGGTCGACCAACGGAGCCGACCTCGACTCGGCGTGTTCTACTTTTGTCTAACGGATGACACAGTGTAATGGTACCGTTCGTAGTTAGTCCAGTCCTTCAACGGGTAGGAATCAAGAGGAGATTCAGTGATAAGCAAGCGCCATCGACGGAAACCTGGAGGAAGGCGGGAACGAGTGCCTATGGACAGACGGAGCTTAAGAAAGGGATAGATATGGTCGTGGAAGAGGAAATCATCAACGGTGTTTTGGTTCAACTGAATCACAATGGTCTTTCATTGTGTAGGAGCTCATTGAATCAGCGTGTATTTCTGTCTCATAGAACAGTCTACCGCTGACCTCATAAATGGCGCGTCCGACGCGACCGCTAATGTAACTACATTTAGTTCGTGCCGAACACTACCATGAGGAGCGATAGTGGCTACTGGCCACCAACTGGGTCCACAGAATGAGGGAACGGAAAGCCAATCTGGTGGCCACTTAAGAAATAACTCAGAAAAACAATGGAACGGGGTGGAATAATCTAATTAGCCTTTTGTATGCCACATAGATGCAGGAGATTGGTTCATGCGTTCATGCGAGCAAATGCGCGGACTCAAGGCCACGAGGTTTCAAAGTTTCAAGCTCCGCTTGAGGAGAGAGACGAAAAAGGCAATAAACTCGCGATCACGTGGGCTCTTACATTGTCGAGTCGCTGACCCTGTGGCTCGAGCCACAATACTGTTTGAAGTGCGACCACCACCTATAGCACCACCTATAGCTACTACTTGAGGTTTCCGCGAGCCACAATCCACATCTTGTGGCCATAACTACGCGTATATAGTATGTCCTCCGTCTTCCCATGAATCGTTACTCACTCGCACTATGTTAACTCAGGAAGCCGTACTCGTCTCACCCCCGCGCAAGCGAACTATCGAGCCAGCCCTCGTTGAAGCTACACCTCCTTCTAAGAAGTACTCAGGACTTATCCAAAGCCAAAAGCTCAACCCCGACGATTTCAAAAAGAAGAGAGCCGGAATGTGCCAGGAAATGTCAGGATACTGGGTCGGCCCCTGTGAAGGCGACGACTTCTTTGAACTCACGATGCCTCTGGACTTGAAGGAAGGCGAGTTTGAGGAGCTACCAAATATCGACCGAAAATTCTTCGCCGGAAAGAAGCCAGCCAACGAAGATGAAGTGTACAATGAAGTTGTAGGTTCCCATCCATATCATGGGCTTCTTGCACAAGCTGATGCATGAACACTTACAGGCAGATTTCTTCATGAAAACCCCGGACGAATCTCACTTTAAGGGCCTCAAGATGATGAATAGTTCTCGGCACGCGGACCCGGACTCTAAGGCTGGCTCAAAGGTCAAGCCGGATGTGGGCCTCCACAAAACAGACGACGCCTCTGTCACGATTGCTACTCCTACCCGGCTCGGCAGCGCTCTCTCTCCCGGGGAGATCAAAAACTGGTTCTTAGAGTTATTCAACGATCTCGCCAAGAAGCTGGGTGTGAGCTTCGAAAGTGAGACCAACGACGCGCAAGATGTTCGCGGGCAGCTCGCAACATACGCCACTGAATATTGCGCTCGCCAACATCGTACCCACTTATTTCTTGTCTATATTTACTATCCCCACGTCCGCTTCATTCGATTCGACAGATGCGGCGCGCTCGTTTCGAGAAAATTCGATCTCTCTGAGGATTGCACGCCATTGATCCGCTTCTATTCAAGGTTCTCCAAGATGACCGACACTCAAAGGGGGTACGATCCAACCGTCACGCTTGCCAGCGATGACGAGACTAAGCTCGCCCAAGATCGTCTCAAAGCATGGAAACCAAAGCACGTACGCCCCGTATTCAAAATGGATGTTTACGATGACAACGTGGAAGAAGAAGTGGAAGACAACGACAAGGTACAAATCAAGACCGAGGTCTGTGCCGATGACATCAACGTCGGGGCGGAGACACTGCAGGCTGCCGACGAAAATGTCAAGAAGACACCGAAACCACGAAAGTTCCTTGTTTGGGGATCTCTCGCCGATCCAGAATCACCACTCGGCAGAGCAACGCGCGGATATCCAGCATTGGAAGTTACCGACGGATTGGAGAAGGCGAAGGACGCTCCGATCATGTTCCTGAAGGAGCAATGGCGTTCGAAAGCTATAGAACGAGGTGAAATCGCCATACTTCGGGAGCTCAACAAACATGGAATCAAACACGTCCCAACATTCGTCTGCGGAGGAGATCTTCCCGACCAAGTCACGAAAACGGACATATTTGCCAACGAGATCGGTAGAACAGGAGGCAAGCCTATTGATCAACGGGCCCATGTTCGCTTCGTTGTACTGGAAGTCGGTCGGCCGCTCGAGTGCTTCTCTTCGTCAAAGCAGATGTTCCAAGCGGTGTATGATGCATTTCAAGGTCCGTCATAGGTGCTTATTCCCTCTCCCCCCGCTTGCTGACTCGTACTTAGGTCATAAGCAGGCGTTCGACGTATGTGGGATACTGCACCGCGACGTGAGCGGGGGCAATATCTTGATCCTCCCCAAAGGAGGAGGCCTGCTTAACGACTGGGATATGGCGGTGAAGGTCGAGGAAGTTGAACGTGGCCCTAGAGCCCATGAACGGACGGTGGGTCTTGCGTTGCCACCTGAATCAACGCTTTTACTCACAATGTTGCAGGGTACTTGGGCTTTCATGTCCATTGATCTCCTTGATGGCGCAAGGCGTGCCCACAAAGTCAGCGATGATCTAGAATCTTTCTTCTGGGTGGTACTATACTATAGCCTCCTCTACCTCCCCCACAATAAGACCAGTCAGCTTGGTCTCATCATCCCAGCCATTTTCGATCAATATTCCTACTACGAGGAGGCTAAAGGCGGAACAGGGAAATCCGTTGCGGTGACAGAAGGAAATTACATCGGTGGTCGCCACTCGCCACGCTTGGAATTCGATGCATGCATGCCATTGACCAAATTCGTGGCCTCAATCCTCCACAAGCTGAATCATTGGAGGTCACAAGCTCGTCTAGCCCTCAATGCTGCCAATGCTGATATCATCCTCGACGAGAATTTGCCTAACCCCCTTTCTTTCGAGGAACATGAACACAAGGATATGGAGTACATTTGGGATACTACGCTTCGTTCATCCTGGCCGACGAACGACGCTGCCAAATTACAGCTCGTGAAGAAACCCCAGAGAGCCACTGGACGGGTTCCCGCGGAAGGCACCGGAGGCGGTGGGTCGAAGAAGAGGAAAAGTATCCACGAAAGTGACCTCGAAAGCGACGACGAGGAGCCCCAACCGAAGAAGGTGAAGAGCATCACCTCGGAAGCGTTTGCAGGAGGGTCCAAAGAACGTAAGTCGAAGAAGATGCCCGCGACGGGGAGGAGTACACGCTTACACAATGGCAGCACTAACTGATGCATGTGCTAACAGTGCGTCCGTTAGATGATAACGTCCTGCGTCCTGTAACATATTTATTTTTGCTATCTCACTTTTGTAATTTTATCATACCATGGATTTACGATTCATGTCTTCGGGAAAATGTGCGCATGAGAGAGAGTCGACTTTACAGCGCAAGGAGTCATAGCTTCACTAAACGCCTACTACGCAGCGCCCAGGCAATTAGGGATATACCAAAAGAGTACGTGACTAGGATGCAGAAAGCCCAAAGATCGGACATATACATCGTCTGGACGGACATATTGATCAGCCCTGTAGCAACGTTCGCCTAGTAAATCAATGTTTCAGCGACACTTCTCCTTGTTCAAGGATGAATGACTCACCAAGAGGAACAATGCCAGTCCGTTCCTATTGATAGCCTCCAATAAGGGCGGTGGGTTCCCCAATTGTCTGGCTTGCGATGCATTTGACGCCGGAAAGGCTGGTGACTGTACCGAGACTTTCAATTTCGATGTTGGTGAGTAGACGGATTTAGACAAAGGGGAGGGGAAGAAATAGAGATCCAGCAGGATATATCCCAGGATAAAGCTAGTGTTATACGCCGCAACCCACAGGACATATTGCAAATTGGCCTATCACACGACAACTAAGCATGATCGTCCTTCGAATTCGAGCTGAACAATGACACGTACCATGCGTCTTGAAACATTCGTCCCAACCGCGAGTAATTTCGTGATTCCGAGGAAGGACCACCACAGGACTGCATAAGAGAAAAGAACTGTTGCAGTCTTGTCGTTCTGACGCTGTGTGATCGAAGGAGATGCGGTGCTATCGCGACGTTTAGACGATCGATCGGAAAGTGCTTGCTGTTGTCTTCTAAAGTGGTTAGGGGAAGGGGGCAGAACGATGGTGCCCGTCGACAATCCTAACAGCTGGATAGCCAAGTAGCCTGTTTACCGATCCTAAGTCAACACCCCAGAGATGCAGAAGAGATGTGCACGGACCTATGAGGGATGCTATGCCCTCTTTGTTAGCTGAGATGATGGACGTCCGAGGAACGTGTAGAACGTAATTCTCCAAACCAAACCACGACAAGCTAAACTGGTGAGCTGAAGATGCGCATGAGGGGATGACAGGAGAAGGCATTGAGGGCCCGCACCTATTCCGACCAAGATGCCTATCAAAGAAACGGGTAGGCGTAGGATTAGCGGGTGTAGGAGAACTTGCAAGATGGGCAATAGTGCAAGGGTAATGAAGAAATTCCAATGTGCGCCATATTCTGTTTCATGTTCCTACGTGCTCTGTTCCAGCAGAGTAGGTCGGTGAGTGAGTGAACTTACCGGGTATTCTACTCCCTTCACCAAAATGACGCGAATGACGCCTAAGAGTATGATGGGCGACGTCTTTCGTATGACAATGGGAAGTTTTTTCCACATGGGGAGGGTCAGGTATGTCGGGTCCTTCAAGATAGGAATAGCAGACACGATCCCTTGAGAAAACACGAAAGACCCAACACCAATGTCCATCTGCAACGCTTCAGCTTTAATGTATTGAAAACGTAGGATCGAAACTCACTAACGACACACCGAAAGTCTCACATTTAGCCAGTTTCCTCGGGAAAACAGGGAAATCGACTGCCAATATAGCCAGAATGGTCATCAGCATCATATGGGCTCGATATGTTGTTACCGCTGGGAAAGGTTCAATCTTAGCCGTGGTCTCCGAATCCTGTTGTGGCGTCGAGTTCGGAAGTACAACACTGGAATCCCTCCTTGGTTTGAGGAGTAAAAACCCCGTTGGAAGCAAGAGCAGAAGAGCCAAGGTTACGGGCGAGTCGGCAAAGAATGTCATGGAAAGCAGGAGGGGTAGGACGAGGATCAAGCATGAAGCAAGCGGGTGATTTGATATGTGTGGCGACCATCGCGACTGAAAGGCTGAATATAATCCAATAGAGGCCTTACTTCATTATGAGATTCAAACGTAGTTCGAGTAAACGCAGCGTACCAGGGCAGCGGACGAAACCAAATTAATGTGTCCTATGCTGGAGCCCGTCATGTTTGATACAAATGCCTCTTTCGAGGTCTTGTAGTTGTCCATGACTAGGACGCTGGAAAGCCGAAACGATGAGGGTACGAGGAGGAAGGGAAGGTTACAATTAGGCGCTGGTAAACAGAAACGGTCGTGTGCGCCTAAAGTCATCTTCACAACCGTATCCCTTTATGCACAGATGCCCTGAACTGAAAAGACTCCCCAAGTCCCCTAGATTCACGTCTGTTATTGTGAGTGCACAGGTATCATACACTCTGCCATCGTTGACCGCTGTTTGGGACATAGTTCCGGGGCCAAAATCCAGGTTCGCCTGCGAAGCTCATTGACCCCGGAAAGCAACCGTGCAAGACGCCGAAATCCACGTTTCTTTCCCCCGACCACCCAGCAACATCTCTACGGAAATCCGACTTCCCATCGTTCGCGAATTCTGCTTTGAGAATCAACGCTTTCCCGTTTGCTGTGCTTGAGAAGCCTCCCGACCCTTCGAAAGAGCCCATCGCTCGTCAATTTAAATATGCTCATATACCTTGGAAGGAAAGGATTCATGTATCTGGCCCTCGGAATTCCGGCACTCGTATTCCAATGTCCTTCTTCATTGCAACTTCTATAAAGAATACAAGCAAGAAAGGGACAATCCGGAGTACCATCAAACATCGACTTCGCACTGCGCTCAATATGATCGTTGCACGTGGCGCGGAGAGCGGGACTGACGCACGGGGGAGGCAGAAGTTAGTTCTTAACGAAGCCAAGGCGACGGAGCAGGGGAACAAGTGGCTTTTACATGGTACGTGTGCCAAAACAATGACTCTTCTGTAACGCTTCACGCGTGTCATAGATTGGACGTACATCTTTAGCCCAACGCTGGAACTCTATCGCATGCCATATCCAGTGATGGTCGATACGCTTAGCAAGGCTTTGCATTCAATTCGTGTTAGAGGACTCAAACTAGAAACAGGGTGGCAGAAGACTCCGTATGTAATCCAGAGGCTCGTCGCTTCTTGTTACTGATCCATCTCTCATAGGTGTGAAGAGGTGCCTAGAATGCAGGTAGTTCAAACGGTCGATCAACAGAAAACTGCTCGGCTAGTGGGCACAACTCAGAAGCGGAAATCGCAAATGGTGCCAAATGCGACCGTGACCAGGGCACCTCCAAGATCACCAGCGGTTCTAGGCATTCGGAAATCGCGAGCTTCATCGGCGACCGCTCTTAAGGAACCACGCAAGGCGACAATGGTACCCGTAGATCAAAAACTCTGGGTGGACCGTGCCGCCCGGGAGTTAACAAACGTCATCGAGAAACGAGAAACGGGTCGAGGTTCCAGAGATGACAGGGGACTACGGACAGAATTGGTGAGCCTACCACAATCTCGGCAACACATGTCACTGAGCTTTGTGGTAGACGGACGACCGTTGGAGCTCGGACAACGATAATGGTTCTGCTAATTCCAAAGCTGCCCGAGTCAACTCGGAGACCTTGTTCGCAGAAAGAGCTGACGTACGCGATCATACCCCAATGATAGTTGTTGTATTGAGCTTTCTCTAGACTTTACCCGACCTGTCTTCGTTGTTCCGCAAACTGAACGAGCATGCGAGTGAGGAGGAAGAACAGGTGAGTCCTGAGCACGTGAAGGTATCACTCTTACTGACACGCATTTGCCTAGGTTGAGCTCGATCAGCCCCCCGACAGACGTCCCCGTCGTCGACCAAAGCTATTCTTCCAGTCCGCGACGCCGCTTGCTACCCCGGACGTACCAATAGGTGGCCCGCTCGAATTGATCATGGCGAAGGACGGTATGAGAGCACCCCCGAAGCTAAAGAGGATAAATACCGAAGTGGACAAGGACCACTTACTCTTCCAGCGCAAATCTGTCGTATTACAACAAAATCACAACCGAGGAAATTGACATCGATGTGAACTGGTGCCTGTCATTGAAGTCGACAGTCAATCGACAGTGATTGCCCTGCACAATCCAACACGGGACTGGTCTCCTTGCACTGCCTTGATAACGTACCTCGATTTGAACGCTGACGGTGATTTTATTAACAACATGAGGCTTGGAGAGGGCCAGGAATTGAAGCGGAATTGGTTGCGGAGACGGGTGAATGTCTTTAAAGCACTTTCCAGTGCCTCAAGTTGAGGATTGACCTCCATATCAATTACCACTGACCATTGATGTCTCGAAGATACGCCAGCCTGCGTAGTCCGGCGTACCAAGTAGAGAAACTTTCAGCTGCAGACTTAGTGCCTACCACCACTAAATTCAGCGAGGAACGGGCGATTCTGCAACTACGACACAATGAGCTTGGCGAGACCCTAGCAGGATGCTTAGCACTCTGTAAGTACTGGGTTGCTATCTGCTTCCTTCTAGGCTAGCTGATCAGCGTCAATGGTACATTATAGTTGTTCCAGGTTCGCGAATCAAAGTACGGGCTCCTCTGGAAAAGCTCTCAACGCAACAGTTGCTTGAGCTTTCAGGAGATGTTTACGATGAAGTTGTCCGAAGGAAATATAATCTAGGTACAGTGCTATTTCCAAAGGATGTGGGACCTTCAATGATTTCGTTTTGAAGTCCACGCACTAAACTTGCGAGAAGGTTTCCATCCCAAGCGGAATCAAACTCGGCAGAGGCTGGCCTTACTATCCTCGTCGAAATTCCAAGATTTATGTGGAGACGTTCACTTCGAAATCAGCCGACGATATCCGGAATTTCAACATGTGCCTATAGCGGTATGTTGATTTGTAAGTCACGCCTTTGAACACATCGCTGACTTCTGTCGTCCTTAGATCGGACAATCCTCATCTCGCCCAAGTCCTGGTTCTCATTCTCATTCTCCGCACCATAACGCCCTGGATGCTACCCCCAGCCGAGCTGGCAGCGGCGGTCCCTCGGAAGATCAAGTTGGTAACTCCACGTCGAATTGGTACGATAGACGTCTTCCGACCTATGAATCCTCTCTGAGCACACCGATGCCACCTACTGGGTCCGTCCCAACTCATAATGCACGAGGAGAACGCGACTTCGCTCTGTCTGAGCGGCGGGTCTCTCTGCATTCCCTAAGTAGAGGAGGCGACCCCATGAATACAACTGTCACCCGGTCGTTACCCATCACGCCTACATTTTCTAGCGGAGAGAGACCCGAGCATAAAGGCAAACGCGGGGCTCTAGTGCGCGCATTCCTCGACGGCGACCTAGATGCTGTCCTATTAATGTGGGAAGACCACGAAGGAAGAATTCGCCACCTTGAAGACCAGTTGGCAAGAGCAGAGTCAGTTCGTAACTAGTTCGTAACAAAATTACGCATCATCCTCTGCTTTCTGATCTTCATTGTTTCAGCTTTCAGCTGAACAAGGCGGGCTAATGTGGCCCTCAGAAGCAGCGCGCCGCGAGCGCTGGCCGACGTGCTATTTTGCTGGATATAGAGACGGATCTACATGCTGCTTTACTGACTATGTTGAACAGCGGTATGTCAACTGGTACAAGCTATATTCCTGGTAAATAACTGCAGCTACTAAATAATTCTATTTCCCCGGCGTATCGCCACTAGGCGGGGTCGGTAATGGCTTCGTCTTGGGCGACATCTCCTTCCCGATTCTCTCTCCCTGTATCTCCTCCTAGCCCCTTTCTCAGCACATGTTCCAGCGCCTAGCGAGTAGTGATTAGGCTCTCCACAACGAAACGCCGCACAATTTCCTTGCATGCTGACTTTTACTACAATTCTTGACGTCTGGCTGCTCTAAATAGCGATCGCCAGCTGAGAAAGAGCTATCTTTGTCTCCTTGAAGGGCTCATTTTGAAACGTGTCGTTCATTACCATCAAAGTGAGTTTTGCCTCCGTTTTGTGTGCATCTCACATCTCTGACTTCCCGCTTCGCTCGATTTTGATCATCATGGTGGTCTGTAATATCTGTCTCATTTCGCTTTTCATAAGGCGCTGAGGGCTCCTAATATTCGTGGTCAAAATATAGACTATTTACTGCGAATCACCTTCGTACCGATGTTTTGCAGGCATCTCGACCGTGGGTCAATTAAGCGAGCCAGATGTGCTCCAGAGCCTGCACAGCCTGTGTCATCCTTGGAAACTCGGTTTCCCTGGACGCCATAAATGTGCGCGGCTCGTGGGCTCGCCCGTCTTTCTTTTTTTATATAGAAAATGAAGTGCCGAAAGGGCCTTATACAGCGTACCGATACGGATCATGTTGAGTTCAGACACACACGATGCCTTTCGCCTCATACACCTGTTGATTGGATGAACCTTTGTCCTCGGCCACTCGCCGACGACGGGATTCCATGTGCTCCCAATGGAAGATGAAGAAGGATACTCCGAGGTCGACCTTGAACAGCATGGCAATATGTGCCTGCGCTTCCAGCACATTCATAGTCTCGGCGCTGGATCCGGGAAGTAACTCGTGGCCAAGCTCAAAGAATCCAATGGTCTGCAATATACACTACCTCCAAAATGGCACCCGGTCCACTCAAGCTCACCTCGGTGCTTATGTGATTCTCGGCGTGGCTTTCTTTTCGCTGATCCCTTTCACACAGCGTTTTCTTCATTTTCTAGCGAGCCATCAGACCCTGTAGCCGGTCCTTCCAGCTTGGACCGCTGGGGCTACCACTGGCCGCTCAGAGTCATCCAGGGCTCTCGAGGATCGATCAGCCGATCGGCTGAAGCTGCGTACAAAACACGGCTTTCTACAACGTCGCTAAAAATAACTATCATACTGACAGTCCTCCAACGCTCGAACGCTCTACGGTCTGGTTCACCTCGCCCATAGTGCGTAGCTGGTACCATGCGCAGGAGGATTCAGCTGTTCCACGGTGATGTACCACCGTACAACCTTGGGTGTATTTCACGGGGTCTACCGGATTGGAATTGCTTTAAAACCCCTCTGGACGTCCATGATATCCTTCACTATCAATCCATATCCTTGCAATGCAATCAATCGCTGTACCCACACCCACCAAGCGGTGTGTGCACGTCTCATGAACTAAGTGAGCGGCATACTGATGTAGTCCTTAGCGATGACGATGCTGGTATTCCTGGCTGGAAGCCCTGATATGGCGTTAGACCTGTGGTCCCCTCCACAACCGCCGAAAGGTAAGGCAATGTTGGACAATGTGGTTTTGGACCCGTCATTCCATCTCAGACTCCTACTAAGGTTGCTGAACGGCGAGTTCCTTGATCTGTTCCGGTATACCCTTGAACACTTACACTATCTATCTAGCGACGTCGATGTCGACGCACCTGGCATCCCGGGATGGAAATCATGGTATGGCGTAGGCCCCGTGATCCCCTCAAAAGCCGCTGGCGACGATTCGTGAGTTTGCAATATCCCACAAATACGACAAAAGCTAATAACTGGTTTAGTGATGTCGACGCGCCCGGTATTCCAGGCTGGAACCCCCACGCTGGAGTAGGCCCAGTAATCCCGTCCGCGGCTCCTTCAAAGGTCGTTAAACGGTGAGATACCATACATGTCATCAACCACCTCGAAGGCTAATATGGTACGCCTCAGCGATAGTGATGTCGATGTACCGGGTATCCCGGGGTGGAAGCCCATTTACGGTGTTGGACCTGCGATCCCGTCACAAACCAGCGAAAGGTGAGAAGGACTTAACTTGTCTGCTCTACGGAGACTAATATAATGCATCTCTAGTGACACCAATGCCCCTTGTTGTTGGGTTAGCAAACACACGGCGAGTCCATCGCTAGCCAAATACGGCTATCCGTTAGCCGAAACGGGTAATGCAAGTTGGCCATGCGTCAACTTGCACCGTTTCCGTTTCATGTCTCTTATCACGCCTTTTACTACTTACATCTGATTCACTGCCCACGTGCACGCATGCGCGAGTCGCAACCATTATATATGTGTTCCTTTACTTTTCGGCACCTCAGTCATTGTACCCCCACAATACTGAGGTGAGCCCTTTTTGTCTTTACCTATCTTTACTTAACGCGTACTCACTCGTACTCGTAGTTTACTATTTCTACAGGTACATGAATATACAGTCATTGTACCCCCACAATACTGAGTTTACTATTTCTACACTTGTATCCCTGGGTGGAAGCCCATTTATGGTGTTGGACCTGTGGTCCCCTCCAAGCACATTGGAAGGTGCGGTTCTCTGATACCGTGCATCGTCATTCCAATAGCTCACACACCTTCTTCTCAGGGATGAGGAAAACGCAGGCATCCCGGGCTGGAAGCCTTGGTACGGTGTCGGACCAGTGGTTCCCTCTCAAACCGCAGAAAGGTAGGATCCCGACAAGTTTGACTGCACAACAAAAGCTGATACGACCTTCTGTTCAGCGACGCCGGTATACCAGGATGGAAGCCCGTCTACGGTGTTGGACCTATCGTCACCGCATCGCCTAATTCCGCTCACGACTAAGCGACCTCCCATATGCGCTCGTATTGTGTATCAAAAGTAATAGCATGAACAACTTTTATACTCATCTTCATCCTATTTGATTTGGCTATCACGTTTTGTTTTTCTCCTAACTGTATCGTTAGCCTCAATACTTAGTGCCGTTCATATATCTTAGAACAATAAACCACGCTGTTGAACCACCTGAGGTTGTGTGCCGTGGACATTGTAGGACTCTGGACTCAAGCTACTCAAGATTTATTGGCGCCCAAGTTCCCCCCTTTGTCTGGACCACAACAATCTACGACGGCACGGTGAACTGGGTAACAAGCTCTTGCACGACCTTGCCACTTTTCTGGATTCAACATGCAAGTACCCTACGATATCCAAGAACGGTTTCTGGGTGAGTCGGAACGCCGGCGCCGACCCATCGGACACCTTCTCGACTTCCTGTCCATGCTCGCAGGCTGTTACTTCCTGGCAGCCTTTTCCAACGAAAATACCCTCACAATTCATCGTGCTATGCATCCTCAGCCAGTGGGCGAGCGGACGCCTTGCACTGTTGCGTGGGAAGTCGTCAATTGGTCATTCAATGTTGGGCTCTTTTCATCACGCTTCTGGTCATCTGTGCTTCTATGTACGTGATCCGAATCCCTAGCTACATTGGCGCAGGTGTCGACCGTTACTCTGCGCTCTGGTTCAAGATGTCTCTCAACCCCCAATATTCAAGGTCATTTCTTAATGCTCCCGAGCTATTAACTTCATACACTCGGGTCCACTCTTGGGCTCTTGCTGACATCCATTCAGTCGGCTGTGGACCATTCTGGCGCCAGGCTACGCGTCTCTTAAGCTCTAGGGGCGTTCGCGCTAGGTAAGCGTTTACGATAACACTACAGCTAGCTTCTTGTATATTCCACCGCCGATGCTTCTCTCCGAGTCGCGATCACGCGTCCTATCGTGGACTTGTACTGCAGTTGTACTGCAACATGATGGTACTGCAACGTTGTATTGGAACGGAAGATGTCACATCGAAGCGCCCAACTTGGGCTTAAACGTGAAAGCCGCTATGCCATCTTCTCACCACAGTCCAGAATACCCAGAAGAACTGCGATTAGTGGATTACCACCGCGTGTGTGGTATGCTGTCTTTCCTTTGCCGCCCATTACCCTCTATCTTGCTTCCATCCGTGTCTGGCGTCCCTTGGTCCCCCTGGAAGGACAGTGAACAAACCTATCAACGCGTCAACACCCGCTAGATGCGCTTCCTAAAAATACGATATGTAATTCTGTCATCTGGGCGTCGAATGAGAAGCAGCTATTGTCGGTTGAATGTCTATTGGCTGCATTGTTCCGTATAAAAGCAGGGCCGTACTGGCCTCAATACCACAGCCAACGGTTCTCAGCTTTCAGCAGAGCTTTCAGCAGTACTACGGTTTCAAGACTTTAGCAATGGCCTTCATCGCACGAGTTCTCCTTGCCTTCGTCCTTGCAGCTGTCACTGCCAATGCCGCAGTGGACAAAGCTCAAGGCGTTGCTATCGGTCACTCCAAAGACGCCGCCCAGGCTTGCTTTGGAGATGCCACACCGTTCCTCTTGCCTGTAAGCCATTCTCCTGTTATAAGTACGGAGTGCAGAATACTAATGATGAGCTTGGTAGGGTGACCCAGACAAGACTGTTAACTGCTGTATCGCTCCCTGGTCCGTGACTTGGTTCGACCAAAATGCGCAAATAGGAGAGGTGACGGTCTATCTAGTCTAATGCACCGTTGTCGCTCATTCCATCCCCAGTGTTGCTCTCCGGGCCAAAGCTGGTCTGGCAACCAGACCACCCTCGTAGGAGGGTGTTGCGACAGAGGCCAAGGATGGTCGCAAGATAAGGCATCTGGCCTCGGAGGATGCTGCGCCCCAAGCTTGGTATTCGTCGGTGACAAGGCCACGAAGACCGGCGGGTGCTGCACTGCCGGAATGATTTGGTTGAACGGCAAATGTGCGCCGCCCCCACCCCGCCCAACGTGCAAGGACCTCGCCGATCCTGTCTGCGGTGATGAGGATGACCTCGGTATTCAATACGGCCACTGCTACATCCTCAAATTCGCCGACGGCACCCAGCTCGGTGCTGATCACGCTGCACCAACCTACTCCAAGGATGGATTCTTCAAGGACATCCCCTTCAAGGTTTGCCGAAGCACCACCGATTGCGCGTTGGCAGAAGCAGTGCCTACGGATGGTACATTCCTTCTCCAGGACCAGATGGGCCGACCTGAGGATGCTACGGGAGCTGTTGGATGGGTGGACAACGGCGCTGGGGGCACACACATCAAATTCAACACCAACGGGGCTCAGGCCGGTGTCTTCAAGGGTGTCCCAGCATGCTCCGGAGGAAAGTGCTTCATCAGGTTGGGAGGTGGACCTACTGGCAATGGCAGCATCGGCCCTACGTGCCCAGTTCCTGAACACGGTCTCACATTCGTAAGTTCTGTTTATTAGAACTGGCAACGACGGACTCACCTGTTGCCGCTTTCTAGTGGCCTAACCCGAAGGCGACAATGTTGATTAGCTTCACGGAGACTGCTTGTTCGGGTCCGGATGCTCCTTTCGTCCCTCTCAACGCTGCGAACCCAGCCCAGGGGCTTCTTAGTGCCTTTGGCGCTTCCCGCAGTCGCCCTGCTGTCGCGATTTCCCAAAGGCCTTCATCTTCGCTCGTTGCTTCCGCTGCCATTGGTCGTGTCACTGCGACTGCTGCAACCGCAGCAAGAGCATCCTCCGCAGCCCCTGCCAGAGCCACTGCTCCCTCTAGGGTCAACGCACGGGCCTGAGGATGATAGAAGGAGGAGAGGGGGCAATGGTCCATATGTATTATCCTTGGTCGCGGTTGTATATCGCTCGCTATCTGTCATCCTTTCACAGAAGCATCAATACATACATTGTTCCCGACTACGTCTATGAGTAGATGTAGCGCATGCCCATTCTGTGGGCTCAAGTCCCGAAGACTTCCGAACGTTCAACTTGTCAACACCCGATGTACTAGCACCGTAAATGTGTAAAAGGCGGCTTGGAAGGCAGTTCCGCAACCCTTCGTCGTATCGACGCTCTGCTTCAGCTGTGTCTACGGTGCGCTTGACCCATTAAGGCACTAGGACTCCTGCTCCGTAGTACTATCATGTCACTTGAATGTACCGATTCATATACAACTGGTAGGATCGAATTGGTAGAGTATGCACGTCCGTTTGAGGGATCATGCATACGTCCTCAGCTTCTTCTCCCTCTGTCGGCCACCGTCGTCCTCATGATCGGGGACAGCCCGTTTGACTGCAGTTTTCAGAACATGCTGCTTTTTGGCAGCGTCGTTCTCTGGCCAAATGGAGTCCAATGCTTCGTCCCAAATGGGCTGTACGTCCTTGTGCATCATTTGAGTACTTTCTTGTGGTCGCATCATGAGGAAGGAGTATTGCGCCTGAAACACCGCGACCATCTTCTTCACGAATTCCGTGAGGACGAGGTTACCCGCGAACTCTAAAGGGCGTTCATCACGCTCTCCGATATGCTCTCCAAACATCAAGAAATCTCTTTTCCCGCTGCCGCCTTTATGTGACCAATCGTACTGCTCGAAAATGACCTGTATGATAGAGTCGAGGTCTTTGACCCTGTTGTGTGGTAGGTAGGAAAGGCTGTAGTACAGAATCACCCAGAAGAAGGATTCTAGGTCGTCGCAGACTCCGTGGGGGCGTCTCTCCCTTTTCAACATGGCGATGGACATGAAGGCCCAGGTACCCTGCATGTGTCTGTCAGCGAGCGAGTCGTTTCCAGAAAGATAAATAGACATACAGTGCGCTCGTGCGCCCTAGGGCCATCTTTGATATCCTTCTCAACGACCGCCATGTCCCAGTCATTCAGGAGGCCGGTACCGTCGCCTTGGATCAAGATATTTCCCACTGACGTCTCGATGCAGCAGCTCACATAGTTCGTACGCTTCTTTGTGACCTAGAATTCATATAAGCAAGCTTGTAGAATCTTCGAAAGGAGTCAAAGTCAGCAGGAGCCGCATACCTTGGAGAGCATGATTCACGGCTTGAAGCATCTGCTTCGACGACGAAAAGCGTTCCAGGGGAGAACCGACTTCTTTCACCACAAAACGGACGTGCTGCCTCGGATCAAGGCGTTTGTCGCCGATTCTTCCGTCGAACATGGAGGCATAGTCCTGGGTTTTCGTGAGTTGACTGGGAAGGTCGCCACCGCATACGAGTGTCGGGACGAAGTGCACTCCCGCTTTGTTAATCTTTTGAAGTGTCTCGATCTCCGGGCACAATGCAAGAGAACGCCACTGCTCTTTGAGGAACATGGGCTTAGTGTCAACCAGCAAGCCATTAGTCACCTCCATCGCAGGGTAACCACGCGTAGCTCTGCCGAGAGGCGATTCCGGATCTGCGAGGGATCCCCAGACGAGAAACTGACGAGCTTGGCCGGACTGGTCGTCGTGCACATCCATTTTAAAAACAGATCGTTCAAGCTTCGGGTCTGGAGCCCAGGCAGCGAGATGCTTACGAGCGAACTTGGCTTCCGCCTCACTGGTGACGTGTACCGTCGGGTCGTATCCTATAGCAATATCGTCCATACGGCAGAACCGCGAGAAGAAGCGGTTCAAGGGTGTGCAATCTTTAGTGAAATTTAACCTCTCGGAAACGAGGGCCCCCGACCTGTCAAATCGAATCAAACGGGCGTATGGGAAGTAGATGTAGACGAGGAACAAGTGGGTTCGATGCTGACGAGCACAAATTTCCACGGCATACGTGACTAGCTGTCCGCGAGCCACAATCGCCTTGTCCGTATCTACCTCGAAGGGCGCGTCTTCCATTGTCGCTACACGCGGGTCCGTACTATCGTTGAAGATTTCCACGTACTCGTCATTGGCCTCTACGCCGGTGAGGGAGTTGGCTAGGCGCGTCGGAGTGGTACTCTTGATCCGTAGCTGTTCGTGGTACACACACATGTCTGGCTTAACCTTCGCACCAGGCTTGGAGGCCGGGTCCGGATGAGCTGAGGTATCAACTATCTTGATGCCCGGGAAGTTAGGTGCGCTACTGTTACCAAAGAATTGTGCCTACGAAGCGATTGGTCAGTTGCTTGATTATAGCCTGTGAGTAGTTATATCAAACCATTTTCTTGTACATATCCCATTCATTCTTTGGCTGAAATCCCGTAAAAAATGATGTAGGAATATCTGCAAGAGTCTCTTTGGCGTTCTCTCCGAGAGGCATCGTGAGGTTGAAAAAGTCCTGGACAGGACAAGGTCCAACCCAGCTGCCTGTCATTTCCTGGCTCATCATGACATTACTTATAAACCTTTTGAACGAATAACTCTGAGACACAACCCTGGCGGTGAGTTGATACCACGTGATCGTGCATTTGTTTGTCCTCTAATTCATGAACGCGACGACGCGTCGCCATGTCACTGTCAGATGTTTCTGCTGTCCCCGTGTCTTTTTGGGCTCGAAGTCGTAAGCCCTGCCCCTTCATCCTTGTCTCAGTTACTTTCCCCCTCCTGTGTCCTTGGCCGAACGCGCTCTATTGCTCACCTAGCTTCTCATGACACTTATCGTCTACCTCGCGATCCAGTGGCCGACGCGCCGCTACCTTTACCCATATGAAAGTACAAGATTATGGATTTGCGGTTATTTCACCATGATAGTGTATGCATGACATGATAAAGGTAAATTGCCTTACCGCGTGTATGCCGTTGAAAACTGTGGCGAAGGGCGCGAAAAGTTCTTTTCTGGCAGGAGGTTGGGATCCCTCCTCGTGCATCCAGAGTCGCCAAGGCTCATAGACAGAAGAGGGCTACTACCATGGATCATTAGCACGCACGATCATTTAGCTATCTATCAACTCTACAGCCGTACATGTTTGCTCAACAAAATCTTCCCCTTCATTTCCCTTTCTACGTTCCAATTCCTAGCAAGGAGCCAACTCCACATCACAGGAAATCTAGATGGAACAGTGCAGATTGTCACCGGCGTTTCTCGACGGTCCGCATCAGACCTAAGCGTTGCTTCCCGTATCTCTGCTTCGACGCTCTGCATCATGCGCTCCAAGCAACCCAGTCTCCTTATGTCTGGGCGAACACCAGCGATCCATATGTGATCGCTTTTCGTCTCGCTCGAGCTTAGAGGAACATCGTCGTGGGCGCGTGGATGGACGATGGCGAAAGCGACTACTTCCTCGCTCTTTGGTGGGTATGGATTGGGAGGGTATATATGTATCGAGGTTGGCTCGCATCGGGTGAGATATACAATGAACGCTCCTGGCAGCGAGCTCCGACGCAGCCATTCGTTCAGTGACCCATGATGACTCTTGCAGGTCTGCTCATCATGGGCTCCGGGATCCCGTGGAATGGCGCTAAATATACTGTTTGACAATGCCAATATGTGGGGTAAGATTTCCCTGAAACCCGGTGTCGTCGAGCGTAGGATGTTCGTCGAAATTTCGCCGCTCCCACTGCGGGAATGATCATCGGGGTTCTCGTTCATAGCAGAGAAATGGCAGTGTTCAAGCAGGATATTCTACTCGTGTCGCTCGCCTTCTTCGAGTATTTATACAAGTTATGTGGGAACTCCGTGACCAACGGGGCTCCGTTCACTGCATAGCTCTGACCGTGAAGGGATGACTTGTTGATGAACCAGCGCTCAGAGTCATGGCAGCTATATTCCGGGTCAATGGAAGCTGTCGTAATGTTTTTCGAGAAGAAGCCAGCCGCAGTACTGTATCACCGTGCTGACGCCGAGATGCTGTTCTCTGGTAGTTTCGACAATCCGGAAACGGTGGCTCGCTGTCTTCTTGGTTTCGAGGATTGTTCCGAATGGCGCTACAGCAAATATACGCTGGCCTCAGGGGCTTCAGGGGTTCTGGGGGCTACAGGGGCCTCCTGAGCGCATGCCCCCCACGCCTCGGCATCTTCCCAGAAGGTAGTTTGCTCCCCGAGCCCCCACTTCATGATGTGAATCGTGATGAACACAATAACCTCGCGCTTCCCAATCTCACGGCCTGACCCCACTATTGTTTCCTACTCCCCCCTGCAGAGGGTATTGGGAGGGCCTTTTTTGCTTTCGGCGCGCATCTCCCAGCATCTGGACTCGCTCTCTCGGTTTCAATTCCGGACACTTCGTTGCTTCTCATCTGCGGTAGTTCCCCTTTCATCTCAACCACAACAGCGCTCAGTACAATCGCACCCAATAATCAGTTATCGACCCTGTTGAGTTGGACTCGTGCCTGACTTGCGTTGGGGTGTTTTTCCTTCTTGAGGCATCCCCTCCACGAGGGGCCTTTTGTGAAAGTCGAGGGCGAAGCGGAGAGGTGGGACGGCCGGGCTCACAATGAATCACCCATACAGCAACCCCGCCTGCTACATGCGCACGAACGAGGTACGTTCCTCGCCTATCTACTATGTCCATTGGCTGATACGGTTTCAGGATGACCAATTCTTTTCATACGCAAGGAATGACAATGTTTACGATGAAAACTACTCTTATACTGCGCCTCGGCAGTATGGAAAGCGGGAGGTTCGGGGCAAGGACCCGTATGCGAATATGAAAAGCTTTGCGCCGGTGAGTTCTTTTGTCTGCTCGATAACATTGTTGTTCAGAATTCCCTTGTCTGTAATGTAGTCCCTGTCCGTTGACTCCATCCCCCTCACTTCCCCACGACTCTCGACGCCGCTGCGCCCTGCGAATCCAATCCCCCTGGCTGATCCGAATGTTGGCGATGGCGGGAGTTACAGCGGTTCGGGCACGACAGATCGATATGTACCACCCCATCCCTACGGCGCCCAGGGCATCTACACCTCTCATCTCAATTTCGACGACGACGAAGGAACGATCGACATCCCCCCGTCCCACACTGCGTCGTACTCATCCGCCTACTCGACGAGCCACAGCGGACATCACTCTCGCCCCGATCACCAACACGACTCGGATCGGAAAGAGAAGCGCGCGCGCAAGGAGAGGCGGCACAGTCAAAAGGACGGGTATCTCGCCCCTACGACGTCCTTCCCTTCGTCATCCCGAGAGCGAGTAGGTTACCCCCAGAATGCCCCTGATCCGCAAAGTAGCCGGGGAATTGCTGTCCGCCCTGGGCGCTCTGCCTCGCACTCTGGTACAATCCGACCACAGCACAATTACAGCAGTTTTCAGCGGTCGACTGCTAAGAAAGTACCTGGGATTATGAAATTCGCGTCGGAGCAGCACCTCCCGAGACAAAGCGTACATTTCGTTGCGGAGGTAGAGCTGGAGACGCATCAGAGTCAGACTCGCCGGGTGGGAATAGAAGAGCCAGTAGGAGATGAAAAGAAGGGGACTTGGAGGATGAGTTTGACGGTGAGTATTCAAGCTCTATTTAGTACAGTCTTGATTTGACACTTTCTCGATGGCACAGAAACGCATCCGTAGAGCATCCCGACAGGTCAAGTCTTTCTTCGGCGGCAGGCTGCTGAAGAGTCAATCGATGCCCTCGTTCCCGACGTCTGGATACTACGACGATCCCCATGTGGGGAGTGTACGGGGAAGAAACACGCTAGTTTCCTCTTGGCCCCAGGCCTCCAATTTTCAGTCCAACGCCCACTCAAGGACAAGCCAGTTATCACTCCTATGATCTATGTTGCTATTATCTCAACCTGTACTCTATCATTATCTTCTATTTCGTATTTCGTCGTCTGTGTATTTCGTACCGGATAATGGGTAGCAATCGAGGACAAACAAACACTCCGATCATGATCGCGCCTTTATTTGGTTCCCTGCGCATGGCCAAACAAAGCCGCGACATAGCTTGTGAGGGCGATACCATGACAAGGCTCTGAGGGGGAGCTGACTCGCTTGATCCCAACAAAGGGGGCTTAAATCCCCCACACAGCAGTGAGAATCAAAACATGTGGCGAGGCAGACAAAGGAACAAAACACCGAAATCCCGCAATCTTATTGTCTTTGGGTGGCCAAACAACGCCAAACACACAGACAATGAGAGTTGCGGCTATTGAGCAGACAATTGGATATCGAACAAAAATGGCGGAGGTCAAGAATGGGCTCCCACTTTTCCCTTTCTCTCTCTCTTCATTACACTCTGCTAGCTCAGAATGCGTCGAACGACGACCCTCGAGGTCGACACCGCTTCGACGACTCAGCCAACGACCACAGTGACGATTGAACATGAAGACGAACAAGCCGCTGCGCTACCCCCTACCCCCACCATCCAGCCATCGCTGAAGCTACTTTTCTCACTCCTCACCCGGCGACAACTCCTCCTTTTCCTCCTCCCCGCCATCATATTCGCCATCATCTCCGGAGGGATTGCTCCTTTCATGACCTACGTTGTAGGCCAGGCTTTCGATGCCTTCGCCAAATTCCCCATCTCGCTACCGACTCAACAGGACAAAGACAATCTTCTCAATGGCGTCGGCCTCGCAGCTCTACAGCTTCTTGGTCTCGCACTCGCATCCGTAGCCCTCTCCAGCATCACTTCATCCTTCTGGATATGGACAGGAGAACAGAACGCGATGGCGTTGAGGAAGAAGGTGTACGATGAAGTTGTAGCAAAGGACATGGACTGGTTTGACACCAAGATGGGCGGCGACGAACAAGGCCCCGTCGGCGCTGGTGGGCTCATGGCCAAATTCACAAGGTGAGTAGTACTAAATTACCCGGAGGACATGTTTCTAACTTGGAGATACAGAGAAACTGATGAAGTGAGAATGGCCTCTTCTCTCGCTTCGGGGATGGTTCTCCAATACCTCACCACTACAATTACCTGCTTGGTTCTCGCTTTCATACGCTCCTACCAACTTACCTTCGTAATCCTGTCGGCAGTTCCCCTCCTCACCTTCATCCAAGGCGTATCTCAAGCCACCGCAGGCCCGCTCCTCAGCGCTGAACACGGGAGCATCGGAATCGCGGGAACCCTCATCGACCGGGCGGTCTCCGCCATCGCGACCGTCAAGGCATTCAACGCTCAGGACTTCGAGCGTCTTTCATTGAGCAAGATTTTCGGCAACATTCACACCATCGCGAAGAAGCTGAGCACCGTCTGGGGCATCACCAGCGGTCTCTCGCAGTTCGTGATGATGTCGATGTTCGTACAAGGCTTCTGGTTCGGGTCCAAGCTCGTGCGCGAGGGCAAGATCTCGCCCGGAGATGTCATGGCCGTCTTCTGGGCTTGTCTCATTGCTACAAGCAACCTCCAGATGTGCATCCCACAGTTCATCACCCTGGCCAAGGGTAAATTCGCCATGGTTTCCCTCCTCACCCTCATCGACGAAACCCCTTCCACACCATCTTCTCCCTCTTCGCCCAACCCTCCCTCCCCTCTTTCCCCGGCTTCCGTACAAACCAGCGCCTCGCGCTCAACCCATACCCTCTCCCTCTCGGCGTCGAAGCCCCGAGTCCTCCGGGGAATCGTACCCAGACGATGCATCGGCGAATTCCAACTCGCCGATGTCACTTTCTCGTACCCAGCTCGCGCCCCTGTCCTCAAGAACGTTTCCCTCTTCCTTCCTGCCGGAGAAACGACCTTCGTTGTAGGAGGTAGCGGCTCCGGGAAGTCAACCGTCGCCGCCCTCCTTCTTGGCCTGTACAAAACTAGCCAGGGTCAAGTTCTCATGGACGAGCAAGAGGTCGCATTTTTAGATAACAAGTGGATGCGGAGCCACGTTATGGGCGTTTCGCAGGGCGACTGTGTCATCTTCGATGGCAAGACTGTACACGAAAACATCGCGGCCATCATGGGTACCGATGCCTCCGTCTCACGCGAACAGGTGATCGATGCTTGCACGAAGGCCCTTCTACACGAATTCATCAACGGACTCCCCGACGGCTACGATACTATCCTCGGCGGTGCTTCCGATTCTGAGGCTGTCGAAGGAGCCAAGGTCGGAGGTGTCAACCTTAGCGGTGGCCAAAGGCAACGCCTTGCCATCGCCCGAGCTTGCCTTCGCAACCCTACTGTCCTAATACTCGGTACGTTTCCGTAGTACTCTCATTCCATTTTGCTTGCTAACTCTCCACCCTCAGACGAAGCTACTTCTGCTCTCGACCCTACTTCCCGCCTCCTCGTCTTCGAAGCTCTCAAGCGCGTCCGCCGCAACAAGACCACTATCGTTATCACCCACGATCTTTCCCAGATTGAAAACACTGACTTCGTCTATGTGATGCGGGATGGGGAGGTTGTCGAACAGGGTTTCCGAAGGGATCTCGAATCCGGCTCGAGCACAGAAGATTTCACCTCCACTACATCTCTCGACGGCGCTCACATTGGCGAGTTCAAATCGATGCTCCGAATCCAGATGGGCATGGGCGGGTACCTGCCCGAACGGGACATCGATGCGACTTCCTCTGAAGGCCAAACCGACGAGAAGCGAACAACTGCCTTCGACGACGAATCTTTACCTTCCATGACCGATATACCTGTTCCACCACCCACTGCCGCAGCTCGCCTCCGTCCTTTGACCTTGACCCTGGGCAACTGGATGTTCGACGTTGTATCCGATCTGACGAAGACTGCGAACGGACCCGGAGGCGCACTGGCACGGCTTTCCATGATACCCGAGCATCAGCAATACGAACAAAACCAACGCGCCAGCATTCGTGCTAGCCGCTTCGTCCCTGCTGATATGCTCCAGCAACCAACACAAAGAAAGACTCGCCCTACTAGCATCGCAATCCCTTCCTCCCCTACCACCCCTACAGCTGCCTACACTATCCCACCCACCAGGCGCATGAGCCTTCAATTCACCCCCACGTCTCCCGTCTTCTCGCTAGGCGATGGCTACCTTTCCTACTCAAGCGCTGACTTCGCTGAGAATGCGAGCGCCATGGGCAGCGAAATCGGTCTTCTCGGAAGTCGACGAGGAAGGGCTGCGGATTATGACGATGACGAGACAATCCTCGAGAAGCGCGGAACAACGGCAGAGGAGAAGCGTAGGCAACGAGTGAAGAGCGAGCGCAGGCGATGGGATACCGAGAAAGTTGCCGTCGCGCCGAAGAAGGGCGATAAGAAGAGACGCTTCCAGGTTCGCGTGGACAAGTGGAAGCGTAAGGCCGAAAAGGAGGGCGCTGAGGAGGCGGCTGAGCGACAACTGTCGTTCTGGCAGCTTTTGCGCGTCATCTACCCCACCATCCCCTACAAGCCCATGGTCGCTCTCGGTCTCGTCACTTGCGTCTGCAGTGGTGCCATGACACCCATCTTCTCCTTCCTCCTCTCTCGTGTAATGTTCGAGGTGTCCGTCGGTGCCACAAATGTCTCCGCCATCAACACCTTTGGCGGCATCGTCCTTGGTATCGCCGCAATCGATGGGTTCCTCCTAGGCTTCAAATACTTCTTGATGGAGACCCTCGCCTCTTCATGGGTCACCCAGATCCGCAACACAGCCTACGAACGCATCCTCGCCCAAGACAAGAAGTTCTTCGACAAGACCGACAACGCATCCACCCGATTCATCCAAATTCTCGTCAAGGATGGAGACGACGCAAGGAATCTTCTGTCCGTCGTCATCGGTCAATTCCTCGTTGTCGCTTCAATGCTCGGTGTCGGTTTGGTATGGGCTCTGATCCGTGGCTGGCAGCTGACTCTCGTCGGCTTCGCTATCGCCCCGGTGTTCGCCATCACGATGGCCGTTCAGACCCGACTTGTCACCAAGTGCGAAGTTCGAAACAAGCGCGCCCGCGAAGATGTTGCAAAGAGCTACTACTCGGCCATCGCTAACATCCGTGGCATTCGCGCGATGTCGTTTGAGGGTCTCTACAAGCAACAATTCGACACCGCAGCTGATCGTGCTTTGACCACCGGTGTCAAGGGTGCTTTCGTCGAGGGATGCACATACGGTGTTTCGAGTGGCCTTATCTACCTTGCCGAAGCGTTGCTCTTCTACGTCGGAGCCGTCCTCATTGCCCAGGGAACGTATTCGTACCTCCAAATGGTTCAAACACTGAACTTGGTTGTATTCTCGGTCACCATCGGATCGCAGCTTATGGCATTCAGTACGTACACTTTATCTTATTCATCTCCTCCCCAGATGCTAATTTCTACTTTCAGCCGAAAAGATCGCTAAGGCTGTTCAAGCCACGAGAGATTTCAACGAACTTCTCCGGTTACCCACCGATACCGATGAGGCCAAAGGTGTCATGAAGCCGACTCTCGACGGACCGGTCACTTTCCGCAACGTTGCGTTTTCTTACCCTGAACACCCCGATGCTCCCGTCCTCAGCAACCTCAACCTCAGCATCGAGCACGGCGAATGTGTTGCTATCGTTGGTCCATCAGGCTGCGGCAAGTCCACAATCGCTGCGCTCCTCCAGCGACTCTACGAACCTACCTCTGGCATGATCGCCATCGGTCTCAACGAGCTTCGCTCTATGAACGCCGAACATCTTCGCCATCACGTCTCCGTCGTCAGCCAGAAAGCTAACCTTTTCGACGCTACCATCACGGAGAACATCAAGTACGGCAACGAGTCCCTCACGGATATGGACGTCCGACGCGCCGCAAAGGCAGCAAACGTTCACGAGTTCATTATGACGCTTCCACAAGGCTACGACACCCTCGTTGGCGAGAACGCTTCCCTCATTTCTGGTGGACAAGCCCAGCGACTCCAAATCGCCCGCGCACTGGCTCGCCCTGCGCGCATTCTCATCCTCGATGAGTGTACCTCCGCCTTGGATGCTGCCAACCAAGCTGTGGTCATGGACACCATCCGCAGCGCCAAGGTTGGGCGCACCACCATCATGATCACCCACAAGGTCGACGTCATGAGAATGTGCGACAGGATCGTGTTGGTAGACGAGGGCCGTGTTGTTGAGGAAGGCCGATACGACGAGCTAATGGAGAAGAAGGGCGTATTCGCCACATTGGCCAGCGGAGGGGAGTGGCAGAGCGCCTAGGCGCGCTTTCTTCGTTTCTTTTAAGCACTCCTCTCCTTTACGATTACATTCGTTTTATATTCATAAACTTATACTTTCGCTTCCCTTTACTTTCTTATTCTCGGATTTCTATCGGTCTCTGACATAGTACTTACATATCTACATTCGACTCAACACACACACACCATAACACCACTGTAGTTCTACGCATAGTTACTGGAGCATTTAGCTGTATCCCCTGCTGTATCTCAACGATTTACGATAGATGAAATGAAACAAATATTGGATAATAACTTCATTGCCTCGTTAAGAATCACTCTAATGGTCGAAAGAGATGAAAAGGAAATATGTAGAAATACAGTGGGGTATGTCGAACGTGCTAACGATACAAATAAGTGACGGGCCGCATTACACTACCCTCTGGATTGACTTTTCTTCCTCAGACTGTTTGCATATACTACTAGAGCTACTAGTGCTTCCATTTTTTGTGACCATGGCCCGAAGTGCTTGCGCCAAACGAGTTTGTGATACCCTGCTCAGTATCCGTGACTTCCGCTGCGACGAGCCACCGACATTATCCACCAAATGTGCAGGCAGAGGAGGTACTGGAGGGATAGACGCTGCCGACGGGCTCCAATGGAAGCCTAGATTCTCGACGGAGAATGGCCCAAATGTAAAATGAGGGACAACGTCTTGGGCGGATTCGTTGGTTTGTTGGGACGTAGCGAATGTGGTGACGCTAGAGTTGAAAGACATATCTAATGTGTCAGGCTTGCGATTCACCCGTCTGCTGGGGGCATCGCTTCAATGGGAGTCAGTCTCGTAAATTGGTTGAGGACGTGTCCAGGACTCACTCTTTGAATTGAATTTGTGGCGGAGGCTTGGGTTTATAAATTGGCTTGATTGCCCAAAGGACGACACACCGATACCTAGCCCTCGCTTCCTTGCTACACCCGAAGAAAGCGAAGAAGACGAGGGCGCATAGCACATTGAACCATTGCCCGACCTTGAACTGTACCGACGAGTAAGATTCCCAGTAAGGGCGAGGAAGCAGCCATATCGAGTTGTAGTTCAACTTAACATCGGCCCATATCCAAGGGCGGAAAGGAGTGTGGGTCATTAGCGTATACATGGTCCATGTTGCGAGAGGGATTGTAAAGATTGCATCGATTGTCCCCAGACAAAATAGGCGGTAGTATTCGCTGAAGTCGATGGTGATGTTACCAGCAGATAGCAAGCGCTTTAACTCGGTTTGCCTCGAGTACAGAACACGGACATTGAGAACTATAGGGAGTAAAATTGGTAAGCCAGGGCTTATGAACAGTGATTATGCAGGACGTACCGCCGTATACGCCTGAGGCCAGCCCAATCAAGAGGGGAGGTAAACCTTGGATCATAATAGCGGGGACCGTATTATAGTATGGTTGAAGGCAGCCGATGTCCTCAAGTAAGTCGCTTCGATGTCCTTGAGGCAGGGATACTACATGGGCTAAGTGATGAACGGGGGGAGAAGGAAATCAGACTTACTAAGGCAAGTCAGTACAGCAGGGATCAGGACCGCGATCGCTATATCAGCGATAACCATTTTACGGCGCTACAAAAACGGTCTGTTGTTAAGTTCACCGCACAAAATGCAAGCTTCGGGAGTCATACTGAGGGCGTCTGGTGGCTGCCACCACGAGATATGATGAAGAGTCGACGATTGATACAGAGCACTGCGGCCGGGATTCCATAGCTGGTGGCAGCTCCAAGCCTGCCCGCTATGTTACGGTAAATGAGAAATTGTTGGACTACAAGGTTCCAATCAAGGACTCACACATTTCACACCATATAGCCGATTGGACTTCAAGGGTCCCATCGTAGACTATGGCATTGATGAAATGTATGAGACATCCTAGCGCACACCAGAACATGTAGAAGCATGTCCCCGTATTCCAAGCTAATGCAACAGTATTTTAGTGCCCAAGACTCAGAATATTGCGTGAAATACACTTACATTGAATATGCCAAGGGAGCGGGCTTAAAACAAGGAGAAATGCAAGAAAGTTGCATACCGTCAGGACGTGGTGTAGATACGCCATGATGAGCCCGAATCAGATTGTTTGACTGGGAAGCGTCTACGACCGACGTAGTATATGTACGCCATTAAATAGTGGACCCACATAGATCCATTGTACGAAGTATGGCCGTTCATCGCTCAATCGGGTGACTAGCTTGTGGAATTGTCAATTTCGCCAACTCCATTGCAGCGATCCTGAAGCTCGAGGTGAGCTTGTGCGCACGATGACCATCATGATCCTTATGCCAAATCGGGGCAGCGTTGTTTTCTCGTCGGTGAGGCAACAGTGAGGTTCCTGATATGACGGAGAAAGATATTCAGTCTGACAGCACTAGTAAAGCTAGCATCCCTCGACCGAGAGTTGAGGCTTACGGTCAGCAGTTCCAGTCTACTAAACTTGAAGTGCCAAATTTCGCGATCGAACGACACGTGCCTGTACTACTTAGTCCATATCCAAATCAGGCAATCTAGCTTTTCAAAGTTTTGGCGCCCCACACGGACTGCACCAAACCAGCGACCAACGGCACGATGTCAGTTGTGGACGCGGAAATCAGAGCTTCGCTAGAGCGGCACAACAACATATTTGAGTCCTTGCTGAAGCTTATTCCGGCCAAACACTACCTTGTCCAGGACCAAAATGACGAGCAGGTGAGTACCCGTTCAATATTATTCGTGCGAATAGATCTGCATGCTGAGCAGGAGGGTCTTCGTTGCTGGGTGTACGTAGATAGCTTCGAAATACCAGAAACATAGCAAAAACCAAAAGGCATCCAAGCAAGCGATCAAAGAAGCCACGAAGAAAGCAAAGCGCGATAAGGTGAGTGTTAAATACTTTACAGGGAACTACTGGTGCTGATACGATGTAGCTTGACCCCGCCAACCAAAAGACCATAATTGAGATACAGCAGGGGAAGCTTGACTCGTCTAGAACGGACAAGAAGGGGAAGAAGAGCAAACAACAACAACCTCGAGAGGAAGATTCAGACGACGACGACGACGACGACGCCATTCATGTAGATGTTGACGTAGATGAGGAGGAGGAGGACCGAGAAACGATGGATATCGACTCGGACGAAAAGATAGTACCTATGCCTCACAGCAGCGGCGTATCCGAACTTCGAGAAAAACTGCACGCGAGGATGGAACAGCTTAGACTCGGGCGGAGGGGGCAGGCGGCGAATTGGGGGGGAGAGCCAGGAGATAAGGACGAGCTACTGGAGGAGAGGAGACAGCAGCGAGCAGCGATGAGGGAGCGGAGACGAAAAGAGACGAAGGAGAAAATAAGGAGGCAGGAGGAGATGAAGAATAAGGGGGGCAAGGAGAAGAAAGATGCCAAAGACTCCAAAACGCAGGGCAATATCACTAAGGTGCGTACGGGCCCCAGCTTACACATGGACTCCTTTACGCTGATTCTCGCTGCGCTATAGACACAATTGCTTGTCCCCGACACATCGGCGCGCGGTGCTCAAAATGGACCTCAGTCATCTCTGACGAATATCGCGTTCTCGTCAATATCTGGACCCTCTTCGGCCTCTTCGTCGAAGAAACTCGCACATCTCAAAACATCTTCGAATCCTGCTCAAGCACTCGAACAGTTAACAGCAAGGAAAGAAAAGCTAGCGTCATTACCGGAAGACAAGCGGAAGGAGATACAGGAGCGGGAGAAGTGGCAGAAAGCGGAGGCACGGATGGACGGTGTGAAGGTCAGGGACGATGAGACGAGGCTAAAGAAGGCTGTAAAGAAAAAGGAGAAAGAAAAGCTCAAGAGCAAGAAATCATGGTACGTCAGCGTTCACCTTAGTACTAACTCGCACTTTGCCATTCCTGAATTTCGTCACACAGGGATGAGCGGAAGGAACAGCTTTCAAATAATTTGGCGGCCAAACAGAAGAAGCGTCAGGATAACATCGCTATGCGGAACGAGCGACGGAGCGACAAGCGGAAGGGCGTTGGAAAGAAGGGCAAGGCGAGACCCGGTTTCGAAGGCAAATCGTTCGGAAAGGGCGGCAAAGGGAAGCCCAGTGGGAAGAGCAAATAAGGTCGTCAACCTATAAACGTATGCCCTTTCGAATTGCCTTTTCATCCTGTCCACGATGATGTTACGCTGAGAGAAATACTGAGGTTTGTGTATTCATGGTGGGCAGTCTGAAGAAGTATATATTGTATACACGTTTATATGTCTCAGTCAAAAGGGACGGGCCGTATACCAGGGCCTGCTAACCGTAATCCTGGTAGCTTTTCCTTGTCTGCTTGGGCAGCCGCGAAGGCAGAAGGCACTGGAATTCCACAGCAATCACCCCACCCGACCTCCCTTTGGCCAACCCCACCAGCCCCACCAAGTGTATGAGCGTGACCCCAATGCTCGTCGTCCTGTGATGAGGCTGATATCGGAGCAGCGGGCCCATCGTACGGTAGAATAGATCCAAAAAGGAAGTGCTGAATTACAGGAAGTTTGCCCAGGACCTCGGCAAGATACATCTTGATCATGCCCGAATTGACTTTGTCCCAGGTTTTGACGGCTGATATATCGTCAAGCATCGGAGAGTGCCATCGTAACGAAGCAGTTTTGATCTAAGGGAAGATCGAATGATTAGCACGACGAATCAAAGAACCACAGATGGATGCATATCGTACGGAGTTTATGAACTGAATGCAAGCAAAGTAAATGTATTCTTTCGCGTATTCTTCGACTATTTCCGGGTCGTGAATGGCTTTAGGTCGGATGTACTTGTGCCCTGTGACGTTTTGAAAATGGTTTTGAATACGATGGAAATCAATGACGAACCTCGTAATTGAGCAGATCCCCAGAGGAACGGCAAGAAGTGATAATCATCGAGTCCCCACACTCCATGTGATCCTGCTGGTTCTAGCCAATAGGTTGACTGCAAGATACGCATCACTTGGATATATCTTGGATCGAATGGTCAACATGTGAAGATAGCAGCTTGACGGAACTGACCCTACTTCCAGAAGACCCTAATGACCAACGCCTGGTTATCAGATTCTGCGAAGACACCCTGTCGGTCAAGGCATATCCTGGCACAAGTCAATAGACGGACATCTACGAAGCAAGGCAACGTACATCCAGCAAAGGAAATTGAGCTCCATGCCACTGCCGTAGTCAATCCGCTGTCGATTGCCCCAGGACTCCTTAAAGTAGACTGCGATCTCCGGTATGGCCTCCTGAGATAAATTGGGGATCTTCCCGTGTAAAGATCCTGCTACCTAGGATATAGCGCGTGAGCTTGTGTATAGTCCGTTGCGATTCGCGTCGGTACCTCTCCAACTTTGTCATAGAAGGTTCTGAACGCCGGATTGCCAAACCGCGAAGCTGCGTTCTCAACTGGCGGTGTCTCCTTCGCGATCTCCTCCACACGCTGGAGTATATCCAGAACCCCAACTACACCCTAGAAATTACTACAGTCAATTTATCTGACGGGTAATTCATTGTCGACATTCAGATTCATACCGGGGAAGTGGAACATTCGTCGGATAGTTTTGACCCGATGACTGAGTCGTTTAGTTTCTGAATGTACGACAGGACATCTTCGTGCGCCTTGGACGATTGGAATGCTGCTAGCTGTTCCTGCGTTAGGATACGCTTCTGAGGAACTTGGAAACTGGATGAAGTGGACATTGCTAGGAGACGATGTTATGGGCGCTTCGTAGTCCATTGCTTCACAGTTAGGGGAGATAGGGGTCGTCGCAAGGGGTGTCTCCTGGAGAGAGCGAAACCTCGACGCTGATTCTCAGCTGTATTACTCTTCAGATTAGAATGTCTCGTTACTTCTAGCTCTACAATGAAACTGATAACTGGAGTTCAGATCTAAATTACAAGGTTGGATAATACAGGATTACACGGAGGGGTTGGTGAGACTAGAAGTAACAGATGCGATGAAGGGGGTATGAATAAATAAGCACCGTGGGTGCACGATCCTAAAAAATGACACATTTGGTATGCTTCTGCTTCATTCGGCTAACCAACGCGGCGCGGGTTGCATATTGAAAGACTTCTTGTAGGCCTTCGCCTGTTTTTGCTGAACATTCGAGGAAATGCATTGCGCCTATTCGCTGAGCAACATTGTGTCCCTATGAGATGGTGTCAGAATACGCCTCAGCAAAAGGGTCGGAAAAACTCACCTCGCCATAGGATATCATCCTCTTGCCAGACCGAGTGATTTCGGCTTCGTTCCTTAAATCTTTCTTACAGCCGACGAGGACAACTGGGATTCTCGGGCAATTATGTCGCACTTCACCTATCCACTACAAGAAAACTTGGAGTGAGCAGGCGAAGGGGCGTAAAAGTAAAAAGGACTCACGGTTTCTTCGACATTCTCCAGAGAGTCTGGATAATCGATGGCGAAGCAGATCATGATTACGTCGGCGTCAGGATAACTGAGTGGCCTGAGGCGATCATATTCTTCTTGGCCAGCTGTGTCCCACAATGCCAACTGGACGTGACGCCCATCGACATGGATGTCGGAGACGTAGTTCTCGAAGACCGTTGGGACATGCACCTCCGGGAAGCGGCCTTTGGAGAAGACGACCAACATGCAAGTCTAAAGCAATACCATGGTTCAATTATGTGATAGGGGTCAAAGCAGGCTGAGGCAGAGTTAGCTGACCTTCCCGCAGGCACCGTCACCGACGACGACAAGTTTTCTTCTGAGCTCGGCGGTCATAATGTGTGTGTACGGGAAAGATTGGTGAGGAGATGAGAGTGGCAACCCGCTTTTTATGATTGCGGGACAGTTACTTGATTAAAGACCCTGCATCGAAAGCAGCGCCTCCGACAGTGCCACGCTCCTCCTATGCATGCCAATCCCCTTGCTCCGGCCAATCACGGCTCACAGCGGGACGCATAAAAGACAATTTGGGTCGCCAGCGGGACGCATGTTCCCGATATGTTCGGAATCCAGGCCATTCAATAAGGAGCTATAGAGCACGATGCACAAATGTTGTTGAGGCTGATAAGAAAGACGAAACAGTCAGCTTTCAGAATTCTCTACCTGCTCAAGGGCCTTTATCACAAAGGGGTTCCGAGACTCACTGCTTTGGCGCTACAAGCGGGTGGCAGTGCCATCAATGGACCTGATGCGATTTCTTACCATCTACATTGGCACCGCCCTCCAGGCCCATGACGCTGACAACCTGCCTTGTAAGTATGGCCTTGCAACGATGCTAGAGCAACACCTTGCAGTGAAAAGTAGGCCCCAGGTACAATCTTGTGGCTGTAGTTCGTATGGCGGTGAGGAACGTTCAAGTCGTGGAAGCAGGGGTACACCCGCACGACACCATGCCTCGAGCTCGCCTTAGCCCTAAATTTACGTCAACAGTTTTGAGGCCTGATGGTTATCTGGTTTGTTAAAACCAGAGCTCCATCTTCTGTCAGTACGAAGAGTAAGACGTTTCCTCAATTACGGTGAAATCATTGAAATTTGTACTGACCGGAGAATTAGATATCCCACTCACCATGCATGCCCTTCTATGTCACAAACTCCACGAGGTCCGGAGACAATCCCTCAGCTGGTATCGCAGTTCTATCCTTGATGTCGTAGTAACTACGATACCTCAACGAGGCAGAGACGTCAATGGAAGCACACCCATATGTCCTATTAAATTCCGATGGATCCGAAGTTGGTCCCCCCGCCCTCACATAATCCAGCCTTGGCTCTCCTCGCTTGCTCCAGACGGTTAAAAATCGGCACTTCGTCAAGCCATCTTGACGATCCCATGATCCAACGGCGTAATAAATGCCTCAGTCGCGCAACAGTCGTTAAAGTATCTACGTGAGACTTTTATGCTGTTGACTTTGCTTGGAACTAGTACTTAAGGGAGGATCTATAACGAGGCTGACTTCACCCAACATCATTTCCTGGTTCAACGATGATACTTGCCTCTGCTCTGATTGTTGCTGTTGCGCTCGTCGAGTCTGTAGCGGCTCACGGTTACGTCCCCCAAATAAAAATAGGAAACCAATATATCCCGGGATGGAACGTCCCGACCGATCCCTACACCACACCTCAGGTGAGTAATGTTAGAATAATTTCTCTTTGATTCCTATCTAATCGTCCTCGGTATCCTTCTCAGCCCCTGCGAGTTGTCCGCGCAACAAAGCCAGACTCTGGGTTCATCTCTGATCCATCTTCTGGAGACATTACCTGTTCCATCGGTAACTCCTTCCTCCCACCGGTGAGTATATACATGTCCCTTACTCCCGTTCGGCTGAAGACTAAACAAATATATGTGTAGGGCCCCATTACTGCCACTGTTGCAGCGGGCGGTACCGTTCAGATGCTTTGGAACACATGGCCAATTGGTCACTATGGACCTGTTCTCAACTACATGGCCAAGTGCCCCGGTGACTGCTCTGTTTGGAAAGGAGACACAGGCACTCCTTGGTTCAAGGTTCATTGTTTACTTTGATATCAAATGTGGGCTGTCTTCTGACACCACCGTAGACACAACAAGACGTCTACTCCAATGGCGTGTGGGCTTCAGACGTTTTGGCGCAGAGCAATTTCACTTATACCGTGAAGATCCCAAGCAACATCACCCCAGGCAACTATGTGAGTGTTTCCACGAGCACGGTAATCACCAACGTCTAACATCATCTCTCCAGCTACTCCGTCACGAGAACCTTGCGCTACACGGGGCAGCAAACCTTGGTGGCGCCCAATTCTACCCAGGTGAATATACACGCTTCGTCCCAAATAATGATTTACTAATTTGTGGGATAAGTTTGCGTACAATTGACAGGTATGATCCCTTGAATTGATAACAGGCACCCGTTGCTAATATACAACCTGTAGTTACTGGTGGCGGATCGCTCAATCCATCTGGGCTAGGATTCCCAGGAGCTTACTCGGTTCGTCCAAACTGTTACTTCTCTTGCATGAACTTGCAGCTGACCACCTTCTAGGCTACTGACCCAGGTATCCATTTCAATCCGTACCAAGGAGAAGCGGCCAACCAAGTATGTTTACTTTTAGTAACGATTGTTCGAGATAAGACCTAACAATATCCAGGCATACGTCCCTCCTGGTGGTCCAGTCTATCCTGGCTTGGCATTTTAAGTACCATTGTAAACAGCGTACAGCCATATGCACAGCGATAATGCTTGGTTGTAGATCTTTCAGCAGCCATCGCATTGATTATCAGCAATTGAACAGAGTCAGTCATACTATGCTTCACAACGGCCCCATAAATGATTTCTTCTTCGACGCCTTCGACGCTGGCTTTAAGTTAGCTCCTCCCATATCGGGCCGTTCTCTGCTTCCGCCACTCCGCCATTGGGGGAACCTTGCCGTCTTCAAAGTACTTCTTGAAGCCTTCTCCTTGCAATGCGGGGCTCTCGATGAGAGGCGACAGTCTGATATCATCGTTCGGCGTGGAGAAATGGAAGACCCCGAGTCCATCAGGGGCTGAACCACCCTGTGGGAAACGCCATTTAGCATCGCCGAGTTTCAGCAATCCGTATATCGTGCTTGGTCGCACGGTAGTAGCCGCCAGATAGGAATTCCATCGCATCGCCGAGATTCGCTACCTGTCCAATGTACCGCTAGGCTCAGGTTCGACTCGAGGGCTTGTGCAATTATATTTCGCTCGTGCTAAGCACTACCAAGCGTAGCAATAAACCGGTTTGCCAGGCGAAATTCGTAACGACCTATACATTTGAGATTGAGATTTCTATGCAATTGGGTCTACACAATGAGGGCGATTCCGCTGAAGCTGAACACTTTCCAAATGTCCCAAATGAAGAATGAGCGTGGCAGGGTAATATAGGCCACTCTTCTGGCCACTATGCGCAGGAGAGTGGCTTGTAATTACAATGAGCCCAAGTAATACGCAGGCAGATGCGGCCACCAAGCTTCAAGCTCCGCTCGAGGAGATAGACAAGAAAGGCAATAAACTCGCGATCACGTGTGCTGTTACATTGTTCGCAGACCCTGTGGCTCGACAAGCCAGAATACTGCTTGAAGTGCGACCACCACCTACCAGTCCACCCGAGCCACAATCCTCAACGTGTGGCCATAATTGCTCGTATATAGGGTATGTCTCCAGTCTCCCAATGTGTCATTGCGAAACTCACACTATGTCGTCTCTGGTTGAAGGTACCCCCCCACGGAAGAAGGCTAATCCCTTACTCCTTCACGTTGAAGCTACGCCGATTTCTAGGAAATATTCAGGACTTATCGAAGGCCAAAAGCTCGACCCCGACGACTACCAAGAGAAGAGAGCCGGAATGTGCCAGGAAATGTCAGGATACTGGGTCGGCCCCTGTGAAACCAACAAATTCTTTGAACTCACGATGCCCCTGGACTTGGAAGAAGGGGCCGTTGAAGAGCTCCCCAGTATCGATCCAAAATTCTTTGCAGGAAAGAAGCCGGCTAACGAAGATGAAGTGTTCACTGAATTTGTAGGTCTACGTCCATATAATAGGCTCGCACGAACTGACGCATAAACGCTGACAGAGTACTTTCTTCATGAAAACCCCGGAAAAATCCCACTTCGAGGGTCTCAAGATGGTCGATAGCTCTCGACACGCGGACCCAGACTCCAAGGCTGGCTCAAAGGTCAAGCCAGACGGTGGCCTGCACGACGAAGACGACGCCTCTGTCACCATCGCTACACCTACGCGGCTCGGCAGCGCGCTCTCTGGTTTGGAACTCAAAAAATGGCTCTTAGAACTATTCGAAGATCTTGCCAGAAAGCTGGGTGTGAGTTTCGAAGTTGACACGATCGACGCACGAGCTGCTCGGGGGCAGCTCGCAACATACGCCACGGAATATTGCGCTCGCCAACACCGGACCCACTTATTCCTTGTCTACATCTACTTCCCCTGCGCCCGGTTGATCCGATTCGATAGATGCGGTGCCCTCGTTTCGGAAAAAATCGACCTCTCTGTGGATTGCACACCATTGATCCGGTTCTATTCGAGGTTCTCCAAGATGACAGACGCTCAAAGGGGGTACGATCCGACCGTCAAGCTCGCCAGTGACGAAGAGACAAAGCTCGCCCAAGAACGCCTGAAAGAGTGGGAACCAATGCATCATCGCCCCGTATTCAAGATGGATGTTTACGACGACGTGGAAGAAGTAATGGAAGACAACAACAAGGCAGAGGTCTCTACCAACGACGCCGGCGTCGGAGCGGAGACAACTCAGGCTGCTGACGAGAACGTTAAGAAGACACCGACGCCACGAAAGTTCCTTGTTTGGGGGTCTCTCGCCGATCCAGACTCGCCACTCGGGCGAGCAACCCGCGGATATCCAGCTCTAGAGGTGACTGACGGGTTGGAAAAGGCCAAGGACGCTCCGCTCGTATTCCTGAAGGAGCAATGGCGCTCGAAAGCCATCGAACGAGGAGAAATTGCCATTCTTCGGGAGCTCAACAAACATGGCGTTGAACACGTCCCGACATTCGTCTGTGGCGGCGATCTTCCGGACCAAGTCACGCAAACGGACGTTTTTGCGAATGAAATCGGTAGAATAGGCGGCAAGGCCATCGATCAACGTACCCATGTCCGCTTCGTTGTCAAGGAGGTGGGTCGACCGCTCGAGTCCTTTTCTTCGTCGAAGGAGATGTTCCGAGCTATCCATGATGCATTTCAAGGTAAATCATATATTATCCAACCTTCTGTTTGCTGACTTTTCCTCAGGTCACAAACAGGCGTTCGAAGTGTGTCAGATACTACACCGCGACGTTAGCGGGGGGAATATCTTGATTCTTCCCAAAGGAGGGGGGCTGCTCAACGACTGGGATATGGCGGTGAAGGTTGAGGAAGCAAAGTTAGGGCCCAGAGCTCATGAACGTACAGTGGGTCCTACCTTTCCACCTATATCAACGCCCTCACTCACAATGTTGCAGGGTACTTGGGCTTTCATGTCTATTGACCTCCTTGATGGTGCAAGACGTCCCCACAAAGTCAGCGATGATATGGAATCTTTCTTCTGGGTGGTACTATACTATAGCCTCCTTTACCTCCCCCACAACAAGACCAGTCAGCTTGGCCTCATGATCCCTGCCATTTTTGAGCAATATACCTACTACGGGGAGGCCAAAGGAGGAGACGGGAAAACTGCTGTTGTGGTCTCGGGAAGGTACATCGGTGCTAGAGGGAATCCTCGCCTGGAGTTCACGCTCAGCAAGCCACTTACAGAATTCGTGAAAGCAATGCTTTCCTGCATGAGGTTATGGAGTGCATCAGAAACGAACGCTTCCGATGCGGCAGACCAGTCAGCATTTTTTGCGTCAACCGCTCCTCCAATCCCGGAAATACCAGAGCGCACGCACAAGGATGTGATTCGTATATGGGAGGGCACACTTGCCCTCCACTGGCCGACTGGCGACAAAGCGATACTGCAATACGTGAAGAAGTCTGAAGGGGGCACCGAAGGGGGTGGATCCAAGAAGAGAAAAAGCACTACCCAGTTGGAACCAAACGGAGGCGCCGACGGCCATAAACCGAAGAAATCGAAGACTCGCAGCAATGCGAAGGTACCCTCCGCCGGGACCAGGAAGAGTTCCCGCTTACGCCGTGGCTGAGGCTATCTGTATGAGTATCTCGTCCATGTACTTCTAGTATATGTATATATACACCTCTGATATTATACCCTATCTACTATTTTCGTTGGCTCTCATACTGTCTCATCATTTACAAACACGAGGAAACGCGCACGCGTGTCTTCATAATTTGGGTCTTGAAGACCAATCACTGCATTCCCTTTGCAACGATGCCACATCTACGCAAACCCTGCCCATCCAAAGTCCAAGCGCTACGCGCACGCTCCAACGCTTGCGGTCCTGATGGCGACCCTCGAAGAAAGGCAATAAAGCAGGACCCCGGATAATCCCTGTAAATGTTGGATCACGAATCCACCCCTCGATTGGCGGGCCCATTACCATATAAGGAAATCGAGGGGTGGACTTTTGGCTGGGCTCGTGGATCTAACATTTTACAACGATTTTCGGGGGTCCTAATAAAGCTAGTCGCGATCACGTGTGCCATACATCGTTCCCCAACCACGATGTTTAATTGCGACCATGCCACCAGTGGCGATCCACTACCTACTAGGTTCGCGCAAACCATTTCTTCTTCACAAGTACATCAGGTATGTATTCCGTCTTCCAATCACTCGCTCCATGATGTTGACTCTGGAAGTCGCAGCCATGTCTCGGGAAATGTCAGGACGCTGGGTCAGCCCATGCAAAGTCGCGGATTTCTTCAAACTCACAATGCCCATAAAATTGAGGAAGGGGAGTATAGAAAAACTACCGAAGATCGACAAGAGGTTTTTTGCTGGACAAAAACCAGGCAACCAAAAGGCCATGGCCAAGAAAACGGTAGGTTGAATGTCTCAATCCATTAAACGTCGCTGATACATCAACTCCTCCAATCTAGATAGAGTTCTTTGACACGGGTAATTTCACTGGAATACAACTGGTTGATACTTCAAACTACTCAGATCCGAATTCTAAACGTGGCGCAAAGCTTCGTCCGGGCCTATCTTTACGCGATAAATCCACTGTCATCGACCCCAACTCACCGACGCAACTCGGCGAAGCCTCATGTGGCTTCGAGGTCGAGGATACTATGATAGAGATTCTCAGTGACAGGGGTCCCCTTTTCGAACTTGAGACCGATACAGCGCAGCAAGCTCGCGACCAGCTAGCCACCCACGCAGTGGGATTTTGCTCTCGTCAACACAGAACCCATTTATTCTTCGTCTATCTCTACTATCCCTATGCCCGATTGATCCGTTTCGATAGAGCAGGAGCCCTCGTTTCGGAACGATTCAAGTTCACCAACGATTGCACTCCTCTTATTCGGTTCTTTTCGAGGTTATCGAACATGACCCCAGCACAAAGGGGGTGTGACCCTACCGTACGCGTCGCAGATGAGCTTGAGACGAAACTTGCTCGCGAACGCCTCAAGGAATGGGCACCAGACCCAAAGTACGAACGTCCCGTATTCAAAATGGAGGTTTACGACGACCCAAAGGGACTTCCCGGTGATGACACCAAGAAACCCAACCCCCGCACGTTTCTCGTTTGGGGAGCCCTCGCGGATCCAGGATCACCACTCGGGCGAGCGACGTGTGGCTATCCAGCGCTCGAAGTAACTCACGGATTGGACCAGGCTAAGGAGGCTCCAATTATGTTCCTGAAGGAGCAATGGCGTTCCATTGCGCTGCGTCCGGAAATCGTCACCCTTCGGGAACTCAAGGCTAAGGGGGTTAAACACGTCCCCACACTGGAATGCGGAGGCGACCTCCCTGGTCAAGTCACACAGACGGCTACGTACGCTGCTGAGATCCTGTAAGGGCAACCTCAAGATGGCCGACAGCGCAGGCCTAGCAGAGGGAGAATCCAAAGATAATGAATAAGGCTAACTACAATACATGAGAGGGCTGCTCACCTAGCAGAGGGAGAATCCAAAGAGAACAGGATAAGGATTCTCCATGCTAGGAAGCGAAGTATATACTGTAGTAGCGTGAGAGGAATGCAGGATAACTGTACAGTACACCAGCCACAAGTCCGAACAAATATCACAAGGTACAAGGAAACATGTGATAATGAAGTGGAGGGTAAATGCACAGGAGTCGTGCCAGCGACTTGGGGAAGTAAGGGCGAAGAGTAATGAAGCGGGGGAAAAGGATAGAGGTAACCCGGACGAGCCCCGAAGAGTATAGATGAGTCCGAGCGAGTCCGAAGTGTCCGAGCGAGTCCGAAGTGTCCGAAGTGCGGGAAGACTCCGGAGTCACCGGACGCGGCTCGGATGCGAAAGGAGTGGGTGGAAAGGAAGTGGAAAGGAAAGGGAGCGAAAAGGAACGAAGGGGAATGAAGGGAATGTAGGTAAGAGTCCATGGAATGAAGGAAAGGAGAGAAAATAGGAGTGTCCCCTTACAGATCCGAACAAAAGGGGGCAAGGACATCGACACACGTATACATGTGCGGTTCGTCACAGTGGAGGTTGGTCGGCCAATCGAGTGTTTCTCTTCTTCAAGAGAGATGCTTAAGCTGTGCACGACGTGTTTGAAGGTATGTCCCGATCACTCAATTGTCTTTGTCGTTAGAATAATGTAGGTGCGAAGTCGTATTCGCTTGTGTGAATGCGAGGACTGGGAATGGGTGGTGTTCCCACCAAAAGCGAAGTGAGAAGGAACAAAACCGAACGCCACGTGACGAACGGAACGGAGAACGGAACGCAACCAAGCAGCGCCGCGTGCGACTGCTGGACTCGACTCAAACGCAACGCAACGGAGGAAAGGGGAAACTTCTTCTTCTTATTGTAGGTAGATATGTAGGTACTATATATACTTGTACTACATGTAACTAGACATGCAGAATGCGCATGTGTAAGTAAGTAATCTAGTACCTAACATAGAATGCAGCCGCAGCTGATGACGGACCGAAACAAGAAGTAATTGAAACGATAATATACGTACGAAAGATCATATATCCGGGCTCGAACAGGGTGCCAACCCTACAATAACTTACACTATCAGGCCACAAGCAAGCTTATGATAAGTGTAAATTATTGCACCGTGACGTGAGCGGAGGAAACATCTTGCTTGTCAAGGATGGAGGCATTTTGAACGACTGGGATATGGCAGTGAATGTCGAGGAGGTAGAGCGTGGCCCTAGAGCCCACGAACGGACAGTAAGTCCGATGTCGCCACCCGAATGAATTTTCTACTAACGCGCCTTCAGGGTACTTGGGCATTTATGTCTATCGACCTGCTGAGAGGTGAAAGGCGCCCTCACAAGGTCAGCGACGACCTTGAATCCTTCTTCTGGGTAGTGCTCTATTACAGCCTCCTTTACCTACCTCATAACAAGGTTGGTAAGCTGGACGACGTAGTACCCGCTATTTTCGAACAGTATACCTTCTTCGGGCTCGGAGAGACGAAAGGTGGAAATGGCAAGCTTACGGTGATGGAAGGTGATTACATTGGTGATAGTACCTCATCCGGATCCCGCCTGGAATTCGAGAACTGCAAGCCGTTGTCTCGATTTGTCACGACTTTCCTCCGTAAACTAAAACTTCGGAGAGCATACGCCAGCCTCGCGAGCGCTAGCGTTCCTGATGAAGACGGCGATCCATCAGATACCGATCCACCCGACGAGGCCTTACCCCAACTTCCAGCTTCCCCCAAAGAGCACAATCACAAGGACATTGAGCACATCTGGAATGCTGCACTTCGTTCAACATCCTGGCCGATGGAGGACGCAGCAAAATACCAGATCGTGAAGGGAACCGAGGGGCACGCACCGGCAGAAGTTGCTGGAGGTGAGGGCTTGAAGCAGAGTGTCCCCGAATACGATCTCGAGGGCGATGACGGGGAACCCAAACCGACTGGGGGCGGGGGCTCGAAGAAGAGGAAAAGTATCCCCGAAAACGATCTCCAAAGCGATGACGAGGAGCCCAAACTGAAGAAGGTGAAGACCATCACTTTGGAAACAATTGCAGACGGGCCCACAGAACGCAAGTCAAAGAAGATGCCATCCGCGACGAGGAGGAGCACACGCTTACACAAGCGCAGTACAAATTGATGTGTCCGTTGAACTTGGACGACCATGTCCTGCAATATATTTCTACTGCATCAATACTGTAATTTTCATCATACAATGGATTTTATTCACGACTCATCACAAACATTACACCAGCCTACCCTTCCCCACAACTTACCTGATCACTGGCGGCCCGCTAGAGCACGAGCAGCGGAAAATCCGCAAGGTGTCCGACTCCATTGGGAGAGACTTCCAATGCATGGAAGCTGAGCTCTTGTGAACATGACAGCGCCGCTAAAGCAGTGGAGAAGATGCAGAAACACGAAGCAAGCCAACCGACAGGGGAACCTGGATAGGGAACCCCCTGAAGGAAAGCCAACGGATTAGTCTAGGAATAGAGGGGAATTAGGGGGTTGGGGGGAATAAACAGGGCTGCGACAGGGCACGTAGATGCACCAGGTGCAGTTGCTATGTAGATGGGGACTCATACAGATACAAGCCGTGCTGCGTCGCGACATGACGCAGCAAATCTCTGGAATATGGTGTAAGTTAACATTATTCGGAATGGATCCAAACTCCTGCACAGTTTAGTTGAAATGCTTAATAACAGTTCCACGAATCCTTTCCTCTTCAACTCTCTCCTCGGTGGCACTGGGCTTGAGTTCGCTCCTTCCGTACCGAGAGGTCCTTTCTCTTCGCCATTCCTCCATTGTGGGAACCATGTTCGCTTCAAAATACTTTTTGATGCCTTTCTTTTGTAATAGAGGGCTATGGTCTAGAGGCGATAGCCTAACGCTGTCGTTTGCCATAGCGAAATAGAATACCCCAAGGCGTGGGATATTTCGTTGATCAACTGGGGGTTGAATTACCCTTTGAAGTGCCAGTGGAACGAAGGTAAGCATCAGAAAACGCGGATTGGAACGACGTACCTATGTCTAGTCGCAGGATAGTACCCACCCGAGAGATACTCAATTCCGTCACCGACATTGATGACCTACAAGAAGCGTAAATTCAAGTAATTAAATAGTAAGCGAACCTGCTTACGAGCGCATTGTCTATGTGTTTGATCCATCGCCACTTGTTATCTTTGGACAAGATCTGAAGCCCTCCGATAGGCTGGCTATAGAGAATTGTCACAGTTCCGATGTCTTGGTCCGACGTCCAGCATTCAGGACAAAGTGGGTATCGTCTGAGCTATCTGCACTCACCTGTGTGTCCCTTGAGCCAGACATTATTGCCCTCTGGGGCGTCGCACTCTCCCCTAGGGTGACTAAAGATGTGGAGCTCAAGTGCTTTGGCGAATAAAGAAGACAAAACGACGAACTATTTAATGAAGCTAACTGCTTCGAAGTCAATACACGACTGGGCAATAGTACTTAGACTCACTTGCTGACTGACCAGCTGCTTCGAAATCGTGCAGTTTGGTCAGTGTATCTTCAGGTAGCTCCAAGCTCAAGGAAAGCAGCCTGAGATATATTCAGTGTTTTGGGACCATCATGGAAGATCATAGTCCAGGTTGTAGCCCACCGAAGTACAGATTGCAGCACATTGTCGTGGTTGTGCCTTGTAAATGCAGCGAGCTCAGGCAGAAACGGCCTCAGGATCGCGGGATGGTCTTGAGCTGTAACATTGCGATGTACTGTAGAATGGTTAATGGGAAAACATTCCTCATGTTTTCAACATCGAGGGACTTACCAGCATAATTCTCGATCTCGTCGCAGACACCAGGGTACATCATCATCAGATCTCTTTTACACGGGAAGTTCTGACACTCCTTACCCATGCTTTTCTCGGTTTGTATCCTCTATACACCGAAGTGTCTTTGCCAGTGTAGTCTCTCTTCTCTTCGTCTGAAACTAGGTCAAACGTCGCGCTCGCTATATCAAAAACACGCGCTGTCTTACGGAGATGTCACTCGAATAGTAATAAGGCGAGGGCATGCTCCTCACCTGAGCTGACGTATATCCGTGGTTGATGGCATAAAAAAAGCCAACATCCTTGAGGGCCTTGTGTATCTGGAGAGCAAGCTCGGATCGCCCCTCAGGTGTAGATGCCTTCGAGAGATCAATCACTGCGAGGTCAGCGAAGTCCACTGCGCCAAATTTTCAATGGCTGTTGAACTTTCGTAGGCATGGCGAATAAAGAAAGAAAATGAAACGAGACAGATCTTACGTGATCCTTATTTCGGCACCCGGAGAGATGGAATTGGAAGGCACTATGGGCAGCACTGAGTGGTGAGAGCGAGTGTGGGGGGATTGAGGAGGGAAGTATGCAGGCGTGGCAGTATAAACTCCGTGACACTGTCCCTGATGAGTCAAGCCATCACACGATCACGAGTCCGCGTGATTGTACCGCAGGCTAGTGTTGCGGGGGAAACCTATCTCAGAGGTTTGATACCGGTTTCGTACCTTACCTTGTGGCAGAGCGTAGTTAGTAACTTGTAAGTTACTGGTGAAAAACCCAGGTGCCTGTATCACGTGGCCCAACTACAGCCTGAATTTTCGGCGAAGCTTGTCCGAGCTCGACAACTTCGATTTGCCTTCGACGCCATTGTTGTTGCGCGCTGTATAGTATTAAGGACAGTCCAGTCATGAACACACATAGTATATACCGAAGGTATCACCAATTAGATCCAACCACTGCTTGTAAAGTCATTATCATCAGATTCTTCTGCAGCGCCGCTCCCAGAAGCCACATCGTCTGTATTCACCTCTACAATGTTCGTTGGCGGTTCATTAGCAAGCATTTGAGTAAGCAAAAGGGAGGACATATTAACGGCCCCATGGGCAGTAACCAAGATTGTTTCCGGCGCAAGGACTCCAGAAGGCTCATCCAGCCAGGTGTCGTCTTCTTCGGTGTCGTGGAGAGAGGAAGGAACATCATCAGATGTCAGAAATAGCTCTCGTTTAACGGCGCAGAAACCGATACGATCCACTGGGAAACGATTCTGGGATCGACGTGGAACCTGGGGATCGGCGACCCATCATTTCAGCCGTTGCACGCATCAGAAAGGTTATGGCATCAGAGAACACACCTTATGTTTCTTTGCTTGATAATATTGACCTACTTGAGTCATAGCAACCATCGATCCAACTGAGAGGCGGCTTCGGAGAGGAGGAGTAATCCACGTCATTTTCGAGACTGTCCTTTCCTCAGCCATTGAGTTAACACGAATGGCGTAGATTTTCACTGAAAGGTGCTTTGAATCGTAATCACTGTTAGAATATGTTAATATAACAGATGGGGCGTGAACGTACCAGCAGAATCTCTGCGTCACCGTTCCCAACTAAGGATTCCCACCATTTTAGACATGAACGTGGTGCATCATCTTTGAAGACCGCATTGAACGGGTATTGGTTACGAGCATAGGCCATTAGCTCACTAAGTAGCCGTTCCATGAATGGTTGAGCGCGGCCTTTCCATTTTGTAAACGCCAGTTTGTGGCCGTGAAGTATTTCTTGTTCGCCGAGGTGGAGAAGATATTTTGCGACGTCTTCAAACACTTGGGGATTGTGTATCCCAGTTAGTGGGGTTTTGCGTGTGTTAGCCTTGCGATCCGCTTGAGCATTGAATAAGTCGGATCGAAGAAGATCTATAGTCTCGGTGATGAGTGCGTGCTGCAGGCCTATCGAACGAGGAAATACACATACTTGGGTTTAGAAACGTCGCAGCCAAGTATACATCACTGGCACTTTGGCCGTTTTCAAACAGCTGCCGATAGCGTGAGTTGAGAACCCCGGTGACTTCACTCCGAACCTCCTCGGGCAACCTGATTTTCTCCATCCCTTGCATTGTTTCGTGAATTACGGCGTGGAAAAGGAGAAATACATCTGCAGCATTGACTTCTTCGCCTTCAAGACAGGCAATTGCTTTGGTTGTGGGGAGGCCCAGCTTGATGAAGGCCCCGAGGTTGTATTGATACTTGAATGTGTCCATTGATGGTGATTCAACAGTTGGTTGATAGTAATCGCGTAGTCTCTAACGTGTTCAAGTAACATGAGCTCATACTAAAAAATATACCAATAAGGGTGCTGATAGCGTACCTCAAATTCATTACCCTGCATTTTCAATCCTACTTCAGCAATTGCTGGCGCATTCCGTTGTACTGAAATGGCAGATAGAAACAAAGTGCCGAACCGAGTCTTCCCTATGGTTTCGATTCCTCTTCCGATACTGAGGCGTTGGCGAGCACAACGAAGTTCCGCAATGGCACCATGGGAATGGTTGAAAAATGTGATGGTATTCCGGATAATTGTGATAGTCTAGCACCCGAGTAATTAGTCAAAAGATAGCGATCATATAAAAATGAAAGTGTCGAACTTCTTGGAAGTATGCGATCTTCGCGAGGTCTTTTGCTAGTAGATTAAGGTGGTGACAGCAGTCAGCAAGCTTGATTATGGTTGGGAACTCTTGGACGATCAGACGTCTTGCTGCTCTTGTATTTCCGGTACTATCAGACACAATAGCACAGAAGCGAGAGGCACCAATCTCCTGAATTGACTACGAACGGGGAAGTAATCGATTTGTGGTGCTTACATAACATGCCAAGTGACTCACCTTTACTGCCAACGCCTTGATCCATTCTGCTGTATGCGACTCAGATGTCGCTTCTTGTCCATCAACTAGGAAGACTTCGTCCGCCTTTGTCGAGACATGGACGGTCCAAAATGCCTCTTTCCCTCGGCTGGTCCCACCATCGTAAGACATTGTTAAGTCGTCTTGTTGCTTGAGGTATTCCATCTGCTTGTTCTTCACGTATGCTTGCTCACTTGGTATCAACTTGTACTCCAGAGTGTCTCGAGTTGGGAGATTATAGTATGGATCCGCGACTCGCATCAAGTTTGTGAACTCGGGGCGGCTGATGAGATATGTCGGTAGACCAGCAATGCAGAAGAGGATAACTGTAGCGCGGTCCATCTCGAGGTGGCGTTCCTTTCTACGACCACTAATAGCAATCTTCTCAACAATGTTTAGTGCTGGAACAGGGCAATTGACGGCTGTAGATATATGTGAGAAGCCCTCGGGATGGTCCGCAATACTGGTTGCATGCAGGTTATCGAGTCGTTTTGAAGCAGAAGACTTCAACGCTTCTGCCGATGCTAGGCCTCGCAAGGTATGGTCCACCTTGTTGCAGTCTTTGCAGTGACGTGTAATCCGGATTAAGGATCGACGGGATAGGATCCACCCGCAGGAGCCGATGCAGCGCCAATAATTGACCGTCGGATTCACTACTTTGTAGCATTTGACAACAAGCTGATCCAATATGCGATTCGGTGGACGCCCTCCTAGCTTCCGCTGCTTCTTGGTAGGTGGTGCATCTTGCAGATCACTTGGATCAACATGTCCCTCATCGTCTTCATTTTCATCCGCATCCTCCTCAGCTTCGGCAAGTACCTGTTTTGCCTTCGGAATTTGGCACTGAATCACTGGCTGACTTTCGTTAACAAGTTTAGCTTGCTTGCTACTTCGCTTTCGCTTGTTATGGGGTTTCGATGGCTTCGAACTGATAGCTATCTCCTCGACAATCACACCTGACTCGGCGTCCACCAGTGGAGAGTCCTGTGACAGTGTTAGTTCATGCAACAACGTCGGAGATCACTACTCACCATTGCCCAGTCATCGCTCTGAAGGTTGGTTATTACCTTCAAGAATAATTCCACCCTCGCCTCATTGATCTTTGCCTCATTGACGAGAGTGTACAACTGTGGGAGTAAATGATGGCAGAGCGCATTGAAAGCAAGAATGCCACAGGAGTATGCATCCTGTTGTTCCGTACAAGCCATTTCTGCAACACTAATATCATGGTCTCCTAGATGCTGGTTTATCCACCACTGGAGTATATCTCGAAGCTCGGTAGGAAACGTCCCATGGAGAGAATCTCCATATGCCAATGTGCTGGTGGCGCGGCTATATGCAAAAGCTGCCCAATGGTTTCCTGACTCGTATGGCCCTGGTAATGTTGTAGCACCGTCTGGACCTATTGTTGTATTGACGACTCCCCCAACCCATGCTGTCGGCGAAGCACAAAGGCCATCACCAAGAGAGCGTATATAACCTGCATCCTTCGTGGTTGAATAGGAGTCTTTCCCAAAGCGGTATAAGCTTTCAAGCTTTAGAAATAGCAATGGGTCGAGGATAAGGACGTCGGTACGGTCGATTCGCGATGTAAGAATGTTACCGAGTTGTTCAATGTGTGTGTCAGATAGCCAATGGGGACCTAGGTAAATGGATAACCTGTCACGGAGGTTGGTGCTGCCAGGACTTGCTATTGACCACTGCAAGGACCGTACAACACTGGTGGCCGTTAGGAAAACACCTTCATTGCTGCCGCCTTCACTAGCTTTCTCGTCAAGCCATTGCACCCCTTCTCTCCATTCCTTTTGTGCGTCCACAACATCATGCATCCGTCGCCAAAATTCTGTTATCCATAAGGGCAGCCTGATCAAGGTCGTACCTCCCGCATTTTGAACCACCGGATATGTGAACGACTGATACTCTGCGCCTAGGTCTTCTGCCATTCTTCTCCACGCTGTTGTTGTATCCCGGAAAGGAAGGGGTTGACTGCGCAAAATGCTTATATGCTGATGAGACTTGGTTCCTTGTGAAACCCTTCTGGAGACGGCTGTAAGAGCTCGTTGATCGGAGGAGTAAGGAATAGTAATAGATCATGTATCATGATATCCATGTGAGGAAGAAGTTGAGACTCTATGTCAATTGGAATAGTGAAGCGAACCATGGAAGAGGTAGAAAGAATTCAATGAAAAATGACTAATACATGGACATGGCGTGCCTACAATATATCAATACACCTCTGGAAAGGTCCGCTGTGTATATTACTGTGTCCGAATCCCTTTTCGACTTCGGCTCTTGCCCGCCGTCTACCTGGTGCGGTGCAACGCGCCTCTGACGCGGTCCCCCTATAAAATGTACACACGTGATGGGTGACTTACTGCACCCCCTAGTCTTGCTCTTGGTCGACGTTACTTACCGGGTGCTTAACCATTATTAACCGGTGAAAAAGTGTGCCAGTGAAAAACCACAGGTTTGTCCCGCAACACTACCGCAGGCAGCAAGATAGGAACTCTGCCGAAAGAGTATTTAGAGATTGCTAACCATGTTAGTTAAAATGCTTAATAACAGTTCCGTGGATAATTTCCTCTTCGACGCCTTCCTCTGTGACGCTGGGCTTGAGTTGGCTCGTTCCATACCGAGACGTCCTTTCTCTTCGCCACTCCTCCATTGTAGGAGCCTCTCCGTCTGTAAAATACTTTTTGATCCCTTCTCTTTGTAACAGCGGGCTCTGGACCAGGGGCGATAGTTTGACGTCGTCGTTCGCCATGGAAAAATAGAAGACACCAAGACGCGGAATGTTTTGTTGGTCAGCGGGGGGTTGTACGACCCTGTTGGCGAGTAGTATTCAACATCTGCGAGTGCCAAGTATAGCAAATGAGCGATGCTTTACCTATGCTTAGTCGCACGGTAGTAGCCTCCAGATAGGAATTCAATCCCGTTTCCAACGTTCACTACCTATGAAACCTTCTAGTCGTCGGACACAAACTACGAGATAGATTGCTTACAAGAGCGTTGTCGACATGTTTGATCCACCTCCACTTGTTGTCCGGAGATAGGATTTGCAGACCCCCGATAGGTTGACTGTAAAGGATTGTCACGGTTCCAATGTCTACATCGACTATCATTGGATATTCGTTCTGCTAATTGATTACTCACCTGTGTGACCTTTGAGCCAGACATTTTTAGCGAGCACCTCATCGGCGTCTGCCCTGGGATGACTGGAATAGATGAGAATCGTCTCGCCGCACGAAGATCATATACTAATGCCCACTATTTCTGGAACCTCACTGTCTTGCGTTTCAGTGTCACGAAGATATTTCAGGCGAAAGTCTTACTCGACGAATAGCCAGGTGCATCGAACCCATGCATTTTGGTAAATGTATCTTCAGGCAGCTCCAGGCCTTTTGCAAGCAGCCTGAATTGTATTCAGTAGACAAAATAGTACGAGCCAGTCGCAACTGACCGTAAGATAGGGTGGAGTACTTGGTAATGATTTTGCCTTGTAAACGCAGCCAGTTCAGGAATGAAGGGTCGCAGGACTGCTGGATGTTCCTGGGCTACGACGTTACGGTGGACTGGCGGGCGATGAGTAACGGCCAAATGCATAATAACGGAAGAATGGACATACTGGAGTAGTGCTCTATCTCGTCTCGCACACCAGCATCAATCACCTACGATGCGCTGCGTGATTAACCGCTTGTCTTGGGGACACAACGATGCCTACCCATTCTTTCCTGAGTTTGTATCCTTGATACACTGCCTGGTCTTTCCGGGCATACTCCTTTTTCTCTTCGTCGGAAACTTGATCAAATGCTAAGTTCGCGATATCGAAGATGCGAGCCGTCTGTCAAGAGTAATGGCTTCAAGCAATGGAAGAAACACGCCGACGTTTTCCTACCTGAGAGGGACTATATCCGTGGTTGACGACATAGAAGAAGCCAACCTCTGACAACGCCTTGCGTGTCTGCTGAACGAGTTCTGCTTGTCCCTCTAATGTGGAAGCCTTCGAGAGATCAATCACTGCCAAGTCAGCGAAGTCCACTGCCGCCATGAGGAGATGAGCGGTGGCTAGGGATCTTTAACACAAGGTACGTACGATCCTCTGCTGTTGGGGGAGGGGGGATGTACGCTTTCAACGGGGGCGAAATCTGGGCGGGCAACATGGTTGGGTGAGGAAAGTATGGAGCATTGAAGGATGGTATTTATGTGCCAGTTGTGAGCGCTTCGCGAAGTGAGTTGGGTGAGAGCAATTGGACTAACACTGGTCACGCCCACCTTTGATGTCATGATTAGAACCATGCCGTGATAGCAAGTATAGAAGACGTACTACGGATGATCACCAGCCAGAACGACACCAGACCTACAGACTTGGATTCTGATCAGACGGCGCGCAAAAGAGAGTCCGTGAACGGAATCGCTGAATTCAGTACAATACAGGATTGCTTCAGTTGTAGTGCTTCACTACCGTTCCGTGAATTACTTCCTCTTCAACCCCAACTTCTTTCTCACTCGGCTTCAGCTGGCTCTTGCCGTACAGTGCCGTTCTATTTCGTCGCCATTGTTCCATGGTTGGTGCCTCGCCCTCTTCGAAGTATTTTGTGGTTCCGATCCTTTGGAGCACGGGGCTTTCAAGCAAGGGGTTCAATTTCGCATCGTCGTTCGCCATTGAGAAATAGAAGACCCCCAGGCGTGGGATGCTTCGTTGGTCTGCTGGGGGCTGTATTACCCTACACGATCAACTATAAGTTTTGTAAGCGTTCGGCAGAGGAATTGAGCATACCTGTGCCTCGTCGCCTTATAATACCCCCCAGACAAGAATTCGATGGCATCGCCAGCGTTGACTACCTAAAGCGGATATTAACTTTGGAAGCAAGGCGGCAAGCTTAAAGCTTACCAGAGCATTGTCGATATGTTTGATCCATCTCCATTGGTTGTCGCGAGAAAGTATTTGCAGTCCTCCGATTGGCTGGCTGTAGAGAATAGTGATAGACCCAATATCTGCGTCGATATCATAATATAGTCAGAAATTGATTACGTTCGGGAACATACCTGCATGGCCCTTGAGCCATACACTTTTCGTTAATTCTTCTTCGGTCGCCTCACGGGGATGACTGTAGAGACCGTCGATATCAAGTCCCTGGAGTCTGGACATGGAACATACTATTTCATGAACCTAACTAGGAAAGGTTGAATGTCGAATTCCGAAAAGGGGATATGAAAGCTTACCAGAGGATTCTCCTGCGGCTTGAAACTCATGTAATTTTGTTAGGGTATCCTCGGGTAACTCGAGGCCTATGGCCATTAATCTGTATCTTAGTCAAGATCAGAAAGCAATGCAATGCTGAGTCTGCGTGCCTGAGTATGGGATACAGTACATTTGAGTGGTTGTGGTTCGCGAAGGCTGCAATTTCGGGGATAAAGGGTCTGAGAGCTTGGGGGTGTGATTGGGTGACGACATGTCGATTGACTATATGATACCGGTCGTGTGAGCGTTGGCACGAGGAAGGGTGGGGATGGGGTAGCTACTGTTATAATGTTCAATGGCGTCACGAACGCCTGAAGCGATATGCTGGGATATCATGAGTTCATCAAGGAGAAAATACACTGTCTCACGCACCCAATCATTCATCGGCTTGTAACCAGTATAAACCCCTACCTCCTTCTGTGTATATTCTTGTTTTTCTTCGTCAGAGACCGAATCGAAAGTGGCGTTCGCTATGTCGAAGATCCTGGAGGTCTATGTTAAGATTAGCTCAGCCTCGATAACTGATAAGCTCGTACTTTTGCGCTCGTGTATCCATGATTGATGATATAGAAGAAGCCGACTTCTGTCAATGCTTCGCATACCTGACGGGACAGTTCAGCGCGCCCCTCTGGAGTGGTCGCTTTGGACAGATCAATTATCGCGAGATCGGCGTATTCCACTACAAACGGGTGAGGATTGCGTCCCGTTTCGAATGTCGCTACATACAGTTTTCCTTGGAAGGCGGCGGTGGAACATAATGAGGGAGGGGCTTTTCGACGACGAGCATAGCAAGAGAGGGAATACCTGCTTCAGAATGAAGATGTTACATTTATAGCGAGGCCACTGGAGTCCATGCTATCGATATCGACGTGGGAAGCGTAGAAAGTAGTTAGTGCTGTGGTTCTCGGCAACTAGTGCACATGGAGGCGGTCTCGTGATCAACGAGTGCAGTCAAGTAGAATTGAAGTCGAAGCAAGTGGAGTCAAGTGCAAGTCAAGTGTTCTCGCGACTCCCAACTTCTTGACCTTCACACCCTTAACGATACAAGCTATTCTCACCATGGTGGGCAAAGTGCTGAATCCCTCTCACCTTATCTGCACTCGGGTTTGAACGGCAACAGTACCCGTTCTGACACTACTGACGACGTCGCACTAAGCGAGTACGATGGTAAGTGGTGGGCAAAATGTCGGCATAAAGCCACGAGTACGAGAAGGTGGCGGATCGAAATTGAGGACGCAATGGCTCAAGCGAGCAGAAGCCACGGCCTCGGCAGGTAATGTGTCCGAACTCGAGGTACCCGTCACATATACGTCTTCGATAATTGGTAAGGCTTCGTTCCCGCGTACACGAGGATAGCAAAACCATGAGCACTAGCTTGAAGAATGATCCAGGGTGCCGATCTTGGCGCCGTCGGATGGTATCGCAATATAGGCGGAAGCAGAACACCGGAGGAAAGCGTGGTTGCTCTCGGAACGATTAGCAGACGGATTCGCTTCTCGCACCCATGGAGAGGTAACCAACGTGGAAGTAAGAACTAGTGGCTTAACGCTCCAAGGTCCTGAACCCGCCAAGAGAGGTCTGCAACTTTGAATTCTATACGGCTTTCACATTCTTACGCTAAAGTATTGTAGTCATAGCGGGGCGCAGCAATGAGTGTCTGTTCCTGGATCCACCTTGGTTGAAACTCACCAAGTTATTGATTCACCAGTATCGTTCGTTAGCGGAAACGCTGAATTAGTATCGTACCAGGCGGTATACGGTACGGTAGGACACTACTTGTTCCTTTAAGTGATCCGATAACAAAGAAGGCCGTGCACACCACATATTTGGATGGTCTTCAAGTCGTCAGTGCTTTCATCCTGATGCCTTTCAACATTAAGATCGCGCGATTTTTGACACCGCTTGATCTGATCTTTCGCCCTCGGCGTCCTGGGTCCATCGTTCGAACTTTAGAGGCTGCTCGGAGTTTTGCTGCATTTGGTTCCGAGTACTAAGCGGCCATCAGTGACTACATCATATGCACCAGTCCGCAAGAGAAACCGGATCTTACGCAGTGCAGAAAGGATATTTTGAGGATAATTTAAATATCCGTCGGTCGGCTCCGAGCACCTATGGTCAAGCTATGTACGACTTTGTCAGCGGTACTGATTTGAGGTCACGACATTTCACCCACTGCGATGCTCCTGAGCGACGTCGGCCTACGCAGATCTAGGCAATGTTAAACAGTAGAGGGGTTTCCTTTTTTTTATGTCACCGTAATCCCCAAGGCTATAGGTTGATTATCCCAGTAGACAAATCAACCGATCACTAGAATGATCAACACCGCTTGACTTCCTCGTCCCCTCGTGGCATTCGGAGTTCAACGCGTAGAGCCCCTTCAACAATATTGAGAATGACTCGTAACCAGTGGTGTGTCTCGGAGTTTTCTGGTCTACAGTCAGTACGTGTATCATGAGCGCTCATATGCAGGAATTATGGGTCTCACCAAGTGTATTGAGGAGATTCAAAAACACCAAGCCACTCGTTTGTTTGACAGCAGCCCCGCCGCTGGATCCGTCTGGGTATTTCCAACATTGCCAGTTCAAAGTAAATCACTTATAGAAAAGTTCGCGTGTCTGCGCGCTCAAATTGGGTGGACTAGATTGAAATCAGATTCGAACGAAATGGTGGAAGAAGTGAATAGCTCAAGTTGTTTTCAAGTCGTGTTGACGCGTCGACGCCGAAGTACCGCAGAACTCCCACGGTTCAGGGGCAACCCATTTCCCCCTCCAAACTGTCTGGCCTCCGAACGCCACAATCCAGACGAGTCCGGGGCAGCGCTCATGGATCCCCACAGCTCCCCATAGCTGTGGGGCTCCGCATCCGCCGATTTTACGGGTGTTTTACCAGCAGCTAAGCCAACGAGTATCGATTGCGTCTGATTGTCAAGATGGCTGGGGAACTAAACTGCTTCCCGACATCAATCTACTTTTGTAATCTATCCACGAGAAATGTCTGATTTGTAAAAGGAGTTCCACGTTCGCCGCCAGAAATACCTTACGTGCGCACCGAATGGCCGACTATGGATCAATGACGGGCATGCCGTCCCCGGGGTAACTCTGTAGACATTGGCAGCGAGCGGCAGACGCGATCGGGAGTCGAACACGATCAATTCTTCGACAGCAAATAACATGGCTTCCGTTATTATGGTTCCGTTCACTCTCCAATCAGCGTGTTCCCCTTCGCATTTGGGGAGCAGTGCCTCGGGAAGTATGGTGGCTTTAATTCAAGTCTGGTTGGCTTTCTCAGAGACATGCCTTGATCTCCGTTTAGTGACTATCTCTTGGCAGAGCTGCGGTCGTAGATACGGGTCATCTTTCCATATGACATGCATGGGAGTCGCTCTCGGCATCCAGAGGATGGATCGGGATGCCCTGGTGTCCCGCTCCTTCCGGAATATCCTGAACTCCTCCTGTACCTGTCTCAGTCGGAGGGGCGGGACCGCTGCTGGGTTATCGAAGGGCCTCCGAGCCTTGACGATGAACGTTTTCAGATATTCATCTCGATGGGCTTAATGATATACCATCCGCTAAGCTTTCTGCTCTGAAGCGAATCTACGCGAGTAACTTTTCAACCGATTTGCTAGCGTAGCCGCCTTTGCTCCGCAGAGGAAAAATCGTTGACGATAAGGTATGCAAACCCCCTAGACGAAAGCAAATGAATTCTGGAAAACTGAGTTGCATCTGTGCCATCACAGCAATCAACAACAGTGGGACCAGAGCTCTCCAGATTGTCTAGGCAAAATCAAACGGAGTCTCCTTTCCCCATCCACAGCCGATGAACGGCGTCAGGGGCTAAATCTTACCCCACAACTTCCAGGGTCCGGTCACACGATTATTGTCAAATCAGGAGTGTATCCCCGAAGCAATCAGTTACGACTGAACCCAGCCAGAAGCTTTAAAGCACCCAATCACTGCATCAATATCATCTTCAACCCCCATTCCCCTTCCACCCACACTCCACGAAATTATGGCTGAAGCCCCCGAAGCTATCCCAATCCACCCTGTTGCATCTAGGATCCTCAAGGGCCGCAAGAAGCCTCATGTCGGCCCTCATTTCCATGCGTACAAGCAGGCTCACGAAGAGACTGTTGGCCATGAATCCGATGAGTGGTGGGCGAAGGTGAGCGCTATAGGTTGTTCGTGAGAGGGTCCCGAACAGTCGTTGATGAAGTCTACAGACCGCCAGAGATACCCTTCATTGGGATCGTCCATTCCGCACTGTCAGATCCGGAGGCTTCGAGACGGGCGATATCACCTGGTTCCCTGAGGGGGGGTTGAATGCCTCTTACAATTGCGTTGATCGATGGGCCTTCAAGCACCCTAACAAGGCACGTACACCTAGGCCTGGTTTACGGAACTGATCGTTAACAATGTCTTGCTCTCATAGACCGCCATCATCTACGAGGCTGATGAGCCTGGTGAGGGTCGCGAAGTTACCTACTCTGAGCTCCTACGTGAAGTGTGCAGCGTCGCCAATGTCTTGAAGTCTATGGGAGTCAAGAAGGGCGACACCGTATCTGTTTACCTCCCCATGACTTGGCACGCCGTCGCCGCTTTCCTTGCCTGTGCCCGTATTGGTGCTGTTCACTCGGTTGTCTTCGCTGGATTTTCCGCCGAGTCTCTCCGTGACCGTGCCCAAGACTGCAAGTCCCGCGTTCTTATCACCGCCGACGAGGGTCGTCGGGGAGGCAAGACCGTCGCGACCAAGGCAATCGTTGACGCAGCTCTCAAGGAGTGCCCACTTGTTGAGCATGTCCTCGTCCTCCGGCGTACTGGTAACGAGGTTCCTTTCACCCCTGGCCGCGACAAATGGTGGCATGAGGAGACGCTCAAGGTCCCTAACTACTGCCCTCCTGAGATCATGGCCTCGGAAGACCCTCTCTTCATTCTCTACGTGAGTGGCGACCTCTCTCTGCATATCCCCCGCTGAATCATGGTTACTTCAGACTTCTGGATCCACTGGAAAGCCCAAGGGTGTGGTGCATACTACCGGAGGATACCTCCTCTGCGCCGCCCTCACTGTCAAATACGTCTTCGACGTTCACCCAGATGACAAGTTCGCGTGCATGGCTGATATCGGCTGGATCACAGGGCACACGTACGTTCTTAGCATGCAACCATCGCGTTTCAAGGCGAATTCTAACCCAATCATAGTTACATCGTCTATGGTCCCTTAGCCAACGGTGTCTCCACCATGGTCTTCGAATCTACCCCAGTCTACCCTTCGCCATCACGCTATTGGGAAACCGTCGAGAAGCACAAACTTACACAATTCTACTCTGCGCCCACGGCTATCCGTTTACTTCGTCGTCTCGGCTCTCACCACGTCGAGAAGCACGATCTTAGCAGTCTCCGTGTGCTGGGTAGTGTCGGAGAACCAATCAATCCAGAGGCATGGAATTGGTATAACGAGCACGTAGGAAAAATGGAGTGCGCCATCGTGGACACATTCTGGTGAGTACTTCACTCGGCATTTTGGAGTGACTATGTCATACTCACTTCCTTGAAGGCAAACGGAAACGGGATCTATTGTCGTCACTCCCTTCCCTGGTGCGATCGAAACTAAGCCGGGCGCCGCCACCGTGCCTTTCTTTGGTATTGAAACTGCGATCTTGGATCCGGTTTCTGGGAAGGTAAGAACCACACCCTGCTTCGAAGGTTGGGAAGCTTACCCATGCCACGATCGCGTTACAGGAACTCGAAGGCAACAACGTGGAGGGCGTGCTCGCGCTGAAGAACCCGTGGCCATCAATCGCTCGCACGATCTACGAAGACCATAACAGGTATCTCGATACTTACATGAAGGTTCGTTAACCGCTTTGTCTTCTACTCTACTTCCCTGACGCTTGCCTGACTATAGCCATATCCCGGATACTTCTACACTGGTGACGGAGCAGCGCGTGACGAACATGGCTATATCTGGATCAAGGGGCGTATTGACGGTACGATCACTCCATTCTGTCTAGTATCGAATTTTGGTCTGATCCTGCTAATATAGATGTCATTAATGTTTCTGGCCATCGTCTCTCAACCGCCGAGATTGAGTCCGCCCTCATCCTCCATAAGGGAGTTGCCGAGACTGCCGTCATTGGCACCCCAGACGATTTAACGGGCCAAGCAGTCTACGCCTTCGTCACTCTGAAGCCGTAAGTCTCCTCATCCCCGATGTCTGTTTTGTTTTCTCACAATCTTACTTCAATAGCGAATTCTCTTACGATCCCAATGATGAGAATGCGTTGGTGAAGGAGCTCGTTCTCCAAGTTCGCAAAACCATTGGTCCCTTCGCTGCACCCAAGAAGATCTACATTGTCAGCGACTTGCCCAAGACTCGCTCCGGAAAGATCATGCGCCGTATCATGCGCAAGATCGTCGCTGGCGAAGGCGATCAACTGGGCGATCTCAGCACCGTCGCCGAGCCGGGCGTTGTCGACGTCATCAAGAAGAAGGTCGCCGAGAGTGCCTAAATCTGTCCCGAAAAGTTGTCTTTGTAACCCATCGGTCAGCATGGACTCTTCCCTTTTACTCTTGTACGGTAGAAAATGGTGTACGCTGTATGTTATGGTTATGTCTTGTCACAATATATTTATGAATCATAAATACTTCCTTCTGCTCCCTCGCTGGGCCTCTTCTGAAAGTAGGCTCCAGGCGTAGGTAACAGCACGATCAATGAAATCTTTACTCTTTGCCGCGATTTCATTGATGCTGTCTTTAACTTACTGGTCAGCACACACTGAATTGGTTAGCTCCGCCTTCGCAAAGAAAACCAACACCTCATAGAGAAATCATGCAAACAAAAATGTATCGGAATAGAAAGATAATATGCAGTTAGAAGGCATGGCTACCATATCGCCCCTCAGACGGCGTTGATTCTGAGAAAGTTGACATGAGTGGGAAAACGTCCATATGGTAAGGCACATACGCATTAGCACCAATAACTTGGTCCGCTAGTGTCTGGGGCTTAATGCCAGGTAGGGAGCATACCAAGTCTGCTCGTCGTCCAAAAAAATTTGCTTTCGTACGAAACCCCTCCGAGCGTTTGCCTGCTCACCGAAACATTTCTAGGCAGGCCAGAACCACTCAGACACGTCAACCCCCATAATAATGCGTCAATCAGCTTGAAAAGATTGTACTGTTTGCTAAATAGGGTTTATGTCGGCTTTAAAGAGGTCAAAGGAAGCATCGGGGCCTGCGTTGACGTCAAATCCAGCCGTATTCGCGCCGGAATCCACATCCGCCTGGGAAGTTGATACAGGATTCGATGGTGATGGCTCGAAAGTTGTAGAAGGTGCATCGGTGACTCCAGGACCAGTCGTTGTGAAAACAGATGCTGGGGGCGAAGTTGGTAGAAAGGAAGAAGTTTTTGAAGCCGAAGAAACGGAGGGACTGAGAGCAGAAGTTAAGGTAGAGGATGTACTTCCGATCGTCGAAATGGTAGTAGTAATAGCTGCCTCGATAATGCCAGAGTGCTGGGTCTGAGCGGACGACTCAATGGAGGTGGGGACACTGCCAGCTGGCTCCTGCGATGTGTTTGGCGGTAAAGCAGCAACTTGCCAGGCCACGTTTTGTTTTTCGGGACGTTCAGTCGGTACCCCACACAGTGTATTTAGGAATCAAACACCACTGAGATAGGTTGATCTTACTTGCTGTAATTAAGACTGTGCAGAAGAGCGCCGACCCGAAGTACGTTGCCAAAACGACATGTTAGAAAGTCTTGCACCAGAGGGAAGATCATCGCTGAGAATCGTCGTTGTTTGCCTTCCAGGGAATAGATTTGGCCTAAGACTGGCCCAGGGTAGTTCGGCAGTAGATTGCGCTTCGGTCGACTAAACACCCCGGTCTACAGCTCAAAGGGTCACTGTTGAACCCGAATGTACTGTGGGTGATTTGTCGTGGAATATCCAAGTCTGAGAAAGTCAACCGAGTTGAACGTGACTGCCTGGCGGTCATTTAGGTTGTGGGCGGCGGAGGTTAAAAATCACTTGAACTGGTGCGATGAAAAACGAGTTCCACTAATGGTCGGTGCGAGTGAGTCCTTATTACCATTTAAGCGGCTTATTCTTCCTTTGTCATGGCTTGTAGGAAGGTTCATCAAGCCCACTCAGTTTCTCTTGAGTCGTACTCACAGCTTGCTAGTTAAAACTCAAGAGTCCACTAGGGTTGCTTCTAGGATTTTCTCGACGTTTAGACATTCAGCGCTGGGGGAGGGCTCCGTCTCTGTTACCACAGAAAAATCAGTTCCGCTCTGTCGCGGTTGACACCTCTAGGTCGTCCACGTATGTTTCGCGAGCAGATACATTGAAACAACTCTCGATCAAATCAGGCAGAGGCAGGAGTCTCGGGAATTCCTTTGCAAGCACGACCGTGATCGGCAATATCCACCTTCACGACACTCAAGGTCTTTTCGAATCCTTTCATCCTTGTGGTCATCTTCTCCACTTCGTCCGGCGTAATGCCTGGGAGTGCTAGGCGTAGCCGCACGAGGTCGAGTTGTCCGGGTGCTTCTCTACTCGTTGCCGCTTCGTCAATTTCACGGATTCTTGCGTGGAGATAATCGTCCTTGGAAAGAAGGACAGGTATTTGCGCCGTCATATCGATGTATACGGTTCCCAGGGAAAGGGTGTGGTTCGCGGAGGTTGACAAATCGCTGACGAGGCTCGTGAGCCATCTTATTTGATCCGTGTAGAGCCCTGAGACTTGAAGGGTTTGTAGAGAGTGGTTATGTGTGGTGATTGGGAACGGGAAGGCATCTCGGTGATCCCCTGGGAGGAGAAAGAGGTTAGATATAGAACACGTCTACCGCGGCAAAAGGACTACTCACACCTAAAGAGAAAGGGCTCGAAGCGTAGGTATTCAAGGGAGGTGCATGCTTTCACGAGTTTGTTGAGAGGATCCACGGATATTCTGTCGCAATACAGCTTGAGTGACTTCAAGCGCTGGGTATGTTTCGCTTCCCGGGGATGCATGATCCACGCCACGAGGCGAGTCGTAGGTTGCCCGAACGCCAGGATGGAGAGTGTATCCACTTTCCTATCAACATCGGCCACGGCCCCACTGCTGCCCGAATTTGGGTCCACCCCATCTCCGTGAACTTTCACTCTGTCCAACACCAATTTCTTCGTCTCGGGTCCCACGAACTTCGTCCACGGTACATGTGTTGGGATGTAGCATTCGACAAGGGACACGTCTTGAACTGATCGCAGGGATAGAACGCGTAACAGGGCGTGTTGTAGTGGAGAAGTGATATACTGCCATTCAACGTTATGGAGTTGTACTTCCACCAAGGTAGCGGATGAAACCAGCCTTTCGAGTAGGGTGAGCAGGCCCAGCGATTCGCGCAAAAGCCACGGGGCGGCACCCTCGCGAATGATCAGCGAGCGCGTATATGGTAGAAGGTGCGAAGAGGTGCTAAGAAGGGTGGAGATGCGATCGTCGAAACCGAGTTGCAGGTTCGGAGCGCGTATGTGGGTCGTCGATGCCTTAGGTTGCAAAGTTACTCGCTGATGGAGGTGGAATTGGGCAGCCGGGCGCAAGGTTGATGAGACGAGGGAACATGCTCTGAGCGTTTCTGGCTGGTCATGAGCGTGATCGATGACAATGTCGATCAGTTCTTGAGGGAGGAAAGTCATGTTCTGGTGGATGAGCTTTGTTGGAGGATTTATATGTCAGGAGCAAGGTGGGGACCCTTCACAGCTTCTTCCCCTTACGTACTATCTTATTTGGCCTAATGGGAATGATGTATCTTCTCCACTGCGGCTGCCTTAGCGGCATCGTTCATGTGCATGCGTCCCCAAGATCTCAGCTTTTAGCATTATGAGTGGTAGTCTCTCCCAACGGAGTCGGACACCTTCAGCCTACAGATTATCCGCTGTTTGGCGGGCCGCCAGTTGTCACGTAAATCAAGCGAAGGGCAGGCCAGTATTGCAGAGTGTAGCATCTATTCAATGATGAGTTGTGAATCCATTGTGCGATAATAATACAAGAGTGATGCAGTAAACATATGTTACAGGACGTGATCATCTAACGGACGCATTAGGGCATCAGTTAGTGCTGCCCATGTGTAACCGTGTGCTCCTCCTCGTTGCGACGGATGGCATCTTCTTCGACGACTTGCGTTCTTTGGGCCCGTGTGAAAGTGCTTCCGAGGTGATGCTCTTCACCTTCTTCGGTTTGGGATCCTCGTCATTGCTTTCGAGGTCGCTCTCGTCAATACTTTTCCTCTTCTTCGACCCACAGCCTCCAGTACCTTCCACAGGAGCTTGTCCGGTGGCTCTCTGGGGTTTCTTCACGAGCTGTAATTTGGCAGCGTCGTTCGTCGGCCAGCATGAACGAAGCGTAGTATCCCAAATGTACTCCATATCCTTGTGTTTATGTTCCTCGAAAGAAGGGGGGTTAGGCAAATTCTCGTCGAGGATGATATCTGCATTGGCAGCATGGAGGGCTAGACGAGCTTGTGACCTCCAATGATTCAGCTTGTGGAGGATTGAGGCCACGAATTTGGTCAATGGCATGCATGCATCGAATTCCAAGCGTGGCGAGTGGCGACCACCGATGTAATTTCCTTCTGTCACCGCAACGGATTTCCCTGTTCCGCCTTTAGCCTCCTCGTAGTAGGAATATTGATCGAAAATGGCTGGGATGATGAGACCAAGCTGACTGGTCTTATTGTGGGGGAGGTAGAGGAGGCTATAGTATAGTACCACCCAGAAGAAAGATTCTAGATCATCGCTGACTTTGTGGGCACGCCTTGCGCCATCAAGGAGATCAATGGACATGAAAGCCCAAGTACCCTGCAACATTGTAAGTAAAAGCGTTGATTCAGGTGGCAACGCAAGACCCACCGTCCGTTCATAGGCTCTAGGGCCACGCTCAACTTCCTCGACCTTCACAGCCATATCCCAGTCGTTAAGCAGGCCTCCTCCTTTGGGGAGGATCAAGATATTTCCACCGCTGACGTCGCGATGCAGTATTCCACACACTTCGAACGCCTGCTTGTGACCTAAGAATAAATCAGCAAACGGAAAGTAGAATGAGCACCTGGGATATACCTTGGAATGCATCATGGATGGCTTGGAACATCTCATTTGATGAAGAGAAGCACTCGAGCGGCCGACCCACTTCCTGTACTACGAAGCGAACGTGGGCCCGTTGATCAATAGGCTTGCCTCCTGTTCTACCGATCTCATTGGCAAAGACGTCCGTTTGTGTGACTTGGCCCGGAAGATCGCCTCCGCAGACGATTGTCGGGACGTGTTTGATTCCATGTTTGTTGAGCTCCCGAAGTATGGCCATTTCACCTCGTTCTATAGCTTTCGAACGCCATTGCTCCTTTAGGAACATGATCGGAGCGTCCTTCGCCTTCTCCAATCCGTCGGTAACTTCCAGTGCTGGATATCCGCGCGTCGCTCGGCCGAGTGGTGATTCCGGATCGGCGAGGGCTCCCCAAACGAGAAACTTGCGGGGGTTCGGCTTCTTGGCGCCATTGTCGCCGCCAGCTTGCTTTTGATCTTCGTAAACCTCCATCTTGAACACGGGGCGTTCGTACTTTGGATCTGGCGCCCATTCCTTAAGACGTTCGAGACCGAGTTTCGTCTCAAGTTCGTCTGCGGTTTGGACGGTAGGGTCATACCCCCTTTGAACTGAGGTCATCTTCGAGAACCTCGAAAAGAACCGAATAAGAGGAGTGCAATCGTGGGTGAAATTAAACCGTGCCGAAACGAGGGCTCCCGCTCTATCGAAGCGGATCAATCGGGCACAGGGATAGTATATGTAGAGGAAGAATAAGTGGGTTCGGTGTTGACGAGCGCAAAATTCCACTGCGTAAGTTGCTAACTGGCCGCGAGCTTGCTGTGCTGTAAACGTTTCGAGCTCGAAAAGGGGACCCACGTCGCTGAACATCTCCACGAGAGTGTCCTTAACCTCCCCGCCGCAGAGGGGATTGTCGAGTTGCGTAGGTGAGTTGGGGTCGATGACGTCCTGTTTATCACGGACAGATAGGTCGGGTCGAAGCTTCGCGCCACTTTTGGAGTTTGGATCCGGGTGGGCTGAAGTATCGACTATTTGTATTTCAGGGAAATTATCTGTGCCAACGAACTCTATCTAGAGTAATAGAGTTTATGTATCAGCGTCATTGAACGGATTTATTATAGACATTGACCTACAAATGTCTTGGTAATAGCCCTTTCGTTGGCCGGTTTCTTTCCAGCAAAGAACCTTTTGTTGATCTTTGGTAGTTTCTCTTCACTCCCCTTCTTCAATTCGATGGGCATCGTGAGTTCAAAGAAATCGGCGACCTTGCATGGGCCGACCCAGCGTCCTGAAATTTCCCCACACATCGCTTCTCTCTTCCATTCAGCGCGTATGAGGTCTACCGCTTGCGTGGGGAGTGCCTTACACCTGAAGCGACACGGTGTGAGCGAGTGATGATTCATTGAAAGACAGAGGGAATACTTTATATACACGTAATTATGGCCACAAGATGTGGATTTGTGGCTTGCGGAAACCTGGTAGGTGGTGGTCACACTTTAAGCAATATTGTAGCTTGTCGAGCTACAGGGTCAGCGAACAGAGCACACGTGATCGCGAGTTTATCGCCTTTCTCGTCCCTCCTAAAGCGGAGCTTAAAGCTTAAAGCTTCGTGGCCTTTGAGTCCACATATTTGCTTGCGTAGTACTTTTGTAGGTTGCACTCTCCTGCATATATGTGGCATACAAGGGTCTATCTATGCCGCAGCTCGACGCTCTGCTCTTCTTTTTATCTATCTTTGTGATCAGCAGATTTGTTTTCCGTTCCTCCAATCTGTGGACCCCGGGCCAGTCGTAGGTTTCTCAGAGGGAGGAAACTTGACAAGGTGGATTCACTTTGTTGGAGGATTTATATGTCAGGTGTGCAATGTGGGACCCTTCACACTTTCTTCCCTTTATGTACGTACTATCTTATCTGACCTAACGGGAATATTCTCCACTGCGGCTGCTTTGGCGGTGTTGTTCATATGCATCCGCTCTGTCTGAGGGTCACGGTCTCCCAACAGAGTCAATCGGACACACCAGCCATGGTCTCCCTGCTATTGCATATAACTATTGCGGTCGTTTCATATAATAAAAGCACATGGAAGGGGAAGTTTATACATATAGTCTCAACCATGACATAAGCGTGAACTTCTCCTGGTCCTGGCAGAGGAGATCTTCGTCCTGCTCTGAGTCTTTGTTTTTTTCGATTTATGCTCCTCAGCGTCGCCTTCGGGTTCTTGCTGGGCTGTACTTTTTCTTTTTGATCCCCTGGCACCAGTCCCGCCCTCGGATTTCTTCATATACTGCAATACCGCTTTGTCGCCCGTCGGCCAGGGGAGGGCAAGTGTACCTTCCCATATATGTATCACATCCTTGTGCGTACGCTCTGGTACTTCTGGGATCGAAAGAGTAGTCGGGCCAAAAATTCTTGACTGGTATTGTGCAGCGGAAGCACCCAGTTTTATTGACTTCCACGCCGCCATACAAGAAAGCATGGCTTTCACGAATTCTGTCAGAGGGGTGCTGGGCGTAAACTCCAGGCAAGGCTCCCCTTCATGGCCAATGTACTTCCCCCCCACCACGGCATTTTTCCCGTCGCCTCCTTTTGCCTGGGTGGAGTAGGTATACTGCTCGAAGACTGCGGGGATAATTTCTGTGAGTTCGTCGGCCTTATTGTGGGCGAGGTAGAGAAGGCTGTAGTATAGTACTACCCAGAAGAATGATTCCATGTCGTCGCTGACTTTGTGGAGACATTTCTTGCCGCTCAATAGATCGATAGACATAAAAGCCCAGGTACCCTATATGAAGGTAAGAATGATGTTTAATCGGTGGAGACATGAGACTTACCGTCCGTTCATGGGCTCTAGGCCCGAGCTTGGCTTCCTCGATCTTCACCGCCATGTCCCAATCGTTGAGCAGGCCTCCCCCCTTTGGTAGGATCAAGATATTTCCACCGCTGACGTCGCGATGCAGTATCCCACACACTTCGAACGCCTGCTTGTGACCTAAGAATAAATCAGCAAACGGAAAGTAGAATGAGCACCTGGGATATACCTTGGAATGCATCATGGACGGCTTGGAACATCTCCTTTGATGAAGAAAAGCACTCGAGCGGCCGACCCACTTCCTGTACTACGAAGCGAACATGGGCCCGTTGATCAATAGGCTTGCCTCCTGTTCTACCGATCTCATTGGCAAAGACGTCCGTTTGTGTGACTTGGCCCGGAAGATCGCCTCCGCAGACGAATGTCGGGACGTGCCTGATTTCATGTTTGTTAAGTTCCCGAAGTAAGGCAATTTCACCTCGTTCTATGGCTTTTGAACGCCATTGTTCCTTCAGGAACATGATCGGAACGTCCTTGGCCTTCTCCAATCCGTCGGTAACTTCCAGTGCTGGATATCCGCGCGTCGCGCGGCCGAGTGGTGATTCTGGATCGGCGAGAGATCCCCAAACAAGGAACTTTCGTGGCTTCGGTGTCTCCTTAATGTCGTTGTCGGCAGCCTGGATTGTCTTCGGACCGACATCGGCGTCATTGACGCAGACTTCTGCCTTGATTTGTGGCTTGTCGTGGTGTTCTACTTGTTCTTCCACCTTGTCGTCGTAAACATCCATCTTGAACACAGGACGTTCGTGCTTCGGTTCCCATTCTTTGAGGCGTTCTTGGGCGAGCTTAGTCTCTTCATCGCTGGCAAGCGTAACCGTGGCATCGTACCCCCTTTGAGCGTCGGTCATCTTAGAGAACCTCGAATAGAATCGGATAAGTGGTGTGCAATCCTGAGAGAGATCAAATTTCGTCGAAACGAGGGCGCCGCATCTATCAAATCGAATGAAGCGGGCATGGGGGAAGTAGATATAGACAAGAAACAAGTGGGTCCGGTGTTGGCGAGCGCAATATTCCACGGCGTATGTCGCGAGCTGCCCTCGGGCATCTCGTGCCTCGTCGGTGTCAATTTCGAAACTCACACCCAGCTTCTTGGCGAGATCGTTGAATAATTCTAAGAACCAGTTTTTGAGTTCCGCAGGAGAGAGCGCGCTGCCGAGACGGGTAGGAGTAGCGACGGTGACAGAGGCGTCGTCGGTTTTGTGGATGCCCACGTCTGGCTTGACCTTTGAGCCAGCTTTGGAGTCTGGGTCCGCGTGCCGAGAACTATTCATAATCTTAAGACCCTCAAAGTGAGATTCTTCCGGGGTTTTCATGAAGAAACTAGCCTGTAAATGTTCATGCATCAGCTTGTGCAACCCCATGATATAGATGTCAACCCACGACTTCATCGTACACTTCATCTTCGTTGCCTGGCTTCTTGCCAGCGAAGAATTTTCGGTCGATATTTGGTAGCTCCTCGACTTCCCCTTCCTTCAAGTCCAGGGGCATCGTGAGTTCGAAGAAGTCGTCGACTTCACAGGGGCCGACCCAGTATCCTGACATTTCTAGGCACATTCCGGCTCTCTTCTTTTTGAAGTCGTCCGGGTCTAGGGTTTGGGTTTGGATAAGTCCTGAATACTTCCTAGAGACAGGGGTAGCTTGGACGAGGGCCGGGTCGATGGTTCGCTTGCGTGGGGGCGAGACTAGTGCTTCGACTTCCTGAGTTAACATGGTGTGAATGAGTAATGATTCATTGGAGGACGGGAGACATACCCTATATACGCGTAATTATGGCCACAAATATGGATTGTGGCTCGCAGAAACCTCAAGTGGTAGCTATAGGTGGTGGTCGAATTCAAGCAGTATTGTGGCTTGAGCGACGAACAATGTAAGATCACACGTGATCGCGACTTTATTGCCTTTCTTGTCTCTTTTCTAAAGCGGAGCTTGAAACTTCATGGCCTTCAACAACGAACCCAAAGTACTACGCAAGCAAATGGGCTCCTGGATATGTGTGGCATACAAAGGGCCCACATATATCATAGCTCGATGCATCGTTCTCCCTTTGTGCCATTTGATCTATCATTGTGATCAGCTTTCCGTTCCTATAATCTGTGGACCAATGTCGTTTGACTGATGGGTTTATTGCTACTCATGATAGTACTCGGGACGAAATGTAGTTAAGCGGTCGAGTTAATGCATACTTTCCGAAACAATACAAGTGGGTTAAATGAGCTTCTACACGAACAATCAAGGTATAAGGATCAGTTATAGTGCTGAACCAAAACCCCGTTGATAACTTCCTCTTCTACGACCCCATCTATTGCTTTCTTGAGCTCTGTCTGTCCATAGGCACTCGTTCTCCCTTTCCTCCAAGCTTCCATAGATGGCGCTTGCTCATCGCTGAATCTCCTCTTGATACCCACCCGTTGAAGGACGGGACTGTCCACGAACGGCAATAACTTGACTGTGTCATCCGTTAGGCAGAAGTAAAATGCCCCGAGTCGAGGTCGGCTGCGTTGATCGGTCGGGGGCTGAACAACTCTGCAAGCTAGGATATAGGACATGCCGACACCACGAAAGATTGAGATATGGACGAACCTATGAATCGTTGCCCGATAATAACCCCCTGAGAGAAATTCCAGTGCGTCTCCCGCGTTGATAACCTAACCATTCCATCAGTTGTGAAGAAGGATAACGCTTTGAAGGCTTACGAGAGCATTATCTATATGTTTTATCCACTTCCATTTACCGTTGGGAGTGAGGATCTGCAAGCCAGCAACGGGCTGACTCCATAGAATCGTGATTGAACCAAAGTCTGCCCAAGGCACGTCAGGAGATGAACTCCCATTTCTGAAGGAAGTAATCTAACCTGTGTGCCCCTTGAGCCAGACGTTCTTCGTTCGTTTTTCTTCTTCTTCGGATCGAGGGTAACTAGAACGATGACTCGTTGTAACGAAACTCTTGAGGAAATCCTGAACCCACTATTTCATGAAGCGAACTGTGAGATTTTATTCCAGTATTTCAGCCTTCGGAAAGATTCGAATGATAGCGTGTAACACTGTGAATCGTACCGTATGTCTCTCCGGGCGCATTATATCCGTGGATGTTAACCAAAGTTTCTTCGTCAAGTTCGAGACCCAGGGCCAACAACCTAGTAATGATGATGAGCTCCGCAAGAGCGAAGGCAGATCCTACCTAAGAATCGGATGAAGTACGTTGAAATGATTGTGTCGGGCAAAGGCCTCAATCTCTGGCAGAAACGGTCGTATGGGCTGAGGATGTTCTCGCTTGGTTACGTCCCTATTGACTACACTCCGAATTCAAGCTTGAGTCACGACATTCTCAAAGGAGAGATGCTTACTGTTGTAATGTTCGACTTGGTCGCGAACGCCCCCATCTATGTGCTACTGAGGATGTAAACATATTCAGCGCGTGCGGGGCATGAGACTTACCCAATAATTCCTCAGTTTGTACCCCTGGTACGACCCAGTGGTTTTCATGGTTCCCTCATACATTTCCTTTTCTTCTTGGCTGACTCCGGCGAAGAGAACATCGGAAATGTCAGTAATTCGGGCAGCCTGAGTTAGCGAACATTCAAGGTCATATATCATATATCAACTCTGGAAGGAGGGAAACCGACTTGAGCTTGATCATATCCATGGTTGACGACGTAGAAAAAACCGAGGTTGGTCATAGCTTCGCGAACAGTGACGGCTAATTCAGCTCGTCCCTCCGGGGTGGATGCTTTCGAGATATCAATGATCGCTAGGTCTGCATACTCGACTTTACCACGGGAGCATATCGACATTAGATCATAGCAGCCGTAACAAGTCATGACACTCACGATCTTCCGACGTAGGTGGTCCAGGGGAGTATTGAGGGACCACGGGAAGGGTTACACCTGGCATGATCAATGAAGGGGTGCAATGGAAGATGTACGGTGGGAACATACGACTCCAATGTCTTATACCAATGAATCCTGCGAGAATCAAGTAGATGACGCCACCTCATAGACATACCTGGGCCTTGTGACACTCGGACGAGGTATAATACCCTTTAGAAAGGTCATGCGAATGCATGGGAAGGCGCCGAAAGGTGATGATAGATGGGAACAATTTGCGGACCTATGATCATTCATGATCGCGGAGGGAATGCAGTACAAAGTTACAACAGCGTATTAGTTTCTACAGATGATAAACGTGTTTCCGGGGATGAGTTAGTGCTTGGACGTTATGCTATGACGAGGATGTGTTAGTTGACGAAGCCCTCGCAGACGAAATAGCGTACCTAGGGCCGGGGATTATCTGATCAACAATCATGAACATCTTTGCCAGCGTTGCCGGATAGCAAGGCCCTTGAGTATCTCTTCGCATGACGGGAGCGTGGGGCAGGCTGATGTGGTACAGAGCACGCGGAACCTTCGCAGAAGTGCTAGCACCCCAACATTTCTAATGAAGGGGTCAATTTACGAATAATGAATTGATAGCTGAAACAAAATGGCATACCTCATAGATATCGAATCGTGTCTTATATATTTCCAAACGGGCACCGTCGCCGAACAAACCGAAGAACTTTCCATTCACGGCTGCTCCTGCGTCAATGCCTGCATCGAATTTGATGCAACCATGAACCGAAGCGCCAGGATCGCGCTTGGAAACCTCGTTGAGGGTGTTCACGGGCCCGTCAGAGCCGAGATGGGTGGCAGGCGACTCTGCAGAGGCAGGTAAAAGTACGGGTGAGCGGCCTGAAATGACATCGTAGCCAACATGGGCGCTCGCGTCCAGGTTGAGGTTAACAGAAGCGTCTGCGTCAACCTCCAAGCTCACTGTCGCTTTAGCAAGGCCCTTAAGTGCACTAATGCCGAACTCAATCTTGGGGATGATGTGGACGCCAATGGAACCCTTAGCAGAGATGCTTGGATCAGCGAATAGCTTGAGGGCTAAGTAAAAGAGGTAAGGACAGAGGGAAGAGCGGATAGGAGGTAAAGGGGCGTACGTGTATTGTTAGGGGCGAATCCGCCAGTGGGTCGCTTTCGATCTGTCTTCGGGAAGAAGAGCTGCGCATCTTCTACGCGGTAGGTAAGGCCGACTTTGGCGTCCACGCTGCCCTCGACAGTTGTAGATGCCTTCGCCTCGAGTCTGAACATAGGTCCCACGGTAAGGATCCTGCAACATTGCGACGTTGAGCATACGTGTCTATATGCATAACTTGAATAGCATACCCAGGGAACTCCAACCCGGGGATTCCTTGCTCGAAGATATTGATAGTCCCGGAGTCGAAGGTTCCCTGAACGGAAAGTTAGCACACCCCTGTGCACAAAGAAAGATAGGACTTACAGCAGCGGAAGCGACGATATTCAAAGTGCCGGATATATCCGCATCTAGAGCAGCGAACAGACCGAAGGAATCGATACGCGGGGGGATGATGGTCCCTTCAGCGGCGACGCCAACCTGTACTACGGCGTGGATACTCGCATCTATACTGGCCTCGAGCGATCCTTTGATGGATGGGCTATTCTCTCCCGGTATGTCGCAGCTGAAGCTCTTCTTGATAATAGGGAAGTTCTGGTTGACGTGTACGGGAGGAAGGTCTTTGATTGAATCCAAGTCAAACGATGTGAAGCCTGTATGTTATTGAATCAGAGCATGCACGAGTTGGACAGTAGGACGGGAACGCACGATCAAATGCAGATTCGATGAAGTTAGAACCCCGGGGACCAATTTTGGTACGCCGTATAACGGTCGGGGCGCGTCTAGTGATAGTGGCATTCCCGGTGGCTCCTGGAACGGTAGCGCCTACGATGGTGATATGTACTGGGCCAGTTCTGAGGGGGGGCATTAGCAACGCGTAGATGTATCGTGTAGAGTAACGTACACGGAAGGATCGATGGCCGCAAAGTTAGTATCGAGAGTGAGCCCTCTGACTGGATTGTCGGCACCTCTGCGCTGCATCTTCGACTCGACTTCCATGGGCACGTTCTGGTTATCATCTACCCAGGATTTGACAACCCGAGCAAATGCCATCTTGCCACACTAAGCACAATCATCGTTTTCAGAACGTTTAGGGCAAACGATACGGTAGTGTAACATACCTTCTCGGGGAGCCGTACGAGTTTGCCCTGGGCACCGAGGTTACGGAACAAATGCCCGCATCGGTCTGTGTGAATGCAGACGATACGGATGTCTTGCGCTTCGGCTTGAGGGTCGCAGCCGATGATCCACCACCCCGCTGCGGGCGTAATGTCGGAAATCGCATCAGGTGATCCTTCCTGTAGCCAAACACAAACGTCAGTCGTCGCTCAGTGATACACTTTGCGTGCTCACAATGGTCATAGAGCCGTCGACTGAGCCGTGGAGATCGTAGGAGCACCTGCCACTGAAGCAAGGCTTTGACCAGTCATTGAGAGCGAGGGCCAACGACGCGAGGAACGGAATCGAAAGGAGGGAGAGAGCGATCATCATATAGGTCGAAGGTCGGGACCGAGCCTTGGATTAAGGTGATTATTAGGTGGCCGTTGAGACTCCTGGGAGGATCACAGCGCAGAGTTCCTTTCCGAGGGCAGGAAGGGTAGGGCTCTGAATGCAATCGACTGAATATGCATCCGTATTATACTGCAATCATGCATGCTTCGTCCGAGGCTTTGGACACCGATAGACGAATCGTCGATTACCCCATGTTGTGCGGTGGTCGAGGAATCAGCCTCGACCAGGGCTGCCCCACTAAAAACCTTGACTTCTTCGTGCTCTTCCAATCGAAACACACGCTGCGCGCTGAGCAGCTGATAAACCTTCACAAAAAACACTCACAAACATACACCGTACCACCTGTACACATCATCCCGAGCGATGGTCTGCATTCCAGTCTTATCGCTATCAGCAGGTGCTATCGTGCATTGGTCAATGCGTCAGATCTTGACGGAGACGAGGATGCTACCGCGTGGATGACACCAGTAGTGGACGAAGGCGCGATCGTTGGTGAAACTCGACGCAAAAAAAAAACATCTGCCAAGTCAAGCCACAATTGCGCCGATCCGTTGCTAGCCTACGACGACGGACGTGTCGATGGGGTAAGGAGGCGTAAGACGAGCGCTTGTCAACCGAGATGGCGCGTCGTGGAATGACCAGATGGAACGTGCGACGTCATGCAGAGGTCCATGTGTGCGTCCAACACTGGGTGACGCGAGACGCAGAGATGGCGCTGTAGCATTTCTGCGATAAGTCGTCTTCGATGGATACCCCCGTGCGTGAGACTCCGGAGCCTACCTGCGATTTGCGGATATTAACCTGAACACCTGCAGTAGCCGATGAACTTTGCTTCGAGTTAAACATTGGATGATATCTGAAAGCATCTGAATTCACCGGGACCGACAGGGTTTGAGGGGTTTAGTATCATTATTTACCGCAGCTCAAACTGATGCTTGTGTCTCGCCCTAGTACTAAGATGAGTTTCAATAACTGTCAGGGTAGCCTGCCTGAAATCCGATATGGCTGGGGTACGAACAAGCCACATGGCGAGTCGCTTAAATCCCCACATCAGCTGGCAAGTGACCTGCTACTCCATGAGTACGGTGAAAATCTCAGCCTTGGTACGCACCCTTACATCTACTGAATAGACGACATCGCGATCTGGAACATTCACGACGCAGTTGGCCAGTCGTTCAATCGTTCAAACCTCACATTGGGATTGACGAGTGACCTGGTACCGCATGAGCACAGTGAGAATAAGAAAACAAAAACTGTACGCACCCTTCCATCTACTGAATAGATGACATCGCGAATCGCGATCTAGAGTATTCACGACGCAGTTGGTGTCGGAGGTACATCATATCGTGAATGAGCTACTTACCCCATATTGTCAACCACAATTGTATTGGGGGTGGAGCTTGGCTTTTATCCGAGAAACTTACATCAGTTGAGACGAAGCACAACGGCGAAGGGGGCCCGCGATCACGAAACTACGAGCCTGAGTGTCTTATCATGGCTGCAGCGTTGCAGGACTGTATAGGAAACAGACCTAGGTGGTGGCTAACCTATCACGAACGCCTATGAACGTTGGTTTGTAGCCTACACGCACCTTGCTAAAGCTGCAAACTTGCGAAACAGGTTGAATATTGTGGGGTCCTCGCTTGAGTATTAAGTGCTGTCGGCTGGGACCTCACGAATAGCGTATGCGAGACCTCCAAGGGCGCCTGGAGCTATCTGACGCTTCGACGCTTCGACATTCTTCGACTCAACCCAACGACGACAATGCGCAAAGAAGTTCCGTGTTGCCGAAGAGTTCCGGGTGTTGTCTCATGGATGAGAAAATGACCATGCATGGTCATAGAGTATAGCTCGCAATCGCACTCCTTGCTCGGGCCAACGTAACCTAGGAGAAACGTCGATTTCGGTTCTGCAAAGAATAACTAGATAATTCAAGTGTCAGATGGCAACGAAGAAACGGAAGAGACAAACCATGCATCAGCTAGCAATGCGCGCACGTACTTGGACAGTCGACTTAGCATATGAGGACGACCGGGTGGGTGAACAGTAGAAGACATCGGCCAGAGGGTGTCGGTAGAAGACGCTAGGCCAGGAGTCCATGGCATTAGACGTCGATGCCAACGATGGGAGTCTCTCTGTGCTCTCGCATACCCAGAGGGGGGGCGGGCGGGAGGTTGTCAATGGGACTTAACAAGGTGCCTAATCTTCGACTCTTTACCGATGTTCTTCTATAGTTGGTCCGTGGTCAACAAAATGTCTGCTCTCTACGATCACGACGACGTACTGGCAATCCTTTAATCGAAGGCTCCGACTCGACTGTCCAGTCTCTATGTACGTCAGCGTCGAGTGAGTACCTGCTGTGGGTTTACGCCCAATAGTTCGAATGGTTCGGGGTCTTTCGAAGCAGCATAGCGGGGACCCAGCTCGGTATGATAGTGCGAGTACAGAGGAGCGTCGTGGACATATGCGGATCGTTGGGCCGTCATTGTGCAAAACATACATGGCCTTGCGGAATCATGCGGGCGGTGATTTCGCGATATTGCCGTCGGGAACGATACAGCACTGTTTATAACCTGGAGCATTCAATAGCTCACCGTCTAGCTATTCATCTGGCTCTGAACGTCTGAAAGGAAGCCTGGCGACATTACGCAAAGTCTCGCAGGGATCAGTGTCTCGCAACACCAGGCCCATGGGTGCAGGAAAGAACTATTCTCGGTAAGTGCCATTGCAGCCATTACTCGATAAACAGTAAACTTGCATCAATCCATTGATGGGGTAGATTCAAGGCGTCGAGGCATGAGAAAGTCTTCGAAACTTTGTCTGAGCAAGTTCTAGGCTTCAGCACGGATTTTGCCATAGGAAAGGACCTGGAGGCATGCCGGAGGCGAACTTTATGCGGTTTCACGGCGACGGTTTCATGGCCAGCCTTGGCCGCTCGCCGTTCGGCACGTTGAGCGCTTATCCAGCACCTTGGGGGAGAAATTGGAAATTAGCCAAGTCCCCCGCCTCCCGACGCGCCGAGTCGTGGTCCGTCTTGCATGTTGTTTGTTTGAGATACTCTGCCATTTCTGGTGGATTTTGCATTGGACGTAGGTGTTCAACGGCAAGTTGATGCCGCGAAGGCGTAAGATCGTGGGAAGTTATGTGTGACCATCAGTGCCCCGGGCTGGGAGACGCTTACCACTTCACCACCACGATCTTTTTTTCCGTCGCAACCGCCGTCTACACCACGCCCTCATCGTGGGCTGCTGCTAGTCCGCAGTTTACATTCCCTTTTCTTCCCATTACACTCGACGCGGCGTTTCGGCAGGGTTAACAAGCACCATTTCTTCTACCTTGGCCAATTGTCGTAGGGTCTCTCAAGGTGAGCAGAACTACACTAGAAGAGAGGAGAGGGATTCTGAAGCTGCGGCTGTCGTCGAGCAGTATCTTTTACGACTTTGAAGTGGCCAGACTCTCGCCACCATGAATCGACAGTCAACGATGAGCGTCCACCAGCAACTGGAGGCGGTGACCGACCTTTCGCAGCTCTCGCACATCACAGAAGATGTGATTGTAGCCTGCCTACGGGAGAGGTTTATGTCGGACCATATCTACACCAATATCGGCTCTTCTGCTCTTGTCGCCGTCAACCCGCACAAATACATCGCCAGTAACTCGGATGCCGTTCTCAACAAATATGCCGCGGAATATCGGGATACGTCCGAGCACAAGGAGAAGCTTCCACCACACATATTTCAACTTGCCAACAATGCGTACTACCACATGCGAAGGACAACGCAGGATCAATGTATTCTCTTCAGGTGCGTGACGGTGACGACCGACCGTGTGAGGATGCTGACAATTGGGTTTATCCAGTGGAGAAACCGCCAGCGGGAAATCGGAGAATAGACGACTCACCATCAAGACGTTGCTCGAGCTGAGCGTGAGCAATCCAGGCAAAAAGGGCGCCAAACTCGCAACTCAGGTCCCCGCTTCTGAATTTGTTCTCGAGACATTCGGGAACGCAAGAACCCTCTTCAACCCAAATGCCTCTCGTTTCGGGAAATACACCGAACTTCAATTCTCGGAGCGCGGCAGACTGTCTGGCATCAAGACGTTGGATTACTATCTTGAGCGCAATAGGGTAGCTGGTGCTCCTTCAGGCGAGCGCAACTTCCACATATTCTACTACCTTGTTGCTGGTTCTTCGCCCGAAGAGCGACAGCATCTTCACCTGCTCGACAAAATGACGTACAGATATCTCGGACAACGGACAGCACCTAAGTCCGCCAACGGACGGGACGACGATGCCGTCCGCTTCGACCAACTCAAGGTTGCTCTCAAGACTATAGGCCTATCGAAGCGACTCGTTGCGCAGACCTGCCAACTTGTCGCCGCTATTCTCCACCTTGGCAATTTGGAGTTCACCATTGACCGATCTCGCAACGAAGACGCCGCTATAGTTCGTAACACGAACATTCTTGAGGTTGTTGCAGACTTTTTGGGCGTCCAGCCCTCGGCGCTTGAATCCACAATGTCCTACAAGACGAAGCTTGTCAAGAAGGAGCTTTGCACTGTCTTCCTTGATCCTGACGGTGCCTCCGACAATCGGGATGACCTCGCAAAGACCCTCTATTCATTGCTATTTGCATGGCTCAACGAATACATCAATCAACGACTCTGCCGCGACGACTTCTCCACTTTCATCGGTCTCTTCGACCTCCCGGGTCCCCAGAATCTCACCAGCCGTCCCAACTCCCTAGACCAATTCTGTATCAACTTCGCCAATGAACGCATGCAGAACTGGATTCAGAAGCGCCTTTTCGAGAGCCACGTCGACGAATACAACACCGAGGGCATCTCACGCTTCGTCCCACAAGTTCCTTATTTCGACAACTCCGAGTGTATAAGGTTGCTTCAGAACCAGCCTGGAGGACTCATTCATATTATGGATGATCAAGCTCGTCGGGCCCCGAGGAAGACGAATTTAACTATGGTTGAGGCGTTTGGCAAGCGTTGGGGTAACCATTCATTGTTCAAGACTGGGGCGATGGATCGTTCTGGATTCCCTACCTTCACGGTCCACCACTTTAACGGCCCCGTCACTTACTCTTCGGAAGACTTCCTTGAACGTAACCTTGATTCATTGAATCCGGATTTCGTCTCCCTCCTGCGCGGCACAACGGACGGTGCTGATGGATCTGGGTCCAACAACCCCTTCATCAAAGGCCTCTTTTCAGCGAAGGCTATCGCGACTCAAGCCCATCCTCGAAATGAGGAGACGATTGTTGCCGCGCAGCAGCCTGTCAAACCCATGCGTGCGCCTTCGACGAGAAGGAAAGGCACGATCAAGCGCATGCCGACGGTCAAGGAAGGAATGGACGATGAACACGATGACGACGCTGCGCCAGCCAGTGGAGGTATCCCATGTATTGCAGGAGAATTCCGTGCCGCGCTCGATACATTGTTTGAGACGTTCGATGAGAGTCAGTCTTGGTATGTTTTCTGCGTCAATCCGAACGACTCCCAGTTGCCCAACCAGCTGGAGGGGAGGAGCGTCAAAGGGCAGGTGAGGAGCGTGGGCCTAGCGGAGATCTCAAGGCGGTGTATCAATGTCTTCGAGGTTGGGATGACTCCGGATGAGTTCTCGGAGAGGTACAAGGATGGGCTGGAGGCAGCGGGAGTGACGGAAGGGACATCCGGAGAGAGAGTACAGCAAGCGAGGACGGCGTTTGGCATGAGCGATAGCGACATTGTGCTTGGACAGCATAAGGTATGCGTAATGATTAAGTATTTTTATCCACGAGTTGAACACTGTATAGGTTTTCTTGTCACAAGCCGCTTTCCATCGGTTGGAGGACCAGCTCCGGTCCAGGGACGTCGAGGAGCAAAAGCGGAATCGTATTAAGGACGCCGAAGCTGGTGCCGGCCTTACGGCTGGTGGGATTGGCGATCCATATGGCCCCTACGGATCCCCTAGTGGTGAAGGGGATGTCTCGCCTTGGGCGGGAGGATATTCTGATCCTTTCAACCCATCAACTCAGGCGCTTCCCCTCGTTAGCAACGCTTCCCCTTTCCAACGTGCCGACATGTACGACGATGACGCAGACGAGCAGAAGTCTCTTCGCAGTGAAGACTATGATGGCCGCAGTCGGTTTACAAGCCAGCGGGACGACTCGGTTTCGAATTTCGGCTCAGAATCCTATGCTCCCTCGAGGAACATGTTCCAGAATGCTGACAAGAAAGGACTGCTGGAAAAGGAGGCGCTCCCTGGTGAGGTTCAAGAGGGTGAAACCACCGAAGTAGTGAAGGAGTCGTCTGCTCGAAGGCGATGGGTCGCGTTATGTTGGGTGTTGACATTTTGGGTGCCCACCTTCTGCCTAACGCATCTTGGGCGGATGAAACGGATGGACGTACGGCAAGCCTGGCGAGAGAAGTTGGCTCTGAATATCCTCATTTGGTTCGTCTGTGGATGCATGACATTCGTCATTGCCTTCCTCGGTATGATCATCTGCCCCACGCAACACGTCTTCAACTTGAACGAGCTCCGGTCGCACTCCCAGCAACTCAACCCGAACAACATCTACACCGCCATTCGTGGAGAGGTCTTCGATTTAAATTCTGTTGCTGAGGTTCATGGGAGGATAGTCAACGTCGTACCGCAAAAGGCAATTCTTAAGTACGGTGGCACGATCGCAGACAATATCTTCCCAGTGCAGGTAATGATTTACGGTTATAAGATGTCGCATTCGATGTTGACTTCGCTAATAGGTCAGCTCCCTTTGCAACGGCATAGATGGCACGCTCAGCCCGTTCATCACCTTGGATTCGAGTAACAACACGGACGAGAACGCGCAATATCACGATTTCCGCGTCTTCACCAACGACTCGAGACCCGATTGGTATTTCGAGAGTATGGTTCAGATGCGGTACAATTCCCGCGTCGGCTTCGTTGGTTATACTCCCAAGGAACTCAGAAATATGGCCAGCACGGGGAATTCAGTCGCTGTTTACGGGGGTCTAGTCTATGACCTCACGACCTACTTGAGAAGTCCTCCGGCACTTCGCGCTCCTTCTGGTACACAAGCTCCCCCCACAGACACCAACTTCATGCACTCTGCCATCGTGGATGTTTTCAGACTTCACGCTGGGACGGATGTCACAAAGAGGTTGGATGCGCTGAATATTCCTCCCGACGTCCTCTCGCGCCAGAAGGTCTGCCTACGTAACTTGTTCACTATAGGCAAGGTCGACAATCGTGAATCCGCACAATGTCAATTCGCTACCTACATCCTGTTGAGTCTCTCTATCGTCATGGTATCGATCATCGGATTCAAGTTCCTGGCTTCTGTCAACTTCTCTGCGCCTCGCGCACCAGAAGATCATGACAAGTTTGTCATTTGTCAAGTTCCATGTTATACGGAAGGCGATTCTTCTCTTCGTCGTACCATCGACTCTCTGGCTCAAATGAAATACGATGACAAACGCAAGCTCCTACTCATCATCTGTGACGGTATGATTGTTGGTTCCGGAAACGACAGGCCTACCCCTCGTATCGTGCTGGACATTCTCGGTGCTGATCCCAATCTTGATCCGGAGCCATTGAGTTTCCTCTCCCTCGGTGAAGGCGCCAAACAACATAACATGGGCAAGGTATACTCAGGCCTGTATGAATGCGCCGGTCACGTCGTCCCATACCTGGTGGTGGCCAAGATAGGGAAGCCGACTGAACGGTCGAGACCTGGTAATCGTGGTAAACGTGACTCACAGATGCTTTTGATGCGCTTCTTGAACAAGGTTCGTACTTGCCTGCATTCTTTAATTCACTTGGTTAATCCTGTGATAGGTTCATTTTAATGCCCCCATGAATCCGCTGGAGCTAGAGATGTACCATCAAATCAAGAACGTCATTGGTGTCAACCCAACTTTCTACGAGTACTTGTTCATGATCGACGCCGACACAACTGTGGACCCCTTCTCCGTCAACCGTCTTATATCTGCGTAAGTTCTTCGTAGGTTTTACTCGCCTTGGTTGCTGACTGGTACGTTTAGCATGATTCATGACAAGAAACTTCTTGGTGTCTGTGGAGAGACGGAGCTTTCGAACGCTAAACAGTCAATTATTACTATGATGCAGGTGAGATATGGTAGTCTTGTCCCTTCTAAACAATCCTAACTTCGTACTAGGTCTACGAATACTTCATATCCCATCATATGGCCAAAGCTTTCGAAAGTTTATTCGGCTCGGTGACTTGTCTTCCTGGTTGTTTCACCCTCTATCGTCTACGAACACCCGACACGCATAAGCCTCTCATCATTTCGAATCAGCTGATTCAGGACTATTCCGAGAATCGCGTTGACACCCTCCATACGAAGAACCTTCTACATCTTGGTGAAGATCGTTACCTCACGACCCTGTTGCTCAAGCATTTCCCGAACTTCAAGACTCAATTCGTTCGAGATGCCCATGCTTACACCGTCGCGCCAGATGATTGGAAGGTCTTGCTCTCGCAGCGTCGCCGTTGGATCAATTCTACTGTCCACAATCTAGGTGAACTTGTCTTCTTAGACCAGCTCTGCGGTTTCTGCTGCTTCTCCATGCGGTTCGTTGTCATGATCGACCTTGTTTCTACCATCACGCAACCTGTTACTGTTGCCTACGTGCGTATTCAAGCCTCTGTCTTCATGACTGCATGCTCACCGATTATACACCTAGATTGCCTACCTCATCTACTTAACGGCAGGGTTGGGCAGAACTATCCCGACAATCTCGTTGATCATGATTGCTGCGATTTATGGTATTCAAGCGCTCGTCTTTATCTTGCGGCGAAAATGGGACATGATCGGCTGGATGATATTTTACATTCTTGCCATTCCAGCATTCTCGTTCTTCCTGCCATTATACTCGTTCTGGAAGATGGATGATTTCTCCTGGGGTGCTACTCGTCTCGTCATGGGTGAATCTGGGAAGAAGATGATTGTTCACGTAAGTCGTTTTGAAGCCCCCAGAAGTCCTAGTTCTCATCCTTCATTCTGTAGGACGAAGGGAAGTTCGATCCTCGCGTTATTCCCCTCAAGTCATGGACCGAATATGTATGGCACTCTTCGTTATACATCGCACTTGGCTAACATGCAGCAACAGGAAAACGAACTTTGGGACAAAGAGTCGAATCATAGCATTGGTTCATGGGTCCCTCCCCAGAAATTCAAGAATGAGGGCTATCCTGAATCACACACAGCTTCCATCTATGGCCGAGAAACGTACTACGAGCCCCGTAGCCATTCACCGTCTCAAGGGGGCATGATGAACCCTCCTGGTTATCAATCTGGCCGTAACACTCCTCAGTCGCAATACGGTATGGCTTACCAGCCGGCGCCCTCGCGACCATTAACAAATTATCTGGATGTCGCTATTCCCTTAACCCAAGCTCCTGAAGGATTCGACTCAGAACCATCCGATGCCGCCCTGCAACGAGCAGTACAAGCCATATTACACACTGCAGATCTGAACGCAGTCACGAAACGAGAGGTCCGAAGACAGCTGGAAGAACAGTTTGGGATGGACCTAACATCTCGAAAGAAGGTTATCAACGACGCTATCGACGATGTTCTCGTCCGCAGAGCTTAGTTTGTTACGATTATATATAGTTCTTGGGTGTGGACCTCTGCTTTCTGTCTCCATGTGGATCTTTCTCTCTCGCTAACGACTTCGTACTGTTATATGAACGGTTTCTTCGCTCTTTTATATAGCTTAATGGACGGTGTGTCATCATGACTCTAGTATAGTATAACCCTACATCACATCCAATCGTTTCCTCATACGGACCTCGCATCCCAAGCATGTTTCCCTACTTATAATAACTTAGAACTATCGGCATCTAGCTTTGTGACATTTGATCTGATTTTGAACTGTTGCCCAGGTGGCAAAAGGTTAAAGTAGAGTTGAGTTGATGCAATCTCGAAGCAGCAAACGACGACCGATAAATAGCAGAGCGACAAGTATGTAGCAGTGGCAGCCCAGGAAATCCAATGATGTCCGTCGAATAAAGATATGTATAGTATTGTGTATTTATGCAGTCACTTCTATCCGCGTACGACCCCGACTGTAACTTCCGCGTCGCCCACACCAGAATCCTGCCCTCTCGCGCGGAGCGAGCTGACACACTTCTCCCAAGCCCATCTAGTCAGCCGCAAGACATCGTCATCGCCGAGGCTATCCCTAACATGCAGCTCGAGGGTCACCACTAGGGATTCGGCACTTGGCGAGCTCGTGCTCGATGATGATAACGACAACGATGTGGCAGGCGATGGAGTAAGCTGCCAGATATGAGGTGGAGTGAGATGGATTACTTGAGGATGCCGTTCGATCTAGGGAGTGGAAAGAAACGTGATGAGGTGATGTGTCGACTGGGAGGTCAGAAGGCAGTCTTACCTCTTTGATGACCCGGAGAAAGGCATCCATCTGGCCGCCAGCCGAAGAGCTCCGTGGAGGACTTGTTTGAAGTAGGACAGTACCAAGAACGACTGATGCTTTGTAGGCTACATTGAACGTGATGACTGTAATCAAACAAGCCAATCCAAGGTCACACATCTGGTGCTGAGAACTACGGAATACACAAACGTGCGTGTTAGTGAACCACGAATGTCGACATATCTGTGCAAGTGAAGAACGTACCCATCGACGCCAAGGGCGACACACAATAAGGCCGCGGCAAAAAGGAGCGGGGAGCAGATGTAAGGATTGGATAGGAGCTCGCCAGTCAGCGAAGTCGGGGGTTCGTCATACTCGTGGGCATAGCTTGTTCCGAACTGCCTGGAGAATAGCCTAGTGACGCTGCGTATGGTTGAGCCGAGTGAAGGAATGCGATTCCCCGTTACTGTCAAAGTATGCACATCATTTCACGAGCAAGGTGATGAATGTGATGAACGTACTGTGCAGGAGCTTGAAGTGATTGCGGTAGACCGCGCCATTTAGGAGCATGGTAAAGACGGTCAAGATGGTAAGGAAGATAGGGAAATCAATGCTGTAGAACTTATGTAAGCCTTATAGACAACGACGGGAGATAGGCAAGGAGATGGCAGAACTTACCCAACGAAAACACCATGCTCCTCTCCACCGCCATGATGATGATGATGCCCCTCTGAATGACCGCCGCTACCCACTCCGCCGCCAACTCCTGCACCAGCGCCTGCGCTCAGAAGGAGATGCTCGACGGTCTCTTTGCATACGTATACGGAAGAGAACATCAGGTACACTGCTTGAGCGAACATAAGAACGGTTTCTACTCGAGCGTTCCTACATTGAGACGAATGAATTTCACAAAGAAAGACACGGTCCTCAAAGAAGAGAGAGATACACACCCGTATGGTCGTCGTATCCGTTCCTTGTCTATCGAGCTTGCAGCGTTGCTTGGCTGAGATAGATGCTTCCCTCCCCAGACACCGATGCCGATTCCAAACGCATCGAAAACGGCCCAATACCCGAGGCCGGTAGACGATAATGAGCCGATCTGCTGGCCAGTTACCCATAACGAAGCACCTAGTACGAATTGTAGCACCCCAACTACCTTGGGACCGCTTCCCGTCAACCCAACGGGTCTATCGTCTACGTATTTGATAGGCATTTTATGTGAATGGGGGACATCTCCGGTCTGCGGAGGCAAATCAGTGCCGACGGATGACATAGGAGATGGATTGGGGGACATGGATGTAGCCGAGTTTGGGAAAGGAGAGATCGGAGTCCAAGGAGAAACAGGCGTAAGTGTCGGTTGGGTGTGTAGTTCCTCTTCACCTTGGTGTGAATGGCCGTTAGCCCCGGGTTCGAGAAATGAGAAGAAGTTATGCGACATCGAGTGTTTGTGATGATGGCCTCTTCGGGAATGAGACTCCGAGCCGGTAGAGGAGGAGCGAGACATTGCAGTAGGGACGGGGAGTTCACCAGGCGGCGCACGGGCACCGAACGTGAATCCCGCGCCGAGGGGAGTCGGCGGTTGGCGGGACGAACGGGGGAAGCTAACGTTAGATTCAGCGCTTGGGATTGTGCTCACAGGAGCCTCGATATCCTCAACGTGTACCTCTACCTCCTGCGCTCCATCCTCTGCTATCGAGTTCGTAGGAAGCGATCCTGGTCTCGGAAAGAATATCGAGAGATTGCGCGAGTGCAAGCGAGCGTGCCGACGACCTGAGCCGATTTTAGGTGATCCTGGTGCTTGGACGGGAGGCGGGGTCTCTTCAGTCTCAGGGAAAGCCATAGACGCAGCGAAACTAGGGAACGACTGTTTTGTTGGCGGAGCGGATGTAGGAAGGGAGGGGATCGACTGGGATTGGGGAGGAAAAGACGAAGCCAGAGGCGAGGAGATCGGTGGGGAGAAAGGCGTCGATATTGATCTCGTGCGCGAGTGCGCAGATGTATGGCCGTTGAGTGAAGGGCCATGTGCAGCAGACCCATGTGCAGATCCATATGGTTGGTTAAGAGAATGTATGTACGTGGGGGTCAGCGAATGTGAGAGCGTTCGTGCATGAGATGGGGAGGTTCGGTTGTTCAGCGGAGATGTAGGTGCTCGACCGATTCCGTTGGCAGCATGGCCATTGGGAGTTGGCAAGGACGGGCTACGCGCGGGGACAAATGCCGTTCGAAAGGGACCTGCAGACGATGGTGGATGCGACGGTACATTCGGGCGAGCATAGCCATTGATATGAGGGGGGTGCGTTGGCGAAGAGTTCACCCGAGTCCTCGAAGAGTCCACATCTGAGTCTGGAAAGGATACAGACGTCGCCGCCGAGGGCTTGATTATATCGTGGGCATCATCCTCGTCCCGACTTGATTTCCGTCTGTGCATTTGAGCTGAATGCCTGGCTTCCATAAGAATCACTGGCAACAGCTACGAGCTTTTTCGACTGTCAAATTGAAGCCCATTGAACGAGCCAGCGACATACCGAAGAAATCTCGACACAAAACTACCTTCCCTCGTATTGAACTCCAAGGTCAGATGTACTGCAATCACGAGCAAGCCCGCCAAATGGTTGCCACTAGCAATTGGCAAAGAGTGTTCAATGGTCTTGCAGAGGCTCTCGACGTCGTCCCAGGTGAGCAAGAGAAGAATACGTTCCTTTCGGTCCGTTAAACCTCTCGAGATGAAGAAGAATCCCTGAAACGAAGGAAGGTGATATGAATCTGTTCTGCTGAAATGATGATAAGTCAACGCTATGAGTGCCAAAGCAGCAATTGTTGATACCTCAGGTCAAGGAACGTTTCAAACCTGCTCTTCGGTCGACGTGCCGTCCTGTCCTGGAGGTTCTACGCTGATTCCAACGCAGGGGACCAGAAATTGCAGCTCCAGCGGGTGCCAAGTGAAGCGCATCACGTGATTACAGGAGCCTAAGCTCAGCCAAGCAATTATAACATTGAGGTAGCGTAGAGAATTGGTACAAGATTTGAATGAAGGGAAAGAGACATGCCTATAATGAGGACTGAACTATGCAGAGACGCGCCAAGTATATACCTCCAGAAGTAATCACTGCCTCAAGTACACTCTATCCAACGTTTTTTAGTCTCCTCGCACTATGCACTTGGGCGGTGATCTTATAGCGTATAAATGGGTGCTTTATCTCGTATATTCCTCGCATGGTTAGCTCATCTTGGTACGCTCAAAACTCCTCGAGTTTCTCTTACGAACGGGCTAGTCACATAAACGCCAATTCACGACTAGAAAATCTTACATTTAGGGATTTATTCGATGGCTTAATGAACCAGATATTGAACGATCAGTGACACAAGGACAGAAGTGTAGTGAGGAGTAGAATATCTGCACCCCTGGCAGCGTCCCCCAAAGAACGTGCACTGAATCACCAATTTGATACACGATTCGAGAAAGAAACATAGAGACTTGAGCGTTCGTATAAAATAGGAACGTGTGTATAGATCTGGTGTTCCCTTCGTAGATGAGAGATCTCGCACTATGAGCCTGGTACGCCGGCACTGACACAGCACAATTTTGAAACCCAGCGTTAAGGGGGACAAGAAAGGAAATGAATGCGCCGTCACGTGTGCTCGCACTTCAAGTTGGCCACAACCACTATAGCTAGTACTACGGTGGCATAACATGGCACCTCTTCACTTTCGACCACCGTAGATCAAGGACTCAACTATTCGAGCTACCTCTCGAAATTACCCCAAATTTCAACGTACAATCCTCGGCCTGTTAAGCAAGAGAGAAGGGATGTCAGAGGATTCGGACATGTCAGGACGCTGGGTTGGTCCTTGCACGATTAATAACTTCTTCAAGCTCGCAATGGCTAAGAAATTTACAAAGAAGAAGAGAGAGAAATTACCAAGGATTGATAAGAAGTTCTTTGCCGGAAATAAACCAGCAAGCGCAGAGGTTATGACCCAGATGTTTGTAAGTCTCAACTCCACCATTATATGATTATATAGTATCGCTGATAATACACGCTGCTACTTATAGATGGAGTTTTTTGGGCGCTATAATTTTCCCGGAATAAAACTCGTGGAGAGTCCAGCTCGCCCCGGGCCAGACCACGACTCCGAACATGGCTTGAAGGTTAGACCAGTCATCAACGTACACGAGGAAAGCAGCACGATGGAAGTCGATGGCCATTTAGCTGGTGTGGGGATTGATGACACAATGATAGAGTTATTCAATGACGACGAAGACGACGCGCCCTTCGAGGATGACTCTTATGAAGCAAAGCGGACTCGCGACCAGCTCGCAGCCTATGTGGTCGATCTCTGTGCTCGCCAACACCGAACGCACCTATTCATCGTCTACATCTACTACCCCTATGCCCGCTTCATTCGGTTCGATAGATCTGGAGCCCTAGTCTCGGAACGGTTTGATTTCACGGACGATTGCACTCCTCTCATTCGGTTCTTTTCGAGGTTCTCGAAAATGACCCAAGCTGGAAGGGGGTACAATCCTACCGTCCAAGTTGCAGACGAACTTGAAACCAAGGTCGCTCACGAACGTCTTTCGGAGTGGGCCCCAAATCCGAGGTACGAACGCCCTGTGTTCAAGATGGAGGTTCACGACGACCGAGAGCAAGCTGGCGGTAAAAGGCCCAATAAGCCGAGACCCCGCAAGTTTCTTGTTTGGGGATCCTTCGCCGATCCAGACTTGCCACTTGGACGGGCGACGCGAGGCTATCCAGCATTGGAAGTGACCGACGGCGTGGAAAACGCCCCCAAGGATGCTCCGATCATGTTCCTAAAAGAACAATGGCGCTCCACCGCGTTGCGCCAGGAAATCGACATACTTCGAGACCTAAACGACAAGGGGGTAGAACACGTTCCGACGCTGATATGCGGAGGTGTTCTCCCCGGCCAGGTCACACAAACAGGGTTATACGCTACCGGAAGAAGTGGTGAAAAGGAAATTGCTGAGCGTGCCCATGTTCGCTTCGTTGTATTGGAAGTTGGTCGGCCCCTCGAGCGCTTTTCTTCGTCGAAAGAGATGTTCAAAGCCGTGTACGATGCATTTCAGGGTATGTCTGGTGTTTTGATTCCCCTCGTTATCGGTCTTAATTTATTACCAGGGCATAGACAGGCGTTCGAAAAGTGCAATTTATTGCATCGCGACGTGAGTGGGGGGAACATTCTACTGTTATCGAACGGTGGTCTCCTGATCGACTGGGATATGGCGGCGAAGGCCGATGGGGAGGAACATGGGACTACGAGTGTGACCTCGGAGCGGGTAGTACGTCATGCATTGCTACCTGAATCGTATCCGTTGCTTATGGCTATGTAGGGTACTTGGGACTTTATGTCCATCGACCTATTGGGCAGTACGGGGCTTCCCCACAAAGTCAGCGACGACCTAGAGTCTTTCCTCTGGGTGGTGCTTTACTACGGCCTCCTCTACCTCCCTCACAACAAAGTCGATGAGCTCGAGAAAATTATCCACGTCATTTTCGAGGAGTATACCAACTACGGAGAAGCGAAGGGTGGCCAAGGGAAATGTTTGGCAGTAACGGCTGGACGGCACATTGGATTCAACGCCTGCCCTCCCTTAGAATTTGCAAATGAGCCACTTACACGGTTTGTACATACGATCCTGAGACTTCTGATGGACTATAGTCAAAGAGAAGCTGGTGCGCGCCGCAGACTAAAACCCCCTTCCATACTTTCAGATCGTCCAGATTATCTATCCTCATTGCCACCCCCACCCACACAGAAACAGCGGCAAGACGACATGGAACTTATCTTCAAGTTGGCACTCGATCTTCCTTGGCCGACGGACGACAAGTCTAGATTGAATATCGTGAAGAACCCCGAGGACGATCAAGCAGGTATTGAGTCAAAGAAGAGAAAGAATACGACTCAGAATGTCCCCGTCGAAGATACCGAAGACCGACAAGCAAAGAAGGCTAAGCGTTCTGCTGGGGACAAGACACTCACCAAGGCACTCAATGCAGCAGACGGAAGTCGGGACCCATGAGGAGGAGAGTGGTGCACGCGCCAGTTAATCATCTAAATCCTGTAATATGTAGCCGCAACTTCAGAAAGTTCAATTGCCAAATTAAATTTTGAGAAGCGAGCTGGTAGAAGTGTCGGAGAAATAGAAAGCCCCTGACCAAGTTGGATCAAGGGGTATCATGTAATCAAATGTGATTAAGTTGATCAGGGCCTTATCGTCGGGAATTTGGGACGGATCAGGGTTGATCAAGGCGCCAGTCTCTGATCATAGCGCAGAATAGCCGAGGCTGATCAAGCAAGATATAGTCGATAAGATATGATCAAGCATGACCAAATCTGGGAGCACTGATAAGCCTGATCAAGTGATTAAGCCCGACCAATGAAAAGCAAAATGATAACCGACCAGATGTCTGACCAATTAGGCGCCTTTTGATCAACATTCACACGCTGGACCATTACTGGGTCACTGCGAGAATCGAACCAAGGACCTGCCCTAGTTATAGTGTAGAATGATTACGAGAGTTACCACTAGTCTATAGTACTGTTATTATTATTGTTATCTCGCATAAGTATGACAGAGTTCTCAGGTTATTACTAAAAAGAGAGAGTGGAATTTTCATTACAACGATGGGCAAAGCGGACGATGGGGGGAGAGTACGGGACATGTATCTATGATTCAGAGTTAGGACGCACGTGTACGACCACTCACACGGCGGGGCGGGGCTACGTCTTGATTTACCTCAGCATGATTCGCACCGCGTCCTGTGCCGCGTCCTCGACCACCAACGCGCCCCTTCTTGTTCCCGCCCCTCTTAGGATTCGCAGAGATGGGGGTATCGTGTGCTGCAGGTGTGGTAGTGAGAGTCGGCTGTTCGAGTGGGGCCGCAAATGCTGCGTCGATGGGTGGGTCGGCCGGTTCGTCGCCGTCACTTTCCGTTACATTGCTGAGGTCGAACGTTTCGAGCTCGACATGCCTGGTACCTGTGTGTAGAATGGTTTCGTCGTCGTCGTCGTCGCTATCGATATCCCGGAGGGCCTCGCAAAGGGAGCTGACCCCATGCTGTCCTTCTGGGGCAGCGTTCACTGCCTCTGATGCCGCGCTGTCGTAGGTAATTCCTGCGAATACAATTTCTTGATGGATGCGAAACGCCTTGCGTATGGGCGCTGAGTCGGCGTGGAGCATGAGGGTGCCTTTGAGTTTGTAATAATACTCGCGGTAGGGGATTAGGCTAACAAGGCCAGTCTCGTTCAGTGAGCTGTCAGGTGAAAGTAGAAAAACGGCCTAATAGCCGCGTGTAAGCCAAATCAAATGGCGGCGAAATTGACGGACATACCGCAATAACTGCGAACGCGAGAGAGGCCGGAGTGAGCTCGTTTATGCCCCACAGTTTTCCGAGCGTCGACGTATGGACCGTGGGTTTATCGAGTGATGCGAATCCGAAGAGGATAACCCGCAAAACCTACAGTTGGTCAGTATTAGTGTTATTGCGGCGACGGTACTTCACGCACCCGGCCAATTATTGGATTGCAAAAGACCCTTTTAGGGCTCGCCTCAAGGTTTGGGTAGACAAGAGGGGGAACTTCAGGGTATTTTTTATCACCTGGAAACTTGAGTAGCGACTGGATGATGGTGGAGCTGGCTCGTGTGGCAGGTGAGGCCCAATCGCTCGCGGGGATGGGATATTCCTTGAAGATAAGAGGAGCGGCCCTCTTTAGATACTTGAGGGCGTCCGCCCGACCCTCTCCCTGCTTTCTACGAAGCTAGTTGATTCGTGTCAGACCTAATACTACTCCGATAAGAAGTGGGAACTCACCAGGCTACACCAATCATTTCGTGACTGTAGGAAACTGTGGTACTTCTTTGGTAAGAAGTCGTAGATCGCAGACGTGATGCCGAGCTTGTACGTTTCGAAAGTGCTGTAGCGTTCCTCGGAGTTGGGATGAAGATCAGGTCGTGGCTTTAGGAAGGAATTGGAATCCGACCAAGCTTCACACATGATGGCCAGCTTCTTTCCCAACTCCTTCGCGTCGTCGGCATCGGGGATCGACATGGATACACTTTTCTTTGCTCGGCCCCGTTTATCCATGTTCTCTGCCACGAGAGTGGCATTCTCGCGGGCGGCCTTGTCCTTATCGACGACAAGTGCTGCTAGCTGCAGCTGCATATCCTCAAGCCTCTGCGAGTGAGTAGCTCGTCAGTATAGTTGATCTGACTGGTGAATACAGTAGATATGAGCACGTACCTTACGAAGCGTTCCCGGGCTAGCCTCAGGACCGGGGAGGCTGAGATCCACAGCGGCCACGTCAGTGTCAGACGGGTCTGAATCGCTAAACGAGTCAGGATTGGGCATGGTGCGAGGGGATTATCGAACGAGTAAGTGGTTCTTGAATCACAAACTAGAAACCAACTCACTGGCTCAATTTATACGATGACCTTTGATAGTGCGTGTTCAATGGCTCTGTGCGACTTGGACATGTGGTGCCGCCGTGATCAACTCGTGTATGGTGGTGTCGTCGTGATGTGTCCTGAAGTACAGCTGTTCGGGTGTTATTGATGATGCAATGACGCCTGCCGTCAAACACGCAGTTCAGTATGTGGTCCTCTATACGTGTGGATTGATAAAGACCACTTACATTTGTATATAATAGGCCCAGTGGGTAATTAAGTCCGAAATCGAGGCCGGCCTTGAATGTCTTGCATCTTACACCGTTACTTTCTCGTGCCGATGATACGCGACTCCATTGACTGGTGCCCATTGAACCTTCTCTATCTTGGTTTGCCATTTACCATGGGTGTCCTCAGCCAACGCACCACCTGCACCAACGTCCATATGAAAACTACACACGACGCGCGGAAGATACTGTATGCGGTTGAAACAGGTCACTTACGGAAGGTGAAACATTGCCTCAGCAAGCAGCATCAAGTGCATGCCGGCGATATTTACGTTTGGGAAGAGCAAGTTGCGGGCAGTCAGGCTGCCACAACGGGCATAAGCATGCAGCGGTTTATGGATCCATACCAATGGAGTCCGTCAAGACTACGGGGTGTACGTCAGACTCTTATTGGCGTGTGGTTGAATCGGGCTCATACTAACACCTCATATTAGGATTTTCTCTTCTACGTCGAGAAATATGTGCCGACTCCGCCGTTGAAACCCACAAAAATGCACGCAAATAGGAAATTGCGAAGTCCCCAACCCCCCGTACTTTATCGAGGATGAATCCTTTGTCTCTTCGTCTGTCTTTGCTGGTACATATGCATATTCAAGATCATAAACACTTTGTAAATTTTGTAAAGAATATCCTACTTATAGAAACCGGTACCTAAGAAACATATCACCATCGACTGTATCAACAAGAAAGTGGTCACCTTGCAGACCAAAGTCAGGGACCACCAACACACCTCGTAGAATAGAGGATAAGAAGATGAACTCCGCAGATTTCCGAGGACGTGCTCTAAGGCGAAGGAGTTGCAAGTCAATGTCTTTCTGTTGTCTAATGCCAGATGGTCGGTCAAGCGAATGGACAAGAGCAATATCGTATGTGGCCTGGTTCACCGTAATCGTAAATATCATCAAAAGCTGTGCGACGATGTCCGTTCCAAGTGTTGTTGGCCGTGCAGTCTTGATTATGACATGATCATACCGTGGTGCTCCTTGGAACTTTGGGTTGCATCGGAGCAAGTCGGTGTCTTCTCGCCAGTCAACTGTTGACTCATAGTTGACCGTCAAGTATTTTCCAGGGTGAATCTTGGTAATACTGAGATGTGAATTCCATGTATGGCAGTTAAAAGCATACCTTTGTCAGTTGGTCTCCTGGGTTTCGGAGGTACCGATGTCCTGGCTGTCTCTCCACATCCAATTCTCTGTTGAGAAATTCCACCAATCGCAATCGGAACCGCTCAAATGCAGCATCACCTTGATGATTTGCTTCAACATCTGCAAGTGTGATGGGCTTGTCACGGGAACCAAGTGAATAATGCCCAGATGGTGATGCAATAACATCATCGTCCTCAGCATCTTCATCTTCAGGTGCTGGAGTCGGAGCAACCAGTTTCTTGGATGCATCGAGAACATTGATTTCATCCCATATAAAGTCAGAAACCTGTTTCAGGTGGTCGATCAACAAGATCTACAAGCACCAGTAATTTAGCATATGTCAAGAATGCATAGTTTTACTCACCTGAGGTGCAATATTCTTGAAGTTGGTCCGCCTGCGGTACGTGGTTTTCAAGCCGCCATGTGATTTCTCATAGGGCTTCGTACTGTAGTTGCGTGTTGCACCTTTCTGTTCAATATCGTCAAACAAATGAACATAGAGATGGTTTTTGGGGAAGTTCCAACTCTTGCGAAACTCTGGTTTTGTCTTTTCTTGATACTCCTTGACACTGTTAATTTCAATCATACATCTAAGAAGAGAACATACCTGAAGAAGTAGTGACAGTTGTTTCACTTCCTCTCGACCAGCGGAAATCGTCTCAGAGGTATGAACCTGCAGACTGGCGTACATCCGCAAGTTGATATAGTGTCGCATGCATTTGAGAAGGATATATCCTGCATGGTCAACCTGCCGGGTGAGAATATTGTGTGCTGCAAATAGAATACACTGTTGTTGTATCAGTACCATGCAGATATTTAGTTAGCATGATCTTTCACCTTTGATATATCTTCACTCTTGGAGCCGTCATTAAATGACAATGTGGTAATAGCTTTGAAGTGACCAAGGCGGCTCCACCGAGGAAAGGCCATCATCCTGACAATGAAATTTTGATTGTCAATATTGGGTAATCATATATCAATGAATAAACAAACTGATTATCAAGGGCCGTTAAAGACTTTCGACCAAGAGCATCAACGTGGAGGAGGATTTGTTTAAAGAGATGATCATCAAACAGTCCACCATCAAATGTGTGCAAACAGTCAAATGAGGTACTGCGATAAGGATCGGAGTTGGCAATTTTCCAAAATACATTCTACAAGTTACACCAAGTCAATAATGATATTTCGGGAGGAAAAGATCACTCACATCAATTCCTCGGAGACCATAGTTCTTGAGCAAATTATTGGACTCCTCTACAGTTCTCATTGCCATGGCATCGTCATATACCTTCTTCATAGTAGCTTGGGTACGGAGTGGATAAGTGGTATCATGAATGGCCAACTTATCCTCTGGGACCAAGCAAATTGGACAAGGGCAGTATGAACCTGTCCCCCTTGTCAATGTCATCACACAGCTAAACATTGAGTTAGCAAGGATGAATAGAAGACATAATAAGAGCCCATACTCTTCCTCATAATCGGCAGACTTTATGGGAACACAGGGATACAAGCTCCGCTGAACACCATCACCGCATTTTACCGCAAAGCCAGTATGAGAGTGAGCAATGATATCCTCCAGGATGACCCCCATTGCAAGATGATATATGGTTGCTTTATGGTTTGTCCATTTCGTTTTGCCTTTCTCGGGCGCTAGCTCCTCAATCTACATATTGTATATTAGCGGTGAACAACTTATGGAATCACTTTACTCACAATTGGTAGCCATCCCACCATAAAGCCACCACCTGGTCCCTCACCATTACGGATGTTGATATTCAAATTACCCACTCGGGCAATGACAGGATAGCCCTTAGCTGTCCCGAAAGTTGAAAGCCGAGTTTTGTCGGCATATATAATCAAGATGAAGGGCTTTCCATCATTCGGTAGTGTTGACTAATGTGAAGTTTAGCCATTTATTAGTGAGGCTAACGGTGGCTTACACCCGGCTTACCTGAATCTCCCACCACAGATCACCAGTGACAATATCATCGCGGAAACGTATCCAAGACTTGCCGTCAAACTTGAACAGCTGTTTGGCATCCCATTCAAAATGAGGGGCAAGACGGGGGTCTTGTACAAGCTTCATGACCCAATCCCACACAGGGCGTCGCCAAACATCATAGCTCAAGACTTTGCCCTTATATACATCAGAGACGGAGTGTTGCGTAAACTTGATATTATTATTATTGAACAACATGCACATATACATTTAATAGCTACACACCCCAGGCATTTTATTGGCAGCAAGCTTCCAGATATTCATCATCTCCTTATAAGATTGTAGCGTCAGAGCCCCACGGCTAGGGTCACGACCAACAGCACCGTAAGTGAGCTCAAGTAAAGTGTCGACAGCGTTTTCATTGAGCGATTGCGTTAACGCAATGGAGGCAAATTCGAAATCGCGGCGGGTGCGAAAGGGTCGCCATGGTTCATCATCGATGATGTAGTCGGGTTGTGCCTTCGAATTCAGGCCGTATTCGTGAAAATGATGGACCGTGGTTGGTCGTTGGCTCGACGGATGATAGTTGCACTTGATGTCATCTATCTGAGGCTGAATCTGATCACCTATGGAATCCTGCATGAGATCAAGGGAAAACAAAAACGATCAGGTGTTGCGAACCTTCAGATACAGGCGACGGTCCGGGTGTCGACTCGCGGCTGCTATCGCTGTCGACCCCGGCGCCGTGAAGGTCCAGGGGCGGCGGCGAGGGTGGATATGATGGTACAGAAGGGGGGGAATCGAGGGGTCGAAAAGCGAGGGATTCGTTAGGTGCTGGCACAGCAGGAGGGAGCGAGGTGATCTGTGATGTCGACGAAGCTTTGCAAATTCGTGAGCTCGAAACGGCCTGTTTTCAACGGCGGAATTACTTACCTTGATTTCTGTTACGAGCCTTCAAGATTTCTTGCGCGGCACGGAGCTTTTCTTTTGCGAGGAACTCAGTGTCCTTTGCGCGGTTGGTCTTCTTCAACTTACACGACGCCATGTGTTTGTTCAGCCCCCTTTGCTTGTAGGGCATGCCACATATGGGACATGGCACTGTTGAGCTGGTACCAGGGTCTGCCATCCTTCAAGCACGACGAGGCGGATGAGGGGACGAAGGAACAGCGGGCAGCGAGGGGTAGGTGAGAAACGAGAGGCCCACAAGTGAGCAACGGCGAACAAGCGGGCAACGGCGACGTAGGGAATTGGGACGATGAGCGACTGCGGTACTGAGCGACTGCGGTACTGGGCGACTGCGATACTGGGCGACTGCGATGGTGGGTGACTGCGAACCTGGTGAAGCGAATGGGCGGACTGGGGACCAGCAGTTTTCAACGGGGGCTGGAGTGGCAAGTGCGCAGCGGCGGGCAATGCACAAGCAACGGTGCGGGACAAGCGAGGAACGGTGGGCGATGAGAGCTGGTGCGGGACAAAATCCCAACGCTGGACAGTGAGCGAGTGGTGCTGCAATATGGTGTGGTTCAACGCAAAGGAGGGAACGAGTGTCATGCGGATGCTCGAACATCCATCAGTCTGTCACGCGGTGGCATGAGAAGACTGATGGCATTGGTTATCAGCCAATGGGAGTAGTGCATGCTTTGGGGAAACACTTACCAGTAGTACGGTAGTACTCCCATGTTCGTTTGCGCTCCGTCGAGCTCCCAGCTGGTCCTCAGAGGGTGACTTGATCAAGCTTGATCAAGTTCATTGTCTTGATCAGGGTCCTACCATTCTTGGAGCTGACTGACCCGGGCCGATGGATCTGATCAGAACAGATAAGATGCTGCCCCGCTATTGACCAGGCTCTGATCAAGCGCTGGTCGCGTGTCGGTCATCGAAAAATCTGATTGGCGCTTTTCACTTTCTCCGACAAGGACTTCAAGCGTTTGGCGCCTTGGCGCTTAGCCATAGTACCGCTACGGAAGATTACCCTCGGAAACATTCGAGTCTCTCCACTACGACCGCGGTTTGTCGCCATGAGTCTACGAAATCACTTGAAGAGTCTCATGGGAGGAAGAAGCGGTTCCCCCCTTCTCCTACACCACGACACTGAAGCTTCAACGTCGTCCGACATACCGTACTCTCCGTCGAGCCTGACTTCCGCGGACGCGATTGTCCACCTTGAGTATGATCCGGCCCAGATTCCTGCGAAGCCCACACAAGACGGCTCCTGGACGCGATTCATCTGCATCAGCGACACCCATTCGAGGACATTCAACGTCCCAGACGGCGACGTCTTGCTTCATAGTGGAGATCTTACACCTACAGGAAGCGTAGAGCACTTCAAACGCACGATGGAGTGGTTATACAAGCTTCCGCATGCCCACAAAATGTGAATACTTTTCGTTTCGATCAGCCCGTGATATGAGTTGAAGAATACCTAGAATTATTGCGGGAAACCACGATTTACCTCTTCACAACGACTGGTACGAGACGAATCACGATCGGTGGCATACAAGGGGTAAACAGGTGTGTAACGTATGTAGCTCACATTGCGAGCTGCCTCTATACGCAAATTCTAGCCTCTGGAGCCCATCTTAGACATGCTGAAAGGCGATAAAGCGAAGCGACATAGAATTGTATATCTCCAGGATGAACGATACGAGTTTCGAGTTGATGGGAGGACTTGGAGCGTGTATGGCTCGCCGGTGAGTATTGCCTACCAATGTCGATCGTATCACTGACGATTTGAAGTGGTCGCCCGAGTTCTTCAATTGGGCCTTCAATTACACCTCAGACGAAGCGGAGGGTAGGTCATTCATACTGCGTTTCCTTTTGTCAAACATATCCAGACAACTGCTCTAGGAATCATATCCAGACTCCCGCCTACAGACATACTGTAAGGTAACACGGTTTGCGCGACACGGCACTCATTATCATTTGAATAGATTGACCCACGGCCCACCTTACAAAGTCTTTGACCGCGTCAAGTTGGGAGACAACGTCGGATGCCAGGTCTTAGCCAGGCGTCTCCCCCAGCTCCGACCCCGCCTACACGTCTTCGGACACATCCATGAAGCCCATGGCGCGCAGATCGTCGACTGGGATACCACACCCGATCTAGCAAACTTCGTTGACGACACAGAATGGGACGTATCCTCCGACGTGACGATCCATTCCGCAGGATCTGCTAATGAGGATATCGCTATGGAGCTTCAGCCAAAGGAGCCCTCGGGCTTCACAACTCCCTCCGAAACGACTTCGGCGACAGATGAGAATACAGCTTCAGGAGGGCGGTTTACGGTATTTGCGAACGCTGCTAATTGGCCATCAGGAGCTCGCGCGAGTAGGGACGGCGCGCGAGTGCCCTTTGCAGGACCTGGATTCCAGCCCATTATCGTTGATTTGAGAAATTAAGACAGGCTTCTTGACTCTGCTCGATTCAATTGAAAACAAAGTCCTATTGCATGTAGGTCCAGATGTTTCAGTTATTTTCTACCGTTGAGTACCCGACGTCTATCCAAGATCGTAGTTGTTCTCCGTAGCGGATCGTGAAGATCAAGAGCCTGTGCAGGTTGTTAGCGATCTTACATCTCAGTCACACATCAAAGACACATACCCAAACCCCACCCATGCAATCAACGCGGCCGCAGCGTTGGTCGCGATAACGCCGAAGTGATTGATCGAAGGTAGGATCGCTGGAACGAAGAAGGAGAGGAGGAGTGCACGGCAGCCACTAAAGACGTGGCGACAATGAGCTACGGTAGATGGAAGTGGGTGTGCCTACTTACCTGTTCGCCGCCATGACCTCTGCGCTCCTCATATGCACAATGTCGACGTTGTACGCCGCGGATGGACTCAAAACTAGATCGACCTATCACAGCGTCGTCTCAAAGTTAGTATCTGGACCATATGTGATACAGAGTACTCGCCCCGATGCCGTTCATGAACAACCAACCGAGACAGAGGAGCAGCCCCATCCTCCCTGGGACATACTCGATTGTGAGGCCCGTGAAAAGTACGGAGAGTGGTACACAAAACGCCGCGCCGAATAGCGTCCCTCTGAGGCGATCCTCGGGGTACCAGTCGCCCCCTCGTTTAGCTCGGTAAGCGATGATGATTCGATCTGATATGTACCCCGCCAGAGGTGCGCCCACTGTTCTCGATTAACGGAAGGATTGTTTGAGGGCGAGGTCGCACGCACCCATATTGCCCACACCACAAGGGATGAAGACGGCGCCGATCAAGGCTTCATTCGTGATACCATACTTGGCTCCCTAGAAGAAATCGTGTTGGGTATAAAAGCAAACCACGCCAACGTGCGTACAGACTTACGATTGTGTATGCCAGGGGTACAAGAAGAACTGTGAGTTTGCAACGTGTGAGGCTTTTTTCACCACTGGCGGTCACTTTGTGAAACTACTAACCAAAATCAGTGACTAGCGCTGCTGTACCCGCTAGCATCTGCGAAGGAACCCATCAATGTTTCACTGCGTGGAAAATAATATGCATCAAACATACCACCAGCATAAGATTGGGGCTTCGCAGTAAACCCAGGCAGGAGAAAGGGTTCAACCATACCCATCTCCATTTTTGACGCCGCGTGCCGCCATTACTCTGCGGCTGTTGATCTTCAGCTTTCTCTGCACCGAGGGTACCGGGGTGACTTGTCTCTGGAAGCCAAAGCGCCATCGAGATCAATAGAGCCAGGCCGTAAATCAAGAAACCCCACTGCAGCATCCTCCAGGATGCGTAGTGCGTCGCTATGCCTGTGTTATAGTGGTTAGACAAGAGTAAATCTAGCGGCGATAAGTGCTTACCTCCAGTGACGGGGGCTATCGCGGGACCGAGAAGGACAGCCTAATTTCAGATGAGCTTCCTACTACGATGGTATCGTATTGTTGGGGCGTACTCACCCCGAAAAAGACACCCATAGCGAAGCCCCGTTCCTCTAGCTTGTATATATCGCCAATAACTCCAGCGCCGAGGGAAATACCGCCGGATATCCCCACATTCTGAATAAAGCGCCACGCAATAAGATAATATATGTTCTGGGAGACAGCTATCTGATATGATCCTAGACAGAAGAAAGGGAGGCCGGCCAGATATACAGGTCGTCTTCCGTCTATGGTTTTCGAGGATGTAAGTGTGTTTCTATCCACGAAAAGGGACGAAATACGCGTACAGAAGCCTGAGTACGTGGCCATGGCCATGCTGCCAAGGGCCGCACCGAAGATCGACATGCTGATGGTAAAGCTACAGAGGCGTGTTAGCAGATGGGGAACATAGCATCAAGTCTCGACACACGTCACAATCTCAGGTGAAGTTGCGAGATCATGGGCGATCTGCGGGATCGCAGGAATGAATGTCCCACTTGCAAAAACTATAATCATGCAATTAGTGACCGGTTTACGAGGGGAAAAGGATTGAGGCCATACGTGGAAGTAGGCCACTGAGGGAAACCAAGATCAATATACCCCGCTTTTTCCATGGGCTGAAGCGATCATAGACATTATCGTGGTCGACAGAAATATGCTCAGCCCTCAGGAGAGGCGTTTCTTCGGTAGTCATGGAGGTAAAGTCAAAGCGAAGAAGGTCGAGTCATTTCGTAAATATATGGGGTCAAGTGGGATTTCCACGCTTAGCGCAGATTGAATGATCATCTCCGCGTAGAAAAGGTGTTAGAGTCCTACCAGAAGTTGATTTATAGGTGCGAGCTCCAGTTCGGACCTGTCATCTGTCGAGGTGTCGAATTCTGAAGTTCAGAAGAGAAGAGTTTCGGAAGAGTTGGAAATCTACCTCCGACTGGATGGAATAGGAGATAGGAGACGACAGGAGGTTTGGTCTCACGGAGTTACGGTCAATGGCACTCTTATACGAGGCTATGAAATTTAGTCATAGGCGCGAGCCCGGATGGCTACGTACTACGAAACCCTCACCCAGGGCCACAATGTCTCTGATTGAGGAACTCAGAGATGAGACATAGAAGTGTTCAACGTGCCCATTGAATTTGGTGTAGATGCGTTAGCGTCGCCAAGGAGTACTAGTGGTCTCACCTCATGGATGATGGAACTCGTTAGATCAGCTCCATTACTCTCCAACTCAAGCACAGCGCACACTGGTTACGAGGTAACTCAGGACCATAATAGATTGTGTCTACCGCCAAAATCGCCACCTTGTTCCACAGGCCCGAAGCTACGCTTATCGTTATCAGTGCAGCCACAGAAAGCGGCTGCTGGAGGGTTGGCGGAGAAAAATCCGAACACTTCAATTTAGTTCGGCCACGCTCGCCATGTAGTTGAGGAAGCCGGGCGTCCTCTCGAGTACTTTTCATTATCAAAGCAAATGTTCAGCACCGTGTATCAGGTGTTCCAAGGAAAGTTCTATTGTCTTCTTTCATTACTTATTCCAAGATCACGGAGGTGATCCCCAAGCTCATAAAGCGGCACACGAAGTCTACGGATGGCTGCACCGCGATGTCAGCGGCGGGAGTATAGAAACACTGGGCGACGGCGACGGCAAAGGTGTTCTGAATGACTGGGACATGGCGATGCAGGTAGACACCGCTGAGGATGGTCCCACATGTAGTGAACGACGCGTGAGTCTTACACCTCGTTCCCTCATGACACCGAGCTTACAATTATCGCTTCAGTACTTGGGAACTCATCAACTCGTTGTGCGGTAGGAGGCATACCCACGAACTCTCCTATGATCTAGAATCCTTCTTCTGGGTCATACTCTACCACAGCCTCCTTTACGTTCCCCGCAACAAAGCTGATGAACTCGAAACTATTATCCCTCGTATCTTCGAGCAGCGTACTTGCGTCAGTGTGCCATCAGGGGGAGATGGCAAAATCGCCACATTGGCCCCCAGATATATGGTGTTTGGGGATAGTTTGGAGTTGAAGCACAGCAAACCACTGACGTTCTTAGTTTCAAGTATGCTCTACGCCTTGGATGTGTGGATGTACCAAGCAGCGGTCTGTCGGGCTGCCCAACAGTCCCCTGTGCTCTTTCAACCATTGCAGGCTGCCCCGTACGCTCCTTTTGATTTTACCAGAACGCACACATAAAGAATACAGGGTCTATATTAGAAAGCACACTTGACCTCACCTGGCCGACAGACGACAAAGCCGATTTCAAGAGGAAGCTGCACAGGGTACTGCTGGACCAGCATCACCGCTCACGCAATGGTAGCCACAGACACTGAAAGAGATTAGAAGGTGATATGGAACAAATCAAGGCGAGATACGAGGAAAATAAAGTTGGAGGGAAGGGGAGTGACACTGACTCCCCTATGCAATCTCCTTTCCCCCTGTTCAGAGTTCCAATTTTGCAAGAATAGAGTACGTTTTCGCTCAAGATATTATAAAAGTGCTGTCGCGTGATATATGATGAACTCATGATATAAAAGTACAAGGAATATATACTCTATGGTAGTATGGACCGTACTAACCAGTACCGGTACCACTTGTGTGTAGTAAGCGTGTGCTTCTCCTTGTCCTCGGGGGTCTCCTCGTCTTTTGACCTTCGGAAGCTCCAGCAAGCGTTTGGGGGATGCTCTTTGCTTTCTTCGATTTGCGTACTTCAGCGTCGCCCTGGGGTGCACTCTGAATGGTACTCTTTCTTTTCTTCGACCCACCGGCTGCAGTACCTTCTTCTGGTGCTTGAGCAGTGGGGGTGGGTTCCTTCAGCATCTGGAGTTTGGCTCCATCGTTCACTGGCCAGGTCTGACTAAATGTAGCATTCCAAATAAATTCTATCTCCTGGTGCTGGTGGTCCTGGACAGACTGCGCGCTGGGCGAAATGGGGTTCAAATCCTCAGCGCAAAGGATGTCTTCGTCGGCAGGGTTGCGTGCAAGGCTGGCTTCTACTCTCCAACGTTTTAGTTTGAGGAGAAAAGTAGCAACAAATCTAGTCAACGGCTTGCAGCCATCGAATTCTAGGCGGGCCCCAGATGAGGTACTATCACCAATGTAGTCACCTTCCATCACCACAATGTGCTTGCCTTGTCCGCCTTTCGTCTCCCCAAAGGAGGTATACTGTTCAAAGATCGCGGGGATTATGTCGCCCAGTGTACCAACCTTATTATGGGGGAGGTAAAGGAGGCTATAGTATAGCACCACCCAGAAGAAGGATTCGAGGTCGTCGCTAATCTTGTGAGGGCGCCGTTCACCCCTCAGCAAGTCGATGGACATGAAGGCCCAAGTACCCTAAAATAGCGTCAGCGAGAATATTTGTTCGGGTGACAATACGGAACCTACTGTGCGTTCATGTGCCCTAGGGCCTCGCTTATCTTCGTTGACCTTCACTGCCATATCCCAGTCGTTCAAAAGACCTCCATTGGTTACAAGTAAAATGTTTCCTCCGCTCACGTCGCGATGCAGTAATTTACACTTTTCGTAAGCCTGCTTGTGTCCTGGTCATGGTAATATTCAACGACGAGAAGGAGAACTTAGGAATGGTCGGGACATACCTTGGAACGCATCATACACGGCCTGAAACATCTCCTTTGAGGAAGAGAACCGCTCGATCGGCCGACCAACTTCCTTCACCACGAACCGAACATGGAAACGGCGGTCAATGGGCTTGCCCTCTGTTCTCCCAATCTTAGCGGCGAAGGCGTCCGTTTGTGTGACTTGGCCGGGAAGATCACCTCCACATAGGAGTGTCGGGACGTGCTTGACATCCGCTTTCTTCAGCTCTCGGAGCGTGTCGATTTCGGGTCGCAAAGCCTTGGAACGCCATTGCTCCTTCAGGAATACGATTGGAGCGTCCTTGGCCTTCTCCAATCCATCGGTAACTTCCAGTGCTGGGTATCCGCGCGTCGCTCGGCCGAGTGGTGATTCTGGATCGGCGAGAGATCCCCAAACAAGGAACTTTCGTGGCTTCGGTGTCTCCTTAATGTCGTTGTCGGCAGCCTGGATTGTCTTCGGACCGACATCGGCGTCATTGACGCAGACTTCTGCCTTGATATGTGCCTCGTCGTTGTCTTCGGCTTGTTCTTCCACCTTGTCGTCGTAAACATCCATCTTGAACACAGGACGTTCGTGCTTCGGTTCCCATTCTTTGAGGCGTTCTTGGGCGAGCTTAGTCTCTTCATCGCTGGCAAGTGCAACCGTGGTATCGTACCCCCTTTGAGCGTCGGTCATCTTAGAGAACCTCGAATAGAACCGGATAAGTGGTGTGCAATCCTGAGAGAGATCGAATTTCGTCGAAACGAGGGCGCCGCATCTATCGAATCTAATGAAGCGGGCATGGGGGAAGTAGATATAGACAAGAAACAAGTGGGTCCGGTGTTGGCGAGCGCAATATTCCACGGCGTATGTCGCGAGCTGCCCTCGGGCATCTCGTGCCTCGTCGGTGTCAATTTCGAAACTCACACCCAGCTTCTTGGCAAGATCGTTGAATAATTCCAGAAGCCGCTTCTTGAGCTCCGCAGGAGAGAGCGCGCTGCCGAGACGGGTAGGAGTAGCGACGGTGACAGAGGCGTCGTCGGTTTTGTGGATGCCCACGTCTGGCTTGACCTTTGAGCCAGCCTTGGAGTCTGGGTCCGCGTGGCGAGAACTATCGACCATCTTGAGACCCTCAAAGTGAGATTCTTCCGGGGTTTTCATGAAGAAACTAGCCTGTTTACGTTTATGCATCAGTTCGTGCGAGCCCAAGATATGAATGTGAACCTACAAATTCAGCGTACACCTCATCTTCATTGGCTGGTTTCTTGCGGGCGAAGAATTTTTCGTCGATATTTGGTAGCTCCTCGGCTTCCCCTTCCTTCAAGTCCAGGGGCATCGTGAGTTCGAAGAAGTCGTCGACTTCACAGGGGCCGACCCAGTATCCTGACATTTCCTGGCACATTCCGGCTCTCTTCTTTTTGAAGTCGTCCGGGTCTAGTGTTTGGGTTTGGATGATTCCTGAATACTTCCTAGAAACAGGGGTAGCTTGGACGAGGGCCGGGTCGATAGTTCGCTTGCGTGGGGGCGAGACTAGTGCTTCGACTTCCTGAGTTAACATGGTGTGAGTGAGTAATGATTCATTGGAGGACGGAGGACATACCCTATATACGTGTAATTATGGCCACAAATGTGGATTGTGGCTCGCGGAAACCTCAAGTGGTAGCTATAGGTGGTGGTCGAATTCAAGCAGTATTGTGGCTTGAGCGACGAACAATGTAGGATCACACGTGATCGCGACTTTATTGCCTTTCTTGTCTCTTTTCTAAAGCGGAGCTTGAAGCTTCGTGTCCTAACTTGTCCACACATTTTGCTTGCGTAGTCTTGGGTTCATTGTGAGCCACTCTCCTGCACATAGCGGCATACAAAGGGCTTGCTTGTATTTTCCCGCCATTTTAATTTCGGACCATTTTGAAAGTGGCCGGAGGATTTGCCCTCATTGCGTGGAGCCAGTAACTACTATTGTATCTCAAATATATAGCGAGTTTTTGGGATTGCCCAACTCTGAAAGGTGTAGTAGTACGTCTTCTCTACCCATTCCTCACCTGTAATTTAATGTATTATTGTCATAAACAGTCGCACAGAGATTATTATTGATTGGCCCTATCTCTCCCTCTCGTCACGCACTCAGAACGATCAGTGATGATAGGTAACCTCTGCGATGGACAAATCCTCTCAGAATATCGCATCGACGGTCCTTCAGAAGGTTTATGCGGCTCTAGTACTCATTCTCGCACGCGTGCATCAAGAACTGGCCAGGCCAATGCAGAAACACTTAGTCAAAGCTCACATCGAGTTCGTCACCACAAGAACATAATCAATGTCCAGCCGGTGCTCCATGCCACGATGTCTGTTCACTGATTTTGCATTTTGCTTCCTTACCGTTGTCTGCTGATTCTACCATACCTAGAAGTCTTACAGTTATCGATCTCCTTATTACCGATACTGTGAAGTTTGAACTCCAGTAGCGCAAAGGCGGTCTCTAGCTCTACGACACTCAATATTCGGATTATACCCGTGGGCTGGGGCAAGTCAAAGTTGAGTCGTTTACTCCTTCGTTCCGCTCGTCCGAACGACTACTATCTACCAATTGGTTACTTTGTCAGATCCACAAACACCAAAATATGGAAGCCTTGAAAGACCGTTTTCACTGCACAACCCTGCTCTCCTGTTGCACCCATGGTATGTGCTCGAGATAACCAGCGAGCTATTTTCGTCCTCAGGAACTCTTCTCACCTGTCAGCAGGCGGTGCCGCTCGCCCGTCCCACACTCGCGCTATTTCCATACACACACTCTCACCGGCTTACCCCACCGCTTGATTCATCCATCCGGTAAACGACGTTGGCGTTCCCTGTTTTCTCATCCCCCACTGATCTATATAAAAGTTCAAGCGCATACCCAAAGCATGTCTGCCCACTACTTGGGTTTACCGTAACCAAGTCTTTGGACATGCTGATGAGGACCCCTCGACCGTCCTCCGTTGAAAAAGACAATGACTCTCGCGAGGAGAAGGTGGTATCGGAGTCGTCTGAGGAGGGTCTCGATTTTGGCGGGGAGTCACGCCTTCCCCCGCCCCCCGTTCTAACCTCGGAGCAAGAAGCGAAGTTGTGGCGGAAGATAGATCTTCGGTTAATGCCAATATTGAGGTACGGCCCCGAGGAACGTGTTCAGTCATGTCACTCATCGTTGCTCACTACTTCCCAGTTTGATGTATCTCTTTTCATTCCTCGATCGAGGTGCGTAAACTCGTAGTTGATGAGGGAAAGTTGATTACTCATAATCTGGCCCAGGGAACATTGGTGATTAGTCAATTGCGGCGAGGTCGCCAAGTTCTTGCTAACAAAGTGAAAGGCAATGCGAAGCTGCAAGGCTTAACCACCCAGTTGAACTTAATCGGCAACGAGTACAACATTGCCCTGGTATGCCCTCTCCCCTCTATCAACAATGTCATGATCAAATGACGTGAATCCTAGACCATGTTCTTTATTGTAAGCGAAACACGACGTGTCGTGTGCTCCTATTTACTTCCATCTGTCTCAGCCGTACTGCATTTTTGAATGCCCATCGAAGTGAGTGGCACAGCGAGCGGCAGGGCGGCTGGCTCACATATCTACTACCTCTAGCCTCGTCTTGAAGAGATTACGCCCGTCAAGGTATGCCCGCCAACAAGTCGTTCTTGGCTGACGTTTATTGATGACCCATACCCAGATGGCTTCCTGGTATTACAGTACGCTGTTCTAACGCAAACATCCATATTGTACTTACTCTTCCTGCTAGGTCGCATGGGGTACTGTCATGTAATCGTCGAATTTCTCGGCCATATTTGTTCATTCAATACTGACATCACGAACAGGACTCTCATGGGGATTGTCAAGACGTTTGTCACTAAACCGCTTCCGAGTTACTGCTGCTTACCCACCCTTCCTTAGATATCCGCAACTCGTCGGCGTACGTATCTGTCTAGGAGTAGCAGAGGCGGGCTTATTCCCTGGTGTCGTTTATTAGTAAGTCGTCCATTCGATATCCTCTCGGGCGTACATCTCAACCGCAGACCCGCAGCCTTACACTCTGGTATCCAAGACACATGCTGCAATATCGGATCGGCATATTCTTTGGCGCGGCATCTGTATCTGGTATGATCAGCCTCTCTTCACGATGGATCATCCCTCATTGGTGCGGTTAGGCGCTTTCTCTGGCCTTCTGGCCTTCGGCATCAGTTTCATGTCAGGAACGAAGGGTCTGTTGGGGTGGTCGTGGATCTTCGTGTGTTTCCACCTCGTTATCGTCTTGGATGGTTTATCTTATTTCTTTGTCAGATTTTGGAGGGGATTGCAACGGTAGCCGTAGGGATTTTGGCATTTTTCGGTACGCATTGTGATCCCCTCGTAGCGGAGTACGTGCATAACTGAACATACACGATGACAGTGCTTGTTGATTTCCCCGTCAGCGCCAAGTTCTTGACACCGGAGGAACGAGCGTTTGTGGTTTGGAGAAAGAGTATGTCTTTCTCGGATTCGTACTCTCTCAAGGTCCGCTCATCATCGACAGAATATGATAGTTCTTCTGTCGGCGAGGAGGAGCGGTTTGCAGCTCGTCATATTTGGGCCGCCTTCAAAGATTGGCAGGTTCTTGCTGTAATACGCTCTCCCAGGCTGCCGGATACTGACAAACACTATCGTGCAGGTGTGGCTCCACGTCTTTGTATACTTATCCGTTATCACTCCACGTAAGTCTCATATGTGGGCGTGTCGTGAAAGATGCTGATCCTATTTTAGTCTTCGGCATTACACTCTTCCTCCCGTGAGTACATTTTTTGATGTGAGAATAGCGATCAGACACTAATCAGTCTCGAAGGTCTATCATTAACTCGTAAGCACCCCTTCAGTGATAGAGGAGCTTGATTAACGTTGCGTTAGCTTTGGACATACTGCAGCCATCAGCCAACTACTTACAGTGCCGCCTTACGTCTTTGCCAGTACGTCGTCCCTTCTTGTGAAATCCAGAAGTCTCACAACGGATCCAGCTATTGTTCTCGGCTTCTTTGCATACTATTCTGATAAGCTCCGGCTACGATCTGTGTTTATCCTTGCCGGTCTATTAATGTGTCTGGTCGGCTTCGCAATAAACATATCCGACGCACCCAGCGGCGTGAAGTATTTTGGGACGTTCCTGGTCGTCGGAGGAAGTTACGCTGCATTCCCTGGAGTCGTTGCATGGTACGCCTGTACCCACAAGCTACTAAATATAACACGACTCACAGTGCGTACGTAGGAACGGAAATAACTTGGCTGGTCAATACAAGAGGGGTGTCGGCATGGCGCTTCAAATCGGCGTTGGTAACCTTGGAGGCGCCGTTGCATCGAACATCTACAGAGCGCAGGATAGTCCTCGATATCTCGTTGGCCGTGAGTTTCTCTCCCGGTACCTGATAATTGGGGTCCGTCTCATGTAGCGCCAGATGGTGTCGAGCTGCTCTTTGTTGGCATTGGTCTCATTTGTGTGCCGCTAATTGTCGGATTGTACACTGTAATCAATCGGAGAAGGGATGCCGTGGAGAAAGAGGTGCTAGAAAAGGGAGAAACGAAGAAAATTTCCCCACAGGAGCTGAGGGAACTCGGCGATAGAGGTCCAGAATTTAGATACATGCTGTGAACTCTGGACCACGCATCTCGTCATCTGAATATTCTGAGTCAGATACTGATAAATGTACAACTCTCAACAGAGATGCCAGATCGCGTGATTGAATTGTCAATGCCAGTTGTAAAGTACAGATGGTCAAACAATGTAGACGTAGATGAGTAGACAAGAAACTGGCTATAATTGTAGATCAAAGGTGTGCAGCTTCAGAGCCATGGCAAGTCTTGCGCCTTTTCCTTGGAGAGCATTCGTCGTCGTCGTCTTCGTCATCTTGTATGCTGTCGTGAGGATCAGAACGTTTCGAACCTTTCCGTTCCGGACGTTCACCTCGAACTATAAAGTCGAGCCTCTTACTGAGCCGAACTTGGTCAACGGCACGGTCTGCAACGGGCCATAAAGGTGATTGCAGGGCTTGCCTCCACAGAGGTTCCATCTCCGCGTGTGAAGCAGGGATATACCCATCTTCTTCCCAGCTCTGGATCGTCGGATCATAACGAAAATCCCATTTCCCCAACAAGTCCAGACAGTCGAACAAAAACTCTGTCAGAGGTTGACAGCCAATGAAGGAGAACTGCTGCGATCGCCTACTCCCAAGGTAGCGTCCACGGCGAACTAGCGCGTCTTTGTTATTACCGCCCCGTGCCATACCGTCTCTTTCTGCGAAGTCGTATTGATCGAATATCTCTTTCATCATGTGGTCCAGCGAGTCGCGATGGGTGTGGGGTAGATAATGGAGTCCGTAGTAGAGGATAACCCAGAAAAACGATTCAAGATCGTCGCGTGTCGTGTGTTGCTTGTTCGGTTGTTGTAGTAGTCCCACCGACATAAACGGCCAAGTGCCCTGGAAACAAATGAAGTGAAGAATGGAACATGGATCGACGGGCAAGAACTTACCGTCCTCTCGTGCGCACGCGCCCCGTTATCGAGGTCGGCCTCTTCACGTGCGAGATCCCAGTCACTCAGCAGCCCTTTATTATTATCCAGTATCAATATGTTGCCACCACTGATGTCTCGATGCCAAATTTTGCACTTGTTGTAAGCTTGATCATGTCCTAAGAGCTGTGTTTTAATATGCATGTGAATTGGAACGCTCATCAACTTACCTTGAAATGCATTATAAATCGCCCCAAGCATGACTTTCGAAGAAGGGAAGTTCTCGAGAGGTTGACCAACCTCAGCGACGACAAATCGAGTATGGATTCGTTTGTCGATGCGCTTATGCCCCACTCTCCAGTTACCGATACTAATCTCGTGCGTCTTCGTTTCCTGCCCGGGAAGGTCCCCCCCACACAGTAATGTAGGGACATGCAGCACACCGTGTTCATTGAGTTCCTTCAGTGTCTCGACCTCCGGCCTTACCGCGACAGACCGCCACTGCTCCTTGAGAAACACGGGTTTCGCAGACACGACACCGTCGATGACCTCGACCGCCGGATATCCGCGAGTCGTACGTCCCAATGGAGATTCTGGGTCAGCTAACGACCCCCAAACCAGGAATTGTCGCATCTTGCCATTCGCAGCCGGAACGTCCATCTTGAAAACCGTTCGCTCCAACTTTGGCTCCCACCGTTTGAGGTACTTCTTCGCTTCTTCGGCTTCGGCTTGCGAAGCAGGCTGGACGGTGGGGTCGAATCCTTTTCCAGCCCGATCCAATCGACCAAACAGATAGAGGAAGCGCACCAACGGGGTGCAATCCTCGACATAATTTATGCGCTTCGTTACGATGGCGCCAGCTCTGTCCCAGCGAATAAACCGTATGAAGGGATGAAAAATGAAGACCATGTAGAAGTGTGTTCTGTGCTGGCGACGGCAGATCTGAGTTGCGTAGTTCGCAAGCTGACCACGAGTAATAGTAGAGGTCTGGCAGGTATTTTCGTAAGGCGCTTGGCAGTCGTCATGAGGCAGGGGTTTCGTGCATTTCATTGTGTCGTTGACAATGTCTTCTTTGCGGGCTTTCTTCACCTCGTAGGCGAGTATGATGAGGTCTAGCATGGTCGGATGCTCCTCGGACACTACTCCATGCTCGTAGTGGCCCAAGTCTGGGCGTATCTTTGCTCCTTTCTCTGAATTGGGGTCGGCATGGTTGGATGTATCCACTAGAGTGTGATCAGGAAGCAGCGACTGGTATCCAGCCTTGCCATTGATAAGAGGTGGCTGAAAAGTATTGGTTGGAAATAATATCAACAGATTAAACTGACATGCGTACCAGGCTCTTGTAAAGGTCTTTCTCGCAGGTTACGCGCTGGTCCTTGAAATATGTTGCCGGTACATTGGGCTGGCCTAGCGATAGATCATCCTCCGGAGGTGCGTTCATGCTCTCGAAAAAGTGCTCCAACGGGCACGGCCCAATCCAATTACCCTTCATTTCACTTTCCGCCAACAGAAGTGGCAAAGTTGGTTGGAACAATGAACCAAGACGTAGTGGCCACAGGCAAATTGAAATTAAGATTGTGATCGCTGAAACGAGAGGGTCACATGATCGTGTATTGTGGCGCAACAGGGTCACTAGGTTCATCGTTTGTTTCGTGAAGGTCCCCAAAAGCTTCGTCGGAATCGAACTGATCGGCAACGCACCATCTGTTAGCGAATCGAACATTTCGGTCGTTGATTTTGCATCCTACTAGATCATGGTTGTAAGACAGGGCCGGCGTTACTGTCGCTAGGCGCGTGAACTACCTCAAAGATGGTATCCCTTTGATGCAGTTCTCCGTCTATTCAGTCGACTGGATAGGGATTTGATCCCACAGTCCGACCTGCCCTCGAAACTGAAGCCAAAGAGGCGAAGAAGTATCTTGAACGATGGGCACCGCATACGGACCGCCGCGTCTTCCAGATGGACGTACCCTCTGATAATGGGCCCAAGTCCCGTCAATTTCTCGTTTAGGGTGCCCTAGCTGACCCACAGTCTCCTTTTGGTCGAGCGACTCGCGGGTACCCAGCAGTCGAGATCGCTGACGGCGTAATTTCTCCTAGGCCCATTTCTGAAGAGAAGTGGCGAGATGCCGCTACGGGACCTGAGGTGGCGACGCTGAAAGAACTCAACGAGAAGGCCGTGCGGCACGTTCCTACATTGATATATGGAGGCGACCTTCCAGGACAAGAAACAAAGGCACACGGGATCAGCGACGCTAGTTGGGATTGGTCATAAACACATCTACAAGAGGGTCCATACTAGATTTGTCGTCGCTGAGGTCGGTAGCCCTCTGGAAGCATTCCCGTCTTCGAAGGTGATGTTTGGGGCAATCCATGACGCATTTCAAGGTAAGCTAGATAATATATCAGACCTACGAAATCATGTTGATACTTACGCACAGCGCACAAACAAGCATACGAGGAGTGTGGTATCATTCACCGAGACGTCAGCGGCGGAAATATACTGATATTAGATAACAACGAAGGGCTGCTGAACGACTGGGACCTCGCGAAGAAAGAAGCAGAAGATCAAGATGCAACCCTCGTCCCTGACAGAACAGTAAGTACGATACATCCCCGCGATGGGCTCCGCTGACCCAGATGGCGCATTTCAGGGTACATGGCAATTCATGTCTTTCGGACTCCTGCAAGATCCCTACAAACGGCATACGGCACGCGGTGACCTTGAGTCATTCTTCTGGCTTGTCCTGTGTTACGGGCTTCACTACTTATCACACTCGTTCACCAAAAATGTGCCGGCGATCATGGCGGATATATTCGATAAGTTCACTTTTACTCATCCAGATGGCGTCGCCCGCGGAGGCACAACGAAAGTGGCTCTCGTCACCGCCAACTTTAACAATGGCCGGCGACCACGCCCTTTGATCAAGTCAGACGCATACAGATTCTCGATCTTATCGTTTGCGGAAAACGACCCGATGGGGCCAACTTCAAGCGTGCTCGTCCTCAGACTCGTTAAGAGTGATGACGAAAACAGAAGCTCGAGGAAAAGGCGAAAGAAGCGGTGTCCGACGTAAGTAACCGACACCCACCAACGCCTCCGGATCGGTAGGATGTCCTTTGTAGTGTAAATATCCCAGAAGCACGATTTTATAGCAATAGCAATAACTCAATTCAAAACACGCAATGTGTTATCGCAGTAGTTGTACAGAAAGGCGATAGGCCATGAAAGGAAAGGCGGATTGATGATGATCGAGAAAGGGGTTCTTCGACGAAATCCTCAAAACGGATAGTACTTTGGGGCGCAGCGCATAACCTCTAATACCCTTGGGACGAGGGTCCTTGAAGTCAAATCAAAAGGATAGTTCCAACTCGACCTGCATAATATGAGCGCGATGGTTGCAATGAAATCTCAAGTACTTACACTTGCTATTGCTCTGTCAATTTGGGTACGGAAACGCTCTAGGAACTTGTACATGTCTCCAAAGTTGTCCATGTCCTTGCACAATTTACACCCGCTGATACTGCTGACAGCATCTTGAAGGGTTTTTTCAGTAAGACGTACAGCGGCGGGACCTTGCAGCATGAATTGCATCCCAATTCCTTCCATATAGTTGCACCACCAGCTTGGAAAATTCCGATAACGAAGCTGCTTTACGTCGCTGCACCTTTTTGCCTTCGGGGTTGCACTGTTGGCATGTCGTTCGAAAGAGTAGGAATCGATGCTAATGGAACTATAGAACATCCAATCAACTTGCGTAGTGAGATTCTGACATGCCTGACGGCATGCATGGTGATACTGGAAAAGACGATGATAATCCATCCCTGTGATGGATTTTAGAGCTTCGGCCTCGAGTTCCAGTAGCTCGTCTGTCGTGTAGAGCAGTGATGCCTTCGCTGCAGATATTGCGACCTCTTTCCAACGGTACCGGCATGCCATAGCGAAAGCCTCGACAGGCGAATTTTCAACACGCAGCACCTGAGGATAATCGCGGCCCATCTTCTCCACGACACCATCCAAGTCGTACTTTTCCGCCACTCGTAGAATCGAGGTCACTTGCTTATATTCCGTGACGAGCGGGTCGGGCCCCGGGTAGCACAGTCGCAACATCATGTCAAGAGTCGTGGAATCCTCCTCCATCTTTATCGTGGGTTTGGTGGCTTGTGTTGCTGGTTGGGGAATTGAGAACATGTCGCGAAAGATAGGGGAAGCCAACTTCAAGATGACACTGTACACGTGGAAGTTGACATTGTTCGATGATTGCAGTATGATGTCCGCGTCAGGATCGTCGAACGGGGAGGATGCTACGTCCTGGTTTGCCTCCCTCATGGTTGCTAAGAAGGAACAGGCGCTGGCACAAATTTATGGCGAATAGGAGTTCTCCCCCCCTGATGAACGAGCCTGAAGTTCAGAATGATTTATATAATCTCTACACCCTTAATGGAATAAAATAATGATCGTCGTAGTACTCGTACAGAAAGGTATTCAAGAGTCGAGATCCAACTTATTTCCAGAGATCGGATCAGAAGGATAACTCCAATTTAACCTGCGAAAGATAAGTGCGACGACAGCGGTGAGATATGAGCAAATACGCACACTTTTTATTGTACTATCGATTCTGTCGCGAAATTGTTCTAGGAACCGGTATATGTCGCCAAAATTTGCCACGTCTTTGCATGACTTGCACTCGCTCGCGCTGATAGTTTTCAATATGCTGCTGTCGATGAGACATACAGACGTAGGGCCCTGCAACATGAACTCCTTCCCGATTTCTTGCATGTAGTTGCACCACCAACTTGGAAACGCCCGATAGCCAAGCTGCATAACATCGCTGCACCGCTTTGGCTTGGGTACCGTATTGCTTGCATGCCGTTCGAAAGAGTAGACCTCAAAGCGGCCGGTACTGGTGTAGTAGCCAACCCACTCGATGTGCTTGGTGACATTGTTGCATGCTACCCTGCACGCATGGTGGTATTGAAAAAGACGATGATACTCCATCCCCGTGACTGACTTCAAAGCTTCGGCCTCCTGGTGTAGAAGTTCATCCGTTGTGAAGCCTAGCGACGCCTTCGCTGCGGTTAACGCCACCTCTTTCCAACGGTAACGACATGCCATCGCAAAGGCCTCGATGGGTACTTCCTCGAAATCTACCAACTCAGCATAACTGCAGCCCATTTTCTCCACGACACCGTCCAAGTCGTATTTTTCCGCCACGCGCAGAATGGATGTTAATCGTGCGAGCGTCGTAACGCGCGGGTCGGGCCCCGGGTAGCACAGTCGCAGCATTATGTCAAGAGTGGTCGAATCCTCTTCCATCTCTACTACGGGTGTTTCTGTTTGTGTTGCCGGTTGGGGGATGGAAAACATGTCGCGGAAGATAGGGGAGGCCAACTTCAAAACGACACTGTATACGTGGAAGTTCACATTGTTCGAAGATCGTAGTATTATATCTGCCTCAGAATCGTCGAAGGGGGAGGATGCTATGTCTTTTTCCCCCTCACCCATAACTTGAGGGTAATAAGGTGGGTGATAAGCAGTGCGAAGGTACTCACGGAGTTCCCAGCCATGTGGCAAGTTGCCTTTTTCGAACTTTATACAAATTGTACTAGTACAGTGTATTCTCGAGGCCCACCACGGGTGAATTCTCCAATAATACAACTAAAGCTGGCAGCTTTGCAACATCCTACGGGGCATGTGGTTTGAGGATATTTCTAGGATCTTTACGCGCTCCATGACGACTACGCCAGCCTGTCCCAGCAAATGACATTGAGGCGTACGAATGGAGGGAAAATATCCATCGCGCAGGAACGCGTGCGGTGCTAGCGTTTGGATATCTCAGTGCCGTACTTGGGGAGATGCCTCCGAATGAGAGTTGACGTTGATGCAGTATAGCCGATTTCGTTTCGTACGGCGCTCGACAGGGTGAGACGTGTGTTCGCATGCACTTTCTGCTGTATCGTCAATGGTGTCCTTATCTCCGGTGTATTTTCCTTTGATTGCAAGAACAGTGAGGTGACTGAGCTCTGGCGTGGTTTCATCTTCTGTACCTACGATTCCTTTCTCGTAGCCCAGAACAGGTCATATCTGCGCTCCCTCGTCGAAGACATTACCCTGTCGGATGGACACATCGACTAGCGCAAGTCCTAAGCGCGGAGCCGCGTAATCGGTGTGTCCTTCTATCAAAGCGGCCTATTTACAGCATCCCGTTAAAATTATGCAGAAGAGAATGTGTAGAGGACCGCACGTACGAGTAGTTCCCTGGCAGGGTAATATAGCCAGGTCTTCTGGCCACTATGCGCCGGAGAGTGGCTTATAATTACAAAGAACCCAAGCACTACGCAGGCTTGACGAAGCTTCAAAGCTTCAAGCTCCGCTTGAGGAGATAGACAAGAAAGGCAATAAACTCGCGATCACGTGTGCCCTTACATTGTTCGCTGACCCTGTGGCTCGACAAGCCACAATACTGCTTGAAGTGCGACCACCACCTACCAGTCCACCCTAGCCACAATTCACATCTTGTGGCCATAATTACTCGTATATAAGGTATGTATTCTGTCTTTCCATGCATTATTACCCGCTCACGCCATGTCACTTCCGTTTCAAAGCACACCCCCGCGCAAGCAAACTACGCTTGACCTCAGACGCGCCGAATCCCAGGCTACGCCTATCACAAGGAAAGAGTCCGGAGCCCAAGGGCAAAAGATTGAGCTCGACGGCTTTGAAAAGAAGAGAGAAGCAATGTGTCGCGAAATGTCAGGACGCTGGGTCGGCCCATGCAAAGTCGCCGATTTCTTTAGACTCACAATGCCCATCGAATTGAAAAAGGGGAGTAAAGAGCAACTCCCGAAGATTAACAAGAAATTTTTTGCTGGAAAGAAACCAGCCAGCGAAAAAGCTATGGTCAAGAAAACGGTAGGTTGAATGTCTCAATCCATTAAATGTCGCTGATACATCAACTCCTCTAACCTAGATAGAGTTCTTTGGCACGGATAATTTCGCTGGAATCCAACTAGTTGATACTTCAAATCACCCGGATCCGAATTCCAAACGTGGCGCGAAGTTACGACCGGACATATCTATACGCGATAAATCGGATGTCATCGACCCCAACTCACCGACGCAACTCGACGAAACTCCAGGTGGGTTAGAGGCCAAGAACTATGTGGTGGACATTCTCAGCGACAAGGGTCCCCTTTTCGAAAGTGAGACGTTTACAGCGCAGCAAGCTCGCGGCCAGTTAGCGACTTACGCAGTGGAATTGTGCGCCCGTCAACACAGAACCCACTTATTCTTCGTCTATCTCTTCTATCCTTACGCACGCTTCATCCGCTTCGATAGAGCGGGAGCCCTCGTCTCGGAACGATTCAACTTCACGCTCGATTGCACTCCTCTTATTCGGTTCTTTTCGAGGTTCTCGAAGATGTCCCGAGTTGAAAGGGGGTATGACCCTACCGTCCAAGTTGCAGACGAACCTGAGACGAAGCTTGCTCGCGAACGCCTGAAGGAGTGGGCCCCGGATCCAAAGTACGAACGCCCCGTGTTCAAGATGGAGGTTTACGACCACCAGAGCGTAAACGGCGCCAAGATGCCGAACCCTCGCAAGTTTCTCGTTTGGGGAGCCCTCGCCGGTCCAGAATCGCCACTCGGACGGGCGACGCGTGGCTATCCGGCGCTCGAAGTGACTCACGGATTGGACCAGGCTAAGGAGGCCCCGCTTATGTTCCTGAAGGAACAATGGCGTTCCATTGCGCTGCGTCCGGAAATCGACACCCTTCGGGAACTCAAGGACAAGGAGGTTGAACACGTCCCCACACTTGAATGCGGAGGCGACCTCCCTGGTCAAGTCACGCAGACGGCTATGTACGCTGCAAAGATCGGAAAGAGAGGGACCAAGGACATCGACACGCGTATACACGTTCGGTTTGTCGTAGTGGAGGTTGGTCGGCCAATCGAGCGCTTCTCTTCCTCAAAAGAGATGTTTAAAGCCGTGTACGACGCGTTCCAAGGTATGCCCCGGTCACTCAATTCTCCTTGTCGTTAAAATAACTTTCACTATCAGGCCACAAGCAAGCTTACGAGAAGTGTAAATTACTGCACCGCGACGTGAGCGGAGGAAACATCTTACTTGTTAAGGATGGAGGTATTTTGAACGACTGGGACATGGCAGTGAACGTCGAGGAAGTTGAGCGCGGCCCAAGAGCCCATGAACGTACAGTAAGCTCTGTATAGTCGCTCGAACGAATCTTCCCACTGACTTTATTTCAGGGCACTTGGGCCTTCATGTCCATTGACCTATTGATGGGCGAAAAGCGCCCACACCGAATCAGCGACGACCTGGAATCGTTCTTCTGGGTGGTCCTTTATCACAGCCTCCTCTACCTCCCCCACAACAAAGTCAATAAACTCTACGAAATCATCACAGGTGTTTTCGAACAGTACACCTACTACTCCGAGGCGAAAGGTGGACTTGGGAAATACGCCATGGTGACGAAAGGACATCACATCGGCGGCGATTCCCCGCCTCCCCTTGAATTTACGGAGAACGCGCCGCTCACAGAATTCGTGAAGACTATCTTGATGCTCATGCGGAACTGGAAGCAAAGAGAACTTGCTGCGGATAGCGCCGATAACATAACCACCCTCCTTTCTGGCACCGCCGTTCTTCATCTCCGTTCTTTGGGACCCAAACAACCCGAAGTCCTACCCCCACCGACAGAGAAAGAGATGCGAGATGACATGGAGGCTCTCTTCCAATTCATACTCAGTATGGTCTGGCCCACGGACGACAAAGCCCAACTCCATATCGTGAGGAAACCCATCGGCGCCACTGGTCAAGCGCCAGCGGAAGGTACTGTGGGTGGTGGGTCGAAGAAGAGGAAAAGTATTGACGAGAGTGACCTCGAAAGCGATGACGAGGAGCCCAAACCGAAGAAGGTGAAGAGCATCACCTCGGAAGCACTTACTGAAGGACCCAAAGAACGCAAGTCGAAGAAGACGCCATCCGTCGCGACGAGGAGGAGCACACGCTTACACAAGGGCACCACTAACTGATAACTGTGCTGATGCGTCCGTTAGATGATCACGTCCTGTAACATATCTGTTTTCACTGCATCATGTTTGTAATTTTATCACACCATGGATTCACTTCGGGAAAATGCTCGTCTCCACTAACCTGCCCTCCACACGACAAGTAGCGGGCCGCCGGGGAAAAGGTAGATGATATGTAGGCTGGAGTGCGTTCTGAGGTGTCCGAATCCGTTGGGGGAGACCACACTCAAGTCAACACATGAACGACACCAGTAAAGAAGATTTCCATGAGGTCAGATAAGATAGTCCGCAAAGATGTGTGAAGGGTCCCAAATTGCGCGCCGGACATATAAACTCTTCAACAAAGTGAATCCACCGCAACATCTCCGGTCTCGCCCGAATGTTATGACTTGTCCCACTGGGATTTAGCGTTATCAGTCCCTTTGCCATACGCGGAGCTGAAGATCCCCGACTCACCTTTCAGTACATTGTTACATTACGCCAAGCATCACTCCCAACGACGGGAATTGCCACAAGCCTAGTATACACTGTCTGTCGATTCGTTTGTGCCCGACTCTCTAACTGACATCGTAGGTCTCACTGGGTGGAGGGAGCGAATGGGAGGAAGATGCAGACCGTGCAGATGTACATTTTTGAATGAATACCAAATCTATTGCGAGACCTCAATGCGGGATAGAGCTGCGTTGGAAGAGACACCATAGGCGGGGAATATGATCAGAGATTGTGCAGAGGTCGGCGCACTCTGAAACGACTTCAGAAGCCAGTTCTGGGTATCCAATTGACCGCCCCCAAGAACATTAATGCATTAACACGCCAATAGATCGGGCATGATGCTTGGAAAGACGTCTTGCTTGAGGTCCGTCGTCGTGGGGTTATGGGCCTACAGTGATGTCGTGAATTGGTCACGAAGGTGCTACGTCACCCACCGTACCACTATCACGGCTCGGAGCGATGGGGCGGTGAGATGGCTAACTCAAGGCTGCTGTGCGGCGCGCGGTGCGTGTATGTGCAAAGCCGTCCGCGAAGGCCTGCAGTATATTGAACCATTTGCGAGTATTCACCGTCACGACGATCAGCAGGAAACTTGACTGAACTTGCGACGGCGCATTCTTCCGTGATTTTGGGGGTGTATCTGCGCCAAGCGGTTGTCAGAAGCTTCCCAGAACCATAAACGCGGCCACACCCGTGCGCGGTGTCATGGCAGCGTGTCAGTATATCGGCATATTGCACTGCGAAATTGCGGCCTAGCGGCCTCCCCGATATCATGGCTCCAAGCCTCATAAGTTGCCTAGGCCCCTTGAATCTCTTGAATCGTGATGCCGTTGGCTGTCAGCTATGAAATGGTTCGAAGCGCTCCTTGCGCCAGCACACCGGCGTCCGTGATAATGAGCCGCCGTACATGCCCCCAAACCCCTATGGTGATATTCCGTTGATCTCTGTGTACGAGAAGGTGAGCGTTACATAGTGGACGGAGGGAATGAAGTTTAGAAAGGTTAGTACTTACATGATAGTCTCGTCATGTTTGTTGCTTTAGAGCGCCGAAGTGGTCGCTGTCCCCGTTTAGACGGACCGTCAGTCCAATACTAATAGTGCTCGCAAGGGGCTTGATTCTGCTTCATCCTAGAGGTGAGACCACAGTCGCAGGTGAGCGTGTGCCACCGTCGAGAGAAACAGAGAATTAGCTGGCCTGCCGCGAGAGGGCGGAAACCACTATCATTCCCTCCGATACTACAGGAGGATTTGTTATCCCGACGCCGATCTGTTATCAGAAAATTCTCATATCGTACTAGAAGATCACTGTCACAATGGGACGACGACGGAGGCGGCCTTCCAACGTGTGTCTGTCAGACAAGTTCTTGTGATACGGGAACTTCTCTCTCGAAGAGTGGCGTCGCACATACCTTCCATCGTGATGGCGAACAGCGGTAGCTTGTAGGTTGTACCAGAAGAACGAGAAGAGTGATCTTGGGGGACAGGCGCCTTGCTCGTGGTACACCGCCGGGTATGTCCATGATTCGTCTGCGCTAGAGTTTATCGTGTGGGATACGCTGATTCTGCTACGACACGTAGATGCTATGGAATTCTGCACGGAAACACAGCCTTCAGTTAGTGAAGCCCGGAATGAATTTGTTGGGGGCTTACGGATGATGAATCCCACCCCATGACCGGGAAGCGGCCTAAAAGAGGGAGTTCGACGTAATGCGACCGCGCGATGTGAGTAGAGCTGTTGAAGGAGCCCCGGCGTGGTACGACGGTGCGCAGTCGACGTGAGAAGGTGCCTTGCAGGTAGACGGTCTTCCGATGATAACTGAGACTGACTACACGGTCTACACGGTCTAAGAAGAGTCATATGAACGAAGGGGGGACATGGGAGCAACCTGGAAGTAAAGTAGCATTCCGCATCGACCGTCCATAAGCGAGAATGGGGGGCTCTAGATGCGTACCACTACGGAATCAGAACATCCAGGCACGAACAAAGGACTGAAGACGAACGGTGGCGAATGTCTGTGAACGCCAGCGGAGCCACGACCACCAATTGCCATATGTTGTCTGTGCGCACCCAGCATATCAAATCTGTTGCACGCTGCATCACGGAGACAGCCATGCATTCTGCTCCCATGGATCTCGATGCGTCTCACGGCTGCCCCCATGGCTGATAGGGGATTCCCACTGCTCTTAGGTGCCCGTGTACAGCTGATCGTAACGCGCACGGTTGCTGTAGGTGACAGTGATCGTGGTGATCGGGTGTCACGCGTCACGGGGACGACATACGGGGCGGCGCCGGCGGGAAGGAGAGTGCGCTGGGGTCGAAAGGCCGGCAGAGGGAGCGGCGACTGCTGAGCAAGGTCGGAGATAGGATTTGTGGGATTTGTGGGGTTCCGAGGGGATTCGGAGGGAAGGAGGGGATAAATAGATGATGCCGCCAGAAATATGGTCGAAATGTTGAGTAGATGGTGAGTATTTCGGTGATAGAAGTGGGATGGATGATGGCTTGGGTGGCAATGGCCGCTGGGTTTTTGATAGATCCGGGCAGAGAAAATTAAGGTTTTGCGTATGAACTGCGGACGATATCGAATTCGGGTGCAGATTTGGAGCCAGAGTTGTGTTGGTAAGTGGTCGGCATGAAATCTCCATCTTAGATGCCGAGGCAATCCCAGAGTCCCAGCAAATAACATCTCGTTCGTCCCACTTGACTCGTTCCTCTCTTTCCCTCAAACCACCACCATCTCCTCGTCCCCCCTCGCTCGTCGTCGTCGTCGCCACCGTCGCCAACAATGGGCAGAAGAAAAATCGAAATTCAGCCCATCACCGTAAGTCACTTATAACCTTGTCTCGACTAAGATTACATACGTGCTATTCTGAGTGTGCCCCATGGCCTCGTCCACGATTTATCCATTTATAAATCCTATTTTTTCGACACCTTCGCTCACTCCGTCGAATATCTTTCTTTAGCACGAGCGAAACCGTTCAGTCACTTTTCTAAAGGTACACCGCTATTTTTATTATCATTCTCTTGGCGCGCATATATTTAACTCACCTATTTTCCACGACGATCTATTCGTGCTGCAGCGCAAGAATGGGCTGTTCAAAAAGGCCTACGAGTTGGGGGTCCTGTGCTCGGTCGATGTCGCTGTGATCATCTTCGGTGAGTCTTCGATTCAACACGACAGGGTGCGGCCAACGCCAAGCTCAATGCCAACCCTTCTCGTTCTATTTTTAACATCATCGCTCTCAGAGGAACGGCCTGGTCACCATCTCAAGCTCTACCAGTACTGCTCAACCGACATCCATGATATCGTCCAGCGCCACGTTCGAGTGAGTCCTTATCGTCTCTGAATCCACGATCGTCTTTCAACGATGCGCAGTACGAGGGCGAAAAAGACACCCGCGGCCCGAACGACTTCTCAGGCAACGCCGGGACAAGGGCAGACGACAACGTTGATGGGGAAGATGACGATGTGGATGACGACGATACCCAGGATATGGGTGGACGAGGGGCTAAGCGACGAGGGGATGGGAAGGGGAAGCCAGAGTGGGCGAAGCCATCGACGAGTCTGAGTGACTTGGGCATGGGCGCAGACGTGAGTCCTTCTTTCAACCCCCTCGTCTCTGCTTGTTAACGAGCGAGGATTCAGATGGACTATCCCCTCTCGCAAAACCGCCCACTAAGCATCCCGCAGCCCCCGCCCATCAGCATGCATGGCAACCATCTCCACCACCAACTGCCCCCTTCCCACCCTACATCAAGCACCCGAGATGCCCTCAGAGGGGGGAGCAGTCTCCCATCGCAAAGCGCATCTAACAAGAGGCCCCGTATCGCGCCCAACGTCAACGTCAATACCCACGCTGTCTCCCACAGCCGTTCCTCATCTGATGATCCCCATTCCGGTGGAGCGGGACCAAGTAGCGGTTACTACCCTTCGTCAGCGACATCCAGTTACCCACAGCGCCACCCCTCGGGCCAACAGTCACAACACCAATTTGGCGCTAACTATTTCCCGATGACAACGCCACCTCCGTTCCCGCCGTTTGACTATCCACCACCATCGTCGTCTTCTCGAGGGCCCGGAAGCCCCGCGTCCGCAGGCGGCGGCTTCTCTAACACAAGGTACGACACGTCCAGCAGGGGAATGGGTTCGAGGCCACACCAAAGCCAAGGCGGCGGGAGCGGATTCCCCGGGTTTTTGGATGCCGACGAACAAGCCAGACCACCCCCAAACCCCTCTTTCAAGTTCACCGGCCTCGATTGGCCAGTACATTCTCAGAGTTCGGGTCAGAGCGCTCCTCAGCCAGGTTGGTCCTTTACACTTTCGCAGCGTTTGCTCGTGTTAATGGCGTTGGAGTAGCTCCGAGTTCGGCCACCACATCGTCAAGTGCGGGGCCCGAACCCAACAGCACCTGGTTCGACTTCCTCGCCTCCTCATCCAACTCGAGAAGTGACATCCCCCCGGACATGTTCAGCGGGGGTGGGGGTGGTCCCGGAGACCCATCCAAGCGCGGTAGGCCTGGCTCGGGACATGGCTCTGATGATTCGCGCAAGACGGGGATGAAGATGGAGTCCGGCAAGGACATCTAGGATTAGCATCAGCCACATCACCTGTCTCCTGGCTTTTGCGCGACCAGAAACGCCTTACGAGCGTAAAACAAGACGCCATCAACAGTATCCCAAATCAACCAACGTTTCGTCCATGTCTGCTCTGTATCTTTACCCATTTTATCACGCGGACATAGAAATTGATATGTCTGGGTATGAACGCTACCCTTTATATCGTTTCAATATTGTTTCACTTCCTAGAACATGTCCATTTGTGTTATACGTTCTATACTTCGTCTCATCTATCTGTACAACACAGCATGTCAACTTTTTCGACCATTACGATTGCTTATCACCCGCACGATTGTACTCGGAGAAATATTTGGATATATTCGATATCCGCTTTGATTATTAGATATCGTTGTACCAAATGCCTCTTACATGTCCGCTCAATCAGCATGATATCCCATTCTGATTCTTCTCCTAAGCTGTACAGCGAGCATCCCGCGGCACGGCGACCTGGAGAGATACGAGTGAGAAGTAAGTACCCTGCAACGATTGATGATCTCCCAAGCTCAACCGAGGTCGCCGTACCTATACCAACTGCGAACCCAGCGAGGATGAGCTTCGCGCTTGGTTATGCCCCAAAGTTGAGGGCACTAATGAAAGGGTCGCAGCATGAGCAGTATCGCTAGGCAAAGGGTGGCTTATGGCGTGACGTCCCGACGCTGTTTTCCAAGCCAACGGAACGATGAGGCTAACACCAAAGGAACGTGCGTCGGGTTGTCAGTCGGGGCCAGAGCGGGGTTAACTTATATCGCAGCTTCGGCGTATAGAGGGCGGGGACGTTGACGCGGGAAGTAATCGACTCACACAAGCAGCCGACCCTATGTATTTCAATGCCAATGCATCCCTCCTCAAGAGTAGGGTCCGCGAGGCGTGTAAGTTTGCAGGTCATCTCACAAGCTCACCTTAGAATGAATTGGACTGCGCGATATCGCCATTCAGTCCCAGGCTGCTCTGGGGCTGCGGCAATAAAGCGACACATCCGCGAACATGACAGTAAATCTGGATTCTGGATCATCCTGTATTTTTAAGACGCTAGACAAGATAATTTAGTAACAATCTATTTTCAATTCGCCCGTATTTATATACCAAAAGCGTACCTTGCTCGCGTAGCTCAACGGCCAACAAACATAGAACCGCAGTGGCTTCCGATGCTATTTATTGACTGCCAACGTCAGAGTCTTGGCCATGATGGTCTTGATCGTCCGTCCAATGATTACCGTTGAGGATTAGTGTCAGCACGACAAATCTACGACATGTAACAAGCCGATTCTCGGAGAACTTCTAGCTGTAAGCCTGAAGGATATCGATATCGATCCATCTGTGAGACTCGCCGTCGTCCGATGCTACGGAGGCCCAGCTAGACATGCTATCCGTCGCTGGTCGTTCAAGCAGCTTTCCAAGTCTTCCTTCACTTCTATCCGTGATGCTGCCGAATGACCAACGCTTTGGCAGGAGCATTACTAATGAAACTTCCCGTAAGCAACAACATGCCACGCATCCGACGGAATGATACACGCATGGGAAAACCCACCTGCACGCTTGCTGCGATATCGCCTATTGAGACACTCTACGGTTCGAGTTTGTTACAACATCAAGGATCCCGAGGCTGGTCGGACCGCAGGGCTATTGAGTTGGTGCGCTGCGCACAATATCCCGCCTAAGGACGAGAGAACCTCCTGCCATATCGTATTAGATTGGCGGTGGAAGAGCGGTATTTGAAGAGTCATTCGAGGAGAATTCAAGTATCTCCCCGAGTCTCGCCAACAAGCACGGAACTCTTCGTCCCAAAATCCAAAAGATTAAACCTGGGTAGGGTTGGTTAGACTGATGTTAGCTCCAAATGAACGTATGCGTACCGGCGGTAAGGATGTCCTTCCACCCTGCATCTGCGCGTGGCCGACAATAACTACCGTCTCAAGAGATGAATTACTCATATCTTTTGAAGATATTATAAGACGATCCAGTTATAAATTTAGCGCCAGGATATTTTCGTCCACGGAAGCCCATTGTATTTATACTCGTTGGAATAATAATTCATACATACGGGAAAACGCGCTAGGAATCGTGTAGGATGGGGCTGCGGGGAAGTATAAGCAGAGCGTTTCATCGACTAGGATATCGCAATTAATAAGGACTCAGACAACGATACATATGCAGCACACCTTGGTCCATCGCGAAACTCCCATAGCTTCGCCCACGATTCACAATTGTGGGCGTATCCGGCGTCCACAAACGGTACAGCGAGCCCTTCAGACTTACAAGTAGGCTGCGCCCAACGAGCTCGTGCGGATACGAGAGAACTAATTCATTGGCGGTTCCAAGGCGGTTCTGGCGTTAGAGGCGAGCGCTTAGTGAGCCAGTTCCATCACTCAACATGTCGTTCTCACGCAAGCCGGTTCGCCTTCAGATGCACCTGGAATACCTCTAGTCCACCCAGCAAGATTACAATGCATGCATGGAGGGATAGAATCGCTAGTTTCGCCTATTAGCGCGTCGTCTAAGCGAGGCAATGGGGACGGTGTACCTGTTTGAAGCCTTAATCATCATTATCCTAGCGGGGAACGGGGCCCTACAACGCGAAAGCCGACGGGCATCTATGAGCACCTGCAGAAATTCGGGTTAGAGCCCATGTGGTGAGAAGAGAGATCGATAGACGGAGCAAGTAGAACGATAGCTAGACCATATGAGACAATACCCATGGAACACCGCTCGAACCGTCTTCTCTCCTCCTTGCAGGCCACAAATATGCGAAGGAATAATCCCTGAGACACTTCACGAGTACTCCAAGCCGAGCAGCCGATTCGTCTTGGAAACTCAAAGTCCACGGCATGGCCCACGGAGTTCCTCCAGCCTGAGATCGTACGAGTCTGAGAATCATGGCAATCCGTCCGATCTGCCCAAATCGACCAAGTGGGCTAACTTCAGGTATCCTACGTGTACTCACGTCAGACACGGCGAGTCCGGGGTGATAGCTAAAGTAGAATAGCCAGCACTCGCAACGTCCATTTTGCCACGAAGCTATCTCCTTCTTTCGCGAGCCGAGGTTTCTACCGGGCAAAAGATTGTGGGTTACTGGTGGCGGTAGTGCGACATTTGGACGGTAGGAGAAGTCGTATACTGACTTCCGAATTGAAATTGGGTGGCAGCTCTGCGGAATGAGAACACCCGACGAGTGCCTTCGCACGTAGGGACCCTACTAGCCATCCTATCGGACATCCGGTTGTCAATTTATTCTATATCAGTTTGTTTGGATGTACGTACATGATGATCTTGAAGGTGAAATCCTGGCGGTGATTCCTTGGGGGATCCACTTTTCTGAATTCGTGGTTTCCTCGTTGTCGAATGGGCATAGGGTGGATATGCATCGTGCGTGATGCATCATGGCCGTGGTGACTAGTGATTCGATGCCTGCTTCGCCATCATAACAGCATTTCTGTTCCAAAAAGGCACCTAAACGGGTTCAACATCCTAAGTAGGCAAGAGAAATCGTGGTCAAGATCGGATATCGAGGTATCCATATGATGTTCTCTCACCGTGACGTGCCGGAGAGGCATGAGAGTGGGAACAGGGAATATCAAGCCTGGATGCTGGCGTTTGAGACTTGAGGATGGGAGACCTATAGGGGTCGCCACCTTCGAGGTGATACCAGCCGCATGGTTCAACCTGGTACGCACAGTAGGAAACGAAGATACCAGCGCCAATACTCGGCGTTTAGGACGTGCAGTATCTCCATTGCCAGGGGATGGTGTGAAGCGGTCAAGATAGCGCCAGCGGGTCGTTTACACCGAATGTTGCCGTTTTGATAATTTAGATTCATTCCCATGATCTGATACTGGCTTCGAACCGTCACGTCGAAGGACGGTCGAGATTCTGGGGGCGTTCTAACTGCCTGGTGTCTCGAGTTATGACACGATGATCAAAGGTTCCTGTGGCCCACCGTGAGGGAGAAAAGCATGCTGAGAAGCGAGAAGGTCTGGAGCTTGAAGTGGTACATAATAGGCCCACGCACCGCGGCAGCAACCTAAGATACATTGAGGAACCCTTGGAACGAATCGTCTTCCATCGGCGAACTCACGCCTCTCCTATGGACCTAGAGTGATCAAAATTTGTTGTACACAGAACAGCGCTTCTGATATCCAGTTGGAATTTTGTTTCGTCGCGGTTCTATCAAAGTATGCATCTAAAGGCCGAAGCTCGAATCATACAAGCATCCAATCACCCGTTAATATTCCTTGGCGTTCTCGGATTCGAATCGGGCCCTCGTACGTAGAGGTGGGGCATATTGGATGTAAGCAGATCGCCTGATACCACGCTCAACACACTCGCATATAATGAGAGTCCTCGCTAACGTGCTGAAGGGTTCAATACCGAAGTGCTGATGTTGGGAGTTTGGGGTTTGAAACCATGAACACGAACACGAACACGAACACAACCACGGTACGATCGAAGGTGATTCTTGGATAAGCATATTTCAATATTTATGTCGCATAAAAGCCAATGAAAACAAACCTGACCGTCGCCAACGATGATCCATTATTTACCATTTGTGGACCGAAGCGCTTGAGCGTCAAGAGAACGGATTCCGGAGCTGGAGCTGAGTTTGAATTGTTCCGTCCAGTGTCCACAACTTTGAGGTCGATGTGCTCGTACGCATTTTCGAGTAAGCTACATAGAATCGGCGGACAACGTTAAGGAAGCAAAAAGCAAAATCAATGAACAGGCGCCGTGGCGTGGGGCAGCAGCTGGGCATTGGTTGTGTTCTTTGTTGGATTCTGACAATCTAGGCGGTACAGGGGTTACAGGGGCTCACGTGATTACGTACATGTATAATTTTTCTTCATGCGTTTGCTGGAGTCCCAGCCAAACGCAATACATACCTGCTTGCTCACTCGGAATTCGCGCGACCTCACCAGCTTATTTCAACATTCTTGTGGTAACGAGGTCGAGGTCGATGGGAACTTTGACCAAGTCTTTATACATTGGCATAGAGGCAACATAACTTAACATCTATGACCCAACGTCGTCTCCGCATGTTGCACATAGGCTTGATCGCTCGAAATAGCTGCGAGCCCCTTTTCCCGGGACGTATGGAGGGAGGTGGGAATGGAGAAGGCGTACTGTCCGCTGCGTGGATTTCCTGGTCCTTCAGCTATTTCGAAGTCTCTACGGCGGGTCGAGGCGATAAACAAAGTATCAAGCGACGACATTGTTTGAAACGGAGGCACTCACTCTACTAGTTAGCACCCGTATCCCCTGCGACGTAACCTCCTTGCTTACAAAGGCAGCCTGAGACTCAGGTCGAACTCAAGCTACATTTTCAACGGAAGCAGTGCTTCGATCCGTGCTGCGTGATTTTGGGTTACAGTAATTCAGAGATAGAAACGAGCAAAGCTAGCTTCGCTACGTCGCAGCAATGGATTCAACTTTTCAAGCATGGAAAAATGCTTGTTCGTAGGCACTATGGCGCACCACAGGTACACTTTTGTAGGTCCCTCTGCCGTGCGGCTACTCACTAGCCCACTGCTTGCTCAATCTTAACTTCAGCCTCCATGCAAGCGTCGATGGCCCTCTTCCACATCGGATTGCTGCTCATGGTACGCCTGTCCCCGACGATGATCAACCCCAACCTCGCTCTCGTCCACATCACATTGAGCCTCCTCGCATCGTCGACAAATCCGATATCGGCTTCAACGTTGCACCTGACACTGGAGAAAATAATGATATCACTCTCCCGGCCCTGATACGAGTCGATTGTGAAGGCGTCAACCGCAGATGGGAGACTATGCTGCAGCATTTTTACTTGCTTTGAATATGGAGAAAGCGCCGTGATCTTCAGCGCCTGCAGCCGATTATTGTCCTCCTCCGAACCGGTAGAGTAGGAAGTGAGGAGGGATATGACATGTTTCGTTATTTCCACTTGCCCGGTGTTCGCTTTCGACGCTCCACCTAGATCTTCTTCCGTCGAGCATTGTATGAACACGGTCGGGAAGATATAGCCATTGCGACGTGGCCAAGGAAAAGATGAACCCTCTAGTCGTCCTAGTACCTCCTGACTATTCGTGATTGCGCTCTGCAATTTCCCTTCGTAGAACTCTGCTGACGGAAATGCAGCAAGCTCTGTGGGGAATCGGTATTGCACCTTGCTCCATGGTAAGTTGTTGAAGGTGTGCATAATAGGCTAACACGTACATCCAGCATTGTGCGGGACATCATGGGGAGGGTTGGCCCCGTATATAGCCTCTCAAATAGAGAGACATCGTACTCCAAAGCCTTTGCCATGTGCCGAACAGTTGGGCGAAGTTGCACGCTACGGTGCGATGTTGAGGCAAAATTGTCATCGAATTTCGACAACTTACTGGTCGCCGACAAGTACTGCTCTTTTGACACCTTTCACGAGGGGTATCAACGCGCAGGGCTCAGTAATCTGCGACGCCTCGTCTATTAACGCGATCTCGAAGTCGACCTTCCGCAAGATACCCAGCCCGGCGCCTAAGGAGACAACTCAGTAGTAAGTGTTGACCATTGCACCCGAAGAATGATATTGACCTGCGCAAGTCGTGAAAACGATAACCGCGGATTTTACTCTAGCTAGTGCTTGCTTAGCCAGTTTGTTGTTCTCGTTCAAGTCTCCGCCCACCCGTGCGTCGATGGTGTAATGCTGCAGTGATTTGTTGACCTTCGATTGGTCGGTCGCCACCCGAAGGATCTGGTCCTCCGTCAGAAGGTGGGCTTTCTTGTTAAGGACGACGAAGCGCTCTAAGACATTATCGACCGCTACAGAACCAATGAGCAACTATCGGGGAGAGAGAGAGCCACATTTACCGTTGTGAGTAGACGCTGTCATTAGGATCTTGGCCTCATTGTTGACATTTTGCAAAAGCTTTTCGAGGATTCGGATGACTACTGTGGTTTTCCCAGTACCTACAATGTGATTAGTCTGGCGAGTGAGATTAATTGATGAACGTAGGTACCAGGGGGTCCCCAGATGAGAGACAAGGGTGCATCAGAGGCGTGGACGGCATCCGACTGGCTGCGATTAAGTCCCTCTATGGGTGTCCCGGCAAGCGCTGCCTGCGGGGCTGTCTCGTCGCCGCCAACGTCGGCACCAGTTATATGACCATGGAACAGGCAGCTCTCAGCGCCGTCCGTCGCTAGCCGCAGGAGAGCGTCCATCATTGCTTTAGCCGTGGCTAGGTACATACTGAGCGCTGAGCGTGATTCCATAACAGGAGGGAAATCAGAGCAACTTACCTATGCTGCCAGCATTGTACATCTTCCACGACATCCTCGTCGCTTCTGGCGGAAGCGGCTGTTGAACTTCTATTTTGAGCTCGCCTTTCAAGGACTGGATCGCGATGCCGTCGACTATCGGGGGTGAAACCCATCCACGGTCGGGGTGGGAAGCGGCCTGCAGACGTACGTGCGAATGGAGACGCACTCCGGAAGATCTGTCGTCAACACGTATTGCAGCTTTGACATGGTTATATGTCTCGGTTGCCGTCAATTTCACAACGGTCGGAGGCGTGCGTTGGCGCTTTGGTTTCCCTTCGTCGTCGCACGGACATTCGTCTGCAGCCTCCTCTGCTCTGTCGAAAGAAACCGCGAGACCATGCCGCTGAGCGTGAGAAAGAGAAAGAGGTTCGCTGGGTCGTGAATCGTGTAATACCAGAAGAACTTCCTGTAATAACTGTGGCGCACGAATAGATAATGCTGCTAGCATCAAGAGGTCCAGGTAGTCCGCTAGACTGATCCGTGCGATGGTCAAGGCCAGCTTTTCCAATCCCACAAGTACGGCGATACGAAGATCGTTTGCAGACCGCACCATGCATTGCAATATGGGAATTGCCAACCCCGTCAAATCTTCGTGTATTTCTTGACTAGCCTCGTGAGGTGGAAATGCTTTGAGAAGGGAGAAGGCCAACGGGGGGCATTGGTCAAGCCAGTAAACAGCAAAGTCCTCTTGAATCGGTTTCCGAGCAATGACAGAGTTGAAAGTAAAGAAAAGGGTCTCTTCGGCATGGTAGCTGATCGCGGTTTTCATGACGAGGTCAATTTCAATCGGGCTTCTTTCTGGAAGGAGATCTTCGACATCGGCGGGGGATAATCCAGGTTGGAAGAAAGACCGCAGCCAGGGGTGCTCCTCCCAGTTCATTTGCTTTAAGTTATTCCGTTCATATGTAGTCTTCTCCCGCTCAAAACGTTTGAGATGCTCTTCCGTGGGCACGCTGCGTACGTCAAGTTTTGACATGCTGAAAGAGACATCGGTAATAACACTTACTGTTCAAACCAAAGATCAAAGAGTTGATGAGCTACGCGGTCTCTGTTCGAAACAACATGTATCTCTATGTCGATCACTGGTGCACGGTTGAGGCGCCCGAGTTGCTGCAGCATTCCGTTAGCCATCAGAACGTGTGAACCATATCCAAGTACGAACTCGTTGCACTGGCGCAGATATCTTTTGCAACGCAATACTAACAGCTATTTCAGCACCAGAGGCAGCAGGAGGTTTCGTCATGAAAATGAACGTGTCCCCTCTATGTTTGTTGTAGAGTTGGAGATTAGCATCGCTACAGTGAAGCCTATATCCTGGGTTGCAAGGGCGATACGTCGACATATTCGATGTTCCATGCGGCAGGAAGGAACAGACAACGACATTCTCGTTGACTTCGGGATCCTCGTCCCAGGCAATCTGTCCTCGCATGAAGACCCCAATAGCGAATCGATCGTCAGTCTGCAGGCAAGCATAGCACTTAGCGCCCAGGGAGAAAAGAAGGATAGAACGAAACAGACCTTCAAGAGAAGTAATTTTCTTGTGAAATCTTGTGTCGCCATATGCAAGTACTTGAAGAAGGTAGACATGCCGCTGAGTTTCGACGAGTAGAAGCGTTGAATTGAGAATGGTTGGCTGAGGTTGCGCTGATAGAGATCCCGGGAAGTCAATATATCGGAGCGGAAGAGGGAGTTGAACATCCACGCCTCGGTATCGCGAGTTCTGCCCGGTCCCGGATTAAGGGATGCCATGATAGCGTACTTTTCAGAGGCCGAAAGGGCGCCCATGTCAAGGTAGGAAAGACATGTATACACATCAATTGAGTGTTTCCTGGAGTGACGAAGCACCATATTGAACAGCTCATACTCAGATAGCGCATTCTGTTTGCTTTTGAGGAGACCAGTTATGATATTTCTGGCATCCACCTCGTCTACGGTGGATAGTTGTGTGCGAGATGATTCCGACTCGGAGAACCCAATCGCAAATTCAGCCGCTGCGTTGGCCAGGACCTCGATGACGAATGGTTCCTCAGGTTCTGGGGGCGTTAGCAATCTATCAGGGATCTTGACTCGAGCGCCATCGACCGATTGTGAGTGAAGCGCGTTGAGTTCTTGGCATTCGGGGCTCATGGCACCTTTTGCACTCGCGCGGACCCATTTGTTGTGAAGGGATGCCACCTTGGCTAGGCCGACACTGCTAGGATGAGAGATACTACGAAGGCATCATGATAGACTCACCCATTGTAAGCAGCGAAGTGTTTTGCAAGATCAAGGCGCGAGACCTCTCTTCTCGTCTGTTCTTTGTTTGGAGGATAATCGTAAGACTAGTCAGTTGGTGAGTCTACGAGCAAGGTAATGAGGGCGTGCACAGCTTACCTCAGCAACCTTCGCTGGAACCAAGTCAGGATCCCAGCAAACAAAGAATTTGTCGCCTATGGCGAGTTCACTGACTCGAAGAAGACAGAACAATGTGTGTCCTACGCACCGTCAAGGTCTCCCCCACTACTCATGGACGGAGCTGCGTGATGTCCAGGGCGAGCCACCGAAGCGAAGACGATGCAATCCACTAGGTGCGAGAGCGGGCTGCATTCTACTGCACGCAGCTTCAGACAATCACCTACAGAGGGCGAACAGGAATTTGTCAAAGTAACGCCCACTCGAGTGAAACACAGCGTACCTGGGTGAAGACAGGGATTTCGTACTACGAGTACACTGCAGTTGAGAGGCGTCGACGGGCCCTTGCGAGCCGTAGTAATGCGGATATGGACTTGGCCCTCCTTGAGGACCTGAAACGGATCGCAAACGCCATACAGCAACCGAGACTTCTGGATCATCATTCGTACTCTATTCTTGTCGTTCTTGCGGAAGTTGGATACTTCAGATAGCTGCGCCTTTCGGATAGACTTCGCAACCTGGTCATCGTCGATGCCATCAAGGAGGACGCGCTCGGCCAAGGGGTACTGGCCCAGGCATGACAGGAAGTCAATGGCGCTGCTCGGACTCTTCTTCTTCTCCTACCACCACGACGTGAAATTTTCCCACGGTGAAGAACCTGCGCGAAAACCACTCGAAGGGGGTACATAGGACAGAATGAGTAATAGAACTATCACAAGAGCGCGAGCGAGCATCGCGTCGGATGGAGGGAACATGGAAGACGGCCCGGAAACCATCAAGGAAGCCACTAGTACACTAGTCAAGCACAACCTACGCGAAGCGACGGACGATTCCACAATCGACATACACGCAGCGCTGGGGGCGATAAGAGCGATAGCAGCGGGAACGAAGGTGGCTAGGACGAAGGAGGGGTTGATAGCGGCGGCGAAGATAATTGAGCTGCTGGACAGACGAGAGATGAACGAGGGGATAGCGGCGGCGGCAGAGAAAGGTGCTAGAAGGGGAGCCATGGAGGAAGTAACGGGCGTAAGCGAAAGGGTTAGCGAAGCGATGAAAGGGGTGAAAGAGGTGATGGAGGAAGTGAAGAAGGAAGTGAACGGGGTGATGAGTAAGGTGGTGGCAGAGATAAAGGAAGCGGCGAGGGCAGGAAGAGCGACGTACGCAGATGCCACACGGAACGGACAGGCGGCCTTCCCAACAAGACTGGCGTCAGCGGTGGACAGGCAGAACGTGAAGGCGAGACAGGTTGTGATACGGCGAGCAAAAGGGATTGAAGAGGGGCAGTACAGCCTAACCAAGCTATCCGAGAGGGAGATAGTCGAGAAGGGCAACCTAGCCATCGAGGCGATCGATCCGACGACAGCGAAGCCAGAGTCAGCGGCATTTGTAGCGGCCAGGAAGCTCAAGGGCGGGGACACCGTACTCCTGATGAACACAGCGGAGGCGAGGAGATGGCTATGCAGCGGCAACCTCGACAGATTCATTGAGGGATTCGACGCATCCTCGCAGATACGGGCCCCTATGCTCACAGTGGTAGCCGAGTTCGTGCCAGTCGAGTTCAGGCCAGACGATCAAGGGGAGATACGGATGCTGGAACGCGACGCCGGACTCGAGAAGGGAAGCATCGTGGAGGCGGCGTACATCAAACCGGAGCACAGACGAACGGCTGGGCAACGGTATGCCCACATGAAAATCAGGTTTGATGATCGGGCCCAGGCGAACAAGGCGATACGGGACGGCGTCTTCGTTCGAGGAAAGATAGTCTCGGTACGGAAGGACGAACGGGAACCGCCAATGTGTTACCGATGCCATAACGTTGGGGACGGTCACTTCGCAGCGAGTTGCACGGCGGAGATTGAGCTATGCGGACACTGCGGCGAGAAGCATCGGTCGAGGGATTGCCCAAACCCAGGGGCGAAGTGGTGCCACAAATGCAAGAAAGCAGGACACGGAGCGGGTGACAGAATGTGCGAGTCGAGGAGGCAGGCACTGGAGATGATGAGACGAGCAGACCCAGAGGCGGGACAGCGATACTTCGTGGAGAGGGACAATCCAGAGACGTGGGGGAACCCTCCAACATGGGAGGAGGCGGGGGAAACGAGGCGGACGGTGGGAGAGGGGGAAATTGGCAGGCGCGTCGCCAGCAAGGTAGGACAAGAGAAGTGGGACATGACAGGACTTCCAACGGCACCACGAGCGGTGAGGGACAGAACGACGACGAAGCAAACGACTCTAGGGCCAGCATTCACACAGACCACACCAACCCAATCAACTGACGACGGCGACGCCGGACTCTACCCACCATCCCCGCCCTTGCAATGAACGATCCAGCCAACAATAAATTTGGATGCCGAATACTTCAAGCGAACCTCAACAAATCTCAAGACGCACAGGACACCCTCATCAACTCACTACAAGGTAACGACATAATACTGATACAGGAACCATGGCTCGACTGGAGGGGCCTGGCACGAGCGACCCAACGGTACAACGTGATATACCCAAACACTGGTCGGGAACGGCGGCAGGAAACGAGAGCGGTAATACTATTATCCACGGAGATTGCATCTGACCACTACGTCCTGCTGCAGATAGACTCACCTGATGTGGTAGGAGTAGACGTAAACTGTGGACCAGCAGGCTGGATTCGCATTATTAACATCTACAACGACTGTAGGCACGACCGGAGCCTGAAAGCGGTGGATGACTTCCTCACCGGCGAACGTGAAAGCAACGACGAGGCGCGCCATGACCAGATGATATGGGCCGGGGACTTCAACCGACACCACCCAATGTGGGACGAGGAGAGGAACCACCATCTCTTCACGCCTCGCAACCTGGAGGCGGCGGAGCGGCTCATTGACCTCGCAGATCGATTCGGGATGGTGATGAAGCTCGAGAAGGGGGTGCCAACGCTGCAGGCGCTTAACACGAAGAACCACACGAGGGTCGACAACGTCTGGTGCTCTGAAGCCATGCAAGGCATGGTGGTGCGGTGCGACACAGAACCAGAGATGAGGCCACCAAAGACAGACCACTTTCCAGTGGTGACGGAGCTGGCGTACGAACTGATACGGAACCAGGTGAGAACGCGCAAGAACTTCAGGGCAGCTGACTGGCCAGCTTTCAGGGAGGCGCTAGCAGAAGGACTCAACAGGCTTGGACAGCCGGCCAAACCGAGGTCAATAGCGGAATTTGAGCGGCAACGAACGGCGTTGGAAGAGGCGATACAAGAGGTGATAGACAGGGATGCAATAGTGCCCATCACGAAACCGTGCCCATTCGTGAAACGGTGGTGGAACAGCGACCTGGGGCGACAACGCAAGGAGGTAGGGCGCATGTCAAGGAAGTCGCACCAGAAGCGCGACGAACCCAATCACACGATTCATGAAGAGTTCAGGAAGGCACGGAACAAGCTATCGGAGGATATCAGAAACGCGAAACGGGAACACTGGCGCGATTTCCTTGAAGGCGTAGATGGCAGCACCGTCTTTGTGGCGGGGAGGATAGTCGGCGGACCAGGGACGGACGGAGGGGCGCTCCGAATGCCAACACTCAGGAACAAGGTGGGGAGAAAGGAAGAGTATATTCACGACAACCCGGAGAAGGCCAAAGTGTTCTACAAGCTGTTCTACCCGCCGCCACCTGGGCAATCATCGGTCCCGAGGAATGCAAAGTACCCAGAGGCCAGATGGGATTTTCGGGTGCTAACTGATGAGCAGATAGAAACTACAATCCACCGTCTGTCGCCATACAAGGCAACGAAGCCAGGGACAGCCCCCAACAGTGTATTCACGCACTGCGCGGACCTGCTAACGCCGCATCTAGGAACACTATACAGAGCAACATTCGAACTGGCATACTACCCGGCTGAATGGGCGGAGACCGACTCAGTGGTGATTCAGAAACCAGGGAAAACGGACTACACCATCCCTAACGCCTGGAGACCGGTAACCCTTTCTAATGGCATGGCACGAGTACTGAACGCCACGTTAGCAGATGACCTGGTCGCGCATGCAGAGAGGACCGGTGCACTACCGGCAAACCACTTTGGGGGCAGGCCAGGCAGATCGACTATGGACTCCATCCACCTCCTATCGAAGACAGTGATGGATGCGTGGAGACGAGGAGAAGTAGCCTCTGCCCTGTTCCTGGATGTGAAAGGAGCCTTCCCCAGCGTTGCGGTGGATAGGCTAGAACATAACCTACGGATGGCAGGAATCCCAAGAGAATACTCTGACTGGGTGCTGAGACGACTAGAGAACCGGACGACACGGCTCACGTTTGACGACTACCAATCTGACCCATTTCCAGTGACGAACGGACTCGATCAGGGGGATGCAATGTCAGTGATTCTATATCTATTCTACAACGCGGGGATACTGTCTACGGTTAAAGGAGATAAAACCGAACTCGGGCTACTGTTCATCGATGACGCAGCAATCATTGTGACTGGAGCGACATTCGCGGACACTCACGCAAGGATACGAGAGATCATGACGGGCAGGCGCGGCATCTTCAAGTGGGCCAGGGACCACAACTGCGAGTTCGGAGTAGACAAGTTCCAGCTTCTGGACATGTCACGGAAAAAGGTCCCACACCCAATGCGTCCCCGCAAGAGAGTTCCACTTGCAAGGAGGGATCTGGTGCTGAACGGAACCAGAGTAGCGTCAAGTGAACAGGTACGCTTCCTTGGGATATGGCTGGACAGAGAGCTACGGTGGAACCAACAGGGAGCAGCAGCATTGGCAAAGGGGAGGGATTGGATGTCGAGGTTTGCGAGACTGGCGAGACCGTCGTTTGGAATAACGGCGAAGTACGCAGGACGACTCTACACAGCGATCGCCGTACCCAGGATCCTTTACGGTGCCGAAATCTACTTGACGCCACCAAAGCGGCGGGCGACGGAGGCACAGAAGGCCAAGGGGATGCGGGTGCAGAGGGCGATCGTCCGCAAGCTCGCAGCGGCGCAACGCAAGGCCATGATCATGGTCACGGGAGCCATGTGCACAACGGCAACAGATGTGATGGAGGCGCTCACTGGGTCCCTCCCTTTCCACCTGGTGGTGGAGCGACACCGATTCCGGGCAGCTCTGCGCTTGGCGACCCTACCTGAAGGGCACCCTCTACACCAACATGTGAAGAGAGCGGCGAGGCAAGACGTAAAGCGACACCGGACCCCACTCCATGCCCTCATGAACGACTTCAAAGCGGACATCCAAGGAGTGGAGACCGTGAAAGCCACCAGGTGGGACGCAACATGGAGGTCGAGGCTGAAAACGGTCATAGCAGGGTCGAGGATAGAGGCAGTGAGAGCGGAGGGACGGGACCAGACAAGGGTCAAGATATACACAGATGGATCTGGGTATAAGGGGCAGGTGGGGGCGGCGGCGGTGATGACTAGGGACGGAGCAACGACAGGAATCCTCAAGATGAGACTGGGTGCAGAGAAGGACTGCACAGTATACAACGGGGAGTGCGCGGCATTAGTACTGGGAATGGAACTGATCAGACAGCAGATAGGAATCAGGTCTGCGAGCATATACGTCGACAATCAAGCAGCCATCACAGGCATGGGGTCGCGCAAAGCCAAACCTGGGAGCTACCTCCTTGATCACGCACACACGGTCTTCGCGGCGGCGCGGAGGAGAAATGCAGGAATAAAACTAACAGTACATTGGATACCGGGACATGAGGGCGTGGAAGGGAATGAAAGGGCAGATAAGGCAGCGAAGGAGGCGGCAGAGGGATGGGTGAGCAAGAGAAGCAGCCTCCCAGCACCGCTACGGGAAAAGGACGCGATCAAAAGGAGCAAGGCGGCAGCAGGCCAGGCGTACGAGGAGAAGCTGAAGAGGAGGGCAAGGAAGGGATGGGAGCGATCGGAGAGATATGGAAGGATGGCAGAACTGGGATTGGGAAGGACATCGAAAGGGCACAAAGCAGCAGTCGAACGGATGACTAGACGGCAAGCGAGCACCATCACGCAATTGGTGACTGGGCATGCACCGCTGAACAAGCACCTGCACAGGATTGGAGTCGTCCCATCACCGATGTGCCCAGCCTGCGGCCAATATGAAGAGACGGTCACCCACTACCTGGCAAAGTGTGCGGCGCACCGAGCGGCAAGGGAGGCACTGCGAGGAGAGATAGGAAGAGCGGCGGGGACGGCAACGACGATCCTAGGGAACACCAAGCACTACCCAGCCATACTGAGGTTCGTGGCACAGACACGACGGATCGTGCATGAGTGAGCGCGGAAATAATAACCCTCTACTAATTCACAACTACTATATTCAACATGCGCGGGGCTATGTACCCCAGTCATACTATTATGCGGTGTAAACCGCCATGGCGCTACCAACGGTGGCACCAGGCAGTGGTTAGAGGTCTACTTCTCTTGGTTATGGCACGGACTAGACATAGGCGGTAGATACGGTACGATGTTCACCCTCCCACATATGGCGGCGCCACTACGGAGGCTAATTGGACTCAAAAAAAAAAAAAAAAAAATGGCGCTGCTCACGTCCTCAGAGGCCTTGCGAATCCACTCAAAATAGGCTTCCTGCTTTGCAACGAACCTTTCCTTTGAAACACCGAGGCTCCATAACAGAGTGACTATCTCGTTATTGAGTCGTCCGAAGGCATAGGGTTGAGAATAGCCGACGACGGAGAAGGTGTTATCACTAGTCGCGGTGAATTTCTTCATGCTGTCGCGGAAATGTACATGGGATTGCCCGTCCTTGTCGAGCCGTGGATGCAGCATGAGAACACCCTTGTATCCGCGATACCTGTGAATAGATGAGCGACAGTTTTGAGGCAGGACTTGACACATGCCTGATCTGAATGACACACGGTGTGTACCTGGAGCCTCTGAATATGATTCGCTTAGCTTTGCTCAGCTGTACAAGAAACTTGCGCGAGATCAGGCCACATCCATCCGAAAACAACTCGTCGCCAGACTTGATATCACGGATGTCTAAGACGTAACGTGGATCGAGCTGCCAGTCGATCTCGGCACCGGAGAATAGCAGGCCAATCCGTTTCGCCCCTGTTAACATGATGGGTTGATATTAAGAAGTTTTGGTGTACAACCTTACGCTTCGCCACATTCATTATACGCCCAAAATCCCCCATGGCGTAGATTCGACGATCAAGCTCTTCATCCGACCGAGCGGCTCTCATGAAGCAGCTGCGACTCCGCTAGGTCCGGTAAGCAGGGAGTCCATAGCGCTAAAAGAAATAAAAGAAAGAACTTACGAGTTGACTGTTGCTGTGATGATAGAACCGGTACTGTACGTCGTTGAGAAACAGGCCTTTAGTCATCAAGCGTAGGATGTAGTCGGCTGTATCGCCCAGATGCGCATCGGGGAACCGCAACGTAGCAAAGGACGCTAAGATGAACAGCGACGAGTCGTCCGCGTTCAGTACGCGATTCATCGGCATGCGTTCGAACTGGAGTGTAATCGCATTGGCGGTAAATTGGATAGCCTTGATGTATGGTACCTTTGCGTTTGGAGGTGGTGTCAAAGCGCGTGGAGGGACCGTAAAGCGCCATTCAGCGTCGTCTTTGGTGGGATCTGACCTGAGGACGATAGCTTTCATCATGTTCACGACTCTGACCAAATACTCATGAGTGGTCTCACAAGGTTTATATCACATCCCACGGCCACATTGATGCACGCGTGCGAGAACAAATATTAGAGCCGCATAAACAGCAAGAAGAGGTTCTGAAAGGAGTTGTCCATCTCAGAAGTTACCTAACAGCTATCTTTCCTTGCTTTATCTGATGATCATTGTTCTGAGCGCATGACAGGAGGGTGAGGGTAATCAATATTAATGTGTCGGTGCGTCTGTTTATACCGATGATACATTAGTCTCCAAGGAGCGTACGGTAGAAAAGACGTGCTACTACACCTTTCAGAGTTGAGCAATCCCCAAAACCCGATCAACCCGATCTCCAAGCCCCATCATTTCCTTTCCAATCTCATGAAACGAAATGTCCAACTCAGCCAACGTTTTCTTGAACAGCCCGAAATACTCCAGCTGATTCTCCGTATTACGAACCCCGTCGTCGACGAGCCACTCTTGGACTGGTGCCAGCAGAACGAAGATGGCGTTGCGATATCGCATGAGAGCGCGCTGAAAAGCCTCGCTGTCAGTCAAGCGCTCATACTTCTCCTTTGCGTCGTGCTCGTCGATTGCAGTCAAAAGCGCATAAACGATCGGGTCTATCGCTGAACGGTCGCAGAGTTGTATGCGAGCTCCCGATTTCTTCTCCTCCTCCAATAGATGGGCCTCCATGATCGCCCTCTGCATCTCCAGCCGACCGACATCGTTCCTTGTGAAGCCGGTCCTCCGCATCACCTCTCTAGCTACCTCGCCCACGATCGCATCGCTGTTCAACCCAAGCTTCTCAGCAAGTGCGCGGCAAAGCGTCGTTTTACCAGTAGAGGAGGGGCCGACAATGTATATTGATGTCGTTGGCATTGTAGTAGACGCCGTTTTCACCGCCGCTGCAAGGCCACTCTTGCCCAAACTCTAACCTTGAAGCCAGGGCCTTCCCATGAGATTTGGTCAGCCGATCCGGTGTTACTAGTAAACGCACGCATGAGTCGTCAGCAGATCTTCGGAGACTAGATGTCGCCTACGGGGCAAACGAACTGCTCAGGATGTTCTGTTTCGCTGATATCTTGTTGTATACTTGATATTGCCCTGGTCAGCTCCCCTCCTCATTTCAGGTGAAATCTCGTCAGTGCCGACCGAGAATGCGTCGTCAGTACTTTCCCCAGCCCAGCGAAGCAGAACAAAACTGCTCTGTAAGTCTCACGTTGCGAGCATCTGATGAAAGAATGAAAAGAGAGTGCCTTTCGAACTCACAGTTGCCTCTACTGGTTCCACGATTGCCAGTAGCCCCCGTCGCGTCCGTTTGGACATCGGCCCATATTTCAGCATGCTCTTCTTGTTGTGGCGGCGACGTGGAGGGATATAAGGGAGATAGTGGGGGAAATGCGGACACTGGTTCGACGTACTACGGTACAGCTGACATGGAACAGCGTACAGAGGAAACGAATAGGCTGGGAATTCTCACCCTCCAGAGACTCCAGAGAATCATGATCACATGGTACGGTGCGCGCGTGGAATCACGCAACCGCGGGGCTCTCGAACGGATTCATATTCACGCGAGGGACGCAAACTATGGTTATAAGCCCTACGAGCTACGCAAAGTGTCTTAGGCTTTGCAACCATGGGCGGCATTTTTGCTCGCAATGGCAAGCCACTCAAAACTCATATCCTATGTTCGCGTACCTCTTCTAATATGATAGTTATATTACAACGTCGCAGCAATAAATATATACGAATACAACATTGAGTACAGTTCAAGCGTTCCATGTCTTCGCTTTCTTGGATTTTCGTTTTTCACTATCATCTTCTTGCTCATCGTCAGGGGCTCCCCTTTTCTTCGAAAGTTGGTTCTTGGCTCTGTCGTTTGTCGGCCAGGCGGAGGAATCCAGGGCTGCCTGCCAGATAGGCTCCATGTCCTTGTACATTAGTTGAGGATCAGAGGGTTCGTCTTCCGAGTCTTCACTAATTATAGCAAGTCCACCCCGCTTCAACAATGACAGCACCTTCGCCACGAAGGCCGTAAGCGGTTCACATTCCGCGAAGCGTAGAGGAGGGTTCGCATGGCGTCCAACATACTTGCCTTTCAGTACAGCTTGTGATTTCCCTGCCCCGCCTAGCACCTCCTCGTCGTCATCATCATCTTCGTATTGTTCGAAGATGTGCCGGACGAGCTTCGGAAGTTTGCTGAGTTTGTTATGGGGGAGGTAGACGAGGCTATAGTATAGCACTACCCAGAAGAGTGATTCAAGATCATCGTCGACTCTGTGTCGCCGTGTCGGGTGTTCTAGCAGAGCAATGGACATGAATGCCCAGGTTCCCTGTAATGGAATTAGTAACGAAGGACACCCAGGATGTAAGAACTTACAGTCCGTTCGTGGGCTCTCGGCCCGTTCTGAATGTCCTCTTCTTTCACCGCCATATCCCAGTCGCTCAATAAGCCATTGCCATTCCTTTGGATCAAAATGTTCCCGCCGCTGACATCACGATGGAGCAGCTGACACTTCGTGTACGCCACCTTGTGCGCTGTGAATTGTATGAGTTTGGCGTTCGGCGTCACCACAGAGCATGTCATGCGTACCTTGGAATGCGTGATACACCACTTGGACAAGCTGCTTGGACGAGGAGAAGCGCTCGATCGGGAAGCCAACCTCTGAGACCACGAAGCGGACGTGCACACGACAGTCGATGGGCTTGTCTCCTCTTCTCTCAATCTCACTGACGTAGTCCTGCGTCCTCGTTGTCTGACCAGGAAGGTCTCCTCCGCATACGAGAGTCGGGACGTAAGGAACTCCTTCCTTGTTCAGTTCTCGGAGGGTATCAATCTCTTGACCAAGAGCCGTCGAACGCCATTGCTCCTTGAGAAACATTGGTTGAGCGCCTGGGAGCAACCCGTTCGTCACTTCGACCGCTGGATAACCGCGGGTCGCTCGGCCCAGCGGAGACTCTGGATCAGCCAGGGAACCCCAAACAAGAAACTGGTGAATGCGATTCGTTTTGCTGTCGTGAACATCCATCTTGAAGACAGGACGTTCGTGTTGCGGGGCCCAATCGTTGAGAAGAGCACGAGCATAAGCGTACTCCTTCTTGCTGGCTACGCGCACAGTTGGGTCGTATCCTCTTTCAGCGAGGGTCATCTTCGAGAACCGATGGAAGAAGCGAATCAGCGGAGTACAATCCTTGGTAAAATTGAAACGTTTTGAGACGAGGGCGCCAGATCGATCAAACCGTATGAGGCGTGCGAAGGGGAAGTAAATGTATACGAGGAAGAGATGGGTTCGATGTTGGCGACCGCAAAATTCGACCGCATATGTGACTAGTTGACCGCGAGTCTGCTTTCCTATGTCCGTACTAGTCTCGAAAGGAGCACCGTCGATTGTTTCGAGGTTCCTATCGCCGTCATGAAAGGGCTCGACTTGAGTGTCCTTGACCTCGACACCAAATTGGGCATCTCCGAGTCGTGTAGGCGCATTTTCGTCAATCTCAAGGTTGTTATCGTATCCGGAGACATCTGGCCTGACTTTGGCGCCAGGTTTGGAATCCGGATCAGGGTGGGCTGAGGTGTCGACTAGCTTGATTTCAGGGAAATTCTCGTTATCTTCTCCACAAAATTCCACCTGAATGGCGATTACATTACTACTTCATCATACACAAGGAGAGTAACTTACAAGCCTTGGATATAAATCTTTTTCCTTGCTTGGCTTGAGTCCAGAGAAAAAGTCGGTCCTAATATTCGGAAGCGTCTCTTGCGTATCCGCAGCGATGGGCATCGTAAGCTCGAAGAACTTGTCGACCTCGCACGGGCCGACCCAGAATCCGGTCATTTCTTTGCACATAGCCTTTCTGTTCTCTTGAAAACCAGCAGTCTCAATCTTGTGGGCCTTGTAGCCTGATGCTTTAAATTTCAGTGGTGTAGACTGGTACATTGCAAGAGAATTGACATGGCGAGGGGGAGAATGAGGTGAGTTGGGCGACATGGGAGGTCGAAGTCAGTAAGTGATGAATTGCTCCAGGTGCGAGGTTCACACCTTTTATATAGCCTAGGCAAGCACAAACTTGCCACAGAGAAACGACCTGGCGGACTCCGATAATGAAAATGGGTGGTTGTGGTAATTTCACTTGAAGCCGTGCCACACTTGTGGCGGAACAATGCATGAGTCCCACGTGACCGCGCGTTTATTTCCTTTTTTGCCTTCTTGCTACAGCGGGGTTACAAATTTAGAACGAGTGGCCACTGGCCACAATGGGTGGCCGCTTGGCCCGAAGACTATGAAGAGCGGCCGTCCCTACGAAATGCTAAGTAGAGGGCGAGAATAAAAATGCAATGTAAAAAAGTATACAGACAGAGTAAATATGATCCCAGTACAGATGCATAGAATGCACGCGAGACAGTGAGAAAGGGGAGATAGATAGCGAGGAAGGAATGAAAGGACTTCCGCGACGAGAACAGTAATAAGGATGGAGAGAAGCTACAGAGTTGGCTAGCTTCGCGCTTGACCGTCCGCTTGCAGAGGAAGGCGAACAACGTGTAGGGTCAAACTTGGAGGCTTTCGAGGCGCAACGGAATATATTCGTCGTAGGTAAGAAATATTGTATTAAGGCTTGAGCAAAGTTTCCGTAAAGATACAATTGCACTGTATCATCCGTACATATTACTCGGCAATTGCGAACTTGCGCCTTCGTATCTGTACACTATCGGCCGTCCCTGTGCCGGCCGGGCGTCACGAACAACACCCATATTCTCGCCGAGGGCAGGCCACTTGTTGGGAAACCTCCACACCACCACCTCCTGGACGCCATGCAGAAAGCACCGGTCAGCGCCACAGTTCATACACCACGGAAACACTTCGAACCAATGAAGTGCCGAAAGCGGGCACACCTCAACGCTCCGTAGATTAGGGAGCGATTTCAAGTTGGACAATTCAGTTGCCCAGGATTCTTCGGAAACGAGGGACCCGGCGTAGAAGTGCAGTGTATGGACGTTTGCGAGCGGGAGGTTCAAAAGCCCAGCTGCGACAGCTTGACCAAGGCCGACATTATGAAGGGAGAACACCTATATCCTGAGAGTCGTCAATTTCGCTATCAATTTCGAGATGTTCAAGTAACGGGGCCCCTTGCGAAGGCTTCTGCATGATGTCCAAAGATTCGGACGATAAGCTGTGAGGTGCGAGGAATTTGTAAAGTGAGAGGGGCATTGTTAGCTCGAAGAACTTGTCGACCTCGCACGGGCCGACCCAGAATCCGGTCATTTCTTGGCACATAGCCTTTCTATGCACTTGAAAGCCAACGACTTCAGCCTTTTGAGCTTTATAGCCTGATGCGTTACGCTCGAATGGCGTAGACTGGTGCATTGCAGGTGTATTGGCATGGCGAGGGGGAGAATGAGGCGGGTTGGGCAACATGGGAAGGTCAAAGTCAGTAAGTGATGAACCGCTCAAGGTGCGAGGCTCATACCCTTTGTATATAGACACTTGCCACAGAAAACAAACTTGAGCAACGTCTATAATGAAAGTACCTTTAGTTGTACTTGAAGAGCGAGTCACACGTGACCACGTGGTTATTGCGATATATTGTGGGCTTTATAGCCATTCCCCTATTGTAAGCTACGGAAATAACCATGTCAAGGTCTCTGCAAGTATCCGGAGCTCGAATTTACAAAATATACATATTATCAGGCAATCCTGAGTCAAGCGGCTCATAAACAAATGATATCGGCCACGCTACTGTCTGCCGTTCAGAGCGAACAATGGACAGGTTCCACGAGATGCGATGCCACTCGTCAGGTATGATACGCACAACCACCTCCGTTATGCCCCGGAGATAGTTATGGGTAGCGCCACGGGTCGCGCACCATGCCATTATCTCAGACCAATAGCGAGCCGACAGCGGACATACTTCGACTGTTTGTAGGTTTAGAAGTGATGTAGACAGTATGCGCGCCCAGAATTGGTGAGATACGCGGACCATGGTGTAGAAGTGGAGTGTGTGGACATTGTCGAGTGGTAGCTCTGAGAGGGCGACCGTAATGATCTGATCCAGTTCAATGACATCGTCCTCGTCGTCCGAATCTACATCTTCAGGCTCAACTTCCTCTGAGACCGTGATGCTAAATCGAAACGCCGGTTCGGTGGATGAGAACCCTTCCAGCTGGAGGTCTTCGCAGACGTGGCCACCGTCAATCTTTATGTTATCGATTACGCCATGGCCATCATGGAAGGAGAGCCAACGCTTGCAGGCGCGGAACAGGTCTACGAGGTTCTCAGTAGGTTTCAGCCTGAGGATTATCCGGAGGGACGCATACGGGCACTTGACGTGAGTCAACAGCAAGGTGCATACATCGGCGTCGTCGATATCGATCAATGACAGCTGCCGTAACTTGGGCAGAACGACGGTGCCCAAATTTCCAGAATCCTCCGTTTTGAACATTCCAGTGAAATAGAAAGTTTCTAGATATTTCAGCTTAGATATCATCTGGAGGAGCTGAGATGAACTTTCCAATGTCGACCAAATCAACATCAGGGTTGTCAAATTGAGCAGGATGGGGGAGTCATATTGAATCTCGGAGCAACGCAAGACAAGGTGGCGCAGCGATGGACACTTCCCATTGAAGATGGCCGGCGGGAGAATAAGCGGCTCGAAATTTGACCAGGGATTCTCTTGATTATTGATCTCGAAGTGCTCCAGCAGGGGGGCGTCTTGCGAGAGGAAGGGGATTAAGGAATATGCATACCCCTGATGGAATCGGACAACAAGGTGTGAAGTGCGGGGAATCTGCGAAGCGAGCTTTTGAACGGCTTGCCATTGTATTTCATCACCGCCGTTGTGGCCAAAGCCATCCTCATCGCTGTCTTCATCGTCCGAGCCTATAAAGTACCATCGAAAGTCCAAGCACACCTTCAGAGGCAAGTTCGATGACTGTTCCAACGCGTACTCGATGACAAAGGGATGCAAGACATCGTTCAGCGTCGTCCATAGCGAAGGCGTCTTCAGGGCAATTTGCCGCCACTTTTTACAGACTTGCGCGACAGACAACACGTCGAGGACGACTGGGTCGCCGTACCATTGATAATTCCCCGGAGTCCCGATATCATGGTATACGAGGTACTTGAGAACAAGGCTGAAGAGCTCGATGGGGAGGTTGTCGATTACCCCCATTTCCGTGTTCGTGAATCGTGAGTGTCGACGTTACGTTCGGTCCAGGTGCCACTGCCAGGAGTTCAAAGGCGCGAACCGGCCATGAGTTTGTTGCACATGACTGGCACGGTCACATTACCTACTCATAGGAGGTAAAGGGAGGTATGGAGGGGGATTGGACGAATGGAATTACAACGAACACAGAATAAATGAATAGGAAGGAGGATCTTGCAGACGGCGGGGATACGGGATAATATTTGATGGAAGGACGAAACGGAGCCCAGAAATTAGCGGGCTGCGAAGGGAGGCACAATTCAAACCTGTCAAGCACCTACTGTGAAGAGTGCAGTGAGGAGTGGGCGGCGGCTATGAAAATGTGCGTGCGCGTTTGAAGATACAATCTCAATCCCATTCTCCTGCACCGTGTCTCCAATTGACAGTCAGCGCTCGTGAATTTGGATATCACGAGACAATATATGCAGACGAACCCAACACGAACGAAGACCTGGAGAGAAGGGGCATGAGGGATGAAAGTACGAAGAAGTGGGACGCGAAGGAAACAAGTAATAGATGTGTAAGTCCAGCAAGGGCGCCAATCCTGGTTTTGAGGAAAATGATAGGGCAGAAAAAGAATATTGTCAATCCCGCTGAATCCCATGGTACCGGACTTGTCAAAACATGGCATTGAGCCGCTCTGCTTCCACGACCTCCCCACAGTTTCGAGTCACCTCCAACTCTATCTCTACGCTACACCCGCGTTGATACATGTCGACGGCGAGGATGTCCGAGTCAATCATAAAATCACTGAGCAATGGGCGCTGAGCACCGGCTAGTGAAAAAGGGAGAACAGGGGGAAAAGGAGAGGGAGGAGAGGGAGGGGGAAGGAAGGAAGGAAGGCGTCGATGATCCCAGACGTCAAATTTAAAGGCCCACCAGCTGAACGTACTCGCGCTCGGACCATCTTATCCAGTATCTCAGTGCCATGGAGATCGCCCTTGCATCTGGGTGGTCCTCCCTCGTGCAAGGTTTTGGGCTACCAACCATCTCCTGCCAGTCTTTTCTGATCCGCGAAGTCGTACGTCGCTCACCAACATACATGTCTGCAATTTCTCATCTTAGCCTCATCCAAGGAAATCCCTTCGGAAATCGATGCCGAGCTCCAAGCAACCTTGGGCTGATGCGGCGGGAAGGCCCGCCAGTTCCTTGTTGTATTGCATTCAATCGCAGTCTACGTAACTAGTGCCGCCACCCCATCGAAAAGCGGTATAAAAACGACAGTGATAACTGAGAATAGACGCGGCGAGCCATTTATCGAAGCCTTGCGCCGCCAAAGGTAGCCTTTCTACTTGTTATCTTTAGAGCGTTTGGAATCGATTTACCCCACAGCCAATCACCCTCGAGTCTGCGTTGCGCGCGGAGGTATTCCTGCTATCAGGAATGCGTTTACAGGTGGTACTGTGTGGGTCAGTAAAGACGCTTTCTTCGATGATTGGAGGAATGTTGTGATGCACCGATATGCCAGAGGTAGCTTTCCCCAAGGGATGTGCATATCTGTGCGCGGCATGGAGCCCAGTCGTAGTGAGAGGCCAATCGAAGAAGGATTCGTTCAGATGACCGCGATAGGACGGACATCATGCATCATGATGGGCTTTTCTGATCTCAACTTGGCGTTGTGGATTAGGCGCCTGATCTCTGGTGTTGTTCATGTTCATGCATAGTAAACCAGCGAGAGTATGATAGTGACAGCAACGCACTGCGAAAGGTACAGTTAGAATAAGTGGAAGGTCCCGATTTTCGTTCTGCCCGTTGTCTGTCGCAGCGCATACAACTGCTTTCCCAATGAACTACTCACTTGTCTTACGCATCGCGCCAACATTGCGCCCAGCGATATATTACTGACCCGAAATTTGATGGTTTCACTCGGCAGAAAATGTCGTGTGCGTTGAGCGCATGAGAGATCGAGTCAGAGGTCGTCACAGTCGACGCCAAAAGCCAAAATTTCAATGTCAGCGCCTGCGGCAGCGCCCATTGCGGTCCGTTGCGGCGATGGCAGTCTCCTACGACCTGCAACGACGATATTTTAATAAGTAAAGGGACGCCCATGAGAAACTTGCCCTCAACCACCACGTTCCATTTACCCCGCCTCAGCACTGCCATCGCCGCCCTTATTTAAAGTTATTGCCGATTCTCAGACAGTCGTCTTCCAACTTCGTGGTCCATTCGCCAAGCTGGGGTCGGTCCTCTAAACCATTGGCAAGAGTGTAACGATAGAACGCTGGAGACGTGGCAATGACGGCGCTGGAGAATGATATTGGGGCAACCATGGACGGTGCGTGCTTCATTGGCTCAGGGCGCGTGTGTGCTCAACCTCAGCGACGAATAGGAACATTCGTGAGACGACGCTCTCTGAAACGAGCAGCAAACTTGTCATCAGCAAACGAAGAGCTTGTCTCAGTGTCGCGTTCACCACCATCGTCGCCGGGTCATGGCATCCCGAACGGCGGAGGAGGGCGGGAAGGGGATTTGGCGAGCAGGAAGAGGGGAGAGAAGTTGGGAGCGTCGATCAAGAGGAAGTTCTTCAAGGCGTTCGTGCGCGGGACTTCGGCAGGCGCGCAGGTGGACGCACATCATGCGGAAGCCGCGCACCATGGACAGCTAGATGCGTCTGTTCGCGCGCGCGCGCCGAGGCTTGGGCATACCCGTTCGCTATCAGATCAGACGGCGTCGGTCTCGGCAAAGCCGACCATTGTCCACTCGCACACAATTCCAGAGGAGCCAACGCACATGCCGTCGTTCTCAAAGGCAGCTGTCGCGATTTCACAAGGCGGCGCCGGGGCTACAAACTCCCTTACTCTAGATACGCGGCCTCTACCCCAGTACACGTCGCATTCCACCACGTCGCCTACCAATGATTCTTTTCTAGCACCTCCGCTGAAGCACAATCTCACCGTCGATGGGGACTTACCCCCTACCCTAGAGTCTGAGGCGCTCTTTTCAGACGGCGTCGCGGACCAGCTCCTCGCAGATGCCGCCGTGCCCGCGATCCTACAGCGCGGCCTCCTCCTCACCAAGCTCAGCGAGAAACGGACGTTCGATCTCCCCTTAGACACGTTCCCCTTCGGAAAGAACAGCAGTGTGTTCAGCGGAAGGAGGCTCAAGCGCGTGTTGGTGCGCGTGGATCCGGACCAGGGGCAGATTGTGTACGAGAGCGGGGAGGATTTGGTGGACGACGCGGGGAGGGGGGCTGATGGTGCGCCGATCATGCCAGGCCCGGCGCCGAAGGAAGCCCGAGTGATACCCATCGAGGCGATTCGCGAAATCCGGATGGGCGCAGACGCAATGGCCAGCCTCGCGAAGGGGAAACCGCTGGAGGACGACCACGACCTTGCTTCCCCCATGGCCGCCACATTCCCACTGGTCCATACTCCAAGTCAACATCGTCCCCCGTACACCGCTTCCCAATCAGCACCGGCAGTTGCAGGTGCTCTGGACATCGCCCCGCCTTCGCCGAGGAGCGCACCTGCGTTGTTGCATTCGGCGTCGTCTCCCCCTTCGGTCACGTCTTCTACCCCGCCGTCTTCGGCGCCTGTCAATGTCTCACCAATATCGTACTCAATCTCCCTCCCTCCTCCAATCGTGTCGTCGACTCCACCATCTTCCGCACCCATCCACACCAGATCGCTGGGATCGCCGCCCGCTGCGCCTCCCACCCGTTTACTCACCATCATCTACACCCTCCCCCACAAGACCCAATCGCAATACAAGTCCCTCCATCTCCTCTTCCCTCCCCCACTGCTTCCCCAAAAGCCATCCCCAGTCACTGACGTAGACTTATGTCAGCTATTCTGCGATACACTGCGGAAACTGCACGCTGTGCGGCTGGAGCTGATGAACGGATTGGGGAACATCGCGGTGCGCGAGGCGATGTGGGAGCGTATCGTGTGGAAAGAAGGCGATGTAGGGAGTAGCGACGATTTGAGGATGGAAGGGAAAGGAAAGGTCGGCAAGTCGAAGCACCCCGATGGGAGGGGAGACGGAAAGATGGAGTGGATGGAGGTCCTCGCCCTCTGTACCAAGCTGAATGTAAGCATGGGGAGAGAAGAGCTGATGAATCTATTCAAAGTGAGCCTTTCTGTCTTTCCGATGACTTATGATCTTAACGTTGTCCTCAGCAAGCAGACAAGGCCAATAAGTCGTACCTCACCTTCGCTGAGTTTCGCCAGTTCCTCAAGCTATTGAAGAAAAGACCGGAGGTGAAGAGGCTGTATAAACATGTTATCGCGGCAACTGGGGACGGGAAACATCTGGAGGGTTGTCCGTATTCTCACAAAAGCAAGTTCCTGCACCGCGCTGCTACAACGCATACGCATCATCACGGCCATCGCCACCTCCCTTCTAAGGCGTCCCCTCATAAACTTGACAAATCGACAAGCGAACGCGAAGGAAGCGTATTCACTGACGGCCACGTCCTGCAGCGATCCCTTTCCGCCTCCTACCACCACGAACACCCGCGGCATAGCCTCCTCCACGCCTCCTTAGTGCAGCACAAATCTCAGTCATACCCCTCAGCGGACGGTCCGCCCGAAGACGCGTTCGACTTTTGTGCATTCACGCTCTTCATGCGCGACATGCAGAAATCCCCGCTTCGCGACGACGATCTGCGGATGCTGTTCGACAAGTACTCGTGCTTAGAGAATCGGCGTATTACGAAGGATGGGGTACTGGGTGCGCGGCTTGAGTCCCCGACGGCGGTAGCTGATTCCCCGAATGAGGAAGAGGCGAGCGCGGCCGGTGGGGCGTCCCACCCACATACGATGTCGCTGGCTGCCTTCACGTCGTTTCTCCTCTCTCCAGCTAACGCTGCGCTGTTGGACCAGCTTCCTGAATACCTCCGATCGCCCTCCGATCGCACGCATACAGCTGAGGGGTCGGAGCAATCATCGTCCACACCCTTCTCTGATCGATCTTTGTTCAGCAGGACGTCGATGGTCTACCAGGACATGACCCGGCCGCTGCCTGAATACTACATCTCGTCCTCGCATAACACATATCTCGTGGGGCACCAGCTCGTGGGGACTAGCACTACTGAAGGATATATCAGGGCCCTCCTCAGTGGCTGCAGGAGCGTAGAGGGTAAGTATCTAGTCCTTCTCATTGGGGATTTTTATTGAAGCCTAGATATTAGTGGACATCTACGATGGCGACGTCGAACCGATGATCTTCCACGGAAAGACGCTCACTACCAAAGTCTCGTTGCGCGCCGTGTGTCGCTCCATCGCGCGGTACGGCTTCGTTGCCTCCCCATATCCGATCATCATCTCGGCGGAGCTCCACATCCAGACGCTGGAGCAGCAGGATATGATGGCGAATATCATGCTAGAGGAGTTTGGCGACAGCCTGATTCGCATGCCGCCTGATGGGCCGCCTAAGCTGGAGCATCTGCCAAGTCCGGAGGAGCTGAAGGGAAAGGTCATGTTGAAGGTATAAGCACTCCTGTCTTTGGATAAGCTCAAGCTGAACTCCGTTCTTTACTCAGACAAAGAACTTGAACCTGGCCACTCATGGATCGTTAGGCGATGGTGACTTCTCCGAAGTAGACACATCGTATTCTTCGTTGAGTGCCTCCGAGTCCGACGTCTTCTTGAACGATACGCCAAATCGGGGGAAGAAGAGGCGGGCATCAGATTCTAATAAAGGTACAACCTCCGTCTAGTTTTGTGTCAGTCTAAACTAAATTTGTCTATCATGGCAGGCTTTGGCGCCGAGCTTCAGCGAGCCCGCGACACTGTTCTCCAACGCGTGCGAAGTCGTGGTAAATCTTCATCTGCTCCCTCACCACCCCAGATCAGGCCTTCATCCTCTTCTGGCGCGAACAACAGCTCCTCGCTCGCAGCTGCCGCGATGAGACCCAAACTCAAGATGTCTTGTGCTTTGGCCGCCCTTTTGGTGTATACCGTCGGCGTGAAATGTCGTGGGATCAATAAGAAAGAACAGTATGCGGTCGAACATATGTTTTCGTTGTCAGAAAACACAATCAACAAGATGTTGAAGGAGGTGACCTACGGGGGCTACGACGACGACCCGGATAAATTGACCGATACTGGGGGCGTGGGCAGGGGCGGTATGATGGATCTGATCAAGCATTGTCGCACCCATCTCGTCAGGACTTATCCGAAAGGAATGCGCGTAGATTCGTCGAATTACGAGCCCCATCGCTATTGGAGTGCAGGTGCCCAGTTGGTGGCTATTAACTGGCAAACGTGTGGTTCGTTCCTAATATTTCCAGTGCTCGATAGCAACTCACCCGATCTTACAGACGTTGGTTTCATGATCAACCATGCCATGTTCCAAAGGAATGGGCGGTGCGGTTATGTGTTGAAACCGCTAGCCCTGCGCTCGGCGGCGCACAAGCACCTCCTTAGCAAACGTACCAACCATTACCTCGATGTCACTATCATTTCGGCGCAACAACTGCCCAGGCCCAAGGATGGCAAGACAGTGGTCGATCCCTACGTTGAAGTCTCTATACATGTCCCCGATTGGACCCATCAGCCGTTCTTGCCCTCGCCGCAAGTCAAAGCCGATGGTAAGCAGTCCAAGTCAGCTGAAGACTTACCGACGTACTCTCCTCCGAGCGGACCAACCGCGACTATGGCTACCCGAGCGAGGAAGATCAGCAGTGCCACGAGCGTCGTGAGGCATAATGGATTCAACCCTGTCTGGGAAGAACAACTGCGGCTCCCCTTCGATTGCGTAGGGGATATGAAGGAGCTAATATTCCTAAAGTTTGCTGTCAAGCAAGAAGGGAAAGGTGGGGACGACGATGAGGTTTTGGCCGTATTCTGTGCTTCTCTAGGTAGTCTGCAACGAGGTATGTCCCCTGATTTTATAGCGAAAAAGTAGTCACTAACTGCGAGTAGGTTATCGACACATACCCCTCCATGACGTCCAACTATCGCAGTTCCTGTTCGCTACGCTTTTTGTGCGGATCGAAATCCAGGACGTACCTAACTGATTTTGCCACTCTCTTCTTTGTTATGTTCTTTGCTCCTTGTTTATCGTTGTCTATCTCCTACTTTGTCTATCGCAAGTCCATCTAAACGCACTAACTTATTCTCTGCATGTTCTTTATCTTAGACCACGATTGTGGCTGACGTCTGTTTCCATAGCACCATGTATTGTATATGAATGAATTGTCCGTCTCGTACGAGGGTTAGATTCTACAAAGGATTCGCTGACCAGGTGCTTTCGTTCAAGCAACATCACGGATCCCAATCTCCACGAAAAGAGTAGAAAACAAATGCTGTGAGCCCTGCGAGTCGTGCAAAGGCAGGTGCCGGAAACCTGGATAGTGTCCAAATGAACGAAAAGCCAGCAAGAAATACATAGTAGCGTACCTGATTTCAGACATCCCAAAGGAGCGCAGTACACTGCTAGCGGTTCATCCCCATCGTCGTCCTTCCCCTTTTGCCATACCACGAACTTCACGAACACCAGATCCATCATCCCGCTCTCTCGGCCACCTAGACAATCAAACGGCAAACATATTTCCTCCTGCCAAACCGGATTGAAGCCGTTGTCCTTGACGATGGAAGTCTTGAACGACACTTTACGGGAGGATGTAGGTTCTGTCGTCGTTGCCTTATGCGAGGGCGAATATGCAGCCTTTGATTCCGTCGGGATGAACGGTGTGGAACTCCAATCAGGAACATGGAGAGATACTTCAACCAGAGGATCGACGTATGGGTTCTTCTTAAGGAGCTCGCTCTTCGTGGATCGCTTGGGGGTTGGAAGTTGTTGAGCTGAGATGATCTATGTAACAAAGTCACCGATATGTGGGGGCGGTGGTCTAGAAAGATCATACCGTTACGTCGAAGAAGTGCATTGTCCGCTGTGTCAACAGCTTAGTGTTGAAATCCGTGAGCGCAGGCGGCTTCAGAATATAGCCACACCGTCCGTTTTCTTGGAACATGGCCTGATTGATCAGATATCCGAAATCTATACAACTCGCTAAGTTTATCCACTCGCAATACGCTTACTCGACGCACCAGTCGTCTGCCAATTTAGAGCAACCACTTGCGCCCCAGCCGCCCAGAACTCGTGTGGCTCGTAGTTGGTTGAGTTCACGCGAAGGCCCTTGGGATATACCCTGACTAGGTGGTTCTGACAATGCTTGATCACGGAAAGCATATCGTCTTTGATCATCCTCTTAGCCTTGTTCTCCGACAACGAGAAGATATGCTCGGGTTCGTAGTGCGGCGCATTCTCGCTTTGGACCCCGTCAGTCGGGGTAGCCGGTGGCAGACCACGGCATTTGACTCCGACGGTGTATACTATCAACGACGCCAACTTGATGGACATCTTCGGCTTTGGAGGACGCTGGTCATTCGAAGGGGTTGTTGGACGGCTTCCTTTCTTAGACCCGAATGTGGCGCGTAGTTTGTTTCCAAATGATTTGAGTTCGCCACGGACTTTGGCTACCTTCGAGGTGGCCTCAGCCTCGGAATCAGAGGTGTCTGAGGGCTCTTCAACTTCGATGGTCGCGGGGGGAGTGCTAGTGGCGAGTGAGGCTGTAGCAGCACTATCAATGACGTAGAGGTTCTTAGCCTATGGCAAGATTATTAGCGGTAAATCATAGCCTCAAGACACGGCTAGACCTTTAGAAGGAACTTCTCTTTTAGGCTCTCGACACTTGGAAGCGCGTCTATCTTCTTCTTGGGCTTTCCATCCTGAAGGAGGTCCTCGTCGTGGACCAACCGATCCCCGAAGCATTCCTTTAGCACTTGCACCATTTTGTCTTGGCTCTCGAGGCCCAAATGGACTTCGGCTGAGATGATGACAGGATAAGGGGAGGCGACGAAAGCGTAACGGTTGATGGCATCGCAAATGTCGCGAAGGGGGATGTCTGACGTGAGGGTATTCCCGTGTTTGATGACAGGTTCCTCATTGTCGCCACCGTCCCATATATCAACTGATGAGATGGCAAGGTCAGTCGAAGCGAAGACGGTGAGGGGCAACTAACGTTCAACGCTACGACACCCAGCTAAAAGGGCCCGGATGTAACCTTCGACGGTGCTTTCGCCGATCAATTGGTGGCCAATCAAGTATGTGTTATGCGAGGAGGATATGTAGTAGTGCGAGAGGGGATGCGACATATTCTGGGTGACTTGATGGGAGCCGGATGCTGATGCTGTCACGGCGTTGTCCGATGAAAGTAAGAAGGTGGTGAAGGCCGTCGTGGAAAGGACCGGTACTTGGCCTTCAACAGGTTGCGTGGCGTACTTAGCGAAGATGGCTTTTAAGGTGTCCGCAGAACAGTCGGACTATGTTGGTTGGTACAGGCTTTGTAGTACCAAGCACGACGACGCGCACCTGTTGTTGCCCCTTCATGAACATCTCAAAGGCCTGAAAATCAAATATCTTGCTGGGACTTCCGTCGCATATCCGAGCGTACAGGGCGTCGATCTCTGGTCGCCGTTTTATCGACTTGACGAACTGTTTAAAAGATTCGAAGTCGAGAAATCCTGTTCGCTGACTATCGGCTTCCTAGAGCCTCCTTCATCAGTTGCGCTTCGAAAAGAAAGAAGCCGACTTACATCGAAAAGCTTCTTGATCACGGTGGGAGGTGCACTAATATTGAGACGTAGACACAGGTTCTCGACTTCCTTCAAATCCAACTTGTTATCGCCTCCCGCATCGGCACCCTTCCAGTACATCTTCTGCCAGACTGCTTCACGCATCTCCACATTATCTAACCCTCGCATGAGATCCCGACGTGTGGTATACAGTGCCCGTACGGCATTCTCCCATTGTCGTAGTATCTCGGGAGTTGGCGCCAGCATATTCAAGGTCTTATACGAGCCACTTCTGATATAAATGGTAGAGATGAACCGAGGTAGGTCGGAAAATTGCAGACCCAATTGTGCGAGGTCGTATGCAGCATTGGACCCTGTCCGAAATTCCTTTATCGTCTCAACAAGGACTGTCCCCGCGAATCGCAACCGAGCTCGTCAATAATGGGCGACGTCGTCTGCCGGTCCACTCACCAGCACCGTACTTCTTCGACTCCCAAAGAATTTGACCTTGATCTACGTCAAGCCTGAACTTGACTTGCTTCTGTTTTCGGTCAGAGTTGATCTTGGTGAAGACTACACCCGTCTTGAACTGTTCCGGGACTGACAACGAGACATCGAACGCTGGTAATGGAGAGGACTGGGGATCGGCCATATGAGTAGTAGTTTCCAAGATGGATTATCTGCAGAAATCAGTGACATTGCTCCAGAAGTGGCACTGCTGCCATGTTCGACGGGCACAGGGCGTCAAATACAATCAGGGTCCAAGTAGCTCAGGGGACTTCGGAAACGTGGCGCTCTGAATCTTTGTCTTGCGGGGAGTTATGTATAGTCAAACGAACCAACCCCCAGTCCTCCTGTGCAAGGAGTGGCGGAAATTCGCCGCTGAATATGCTTTCGCTGGGGACGACATTCGACAGGGAGCTGAATCCTTTGCCCATCGGTTATGCACTCCAACTTTCATCGAACTTACCTCTGAAACTTTGCTTGGATCTTCAATCCGGGTTTGGGGATGCCAGTGAGGACGAAGATGCGGGTGTTCCATTGCAGTGGGACATCGTTCGAAAACTCATCTCGCAAATCCCCCGCACCTCCCACCTTGCTGTCCGACTCTTTTGGTATCATGCAGAAGCCTTCATCTCTGAGCTCATGCAAGAGGCTCCATTGCTCGTGCACATGGAGATTGATGGCGAATATGGCTATAATTCTGTGATTCTATGGACTCCGACGTCCCCGCTGTCGACATATGGGCTGGAGGTGACTCGAAACAGTGGGGGGCGAGGTCGTTGCAGCAGAGCGGCTTAGTGCCATGTTTCGAGAACATCGGACATGGTCGGTGTTTAACATTTATTGCTCAAGGTACTGCTGGACAACGGCGAGGAACGTGACGGGTGTCGGTGAGCGTACAAATCAATCTACGATGGCCCGGAGTTGTTGAATAACCTCAAGATCAATGGCAAGCACGTTCGCGAAGATATCCAACTCGAGATGAAGTGTCCGGCACTGTAGAGTAAGTAGACTGACGATCACAAGCACAGTCATAGTACTGTCGAGTATGCATATTTGAGTATATACGCCTAACAAATATATTGTTCCTCAGTCCTTTCACCCTCGAAAATTCATTCATCGCCACCCTAAAAACACAAGTAGAAACCACACCTACAGATCCCAACGTAAATAACCCTCTGTTCTATGTCATGGATGGTATCTCAAGTCTTTCGTCGTTTAACCCCTCTTAATGACTCCTCTTCCTCGTGCTCTCCTTTCGGTTCAGGAGGATCCTGGCGTTTCGTATTGGTTCGTTTGACTGCTTCGTTGGGAACCTTGAAGGAGAGCTGTCTGGCAAGTTCCACCTGGTCGACGGCGCCATCGCTTCTGGGCCACGAATGCGATTCAAGGGCAGTGGCCCATATCTCTTCCATTTGCCATTCGTGGCCGGAACTCCCATCTTGAAAACTGTTCGCTCCAACTTTGGAGCCCACCGTTTCAGGTGCTTCTTGGCTTCTAGGACCTCAGCTTGTGAAGCAGGTTGGACGGTGGTGTCAAATCCTTGACCGGCCCTATCCAAGCGACCAAACAGAAAGAGGAAGCGCACCAGAGGGGTGCAATCTTCAACATAATTCACGCGCCTAGTAATGGTTGCACCGGCCCTGTCCCAGCGAATGAAGCGTACGAAGGGATGGAAGACAAAGACCATGTAGAAGTGCGTTCGGTGCTGGCGCCTGCAAATTTGGGTGGCATAGTTAGCGAGTTGGCCCCGAATTCAAGTAGACGTTGGATTTGTGATTTCATAAGGAAATTGGCAGTCGTGTGCACTCCATCGTGTCATTGACGATATCCTCCCTGTGTGATTTCTTGACTTCATAGGCAATTAGCATCAGATCCAGCCTTGTAGGATGGATCTTGGGTACAAGGCCTTTCCAGTAGTGGCCAAGGTCAGTTCGAATCTTGGCTCCCGCCTCAGCATTCGGGTCTGGATGATTTGAGGTGTCGACTAGAGAGTGGTTAGGTAGCAAGGGTGGATAGTCGCCTTCGCCGTTAGCAAGGATCACCTAAATCTCATTGGAAATGGCGCGCGTTAATTCAACGGATCCACTTACAAGGGCTTCATATATGTCAAAAGTACATGGTCCGTATGTTAGAAAGTCCAGGGAGTAACCTTTACATTATAAATGATGAGCTGCCTCCTACCCATGACAAGTTTTCCTCCTCTTCCTCCTTGGGTAGCCATCTTCGTCCGTGTAGTCCGCAGGTTCGTGAGGCTCAGAGCGCTTCAAGTTAGCCTCCAGTCGCTCTCCATGTAGGATAAGATTGAGTGTCTTGGCATGTCTGAGTTGGTCGATGGCGCGATCATTCACTGGCCACAATGGAGATTGGAGTGCTTGAGTCCATATCTCCTCCATATCCGCATGGGTGACAGGGATATATTCTCTATCATCGCCAAGATCTTCTATAGTAGGGTCATATCGGCGGCTCCATTGCTTAAGGGTAGCGGCGGCCTGGAATATGAAATCGGTGAGAGGAGGGCAACTGGTGAAGGTGAGTTCAGGCCGCGATCGCCGTCCAATGTAGGAATTGTGGCTGATGAGTCCTATTTTCACCACACCTCCTCGAGCTATTCCATCTAAGGCGGTGAAATCGTAGTAATCGAATATTGAGGTCGTAACGGTTTCGATGGCCTGGAAGAGCGAATGGGGTAGAAAGTGAAGTCCATGATAAAGGACGACCCAGAAGAATGACTCTAAATCGTCACGTATAGTATGTTGTTTGTAAGGCTCTTGAAGGAGAGCCGCTGACATGAATGTCCACGTTCCCTAGATAAAAATAATGGAAATGAGTTATCGTAGTGTAAGATCGCTCAAAGACTCACCGTTCTCTCACGGTCCTGAGGCCCGGCTTTGACTTCTGACGCGTCCTCCGCGAGATCCCAATCGCTCAACAGCCCGTTGTCATCGACTATTAGTATGTTCCCGCCGCTGATATCTTGGTGTAGGATGTTGCATCTTTCGTACGCTTGCCTGTGTCCTGACGAGTATTACCAGTGCCTTTGCCATACATGGAAGTATCACCATGGGCCCACCTTTGAATGCATCATACACCGCACTAAGCATCGCCTTTGAAGAAGGAAAGTGTTCGAGAGGCTGGCCGACTTCAGCAACAACAAACCTAGTATGCACTCTCCTGTCGATGAGGTTATGGCCGACTCTCCAATCGCCGTCGCCGATTTCGTGTGTCCGTGTTTCCTGTCCAGGGAGATCACCCCCGCATACCAATGTGGGTACGTGCTCGACGGTCTTCTTGTTCAGTTTTAGCAGCGTCTCTACCTCAGACCTCCCTTTGGCATCCCGCCACTGGTCCTTGAGAAACATCGGCTTCTGGGACACAACGCCGTTGATGAGCTCGACCGCTGGGTATCCGCGAGTTGCACGGCCCAATGAAGACTCTGGCTCGGCAAGCGTGTTCCAAACGAGAAATTGGCGAAAATCGCCACCATCGATGGAGGCTACGTTCATCTTGAAGACCGGGTGGGTCATTCTGGGCGCCCAACGTTTGAGGTACTCCCTTGCAATGACGGCTTCGGCTGGGGTAGCGTGTTGAACTGTGCAGTCAAAACCCCTCCCCGCTTTGTCGGATCGGCCGAATAGATACAAGAAGCGCATTAATGGGGTGGAATTTTTCATGTAGTTTACGCGTTTGGTGACGATGCCGCCAGACCTGTCCCAGCGAACGAACCTTACGAAGGGGTGGAAGATGTAGACCATGTAAATGTGCGTTCGGTGCTGACTCCGGCTGAGCTGAGTCGCATAGTTGGCGAGCCGGCCGCGAATTAGAGTGGAAGCTGTATCATTGATTTCGTACGGTGCTTGACAATCGTCGTGAGGTAGCGGTTTGGTGCATTCCATCGTGTCGTCAACAATGTCAGTGCTCTTTCCCTGGCAGGCAATCACGACCAGATCGACTACTTTCGGAGTACCCTTGGACACAAGCCCCTTCTCGATGCATCCCGAGGAGGGCCATATCTGTGCCCTGTCTTCAACGCAGTCTATGTGGTTGAATGCATCAACCATGAAGTAGTCCGGAAGCGGTGATGCGTAGTCAGCCGCTCCGTTGATGAGAGTGTTCTACGAGCTGACATTAGTGGACAGATAAACGAAGCATCGGGGCACACTTACTAAAGTTTCGCAAAGATCATTCGCGCACGATACGTGCATGCCCTGAAGGTAGGTTGCGGGTATGCCGGGTTGTGTCGTGAGCTCATCGTTCTCTGATATGCGCATGCTTTCAAAGAAATGATCCACGGGGCATGGTCCTATCCAACTCCCTTTTGTTTCGCGAGCCATATCACGCATGACTCCCTTCGTCTGAGCGACACTTTCCTCAACAGAGACCGGAGAAAAAACGTCTGGCTTAGCTGGCATACTGTGCGTTGCACGATGCGCCGTGTAATGCGGCATTTCAACTATGTTTGGGCCACGAACGACTGGGAGGGCCGAGTGCTATCAGAGGATTATGGATCTTCCGCACCTCGAGTGTAATGAACAAGAGAAGGATGCGCTCTGTTTTTGAGATAGAGAGATCTTGGAAACCTAAGATAGCGGCGTTGATACGTTTCAACTAAGTGTAGGACAAGAAGTGGCGAGCCATGAACTTAGTAACCCTGAAAAGGTAATTCCCAAGCGCGATCACGTGAGCCATCCATTGTTCGACCACTAGTGCCACTGCCACTGTTGACGCTTCAAACATGGCAAGGGTAGGTGGTCACACTCGCAATGCCTATGGACACCGTGGCCGGACTCTGGGTCGGCCCGTGCGAGGTCGACAAGTTCTTCGAGCTAACAATGCCCCTCGGTACGGAGACGCAAGAGAACCTCCCTGGAATTAAGCCAGACTTCTTTGCTGGACTCAAGCCAACCAAGGAAAGCGATTTATATCCAAGGCTTGTAAGTTACTTTCCTTGTGTATGACGAAGTAGTAATGACATCGCCATTCAGGTGGAATTTTGTGGGGAAGATAACGAGAATTTCCCTGAAATCAAGCTAGTCGACACCTCAGCCCACCCTGATCCGGATTCCAAACCTGGCGCCAAAGTCAGGCCAGATGTCTCCGGATACGATAACAACCTTGAGATTGACGAAAACCCCCCTACACGACTCGGAGATGCCCAATTTGGTGTCGAGGTCAAGGACACTCAAGTCGAGCCCTTTCATGACGGCGATAGGAACCTCGAAACAATCGACGGTGCTCCTTTCGAAACTAGCACGGACATAGGAAAGCGGACTCGCGGTCAACTAGTCACATATGCGGTCGAATTTTGCGGTCGCCAACATCGAACCCATCTCTTCCTCGTATACATTTACTTCCCCTTCGCACGCTTCATACGGTTTGATCGATCTGGCGCCCTCGTCTCAAAACGTTTCAATTTTACCAAGGATTGTACTCCGCTGATTCGCTTCTTCCATCGGTTCTCGAAGATGACCCTCGCTGAGAGGGGATACGACCCAACTGTGCGCGTAGCCAGCAAGAAGGAGTACGCTTATGCTCGTGCTCTTCTTAACGATTGGGCCCCGCAACACGAACGTCCTGTCTTCAAGATGGATGTTTACGACAGCAAAACAAATCGCATCCGCCAGTTTCTTGTTTGGGGTTCCCTGGCTGATCCAGAGTCTCCGCTAGGCCGAGCGACCCGCGGTTATCCAGCGGTCGAAGTGACGAACGGGTTGCTTCCAGGCGCTCAACCAATGTTTCTCAAGGAGCAATGGCATTCGACGGCTCTTGGTCAAGAAATTGATACTCTCCGAGAACTGAACAAGGAAGGAGTTCCTTACGTCCCGACGCTCGTATGCGGAGGAGACCTTCCTGGTCAGACAACGAGGACGCAGGACTACGTCAGTGAGATCGAGAGAAGAGGAGACAAGCACATTGAGTGTCGTGTGCACGTCCGCTTCGTGGTCTCAGAAGTTGGCTTCCCCATCGAGCGCTTCTCCTCGTCCAAGCAGCTTTTTCAAGTGGTGTATCACGCATTCCAAGGTACGCATGATATGCTCCTGACACCGAACGCCAAAATCATACAATTCACAGCGCACAAGGTGGCGTACACGAAGTGTCAGCTGCTCCATCGTGATGTCAGCGGCGGGAACATTTTGATCCAAAGGAATGGCGACGGCTTATTGAGCGACTGGGATATGGCGGTGAAAGAGGCGGATATCCAAAATGGACCCAGAGCCCACGAGCGAACTGTACGTCGCACCCACTCGAGCGCATCCATTTAATAACCTTGTTTTCAGGGAACTTGGGCCTTCATGTCCATTGCTTTGTTACAAGCAACAGGGCGTCGTCATACCGTTAGCGACGACCTGGAATCCTTTTTCTGGGTAGTGCTGTACTACAGCCTCGTCTACCTGACACACAACAAAGTAAAGAGATTGCCAAGAATCATCAAAAACATTTTCGAGCAGTGCGAAGAGGATGAAGATGAGGAAGATGAGGAGGCCGTGACAGGAGGGAAAGGTAAACGGAATGTCGTGTTCCATGGAGACTATATTGGCCACGGGATAAAGCAACCACTGGAGTTTACGCAAAGCGTGCCGGTTACACGCTTCGTGGCGAATATGCTTCATTTGCTTGGTGAGCGAGCGAAGAGGCTCCCTACTATTGGCGAAGACTCCGAGAACGATTCAAAAACTCTGTTGGGGTATAAGGATGTGGAGCATATCTGGGAAGCCACTCTTAGTTCTTCCTCCTGGCCGACGAACGACAAAGCGAGAAACCAACTCTCGAAGAAGAGGGGAGCCTCTGGTATGGAGGACGATAGTGATGAAAGAAAAATCAAGAAAGTGAAGACATGCCGCATTTGAAAGATACTCAATCTTGTATTTATTATCATTTCAATCTCCTGAATATTTATTGTATAACTGTGTACCAAAATATCATACGGCGCCCTTCCCTTCGATACACAGACGCGTAGGGCAGAAGAGAGATTTGAAGAACGACACCTAATCTCAACGTTCCCGCAAATGAAACACGGTGCCTGCGACGATGCAAGAGACACTGGACGGTACTCTATCCTGCAAGAAGTTCATGAAACCCCGAACGCTACCACAACAATCAATCCAAGATTTACATAGTTCAATGAGGTTTTCCATTGAATCTCGATATACTCGTACATACATGCAAAGTTCGTCTTATCGTGGGGCATCTACCAGATTAATTGGCCACTGGAGGCATCTGTTAGCGCTATATCGAAGGTTCGAGTTAAAAGGGTAACGTACCCATCTACAAAGTATTCCCCGCCCGTCATGTACGTCGCGTGCTCGGAGAGAAGCAGCAAGGCTTGGCCGGTCATCTCGTGAGGCTGAGAAGCACGTAGATTAAGAGATTAATCGGATATTCGGTCACAAGAGGAATGGAGGGATGGGGGATATGGGATTCTTACCTCGGCGAAGCGACGAAGTGGTATACCACTTGCTTGATGGTCACGAATGTTCTTGTCCATATGAGACGTTTGATCGGTGTTCACTGAGCGACGAAGTTGAGCTCCCTGTATGATTCTGTTTCAGACATATGAGGCACGGCGCACCGTATCCTGGGGAGAGTGCATTCACTCGAATTCCATAGGGAGACCATTCCGACGCGAGGCCCTTCGTGAGATTGCTGACGGCAGCCTTCGAAGAATTATAAAACACCTAAACAAGTATGAGGATTACGCGGGACAAATTACAGGAAGACAAGCAGACGCACCTGAGTGAGAGGAGTGTTCTGTTCGGATTGGTTAATGATACGCGAGCTCATCGAAGACGTGATCACGATGGATCCGCCGTCATGCTTCCTGTCCACCCACAACCTACATAGATCAGTACTTCGAGACTATCCGCGCCCCAAAGGCCATACATACTTCGCAGCGGCACGAGCCGTATTGAAGACTCCAAACACGTTTACATCGTATACGCGGCTGAAGTCCTCGTGCGATAGCTCAAAGGCAGGTTTTACAACAGAAACCCCAGCGTTCTGGTAAATATTAGAATCTATAAGCGGAGGGCGTGGGGTCAGATAAATCAGACGTACAGCAATCAGACCGGTAATTGGACCAATTTCGTCGTCAATCTTCTGGAAGGTCTTGTTCACGAGATCAGTGTCTGAGACATCACACTTGTACGCCTAGATCGCGTTTGAGAGGATGGAACGCGCATCAGTATACCACCAAACGCTTACCTTGACGTTGACGCTGAACTCATTGGCAACCTTTTCGGCTACAGCTTCCGCGTCTTTCGAGCTCCTGCAAACGCGTAAATACAAGTTAGCGAATACCGGCCACAATTTAGTGGATACGCGCCTGTAGATAATAGCCACGTTTGCACCTGCCTGTGCGACGGCTCTAGTGAATGCATAACCAATGCCTCTATTTCCTCCCGTTACGACTACACATTTCTCTGGGAACGTATCTGAGATTGGGACCTCTCCTTCAATTGAAATGCTCACTGGCGAAATTGATGACAAAACCCTTGCTCTGAGAAGCCATTCTGTTGGAGCGATATCGGCTGGTGGATTCAATAGTGCTAGTGATGGTCGAGGTGAAGGAGTATGGGCGGGGAGTCGGATTAAACGTCTGGTTTATATACTGCGCGCACGGACCTGTGAGCGGACGACGTCACCCACAATTGTAGAGCCTTAGTCAGAAGCCCGTTCATCGCCGCCCGACTCCACCGTAATGCGATTTGATCAATAGGCTTGTGCACAACTAACCTCGCCGTGGATGGCGGATGTTGAGATTGGTTTATGGAGGCCAGCGCTGCTGCCAAGTGGAAGAGCTTAGAGCAACCAGTCCACAGGAGTTACGGGAGTTCTCAGGTAGGGCGGCGACGCGCCATACGTGCGCTCTCTCAAAGCTTTCTCTTCTAAGTTCTTAGTCTACCGCACAAACAGTAGCATATTCTCACAGTCACAAGGAAGCTCCCACAGTCATGCATCATGGATAAACTCACGAACCCTCCTTCCTTTTCAGAAATTCTTTATTTAATTTAATTTACTTCCCCTTTGAACACTGAGCCGAACGTGAGCATGAAGAACCCAGCGAAATCTTTCAGCTTTTCATGCATCTAGCCTGAGCGCCTGGGGATATACGCATAGTAAGTCGTCGTCATCTAAACGCTTGGAAGGGTGGTTGACGGTCGATAAATGCCTGTGCTGTGAGTCTAAGCAACCAAGAATGCACGCTACATGCAACGCCCTGATTCTCACAGTGATTTCGGCGTAGAACCATGGCGCAGCGTATCGTTGCTGTAACGTCGTGGTTCTCGCTCAAGGGTACTGGAGATGCGAAGGCCAGGACCTTGCGGCGCCCCCTTCTTTGACGTCGCTGAGTACACGCCCGTATGCTTTCGCCTCCACATGATCATCACCGATGGGAAGGCCCATTTTCCTGGGTAAATTCGAACTCGCGAAGCCAATCCACGTCGTATATTTATAGTGGGAGGGAAAGGGTGTCGAGGTTCTCTCGAACTTGGATCCCCCGAACAAGGTCTTGCCAAAGGTGGCGCCCAGAACTGTATCCGAGGACGTTCTGTCATCCTAGCACAGCAGCGAATCTTTCATAATGGGAAGAAGCAGACAGAAGATGGCTGTTCTCGTCGGATGGCTCGCGTACTGTGGGGCCGGCGCGTGAGTACGGTTTGACAGCGCCTGGATAGTGATTCTCAGCCAAAGTAGCGGCAAGGTGTTCATATCCGACCCAGCCAGCTTTACCAATCTTTTCATTGGTACTACCAATGGGGGTCATGTATTTCCAGGTGCGTGTCCCAAGCGTTTCCTACACGATGGTGAATCAATGCTACTGAGCAGGCGCCACGCTTCCACATGGAATGGTCAAGGCCGGGATGGATACAGACTCGCCGGGTAACGTACGTCCCATTCGGTCGTGTGAGCTTCCTGGGTAAGACGTGACTGGTATATCAGCATGCAGGATATGACGCAGACCCCCAGTTTAATGTGACTGGATTCTCTCAACTTCACGACAGCGGGACAGGTGGGGTGAGTGATATTCCTCCTCTCTCCCTACACATGTTGACCATCGTCTAGGCCGTACCCCTGTCAAATTTCAAGATTTTCCCATTCGCTGAGTGTTCATCATTTGACAAATGTGCTACCTCGCTCGATGGAAGGAAGACGCGACGAAAGATCTTGGGTAACGGTGAGCAAGATGAAACATCTTTCTTTTTGTTCCTTCTTCCTGATTTCATTATCTAGGATCTCCGGATGATTTCGCTTCACCAGGATATTTTGCTACCAACCTCGTATGTCTAGATTCTGCGTAGCATACGACATGTTGACTGACAGATCAAACCTTGTACATAGTCGACGGACATTCGTGTTGAACTAACTGCTACCCGACGTACGGCTCTACACCGATATACCTTCCCACCGTCCTCTGTTCGCCCTCGTATCGCCGTGGACATCACGAACGATGGTCAGCGAAGTAGCACCAATCCATCCATGGTGCTCGACCCCGAGACGGCCCGTGTCAAGGGTAAGCCCTAGTTGTATCTTTCCACACAGCCACCACGCGCCTGGATCCCTTTGTCCGTTGACTTCGTCTTTAATAAACCCTCTTCCGTCTATTTCCCGCACGAGCACTGACCTTGCCCTGTCGACCTCTGCTAGGTGGCGCATCATTCGCGGCATCATTCGGACCAGGTCGCTACAGTGCCTTCACATGTGTGGACTTCAAAGGAGAGGGCTTCGATTTACGGAAACCAATGGAATTCGGAGCTTGGTTATCCGATTTCCCAGTGCAGGGGATGACCGATCTTCGCCAGTTGTACACTAGTGCGTAGAACATCGGCGCTCATATCACCCTCTTTGGCTGACTATGGTGCCTCTCCCCCCTTCTCCCCCCTGTTCCTCGCCCTTTGCACCGCCCCGCCCTCACGACCTCCGGACCAGGCTTTGTCGACCAGCTGGGTGCCCTCTTTACTTTCTCCCAGCCCTCGGACAGCCGACCAACCATCATTCTCGTCCGCGTTGGCGTCTCTCTGATTTCTGCTGATCAAGCGTGCGCGAACGCCGAAGAGGAAGTTCCTGATTTCGATTTCGAAGGTGTTCATCGGGCAGCGCGGCAGGCTTGGAACGATCTTCTGGGGAGAGTGCAGGTTGATCCGACCGGAGTGGATACAGAGACAGTGTCGCTGTTCTACTCTTCGGTGAGTTCCGTAGCCATTCTGATTGAATTTCCGGTTTTGTTCATCAGAGATTCGTTGATAGCTGTATCGCTCTCATATCTCTCCTGCTGATTGTATGTTGGAACAACGTTTGAGCCTGTATAACCCCGAGCTCGCCGACTGACTCCACCGTAGATACTGGCGAGAATCCCAAATGGAATTCCACCGAACCGTATTACGACTCTTTCTACTGCAACGTAAGTTGCATCTCCTAACTATACCCACAACCCCTGAGTGCCTGTAGTGGGATACCTATCGCACTCTATATCCACTCATGTCACTTCATGACCCCGCCACGTTTGCGCGCATTGTCAGAGGTATGATTGATATCCAAAGGAACGAAGGTGCGCTATTCCCGGAATTGATTATTTGCGTTAATGTAGACGTACAATTTGCCTACAATAGGTTGGCTGCCTGAGTGTCGTGGGGCTACGGCAATGCATTTTATCCAAGGTGGTAGCAGTGAGTTCCTCCTTAAGCTTGAGACGCACGGTTGTGGAGCTTATTTGTTCCATTTCAAGATGCCGATCCTATACTTGGAGAATTCTTCGTGAAGTGAGTACCTTCCCAATCGTTGGCTCTGCGTTTACATTGAGTCGATTCAGGTTCAGTGACCATGCTGCTGCGCTCAACGTGTCTGCAACGGACCTTTATACTGCGCTACTCGCGGACGCAGAGACGCAACCACCTAATTGGAACCTTCAAGGGCGACAAGCAGATGTATGGAAGCGTTTGAGTGAGTCCGACGTCGATCCTTTTACCTTTCATGTATTCATTCTATGGCATGTGCTTCTGTTCTTTGCGCCTATTCGTTCCGGCGGCTTGTGAAATAGACTTCATACCGCACGATATGTTCGACGGGGGTGGTGCGAACTCGAAGCAAGTATCGCGCACGTTAGAGGTGTGTTTTAATTTAACAATCTTCGGTGTGCACAACACGTGATCTTAAAACGTTTCATAGCACGCTTTCAATGATTTCGCTATCTCCCAAGTCGCGAAGACACTTGGGAAGGTTAATGATGGGCGCAAAGTGGGGGCCAAACTTTCAACAATTAACGTTGTGTATTCACACCGTAATATTTTTGTTCTCGCTCAACAGTACGCCCAACGCGCTGGAAACTTTGGGAATGTCTGGAATCCCAACATCACTGTCCCGGATGGCCCCGCCTCCGTTCTGGGTATGATGCAGGTACGTTCGAGCTTCTTTCACGTCTTTCATGGTCTTCCCAAGTATCGCGCCTGATTGCAACCACGCTATGTCAATGTATTTCTGATACTGATATCCTCTACGTTAGCCTCGGTTCGCGAATGGAACATTCAATTTTACAGACCCCAGGCACTGCAGCATCCACGATCCGGCTCATGCGACTTGCTTCCTGAATGCTGCCAATCGAGATGGTTTCTACGAGGGTTCTCCAATCATCGTATGTTCCACCAACAGCCAGTTCTCCGCTTGAAGTCTGATCGTGGATCCTGCGTCGCTAGTACTCACAGGTTAGTCGTATAACCACGTTCTGGGCGAGCCACAGCTCCAACTGGTCGATAGTACGTCCCTCACGACACGGCGAAATTGATCCAGCTTCAAGGCGGTGTCGAAAACTTCGTATCGCGCCTCAATTTTATTTTCGATCAGGTCGGTCCCTTAATATCAATTGCTCCATGTTTAGCTCACTAAGTCTGGCCTCTATTCCAACAATAAGGAATACTTTGAGTCTACGGACGAGCCATCGCAACAAATGCCGTTCATGTTCCATTATGCAAATCGACCTGGGCTCAGCACGCAGAAGTCGAGGCAAGTTATCGCGCAATTTTTCAATACATCAGTCAATGGTCTACCCGGAAACGACGGTGTGTCTAGGCTTTAGTAGTTCTTTAACAAAATTCCTGATTTATCTTCATTATTGATAGATTCTGGTCAGATTTGATCCCTGTTGTACGCCGCGCGCTTGCTCACGTATACCATTAGGTGCGATGGGTAGTTATGCTGCATTCTATCTTGCAGGGATGTACCCCCTCCCGGCGACCAAACAGTTTCTTCTTTCCTCGCCATTCTTCCCGCAAATCTCATTCTTCAATCCCGTATTTGGTACAACTACAACCATCAAGTCGAAAGGTTTCGCTGGAAATCCTGCCAGTGGGACTGGTAAAGTCTTCGTGAAGGTACCCCTCGTTCGTTACAGCGCAATTGTCATCGCTGATATCCATTTCTCCAGGGCGTCACAGTGGATGGACGACCTTACAAGTCGAATTGCTTCCTCGATTGGGATGTCTTTGTTAAGGGATCCTCGGTGGAGTTAACGCTGACTGATGACATCAACGTAACGTGTGGTAAGGGGAGAGCAGCCTTGCCACCGTCGCTTTCCACTGGTGGCTATGATTAATGGGGTTGAGCGCTCCTCCGCGCTCCTATCAGCGATTACGATCGAGTACACGCAGATGTTCATTCGATAGCAGGCTCGAGCAATCGTTATTCTAGGCGTGCTTTCCCCTTGATGGTGTGAGTTCAATGTCTCGGATAGAACCCCTAACGCTCTGCAACATACTCCAGCATATGGCAATAATGTTCATCCATAATGACTTCCCTCGTTTTCCAGGTGGTCCTTAGGCCCTTCCCATTGGTTTCCTAGATCTCGATAATGAAGCTATCTGATGACCGATGAACTCAACGCTCTCACACTCTGAAGTGCTGCCACGTTATTCTCGCGTAAAGAACTCTGCAATACATCCTCCCTACGGAACTCAATATCGATTTTCACACAGTCGATACTACTTTGTTCCGGATGCAATTGGCCTTTCGCTAGACCAAAGTCCCTGTCAGGAGTCGGCCTATGGAGGACAGCGCAGTGACAGCGTTCGACTTCCAGGGGCCGCGGAGTGTGAATATCGGAAGAGAACATATGGTAGGCACTTACTTCCTCCTACGCAAGCCGTTGACAACAAATGCCATGTTTCCGGGTCTTGATTCGCAGTGGCTGACGCCCGTGGGTACCTTTCTTGGTTGCCGCCCCGGTACGTGTACCCCCTGACATATCGAGTCTTGATCTCATTGTTATCTGTGTCCCATCAGCTCATCGTCCTCATGCATACCTGCAGCCCCGAAGACGCAACCTCGTTTACTCTCCCCTTAACAGCTCACATTGGGGTCATATGCTTGTTGCCTGCAACTTTTGACCCGATAAGTCACCCAGCAACACGGCGCGTGAAACACGGTGTCAGTTTCATGCCATGTTTGCGCGATCTGGAGCTCTTGGACTCGAAGCTCACACGAGTTGTATCCCAACTTGTTAGCACTTCTTGTTGGGATCCACTACTAGGCCCGCTACCCCAAGTCGTGGCTCATGATCTATGAACTTACCCACTTCGATACAGAGCTCCATTTGAGATGTTATGTCAAAGCTTATTCGTTTCCCGCGCTAGTCCGCCTCATGCTGGTGTCATGTTCTGTCCCGCATATCGTTCCCCGATAGAGCTAATAGCACTCCGCGCACCACAAAGATCAAACGCCCCCGGCTAAGGTCAAGCTGAAACATAAATAACAAATTCATCTGAGGGCTTTCAAGCCCTGCAATAAAAGAATGGCACAAGGTAGTCAGGAAGGTATTTTGGGTTCGATGAGGGGTAACCAATACATAATCGCACTGATTAAGGGCCTGTGTAGGTCTTTATTATGCCGTTTACATGTTTTACTCAAATCGGTGCGAGCCACGTGCCTATTCTGGCCCGTAATGGTATATTTGATCCCTTCTGTTCGCCTCAAGGCTGGGGCGTCCAAGGTACAGTAAATAAATCAGTACGTATGCGACTCACTTCTAATTTCTGTCTTTCTTGCCCTTCTTCTTGAACCTTCTCAACTTGCCCGCTCTCGCCTCTATCGTTCTATATTATAGCAGCGCCACAAGTGTCGTTGACATTTTGTTCGTGATTGACGGACCCGAACCTGATGCTCTACCAAGCCCCAATAACTCCTTTCGATGGCTGCGGTGGTGGTCAAACTCGTTCTGACTCTTCAAGAGTGTACTATGAGCATGGCCGCCTCCTTCAATCATACCCCGCTCGGAGGGACACTTTCTTCAACTCGGGCATCTCGATCGCTGCAACGAAGGCTCATAGCAATCCACGATCTACCATACACTCATGCTTCAGCATCGTACCCGACGATTGCTGTACTCCCGAAGCTGTCAGCCCCCCTCCGGCCTACGCACCTGTTGACAATTTGGCATATTCGAGTCAAAATATCCCAGAATACCCAGCGGGGGTGAGCGCTCTTGACGATCTCTCTCGGGTAGCTCACCGATACTACGGCCATATGATCAGGTTGCAGGATCCTCAATGAACCGAAGCTTTTGGACTTCATCCCCCGACGACTATGAGGTTATCGACTCCTCCGATGGGTACGGGGGCAATCATCTTATAACCATGCCGCCAACAATGTCGCCAATGCGCATCCCGGGGTCGGGGGTTAGTCCGTCAACTACTACCCATGTACACTCAACGAATGCCCCGCTCAATGTCAGCAGCACGCCTTCCTCTGAATTAAATATTTGATTAATCAATTGAGACAGAACTACAGCGATAACCACGGTGCCGCGCCCAAACACCAGTTCGAACGCAGGTCGGGCGTTCCTTCAGAGACCGCGTTGAGGTCGCATGGCTGGGGCTTGGACTCAGCTGATGCTGATGTCTACGGTTCATACAATGAACCTGTTGGTCCCCCATCGCCACAACACGAACCTGTGCCCCTGAGCTCACGTTCAACGTATTCAACCCTCGCGGCCAACATTCCGTACGTATCTCAAACGTTTGCGATGCCCAGCCCATCATCAAAGACACTTGGTGGGGCTACTCCGCCAAGAAGGCCGTCGCCGTTGAAAACACTCGAGGCTGCACGAAGCTGGCCCCGGCAACTTACACCACCTCCGTACACCAAGGTGAGTTATCTCTCCCACCGTCTCTAATATAGGTTATTCACAGACCAATAGGGTCACGCCACCGCCCATTCGAAGGATCCCTTGCTAGAGTTTACACCCCCCAAGCTGAGCACGATAAAGAAGAACGCCGAGAAGAAGCAAATTCTGGCGTGCTTATTCTGTCGAGAACGAAAGATTGCTTGCGGCCGCCCGCCCGAGGGAAGTGAGGATCCCACATGCAAGTGAGTTGTCTTTCTGCGGATTAGATTAGGGACCCTTGTTCGATATGTCATGTCACATGTCGTTGCATGGGCCTCGCTTGATAGTTCTCGGTATAACGTTATCTGACTGAATGCTCTACCTTCGTAGCCAATGCGCTCGACGCTCTCACAAGTGTGAGTATCCCACGGAATCCCGGCGAGGACTACATCGACGAGCCGCGTACAGGAACAACAAAGCCCACGACGTCAACGGCTTCAACTGACACGGATCATTCCTATTTTAAACTTGTATCAATTCTGTTGGTGGATCTTCCTCGGAGGGTTGAGTTTATGTATATACGCAACATCATGTACCGTCGCTTATTGGCCTAGCTTGGACTTCGACTATGTAATTCTTCGGAGATCTGTATCCAACCCATCGATGTGCTACGGTTCCCCTGCTAATGTCCTCAATCTATAATTAAATATGGATATATGGATAGAATGCGCCAATACGATCACGACAGGAGTAGGCTCCTGAACCCCTGTTGGCGCCCAATCCAGAACAAATCAAAATCATCCATCTGGTTCTATAAAGACGTGGCATGTCGTTTGCGACTTTGATTGATTGTATCAAAGTTCTTAAGGGTGAGTGAGGGGTGTGTTCTGCGTGAGTTCATTGTTGCGATCTATTCCTGAAAATCAACAATGTTGCCGGTACCACCCGAAGGCGCACAGCGACGACGTCGCTCCTCCCTCAAATGTTCGTGCAATGGAGCAAATATGTGCATTAGAAGTGAATGAAACACCACTGACTAAGGTGTCTATTCAAGTAAGCCTCCAGCCGTTGTCACTGTTCTCACGAAGGCTTATTTCCAGACGTCCAGATGGCTCTAACTTACTTCCTGGCTTGGCTCCTGCCACGACAAGGCAGGGTGATGGCTGGGCCCGATCGAGAACACATGCCGGACCAGTACTGCCACGTTCGATGTTCGATGTACGCGGTGGCACTCAGTGCTTCTGAAAAGTATTGGTTTAAGCTCTCACCTCGTAAGGCGGCAGCATTTCTTCGAAACACGCAATTCAGGATGACTGACTACTATCATATCGCCCCAAATTTACATGCAAGCCTGCTTGATCGATGTCATACGCGTGGCCTGGCGGTCTCAAGTAGTTTGCACTGGTTCTGGTGGGAATGAGATAAGATAAGCTAGGCGTCTATCTAAGTTCGGATTCTCGGAACTATAATATAGTAGTTACCAACCCTTGGTTAAGTGACTTCTACTTGATTTCTAACTTTGCCCAAAATTACAGATCGTCTCCTCTACTCCTCTTCCACTCAGGTTTTATATCGTATCTTCCGTTACCAGGCGGAGCGTTCGATTTCACCCTCTTTGCAACCTCGTCGAGTAGTTTGACACGCTACCCTCAGCGAAGTTCGTATGGTTCGTAAGATGCTCTCTAATTTCCGAGCGCTGAGTAGCCACTGACTTCGGGAAGGCATGTCGTCAATATAGTTGTACGAATGCACTCAAGGACTCTGCGAAACCTATCACCTTAAAAAGCAAGTACTCAAGCGGCGCAGACCGTCTGTTCGAAATGCGACGGATGTCGTCGAGTTGGTTCGAAGCATGATGGGGCAAGGGAGCAGTGGGAGGTACCGCCTCGTTCTTTGTTCTCTTCCACGAGTTACTGATTTATCTCACACATATAATAGCAGGTCATCCTTGGAGCTTTAGAGCCTTTCCCTGATCAGCAAACCGTGCAACCTTGTTTGACTAAAGCATCGATCGTATTCTCAAGCGTTGCCGCTAAGTTGCTTTGTAACCAACAGGCGGAACGCATCTGCTGTCCTTGAAATACCCCACCCCCACCTCGATCACTCGATCGCCCGCCGAGTATATATAAGGACACCCGTTACTCATCCGCCTTTCCTCCTTGCTTCTCTCCTGCGACCATGGAGTGCAACATTGTGACTTCGCCAATCGGTGACAACAATCCCGCCATTGATTATTTCGACCCCATTGGCGTGGCTGAACTCAGGCGGACCTTGTCGGCGTCCAGCCCCATTGCGCACCATCATACTGGCCTCTCCGACCGCCCGCCTTTGTCTATAACTCAAGACCATCTTGGACATCATGATGGCGACTCGCAAGGGCGACTCAATGGTCAGAACGTACCAGCACACTCAATTACTGCAGGCTCTGACGAAACGACGGTCGCCCCTTCTGAGGCCAGCAACGATGGCGTGGAACGCCAAGACGGACAAGAGGTGGGCTTCGACTTTGACGAAGCTTTACGAGACTACATCATTAGGTGCGTTTGGCGCCCTCCTGAGCAGATCTGTGCCATACTCAACTGCATTTATCGCCTAGACGCGAGTCAGCTGGCATCGAACCACGTAGACTCGGGGTTCTGTTCGAAGAGCTTGAAGTCATTGGATTGGGTGCATCGGCACGCCATCAGCCTACTTTAGGTTCGCTGTTCAATCCCATGGAGATTTTGAGGGGAATTCAGAGTAAAAGACATCCACCCTTGAGGAGCATCCTCAGTGGTTTTGAAGGTGTCGTTCGCCCTGGCGAGATGTTGCGTAAGTGTTTAATCCCTCCTAAGCGGCTCGTTTGTTTATTTTTTGTACAACGATTCCAGTGGTCCTCGGTCGGCCAGGTGCAGGGTGCAGTACGCTTCTCAAGACGCTCACCAATCAAACGGATTCCTTCCACGCCGTCAATGGCGATGTTGCATTTTCTTCTCTTACGCCAGACTTGCTCGCGTCACGATTTCGAGGCGATGTACAGTATATACCCGAGGACGACCTACACTTTCCTACTTTGACTGTGGAGGAGACGATCCGATTTGCGGCAAGATGCCGGGCGCCTGCTGGTGCAGCTCGAGTGCCAAAAGGAGAACCTGAAGAGAAGGCTGAAGAGGGCCAAGCGAGCGAAAATAGTAAGCATATCATTGGTGCGCATACGAGGGAAGAATACGAGAAAACCGTGGCTGAGGTTTACATGACGCTGTTTGGCTTGAGGCACGTCAGGGACAGCGTGGTGGGCGATGAGAAGCTCAGAGGAGTGAGCGGAGGGGAGAAGAAGAGGGTTTCGATTGCCGAAGCTATGGCTGCGAGGGCATTGGTTTCCGCATGGGATAAGTAAGTCGGATTAGTTCTTAATTGATTCCCGTTCACACACAGTATGGTGCAGTTCGACGAGAGGATTGGACTCGTCTACAGCGCTGTCATATTTGATGGCATTGAGAGTCGCAACCACACATTTGCAAAGAACGACCATGGTCTGCTTGTATCAAGCCAGCGACGCAATGTACGCGTTGTTTGATAAGGTATCCGTGTTCTATGTCTGTATCTGCATTTTCTAATCCCCCTACATTAGGTGTGCCTTATCTATGAAGGCAGAATGGTGTATTTTGGACCATCGAAGGAGGCCAAGTCGTATTTTGAAGGAATGGGATGGAAAGCGAGGAATAGGCAGAGTGTCCCTGATTTCTTGGTCAGTGTGACCGACGAGGAGGCAAGGATTATAAAGGATGCCAACGAAACGGTGAGAGAGGACCCAGGAACCAAGGAATTCAAAGCACCGGATCCCCGGAACGACGCTCACCTTGAAGTTATCGTGGAGTCGCCCCGTACACCCATTCACACGGGCGCTGGTTCGGATGGGAAGACCACGGCTAGCACTCAGCCAGAAGATTCCGTTTTGCGCGCCTTGAGCAGCGTAGATGGACCGGGCCATATGGATGTAGGATCTGCGTTATCCGATATTCGACCACCTATTCCCAAGACGCCTGCAGAGTTCGCGACTTATTACCTCTGTTCTGATGTGGCGAGACGGAATTTTCAGGACATGGATGCGTTCAGGAAGGAATGCGGGTTGAAGCCCAGGTGTTCAGCAGTTCAATTGAGGGATTGTGGCAATGGCGTTGGAGGCAATGGGCCTGAGGTTGTACACGACGGGGCAGGGGCATCGGATGAAAGTCGAGGGTTGGGTGCGCATGATATAGCTCCGCAGCTCCGAGCACCGGACCCATTTTCGACGAATGCATCCACTTTCATGACATCTATGTTTGCACGGTCGACATCTAGATTGTCAGGCGGCACTCGTAGGTTTTCGATGCCCCTGTCTATACCCCTAGACCATCATGCCCAGGAGGACGACGCGGCTTCGGTTTCTGCTACTTCGCATTATCCACCTGGCTCTAAACACCCCCAATCACAGGCGTACAAGCAGAGCGCCCTTCGTGAACATGGGAAACGGGCAAGAAGGGGCTCGCCGTATGTGATAAGCATATTCTTGCAGTTGCAGGCCGTCATGAGGAGAAGGGTGTTGATCGTCAAAGGGGATTGGGTCACGCAGGCATTGACTACGGGGACGTTTGTCATACAGGCCGTCATCATTGGTACAGTATTTGTGAACACGCCCGAAACGACGGGCTCGTACTTTTCCAGAGGTGGTGTAATATTCTTGTGAGTTGTCTTTCTACCTACGCATACTCCCAATAATAATGGGTGTTCGCTAGTGCGCTCTTTCTCCCTGCACTATTTACGATGTCCGAAATTCCGTCGTTGTTCAAGCAGAGGCCCATAGTACGGCGCCATGAACGGGCGGCCATGTATCACCCCATGATTGAAGCACTGGCGATGACTATCGTGGACATCCCCGTCACCTTCATCACTATTTCGATTTACTCGATCGTTCTCTACTTTGTCGTCGGTTTTCAGCGTTCGGCGGGACAGTTCTTGTGAGTACTTGGCTACATTAAACGCGTTATATGAGCCAACATCGGACCCTCTTTACGCAGCATTTTCTTTTTATTCGTCTTCGTAACGTGCCTGTCTATGAAGGCGGTCTTCCGTGCACTAGCCTCCGCGTTCGCCGTTGAAGCACCAGCCCAAGCCATAGCCGGAGTTATGCTACTTGCCCTTTCCCTATATTCCGGATATCAGATCCCCATTCCCTCGATGATAGGCGCTTTGAGGTGGATTTCCTACATAAACGTAGGTTTTATATGTGTTTCTTTGAGCTCTTACCCAACACGCCCGGTGATGTCTTTACAGCCGATTCGGTATTCTTTCGAGGGCGTCATTGTCAATGAATTCCATACTTTGGACGGTCAATGCTCGAATTTGGTCCCTTCGGGTCCTGGATATGACGGGATATCTGTAGACAATCAAGTTTGCACGACGGTTGGGAGTGTCGCTGGACGTGCCACTGTTGATGGGAATGCATTTTTGAGCATCAGCTTTGGTTACGTCTATAGCCATCTCTGGAGAGTAAGTGCTCTCGCGTGTCGAGTATTATTCAGCGCTCTAAATATTGTGTAGAACTTCGGGATTTTACTCGCTTTTGGCATTGGTTTCACGCTGGCGTTACTTATATTTACAGAGATTCAGACAACCTCTGCGCGAGCTGGCACAGACGTTGTCCTCTTCAAGTCGGGCTCTGATGCAGTCGTTTTGAAGGAGGCAGAGGCAGCCGTCGGTGACGACGAGGAGAAAGATGTTCCTGCAGCTGGGGCTAACGGACCTGGTGAGCCCGACCATCGCCGACGTGCAGAGGAGCGAAAGGCGCTATCAGCCGAACAACCGAAGATGACGGACATATTCTCATGGTCGCACATCCGCTATACGATTCCTGTAGGCCGCCATGAACATCGAGTACTGTTAGATGATGTTTCTGGGTATGTTGCTCCTGGAAAGCTGACGGCTCTGATGGGGGCGTCTGGTGCTGGCAAGGTTTGTTGCTCGGAGCTATGCGGTTGAATATCTGGTTAATCGCGATTCCCATGTAGACCACGCTGTTGAACGTTTTGGCGCAGAGAACGGACACCGGCGTTGTCTCCGGAGATCGCTATGTCAATGGGCAATCCCTCCCTGGCGACTTTCAAGCCCAAACCGGTTACTGCCAGCAAATGGATACTCATGTACCAACGACCACTGTTCGCGAGGCACTGCAGTTCTCAGCAAGATTGCGCCAGCCGGCCTCAGTGTCGACAGCAGAGAAAGATCTATAGTATGTGGCGCATCCTTCTTCTGGAATGATAATTAACCTGGATCTAGCGCCGACAAATGCTTAAAGATGTGCGGACTGGAAGAGTTCGCGGACGCGATGGTAGGTACTCTAGGTGTTGAGCATAAGAAACGGACGACGATTGGAGTGGAGCTCGCAGCTAAGGTAAACAGTATGTAGAGCCATGGTTGTGCGACTTATCAATCTTGTTTATTATAGCCAAGATTGCTTCTGTTTCTCGACGAACCTACTTCTGGATTAGACTCCCAAAGTGCTTGGGCTATTGTGGCTTTCTTGCGCGATCTGGCGGACAATGGACAGGCTATCTTGTGCACGTAAGTCCCTTGACGTTGCAGTCATGCAATTGCTGATTTCACCACACGCATAGTATTCATCAGGTATGGTTGATATACTGCACTTGTCTCCGTCGTCGTTGATATACCATATAACAGCCGTCTGCTGAGCTATTCCAGGTGCTGAACATTTATAACCACTGTATCCACCCACTGACCCAGCATATCATAGGTCTTTGACCGACTCTTGCTCTTACAATCTGGCGGCAAGACCGTGTACTTCGGCGACACTGGCAATAACGCTACAACAATTATTAACTACTTTGAGAGCAATGGTGCAAGGCAGTGCAAGCCTGGCGAAAATCCGTTCGTCTGCTTACTCTCAATTCCCGGTGCATCATTGACTAATGATTTGCAGGGCCGAGTACATGCTGGAAGTCATTGGTGCTGGCGCAACAGCAGTGTCTGATCGCGATTGGAACAAAACGTGGATTAAGACGGAAGGTGCTAAAGGCTTGGAGGCAGACCTGGATAAAATCCATGCGGATGGCCGACAACAATCCCCCGTTGATACGACATTATCCTCAACCCACGCTGCCTCTTTCGCGTACCAGTTGAAGGAGCTTACCGCGCGTCAATACGTCAGTTACTGGAGAAATCCGCCGTATTTGATGTCCAAGCTCACGCTCAACATCATCGGAGGTCTCTTCATTGGTATAGTATATTTATGGCATGTTGGAAAGCGCGTCAGTATTAATGATTTTTTCTATCCCAGGTTTCACGTTCTTCAACGCAGGCGACTCCCAGCAGGATACTCAAAACAAAGTCTTCGTGAGTATGATTCATGCTTCGTTCGTCGTTCTGGTCTAACGCTCAAGTGTAGTCAATTTTCATGGCTACCGTTCTGGTGAGTGTTCTGTTCACGACGCTTCTCCAGTAACTGACCCCTTATGTGTAGAGCTCACCATTAGCTGGTCAAATGCACGTCCCATACATCAATTCTCGTGACATTTTTGAGATTCGCGAACGCTCAAGTCGGATGTACTCCTGGGTTACTCTGGTAACAGCTCAGATCCTCGTTGAAATTCCCTGGAATATCCTCGGATCGACTTTGTTCTTTTTCTGCTGGTACTGGACAGTTGGCTTTCCCGGCAGTCGAGCCGGCTATACATATCTAATGTTCGGCGTTCTGTTTCCTTGTTACTTCACGACAATCGCCCTGGCGGTTGCGAGTATGGCTCCCTCCGCGGAGATAGCCGGACTTTTGTTCAATTTCCTGTTCTCTTTCGTCCTCACCTTGTATGTCCCTTCCTCAGTTTCTGGAAGTCGTACTAATCGCACCCCAGCAATGGTGTCTTGCAACCATTCTCTCACCTTGGATGGTGGAAATGGATGTACCATCTGTCGCCGTATACATACTTGATTGAAGGATTGCTTGGCCAAGGTTCGCTTCATCCTGTTCATCCATTAGGCACTCGTCGGTAAATTGGTAACACTTTTAGCGATTGGCCACCGAGATATGGTTTGCTCGGAGAACGAGATCGCCACTGTGAATCCTCCTCCCGGAAATACCTGCGCTCAGCTGTTCCAGGATTACATCACAAATAACGGCGGGTATCTCAACAATCCGGACGCAGCGTCTGGCTGCGAATTTTGCTCTACGCGGACTACAGACGAATACCTTGGGAGAACCTTCAACATCCAGTACTCGCATCGATGGAGGGACCTGGGGATATTCTGCGCCTTCATCGTCTTTAATGTGAGTTTGTTCTCGTCCTCGTTGAGCGACTGGTCTGACGTACACTTAAAGACCGTCGCCGCCTACGCATTCACGTATATGTTCCGTGTCCGTTCTGGCAGCTTGTTAGGTTCTATCAGGAAAAGATTTCCATCTCGACAGTGATTCAATTCTTACGCTCCACTTCCAAAAACTCCTAAATCACATTTCAATGTTGCATCTTTATCCAATAACATCCTTACATACAGAGCATCGCAACATAGCCACAGTCACTTATGGAAAGAATCCATGGCTCCGGAAGTCGGCTTGAAGTCGATGACCAGTTGTATCATAAACCTGGAAGCAGCCCGGAGGCTGAATACCCAGAGACGGAACGAAGGAGAAAGGGTCACACGCGGGGGGTATATTCAGGTGAAGATAGTGGAACAGGTACAAAAGGAGGTAAGTAATCTGGGTATAAGGGAATACAGTAATCATATGATCGCATCGAAGGGGTCAGGGGTCAGGGGGAATAAGTAAGGGATGGGATACCCTATCTCTTCTAAAGTGCCAATTACAGGACCTTGCCTGGGCTAATTCGTGCAAAGCGGCATCTGGTTCCTTGTGGCTTTGACTCCTGCTCATGAAATGGATGTGGATTCCCCTCAGAAACGGGAGACAGGCAATCACGCCGATGGGTGTAGTGATCTGACATCCTAAACAAATATTGGCCCTGTACCAATCACTGCTGTGCAGATTCTTAAAGCTGTTTTGAATGTAGGCAGGACAATCAATCAGCTGAATACTGCCCATGAGCTGCTTCAATACACACCCAGCTAGCAATGATAACGGAAATCTGTGCAAACGAAATCGACACCGGCTGTCATGATCGAGATTTCGTTAGAAACACTGTACTCTCCACCCTTGTTCGTCGAGCTGTGATGTGCTCTCTGTACGAGTATCAGTTCAAACCCATCGCTAGGTTCTCCCCTCAAATACAGCTATGCTCACAATATATTCCTGTCAGCCAGTTCAAGCCAGACGGGGCCCAGGGCTCAGTATACATAATTTAGGAGGGTCTATATCATGTTTGCTGTCGAATTCTACTCGAAGTGAAGTCTAAGAATCACTGTCGAGATGATAACCTTTTCCTGATGGAACCCAACAAGCTGCCAGAACGGACGCGGAACATATACGTGAATGTATAGGCCGCGATGGTCTGTGAGAATAACATCAGTTAAAGCTTTCAACGAGGAAGAAGAATATTTACATTAAACACAATGAAGGCGCAGAATATGCCGACGTCCCTCCATCGATGCGAGTACTGAATGTTGAAGGTCCTTTCGAGGTATTCGTCCGTGGTGCGGGTAGAGCAAAATTGGCAAGCAGATGCGGCGTCGGGATTATTGAGATATCCGCCATTATTCGCGATATAATTCAGGAAGTATTGAGCGCAGGTATTTCCGGAAGGAGGGTTCACAATAGCAATCTCCTTCTCTGAGCAGACCATATCTTGATGTCCGATGGCTGGAAAAAGTTAATTAGCTTCAATCAGAATAAGAAGATTGAGGAACAAACCTTGTCCAAGTGTCCCTGCAATCAAGTACGTATATGGGGACAGATGGTACATCCATCTCCACCATCCGAGGTGAGCGAATGGCTGCATAACACCGTTGCTGGTAACGACGCCATCAGTGCCACTCTCCAGATGTGTAGAAATGTGACCTACAAGGTAATGACGAAAGAGAACAAAAACCCGAACAAGAGGCCAGCAATCTCAGCCGAAGGAGCCATGCTTCCAACCGCCAGAGCGATGGTCGTAACGTAACAAGGGAACAACACACCGAACATGAGATAGGTGTATCCTGCTCGACTACTATCGAACCCGACGGTCCAGTACCAGCAGAGATAGAACAAAGTCGAGCCGAAGATATTCCACGGAATTTCGACGAGGATCTGGGCAGTTAGCAAAGCAGCCCAGGAATACATCCTACTTGCACTTTCGCGAACTTCGAAAATGTCTCGTGATTGGATGTAAGGTACGTGCATTTGACTGGCTAGGGGCGAACTCTGGATGAAGGGCGTCACTTGACGCCGAAAAACCTCACCAAAACACTCACCATAACGGTGGCCATGAAAATTGACTATACTTCGGCGTGAGAGAAGAATCTGGGACAATACATAGATAATACTCACGAAGAGCTTGTTTTGAGTATCCTGCTGAGAGTCCCCCGCATTGAAGAACGAGAACCCTTTGCAGGAAGCGTTAGTGAAACTGACAGGTTGTCGGTCGATTGCATATGTACCAATAAAGAGGCCGGCGGTGATGTTGAGGGTGAACTTGGACATCAAGTACGCCGGGTTTCGCCAGTAGCTGACGTATTGACGTATGGTGAGCTCTGTCAATTGGTAAGTGAACGAAGCGGCATAACTTGAGGGTACTGTCGCGTCAACGGAGGGATACTGGCGGCCGTCCGAATGAATTTTGTCAAGGTCGGCTTCCAAGCGTTTTGCGCCTTCTGTTTTTATCCATATTTTGTTCCAATCGCGGTCGGAGATGGCGGTAGCTCCTGCGCCAATGACTTCGAGCATGTATTCGGCTCTGGGAATGGTCAGGAAAGATCACGCCCACGCTTTAGAATAAATAAACGCACGGATTTTCGCCAGGTTTGCACTGCCTTGCTCCATTAGTCTCAAAGTAGTTAATGATTGTCGTAGCATTGTTCCCAGTGTCGCCAAAATAAACTGTTTTCCCGCCAGATTGCAGAAGTAAAAGGCGGTCGAAGACCTGTCAGGCATCATGTCAGTGGGGAAAGGCATTGGCTTCTGTCGGATTCACTACCTGGAAAAGTTCAGCGGACGGCTATTGACGTTATATCAGTGTTGACAAAGGTGAGCCACAACGTATCAACCATACCTGATGAATCCTATACGGTTGGCAAGATTAGTAATTATACTATACACCGGAACCGTCAAACCACTCACGTGCATAGTATGGCCTGTCCGTTGTCAGCTAGATCGCGTAAGAAAGCAACGATAGCCCAAGCACTTTGGGAGTCTAAACCAGAAGTAGGCTCGTCGAGGAAAAGAAGCAGTCTCGGCTGAAATCAAGGTGGTCAATAAGTGCCACGAATGAGCCTGACATACGGCTGACCTTGGCTGCAAGCTCCACGCCAATTGTCGTCCGTTTCTTATGCTCCACGTCTAGTGTCCCTACCATTGCATCTGCAAACTCTTCTAGTCCACACATCTTCAAGCATTTGTCGGCACTACATCTGGATCAGCTGACTCACTCCCAGGATGAAAACTGAAGCGCCACGAACTATTCGTCTTTATCTGCCGTAGATACCGAGGCTGGTTGCCGTAATCTCGCCGAAAATCTTAGTGCTTCGCGAACAGTAGTAGTGGGCACATGTGTATCCATCTGTTGACAGTAACCTGTTTGCGCCTGGAAGTCGTGGGGAAGAGACTGCCCGTTGACGTAGCGATCTCCAGAGACAACCCCGGTGTCCGTCCTTTGCGCCAAAACATTCAGCAGTGTGGTCTACACGGAACCATGGGAGAGTTAGTCGAAAGCACATCCCTACAGCATACGACAAAGAACAAACCTTTCCAGCGCCGGAAGCTCCCATCAAAGCCGTTAGCTTGCCGGGCACAACATATCCGGATACGTCATCCAGAAGTATTCTATGTTCATGGTTGCCGATAGGGATCGTGTACCGAACGTGTGACCACGAGAAGATGTCAGCCATCTTCGGTTGCGTGTGTGATAATGTCTTCCCCTCATCTGCGCGCTGGGGATGACCAGATTCCCCAGGGACCGTAGCAACCCTATCCCTACTGGCGGGTGTATCCTTCTCTTCGTCATCGCCTATAGCTGCCTCCGCTTCCTTCAACATGGCTAGTTCAGAGCCTGACTTAAAGAGAACAACGTCACCGCTGGCTCGTGCAGTGGTCGTCTGTATTTCAGTGAATACAAGCAGCGCGAGTATGAACCCAATGGTAAACGCTAAAAGGATTCCAAAGTTCTACGGAATATAGTTTTAAACCAGACTGATACCAAAGTCGGTAACGAGCACTCACCCTCCAGAGATGGCCATAGTTATAGCCGAAGCTGATCCTCACGAAGGCATTCCCATCAACGGTCAGCCGTCCGGCGACGCTTCCGACGGCGGTGCAAACTCGATTGTCTACGGGCACGCCGTCATATCCCATACCTGAAGGGACCAAATTCGAGCATTGTCCGTCCAATGTTTGAAATTCATTGACCATAACGCCTTCGAAAGCGTATCGAATTGGCTAAAAAATAAACGTGCCTCAGCAATCGGAGTATACTAAACCCTAGAACCCTCACGTTGATATAAGAAATCCACCTCAAGGCGCCTATCATTGAAGGGATTGGGATTTGAAACCCGGTATACAGGGAAAGAGCGAGTAGCATGACCCCAGCGATGGCTTGAGCGGGTGCTTCCACGGCGAACGCAGAGGCGAGCGCACGGAAGAACGCCTTCATGGACAAGTAGATTACGAAGACAAACAGAAAGAAAATACTACATGCAACAAACTCAGCATCGAATTGTAACGAACCACAGATATGGCGAAACACTCACAAGAACTGTCCGGCCGATCGCTGCAAGCCAGCAAGGAAGTAGAGGACGACGGAGTAAATTAATGTAGTAATGATGGTTACGGGGATATCCACAATGGTCATTGCTAGAGCCTCGATCATGGGGTGATACATAGCCGCCCGTTCATGGCGTCGCACTATGGGCCTCTGATTAAACAGGGAGGGGATTTCCGACATTGTGAATAATGCAGGGAGGAACAGCGCGCTATCAGACACCCGTGAGTGCCGTGAGCTTAGACATATACGAAAGGCAACTCACAAAAATAGCACACCACCTCTAGAAAAATACGAGCCCGTGGCTTCGGGTGTGTTCACGAACACGGTACCAATAATAACTGCCTGAAAGACAAACGTCCCAGTCGTCAGCGCCTGGGTTACCCAATCGCCTCTCACAATCTGCACCCTTCTTTTCATTACGGCCTCTAGCTGCATCGGTATACTTAACACATACGGCGAGCCTCTTCTTGAGCGCCTCGCATGTTCCCGAACGGCACTTTGCTTGTATGCTTGGGATTGAGGGTGTTTAGAACCAGGTGGGTAATGGGAAGCACCAGAAACCGAAGCAGCGTCGTCCTCTTGCGACGCATGGCGGTCTATAGGCATAGGGAGGAGAACCAACGAACGACGAGTGCCGCCTGATAATTTTGATGCCGACCGTGCAGGCACAGATGTCATGAACGTAGAAACACCGGTCGGTGCTCCTGTGCCGTGCGCGACCTCGCTCTCATTGGCTGCAAGACCCTTCTCGCAACCCCGCATCTGAGCTTGAGGAGCCCTCGGCTTCAATCCGCACTCCTTCCTAAACGCATTCATGTCCTGCAAGTTCCGTCTCGCCACATCGGAGCAGAAATAATAGGTCGCGAACTCTGCAGGAGTCTTCGGAATAGGTGGTCGAATGAGCGGTAGTGCGGATCCGACATTGATATGGCCCGGTCCGTCAACGCTGCTCGCGCTAGGCGGAATAGAGCCTTCCAACTGCGCGCCAGCCGTTGCCTTCTTTTCCGAGTCAATGCTTGCTTGGATGTGCGTACTGGGAGGCTCCAAAATGCCAGCCTGATGATGCACTTCGTGCTTTTCGTGGGCTTCTCCCTCTCTCGCCATCTCGTCGGCGCCCTTCATTACCCTCGCCTCTGCATCGGTCACACTGACCAAGAAATCAGGAACACTCTGCCTATTCCTCGCTTTCCATCCCATTCCTTCAAAATACGACTTGGCCTCCTTCGCTGGTCCGAAATACACCATTCTGCCTTCATAGATAAGACACACCTAATGTAGGGGGATTAGAAAATGCAGATACAGACATAGAACACGAATACCTTATCAAACAACGCGTACATTGCGTCGCTGGCTTGGTACAAGCAGACCATGGTCGTTCTTTGCAAATGTGTGGTTGCGACTCTCAATGCCATCAAATACGACAGAGCGGTAGATGAGTCCAATCCCCTGGTCGAACTGCAACAAAACGTGAGTAATAATCAGGTAAGAGTTAGTGCAACTGACTTATCCCAGGCAGAAACTAACGCCCTTGCAGCCATGGCCTCGGCAATCGAAACCCTCTTCTTCTCCCCTCCACTTACTCCTCTCAACTTCTCATCGCCGACGACGCTGTCTCTAACATGCCTCAACCCAAACAGCGCCAAATAAACCTCGGTTAATGTCTTCTCGTATTCTTCCCTAGTGCGTGCACCGATGATATGGTTTCTTGCTGGACCCTCGGCTTCCCCTTCGGGACCTCCTTTAGGTACTCGAGCTGCACCAGCGGGTGCTCGACATCTTGCCGCAAATCGGATCGTCTCCTCTACTGTCAAAGTAGGAAAGTGTAGGTCGTCCTCGGGTATATATTGCACATCGCCTCGAAATCTTGACGCGAGCAAGTCTGGCGTAAGAGAAGAAAATGCGACGTCCCCGTTGATGGCGTGGAAAGAATCCGTTTGGTTAGTGAGCGTCTTGAGAAGCGTACTGCACCCAGCACCTGGGCGACCGAGTACCACTAGTTACGGAGTTATAAAGGATCAACGAACTGACCGAACAGGAGGTATGAAGCACATACGTAACATCTCGCCGGGACGAACGACACCTTCGAATCCACTGATGATACTCTTCAAGGGCGGGTGTCTCTTCTTCTGAATTCCTCTCCAAATCTCCATGGGGTTGAATAACGAGCCTAACGTAGGTTGGTGGCGAGCTGATGCACCCAATCCAATGACTTCAAGCTCTTCGAACAGAACCCCAAGGACTCGAGGTTCGATGCCAGCCGACTCGCGTCTAGAGAAAAAACCAGTTGGGTACGGCGCGGACCCACGTACATAGCAGGAGGTCAAACGCACCTGACAATGTAGTCTTGGAGGGCCAAGTCGAAGTCGAATTCTAGCTCTCGATCGTCCTGGCGTTCTGCATTGTCGGTAATGCCTTCGAAAGCGACTGTCGTTTCATTCGAACTTGCTGCAATTGAGTGTGTGGGTACCTTATTCGATCGCTCCCCGTCACGATGGCCCAGATGATCCTGAGTTGACAAAGGCGGCTGGTCCGGGATGCTATGATGATGATGGGCAACAGGGATGGATGCCGACAGGGTCCGCCTGAGTTCAGCTACGCCAGTGGGGTCGAAATAGTCGATGCCAGGGTTATTATCGCCAACTGGCGAGGTAACGACATTGCACTCCATTCCAGCGGAGGTTCACAAGGGGAAAAAAAACGGATGAACGACGGGTTCCCTATATGGCTCAGCTCGGCGGCCGATCCAGTGATCGAGGAGACGGCATACGGTGGGGCATATCAAGGGCAGTAGATGCAGCCCACCCCTTGGTTAGAAAGCAACTTGGCGCCATCGCTGACAAGCAGGACGCAACACGATAAATGCTTTAGTCAAACAAGGTTTCATCGTCCACTGTTCAGGGAAAAGCCCGAGTCAATTAGTCACTCGTTGAAGGATCGTCAAGAACTCTTACTACGCTGTCCTACAGAAAATAATGGACGGTTCTTTTATGATGGCTCCCCTGTTTCTTAAGATACTTGTACCGCGACTTACTGATGTCGACGTGGTTATTTCAAGAAAGTGTAGTGTCGCGCACCTAATGGACCGGAAAGATTGGGCGAACGTGCCCATGGAAGCTATGGACTAATGCGGGCTACCCTTCGGATTTCTGCTCGCGATGGACGATATGTTGGTTGACGATGGGTTAGAAGTCCTGAAATTCTCGCTAACGTTGACGAATTGCTGGAGCATCCGTATACATAAAATAAAAATGCAAGTTTGCTTGGCAATGCGATGATAACCAACGGGTATCACCTGATACGGTAGGCTATTCTCACGCCACTACGCCCACGACAGGCGTGGCCGCCGCCAGTACTCTGAACATTTCACGATGACTTCAATTACTCGAAACCTCCCTTCATTTGTCAAAGATCTCGGTGTCGCCGTCGTTGGCGAGGTGGGTCTTACCATGTTTCGTCAACACTCCTTCTCTCAACCGTTTTCCCTAGAAATGCTATATCTCGCTGGTAGAGAACCTAGAGTTCGGCGACGTTCCCTGCCTTAAGTTTGCTGTTTCAAAAGTATTGGGAATTGGCATCGTAGTCGGAGGATCAATAGTGAAAGTTCCTCAGTTACTGCTCAGTGCGTACCCCTCCGGATAAATGAGCCAGAAATTCCTAATGAGACTTCGAAATAGTCGTGAACGCGAAGTCTGCGCAAGGGTTGTCCCTGGAGTCCTATATCCTTGAGACTCTCTCATACGCCATAACGCTCGTCTACTCGTTCAGAAACGAACTCCCCTTCTCAACCTACGGCGAGAACCTCTTCCTCACCATTCAAAACACCCTCATCACGCTTCTCATCATTGCGTACGCACCTAGTAGTAGTTCACGAACGCCTGCCCCCCTCGCGATTTCAACCCTCGTCACAGCTTTTGCCGCCCTGGCTCGTGTTCCCTCTGGCGTCCTGTCTTATCTTCAAATGGCCACCGTTCCCTTGTCGTTGGCGTCAAAACTCCCCCAAATCATCCAGAACAGCCAGGCAAAGTCCACGGGTCAGCTGTCGTCCTTCGCTGTGGTCGCGCAGATTGTAGGATGTTTGGCGAGACTCTTTACCACCGCGACGGAAGTAGGGGATCCCATCCTCGTTGCCGGATTCGGGATGGCGCTGCTCTTGAATTGCGTCCTCGGAGCGCAGGTGTGGATGTACTGGGGGACTAAGGCCGCGGTGGAGGCCAAAGCGAAAGTAAAAGTGGGCGAGGTCAAGGCAGAGGCAGTCGAGGTAGCACCCATTGCAGAGAAGATCGCAGACAAGGTGAAAGAAGAGGAAACGGCGTACTCAACGACGTGGACACCCTCTACTCCGAAGAACATGCAACGCATGTCCACACCGCCGCCCTCCGGTGGCCGAAAATGGGCTCGCAAGGTAGATTAGTTGTATTCAATGTTTTCTTTTCGTCACAATATATCCTTTATTTAATTGACCAGCTCCGCTGACAGGTCTCAGAGGGTGATTGATGCTTCCTGCTTAATGGTCCGTCCTCCCTTCGTTGTGCATGTCTTGCTTCCATTCTCTAGGCATTATCTCTGCCGCCTCGTCCCATACTTTCGGAAACCGTTCCGACGTAAACCAATACCGCATCGAAAATGCATGGAACGGCATCTCGATGGCTACGCAAAGTTAAAGGACCCGAATGTCCTGCAACCCCCAACGTCACCGTGCTTCGAACATACACAAACAAAATTTAGAAGCTTCCCCACGTGTTGGAGGTGGACGACACGTTCTAACTGCGGCGAGCCAATAAATAGTGCCATCCATGAGCTCTCTCTGATGTCGACGCGACTTTCCTCCCGTCAGTTTCCAATACCCAAAGCAATGTCCACAGACGCTCAGGTATCCTCTCAACTTATTCGAGTTGACAATCATACTCATGATGTAGGCTGAACAGGAAATAACGACAACCCTTTCAAAGGCTTTGGAGCCATTTGACGACCAACACGCCGATGTCATCCTTCGTTCTTGTAACGGGACAGACTTCTACGTGTACAAGAGCATCCTCTCCTTGGCGTCCCCCTTCTTTCGTGCTATGTTCTCGCTGCCCGACTCCCACAACACCAACCCCCGCGAAGGCAACAAACCCGTCGTCGACATGCACGAAGATTCTACTGTCCTCGATCCGCTCCTCCGATTTTGTTACCCGACGAGTCCGCCGAAGCTCTCATCCAGAAAGATCTTCGACGATGTCTTGTCTGCAGCAGAGAAGTTCGAGATGCAGTTGTGCGAGAGAATCGCATCCTCATACATTGTCGACAACATTGATAGAAGGGATTCTCCCTTGGAGTGCTATGCCCTTGCGCATAGGTTCGCGTTGCGGAAGCTGGCTAAGGAGAGTGCCCGGAGATGCCTCGAACTGTCATTGGACAAGATAGTCGACCTCGGGCGGGACGCCGACCTATCGCACATGTCCTCAAAAGATTACAACCGACTCTTGCATTACTGTAGGGAATGCAGAGACGCATGTCAAGGATTTGTCAACGGCCAGGACTTTTCATGGCTTTCGGGACCCCCCGCCTCAGAGTATGTGTTTACAACCTGTACAGCCTGTAAGGCAGACTCTTCGAGGAGGAGGAACAGTTGGATAAGCATACAACTCGGACCCCGCTCTCGCAAGGATATATACGGAAAAGCATGGTGGTTCGGACATGTCGAGCGCATAGCGAAGGCGTTTACCGCCAGTGGACCCGGCCCACTGGGCGTCGTCAAAGCCATTGATTTCTCAGAAGCAATGACGGATGCCGATCCTTGTGACAGTTGCCGCTCCTCCGCAATCAAGGACCTCCAAAATTTCAGCGTGGCACTGGATCGGCAAATTAATATAGAAATCGACAAGGTGAGTTCGTTCAATCGCTTGTTTGATGTATATATATACATAACCTTCAATGCGGATAGATCGAACTGGAGTTGGAATTCTAGATGGGGCCCCAACGCTTCGTGACACCAGCGTATACTTCTCCTCTTCGTATAGTATAGAATAGACCGCATCGCAATTGCTCTCAGATTTGACGGAGGTTGTATGACGACAGCTTTGTGTAGATCGCCGAAACAATCAGTGTGTTCTTAAAAGTCAGACCCGATGCCAGTCACAGTCTCAGGTGCATCTTCTATTCCCGACAATGGCTACGACGAAAGCAAGATTTCTAACCTAGTACATACAAAGTGAACTGACCGCTTTTATGAAGATTTCACTCCTCGAAGCCATTTGACGACGAAAACGCCGATACCATCTTTCGCTTTTGCGAAGGTGTTCTTATCATCCATTCATCCATATTTCGCGACATGTTCTCGTTACCTGACGTGCCCTGCGTCAGCCAGCAAGAGTGCGATAAACCAGTCGTTGACTTCCAAGAACCTTCGTCTACGCTCGACACACTTCTCAGGTTCTGCTACCCGGCGCAGGTATATCCAAAGATTTCGTCCAAAAAGATCTTCGTCGACGACATGGCCCACAGCGAAGAAATTCGAGATGGAATTCTTGTACGAGCAGATCGCAACGTCTTTCACCAATGATGGCGCTTTACATGTCTCCTTCTGGAGTGCTACGCCCTGGCTGTGGACTTCAAGTTACCTAGACTAGCCAGAGAGGGCGCCATAAAATGTGTTCAGATCTCGTCCGACGGGATGATCCACCTTGCCATGAGTAGCAATCTGACGTCTCTATCCGCCAAAGACTTCAGACATCTTTTGCACTACTGTCGAGAATGCCGCAAAGCCTGTCATCAACTCGTCAATGGCCGCAACTTCTCTTGGCTATCAGACCCACCTGCGAAGCATTATCTATTTCTGACCTATTCCGACAGGTATTGTGACGACGGGCCGAATATAGAAGTAACGAAGGAGTGCAAAGGTTCAGACGGTAGTTTGCTGTGATCTCAGCGATATGCCTCCACTGGTACATATGCGAAAGACGATGTTTGACATATTCACTCAATTTTAGGCTGATTCAGTCTCTTCCACAATTGCTGTGTTGTCAACTGGTTATAATATTTCATTAGCATAACGAATCTAATGACAACTGGAGACGATTGCATGCAAAGGCCACAGAAAGAGTGGATTCTCCGATTGTACCTCCCCATGATGATGCGAAACACAAGGAGGCAGTTCTGGGACATGCCCCGAATCCGGTGCAACGTCCAACATAGATCAGGTAAGCCCTTCTATGAATCTTGTGTAGTGAGTTGAAGCCGCCCGACGAGTAGATGGCAGGGGCCCGGGAGTTAGATTTCAAGGGCCCCATGCCCATGTTGGTCGATTAAACTGATTTACACACAGAACGGTCGAACCAAATCTCTGGCGATTGTCTCGTTCGGACGAATTCATGGATGCAGTACAAGGCCAGATTACCTCGCAAAAAGTCCTCCCACGGAACTAGCGCACTGCACCGCCATGAGTGATGCATGTCTTCCATTCGTTTGGATAGCCAACCACATCGATCTAGGGTTGCACCGCTTCAGCGCTTCTTATAGCATCTTATAACAACTCGTATTGATTCAGATGTTCCCCTTCTTCATCGACCATGTTCTTCAAAGCTCACGACTTCACCATCAAGGATAGTACTTTCAACGACATCGCCGGTGATCAGCATATCACTACTGTTACCAACACATACCACCATTCTCAAATCGTCGCAATACCTTCCTCGCAGACGGCGACGCCTGCGCTTACTTCGATTACGCCCATACAAGATGCAATCCCCCTTCCAACTTCCGAACCTTTCAGTAGTTTTATCTCGCTTGTTATTGAGATACAACGCGCACTCTCTCCTATTGGTTTGCTTGTCGACGAAATGGGACTGTTCAGACCACTGGAAGACGACCTCCTGGTACTGATCAAATCCGCAGCATTCCTGGGGAGGACCTTGGAGATCCTCAAGAGCACCGGTATTGCGTCTCTCTTTGGCGCCAAGACCATGGCAAATCGGCTCGCCATGTATACGATACCATTACAGAAGGCGGTAGGCGAGATTCGTCGCTATCAGGACGGGTTGAAATTCACGTTAATTGGACCTATTTGGAGAAGGATTCTGTGGTCAGCGGTGTGGACTATGAGTTCAGATGCTGATATCTCGAAGATCGTAACGACAATCCGAGCCGATTTAGCGCACATCCGGCACCCTACAACTACTTACTTGCGTAAGCTGAACTTGTACGTGCCGCTCCCTTTTCTCTCCGATCTGCGACCTTTGATTTGCTGCCAATAGAAACTTATGGTGGTCCGTGGTTGAACGCCTTCCCGATCACGTCGTTTCTGAGCTAGATTCCCTCCGTACTACTGCTTCCAAGGAATTGCCCGCCATAAACGAAGCCGAAATCCAGACAATCTCGATTGATTTCGGGCCACAATGTGACACGATCGAGCTCTCCCTCAGCCCATATGCCACATATCAAGTAAGTTGTGAAGTGAAGCCTGTTCTGTTCCTTGGACTGACGCGCGTGTCGCCCAGAGTCTTGCCATGGTCCTAAAATATAACTGTGATCATATCGTAGGCGACATAGCAGGCTTTCTTGATCCTTCAAACGATCAGGTTGTCGAATTATCACAATTCGAGGAGCTGGTCACATCGCGATCAAGACATTGGCACAATGGTCCGGCCATTGTACCAATTTGGTCAGATAATTGCGGCGTCTACTTCGAAGACCAGACGGATCTCTGCCCGTATTGCGGTAGTCCTGGCGAAAAGAATGGTCTATGGATACAGTGGTGCGTCAATCTCTGGTTTAGCGCGTTTGGCTTTTCTCATTCATTTGTGGTGGTTAAGTACGTGGTGCAAACGCCAGCATAGGGCCGTCAGCCAAGGAGCTTCTGATGATGGTACTTCTGGGTAAGTCCGTAGCGCTTCGCAGAGACGTATCTCCCATTCCAATAGGTCTCGCGTGCTTCTGCCTGAACGTGCTCGCAATTTATACAATCGCAATCCTATGGGGTATTCCCATATCAACTACTCAGGAATCAAGTGGTCACAATTGATGTCTTCGACGTCCATTTCTGGACTTCAAGGGAGTGACGAACACCTCTTATGCATCCTGCATTACTTAAGCCTGGGCGGTTCACCGTTGCAAGAGCTATCTCTTATTTCCGATCGAAGTCGAAATCCAAACATTATCCTGCCCCGCTCTGCATCCCAGTCATTCGAATTGGCTAGCGATCAACCTGTATCTCTTCCTAATCTACGCCGTCTAGAACTTCGACCCATCGCCACCGGCTCTGCAAGAATACTTAACCAGATCTCCATTCCCCAACTTCGGTATCTCAAGTTGCATTGGCCTGTGTACAGCGCGAACGTTCCAGAAATCTTTTCGCAGATTCCACTTTTGTCCACGCTCGAGATTCAGACCAGAGTTCTGCTGGATAACTCGAGGATTACTCAACTTCTTGTCGACGCAATCACTTGCCTCCCCAATCTCGAGGATATCAACGTCCATTTCATGACAAGCGGGGGCGACTTCAATGCATACGAGCACAAGTTACATGAACTAGCCGAACAGGTCAGATCGCGCCGCGGAAAATTGAGAGAGATAAATTTGTGGTATAATTGGGCGACCCCGACGGCTCAACTGCCAGAGGCCGGGCCCTGGACCTTCTGTACCACTGACTGTGGATATGTTGCGAGGCTTTGTGCCGATGATCTGTAGTTTGGAATGTCATATAACTTTGATTCGATGAAGCCCGAAGAGAAGCCTAGTAGGGATGCCGCCTTTTGAACACGCCGTTTGATGACATATCCGCGATTTACACTCCATTTTCCTGTGCCGTGTTCCTGGCGTCCAGATCCTTCCAAGCACACTGGTGATCACGAGGGCAGCAAACGTCGTTGACAAGCACTGCAGGAAAGTTCAATCATTACTTTGCTAACTCACATTGTCTCTCGGCTGAAAGTTCTCCTCCCCGTCCATCTACGCGGCTATGAACAAGTTCATTTCACTGGCAGTCAACACTGCGAGGGCATGGGTGCAATGACGGACATCGAAGGTCCAGAGGAGAACTTTGTCATTAATGCGCCATTTCGCCCTGCCATACCTGGTCATTTGGGATTCGCGCAGCCAAGAATTCTACATAAAACTACGCCTTTTGATATCGACGTTGGATACAATCACTAGAATCTCCGCGGCAGATATGACATCGCAAAATGTCTCCTTGGATGAAATTGTTGGATGGGCCATCAGATAACAGAAGCGAAGGAGTAGGTCCAGCGTAGTGGAGCCATATCAACGATAAGCCTTCCACCCTCAAGGTCGTTGTTGTCAGGAGACGTGGGCAATGACCATGTAAGTGAGTTGATACATGATATACATTATAGCCAAGTCAATTGTGTGGTTGTCGTCAGAATTAGAAAGGATCATTGACAAACTAGGAATCAGTGTTTCCCACGATTCATAGCCCAGTCTCAGGCGCCTTTTGCGCTCGGCCTCGGCCTCAACGTCAACGTTCAAACTTAACCTTGCCTTACCCGTATTATCCGCGTTCAAGTAGTTTCGGCTTGGGCTGAGCCAAATATAAAGGCCGTTGACCGTTTGGACCTGCTATATGGCCTAGTAGACGAGAACTGCAGTTCGGTGAGCTCGTTTACCGCTGATTCGCTTTGGCAGATGATATGTATCCTCCTACCGTATCTTCGAGCAAAGATCTGAACTCAATATCCGAGCTGAATTGGAAACGCTAGTAGTTGCGAGATCTTACTGCCTCGTAGCTCGAACTTGGACATCCTGGCGACATTTAACAGCAATTCAACACCAATTGGCAGTCAACGATGGCATCGTGCAATAGATTAACGACATGGATGTGCGACCGCACCATCAGTGTTTGCTTGATTTTCACGTCGCAACGTCGGCTACAACTGGTGTGTATCTCTGAAATTCAAAAGCGAGGATGTGGCTAAATCGAGTCAGGTGAGAAATGAGGAGGATACATACCTGCCATGATGAGATCCACTTCATGCTCAGGACACCCGATGATCACCTGTACGCGTCTCAAGGCAGTGCCCGTCATTTTCTATAATCAATTCAAGTGGTGATCATGTGAAAACGCTCCACAAGCCTATTTCCGTTGTACTCGAATCCAACGAGGCCTCGATACCATCTGTCCTCGACTGTCGGCGCACTGCCTAGTGGCCTCGCTTGTTGCTGTGTTGTCTGCGAGCTTGCAGTGTCCATGTGAATGAACTATATGGTACGCTTGCTTCTCTTCTATTTTTTGATATGTAAACAACAGCTCCCGTGTTGGACTACAGAATAAGAATAGCATACGGAATGAAGGGTACGCGTATAAATGCCTCATTTATGCAGGTATTTGTTCTTTAGCTCGGTCTCCCCACTTCCTTCCTTCTCTACTTCTGCCCTATTCCTCAATTTTTCGTCGGTGCAGAGCACAAATTTGCTTCTGAGTCTTCCAACCCTTCGTACTTCACTTCGTCTACAAGGCCGCGCCTTATCTAATATCTAATCAAACACTCCCCGCCATCTTATCAAATTCAAGTTGATCAACATGAAGTTTATCTACCAACTCGTGCCTCTCTTCGTTGCGGCGCTCCATGTCTCTGCTCACGGTGTCATCACCAATGTATCCGGTGCCAATGGTGTTGCCGGACAAGCCTTCGGCGTCGTGGCAACCACGCCTCGTACCGGCTCCAAGCGCGATCCATTCCAGCAGGACTCCAGCATCATTCGAGATAGAGAGATCTCCAGTGGCAAGGCCGGCGTATGCGGACGCACACTCGGTGGGGGGAATAATGACGTGCAAGCTATGCTCGCGGGTGAGCCGCCTTCCTTTCCATTAAGTCACTCCCGTACTAACGCCTTGGCCTTCAGCTGCATCGAGCGCCGGTCTACCATCTGTTGCGGCCGATGGGTCGGTTCAGATGACGCTACACCAAGTCAACGGTGACGGTGCTGGGTAAGCCTTTTGGCATTGGATATTTTTATTCAACAACCAATTAACTCGCTTTGACAGGCCATACTCATGCCAGGTCTCTGCTGATGCAACAGGGCAGAACTTCGTCACGATGGATGTCACCCAGCAAGTTCCAGGCATTGCTTCAATCAGTCTCGCCAAGGCCACGCCCTTCCCTCTCGTAGCTCGTGCGTCTCTCATCCCATATTCGATTCCCTGTGGTTGTTCCTTGCGCTGACGCCGGGATTTCCTGTGTAGAAATGCCCGCTGGTATGACATGCACGGGCGGGCCCACTGGTGACGCCTGCATCGTTCGCTGCCGAAATGTTGCTATCGCAGGTCCTTTCGGCGGATGTGTTGCCGGTCAGCCCTTCGTGTTCTCCCTGTTTGATATTTTCTGACCGTTCGTTATTCTTATTCTCCAGTTACCAATGCCAACGGCGGAAACGCCACCGCAGCAGCAGCAGGAACTGCAGCGGGTGTTGCGGGAACTGGTGTCGTAGCAGGTACTGCCGCTGGTACTGCCGCTTCTGGCGTCGCAGGGACTGGCGTGGGTGCTGGTGCTCCTGGCGCCGCGGGAACTGCCGCTACTGGTGTTGCTGGAACTGCTGCGGCTACCGGTGCTGCTGGCGCTTCTATAGCAAACGCCAACGGAGCTGCTGCTGCTGCGAAGGTTGGCGCAGGCGGCACTGGTATCGGCGCTGGTGTTGGGTCCGTTGTTGGATCCCTTCTTTCTAAGGCCGGCGACGCCGCTGGACCACTTGCCGACGTAGCCGGGCTAGCAGGGATCGCACGGGCATTGACGAAGTCACAGAAGCAGCAGCAAGTTAGCGACGTCGAGGATATTAATGATATTTCGATTGAGGAAGCTGAAGCGGCATTGGCGAAGGATCTAGACCGCCGACAGCGTGTGAGGCGCTCAAGGATTGTGGGTCGTCTTGCTCTTTGAGTGGCGCGGAGGAAGGACTCGTGGACTTAACATCATTATTGTGTTACTCGTAGTCATGCTACATCAATGACTGTGGGAAATATTCTCTGACCGTGAGTTACTATCTCAATTGTCAAAGACGAACTTGGCAACTTGACACTTTCTTTTTGAAACCCCTCGGCCAATATTCGCGATAAATCCTGCCAAAGTTTCACCGCCTTCTGCTTTGTCGATACTCAACGTTGACAACATCTGCGTTACTTAGGGGGCTTTGACTCTATGTACGCTCGAAAGTTCAGAGTCTGTTCTCAGTCTGACGAATCTCGAACATCACTCTTATTATAGTTATACTCAGAAGACACCCATAAAGCAAGTTTATATATCAGCCCTTGCAGCTGCGCAAGGCAATGAATCAATACGTGGCAGCACCCAGAGGCCACACGCCTACCAACGAAACGAAGCGGTGACCATCAATTTAGTTGGGGTGACACCACCGACGAGGGAACGAGTCTGGCACGCTTCATTTGGCCCCCCACTCACCAACATACTTGACATGTCGTCGACTAGACAAATAAGCAGAATACACAGCCAAGCATAGCGAATCTCGCTGGGTATCTACGGCAAAATGACAACATGGATACTAAGCTCCAATCGCGGTGGACCTACCCCGACGACCGACGCCCGTAGCTCGCGCGATCTGCCTCCCGAGCTGTATAGCCGAGAAGTTCGGACACACGTGCATCCTATCCTCCCAGCGTCTCTGTACCGCATCATTGATCCATGAATAGAACGCCGTCACAGGTGCGATAACGTGATGTTTGGCCACTTACGTTCAATGGACGTAGGCCTACTTTCGTTTTTGTTGGTCGAAGGAGAGCATGAGGAAACGACGACAGTCAACCTCGGCCAGTAAAGAAAGCTGTCTTGTTATTCGCGCATCCTGTTCCTTCTGTACAACCCAGCGACTCGAATCATGGATGTGACATCTACGGCGTTGTATGGCGTCTCTTCAGACGCTTCTGCCCACCGCCACGCTCCGATTTTTTTCATGACATACGGCGAGATCACAACGGACAACATTCAGAACAACCCTCCGTGTCTTCTCCAGAGACAGCCACTCGCACTGCATCCAGTACGGGAGTGACACTCAAAGGGCGTTAAGTATAACACCTATATATGTTGTGTAAGTTTTCGTACTGTCAACGCATCTACTCGCCGACTCACCCTACCCGCCTACGACATTTCTGATGCCTCTCTCCCTTTTTAAGAAGGTCGTGAGCTTGTTTATGCCACGGATAAGCTGGCTTATCCCGACTTATCGACCTGTTCATCGTTATTGGAGATGGGTGAGTGTTAAACTACTGCCACCCCCTGAAAGCACTTACGAGGGATGGATTATCAGCTGTGCCACTCGACTATTCCATCGGATTGCAATTCCGGGGACGGGCATATTTGTCAAAGCTGCAGCGACCCAGCTTCCAAGGAAGTTTCTGGAGCGAAAGTCACCGCCGCAGAGGAAAAACAGTCTCGGAGGCTTCCAGATAGCACAAATATAGAAAGCGACAACGATAACAGATGCTCCCAGCACGGGCTTCGCGGGGATGATCAACAACAGCACCATAGATCCTCCTTGATGGTGGACAGCTTTGAAAGTCTCGAGACGCTTAACGAAAAGCGGGGTGGAGATCGCACGAAGTCGAGCTCAAATTACCGTAATCCTGGATGGAGACCACGAAACCAAACAAGTCCCTTTCCCACTTGTTTCCACTCCGATTGCACACTACAGCGGCAGGTCCCACATATTGCATGTCGAGATTGGTCGAGCTCCCACCAACGCGGCCTGGTGCGAGTCACGACCTTTGCTCCAAAACTACGCTGCGAGCCTTCAGACGAGAGCAGGAAAGCGATAAAAAATGCCGCCGTCGCGCCAAGATTTCGCCCGACAGATGATGGTTATCGGCGAGGGTCCTGGTGACCTTGTAGTCGAGCCACAAGCTACTACATACATATGCATTTTGTCCGCAAGACGGATATCCATGTTGTCCAGATGCCATAGTCGTGAGTGTCGGCGGTTATAATTATCTAGCATTCTGGTATAGCTCGTATTTATCTATGTAAACTATCAATATCATGTATCTATGCTTCCTCTATTATTTGTTTCTAGCTTACTAGCTTATGCCAGCATGTTGTCTTCCTTGGTTATAGACAATCTACATGAGCTCGAGTTCTCCCTTGAAACGCAATGGAGTACAAACTCGTCTAGCTGATCTCTATCGCTCCCCGAAGGAACTCCACAGCAAGGGCGCGACGACACACTCCGCGGATTGCCCCGTCAACCTGGTGTCCTCACTCATTGCTACATTGTTTAGATCTCGTATCGGAGACGCATTCGAGAAGACTTCAAAAAAACCTGTATAATTTAGCGTAAAAAATACATGAGGATAAATACGTTCCGCGGGCGATTGATAATTTACATGATGCAGGAGGACGCTGTACTCGACCAATAATTTATATTCCACTATAGTGCGGCTAGTGGAGGAACGGACACTCGCATTCAGACTTGAGGCTGTGTCTGTTTGAGGGCTGAACGCAAGGGTGCCTTGGGGATCAATCGATGCTCCATGTCAATTCTTATACCGCTTTCATTCATCCATCCAATGCCGTATTCAGGATAAGAATCCAGATCGACTGGATATTCCTCTCCAGGAGAAGCGGGCTTATACGAACCATCATTCGTCCAGAGTTGGTCGCTGCGAAAGAAAGGTATAGTGGATGAGCAGGTTCAAAAGGAAATGAAGCACCGCGATGAATAATTACATACCCTCTTCGGTTAAACCATCCCTTCCGTCGATCACCTGGTTTGATAGGCGATGGACAAATCAAGGTTTCGTTCCATCTCACCCGGAGACGGGCCAGAACACACTTGTCTGCGTCTGGTTGTAGGAGTTGCTCTCCGCCGGTATTCCTTCGTGGAGGTGGCGGTATGCGTGGTGCGGAGGGCGGGACAGGGTCTGAGTTCATCCTGCGAGGACCTGGGAGAGGTCGACGTGAAGCTTGAGTCCCGGTGGGAACTAGGGTGTTTGCCATCTGCCGAGCGGAGGCGTCGCCAGTAGGCTGCGTGGTGGGAGGTGGGATTCCAGTGACCTGGAAAGAAATCCCGTTGGAGGGCCAGGTGGGCGGAGGGTTTGTTGGCGATCGCACTAGGGGCTGCTGTGACACGACTCCAGCAGCAGCGGAAGCAGCTGCTTGAGAAAGGTTCGTGGACAAGGGCATAGCTGGATTGCTTCCAGGCCCTGGCCTTCGCCTACTCTGCTCGTCCAATGGCGGAGACGTCGAAGGGGGGCGTTCCTTTTTCTTCATCAAACGCACCGTTTCGACGGCAATAGAGTCTTTTCTTACACGACCTCCCTCTGGTGGAACGACGGGAGGAGGGGAGACAGAAGGCGTCCTGGATCTTGACCTGTGGGAACTAGAGGCGCTCTGAGGGAACGCAAAGCCTCGCTCAGGAATGGGAGCGACGGTTGGCGGCACGGGAAGGGGACGTTCTTGTTCAGGTCTGAAAGTGGACTGCTGAACGTTATTATACCCCGAGGCGAGGTTCTGGGAGTACCTCTGCTGATCATTCTGTGGGAAAAAATTCGACCCCGTTTGCCCAACAGGCATGGGGGGCTGCGCGGGGAACGACGACATTCGTCCGCTTCCGCTCGATGATCCACTGCTCACTGATGACGTAGAAGGTGCTGGATTGCGGGAATATTGCGCACCTCCTGGTAAGCTCGCCGCAGACGCTCGGAGCCCTGGGTCTGCGGTGATGTATGAAGCGGCGTTGTCGTATGACAGTGGGGGAATGAAGGGTTCGTCCTCTTGAGAAAGTCGATCGGCTGAAGGTTGATACGGAACGAGAGACCCCGTGGGTGAAACGTGGGTTTGTTGTGGTGAAGTACGGCGAGGCTGCTGTCTGGGTTGATTTGGAGAAACGGGGCTGGTGCGTCGAGACCCCATGTCCGCAGCATGAGGAAAGTAAGAATCGGGGGAAGACGACATCACCGGGGCGTACTGTCCAACATCATCGGGAGGCAGTGGAACTTGAGGTATCGATTGATAGTCGGTGTGATCCTCTGGCAATTCATCCTGAGCATAGAGCATGGATGCTCTCGCTGACGCCCTCGCATTCAACGTTGCATTCAACCTCGCCGTCTCCGAAGACTGATCCAGCATACTCTCTTCGACATAATCCTTCCAAGAGTTGCTCTGAACGCGAGCCATTTGCGGGGCGGCTTGGAACCCATTCGTGTATTGATTACCTAGCGGCTGACCGGTTGGGCGCATGGCAGGCTGCGAGAGATAGTTTGGCGTTCTTGGCCTCTCATTCGCTGAGGATGCCGACGAGTGCGAACTAATAATGGTTGACTCCGGCTGTGATGATCCTCGAGACGAGGCGACACGGACAATCGAAAGCGCATTCGACGTCGACGTCGCACTCGAAGAGGGCTGTCGTTGTATAGCAGACGGATTGGAAGAAGCAGACCCGCCAGACGGCCCAACGGCCCGCTGACTACTCCTACTTAGGGAACGATCGGGAAGCTCTGAACTTTTAACTGAGGTGGTGCTATCTGTGGAAAGGGCGGGGGAGAAGGCGGAGGAAGCGGCTGGTGGGGTGTCGATTTCGGAAAGGGAATAAGTATCTGAGCGCTCGTATATATACGTGTCTTTGGTGGGATCTTGATAAATAGGATAATAGGGTAGCGTGTTGCCACTACGAGTGTCATAAGTTCGCATATTAGACGATAAACTTGCGGTAGCGATGGAGGGTTGTATATGGTTATAAAATCCTGTAGAAAACATTCTGGCGTCTACATCCTGCCGCTGAGATGACCACGCGGGGTTCGGTCGTGCATCGCCTCCCATGGAGAAGGTTGACGGCCGATACCCGACATCGAACTTGGCAGTGGCTGAAGCGTATGGAAAGGAAGTCATGGTCGGATGTTTGAAAATACGAAAGCCCTTCGGAATCTGCATCGCAAACGACTACGGGCAAAGGTCAAGGTCTCATGCGTCTAGAAGGGGGAACCACATACCTTTGCAGAGTATCCATGCCCTCCAATTCCCGGCGTAGGTAGCGTTGTAGGATTAACGGTCGCGAACATGCCAGACGCTATGTGAGTAGTCACCGTCGACAGAGGGGGAGAGAAGACCGGTTTATAGAGAAGGGGGAGGGAGCATCATGGTGGCCACATTTGTCTCGCTTGCCGGAGCACATGCGGCAAATTAGATCTGCGCCATGCACTGAGTCTTAAATGTCCGAAGTGAAAGGGCTGTAAACGTTCCCATCTCAGAGCTGCGGCGCCGAGGCGTGCATATTGATCTCAACCGATCTGGCTGTAAGCCAGCAGCATGGCTACACACCTACGCAAGGGGAGAGCCTATGGTTGTCGGACCGCAGCCAAATACTGAACCCACTGGTTTAGCCTCGACGCGAGGGATATTCGCGGATGCATATTGGGTATAAGATACGTTGTCACCGTGTGCAAGAGTGATAACAACCGTATATATAGATCAGCTTGATGTCAATATCCTCCGCCTCTCGATGGGGGTACCATGAAGTCATGTCCTCCCACAGCAGATCGGGGAGTATAAGGAAGGTCTAGACAAGTGGATCGTAGAATTAGCCTTGTTCGCCCACGATGCTATGGTAGATTACCAATGTTCTGCAATTTTCCGTCGCAGCCGTCGACTCGCTGCACATACAGAGGTCACGAGAAAGTCGCCAGCAATCGCGATGAGCTTCGATATCCCAGCCAAAGCTTCTTCGGGTTCATTGATGGTTATCGAACATCGTGGCGGAAGCCTCTCAAAGGCCGATGTCCAATGTTGTCATATCTGGCCATCTGCACCAGAAGATCGCTTTGGATGAGGATGAAAGGCATTTTTCGTTCGAGTGAGCTTCTCATGGATCTTGACGCCCTTCCGTGATGAAAACGGCACCGGTCCCGGGGGAGGGTTTCCCAACTGACGAAATGGATGGGCCCGACTGCGCACACCATCTACCAAGTAATTTGAGCAATATTGACTGCATCTGGTGCAAGTTCATGTTGAATCTTGTATTGAAAATTGAAATGCATTATACTTGGTGTTTGAGGCGCCCAAAGCTGTAGGTATTGAACGGAGTGACATGCCCCAGCGGTGTGTCCATAGTTGACCCGGATGCTGTAGTGATGCTGCATGGTACCAGGCGAAGGATTGAGCGCCTCTTAGACTTCTGTAAAACAAAGCGTGACCTAGCGTGACGCAAAGTCTGTCGATCACGTGAGGAAACCTCGAAGGACGATGGGCGCCCTTCGCTTTTCATCCGCGACCCCACTTCAACGCCAAGGTCGACGTTGTGCATTTGGACGTCCGGCGTCACATCTTACTCAATGGGTCTTCATGCCCTACATCAAGAAATCCTGCCTCCAAGTGGAGTCGAATTCGTTGTCAGTCTGAAATTGACTCCTTCAACGACGCAAAGTTCGGGGATAGACGATGGAACCAAGGTCCTTTGCAATGTGGTAGTCGCGCGTACAAACCTGCTTCGTATCTTTGAGGTTCGCGAACAACCGCCACCGACGCACAGTGATGAAGAACGGGATAAGAAAGCCAAAGTGAGGAAGGGGACGGAGGCTGTTGAGGGTGAGGTCGAAATGGATGAGCACGGAGAAGGTTTCATCAATATAGCCCAGGTAATTACCACGACACTTTTGTTCCAAGTCTATACCCAATGCCATCATCTTGAACGGCCAGCCTCGATGCCAGATGAAATCGGTAACTAACATTGTATTTAGTCTACCGGGCAGAAAGCTGCTGGCTCACCGACCGTCACGCGACTCTACTTTGTACGTGAGCACAAGCTGCATGGAATTGTCACGGGCTTGGAGGCTGTCCGAACACTGGCCTCCATTGACGACCACCTCGAGCGCCTGGTAGTCTCATTCAAAGATGCCAAGATTGCATTACTGGAATGGTCGGAGCCCATCAACGATCTGCAGACAGTCTCTATCCACACGTATGAAAGGGCCCCTCAGCTCGTGCGTGTCTTCTTCGTATGGGTATGCTGCGCGCTCAAGCCATTATTGACAATTTTTGTAGCTATCCTTTGAGCCCTCCTCGTTCACTGCGAAGTTACGGAGCGACCCTGAATCGCGCTGCGTCGCGCTGTCATTGCCAAAGGATGCGATCGCCATCCTGCCATTTCATCAATCGCAGGTCGACGTGGACATGCTCGACCCAGATCCAGCGCAAATAAGGTACGAGATATCTTGCAGCCATTTCGCTCTTCTAACGCGCCGCTAGGGACATCCCATACTCCCCGAGCTTCATTCTCGATCTGGGGAACGAGGTCGATGATAGCATCCGCAATGTCATCGACTTTACGTTCCTGCCCGGCTACAATAACCCTACCTTAGCCGTTCTCTTCCAGACGCAACAGACATGGACAGGGTAAGTATGCTGTACTCTTACATTTTACGATCGATCTAATAGCCGCATTACAGGCGCATGAAGGAGTACAAGGACACCACAAAATTGATGATTTTCACCCTTGATCTCGTTCATCAGCATTACCCTATCATCAGTTCCGTCACGGGGTTGCCGTACGACGCGTTTGCGTTGCTCCCGTGCGCGACATTATTCGCTGGTGTGACCATATTAACTGGAAACGCCGTGATATATGTTGATGCCTCACGGAGAGTCGCCCTCCCTGTGAATGGATGGGCACCCAGGTCGACGGACATGCCCCTCCCAAACCTATCGGCCGACGAACAGACACGTTCTCTCCACCTGGAAGGCTCACGTGCGGTCTTCGTGGACGACAAGACGCTCTTCGTTATACTCAAGGACGGAACCATATACCCCGTGGAGCTTATTGCTGATGGAAAGACCGTATCAAAGCTTATAATGGGAGATGCGTTGGCGCAGACGACTATACCGGCGGCTGTGCGAAAGTTAGACGATAAACACGTTTTCATTGGCAGTACCGCCGGCGCTTCGGTTATTCTGAGGGCATCAAGGGTAGAGGAGGAAATTGAGGAAGGCAGCGAGCCCCAGGATGCATCGAAGCCGGCTGTAGTGGCGGACACCAACGATACGATGGACTTTGACGATGATGACGGTTAGTTCCTTCCTCTACTTCCTGTTGTGTTTACAGAAACGATCTGAAACGTGGGGGCACATCGATTATTACCAGACATCTACGGCGTGTCGACCTCTACTAAAGTAGCAACAGCCAACGGTTCCACAAAGCCTGGCAGCCTCGCGAAGCAAACACGTACAGTCATCCACCTGGCCCTTTGCGACTCCCTCCTTGCCACGGGCTCCATTTCGGATATCACATTCTCTTTGGCCAAAAATGGGGTGCGTAGTTTCATTCATTCGCCCTCCCCATATACTTGGAGCTATAACCCACTCGTTATCCTCTCGCGTCTAGGAACGAATTGTTCCTGAGCTCGTTGCAGCGACAGGCGCAGGGCCTTTGGGGGGATTTACCTTATTCCAGGTGGGTACTTACTCTCTCCGTCCTTTGCTCCGATCATAAAGCTCTGGCTGTGGGGCTTTTGTCTACAGCGTGACCTACCATCTCGTACCAAACGTAAACTTCACGCCATTGGGGGTGCACGTGGGGTGTGGTCGCTTCCCATCCGCCAGTCGGTCAAAGCCAGCGGTATCTCATACGAGCGTCCAGCTAACCCTTACCACGCGGAACACGACACTCTGGTCTTAAGCACGGATGCTAACCCGTCACCGGGAGTCTCGCGGGTAAGTTCCTTCAATTAGTCGACTTCGTGAAAGTCTAGACAGATAATGTCCACCGCATGCAGATTGCCGTTCGGTCGGCGAAGACGGATGTAGCGGTCACAACTCGGATAGCCGGAACCACAGTGGGCGCGGCACCTTTCTTCCAACGTACAGCCGTTCTCCATGTCATGTCTAACTCTATTCGTGTCCTCGAGCCTGGTGCGTGTTTGATATCTTCCCGCTTGACTGTTGTTGATGTTTGGTTTGAAACAGATGGCAGCGAGCGTCAGGCGATCAAAGACTTGGACGGCAACTTACCGCGTCCCAAAATTCGTGCATGCAGTATATGTGATCCTTTCGTCCTCATCTTCCGTGAGGATGATTCAATCGGTCTGTTCATCGGCGAGACGGAGCGTGGCAAGATACGGCGAAAAGACATGTCAGCGATGGGCGATAAAGTATGGGCAGCAATTGATTCATTTTTGCGTAACTTAACTATTTCAGACTTCTAGGTACCTGACGGGATGTTTCTTCGTTGATACCACCGGTCTTTTCTCCTCTCCTAATCATCAACCGCCCCCTGCGACACAAGTGGGAGGGAAAGGCAGCACTACAACCCTCCAAGCAGCCGTTAACGCCGGTAGTCATACTCAGTGGCTCCTGCTTGTCCGTCCACAGGGAGTTATGGAGGTGTGTCTACTCTTCTTTAATTTAATTTTTGTTGACGATCAAGATAGATATGGAGCCTACCAAAACTGGCATTGGTATTTTCGACTTCGGCATTACTATCCCTTCAACCTGTCCTTCATGATTCAGGCGACGCTCCAGCTCTTTCCCTACCCCAGGACCCCCCTCGAAAACCCCAAGACATGGATATCGAACAGGTGTTGGTAGCCCCCATTGGCGAGACTTCCCCTAAGCTGCATCTTTTCGTCCGTCACACCTTCACCAGTATCAGCGACAGGTGTCCTGATTTGAACTTTTGTAGGTATTCATACGATCAGGGCAGCTAACGGTCTATGAGGTAGCCTCCAGCGCACCCGTCGTGGACGTTCCAGCCACCCGTGCTACTAGCGTCAATGTTAAGTTTGTCAAAGTCCTGTCAAGGGCCTTTGAAATACAGCGAAACGAAGAAGTCGAAAAGAGCGTCATTGCCGAGCAAAAGCGGATCTCTAGGACGTTTATACCATTTATCACATCACCGGCTCCTGGCGTGACACTCTCGGGCGTCTTCTTCACTGGCGATCGACCAAGTTGGCTGCTAGCGACTGACAAGAGCGCCGTGCAAATATACCCTTCTGGACATGGCGTAGTGCACTCATTTACATCATGTTCGCTTTGGGAATCTAAGGGCGACTTCTTCCTTTATACTGACGAAGTACGCGCGCTCTTCTATCAAATCAACAGGCGCTTCTGACGACAGTATGTGTAGGGTCCAAGTTTGATGGAATGGATGCCGGATTTTATACTGGGCGGTCCTCTCCCTATGAAGCCCATCCCGAAAGGCCGACCGTACTCAAACGTTATTTTCGACCCGTCGACCTCTCTAATCGTGGCAGCCTCTTCCCTCCAAGCGAAGTTTGCTTCTTTCGACGAAGATGGTAACTGCATATGGGAGCCGGACGGTAGGTTGTTACCATCTACAAGAATAATGCTAACGAAGAACCCTACTGTAGCACCAAACATCACAGCACCCATGTGTGACTGTTCTACCTTGGAACTCATATCTCCGGAACTTTGGGTGACGATGGACGGGTCAGTTAGCCCTGCCAACTTCACATTTTTTTCTAAACGCGTCATAGATATGAATTTGCTACTAATGAGTTCATCAACTCGGTCTGTTGCGTGAGCTTGGAGACGTCTAGCACGGAGAGTGGGATAAAGGACTTCATCGCAGTAGGCACAAGCATAGTTCGCGGAGAAGATCTAGCTGTTAAAGGGGCTGTAAGTTATCCACTTTGCGTCTGTTATATTCGTGCTTGGGACTGAATATTGTTAGACATATATTTTCGAAATCGTAGAGGTTGTTGCTGACGCTTCACTGGTGCCTTCGAGATGGTACAAGCTTCGCCTTCGTTGTCGGGATGACGCTAAGGGCCCAGTGACGGCTCTCTGCGCTTTCAATGGATATCTCGTGTCTTCTATGGGACAGAAGGTGCGTTGCAGTCTAAATGTACTGTTCCTGTTCCAAGTATTCACCGCGTTCTCTTAGATCTTCGTTCGTGCGCTTGACCTTGACGAACGGCTAGTAGGCGTGGCATTCTTGGATGTCGGTGTATACGTAACATCGCTGAAAGCGCTCAAGAACCTGCTACTGATAGGTGATGCCGTGAAGAGTGTCTCGTTTGTTGCGTTTCAGGTAAGACAGAATCTTGATAGACTTCTCGATGTCTCATCGCCTTCGTTTAGGAGGACCCCTATAAACTTGTTGTGTTAGCAAAGGACATCCAACATGTTTGCGTTACGAATGTTGACTTCTTCTTTGCCGATGAGAATATGTCCATCGTCACATGCGATGAAGATGGTGTCATTCGAACGTATGAGTATGATCCTCACGGTACGCAATTTTCACGGAATTCAGAGGATACGCTAACAGTTCGCCAATTGTGGTTGTGCAGACCCAGAATCGAGAGATGGACGTCAACTACTCCTTCGTACGGAGTTCAACGCTCAAGTAGGATACAACAGTTCCGTCCTAACCGCGAGACGTACTTCGGAGGACCCAGTCATCCCTCAATCCAAACTTATTTGTGGTAAGCACTTGATGATCTACTATCGTTTTGATGCTCATCCCCACACCTTTGCCTCCCCATAGGATATTCTGACGGTTCAATCTCCTCGTTGACTCCTGTAGAAGAATCGGCCTTCAAGAGGCTTCAACTTCTACAAGGTCAACTGACACGTAACCTTCAGCATATGGCAGGCCTGAACCCTCGAGCTCTTAGGTACGTGACACGGGTATTAAGTTCACCGATTTGTTAACCATAATTCTGTTTCTTGCAGGATCGTCAGGAACGACCACGTATCGCGGCCTCTCGCCAGAGGGATTCTTGACGGGCTTCTCATCGCTGAGTTTGAGTGTTTGTCCATCTCGAAACAAGAGGAAACTACGACTGAGATCGGGACGGAGAGGAGTCAGGTTTTACATGACTGGATAGACCTCATAAGTCCTTGGTAATCCAGTCTCTCTCTCTGATTCTGCCCTTGCTTTCTGTTTCTGTAGATACTCTGAAATATTACAAACTTCATAAGAGCAGGAAGCCCCAGGCGAAGCGTTGCTTATGTGGCACCTTCGCCCTGTCAGAATAAGCGTCAAAGGGCCATTCAGAACCATTCGTCGAAGGATACGGAGACATCATCCTTCGCTCATGCGACGGCGTGGACTTTCATGTCTGCAAATGTATCGTTCTCGTCGTATCCCGTATATTCCGTGATATGTTTTCACTGCCCGATTCCCCCGCTGCGAACACGTACGGGGCGACCAAACCCATTACTAACATGCATGAGGTTTCCTCTGTTCTAGATCCTCTCCTGCGATTTCCAGTACTAAAGTTAACCATGAGATATACTTAGGGCCCGGTCTGCTCGTCGAGATGTCAGTCCCTCGGGCCTGGGGTTGGCGGACATTGAACTTGGCAAAACCTAGCGCTGGAGTCTGCTCCGGGCGCTTGGGAATCGTCACAAATCAGTCACAGACATCATGGTGGGAAAGCAGCAATAGATGCAAAGTAAATACATGCAAACTTCTGCTTTCGGTATTTCTTGTATTTCTTGTCGGCGACCTGAAGTATCCCGGCTCAGTAGGTGATATACTAGTCCAAAAGAGTTTATCATGTGGTACGTTGGTTTAGTGGTTTGCGCGCTTGAGTACTACTTTTTAGCACGGAAAGGTTGCGGGTTCGAGCCACGGTGGTCCTTTTTTCACTTCTTCGTCCTGCTATCTTACCACTAACATTCATCAATAAATAAGCACCACAAGCTATAGTACTGTTTATTGGAGGGAATAGATAATGCAGTTGATACAAGGTGCCACCAGGTATATTAACGCTGACATAATAATGTGACAGGAAGGTCCTAACCCACCCGCAAACCCTCTGGTACAGCAGACCAAACTGTCGGTTTGGAGTAGGTTTGGGCCAGGTTTGGTCCAACCGTGGGAGCCAAATTTGGCGGGTAGGGACTAACATCTCGACGAGCAGACCGGGCCCTTACTTCTTTATACCCCCCAGCTGCGCGTTCAAAGCTTTGGCGCCCCCCATCTGCTCGAGGGGGTGTTCTCAGTGAATAGAGGTCTTTTGACGTTACAAATGGTGCTACATAGCGTAGATCCCCTTTCGCTAGTAAACGGAGGAGATGTGCGACAATGATGGAGAGTTCTGCTTCCATCCCAAGAAAGTTTCAGTTAGTAGAAAATCACGCACTAAACCAGAAGAACAAACGCGAGTGATAAGAACGCACGCTAGGAAGATGCCAGAGTCTGGTAGAATCACAACTAAGTATTTCTCGGAATAAATGTGTTACGATGAGACCGTAGACTTCCTTGTATATGATGTCGCCGAACTCTGAACTGTCGTCTGTTCGAGTTTCTGGACACAGTCTTCTGTGGAAGAATTTTGATAAGATAAGATGCAGACTCAATCCAGATGATCAAGCGCCCAGTGTCGGGTCACCTCCGAGTTCTAACCTTGTTCTAATGGTCTACACTTCTCGAAGTTCATGCTCGGGCATGTACTTTAGGCGTTGGCACCGACAAGCCTGATTTAAATAGTCCAGTAATTCTGCTTCGTGCATTCCCGAAACCCGTGTAAAATCTACGAGAAGATTTGGACGAACTTCAAGCTTGGGTTGCGTTTGGGTGCGCCACTGCTTTGTTTGCCAAACGTAAACCGTCAAGGACGGGTTATCTAGTCCGTCCATGGAAGTCGGACACCCTAGTGGCTGCAAGCTAGAATCATGAGGAACGGAAGCGCATCACTTTCATCCAGTCACCCTGTCAATCAGACCGTTCAGTGTATTCTTCGGCGCGCTCCAGCACTGAGGAGGTCAAGTATATAGGAGGTACGCATGCTCCTCGACTTTGCATTGTCCAACTTCAGCTCGTACGAAGCTCTGACAACATGTTCTCGAAGCTCTCTACCATTCTTGCTTTGGCCATCTTCGCTGGCAGCTCTGTGGTCATGGGTCATCCCACCGAATCTAACATTGTCGGTCAGTAAATTACGCTGTGCCCCCGAAGTAGTCATCGTTGACCATAAACATTATAAAGGGCGCAATGTCGACGCCAAAGATTCCCTCTCGTTTGCTGACGAAGTCGACGCCAACTTCCCTGGCTGCGACACCACCCAACAAGCGACGCTGCAGCGCGCTATCGACGTAGCAACGAGATATCAATAGAAAACCCGCACGTTTGTCCCACTCCATGAGATACGCTGTTCCTTTTTTGAGACTTTTGGTAGTTACTTCCAACAATTAGGACCCCATCCGGCAGCGAACGCTAATCTGACACTCTATACTACTTGGTTTGGAGCATACGACCCTGCCCGTTACACGACGGTACACAATCGATTTATGCAGGTCGATTCGTACCCTCTAGACTCGTGGACCTACTATTGCCGCCCCGTGTTGAAACCTGGGAATTGCGGAGGACTGCTGCAATTCGTGACAATGGCCGTCTCAGAGTCGAACCAGTAAGCACTTGTCCACGTTCATATTTCCAGATGCCAACGTCATCTAGGCTCGACGGTGCTACGAATACCGCATCAATTGAGGTCTGCAAGGGATTTTGGATTCGTAACGCACTTCACAAGGATGACAAACTCAATGTAGATGCCAAAGTTCATACTTCTTCTCGTGTGTGCTTACTTTACGTTAATAGGGACATACGATTTTCCACGAAGCAACCCACTTTCATTACACTGATCATACGGGGACCGATGTCCCAGGGACAAACCACGAGCTGAAGGAAGACTACGAAGAGAGCTTCAGCAGGGGTTTGGCGGCTAACAGACCCGCAGACGCCGTCCAAAATGCTGACAACTACGCCTACTTCGCTCAGCACTTGGACAAAATCATCCCTTAATTTTGCTCAAGGCTTATTATGTCGAAGAGCTTGAATGCTATTTCCGCTATTCGTGTTATTCCCCATTTCTGAGGAGGTTTGAACGAACTGTTACTCCGTCAGCTGGGTACATGTTCATGATATGTCCACATCCGCTTGGATCTCACACTACCGAGATTGGGCTTTGGCCCTATGACACAATGTCTCGCAGCCACAATATTTTGTGGGTTCAACTTACCGCTTTGCCACGCGACATTGTCTCATGTTCCTCCTTCTGTTCCGCTCGAATATCCAAAAGCTGAATGATTCTCTTCGCTTTGATATCACGAAGTGCCTAGATAAGTAGGTGATCGCCCTAGTTTCGCTTTGTCCCGCAACCACTTCATCGTCTTGCGCTCCCTCACAGAGTACTTGTGCCACCCTCAATATGACCACCCTCTCACGGTCAAAGAGATCGGATGGAGTCATACAAACTACTAGAATTCGTACTCATTGTCCGGTGCGGCTGGTGGGTACGTCTCGCGGAAAGTATATAACCTAGGCGTCAGTACATTGACTGTCATCCCAACAACCTCCAATTACCAACCAACCTTCCAAGTGTCTAGACATCTCGGTTTGCTGTCGAACTCGACAACGATAGTCGTCAAACATGCCCCGCGACAAGACAGGCTCTCTTCCCTATGTCCCGTCTCCGTCTCCGTACCCACAACTGCTCCCTGCTGCTGAGATCCATGAGCCCACCAAGCGAAGCGCTGGTTCCTTCCGAAGGCATCCCACTCCTGGCGCGCCTCCGGCTGGCGGGTCTCCCTCGTCGATATCAAAGATTCATGGCCGTAATTCCCCTACCGTTGGCGGAACCCGTGGAATCCAGAGCGTAGAGTCTCCCAGTGACTCGTTGCCCTTCCGGCCTCGCACCCCCGTCGAGACTCTGCGGTATAAACTTACCAACCGCTCTCCAATTCCCTCTCGTCCAGCTTCTCCGCTCCATCAAAATCTCCGCGGCGACCACCATCCTGCTGATATTACTACCCCAGACGGCAAGAGAATCCTCGTCCGAACTTTGAACCCAGACCTCCCACCTTTGGTCCAGTACGTCCCTCCCGGGCAGATACGCAATGCGAGGGCGCTTCACAGAGCGCAGGATGGCTATTCGAGCAGTCGGTCAAGGTCCTCCTCGCCGGTTAAGGGTGGTAGAGCCCGCCTTGAGAAGACAATGGCAGAGCTCAACAGGAAAGCCAAGCAGCACAAACAGGTTTAGTAAGGCGCGTACCTGCGCAAGATAGACGCGTCCCCGGCACTCCGTTTCGTCCACGATGTTTCCTCTTGCTGTTATACCCTCTACATATACTCGGGTTCCCTCATCTGTGTTTTTTTTTTGATTTATCACGCACATACGTGCACCACTCTCCTTTCCATCATTATCATCGAATAATTCTTCCTCTTCCCTCTCGTCACACTCTCTTCCCTCTTGCATTGTCTGTATTCTTCTCAGAATGTAAATCTGACGCTTGATGCTTTGATGTACTTCTCTGGCAGACAGGATTACTCTTGAACTGAGAGGTTGGGTATCGGCCGTATTTCCACCGATGGACTCAGACTGTCGTTAGAATTCCATTCTATATTATCTCAAATATCGAATAATGACTGAGAAATATTAACTAACATTGTGAGGTTAACGTTGACTCTAAACTTCTATAACCTATTTTGAATGGTGAAGCCTGCTACGCCGACAACTACATCAATCTTGATGCATTCACTGTACCATATCTTGCCAGCGCGCAACAAAGAATTCTTTCCGTTAGTGAGCAGCTGGTGGTGCGTCCTCAAGCTCAAGGCTGACGGGCGTGATTCGCCTAATATCACTGAGGTAAATTGCGAGAGCCCTCAAGCTATACGGTCAGTCCTTATTCTCAATATCCACAAAGATTTGTGCGCAATGAACATTGATACGGACTATTCAACACATGTGTGAGTACAGGAAAGGGAACATGTCGAGTCTCTTTGTTAGCAAGACTATAAGCTGGCCTATTTTATGGGAGAGTGAGCGCGAAGTAACACGAGCAGTGGCAATTCTTACCAGACTTATAGGCAACTAACCGAGAGTTATGGTTGCTAGTCCTCAGTGGTAGGCGGCGGAGTGAAGCCCCAAGCCTTTGCTTTGCTCTTCTCTTCATCGCTGGCAAGATTCTTATATGAAAGCAGTGGCGGTGAGCGAACCCAACGAGAAGGCTTAAAGCAGCTCACCAAATACACCCTTGAAAATAGATCAGGCGATATCACACTCGTAGGACAGTAATTTATCTCACTGTTGTTGAGGACATCCTTGATGGCCTTGACGTAGCAATCAAGGCAGTGACAGAGCTAAGTAAAACAATGTCTGGGTCAGGATGGTGGCTTGAAGGCAACTTAGAGGTGTCTTACCAGGTGAAACTCGTTTCCATCTGAATTGAAGCAGGCAGGGATGTCTAACAACTTTTGCCCCATCACCGCTGTCAACACGCATGGAGTCGCCTTTCCGACTGAGAGAGCGCACGGTACTGGTTGGCACTTTTTCTCTTTGAGACCGTTAAAAATATCCAGTCCAACTTACAGGTGTTGATCGTCAGCATAGTGGCGTAGCCTCAGAAGTCAGAGTGTTTCTCACATTCCGTTATAAGAGCTTTTTCCAAGTTGCCGCTGAAATTCCCATTGATGCTGCCGGCGCGCACCCCAGAGACCACCGTGGCGACAGCAATAAACACAGCTGAGAGGCGCATTGCAGGGAGGAAAACTTGCTGAAGGCTGAAGCGCTGAAGCGTTGGTACTTGGTCGGTCCCTTTATACATTTTTGGTGTAAACGTGGAGCATACCTTCAGTCGAATGAAGATCATCATGGGCATGAGTGCTTTGTTTGTCTTAGGTGTTAACCTGAGCCGAAGGTTCGATGACAACTGGATACTAGATAGGTGTGACAATTATCATGCGTTCAGAAGCTGCTTAAGTCCCAAGAGAGAGGTCGCAACGTTCATCAAATGTTCTACTCACAACATGCACATTCTCGAGTAACTTCAAGTCTCTATCAACTCAATAGATGCTGGCGGAGGCGCCACACATCATTCCCCGGACTTCCAAGCTGCGCAACAGAAGCAGGAAATGTGTTTCTCCACTTCTAGTCAAAGTGATTGTGTTACTTCTAGTCAAAGAAACACAATCCCAAGACTTGCGACGACATGAGATATAGAGTATAGTATCAGGCAGCTTTAAAGTTCCGGTGTGACTCGGAGGGGAAGAGGGTAACAGTCCAAGCGCCGAAGACATGGATGGTTTCCACACTCACGGAGTTGGTTCTAGTGAGTTTGGTACAATTTTATTTTGCGCGGCCTATTTTTTTACCATATAGAGCCAGTGGACATGCTACCTTGTTCGAGGTCTGGGAATAGGGCTGAGTCCACGATGCTCATGCTAATCTCACCCGCAATTGATAATATCGCAAATTGCAACTCGTCACTCGACATCAATGTGAGTGCACCCAAAGTCTTGCCCTTTTTAGTAGGCCAGGTCGTAGGGCAGGAATTTGTCTCAATGGCTATCGCTACCCAAGTACCCGGGCGAAACTGTTAGAGCGATCCCAAGCTACGCCGTTCTCGCTCGTCGCGCGTACGTTTCTCCTACCCGCTACGGATCGCCCATCGTTTCGCTTACTGACACCCAATCTAACTACCGTACTTCCTTCTAGGGACCGTAATCTTGTGTAGCTAGCTCAGTCAGTGCATTACTAATTAATATATGAGGAAGTAGTAACAGATACGCGTTTAGGTCTAAGATCTTCGTAGGACTTGTCTCTTAGGACAATCGTCCCACGATCAATAAAGTTTTCCCACATTCAGTATCTACCTTCAGAAAATTGACTTTTAACTTCATGATCAAGTTCAACATATGCTCTCGAGCTATCCTCGCCGCTACTTGCGTTAGGCACCCCTCCTTTATAAATTCCATTTGCTAGATCTTGAAAGTTGATTGATGACAGAATACAGGCCAAATGTGCACCGCCACCCGCACCAAGTACCGAAGGTCCAAATTCACTACTAGACTCGTAAAAGTTTCGCCCAAGACATTTGAATGGTCACTTCCTGGTCCACTCAAGCATCTAGAATCGTAGACCATTCACCAAGGTCGATCTCAGGCTCTAGCGGAGGGCCATAGGTACCCGCAGCTCGCCAGCCAAGGGGCGTCGGTGCCAGTCATGACATACCGTTTCAACTCGCAGGAGAATGTGCTCATAAACTGCAGAAGTTGGCGTTACTCTGATGTCCGGAGAGTGTTTCGCGACCCTGTCCTCCTCGAAAGCACAATTTCGCAAAGTTGTCGGTACGCGACTGGCCCATCAGCGAGGGCGTGCCCTCCTCGTGCCCCTTTCTTTGTGGATATATGAATTAACTCTGCGACAAAGGCTCAAGCTAAAGATGGCTCGCCGTGAAGTGGTCCATACACGAAGAAAGGTATAAAATCACCACCTTCGACGCGTCGAATGCTCTGCTCAGTTCGCCAATTACACCCCACTCACCTTCCAAGCGCATTCCCGCCCTCCGCTGCATTTGTATCCGTACGCGCGACTATCAACGTTCCCCTCTCACTTAGCAATTCGAGTGAGGAGCAAGGATGCCTCCCAGTCGCGGTGCCACTGAACGGCGCTCTCGCATCCGTTACGCGGCTTACTCGCAGGGTACTTCGCCGCCAGTACGCCTCCGCTCGCCAAGCAAACGCACCACCCCGCCTTCCACCCCTCAGAAAGGACGTAGATTTTTGCCCTCCGCCCCGCCCCAAGGCAAAGACCGCCACAGAATTGGAGTTTTGCATCCGCAGGCGGGTGTTTTACGAGCACCCCGGGCAGCGTCGCCTAGAAAGCGCTGCACTACCCAGCTTCACCATCAGCCCCTTCGTGGTAAATATCGACGCTCTGACATCACTCGTCCTGACGGCAAAATAACCCTGGATCATACTTTCAACCCATTCATTTCTCCTCGGACGAAGTTTATGTCACCTGCCCAGGTTTCGTCTCTGGCCGAAAGCAAGAACAGGAGACGAGGCGAGCCAAGCCGAAAGCCCGCTGATGTACATTCTCGCTTAAAGAAGACTTGTGAGAAGTTGAAGTCGCAGAAGGCAAACCCCTACCCGAGTCCCACCCTTCGTCGTTGAACGTTGACGTTGAACTCTTGCTCCTACCTGCCATGATTCCAGCCGAGCCTTGAGCAACCGATTATATCGTGTCGCACTCTCATATATTATCTCTTCCACATGTACTTGATATTCAATTGTTGATATATTGTCTGGCTTTTGGTAACAACCCATAGCGCCTCAGAAGGCGATGTTCAATGGTATCTGTAGGATGACGTGAGCGTAACCAAACCGAGAAAATCAGATGTACTCACGCCTTTCGTAGCAATGTCGTTGATTTCCCTCTGTAGATCCGCAGTGAAGGTACGCAGCTCCTCTGGACCCGTCTTCTGACAATGGGGACATCTAGAGCTCTCAATTATCTTTAGCGTAGGAGATACATCGAATATCTCCGGGGCTAGTGGGCTTTTGTGCTTGAAAACGTCCGCGATCTTGTCTATATGGTCAAACCACCACTTAGGACGTCGTAGATTGAAGCTGGCCGCCGCTGCAGATATGTGCGGTGGCGTGATAGTGCTGGGGAGGGCCGTGACGGAAGCAAGGGTAGCCCCAAATCTGACGCGGAATGAACGAGATGAGGTCTCGCATTGGCAGATAGAGAGCCCGTAAGCGCCTCCGTTCTGCAACCAACGGAAGTCGTCCTGCGACACGAGATCCCTGCACATAATGCGGCATTTCCTATGATACTGAAGGATGGCATCGTACTCCTGAGTGGACATGTCATCGATGTCTACGTCTTCTGCTAGAAGATCGTCCAATGACTTCCTCAACGCTTCCTTCGCCGCCAGACTAGCGACGTCTCCCAGCCGATACTTGCACGCCAACGTGTAAGCCTTCATCGGACCATCAGATATCGCCTTATCGAGTCCAGGGAAATCCCTCGTAAGCATCTGGCACGCAAACTCCATCTCGAATTTGCGAGCCACCGCAAAGGTCTCGCAGTAGGCCTGTAAATCCGTGACTCGGGGGCATACAGTGGGATAGCAGTAGCGCAGAAGCCGATCTAGAACATATGAGGTTTCGGCCATGTCTACGATGGGGATTTGAGGGTTTTGGAAGGTCGATTCCTGTGGTACTTTAGTGGGATCTGCGTTGCTCAGCTCTACATCATCAGCGTCAGGAATACGCTGGGGTAAGGTGAACATATCGTTGAATATGGGAGAAGCGAGCCTCAGGATCGCCTTGACGACGTGGAAATGAACACCATCGGCGGAACGCAGAATAACATCGGCCAACGAGGAGTCAAATGGTGGTGAAGCCGTTCTTACTTCCATTGTGGTGCAGGGGGCTTATAGGCGGGTATACTTGGCACCCGTTTCGAAATTCTACTGCAGGATTGCATTTGGTGCATCAAGACTTCTATCAGAACGAATCGAACATTGACGTACACAACAGCCAACAACCTGTGGAAATCGTTCGCTGATCTTCGTACTTGAAAGAGGAGAAAGTAGCGTGGCGCCTAATATGCAACGTGTTTATCGCGAGCGAAAGGTTAATCACTACAGTCTGTACGTACATACCCTATATGTCCACATTCACCTTTCCCGGAGCAAGGAAAATAAAAGCTCTCAGTTCGGAACGTGCTTGGAAAATAAAGGTATTATGCAGCAAGGTTCGCCTGATTTTCTAAGTACATTCTTGTGCTTCTACCCAGAGCCGGGGACCTATAACTATTTGATAACGACAGAGAAGAGAGAGCAGCAGAGCGCGAGGAGGATCCGTTTAACGAGACTCTATTCGTACTCATGCGAAGGCAGCCTCAGCCCCTCGGCCAACATCACTGAAGCCATAATTATCTCCCTTCACGAAAGCACGTGTACACTGTGCCATCGTCACAGATCTAAGCATCAAGGAAGTCCCGAGTCAGAAACTTTCCGAAGGGAACAAAAGGGAGGAGGCTGGGAACTCACGCTCTTGATATCGGATCTGTTTGGTAGAAGTTTTCAATGGGTTTCTGGAATGCCTCGCCCGTGATCTTGGCCCCAGTCGTCTTATTTGACAGCGACTTCAATCCAGCAAGCGCAACATCCACCGACGTCTTCTCCGTGATGTCGTACCTCACTAACGATGGCGATATCTCCCACATACGGTCGCGGAGAGCAAGGACATCGTCATACGGTAGCGGCGATTTAACGTATTCGGAGATGGCACTAAGATTATAATCGACCACGTAAGTTGAAATTTATTGAGACAAGCATCATGAGAACGAGAATCGTACCGGATGATCTTCCAATCTTCTCTGGAGGCACCAGGCGGGGGGACTGCGGCCCTCCCTAATTGTGACCGGCCTTCAGTGTTTACCCATGTTGTGCTCTTCTCTGTGTACGCAGCCCCAGGCAGACAGACATCAGCCAATTGGGCTCCTAGATCACCATGATGTCCCTGGTAGACTACGAACGCGTCTTGAGGGATCGACTTTGGATCGACTTCGTCCGCGTTGAGGAGATAGACGAACTTGGGCTTCGTTTGTGATGCCTTCTTTGAAGGAACAAAGCCAACCTCGTAGGCGGCAGGTCGTGACGCAATCTGATCAGCGAAGTAAGCGAAGGACGATGAGCAAAGAGGAAACGCAGGGAATAGAGAAAGAACGACGTACTCTCTGAAGCACGCTGAACCCATTCCATTCCGGAGTAACCAGCCGTGACTTGTTGGTCTCTACATACTTCGCAAGGGCATTGTAGACGGCAGGTCCGTCTTTATGTTCAGCCAACGCGCTTCCGACAATGATCAAAGGCTTCTTAGCGTTCTTGAACTTGGCGGCGAAAGGGCCCTTTCCTGCGACAAAGTCCGATACAGCCTTCGCGTCGGCGCCGAGGTAATCGTACCCATACGTGGTATCTGCTCTCTCGCCAATAAACCCAACCTCGAGACCAGTATGGATCCAGCTCTTTCTAATGCGGGAGTTCAAGACGGCGGCTTCATGCCGTGGATTTGAGCCGACCAAGAGAATGACATCGGCTTCCTCGACACCTGGGATGGTTGAGTTGAACAGGAAGTTCGAGCGGACGTCAACGCCGTGGACTGGCGCTGATGAACCGCCAACCTGGTCGAGGGCGAGGTTGTCGGAGCCGAGCTTGTTGATGAGGTCCTTGAGAGACACTAGCGACTCGGTGTCGGCAAGGTGACCTGCAATAGCCTGAATCTCGTCTCCCTTAGCGCCCGAGGCGGCCAGACCGTTGGAAACCGCCAATAGAGCTTCCTCCCACGTTGCTGGCACAAATCTGTCACCTTGCTTGATCAACGGGGTGGTCAGTCGCTGGAACCTCAGGCCATCGTAAGCATAACGTGTCTTGTCGCTGATCCACTCCTCATTGACATCGTCGTTTGTCCGCGGTTGTATACGCATTACTTGCACGCCACGAGAATCGACTCGGATATTTGACCCAACAGCGTCCATAACGTCGACGGATTCGGTGTTCTTCAGTTCCCATGGACGGGCATGGAAGGCGTATGGCTTGCTTGTCAAAGCACCGACAGGGCATAAATCGATAATGTTGCCGCTTAGTTCCGAGTCCATCGTCTTCTCCACGTACATCCCGATCTGCATGTCGTTCCCTCGCCCAGTCGTACCCAGCTCTTCCACACCTGCCACCTCGTTGGCGAAGCGCACACAGCGGGTACATTGGATACACCGGTTCATGCTTGTCTTAACCAGCGGGCCCAGGTCCTTGTTCTCGACGGCGCGCTTGCCAGTGATTTCGTGGAAGCGCGTTCGGTCAGAGCCGTAGCGCATTGATTGGTCTTGAAGGTCACATTCTCCTCCTTGGTCGCAGATAGGGCAATCGAGAGGATGATTTGCCAGCAGGAACTCCATAACACCCTCACTGTAAGAATAGAGGTCAGCAGTGACACGGAAGTTCGGAGGAAGTGGACACGCACCGAGCTTCATGAACCAACGGCGTATTCGTCCATACCTTCGACCCAGGCATCGCCGGCATCGCACTGTGGTGCGGTGAGTACATCCAGGCCACATAGAGTGATCGTCGGAGACGTACCATGATGCTACCGGCTTCGGAGAGCGCTCTACTTCCACGAGACACATTCTACAGCTCAATGAGAGATAGAAGACGTGATTTGAGTCGAGCAGCACGTACCGACAGTTACCTGCTATTGCAAGTCTCAACTGCCATGAGTTCTGGAATCCAAGGGCTTCGGCGGCGGGGAGACTTACCTGTCGTGGTAGCAGAACCTGGAGCGGGGTCAGCAAACGCCGACATGGGACCAGCCATAAGTGAGCACTCACCGAGGTATCGTAGAGCCAGCGGCCTCGCATGCTTGAATCAACGCCGAACCTAAGTCAGGACACCTGAGTCTCCCGTTCTCCGACTAGACGAACCCCAAGCAACAGAGCGTACCCTGCGGGACCGTGACTTCCTTCCCGTCCACCGTCAATGTTATGTCCGCTTGCCGTGACGACGTTGAGGATATGCTGCGAATATCTAAGGATCGTCGCCGTTGATGAGCTCTGGTCGTCAGGCCAGCATACGGAACGCACTTGTTTGTGAACCGACGACCTTCCCGATGAGTCCCGTTGAAGTTGGTCTTGGTACGACAGAGGCTATGCGCAGCATAATGACGGCGAATTTGGGGGACAAGCGTTACAGGGAATGGGGGCACTGAGCCCGCAGGAATAAAAGTGAAAAATCGGAAGTAGCTCGTCGCTGTGAACGATGGCCAACCACAATCCGCCGATTTCTGCTTTCACACGCGGCGGAGTTTGTAAAGCTCATCCGTAAGCGCTGGGTGATGGCGGCAGGCGCCGTCCTACTTAGCTAGGGGCTCAATGAAGGCTTGGGCTGTTACTTCCTACTTTAGTTCATACTTCAGCCTCTTTCCCACCGAAGTTGAACGATCGCTGTTCCTCTGAAGATTTATTATACGCTTAGGGGTACCCTTAACTCGTATTGCTCCGTTTGACAGTATTTAATTATTTTTGTTTTAGCCACGTCTTAGCTGGATCAATCGTGGACCACAATAAGCTTCGTTAAGCTCTTGGGGAAGGGGCGCCAGGAAACTCGCTACGTCCTAGCTTATATAGGATCAATGGGTACGAGGTATTGGCTTGAGCCAACTCAATCGTCTGCTTCTGCTTCTCCTCATGTTTGGTGTGCACCTACTATCGTGAACGGTGACATTACGTTGTATGATTGGGTTTGAGAAGCCGTCGCTGAAAATCGCTGAAAAAAGGAACGGAGAGGAGAACCCTCTATTTTTATGGCACAACATCAGCATCAAATTCATTTGCGTATTCGCTGGAAAGCTTCCACGGCCTCCATGCTCTCAAGGAGAATGTCCAACACCCCAAACACCGCGTTCGCCGTCCATGCTCTCCGCCTCTGTTTAAAAGCCCACTGGTTCAATAGAATTCTTACCAGCACCCCAGTCGAGAATGCCTCCTCACCGCAGTAAACACCAAAAGCACAGTCGTAGAGCCTACGTCGTTCGGGACCGATACCACCCGTATCCTCGTCCGGATTATACGAACAGCATCATGCGGGTACGTCCGTTATCTTTCCTAGAGTCTACCACCCACTCAACGCGTTGATTATGGAACAATAGGAAACGGCCAGCGAACAGTACAATGAACTCGTACGTTCAACTAACTCAAACATCCCGAAAGCATACGACCCTGCGCTGCCGGGACAATGTTTCCAACGCCAACTAACCCAGCCTTCGACAGGAGCCCCCGCTTCGTGAACGCAATGTCGAGCCGGAGCACGAGGTAGTTGTCGGCGAAAGGCGATGGGTGGGGATTGTCCTCAAACTTGTTGTTGCTTTGATGATCGTCGTGAGTCTCCATTGTTCATCTCGATCCTGGGGGAGTCTCACAGCATTGCCTCGAAACTAGCTCGCCTGTTGGGCCGTCAAAATGGCGCTGTCCACGGAATCGTCCAGCGACGGAGACGATCCTATTGCCGGCGAAGAGGCCTGATTGGTTTTACAACATCCGACCGCCTTGCGTGTCCAACGATGTGCTTTCCCTGTCGTTAATAAATCTGATGTGTCATTCAGGCGATCTCGATTGAGGGATAAGGACCTGAATGGAAGGCCGCTCATCTAAACGCTTAACTCAAAGATTCTAGCTCCCGCACTCTTACTACTCAGACCTCAAAGCCAAGACGAGAAGAATGAAAATGTAAGATTCGTCAGAAGTGTCCATGATATGTCAAACTATTTATGCCTCCAGAGTATTATATCAAAGTAATGTTCAAAGGATTTGGCGACCAACAATCCTCGAGCGCCCCACACGCTCTCGGCGGTCAAGATCCTTAGCAAGAGCCGCATCAGCTTCCTCAAGCGAAACATCGGGAATGGCTGTTTCCTCCGCTTGCACGACCTTCTTCTGAGTCCTCGAAATTGCGCGTGCGAACCCTGCTTTTCCCGCCTGTGCATTTGCGAAGGTGCGGCCGCTAGTGGCCCCAGCTTGGGTCGCAGATCCAGTGGCCCCAGCCCCGGAAACCGCAGCTCCTCCGTTTGCGCTACCTGAACCGGTAGTGATGCCACCATCCCCGGCGATAGCAGCGCCTCCGTTTCCGCTAGAGGCGACACCAGGGAGACCCGCAACGGCGGAGCCTGCTGTACCAGCGACGCCTCCTGCGGCCCCTCCTGCGGCCGTTCCAGAGAGACCTGCAGCAGCAGTGCCAGCGGCACCAGCAACAGCGTTCCCAGCAGCACCGGCGGCGGCTCCAGTTCCTGCGACAGCAGTGCCAGCGTTACCAAGCGCAGCACCTGCTGGAGCGGCGGCAGCGGCAACGCCATTGGCACCATTGGCAGCAACGACACCGGCACCGTTCGCGACGTTGGAACCAGCTGCGGCACCAGTTGCGGCAACGCCAGTGGCAGTCCCGGCAGCGGCGGCTGGAGCAACGTTCGCGCTGTCTGCAGTGGTGACTGAAAGATGGTGGGAGCGTCGTAGTCAGATGATGTTGGGTGCAAAACGACGAAGGGGGAGGCTTACCAGCAACACATCCTCCGAAAGGACCAGCAGTAGCGGCGTTGCGGCATCGAACGAGGCAGGCGTCGCCGTTAGGACCGCCGGTGCAAGTCATACCAGCAGGCATTTCTGAACATCGAGTAGTGGTAAGCAAGGGTACAGGGTAGTAGCATGTAATAAAGGGAAATAAGCTTACGGGCGACGAGTGGGAAATCCGTGGCTTTGGCGTTACTCCTGGAGTTCTTTCCGGGTACTTGGGTCGTGACGGTCATAGCGACAAAGTTTTGTCCAGTAGCATCAGCGGAAACCTGGCATGTGTACGGTCTGCCAAGATCCTATCAGATTGACCAAATGGGGCACGATGATATGATCCTTACCCCGCGCCATCACCGTTGACTTGGTGGAGTGTCATTTGGACGGAGCCGTCGGGAGCAGCAGTAGGTAGACCAGCGGTTGACGCCGCTGAAGGAACGACGAGTTTTAGTTGTCGTCGGGTTCAGCCACCGAGTTTCAGGCTTACCTGCAAGCATCGTCTGCACGTTGTTGACGCCTCCTCCGAGTGTTCGCCCGCAGACGTCAGCCTTGCCGCTGGATATTTCCTTGTCGCGGATAATGCTGGAGTCTTGTTGGAATGGATTGCGTCGGGAGCCGTCGCGGGGGGTGGTGGCAACGACACCGAAACCTGCACCAGTAACGCCGTTCGTGCCTGATACAGCTGTGATGACACCGTGTGCGGAGACGTGGAGGGCCGCTGCGAGGAGAGGGACGAGTTGGAAGATGACCTTCATGTCGAACGAAGTAAAGGCGATAAGATGATGATTAAAGATGGACGAGGGAAGATTTGGAGAAGGCACGGCCTAGTCGATGAAATTGAAAGGTTGAGGGGTTCGAAGATGAAAGTCAAATGGCAGATGCTCTGCACCGACGAAGAATAAGAAGGTAAAGGTGCTGAAGAGAGGAAGGTGGGGAGACTGAGCTGAAGAAACCTGGCTTTACGAAGGGGGATTTATAGTCCGTCTGTCTCCATACCAAACAAAAGCTATTCGTGGCGAGTAGCATACTAAAAATGCAACGGAGACCGTCAGTCTGATGGAAGAAGTGAAGAAGTAGAGACAATTCAGCGCGCCGCAAAACCTTATCACATGGCCGTTGGTATTTGCAATAAGCGTAGCGGCAAGTATGCAGCACGATGCTGTGGAGTGACATTTGAGGGCAGATGGTATCGAGGCTTCATTGGCGCCTCGAGTGACACGGATGCAATCACTCGCCTGGCCGCGTGAATTTCTCATGATCTCCATTTTTACTAGAGGCAGAAGTTCTTGATGTTGAGGTTAGCTCCGATGAATTAGATGTCACTGCGACACTGCCTTGAAAGCAAGTACGTGAGATAGTTGTAAACGTTTTTCAAAGGCCAATAAGGGCGAGGCGAAGAGCCTGCCCATGCTTTTTGTAATCTGACAGATCGAAGTCGGCTTCAACTACTTCCCCGCTCCTTCCTGAGACTGAAACAAAACACTGGACACGCACCATTTCTGAGCAAGTCGCCGCCGTTGTAATCGTAACCGAAGGGTTCTTTCATTGCTGATGCCACGATGAGATACAATGGTGGAAATGTCCTAACGTTGATCTGGTTGCTGGAATGGCCATGAGATTGATGTCCAAGCACAGGTTTCGACGATCATAACATCATGCAAAGCGGTATCGATTTCAGATACCGCAGTGCTATTGGCATGGGAGTAGTATCCGTCCCAGTCTGATCATTCCTAGTAGACGCTGGGCCAAGTTGTGTGATAATAATAGATCCAACATTCTCACAGTCAAAGCTTATTTCTCACAGTCAGCCAGTGAACCGTGCTCCCACGGCATTCAAAAACGGCTATCATCATCGCGACAACGGGGAGCGGGTGCTATCGTTCTATAGATACTAAGTAATTCTACCACCTTCTGCTCAGGTATGAGACGGAATACACCTGACCCTCGTCGCGGCGGCAACCGATGTCGCGGGTGCTATTCATGTCCAAAGGAATCCTCTATTTCGCTGTAGATTTCCAAGCGGCGAGCACCCGGAATTGCAAGCGGTGAATACCCTTCCAGAGTGGTCTCGGACGCTCCAACCTATTTGGTATACTACGGATTGGCGAAGCCGATTGTATGAAGGGGAGCACGAGTGAGTACTATTCGAACATAATTTTACATACCCAGCAACGCTACCATGGCGTCAGATAGCCCCATACCTTGCACTCGCGCGTGCAGCTTTCAGAGTCAAACCCCCCTGCACTTCGAGTGCTTGCCGAAACCATGAATTACTCCGCATTTCTTAGACCAGGCGCCGCTTGCAAGATGAAGGTGCGCGGGCCTGGTTATCAGTCTTTCTTCACATTCCTTCTCCAACTTAGACACGAGGTCAAATTCTAGGTCTGATCGCTTGATTAGAGGTGGAGTCCTTGGAGTTGGACCGTCGCCGCGTTCGGGATGGCGAAGGGATGGCGTTCTCTTTGCATGATCTAGTCTCTCAGGGGGCATCGCACGACACACTTTGGGAAACAATGCCCATGGCGCAAGACACGAGGAGTTAGTTGGACGGAGACCGAAGCTATGTAGGTCGACGACGGTGCTCGTCTTCCCTACACTCCTGTTCGTGCTTTGTGCACGCGAGCCAGAAGAGGCCACGGGCTGACACAGCATGAAGTCACGAGTATCGACGGCTATCTCTCCTCGACGCGACACGTAGGTAGATCCCTGTTTCTCCTCTCGTGCCGCCGATTAACCAACCTTGCAAATGTCATAGGTCATAGGCCGTAGTATCGCCGTCCTTGCTAGTCCCATAGCGTCTTTCCTTTCGATTACCTCGAAGCATTCGACCCGATTTTCATGCTCGTGCTTGGGGGATCATATCCCTTACGAATCTGCCGGATCGTCCTCCCGCTGGCCCGCAACCGTTCCCATCGTTATTTGTGTAGGCTAGTCCATTTGCAGCGAGAAGAGTTAGCTAGGTTGAACCAGTAGGTGCTGATCGCCTCTGGGGCTCCTAGTTTTGCTTCGCTCGCGTCGATGGGCCTTCACGTGCATTTCCCTGAGGAATGATAGACTCACAAGTATCGAATACTAGGTCTGTTCGACGCATCATGGGCCCTCAATCAAGTCTAAAGGAACCAGGGCTGGTTACCCCGCTCGAAGTCAGCGGTGATGTCTCGCGGACTAGATTTTCGCTGAGTATAGTGCGGGTGTCGTTCAATTACTATGAGAAGGACAATACAATTGCAATTTGATACATGAACGATGGGTACTGATGGATCTAGCTACAAGAGAGGACTGTTACATACATGAAGGATTGTGCAGTGAGTGTACAATGCGATAGTGATGAACCGAGAAGATGCGAAAGAAAGAGAAGACAAGGAGAGTGAAGTATATGCAGTATGCATAAGGGAGGAATACAAGAGAAGAAAGGATCGAGAATAGTAAAAGAGTGTAGTGGGTATAAGTACGCGAGAAACTGAGGCAAACGGGAATAAATATGAGGAGTCATGATGAAGACGCGGAAAGGCTGGAGAAAGAAAAGGCACGGACTAGCGTGTTCTAGGTGGTATTTAATCAAACGACAACTTCGTCCTTAAGCTCGTCCCTTTTCCCTGGGGGCTTCCATAATCATAATGGAGTCGAACCTCTTCAGCGCGGTTTTACACTTCGGTTCCGGGCGCAGAGTCTTTTTGAGGACTTTCTTGCCATCGGGGCTCGTGATGTCAGAAGGAGTGTAGTCTTTCCCTCGGAGGCCTTCTACGGGCGGCGCAGGAGCAGGGAACGGCCGGTTGGCGAGCTCGAGGCGCATGGACTGAATGGTCCTACGAGTGCGGGAGGGAGAGCCCTGGACGCCTTCCACAGCGGCGCCGCGGCCGTGGCTTTTGGGGATGAACAGGGCAGCGGCGCCGCGGGACGGGGATGCGTTGGTCTTGGAGCGAGCCTGCGCAGAAGACTTGGGCTTGGTCGGGGTCGCTTGTTCTTTGGTGGGCGTTCGTGTCTCTGGCAATGGGCGGCGCGCCGGATACGGGGCGGGAGGCGGGCGGGAGGGCAGAGACTTTGTCGTGTCGCGGGGCATTTTGATTACCGGTAGAAGATTGTACAAGTGTAAATGTAAATGTGCGCTGTTGGGGTCGATGACGAGATGCCGGGCGAAGCGTCCGACTGGTGGGGGTTTGGGATAAAAGAATGCAGTCCTGGAACGCAATTTATATGTCTCAGGCAAGTATCATGAATGGCCACACTGCAACGTGGGCAGGATTCGGTGCGTGCCATTCGTGTCCAGAGAATAGCCACGGCCACAATGACAATGGTGCCACACATGGGTATGCTATTCCACTCTGCGCGGGGTCAACGCGCGGAGCGTTCAACGAGCATTATGCATCACGATGGTGGATGCTTCCCGTAGTCTCGTCTGGTCCAGAGGATTTAAGCCTCGGAATATGAAGGGATCCCGATATGCGATTTGGGAGAGGTCTTGCCACGGTAGCGAGACGCAAACAATGGGTGGCCGAATTGAGTTGCAAGGCAAAATAGGAGTAGTCAATCGAAGCCAGGGGGTGGACTGTGGCAATGATAATAGCTGCGGCATGAGGGTCTAGGTCGAAGTACGGGTTGGGGAGGTGTGTCCAGTTATTCAAAACGAGTCCTTTGAAGTCGGTAACGGCAGTTTAAGGGTCCAATTGGATAGAAGTCGCGGCTTGATAGAAACCATTTTGAATTAGGCGGCTGGCGTGTTTATCCCCAGACTTACACTCGTTGGACCAGATAGGTACGAATGCAAGTTCTTGGGTCGCCTGTCTTGAGGTGACAAGTTCGTTGAATTGAGACCGCCCGATGACTCGACCGTCCGAAGAATCGATAAAGCAGTGTATCTCGCTCGTAGGATGACCAGTGACTCATCGAAAGAATATTTCCACGCCCTAAGGGAGCCTCGTAAGGATCCATCATTCCTTCTCAAGAAAGAGCTCAATTGTCCTTATGCTTATAAGTGGCGCATGAGCTGAGCGGGACGGGCAACGTGCAGCCGTGACCGAAGTTGATGAGAACATGGCGAAGTTCTACTTGAGCGACTGATGGGATGTCTTTTGAGACGTCGGCGCTGAGTTTCGAGACTCGATACGACGTCCTCAGGAAGTGCTCGTATCTCCTTCCACCAAACATGCCTACACGAATCGCGTCAATAACTGTGTCTTAACCTCGAAAACGCGGGACTCACTCTCTTAGTTTGCGCAAGTGAGCTATAGACATGAACGAAACGCGGCAAGCGTCTAGACGTCTAAGTCTCGCCGGATCGTACTGATTATGTTCTCAATATTAGCGTCCCCACTCCCCTCCTCCATATCGGCACAATCAGCGTAAATTTGAGTCCATCATGGTAACGTCGAATTTCGTCCAAGGATCGTTTCAGAGATTCGGAATACATGAAGCAACGAGTCTTCATCATGTCGCCACCGAAAAGGGAGGGAAAGTACGGGTTGCCTTGAACAAGCTCAAGATTTCTACTCAAGAATGCAGCGGACTTGATGATTAGCATGAGGTCGTCTTTCAAGGGGTCGAATACACCCGGTTCGTTGACAATATATCCGATAGGAAACAGAGCGCGTTGAACATCCACCGCGAGCGCAACGAAGCTCTTGAATGGCTCAGAGGTTGGAAGGGATATGGACTCGGTTGTCAGTGACGGATCAACCGTACAGCGCCCGCCTCGTGAGGATTCTATTGTGACGATTTGCGGGTTGTGGTACGTATTGATGACTTGATTACCAGCGATGTCGTTGAATGCGCCGTTCTGAACGTCGAAGTTGCTGGCCCGGTAGAACATCTTGCCCGTAGGAGTAGGTGCGTGCATACGTGGTTAATAAGCTCAACGACGACCCAACGACCCAGCGACGAGCGCTCCGTAGCCGTTGGTATGGGGATTGCTAATTTTAGACATAGACAGATCTCGGATGTCAACATCTTTGGGACGTCCACCGATCGATGATATTGGTGGGGTACGTCCCATCCTTGATCACGTAAATGAACCACGGAATTACTGTTCAAGTAGTTGAACATGAGCTTGGAATGCGATGAAGGGGTTGCTCGGTCCAAGTAGTCAGCGAAGAAGGCGTAGTTGTCGGCGTTATGCCCAGCATCTGCGGGGGCGGTTGGTTGCCAAACCCCTGAAGAAGCTCTCACCGTAGTCTTCATGGTTCGTCCCAATAAAAGCGGCATTTGTAGCATCGATGTAGTGAAAGTGGGTCGCCTCGTGGGGTATAGTACGTCCCTGACGATGGCAAAGTAGCGCTAACATTGATTGCATCGTTCCTATGAATCGCGTGGCGTAACCAGAAGCCGTTGCAGATCTCGAGTTGCGCGATGTTCAACACACAAGTCTAGGGGTAGAGGAAACTGGAACCGGTACTTACTCGGCTGAGTGCGAGGCGGCGTTGGTTGCAAGTTGTGACAACGCCCCGCATTTTCCTGGTGCCAACCACGAATCGAGTGGGTACGAGTCCACATGGAGGAAGCGATACTGTCGTGTAACGTGCATAATCGTATACGCCAAACCAGGTAGTATAGAGCGCAAGGTCAGCGTTCGCTGGTGGGTTGGGCCCCAAATATTGGAAGTAACTAGAGCGCGTATTACCAACGGGGTAGTGGAGGAGGGCAAGGACGCAGACGAGTGTGCGGGTCTTTGCTGGAATCTCGTTGCCACATATTGATAGCGCGTTGCAGCGTTGCCTGCTGAGTGGTATCGCAGCCAGGCAAGTTTGCATCGGCATTGTGAGCGAGCGAGCGACAATGACGCCTTAACCTCAACATCACGACCTTGATAGACCACACTGTCGGCGAATAGTCCAGGCGTACAATGGAGCACGCTGACGAACATTGGCCGCAGCAGTCGGATGTCCAAGCGCCGCAAGCTTACCATGGCAAATACGAGAACAGTTGTCATCTTTGAGAACATCTTGTATTAGATGCGGGCGATACGTGGACAACGAATGAAACCACAACTCACGTTACTTTTACACCTCTCGTCCTCAGCATCGAGAAATCGATCACGATTCACATCGTATGCTTGACTGATAGACTGGTGCAGCGGGAGATAAACCCGCTTCCATTCACTTGGTTCTAGAGCGCAAGAAGTGCGAGAATGCACGGAGTCGATGTGACGGCCAGGGCCTGCGGTACCAGTCGAGCGAATTGCCAGCATGGCCTCCAGTTTGCGGTGGCGCGAAACATCTCCCCTCAGTGGAGTCAAGTGACAGAGGTTCGCCTGAACCTTTCCTTCTTCGCTACGGTGACAGCGAGAGGCAAATTGCCGCCAGTCAAGAAATAAGCGCTCGCTATCTTATCTTATCAAGTCACTTGATTTTCACCTCCGTGAACCTCCGAAACACCGTCCCTCCTGTACTTCGACGGTACATTCTTGTTCCTGCCATTCCTCCAGACTAAGTGGAGTTCTTGAATTGTATTGGAGAATATATATCTCCCAGGTGAGCGTTTTCGAATCTGCCCCCCGTGAATACTTTGCTGGCATTGATTCGTCCTCCCAAACCATTCTAGGATAGTCGGAGACCACTCTACATGGTTCGAGTCTCTGTCGAGCATAGGAAGTCGCGTCTTCTCCCCTGAATGTTATCAAACATACGGCTTCCCTTCATCAACGGAAGAGTTACACAAACTATGGGTAGTGCCATTCACTACGTCAAGACTCCTCATCGCCCAAGGATTGCTCCTGCGAGTAAAGGCCCACCAACGGGTGTCGCGGTTTTCATAAAGCGCCGCGACGGGATTGTATAAAAGTGTCGGTGGGTCTCTTCTGTCTCCAGTGCTTCATCGTTTCAATCGCTTACAAACATGTTCAGCAAATCTGCTCTCCTCACCATATTGACCATCTCTGCGAATTGCCTCGCTGCTCTAGCACAGCCCGCTGGCGCAGCGTTGTCCGGTACGCCCACGACATCAATATACCTAGCTATTTGCTACCATCTGACGCAACGATCATCAGAACGCAACGCTGATGCACCCAACAATGCGCTCGCCAACTTTCCCGGCTGCGATGCTAAGCAAACAGAGACGCTCCGACGCGCTATCCCTGTAGCCCAGCGTTACCAAACCGAAGCTTGGGAGTACGTCTGGGATTCCATTCCCGTTGGTATATCTCACTCATACACCCACATCGCCGTCGTTGTCAGATATTTCCGCAAGCGAGGCCGCAATCCTCCAGCGCCAAACACCGATATGAAGAGCTACACGATATGGTTCGGCGCGTACTCTCCTGCGCGCTACACGATTGTGTACGACCGATTCGAGCGACTCAGTGCATACCCACTCGATCAGTGGTCGTTTCAATGCATGGATAGCACAGATCCGGACTGCGGTGGTATGATCGACCAATACTGGACGAATGCCTACAGCTTGCCAATGGGGTGATCTCTCTTGCACAATCCCTTTACATACTGCTCAACGTATTGATTTAATCGTCCTGTAGACTGGACCCGCACACCAGAATTGCAACCATCAGAATATGTAAAGGTTTCTTCAACTTGCTGCGAAGCGATGATGATAATGTGAGTCTCCCATAAAACGCTGTGCCTTTGAGGGCCCGCATCTCATGTGTTCTTTAAGGGCCAGTCAATCATTCACGAAGCGTCCCATTTCCACTTGAACGGCGTAGCAGGGACGAATAACGGTAGAGTTGAAGAGGACTATGGGACGACTGGGTGCTTGGCGCTGGCGAAGGCTCACCCTGATCAAGCCGTCGATAACGCGGATAATTATGGCTACTTTGCGCAATACCCCGACGGATGTGGTAAATGCTACATCCAGTAGCAAGTTCCTACTTCAGTAATGCCACCATGAATCGATTCCATGATTGCCCACGGACATTCGAGCGAGTTGGTGGGCTGCCGTATCGGAGGTAGCTTCGTAATACTGATCACCTCTTTTTCCCTCGTCAGTTTCACCAGTGACTGCCCTCTGCAATTCTGCAACGTATCTGCGTTGTATTTGCCTCCAATCATTTCGTGCGGTGAAAAGGCCTTTAGCGCTTCAGCTTAGGTCTTCACAGTTGGTAGCCACTATTTTCTGGATTGAGAGCAGATATCGAGCTTCCTAGATAGATTCCTGAGTTCAGACCAACTTCTGGTTTGCGTGGCAAGCGCCCGTCGCACCACAGTCTGAGTTTGTACACCAGAAGTCTTTGCGCCGTCTCTCCACCCAATCTCGACACTGTGTCTTTCATATGCATTGGATGACATCGCCACGAAGAGGAGATACCGTTGGTCCATACTCGAAAGCTTGGTTTTGTAAACGGTAAGCAGGGTCAGTCAGGCTCATCTCTGGAATATATATGCACTAATTCTTCCTGTTCAGAAACTACTAATCATCTGCGCACCGCGAGGTCCGACGACCGTCGATTCCACCGGCATAATCTCAGTTAAATTTATCCATGAGATAATCTATGTACGTGTCCGTCGTTCGCGATGTTTGTTACGTATAGCAAATTTTCACTGAAAATCCTCTGGGATACAGCGAGCGTGTTGAAACTCAAGCTCAAGTCTCGACACGGTGCCGATAATCGTTGTCTTCAGGAATTACGATGATACTCTACCGGTGAGGCATTCTTGCTGTCGTGTACAAGTTTAGACGATAGACACAGCATGAAAAGGAACCGGATCCCTCAAGCATCTTTGGGAAACTCACCGATCAATGATATTCGTCTCATCCTAGAACCGCAATCTGAACCATGGAATTACTATTCAAGTAGTGGAAGATCGCTCCGCCCAGGTAGTCAGTGAAGAAGGCGTAGTTGTCGGCGTTATGCCCAAGATCTGCAGGTTGCCAAACCCCTGCAGAAGCTCTCACCATAGTCTTCATCAAGTTCATGGTTCCTCCCCATGATAACGGTATTTGTAGCGTCAATGTAGTGAAAGTGGGTCGCCTCGTGGAAAATAGTACGTCCCCGACGATGGCAAAGGTAAGCACCTACGAGGGGAGCAAGGGGTGGCGCCAACATTGATTGTATTGTTCTTACGAATCGCGTGGCGTACCCAGAAGCCCTTGCAGATCTCAACTGGCGCAATGTTGGTATCATCATATGATCCAGACTATGTGATGATCCGCAGTTAACGTCCGCAAGTCTGTGAAACTGGAATCGGTACTTACTTGGCTGTTTGCGAGGTTGACTCAACCTCAAAGATTCAACGCGTCTGCGCGTTATTTCCTTTGTTTGTCAGGGGTGCCCAGCAATTCCTGACGCCCGATGCTTCAACGAAACCCAAGCCTCAGGATCGCCATGTCTGCATCGTTGTCGACCGCGGTTCACCCGCCCCTTGCATTTTGAGCGCGTTAGAATTCCAATAACGCAGCAGCTGTCACAGGTGAGCTCGATCTGATAAGACGTCGAGGAGGCTTGACCGTTTCTCTCGTGCTTGCGAGGAAGGTGGATGCTGCTGGGCACGGAGACTAAATGGATCTGCGAGGTACGATGCGACTTGGAAGGGTGGTGTTGAATCAGAATCCATGGTGAACGCAGAAAGTTCATGCGCGACTCGTTGCCGCCACCCGGCGCCGTGGGCAATCCGACACTCGACCTCTCAGTCTTCTGCCGCATGCCCATTTCCTCAAGCTAGTGTACGCAGGTACGGGATGCAGCGACAGGTCGCATATGTGCCGCCTTTACCACCTTCCTCTAGGAGACGCATTCCTAGAGGCGAAACCCGCAGGTCAACGTTGGATGTCGCCTGTATCGAGGGCTCTGAGGTGGGTAACCCTTGCGCCTCACGATGGCCCCAGTGCAACAGTCTGTACTTCCTGGAGCGACATGGGAAGCACTTTCAGAATCGACGTTATCGATCAATTCATCTGCCTCCTCTGCACACCACCACGCTGCGTGGTACGTCCTTCGCGTTGTTGCGCAGGGAGTATACGTATTGATGTTTCGAGGAGTGGTAGCGCGTCCTACACACAGGCAGATCGGAGACTTGAGTGTATATGGGGTGGGTAAGATAGCACCTTGTATGTTCTCAGTCAGCCATGCGCTAGGACGACGATAACAATTGAACAGTATTGGACCTCAGAGGTCGCACAGCCAGGTGTCCTCCCACTTCACCTTCTTCTCCGTCCAGCCCTCCTCTGTTTGCATCAGCCTCTCCGCCTCCTCCTGCGACACAATTGCCAGCCGATCGCCCGCCCACTCCCCCTCCAGTGTATACCTCTTCTCGTCCGGTTCACCATCCCCATCCTCCCCCGCCCAGATCGTCAGCACCGCAAGCGCAATCTCAATCGTCATTTCCCCGCGCCCGCCCTCCTCCCTGCCCCGCGCCCACACAAACTCACGCTTCGTAGCATTGACGAGCACGGCCTCGCGCAGCTCGTCGTCACGCGGACTCCTCAGCTCGCGATCAGCGACGCGCCAAAGCGTATCCTCAAGCCCCCGGATGCGGCGCTGGTCCACGGGGGAGGTGTGTGCCCTGCGCACGAGTTTGGCGGAGAGCGAAGGGTAGGAGCTGCTCGAGTTCAGTTCGTACCGCAACATCCCGCTCGCGTACGCAGCCAGGTGGAAGCTCTGGTCCTCGTATCCCGCGACCTCGTGCTTGCGCTCCTCGCGCTCCTCTGCGGTCTCGGTCTCCGTGCGTTCAGGGAGGGCGTCGAGCGGCGCGCCCATGCCTATATCGAGGGTGTCCTTGTGCGCAATCCGCCAGCGCATGAGCCGGTGCTTCTCCGCGTCTGAGAGGAACCCATGCGGGAGCGTGCACGCCCAGTCGCCAAAGCAGATGATGCGGTCGTACGCCCAGCTAGTGCGCGGCTTGACAGACTGGATGCGTGCGCGGATGCTCGCGTATCCGATGACGAAGAGGTGTGCGTGGGTGGCGCCGAGCATCGCTGCGCCGTCGAAGTCTGAGAGATTGAAGATATATACGAGGAGCTCGGTGGGTAGCGTGCCTAGGCGGCCGAGGGCGGGCTTGTTAAACGATGCTGCTGCAGCGAGATTATGTCCGCTGTAAAAACAGCAATTGCCTATCGTTAGACATACACTCCGCTGTGAGAAAGCAGACCTTACGGGAAGATGCTGGAGAACACGGTGTCGAGCGCGGGGAATGGGCGCGGCAGCATGAGATTCTTGATGACTCCGAAGCCTGTAAACCCGGGGAAGTTGCCCAGCGTCCGGATCTGGCGCTTGTCGAAGTTTATGCTGCGATTGGTACGCGTGTGATGAGCAGGATACATGGAGAAGTCAGTGTATGTTTTTCGGGGACGTACAACTTGAAGTACTGCCCCATCGTTCGAGCGTAATGAAGGTCGTAGTTAGGGAAAACGAGGCCGGCTGCAAATACTGTGAGTCAGACCTCAAAACAGTTCCTGACGATGCTTGACTTATTATGCAGTCACGTGACGCAGGGGTGCCAATTCCAAGACAGACAACGTCACAACGATATGTTCTGATAGTACATGAGTGCCCAACACTGCTGATATTTGCTCCTTTCTTGTTTCTCTGTTCGTCGATCCATGTTCGCCCTCACGACTTTCGTATGTCGATCAAATACAAGGGTGTATGTGTACAGAGCACAGTAGCTAGCTAACAAGCATTTAGAATCAATAACAGTACAAGGTAGATTTCTTTTCTCATTTCTGACCCCTCAAAAGCGTTGAGATCGTCACTTCCAGTACCAATCAATATCATTCGTTGTGATACCCATGCTCTCCAATTTCTCCGAGATGCGGGCAAGGCATTTGCCTCCCGTAGGCTTGTCATACTCGCCCGAATCGTTCTTCATCAAGACGACACTCTCTATATGGCCTGCCTGCGACACCCGAAATTCGCCTGCGCAAATCGCATCCTTGCTCCTTTCGACTTGACTATGTCTGACATAGTCATCCCTGTGGTCGTGTTTCCAGAGCCGGTAGACGATGCTACCATTGGGTGTGTATACGTAAGTGTAGCTGTTCCCCTTCGTGTTCGCTGCGAGATACATTGCTTGCTTGTGTTTTAGGTCTTCACCGATCAGGTGCCCATCCTCAAAGCCAATGAGAATACCAGCACCGTCGATTGCCAAAGGATCGTCCTATATGTAACCATGAGTCTCTACCGCGATTACTCGGCGATTAGTACTTACAATTAAGTAGGGCAACCAGCCCAACGTGTAGGTATTCGCATCTACGTCGATCGGCTTGGAGCTAGGCGGTGTGACGGAAAGACGTGCGCCGTTGTACCACCCTCTGCTATCTCCAAAGTCACAGCAAAGTTCTTCGATAGCATCCAGTCCAGATGGCTGGTAGTAAACTCGGATTCAATACTTCGACGCGGTAGATGATAGTCTCGAGTATGGTGCGGCTTTGACAGGCCGCGTAGAAATAGACCCAATGAGCGGATTCTGACTCTTCGCATTCTTCTGTCCAACTACGTGAGATCGGCGGCTAAGAACCTTGGCATGCTTGCTCATCGTGCTGGGGACTTTTTCTGACGTCTCAACTACCTAGAGTTTCGTCTGAAATCAAAGAAAGAACTTACTGTATGGAAGTATGCAAGGACAACCCGAGGCCTCTGCGTGTACCATATATCACATGCCCGAAGTTTGCTGATGTCCAATGACCTATCATGAGGGACAGCAATGGAGAGGCGTGCTGGAAAATGGTACTTGCCGCTATCTGAGTTGTTGGATGTGAATGGCTGTGAAATCTCCACAGAAGGTATGTCGCAAGGGCGTATACGACGTCCTAGTCTACAACCAAGCTTTTCCCCAGTCATGCTGGCCACCCGAGATCTGTGACAGAGTGTCACGGAGATCCTACTTCAACGCGTCGACTGTCAAGATTCAGCACGCCTCTCCTCCGCCATAGCGTCCTCAAGGATCGAGTATCATGATTCGATGTGCGGCGACGACTCAATGTCACTATCAGAACGAGTAAGGTGGGTCTGCGGGGAAGCCGCGTCAACCTAAGGAACTGCGAGTGTCAGACTGTCCCCTGACTGAACTGCTCCTTCAACCACCATTAGCCATGGAACCTGCCACCTATCCAGAACTGCCGCCGGAGATCTGGTGCAATACTGTCAGGTGATACATGGCCGACCAGGGCACCAACAATATCCTGTTCATCCGGGACGTAAACCGGCTGTTCTACGACGTCGCGATGGACCATCGGTTCGAGAGGCTGGATCTCCGGGATCTGAACGCAGGCGGCGCATTTGAGCTCCAGCGCATCCGGTATGTCTTCGTGTACGATCAGTGTCAGATCTGCACTCACGATCTACGCGTTTTCCTCGCGTTCCTCCTCCCTCAGAGATCCGTGGCTGACGAAGCGACTGAAATGGATATCCCTCTCAACGTGGACTCTTGCGCAGATACTCACGGAGGAGTGCTATCGCTCGGAAACACTCAGGAACGCGGCTAAAACGAACGTGCGCGCTCGCCGCTGGTTTGTGAGGGAGTGGGTGTTCAGGTTCTAATTTTTCATCGCCACTGCTGATTCATGATTGATAGCTGGCGGTCCTCATATTACTATCCCGATGTAGGTCTAATCGTGCTCGATCTGTGGTCTGGAGATGTCGGAAAGCACGACGACTAGACTAAGCACAATTGTATATTAGGAGTAAAGGGGGGGACAAGGCCACATCGGGAGAGAGAAGAGTAATGCCGTCTAAGTACCTCTTACCATTCTGAAGCTAGTGATTTATGATGACCTACGTATTCCCCAATTTTAAGAATACGATGCCCTCGCCTATCAAGCGGGATAAATATACATAATTCGGTATGTATCACACACAAAATATACAAGTACACAGGAGGTGGACATGGTGAAAGACGAGGCGGTGCGACAGGATACTGTGAAATGTATAACAAAACAATCAAGAGCATAGACCTTCGGAGATGCATTAGGCTTCTGCATCACTATCAGTATCGAGTGTCTGCGGATCTGAAGTTGGTGAGAGACGAAGAAGGTTTGTGGAAAGCGACGCTGGCGTGGAAGGAAGGCTTTTCGTGAATGTATCCGCATCTGGCGAGTATTCGAGGGGAAGCTGGCATCCCGGAAGGAAGCGTGGCGATAGCGGGAGGCTCTGAGGGACTTCCTTGTATGATGCTGTGTCCTTCTCGTACGACTCGGTGCCCTGCCTCGTTATCCGGCGCCCCTTGAAGCGTGGCGATGGCGGGAGGCTCTGAGGGACTACCTTGTATGAATCTGTGCCCTGCATTGTGATTCGGCGTCCTATGCATAGAAGAATGGTCAGAGAGAGTCACTAAATGAAAAGTAGTAGCTCGTACTCTTTGCTTGGGATTCCTCCTTCGGTCCAAGCTGGTTCGACTGTCGCTTCAGCCTGAGCGAGCCCGCGGCGACGAGCTGTCCATTGACGCTGGGTTTATGTGATACCTGAGGCATTATTTGATTGTCCGGGATTCCTGTTGGCCGGATTCGCCCTATATCAAATTGGACGTCCTTGTTCTGCGTCTTCCAGAGGTCGATGTATTGGAGGATGATCCGCTGCATCGCTTCGTGAAGGTGGAGGGGGGGAGGTGCCGGCTCAATGAGGCCCCACTCTGGGCTGATTTGATCTGCCAGATCCAGGAGAAAGTCTTCAACGTGAGCGAGCTCTGGGTGCAGCCACCCGTCCCATCTTGGCCTGCGGAGTAAACCCAACCTACTATCTCCCGAATCGTGAGGTCCACCGATCTCGTGATTGGCGATGCATTTCCATGCGCAGGTGAGTCCGAACTCGTCGGGATCATCGAGCGCCAGGGGGTCTTCTGGCGCGCTGTCCAATGGGACAGCAAGGAGCAAGAACACTACAATGCACCAGAAAACCGACTCTGCATCATGCCGAGGACGGTGCTCAAACTGCGTTTTACACAGCTTGCGGTTTTTCTTGTGCTTCCTTTCCATTTCCTTGGTATAAACACCGCCATGACGAGTGGGGCCATCGTCACAGAATGTCCGCAAGCCAGAGCGATCGTTGGAGTACACCTGGGCGTATCGATCGGCAAGATGAATTGGCAACTCTGGCATACTGGGGAACTTGATGTCAGCCACAAGCAGACAGCCAAGTGCAGGCGAACGAGCGATGAACCTCGGTGTTCCCTGCATGTCGAGTTAGTCAGGAGCCTCCCGATGCCCTCCGTGGAAGAACTCACGGTACGATAACGCAAGGGTTCATCGATGGTGTCTCTCCTTGCGACGAATGAAGGTGATACCGACGCCTTTCGATCCAGCTCCGCTGCATTGTCCAGGTCTCCAAGACGAGCCATGGGATCGGCGTTTGCTTGCCTGAATTCGTCGGGAAGACATTAACAAGCAGGACAGCCAATGGTGACAAACGTACTTCTCAATTATCTCGTTGACGAAGATCGGGCGATATTCAGTCCCCTTGAATTCCTCCTCATCTTCGCCCTTGAAGTCTTCCGCCTGAACGAAGATGTTGCCGTGACTGATATCGCGATGGATGATATTGCGCTCCATCACCGCCCAGCGGTGAGCTGTACGTCGTTTAGCACGCGAGAAATAGCCCAATATGAATATAGCTCACCTTCGAGGATGTCGTACATGCATTTGAGGAAATCAACGAGACTGGGGCATTTTCGCAGGGATTCTCCCCAGGTATGCATGATCAGTCGAGTCTTGATGCGCGTGGTGCTGTCGACCGTCACCGTGATGGGACAACCGCGCTTCCATTGAACTTCGTATTCTTTCTTGACGCGCAAGAATCCAGGGGCGGGGCCTTCCTTGTGGAGGATGTCGTACAGCTCGCCTTCCCTAAAGCTGGAACGAACATCGCGATACGAGTCCTTGATCGTAATCGGCGTATCGCCAACTTTCGCTACCCAAGTCATCCGGTGCCACGGGTCTCCAACGACTCTGACAACACAGTTCTCGTACACTTTGTCGCCATCGCGTATATTCCAAGCGGGAGGCCCGAGGACATCGCCAGTATCAGCCAGAGTCACGCTCGGGTCTCGGGTTGCGAAGTCTGGGTGCGGAACGTAGAGCGTGTAGACATACGAGACCAGCGGAACGAGGTCAGACCAAGGGAATTCCTCGGACGTGTGGAGGCCCGCAGGGCAGCTGTACTGAATGGCGTAGCCAACGGGTGAGATAGCAACCCCGTACATCCCAACCAAGTCGGGGCGAGCCTGGTTCGCGGACGCCAAATAGGGTACAGATTGACGTGGTGCGTCCTTCCTGTCGGCCTTGCCTTTTTCTTCGATGATAGTTAGTATATGGTGCCAGGGAATGCGCGCCGTCTCGTCGTCATCAAGAAGGAGGCTGATAGCTTCCAGCAAGCCCACCAAATCGGGGGCGCCCGCTTCGGTGTCATTCGGATGGTACTTCGGCGGGCGCGAATGGTTGTCACGGAAGACTACGAGATCCTTGCCTTTGGCGTATTTAACTTTGACAAAAGCCAAGTGTCAGTACAGTACAGCAGACGATCGGTGGAGTGTTAGTGTATACGTACCGCGTATGAGAACACTCGCACGACTCAGCAGTTGCGCGAGAAGGGCGTAATCTGTCTGTCCGGTGGCGCGAAACTGGTTTACCAGTTGAAGGAGCTCCTTGTCGTTCAGGATGGTGGCGAATCCCCTAGTCGTGGATTTGTGTAGCCGTAGCGAGCTGAAAGTCGCCGATGGATTCAGGTAGCCAGTGCGGTCGATTATGTCGGACATCTGTCGTCTATTGACTGCAGGTGGTTTCGTCTTCTTCACTGGTGTAGTCTGGGAGATAATACAATGAGCCGTGGTGGTAAATTAATTGCAGAAGAGAACTCGCGCTCTCAGAAGAGTATATACTCACCGGAAATGGCCACAATCAAACAATGGACACGAAGTGGCAAGTGCAAGTGGCTTGGTGGTAAGTACTAAGAACGAACAAGTTGATTCCAAATTGGGCCACAGTTGTTTGTCGGAATGCGTATCGGAGTTAAAAACACGATCCATGTACAGCGCTCCCTGCCGCCAACGAGTGCAAGTACCACACCGCTACGAAGCGAGACACTATCAATGCATCCAAAATTATCATCAAAGTTACCCTCATACCTAGCTATATACCCAGCAACCACCGATGCAACTACATTTCCAGATGTGTTGAGTATACTGTACGTCGCCTGTTAACGCTGTCGGATGCGCAAGTCCTACCACAGGCGCCGGGCTCTACAATCTGCAATCTGGTATGCGTGAGCTCGCCACTAAGAGATAGGGCATATACTCTACCTCGCTGGATCAACGCTAGAGTGTCCTTTCGCCGACGCAGCGACCGCGTCCTCTCAGGCGTACCTCCCAGCCAACACCAGAAGACCGTGCACGCTGCATTCTGTCCAATCAGCCGCTCACTCCAGAAGGCAGAAGGCACGAGCGTCGAAGCGTCGAAGTCGAAGCCGTATGCTCCCTTATACATTGCACATTGCTTCGGCTGTACGATCGGCGTGGGTGTGCGTGGGTGTGCGTGGGTTACCGATAGCAGCCGGCGGCAGCGCTGAAGTCGGAAAGCATGCGGTGAAGGTTGCTTCGTTCTTCGTTCTTTGTTCTTTGTTCGCAATTACGGATAACCACCACAAGTTTGTGCCGTCGAAGCCCCCTCAAGTCGCTTCTTCAGAATGAATAATGTCGTTGAACAACATGCGTGGAACGACGCCTTCGACAAGCTGGAGGACGCGGGTGCCCGGGCCTGAATGCCAGAATCGTCGTACGGCGAGGGCGAGGGGAAGGGAATGGAATGGAATGATCGACGGCGCTGGCGCTGGGGTGACACACTGACAGAGGTCATTAGGACGTCGGATATGATATATGAATATACGACCGCACAAATTCAACCAGAGTCCCCGATTCCACGACTGATTCCCCAAGAGAAGGAAGAGAAGGAAGAGAAGGGAAGGAATCGGTCGTGGAATCGTGGAATCGTGGAATCGGGGACTCTGGTTTGAATCCGGCGCTGCGCGCGAGCGTCACGCATGTGCTGGACCTTGGACCTCCCATGCAATGTAACCGCCCTCCGCCCCACCTCATTGATGTCCTGAGTGTCCTGAGTGTTCTCGGTGTTGAGTGCAATCCGACAATGTGCAATGTGAGGGGAAGGAGAAGCGTCGGAATTCGGAAGCCGGTACATGGTACATGGTACATGCACGCATATCTGCCGTATCTGCACATATCTACCCAACCACCTCGTACTCCTCCCCTGCCTCCCCTACCTCCTCCCCCGCCGTCCGCCGCCGCGAATCGGCCGCATGCCCCACACCCACATCCCTCTCCCCCACATCCCTCACTCCCACACCCGCACTCGCCTGCGCCTCCGTCTGTGCAGCCACTTCTGCCTCCGCGCGCCGCCGGAGGATCCCCAGCAGCTCCGCGCACGACTGGTCCAGCAGGCCCACGATCTTCGCCGCCGCCGCAAGCTCGTGCGCCTCTTCGAGCGGATCGTGCAAAATCGCGTGCACGCCCGCGCACGCGTCCCTCAGCACCGCACACACCTCCTCATAAACCTCCTCATATACCTCCTTATCGTTACCCGCATTTTCATCTCCATCTTCATCGCCTTCGCGCAGCAGCAGCAGTTTATCCACTTCGCCGTATATGTCCTCCAGCGCGGGGTTGACCGCCGCTTGGAGGGCGCGGTAGAGCCGCAGTAGTTGGGGAGGGTCGGAGAGGTCGGTGGCGGCGAAGAGGCGGTAGTCGGCGCGCTGGACGTGCAGGAGGGCCGCGAGGAGGTGGATGCCGTGGTCGAGCTCGTCGATCACGGCGAGGGCTTCGTACAGGAGGAAGGCGAGCGTCGCGGCGGCGGCTACGTACACGCGAAGACGGTGCAAGTTCGAATTGAAAAGCGGATGGTAGGTAAGAGGGAGGACGTTAGGTAAGAGGGAGGAAGATACGTACCTATTGCGAGCCCCGCCAGCTTGGAGCGCGGCGTCCCATCTGCTCTGTGGAGAAGCCTGTTGGTGGGTCGCGGGCCTAGCGGGGGTGGCGGGAGTGGTGGGGGCGGCGGGGGCGGGACTGAGTTGTAGCATCGCGTCGGAATATGAATGGGCCGCGGTTGGCACTGCAGCGACGATTGGCGTCTGAACGCGGTCAAAGGGGTGCGCATCGGGCGGATTTTGGGAAGGTCTAGTGAGCGGCCGAGGCGCAGGCGCAGGCGCTGCAGCCGCGACATTGACGACATTCTCGACGCGTTAGCCCGAGTGCAAGTATGTAAGAGGGGAAAAGCATGGGGCTTGGTGAGGGCTGCGTTGATCATTGGCTTTGTTGATCGTGAGAGGATATTGTTGATCGTGCGAATATCGTCTCTGTGCTGGCTGATTCGGAGATGTTGCCGCCCTCAAGGCCTCAAGTTCAAGCTCAAGTCTAAAGTCTAAAGTTGCTGACTTCTTTCCTCCTTGTACCTTGTGCAAAGTATCTTCCAGGTTACGAGGCCACGCGTCTGCGTCAGCAGCACCGCCGCAGTCACGCCTTCGTCCTTATCGCGCAAACCTCGTTCAACGAGTCGCTCTCCAATTCGCGCGCACAGCAATGTCCTACACCACTCCCCTCTGGCGCGTCAATGACAATATAATCGAACACCTGCGGTCCCGGATCCTGCTGCAATCGCATCGACCATCTTCGACACAAATCACTATAAATCATCGAGACACAGGCCTCCGTCTTCGTTGTCCTGATCGCCAGAATGAGACGAGTGGGCATGGTGAGTCCTAGATTTAGATTTAGCTGAGAGATACGAAGACGGACTCTCCCGCGGTCACCAGCGAGTTGTACTCTGACCGAAGCGAGATGCAATGCAATAGGGTGACGGTGCTGACGCGGACGGGCCTCGGGAGACTTTCGCTAGAGCCGTGCGATCCATCATCTGGTTCGACCACGAAGTGGCAGGACCGTCTCGTCTAACTGCGGCCTCGCCGAGTGGAGTGGAGCCCGCAGGAATCGGGAAGATGGGATGGCGATACGATACGCACTCTGTGGGGTGTGTTTGGCATAGGGAGCAAGCCTATGACGTCTAAGGGTCACATCAGATGAAGGGGCTTGTGGTTCGCGCCAATCAGGCATGCGACGCAGACGGCATCCGTAGTGAGGCTGTGGTGAGCCAGCTACTTATATGCTTATGCTTAGATGCAGCAGTCCCGGACACCCCTCCGTTTGATCCTTCGTCTTCCCTCCCCGAATCTCCCGTCCAACGCACTCAGCGTCGATCTAGTCATGCCTTACGACCCGGAGACAGGAATCGCGCAGTACACCGTCCAGGATGTGCGATCTGGGGCGAGGACGCTGAAGCTTCCGCGCCTTGCAGGACGTCATACGATGTCTCCATTGAAGGTGCGTAATTCGATGAAAACGCGCTAGCGCTGTAGGATCCAAAATTTAAATATTCAACTCGGGCACAGAGATTCAAGTTGAATTTGACTGTAGTTGGGGGGCGGGTGCGACTGTCGCGCTCCACGGGCACAACTGGTGGTGCAATAAGCCAGAACGGCTGTTCGTAACGCGAAAGTGCGCCAAGGCATTCCGGTGGATGCCCCATCGCCCTAAGCTACTGTGAGCCATGATTAATGATTAACGAGATACTGGACTGTGCTGCTCGTAGCGACATGACCTCATCGATTTGGATAGGGTGCTCGAGGGCGACGTCGTCATCCAATATACCAAAGATAAACATGAGCGAAGTGACGCTGTGATGCCATCCTATGATGTCATCAGAGAGTTGGCGGAGGGAGCAGCATATGACCGAGACCGCGCGCGCATTCTCGTTCGGGGACGCCACTTGCTCGTTCAGAGTGAGAATGGTGAGCACTCGGTTTCCTATCGCCTTGTATCACGCGCTGAGATAGGCGCTTGTACTTATGCAGCATCGATACTACCCGGGTCTTTCTGTGCGAGCGAATGCCGTGCTGGAATTCGGGGATAGCGAGGACTGCCTCCGCTTTACGCGCTGTCTCTCTGGCGGATGGTGTCACGAATATTTGTGATCGTTATTCCATTATCCAAAAAGACGGTAAGACGGTGGCGGCGATGTACGAAAACCAGTATGCAAAATATGAATATGCGGCGGGACAGTGCGCAGGATGTCGCGTTGTGGGCCTCAGGCCTCTGGCGTCCAGCGGGAACTCGACGTGGAGTGGAGAGGCGGAGGCTGCGGGACGACAGAGGTAGAGGGAGCTGCATCGCCTCGCGACCAAACCAGCGGAGAGGTAGAGAACGCGCGTGGATGTATACGTATACGTACACATCTCCAAATGCGGAGCGCAGGTCTTGGGACTCGAGCAGGCCGCAGAGAGCGGAAGGTGTGGGGTACGTGTTCGCATAGCCGTTCGTTGAGGAAGCAGGGAGCAGGGAGCGAGAGCTTTGAGGCCTTGAGGGCTGAGCGCTGGCGGGGTATGCCGCGCCTCTGTGGCACGAAGGTTTGAACGTTTGAACGTTCACGCGTACGCCTTGGGCTCGCCGCGTTTCTCCCGAACGCGCCCGGATTCCTTCGTCGTATGCAGTTCGCTGATGCAGCTGGGCCTTGCGTACGTCGTGAGGCGTGTCATCAAGTGGTTGACGCTTCCGTGCGTTTCTCCGTGGTTCGTATCCAGTGGAACGGAGACTGCCACTGGCGCGGCTGTCTGTGGCGAAAAATATAAGCATCAGGACATGGAGATGCTCTGCCACACGCGGTGAAGGACGCACCAACGACCTGCTCGGTGAACGAGGAATCACCCACCTCTCTCATCCGTAACTTCTTCGCCTGGAGTTCCTAGTCAAACCCCGAGTAAGTAATACTGACTGCTGACTGCTGACTGCTTGAGTCAACAGTGTTGCGGGCAGGGGTGACCGTGGGTGGTACTTTTCGAAGAATGGAAAACGAGCTCAGGGTGAGTCGTAAAGCGTTCACGCGCATGCTCTGTGCGATGGAGCTGGAGTTCACATGTATCAGCCTCGAAAGCCGTCCGCGGTTTGAGGTGTGTTGTACATATGTCTGATACCATGAAGATGTCAGCTTTGGACCTGGGAAAATTCTGGAGGATGTGGCTTACCGTCTGCCTCTATCCCGAACCCGAAACAAACGAACATCGTACATTGCTGAGTGTTGATACAAGTTGGAGAGGGATAGCGGAAGGCAGATCGGCCGGGAATGCGGTGATGATAGGACGTCTTTGGATTTGTGTTCCTCTTTGAGCCAGCACGAGCGCTGAGTGCTCGTCTATACCGACAATGAGGACAGTTGAGCGAAGGTGTCAGACAATGGATCGTCCCTTTTTCGATCAGCCCCCCATCCGCCACGCGCCAACCGAATCAGCTCACTCGTGCCCATGCTGGAGTTTTCATCGACATACAGTCGTCTCCTTCGCCGACTATCTTGTGCGCGGAGTACCCGCTCTCGCTCGCCTGCTCGATTGGAAATAAAATAACGGGACGGGACGCCTCGTCGCTCGAATTGCGCATTATGCCAGTGCCCGCGATATCGTCCCCAAGAGCGTAGAGCGTAGAGCACGGCAAGCAATCGGCTCGCTCCTCCGCCGGCTTTCTCGCCATAGTCCCGTTTCATAGCACCAGAGACCAAGCCCACCAGAGACGGAAGACTACCTCCAGTCGTGCGAACAAGGGGTAGGTCGTACACGTAGAGAGGGGATAGAGAGGAACAGAGCCTCTGGATGTGCAAGTTCCGTTAGTGAGTCGCTCACAGCGATGCTTTTGCTACTGCTGGAGTCAACAATGAATAGCCTTGTGCTACACAGCAAGTCGTCCTCAAACGGCGTGGCTTTGGTGCTGGTGCACGTATGAAGGCGAGACACGCATTCCAGGCTAGAACATGCGGGATTTGGGCGGTGTCTTGTTCCCCCGGCTCAACCCCTCGAGAAAGGGCGCACGTCGCTTCATTATTACTCGATAACTACAGTCTCCTCAGTTTCCGAGTCCTCATCATAATGTATACACAGACGTAACACAGATGCGAGGACATACCGACGGAGAGGTGGTAATTGGTGAATATCAATTGATAATCGTCAACGTTCGGGCTGGCACTAAGATACCGAATCTCGGAGCACGAAGCCAAAGCTATGTATAAGTATAACTGTGGTTGATTGAATACACCCCACAATCGGGTGTTACATTTGGGTGTTACTATTACTTTGAGTCATTGGGTTTGGGCCGCTTGGTTCCTACCACCGTATACTGGATTCTTGCACTGTTCGCTGGAACTGAGGCTAACTCCTGCTGGGGATTTTCGTTGAGGGGCAGGTCTTCACTGTCGTTGAGGACGGACGGGCTAATATCGCGAAGGTCATCTCCATTGTACCTCCCACCGACTGTGCCCCCCCAAAAAAACATGCCTCTCATGCTAGCTTCAGTGGTGATTGTGTGGTGCATACTACGAAGTACAACATTATTCGCCGGAGGTTTTGAGTCCGTTGAGAACGAGATTCCGCGCTCGGAAATTGCAAGGGCGAGTTCCTTGGGAAGCCGCTCGCCAGAAAGGGAAGAATTGTAGTTGTAATTTGGAGGAGTGGGCAAGGGGATCTTGACATGGAAGTGCTTGAGAGACGAGAAAATATTGGAAGGAGGGATAAATGCGAGTGGGTCGTTGATTGCACTCCAAGTAGCAACATCCACGCCTATCGTGTCATTGAATGCAGCGAAGCTTACGGCAAGGTGTAGTATGAGATAACATGGACGATTATGCTGAGTGGAAGTTTGTTGACGTTGACGTATCAATTGTGCCTCGGGTTCGGGATATTCGTCTTCAAACTGGGACTTCGGAAGACGCCGCTGAATAGCAACCCTTTGGGCTGTAGGAAACTTTAGGTGATGGTCACAGAGTGATTGAAGGAAGCGAACCATTAAGACAATTGGAAGCGAGAGGGGTGAGGGTTTGCCACACGGTTTTGAGGATTGAAAACTCGTCATCCTGTGTCCGTAAGAAGGTATCATACCCCATTTCCCTTAACTCGCTGTTAGCATGGGATCGAAACAAACAGTAGGGCAACTTGTACTTGGTCTTTGTGAGATCGTGTTGTATGAAGCTAAGGCAGTCTTCGCTATTCGCAAATTCAAGGACGAAATTTAGTCTCAGCCCAGCATGCGAGTATCTTCGACGCTAAGTGCTTATTATAGCAGCCAATACAAGACAATAGAAACTTTGTGCTCACCCTTTCCACCTTGAACCAGCAAGTGGCCGCCCCAAATGAGAATGTATGTTTGATCTTGATGTGAGCCTCTTCGTTGACGTTGTACTCTGCTCGCTCAGCCATCTCTTCAATGAGAGAGTAAGGTACCACCAAGTCATTTCGTTCATATCCGTCTTTGACATATTTGATGACAATTTCACGCTTGAGCGCCCTATGTAACACAATAGCATCTTGTGGCAACAACGAGGACAGTTTGACACTCACAGTTCCTTAGGTTGACGCGGCTTCCATCGGAATGCCTTGCTGCACTTTTTCGCCACAAACAGTTCCTCTCCCATTTCGCCATCCCATGTGAGCTCATGGAATGAGACAGTTGGTCCCGGACTCCAACTACAATCAAATTTGACTATAATAGCTACGCCCGAGTCAAATACTACAGCACCATCAAACTTTGACGGAATTAATCACCTTCAATTGAGACATTGTGGAATGTACTTCAACCGCGCGCAAGCTTCAGTGTTCTGGCGTCCAATATCAAATCCTGGACCTTTCACTCACTTGATTCCCGTCTCCTCGACGTAAGGCATGACTGAGATCAACACAGACCGCGTTAAAGGATCTCGGGGAGAGGAAGATGAGGGATCACCTGTAGCTGTCCTACGGATATATAAAAGACCGTAACCACGGTGGGGCCGTGATACATCAACGACCACAGGTACAGTGTGGGCGCTTCGTGATGTATCACTCGGTCGGTGGCTTCTTTGCCTGCCTTCCTTTCCCACAGGCGAGCACCACCCCTTCGCCACTGCCAGCCACGGCACCCCCAGCCGTTCCCGCGCCTTGTTCCCCCAACCGGGAACCCATCGGGAGCTGTATCTACGATGGATCTACTTCTCTGGTTATGAATCCCGTACCTTACTGTTTTGGTAGTGAGGTTACTAACGACAGCATGGCCTCAAAGCATGGCTTTCATTTCTCTATCTATGATGTAGTAGACGGTGTACTCTATCTATGATGTAGTAGACGGTGTACAAGACTCAATTAAAGCCTCGCCAGGAACAACAGCCCCCTCTCCTGTCCGCATATATCTGTCCACATGCCTCCACGTCGTCTGACACATAGATATCAGGGTCTGACGTGTGCTCTCCTGACGCCAGGCATAGGCACGAGCACCTTCATTTGTAGATGCTGTCGCACGATCCTCCCAAACTTTCGCTTGCCATGTATGAAATTGTACTACTCTACGCATTTCTTCAGTCAATAACATGCACTCTTCTTGCCACCGTTGCGCTCTAGCACGTGCTTTGCACCACTCAATCCTGAGAGCTTCTCAATTTGAGTCTGTCGTTCATACAATTGAGTGAAACATTAGCTTACCTTCGTTCATGCCCTCTGTCATCTCAGCGTCATTCGTCCGTTGAGCCATCCATATCCATGACAATGTTCGGCGGCCCTCTGAGCTACTGGCATCTTCACCATCCTTCAAACCACGGATGTCGCTGTCGAGCAAGGGACGTAGTATTGACTGCCAATCAGACTTTCCGAGCGCCGGCGATAACATTAGTAATGCTGCTCTGCCACTGCGATATTTACTAGCGGCGAAGTTGGAGCGGGCCTGGACTTTCTTGACTAGGGCGACACTGCGGGTATTATGCTGTTGGCCTCGGACGTATCGGTCCTTGGACTGGTACATGGAGCTGAGCACCAGCAAATGTCGACGGAGTTCGGCCAGTGAGTCGAATGCCTGACCATACCGAAGCCGCCACTCGTAGTCAGCAAGGGTGGTGGTCTGTAGCGGCATCTGTAGCGGCGTCTGGGAGGGAAGACGAAGTGCGTCGTCTTCCGCCAGAATGCTTGCGGGCTCCGTGGACCGGTGTGCCATGGCGCCGGGCATGTAGATGTCTTGGATACTGCGCCAGGTTGCTATGCGGCGCGCGAGTCTATTTCGACGTTCAATTATTAGGGTCCGTTGATGTTCGGTCGCATTTGCAGTAAGGGCGCTGGCGTCGATTCGGAGACGGGCTTGCTGTTCCTCAAGCTCAAGGCCTTGTGCAATGAATACACTAGGGCTGACGCTGTCATGAGCGGGCAGGCCATCTTCGTGAGCAATCGTCGCGGCCTCTTCTTCTGCAAGCTCCAGTCGTATTTTAGCTTGCGAGACAGTCTCTACTGTCGCTCGATATGGGTTCGTCTCCGTTGGATCGGCCTCCCAGGCCCAGACAAGCTCGGAGAAGCTTCGAGTGGTTGCTGCCGGAAGGGAATTCGAGAATTCGACAAAGGCCGTAACATGCTCCGCGCGCATCTGAACAGCTTCTTGGGCTCTACGGAGGAGAGTAGTATCTACGAACAGAGGGTCATCAGCATTAAGTCTACTCAGTAGTTAGACGCCTCACGAAATGAAATAACCTTACGCCAATTATAATCACCGAAGTGATCGTCCAGTGTGTCCCGACGTGATCCGGGACCCATCTCCTTGGTGCTGCTCGCGACAGGGTTCATTGCGGCCCATCCACGTTCAGGTGATTCGCCATCGGTACGACCAACCTTAGGTGTGAGATTGAATGAGTATTTGATCTGGCAGTCGTCGCGATGGGCATATAAGTGAAACTTCGGTACTAGGTATCTGATGCTGAGTTCGTTGTACTGTACGCCAACAAGAGAGTCGGGGTAGGTTGCCGCGCGAGCTTGAAGATTACGTGACCATTGGCAGGCGATGTCGTATGAGGTTACGACGACCTGAGGTGCGTGGTTCCGCAAGCTTGAGAAATAGAGATAGTCCATATTAATGTATCTATAGACTTTATTAATGAGACCGTTGGATGTATCAGGAAGCACCCATACCGTTCGCCCTTCTGCAAGTCTCCCACGGAAAGGGGTCGCTTCATGTCGTGGCGACTGCACTCGATGGTGCCGACCCCACTAGTCGTAGTGCCCTTCCCCCCTCGAATGCTGGCAAGCTTGACGGCGTCGTAGTTATTACACGTACTCGCCTCGTCAGGTGGGGCACCGTCAAAGCTTTCAAGAAATTCTTTGAACTTTTTCTCCTCCACAAAGTATGCGTAGCCTTTGTTGAGGCCAGGGTCACGAATGTCGTTGGACGCGCCAAGCCGTTTGAGTCGGAAGTTGGCATCGATTGCCAGAAAAAGAGAATAAATCCATCTATTGGTAGTCAGTAAAGAAACGGAGCGGCTTATCAAAGAACTTACTGCTGTCCCGGCACTGCCTGCCAATTGGGTGGAAGATTTTTTCCGGGATGAGGGCAGGCAGGGCAGAGGACTGCGCATGAGCCCTCAGCCGTACCCAAAACACCACCCGGCTCATGTCCGCGCCCAGCACGTTTCAGAAGCCGGATGTGTCGCCATTCCCGAACTATTCTCATGAAGGCGGTATAGCGGTCCTATTATTTGCATTAGAGAAATGTACACCCATATCTAAACAAGACTTACAGGTAATATTTGGCCGAGGTTATTTGTAAGTCGCGCAAGTGAGTGGTAAAATTCAAAGCCAGAGACCTTGGAACCGAACGTGAGTAACTGGAAAAGGCGCAGGACATCGAAGGTGGCTGCAGTTCGAGGCTCGATTGTGGTCGCTGGGAATAGCCGGCTCCGGAGAAGCTGAATACTAGTATCGGCGGCCGACAGGCAAGCGCAGTAGTCGAGGTTGATGGAGATGATGCCATGAGATGAGATGACTACAAACTCGTCCTTATTTGCTGGCTTTGGGTTCAGACAGGGTTCGCCAATGGGATGGCCCAATTGAAACCGCAAGCCCAGCGATCGTAGACTGCAGCGTTGAAAAAACCTTGAATTCCATATCTACACGTTATTAGTGCTCTGATCACTGTGCCGTAACTGGAGTAAGACTCATTACCTCGACGACATGGAGTGGGAGAGCCTGGTGCAGCAACACTATGCAGTCCTGGCAGAACAATCGAGGGTCGAAACATTGGGGACACCGGAAAAGCGCGTCTTTTCCACAGGCAAGCTCTGTGTGAACGCCGGGGCACCCAGCATCTGGGTAAGCTCGTCCCTCCAACCGTAGGAATTCCTGAACAAAGGTATCGCGCTCATGCATCCACACTAACAACGGTTGATCCTAGTGAGCGAGATGTCAGCCTTCGATCATACAGAAACACTGGCAAGGACGAACCCCTGCCATCGTGCGTTTGCGAGTAGTCCTCGGGAGGCAAGTAACCTCCTCATCGTCGTCTCTGTCGTGCTCAATCCTATGAAGCCCCGTTGTTTCGTCCCACACGGAATCGTAAGTGCTGCTCTCGTCATGCCCATGATCGTCCGTGATGACAGTAGATAGGGCCTCAGTGCTGTAGTATGAGGTCTTGGTAGAGATTCCCCTCTTGCGAGCCACATAGTCGACATGCCGGTGAGTTGTTGACTCAGTGATTGGGGGCTGTGACGGAGTACTCGAGCCAGCGCCAAGCTCCCAGTCTTCATACACTTGAATGTCCATGTGAGCCCTCTTGCGACGTTGCATTGTATTAATGAGCACTTACCAATAAAAGGGCCTGCCTTTTTATATCAGTCCTGTCCGACGAAGATGAGTTGATCAAGAAGGGGTATTCAGTGTCGGTGGCCAGCACCCGCAAGTTGCCACGCTGGATACCTAGGTTGTTTAGTACCACACACTCCGATTCTCACAGTCAATGTATATATCTCACAGTCAGTTTATATATCTCACGATCAATACATCAATCAACAGTGCATTACAATTGTGAGTACGAATCGGTGGCCCCATCAATCGTCGCAAAGGCGATAATGTACTGGTGTTCGATGGGGTCACCTTCACCATGCTGTCGCCAATAGCTGCGCTGTTGAATGTAAGTTACATCCGACAAGATTATGCTTGCAATGAACGTACCCGGCGTTCACGGTCAGCTTCCAATGTGATAGCCTCTCTCCAGTTCCCGTCGAATGGTGCAGGAGGGTCGACATTACCTCCAAGTAAGGTCATGCCGTCTTGGTAAATGAGTTCCTTGGCAAACAGCTGTGGTGCGGATTACTTCAAACGGGGCAAGTGCAATAGCGGAAGAAGAACGCACCCTTTTTTGTTCGGAGGAGGCTGTTGGGAAGCGGTCGGAGAAAAGGGGGAGTGCTGCCACAAAGAAGTCCTTGTGTTCGCCACGGTCGAACGCATTGGTGAAGTACGGAAGCATTTCAAACGTGAATGCATCGATGCTTCGCGTCAGATCATTTGGCTCATCTACTTCCCAGAAGAGTAAGTTCCGCATGTCTAACGGAACTCGGTTGAAATCTAGAGGACGGGGGCTTTAGGACAAATGTTAACTCACCGGAAAGCAGTGGTTATGGTGGTAAGGAATGAGCGTAAGTGGGGCGCTTAACGAGATTTACCACCATATTAGGCAATTGAACTCAAGTCATCTGACTTCCTCGGAATAGGAGCAATACAAGATAATATTATAACGTGCGATAGACATGGAGGGGATGTAAAATAAATCAAGGAAGTCTTTCATATGAGATACATGTGTAAGTTGGTGGCATTTTTACGGGTATTCAACCGCTCATTGGTGTCCAAATGCAGAAACAACTGACACTCAGCCAAATGAATAAAGGTCAGACAGCCGCCTTTCAAGATTTAGAGTTGTACAATAACCATCCACCACCTATTTCCTCAACCATGCCCCGCGGTCGCCCCCGAATCTACAAAACTCCGGAAGATAAGGCTCGTGCCAATCGAGAGAAAAGCAAGCGAAGTTACCACAAGTAAGTAGGGGCCCTAGATCAATTAATAAACGTGAAATTCAGCACAAACCGGCGACTATAGGCAAAAGGTTGCTATCAGTTCTCGCCGAGTGGCCCGCCGCTACCGCCACGAAAGAGTCAAGTACGTTCTCATATTCATATATAACATTCATTTACCAATTATCTATCTATAGGAACAAGCCTATCCTTGGTGCAGCTCCAGCCGAAGCCCCGCCCAGGTGCGTAACTAATACATGCCAGAGTTCTCCTGACCTCACATCCCTGTAGCGCATATCCCGATCCTGACGATGTCCCTGCGTGGATGGCCCTGGTCTCCCAGGTTGCCGCAAAGACCCAGGAGCTCATTAAAGGCTCCGTACGTGGATATTTCCAGCAAATATGCCAGTGTTTCATCTTCTCCCTTCTGAGGAACGAGATTGATGATGCTGCAATGGAGTTCGAAAGTATGAAAATCACTATACAACGGTGCGGGCACGCTTTGTTACAAGTCGTCGGGGTGGGAGACGAATACCGGGCAGCGGAACAGGTAGAGAGGGAGATCGACCAAGTGATATGCTGTTTTGATGACATCATGTGTCATCTCTTGGTTGGCAAGGCCGAACTATTTGATATGTACTCCAGCGAGCAGCTCATGTACCAATCCCTGGTGTAGATAGCACTTATATCACACAATTTGAATGGGGACGCGTAGCAATGATATTGGGAATGGTAACATCTCAGGTACAACAACTGTAGTCTACTCGTGGTGAATGTGAACAAGGCCTGCCGCAAGCATGTCATTGTAGTGCCTGCGGGCCTGCGCGTAGGTAGAAAAACGTTGGCTGTCCCAATGGGGAACTCCTAGGACAAGGGGGGCCACGACTCTACGCCTGTTCGAACCATATGCATGAGTAGTCAGACCTCCTGGCAAATATTGAATGCTTACCAATCCTGAAAGAGGCCAACTTGGCGGCCAGTTACAACAGCATACCATGGGCCGTTAGGATTAGAACCGGCAGGGGGGTGTTCAGGTGCAGGCTGTGGAACCGCCGCCGCCGCCGCATTGGGGACAGCAGCAGCGGGGACGGCAGCGGCGGGGGCGGCAGGGGCGACATCAGCCGCCGCGGGGACGGCAGCGGCGGGGGCATTGGGGACGGCGGCGGGGGCGGCAGGGGCGACATCAGCCGCCGCGGGGACGGCAGCGGCGGGGGCATTGGGGACGGCGGCGGGGGCGGCAGGGGCGACATCAGCCGCCGCGGGGACGGCAGCAGCAGCTACGGGGACGGCAGCAGCAGCAGCGGTGACAGCAGCAGCAGCGGGTGTATGAGCAACAGTGAGAGGGTGGATTGTGTGGCAAGAGGGGCACTCGAAGAAGCCCGCAGCAACTGTGAAGACGGGTAAGCAGAAGTTAGGTGCCATTGAAACGAACGTACCAGGAGCTTGAACGATAGTCCCCACCGAAAGGCGGTCAAGGAGGTTGGTAATGTGGGCAGCAGTAGCAGGATCCATGGAAATGTTGCTGATACAGCTGACTAGCGACGGGGAGTTGTTGCTGGAGGAATTGGCGCGAGGCAGGGGGAGTTCTTATGGCATGTGGCAAATGAAAAGACGCAGAAGACGTACAGAGGGGGCGGCTGAAAAAGCTTAAAAAAAGATGAGGTGTGCTGGGTATATCACCTACGTGTGCTGTAGCCCCCCAAGCATCAAGCTCAAACCTGTGTTCTATAACCCTCGATGGCCCCCCCCTCTAAAGTTAATGCCGAACAGAAGGCTTTCCTTGAGAGCCTTATCGACACGTTCTTGGAAAACCGGAAAAAGAGCACCTTGCACAAGTTCTGGCCGGTGCTTTATCGACAGTGGTTCGAACGGTATCCAATAGTGGAAGATACCTCCATCCAGGATGCTGAGGAAAGGAGGAAGGATCTAGCGGCGAAGGTAGAGAAGAAGAGGGAAGTAAGTTGGAACCGGAGTAGTGGCTATATTTGTCGCTGACCCTGAACATAGTATCTCAACCGCTGGTATCATAACCACGCATCAGCAAAAGTTCGGGCCGTTGTTCTCGTCACCCACCAAAAGAAAACTCGCCGTCCCCAACTTGTCCAAATGTACTGTAAAAAGTACTACTCTTCCCGCATTAAACCTCTCATTGTGAAAGAGCTCAACGGCAAAGTACCCACAAGAAAGGAGTTCCTCGCGCTCCTCCATGTTCACTCAACAGCCGCGTTCGACGATGAAACCCCCGCAGTGAAAGCTCAAATGAACGAAGAGTACCAAAAACGGTTGAGCGAGCCAGTAGAAGAGCCGGAGGAAGAAATTACACCTAGTAGCTACGCTGCGTGAGTGTCTCAACCTTGTCTTCATTATACATCATCATTAATCATACCCAGGGCGATAAAGAGCATTCCGATTCATTTTAATGCCTTCGCCCAAGAGCTGAACTCACGAACTGGGTGGTCTTTTACATTGTTTGCCGGTGGACCTGATCCCACAAACGGTGGAAGGATTAACACTGCCGCGTACGTTCCTTTTTCTATTTCTTTCTCCCGCGTCTGAGCAGCACTTCCAGCTTTCACTCCTGCGAGAATATGGCCGGCCTCTCATTTTCCGATGCCACCCCCAACTTCACGTCAAAGCTCGTGACACCATTTGCGACCTTCCTCCGCACTGTATATAGTACGTTGTCTGCCCACTGCAGTTCCTCTCACGTACTAATAAACTTTTAGCTCCCGAGGATTGTGCGTCACGGGCATTGAACTCCACCTCCCAGGTCCCTCGTCCCATTCAACCCCAATCCGAGCCCAGCTCTCCCGCTGAGATGCCCCATTCCGCTGCCTCACCTATTGCCACAATCACTTCGATGGCGCTCACGCTAGGCAACCACGAGGAGACGGATCTCGACAACGACTTGTGGCAGGATTTCGACCCGGAACAGGCACTTGCCGAACTAACTCAAACGTCCACAATTCCGATTGGCGTCAACGGCTTCGAGGGCCTCGGACCACCAGGGAAATTCCCATCCATGGTTGAAGAGCTATTTGCGCCATTGCCCGGACTTCCCTACCACCACCATGCCCCCCTTGTAACTCCTCCCGTTGCTGCTTTCACACCTCCTACGTTCGGCTCTGCTGCTACCGCGATCGCCGCCGTTACTGCTCCTACGGTTAGCTCTGCTGCTACCGTACCCGATACCTCCGCCACAAGTGCTGCTATCGACCACGTAACTCTGGGTACAAGGGAAGCTACCGCCAACGAACCTACAACTACGGCAGACACCAGCAAAATGGAGCCTGCACCCACGGCCACTAGTACGACAGACACCAACGGAACGGAGCCTGCATCCACGGTAGATGCGAACACGGCAGCTGACGGCGGAGACGCGAACAGTAAGCGTAGTCCCAGGGCTGCCGAAGACCCCGACGTCGTTATCAATACCATGCACGCCCAGAAACCAGCAGCTGCCAAGGAGGCTCCTACGGCTGGTACCAACGGGCCCCCAAAGCGCAAGCGGACTTGCAAGGCCGGCGAAGACCCCGACTTGATCGTCACTACTAAACGTGTTCGTAAGCCAGCACCAAGCAAGGAGATCGAGGCCACAGTGATCGCGAGAAAGGGCAAGGAGAACAAGTAAGTAGTTGGGTCCAGACGTCCCACTGCGTGGGCATTTTGCTGTGTCGTCCCTACCGCTGCCGTTTTCCTCTTACAATCGTCGCTTTGCTAGTCCTTATGTAGTTTGATGTGTCTGTGTACATGGTTTAATGATATATGCATGAAATACAAGAAACAATATGTGTCAGACAGAGAGAATAAAGTGTGATAGTAGCTTGAGTGAAATCTTGACGGACTTGCGTGAAATTCGTTGCACTGGCGAGAATAAGCGCCGATGGACTTAGGTGAATTCGTTGCGCTGGCATGTCAGGGGTAAGTCAGCTGACTTGTTCACGCTGAGTACTGCCTGGCGAGTCGTCGCCAGGCGGGCCGTCTGGCAACGACTCTGTAGGTTACAACGGACCTGTGTTATTCAGGCGACGATTCATTGCCGCGACCATTTGCTTTTTGTCAGTATGTTTTGCATAAATAATTTCTATAAAAAACATTTGAAATGAAACAGCCTGCAGAAATGATAGCACCGCTATATGACAATGCTGTACTGTACAGAATGATGACACACAAATTGGCAGCACGGCGGGGTGCCCGAGAATGTGGATATTGATATGTCAAATTTTATGTCTCTACTCTATGTTCCTCCGTGGCCGAAATTAGTGAGGGAAGAAGCGGAAGGAAGGAAGCGCACCCGGGGAGGCTTTCAGGCAACGTGGCAGATGGGCACCTGGCCGTTCGACATTTAGGCAACGTGGTAAGGAATCTGCAGATTCGACGCAGATTCGATGCTCCAAAAGTGGACAGCGGGCGCGGAAGGGCGGGGCGCAGGGAATGGGGCGGAAACCGACGACGACGACAAGAGGACGGGCTTTGCCGGGGACGTTGACATAAGGTTCTACTGTGTGATGTATCAAACAGGCCATACAGTAGTCGTGGTCTTTGATGTATCACGGCTCCACCATGATTACAGTCATTTGATATATCCAAAGGACATCTATGCCTGGAGGGATCAGATACACGGGGGTTTCCAGGGCTGTCGCATTTATGTACTCCCTCACTCCGGCCTCACGATGAACACGCTGCAAATTCCACACAAAGGTCTTCTGCAAGATGGAAGCGACCATAGTTTGATGAGGCTATGTGTACACGTGCTGCCTGCGTGATTAGCGCCATTCTGCACCATTTGAGATACTCCTGAGGTCGATGTCTGCAGCCGTTGTTGGTCAAACTGCTAGTTCGTCCTGTAGGTACGCCGCCGGTTATGAGCGTGGAAGCGAGGGGGAGGAGTACGAGGTGGTTGGGTAGATATGTGCAGATACGGCAGATACGCGTGCATGTACCATGTACCGGATTCCGACGCTTCTGCTTCCCCCCACACGTTGCACATTGTCGGATTGCCAATTGTCGGATTGTCGGATTACACTCAGCGCTGATGGCACCGCACCAAGAACACCAAGAACACTCCGGACATCAATGAGCCCGGCGGAGGGCGGAGGGCGGAGGGCGGAGGGCGGTTACATTGCATGGGAGGGCCAAGATCCAACACATGCGTGACGCTCGCGCGCAGCGCCGGATTCAAACCAGAGTCCCCGGGTCCACGATTCTACGACCGATTCCTTCCCTTCTCTTGGGGAATCGGTCGTGGAAGCGGGACTTTGGCTGAATTTGGGCGGTCGTATATTCATGCGTTGCGTGGATATGTGAATGCGTTGATGCGTGGATGCATTTTGGCCGGATGTTTAACGTTTAGTACATAAGGTGCATGAACAAGAACATGGGCGTGTTCATCAGCAAATCCGTGAAGCACCGACAAGGATCTATCAACACTTATAAACGCCATAATCCATCGAAAGACTGACCGACACCAGCGTGCTGTCCATTTTCGCAACACCAGTTATAAGGGATGTCCCCCACTTGCAAGACGTCCTTCCGTACGATAGACTCGGGCGTTCTCGGGCGTTACGGCTGGTAATGAAGCCGCTGATCGTTTGCGGCGGCGTGTTTATCGTGGCACAAGGATGGCTGCATGCGGACCGAGTCTTGTCTGGATTATTGAACGCAAACCGGCCGTTCGTTTGTGATCCACTGACCACTGACCACTGGTATGCATATCGGGTGCTGGACTCGGCGCAGGCAAGAAGTCGCTATCGAAGCGCGCCATCTTCAGTGCTCAGTACTCAGTGTACGCCACCGCTCTACTCTACGACGGCCATGACGACGCCGCGTAGCGGGCTCGTTGTATGGATTGTCGTGGAGCCCGGTCGGCCTGCGGGCGCTCTAGATGTGTCGGACGCATCCACTGCATACAACTGGCAAGTACCCCAATTATTCCCTCTATCGCCCTCATCCGAATTTTGCCGTTCCTCACCCCCAGTGCAAGGACCACACGTATGGTCCACCGCCTTTCCTCCCCAATGCCGACTTAGTCGATCCGTACCAAAGCTTTACGCTCGTGGCTCACTTTGAGTCGGCAGCTGTTCAGCGGCGGGTCGAAAATCGCGGCTGACGCACACTTGTTGCCCAGAGGGTATATAAAGGCCCAGGTCACGGGAGGATGCAATTGATATACCGCTTTCTTTCCTTTCCCCATCATCGAAATCGCTCTGCTTCACTGTTCGGAATGCCAGCGTGCTAGCAAGCAAGCGATACCCCCACGCCTCCCCGCCTACATGGCTCTCCAGCGTTTTCAGTAACACCGAAGCCGTAAAAACAACCACATCGATCGCAAGCACGGCGAATTTCTGCGCGAATGTTCTGTGGATTGGCCGCTCAAGCGAACTGCACAACGACGCCTCCTCTCGGCAAATTGGACTTTGGCAACCCCCCAACGCGAGCCGTCTGGTCACCACGGTCCATATTAAAAGAACGAAGCTCGTGGTTTGAGGGTCTCTGCGCAATCACACTTACGACAATGTTGTAAGCGAAATCTCTATTCGAGCAGCAGCGGGGTCGAGAGCGAAAAATATGGGTATTACAATTGCGTAGGAGGTCTTTCATGGCTGCCGACGATGTATTTGGGCAAGGCCATCGACGTCCTAATGACCGCTGTCAGCGCCGTCAATCATCCCATTCCCCTCGCCGCTTGTCGAAGGTGTCGTCCCACGCATGTTGTTCAAATGACAATATTAATTCTGAAACGACTTGAGGCAGCTTCGACGGTATAAGCTTGTGGCTATCCATGAGCCCGGCGCTTGTGGTAGACCTTGCGCACCCGACAACGTTAACAAGCGACGTATACTCAACACATCTGTCGATGGTTGCAGGGGTTATCATCGCTTCATCTCCGGTGAGCGACAGCGTAGCTCAGGTATGAGGGTAATTTTGGTAATAATTTTGGATGGATTAACAGTGACTCGCTTCGTAGCGTTGTGGTACTTACACTCGTTGAAAACGCAGGGAGTGCTGTTCATGGATCGTGCTTTCAACTCCGATACGTACTCCGACAAACAACTGTGGCCCAATTTGGAACCAACTCGTTCGTTCTTACCACCAAGCCACTTCCACTTGCCACTTCGTGTCCATTGTTTGATTGTGGCCATTTCAGGTGAGTATAAACTCTTCTGAGAGTGCGAGTTCTCTTCTGCAATTTACCACCATGGCTCATCATATTATCTCCCAGACTACACCCGTGAAGAAGACGAAACCACCTGCAGTCAATAGACGACAGATGTCCGACATAATCGACCGCACTGGCTACCTGACTCCGTCGGCGACTTTCAGCTCGCTACGGCTACACAAATCCACGACTAGGTCATTTGCCACCATCCTGAACGACAAGGAGCTCCTTCAACTGGTAAACCAGTTTCGCGCCACCGGACAGACAGATTACGGTCTTCTCGCGCAACTGCTCAGTCGTGCGAGTGTTCTCATACGCCGTACGTATACACTCCACCAATCGTCTGCTGTACTGACACTTGGCTTTTGTCAAAGTTAAATACGCCAAAGGCAAGGATCTCGTAGTCTTCCGTGACAACCATTCGCGCTCGCCGAAGTACCATCCGAATGACACCGAAGCGGGAGCCCCCGACTTGGTGGGTTTGCTGGAAGCTATCAGCCTCCTTCTTGATGAAGACGACACGGCGCGCATTCCCTGGCACCATATATTAACTATCATCGAAGAAAAAGGCAAGGCCGACAGGAAGGACGGACCACGTCAATCTGGAGCCTATTTGGCGTTCGCGAACCAATCTCGCCCCGACTTGGTTGGGATGTACGGGCTCTCTATCTCACCCGTTGGCTACATCATTCAGTACAGCTGCCCTGCTGGCCTCCAAACGTCCGAAGAATTCCCTTGGTCTGACCTCGTTCCGCTGGTCTCGTATGTCTACACGCTCTACGTTCCTCACCCAGACTTCGCAACCCGAGACCCAAGCGTGACTCTGGCTGATACTGGTGATGTCCTCGGTCCTCCCGCTTGGAATATACGCGATGGCGACAAAGTTTACGAAAACTGTGTTGTCAGAGTCGTTGGAGACCCTTGGCATCGGATGACATGGGTAGCGAAAGTTGGCGATACACCAATTACGATCAAGGACTCGTATCGCGACGTTCATTCCAGCTTTAGGGAAGGCGAGCTGTACGACATCCTCCACAAGGAAGGCCCCGCCCCTGGATTCTTGCGAGTCGAGAAAGAATACGATGTTCAGTGGAAGCGCGGTTGTCCCATCACAGTGACGGTTGAGAGCACCACGCGCATCAAGACTCGACTGATCATGCATACCTGGGGAGAATCCCTGCGAAAATGCCCCAGTCTCGTTGATTTCCTCAAATGCATGTACGACATCCTCGAAGGTGAACCATATTCATATTGGCCTATTTCTCGGGTGCTAAACAACTTACAGCTCACCGCTGGGCGGTGATGGAGCGCAATATCATCCATCGCGACATCAGTCACGGCAATATCTTCGTTCAGGCCGAAGACTTCAAGGGCGAAGATGAGGAGGAATTCAAGGGGACTGAATATCGCCCGATCTTCGTCAACGAGATAATTGAGAAGTACGTTTGTCACCATTGGCTGTCCTGGTTGTTAATGTCTTCGCGATGAATTCAGGCAAGAAAACGCCGATCCCATGGCTCGTCTTGGAGACCTGGACAATGCAGCAGAGTTGGATCGAAAGGCGGCGGTATCACCTTCATTCGTCGCAAGGCGAGACACCATCCATATGAATGATGAACCCTTGCGTTGTCGTACCGTGAGTTCTTCCACGGAGTGCATTGGGAGGCTACTGATTAATCGAACATGTAGGGAACACCGAAGTTCATCGCTCGTTCACCTGCACTTGGCTGTCTGCTTGTGGCTGACAGTCAGTTCCCCAGTATGCCAGAGTTGCCAATTCATCTTGCCGATCGATACGCCCAGGTATACTCCAACGATCGCTCTGGCTTGCGGGCATTCTGTGACGATAGCACCACATGTCATGGGGGTGTTTATACCAAGGAAATGGAAAGGAAGCACAAGAAAAACCGCAACCTGTGTGTAACGCAGTTTGAGCACCGTCCTCGGCATGATGCAGAGTCGGTTTTCTGGTGCATTGTAGTGTTCTTGCTCCTTGCTGTCCCATTGGACAGCGCGCCAGAAGATCCCCTGGCGCTCGAGGATCCCGACAAGTTTGGACTCAACTGCGCATGGAAATACATCGCCAATCACGAGATCGGCGAATCTGAAGATTCGGGAGACAGTAGGTTGAGTTTACTCCGCAGGCCAAGATGGGAAAAGTGGCTACACCCAGAGCTCGCTCACGTTGAAGACTTTCTCCTGGATCTGGCAGATCAAATCAGCCCAGAGTGGGGCCTCATTGAGCCGCCACCTCCCATCCTCCACCTCCACGAAGCGATGCAGCGGATCATCCTCCAATACATCGACCTCTGGAAGACGCAGAACAAGGACGTCCAGTTTGATACAGGGCGAATCCGACCAGCAGAAATCCCGGACAACCGAATAATGCCTCAGGTATCACATAAACCCAGCGTCAACGGACAGCTCATTGCCGCGAGCTCGCTCAGGCCGAAGCGACAGTCGAACCAGCTTGGACCGAAGGAGGAATCCCAAGCAAAGAGTACGAGCTACTAGTTTTCATTTAGTGACTCTATCTGACCATTCTTCTATGCATAGGACGCCGAATCACAATGCAGGGCACAGATTCATACAAGGAAGTCCCTCGGAGCCTCCCGCCATCGCCACGCTTCAAGGGGCGCCGAATAACGAGGCAGGGCACCGAATCTTACGAGAAGGACTCAGCATCATACAAGGAAGTCCCTCAGAGCCTCCCGCTATCGCCACGCTTCCTTCCGGGATGCCAGCTTCCCCTCGAATACTCGTTCGATGCGGATACATTCACGAAAAGCCTTCCTTCCACGCCAGCGTCGCTTTCCACAAATCTTCGTCTCTCACCAACCTTAGATCCGCAGGCACTCGATACTGATAGCGATGCAGAAGCCTGATTCATCTCCGAACGTCTACGCTCTTGATTGCTTTGTTGTATATTTCACGATATCGTGTCGTCTTTCACTATATCTACCTCTCGTGTACTAGTATATTTTGTGTGTGATACATGCCCAATTACTTATATTTCTCCCGCTTGATAGGTGAGGGCAAAGTCGTGGTTTAAGCTACTGCGGCCACTAAAACATAGATGAATTTGAGGACACAGACATCCACGCAACGCGAGAACTATGTTAAGCTTTCATGACCTGCTTTCCATTTGCCGTCTAACCCTCATATTGGCTTAGACTCAGAGCCTCGAACCATTCCCGTCGATTTTCCTCTGTAGACGTGTAGTCCCGGCCTCAAAGACGTACGTGGGGGTGTAGAATTGTGACATGGTGCAGATAAGCATCACGTTATGCGTGTGATCGATGTCTCGTCTTCAGTCAAACCCTGCCTCACTTGTTCGCAGGACTCCGCCAGCATGGATCATATACGCTCAACACACTGAAGGCGCACGCAATGATTAACTTTCTTCGTGGGGCCCGTTTGCGTGGAAGAAAAATGTATTTAAGCTTTGAGGACATACACGGTCAGCACTTCGCATTCTAATCTCTAATCCCCGTCGGTTTATTCAAAACATGCGGCTCTATGCTCATGCGCCACTGTTCAAGGAAGTCTACAACATAAGGATACCAGCAGTCTCCTCGACGCAAACTTGTAATCTCCGAGTCAACCTCCATCTATCCGCCGATCCTCCCTCGGTTGCCAGTTATTAGCTGTCAGTTAGCTATCGTACAAAGCTCCCTTATATACGACCAAGACCATCCAATGATATCCATCTCCTTACTTCGCAGCATTCCAAACCCAAATGTCCTCCGCCCAAGTCAGCCGCACCCCAACGCTCACAAATGATTGCCCGCCCGCAAAAGAAAAGCCCCCAACGTCCTCCCCGTCTTCGTCGTCCATCGTCATCAACGGTCGCATCGAACTCCCACATCCAGACTCTGACAACACAAAAACTGAAGCGCGGCGTGACAGCGAAATCGCCACAGACGGCGAGGTCGAAGGAGCGCTGTACGCATCCCTCTCGCCGCGCCGCAAGCTCGTATTGCTGGGGGTCTTCTGCTCGGCCCAGTTCTTCGACGTGTTCAACGCAAGCGCTGTCCTCGTCTCGTTGCCCTCGGTGGGCACCTTTCCCTTCTCTCACCCCTCCTTCTCTAACATACCAACTCATTTAGCTCGGCGCCGACCTGCACTTCGCCCCGGGCGCCCTCCAGTGGATCCTCTCTGCCTACACTCTGACCTTCGCCTCGTTCATGCTCGTCGCCGGCACGCTCGCCGACATCTTCCACCCCAAGCCCATCTTCTGCCTCGGCTTTGCGTTCGTCGGCGTGTTCAATATTCCCGTCGGCGCGAGCGTGCACCCTGTCATGGCGATTGTGTTCCGTGCGCTGCAGGGGATGGGTGCGTTCATCCTTTTTCACATAGGTTATAGTCTATGTAGGACGGGAGAAGCTGAGCCGTGGCGTGTTTAGGCGCTGCTATGAACGTCCCGTCCGGGATCGCGATGATACGCACGACGTTTCCCGACCCCATAGAACGCAGCGTGGCGTACGCATCATATTCGCTCGCAGCGACTGTGGGCAACATCTCGGGCTTCGTCGTGGGTGGCATCCTCACCGCGCGCACTTCATGGCGTTGGGGTGCGTGATTTCTTCATTTAATACCTCTCTTGCACGTTTCACTCCCTCACCTTATACTCTATGTTCACACTTCTAATGCACGGGCAGTATTAACGGGTATCCAATGCAGTCCACTACCTTTGTGCGATCATGGTTATCCCAATGTCTGTCGCAGCGTGGTTCCTGCTGCCCGCGCACACAACGCCCCCAAAGTCTGAGCGGCGCAGCGTCGACATTCCCGGGGTCCTGACGCTCACAGCCGGGCTCATCCTTTTCGTGTACGCCATCTCAGACGCCGTCGATGCAGGTTAGTAACAGCACCTTTCCTTCTCCCTCTCACTGGAAACAGCTAACGAACTGCATAACCGTATACATACCTATAGGCTGGGCCTCCCCGCAAGTCATCGCCACGCTCATCCTGTCCGTGATTGCGTTTATCGCCTTCTTCATTATCGAGAGCATCGTGGCGCACCCCGCGCTGCCGCCGCGGACGTGGCGGAACAAGAACTTCACCCCGCTCTTCTTCTACGCGCTCAGCCCGTACTGGTGGTGTCTCGGCTGCGAGCTCCAGCTCGTCAGCATCTTCTTAGTACGTCCCATCTCCACTACACTCCAACCAATGCACCGGCTCAACTGCATCTTCATTCGACCCAGAACCTCTGGCACGACTCGCCCCTCATCGCCGCGCTCCGCTGCCTGCCCATCGGCGTCGCGGGTGGCGTCGCGTCCTACCTCATCGGGCGCGTCCTCCCGTACCTCCCCGCGAAATGGGTCCTCGTCGCCGCGCAGCTGCTCACCGCCACGGGCTCCGCCCTGTTTGCGCTGGCGGGCACGCGGGAGCGGTATTGGGCGTTTGTGTTTCCGGGGATGGTGGTGGGGATGCTCGGGCTGGCGAGTGCGTATGTGGGGTGCACGACGGCGGTTATGGGCGACGCGCGGAAGGGAGAGGAGGGCGTAGTGGGCGCTGTGATGTATACGGCGTACCAGGTCGGCTCGACGATTGGTGTCGCTAGTGAGTACATTCTTTCTTACCCTACCATCATTTTTCTTCCAGTATTGGTATTTAAGTCATGTTGATCTAGTTTTGACGTCGATCACGGAGGGCATCAACTCCCGCCAGCCCAATGATCCGATATCCCAGTTCAGAGGCTACGCGGCGTCGTTCTGGTCCACGCTCGCCCTCTCTGGCATCATGTTCATCATTGCGCTGGTATTCGTACGGCGCTAGGGAGCAGTCGACCCCGTATGACATCCTGGCTTCACGCTCATCTGCCTCGGTCGCACGTTTGGCTCTCCTTCCATGGTCTCGTGCTCATAGCAGCCCTACCGTACGCCCTCCCCACTACCCTCGTGCGTCCTCGCGCAGATCTCGAAAAATCGAAATCTTCCTTACTTGGGGGTTATGTATCAATTAGGACGTAGAGCGAGCAGTTATCCACCCTTTCATCATCATGTACCCCAGCCTCGTATTTTTGTACTCCCATCCATAACCCAGCGGCCCAGACGCCTTTTTGCCAGGTAGGGGATAATTGATTTCGATGCCATGCCGAGCAGCAAGCTTCTTCTGGCCAGAGACCATTGGGTAAGTGCCAATCCTTGAGCCAGGCAAATTACCCACCTTCGTGCTCCCCGGCCATGACTATGATCTCGTCGCCCGAACCTATCTCACCTTCTGCCTCCAAACGCTTCATCAGCACGTCCATATTCGCAGTTGAACTTCCCTCGAACACGATTCCGTCGAGACTCGTCGCATTCAACAGCTTCGTCGCAGCCTCCTTCCCTTCCTGAACCCTGCGTACACTCTGCGCGCACACCCAATAGCCTGCACCAAGCAAGTTTCCGCAATTCGGTTCACTACATCTTGCGGAATCTGGGATCCGCCGGCGTTGTCGACGTATATACGACCGGTCTTCAGCATCTTGACGTCGACAAAGCAAGATCGCATTCCCCGCCGTGAGCTGGTGTGTCTTTGAAGAGATCTATGGCGGCAAGGCTGATCGTCTGCGTAGACTCGAAACCCGTCATGGTAGTAAGCAAACACTTATGTTCAAGCCGAAAGATAGAAGGAAACGACTTGTAAGCGCGTCGAGCGCGGCGGAGCAAGACCACAACATTCCCAAAGGCTGTACTTCGCGCCAATGGGAGTGGTTCTATATATAATAAAACCGCTGTTGGTATCTGCGGGGCCTTCCATTATCCCACAAGAAGATTGGAGACATACGCTAGCGTCCCAGCTGGCGGCTGCGAGAAACGATCTGACAGATCACAGAACACGAGTTGCTCTGCGGGAGAAGCATCACAACCCAATCACCAGGTGACTGCAAACGTGCATTGATGGGCGCCTTCTTGATTGTTCTGCGATACGGAACCGGGTTAGCATGAACTCGAGGTCACATATTCGTACGTCCGTGTTATATGTAGCGCCTGATGCATCATGGCCATTTGGATCGCTCGTCGCCGTAGAACCCCGACATTGGACGATGGGTGAGCGGACAACCATGTCCGTACTGCGATGCCTATTTGTAGACATCAACCGTACGTTCTCCCGTGAGGTCTATCTCGGCCATCTGCTGCAAAGTCGACAAATCAAGGCACGGGCGCTGTCAAGCACGATGATGCTGGATCGTACCTTTCGACCACCATGGATCCACTCCCCCTTAGACCGTGAACTCTCGTTGCTTTGATATCGGTCAGAATGGTGGGTGATTGACTATGTTTCGTGGATCGTACCAGAAGTGGGTGAGGCATTTCGCCAATCTGATTGGGATCGACAGAGAGAGCTTGGCTCATAATATAAAAGTAAGAGAAGAGGTCGTTACGGCATACCCTTGGCGATTGGGTGATATCGGACGAAACTTTCCGTCAACATCGGTATCGACGGGAACCTTGCGAGTTCACTTGACAAAACAACAGGGCGTGTCTTTGAAAATAGCGCTATCGCGTCTCGCTGGTACATATGTTTGGTCTTTGCAGTGATGTGATCATGGGCGTTTGACAAGAGACAGTATGTTTCCGGCGATAATCAGCGTGGGCGCCACAAAGCCATATAGCCAAACAAGGATCTACACTCTCACCGTGCACCAACATTCCCAACCTCTATTCTTACCGCGCATGCCATTGGGCCATCAGTCGTTGTTCCAGATGGCCCAGAAGCAGAGCCACCTTAGAAGACATACACTCCATGGAAAGCGGCGCCAGTGCGATCACTATGTTTGGGCTTGGCTTCTCACCAACGTACAGATGGGAATGCTCGGCTGCACAACGTGTAACCCATCTCGCAATAATAACCCACTGCCTTCCTGCCCACAAGCACTCCATCGTACCTTCATGACACTCTCCGGTGAGTGTTCTTCCACCATGCCATCAATCTTCTTCATTTGCTGATGTGTGTCCATGCCAGGAGACATCTCTTGGATACTCCAGAACTTCCGAATTCAATAGAGCGTCGCCGAATAAGAGAAGCCAGCAGACTCTTTCCTGTGAGACTTCCCCCACAAGAACCACTCCTCATTCGTGCAGCGACGACCTACTGCTGCGTGCAGGACCATGGACGCATTCTCATCATTGCGAAAACGCGCCTCGATTACCCTAGAACAGGCTGACGCACTGTAAGTACTTCGCTCTGACTCCACTCCCCAAGGACTGACTCTGCTGCAGCGGTGTCTTGGCCTACGCCTGCACGATCCCCGGGACGATCCTCTGTTTTCTGGTCCTTCTCGCCTATGGTGCCGCCGCTCTGTCTCCGAAGGGAAGGCCACACTTAGACCGAGTCAGCTTTCGGCTCCTTTGCTACTCTCTGTTCTTCAAGTGAGTCTCCGGTGCTTCGTATCGTCGTCGTCATAGCTAACACCCCTCAGCATTCTCTATGGCATAGCCTTCTCAGTGACTGCTGCCCAGACAGGCCCGGGATCGCTATGTAATTTCGGTGCTTTTGCAGTGAACGTGAGTCACTCAGCCGTCCGTTTCATTCGAGTAGCAGCAGTGCTGATCTGTATCCATAGTTCACGCTCAACTTTGCGACGTTCTTCACGACATGTATCGCCATCAACCTTCAGTAAATATCTTTCTCTATGGCCCACATCGCTCGCTCATCTTCTAATTACCCCAGGCTCGTCTTGGTACACCGGGTAAACGGGAAAGCAATGGAGAAATACTATGTTATCGTAGTCTCCTTGCTTAGTATCGTATTGACGGTCCCGGCGTTCGGTCTCAACCAGTTTGGGTGCGTGTTACCTGTCGGCCATCAGATGCCGCCTCTAACGCTGTATTGGCGCCATGCAGATGGGACGAAGCGAATTTCACCTGTTGGTTCAAGAACCCCGACGAGCACACGAAGGTCCAATGGCTTATCGGTACCCAATCTTTCTGGATCGCTCTCGCTGCCACGATCGAGACGATATGCTCCGTAACCGTGCTCGTTTGGATGGCGAAGTTCCAGGTCCGTTTAATTCATTTCTAGCATCCTCGTTGACGTACTCATTGCTCTGCTAGTTGAACACCAGGTTCATCCAGAAAGCCTCAGACCCTAGTTTCTTGCATACGAGCGGCGCGACGGGGCACCGTTCAGAGGCTTCTAGCTCTGCGCAAACCATACTTTCGATCCAGGCCCGCAAATATAGAGGTGTCATCATACGTATCGGTGAGCATGGGTGACCCGAAACATGGTGCTCGATCATACCTAGCTAACTCGAACCTAGCCCTGTATCCCATCGTCTCACTGCTTATCAACTACCCTACGATCGGCTTGGACATCTTCGGGTCCATCAAGGGCGTGCACACCGAACTCGACTACCGTCTCCTCGTCGCCGGTGCGTCCAACTATTCCCCGTTTACCCAGCGTCTCCTGACGGCGCTTTTCAGATCTTGTCCTGTACGGACTGCGCCCATTTGCATACGCCCTGCTCGCATGCAACGATCCAGTACGTGCCATGTACCATCCGTATACTTCTATGGATCGCCCGCTGACCGTTCCTCGATAGTCCTTCGTGCGCGCCGTCCAAGACATCCGCGGTGTGAAGATCCCTTCGTCGGAGTCTTCTGGCGAGACGGACACCATGTCGCGCCCGCAGTTCGCCTCGCAGCGCCCAACCGACTCCACATTCCCTGGCGGCACCGAGCTCACCGTCAACGTAGAGCTCCAGACCGTGTCGCACGGCGACGACGCTAGCATGGACAAGTCGGGCAAGCACGGCATGTTCATCCACGAAGAGTCGGGCATCTCGACTGGACGGCTCGCTGCGAAGGCCGACGCGAGACGGACGTTCACGGATTCGGAGTGGGACGATAAGGCATTCGAGCGTCAGTTGTGAGCGCCCGATCCCATGAGCATACACTTGGATAGATCGTTTTTGAGGAATCTTCGGATCGAGTTTATTTATGATAGCATTTATGTAGTATAACGATGTATCGAGTAACGGTATCATAATGATCTTGTTATAACGCACCTATGAGCGAAGATGGCTTAACGAGGAAGTGGTGAAAATCAATATGCGTCAAAGTAGACATTGCAGGAGCCCCAGTAACTGTCCCTAAGAGCTGATTCTGCCGTCCAGGTGCCGTTTGCTGAGGCGAAAGATCGGGGTATCTGCAGCTAGTTGAAACGAATAGATACAGACAACAAAGGCACTGCCTCCGCTGTGGTTTCCCTTCACCATGAGGACCAGATCGTCCCATGCAGCTTCCGCATCGTTGCTGCCGACGGCGGAGGCTAGATAGGCTCGATTCTCTCAGGCAACCACTCTTCGTCACAAATATGGCATGTGCTACGTACATAAACCTATGTTCGTGCTTTGACTCCGTGTCAGGGTGCGGACATTTATTGCCCACCAGTGGTAAGTCGGCCCTTTCGGAAGTGTACAGCGTACGCATAATAGTTACGCGCCCACGTGATGGCGACAGGACAAACTGATGAAAAAGAAAGAGATGAAGATTGACGGCGGGGATTTGTTTGTGTTAATCATCCGGTGGACTCACAGAAAGGGTGGACTGCCGAATTGGGTCCTGCCAAATCCGTATTCTGAGAAACGTAGCTCACCTTATAGCGGAAATAAAAAATGATCGCCATGGTTGTCTTGCCGCGAACGCGTAGACGGTGTTCCGTACGCGTCGAACGTCGGGGACGTGATTTCGAGGGCTCAGGCGCTCAGGTAGCGTCGGTGGGCGGACGCTCTGTCTCAACGGTGGTTCCAATGCGCCGAAACAATGTATGCCAGCCTCTGTCGATGTCAGATAGATTACTCATGGCGTCTATACACCAAATCTGGATTATCCGGCGTCAGCCAACGACAAGGAGGGAATGATATATAAACCTCACATACGCTGAATATACCCCCACAATTCTTGATCTGCTACCACAATTATCTCTGCTATATCCCACATATTCCACATGCCTTTCACCTGCAACGCTTCTACCCTCGTCGCTGGTTCGACTTCCTCAAGTTCATCGCCATCGCCATCCTTTGATTCCTTCAGCTCTGGCAAGACGGTCGCCTGGTGGAAGGAGAGCTCATTGTCTCCCTCCCCGTCCTCACACTCGGAGGCGTCGGTCCCCCCATCAAGATACGGCGGGCTGCAAAGGTCGATGGCGATTGGCCGCAAGCGTGGTGCTGAGATCGCTCGCCGATGGAGCGATTCGAAGGGCGTTATTTATGTCTAGGCGTTTATTCAACAACAAGAGGCGTGAGCGGGTGGCAGCACCGGTTTGCGTCTCGGCGGTTTCGTGGTTTCAAGAGGCGTGCAACTTTCATGGCCGGCCCAGCAAGTTGCAGCGATCGTACTGCTTCGCGTGTGTTGCAATGCCTTCCGTACGCCGTGGCTGACCTCGCGCGAGCCAGGGACTTTGTCAGTTGTAGGTTCGGCGGCAAAGCAAGGTCGACTTCAAGATGGGACTGGTAGCTGGTAAGTACGAAGGTAGGTCATTGTGTTGGGAGGTGTGTGCCTCTCCTGATGAGTCCGAAAGGACGAAACACTTTTCTCCTATATTCTGTTGCACGACTGACCGCTTGTAGAGGACGAGTGGCTCACTTACTATTGCTTCCATGTTCGATTTTGTATATTTGGCAATTCTGTGGGCTAGGAATATACTTCCGTCTTCATCATTTTTGACACCGTTCGATGTCTACGTCGATCCCGGTGAGTTACAACGTTGGCTTTCTTCGACTTAAAGACCTTCCGACATGCACTATATGCAATACCTTTCAATCGGCACTTCCACTCCAAGTCACACCGTAAAGGAGCGTAGTAGCACTTCACAATGCTGTTAAAGGCCATTCGGTGAATAACGAATCAATAAGTGGCTGCAGTCAGTGTAGTCGACTCGAAGCGAAAACCACCGGATTTCTTCACCTAACTGAATGAGGATAGACGTGATGCAGGCTGAATCCTGCAGAAATACTTGAGTGGTATTCCTAGCGGTGACATCGGTCCTGATGGCTACCCGTAGCATCGACGGTGGGATGGACTTAGATATTCGCATGCTGTTCTCCTCCGGACGTTATATATCTTCGCCCAAAGGCTTCACATTCCTCCCTCCCTTCCCTACCTTCGGCGACGGCAGCGTGTTCTTTAAAGGGCTAGCTCCCTCTCGCGCGTTTTCCCGCCTCATCAGCTCGATATACGCCCACCGCTCCTCCGATACCATAGCCAATATGTAGGAGGCAGCGCGAGGAGCCTGGCGCCGTAGAAGCCGAGCCTCGGGTCTTGTGGTTTGACTTTGGGTTTGCGTTCGGCGTAGGTTTCGTATGCGGTGTCGGAGATGGGAATGGAAGTGAATATAAGCGGTAGAAGTCCGAGAAAGCGGGGACAGGACGACGGTGGGGATGGTTGGTGTACTCAAATGACGCTGATAGGTAAGCGTAGAAGGAGCCTTCTGGGGAGACGACCGTGATCTGGGGCATATTACTGGTCGCGAAAAGAGCTGTCCGCGCGACACGAAACGGAGGGCAAAGAACGCACCCGCTCGACCCAACAATAGACTTTATTCCGGGCGGGCTACTGGGCAGCCGCAGCCACGCGACGTCTCGCGACGGATCCCACATATCCGTCACGGTATTAGGAAGGTAACAACCAACGGAGTGAGTCGGCGTCTTGGACAGTCGCATCGATTTCCGCCATAGGGACGGCCTTGGGAGTATGAGAAAGGATGCACTCGGTCGAGAAACATGATTATGTACGCACGAGACGCCGCTACGGCCATGAGCGTTGAACGCGATGCTGTGTATCCTCGCATCTGAGGGAATTGTCAAGATTGAGAAGAGGAGCGTACCTTAGTATTGACTATCTGCAGCTTTCGAGGGCTGGATCCCAGCACGTCTGCGCATGCGACCCCAACCAGGGCGAGAAGAGAAGAGAAGTGCAAAATACCACCTCAACTATACCGCGCGCCCCGTTGTCTACGAAGTCCACTAGACAACACCTCGAGGCGGCATATCCTGTAGAGCGAGCTAACTCATAGTATCGACCCTCCCAAATGGCGGGCAATTCATGATGCACGATGCTGTATCCCTTCCGCGTTCCAACTGAAACGCATTTTTTCTGCGACCTGGCATTAGCTCCCATTTTATTTTGTGCGTTCGAAACTCGAAGTAAGCGGCGCACGAGTAGTGTTGGCTGGAGTTGGCGTAGAGGAGATTAGAGTTCGCCATCCTCTGGCGCTGAGAATTGCAGACGGTATCGTAGAAGTAGAAGATGGCGACAGGAAGGGGCGAAACGGGGACAAGCGCTCCTTGTCCTTGTCAGTGTAGGCGCGAAATCGTATTCGCTGGTGTGAATGCGAGGACTGGGAATGGTGTGTTCCCACCAAAAGACGAAGTAAGAAGGAACGAATGAACGGGATCCGAACGCCACGTGACGAACGGAACGGAGGACGGAAACGCGACCAAGCAGCGCCGCGTGCGACTGCTGGACTCGACTTTCGCAACGCAACGGAGGGAAGGGGAAACTTCTTCTTGTTGTTTATAGGTAGATGTAGGTACTATATATACTGTAGGTAGATGTAAATAAGCACGCAGAGTGTGCATGTATAATCTAGTAAGCTAGTACCTAACAACGAATGCGGCCGCAGCTGATGACGGACCGAAACAAGAAGTAAACGAAGCGATAGTATACGTACAATAAACCATGAATCAAGGCTCGAACAGGGTGCCAACCCTACATCAGTTGTGATCGTGCGTATATATCTGTGACTGTGGGACATATTTCTTTGCTGGTGTTAGTCGTCGACCTAACAATCCCTGAGCGCAGTAGTAGGAGTGCAGTAGGCCTCGGGCCTCATCTGCCGAACGAACATTCTCGCTGTCAGATCTCAAACAAGTGTCGACGCCGCAGTGGAGTAACAAAATTATGTTCATCTACCATTGTACTAGCCTCAAACGTTCAACGTTCAATTTTTTGACGGGCACACTCACCTCCACTTCCACCTTCTCCTCGCCTCCTCCACCCTTCACTCTACCATCGACGGTTCACGCGTTCACGCCTTGACAGAGGTCGGCGCAGGCACAGTGGAGACAGGTCGTGCGCAGCAGCAGGCTTCGCAGTTTTGGCATTTGCGCGCATACCGGCTCGCGTGGCGTATCCTTTCCCCGTATTTCCAAAACAAAAAAAAACGGCCTACATACACGAAACCCCGTCAGAATGAATTCAGGATCCAACACCGTGCGACGAACGTGTATAATTAAAATTCCAAGGTGCGGGAGTAAACGTGCACGATAGAGGTGGAAGGGCGAGGTAACGGCAGTTAAAGGTATCAGTGGAAAAGTAAGAGTCAACCATCAAAAGAGACTTAGCTGAGATTGCAGTGGTGGAATCCATATACGCAACGCTGTCAAAGGATACCACGTCGAATGAACCGCTCCTAGACTAGCCATTCACTCGTTCGCCAGCCTCCGAAGCGCCTCCTACCTCTGCGCCACCCCTCCTTTGCCCAGTCGCGCGTTATCACCTACTTGCCCGTGTAGTCTATAACACTTCTTACTTAGATGTTGGCGTATCCACTGGTTGTAAGGGGTGGGTAGACTGGTATTCGATACAGTGGCGAGGCCAGCGAGACGTATTGCGTGAGTACTTAAGTTCCTGGATCGAGGCGAGATCGGAATTTGGGGGCACGGCGCGGGGGTGCAATTCCGAGATCTGAGTAACCAGTCCTGATCGCTGATCACAGTTAATGATGCCTGATGCCTGATGGATCCAGCCTGGATCCATCTCCAACGCAGGGCGCGCCTTGCACATTGCATACCAACCGGTACCGGCCTGCATAACCGACCTGCATAATCGACCTGCCCAGCGGAAGGAGATCGGCCTCTTCTCTTCCCTCAGCAGCAGCAGAAATCGGGCATCAATTGTGCATCAGTCAAATGTCTCTTTGACAACCTGACAAGACGACATGAATTTGTTACCAAGTTGTACCAAGTGGCGCGGCGGCGTTCGGGGCCTGGAAGCTGGCGCCTTAGCAGCGCGAGATTTGTATGATGCATGATGCATGATGCATGATGCATGATGCATGATTGCACATTTGATCGACTGATCGCATTGATCAGTGATTGGCCTTTGCACCACTAAAGTAAGTAAGTACCCTTTGCACCCCCTGTATCTGTATCGCATTTTGCATTTTCAGGCGGCCCTGACAGACGCAACGATGGTATATAGCATATGATAGATGGCGATGCGCGATGCCCCCACTCTTTCGCCCGTCCCCCGTTTCCCGTTTCCCGTTCCCCGAGTTGAGGCCGCAGCTCGTCTCGTCGCAAGGAAAGAAAGAAAGCGCAAGGAAGGAAAGCAAAGCAAAGGCAGGAAAGGAAAGCAAGGATGTTGCCCATGCCGCCGGGCCAGACGCTGGATAACACGCTGGGGTCGCTGTACGTCGGGTCGCTGTGCTCAGCAGTGTACGTCTCCATCTCCCTCTTTCTGTCCTTGTCGTCTGCGTCTTCGTCTTCGTTCTCGTTTTAGTTTTTGTCGGTTGGTTGACCCCGGTACAGATTATATGGGGTGACGAGCATACAGACGTATGCGTACTACCACTGGTTCTTCAAGCGCGATTCGTGGGTGCACCGCATCGCCGTGGGCCTGCTGTGGTCCCTCGACACCATCCACTTCATCCTCGTCGTCCACGGCGTGTACTACTACTGCGTAGAGAGCTTCGAGAATCCGCTCAAGCTCCTCACTCTTGTCTGGTGCGTCCGCCGTCCACCTCTCTACCACTCGAAACTCGGGACTCGATGCTCACGACGGTGACGGTATATAGGTCCATGAAGGTAGGCTGCCCCGCTCGTCGGATGTCCGCGTTACGGACCGTATTCGCAGCTCCAAATCGTGATCAACGTGGTCGTCATCCTCCTCGTACAAGGGTGCGCTTCCCCGCCTCCGGAATCCCACATGCTACTGATGTTTGAACGGCGAATGGCAGATTATACGCTTACCGCGTCTGGCTACGCAAGTCCCCTCCCCTCCTCCTTCCCTCACCCTTGTGTGTTAACAACAACGTGATGCAGTTGGCGGGTACCACAACCGGATACTAGCCTGGATCGTCGTACGTCCCCTCGCGCTTGTCTCCCGCCGCTAATGACCACAATATCGCTGCGCCTAGGTATTCATAACCGCAGGCGGCTTCGGTTCGTCCCCCCCCTCCCCCTTCTTCCCTCTCGATGTGCGCTCATACGGACATGACTCCGCTGCCGTTGCATAGCCGTCGGCATGGCGCTCGCGCACGCCGTGTATACCCTCACCTTCGTCTCGGATCACGTGCGGATCAGCGTACGTCCCCTCCCCCCTCCCATTCTACGCACACGCATACGCACACGCACGCACGCATTTGTTCATTGGATCTCTCTTTTTGATTGTGTAGTGGGCCATCATCGCCTCCCTCGCCACCGCGACGTTCGTCGACTTCTTCATCGCGGGCGCGATGGTGTACTACCTGCGCCGGAGTCGCGGGCTGCAGCAGCGGTGCGTCCCTTCCCCCTTCCCCTTCTCCCGTTCCTCGTATTCCTTGGATGGCTGACACGATGGTGGCGCTTTGTAGCGTGAACTCGAAGATCTCGACGATGATGCAAATGTCGCTCACCTCGGGCATACTCACCAGGTGCGTATCTTCCTCCTCCTCCCCTCCCTCCTCCCTTCCCCCTTCCCTCCCCCATTCGTCCCCCTTTCTTCCCCTCTCCTTTGCGCATACCTGCTAGCTGACGGCGCCGGATGTCCGTTATCTGTGATCTGTGATCTGTGGTTCTGTGGTCTGGTGCAGTGCATGCTCGACCGCCGCGCTCATAACCGTACGTCCCGAGTGCCGCGTGTCCTGCACGCGGTGCAACTATAGCTAAGCGGCTAAGCGGCTAAGCGGTGCTTGTAGTACGTCGCCCTCCCCAAGACGCTCATATTCATGGGCATCGAGTCGTTCCTCACCAAACGTGCGTCACACTTCGCCCTCCTCCTCCTCTTCTTCTCCACACGTTGCTACTTACACTCGATTCGCAGTGTACATCAACTCGTTCCTCGCGATGCTCAACGCGCGCGAGCGCCACCACGACCTCGCGCCGCACCACTCCGAGCACCACTCCTCCCACACGCACTCCTCGAGGCTCGGCGTGTCGGTGCACATCCACAGCCTCAGCAGGCCCGGGGGCATCAGCACCGCGACGACCGCATCCAAGTCGGATAGCTCGGTGCGTCCCCCTTCCTTACTCCTCTTATTTTCTGTTAATTGGGGATATCCTAACTGATTGTCTGTTGTCTGTTGTCTATGGTCTATTGTATATTGTTATTTAGAACCCCCGCACGTCCCTCTCGCTGTACAAATCCTCCCTCGCGCCCGTCTCGCCGCTCGAGTCGCAGATGGAGCTGACCTCCCTGGCCGACTTCTCCGACGCGCACGATGTGCACAGGAAGGGCCGGGATGTCCTGGACATCAAGCATAGCGACGAGGACAGGGATACCGATGCGGATGGGGATGGAGAGGGAGAGGGAGAGGGAGCGCGTAGAGGGAAGGACGGGGACAAAGACAAGGTGTACTCGTGGTGAACGACCCGCCTCCGACTACGATCAGCCCCGGACGACCACTTACTCGCTCGGCGCAACCTATCTGCTTACAAGTTACCCGCCCCGTTTTCTCTGGATTCCGTTCGTTATCGTCCGTGGATATTTATTTCCGTGTTGTATGGAGTGCTGCATATGCATATGCGTATACGTATATCGTGTTTAATGTACATAGACTAACTCTAACCTCTGACCTCTAACCTCTAACCTCTAACCTCGTTTCGTTTCCTTCGTGAATCGTGATCGTGATCGTGTTGTTTTATACTACTACTTACCTCTCGTATGGATATATGGATATGGATTTGGGTCGCGTTTGTGACGATGGAGAGTATTTGATACTAGATTTTGGCGATCTGGGTAGTACAGGGGTACAGGGTTACAGGGGTATGGGGGTACACGTGACTACGCAAGATTACATAGGGCTACCAGCCGTGACCGTAGATACGGTTTATACGTAGCCGTCTTACGGGCTCCGTACCGTACCGTTGACGTTGAATGTACTGCTTGTTACGGACGTAATGCGTGAGGAATCTTTGCCGTATACGGGTCAGGGACTTGGGCTGTATACGGCGAGTACGGGTCAAGGCGTGTGAAACCAAATGGTAGATGCGTGGCAGACCTACGCGGGCTTGAACTCGACGTCGTCGGTACCCTGAATAGCACCGAACTCGAAAACTCCGCGACACGACCAGGCTCCTAAAACCATCCGCTCGTATCGTAAGTTTTTTTCGAGCACGTGACGGGCGCTAAGGCGCCGTAAACAAGTACAACGTCAAGCGTACTCGAAAACTTTCGATAGAGCGGCTGGCAAAATATGCAACCGAGAACGCCGACTTTGTTCCCAGCCCGCTTGTTGTAACCCAGTGGTCACTTGTGACAGTTATCCAACGGCAGACGTCGGCAGACTCGATTAGTACCAATTGGGATAAGTCACGCAACACTAAGCCATCCCCTAATTGTTATCTCCTGCGCTGCACATCCACCCACCGTATCACCACAAATGTCCAATGTAGATATTCCGTTCAATCAGTGATGTAGATATATGATACAGATATAAATCTATTGATGGGATTTTGATAACCACACTTGAACTGATGGTTTTAACCACCCCGCAACTGAACAATGTGCTGAATACCCTTCGCGATGACTTCAATACAAGCCCTGGTGAAGTCTTTCTACTGTTCCTTTGCAATACTGCAAACGGCGAGGATCAGCGTGGCGTTTCCGCCGGCATAATCGAGTACGCACCCAAGATCTTGACAGCCATGGAGAGCCATCAGAGCTTATCAAGAGTGTTCTTTGATAAGGCGAAGGAGTTGGTTGTTTGCCGGTGTACGAACGAAGTGGCTGAGCTGTCATTGAAAGTACATAACGGCCATTTCAATGCGAAGACTATGACGGAGGAACAAATTCGTGCGTACAAAGTTGGAGAGGCAGTCGAGAAGACGAGCCGACTGGCTCCAGTCTTATGGCAGTTTTTGATGTCACTGCTCTCGTCAGATGAAGACATCAGGATCCGAAGGATCGAACTTGCACGGCGACGACACGAAAAGCGATCAGGTAGCGAACGAAAGACTGAACGATCTGGCGATATTGAAATGAGCAACGATGGAGGTGAAGAAGGAGGGGAAGAGGACAACGATGATGACAGATACTTCGAGGATAGCAATGATGAATGGGACGATGGAATCGATCAGGCAATGGGACGTCGACAGAAGCTGATGAAGATCGTAAGTACGTGTCCCTGCAAGCCTGGTTTGAAGCGCTTACCAGATTATTTAGCGTGGCCTTCTCTGCGCCAGTATCTTTCTAAAGAGTACAAATCAGCACTGCAACGCCTTTCAAAGTGTTGTTGGAATGTTTCTAAACGCGACGAATACACCAGAGACTGTTCGAGAGTTCCTCTCTTCGTTAGGTGTCTCGATTACAACGTCATCGATTAATTTGGCCGTTCAAAGTTTGTCAACGGGCGCGCGAAAGCGAATGGAGGAGTTGGGGAGGTCGTTTCGTGTGCTATTTGCATACGATAACCTGGATATGGAAATGAAGCAATCAGTGCCGACTGTAGAGACCGAACAAGACAACCTTGTCCATTTGACGACAGGCACCATGCTGCCTCTCCATCCAGACGTTACGCAAGAGGATCTTGATTGTTCGGAAGAATTGTGGGAACGCTGCCCACCAGGAAAGCCGTCGGGCGTACCATGGATGAATCTCGCGAAGATTCATGCCAACCCAGCAGACAGCGAGGGACTCCTTCAACGCGACCGCTTCAATCGGTGGAAGTTCCTCTATGACCTGGTACACCATGGACCTGAATACTTCAGGCAATTCAAAAGCAATCTTGGCAGTGCGGAGGTCCTGAAGGCCGTCAAGCCTCACCGGACATTCCAGGTGCCCAATCGAACATTAGATCTTGCTCCGAGCACCCCCGCAACCAATGCGCGAGCCATCGAGGAGTTACTGGCACAGGCAGGAATAGAAGAGCCTAAGGAAGGAAGCAATGCCGTCAACATAGGAAACCAAGTACTACTTATTTCGGGGGATTTACTCACTGGCGAACGGATTCGAAGCTTGCTAGTTTCACGATCAGAAGAACGAACGCCATGGCGGCGTATGCAGTTTGTCGTATATGTAATGGGGTTGTTCCACCTTAAAATGGCTGCTGCGGAAGCAATCTGGCGAATCTTTATTCGAGACAAAAATGCACGGCAGGACAAGACAAGTCTAATGGAACTTTTGAGCCAAATCCGACCACAGGAAACAGGGAAACTTGGAAGCAAACCGGGGTTTCGTCGAATGCACGAGGCGATCGAACATATAGGAACAGTCCTTCGTCTCGATTGTTGGAGGCTTCTGGCGGTAGAAACCAACGAAGATTGCAAATCGTTAGATGACCTTGCGGACCAAAAACCTGAATGGAAGGAATTAGTTGAAATGGCGACAAAATTGTGCCGAACACAAGTTGCTGCCCCTGATATAGAGGAGACGATGCGCAGTGCAGACGAAGAGGAGCGCGATGCTCAGCATGAGAATAACTTGATACGCCAGCAATATTTCTTGCTGTACGAGGAGTTATCGTATGGGATGAATCATGGGGATATCGACCGTATCGAGTCGTGCTTCGTGCCTTGGATAATGATCTTCGCGGGCTGTGGAAAGCATAAGTATGCCGCCGAATTGCAGTGGTACCTTGAGGACGTTCACTTTCGCTATCCACCTGGTTTGAAGTAAGTCCGCATAATGTCAACTTTACGAAACGGTACTCACCAGCGACGCAGAGAGGCCGTTCGGAATAATATACTCTGCAACCCCACGGGGGAAGCAGGGAAATTCCGTGGAATTGACTGGCTTGTTGAGCACAATAACCTGTATATCAAGGTTAGCCGTCACCTCTGTACTGTGTTTGCAAGTCCTAATCATCTGCCGTTAGAGGATATATGGAGGAAAGTATTCGAACCATACAAAAGAGCATATCATATCGCAATCCCCGCTCATCCAGGTCTATAAAGACACTAGGATGCAGTTCGAACAAATGTTCTGCTTGGAGCACAAAACTATACGACACTCTCCCCCGAAGATGACAAAGACATTTCAAATACTTGCCGAATATATGAGAAAAGAAAAAGTAAACGAAGTAGTCCGCGGTCGAAAAACAAAGTATATGGTACCCGACGTAATGGGCGAAGGATTAGCAACCGTTTTCAAGAAACGGGGATTAAGTAATCTAGTGGAGGATGGAGAAGACGAGGAGTTGATTGAGCTTCAAGACGATGGTGGATTGGACTTGTAGGCAGTAGCGTCTGAATGAGGTGTAGTCGTCGAAGCGTTTGGATTAATCGGGTGATAGTAAAAGCTGGTGGGAATGTTAACGTTGGGGGGATGTAATGCGGTTGCATAGTACTGCTGTGGAGCAAGGTAAAAGTGGGGTGGGAGATAAGGCGTGGCGTAGCTGTATTGCGGCGGATATTGGGTCATCGTAGGCGTGCCCTGCGGGGGCGGGACAGTGGTGGGGGGATGGCTCGTGCTTGTAGATGCGGTGTTCTCCTTATCGGCGGCTACAGGGTTTGCGAACCGCTCCTGTTGATACAAAGGGCACTTGCGGTTTGTTTCTACCAGAGAAATGTGAATACAAAAGAAAATAGGCAAGACACCGCTTACTTATGTGGCCCGTTCCCCCGCAGCGCCTGCAACGAAGCTCCTTAGGTTTCGACGGCAAGGGAACTTCAGAGGGAGCAGTGGATTGTGTTGTTGTCAAAAGTGTTGACGGTGCTGGTGCACTCTTTGTTGGAAAAAATCTGTGAATTAAGTCGAGGAGTTCCGTTTTGTGTTGACCCGCCCAGTCAACGTCCCAGCCCGTCTCTTTGTCTAACTGCTCTAGCGTTGTGAGTTTCCCCAGAGCCGCACAAGCGATGATCCGGGCAACGATATCGTTTGTCATGAACATCTTGGCGCCGTACATTTGTATAATTGTTGCGCCCATTTCAGCAAGGGCATGGGTGTTTCGCCACTCGAGCAAGGCTGTGCGAAATGTGGAAGCAGTAGTCGACATCGTAAACTTCTTGATTGAGGATTTCTGAGGTGCGCGTTTCGGTTTCACGTACAGGACGGAGTACTGCGTGAATGCCTCCGGGGTACAGATGAAACAGCAATCACCTTTTGGTGGGGGACAACAACGACGACAGCCTGCACTATCGTTGGGGTCACAGGCAAGGTGCGTGTCATTGCCTTTTTAGGAATAAAGTTACTTCCAACCTTGGATAACCAGCGGCAAATGGACTTACTGCGTCTGTCGTTGCCGAAGAATGTTGATGGGATTATCCGCTGGCAGCACACGCCTCTGAGGTGAGCGTTGATGTAGTCGTCCATCGGACTTCCCAGGTCGTTCCCCCTTGCCAATCTCCCTTTACCAACCGCAGAACGATCCCCCAGATTTCCTCCCTGCTTTTGGTACCTCTTTCGACACTCATTGGGATCCATCGACACCGGTGTGTGTAGTTTGCTAGGTGTGGCGGTAACATGTGAGCTGTCAACTGAATCAGCCATGTCAACCTCCATCAGATCGCCGTTTGACGGCTCGCATCTAGACTCCGTTGCCGCTTGCTGTCCAACGTTGGAGGTGAGTGCACGCCGCTTAGGTGTGGGGCCATTCTGGTTCGTCGCCTTACGTTTCGAGCTTCCCCGTTGACCATTTTCGTCATCCAGATCTTTCTTATCAACCAGAAGGATTCCAACACCGGTTTCCCCCTTCCCCCTCGCTGCACGCCCAAATCGTTGGAATAAAGTATTCAGACCGCATGTTGCACGCCATTGGACTACAAGCTTGATGTCTGGTAAGTCCATCCCCTGGTATTCTATTGGTTAACTCAGAGTCCAACAGTAGTAAAGAATTACCCTACCATGCCGAACGCATCAGTCGAACAAATCCCCCAGACTTCATCCTGTCTGAACTTCTCGAGCTCCTCTTCGCGGTAAGCCTGTGTCATTGTTGAGTGAAAGTATTTCACGCGCAGCTGATTTCCGTTATGAAGCCGTTTACGCAGAACGTTGCGAGCCGCCTCCGCCTCTTTGATATTGTCAAAGAAGACAATGAACTTGCCAGGGGACTCGTCGCAATATGGGTCGCCCTTTAAGAGAAACTCGAGGTCCTTGAAGCTGTTTGCTGGGTATACCAACGGCTGGACGAGTAGCGAGACCTCTGGCCGGTCATTCGACTGCAAGATGTATTTTGTACTACTCTCCCGCAGCCGTAACACCTGTGATATCTCATGGAGAACCGATTTCGGCAACGTTGCTGATGCGACATAAAACGGGATGTTCTCAGCAGACCGGATCGTGTTGCGTAGTATGCCCAGCTGAGTGTAACCTTTCCTGAATTTTCCCCATTCACTGATGCAATGTCCCTCGTCGAAGACGACTTATTCTATGTCCGATCAGTGCGCCGTTGGTCCAGACGGCGAATTACTCCCCGCCTCTCAAATACAGTGGTATCATGACCCTGATGATGCTATGGCCCTGCCAGTACCACAGGAGAGAGAAGAACCTCGTACGTACGCAACTAGGTGACATTGCTTTATTCTGATGCTCCCTATACAGAATTAGGGCGTACGCGTGGTGGTCGAATTTCGCTGAAAATGCAGGACGCCATCTCCGCTCTTCAGCTTGACGACGACGGTAATCCAGATCCAGCATTGCGACGCCCTCCACGCTTGCGAAGCGGTCCGTCAAGAAACAAAACCACCGCTTCTTCCAGAGCTACCGCTGTCATCAGTAATACGGACAATGATGAAGATGAGGATAAAGACTATGAAGACTGCCCGCCTCTCATTGACATAGAGGACTCAGATGACGATGATGACAACCTTGTCTCAAATGCGGAGGTAAGCTCGTTATTGATCACTCATCAGGTGTACTGATTCTATCTCACTTACTATAGATCGCTGATATGCTTCCCACCAAGGCGGTACTCGCTGCGTCCCTCAAGTCTCGTTCGCGGAAGCGTAAGCAAGCTATGAAGGCCACCGTCTCCCAGCCAAAGCGTGTCCGTGAGGATCAGCCAGTGCTCGGGAGTGGATCAACTAGTGGTGTTAACCCAGCGACGCTGAATGCGAAACCAAAGGTAGATACCAGTTCGCTTCAGATGGCCGATGCATAACTAACATTGATTAGGCAAAGCGTGGCGCGATCTATTTATTCTACGAGCAAGTTACCACCGATGCAAACGGCAAAAAGAATGATGGGGACCAGTACTTCAAATGCTTTCACGGTAATCGCAAAATACTCAAGATCACAGCAGCGATGAAAGGCAATACAAATGGTGAGTACTTTAGAGTATATTTCTCATACACCGCTAATAGTAAATAGGTTTAACCCAGCACTTGAAGAACTTCCCTCTCCTGTACAAATTCTACGAGGTTCTGAAGCTACGGGGCGCTGATGGAGTCATTACTCCAGATGAAGTGAAGATCGCCAACGGAACAGCAAAAATGGATGCCGATGCCATGGCTAAGTACGTCTCCGGGCTTGAGCAAGAGTCTGCCAGCATTATGGCTGCGTTTCGACGCCAATTAGAGAAGGATAAAGTATGTCACGCTCGTCCGCATTGACACCATTACTTATTAATTTTCTAGCCGACCTGGGATCAGACATCGTTTGAATCACTGCTTGCTGATTGGATGGTTTCTTGCGACCAGCCATTCACCGAGGTTGATCGCCCCGAGTTCCGCAAGCTTCTTGAGTTTGTCTCGTATCACAGCGGCAATACAAATCCTCTCCATATCCCACACCGAACATCTATCCAGGAGAAGATCATGAAACGAGGTGCCGAAGTGATCTCGGAAATGAAGGAGATGTTTTCGGTGAGAACAGTCCTTCACTTTGACACGCAACCTCACCGTGCATTTGTAGAGCCTTGAGAGCAAAGTCTCGATCTCTTTAGATGCATGGACATCAAGCAATCAGTATGCTTTTTTAGCCATTGTCGCCCATTATATAACTAATGATGGTGTTCTCGGTGAGTCCGCCCACTTCGTTGATGTCACTTTCTAATATCCAATAAGAGGAAACACTCATCGACTTCAAGGAGATGATAGGGGAACACTCAGGGGACAACATGGCCGATGCCGTTTGGGGGACACTTGAGAAATATGGGCTGATCGGTCGTGTACGTGAAGCATTCTCTCTACGAAATCAATACTAATTACTTACAATAGACTATGGCATTCGTTATGGACAATGCCTCAAATAACAACACTCTTATGGATGCCTTGCAACGGAAACATGAGGCACTGGGCCTTCAATTCTCAGCTACCGATGCTCGCCTCCGGTGTCTTCCTCACACTATACATCTGGCTGCATTGAAGGTATGGATTCTTCTCCGCACTTAATTAAGAAACATGAGCTGAAATATTGTAGCTCCTGGAAGGTATCGGTGCTATATCCAAAAGCGAGAGCGCACGGGCTGCAGGACATAGTGAGGACTATCAAACAACGGTCTCCTCTCCTGATAGCAGGGATGTGGATGACGATGCTGTGTTCCGGGAAGACAACGGCACTGAAGAACTTGATTTCTCATGCGCAGTAACAAGGGTACTATTCGTTATCTATAAGTGATTGTATTAATAGACTGAAATTGATTAGCTTCGCCGGATTGTACGCTCAGTACGATCTAGCCCTCAGCGCCGAAAGTCCTGGCTTAACGACGTCTCTTTGTCACTTCAAAAGTCTGGATCACTCAGATCATCACTTCCGTTAATGTTAATCCTCGATGTTAAGACCCGCTGGTCTTCGACACATCAAATGATCCGTAAGTTACAATTCACATCTCTGCATGCTTAACTATTTATCTCTATTACTCTAGGCCGTGCGTTAGCATATAGAGAAACCCTTAGTGACTTCATAGGAAAGACAGTGAACCGGGACCTGCTGCAGTACGATCTCACTCCGGCTCACTGGGATGCAATTGCGCTCGTTGAAATTTGGCTGCGGAACTTCCATGCTGCCACCGTTCAGATGTCAGCAACCTCCAAGCCGATGCTCTCGCAAACCTTTGCCGTCCTTCGAGGACTTCAAGAAACACTACGAGACACCATTCGGACACTCCCAACAGACACCCCGACACAGCTCCGTGATGCACTAGTGGACTCTCACTTGAAGCTCAGTGAATATTATTCAAAGATCGATGAATCTCCATACTATATGTGGTCTTCACGTGAGTAGTTTCTTCGATGCACTATAGTATTAACCATTCTGATCATCGTGCTTAGTCCTTGACCCACGGATTTCTTACGACGGTCTCGCTGAAGACTTCAAGGAGTCCCCTGAGCTCCTAAAAGACCTTAAGGCCTCGAAATCCAAGCTCGAAGCTTACTTCAACCGACACTACAAGAAGACTGTTCCGATCCCCTTGTCAGCAGCAAGCTCTGCTCAGTCGGTCACCTCGGAGGGTTCCGAATCATCTGAAGTTCAAGTTGACTTCATGGCACGCTATCGGCGCAAGGAACGTACGACTATAAATGAATTGGCCGAGTACTGGAAACTCCCACAAGAAGATATGGATTCTTGTGATCCAATAAACTGGTGGTATACCCGCCGTTTTCAGTTCCCCAACCTCTACTGCCTCGCTCGTGATCTGTTGGGCATTCCAGGTATGTTCGCATGCTCACCTGCCTTCACACTAACCAATTTGACTGGTAGGCTCTGCCGTCGCTGTAGAACGCATATTCTCGGCTGGAAGGGACACCATATCTCTTCGGCGTGCAAGTCTTAAACCTCAGACCATCGAGACACTGATGTTACTCAAGCAGCGCCTTCGCATTGCTCGCCACAAGGTCTCCAATTAAGTAGATATGTACAACTACATAATGCGGGAGAAATAGTTATATTGGTTATCGTAATTACGGTCGTATCACTGTACAATGTCCGTACCGTACCGTCTTGGTAATCTGCGGCAAGCGTATACGGATGGCTGAGTCCTATCATTGCCCGTACTTAGGGCGTAATCATACGGCCGTGACCGTATACGGTACGGGTAACAGCCCTAAGATTACATCGAGCGCCCGTGTACTTTTTCTTCGTGTGTCTGCTTGAGTCGGGCCAGTCAAACGCGATACATGCACTCGATTACTTGAGTATTGCGCGCCCTCAACAGCTTATTCTAACATGCGATGCGGTTCCGATGGCCTGCGCAATCTAGCAAGTTCAGTGTAATACTCACCAACGCCGACACTGACGTTGTCCCCGTCGTCGAGCACGGTCGCGTGTTCTCAACCCGAGTATAGACGGTTCAAGCTTCAACCACCATTAACCATGGAATCTGCCACCTATCCAGAACTGCCGCTGGAGATCTGGTGCATTACTCTCAGGTGATACACGGCTGACCAAGGCAACAATATCCTGTTCATCCGGGACGTAAACCGGCTGTTCTACGACGTCGCGATGAACCATTGGTTCGAGAGGCTGGATCTGCGGGATCTGAACGCGGGCGGCTCATTTGAGCTCCAGCGCATCCGGTATGTCTTCGTGTACGGTCAGTGTCAGATCTGCACTCACGATCTACGTGTTTTCCTCGCGTCCCTCCTCCCTCAGAGATCCGTGGCTGACAAAGCGACTGAAATGGATATCCCTCTCAACGTGGACTCTTGTGCAGATACTCACGGAGGAGTGCTATCGCTCGGAAACACTCAGGAACGCGGCTAAAACGAACGTGTGCGCTGGTCGGTGAGGGAGTGAGTGTTCAGGTTCTAATTTTTCATCGCCACTGCTGATTCATGATTGATAGCTGGCGGGCCACACATTTCTATCCGGATGTAGGTCTAATCGTGCTCGATTTGTGGTCTGGAGATAGCGGAAAGCACGACGACTAGACTAAAGCACAATTGTATATTGAGAGTAAAGGGGGGGGACAAGGCCACATCGGGAGAGAGAAGATTTAGGCCTTCTAAGTACCTCTTACCGTTCTGAAGCTAGTAATGGATGATGACCTACATATTCCCCAATTCCAAGAATGTGATGCCCTCGCCTATTAAGCGGGAGAAATATGGATAATTGGGCATGTATTACAGATATACTAGTACACGAGAGGTGGACATAGTGAAAGACGAGGCGGCGCGACACGATATCGTGAAATATACAACAAGACAATCAAGAGCGTAGACGTTCGGAGATGAATCAGGCTTCTGCATCGCTATCAGTATCGAGTGCCTGCGGATCTAAGGTTGGTGAGAGACGAAGATTTGTGGAAAGCGACGCTGGCGTGGAAGGAAGGCTTTTCGTGAATGTATCCGCATCTGGCGAGTATTCGAGGGGAAGCTGGCATCCGGGAAAGAAGCGTGGCGATAGCGGGAGGCTCTGAGGGACTTCCTTGTATGATGCTGTGTCCTTCTCGTACGACTCGGTGCCCTGCCTCGTTATCCGGCGCCCCTTGAAGCGTGGCGATGGCGGGAGGCTCCGAGGGACTTCCTTGTATGAATCTGTGCCCTGCCTTGTGATTCGGCGTCCTATGCATAGAAGAATGGTCAGATAGAGTCACTAAATGAAGATCAGTAGCTCGTACTCTTTGCTTGGGATTCCTCCTTAGGTCCAAGCTGGTTCGACTGTCGCTTCGGCCTGAGCGAGCCCGTGGCAATGAGCTGTCCGTTGACGCTGGGTTTATGTGATACCTGAGGCATTATTCGGTTGTCCGGGATTTCTGCTGGTCGGATTCGCCCTGTATCAAACTGGACGTCCTTGTTCTGCGTCTTCCAGAGGTCGATGTATTGGAGGATGATCCGCTGCATCGCTTCGTGGAGGTGGAGGGGGAGAGGTGCCGGCTCAATGAGGCCCCACTCCGGAGCAATTTGGGCTGTCAGACTCAGGAGAAAGCCTTCAGCATGAGCGAGCTCCGGATGTAGCCATTTTTTCCATTTTGCCTGGTGGATTATACTCAACCTACTATCTCCCATATCGTCAGATACACCGATCTCGTGATTGGCGATGTATTTCCATGCACAGTTGAGCCCAAACTCATCGGGATCCTTGAGCGCCTGGGGATCTTCTCGTGCGCTGCCCAAAGGGACAGCGAGGAGCAAGAATACTACAATGCACCAGAAAACCGACTCTGCATCATGCCGCGGACGGTGCTCGAACTGTGTTACCCTCAACTCGGGGTTTTTGTCGTGCTCATCTTCCGTTTCTTCAGTATAGACACCTCCATGACGAGTGGGGCCATCGTCGGTGAATGTCCGCAAGCCAGACCGGTCGTTGGAGTGCAACAGGGCATATTGATCAGCAAGATGACTTGGAAGTGTTGGCATCCTGCGGAACTTGATGTTATCCACAAGCAGACAGCCAAGTGCAGGCGAACGAGCGATGAACTTCGGTGTTCCCTACATGTTCGATTAATCAGTAGCCTCCAAATGCACTCCGAGGAAGAACTCACGGTACGACAACGCAAGGGTTCATCATTCATATGGATGGTGTCTCGCCTTGCGACGAATGAAGGTGATACTGCCGCCTTTCGATCCAGCTCCGCTGCATTGTCCAGGTCTCCAAGACGAGCCATGGGATCGGCGTTTTCTTGTCTGAATTCATCCAGAAAATATCAACAAGTAGAAGTAGGACAGCGAATGGTGACAAACGTACTTCTCGATGATTTCGTTGACGAAGATCGGGCGATATTCAGTCCCCTTGAATTCCTCCTCATCTTCGCCCTTGAAGTCTTCCGCCTCAACGAAGATGTTGCCGTGACTGATGTCGCGATGGATGATATTGCGCTCCATCACCGCCCAGCGGTGAGCTGTAAGTCGTTTAGCACGCGAGAAATAGCCCAATATGAATATGGTTCACCTTCGAGGATGTCGTACATGCATTTGAGGAAATCGATGAGACTGGGGCATTTTCGCAATGATTCTCCCCAGGTATGCATGATCAGTCGAGTCTTGATGCGCGTGGTGCTGTCAACCGTCACCGTGATGGGACAACCGCGCTTCCACTGAACTTCATATTCTTTCTTGACTCGCAGGAATCCAGGGGCGGGGCCTTCCTTGTGGAGGATGTCGTACAGCTCGCCTTCCCTAAAGCTGGAATGAACGTCGCGATACGAGTCCTTGATCGTAATTGGTGTATCGCCAACTTTCGCTACCCAAGTCATCCGATGCCAAGGGTCTCCAACGACTCTGACAACACAGTTTTCGTAAACTTTGTCGCCATCGCGTATATTCCAAGCGGGAGGACCGAGGACATCACCAGTATCAGCCAGAGTCACGCTCGGGTCTCGGGTTGCGAAGTCTGGGTGAGGAACGTATAGCGTGTAGACATATGAGACCAGCGGAACGAGGTCAGACCAAGGGAATTCTTCGGACGTTTGGAGGCCAGCAGGGCAGCTGTACTGAATGATGTAGCCAGCAGGTGAGATAGAGAGCCCGTACATCCCAACCAAGTCGGGGCGAGATTGGTTCGCGAACGCCAAATAGGCTCCAGATTGACGTGGTCCATCCTTCCTGTCGGCCTTGCCTTTTTCTTCGATGATAGTTAATATATGGTGCCAGGGAATGCGCGCCGTGTCGTCTTCATCAAGAAGGAGGCTGATAGCTTCCAGCAAACCCACCAAGTCGGGGGCTCCCGCTTCGGTGTCATTCGGATGGTACTTCGGCGAGCGCGAATGGTTGTCACGGAAGACTACGAGATCCTTGCCTTTGGCGTATTTAACTTTGACAAAAGCCAAGTGTCAGTACAGCAGACGATTGGTGGAGTGTATACGTACGGCGTATGAGAACACTCGCACGACTCAGCAGTTGCGCGAGAAGACCGTAATCTGTCTGTCCGGTGGCGCGAAACTGGTTTACCAGTTGAAGGAGCTCCTTGTCGTTCAGGATGGTGGCAAATGACCTAGTCGTGGATTTGTGTAGCCGTAGCGAGCTGAAAGTCGCCGATGGAGTCAGGTAGCCAGTGCGGTCGACTATGTCGGACATCTGTCGTCTATTGACTGCAGGTGGTTTCGTCTTCTTCACGGGTGTAGTCTGGGAGATAATATGATGAGCCATGGTGGTAAATTGCAGAAGAGAACTCGCACTCTCAGAAGAGTTTATACTCACCTGAAATGGCCACAATCAAACAATGGACACGAAGTGGCAAGTGGAAGTGGCTTGGTGGTAAGAACGAACGAGTTGGTTCCAAATTGGGCCACAGTTGTTTGTCGGAGTACGTATCGGAGTTGAAAACACGATCCATGAACAGCACTCCCCTGCAACCTCCTTCGAGTGATAGCATTGCGATACATCCTAGGGGTACTGCCCTTGCGCGTACGGAGCGGTCGAACTGAATCCAGACAACTCGGTATCTCAGACGTTCGTTGAATGCGGAGATAGTAATGGACAATTGCGTTTTCGGACTGTGGTTTCCCCCTCGTAATACATAACCTATCTGCTGTTATTCACTGATTACTGCCGCAGGGTACACACTAGTTCATCGTACGCACGCCTGCGGTTCGAAGCCTTCTCGTCACCAACCTCTCGGCGCATGCCCAACTAAACGGCGACTCACCGAGACATGCCGTAAAGCGTACTCCAAGGATCCTTTTGGCGTACGCACATTCGTTGACGATCCCTCCACCAAGCCCATGGGTGCTACGAAGCTGACCAGGTCGAAGAGAAGTACGACAAAAGACCGAAGCTGATGGTTACAGAGTTCGAGCATCGTCCGCGACATGATGCAGAATCTATGATCGTGTTTCTGCTGGTCGCGTGCCCTTGGGAAAGCCGAAGGAAGCAATAGGCAACGATCCCAAGGGATTCTTGCCCTTTTCTGCGTGGAGGCAGATTGCGAATCATCGGGTCGGCCCATCGAAAGACATATGTGATAGCAGAGCGGGTCTGCTCGCTGGAGATGAACTGTGGAATGAATGGTCGCATCTGGGCCTGGCTCGTGCTGGGCCACTTCTCGCGGCATTGGCGTCTCAAGTTTCCCCCGAATCGAACCTGCTGGCCCCACAACCCGAGGCCTTCACCTCCATGAGGCAATACAGCGCATCATCTTCCAACATATAGGTGTATGGACGAAGAATAATCTCGACGCCAAGTCCGATACTGGAGGGGTCCGCGCCGGGTTCGAGACTAAGTACCACAATGCTACGAAGCGAGTCACCATTAATCCATCCAAATTATCATCAAAATGAGCCTCATGCCTGAGCTACACAAATGGAGGCTGCAGCTCACCGGAGATGAAGCGATGATATACCCAGCAACCATCGATGCAACTACATTTCGAGATGTCTTGAATATACGTCGCCTGTTAACGTTGTCGGATGCGCAAGTTCTACCACAAGCGCCGGGCTCTACGCGTGAGCCTGCCACTAAGAGATAGGGCATACACCTCGCTGGATCAACGCTAGAGCGTCCTATCGCCGACGTACGACCGCGTCGTCTAAAGGCGTACCTCCTGGCCAATGCCAAAAGATCGTGCGCTACATTCTGTCCAGTCAGCCGCTCACTTTAAAAGGCACGAGCGTCTGAGTCGTATGCTACCTTATACTTTGCTTTGGCCGTACGATCGGGCGTAGGTATACGAGGTTATCGATAGCAGCCAGCGGCAGCACTGAAGTTGAAAAGCATGAGGTGAAGATGCTTTGTTCACAATTATGGCCGCAAGCTTATGCCATCGAAGCCGCCTCAAGTGGTTTCAGAATTGGTAATGTCGTTTGAACAACATGCGCGGAACGAGGCCGTCGACAAGCTGAAGGAGCCGGGCGCCCGAATCGTCGTGAGGCGAAGGGAGTGAAGTGATCGACGGCGCTGGGGATGACACACTCACACTGACAGCGGTCATTAGGACGTCGATGGCCTTACGCAAATACATCGTGCGTCTCGTCCATATGAATTCACCTCCAAAGACTTTGTCACCTGTGCTCAGACTGAAAAACTCACCTTGGGGTTACGATGTACTATTCGCTTACCTGTGCATAATCTCATCGATTTGTCGTATGTCAATGTGGTGGACTGGCGGTGGCCGGCAAATCAAAGGCAAAGAGCGGGGATTCTGACAGCCTAATGGTGGGGAGGATGACAAGGAACTGCGTTGACTGACCACCTCAACGCACCGCCAATGACAGCCATGAAACGCCTTCTATGCAATTTTTATACCCGTATTTTTCGCTCTAGTCGCCCGCTGCTGATCAAATAGAGAGTCCGCTTACAACATTGCCGTGTATGAATGGTTGCGCAGAGAGCCTCAAACGAGCTTCGTCCTTTTCAGATGGACCGTAGTGACCAGACGGCTCGCGTTGCGTTGGGGGATTTCAAAGTCCAAATTCGCCTAGAGGAGGCGTCGTTGTGCAGTTGGAGCGGCCAATCCACAAAACATCCGCCCAGAAATTCCCCGTGCTTGTGATCGATGTGATTTCTACGACGGCGGTGTCACTGAGGATGGAGAGCCATGTAGGCGGGGAGGCGTAGGGGGTATCGCTTGCTTGCTAGCACGCTGGCATTCCGAACAGTGAAGCAGGGCGAGTGCGATGATGGGGGAAGGAAGGAAGCGGTATCGATTGCATACTCCCGTGACCTGGCCTTTATATACTCTCCGGGCAACAAGCTTGCGTCAGCCGCGATTTTCGACCCGCCGCCGAACAGCTGCCGACTCAAAGTTAGCCACGAGTGTAAAGGTTTGTTACGGATCACTAAATTGGCATTGGGGAAAGGCGGTGGACCATACGTGTGGTCCTTGCACTGGAGGTGAGGAACGGCGAAATTCGGATGAGCGCGATAGGGGAATGATTGTAACGTCCGCCTAATTCTAGGGCGCTCTTTTACTCCCTTATTCAGAACTACCCCTATCCCCCTTTTTCCTCGTTCTTTGCTCATATTTGGACTACCTCGTATTTCCTATAAGTACTCAGCTTGTACGTAGATATGGGGCAGAGTTCCCTTGAATAACCACGGTTTACACCTGTCACCTCGAGGACTGACTCTACTCCCTCTCCATCTCATACTTGCTCCGTGTAGCGCTACCGTGAGAAATCCCGCTAGCGTTACATATTTTTGACAGAACCAAACCTCTCGACGTCGTCTTAACCGTCGACAAACTACCTCTCAAATCCCCGCCACTTGGTCCCCTCAGATTGGCCCTCTGAGAATCCTCCGGCACCCGACTCAAAATCCTAGTCTTTCGATTAAGAACCTATACTCGATACTTGAAACAATGTCAAGATACCCTCTGCGCAACAGGACCGCCAGCCAGGCTGCGCCTAGCAATGGCGAGTCCGAACTTTCCTCCCCGCATGCTGATCCCATTTCTCTAGAACCATCTCCGACCCTTGGAGCCTCTACCCTGAACAACGAGCGTTCATACGCTGACGTTGCTGGGGCACGCGTACTAGCCGCAAATCGGAGTGCAGCTGATGCTTCACGCGTTGGTAACGATGTTGCCGACGGTGGAATGAGTCATGACGACGCCGCTAATCCTGATGCAGGAATAGCAAGAAACATTGAACCTCAGGATGGGGTCAATGAGTCAGACAACGGTGGACAGTGGATCCCCGTTGGTAGAGGATGCCGTCGCCATAGTGCGCCCTCGATAGATAGACTAAGATCCGGCGTTAGTCCAATATCCTCTAACAATACAATTGATTTGGCATATGAAAACCTAACAAACTCCCAGAGGAAAATCCTGGAACGTCGTGAGCGCCTTCTAAGATCGAACGACCCTGATGTTCCTGAACAAAGAGTCGAGCCGAATATTGAACCTTCTGGTGATAAAGGCAAATACCCCGATCCTCGCAATTGGGGAGATGTTGATTTCGACGGAGAAAACCTGGACCCAGAAGCCCAAGCTGAAGCATTGAAGCTGTATAATTTACTTCTGAAACGAAATAAGAATAAAAAGTTATTCCAAGAACCTGAGGTTTTGACCCGGAACAACCAAACTGACCCACCTGCCGTTGATCCGGATGTTGTATCGCTGAAACAGCGAATGGCGGAACTAGAGGCTGAAAATAATCAGTTGCGACGGCTCACTCGTTCGTCACGCACCCCGGTCACCGAAGGAATTCGCGATCACATCGAGAAATCTACCAAAAAGGCAAAACAGAAATTAGCTGAGCCCAGAATCTCTCGAAAATCAAATTACTTGCCCAGCCAGCAGATTCCCGCTGGAAGTTTCGTTGGAAAGGCTTTGAAAAGTCTAGCGGATCGCAAACACCACCGGCCTGAGGACCCTGATGACAGTAGCGAGTCTTCCAGCACCAGCGCGTCATCCTCTAATGGATCATCTGACTCCTCGCGGAACGCTCGACGAAAGAAGCGCTCCAAGAAGAAACGACACGCTAAGAAAAAGGGAAAATCTCTGTTGAAACCAGTTCCCCCCAAACGATACAATGGGGAAGCTAACCTGACACTTGTATATCGGTTTATGACCGAAAGCATCGCCTATCTTGAACAAGGGGAAGTAGACGAAGAATACTGGATCCGAACAATCGCGTCGTTCCTAGAAGGGACAGTGTATGATTTCTACGCCCAACAAGTGTCCCTAAACATAGCTGAATGGACGATTGATGAGTTTTTCGAAGGACTGATAGATACCTGCTTTCCCGCCGATCTCCTGGAGCAAACTAGACAGGAGATTGACTCCTTCACTCAGGGCTCCCGTTCTGTTAAGGACTATGCGGCGGTCCTGAAACAGAAATTTGAAATCGTCGGTACCATTGGTGAACAGGAACGTGTCGTGAAACTTTGGAACAGCATGAAATCCTCCATCCGCGCTGAGCTCTACCGAGAAAGGCTGAATCCTAACGTATCCAGTTGGGCTGACGTGGTCGCTGCGGCCGAAATGTTGGAAATGGTGGAAAATGTTCGATACGGCCGTCACAACCGCCGGACTCCTGGGTCAACAGGGGAAACAGGGGATGGTCAGGACAATAAACACCGGTCGCAAAAAGGCAACCGCGCCACCCGATTTAGAAGCGATCCAAACAAAGGGGATAGGAGCACCCCTGGTGGACCATCAGGCAGTGGCAACCATCCCCCTCCCTGGAGGAAAGACCCACGTCCAAAGAATCCTCACCATCGTACGGACAAAGGAGGAACCAAGGCGCCCAATTCGCTGACAACAAAGGAGCTCGATGAACTCCGAAAGGCTGTCAAATGCTTCCGATGTAGAGGGGATGGACATATGGCGAAGGAATGCCCCTTGCTGGACTCTGTGAAGTCTTCAAATGGAAGTCGTCCTCCAGGCCTTCCATCTCATGCAGTGGATATTGACTTCGAAGCCCACGAAAAACTAGCTGACCAGGAAGATGAAGTATTGCACGAACTAGAGTTCAATGCTACCCACCTCCATACCCATCAAGGAGTCGAGACGGCACCAGAAACCCTTGATGACCTGATGGGGATGAAGGCTGACATATCAGCTGAAGATGACATGACCAAACCCCCAGTACTGCCACGCAGCTGGGACAAATACGTTCCGATGGGTGATCAAGCCTTGATTGCCTGCCGTGCCGCCCTGGAAGATCTGGGCAAGATCCTTGGTTTCCCCGGGGACACTGAGTTCCCTTTCCCATCCAGGCCTAGATGGCACTATCGAGGACGTACAACCACTAGGTTTTCGATTAGACGAATATCTAATTCTGATGCATTAATCACTGACCGATGGCAGAACAATCGCCGAACCCCAATCCCGTATCACCTTCTATGGGATCCTGAGTTTAACCTCCCCCATTGGTACGCTGTACGATGCTGCAAGTTCTTCGGGCTCCCCAAGAGCGTAGCATCTTGTCTGATAAGCCCCGGCCCAATCCCGGACATTCTCAGAGAAGCCGCGATTATCCACCTCCAACGAAACACACCGTTTCGCGGAGACGAAGAATTCAACCTAGATCATCCTAATGCAAGATTCAGTATCGGTTACCATGCGGAAGACCCAGACAACTACTTCATAGAAGATGAATATCGAAATCTCCGTTTCATGATTTCTCGATTGCTCCTCGCTAACGAACGATTCAACCTGGTCAGATGGTACAACAAGCGATTATCTGAATTAACCAGTCAGCAACAGAACGAACTTCGGAGAGACGAAGTCTATCTTAGCCTCGCAAACCTCTTCTATCCTAAGGACACTGAAGAATGGATAGTACCCGACCCCACCACTGTCCGAACATTATTGATAGGCCCCAACCTTCACATTGAACTTGAAAAAGCCGAAGACTCGAGTATCCTCGTAAACGTAATCGATCTCCATGGCCAACAGATTGAGCGAGGAACATACCCAGCCCTGCAACGAAACGCTGCAATAACCAGAGACGCCACCAGAGTCGTACCCAAGCCAATTGTGGTTACGGTCCACATAAACGGACATCCAGTACGCGCTCTCCTGGACTCCGGCTCGCTAGGGGACTTCTTGTCAACCACGGTGGTTGAGCAGCTGGGACTCCGCAAAATCGAGCTTCAAACTCCTTTAGCTCTTCAGTTGGCCGTCCAGGGATCCCGATCCAAGATAAACTTCGGATGCAAGGTCCAACTAGCCTATCAAAACTCAGTCTCAGAAAGATACTTCGACGTAGCCAACATCGCGAACTATGATGTGATATTAGGTACGCCCTGGATGTATCAGCATCAGGTTACCTTAGGAATTAACCCCTCACGCGTGGTCATAGGTTTGAATGCCCCTCAACCCCTGAACAGCGAAGGAGTAACCAAGCTGTCTTCACGATCAGTCCAATTGGTCGAGAGCAACCTAGAAAAGGCACGTCAGCATCTAACTGATTATGCTAAACCTTCGTGCTTACGTGCCGCAGATACTCCATTCCCCCCATTACGGGATATCAACCACACAATTCCGTTAATCGACGAAAACAAAGTGTACCACTGGCACCCCGCCCGATGCCCAGATCCACTATGAGAACAATGGAATGAGAAGTGGGCAGCATACATAAAATCGGGACGATGGCGGATTACCAATGCGAGCAATACTGTTCCTATGTTGTTAATTTACAAACCAGGGACAACCCTTCTCCGCACTGTCTTTGATCTGCATGAACGGAATGCCAACACACGCAAAATGACATCACCCTTACCGGATATCGAAGGTATATTGCGTCGAGTAGCCAAGCACAAATATGTGTCGTCGTTGGACGGATGCGATGCATACGAACAAATCCGCGTAGTACCGGAGCATGTCAAACGAACCGCTGTTACAACTCCTAACGGAAACATTGTTAGCGAAGTATTACAGCAGGGAGACTGCAACGGGCCAGCCACATATCAAGCCCTAATGAACCACTTGTTCTCCCCCTACATAGGGGTCTTCATGGACGTCTATCTGGACGATATCTATATTTACTCCAACTCCCTGAGTGAACATATTACTCACGTCAAACAAGTTCTTGATGTTCTCCAACGTGAACGACTGTATCTGTCCGAAAAGAAAATGCGGTTCCTGGTGGAAGAATTAAGCGTTCTGGGGCACATAGTAAACAGCAACGGAATAAAGATGGATCCCAGCAAGGTGGACTCCATCCTTGCCTGGAAAACACCCACGAACCGAGACTTGTTGCGAGGGTTTCTAGGAGCTGTAGGCTACCTTGCCGACAACATAGAAGGCGTAAGAATCCCGGTGGGCATTCTGTCCTCCCTAACCGGCGATACGGTCTCATTTAGGTGGGAATTCACCCACCAAAGGGCCTTTGAGGACGTAAAACGACGCCTACACGTCTGGCGTAATCATCATCGCAAACCGCTCGAATACGGCAAAGACTCGCCACAGGTATGGTTGATAACAGACGGCTGCGCGACTGGGATATCGGGCGTCGTTAGCCAAGGCAACGATTGGCGCAACGCTAGAGTGGCCGCCTTCTACTCAGCCAAATTGAATGCGGCACAGCAGAATTACGCCGTCCATGAGATTGAAATGCTTGCAGGCGTAGAATCCATGCTTCGGCATCGTGACATCCTACAAGGTGTATCCTTCCGCTGGCTAACTGACCACAAAGGTTTGATACACTTACTGAATCAAAAAACACTGTCTGGAAGACAGGCTCGCTGGCTGGAGAAAATCGGAGAATTTGACTTCCAGCCTGTTTACATCCCTGGTGTGGACAACGTTGTTAGCGATGCCCTCTCTCGCATATACTCAAACGACGCACCTGGTACGGTGCAAGCAAGCAGCGAATACACCTACTTTGACGTTGTTGAGGGAAAGGAAAACGGCGCCACGTTAACAGCCATGCCCATTCTCGTGGGATTAGAAGCCATGATGGCCTCAAAGTCACGACAAACGGCTGACAACGCCGCAGGACCAACCGAAGACGTAAACCACGCCCTTCAAACACCGCCCAGGGTTGAGTCTAGCGCGGACTTTGCCAAACGCATGAGTCGCAGGCGTTTCGTTCTCCTCCCACCTGGAGAACGAAAGGAGGGCAGGAATAAGAGTAATAACGATAGCAGTAACACAGACGGTGAAAAACTCACCATTAGACTACCTGCAGCCAAACGAGCAGCGATGGTCGAGGACCACAGTAACTCCGTGAAGATGTCCGCACTTCCAAATCAGGAAGCAGGGCCGTCAGGGGGTGCCCAGGAAACGAACACCTCACTAAGTGAGTCCTCCCACACACCACACAGTCTGGTCGACATCGTACGACAAGCCTCGGAGGGCATAAACCTACTCGCTGAAATCCGAAATCAATACTCGGACGACCCTACGTTCAAAGGTATTACGGAAAAACCCAACCGAGTTTAGAAACTTCACGGTAGCCGACGGACTCATCTATCTGAACCACAAAGGACGATGCGTACTGTGCATACCTCATCTATTCGTCAGAGGAAGGAATATACGCGAAATAGTCATAGCCGAAGCGCACTCACTATTAGCCCACCTAGGGGCAAAGAAAACATTGGATTACCTTCGTGACCATGTTTGGTGGAAGGAAATGGTACGTGATACCCAGGTTTACTGCGATACTTGCATGACCTGTAAACGCAGTAAACCCAATAACCAACGCCCATACGGCCTCCTCCACCCGCTCCCCGTTGCAGAACACCCCTGGGAAGCAATAGGGATAGACTTCGTAGGCCCCCTACCTGAATCAAAGGACCGGGACGCCGCCTACGACTCGATCACGGTCATTATAGATCTCCTGACTGCGATGGTACACCTCGTCCCGAGCAGGACCAACTACACAGCACGCCACATAGCCGAACTCATCTTCGCAGAAGTATACAAACATCATGGTTTACCCAAGTCCATCGTCAGCGATCGAGACGTTCTGTTTACGAGTCGATTCTGGAAACGACTCCACGAATTAATAGGCACAAAGCTGAGGATGTCCAGCGCTTACCACCCTCAATTAGATGGATCCACGGAACGAGCCAACCGTACAATCACACAGATGATTCGACAATGTGTCGGGCCTAACCAAAAGGATTGGGTAGCCAAACTCCCCGCCATCGAGTTCGCTATCAACCTCGCTCGATCCGACTCCACTGGATTCGCACCCTTCTTCCTGAACACCGGGCGAATGCCGCGTTCTTTCATTTGGGATTCCTCCCAAAACACCGAATACCCAGGCGTAAGGATATTCACCCAGCAGCTCAAGAACGCTGTTATGTCGGCCCACGATTCAATCTTAGCTGCCAGGATCAAACAAACCCGATCCGCCAACAACCACCGACGACTAGCACCGTTCCAAGTCAACGACCTAGTATATCTATCTACGGAAAACATCCGTTTCCCGAAAGGATTGGCGAGGAAATTTCTACCCAAATATATTGGACCATACCGTATTACTAGAGATTTCCATAACGAAACGTTCGAAGTCGAACTGCCCCCTCATCTCAAACAACGAGGAGTCCACAACACCTTCCACGCCTCCCTCCTACGGATACACGTTCCCAACGATGATCGACTTTTTCCGGGAAGACTGGATACTCAGGTATTCGAAATCGATCAAACCGACCCAGAATGGGCCGTTGAAGAAGTCATGTCCCACTCAGGCAAAGGCAACGGAGCCTTATTCGAAATCAGATGGAAATCTGGTGACAAAACGTGGATGACTTACGATAAAATTTCACATCTACAGGCTCTCCAGTCCTACCTAGATGTCCAAGGGGTCGCGGGAGTAGCCGATCTCCCTACTGGCACTGGGACTCCCCCCACCGACCCCCAAATCTCACTAGCATACACTTCGTTTACAACTACGGAACACCCCGAGCACCATATCCGTCCAATCCTATTTAAACCAACCATCCTGCCCAACGTCACCCCCCAACATCTGCTCCTATCGTCTCTATTCCCAAAAATCACCATCGCCCGACACCTCCGACCACTCTTCGCCAACATCATGTCCGCCGAAGCACCACCCTCCTTCGACATGAATGTCGCCTCGACTGTCGACAACGATGACTCCATGACCACTATGTTCGGTATCGAACCCCCCATGGCTCCTGAACCATCCCTGATAAAGGGGCCTTCTCCCTCTCCCACAAACATCCCTAGCGAGCAAACCAAACCGGACATTCTGATACCCTTACCCGTCCCTTTCAGCGACAAATACACCGCAGATCGTCAGATCGTCGCCAAACCGGTTTTATGGGACCAGCTCAAAAACTTTACATATGGCGAGGGACCGGATTTCGAACTCCACATCTACGACCCCACCACGGAGCTCTCCGTGACCCTTCTCCCTATTGAGATATGGGCCGCAATCAGGAAAGGCGAAGAACTGCGAGAAGGAAAAAACAACGCGTTCCATACTTCAAACGACACATCCATGTACAGCCTTCTTGCTGCTGCCTGGAACAACGAGGAACTGGTTCCAAAACACCTTCGTTTCCCTACCATCGATGGGACGCTCGTATATTCCCTTGGTTCAAAAACCCCCGGCCCGGTTTTCTTCGGGCTGATCGCTCGTAATCCCCGCTACAAGAACCATGTCGAACAAGACATGATGTCCCGTCGCGTACCTCACGTCAAGAAGCAGACACCTCCCCCTCCTAACCTTCCCCACACTCCTGTCGCTTCCGTCTCGTCCAAAAAGCCACCCCGCTCCAAGGGGTTCCACAAGAATGCGCGCCATAACCATGGCCTCGCTCCCATTCTCGGCACCTCTTCCGCGGCTCAAGAATTCATGACGCGCGCTTTGCTCGACCGAGGCATGATCCTCGAACAAGAGCTCAAAAACAGAAAATAGATCCTCGCCGTTGGTATCCATGTGCTTCCCACCTTATTCTGCAACCTCTACACGTATCGAACAAGTAGACTTGTCCGGGAGGGCATATGTAACGTCCGCCTAATTCTAGGGCGCTCTTTTACTCCCTTATTCAGAACTACCCCTATCCCCCTTTTTCCTCGTTCTTTGCTCATATTTGGACTACCTCGTATTTCCTATAAGTACTCAGCTTGTACGTAGATATGGGGCAGAGTTCCCTTGAATAACCACGGTTTACACCTGTCACCTCGAGGACTGACTCTACTCCCTCTCCATCTCATACTTGCTCCGTGTAGCGCTACCGTGAGAAATCCCGCTAGCGTTACAATGATTAGGGCACTTATCAGGGGAGGAATAATAATGTGCCCAGCTTATATCAGAAGACCACTCGATGTAAAGACTCGCTCTGCAGTATAAAGGTACTGATCACGGATCTTTAATTCAACGAAATTAAGGTATATGAATGTGTCGTAACGAGCAGTGGTCGAACAGGCAAGCCAGTTTCAAGCTGTAGATAACAGGTAACATACAGCTGGAACTTAGGGGATGGAAACGATCGCGTTCCTGGCAGCCCGATGCGCCAGCTCAACTGTGTACGGAGACCTGAAGTCGTCCCAGTTGTGCCCCCCAACAACAACCGTATGCTTCCCGACATCCAATCCCGAGAACCCAAAGTCATGCGTGCTGATCAATCCACTCTCATCCACCAGCTCGGTGAAATGGTTGGCGATCCTGGAGTCGAAGCCGACGCGGTGTCCACTGATACGGCGGAGATCGTGGTTGAACGAGCCGAAGCTGGCGTGGAATTGCTGGAAGACGATCGTTTGGGTCTCGACTTCGCAGATCTGCTCCGTGATGATGCTAGACGGTCAAATTGTATTAGATTCGTGGGCGCTGAGAACGTATGTCGGACTTACCGCTTAGCCATCTCCTGCAGGACGACTAGGCGTTGCTGGATGATCTCGATAGCTTGGGTGTGGCAGACGATCTGGCTCTCTTGCTCTACAACCTGGCTGAAGTGCACCGACCCGTCGAAGTTATCCACACCGTAAAAGCGATCGAAGTTGTCGAGGGAGGCGTGGCCGCCCCAGTGGTTGAAGGAGATGGAGTTTCCGCGGCGGGCTGGTTGTAGACGGTCAGCTGCATGAGTTGGTGCAGGCACAAGTACGCACCGAGGCCATCTGAGGAACCGCTACCGTAGAGGACGGGCGTTGAGATTACTCCGACAAGCAGAGAAGAGAGGGCGACGAATTGGAGGGCAACTTTGGCGAACATGTTGAACGGTCTGTAGGCACAGTCAGCAAGGGGAGTACCTATTGCATAGCGCACTTACTTATTGGTTGTAGAAAGATCGGATAACGTGAACGGGTAGATTCAAAAGAACGAAAGAGGCAACCTGGCCGAGAAGAGCGAACAAGAGGAATGAGAAGAACGAAGAAGGCGAAGTGAGGAAGTATACCATTAGAGATGGACTCTTTTATATTCAGTGGATTTGGCCAAGTCCTTATGCCAAGACGACGCCAGTCTCTGTTCACTGGGTTTGTTTCCATACACGCCCAATGTCTTGCTAAAGGATGATGCGCCGAGCATCATTCGACTCTGACGGTAGGGTGACATTCGAGCGAGGGGAATAGTGACACACTGAGAGCACACGCACCCAGCGCTGCATGCAGTCGAGGATTTGATGTGCGGCCCGAAATCCAGGTAGAGGCTCTGTGAACAAAACGTCTCCGGTCAACGGAAACAACTTATTACGAAGCACGTACCGACGTTTCAACTTACACTGAGCGTGTCCACCGGTCCTACCCAGCTGGACATTAACATTCCACACTCTTGCGCATCGCGTCCAGACCGAGTTGGAACACGGGGAGTCTCAGGATGACAGACACCATCGTTAATAGGAAATGTCTACGCCGGCCACAAATCAGAAATACCCGAGTCGGATCAGCAGAAGTGACACATACCGCGCAGAATGAGATGGCGACTGTCAATGATGCTGAAGGAACACTTGTTGTGACATTCGACGGTGACAGCAACATGAGGGTTATGCTTCGAGTTAGAGTGAGAGCGGGAAATAGGCGTCGATAACCTTTGCTAACAGCCGTGACGAATTTTCCAGTCGATTTCTTCTCGCCCGGCAGCCACGAAAGCGACCTTGAATGATCATCGACTGCATGCATACTTCGAACGGGATGGTCGATGTCGATGAGGCTTTGAGGAGTCGGAGTCAATCGACGCGACGGCACACAACGTGTAAATAACCTTCGAATCGTCGTACATACCCACGCCACCCTGACTGAACCGCTCCTTCTTTGACCACCATTATCCATGGAACCTGCCACCTATCCAGAACTGCCGCCGGAGATCTGGCGCAATATTCTCAGGTGGTACACGGCCGACCAGGACAACAACATCCTTTTCATCCGGGACGTAAACCGGCTGTTCTACGACGTCGCGATGGATCATCGGTTCGAAAGGCTGGATCTGCGGGATCTGAACGCGGGCGGCGCATTTGAGCTCCAGCGCATCCGGTATGTCTGCGTGTACGATCAGTGTCGGATCTGCACTCACGATCTACGCGTTTTCCTCGCGTTCCTCCTCCCTCAGAGATCCGTGGCTGACGAAGCGACTGAAATGGATATCCCTCTCAACGTGGACTCTTGTGCAGATACTCACGGAGGAGTGCTATCGCTCGGAGCACCTGCTCCCGTCTGCGCTGCAGAACCACCGGGACGAGACGACCCACATCATCACACCGTCATCCACGGTCGCGTCGATGCTCGCGGCGCCTCTGATCGAATGTCTTCTGGACGTCCTCGCGAGCGCAAAGAACCTGCGGAAGGTCGTGGTGGAGGTCCAATCGCCGCCCCAAGCCGACTTTAGGTATATCACGTTCCCCCGCAAGTTTCTGCGCGCCGCGTTCGCGCGGTTGGCAAGTGGCGCATCCACCACGACTCTGGCCCTGCGCGTGCACTATGAGATGCTTGCGATGCTGCTCGATGAGCTGGCGCTGGTGCAGATACGCAGTCTGACGGAGCTGGCTCTCGTCATAGAGCCTCGCGAGAAAGAACGTGTTGAGCCCATTGGCCCAGTAAAGGGTCAGGCGTTCTTCGAGAATCTCGGTCAATTTCCTTTGGAATCCCTCCGTGTATTTACGAAGCAGAGAGCTGTCATCGCATCACAGATATCCTCAATTCTAGATCACAACGGTGAGTGCCCACCCCCCAGGTCTATCTGCTCGTGCATTCATAACGTTCCCAATAGTAATCCTGCCCAGCGTGCGCAGGCTCGACATCGCCACGACATTCGACGATATCCAACCGATCAAATCGCTCCGCACGAACTACCCATTTCTCACAGTCCTCATACTCCACATCATCGCCCCAGATTCGGGCTCAAGTGTCCCGCTAAGCGCCTTGGACCTCCCGAATCTGCTGGACCTGCGTCTATCCCTCAAGGGCGCATTCGAAGGCCCCACATTCTGGAGCGGCCACCTCAATGCCCCGCGGCTCACACAGCTCACCGTGGCCGGCGCGCTTAGGGAACGCATGGGGCTGCCAAAGCTCCAGCGCACTGTCCTCCAGGTCTGCACCTTCTTCGCGAGCGGGGCAGTCGAGCAGCTGGAGATCCACGCCGGCGTGCTGGAGAGGTTCCTCCTCGATGCGTTGGCGGTGTCGTTTCATGGGCTCCGCCGCCTCCATATACGCGCCACGCGTATTCTGGCAATGGTGAGTTCCTCCGTCTTGTGGGTGTTGTAGGTGTGGGTGGAAGGTGTGCTGACGAGGTGCGGGTGTAGGCGCAGTTTGAGGAGGATATGGAGTGCCGCCGCTATCCGGAGTGGGACATACGTGAACTTAAGGTGGAGGTCATGACGCCTCCCATTGGTCTTGGGAATGTTGATGCACAGGTGTTGACCATGATAAAGAGTACCCTTCCGCAGGCAAGTGTTTCATCGTAAACTACTCCTTTACACGAATATACATCATCACGATCACGTACCACGCCAGACTTGCGAGCAGCTTTATCCGTAGAAGCGGTCAAAGAAAGGCCAATCATGAAAAGCGATGATTCTTATTGCTAGAACTTGATTCCAGGCGTATTGAAAAAGAAACGCTGGGAGTCTCGCTAATGCTAGAAGGAGGGAGGTGCTACTTTGTCAAGGTCGGCGAAAGTATCGCACCTCCCAATCTTAAGCTCGGTTTGGCGCCGCGGTGATTGTTTTTTTTTTTGTGGAGGACTTGTAGGCTCATGTAGAAACCAAGTTAATACCGCGGTTATTGTAGTTTACATCGAGAGAGCCACAGATATGATAAAAGACGAAATTACAATCAAAGTACGTGTTATATCATTTTGCAAGTCATCGGGGCTTAGGCCGCTTGGTTCCTACCATCGTATACTGGATTTTTGCGCTATCCACCGGTACTGCGTTGAAATCATCCTCGCTATGAATATGGCTTTCTTGCGGTATGAATTCTCCGTGAAGTTGATTTGGAGGAGGGCGCACATGTCCACCTACTGGAGGCCTGAACCAACCAGGCCTTGCAGGCGGAACTGGCTGCTGCTCTGGTATCTCCAGATCCGACGCAGGCGGGGCCGTGACGGGAGCAAAGTCTAACCTTTCATCGACACCGAACAGAGCTCTGAAATGACGCAAGAACCGACGTTTCAGCGAGTCCCAGAGGGGCACAGAGGTTTCCTGATAGGTGACGCCAACACTCAAGGTCGGCGCCATGAATAGAGAAGAGAACGCGACCGACCTGGTTGACTGCAACAGTGAAGGAGATCCTGATCGTCGCGAGCTGGTGCTCTAGCTGCAAGTGCACCCTGCGCGAATTCCGTCGAGGAAGCGCGAGTACATCTGCGAACGACACCGTAGCCAGGACCTGTTTGTCAGATTGCGTGGCCGCGGACAAGGCTGGGCTAATGACAATCGAGACTTCGCTATCCGCATGGATTTCGCTGGGATCCGTGTGAGGCCCCAAAATGGCGTGTCTATTGTGGACCACTCACACTGGCGGTCGAAACTTCCAGTCTAAATCCCTCCACGTCCTGATGTCCTTCTGCCCCAAGATTGAATCGCTTGCTTCGAGCGAGATGGTTATGGACATGGGCATGTTGTGGATTGGATTAGCGACATGGGCTGCAGGCTTTACACGTATTTGGATCTCTGCAGGAAAGGCGCCGGGTGAGCCATGTCCAAGAGGGATCTTTAACTCACTTCTGAGGAAGATCCTGCGAGGCGAAGGATAAGCGTCGATGAGCGACGCGCAGTTAGCGCATAGTAGTGCAGATCAACGAGCTGCTCACCGATAGCTAGGGTCTGACATCGTACGTGGTCGCTAGGTGGGTGGAAGAAGTTTTGAGGAATGTCCACCCGGCAACTGCGCGTCCACGGCATCGTGAGATCAGCGGGTATCTAGATGCTTTGGGCTGAGCGCTCGCGGGCTCATATCTCCGTGATCCATCCGCAACGACTGTGAGTACTGAGGCGTCAGACGTTGGGTGTGGGATGTGTGAACGCGAGCTGAGGTAAGGGGGAGTAGCGAGCATATGTAGGTCATGGGCACCAACTTTTTGAATACGATGCGTGTCAGAAGCTATGCACGTTCAGCCACTGTGTAAGTATCAGAGCAAGAGTCGATACCAAGTGGGAGCATGTTAAGTCGTTTCGACATCGACACGCTCCGCAGGTCGTAATCCTCTTTATGGAAAGCCGTAGATAGAGGACATCTGCACTGAATACTCGCAAGCATAACGTTTCGAAATTAATGGTCAATGCACCGTCGCGGGGTAGGAGAATACTTGTATCATAGCCGATGTACTATTCCAGGATCTTTCGCTAAATTTCCGTCTACATGCCGGGCGGCTGGAACCACAATGGAGTGAGGTGATCTGGGACAAACACCGATGCACGACTCACTGACTTCATGACGGTGGTTGAGCGTATTATACACTGCGGAACCGTACAAAGTGAATACGTACGAGCTATCACGCCTCGGTCCTTTTGCAAGAGAGCTCTACAACAGGCTAATGTTTGGTAACGGTGACTGGGAATAAGGACTCGAACCGATGTTTGTAAATGAAATAGCCAGTGTTATCACAGAGAACTCACGTTGAATGATCCAAGCAATAACACCGCTGCCTGGTCAAGAGATCATTCCCAGCCAGGTTGAGGAGAGCCTCAAGTGTCTCCTGGAATAGTGAGCGTCGAGAAGCCAACCCGTTCCGAAGTTCCGGCGTTGTTTGGCTAGAGATGTGACATCAAATAAACTCCCTTACTCCTCTGTCATCACCACCTCCGATCTCAACTGCTCTGGCCGCCGCGCATGGCAATGTGAATCCAATGTATACCAATGCCGACGAAGGAAATAACGCCAAGACCACACTTTGGCATACTCGTCGCCGTCTCCCCGTATGCTATCGTTGCGGGTGAGATTTGAGCAAGATCGCCAGTGGTATACCATACGAAAGTCAGTAAATTGCTTTGTTTGGGTTCGCGAACAAGCGTACTGGTCTGGGTTTCGTCTCCTGGCTTCTGGTGACTACCTAAGAATCAAAGCGCTGGGGTTACAAACTTGTAACCTGCTCTGCAATAAAGTCATGACGAAGACAGCAATCTATAAAGCGGCGGATAAAATACAAGATAAAACAACTGCTAGACAAAGAAATTACAGATATACAAGATGTGTCCGTCCGAGAGCAACGGTGATTTTTCGGCGAGGGTGCCTATGCCTGCTAGCACTTGATGAAATTCCCGACAATCATGCTCGGTATGCCCCACTTGTCTCTCCGGATGGTGAAAGAAAAGCAGCAGTTGATGAAGCCTTCTTCCATTGGCGTTTCTTCTTCCTCCTCTTCCTCTTCCTTCTTCACCACGACCTGACCATTTGGATTTGAAGCGTTAGCTGTCGCAGATGCGGTTGCGGCGGCGCTACCCTTCGCTGGAGAGGCTGGAGTAGCTGGATTGAGAACGGGCTTATAGCGGAGGACGCAAGACGTCAGAACAGCCTTCTGACTGGAGTCGAAGGCAACGTGGCCATATTTCTGAGAGGACATCCGTAAAGTCAAACAGACAACAACGATTTCGAAGACAGCGTACCTCCCAATAGTTGACCGCCGACTCCTCCGCCATGAGCTCGTATATACATAGCCTGCCCTACGCAAGCGGAGCGGGAGCATCAGCAACGGGGGAGGGGTAGGACGCCGAAACGCACGTCACGCATCATATATCCGTCTATTCCCACCAGCTCTGCGAACTCCCGATTGGCCTTGTAGATCTCGCCAGTCCTGCGCCAAAGGCATGCGGGGACGCCCATCGCAGAGAAGACGCGATCGTAATCGAGCAACATGCGTTCGAAGGCTTCTTCAATGAACACGAGATCCTGGAAGGAGTGAGTGATCAGATGGGAGGGTAGGCGATTCTACGCACGATATCGCGAAGAGATTGAGCGACAGCCTATACGATGCACTCTCGTTAGCCTTGATATGAACACGGGATGAGGTATCAGGAGGTGAATGGATTCACTCGGAATTTCGGCCGCAGCACCGATAGAGGCTGTAGTATCTGGGACTTCGACTCTTGCGAGACGCTGCGATGGGCCATCAGTCAGGGGACCGAAGAAAGCTGGATACGACTCACTTCCTATCCATCCACCTCGACAATCGCGCGTACCCTTTGACATAGTTGTACGGCTTGAGCAACCCCGCTTCATATTTGCTCCGGATTACCCTATTGAGCCGTTCGTCCCTCGAGCCCGACTCTTGATCGGCTGCCGTTAGGAGAAACTTCTCCGTCTTCGTCGCTGCTGGCAAGATGGGAGGAGCGTCGTCTGATGGTTTCTGATTGTTACCGTTGACATCGGCAGATTGGGCCGCAGGCTGCGAAGTCGCAGTCGCGCCAACCTGAACTGTCGATGCAGGTGTTCCAGATGTGATAGATCCGTTGGTGAATGTATCTGGGAGCGGTGGGGGAAAGGTATTCGGCGCCATCAGAGAGGAAGTCACCGTCGGCGGAGGGGTAAAGAAAGACCGTTCGTCCAGGGTTTCGAGAAAGTCACTGGACGATAGCGAGGGGCACAAACATCTACTTTGAGCGAATTCTCATAGGTTAACGTAAAGGATGGACATACGTGAGGACGGAGAACTCATTCCCTAGGGTCTCCGGTTGATAAATGAAAGGGCCAGTGAGCGGCCATGATGGGTTCGCGGTGGATACTGGCGTCGAGTACGCGTTTGCCCCCGCTTCGAAACCTGGTCAGTGAGCCGAGTATGCTCAAACATTGGAGTCTGAGGGACGCACCTCCGTAGGCCCGTGTGGCGTCCGCCTTCGGCTGAGGCGGAAGTGGATGCTTGTCGGTGCTCTTCTGTCTCTGCTCGTCGTGGCAAAGGTGACCAATCTCACGCTTGATGCTGCCCACGATTCCGTCAATCCCGCCCGCCGTCTGAACCACCACCAGTACTCACCAGCGCTGACATGGCCGCCCCTCATCGCAAGTCATATGGCTCCTGCGGCAATACAAGCACGCATGGTTGACCTTCCTTCGTCGGGCCTTTTTCTTCTTTCCTCCATCCTCGTCGCCGTCTTTTGATTGTGATGATGCCACCGGCGGTTCAGGCCCGTTCGTGTATGCAGAGGTCGATGCGATCGTATTGTTGCCAACGACTGCCGCTTGAGATTGAGAGCTCTGCTGCGCGGCCTCTGCGTATGTAGTGAAAGTGGCCATGCAGAGGGGGGGGACGGAGGAAGTGGTAGTGGTGGTAGGAAGACAAATGCAAATGAGACGGCGGTGACGAGATGAGAGGTGAGAGGCTTGGGCACGCGCGCTTGAGATTTTCCTGCACTCAGGGGCGAACGTTATCCAAAATCCCGATCATACCAAATTGGAGAGACAGGCAAGATAATTGGCTTGTACTTGAATGTAAGTAACAGATATACAGCGAACGGTGAAACGAGGTATGGCGTAAGTTAATAAATAGGAAAACGACAAAAATATACATGGTACATTTTTTGTACAGAAAGTCTCGAGTATTATGATAGCAGCAGCGGCGTACGAAGGCATTATCTAAGGAGCAGCACCGATTTGACCATGGCGAACACCCATGCGAGATATCCAGTCACGCAGGCAGTCAGACCACGATCTACGCTCTTTCCAGAAGCAGTCGAGATTGCATGGCCGTTGGAGGCCTTGACGACAGTGGGGGATTTCTTCACATCATCGGGATGCATGTGTTCCCTGAACCACTAGAAGGGAACCACCGCAATTACGCCGACGTCCGAGACAATGGAGAGCACCGACTTACGTTAACCAAGAACTTGCCAGATTCCTTGGGATATCTCTTTTGGGTGGCGTAGTCGACATAGGTGACACCAAAGCGAGTGCCGTATCCGTCAGCCCTGATAAGATACACCATGAGGAGCTTGATCCCAATATGGATCATCTGGGAAAAACATACCACTCAAAGTTGTCGAGGAAGCCTGCGGACGATATACGATTAACACCCGAAGCGCCGAAGCAAAGGGAAGACTCACTCCATGGGAAGTAAGACCTGACGTCAACGCCGTCTTCATTGATCGCTTTCAAGAGCGCGGCAGTGGTACCACGGAAGTAATTGACTCGGTCGGTATCTTTGATAACTTTGCTCAAGGGCATCTCGTTCTCGCCCTTCACGGCGAAACCATTTTCAGTCACACTGGCAATAGAACATCAGTATCTCCGAGAAAGAGGGCATGTGACGGCAGGCTACTCACAAGATAGGCGTCTTGTACCGCTTCATAGACCGTTATTAACTTGGACCAGTGAGAATATCACATAATTAACGTACCTTCCAGAGATAGTTGAGAAGCTACGAGCAGATTATTTTAGACGTGGAAGGCGGAAATAGAAGGCCTGTAACTTACAGAGCGGAACCCGTCTGGGTCTAGCCATGACGACTAGGGTCAGAACGCGTCAGAATAATAAGGTATACAAGCTTACAATCCTGCAACCAGGCGCATTCGGCTGTCGAACATGTCAGAGCAGCCCTGGGAACGAAAGCAGGGACGTGTTGTATTCACCTTGTACACCAAGCTGAGAGCCGTCTGGACGAGTAAAGGTGTAATCGACCAAGCCTTGGAACTCGTCGTCGCCACCAGCGCCTGTTAACGGTTGACGATTAGAGGACAGTCATGACCTGGTGAGAGGAGACTGACGGGCGAGATTCGTGGTGTACGTGTTCATGCCATAAAAGTCGGATGATCCTTTTACGACTTTCCACTCAGCGGGCGTAAAGTCGGGCATACGGTTCCCAAGGACAGTCCTCATGTATGGGGGATAGTGGCCGAGGTAAATGGGGTCCTTCATACGAGATTAAGATGATGCTAATCAGATTACATCGAGGGGTCGCGAAAATGGGGGACTAACCGCATACCAGCCTAAACGTCGGAAGTAGGTGAGGAGCCATCAGTCAGATACTGGATAAATATGATAAGGCCGCATAATACACCCACCGATAGCGAAATCAAGGGCGTGTTGGGCGGCAGCAACATCTGAAGAAGCAGAAAGTGCGATCATCGTCAGTCAGATAATCTAATCAGTGCATGGTGTGTCTATTCGAAACGCACTTTCCGGGCTGTCGTCGTACGGCATCTCCCAATCACCGTTCAATGTAATGCCAATCTGGCCGCGTTGCTTTGGCTTGAATTCCTCACGGTATGCCTTGACGGCGTGAGCATGTGCCAAGATGATGCTATGTCCAACACTGCGAGAGTGATAGCCGAGGCCAGTCAGTCAATGCGCGAGAAACGGACCCATCTCCAAGGACGCAGAAATCCGGGGTGGGAAAGACGTACATCCATGGCTCCGTCGACGAGTCGCCCTCGAGGGAGCGGCTGCGATCACTTGATCGTCCAGGAGCGAAGACACCACGTCCGTAGCCCAGAATGGAGACACACCACGGCTCGTTAATAGTCAACCTGTGGGACCATGACCGCGTGATTAGCGGATAAATCGAAGTGTCAAGAGACCAGTGACATCCTTACCAATGCTTGACGCGATCACCGAACGCTTCAAAGCAGACCTGATTATAGTATGAACCTTGAGTCTAAAAGCCGACAAGCGAAAGGTAGAAGCCGGCGAACCTTGGCATAGCGGGTGTAGTCCTTCACAACTTCGTCCTTGTTTAGCCAGCCGCCGTAGCGGTCGTGGAGAGCTTGAGGAAGATCCCAGTGATAGAGGGTCTTCATGTGGGGCATGGGAACGCCAGTCAATAAGGAGCTAAGCGAGAGTGGATGGAATACACGCACGACGAAAGGTGTGATTCCCTTCTCCAACAAGCCGTCGATGAAGTCCGAATAAAACTTGATTCCCTGAGGATTTACGGGATCGTTCCGACCTCCCAGCGGGATAATGCGTGACCAGGAAAGTGAGAAGCGGTATGCCTTGACGCCGTACTCAGCCAGCAGCGCCTGATCTTCCTTCCACAACCGGTAAGAATCGGTAGCAACATCTCCACTTCTCCCATCGAGAGTCTTGCCAGGGATTCTGGAATAGCTATCCCAGATTGACGGACCCCGACCGTCGACGCTTGTTGAACCCTCGATTTGGAAAGCCGCTAATAGAAACCAGAACGCGTCAAGGTACTGCAGGCAGACGACGCCTGGCCGAATCAGATGACGCACCTGTTGCGAACCCCCACAAGAAGTCTTTTGGTAATTTGCTGACGGGAGCGGCCATCGTTTCGTGTTAAAGGTATTACAGGTAGGCACGGAAAGCCAGCAATGCATGGTCGAGTTTTGTACGCGTTCTTAAACCAAGGACAAACCGCCGATATCGCTAGGTTCCTGTGGAATCCAAATAGTGTCATCCCCGAGAAATGTCCGCCGGTTACTGTGCACGACCATGACCTGGGCGGGGGATTGTCGGATGAAAGACGTGAGGCCAAAGTTTCGTTTTCCGGTTCCCGATTTGGTCGAGTTTCCCAGCCCGACATTCGTATATCTCCGGAAAGCGCTATTGCAGCGCTCCTCAGCCCAAGACCTATTTCCACACTCACTCTTATCGCCTGCACGCCCTCTAATGTCAGGGATAGCAATACTCGGCGCTGGGATCTTTGCTAAGGAAGGTACGTGGGCCCTCTGGGCATGCACCCATCACGAACTAACGCAAATCCGAATATTCACCATTGACTAACTCAACGATCGCGATCGCGAATCCGCGTATACAGCACACCTTCCAGCGCTTGCGAAGCTAGGTGCCAACACTCCTATCTTGAGAGCGGTGTATTCGCGGTCGGAGAAGAGTGCGCACGACTTTGCGACAGCAGCAGCAGCCACCCTCAAACTCGACCCTGCTCCAACTGTCTACCACGATGGAGGCGATCCATCTGTCTCACTCGACGCATTGCTCACCACGCGCTCCGATATCGACGCGGTCATCGTTGTCCTTCCCATCACCCTGCAGCCTTCCATCATTATCAAGGCGCTAGCAGCTGGGAAGCATGTCCTGAGCGAGAAGCCTGTCGCACCAGATACTTCTAGTGGGCTTTCGCTGATAGCGAAGTATAATGAGGAGTACAAGCCGAAGGGGCTGGTGTGGAGAGTCGCGGAGAATTTCGAAGCAGAGCCGGGTTTCCAGGCAGCCGCGACGGCCATAAGGGACGGTAAAATCGGTAAAGTATCATTCTTCGACGTCCGCGTCGTGAACTACATCGATAAGGAGTCCAAGTGGTACAAGACACCGTGGAGGACGGTCCCAGACGTGCGTCCATACCCCCTGCCGCTCGAGCATTCCATTGACACCCTCATCCTTGCAGTACCAGGGCGGCTTCCTCGTGCGTATTGCGCCTCATTGACCGAGCTGATGTAGACTTACTGCGCCATCAAACAGCTGGACGGAGGCGTGGTGCGTGTCTAGTGCGTTGTCGTCATCTGACTGCCGTCTGACATGACCTACAGCACACCGCCGCTGCACTGCGCGTCATGCTCCCCTCGCCGCTGACACATCTCTCCGGCTTCGCCTCCTTGAACAAGGACTACCTCCCACCCCACGACACCATCCACGCCATCGCCAAGTCCATCGCCAAAGACTCCACCACCACCTTCCACGGCACGGCCTCGCTTACATGGGCCTCGCCCACGGCCTCGAAATCAGTCCCCGACGGTATCACGATCACCGGCTCGGACGGCTGGCTCTCAGCGACAACCATCTACGCCGAGGGCGTGGTGCGCATCACCATCAAGTCCGTGGTCCACGCCGCAGGGAAGCCCGACGAAGAACGCGAGGAGATCATCGACAAGCCGATCCAGGGCGTCCAGCGGGAGCTCGAGAGCTTCTTCGCAGCGACGAAGGGGACGGACGACGGGCTGGGCGACCCGCTGGGAGCGCTGCGGGATGTGGCGTTCATCCAAGCTGGGCTGGACAGCAACGGTGCCCTCGTAGATCTCGAGAAGCTGATTAGCTCTGATTAGCATGAGCGCAACACCTCCGAATGTCGCGCTATTCCATGCTGTCCCCTACACTGAATACAAGCTTCTTCCTGAGTGACGTCGGGGGTTCGCTGAGTTTGCAAGCCCGTGGAAAACAGGCCCATGATGGGGCAGCGGAGAAAGTTGCGTGAATGAGCGAGGTTTATCCTTTTCGTTCCTGCCTTTGTTTGGCCACGGTGTTCGGGGGTTGTCCTGGGTTGTCTAGCCTCGAGATCGCATCGAGATCAGCCACGGCTGTTGTACACAAACTTGAGGGACACGTTCCAAGCATCGACGCCCAGACATGTAGTTTATGGCTTTGTATGGACCTGCATTGTACGCCTAGAGATGACGCTACTATATTCGGCGAAATTATGCCGGGTGACGTGCTCGGCGTAGTGTAACGGCACCGGAGAACGACAAAAGACAAGTGTCAGACAACTACCGGAGGAGCGATAGCCATCAGAGAAGGAGAAATATCAAGGAGCATTCAACCTACTCGGATGTCGCATCGCTGTTCGTCGCGGAACTGTCGTTGTGATGGAGGTTCTTCTTCAGGATTCAATCGGAGGCTCATGGAACGTGGTGTTTCAAAGGGGGGCGATAGGATGGAACCAAGGCGTTCAGAGGCCTATCGAAGGACGAGAAAGAGGCATCAGTAGTCAGTTTAGCGAAATCTGCATGGGGAGGCAAATAAGGTCGAGGCTGCATGGATGGTCACGCGCGTTGCGAGGTTATCCGACAAGCGAGAGGTTCTTTTCGTCAGTCCAGCAACTCAACACACGGCCCAACTCCTGCACGATGCCGCGATTGTATTGATGGTCAAATTTCCTCCGTGAAAGGAGTTCGGGAACACGGACAAAGTGTACGTTCGATACAAGAATACGCAAGGGGCCTAGGGAAGGCGGCGAAATATGAGAACGAGAATAACGGTGTGGCCGGGACAACCGAACAGCGGACACTCACACAGGAGAACCGTATTCGGAATCGGAAACGCAGTGATGTCGGTTCGCGATGGGCTCCATGTCTCACTGCGTAGTAGATGCAATATGGCGCCAACGCCGAGTATACGTAGATCTGCATAAACCTCGGAGTTTGAGGCGCATACATTAGCCACGAAAGGTAACTGTATACTACGAGCAGGATGTCAGATAGGGTGAATGACAGGGAAAAGACGACTCGCAGTAGAGAGGGATAGGCTTTTGATTGCCTGTCGTGCAAGACAGAGGTGAAGTTCGCTCAGCGGTGGATACTAAGTGTCCCTGATATTTTCGACGGTGTGCTCTTTTGATGATCTCTTCGTCCTTTTCTCTTAGATATGAAAGACAAGGGTCTTCAGCGAGAACGATATGACTGTTCCCTGAGCACGTTGAGAGATTTCTGTGGAGAAATTAGACATTGTGCTCTTTTTTCGGGGAGAACTAACCATGTCATGGTACAGCAGCATACCCGCTCATTTCCCATGCTATATTCCTGGGTCTCATACTCTACCGACGCCTTTATCAGCAAGAAACTCGACGGTGAGATTATGTGAACTCACTGTGATGCCGTCCGAAGTTTCGTGCATGGCGGCACTACCTCCATTATGAGGGAATATGTTGATCCGTGCACAAAGCCATGATATCGAGAGTATAGCGGAAGAACAGACCACATATAACGTTCCGAGTTCACGGAACTAGCAGAGGCTAGCACGACGCGGGAGTGCTTGATAATGAGCGCTTGGGTTTGATCGTCGAGCAAGATGAAACAGGTCGGTCGCGCGAAACTGAGGTCATGCGGACAATGCGGGACTACCTTCAAGGTCGTACGGCACGACGTCGGACGACCGGGAGAGGATGAACTTCGAGTTCCCCGACTTTGGTGTACAAATACACGTATACAAAGTGATGGGCGCTCCGCGCCCTTTTCCTCTCTCATCTCTCATGTTTCTTAAGTCTCATCTGGTACTTTGATTGCAAATACACACGCGCGATGAATAGCAACCGGGCTCAGAGCAAACCACAGGAGTCTGCCCTTCAATCATCTCGTTCTTCATGCATCATCTCCTAGCGCCCGTGTTGAAGGGTGTCCTTGCACGCAAGATAGAGCATGGTTCAATTCAGAATCTCCCACTGCAATCAGCCCAGATCGAGACTTACGAGTGAAGTAGCGCCGATGAGCTACCTGGGGGCGCGACCTTTCGAGGAAAGGTGAGCACCATTCACGCATATTGGCCTCGTTCTGAATGGAGCGTTGCAGGTTGATTAAAGCAATAAGCTGGATGCATACAGCACCGATGTGCTCCTTGTTGGCTAGATTAAATTCACTCTGGACATTCATGCCAAAATCAGCCGAGATGATTATGATACTCGGGCGTGTTCACCTCGTAGTATATGCCGTGGCCAGCGACGTCGGAGGTGAGTTACGGCCCGCTGTGATCTACTCTCGCGCCACCCAACTCACGATGGCCGAAATAGACTCATCGCAATCAAAGCCGTGTCCTAATTATACCGAGGCCCTCTTGAAGTGTGCAGACCTGATGACAACCAGTTCCAGTTCAATCGCGGGATGGAAATTCGTGATTAAGCAAAAGAGGCGCAATGGTCACCAGGTGCGGTCCTGCATCTCCTTCCCTTCGTCGCACCTAACGCGCCTGCAGGGACACCGGCGACCTTGCTGGACATCGCTCTTGCTTGCATCCCATCGACATCCACGGGTGAGCCAACCTCTTCACGCGTAGGCGGAGCCTTCATTTTCTCACGTCGTCAAGGCAGTCAATTCTGGCTCGATGTAATGTCCCGTCTCTGCTGGCTCCGCCGCACCCCTGATATATGGTGTGACTGACACGACAGTCATGAGGGCGCGGAGGCGTTGAAAGAGGCCCTGTATGAGGACTAGCTCGCAGACGTGGCAGTGCCTCGTTTCCCATCCTCCTCTTTTATGTTTCCGTCGCCTCAGGTTGTGTCGGAGAAAAGAGGGAACGACCACGGCGGGAAGTCGCCGACGGCGCCACGGTGGTTCGTCCACGGAGGCTATAAGTCATAGCGACATCTGCTCACACCCCTGCTCTGTAGGCACCATCTGTATGAGGATGCGGGGTGGTGGGGTTCCTCCGGGGTTGTGCCTCGGGAGCTCTATTACGTTGGCGGTTCGCACGTCCTCGAGTACATCCACGCTGCCACGCCGTGTGCGACGGAGATGTGTAGGGCCATTTTACGCTCAGACGTTCTCTTCATCGAGCATGGATATTAAAGATTAGAACGCAGTCACTTCCTCTGACTCGATTGGCATTGTGGCTAGAAGATGAACGTTGATGAACATGTACAGTCCGTACGCTTTATCGCGGCTTCACCGCAGACTAAACGGGCTTATGGCTGTACGCCTACACGCACGTTCCATCGCAGAGTGCATACGTTCCCAGCATCGAGAGTGGATTTTCAAGCTTCTGCCTTGGCAGCACCGTGTCGGACATCCTTCAAATCCGCAGACACCATTGGTTGCGGTGATGTTGAGCGAACGCGTGATGCTTGCATGGATGGTGCTTCGTCTTCGCCATGGATTCCTGTGCGCTTCTCGTTCGGATGCACGCGTGGTGTGCTGATGGCCTGCCCGAAAAGTAATGAAAGGTTGCAAAACGAGCACTTCAGTCCGGCGCGAAGCTTTGTGAACGAAGCGGAGACGCAAGAAAGCCTGTTTGCCACTCTTCGAATGCATGGTACCGAGGAGAGACCCCACCTTCTGGACCGACGTCGCGACGGTCCGGTTCCAGCTCGGTCGTCTACTGGAACGGTGGTTTATAAACGACGGTGGGTGGGCTGCATTTCGCTCAACTCAAGGCCCCGACGTCGACTTCTTACCTGTGGTGACTGCTGCCCGCGCCTCCTCGCCGTTTATTCGACAATGAAGTTCTCTCTCGCCGTCGTCGCTTCCCTCTTCGCCGCCGCCCAAGCGGCTAGTATACCCCCTGTCAACGAGACTCTGACCAACGTACGTTCTCCGCTCCCTCCCCCTCCTCCTCCTCTCCTCCGCCTCCGCTCACCACCCCTCCTCCTCTCGCCTTGCAGACCGACCCCTGCCCCCGCCCGCACACCGAGGTTTACTTCTTCCGCGCCTTCAACCCCTCGCGCGTGGACCACTTCTACACGACCTCCGTCCAAGAGCTGACCTCCGCCACCCACGTCAGCGGGTACGCCAGCGAAGGCATCCAGGGCTTCATCTTCCCCTCCCCGGAGGCCTCGACGGTCCCCCTCTACCGCCTCTTCCACCCCGCCCGCACCGACCATTTCTACACCACCAACGAGGCGGAGGCGATCAGTGCCACAGGTTTGGGGTGGAACAGGCAGGGAATTGCGGGGTATGTGCTTGATAGGCCGATTTGTGGGAGTGCGCCGCTGTTCAGGCTGTACAACGCCGGGAATGTGGATCACTTTTATACGACCAGCGCTGCGGAGAGGGACAACTTCTTGCGATCTAGGCTATACGTCGACGAAGGTATTGCTGCGTTTATATATGTGTGATCGACGGGCCTTGGTATTCGGTGAGTTGCGGATTCAATTTGTGAGTCGGAAACGTGCCGCTGATTTCTAAGGCGTTGTAGGTGCTCGTTAGATCTAGGGACGTTATTAGCTACTACAGTGTGATTCTTACACCGATGTAGTCGACGACTTCTAGCTACAAATATTTATGAATGGGCTGCCCATTCTCTGCCCCCAAGCTCTGCACCTTGTGAGCTCCTCGTGTGAAGCCTGAATTACACTTGATGATCTGTGTCTAATTTTCCTAGAGTGACGACCCGTCAAGCGGCGAGTCATGAACCTGTGGTTTACTGCAGTTTGACGTTCCATGATTCTATCATACAGCGACCGTATAGGCGCCACGCTCCATTGCGGCGTCGGCCATGCTCGTGCGACCGAGCTAGGAGTCTCTTCCTTAGAAAGAGTTCAAGCAACTCAGGTGTCGGTTCACAGTACCTGCCGCCGCAATGGCTACTGAGTAGGGATACTGAATATGGACGATTCGCAATCACAATGTATTATATATTCAGTCTGTTTGTTTAGCATTCAGTGCTTTGGCCATTGCGTCTGCCATGGCTCCTGGCTTCCGGAATACGAACGAAATACCTGCCATCGACATCATTGACAGTTGCCATCTCGTTCTGCGCGATATATACTCATTGCACCAATCCGATCCGACTTAGACGCCTCTTGTTCGCGACCGGCCTATATGTACCATTTCCTCCAGCATTCTCTCTCTCTTACATCAGGTACCTCTATATCTAGTGAGGCTCTCGCTCTCCGTCTTCACTTCCCTTTACGTCGCCGTACTAGCTGCCGCTCTCCCCACCGAAAGCGCAGAAATAACTTTGATGTCCAAGATACGTACGGGTAATTCGCTAGCCACTTGGAAATGAGGTGCTGCGTTGACGCGATCGAGGACATGAATCTTCGCAACTTATCGAGTGGGATGTTGGTGCAGCGTCTATTGCTGCCTTGTGCGCGCCTCCTGTGTTGCGAAGTTCAAATTACGTTCTGATGGTCTGATAATGACCCGACGAGCACAGTCGCTGTTTGCTTCGCCGGTGACAGTCTTACCCAGAGAGAAGTTTATTGTATAAAGGAAGTAGCTTGTCATCGACTTCGCTCAGGCTCCTAGTGTTTCCTGTAGCTGTATGTGGTCCAAGTTCATACTACACAGCGTGGGTCACTGATACGAACCCCATTGCAAGGCGCATGGCAAATAACTTACAGCAGCTTCACGGACAACTTATAATTCTTACCGTCCATCTGTGTAGAAGTGCGAGCCACTGGCCCCGACTGGACATAATAACGGACATGTGTCGTTTATGGTGCGCACTTCTTCAGCGGCTGGAATATTGCAGGTACTCCTAGCTCCTATCTACATCCCTGTGTTGCTGTCACCGTGTAACATCCTTCGAATGTCACAATAGTATTCTCTCAGCATCATTGGCAGTTGCCATCTGGTTCTGCGCGGTATGTGCCACTTCTGCTGATCCGACTCGGGTATTTCTGATTTGTAGCCGGCGCAGACATTTCCTATTAACGAGATATTGGTGTCCGTCATTCTGAGACTCCCCGTGTTCCAACTCGGTCTGGACGCGATGCGCAAGAGTGTGGAATGTCGAGGTCCGGCTAGAGTTGGTAGATTCGCTCGATTTAAGTAGAAATGTCGGTACGTGCTTCGTAATAAGTTGCTTCCGTTCACCGGAGACGGTTTGTTCACAGAGCCTCTCCCTGGATTTCAGGCAGCACACCAAATCCTCGACTGTATCCAGCGCTGATTCCATGTGCTCTCAATGTGTCACTATTTCTTTCGCTCGAATGTCATCCTACCGTCAGAGTCGAATGATGCCCGGCGCATCATCCTTCAGCAAGACATTGGGCGTGTATGGAAACAAACCCAGTGAACAGAGACTGGCGTCGTCTTGGCGTAAGGACTTGGCCACATCCACTGAATATAAAACAGTCCATCACTAGTAGTATAGTTCCTCACTTCGCCTTCTTCGTTCTTCTCATTCCTCTTATTCGCTCTTCTCGGCCAGGTTGCCTCTTTCGTTCTTTTGAATCTACCCGTTCACGTTATCCGATCTTTCTACAACCAATAAGTAAGTGCGCTATGCAATAGGTACTCCCCTTGCTAACTGTGCTTACAGACCGTTCAACATGCTCGCCAAACTTGCCCTCCAATTCGTCGCCCTCTCTTCTCTGCTTGTCGGAGTAATCTCAACGCCCGTCCTGTACGGTAGTGGTTCCTCGGATAGCCTCGGTGCGTACTTCTGCCGGCACCAGCTCATGCAGCTGACCGTCTACAACCAGCCCGCCGCGGAAACTCCATCTCCTTCAACCACTGGGGCGGCCACGCCTCCCTCGACAACTTCGATCGCTTTTACGGTGTGGATAACTTCGACGGGTCGGTGCACTTCAGCCAGGTCGTGGAGCAAGAGAGCCAGGTCGTCTGCCATACCCAAGCCATCGAGATCATCCAGCAACGCCTAGTCGTCCTGCAGGAGATGGCTAAGCGGTAAGTCCGACATACGTTCTCAGCGCCCACGAGTCTAATACAATCCAACCATCTAGCATCATCACGGAGCAGATCTGCGAAGTCGAGACCCAAACCATCGTCTTCCAGCAGTTCCACGCCAGCTTCGGCTCATTCAACCACGATCTCCGCCGTATCAGTGGGCACCGCGTCGGCTTCGACTCCAGGATCGCCAACCATTTCAGCGAGCTCGTAGATGAGAGGGGATTGATCAGTACGCATGACTTTGGGTTCTCGGGATTGGATGTCGGGAAGCATACGGTTGTTGTTGGGGGGCACAACTGGGACGACTTCAGGTCTCCGTACACAGTTGAACTCGCGCATCGGGCTGCCAGGAACGCGATCGTTTCCATCCACTAAGTGCCAGCCGTATGTTATCTGTTAGCTACAGCTTGAAGTCGGCCTAAATTCGGCTTGCCTTTTTGACCGCTGCTCGTTACGACACACTCATATACCTTAATTTCGTTGAATGAAAGATCTGTGATCAGTACATTGATAGTGCAAAGCAAGTCTTCACATCGAGTGGTCTTCTGATATAAGCTGGGGACGTTATTATTCCTCCCCTGATAAGTACCCTAATCATTCCCCTATCGCGCTCATCCGAATTTCGCCGTTCCTCACCTCCAGTGCAAGGACCACACGTATGGTCCACTGCCTTTCCCCAATGCCGATTTTGTCGATCCGTAAAACAAATTTTGGTCGTGGCTAACTTAGAGTCGGCAGTTGTTCGGCGGCGGGTCGAAATCGCGGCTGACGCAAGCTTGGGTATATAAAGGCCAGGTCACGGGAGTATGCAATCGATACCGCTTTCTTTCCTTCCCCCATCATCGAACTCGCCCTGCTTCACTGCTCGGAATGCCAGCGGGCTAGCAAGCAAGTGATACTGCCCACGCCTCCCCGCCTACATGGCTCTCCGGCGTTCTCAGTGACACCGACACCCTCATAGAAACCACATCGATCACAAGCACGGGGAATTTCTGGGTGGATGTTTTGTAGATTGGCCGCTCAAACTGCACAACGACAGCTCCTCTGGGCGATTTTGGACTTTGAAAACCCCCCCAACGCGAGCCGTCTGGTCACCACGGTCCATCTGAAAAGCACAAAAAGCTCGCAGTTTGAGGTTCTCTGCGCAACCATTCGTTTACAATAATGTTGTAAGCGAAATTTTTATTCGATCAGCATGGGGGGATGAGAGCGAGGAAAAGGGTACAAAAATTGCACAAAAGGCGTTTCATGGCTGTCATTGGCGGTGCGTTGAGGTGGTCAGTCAACGAAGGTCCTTGTCATCCTCCCCACCATTAGGCTGTCAGAAGCCCTGCTCGTTGCCTTTGCTTCCCCGCCCACCGCCAGCCCACCACGTTGACATGCGACAAATCGATGAGAATACCCACAGGTAAGCGAATACACCGTAATCTCAAGGTGCGTTTTTCAGTCTGAGCACGGGCGACAAAGTCTTTGGAGGTGAATTCATATGGACGAGACCCACGATGTATTTGCGTAAGCCCGTCGACGTCCTAATGACCTCTGTCCCCAGCGCCGTCGATCATTTCACTCCTTTCGCCCTACGACGATTCAGACACCCGGCTCCTTCAGCTCGTCGAAGGCATCGTTCCACGCATGTTGTTCAAACGACAATATTAATTCTGGAACGACTTGAGGCGTCTTCAACGGCATAAACTTGCGGTCATCCATCATTGCAGTCATTCATCATTGTGAACAACCAACTTCACCTCACGTTTTTCAGCTTGAGTGCTGCCGCTGGCTGTTGTCAACAACCTCGCATACCTACGCCCGATCGTGAGGCCAAAGCGAAAACAAGGTAGCATATGACTCAGACGCTCGTGCCTTTTTAAAGTGAGCGGCTGACTGGACAGAATGTAGCGCACGATCTTTTGGCATTGGCCAATAAGTACGTTTAGACGACGCGGTCGTACGGCGACGATAGGACACTTTAGCGTTGATCCAGCGAGGTGTATGCCCTATCTCTTAGTGGCAGGCTCAGAGCCCGGCGCTTGTGGTAGAACTTGCGCATCCGACAACATTAACAGGCGACGTATATTCAACACATCTGGAAATGCAGTTGCATGGGTATATCATTGCTTCATCTCCGGTGAGCTGCAGCCTCCATTTGTGTAGCTCGGGTATGAGGCTCTTTTTGATGATAATTCTGGATGGATTGATAGGGACTCGCCTCGTAGCATTGTGGTACTTAGTCTCGAACCCGGCGCGGACCCCTCCAGTATCGGACTTGACGTCGAGATTATTCTTCGTCCATAAACCTATATGTTCGAAGATGATGCGCTGTATTGCCTCATGGAGGTGCAGGCCTCGGGTTGTGGGGCCAGCAGGCTCGATGCGGGGGAAACTTGAGATCCCAATGCCGCTAGAAGTGGTCCAGCATGAGCGAGGCCCGGATGCGACCATTCCTTCCACAGTTCGTCTCCAGCGAGCAGACCCGCTCTGCTATCACATATTGTCTTTCGATGGGCCGACCCGATGATTCGCAATATGCCTCCACGCACAAAAGGGCAGGAATCCCTTGGGATCGTTGCGTATTGCTTCCTTCGGCTTTCCCAAGGGCACAGTGACCAGAAGAAACACGATCATAGATTCTGCATCGTGTCGTGGACGATGCTCGAACTCTGTAACCATCAGCTTCGGTCTTTTGTCATACTTCTCTTCGACCTGGTCCGCTTCGTAGCACCCATGGGCTTGGTGGAGGGATCATCAACAAATGTGCGTACGCCAAAAGGATCCTTGGAGTACGCTTTACGGCATGTCTCGGTGAGTCGCCGTTTAGTTAGGCATGCGCCGAGAGGTTGGTGACAAGAAGGCTTCGAACCCCAGGCGTGCGTACGATGAACTAGTGTGTACCCTGCGGCAGTAATCAGTGAATAACAGCAGATAGGTTATGTATTATGAGATGGAAACCACAGTCCGAAAACGCAATTGTTCATTGGCATCTCCGCAATCAACGAACGTCTGAGATACCGAGCTGTCTGGATTCAGTTCCACCGCTCCGTACGCGCAAGGGCAGTACCCCTAGGATGTATCGCAACGGTATCACTCGAAGGAGGTTGGAGGGGTGTGCTGTACATGGATTGTGTTTTCAACTCCGATACGTACTCCGACAAACAACTGTGGCCCAATTTGGAACCAACTCGTTCGTTCTTACCACCAAGCCACTTTCACTTGCCACTTCGTGTCCATTGTTTGATTGTGGCCATTTCAGGTGAGTATAAACTCATCTGAGAGTGCGAGTTCTCTTCTGCAATTTACCACCATGGCTCATCATATTATCTCACAGACTACACCCGTGAAGAAGACGAAACCACCTGCAGTCAATAGACGACAGATGTCCGACATAGTCGACCGCACCGGCTACCTGACTCCGTCGGCGACTTTCAGCTCGCTACGGCTACACAAATCCACGACTAGGTCATTTGCCACCATCCTGAACGACAAGGAGCTCCTTCAACTGGTAAACCAGTTTCGCGCCACCGGACAGACAGATTACGGTCTTCTCGCGCAACTGCTGAGTCGTGCGAGTGTTCTCATACGCCGTACGTATACACTCCACCAATCGTCTGCTGTACTGACACTTGCTTTTGTCAAAGTTAAATACGCCAAAGGCAAGGATCTCGTAGTCTTCCGTGACAACCATTCGCGCTCGCCGAAGTACCATCCGAATGACACTGAAGCGGGAGCCCCCGACTTGGTGGGCTTGCTGGAAGCTATCAGCCTCCTTCTTGATGACGACGACACGGCGCGCATTCCCTGGCACCATATATTAACTATCATCGAAGAAAAAGGCAAGGCCGACAGGAAGGACGCACCACGTCACTCTGTACCCTATTTGGCGTCCGCGAACCAGGCGCGCCCCGACTTGGTTGGGATGTACGGGGTTGCTATCTCACCCGTCGGCTACATCATTCAGTACAGCTGCCCTGCTGGCCTCCAAACGTCCGAAGAATTCCCTTGGTCGGACCTCGTTCCGCTGGTCTCGTATGTCTACACGCTATACGTTCCTCACCCAGACTTCGCAACCCGAGACCCGAGCGTGACTCTGGCTGATACTGGTGATGTCCTCGGTCCGCCCGCTTGGAATATACGCGATGGTGACAAAGTTTACGAGAACTGTGTTGTCAGAGTCGTTGGAGACCCGTGGCATCGGATGACTTGGGTAGCGAAAGTTGGCGATACACCAATTACGATCAAGGACTCGTATCGCGACGTTCATTCCAGCTTTAGGGAAGGCGAGCTGTACGACATCCTCCACAAGGAAGGCCCCGCCCCTGGATTCCTGCGAGTCAAGAAAGAATATGAAGTTCAGTGGAAGCGCGGTTGTCCCATCACGGTGACGGTTGACAGCACCACGCGCATCAAGACTCGACTCATCATGCATACCTGGGGAGAATCATTGCGAAAATGCCCGAGTCTCATTGATTTCCTCAAATGCATGTACGACATCCTCGAAGGTGAACCATATTATATTGGCCTATTTCTCGCGTGCTAAACGACTTACAGCTCACCGCTGGGCGGTGATGGAGCGCAATATCATCCATCGCGACATCAGTCACGGCAACATCTTCGTTGAGGCGGAAGACTTCAAGGGCGAAGATGAGGAGGAATTCAAGGGGACTGAATATCGCCCGATCTTCGTCAACGAAATCATCAAGAAGTATGTTTGTCACCATTCGCTGTCCTACTTCTACTCGTTGATATTTTCTGGATGAATTCAGACAAGAAAACGCCGATCCCATGGCTCGTCTTGGAGACCTGGACAATGCAGCGCAGCTGGATCGAAAGGCGGCGGTATCACCTTCATTCGTCGCAAGGCGAGACACCATCCATATGACTGATGAACCCTTGCGTTGTCGTACCGTGAGTTCTTCCTCAGAGTGCATTGGGAAGCTACTGATTAACTCGACATGTAGGGAACACCAAAGTTTATTGCCCGTTCGCCTGCAGTCGGCCGTCTGCTTGTCGCGGACATCAAGTTCCGCAGGATGCCAACACTTCCAAGTCATCTTTCCGACCGATATGCCCTGTTGCACTCCAACGACCTGTCTGGCTTGCGGACATTCACCGACAATGGTCCCACTCGTCACGGAGGTGTCTATACTGAGGAAACGGAAGACAAGCACGACAAAAACCGCAAGCTGAGGGTAACACAGTTTGAGCATCGACCTCGGCACGATGCAGAGTCGGTTTTCTGGTGCATAGTAGTATTCTTGCTCCTTGCCGCCCCATTGGACAGCGCGCCGGAAGATCCCCAGGCGCTCGAGGATCCCGCTGAGTTTGGACTCAACTGTGCATGGAAATACATCGCCAATCACGAGATATGTAACGATACGGGAGATAGTAGGTTGAGTATAATCCGCGAGCCAGAATGGGACAAATGGCTTCATCCGGAGCTCGCTCATGCTGAAGACTTTCTCCTGGATCTGGCAGCCCAAATTGCTCCGGAGTGGGGCCTCATTGAGCCGCCACCTCTCCCCCTCCACCTTCACGAAGCGATGCAGCGGATCATCCTCCAATACATCGACCTCTGGAAGACGCAGAACAAGGACGTCAAGTTTGATACAGGGCGAATCCGACCAGCAGAAATCCCGGACAACCGAATAATGCCTCAGGTATCACATAAACCCAGCGTCAACGGACAGCTCATTGCCGCGAGCTCTCTCAGGCCGAAGCGACAGTCGAACCAGCTTGGACCGAAGGAGGAATCCCAAGCAAAGAGTACGAGCTACTACTTTTCATTTAGTGACTCTATCTGACCATTCTTCTATACGTAGGACGCCGAATCACAAGGCAGGGCACAGATTCATACAAGGAAGTCCCTCTGAGCCTTCCGCCATCGCCACGCTTCAAGGGGCGCCGAGTAACGAGGCAGGGCACCGAATCGTACGAGAAGGACACAGCATCATACAAGGAAGTCCCTCAGAGCCTCCCGCTATCGCCACGCTTCCTTCCCGGATGCCAGCTTCCCCTCGAATACTCGCTAGATGCGGATACATCCATGAAAAGCCTTCCTTCCACGCAGGCGTCGCTTTCCACAAACCTTCTTCGTCTCTCACCGGCTTTATATCCGCAGACACTCGATACTGATAGCGATGCAGAAGGCTAATGCATCTCCGAACATCTATACTCTTGATTGTTTTGTTATATATTTCTCGATATCGTGTCGCACCGCCTTGTCTTTCACCACGTCCACCTCGTGTACTAGTATATTTGATATGTGATACATGCCCAATTATTTCTATTTCTCCCGCTTGATAGGCGAGGGCATCATATTCTTGGAATTGGGGAATATGTAGGACATCATCCATTACATGGTAAGAGGTGCTTAGACGGCCTAACTCTTCTCTCTCCCGATGCGGCCTTGTCCCCCCCTTTCCTCCTACTATACACTTGTCCTCTAGTCTAGTCGTCGTGCTTTTCGACATCTCCAGACCACAGATCGAGCACGATTAGACCTACATCTGGATAGTAATGTGAGGACCGCCAGATATCGATCACAAATCAGCAGTGGCGATGAAAATTTCGAAGCCGAACACTCACTCCCTCATGAACCAGCGCACACTTTCATTTTAGTCGCGTTCCTTACTGTTTGCCTTTACACGAGGGTCTTATGAGACAGATATCGGGTCTGGTTCCATCAGCTACGCCAAAAACTCTTGCAAGTTTGAGATTCAAAAGCAAAGCACCGACACTCAATTTACGAAGAATCTGTTCCTCGTGTACCTAGTATTGCAAAAATTGAACATTCTTTCTGTAAACGCGTTTAGGCGAAGCCAGTTCTCGAGAGCCCGCCATCTGATCATGACGTCCATCAATGTACAATTCCTTCCGTGTTACTGCGAAGCTTGCTCTTATTTTAGCAGTCTACACAGATTGTCAGTAAGCGTAACACTCGATATGGACATAAACGGAACTGACGTCTGCTTCGGAATCGATTCATCCTGGATTGCCTCTAACTCTCCTTCGTCCGTCGTATCACAAGTCAACTTTTTTTCTTTGAACTTGGCTTCTAGGGTAGTTGCATCCCAGGTCGACTTTTCCGTGACTTTGCCAGCAGCCTTCTTGCCACCCGCAAAGCAGCCCTGGATGAGCGAAGGTATAAGTGTACATAGACATCGAGCAGAAGGATAGAAGAGTTGAGTAGGCAAGGGAATAGTTCACGCACCGACCAGACGGGCCATATTGGGCTCGTCCACAATGGCCCAGATTCATTGACGCTCCACAAATCACCAGCATTAGCCCTCGCACCGTACCTCAGCTCCATGCCAGCTTCTAACCAGAGGCATCCACTGAAGCCTCCCTTCGCCGCCGCATGGACATCTACATCTGACTTGTCTGTCCCACGTGCTTCTAACAGAGCGAGATCACTCCTGCGCGCATGGGGGAGATACGGAGGGACGTATCCGTCTCGTTTTCCTTTCTTTCCTTTCGCTGGAGCAGCGGCTTTGGCAGGGGAAGATCCTTTAGCAGGTGAGGCAGCAGGAGAGGCGGCGACTTTGCCGGTAGCGCTTCCATGGGCTTCAGCCTTTACGCTCACTCGAGCGAACGCATCAGCTTCGAGATAGACATCCGCTCCAGCCTTTCCGCCGAGTGCTGAGACGCCGAGTCTAAGAGTGGGGATCAGATGGCCTTCAATGTAACCTACAATTTGATATAGTCAGAAGTAGAATAGAAAGATGGATGGGGCATACGAACCTTTAGCATTCGCTTTAGCCTTGGCTTTGAGTTTCAGGGCTGGATGGCACGGAGTCAACGACATCAGTCGATGTGGGGAATGCAGAGCACGTACGCGACGGCTTAGTATTAATGCCCTTCTCAGTCGATTTCTTCTTCGACTTTGGATACCACAGTTCCACTGTATGCCAGTTCCAATCGTCAGCATCATGGCAAAAGCAAGGCAAAAGACACCTACAATCATCAACTTGGTAGGCAAGATGCACGACTGAATCTATCTTCATGTCCAGGAATGCCTTTGCTTGGCCCTGGAGCTCAATCATGGGACCAACAGCGAGGACACTACAAGGGTTGAGAAACAGTCACTCAGAGAATCCGGCGCGCGTACCCAGGAATGCTAAACCCAGGCAAACTTAATGGCTTGATGATCGAAACTTTTCCAGAATCGTACCCGCCCTATACAACACATTCAGTTGTGAATAGGTCGAAATACGGAGAGGAAGAGAAAACTCACAAAAACTGCGGCCTTGATAGTAACACTCGCGTCAATGTCGAACGATAACCCTGCAAAAGCCGCGAAGTTATGAATCTTCGGCGGGACAATCGCGCCATCAACAATGATGCCTGCTTTCACATTCCCGTTGCCTACACCCGTCACATCTACCTTCAGCGCCCCAGTGACCACACCACCGGTCGCGGGTCCACCTCCTCCAGGACATCCCTGGGGGTGGTAATCAATTAAGCTTGCCGATCCGTTGTACTTGACTGGAACCAGTGCGACTGTGGGCTCAAATTCGAAATGGGTGGCGTTCTCGAGAAGACCGCCAACTTCCTCGATCTTTTTGAATACGCTGCCTGCTACCTTTGCAACGGTAGTCCCGACTCTTTCAGCAGCTTTGGCGACGTCTTTGGCTGCGCCGGTGACAGCCTGCGCAGTTGTGGTTGCAGCATTGGATACCCAGGTGCCAACCGATTGGAAGGCATTGTCGAACCAGCTATCGACGAATTCGAAGTTGAGGTCGATGTCCGGGTTGGTGAAGGTTTCGGAAGGGGAGGGTGAAGTGAGGCCGACGAATGCGAAGTTGATTGGCCCGACTCTGGAAGGCATAGAGTGCTCAGTGGAGTAGCGACGGGTGAAAACAATGACTTACTTCTCCACGTCGACCAGATCAAAGTTAGTGTCGATCTTGAAGGAGTGGATGACAGGTGGAGTGCCGCTTCGCCTCACTACTTTACCTTCGGCATGCGCGGGGAGGTCTTGATTCGTGGCTACACTCGCCGCTGCGATACGAGCAAAGGGGCCCGACCCGCACTGCACATACAACGAAAGCCAATCAGATACGGATTGTCATGTAGCAGAGCACGTACGCTCTCAGGCAACCTAACGATCTTATCCTGCGGGCCCCAGTGTTCGAAGACATGATTGCAAGCAGAATCGTCAACATCATCGTCGGACTGACAAACGAGACGAATTTCTTGCTCTAGCATATGAGGGTCGCAGTCCAAGACAACCCATCCAGCTGCAGAGGTAATGTCCGTAATCGATTTCGGGGAGCCAGACTGCCAGAATAGAATGTGAGCCGCGTTTATACAGGGTCTATGATATCCGCACGATTTTGAGTGCGCCTAAACCGGAGTTACTATGCTCAGGGAGATCGTACGCGCATTCCCCGTTAAAGCATGGCTTCGACCAGTCGTTAGCCGGGGCTGCTGAAACGCTGACCGCCAATCTCGTAGCAACAAAGGTAAAAATCAGGAAGAGGCGCTGCCTCTCTGGCTTGCCCGGACGCATTTCGGAATAACCAGGAGGTGAGCGAACGCCGACCGGGAAATAGGTGCCTCGCCAGGGAGATGGGCAAGGGTTAAGGGGACACTACCCATCTGTCCGCCTTTTAGAGGGCGGAGGGACTCGCTTGTAAGATTCAGGATGCTAGTAGTTGAGCCCGTTCTAGCACCTTGGCGGGTTCGTAGTGCGCTAATATCCGAGCTTGTATTTAGTGCTGTTTCTAGAACGTTTCGTGCATAGATATATACCTGTGGTAATTGGGTGGGTAACTCGTGAGGGTAACGCTTTACCCATGTCTTCCTGGTACTGCTATCACCGACTTGAGGAGACGGATGCTACATGATTAGAATACCATTGAAACCAACTGTTCAGGAGCTCGTGGGTTGACAGTAGTTAGTGCCCACTTCGCATGATTACACGAACTAATCTAGCGTGATGGTGTTCGTTGGGACAATTCATGATCATTAGGATTGTTTTGTGACCGTGGGAATGAATTGTTCCATGTCAAATCTAGCTACCCCAGTGAGTAAGGACTACGAACACGAGCAGCACAAGGGCATACTAGAGAAGATGGCTTACCCCCAGCCAAACCCGAAGACAAGACTAACAAAGCCAGCAGTCGCTCGGGGCTTCCTATTCGCCCAAGACTGATACTAACAACGTGCCCAGTCGCCTGTTATTGCACACGGAAAGGTACATATTAGCGGTCATGATGCTATAGATCTGGATCAATGACTCCCCTACGCGGCGCCCGGGAGACGGTGCTCACCTAGGAATTATCCTCCAGAACTATTAGGTCGATTCATGTAGCGTGCGCGATATATCCATTGGCATAGGTGAATTGGTCATCGTCAGTCTCCCCCGTCTAACGGTCCCATGGGCGGCAGAGATACATTAAGACTTTCCGTTGCCGAAGCTGCAATACCGGCAGTACTGCGTCCAGAAGCCATTCAAGAGGGTCACCATTTTATGAGCTGTCATCAGCCCATGTGCACGACTCGCTGCCGACTTCAGAGTTTCTACTCAAGACACACTAGAACAAGCATGTATCGTTTACACGGCGACACCTGAGGAGACTGAGTAAATCGCTCGTGAACTAAAACATGGCGCTCACGAGTATGTACGATGGCTTCTACCGATTTCCGTTAGTATGGTCTCTCTTTCCCCGTGTCTCGAAATCAGGCCACGAAGTGTCCTTCGGCACTTCAGTTCTACCTTGTCCAGTGCAGGACAAGATATTCTCCTAAATCGTCTAGTCATATTGCCAGGTATCGTCCTCCATCCATATTATTGTGTTGTCCTAACGAGGGTCGCCTAATATAAGGCGCCACGTAGAAATACATCGCGGTAATTCTAGGAGAGACTTGGTGAGCATCCAGATTCAGGCCTTCGAGCGCTCATTTCACTCACAGAATCGATTGGGAGTGATTGTGATCTTTGCTTCACGTTGGCTTCTGCCCTACTTCCGCCCTGGTGGGGCGTTCTCGGGACGCGTCGGTGATGGTAGTGAGCAACGAATGATCGAGCGGAGTTTCAATTTGCCTTATTGCTCACTCATGTTCTACAAGTTTAGCCGCTTGAATTCGGCTTGATGCTCCCAACTTCTGACGATGGATTTGTGTCGAAGGTATCCCATCCTCTCTGTGGAAATTGTAGAGCCATCTTCGCCGCAATTCCGTTCCATATTCCTGGCCGATACGAAGGCGAACACCATTTGACCGTCCGAGATCTGGAGGAATCTGCTGGGAACGATTGTCAGCTTTGCATTATAGCTCTGAATGGTACCACCCACGAGACCTTGGAATCGTGGAGATGCTCCGACCTGAACACCTCCCTTACACCGATCCGTTGGTCCATCGCCTTCTCGAAGAAGTGGCCAGATTTCTTTACCATACGATGGACGAAATCGGACTTCCTCGATGTACGCCTATCCTTCGAAGAAACAGAGGAAGGAACAACGCCACCGGCCGCCGGTACTTCCGATTCCACTGGATCAGAGGAGGCGTTGACTTGCGCTAGGCGGTGGCTCACAGATTGTACGAAGACCCATGAGCAGTGCTGTGCTCGCACTAGCAAAGGCTGGCTTCCCACACGATTGATCCATGTCGGCGGGGAAGCCAATGCAACTACCCTCCGGCTCTGTATACGCGCTGAGGTTCCTTCCGAATCTACGTATATGACTCTTAGCCACTGTTGGGGATCCCCCGCGAAGGACCAGCTCAAGCTACTTCAACACAATATCGAGGAGCTGCAACGCCAAATCCCGTTTGGCAAACTACCCAAGACGTGGGTCGATGCGATTACTGTCACCCGTGCAATGGGGTGCGAGTACCTGTGGATCGATTCGCTATGTATCATTCAAGACTCCGTGGACGACTGGCGGAGGGAGTGTTCCATTATGGGACTTGTTTACAAGAACGGGTGGTGTAGCATCGCCGCCAGCGCGGCGAAAAACGGCAGCGAAGGGTGTTTCATGTCCAGACACCCAACTTGCTTCCATCCTTTGATCGTTGAGGTCGAGTCGACGCGAATGAGTGCGGCATACTCTTGCTCTGCACGTCGCTTTCATGTTAACCGACTGGCACAAGACGTGGAGTCGCCGCTCTACCAGAGGGGTTGGGTCATCCAGGAGTGGTTCCTCGCGCCCCGTATCCTCTTCTTTGCGCGACAGATGATACACTGGGAATGTGCTAGCGGCGCTGCATCAGAAGCTCTTCCTACGGTGAACAAGACCAAGTCCGTCCTGTCCTTCGCCACGAAGCTCCGCGCCAGATATGAGCGTGCGCCCATGTCCGTCGAGCGCTGCCTGGAAGAATGGCAAAAGTTGGTGCAAGTGTATATGTCGACGCGCTTGACGATGGTGCGAGACAAGCTGCCTGCATTCTCGGGGATAGCGCGCGAGTTTTACGACCAGCTTGTCGCTGCATCACCGTCGCCGTGTCCTCGGTATCTCGCTGGGCTGTGGACTCCTTTGCTGGCCGTCCAGCTCTTGTGGAAAGCAGAATCTGGCAACCAACAGGGTCAGACTTCTTACAGGGCGCCTTCGTGGTCATGGGCATCTGTTGACAAGCCGATATCATCTCCAATCGATACTATCAGCCGAAGGACGACAAAACACACCATCATCAGCGTACTTCGTGCTGAGGTGTCAGCCGCCGGCGAAGACCCCTTTCAAGAGGTCAGCAGCGGTTTCATTCGCGCTGAAGGCTGGCTATGGAAGATCTCAAAAGGCGCGATTCCCCATCAAGTAGGCAAGTCTTCGAAGCTCAATCTCCAGCTTACATTCGACAACGACGGCGTCAAGTCAGCAAAGAAGCCACTCGATGAGGATGTATTTCTTCTACCTGTTCTCGTCGATCCAGACGATACCTGTATGGCCTTGTACGTTTGGGGAATTTTGCTGAACAAGTATGGGGAGACGCCAGGCCACTTCAAACGCGTCGGCTTTCTTGCCTTGAATGATGGTGGATCTAAGAGGCTCAAGATGCGGGAGCGACAATTCCATCCGATATTTGAGCCCGTTCTGGAGCTCTACGGGCGATATTTCCCTTGCATAGAATTAGTGAGAGGAGACGAAGATTGCATCAGTAGTAGAAGGGACAAGCGATTTCCGTCAAACGACACCTATCGACTCGGCTCGCATCTTTGTACAATAGAAATTTTCTGACAACCGCGTTTCATTTCTACTTTTCATGGAATTTGGTAAAAATGCGTACAGACACTCTGGGTAAAATAATTTGGTGCTTTCGCAATGTTAGCGCCAATTTGAAGTTCCGCTCCACTGCACGCTGTTGACCACCACATTTCCCTACTGTAATCGCGAAAGCACAGACGCCTGGGCTATCGCTACTCTGATTAAAGGAGCCTCATATCTACGGCGTAGGATTCAGAGAATTTTGAGGTAAGCCAATACGCGAAACTCATCAAAGTCTTCAGGAATACTCACCTGGAATTCTCGTATGTACAATAGCGCCAACATGGCCGCTCGACACACCGCGGTCGGGCCTCAATCTCTAAGGAGTGGAGGGCGATGGAGGAGGGGGTCGACATCGAGAAGCACTCGCCATGGCGCCGGGATGCGTTATTTCGTGGCATCAGTTCTCCGGAACTGACGAGTAACCTTGGGCTCGCATTCGATCTATATCGCGAGAAGCGGGATGGGTGGCGTGGCGGGTCTCTCATGTACCTGACGAGAGGTAAGTACCCTTTCTTGTGCCCGATCCCGAGTGCGCATACGCGTGTGCTCACTGCTGCGGCCGCCTATCATCGCGATCTAGCTGGGAAGCCTGTAATAGTGAGACAGGGCATCCTGTTGCCTACCTTCCCGGTATCAGTCAAATGGCCACTAAAATGATGAAAAGATAACATACGGGATGAAAAGACTCTCGATCAAAATCGATCTTCTCTGAGCTTCTCCTCCGAAGGCGCGGAAGCAACTTTAGCGTCCAAGTCAAGGCAAAGCCGGCCTCAGGCTTTCATAGATCCTCGTTTCTTCGTTGCCTCGAATGCCTCCACCAGCTAGTCTACCTGTATCCCGGCCGTCACAAGAAAAAGCCACGCAAGGTACGCTTGAAGAGCTGAAACGAGATGAGGGAGCTGATGAGAGGCCATCGCCATCCCAGACGCTCGATTTGCTCTCGATCGCTCGGAGAAAGTCCCAAAATGACATTTGCACATGAAAACCGATCGGTGGCGTGTCCTGACCCCTGCACGTTAAGGGCCCGGTCTGCTCGTCGAAATGTTAGCCCCGACCTGCCAAATTTGAGTCCCACGGTTGGATCAAACCCGGCCCAAACCTACCCCAAGCCGGCGGTTTGCTCTGCTGCATTGGGGTTTGGGGCAGGCCCCATGTCACATCAATTCTCGGCGCTTCTTCGTATCCCCCTGCTTCTTCCCCCTTCGCTTCTTCCCCTTCGCTTCTCTCCCCTCGCTTCTTTCACTCACGCGCCAATGCCTTCTTCGACGCAATCAAATAAGGAGAATCCCCCTGTATTGAAGGGGAAAAAGGCCATATGGACGGATGCCGATGACAAGGCCCTTCTTGACTGCCTTCTTGAGCAACAAGCTGCTGGCAATCAAGGGGACAATGGCTGGAAAACCCTGGTGTGGACTGCAGCTGAGGAAAGCTTGAAGGGTAGTGAAGAGAGGAGCAAGGGTAGTCGCAAGACTGCTACCAGTTGTCGTGATAGGTTCAAATCAGTGCGTACTTGATATCTTAGTCTACAGGCTATGACTTATCATGTTGGTTAGCTCAAGGAGAGCTTTCTTGTTGTCCAAGTCCTTCGCTCTCTTTCAGGATTTGGTTGGGATGACCAACGACATCTTGTCACTGCGACTGATGATGTCTGGGACAAGTATATTGATGTACGTCTCCTTATCTTCTCCTGCCTGCCATTACTGATTATACCAGAAACATCCCTCCGCCAAGAAGTGGCGAAAGAAGGCCTTTCCTTGCTATGACCTCATGTTTGCCTTGGTTGAAGGTCGTAGTGCAACTGGTGATAATGCTGTCAGTATCACCGCTATGGTTGCTGATGATAGTGGGGATATTGGAACTCCTCGTAGCGATAATGAGGACGAAGCCTCTCAGGTATGTGCTATCAGTATTGAGTTTAACTTGAAAACTCAATCATTGTAGGATATGGACATGTTTCCCCTTTTCCCTCCTCTTTCCCCTTCCCCACCACCACCACCTTCATCTCAGTGTCGGAAGCGTGCTGCCTCTGATGCGGATGACACTCCGGCTCCATACAGGATGAAGCGGGGCCGTACCTCTGGTCCTGACGCTCTTCTTGCATTGGCAGGAGCTGTCAGCAAGGTGGCTAATGCGGGAACGGCTGCTGTAGGTTCTTCGGAGATGCTTTCTGGCTCTCGTCTGGTCAAGGTCATTGCTGCGTTGGACATGGATCATGATCTAACCATAGAAGAGAAAGGTAAGGCACTTGTTCTCTTCCGAAAGGACAGTTCAAGTGTCGATACATATATGGGCATTGATAGTGATGTACTTCGCCATGCATATATCCTTGCTGAGCTATCTTCTCTCTAGGTTACTACTAATTCATCCCACTCCTTTATTACATCATTTCACATTCTTTACCCCATTCCACTCTTTACATCTACATACCTCCTGCAATTTTAATACCAACGTAATTACATGTTCTGCTGTAGATACTGTTGGTACTGCTCCCACATCTGTTTAGCAATCCTATCCCGGAAGTCGTTTGCCCGATCTCGTTCTTCATGTGAGATGTGAGTTGAATAATCATCTGTGGTTGGTGTATGTGATTGCTGGCGATAGTTGCTGAGATCCTCCAAGGTTGCTCCATCTAAGTCCTGGGGATCATGGACACGGATGAAGTTGTGAAGTACACATAACGCAAGCACCATCTTTGCTTGCTTCTTCAACGAATACTCTGGAGCAGTGTTGATGAGCCGGAATCGCCGCTTGACAACACCAAAGATGCGCTCAACAACATTCCGAGCTTGAGCATGTCGCAAGTTGAACAATTCTTTGTAATCGCGTGGGCTAATACAGAATGAGTAAGACACCAATACAGTCAGAGACAAACTCACGTGTTTGTAGATCTTGACCACTCCTTGAGATGGTATCGGACACCACGGTAGGGTACCAGCAGTGCATCACATGCAGGGAAACCAGCATCACCAAGATAATACTTGCCAGGGGGGATCGCAAAATCGGTAGCCCTTGCATCTGCAAAAACACGGCTATCTGCAGCACTCCCTTCCCAACCTGCCCGTACATATGCAAACCGCATGTCGAACGTGGTTGCAGCAAGAACATTCTGAGTGAGCCCGCCTTTGCGATTTCGGTTTCGTGCAATCTGACTTTCGTCAGGGATAAAGGCATCGATATGAGTACCGTCAAGAGCTCCAAGACAGTCTTTGAGGAATGGGAAGAGTTTGGGGTTGGTACGTATCTCAGGCGGTGTGATATCACTTGGCGGAAGCTTCATATAGCGTGTATAAAACTGGGGATCAGTTAAACGGTTCAGAAGGTTGTCGAACACCCTAGAGAATCATTAGCAACGGTTAAAAAATTCAAGTTGATATGTATACCGTGTTATTGTCCCAGGACTATGTTGGAAACGCTCACGCACTTCCCGGTGTACCGCACCTGACCGGCACATGTACAGAAACATTGCCAACTGCTCCTCCTGCCCAATATACCTTGAACCCTTGAATCCAGAGTACTTCTGCAGCTCCTGATTGAGCTTTTGAAAGACTCGCTTATTCATCCCCATCATATTGTGAAAGCGCTCCCAATGTCCATCAAGAAGTTCCTTTGTCCATTGCTCACCAGTGAGAGCAGAGGTATACATAGGAGTCTTGATCAGATACTGAGCCATATGAAGGGCAGCCCCCCCTACAACTGCGGCAAGGATAGCAGAGGTCCGTAGACGATGTTGTGCTTGAGCATTGGCAGCTTCTCGAAGTGTTTGGGTGCGGCTGTTGGTAGTACGAACCATTGTTGCAATTGTTATCAGATTGGCGCCGTATATAGAACATGTGTGACAAATGTGACGCGCTCAGCCAAACCCCAGCGCTAGGAAATGTAAATTTCAAACTCAGCCAACCCCAGACCCGAGGGACTAACATTTCGACGAGCAGACCGGGCCCTAACGGAGACGCGAGCGAAAACAGCAAAGCGCCCGCTCGGAGTATGTATGTCCCAAGCATGTCCCTTGGATAAATCAGAAGCAATCGTCTTAACACCTACGAACACCTCTCTCGCCTCTTTGTGATTGCGGTCCAGCGTGCTCGCTCGCACCCCCATTCGTCTGTGGCCGAAGCTTCCTCGAAAACCTACACGGATTCTACGTCGTTCGGTTGCTAGTGCAAGTTCTCGATCACGAAGATGGCGTTTACGGAGGGACAGACGTTGGATAACATGCTGGGATCTCTATTCGTTGGGTCGTTGCTAGCAGGCGTGTACGTTCGGAGTCCTTTTCACGCCGTCTCGTTCTTTATACTGACGCCGCTCTATCGTGAAAAGTCTATACGGTGTAACTAGTTTGCAGGCCTACAGCTACTATCACTGGTTCTACGGCCGCGATTCCCTTGTTCATCGTATCGCGGTGCGTCTCCCCTACCCTGTCTAGTACGCGCTTAATCTAATCGCTCTTAGGTCGGCCTACTCTGGTGTCTAGATACACTACACTTCGTCCTCGTCGTCCATGGAGTGTACTACTACTGCGTATCGAGTTTCGGGAGCTCGGTGCACCTTTCCGTCCTCGTTTGGTGAGTCTCGTCTCTATCCCTAGCTCCGTCTCCTACCCAAGTAGCGACGGCATTACTCATATGCTCACTTTACTAGGTCCATGAAGGTATTTCATACGCGCGATCCCAAGTTATCAACGTGGCTAACAAATGTCATAGCTTCAAATCGTTATCAACGTTATCATCATCCTACTAGTGCAAGGGTACGTCCCTTTCTCCGCTCACGACTCTATCTTCATTGTTTACTGACTTTCCTTGTAGATTGTACGCCTACCGCGTCTGGCTGCGTAAGTCCCCCCTTTGCCGGATCTAGCGATATTTCCTTACTGACTACGTTTCCGACTATCAGTTGGAGGGTATCACAACAAGATCATTGCATACATCACCGTACGTCCCTCCTTTTCTTCAAGTCATGGATTTAGACGTTTACACTCCGCTTCTTCGTTAGGTCGCGATCGTCTCCATTGCATTCGGTACGCACTCTCTCGCTCTATCTGTAGTTGCTCAACAATCGGGGCCTTGATATGATATCTGATTCATAATCTACAGGCGTTGGAATGGTCCTCGCCCATTATGTGTACGTCCTCTCCCCAAATCCACCCTTACCATCCGGCTTACCTTCTTGCCCTCGCATAGATACACACTCACCGACATAGCTGATCACGAATCCATCGGCGTAAGCATCCACCTCCACCTCCACCTCCACCTCTCCTACCCCTCCCCTCCCCTTTTACCAATCGCAGGTCGTTGATGTACTCATGCGTGCGTGTTTTTGATAGTGGGCAATCATTGCCTCCCTCGCCACAGCCACCTTCGTCGACTTCTTCATCGCCGGCGCGATGGTGTACTACCTCCGACGCAGTAGAGGCCTCCAATCTCGGTACGTCTATCTTTGTCCATCAACGAACAGGCAATGATCGTTGTGCTAACGGATGTGCGGAATGTAGAGTGAACTCGAAGTTATCGACGATGATGCATATGTCTTTGACCTCCGGCGTCCTTACTAGGTACGCTACTTCCCCTCTTCTGTGATAAGATGGTTGGACGGCTAGCTAATCTCATCTTGTTATTGTAGCGCCTGTTCGATGACAGCCTTGATTGTCGTAAGCATCTCTCTCTCTCTCCTTCTCCTTTCCCGCTCTCTTTCTGATCGCTGCTTTTCTGATTTTGACGGGTAGTACGTGACGATGCCGAAGACGCTAATATTCATGGGCGTCGAGTCGTTCCTTACCAAACGTCAGTCCCCTCCCCCTGCTTTCTCTCTCCCTGGAAGCGCGCACTCACCTCTTCTCCCATTTGCTCATCCCCCAGTATACATCAACTCCTTCCTCGCCATGCTCAACGCGCGCGAGCGCCAGCAACACACCCTCACGCACGCCCACGTGCACCACAGCGACCCCGCGCAGCACGCCGACGCATCCCACTCCCACCCGCACTCGCACTCCCGCCTGTCCACCTCGCTGTCCGTGCACATCCCGGGCTTCTCCGTCCCCTTCAAGTCGCCCGCCCCCACGTTCCCGTCCTCGCCGCAAGCGAAGTCGGCGCCGCTGGGCCCGAGCTTCATGACCCCCGTCCCCGTCCCGATGAAGCTCAGCCCGTCCCTATCGATATCCCTAGGCGGCTTTGAGAAAGGGAAAGCCGGGAACGAGCTGGGGATTGGAGGAGGGATAGGGATGGGGATGATCGGCATCGGCGTCGAGACGACCAAGTCCGAATCGTCACAGTCGCAGTCGCAGTCGCGCTCGTCGTTGAGCAAGGAGCCGTCCTCCCCGCCGTCCCCCTCGCGGTCTTTGCGCTCGGGCTCGCCGTCGCCATTACCGACTCTCGGGCACGGGCACGGGCACGGTACGGTGGTGAAGGAGCTGGGGGACGACGATACGGCGTCGTCAGACGGTAACGATCACGATAATGCGAAGGAGGAGGACGGTCGGTATCCGTGGTGATCACCTTATCGTCCAGCGACGCGTTCCCTTTTCTACTACCGCCCTCAGGGATTCTGATTATATACGTTATATTTCCTATTTGTTGTATTTCTCGCCTGGTGTAGAGTACTTATTCGTATCCCTTCGTTTTCGCCTAGTGCCTGTAATTGTGGAATTGTAGAGGTATTATAGATCGTAATACGTGTGTAGCGTGTCCGAGAGTCCTACGAACATTGACATCTAGATTCTACTACCCTTCGTCTATGAAAGATGGAGCCGCTCTACGAATGTACGAATTTACACACTTCGACTCCCCTCCCCTCCCTCTTCTTTCCTCTTTCCTCCTCTACTCGCGCTTACATATCAGCATCGCACTTTTACTTCGTGACGCCATCATCGTGCGGCCCGCGCATCTTCTCCCCGTCCGCAATGAGCACGGGCTCATGCGAGTGCGCGGGCTCGCCCATCGCGTGCTTGAGCACCTCGGGCTTGAGCAGCTTGGCGTACCGCGGCTGGACGAACGTCGCTCTATCATTATCAGTTAGATTAGCGTGCGCGGATTAGGTGGTGAGATGTGAATGTGAATGCGGAATGTGAATGTGAATGTGAATGTGTAGACGATAAGGAATGCATAGGAATAAGAGGGCGGGGGGCAGGAGGGAAGAGGGGGGAAAACGAGGAAATAAAAAGAGGAATGGGGAGTTGGCTCACGTGGCTTCGACGAGGATATTCCCCTCGAGATCCTCCACGACGCCCGAGACGCGCGCCTTGCGGCCCTTCGCTTCGACGAGTTTCGTTTTTATCAGAATGAACTGTTTAATCATCCAAAAAAGTTGAGTATCTGGGTGAGGAAGGAAGGTGCAGGGACGGGAAACGGCGAGAGAGACGTACCTGATCAGCTCGCGTAGGGGCCTTGTAGTTTATCGACAACTGCGCCGTCACGCCCACTTTGTCGGGGAGATTACTGATCGCCTGCAAACGCCCGCATCAGCACCCGAACCGCGCCTCCAACGAATTCATGGTTAGAGAAGCCCAGGGGGCACGCACCTGTCTCGCGAGCGTCTCGTCTAACAGCGTCGCCAACAGCCCCCCGTGCACGATCCCGTCGTGCCCACAGAGGCCGCGGCCCAGGTGTATCCACACAAGCGCCTCCGTCTCGTCCTTGCGCGCCCGCACAAGCGGCTTCAGCGCCAGCTTCCCCGGCCCCCTCAGCGCGCCCGCCGTCAGGTTGTTCACCCTGCGCTCCTCCGGAAAGTTCGCGTACGGCCGCGTCTCGTACCACTCCTGCGCCTCTGAGGTACGATGTGCCTGCACGCTGGGTAGGGTGTGGAGCTTGCTTTCGAGGTCCTCCGTGTACCGTTTCGACTCTTCTGAGTCCGGGTTCGAAGGAGGAGGAGGGGCAGCGCGGGGGAAGAGGATGGTAAACGGTGGCGGAGGAAAGATGGATCCGATGGTGTATGAGGTTGCGGCAATAAGGGAGGCAAGGAGGATCGTGGAGGTCGTTGAGAGGCCACGTTTATTTTGAGGTTGTTGACTGTCGGACGTGGAGGAAGACGAGCCCGTCGAAGATGCCGCCGTAGAGAATGAAGCTGGAGGACGAGAAACTCGGCCAAGAGGACCAAGTGCCGCTCTACGCAGTGAGGAGCGAATGAAGAAGGACATCCCGAGCGCTGTCCAAGCGGTCACCGTCGTCGTTGTCTGCAGTGACCTTGCTGGCTGTGGCGACGTCGAGAGCCGGAGCGTAGATAACCCGACTCCGGCACGTGATACTTTGTCGTGTTAGGAGCAGTCAGGGGAAGCTACATGCGCGGCGTCGACCAGTAGCTCTAAGAGTGTGAAATGGCCCGCCCAGATAAGATAGTCCTGTAGTATATAGTACAATGTCGAACGAATTCCTTCTTACTGCATTCCAACTATAGCGCAGCTCCCCTTCATGCTCGATCAGGAACAAGAAGTAACTTCTTTAAATCTTGTTGTCCGTGCAATGGAGCAAGCCCTCCGGCAGTCCCTCCAGCACCTCCGACTTCCACCTCTCCAACATGAATGCCCACGGCGCTACGTGCGGGGATAGTAGTAGCAAGCTTCCCATCAGCACCGACTTTCAACCTGAGCATAGTAGAATGTCAAGTTAGCTGCCACTCACAATAACGCAACAAACGGTTTACAGCAGGCGGCGAATGGCAGAAAGTCGGGGAAATAGATTGATAGTCGAGGAAGGAAGACTCACGTCGGGCCCGTGCATTTAGAAGCCTTCGCACCCCCGCTGACAACGTCACAATAGCTCCCTTTCGGCAACCCCGTATTCAGCGTAGCACTCCATGGGCTGTCCGAGTTATTGATTGCAACGAAGCCAGATTTGCCTATCAGGTAAGATGCGACGGAGGTCAGCATCCATGCATTCACGTCGCAGCAGCTCTTCTAACGCTGAAGAGAGAGGAGCTGAAGAAACTATGTACCTCGTGAAAAAGCAATCCTATCATCTCGTGGAGATTGTAGATTCTCCAGCGGCGCGTCTTGAACGGCATTCCTAAACCGAGTCATACCACCAATGGCCACCCAGCGATGCTGGCACATCCACCCGCCGTTGCCATTTCGTGCGGACCCCGAGCACTTTGCGTTGCCTAAACATAAAGTCATCCGCATAGTCAGCGACCCACCGACCCCGTATATACTGTATAGTAGAGAAGGACGTCCAAACTTACCTTGATTCGGGCCACCGACGTCCTTGTCTCCAAGTCCCCCCTCGTAACTTGACAACACACTGACGCGGCCATACGGATACGCGAGGGAGAAGATGTGCGCTAGGATGTATATATTCGATGGTGCGTTGGCGTTCAAGGCTTCACCATCACGTTCCTTGTCGTGATTAACGACGAACACATTCGCGTGCGCAGATGGCACCCAATCTAATCACCAGAAACCAATGCCGAGGAACGCATGAACTCTTGATTTCGGTGCGATGAACAGTATTAACCACTCACCACGACCTAAATCCTTCAAAATCATGAAGCTACCTTTCATAAACGCTTCTCTGATCTTCTTCGAATATTCGAACCTGAGACCACAAACCCATCAGCTACCAGGTTCCCTGTATCGTAGCCGATAGCGACGGGCACTCACACTTGTACGTCCCCATTCTGGACATACTCCGTTGCCTTGACTTCCGAGTCGTCATCCTTTGTGCCCCCGACCACTTCCTGTGTGACGTAGAACGAAGGAGTGCCGAATCCAGGGACGCTCGAGAGGATGCTCTTCAGGTCGTTAGCGGGTATATCTGGATGCGTGCATGCCCATTAGTTGTCGTATCTCATAGACAAATCCAAGGGGGACATCATTACGTTTCGCTGCATCCAGCCTGAACCCGTCGACACCAAGCGACCGAAGGTCGGTGGCATACGCTCTAAGACGGCGCTGTACGTTCTCATTGCCGGTGGCCAAGCTATCGACATTTCGTGAGTACGAGTACACGCATATATGCGGGGAGTCAGAAAGCACAACGTACTCAGCTAGTCCGAGCAGTTCGCAAGTCTGCACTTCTTTCCTACTTCTGAAGTCGTGGATCACCTCGTCTGATGAGCCGCACTTGTGGTGGAAGTCCTGGGTGATAGATAGTTATTGTTTCAGCTGGCCATGACGTGCGGAGAGTAAAAGAAGAAGCGTACTTGATAGGAATACAGACCGGGGTAGTTGTATTTATCGAATGTAGATCCGCCAGTGCCCTTCCCAGAGCTAAGAGAGGACATATGATTGAACAGCGTGTCTACCCCGCCATTGATGGTTAGCGGTGTACTCTCACTTAAAGCACGAAAATACGAATAGACTTACCTGTAATGACCTTTACGCCAGCAGCGTGGCACTTTGTTACCATCTGTCTGAACTGCTCTCTGTTGCCACGCCTCGACTCGATTTTGTACGATACGGGTTGATAGTCCTTCCACCACTCGGTTCCAGTGATATGTTCGTTAGGCGGGCTCACTATAAGCGCAAATATATGCATATACTCAGGTTTCATAAAGGCGGGCGAAGCAGACCCAGCAGACGCACCTTGAACGTAGCCATATCCAGCGGGGCCGATGAAGTGCTCACACTCATCAGCAACACTCTTCCAATTCCACTGAAATAGCTGGATAATGACTTTCTTGTCCACGCTGCTTAGGTCAGGTTTGGTGGCCTCCGAGTCGGTGGGCGCGTTAGCTAGAGGAGTGGCGCCGACGCGATTGAGGGCGATGGCGGCGAGAAGATACAAGATTGTGATAGCGATAGCCATTGTATGTTCTGGGCGGGGTCGTAGACTGTTCTTCACGCGGTGGTGGTAGTAGGAAGAGAAGGATTTCTGGGAGAAACGCGCATCCCGATTGACTTTTGTGCAGATTTCGGTCGAAGATTAGTCATCTCTGGACGCGATTTCATCTACATCTTGGCTTTGAGAATGGACGCGTTGAGCTCAGAGCGTAAGCCCGCCTCTACTCATCCTATCAGTCGATTGTATCGCCTATGGCTTACGATCTCTAGCCCTATTTCGATTTTCGACTATGCTAGGGTGAGGTAGAGCACAGAGAGCACAATATCGCCAGCTTGACGCGTGAGGCCAGTGCTTTTGCGGCAAGTCATGGTTCGGCGTCGTGATTGATGATAGCGAGAGCTGAACTGTGGGACCGTGCGCGGGAGAACCATGACAAATCTTGACACAGTTACGTCCTAGTTCGAGCACAGTCACGTTCAACCACTTTTTCTTTTTGCAGCAACACGTCCGACTCGACGCTCGGCAGAAAGTCAAAGCATCAAGTCAACACTTCGATCTCTTCGTTGCTTGTAACTATAATTTACTAGGCCGTATATCGTTTGTATCTAACGGCCGCGACGCCGGTGGCTTGTCGAGAACTTTCCCTCTATCTGTTGACTATTTGAAGGAGATCTTCAAGACTACGAACTATCACTGGGTCTAATTTATCAGCACTAGCTGTGGAACTGGTACAAGTACTTACATCTACGTCGTATAGGCAGAAGAAGAACTCAAGCTTACGATGAAAGCCAAATATTACTAATCATCGACTCGCCCTCCCTCGCTTCCCCTCGCCCTCGCTTCCTGTCTTTCTCTTCTCTTCCTCTACCACAATGAACTGGGTCCTTCTTCTCTCTCTTGCGGCTGCCTACCTTGCACTCGATATCCCCGCTGCCTCTCCTTCGATCGACTCAAATGTAAAGAAAGAAGTCATCATTCAAATGTTTCAGTGGGATTGGGACAGCATCGGCGAGGAATGTGCCGAGTTCATAGGTCCCGCTGGGTACGGATTTGTACAAGGTAAGTATACGTTTCTCATACCGCTTTTCAACTCGAAGGCTTCATCTATCTTGACTCTGTCTACCCAGTGAACCCACCATCAGAGCACGTACAAGGATCCCAGTGGTGGACCGACTATCAACCAGTCTCATACAAAATCGCGTCCAAACATGGAAATAGAGACCAGTTCAAGCGAATGGTGGAGAAGTGCCACACTGCCGGCGTGAAGGTGATTACTGGTACGTCCTTCCGCCGAGTCACGTTGATATATTCTACTTCCCGTGCCCTCTGTGCAACGAGTACTTGTTGATTGACTTGTTTGGTTTGAATAGATACGCTGTTCAATCATATGTCGGCCATGCAAGGTCCTGCAACCGGTACAGCTGGTTCGACTTTCAGTAAGTATGATTACCCCGGGCTCTACTCCTACAAAGTACGCCTCCACTTCACTATATCTGGGCTTTCAGTCCGTAATATAACATTTCCATTGCTTGTAGGACTTCCACCACAACTGCGGCACTCCGAACAACGACATACTCAACTTCAACAACCGGAATCAGCTGCAGAACTGCGAACTGCTTGGCTTAGCAGAGTGCGTCTTCCTCCTCGACTCTCGTGTCCTTAGCACATCGTGCTGATGGTAGAATGTTGGCGGCAGTCTGGACACGAAATCGGACGTTGTCAGAGCTCGCCTGGTGGAATACGCGAAGGATCTGAAGTCGCTCGGTGTCGATGGGTTCAGAATCGATGCCGCCAAACGTGAGTGGATGCAACCTTTTCTTTACAAAATTTGTATCATTTATGGACGCTAACGACGCTCTGCTCGTGGGACTGACATACTCACATTCCTTTCTCAGACATCCCCGCAGACGAACTTGAAGCTATCCTCTCAAAGGTCCCTGGCTTCCGTTCGCCCTCTCTCTACATCACGCAAGAAGTCTTTGGCGGCACGCAACCAGGCGAAGAGGTGCGCGCCACGGAGTATCTGGGGAACGGCGACGTCCATGTGTAAGTAGATTATTTGATCTTCTATAACTATACAAGTTTCAACTGGATGGGTGTTGTAGATTCGAGTACGCGAACGAAATCAAAGCGGCGTTCCTAAGTGGCAATATCGCGAGTCTGAAGGACCTCGATAGCCGAGGTGTGTTCTTCCACGTCTCTGTGCTCTGATCTCAACCGCGAAACATCACGCAGGCTGGATCCCCTCCGCAAGCGCCAACGTCTTCGTCGTGAACCACGACAAGGAGCGCCTCGACGAGTCCCTCAATGCTCACTCCCCATCGAACACCTATACGCTGGGCCACGTCTTCTCGCTCGCCTACCCGTACGGACACATCAGCGTCCTCTCTAGCTACGAGAGTGGGATTGACAACCACGATGTCGGCCCTCCAAATGGCGGTGAGTGGCCCAACCGTTCCATGCATTCCTTCTCGTTCAAGCATCTCGCATACGCACATCGTTGGATGTGCTTGATTTCGATTATAGGTCGGGCAACGTGCATGGGAATGGGACAAGACACCGATGCGAATCAAGGATGGTTGTGCCAGCATCGTTGGACCGCTATCGCTGGAATGACTCGTTTCCGAAACGCCGTTCGGGACACGAAATTGGAGAATTGGCAGTCGCCCCAAGGTGATCGGATTGCGTTTTCTCGAGGTGCGTATCCTACCTCTCCAGTTCTCTCCTTAGACCTTGGCCGACCCTGCTTCCTGCCTCGCTTCCTTACGAATGTTAACGTAGGGTGGTGTGGGGGACAGGCAACGCGGGGTTTGTCGCGATCAACAACTCGGACAGTCCCTGGATCTCGACGCTACTCACGGGGCTACCTAAGGGGTGGTACTGCGATGTTGTGAGCGGAGGTAGCAGTGGACGTAGCCATGGACGTAGCGAGGGAGGAAAGGGAGGAGGTTGTACTGGTCGGACGTGAGTTCCTTTCCCTTTCTAACCTCCTTTGTCTGCTTGGCCGCCTTTTCTTTTACGAATCGCCGGTGCAACATAAAGGGTTGATTTTGATGACGGCTTTTGATGTAGGCTTGAAGTTGGCGACACAGGTGATATCACGATTGAGATTCCTGGGCGCAGCGCCATCGGGATTCACGTCGGGGAGGTGTAGATAGTTGAGGAGATGCTACAGTAGCTGTGCTTATGGGATGATTTCCTCGAAGAGAACTGCTATTTTTCAGTGTGAAGGAACCACGTACATCACGAGCACGGAGTTCATCTGTGTGTCTGAAATGTATTGACTTTCTGTCGATTTCAACGACGACTTGTTAGTTCCATTGTGACAATTCTCGGGAGGTTATACGAACATATTGTCAAGGGGTCCGTCTTAGTATGCAGACAGTAAGCTGGGATCGTCGTTTGTCGTGTAAATCAGTTCAATATGATGCCACAATGGGGCGTGGGACAGACGCGTCGCCTGTATCACATGATATAGGCGCCGGTGAGTTGAATGGAGCATTGCGTCTTGAAGTTAATCTTGAAGTTAAACCACCATGTCGACACCCGAACTCGACCACACGTTATCTCTCCTCTCATCTCATCGCACGGTTCTGGGCTATATCCTCATGTCCAGAGGCCATCCTTACGGCATCGTACGGCAATCTGGGGTCATATTCGATGGCGAACATGGGAGAAAGTACGCTGCAGCGATTGGAAAGATCATGGAGAATGTGCAGAGCTCATTGGAGGAGCTTTCTGATGAGCCGAATGATGGGGTGCGTGGCACAGTCTGTCGCCGTTTGCGTAGATTCTGATCCTGGGTGTAGGACGAAGTCAAGTTCCTGCGAATACGCACAAAGAGACATGAGGTTATGATTTCCCCAGGTACGCGAATTGAAGTTCTTCTGTGGATATCGTTGGTCTGATGGTGGCCATAGATGATAAGTACCTGCTGGCGGTATTGCACGATCCGGCCTCATAATACAGATGCCACATATTCCACTACGACGTAATGATATACCACGGACAGACTGCATCATGTATTCGTATCAAGGCCCTTACTGACAACGTCACACAAACACAATAAAATATGGATTTCTTGCAAACCCTTGGAGGACGTCCACAGCTAACGCGTTTGCAGACAGCTTAGGGACCCGAAGGTAGCTCGAAATCAAGATGATACGGAAGGGTCGATCAGCTCCCTCTTTCGACTGGCGCTTTGATCTTCCTCGAGCTCTGGGGGCGAATCGGTAAGGACCACCAAGCTCTTGATCGCGTGCCGGGCTCACCATATAAATCATTGTTCCTTTGTAGCGGACCAAAGGACCAGAATGACGCTGCGCGCGGGTTTGGCGGGCTCACCATCAACCATATATCTGATCGACTATCAGCGGTTCCTCAAGATTTTCTCGTGTATTCGTCTAGCCCATTCGTGCGAGCTCTTCGATTTCCCGCGTGAATCATTGTCACCTTTCTCCCGAAAGTCCCTGCTTCGATCCCGTTAATCATCATTGCTCGTTCCTGGATGCGAATTCCTGGCATCCGCGTAGTCAAGTAGTCTGCACACGAACAATGGTCACTGAACCTGCTACACGTACGCTGATCAGAGACATCAGCGTCCTGGCTACATTGGTCAATTGAGTTCCTCATCGATTGATATGTTTGATTCGCTAACGATAACTCGGGTTTAGTTTGTGGCTTCATTCCTTCTTGCAGATATGGTGGATGTTCCGTTGATCGATATATATATACACCCATCATCTTTTAAGGGTGCGCATCACATCACACTTCTAGATTCCTGAAAAGCCTTAGTAGGACTTCTTTCAAGGATTCCAGTATATTGTTATACGACTTCGGCGGCGAGCAGCCATTAATTTGGTTTGTTCCGTCTAATCATTACCTATGCGATCTGCCGAAAGGGTACTCGGGATTCGACGGTCTAGACAAAACGTCTCCGCAGCACTTTCTCTTCGACGGGCAATCGCTTTGGCAACAGGCAGGTGCACATATGCGCGTACGTGATTAGGTGTGTGGAAATCGCTATCTGGTGGCTTCTTCGGACCTTTCACTTTCTCATACTTTACCGGTGCGCGAATATATCACCACGCACCCATCCCGCACTCCCATGCCTTCCCATCATTCACAGACGCGATCAAGAGACGTCAGATGCCTGACATTGGCGCCCTGTTACCCAGACGAATTGATTCCACCCCGGAAACTAAGAGCCTCGTTGTATGTATTGTACCCATGGCGAGTCTTCCCTTGCATTCGTATGATCGAGGAAGTTTGCCTTCCCCTTATCTCTCCCCCCCACTTTATGCCCTAGCCAATGATGACGCGAGTTGGGCGCTCTGGGTCAAGTAAACTTGACTTTCGAATCCTCGTATGATATTCTAATTCGTATTACTCATTCGCTCTCCACCTAGGCCGTTCGGCGTTCGCAGGCGCAAGAGGACCCTTTCCTTATATCGAAGCACCTGAATGGATAGGTGACTCGTCCCGCCACGGTGCTCTGCCGTGGGTAGACCACTAATAATAATTCAAACAGGTGCCCTATCAACTTTTGCTCAGGGGCTGATTTAGATCAAGGCTGTTCACGTTTTATTTCCAGCTTCTCTAAAACCGACCAACCTTCGACATCACACCGAAATCAGCAACTAAGTCGACACCTACTCCTCCCCCCGCTATCGCATCATCCCCGATGCTGAATGGCGCGCAACAACGAGCGACGGGCAGTGGCGGTATTACTGGTAGCTCGCGGAGGGACGCGAACGTGGAGGGGGAGGAGGCGGTGATGTTGGCGTTCTGTTTGAAACTGTTTCTAGTCATCACTTCTGCGCGGACGACTATCATCGAACCGTGCATTCCTGATCACGTCGAAAACTCAGTGCGTACTGTCATGTTCCCATCTTATCATCTTCCGGAACTCACGCCCGCGCATCTCACCCATCATCTGGCATCAATCATCCTGTAGTTCGAGACGGAAAGCGCGATCCCAGCGCGCCTTGACAGGCAGAGGTCGGAATCCTCGGGTCTACTCCCTCTGTCCACTACGATGTCGGAGAAGATTCTCAACCCCGAACGCCTCATACCCACTAGCACACACGAGCTTTGCATCGAGACGTTCCTCGTCTTCCCCCCCGAGTTAACGCGCTCCGAATCTATCTGCAAAATACTGGAGGACCCATTACTCTCAACGATCTTTATGCAAACCCGTCTCGACTATACGAAGAGATGTATTCTCGTCGAGGAGCACATACTCACATTTGAACCCACTAAAACCGCCACCCCCGCCCACGACCAAACCGCGCGCTCCGGACCCTCGCTGTTCGGCCCGCCCATCAAAGCATCTCATAAGGAGCAAGGAGCGGCGTTCTTTCGCGGAATATGCTACTATCTCGACTCCTTACCCGCTGCCCGTCTCTGCCAACGTTTGAAGCAATATTGCGGTAATCTGAATGTCAATATCCTTGTTAGCGTAAGGGATGGGACTCGCGAGGACGTGTTGGGGTTTGGTAAGTCACGCTGTTCACATATCTCTGATATTTCCCCCGTCTGACCTGGTCCCCCAGATGACGACGTACTAGACCCGAGACATCCACGCGAGTCCTACCTCGGCTATTCTCCGCCCATGACTTTCTGGCAGCCTCGGGGGACCTATGCCCTCTCCAGCCGGTATCTCCAAGACCCGATGAAGCTATACAAGCAGATACACCGTCTTCTCTTCTCCATGGTCCACGAGCTCAATCCCAAGCCCCCGGCTCATCTCTCCATCGGCTTCTGGATGTGGCCCCTCCCTCGACCTCGACCACGCTGCATCACTAACGCCTCCAACGAGAGCGATTCTGAATCATCGCCAACTCCCGGAGGCGACAGGGGACGGCGACCGTCGCGTCGTAGATTACCCTTCCTCCGGCGCTCGAGGTCGTTGCGGAGCCTGAGGGAGTTTAAGTCCACTCCGTCGCCTCCTCCTTCCGCTCCTTCAACTGATAATGAGGAGAGATCGTCCACGACTCGGAAGGAGAAGGACGGGGCAATCGGACGATATGGACTTGAAGTGCTTAGGGGGTCAAATAAGGGGACGCGGTACCTTCGGCAGGCCTTAGAAGTCAGGTCTCTGTGGGCAGGCGCTTCTACGGCCGACTCTACTACCGTGCTACAACATGATGAGCCGAATGAGCTGAGCGGACGAGGGGGAACCGATGAATCTGACGGAGGTGAATCGGATGGCACCGACGAACCTCTATTGGCTTCTCCCACGGAGCAAGACAAGTCTCTCCGAAGGAGCATGATATTCGACATCCGCCGCTCTTCATTGGACTCGGCGGTATCGATGATACTTCAATTCCACCAGGAATTCTCAAAACGACGTTCAGATAACTCCTTCACATCAACAGCGATGGCATCGTCTGTCTACACTCGCCCCTCTTACGAATATAATCATACTCGCTCGCCCAGCATCGCTGAGGTTCTTAACGAAGATATCTACGACTCTGAAGACCCCCGCCAACCCGATATCAAGCACGGCTATACCCCATTTACTCTCGGATACCCTGATCCCTCGTCGACGTCCGGAGCGGAAGAGACTGCAAGCAGGCCTCCGTCTCCCTACCGACCCTCGTCCTCTTCTTCTACGACTACGGCGACTTATGTTACAGCTAAGTCTCGCATCTCTGGTTCTATAACTGTACCAGACCATACATCCATTAATTCCTCCCTGCCATTCTCCGCACTCTCGGGGAAGGATACCATGATTTCCAGGGACGTCCACAATGATACCACAGTACCGATACCTCCCATGACCCCCACGCCCGCTGATATCACTCCTACCGATATCACCCCTACCAGTACCTCGCACCACGCAGGTATCCTCACTGATCAAAATCGCCAAAATTACCTGTACCACCCCGATAGTAATCACCTTAATCCTGCCATCTACAATATCAACTTTATATTCCAAGGGGACACGTTCAGCGCTCCAATATACGGCGGGGTCGTTGGCGGTCGCAGCAATAATAATCTTCACAGCGCAGGTACGCCACATTACATTGCCACTAGACAAAATGCTCATGAGATCTTTGTAGCCCTCCAAGCATCGACTCTGGAGACCCGGATGGGTTCCAGATCCGAGGCAGTACGTGGCCAGATTGAGGCAATTCTTGCCCAAATTCGCAACCACGAGCCTACCGTCCACAGGCAGCACCCTACAGCATCTCAACCTCAGTCTCAGGCCTGAGGTCAGAGCGCCGAAAGGCGAGGTTATGTACTTTTTCTTTCCCCTGGACTGTTAGCAACATCTGTAAGGCTATTGTCATGGACATCACGCCACACACTCTCCTTTATCCCCATAGTCCATAGTTAACCGCCTTCCTTATTTGCATCGCTGGCCGTTACTTGTTGTTGATGTAAAAGATGCCATGGACGTCAGGCTGCGCCCCACTCTCCTTCATCTTGATATACTTAACGAGTAGTTCTCCATACTCATGTACCCGTTAACCTTAAGAAATTGTCTGCTTGTTTAATGTAGCTATCTTAATATGCCTGGCCTGATAACTCGCTGGTTTCGTCGTGGCTGGTCGCCAACTTTGTTGCAGTAACTGGGTCAATGCACGCCTGGGGAGCCTAGTTGGGGGAGCCGTATGCTCAGCAGTCACTTGTAATCAACGTCCGTGAACTGAAACGAATTACATATACAATGCCGCTAAAAGTGAGATATCGACAAATAAAATGGTTGCGGGATGGGTTCAACGAATCAATCAACTGAGATGGTGCCATCGATGAGATACAGAACACCGTTAAGAGCCTAAAGGAACAGTAAGACACACGCCGTTCATTGAGAAGGTGGGATTGAGGGCTGCGGCGTACCTCTTTCATCCCGATGATATGAACATCACCGTTTACGAGTACTCTCGTCCACTCAGCCGCCTTCGGGTCTGATTTAGGGAGAGCCGTAAATGAAACGGTCTTTCGGTGTAGAAGCGTAGGATAAGTCTTTGACTCCAGCGTAATGGGTGATTCCTGCGTCAATGGATTGAATGATTCCGTTATCAGTCGTCGGTGAATAGAGCGTACCGGAATGATATGAGCCGAGATCCATTTCTCGACGTTCCTCTTCGATATACTATCAAACTCTTCCTCTGAGATCGTCACGTCGCCGCTGACCGTTTCCGGTCCTTGGTGCCTGGGTCACCGTCAAAGTCTGATAATATACAAGCGGCGACCGCAGCCCCCTCAGCAATGACTCACGGTTTCCGATGCAGCGCCATAACGGCTTTGTTTGTCGGTACGAGCAGCGTGTTATTAACGCCCTTATCCGAGAATATCGCGCACAGTTCGAGTTCGCGTGCGTATGAGTAGAAGATGGATGCAGATGATTCGATTGTCAGCAAGTCGGCTAATGTTGGTTTCGAGGAAGTAAGAGGTTCGAAAGAAGCTTGATGGTGGGCATTAGCCATGGGAAGCTGCTCGTCTATGGACGCGTATGAGATGGCGAGGAAAGGGAGAAGGACTGCAATGAGGCTTTGGAGCTTCATGGTGCTAACAGAGAAGGCGCTAAGCCCGCGGCCGGCTGCATTTGTGTGCAATTACCACGGCCACGTGTGCTTACAGAGTCAATGCAGCACGACTGGGAGAAGGATACGGGTTCATTGGCGCGAATTCAAGACAACTATACACTATTTATTAGCAAATCGTAACCACATTTACAAGAACCTGTTGTCCGGGAAAATACGGATGCGAAGGGTCGTCAAGAATAGTTACACTAAGAATGACGCGGAGAACACGAGTGTTGATGTTTAACGTCCGTTTGGGTGGACAGTGAGCAAGTGAGTGTTGGTTCGATTCCAATTTAGGCGGGGTATCGCGCTGAGTGGTATTGACGCATACGGGGCGGGGGTTCGGATTGGATGATGGTACGATGTGCATAGAAGGCTTGGTACCGTTGTTGCGCGAAGTTTCGGGAGTAGAGCCAGGCAAGATCTCGTCTGGTTTGGGCCAAGAGGTACTAGTCGATGCGTATACAGGTATTATCGGGTGAACGGAGATGGCATTCATGGAGTCGTCGTTGGTACTCTGCCAGCGGAATTTCATTGTGATGGCACTCTGGCCGCACCCACAATCGCAAACCATCAAACTCGACCTACAACCCGAGGAAGGGATGTCAGCAAGACAGTTTTCCCCTCTAAAGCACAGTCGAAATTTACCCTTGATCCCTATTTTCTTCGCCGTTCCCTCCCTTCGCAGCGAGTGTATCGTCTTCGACCTTGATTCCGACGATATTCTCCACCATCTCCTTCACGCCACAGATCCGCGCGCAGACTCCCGCAGTCTTTAGCCCATGTTTGACATTGGCATTGCAAAATGGCGCGACGATAGAAAAGGCCCCATCATAGCTGAAGGCAGACGCGAGCGTATATGAGTGCGGAGATTGAACAGCGGGCGATGGGGTGCCTCGTCGTCGTCCGCGAACCGGACGCTCTTCTTCTGCACACCCACACTCCCGTCACCGCCGCCTTTCTCCTTCTCCTCCTGGATTGCTACATCCGTCTCGCCACTCACCCTCGAATCTTCGCTCCCGCTCTTCGAGCACTGTACACCATCGCCGTATTTTCTTACATGCTGGTACCGCCGCGCCTGGACCCTACACAACTCGCACATCTTCCACCCGTAGCCCAGTTCAGTCGCAAGTAGATTCATGCAACGCGGTCCGGCGCAGGCAGCAGGCAGCAGCTTGGTGGTGATTGGGATTCGGGGCGCGTAAGAAGGGATCGGTGAGGGCGGAAGAGCAGGGGTCGATGTCGGTGTAGGTACATGTCTTGGTGTTGGGGTAGGGGAGCCAGCTGTTACTTCAGGTTCAGGTGAGGTGGATGAAGGGGGGACAGCCATCGAGGTGATCGCTGGTACAAGTACAGGAGAGGAAGGGACGTCGGCTGATACGACGGGCGTAAAGGAGAATCAACGCTTGGTCGAGGGGAAGGCAGAGGGGGGAGCAACGATTTGAGGGAGAGGCTAGAGGGGATCTTGATTCGGATTTTGAGAGGCTCGGAGGGTTTCTTCCGGTCATCAGATGGCAGAGCTTCCATACTGGCCGCGCCCTCGCCCGCTGCATCCTTCCCCTCCCAATCGGGCCCGTGTCGTCCCACACCCTCTGGCTCCTTTGAATTTGCAATCTCGCCGTCACAACTGGTACTCGCGGTACCAACGGAGTCAGCACGTACGCCGCTAACGTGGCTGCTACCACATCGCCTCCGGGAGCCTGTCACGCTCGAGAGCACCGACCGACACCACTCCTCGTATGTCATATTCTCTGTCGCAGACACCGGTGCTGGTGGCGCTCGAGAACTCTTCCCGCGCTGTCCTGTGCTGCGTTTGCGCCTGATCCACCCATTGCGTTTGCGCTTCCGCTTCGAGGGGCTGGCACTGGCGGGGCCGGAGATGGAAGCGGATGACGAGGGAGGCGGCCTTGAAGGGGAGTCCCGCTGGAGTATGTCGAGGTTGATGTGAGCGTGCACGAAGCGTAAAAGAGGGAGAGACGCGTAGAAATAATGAAGGAAGGAGGAAGAGAGGGAAACACACCAGAGATATGGCGTTCGCACTAGCACTAGGTGAGCCTTCGTCGGGGTATGCAAGATACATCAACAAATCCTCCTCGCCCTCGCCCCAGTCCTCGCCGTTCTCTGTCTCTTCTCCTGGATCCTCGAACGCCATCAGTGTCTCCTTGTTGCAGGACGAAGCCGCGTCAGTATTGATGGTCGAGTCAATATCAATCGTAGCTGGAGGAAGGGGGAGGAGCGGTGGCGGTGCCTCTTCGTCGGGATAGGCGAGATTGAGCGCGAAATCAACATCGTCGTCCCCGTCTTCACCGTAGATATCCATAGCTTCATGACTTCGAAACCGAGGATATTAGTGGAGCTCTCAGCGGGCGTTTGAGTCGTTGGTGAGGAGGATCGTAACTGGGATTCGCCGTCGTTGGCGTCGTGCAGGTCGTGATCCATATTCGCGTTGAACTCCAAGGAAAGGCACGGCCTTCAGAGCGCTCTTGTCCTCCCGGAGCGTGGAGTCGCGATGCTTGCGCAAGCGTAGTTTGAGGTGGTGGTACCGGAGTAGAGATAGCTTCGACGGGATTAGACGCCGAGTCTGCTTCCGCCTGCCAGCTAACGTTGGGGCCGGGTACCTTGGAGAATGGCCTGAAACACACAACTAGGCGGAGGTCCGGCGCTCTAGTGCTGAGGCGAGTGGCAAACCCGAAGCTGGACATGCGCCTGGCACGCCGTCCTCCATCGCCTCATTCTGCAAACCATCTGGCGGCCCTCGCGGCACCCCGTGAGGTATCTTAAGTTGCTGAAAGCGTTCCGAACAGCCACTGCCGGTAAGCACCACATCTTCTCGATCACGGCCAGCAGCGGCGCGGAATCAACACGCTCCCCTTCGCGCTCCTTAGGCAGATCTTGAAGCGCGCTTTCACAGACCATTTCACCCATGAGGAACGGACCGTGCCTCCAGCACGCGCCCTCGTCGCGCTCACCCATGTCTGCGGGGCACGGAGAACCATCATCCCGCAGCTATGGGAGATCGTCTGCAGGGTCGAGCCGCCAGCGATGATACGCGAAACCGTAACGCGCTCGCGGGGAATGCCGCTCTTGATGTGCTCGTTGAGAAAAAGCACGACAATGAGGACGGGGGGTGATGGTCAGGCGGACCGTGACGAGGACGAAGATGAGGGCGCAGACGAAGACGAAGACGAAACAGAAGAATGGCGCAGGAGTGAAGACGATGGAGACGACGAGCATGTTGAAGACCGGCATGGGATAGGGCGGCATGAGGATGAAGACAAGGCCGACGAGTTGCATGGTGTTTACGGCCATGAAAGCAGTCGCGGCGAAAGCGACGGCTCGGACGACAGTGGCGATAACGAGTGGCGATGACGACGCATACGCAGTAACCTCAAGGGACGCAGCGGAGATCATTCTTGTACATCTGCACCGCATTGCCCCACTCCATATCTCGCTCGACAGCGCAGACGCGTCTGCCCCGCTCCCTTTTCTTGCTGCCAGGACCCCCTCTTGGGATACCTCAGACTTCAGGTCGTGAGTGGGGATGCGACTATTGTCGTCAATCCCTTCCGGGGGCGGCACCCCCGCGACTCACGATGCTCGCGCTGACGAGCGGATGCGAGCTCAGCCAGATATCAACCGGATGGACAACGCTGACGCATCTTTATCTTTACAGCGAGCCAGATAAAGCCCATCGAGAGCCCTCCCAGCCCGACGGCAGCTCCGTGCATCTCTCGTCTGCGCTTGCCCGGATGTCTTCTTGGGCAGACCTCGATATGCGCGGCGCCATCCCGCCGCACACCTGCACCTCTGCGCCGAGCGGAATTCAGGCAATTGATCTTCCTCGGCGCGCTTTGCTCGCCATCCGGGACGTTGCCAGTAGGTGCTTCCTCCTGCCGTCGGCTCGCAGGTGCCCGCCCGACGTGCTCACAGTGGCCGTTGGCGCGGATGACGACTAGTCACTACGCAGACTACGAGCACGGCGAGTCGCGTTATTATCTGCTCCAGATGTGCCGGCAGCACATGGCCGCGGTCTTCAAGCGGACCCCGGTATCGCACATCGCGTTGGCCAACAGGCCCGATGAATTCTTGGTGCAGGGGTCCCGAGGGCGCCTTCGCAAACCCACCGACGTTCGGGATTCTGCATTCGCAGCCGTCCTGCGTCGATGGGGAGCTCGTTTCCCGTGCCGTAACCATCGTTCCGGCGCGGCAGCCCCACAAACTGGGGTCGGGTCGGAGGGCGTTGATGGCTTGGATTTGGCATTCCCCGCGTAGAATATACGCGCATTGGAGGGTTAGAGGGGATTGGGTGTGACGCCATATGCATCGATGGACACAACGGATTCATCGTCACATGGGGCTGGGGAGTGCGCAGACAAGGCCGTTTGAAGTACGGAGCGATCGCCGCGCTGCGCACCGGGCGTATTCTGTTGTCGTATGGGGGAGTAGGTAATGACGAGGCCTTTGAAGTAATACATGTAGGTCGTCAGCACGAAAGATGAATGAAGTGGATACGCACCTAGGCCATCGCCCCATTCCATCGGCATGGACATGAGCCTGGCATATGCCGCCCGATGCATATTGTTCCAACGCCACTCTTGCCCCCGATTCTGCAATCACTACGAAGGTTGAGGATGGCCGTGTTTCTAGACGGCGTACCATGGACTTTGAAGGATACGACATATTCGACTAGACGAACAAACGAGACCAAGAGTGAGAAGCTATGCAGCACCATACAACGAAGGACTCACCGAACGCGAATGCCCTGATGGATTATTGCTTGATGGTGGCGAGCACGAAGCACGTTGAGAAGTAGCGGCCGGCGCTTGATGTCAGTGTTTGGCCCAAGGCGCGGGGCCAAACACACCGACGAAAAGGAAGAAAACGCCGCACCGACCCGGCCCACGCCCGCCTTCGCCTGTTCACGAGGAGAGAGTCGCAACCTTTCGATAACTCAGATTTTGGCAGCACCGAGCTGTTGAGCGGCTTCAACCCGGAGTCACAGCTGGTTCTGGTTCATCTGGACTCCTTGCCTACTCCTTGCCGTGAAGTTCTCTCAGAAATCCGAATCGAACACGCTGCTGAGCAGCTGCGCACAGACGTGTGATGCACGGACCATCTCGCCACTGTTTGAACTACCGCCTTTCCTATTTCTCTCCTTTGTTCCTGCCCTCGTCTGTCGTCTGTCGTCGAGCGTATTGATATTATCACTATCCTCGGTCGTTTAGGACCCCTCTCTGTCTTCGAAGCCTCATCGTGTCTGCTGTCGACCTCGACGTTTGCGACGTACGCCCGCTATCGCCGATTTTCAGCACTCCTCGTTGTCTTCAAAGATCCGGACGCCTCTCCATGTGCCCTCTTTGCTGGGATCCCCCAATTTCCCCCTGCTCCTTCTCGTCAAGGATCGATCTCAGCCTCACAAGGCGTCGGGGTCATGCAGGGCCTTGTATCCTTGCCCAGGTCGAGACGGTCACATCTACGCCACGTTCAGTACCCCCGCCCAGGCAAGAGACGCCAACGATGGCATGCCGTTTGTATGCGCTAGCCACGGGACGCAGGTGCCTGCGTGGCCACCGTCCCCCAGCTTTGACATGCGTTGGGATTCGGATACGATAGCACATATCGACCTCTCGACGGCTAACGGCAATCAGGTGAGTGAAGTGTTGCTGAGGAGCGCTGGCAGGCGGACGTGAAACCATGCCTCCCTCTTACGCCTGGACCCGTAATTGCATCATCAGCTACCAGCCGTATATGTGGCGCAGAAGCGAACAGCGCATATATGAGCCCGCAGAAACCAGGAGGTGTAAGCGTAAGCTGCTCCGTTTTCCCCATTACCTCCTTGGCTCTCCTTCCGCTGTCTTCTCACTCATCCCTTCCTACGCCACACATAACGACCAGGTTCCCCTTGGTTTCTTCGCGCCAATATTCTTCGCCTGTTCAAGAGCCCGTAGTCTTCGCTACTCTCAGACGACTCTTCCATGTTCCAGGATACATCGACCTCTTCCAGGCGTACGTTTCGTCTTATCCCTCTTGTCTCGCCGGTGATACAGCCTCATAATATACTGGGGTGTTGAGTCCATAAGGGAAGTCATGCCCATTTCGAGTTCGACACCAGTACAATCAATATACCGCGCCGTAAGGGACTCTTGTTTCGACCAGCGTACATAGCTCCGTTGCTCATATTGCGTCCTCCTTTCACAACCTCTTGTCCTTGTTTCTCGCCTCTAACACCCCGGTGCCCTCTCCTCGGTTACATCGCAGCTCTAATTGCTATCCGTCCACTCCAACCGTCAGGTGCGGACCGTGTCTGTCTCCAACTCCAAAGCGCACTGAGATACCCTATCTCTCTCTAGGCGCATCGTGGCTGAGACACGCGTATAGCATTGAGTAAGTAACCGAATGTGCCGTCCACTGTTACGACATCATTCGGCGTGAGGGTTGGTCGCGAATTCGCCCCGGGGATAGCAGCGGAGAACAGGGCTTCTGGACTCCGGTTATGAGCAGTCGTTCGTCGTTAGGATTATTCAACGAATACCACACGTACGTACGTACCTCGCAATCCTTGCTATCCCCCCATTCCGCCACCCAGCATCTGCGAATTTCGGGAACGGAGAGGCGCTAATTGGTATGTCTTGCCTTCGATTCAATTGCTTGGTCAAGGTCTTTCAGCCGAAGAACCTTTCTATCTTTTACTTACTCGTGCCCGTAGCATACATATTCTACAGGTACTTGAATATAGAGTCATTGTGACCCCCACAATACTGAGCATACATGTTCTACAGACGCCTTCACTGGGTCAGTTGTGGCGCGTCCCGTCTGTCCACGGGCACGCTTCACGGCCACACGTCTGGATCCGCGCCGTTCGGACTGTCCCATCGTTCAAAGTGGAGCAACTCGACCGGGACTTGGTGCTCTGGGTATGCTGCTCGTCGGAATCGCCACGCAGACGACCACGGAGTGCCGACTCTGCAAGAAGCGGTGTGAGGACTGAGGTAGGCGGTAGTGGGGCACGAGAGCTATCCCTCTTCCCGGCGTTGTCTTTTGTTGAATGTACCAATACACTTAGCAGGTCTCGAAATTACATCAGTAGCTGTAATCCACGGGCAGCACCCCGCCTTTCATCCATAAACTGTAGATGAACCACGCTTCGAAGATGACTGCCTTCAATCGTTGGCATAGCCTTGTGCGCGGAGCCGGAGTCGTTTTACCTGCTACGGATGATCCTTCAGCCACCGCGTCACCACGTTCGATTGTGGACAGGCCGTTGACTGGGCCTTGTCTCCGCCCTCTTTATGCATATTCTGGCAGCAGAGGTAAAGGCGTTTGAGGTGGTGCTCGCATTTCTCGGGAGTGTAGGTATTCTTGCCAAGGCACGACTGGAGGTCGCAGGCTTCGGTTTGGCAGGCTTCGGGATTCTGGGAAAGGAGTGAGTGCGTGGGTTGGGGTGGTGGCGATTTCTGGGGTTTTGAACGTACTTTCGGCATGGTGAGTCGTGTTCGTTTGGTACGAGCACTGTACACTGTTCTGAGCAACGTCGTTCGAATTTGGACGACGACGTCGGAGATGGGATGGAGCATTGGTTCAGAGTCACGCGCCCAACCGATACCCCTTTGTCTATAGGGAAAATGTCCAGGGGAAGCTGTTGAAGGTCACGGACATTCGATTCAACCCGGACGAAGCTCAATAAGAGGGCTACATCTCGTAACCCACTCCATAACCTACCTCCCGGAGCTCTGTTCGAGATTTCTATGTCAAGACTGGACGCTCCCGTCCCTAATCGTTATATAGTCTCAAAAACCCTACTTCATCTAGCCATCTAGCAGACTCAAGCTTCATGCAGAGGCATTTGTCCAGCGTACGTCCTGATAGGTCGAGCTGGTCGTGATACTTTTCCGACAGGATCGTGGGACGAGTTGCATACCTCGGCGAACGCGAAAGTGGCGCAGATGACATTAGATGAGAAAGTGGGAGTCTTAACGGGGGTTGTGCAATTCAGCAGTGCGTACCCTTCCTTTTATTCCTTCTGCAACGCGTCTTCCCCCCTTCATTGTCTGACGTATGTCGATGCGTCGGCGACACCCACCCCGTCGACCGACTAGGCGTTCCTTCGATTTGCTTTCAAGACGGCACGGCCGGACTGTGGCTCGTAAAGGGCGTAGCGGGCTTCCCGAATGGCATCAACACGGCGTCGTCGTTCAGCAGGCCGCTGATGCGCGCAAGCGGTGCCGCGCTCGGTGAAGAGTTCCGAGGGAAAGGCGTGAATATGTACCTGGGCCCGGTTATGGATATCGTGCGTATTCATATCTTTCATCTTATTTTTCTTATCAGATGCGCAACCTAAGGCGGGGCGTGGTTGGTAGAGCTTTGGCCATTCCCTCAACGGCGAACGCTCGTACGAAACCAACATTTGCGCCCAGAGCACTGGTGTGCACGCCTGCCCTGGGCATTTCGTGGCCAATAGCTGGGCGCACTGGCGATACGGTGTCACGTTGAATCTGGACGAGAAGACGATGAGGGAGGTGCATGGGTGGCCGTTCATGAGGGGCACCCTGCCCGGGCAGCGGAGAAAGTTGCGTGAATGAGCGAGGTTTATCCATTTTGTTCCTGCCCATTGGCTGCGCTTTGATAGCGGGTGGGCAGTCCCGAAACCGTAGAAATCCTTCCACTTTTCGGGATGCGGCATCAACACGCAGTCTCGCCAAGGAGTTCCGTTCGTATACCAGCCAGTAGACGCCTTGCGGACGGGAACTGTTCGTGACACTTGCTTGCTCTTGATATCCCTCGCGAACAGGAACCGTTCGTCAGACGTTCTCTCGTCCGACGATATCTTCGCGAACGGGGACCGTTCGTCAGAGTTCTCAACAGGCTCCGTCATTGTCTCGCATGTCGTGGATTCCATGGACACTACGGCGACGGGTCGGTCGCCGCTGAAGTCGCGATGGGCAGCGCAAAAACGCGACCCAGAAAGGTTCATGGCGACACTATGTATCCAGACGAAGCCGAGATCCATAGTGCATCTCTAGATTTTCGCATGTCAGCGCATATATATTTCAAAATGCGATACCACGTACCTGCGTTTACGCCATCTGTTCTAGAGTCGTCCCATACTCCCCCTGCGCCGCCATTGAATTTAATGAATCCAGCATGACACCCCTTGTCCCCGAATGTCCTCATCTGGGTCTCGGATTGTGCTCCGTATCAACCATTATCGCTAACCGACACCCTAACCCTGTCATCGTCGCGTTTCGCGTTTGTGTATGCGCAAGAAACGGTGTACTCCTGGTCTTTCTGTTGAAATCACCATGTGCAAGCGCGCGCTATCGGGTGTGCTCGTCATAAAGGGACTGGCCGCCATCTGAGAGTACTCTACGCATCAATCTATAAAAGTAGGATGCGGCACCACGGATTCAGACGTACCTGAGTAGCAGCCAGGACGAGTAACGGACTATCTGGGCGTATTTCATCATGGAAACTGGCCCAGGTCATGTATGGCCTGGCGTTTGATGTCATTCCTGAACCCAGTATACTGCGTGTCAGCCAACTCCTACTTGAAGCGAAACCAGACTTACCGAAGCGTTTGCCTAGACAGGTTGCTGCAGATACCACATCCCGCGGTATCCCCTCTACTCACGCCGCCTGAACGATCGCCTGGCCGTCTGGAAGGGAGTGGCCTCGGATACGCATGCCCTGCGTCGCGCATCACTCAATAGAGCCTGCCCGTAGCGCCGGTATGAACGGGAAGGGGAAGGGGAGGAAAGGGGATGGTCATGAAAAGAAACCCTGGTCGTCACAGTTTCCGTCGTGGTGGTGTGCGTTTGAGGACTTGGTTGAATTGAGGAACGAGCTCGGCCTTCGGAACGGGTCGGAGTTCGATCATACACGTGGCGCTGGTTGGAGCGCCAATAATGCGGGGCAGCCCCGCCTCGATCGTCCTCCCTCGATATTCTTCTTCTCGCATGACTGACTCGCGAACTCCCGCCCTCCATCGTTCTCCTTCGACATCGTGGACCAAACATGCCAGGGAAATGAAGTTGGCATGGTTGGGTAAGCCAATAGGTAAGTATTCCATTTCCTGACCCTCGTCCTCACATCCTCACTCTAGTACCCTCACAGCGACATGGTGTAGAACGGCGAACTTGAATCGCAGGACGTGTCTGAGGCAACGCCTGCAGGGTAATCACGACCCCATGGCCCTCAAAGTTCAGTTCAGTGCAGACTCACCTCAACACCAGCTGCCCTTGTCCACCCTATTGCCGGCCATGCACCACCCACTTGCCTCCCGGCTCACGAGGCAAGAGCTCCCAGCCTCCGACACCGCCAGCCGCAACGTCTACGACGCAGGATCCACTTCCCTACACCTGAACACGTTGCGCCGCAACTGCGAACCCAAACGACGGCGTACCGGGACTACACAATACCATCAACGGCATACGCACCTGGGCATAGCATGGTACTGCCTATCCCTGTCCCACAGCCCGACAGAAGCCCACCAACGTTTCCCGAGCCCGTAATACCGCCGACATGGCCTACGACGATGACGACGAGGCGAGATGACCGCTGAGACCCCAGTAGCACGCCGACGCGAGACGAACGAGCGAGGGAATGACGAACATCAGTCGTTGGAATAGGCGTAGGAAGGGGATAGATGAAGGACGGAGGCAGGGAGAGCCAGCTAGGCACTGGCGTCGACAATGAGAAGACCAGACAGCAGAAAAGAATGTGAGTACCCGTCTCAAACTAATGGAGATACACTCACCACGATATCCCCCCACAGCGCCGCTCTTCCCCTCACATTTCCCCGCATCCGTCCAACTACCTTGCACCCACTCCGTGCGACGACCTGACAACGCCTACGACACCCCCCGCGTCTTCTCCATCTGCAACCCTCTAACGTCGTCCCGAAGCACGCAGTGTCGCACCCAGCACCCAACAACGGCGGCGACACTTGGCCTGCTGGAGTAGCGAGGACGTAAGGACGGCGGGGAATGGGCCAAGTTAAGAAGGGATAGGACGGCGAGGGGCTGGCGTAGACGACGACGACGACGACACAGCGCAGGGCTGAAGGAGGTGGGTCCCACCAAGTCCAGAAACATCGCCACTCACCACGTTATCGCCCCAGCAGCATCCACGCTCCCCTTCCCGTCCCTCTCGCACCCCATCGCCGACGTTATGCACAATCGACCAGGTCTCGTGGCGTACTTACCCCCCTTCCACTACCGAGACGCATCGGGACCGCGCCCCTTTGTCAGTGGAGCGCCTCGTCGCAAGGCTTCAACGCCACCGAATATGTTGATGGCGTATCGTCGGTATACATTGACGACAAGGTCGCCTCTCCATCCAAGATGGATTCAGTCAGCAAACCACAGCGGAGTGGGACCCGGGGATGCGGGTTAGGGATGTGGCCGGCCTTCGCAGGCTGGGATGGGGGTATGGAGATCCCGCAGCGTTGTCTGCGGCGAATGGGGGTACTATATCGAGATCGTGGACAGCGTGTATACCAGGTCAGCCTAAGTGTCGTTGATTGGCGCGATTTTCACTAATACATCAGTATGAATGCATAGAATGACTCAAATTTCATTCTTCCCTCCCCCCACTCCCTGTCGACGTGTCCTTGTCCTTCCTTGCGTACGCGCAGTCGTTTCCCGCCTCGTCAAGCTCCGTCGTTTCCTCGACGATCCCTGCTCGCTTCTCGCAATCGCTGAAGCCCCTACCACCTTAAGCTCGACTCGAGGGATTCCTGGCTTGTCGACACAGGATAGGGTGGTAGAAGAGTTTTGGCCCTCAACCCGTTCGGAGCCGCCAATTTGCTCCTTTCTCCCTTCACTCAACCGCCCTCCATTGGGCTCGAACGCAAGCCGAAGGCGCGGACTTTCCCGCCCTCACCAATGTTTCTACCGCTTCGACATCCTTGACGACGTTGATCGTGCGCGACATCTGTATGTGTCAGGCCACGATACGTGGACACGAGGCCAGGGCCTCGGGCCCTCAGCCACCATCCCTTCCTCAATCACACGCCCTCCCGCGTCCAGTATCCCCTCCAGTCGTTGCTTGCACACGCATTCACCCCGCCCAGCGTCCCTGCCCATCGTCTTTCCACTGCCACTCACCCAATCGACATCCCCGCGTTCTCAATCAAATCCTCCGACTCTCCCTTCAATCTCACTCACTCACCCCACGCCACCTGCGCCCAATTGGACGCGCCATCCTATGCCGCCTTTCCCGACGGACTGGAGGGACCCGTCAGCGGTGTACCCTCCTGGCCCGGCCGCGCCTATGTATGAAATACAGCAGCCCTGGCAAGACCCAATGCGCCAAGTATTACCGCAAGCTTGGGCGGACCCCGAGCGGTCAGATACCGGGAAGATTGAGTATACGGTCGTGGGCACCCGCAGGCCGAAGCCTCATTGATTTGACTGGACACTCGATTCAGGAGGGCTTGTGATGAATGATTGCGTGCAGTTACGAGCGCTGTCGTATTTAGTGCTCAGTTTTCAATTGTATGGGTTCCATTTCGCGTCGTATCGCCCGCTCGACCCTAAGACGTCTGATCAAAGAGGACAGGCACCGATAGACCAGCCAAAACGAACACCTTGGTTGCAAAGTCACTCTTGGTTCGTCACCGCGATTATGGATGAAGCGTCTAAGCACGAGCGCGGCGTCGATCTGGGATGGTTCTTCTTCCGCCTGCGCTACGAGGACAGATCCAAACGCAGGAACTTCCAGAACCTGCGCTTGCTGCTTGTGTGGGGGAACTGCGTCACGGGCAAGGAGAAGTGCACGGTCGCGGATATCTTTGAGGAATTGCCAGGATTGGAGTGTTTCGAGGCGATGATGGATGATGTGAGGTGCACGCGTGATGCGAGGGACGGGACAACTCGGGTAGTTCGGTGGAGGTGCCAGAAGAACGAGGCGTGGCGTCGTGATTGGGCGAAGGGTGTATCGACAGTAGACCCTGATTCGCCTCTTATCCTGTTCAGCGACCTTTGGTGCCAGTGAGTTCTTGAACCTCATCACTGTGAGCGCGTGCCTACCCATTGCATTGCCACTACAACTATTCAGGTCCAATATCTGGTGGCGGCGTTCCCTCTTGCATACGCTCTCAGTCCATGTTGACTGTAATCCGCAAATGTGTTCGCGATTATGCAAAGATTGCGGACTATATCGGGTACTATCGTATTTTCGTATGATATGATAATGTGTCGGTATAACCTCTATCCGCGTGTTTGCCGTTGGGTATAGACCGATGATTGTACGTCCAAAATGATGTACTCTGTGCGCTGGAGGTATTTCGGACCCGGTGTTATACAGAGTTGCCATTGGTGGTTTATGGCAGGGGTTGCGTGTTAGTCAAGTCGAAAGCACAGCGTTCAAGTGCGAGAGGAGAGTGGAGCCGTCTCGGTGGCGTCGGTCTCTTCGTATACAGTAACCGTGTCTGCTTCCATCTGGGAATGTCTTCTCTAGCTCTCCAGCAAGTATCTGGACTGAGAAGTAACCGTGGTGCGCGTGGAAGTCTCGGAGTTGCTTCGGAGATTGTAATACCTGGGATGTTGGAGCCGACAACGGAAGCGCCCAGTTCACAGTGCCACCATGACGTCCACTCCAAAGACACCCCGACATGTTACAGCCGTTGCTTCCCTCAAACTCAAACCACCACCATGTCTCCAATAATCCTAGTTCGCTGCGTCGTCTTCCCGAGCGCCTTCACAAGGGCCTCATTTGCTCGATTCATGAGTTCTGGAGCTTCGTCAAAAAGTACGCATACATCCACCCAACTATGCTCATCGTTGACGGTTCGTAGATCCACTAAAGCAGTCTAAGAACACTGGTAAAGAAGCCCGAGAAAAATTGAACAACCCCGTCGACGCCGTGTCTCCACAACACATGGAAAAGCCGTCCAAAGATGCGACAGGGAACAAGGAAGGGATCGGTATGGTTGATCAGGTTGGGAGCCAGAGTTCGACTGCCAAGAAAAATCAGGGAAAGTCGTCAAAGTAGCGGAGGTTACTGGGATATTCAGCGGTTGACAGTGTTCATTGTGAGTGCCCGGATCGTGTGCAGAACCATAACGAAGTTGACGGTCTTTTCGATTCTAGTCTTTTTGTCCCTGTGTATATCAGTATATGAGAATCGATATCCGTTGTTCCTGACAATGAATTTCGGGATGATATAGTTCTACAACGTGCCTCCCGAGTACCCATACTCTAGCGAAGGGGAGGCAAATCGTATATGCGCATCCTAATAGTGTGCGTACATGAATGGTCCTTGGTTTCTCGACGGCGTCTCTACGTTTCATGCACTTTGACGGAAGTCACAAAATTGGCACGAAAACAAGCTATATGCTGCATCGGCGCATGTCTCTAACAAGGAGGGCATACGTGGTGTTTGGGAGTATCAATACACTGCCTGGCCCATGGTACGTCCTCCGAAAATGATGATCGCAGGACACGACAGCTATCCTCAGATTCCTCAGATCAACAAGCTACGCGGACAATTCTATAGTGGTCTTCGGACAAGGGCATGCTTAGAGCAAGAACTCTCCAGGACGACATCTGGGTTTCGAGTACAAGGTTGATAGAGCCTATATGATGTAGCGACGGCGAAATAGAGTCAATAGAGTGCGTATTTGAATCTCGCGTTTGCTCATGCTTCTCGTCCCAATTGCAGATTTCTGACCCCGGTTGATCGTGCTCTCCTCTGGCCATGGAATAGGCTATATTACGTTTCCTGACGGAGCTGACCATTCGATTCTCAGCGCTCGTCCCTCCACCTCCTACGCCGATTGCGTACTAGATCGGAAGGGCGTTGTCCTACCTGCAGTGACGATGCTGCTCTCGCTACCGCTTTGCTTCACGCCTGCTTGCTATCTTGCTCAAAGATTCCAGCACATACGCCTCGTCGTGCCGGCATGTTTGCGTCTCTTATCTTATGAATGCTAATGTGACTATCGTAATGGATCATCGAGAGCCATCAAATACCATGCATCCCCTAATAGCATGCTTCAAGGCCTCTTGTACCCCCATTGTACTCAGCTGTACTGACAAGGCAGTTGGAGCTTCACGAATTCCCACCGATGTCAGGCCCGCGAGACCTCCATCTTCCTGATTTCTAGGACGGCCCAAACTACGCAGATTACGACGGATACGGCGAAAGATGTCGTACAGTAAGCTGGCCTCCAACGACGGACTGACCGTATTCGATGATCGTGTCAACATCGAGCATGGGGACTACCTTCAGGAACAGTTACTAGGATTGGGAGAGCAGCATCGCCGCAGCCGTGACGAATACTGTATTTCACGATGGTGCACTCGAATCATCAATTCGCCCATAGTCCTTTGGTGTATCGTCCTCCTTCAGTTCGTCACTATCGGCGTACTCGTCTGGCGTACGGATTTACCTGAAGAGAACAGTCTTTTCTGTATGTGCTTGTTCTCTCTCTACCCTATTCACATCCCAAGGTCAATTCCCCCGCTAGCTCCCGCGAATGAGGCTATTTCGTACAAGTACCACCGTTTCTTTAACGGCTTTGGACGCAATGTCTCTCCCTTCCAAGTCCCATCCTCAAAGGAACTCGATGACCTTTGGGAGGACCTTTACAACTGTACGTGAAACCACCATCCGCACTAATTTCTCAGCGATTTCACCCCGACTCTAGTGGGTATATCACGCATCCCTACCTCCCAGGCCAAGCGGCTCCCAAATGCAACGGAGGCCATACCAGGGGACGAAGACAACTACATTGTTGAACTCGACGTCTTCCATGAACTTCACTGCCTAGTGAGTACTTGATTCGCTATCGTAAATGGCTTTCTACCTACCGCCGTTTCACCATGCCATAATCGCATACGCAAAACGATTTATGCAGACCACTACCCCGACATGCGCCTTTCTCTCCCGGGAAACCAAGCTCATATGAGCCACTACCTCGACTCGATCCGCCAGTCCCTCATGTGTTCGGCGGACGTCAGCCTTATCGTCTGGAAATGGGATGACGAGGCCGGGCAGTCGTTTCCGCGCGGCGATGTTGTCCACCGATGTCGCGACTTTGATAAGATCAAGGAGTGGGCGGCAGAAAGGCAGCTTATGGGGAACTTCAACGTGAGTGTGCATGTGGTGAATGACTTGCCATCGCCGCCGTTGTTGTATTAGGTTACCCACCCTTGTTGACGACGATTCGTCCTGGAAATGATACCCTTGGGGAAGTTTAGGGTTAGACAAAGATGGGATCAAAGGAACGCAGAATACGGAGGTGCGTCGATGTCACTGACCGAGCGAACATGGACTGAGTGTGCATACAAAGGGGGGTGTGCAGACGACATCGAGGACGCGCGGACGTGCGGGCATGGGTCCTCGGGAACAGGCTACGCGAACGACCACATCAGCAGCAATGAGGAGACGATGCTGTTAACGGCGGCGGCGAAGCGAAGATGCCAAGGCCAAACGCTATCAACCAACCGCCAAACTTCAACTGCCAACCTCCAGACAGTCCATGATTGGCTACCACGTCGGTGAGCACCTCGTTAGCTCGCTGCTCACCTTACTCACGCACTTGATCACTCAGACGCTACACTTGTCGCTAACTCCTACCCACCTCCCCGCCCGCCAAGCACACCGTGAACGCGGCCCAGAGCGCACCACGACCTTGCCACGCGCCCCAACACGCATCCAACTCCCAAGCACGCCGCGAACGCAGCCCACGGCCCTCCAACGCGTCCTGACGCCCAAGCCGGCGCCGACACACTCTTCAATCTCCACAGTCAGCACCCACGCCCTCGAAAAAAATAATCCTCAACACGACACTGCGGGGGAAACGAAGGAAGCAAATGGGAAAACGAGAACAAGAACGAGAGAACAAAGGAAAAGAAACGAGGTACGCACCCACCTCGTTTTCGCTCGTCATGCGTTTGCGCTGACCTGAACGGGTTTCCACTGTGCAGGCCCTCGTCTGCGTTCGTCTGGAGCTGACACGGCTACACGTCACCCGACGCACACGCACCATCCCCAATGCAACGCCAACTCACCTCCAAAATACCAGCGCCACCACGCCACCTGCCCAACTCATCAACTCACGACGCACGACGTAGAATGCAAACATCCCCAGCGCAAACTCACGCACACAGAACACTGAACACAGAACCCGGCTCGTGGCACGCCAACGAACGCGCGTTGCGAGCCGAGTCGCGTGGTGTGGGATTCTGATCCCGACGGCCGAACGACCAAACGACCAAATCACAGAATGGTCGGGACCAACGAAGATGCGTGCGTGCGTCTCCACTTCAAGCGTCGAGCATTAAGCTAACGACGAGACCGCAGTACTCAGTGCCCAGCCTCGATGCGCCCTAGGCTCCCGCGCGAGTGCGCGCAGATCCACGTTGGATGCTGACGAGGACGGGTGACGACGCGAGGGGAGGTGGGTGTGGATGCCAACGTGGGCGCGCACTGCCCAGGTCCGGAGACATCACATTATTCCGGCCTGTCGTATGATGCTACCTCCGGTTCAACCCGTGCCGTCGCCCACATCACCTACCTTCCAAACTCATCCTCAACCAAGGGCGAGTGATGCTGGCCTCCCGGTGCCCTTAAGTCCCGCTACGATGCCTAGCTCGCCTACCCAGCCTATGTCACCAGTTGCTTCTGCGGCTGCTACTATCAAACTGAAACAGGTACAGATGCAGGAGGTCGGCGTGCGGCCGCCTACTGGGACTACCAACGCTGGCGGAACAAAGACGATGCCACGAGCCCCTCCAGCAAGCACCCATAGGCAGAGTCACAGTTTGAGGCAGCGCCCAAAGGTCCTGAGAGGCTGGAGTAACATGTTTGGGGGAGGTGAACACGGAGAAGAAGGGCGCAACATCCCTGATGGTCCGCGGACGGCTAACGCTAAGCACCAACACCACGTCAACGCCCTTTCTCATTCACGTCCCCTCACACATGCGCCTACGCAACTCGACTCTGCCAATCCACCCTTTCTCCCTTCCTCTCACAACTCCCCTTCCCCTCGCACACACGATCGTCTGGGTTAGAGCCGAGCGGCCGAAGGTCGCGGAGGCGTGGTTAGGGTCGAGGGTAAAGCTTGAGCTTTGAGACTAGCAGGCGTGTTCCAATTTCCTGAACCTGGGTAGGCTGCAGGGGAAATTCGACTGTGTTGTCTCATCAGTGGAATTTGCCATAGGTTTTATACTTGACTCGTCGGTCGTCTCCGGTAGTCGGTTAGTAACAATACCGGGACCCGGGTAGATAACGGGAGATCCGACGGCGAAGTCTTTGTAAGACAGTCGCTATATTTATCAGCAATCATGTGCATCTTGCCTTAATCGGTTAGTTGCTGCCACGGTATGATGTCATCGTGGAGCATTCCTTATCCTATCTATATTATCCGACGGAATAGGCAGCTTATTCCGCTGACCTCCTCCGTTTGGGACACAACAACTTCACACACCTCTGTTAGGGTCTATCTATCTTACGCCACTTTATTAGGTTAAACCTAATTTGCAAGTATGGAATTCTTCAAATCTTGTTGCATGTATCCCATGTATACATACTAATAATGTACTCTACAAAGTCTGACGGTGTTCGGCGGTCCCGTTTGTGAGCAATGAGGCACACAAATTGTGTCTGACCGTCATGACCGTCATGAGCGCTTGATTGACGGTCAGTGACAGTTATGACCCACGCCATGCTAGGGACATCAGAAGGACATCGCAGGCTGTGTCTACCACGCTGCACACTGGTGAGTACTCCTCCAGTGACTGTTGTGACTCTCCATGACCGGCAAGTTGACCGTCAGGTTGACCGTCATGACCGTCAGCCTGACCGTCAAGTTGACCGTCATGACCGTCATGACCATCAGCCTGACCGTCAAGTAAGCGCCGATGACCGTCAGTCTGACCGTCAAGTAAGCGCCAATGACCGTCATGACCGTCAGCCTGACCGTCAAGTAAGCGCCAATGACCGTCAGCCTGACCGTCAAGTAAGCGCCAATGACCGTCAAGTAAGCGCCAATGACCGTCAGAGGTTCTCACGCATTCTCCATTGTCTGAGGTTCCTCTCCATTAAAATGAATGTATCTATATAAGAAAAAGCATGCATTTTTTCCCACGGAGACAAAGGAGCTCGCTGATTGGCTGGCGAGACCATTTCTGACCTCTTTTGGATGTATCTCCGTTTGCTCGCCCTCTTGCAGCTTGCGATCATGTGCCTTGAGATCTTGAGACACGTCGAAATTTCTGGAACTCTACGCAGTACCGCATTGTCTCTGGGCTCTCTGCTGGCGCTCAGCATCTCTCAACGACCACGGAGGCTATCCCTTTGACTTTCTCTCGCGCTCAACGATTCGAGACAACCATTCGCAAATTGAAAGTCAACGGAACGGGACCTTTGGCTCACGCGCACGCCTTTATGGCTTCTACTAGGTGCGATTTGCTTATATCGCGCGCGCACATTCTTAATTTACATCCGACACTCTCCAAGGCCCTGTGTGCGGTGGATAACCACTGCGACTGTAAGCAGACCGGTACGGGCGTACGAAATCCGCGGTTCCATGAATATGAGCACCAGCGCGGGAACGGTCGTGGCCACCAGCAATTTTTGCAATGCTGCTTATCCTAGCGTATCCTCGGCGCGTATCCAAATACCTCCGGCTGCTGCTCAGGACCCTTACCCGGACACAGTCAACCAGAATGGGAAATGGTCGCCTCTGGTAACATAGGCTACAGTTGTGTGTTGCCTCATGTCATCTGTCCGTCTCAATTCACTCTCTTCAGCCGGGTACGCGATAGTGGTGCAGGGTTCACTCCAGCTTGGGCACGAGCACGAGCACGAGAACTGCTCTGAGGGGTGAGCATTGTATTGTGGCCCATCTCTATGACACAGTTTGGAATCAAATAGGCAGGAGCACGAGAGCTTAACACCCGCGCGGTTATGATTGCGAACACGGTCATCAACTCAGGCTTATGCGGCTTCTACACATCGTGGACGCCTCTATGGCCTGGCAATGTGCGTCTTACTCAGGTTCTTCGAATATCTCAATTTCAGATGTGCTTAGGGCCGTGTGCATAAGGATGTCAGGTGCTCGACTACGAGCTTGCGCATGTGGTAAGTGCGATCATAACAGCGACTGCGGGCAGCATCGGGGTCAGCACGGATAAGGGCCCCATCAGGCTATAATCATGTTTGCGAGCGTGAATCTCGCTACGAGCGCGACAACGCAGACCACTTGGTTCACGTTTGGGCGTGGATCCTTGAATCTGGGCACGACTACCGCACCGGTGCTGCATGAACTACGATGATCTGGCTGACAACTGATGCAAGCATCGGGTCTTGCACGGCTACGAGCTTTGAGGGTCTGAAGGCCTACACGGGGGATATCTAATAGGTTCGTTCAGCCTCGAGATAGATGCAACTGACCTCAATGTTGTAGGAGCGAGTGCACGATGGCTACGAGCGTACATACTCATTAGCACGCACACGGACGAGACACGGTCTTCCCCTTACGCCTTATGTCCTATTATTCAGTTTTCGACACATACTCATTTATTACTTAGTTGTATATGCATAACTGTCATAAGCACTTGGTTCTTACACCGTGCGTAGCACGGGTTAGCCGCTAGTTCAGCAACATATTCTGCGCATATTTCCCTGAACCGACCCCTGAGATCACTTGCTCAGTTGCACCGGAATTCCCGAGCAAATAAGCGCCCGTTGACCGTCAATCTGGGCGCCTAATGACTCCGGAAAACCGGAGCCTATCCACTGCGTCCTGGCGCAGGCAAGAAAGAACCAAATCTGCTCAGAGGGATGAATATAAAGAACAAAGTACAAAATATAAAGCTATAATTGTCAAAGCAAGACATGTTCTTCTAATACAGCCGTCACCGTACTATACAAGACATCGCTTTTATCGTTCACAGTGTTTGTGAATAAGCAGGCACCCATCCATGGCTCTATCTCGCTCACCCAGAAGGAGTATTGGCCATTTTCAGTCCTGAAGACACCAATATCCAGCCTAGCAAAAAGCCGAAGGTCGGACCAAAGGTTCCTTTCCCCCGCACCAACCTTCTTCCAATCTTCTTCCTGCCTCGTGATAAACTTGTAGAGGATATTGGTGGCGAAGCTACGAAGTCGCTCAAAGCCATGGGAACCCAACCAGAATGGGACATTGCTATCCAACATGTCGAACACCTCCTGATTGGATATCATGGACGCCGTTCGTTGATTGTCCCCATCGCCAGCACTGAGAAAATAATGCGTGAACAAAAGATAGCAACTCAGAGGTGTCTCACTCACCGTAGCTTCTCCAATGGGATGATGCTTACAGGCTCCATGGACACCATTTGGGACCCACCCGCACGCGTACCAACCGTGTAGATCAACTCGCCTCCAGCAAAAAAGCACCTCACCTCACCCTTCTGCTGCATCTCCTGGATGAGCGGTTGAATGAAGTAGTGAGGTCTTGGAATGGTCGCGTTCGCTGTTTGCCACATCTTTTTCGTCTTCTTCATGTCGTCCTTCACCTTTTTCAAGACTTGCCTTGCCGTGTTGTTATCATCCACCTTCCAGACATGGCTTGAGCTTGCCCCCATAGTTCGCTTGATCACAATGGAATTGAGATCGACGTTCATCTGGCGCAGTTCCTCCATGTCATTGAAGCCCAATACTGCCGGGAATTTGCCAAGGGCGTCCATGAGGCCAACAGAGCAGTGAGCGACAGACAAAAGAATATTCCTTTTGTCTGATAACCACCATAGCTGGAATGGGTCGGGAAAAAAGACGACGGATTGGCTCAAATGTCTCAACCCATTCAAGTAAGGAGCCAAGTCCTTTGCTGGCATGGCGTTCGGGCTGTAGGTGGGATCTCTGAATGAACGTGAGCCACGGAACCACCACAGGAAAGAGATCGACTCACAGAGGATCGAGAATGAAGTCCATTCCCCCGCAAATCAGGTCGAAGGACTGGAGTTGAATCCAACCCGGAGTCTTGGATCCTTTGAGCACGAGACGCATCCACTGTCCCATGTCCATGAACGTAATGTCCCAGGCATCCTTTCTAACCCACATCTCGATGGCCAAGGCTGACTGGAGCAGACTTGTCAGGTCTGGGTGAGAGGACGAGCGGAAGGAGGCTTACAAATTCATCCACCACATAGGGCACATTCGCCAAAGCATTTCCAAGCTCCTTCGCACGCAGCTTGTCCACTGAAAAATGATCTGGCCACGCCTTCAAAAGGATTTCTGCCAGTTCCTCGTCCACATGCTCTAGCCTTTTGAAGCCTAAGAGATCCCCTTCGTATTCAAAAAATCGAGAGACTGGGTTTCGAAAGTTTGGCAACCAAAGGACCTTTCTCCTGAAGCCCCTGATTTTATGCCCGTCCTTTGCCTTGGGAAAGGGAACGACCTGTTGGACCTTGGGCAGGCTGGATGCCGGTCTGACAGCCCAAGCGGTCGTTTCATGCTCTAGCACAAGCGAAGGTTGAGCGTGGCCGTGCCAGGGGGTTGGCGTGGCTGAGGGTTCCCGAGCAAGGCCAAAGTCGCGTGGATTGCGGGGCGTCAACCAACGTGTTTCATGGATGGGCGTCTCTGCGTTAGAGGGTCGTGGCAGCTGGGATGGCCTAGGGGTAAAGAGGTGTAGGGGATCTTGGGGAGGTAGTGAGATGCGCGGTGGGGAAATCGGTAGGTGAGAGGGGCCTGCTGCGGGTGGCTGCTGTGGGGAGGAAGAACGGCTGGTGTTGAGATTCAGCCGAGCCGCCACCTTCTGCTCGTAGATATCGGGCGGGCATTCTGCCTTGAAATTGTCCAGATGAGCCTTTTGATTGCTCAGTTTCCCCTCCGTAATGAAAAGGTAGAAGCCATAGGCGTTCTCTTCCCACTGTTGCCGCGTGGGTGCAACAGTTTCGTCAGGAAGTTTGACAGGCTTGGGGCATGGCTCATTTCCCTTGACGCAAGGATTATCCTTCTTGCATAGAAGGTGGTGCATAGGACATTCAGCTGTGCATTTTGGGTGGACCCGGTTGTTCGGGAGGTGCTTTCGAAAACGGCTGCCTCCTTCTTTTATGAACAGGAGACAGGTCTTGGAGGCAGAGTCTTGTCCCACGGCGCGAGCAGTTTTTAACATATGGTTGCTATCGTGGACGCAGGTGTGGGGGCAGGCTAAGATCTTCATGGCGTAGGTGGAGGAGGATCGCATTTTTTTGTACCATTACCTGTGATGGTCGTGACCGTCAGATAGGGGTCATTTTTGTCGCACTTAGCTTATCAGATTGAATCTCATCAACTGTCATGTCGTTCAATCGCAAACGCTCAGACTCTTCTAGCTCTGAATCTGAGACAGGGAATCTGCTCGCAGATCCCAACTTCTTGGATGTGGAGGATGACGATGCAATGGTAATTCCATCTCTTCTTAGAGCGCAGCCTGAGCTAACCCTGTCCAGAAAAAGCGGAAAGCAAAGTTGGACCCGCTCAGATCCCGCTGCGCCGTACCCCCCATTGAAGGCAATCTCACATCTCCTTTTTCTCAGCACGCAAAGAAGAAACTCAGCGAAGAAATCCTTCGCCAGAGGTTGCATGAGCAAATGGGGAAGAAACTTGCCAGCTTCAACAAGTACGCTCCTACGTTCAGAACAAAGTTTCGGTTGGACGAACTGCAGCCATCAACGCCAGGCAACATGGCAGAATATGCGCGGAAACACCTTGGAGATGACGTTCTACCTCAGGTCATATCGGGGAAGTGGGTTGACGCCGACGACGAGCCTCTCCTGTTCTATCTTGGACAGCGAGATAAGAATGACAACACGGAGAAGCCGGTAAGTCTTTTCACTTGTCTTTGGCCAGATATCATATTCACATGTTGTTTACAGATGGCTGAAGATCTGGACGCTCAATATGTTCCTGAGAGAACCAGCCTCGATCACCCAGGGGCCAGTTACGTCCACGATGGTCTGCCAGTAAGTCTGTAAGTTGTATATAAGAGTCCCTTTCTGATGTCTCTGACAGCCAGCCGCACTTGAGCGGCTCTGGCAGGCCACCCAAGATCTTTGCTCCCAATTGCCGCCCAAAATCCCGCCCGAGCTGACTCGGCATGGGCTGCAGCGCCGGGATGGAGGAGATGACCGTGTTATGGAATACAGGATGGAGGATGGAAGTATCCGAGAGGAACGGCGAGGAGTACACCATCTCGTCCAAGGGTGGGTAATGCAAGGACACCACGATGTACGTCCCGCACTTTCAAGGCTTTCTCATCCTCACCAATTTCATGCGGCAGAAACTCTACCTATCGGCGGACATCCACGAGTCTTCTTCAGGCGTGGCAGCGACCAGAGCATATTACGCAGCCACGAAGGAGATAGCAGGACTCCTCGGCCTCGTCGTCAAGACGCTCCTTCCGGAGCAGTACGAAAAGTACCAGGAGGCTTTTGAAGCGGGAGTTTGGTTCGCAGATGAAGATCCTGGGCCCTTCCTGGGCCGTGCTGTAGTATGGAAGCTTCAACTTAGGATGCATAAGGATAAAGCAGACGCAGGCTTTTCTATCAGCGTCCCATTTGGTGCCTATACAGGTGGTTATATGATCATCCCTCAACTCCATGCCAAGCTCAGGTAAATCACTCTTTGAATATTCTTTCTCAACTCAACATCTTCGTGATTAGCTACCGCCCTGGGGACTTGTGTATATTTCTGTCGTCCAAGCTATATCATCAAGTTTCAAGATGGGAACCT